TAGGTAGAGATACTAATGATCTGACACAGGGAATAATTCTAAAATAAATCTTGTTCGTACTAGACATGTTTCTACAAGCCTCATATACCTAATCTAAGTGGCAGTGAGACTTTGCTCACAGTTACACAGTGTACTGTGCACACAGTTCACAGTACCTTGTCTGAACTGTGCCCACACCTGGAGCACCGTGAGCCCAGTTACATTACTAAGCTGAACATGAGATGAGATCGAAGGATGACAAGTGTATTTGGGCATGCGTATGACTAGGGCTGCCGCAGCACAATTCTTACCTAGTCATTTTGAGGAGGATGTCAAATTCTATGAAAATTGGGATAAGGGGACAGTGGAACTGGAGGCGAGTCTAAATAATGTTTATGAATCATATTTGTGTATCACAATTACAATAGTTCCCTTTGTATCTAGTCTATTTAAGGACGTGTGCCATTGTGGCTGGAACATTACTGGTTCTACCTCAACACTCACATGTCCTAGTATCAACAAATCCTTGCTATACATTAGATCACAACGCGAGCACAATTGTGGCTTTGGTGATAATATTTCTAGCCAAATGATGCACAGATGAGTCATTGTTGTAATCACATGCAGCTGCCATTTGTAAGCAGAGCCGCAGAGATTAGTCAGGCCTTTCTAACTAGTATTCTTGAGAATATTCTAGAACATTCCAACATTAATAATCAACAGGTATATAAGGCCTCTGTTCTCCTTGAGGGAAATAGGGGGCCAGGTTGAGTGTGGATGGTTATTTGCCTGGTTGAACCAGGACTATCATGCTGAGGCAGACTGCTGCAATTATTACCCTGACCACTACCACATAGACAGTCTAAAAATTGGATAACATTTAGTTATCATCTGGAGTTCAGATGAATTTGCATTCAAGGTTTGTGATTTGGAACACATTGTGAATTGGTTACAATTGGGTATGTGGGTCAGAAAATTTTGCAAAATCAATGACCATGACCTGTCCATTCTGCAGACCTAGGGCGATTTTATCTCGGGAATTGGTGGAGCAGGCCAGCCGAAACTCATCAGGGATCCGATATCTGCGGTATGGACAACAAACAGACCACAGCTCCTGACTGGTGTAGTCAACAGCTACTGTGGAATGCTCATGGCTGGGCGTGACACTTGGACATGGAGATGAGAGTGACTGAAGGCGATTGTGGGAGACAGGGAGTACTAGTCCATTGTCCACATGTAAGAAATGTCCACCTTGGAAGAAATATAAATGCCTGGGAGCATGATTGAGTGCATAAGGAGGTTCCAAACTGGGTGGGGTGGTGATATCCCACAGGCGTACAGTGCAATCCCGAGATCCAGATGCAAGACGGCGCCCATCTGGCGAGAAGGCCAGACACTGGACAGGACCGGTATGTCCCTCAAGCGTCCCAAGGCTTGCACCGGTGGTCCCATCCCACAGGCGTACAGTGCCATCCCAAGATCCAGATGCAAGACGGCGCCCATCTGGCGAGAAGGCCAGACACTGGACATGACTGGTATGTCCCTCAAGCGTCCCAAGGCTTGCACCGGTGGTCCCATCCCACAGGCATACAGTGTGATCCCCAGATCCAGATGCAAGACGGCGCCCATCTGGCGAGAAGGCCAGACACCGGACCTCCCAGGTATGTCCCTCAAGCGTCCCAAGGCTTGCACCGGTGGTCCCATCCCACAGGCATACAGTGCCATCCCTAGATCCAGATGCAAGACGGCGCCCATCTGGCGAGAAGGCCAGACATTGGACAGAATCGGTATGTCCCTCAAGCGTCCCAAGGCTTGCACCGGTGGTCCCATCCCACAGGCATACAGTGCCATCCCCAGATCCAGATGCAAGACGGCGCCCATCTGGCGAGAAGGCCAGACACCGGACCTCCCTGGTATGTCCCTCAAGCGTCCCAAGGCTTGCACCGGTGGTCCCATCCCACAGGCGTACAGTGCCATCCCCAGATCCAGATGCAAGACGGCGCCCATCTGGCGAGAAGGCCAGACACCGGACCTCCCTGGTATGTCCCTCAAGCGTCCCAAGGCTTGCACCGGTGGTCCCATCCCACAGGCGTACAGTGCCATCCCCAGATCCAGATGCAAGACGGCGCCCATCTGGCGAGAAGGCCAGACATTGGACCCAATTGGTATGTCCCTCAAGCGTCCCAAGGCTTGCACCGGTGGTCCCATCCCACAGGCGTACAGTGCGATCCCCAGAGCCAGACGCAAGACGGCGCCCATCTGGCGAGAAGGCCAGACACTGGACCCAATTGGTATGTCCCTCAAGCGTCCCAAGGCTTGCACCGGTGGTCCCATCCCACAGGCGTACAGTGCGATCCCCAGATCCAGACGCAAGACGGCGCCCATCTGGCGAGAAGGCCAGACATTGGACCCAATGGTATGTCCCTCAAGCGTCCCAAGGCTTGCACCGGTGGTCCCATCCCACAGGCGTACAGTGTGATCCTCCAGAGCCAGACGCAAGACGGCGCCCATCTGGCGAGAAGGCCAGACATTGGACCCAATCGGTATGTCCCTCAAGCGTCCCAAGGCTTGCAGTGGTCCCATCCCACAGGCGTACAGTGCGATCCCAGAGCCAGACGCAAGACGGCGCCCATCTGGCGAGAAGGCCAGACATTGGACCTACTTGGTATGTCCCTCAAGCGTCCCAAGGCTTGCACCGGTGGTCCCATCCCACAGGCGTACAGTGCGATCCTCAGAGCCAGACGCAAGACGGCGCCCATCTGGCGAGAAGGCCAGACATTGGACCCAATCGGTATGTCCCTCAAGCGTCCCAAGGCTTGCACCGGTGGTCCCATCCCACAGGCGTACAGTGCGATCCCCAGAGCCAGACGCAAGACGGCGCCCATCTGGCGAGAAGGCCAGACATTGGACCCAATTGGTATGTCCCTCAAGCGTCCCAAGGCTTGCACCGGTGGTCCCATCCCACAGGCGTACAGTGCGATCCCCAGAGCCAGACGCAAGATGGCGCCCATCTGGCGAGAAGGCCAGACATGAGACCGAATTGGTATGTCCAGTCAAAGTCTGGTGTGAGGGCCAATGCACTGATGGTCCTCCAATGATTCTTGGTAGTCGATCTGAAAACTTGCTCTTGTATATCGTCCACAGTTGTGACTTTCGAGGGAGGAATAGTAGCCCTGATGAGTAGATATCCAGTGCACTCTTCTCTAGTGTTTCTTGATGCCTCTGGACAAGTCTAACTGTATCATGGCATACCTATTGTCACCATGGTCAACACACATACCATATGTAGCACCAGCTCACCTCGACATCATCAACCAACCCTTGGTATTCACAACTTTGCCGAACTTCTTCGAAATTTCGAATAAGATGCAAGCGACCCATCAAGCTTAACAGCTCTACAAGGTAGAGAATTCCACTTTCTAAAAACATCCGCAGCATCTGGGCCACCTGTTTCTCTGTTACGACAGTAGACACATGATAGCCCCAGTACTTTGCTCCATAAGGTAGCGCCGGACAACTTGTCCATAATCGTTCCAGACGTTTATCCAGATCCATGACGTCTGCATTCTTTGGATAAGGTTCGTTTGGCAGGGAAATGCTGCAAATATCTTCTTTTAGATCCTCTTGAAGCACTTTGAGGACAGATATAGCCAAATCTGATTGCATTGCTGTCGATTCGAATGGCATATCCATTGTATGGACTGAAGGTATTCTTGAAACGTCGGATGCAGAACTCGACAACATGGTCAGTGCGAAGTACGCTGCATGGACATGATCATAGGCTCCAAATCGTCCAGGTTCATACCGGCGAGCTTGGAGAGTGCTGGTATAGAAACTGGCTCGAAAAGAATAGAGATAGTTCCAATGATCTTTTTCACCACTTCTAGAGAGGCCTCCTTAGAGAGGCGACGAAGAATCCCGGTATAAAGGTGGTTTATGTCGCCTCCTTTTCCTCGTGTGATGAGGCTGGCAAGTGTACGAGCACGAGCGTCAGGACCATCTGCGTCTTCAAGCTCTCTACGGGCTGTAGCAACCCATATAAAAAGCCCGTTAGCTTTGGCGATGAGCTTGTTACGCTCCGACTCCGAGAGAAGCCCCGTAAGATATGTGTTGACGTAAACTGTGATGTCGCTAACGTTTGACGGATTTTCGCCCTGAAGCTCATAATGCATGCTTCCGGACAATAGCCTTTCCCCGAAGTAATGCCATTATATCTGGCTCTGGACGGCTTGTGAAGGATTCGAAGGTTTGGGAGAGTCGAAGTCGTTCAACGATGAGGCTAGGTAGATCACGTCTCATATTTTATTTACACTCATCGACCGCGTCAATCACCAGGAACGACGCCGCGCAGGCTAACCGTATGGAAGCTTCGACGAGCTTCAAAACTGGTAAGATAATGGTCTCGTGCCGAGCTCCTCGTCCTTCTCGAATGCGTCTTTGACATAAGCCCGGATGGTGTCGTCCTTTGAGCCGAGGTCTTTAGCAAGTTTTGTACAGACAATGTCCGTCTCTGATGTCGAACGAGCGTTCTTCGAGAAGAAGAAACGGGCAAAAATAAACTGGATAAACTGATCCTTGGTATCCCACTCGTGACAGAGCGTATACACGCAGTAGATTTACCCGTCCACCGATGTCGCAAAGCCAAAGATAGGCTTTCCCAGATCTTCGCCAGTAGCCAGTTGCGGATCTCTTGGAGAACTGAAGTCCGCGTCCCAGGCAAGCAGAGCTGGTGCTGAGTACCCATGGGTCGGGCCTGCTCAGGCCCAGGCTGGCCATCTTCCATGCTTTACGACGCTAAGTTACGGCCCAGGTGGAAAAGACATGCATACCTTCCTCTTGAAGGACAATCATGGATCTTGATGTCGCTTCCTGAAACGTCGAGTCAGTCGGTACCGCAGTTTGCGATTGCCTACAGAAAGATTTTCGAGGCTGGGCAATCTCTTCCTTGATCGATGCAATGATCTGGATCAATGCGTGCGTCTGCAATCTTTCCGAGGATGCTACGCAAGGTGACGCTGCCTCGTTGGGCGAGCATGTCTTTGAGCCTGTCCCGATGACTTTCAGGCCACTGTGAAGTGGGACTCGGTGTCAGAAGGCACATCAGAGGGCACGATGAATAAGTTTGAAACTCACGCTACGTATTGCTGTTGCGCGTGTTTGAATTCGGCAATCGCCGCTGGCCGATGTCTCGGAGGCAACGTCCCAATGCTTTCATCAAGATTCAATATGGGTAGAGAGCCTCTGGTGAATTTCTTTGAGGCTCGATGTTTTCATCAACGGCCTTTGGCATCGAGCAATCAGCACGCGCCAACGGAGGAGCTTTGAGCGCGAAATCAGATCTCACCTTTGTCGTTTCCAGGAAGAGAAATACCGAGCTCGCAAACTGCCTTCATAGGTCCAGGAAGAGTCGCCTCGGTCACCGCCTTTGCAATCGCAGGGCCTTCGAGAAGGTTATTGCGTGTGCGATCATACGCGAGATCTGGATCACGAGCGTATGGAGTGTCTTTTAGATTTTCCCTTCTTCTTGAGCGGGCAAATGTTCTCTCAGCGACATGGGGAGAGATGGGGTCCAACTGGATTGGCCCATCGATCTTAACCATCAGACATCACCTTGCATAGCCGATAGAGGCCATGAAGGAAATATAAATCCAGCAATGCGGGTGTGCCGTACGCCGTACCAAAGGTCAGAAGATTCAGACAAGTAGAGCGTCCAACAAATATCGTCTACATCAAGTCGCCTATCATTACGCCATTTCGCTGTGGACAGAATACACATTCGCTTCAACACCGAGGAGGTCAGTGTAGCAACTGGATCAAGGGCCAATGTTGTTGATTCCGTTGATTCTAGGACGCGTGAGGTGAGAGGCAAGACCAGTATATAGTGTGGCAAACCTAGGACGCGTGAGGTGAGAGGCAAGACCAGTAAGGTCCGGCCGCATCGTCCCGCGTCCCTAAATACATTGAGTTACGACGTGAGCTATTACTATTGGCTAAGTCTATTTAGTAAGCGCTAAGAGTCAAAGGGTAAACCTTCGACACGACCCCTTGACCGTATGACTTGAGCGCGTGAATCATGGATGGGCATGTGGATGAGGGATAATACCAAGCATTTTGACAAACTGTTCGAACTTGATGCGGCCTAGTGGTTTGGTGAAGATGTCGGCAACGTTGACAGCTCCAGGGACGTGAGCGACGCGGATTTCATTGTTGGCAACCCGCTCGCGGATCCAGTTGAAGCTCCGGTGAACATGCTTCATTGTCGACTGGTGCTCTGGGTTCTTTGCGACCTGGATAGCAGAGGCGTTGTCGACGTATAAAGTGGATGGAGTCGACGCAACGTCATAGCCAATTTCGTCAAGGAATGCGCGCATCCAGATCATCTCACACCCGGTGGCGGGCTGTTGTATACTCGATTCCGTCGATGATAGCGACGTGTGGCGCTGGAGTCGGCTACTCCACATCACAGCGCCGCCACCAATTGACATGACATCCGGCTGTCGAACGGGTGTTATCAGCATTCCCACAGAGTCGGCGTCGCTGTGCGTCGTGAAGAGCTCGTCGGATTCCGGTTTGAGGCCGTAGGTGAGCTTGTAATTAGTCGTTTGCGTAGATATCGTAGTACTCGTTTGAGAGCTAGCCAGTGTGCTTGTCCAGGATTCTCGCTGAACCGGCAGAGAACTCCGACTGCATATGAGATGTCTGGCGAGTGGCGTTGCAAGGTATATGAGCTTTCAAGGCTTCTCGATAGGTATAGCTTGCATTTCGGCTTCTCTTGCTCGGTTTGCGGTGAATCCTTTGCTGAAAGTGGCTTTTCGACCATCGGTGTGTCAGCGCCATTGCAGTCCTTCATTTCATGGGCTGAGATCTGTTCGATGTACGCAGGTTGAGAGAGGAGATTGTATGGGATTGGCGATGCGCTCGAGCTTGACACCAGTAGGAATGAGGTAGGGCCTTGGTCATGAATCTTGAAGCGTGCTTTGAGCTCATCCTTTACCGTTTGGATGGCTTTGGATGACTTTGATGCAAGCAGTAAGTCATCAACATGGACTGGTACAATGATCTTCACACTGTCACGTTCATAGATGAAGACACTGTGGTCGCTTTCGAGACGTTTGAATCAATTTCGGATAAGACAGCGTGTAGCCACAGACCAGATTCGAGGACCTTGTTTGATTCCATAGAGACCCTTGAAGTTGAAGCACCCAGCTTGTACCTTCATAGCCCTCGAACTCAACTCCTTCTGGCTTTCTCATAGACCTCCGCATCAATCTCGCCATTGAGAAAAAGGTGGATATGTCTACTGACTCTAGCTCCCAGTCTTCGAGTGCTGCAAGTGCTATGATGGTGCGAAGGGCGCCAAAGCGAGCCGTCGGTGCAAAGGTCTCTGTGTAGTCGATTCCCTCTCGCTGTGCATATCCCTTGGCCACAATGCGTCCCTTGTGTTGCTAATAGACCCGTCAGCATCACGTTTGATTTGAATACCCAGTGAGCCGATAGCCTTTTGCCTTGTGGGAGTCGCACAAGCTTCCACGTGCCATTTTCCAGGTGAGCTCTGACCTCTTCTATAGCCGCTTGGACATACTTGTCGCCGTCAGGGCGTTTCAGAGCTTCTCCCAGTGTTGTTGGCTCGCGGATTGTAGATGTGTTTAAAGCAGCTTCAACACCATCAACAATGGGAATCAGGATATGGTCAGGCGCTTCGAAGTTGGGCTTGGGTCTCCAGCGTCGAGCTTTAGTTGGCACATAAGGCTGGAAGTTGAGGTAGGGATGCATCTTCTGTGGCTAATTGACATTATCTTCATCGAAACTCTCATTTAATTCGAGATCCGAATCAGATTCAGTCAAAGTGCCTGGCTGACGCGCAACTGTGTCGTCGCGCTGGTAGATTTGTGAGGCCTTCTCGAAATTGGTTTATCAGTGAGTGCTCGAGCTCACGACTCAGTCGCTGGAGCTGTGGGTTTAGGTTGCGCTTGAGCTGGTGCTGGTGGAGGGACAGGCTCGTGTGCAGGCTCAGGTGGTAGGTGTAGGTACAGGTCGTCCTGCAACGTGAACAGCAGGGTGGGGGTTTGGAGGTGGAATGGATGATGGAGATACAGTGGCTTCTTCGAGATCTGGTAGCTGGACGTAGTCGGAGAGGTTTGGAATCGATTCCTGCAAGTGATGTGCCTGGAAGAGCTCTCATCGAATACAGCACTGTCACTGTATAATCTTTCGTGTCTGTGGGTTCCAGAACACCCAGCCAGGGCAGTCGGATGGATACCCAACGAAGATACACTTGTCAGTGTGAATCGAGAGCATCACGCTGTGATTTTGGGACAAAGACATAGGCGAGACATCCAAATACTCGAAGATGATCGACACTGGGAGTTTCACCATGCCAGTGTTCATATGGCGTCTTTCCATTGTGAACACGGGCACGGTTGAACTCATGGACAGTGGCAAGGGCGCAAAACCCCAAAAGATGGTGGAAGATTTGCTTCTGTGAGTTTAGCAATTGTCCCTTCAGCTATCCATCGGTTTGCTCGCTCAACCCGTCCATTTTGCTCTGGTGGCAACTATGGTGCGTTCCTTGTAATTCCAGCAGAGATACAGTACTGTTCAAACTCTTTCCACTGAACTCGCCACCTTTATCGTCTCGCAGGTGTACCAAGTGCTGGCCGGTCTGATTCTCAGCGAGCTTATGGAACTCGCAGAATGCTCTGAACGCCCCATCTTTTGAGTGAAGAAGTGACAGCGTGACGAAATTAGATGCATCGTCTACCATGGCCATCCAGTACTTGGCACGGTGCGGCATGGACTCGACATTGATTGGGCCTTTAAGATCAATAAAGACACGATCTAATGGAGTTGTAGCTCGAGTTGCGGGCGTGGTGTGAGGGGCTCGAGTCTGTTTCCCTGCGATACATGGAGCACATATAGGGTCGGGCTTTGCATTGGAGTCCAGCTTGATTCCATTAACCAGATTATGACGGATAAGAGCGTCAACTCCATCGTGATGATAGTGGCCTAGGCGTCGATGCCATAGCTCTCGGTCAAGTTTGAGTGTACTGGCAGCATGCGCTTGTTCGGATGTGAGAACGCGTCCATTAAGGTAAGCAACGCAATCGTCATCGATACGAGCTGTCATTTGGAGTTTACCATCAAGGTAGAACTCCATTTGCTTCGGATTAATGCGAATGTCATATCCTTCTTTGCGTGCCATTGAGAGAACTGAGACGAGATTCGATTGTAAGTCGGGAGCAAAGAGGACATGGAAAGTAACGAGATCAGAACTAAAGTAACCATCTATCCACGGCTGAAACACATCCCTTCTCCAGTGGAGAAGATCCTTTCACCATTGGCCAGTTTGATCGACCTGACCAAGGGGCGGAGCATAGTAAAGTAACTTTCGTCACTCATCATTGTCCGAGTAGCCCCTGTGTCGGCGTTCAGGTCAGATCTAGCCGTGGATGGTAAGGAGAGGGTACTTGCTAGGCGGCATGGGCATTTGGTACAGTAGTTGATCCGTCTGTAGTGCTGGCAACACGTGCGGCCTCTTGCTTGCGACGAGTCGCTTCAGCCTTCGACCAGCACTGGGCGGCTGTATGGTTCCGTTTGCCACAATGATCGCATATGGCACCTGGTGTGCGTTCAGCGGCCGTGGGCTTTGGTCGTGAGGAGTGGGGAGGTGTACTGCGATAAGTAATGGGCTGGGAAGTGGCCGGAGTGCGATGGCTGGCTGCGAGTTCCTGCGCTGCTGATTGTCCTCGTTGACGAGAGCTGCATCTATTACATCTCGGGTGAGATTTGGCTGGCAGAGTAGCGAAGTTCGGACGTGAATTGATTCAGGCGGGATCATGCGGAGGCTTGACATCATAGCGAGGTCGTTCAGTAGTGCGTCTACATCGTAGTCTGTCGTCCAGAGTGATCTAAATTGCTCCTCGAGGGCATTGGTGGCGGCTGTGATCGACACCAAAGGCTCTCCTTCGGCCTTCGTCTTGGTGAAGAATGCCTCAAGCGCATTGAAGCGGGTCGCTGATGTCTTTGCATTGTGAATAGACTCGAGTTTATTCCACATTGCGACCGGATCCCCTTTGAGTTTGCGGATCTGGCTCATGTTGGTCTCATCGACAGTGAGTGTGATGGCTGCGGAGGCCTGTTTTGCGCGGCGTTTCCATTCGTTAGCATTATCAGCAACGTATTGTTTGGAAGAGGTTGAACTCTCACTCCCTCGCCTTCCGTACCAGTGGAAGGGTCTTTGGAGTGCTGAGTCAGGGCTGAGCTCGAGTCCGTAGACAAGGTCATCGAGGTTGTTGAGTGTGAAATATCCATCTATCTTTTGGGACCATGCGAGGTAGTTGCGCGTTGTGAGGACTGGGATCGCACTGAAATCTTTTGAACATGTTTGTGTAGCAGTGGGTGCGCGGAGGCGAGATTACTGGTGAATTTGATCCTTTAGTGCAACAAGAGGCTCATAACCTGTTGATTCCGTTGATTCTAGGACGCGTGAGGTGAGAGGCAAGACCAGTATATAGTGTGGCAAACCTAGGACGCGTGAGGTGAGAGGCAAGACCAGTAAGGTCCGGCCGCATCGTCCCGCGTCCCTAAATACATTGAGTTACGACGTGAGCTATTACTATTGGCTAAGTCTATTTAGTAAGCGCTAAGAGTCAAAGGGTAAACCTTCGACAGTGCAGTGCGTATTCCTGAATCCTGGCTCACTTGGACAAATTTTTATTACATGAAATCATCTAAAAAACCAGGGCAAAGGTTGATATTGCCATGCTGCCTCCTCGTAAGCGGCATGGCAATGATCTTCCTGGTCCCCCAAGCAAAGAACGAAAGTATATCACTCGCGGGACACTCGATCCTGATCAAATCAACACGGTGACGGATTTTGAGGCCGAAATATACGTAGAGCTGGCCAGGTTATCAGTGTCTGGGAGAGGGGGGAAGAATGCCAGGGCAATTAAGGACGAATCATGCCAGACACTTGGTTCATTTGTGATGGATTAGGATACATCTTGGGATGAATTCATCTCAAGATAGCTAGCGAGCCTGAATGCACGCCTGAAACTGTCGTATTGACAGGCATGAGCTGGGTGTTTGTGACACCAAGATGCTTGACATTCTTCTACACCAGAGATAAGTGGACATACAATGCTATTTGAGTTGAGTGGTCCTGCCTGTCAGCATGTCTTCAATTGTCTGGACATACGTTTCAGGTATTCCCTTTTCCCGCATGTTCTCCACTAGGATCGGCTTGACGACATTTGGGAATGCCGCTTGGATGTCAAGGAATAAGGTGCTAACTACCTTTCCTTTTCTCCACGCGTTCTTGATCTCGCATGTGAGTAGGTGTAGTGCATCTGTGGTGGTACGACCAGGTCGACCGCCAAACTGGGAGTTGGGTAGTATCTTGTGTCGTTCGCAGAGGTACGAGATGTAGTGGTGCGATGAGCCGAGTTGGGCTTGCCAGCCGGCTTGGCTCACTATTTGCCGAGCCGAGCTCGTTCGATACGAGCCCAGGCTCACAGCAGTGAGCTTCGAGGACCGGCTCGCTGCAATATATGTGTAAATATGTATCGAAATAATTCAGTTACGTTTATCCTGCAAGTAGTTTGGCCGCCATTGGGTTCTAAGAGTATACCTGAGCCACGACACCGCTTGAACTCGGACATGCCCTCAGACCACCAGACGTGCAATGATTCCACCCAAAATTAAACTACAGCATCGCAAGATGGCACAAGTGGGTCTACAGAGAATCGTATCATTATGCTCGCCCTAGGGCTGCCCTAAAAGCTTGGGGATCTCAGCCAGAGAACGAGCACATTGTTGTCCAGGCTCTCGAATATCTCTATTATGGATCGTCACCGCAAGGATTGTACCTGTGGTAAGGGAAACTGTCCCTCTGCTTCGCAAGGCAAGCTATTCTTCGCCTGTTATCATATAGCAGCATCCATTGTCAACATTTGCTCCGATTTTTAGTTGTAAAGTCTTCACCCAACCAATCTAACATTGCCAATGGCAGTTCTAGTGCGGCCACTCCAGCAAACGTGGCAGACACCTCTCATTTGGCCAATTCAGCCCAGCGCGACTCACCCCCGAGTCCAAAGAATCCATTCTTGGTTTCTTCAGAGTCTGAACCATCATTTCGTCCTGTTCTCAATAGCACACTTCACCTGGATCCACCCGTCAAGCCTCGCTCACTCTCAACTGTATCAGATACAGACACGATTGAATCTGATCATGATTGGGCTTCCGTTGGTTCATCTCACACCCCACCGAGACGAGCCCAATAAACCCGTGGTCCCCAGATAAATCCCACCTGCCATGCCCCCTTACCTCCATCCCTTATTGCTGTATCTGCTGCATTGGAATCACGGGAAAGCGCTGGTAATGATGCTACATATGTCTGGGGAAACGTTGTTCCACGTGAAGGTGCAGAGCTTCCAGCAAACCACAAGGAACTCGCGCATCCAGTTCAACTCAAACGTCCAGACTGCAAGTATGTGGCTTGTATATTCTGCAGGTATGTAATTTGTGAAGTATCTATCATATCTGACTTGATGTAGCAACCAGGGAATCACGCGTCTCTGGCGCAATGTAGATGGTACCACCAGCCCAATTCGTCGCCATTTCAAGGAAGAGCATGAGAAAGAGTGGAAGGTCATCTGCATTGCACTCAAGCTCAAGAACTGGGAACGCTATGCCGAGGAATTAACCCCTGAAGGCCGCGCTGCTCGTCAAGCTATGGTCAAGGCTCAGTGGAGTCTTGATGGTTTCTTGGAACGGCTCACACGCTCTATTGTATCCAATGATCAGGTAAGTGTTTAGATATATCTTGGCTTGGTAGCTGACAACGATGTAGCCAAATTTCCTTGTGGACAACAATGAGTTTCGAGAGCTCCTTCTCTATTGTGGACGAGACCTTCGAGACAAGGATATGCCACATTGAGACCACATGGGAAAGTTGATAATGGACAACTTCAGGAAGTGCTGGAATGATCTCGTCACAGAACTTGCAGTATGTCTCTATTAAACATGTGGATAACGTTAACCATCATCAGTCAAGTGAAGGGCGAATCTCACTCACTGCTGATATGTGGACATTGCCTGCACAAGATGCATTCCTTACTGCCACTGGCCACTTCATCCAGTCGCATGGCTCGCACCTTGAGCAGACAGCACGTCTGCACTCAAGAACTTGACCAACCTTATTGAGCCCGACCCGCTTGATTCCAATGCAACTGCCGAAGCAAATGTCATTTCCACAGAGGAAGACATTGGATATAGTCCTGCTGAACTTGAACCTAGCCAAGTGGTTGACTTTCCTCTGGAGTACCGACGAGTTCTGCGCCGAGATGTTGTCACCAAATTGCAGATGCTTGTCAATGCATGCCGGAAGTCACCACAACGACGCGAATCCCTTCGTTTGCATGTGAATGCAGGCCAGGAAGCTGGCCTGTGGACATTCAAATATCGTGAACTCATCCGCGATGTGGAGACTCGGTGGTCATCTCTCTACCTTATGATTGAGCGCTATCTGGAACTGCATACTGTATGTCTCTTAACTTGTTTCTCGCCCTTTCTGACTTCTCCTAGGCTATTGATAGTTGGTTGGAGTGTACAGACCAACGTGATCTTCAGATATATCGGCTTGATGCCCGTGAAGTCGAAGTTCTGCAGCATATAAAGAGTCTATTGGAGTATTTCCACTCCTTTCAGCAACTTCTCTCGGCAGAGCGGACTCCTTCAATTCATCTTGTCATTCCAGCATTTGAGCCCCTGATCACCGATCTCACTGAGGTCCTTGCTCAGGGACCACTCCTTGCTCATGCATACTCTGTTGCAATTAGCAAGCTCAAGGAGTATCGCAACAAGTGTATGGTCAATCCAGTATATGCAGTCGCCATGGGTCTGTTTTTCCCTGATGTATCCTAAATGTTTACTGACATTGTGATTAACATTGATGCCGCTCATGAAGCTCCACTACTTTGATGCGCAGTGGTCGCTATCAGAGGCACGAGCTGCCCGGTCACTGCTTCGGGATGAGGTGGGTATTTCGCCTGCACATTTCGTATCTAACTTACCCTATGAAGATGTACCAAGTCCAGACACAACGGCATCGTGCCAATCTTCCAATCATTTGTCCACCTGTCACAGCATTTCCTATTGGCACCAATCCGCTTGCCCGAAAAATTGCAGGGCTCTGCACCAAGCCAATTCAATCTAGCTCAGTTTCCTCCCGTCCAGCCCCTGCCACCCCAAGCCAAATCACAGCAACAAATGAGCAAAAGGATTGGGAGGCCGTTGACAGAGAGCTTCGAGCCTATGAAGATGAGGAGACAAATGAGTCTTACGCTCTCTTGGAGAAAGGAAGTCAGAGTTTATTGGCATATTGGCATGTAAGTTGTCCTTATCTCGCATTCCGCCTGTTCTAACCAGGTCAATAGTCCCGAAAGGAACGATTTCCAATATTATATCAGCTTGCTATGGATACACTGCCTGCTCAGGGCTCTGCTGTGTCATCTGAACGCGTCTTCTCATCCGCCAAACGCACAATCACCGACAGTTGCAATCTGTCGAAGGTTCACCCTTTGACTCTTAGCGCTCACTAAATAGACTTAGCCAATAGTCATAGCTCACGTCGTAACTCAATGTATTTAGGGACGCGGGATGACACAGCCAGACCTTACTGGTCTTGCCTCTCACCTCACGCGTCCTAGCATTAACACAATCGACTCCTCCCACACTCAATAGAGAGCCGCCAGATTCTCAAGCACATGCTCTGGTCCCAGAAAGTCTCAATGCGGAGCCGTTGGGGTGTTCTTCCAATTGAAGTCACAACAGCGACAATTGCAATGGAGCTGGAGTCGGCATTGAGAGCAAGGGACATGCGAGCAGTCAAGGCGCTGATGAATGAGGTTGATTTCTTCTGAGATTTAATTTAGAATATTAATAATATAGTTTCCATCTGTTCATGATGACGTAGACAGCACAGACTTCAACGAGCCCAAATGGCCCTAAGCGAGCTGCAGCTCGTCGCTTAGCTCGGCTCGGCTCGGCTCGTCGAACCACTAACGAGACGTCCTCTGCCATGAGTGCTGATAAGAGCTTTCCAAGCATGTTCAATAGTGCTATGGGCCTGTATGCTTTAGCTACATTGTACGCGGGTTTACCTGGCTTCCTTAGCCCCACAGTCGTTGATACTTTCCATTGCTTTGGGATACGCCGTAGTCGCATGGCTGCATTGTAGATGTTTGTGATGAAGGAGATCTGATCTCTAGCTCTCTGAAAGGACTCTAAAAATGGTCGTGAAGTTCTTTAATTCGGTGCTTGACCTCCACAATCTCACTGTTCAAATGCTCAATTGTCTCCCTGGTCTCGAGCGTCTCCTCCTTCGTTGGTGAGCGTCGTCGGTGCGGCTCTGACCACATCTCCATGAGTCTCTGAGAGCGGTTTGAACCGAGCCGACTGATGGTGGTCTCGTGGACGGGTCTATGGTGGCGTTGCCAATGCGCAGCCAAACAATCTCAGTTGTGCCAGTGGTCAGGGAGGTCAAACAACTTTTTTCAATTCTAACTCGCTACTAAACTTGTTCTTCATCACCTCGACGCGCGCTTTTGACATTCCACTCCAAACCTGCCCAAGGTTAGTTCGGCGTTCAAAGGTCCAGTCACAAGACGTACTAGCTTATCGGCTCAAAAGGCACCTCTGTGTTTCCTGGTCAAGGGCACCAGACCCGCATTGATCCCAAGGTTACGGGTGAGCCACTCTGGAATCACAGGTGAATGCTGCTCCTTCCTATCGGGACGGTTGACATTGACCCATTTGGTGAAGGCCTTGGACTTGTAGTCGGACCATGTGAGCTCACAGCTGTGACAGTTCACAGGAGAGTTGAAGATTGCGCCAATATTCTCCCACTTTGGCCACTGACTCGACGCACTGGCGAGTGAGTTGATCCACCGACCCATGGTGATTGAGCACGACATGCAAGTGGGTCGAGTTTTGTCTTTGGCGTTACCAGTATTGCTGAACTCGAAGTCTGCCATATGGTCTGTGAGATCGAGGTATAGTGCTGTCCTCTGCTGACGGAGCTGAAGGCAGTAGAGGAGTAGACGCCCACCAATGTCAACATCCTCATACCAAAGATCAATTTTGCAGGTAATGAGCTCTCGAATGGCGCTCTTGACTCCGCTCTCGCTGCCGACTTTGTAGCAGAGAGCCAAGGTCAATAAGGGGTTTGTCGCAAGGAGGGATGGGCGAAGTTTTTGAGTGTCCCGATTAGCACAGTCTGATGAGATACCGGAGATGAACCAGGAGATGATACATGGAACTCGGTAGAAGAGTGCCGCATCAATCAGCGGTCCAACCGTAGCAGGATCCACGTTCGGCTGAGGTTCATTGGGTTCAATATGGGAAAGAAATTCGTGAAGAATTTTGGCGGGTAGATTGATCTCAATAATTTTCTGTGACTTCTCGGAAACTTGAGCATCCTGCAATTCCTCTTTCTGAGGTGTAGGAAGAGAAAACATGTCTGCAAAGAAGCCACAAGCATGGTGGAGAAGGAACTTGTGGATTCCAAAGCGGAAATTGTCAGTAGAGACGAGCTCAAGGTCCCCGGATCCACGGGGAAACGTCTTGGAGTCTTTGGCCGGACGTCTGGCTATGATGGATATTCCGTCAGGCTCTACGCAATCATCAAAGAATACCCTCACTCACGGTCAAGTTCGCCCTTAGAGCTGGCGAGAATTTGCTCGCTTTCATTCGGAAATGGAGACGCCATTATAGTGGTCGTGTCTGAGTACCACCGAAGGTTGGGGGCGATTCTTTGGCGCGCACGTCCTTATATAGACTGAAAATGTCCTATTTTCTCCTGCTCACCTTTACTGGCGCAAACGGAGCACTGAAATCGAACACACATATCTTAGGGTCAGGTTCGTTCCCTAAGTACGTAAACTCTGACGTACACATGGTTCGAAAGGTTATCGTATTATCCTCAAGGAGAAATACGGCTTGGTCTGGAGGAAACCGTGGGTGGATGCAAGCGCGATATGAACACGCAGGAGGTGTATGAACAAAAGGCCGTGAGATCGCCAAAATCGGGAGGTCAGTATCCCGTGATTGACTGAGATGTACAACTATCGGGTCCAATAGTCGCTTACTCTTCTTCCTCGTCGGTTGTGTGATCGTTTGCATAGAGGAGGCTGATGTAAACAAGACGTGCTTCTTTTGGGTGACGTTGGCCATGGCGCCGTCTCGGAACGAGGGGAACGCAAGGGAAGGAACGGGTCCGACTCTGCAAGTTTGGCTAGAGCATTCACCTGTTCCAATATAGTATTGTCTTGGTCGACATTCCAGTATGTCTGCTAGATGGTCTTGACGCATCCCTATGTCCCCAGCGAGAGCCCATCCCAGCAGTATCTCCATTTACTAGGTTAGCCACGTCTCCGCTCTCTTCCGGCTTGGCAGGCCTGCGAGCCTGTCCACCGCCATTAACGCATCCTGCTGGACAGGCCATTACTTCCACGTAATCATATGATCGATCATCGCCAATCTGGGCCTGTATCTCTGTATCATCTCCTTTTCTCGCGCGACGACCTCGTAACGCAGCGGCTACACCAGGGACACGACCCCATGTGGCTCCTCCGGCTGGTCCCGGCCCACCACCCTCGCTTCCTTGGCCACCTTTCTGACCACATTTTTGTAGATTACCACATCCGCAATATTTGGCATCTCTGAATACGACTTCTGTTTGATTGAATTGATTGACAGCTTCGATAACCACGCCCTCGTAGTTGGTCGTGCGAATAATCTTTGTTCGTATGTTGCATGCTTTGCCATGGGGTCTCTCCCTCTCTATTATATGTTCGATGATGTCTTGTAATCATCCCCTGAGCTGCAGCCAGACGGCATGAACAGGTCGGGAATCCCAAACGTTTCCAAAGTAGGGACCTTGTGATGACCATCAATATCCTATCTCTTCATCTCCATCATGGTCTGCAATTCTCCTGCTGTTAGAACGCAATCCACATCTCGGGTTTGGTACTGTTCGTTGTAAAGTCTTGCCGAGACGCTTCCAGTTTTTTGTCATAATAGGGCATGGTTGTGACATGATACATCTGATCACGGCTGATAACAGTCAATCGGCATGTTGTAGCGATGTCAACCCCTACCCATTCTGAAGTTTTCGTCCAAGCCACTCCTTGGAATTTCCAGCAATCCAATTGGTCCGAACTTCTACCCATGGCAGAGTTCGCATACAACAATGCTCCGAATACCTCCACTGGCATCTCACCCTTCTTTGCGAACAAGGGTTAAATCCCTCATTCACTACTACACTTGATGGTGACCGCATTTCTGAACTCGCCCGAAATTATGCTGTTGATCTCGAACAAGTCCACGCTATTCTGCGAGAACAACTTGAATTAGCGCAGAATGCGTACCGCGCTACAGCAAACCGCCGCCGGATCCCATCCGCGCCATTCGCCGTTGGCGATAAGGCATTTGTTAAGACCGAATTCCTCAAATACTACCAGTCTCTCTGCCCAAATCTCAAATTCTCAGAAAAATTACTCGGTCCATTTCCCATAATCGCCTGTCCATCCTCTCATTCTGTCACTCTTGAACTCCCTGTTATGACTCTGTTCTTAGAGTCAATCCCTCGGCAATAATACTGCCACTTGCTCCTATACTACTTGCCTCCGTTCTATATCCGGACTCTACCTGCACTCCTAGCCCTTCATCTCCCGGTTTCATACTCGCCTGGGACCATGGTAGGCCTCAAGGTCGGCATGGCTTTCTTGATACGAATCCCGCGGCGGCTTGTCTGACAGGTGGAAGGCCGGGGTGGTACCGGGCAACTTATGTAGTCGAGATACTGCTAAGCGAGAGTTTACGAGGGTGTTAGAATGGAACGCAAGCAGATTCAGAACTAGCAAAATGTATGCGCGAAAGTCGGCCCTTATATGCTGGTTGGAGACCCCTATCCAGTCATTGGAAATATCTACGGATACGAAATTTATATGAGAGTCAGCGAGCAGAGGGCCTAGGGGACGGGAGACAGTTGGCTGGTGCGGAGTAGCGGACGAATGACGACACATGGACGTCGAATCCTCGTCAAACCTCGCCCTATCCATAATTAAAATTTTATTTATTTTGGCTCCATATGGTAACGAGAGGTGGTCCGCCATGTGCGATCTCGTATGGTGCGCTACCGTTGAGCGGACAAAGCCTATGGTGGCGCATCAGCTTCTCGACGTGGCGCATGCGGGTCACTAGGTCAATTCCTACTATTTTGCATAAATTCACTTCGCTCCGTAAGATTCCACAGCTTCGCCCGACGCCCGAGCCAACACCTGAAGCAATGCCTGCCTAACGCCCGGACGCCCAACGCCCATCTAAGCCCATCTTAGAAATATTGAAGATCTAATTTCTTTGCAATAAGTGCGTGCTTTGGTCGAAATGCAGGGTATAAAGGGGAGTGATGCTCACTCATTGTTCGCAATATATCCCTTTGGTTGCTGGCCAACTCTTCTGCTTGATTAATTTTTCGATCCTCTCCTTCCCTTTCTTTCTGATTATCGCCCACTGTGAGTGGCCAATCCTCATGCTTGTCGAACTGGAAACTCATTTCGCAGCTTTCAACATGTCAATGGCCTCCCTAACCTTGAGAGCCATGCCAGATGCTATTACTTGGTTCCTAGCCAGTGGTGGAACCGGACTCAAATGCACCCGTCAAGAGAATATAGTTCGTGCCTATGTAGCTGAGTTGGAGGAAAAGCGGAAGACAACGGTTGGGTTCGCCACAATCCGGTGCGTTTACCCAGTCTCTGGGGTTGTATCAAATACTAAGTAACTAGGGCATACGGTCATTGCTCGAATACGGATAATGAATGGCACATCACCGCTGATTTCTTCGATTGGAAGGGGAAGCGCCTTCTTGACGCCAAAGGATATGAGTGGCATCATATTTATGATAACTGATGTCCGTTTCTTTGACGTATTCATTCGTGTACTCAATCGCTCTGGTATTGACGAGGCAAACTTTCACTTGACGCTGAGTGCATGAACCGTTTTACTGCGACAGTACAGTCTTTCTGGTGGTAATTTCTGATAGCTTGATTTGAAAATTGTTGGTTACCTTTTGTAAGCCTAGGTTGGATGGAGTTTGTGAGCTTGGTTTGTCTTATCAAACCACAAATTGTAGTAAAAGGTTATATTTTCCACCTCCTAGCAACATATTTACTTTAGCCATTGGCAAGCATACCCCCCAAGGCTAAATCCACTCTGAAGAGACTGCATATTACTCTTATGTAAGCATATGATTTTATTATTTGCGCATGTGGTGGTACAAATCACCTGAATAGGCTTTGTTGAGTATCGACCCTGGTACCTTTCTGCTTCCTCGCCATTGTGATTTCTTCGCCTTAACGTATTATATACAGACTTAGAGCAGGCCAAGGCATTTGATCTGTGTGCATGAGGAAAGGATTAGAGTTCACGCTTTTCTTATGGAATGCAGTGGAACCTATTCAAAGGAGCAGGAACTCATATAGTAACTCCCATTGCTGCGTCAGGAAGCTGATGCCACACCATAGACTGTTCACTTGATAGTAGCAGACCTGTAGGCTTGGGCGTCTACTCTGTACGACGACGCAACTTCGCGCGAATCAAGCATTATTGTTGACCGCTTTAGTCCTTATCCTGGCAACCACTCCCACTCGTTGTCCTGACTCCCTTCTGTCCCTCACGGTCCTTTGGTGGTTGTCGGGTCTAAGAGTGTAACGTTTAGCCATGGGAAAATGGAACAAGCCGGATTCGCACTGACTTAGGCGTCAGACCACTAGACTATAGTGTCCCTCTTTTCCCTCTAAAGCGTCACAGTTCCTATGACCCCCGTTACTCAGGTATTCCTAACCTGGTCGGCCGGGCTCTGAACTGTAAGGTGAGCCAATTCTTGCACCTGCTTGCAACAAGGAAAGGAGGTCGCCCACCCTCATTAATGCCTGGGATCGACGTGTAAGGTTTCGAGGATTTCTCCTCGTCACCCACGTCATAACTGTCGAAGGTTCACCCTTTGACTCTTAGCGCTCACTAAATAGACTTAGCCAATAGTCATAGCTCACGTCGTAACTCAATGTATTTAGGGACGCGGGATGACACAGCCAGACCTTACTGGTCTTGCCTCTCACCTCACGCGTCCTAGCATTAACAAGAGGCAATGTAAATTCTGGTTGGACGATTAGAAACCCGAAGAGTGAGTCAAGATGGCACACCTAGCAGGACAATCCACGTCTTTAGGAAGACTCCCATCTCCCCCGCGAATTACGAGCAAGTCTTGGGAGAGATCCCAAGTGAGAACATGAACGACAATCTCAGACGGGGCCATGTATTCCCTCCATGGAGTCGATTCAGCTGGCTGCCAGATGCTATGAAAGACGAGCTTTTCCGCACGCTCCTCGCCTTGATGTATAGAGCAGACAAGGGCCGAGGAGCACCACGTCCGTCTCCCAAGCCTTCGCAAGTATATAGGCGGAGGCGGCAACGTCCATTTCCATACATACTTGGCCCATCGGAAAGCTTCTAGCCTCTCCAATGGTGTCTTTTCTCGAAAGGCGAAAGCTTCAAGCGCAGGAGGATAGCTACGAAGTCGAAGACCTTCGATGGCGAGCTCGATGACCAGGTTCAAATGCGGATCCGATTCGACGATGGATTTGAATCGGTGACAGGTCTAGATATGCATCGATTGAGATCTTGGAGTATGATTGCAGGTTACAAACGTACGGCTGAGCATGCTAGAATATCCCGTGCTGGAGCGTGTCGTAGAATTTCTGGTACAAGTTCCAAGGGCAAGCTTTTGCGACCGACTTGCATCGAGGGTAGCTCGTGGTCGAGTCCAAGCTGGTAACGGGGCTCTTGGACCCCACCACATCCGCACTAACAGCGCACCATACAACACCGCGGCCTGACCTTTGTCCGCTAACCAGATGTCCGACGTCGGGTGACAATAACCTGGGAAAGGTAGTCAGCCAATGGGCAGACATTTAGTAAGTGGTCCCCGCTATCCCGCGCGAGTAGGTGCCCACACCAGTCGCGATCCACAGACGATGTCCGTCGCACGTGACCAGCATCCCTGACAAGACATTTTAAGGCCGCATGTGCCGTAAAGGGCTTTCTTGTTGTCCAACACGACGTATTTGTAGAAGCGGCGACGCATTTGGGCGTTGGTGGTCGAGAGTCACCGCGTCGGATGGTTCAATAGAGGTCACAAGAAGATACAGGAACAATGATTTGATGACCTGGTCGGGAAGCCCTGCAGTATGACGCGTCTGATAGCGAGCTTTGTATCAGCGACCATCCCAACACGTACTTGGCGAGTATTATATCGTGTTTCCGCACGTTCTGAGGGTATTTACGCGTGCTATACTTGTTTATCCGTTGAGCTGAGTTGGCATACCGCAACCGAGGTTGTGGACGAGATCAAGTGTGCAACCTAGACCCAAAACAGAGACTCGGCCTGTTTCGCGACGTGCTTCGATAACAGCTGAGTAAGTTTGATGGGTGAAACGCTCGCTCATCCGTGAGCTTGGATCAGCATATCTTCGTGGAGTTGTAGAGGAGACCAAGTGTGTCATCCAGAGGCCGAATCGAACAAGTCACCTCATTTCTCCATCTTCCAGAAACATTACGACACTCGAATCTAAGCGCCTTATCATTATCTGCCTTTCACCGTGGTGGACCACCAAGCCTTTCAAAGGCTCGTTAATACTGAATTCTCCGCGGCAAAGCGCCGTATTTTGGGACTTCTCCATCTTTCATGGACGTACTTGCGCGTAGGTATCTATTCGCTGTCAATTCCAAAACTTGTCGCATCTCCTCTGCGTTTGTCTTCTACGAGCACTCAAGAACGTGGTCTAGATCAACTAAGCTCAATACATCATATTCTCGTTTGCTGGAAGGGCCACTGTCTCGAAGGAATATTTTGGTGCCAACCTACCCTCTGCTCGGAGGTTATAAGACGGGCAACACCGAGAGGCGGCTAAGAGCAATTGCCCAGTGGAACTTGCCCTAAGTCATCTCAATAATTGACAATAATTGTGGCTTGGAGAGAAAGGCAGCCCAACAATACCCTCCAATTCACCCACTACTTGCCTTGAGACAAAAAGATATATATTCTGCCATGAATAGGATCCAAGCGCGTCTAAACCTCCCATGAAGGAAACACAGAGCAGTAAGTGCGTCCCTGACAAAGTGTCATAAGTTGAGCAGTAACAAAATGCATTCGCCTACATCGTTGTTATCACGTTCGATCGTAAGATAATGGCTCGAACCAAACGCATTCAGTCCATTTCCCGCGAACTCGTGTGGAGGTGCCATGATTCGATAGGGAAGTTGATATGCCCGCTCGCAGAGTATCGAGCGTGGACATTGCGACGACTTGCGTGGGTTACGAGACCTTTTTTCGCCCTCTCCATGCGAAAACTGACAACGAGAGGACCGACGACCGAAGTCTAGAGCGATGCTCTGTGTGGAGTCATAGCGCACCAAAGGCCGCTTATCTCCAGACTCGAGTCGGACCTTCGAAAACAGATTCGGTACATACGAGAGGAGAGTCAGGCGAGAACCACAAATAGCCGACGTCCCAGAGTCAAAAGATATATAGGTTGTGAAAAGCCGAAATGAAATATCCCTTGCCCATGCACGTCGTGTCAGAGACCTTTCATTCTCGCCTAACGCTTCCTCTTTCAGGAACAGCGAGCGCAATGGACGAATCCGGATGAAATGGATCAATGGCGGCGGCAGTTGAAAGTAGATACACATGAGCGATTCCGATGTTTCGTCGCGTACATATGGACTAATGCACAAGTCGGTTGGATAGTTTGGGGAATCTGTATCCAATCGCGGGGCGTAGATGTCGGTCCCATCCCTTAGAAGCGTCCAACTGAGGGTAGGTTCCAACTCCAAGCGGAGAACAAATGTTTTCTGCAGATGGAGCCTCCGTACGTGCAATTCAATGCCTTGTTTGCCTTCCTGGACAACGTACGAGATCACCTCTGGAGACAGAAAGGCGAACCCACAGACGGTTTGAAGTACCTTCGGAAATGAGTATCGATGGCGCACTTGGTTGTTAACGGACCTGAATTAGTGTACCACTCTTCCAGTTCCAGATTTGTACTTCAGAAAGATTGCTCGGCTGGCGTCGAGAGATGAGGAGAAAAGTCCCCGATGTCTCGAACCTGCATACATGGTCCGGGTGATGATCCTCAATCATCAGGTGTGGGCTTGACGCCTCAGGATGCGGTTGATCAGTAGACAAAGAGCGAAGATGGAAATGCATGCGACTGATGCGATCAGTCAGTTGACAGGATTTGATGAGACGAGCTTACAATTTTATTTCAGGGTCTCCGGAAAGGATATGAGACGATATGGACATCAGAATGAGTAGATCTTCCGACGGGTCAATCTCAAATGCATCAAATCTGCGATGTAGATCGTCGTATTGGCGCCACGGTGGTGTGTCAGAGCTTGCCCAGAGGCTCCTAAACACAATCCCACACCCATTTTGGCCTATTCGATGCCCAATTAGCCCTGAGCGTGTTTTGAAACTAGATAAACTGCATGGAAACCTGGCTATTGGTTCAATATTGTCGGCGGACTCCCATAGTCTCTGCGCTTCTCTGAAAGCTTCGAGGCGCCGCGCTTGAGACATGGCTTTGAAGTCGAATGGCTGTGTGCATGGGGTGTATTTTCGAAGCCGTAGGCCGTAGGCCGCAAGCTCGATGACCAACTGGAGATGACTCGATTTGTCAACTATGCCTTTGATTCGACGACATGTCTGGAAAAACGAGATCGTTACTATCCTTACCTAACAAAGATCTTTCTTCTTACCGCTGAGCATGCTATAATGTCATGGGCGGGAAGTTCCCCCAAAACCTGATCGATAATCTCGACGGGAAGCGCGCTTAGGGCCATCCGAACCATCTTGAGCACCGTTTACGTGGATATAGTATATGGAAACGCGTGTGTGGGCCCGGGAGCGTTGTCCGTCCAAATTTTGTTGCAACGTGGCGGGGTTCAAGAGAAAACAGTAGTCGACGACAGCAGCAACCTGATCGGACCTCATCAAACTCAAGATCGAACGCAAAGGAAGAAGGTGCGGAAGTCACTCTGATTCTGTAACACAATATATGCACACCACAAGCAACACCTCCATGCTTACCCCCATCATTTCTACCCTAGAGCGTATCCTAGACCCCACGAACTCTTATCACACGAATAATCACCCCAGGTCTCTATAGGTCGCCCCTTGGTTCCATGTAGCACCTGCTAGCGAGGGAAATCCAGATATCTCTCTCCAACAGAAATGCGACTCCACTCATCTCATTGTTTATCGGCTTGCTCAGTCATAATGGCATGCTCAAGTCCTTGACTGGGCTTTACGACACTGTGTAAACCACACACGACCCTATCCTTCTCCGTCTTTCATTGACGTGCTTGTAGACATCTCCTTTGCTATGAGCTCCAAAAGCAAATCTAGAACTTGTGGGTTGCCACGAGGAACAAAAAGTCACCGTCTATTCGTCCGGTGTATGGTTTCAATCCGTAGTGTCTTGTCTCTTCAAAAAGGCTCCATAAGCTCTGTGTCGATTTCAGTTCGATGCAAGGCCTCAGAATGTACAGCTGAGAAGACTATTTGCCTCAACCATTTGTATCGGGCACTTGACACTCTCTAAACTAGTCACGAAGGAGTTCAAGTCTACACGCGGTCTCGTAGTCAATTCCATCACAGTCAACGATTCGCAGTCTCGAACAGGCTATCTCCCGGAGTTTGGTCATGAATGGACATTAAAGGCTTCTGGGATCCAACCAGAAAGGGAATCCCAGCTAGTATCCAGCTGGAGCCTGTCGACTGAGTATGAACCGTGCTTCCTGATGATTCCGTTTAGATTCTCCTGCACATTAAACTCAGATGTATACCACTGGAACGTCTTCGGAGGCTCAGATAAAAGAATAGTAAGCGCTCGGCCGGCCACATCGTCGCGCATCCCTAAATACATTGAGTTACGACGTAGATTTCGGCAGCCTACCAAGATGGAACTTAGGCAAAAAAAGGGTTTATATTTACTGATTTATATACAATGCATTGTTCTCATGTCATGAATATGGTCTGCATGGTATGTCATGGACAGCTGACCGCGACGTAGAATTTGGCAGTCAACTGAAGAGGCTTTTTGGCAGAATGAACCGTCAGAGGTTACTCAAATAAATGCAGCATATCTTTACATGTCATGGGTATAGTGTGTGATGTATGTCGCAGACAGTTGACCACAACGTAGAATCGGGAGGTGCACTGGAACAGCTTTCTGGCAAGATAAACATTCCGAATTTCCTCATTTATGTCCAATATATCATCTTAATGTCATGAATGCGATGTGCGCAGTAGGTGATGGATAGTTGACCGCGACGTAGAAGTGGGGGGGGGTGAACTGGAGCGGCACTTAGGCAAATTAAACAGTTGGAAATTACTCAATTAGACTCAATGTAATGTTTCCATGCCATATATATAGTCTGCGCTCCATGTCGTCGACAGTTGACCGCGACGTAGAACTGGGAAGTCGATTGACAAGGCGCTTAGGCGAAATAAACGATCTTAGTTTACTCATTTATATGCAATGTATCATTTCAATGACATGAATACGGTCTGCGCAGTATGTCATGGACAGTTGTGAGGTTCATAGGGAGAACTCACCAGTACGAGGGCTATGCGATGCCAAGTGAGTAATACTTAGCTGGGGCGAGCGTGTTCACAAGTCTAAGCCCGTTTACTGACGGAGGGTATCGACGTGGGAGGGTACAGGAAAGTCTCTGCTAGTTAAGACATGTACATAGAGTCTTATATAGCAAGGGTAAACATTGGAACGAGGAAAGAGCGATGGGAAGCTAAGCATGTGCTAAGGCCGTCGCTATGAGGGTATATGCAATAGAGGCTATGAAGAGAAGGGTGAGGAATGTGATGTGGAAGGGGTAACGAGTGTCACGGGTGCGGTTATGACGTGTGTAACGAGGAGAAATCCTCGAAACCTTACAACAGTTGACCACAACGTAGAATTCGGCAATCAACTGAAGAGGCTTTTTGGCAGAATAAACAGCCGGGATTACTCAAAGAAATGCAGCATATCTTTTACATATCATAGATATAGTATGTGCTGCGTGTCGCGGACAGTTGACCGCGACGTGGAACTCGGCAGTCAAATGAAGAGGCACTTAGGCGAAATAAACGGTCCGAATTTACTTATTTATATTCAATGTATCATTCAAATGTCATGAATGCGGCCTGCACGGCATGTCGTGGACAGTTGACCACGACATAGAATGGGGAAGTCAACTGATATGGATTTCTGGCAGAGATAACAGTCTATGTTTGCTCGTTTAAATCCAATGTATTGTTTCCATGGCTTAGATATGGTCTGCGCGGTATGTCATGGACAGTTGACTGCGACGTAGAATTTGGCAGTCAACTGAAGAGGTTTTTCGGCAGAATAAACAGTTGAAAATTACTCAAATAGACTCAATGTAATGTTTGCATGCCATAGAGGTGGCCTGCACAATATGTCGTGGACAGTTGACCGCGACGTAGAATGGAGAAGTCAATTGAGATGCCTTTCCTGTAGAAAAAACGGTCTAAATTTACTCATTTAAAGTTAATGCAATATTTCCATGCCATAGATATGGTCTGCGCTGCATGTTGTGGACAGTTGACCGCAACGTAGAATTTGACAGTCAACTGAAGATACACTTAGATAAAATAAACAGTCAGAAGTTAATGATTTATATACAATGTGCCGTTTTCATGTCACGAATACGGTCTGCGCGGTATGTCATGGAGAGTTGACCGCAATGTAGAATTCGGCAGTCAGCCAAAGCGTCACTTAGGCGAAATAAACAGGCGGAGATTACTCAGGTAAATGCATTGTATTGTTTCTATGCCATAAATATGGTCTGCGCTGCACGTCGTAGACAGTTGACCGCGACGTAGAATTGGGAATCAACTGATATGGCTGTCCTGCAGAGCCAACAGCCTCAATCTACTCATTAAAATTCAATATAATGTTTTCATATCATGGATATAGTCTGCGCTGCATGTCATGGACAGTTGACCGCGACGTATGATTAAGCAGCTGACCAAGATGGCACTTGGGCAAAAGAACAGTTTATATTTACTCAGTCAAACTCAATGTAATGTTTCCATGCCATGGATATGGTATGCGCCACACGTCATGGACAGTTGACCACGACGTAGAATTGGGAAGTCAATTGGAGAGGCGCTTAGGCGAAATAAACAATCTGAATTCGGCAGTCAACTGAAGTGGCACTTAGGCCCAATAACCAGTTTATAGTTCCTCAATTAAATGCAACATGTCTTTTTCAAGCCATAGATATGGTCTGAGCAGTATGTCGTTGAGAGTTCGCCACGAGGTTGAACTGGTGGGACAACCAAAGCAGCTTTCTTGCCGAATAAATGTGCTCTTTTCACTAATCTAGGCATGATATATTACATAAACACACCCTGAGTCTCTGCAAACAAGTGAGGTTGAGTTGTCGGCAGCAGGCTCAGCGTGTCAACGGAACACAATGAATCCCAAAGATGGATCGAATGGTTGGGAATATGGGCTGGGATTTCAATGACAAAGCGTTTGCAAGAGCCGCCTTTTGACTGCAGTCATTCTCCCGCGAGCTGACACCATGGGGGCGACAGTGTTCACCTAGTCACCCATCATACATGCAGGTATTGCGATAATCTTGATTGATATTTTGCATATCAACGCAAGCTGCTCAGTGAGGGGAATGTCTGCTGATAACAGTCAACTCAGTGGGCGTGAATTATGAGGCTATAAAAGAAGACTCATAGTAAACAAAATAGTCTCCACTTTACATTGATAGTATTCGAAATAGAAGAGATGCGCTCAGCTAAGAACTGCCGGCAGTATTGCAAGTCCCAGGAGTGTAATATCTCATATAAAATCACAGCAGGCGCGTATGCACTATAGATAGTCAGCCGTGCAGTGATCCCACCACGCCGCGCTGATTCCGTGCACAGACAAATGCCAAAAGTGGAAAGACATTTGAGTGGAATTTTCAATGGCTTGCTGGCACTGTATTAAGTTTGATGTGTATATCAGAAGCATATATGAACTTTCCAGACACGTAGGAGACTTCAGAGAAAGCTCCCGAGCCTCCAGCTCCAAGGGTGGATTATACCGGAGGCCAGGGAAGCTTATTCAACTCTTTTAGGATCTCAAATACCCAATGTGTCCTCATCTAGCCTTGCGAACAATATCGAGTTCTTTGAACTTCCCTGTAGCGGTGCTTCAGAAGGGAGGACTCTTTGACAGTCTGCTGGTGCCATGGGCGGCGATTCCAAATCCAATCCAGACCAAGATTCAGCATCAGTATAATATTTTCCTATTATTCAAATACTTTTCTCGCCCGCCTGCGCTCATCTAAGGCACTGGCTGGGCCAAGTTGTTACCCCCATTTCTCCGTCAAATCAGCGCGGTTGTTAATTTTGGAAATGATGCCGCGCTAGGCTAGTTATGGAATATATAAATAGTGCAGACTTGATCCCCCAAGCCCAAATTACTGGCGAGGTCCGACCTCGCCAGGGTGCACGGCTAACGGCTTGTACAGTGCTAGGCGCTGGAGAAGGTCAAAAGTCTTTTCACCTTGGTACTTGCTACTTACTCGCCCCCCGTGCGTCGGCCCGTCGGCTTAATGAAGGTTATATTGTCTATTTTATATAACGCTATCTGACCTTCGTCTACCTCTCGCAGAATGTAGGGAACTTCATGCTGGAGAACACAGCAGAGAAAAATGGAAGAAATAGCGCCCTTGACACCACTTGCACCCTATTCCTGAAAAGACGGAGCAACAATCCACTCCGAGTCCCTCTGCTGTCGCCCGTTCTTGTCAGTCTATGCTCACTCACCCGCTTAACTAAGATTTTTATCAGTGTTGGTAAAAATTAGGAGTCATAAATGTCAGCACATTGATCACTGTATTTGACCGAGTCCTCGAGCGCGCTGAGGCAGCATCGGCCGGATCGATATGATGCCACACCGGTGGGCCATACTTCTCTGTCGACGATCAAGGTGGCTAGAATGGAGAGAATTTGGGAGAAGCTGCTCGGGATTTGTCAAAGGAAAATCAGAGGAACTGGTCAAGCAGCTCAACGAATTCGGTATCAACGACAAACAGTACATGATGGCGTATGTAACGCTCATATCGCACTATGATACGGTCGCCCGACACATGCGTGTACAGGTCCATGCCGCCATCCGCCAGCCAGAAGCCAGAGCGACGAGCCAACCATATATTAGACAGCCTGAGTGAGATCTGCCAATTATTATCATCTATCTACGCCGAAACTGTTGGAGCGTTGGATCTTCTGCTACGACACCGGTCACTGGTCGTGCTCCAAGGTTTCGAGAATTTTTCTTGATTTACTACGCCGAAACCGCGCTCACAACACACGTTTCTACCGGTATAATCATTGGCTTCGGGCTCTGTTTGCCTTTGTAGCGACGGCATTAGCACATGTCTAGGTTTCCCTTGCTTTCTCATCTCTCTTTCCTCGTTCCAATGTTTACCTATGGTCATTTTTCGCTATATTTACATGTCTTAATTAGTAAGATTTCATGTGCCCATCCCAAGTCGACATGCTCCGTCAATAAACGGGTCCAGAATGGTGAATCCACTCTCCCCACTAAGAAATACTTGGTCTCATGTAGTCTTTGTGACGGTGAGCTCGTACTGTGAACTTTGGCTGCCGATCAGTTAGTCGCAAAGTGCTAAATACACGGGGATGATATATAAGAGAAAATATGGAACGTTCAAATACGTGAGATATACAATCTACAATCACCAGTTATACAGCAGCAAAGATGTATTCACGAATTAGGCTCGCCTTTGCATTGCCGACGCAGTATGGTGCGCTGATGTTCATTCATTGTTAACTCCATTAACCTTCAAGAAGAAAAATCCCGAGTAGAGATGATCTCTCAAACATACTATCTCATTTACTCTACACCTAATCCTAGTAATGCGCATTTTGCGTCAAACAATGCGGGATCCTCAAGTTGGATAGGGTGCACAAGATCAGAACTGTTCCGGAAGATGTCGACCAGCGTCTTTGTACCATACCCCTGATATTTCCTCCAACCTAATGATGATAATCCATCGCTGGGATTGACGATAAAGGCGCTCCAGGCTTTTTCCATGTACTTAACGGCCGCTGAGGGGAGATTTGGGACACTATTAAAAAGAACAACTTGGTCGGACGCATGGTATGAACGAAGTGGCGGTCGAGACAGGGCTGGAAAGACCCCCATGTACCTGTAGCGATAGGTTGAAACCTTTTCGGACGAATATCTGATCTTGATTAGTGTCTCATACCACCACCGGCACCGTATCATCACCTTGCTTGTATCGCATCCGGGCATCTAAAGGTGGCAAGTGTGATCAAGTCTGAGAGCGTTTGGTTCAGGGTGTTCGTTGCGCGGTTGATGACATAGAGGTCGCCTTCATTCTCTGTTGTGCCGGTTAACAGAGGCTGAAAGTGTTCAATAGGGTGTCGTCACGTCGATTCGCACTCACCACACGAGCAAACCTCCCACTCATTGCCCTTTCCTTGTATTCTGTTGACGTGTATACAGTCTGGTTGTCAACATATGGAGTTATCCCCGATATGTTATTCACGCTGATGGCCTGCGTGATTTCGGCGACTGTCTTCGTTCGAACGCAATCGAGCTGAGCGGCATATTTGTCTTGGGTGAGAGGGCAACCGACCGAGGCCGCAATCGCCGGGAACGGATTCGAACCTCGAGTCGGTAAGCTGGGAATATTGACCACGGCCGAAATGTTTGCAAGCGCAACTTGACCACTCATCGTGATTGCGCCACGAATAAGAGGTAGCAGAGGGTACGCGTACAGATACTGAGCTACGCTGGCTGAGCCTGCTGACTGACCTCCAAGAACAACATGGGTCGGATCACCGCCAAATGACGCAATATTTCCGACCACCCACTCGATTGCTGCTCGTTGGTCACGGAGGCCAACATTTGTGTCTTTATCAGAAAGAGCAGGCGAGTTGGTATACCCGTAAAAATTGAGTCGATAGTTTATCGACACAAAGACAATCTCCGGGTGTGCCGTTGCCCATTTGGTGAGGTCATTGACTGTAAAAATTGAGAAACTGCAATACTCCGGGTATATAGACATACAGTAGCCACTGGCGGTCCCGGAATTCCACCCGCCACCGTACAACCATATGAAGACGGGCCTGTGCTTGAACGTCGCGGATGGTGAAGTCCAGACATTGAGATAGAGGCAATCCTCACTCTCCACTGTATAAATCGGCGTCGGGGCCGCAATTTGAATACACGAATTGCCGAATACCGTCCCATTGCGCTGCCGCAATGGAGTTAGGAGAGGGCGAGGGGCAAGGAAGCGGAGCGGTCCGATGGGCGGTTGAGCATATGGGATATTGAGATAGGCGTTGGTCCTATTTGACAATGCTTTGCCTTGAATTTTTCCTGACGTTGTTTGGATAACTGGCGCCTGCTGTGCTAGGCAGAGAATGGCCAAAGAGAAAAATGCGGAGAATGTCCCAAAGATACATCGAATCATGGTGATTGCGTCAACATTGAGCATTTGCCTTCACCCTTTATAAACCCTTTCGGACTGTTTATCATTCAAAATCTTGGTCACCTTCTTTCAACTCCATGAAAACAATAATGATTCCACGAGTCTTCTCAAGTCATCACGAGGCTTGCTATCGTTATGTACAAGGCATCGGTGCTCGCTCCAGGACTGAGCCGGTCGGCAACAGTCTAACCGGAAGCTTATTTCATCCGAACAAGTACGCGGATACAGTTCTCAAGTGTAGTGACTTGGCCTGATGGGAGAACGCCACCTTTTTCCGAGTTTAATTTTCAGGTCCCCTCTCACCGGAGAGGGGCATGATTGAATGACGACGTCTTACAGTCCATGATCTAACACCAGGTAAGTAGATTCGCAAGCTGTCTGTCTAAATCGGATGCAATAAGATGATGCGTGAAGATGTGGACGCTTGCTCTACTCGACGGTTGCTCTACTCCCGAGTCCCTAATGCTTCCACAAGTGCGAAATATGAGTGTATTGGTTAGGTCCACAACGAGAATCCTTCTCGCCATCTGCAAACGTCCTTGTTTTAGCGCAGCACCACGAAGGGAATCAGTTAGTCCCCAAGGTTATATCGTAGGCGCAAAAGCCACACCAATCTAATTTGTGTCTATACGGTTATTTGAGATGTAAGGAAATCATACCGAAATTGGCATGGCGATGTAGTTAACTGCATCCCTGTGATGATATTATCAATATATCCAAGCATTCCCTGTTGCTACACTATACTTGTGGATCGCAATAGTGGTACTCCTCTGTTGGTTTGCCGCCTTTGACCAGTGGTTTAACGCACCCTAAGTTGCCTCAACGATGTGGTTACACCAAACCTTGCTGAAGTTATTCGTAACTCTTCGTTGGCTTCATTTACCGTCATACATCGGACGACGGCATAGTGCCTAAAGCGGCAAGGCCGAAAGTGTTGAAGCATTGCATCCTTGGGTGTGCTTTTCTACTCAAAAGACTGCGACACGTAGTAAAAAAATGTGCATATATGCCAACCATATTAATTTACGATGTAACTATACCTCTTGCAAGCATCCACTTCAGCGTTGTAGGCCCAGTGACACATCCTTACGGGACGATTGACTTGCGACAAATCCTCTGAGTGACAAATGAGTCAATAAAAGGTCTCACAACCTATTCTGGCCTCGGGTGCGTTGACGTGGCCATCCGAAATCACAAAGCTCTTGAGAAAAGGCCTAGATCTGCGTCGTATGGCATCAGGAGTTCTCAAACAACCTAATAGCTGCGGCATCTGTGCCTTTCGAGGGTTCCAATATACTCCCTGATCAACTAGGCAATGTTTGCAGGTCGTGTTGCAGATACTCGAGTATTCCTGTATCTTAGTGTCCCATTTTATCCTCTTTTAGAAATCTAGAATGCTAAGATATCATTCTGACGGGTAAACCACCTGAGTGATGGGGCTCACTGACAAATCCACTCGTCAGCTGCCAATTATCCAAGACCGGTCACGTTGGAGCACGGAAATACCTCGAATCACAAGCATTCATCATTTCACAGACGTGTCGGCACATGATTTCGCGAGTTCAACGTTGTTCACGTCGTGGGTTGAACAAGAAAGCACCGCCCACGGTACTTGCGTTCTCGCGCTGGCTACAGCTCCCGAGGATGCAATAGATACTCGTGAAATTGCTCCCGTGCCACTCAATTGGGACGGGTCGACCACGGGAGGCAACTATTGAAAGACAGCATCTGTGGGCTAGATTTCATCCCAGAGCCAACCATTCAGTATATAAAAATCGAAGTGTTGTTACGCTCAGGGACCTTTGATTGTTCCTTTCGGAGCCGCTTCTCAAACTCAGACCCGGCAGCCATCGCTCTTGATGCGATATCCTCGGTAGGCAAGGAGTGCGTTTCGAATTTGCGAATTTCAACTATGGTCTTGGCGTCGGTGGTCATTCAATCGCGAGACCTGGACTAGGCGCCTGGCGTCGCGACGATTTCTCGGGACGACTAATTTCAGCTACTCGACGTGGGATGAGTATTCGCTGATGACCCTCGACAAGAACAGTTCCGTTTCTCGAGGCATTTGATATAGGTACTACTATGCCACTTCTTCTGTCAGCCGTGAAGATTTAGATGGGTACGCATAACTCCGCCTAAATGATAGCTGACACTAGGCCATTTCGCCTAATCATGCGATCAAAGTCTTCCAAGGAATAAGGAATATTACGCCCACCTTTGATTGTCGTGACAACCGCAAGTATTGACGAAGTATGCCAATTCTGACACGGATCAACAATTTTGGCACTAATTTCACATAGGATAGCGCGCTATAAATTTTTTTTGCCGGGGAGAGGCCGGGCTGGGCTTGGCATACGGGGAATCTCCACAGACGTCGAGACTGGAGCGATATAAATACGCTCTCTGTCTAATCCTAGATGTCCCTATCGTCCCCAACGTCGTCGCAATGATTGCTTGGAAGTCGCTCCTTCTCGTGGGCCTTGCCGCCGTTGGCGTATTTGCCGCAGATCCCGTCGAAAAGCGTGAGGAAAAGCCGACCGTAGTAGCTCGTGCTGGTACTCCTAGTTCTACCGGGTACCACAATGGATACTATTATTCGTTCTGGACGGATGGCGCTGGAAACGTCTACTACACCAACGGCAACGGTGGCTCGTACAGTGTCTCCTGGTCTGGCAATGGAAACTGGGTCGGTGGAAAGGGATGGAACCCCGGATCTGCTCGGTGAGACTGACTCTTGTACGAATACGAGCTGTTACTGACGTCGGGTCCAAGCAACATTGCCTACACGGCAGACTATCGTCCCAACGGCAACAGCTACTTGGCCGTCTATGGCTGGACAACGAACCCACTCATCGAGTACTATGTTGTCGAAAGCTTTGGCACGTATGACCCGTCGAGTGCTGCATCCCGAAAGGGTACGGTCTACTCAGACGGTGGAACCTACAATCTCCTCACCACTCAACGGGTCAACCAACCTTCCATCTTGGGTACGCAAACCTTTTGGCAGTTCTGGTCTGTTCGTCAGTCGCATCGTACGAGCGGAAACGTCAATATGGCGAACCACTTTAACGCCTGGAAGTCTGTCGGTATGAACCTCGGGACGCATAACTATCAGATTGTCGCCACCGAGGGCTACTACAGCAGCGGTAGCGCAACCGTCACCGTGAGCGAGGGTAGTGGACAGCAGACCTCGCAGCAACAGACGTCTCAGCAGCAGACTTCACAACAGCAGACGTCTCAGCAGCAGACGACTAGCCAGAACAATAACGGTGGAAGCGTGAGTGTCCGATATACATCTATAAGCTCGCGCTCACGGACACATCCAATAGTGTGCCCCCCTATGGGGACAATGCGGAGGTCAGGGATGGGGAGGGCCAACGTGCTGCCAGAGCGGTTCATGCCGAAACTTTGGTCAGTGGTACTCGCAGTGCCAGTGAGCGGAGATCCCATAGTGCTCCTTACACTCGTTGTATACCCTCGTTTAAATTTGATCCTACTGATACAGGTAACCATGACCCGCGCGGCCAGGAGACTGAAACTATCCGTGAGAGCTCCTGAATGCGCAAGTGAGAGCCACCGAGATGAGAATTGTTTGCAATTTGAACTCGTCTCAATAGCTTACATCATGTTTATATTCCTGGGAAGTGAGAGCGTCAGTGGTGCTACGTCCCCCTCTGGGTGTGGAGTGCGCGTCCCGTCTCGATGCAGATATGAATGGTGTGTTATGGATCCAGGATAGCGTCCTCGCATTCGTTTGGTCGCCGGCCCTGACCCTCGTCTTTGTCGACGTCAGACGTTTGCCTTTGTTTGCTCTACTTTTCTCCTCTTTCCCATTGCCGTCGACGACGAGGAAGAGAACACGAATCAGCAGGTTTTAGACCGTACAGCCCTCGATAAAGACATTTACTTCGAGAATTGTCTGTTGCCTACGTCTCGAGGTAGCACGAGCACCTTTTCTGCAACGAGGTTCTGGTGAGGATTGGAGTTTTGCGCAGGTTGCACGGCGCCTGACCCTGTTTTAGTGTTTAAAAGGCGATCATCTCTCCTAGTAGCTCACCAGGCTCGTCAAAGGGCCCAGATTGTGAGTCGAGACCACTCCGCGGCAAGTCAAAGTAGCTTATCGCTTGTTTGCCAGTTTTTTTTCTGCAAACCAATGCCTTCCAACACAAACTCTACTACGCAGCCATCCCCTGCGCTGCGTAGGCCCCGCCGTCCGTCTCGGTTATCAAGCCATTCTGGATCTTTCCCTTCTGCAAGCACATCTGCTTCGCCCACAAGGTCGTATCCCTTTGCTGAATCATCAATCTCCGGCATCATCCCTCCTCATTTCGCCGACATGCCGTTCGTTGGAACACCCTTCACCCTTGGAGAGCGGCCATATGAATACCCTTTCCCCTCGCCCGCCACTGAATCTCTCCCAAACCTTCCTATTCTTTCCGGCTCTTCGGCGCTCAAGCATGCATATCATCCTCGAACATCAAGTGAAGGCAACGATTCGCCTCCCACCTTGTCTGGAACTGGCCTCGTCAACGCGGCATCGGCCCTGGCGAATCACGTACATCCGCCATCTTCCTATGTTCGACCTGTTGCATCTCTCCTGAAACGGCGAGCATCGTCTACAGGTAGCCACTCATCCGTGAGCTCCAACGGCGCTGTGCTTCACCACTCTGCGGCTCTTGGACTCGGCCAGGAGCCACCCGTCCCACCCGGTCTACTGGCACGCGATACGGGCCCTCTTAGCCCTCGATTGCGGGGCGAGACTGCTGCCGCCTCGTGGAGACGACCCCATAAGCCTAGCGAGAACAAGTGATTCTCAGCCTGCATCCTTTCTTTTCCCTCATCGTGACAAACCATGCTCCGTCTCTATACATGATTCCATTATCTCGTCATCTTCAGCTACAGTCTCCTACACGATAGACTAGCTGCTGTTTGGTTCGTTCGTCGCGTATGTCGTGCATAGATTCTCTCAAAACATGGAATATTTACTCTTCTCACTTCCTTACAACGGATAAGCGTGATCATCATATAATCTTTGGCCCTGTCCACAACCACTGGCTTGTCCAAACGTAAGCTCAACCGAAATCCACGGTCTTTTGAACTTGGGATTTTCAGTTACCAGCTAGTCGAAATGCGGAAACGTGCGGAAACGTGCGGACTCCCATGGAGTTACTCCCAACAGATCTGCAGAAATCAATCTTTGAGACTTTTGTTCTCCTTTTCTGTGGGAGCCCAAGGTTTCTCGGTACGATATCTTGCAAATGGCGTAGTGTTGCTTATTCCATGTCGGTCCTCTGGAGTCACATCGTACTGCGTAGCAAAACCTTGTCGCGCTTCGACACTCGGGCCCCTAACCCATCATATACAACCTCCGAAACCGAAAATGCACTCTAAGACGTACTGAATCGAGCGGCTCTGGCATGGTCTACTCCGAGCAAGGCGTCAATCTGTCCCCGAATCGATACAATCATAATACTTCTCGACTAGACACCCCAGTTGGCCCCACTCGGAGACGCTGTATACACTGTACTGGTGAAAGGTATGGTGAAGACTATGGTTCAACGTCGAAAAAGTTTAGCACACTCTAGGTCGCTCTTCTTGGAATGAAATAGGTGGCATATACGATATCTAGACTAACTGCATGAGCTTTCCCCGAGGTAAGATGGCGGCACCCGGTGGTTTGACTCCTTGTGTCCAATCCATTGGACTAAAGATTTTCAAACGAGTATATCCGATTCTTTTCTTGGCCATAATCACAAACATTCGAGCGTGATTTCATGGATTTTCTACCTACAGAGCTCCTACAACTGGTCTTTGAGGCCTTTGTGCTCTTCCATCGTGGCAATCCAAAGACTCTTTGTACTGTATCACACAAATGGCTTAGCACAGCTCGTGTTACGCCTAGAATTTGGAGCCGTATCTCGTTATTTTCCGATATCCTCGTGCCATCACCACTCAGACGCCCTGACCCGTCCTACACGATATGCGTAACTGAACACGCACTCAAAACCGCCTTATGTATGGCAGGCTCGACAAATCTCGACGTTTTTATTGGAGTAGAGGTTGTTGAGACACTCTCTGACACGTGGACGGCCATCGAAAGAGATTGGCTTGCAAAGAGATGCAAGAGGCTCACCATAGTGGGGACATTTAGCTCTGGTAACCCTTGGATCCGCAACCTTGCGCATCTCGAGGAGGTGGTATTTCTCTACGGAATCATCCCATTCACAAACGTCTGCAAGGAGCTTCAGGAGAATAGTGTCAAATTGTTCTCATTAGAGGTGGGGATCAGCAATGCCCATCTACTCGCACAGTTTCCTAGCCTCGTCAGTCGACTAAGGGATGTGCGAGTGGTTGGCGTGGATCGAAGACGTGGGGTACAGGAATGTACGCCGTTGCCCCTTGACTCGGTTGAGGAGCTCCTTTGGTCAGATTTATCCTCCCGGAACCCGCTACCAGTGACTACAAACCGGCTCCGGACCCTCACCCTTGTCCTGTACCACGACTTCACCGTCCCTCATGCCGAATGGAATTCACTCACAGAACTCCGCATTCTCTGTCCTGAAGGTTGGAGAGTGCGATTAGGTCAAGGATCGCTCTCTCTACTGGGTCTCAAAACTCTGGTCCTTCGGGGAGAGTGGGCAGAGCTACTATGGATCAACGCCCCCGCTCTCAAGACACTTGAACTATTACGAAAAAGTGGAAGGATAGATGGTTGCAGAGAGGCGCTTCTTGGCTGCATCCTGCGCCCACGAGTCGTGCATATTGAGATGTGTGTGACAGCGACGATACTGCTCCGGGTATTACAAGAAGCATGGTCGAACATTGAGCAGCTTCGTTGCACATATCGCTTCTCACAGGACATGTATCTATTTCCCAAGAAACTCCTCGATTACTTATCTCAATCGCGGTCCACTCACGGAACCGAAGAGATTTGTCCACGACTTGGAACATTCACGGTTATTCTCGACTACACATCAACAACGAACGCGTTGAACGATGTTGTACAGATCAAGGCAGCAATGGAAAAGATGTGCGAGAGCCGAGAAGCCTTTTCCCAGTTGACTGTGGCCCTTCTTTGTGTCGAAATGAGTGGACCATATGGGGTTTCGACGGAGTGGATGTCCTTTTCCTGAGATGACGAAAGGCAAACAGGTGACTCCGCCTCTATAAACATCGGACTGGCTCGTATGCAAATGTATCCATGATCATGAAGACTGATATGATGGCAATAAATGTTCGTCCGTTCGTTCCGCTTGAGCGCATCAGGAAGGTAGTCGAGTGAAATGCATCGTTGTCTAAGACTGAAAATATATATGGTGACATTATAGGATCCGGGATCGGGAATAACAAGTGAATGTTAGCACGCGTCGGTTTTCTTCTTGTAATAGAGCATGTGTTAAAGACGGTACTTACGTCTTTCTGACTGGCAGAGTCCCGGGTAGGGTCACGGTAGGTCTAATTATGCTTTACTTAGATTATTCCTCGACGTGAGGTTAATTAATTACTGTAATGTGACGCGTAAACTGGGCGAAGGGATCAGATATCAGACTAGCGAATGTTACATGGAAAATCGGGTCCTTTTATACCTTTCGACAAGCTTATGTAAGCATTATTTCGGAACTATTAGTCGGTAGCGGGAGTGCGTTGGAGGGCATAGGGTTGGTGGGAGTTGGAGGAACGGGGCAAGAGGAGTCCGAGACGAGGCAGCGATCCGACATCTTATATCGTGTCATCTGTGTAGGCGAGTCATCTATAGAGATGACTCTTGATGCAGGTAGGTCGTGCGCAGCCGTCCACATGCGAGCTTTTGCTCGCAGTGTCCAAAGCTGGCTACGGCCGGACCCGCGTCATGAGTCAGGTAAGTGACTATTCTCGTTACCAATGACTCTGTACTAACATATACGAGTCATCCAGATGACTCTGAGTCTCGCAGGCTGGTCCGTAACAGCATGTTCCTTTATTATTTTCCTATCACCATTAAGTCGCCTACACCAAAGAGTCGTCCTTTGCACTCGATTTATTTCTCATATATACTATCTACCTATCTGCTTGGGTACAGGGAGCCTTATCCTCACCTGACTTCCCTTACAAGTGCTCGACAGCCGTTAGGGTGCGGATCTCCTTCGGCTCCGACCACGCGCATCAATTATCGTAAAGGTAGTTCGCTGGCCAAACCTGTCAGCACACAAGTTTTATTTACTCTTTCGCTCATAGATACTAGCAAGAAAGGTCCAAATTCGATGGACTCTCTCCCTGCTGAGCTCTTGCAGGCGGTTTTTGAAGCCTTTGTACATATTTCTCGAGGGAACCCAAGGGCTCTCGGTCTTGTATCACATAGATGGCGTAGTATTGTCTATGCGACACCATCCCTTTGGAGTCACATAGCATTGCTTGGCAAAACTAACTTGCGGCTACCCATCGGAGCCCCTGATCCGTCATATACGAGATGCCGAGCAGCAAAAGAACTTGAATCTATACTAATTCGAGCCGGTTCCATAAAGCTCGACGTCTGGATCTCTGTGGAGAGTATGGAGATACTCTCTGACAAGTGGACAACCATCGACAGTAACTGGCTCTCGAAGCGATGTCGGAAACTGACTATATATGGGGCCTCTTGGTCGGGAAACCCATGGATCCGCCATCTTGCCGAGGTTGAGGAGCTGGTTGTATCTCGACCTCCGCTCCAGTCGGCAGAGCTCTGGGAGGACTTGCAGGAACACAGTATCAAGCTTTCATCGCTGGAGCTGTCTGGGGCTGATGTTCATCTGCTCGCACAGTTCCCTAAGCTTTCAAGGCGACTGAGGAATGTGCGAGTGATGGACTCCGAGGAGCTCAGGACGGTCAATTCCGAAAACTTGCGTCTTGACTCTGTGGAGTATCTTCTTTGGTCGGGTGCGCACCCTGGGAACCCAGTTCCCCCGACCACAACCCATCTTCGGACGCTCAAACTTTACCGATATCGGGAGGTGGTGGTCCCAAAAGCCATATGGAACTCTCTCACCGAACTCTGGCTTCTCCGTCCTGTACGTGGAAGTGTGCGCTTGGTACAAGGCTCGCTTGCCCTTCTCGCCCTTAAAACGCTTATTCTAGAGGGCGATTGGGTGGAGCTCTCTTGCATCTACGCACCTGCCTTGAAAACCCTTCGAATGATGAGATGGTGGGCAACAGCTGGGGAGTGTAGATCGGCGCTCCTCTCGTGCACCCTGCGTCCGCCAGTCGTGTACATCGAGGTGTGCGTCACTGCAGCGACACTCTTCCTATTACTACAAGGCGTGTGGTCAGGTATCGAAGAACTTCATTGCATCTACAACTTTACAGACGACTTGGACCCATTCCCTGAAAAACTCGCCGACCACCTATGTCAATCGTGGCTCACTCACGCCAAAGCGCCGATTTGTCCACAACTCACCACATTTACAATGCTCCTCGACTATACATTGCGACCGGCCGCAGTGGGCGATGCCGTACAGGTAAAAGCTGTTGTAGGAAGATGGTTGAACGTCGAAAAGCCTTTGCTCCGCTTGCGATCGTTCTCCTTGGAATCAGGAAAAGTGGGATATATGGAGTTTCGACCGAGTGGGCGAGCTTTTCCTGAAGGGAGCAGGTTCATCTGGCCGTTGATAGCCATTGAAATCGACTCTGATTTTGACGCATTGCACGTAAGAGATTTATATCATCGTAAACTACAAACTATGCACAAGTGTCCAAGCGAGGTCGTGAACAAGACGAAACAAATGCAAATGTACCAATGCCAAGTCCGTAAAGCGCCCAATCACAGCATCAAAGCCCGCACTCGCAGGTCATTTTCCACCGGCCAACCTTTTGACAAGAGAGCTCAGAGCGACCAAGCCCATGTTACAGCATTGGCGCCGGCGTCGGGGCGTCTCTCTTTGCAATACCAACTCCACAGGCAGGAACGGCCGCATTATTGGCGTCCCACTGATTCGGATATACGCAACCTTGGACAGGAACGCGCATAGGGGTGGTGTCTGCGTCATTCGCCCAGCCATCACCAACAGCAAACGTTGCACTGCTTCCGAGAGACGTGACAGTGACTCCGGGCATTGTAAGGAGTGAACCGGTGGGTGTATAACGGGGGACTGCAGCAGCCGCAAAGCCACCGCCAATGGCACTCGGTGGCCATGGATAGGCGTCGAGGGCACCAACGCCGCCTTGACCGGTCCCACCAATCTGATACGGTTGAAGGGGGCCAGTAAAAGTATTGGTGGCTTGGCCCAGTCGTTGGCATTGACCGATAGAGTCACGAGGGTCGGTCGGCGACCAGCCTTCTTGGAGGCCAAGCTTGTATGACCAGAATGGTGCACGAACTTTGCCCGTCTGCAACGTCTCTCCAATCCTCCACGTCCAGAAGAACCAGTTTTGGAGCGCGTCCATGGTCGAAAGGCTCATTCCACGAAGAGCGTCCTTGGTGTCCTGACTCCACGTCGAATAGTCGTCCCATTGAGCGCAATCGCCGATACGTGTCGTCGATTCAAATGTTCCCTCGTACCGAGTACCTGGAAGTGGGTCAGCGTCGCCCTCTCCCCCACGTCCAACATACCTCTTCCAACGGCATTTAGGTAAAGTCCACAGTCATTTATAGCGTGCGACCACTCTCCCGCTGTTGTAAGACCAAAGGCATTGGAGGCGTCGGCGAACATGCCAGCCCAACGGCTGCACGGGAGGGGGACAAAGCCAGAGGGCGGGAGGTCGATTGGTTCACCAAAGACGAGATATGGATGATGATCCATTGCGAGTCGATCTGCAGTCGACGTGTAGCCAGTCCATCCGCTCATGCCGTAAAAGGCGTCGTGGATGGAGACATAGGGACCATTGCCGGCGCCTGTTCCTCCTGCAGTTCGAATGATTCTATAGGCCTCGGCGTACCAAGCTTGCATGGCCTCTCTGGGATACCCCGAGCCAAAGTTGGAGCGGGGTTCGTTGAGGATGCCAAACATGGGGACGACGTCCCTGTACTCGGGTTGAGAGATGAACTCGGTAATGATGCGGATATAGTCGAGCGTTCTCTCCGCATTGGCCAAGCCCATTACGCCGCGGAGAAAGTTGATATCGCCGAGCTTGCCGCTGTGGTTCCAGCCGTTTTGGGAACCTGGGACGGCGTGGAGGTCGAGGTTGATACGGAGGCCGTATTTGCGTGCCCAAGTGATAGCCTTGAGAAAGTAGGTCCAGCTGACGCGCTCGAGAAAGGGTTCGTTGTCGTATTTCTCGACGGCCCAAAAGGCAATGGGGATGCGAATCCAGTTGAGACCGGCAGCGGCAATCATGGCAAAGTCTTCTTCGACGATAAACGTCTTGTAGTGTTCCTCGATTGCGTTTAGGTTACCGTCGCGGGCCTGGATGAGCTCTGAGAGGGTCCATTCGTCGACTGCGTTTGGGTAAAAGGGCTCGTAGAGCGCTGGAGAAATGAACGGCTCTAGGTTGAGCCAACCGCCAAGGTTTACCCTGCAGGTGTGATTGGGTGAGAAGGCAATGACGTCGATGGCCCAAGAGAAACGAGGAAACTTACCCATACATCTTGTCGATGCCATAGCGCCATTGCTCGGCGAGCGAAGGCGTCCAAGACTGGGCCTTTGCAGAATTGTTCAGAGGGTTGGCGGGGTCATAGACCCAGTAGCCACCAAATGTATTATTGTAAGTGAATGTCGTCCCGTCTTCCTTTGTCACCAGTGAGCCGTCTCCACCCCAAGTAGGCGTGTTCGGGGGAGGAGTATTGCCCGAGTTGGTTCCACCGTTGTCCGTGTTCGTCCCCGAATCGCCACTACCGGTGCTCCCAACGTGTCCAGAATCCGAGTCGCGCTTTCTGACGACGACAAAGTAGACGGGGAGGACAATGGCGAGGACGACGATCACACATCCGACGACGGCAAACACGCCGACAAGGACCCGACGACGTGTGCGACGCTGAACAGGCGCAGGGAGCTCGTCTCTTTGTGATAGATTGTTAGCATTGGCAACCCCAGCGTCTTGCACTTTTTCTCTCGACGCGCCTTGGTCCTCGGGTTCGCCCTTTGGGTTGAGACCAGCAATGGATCCATAACCCGACGCGCGAGCTTCGAGTGTCGCTGACGATGCACGCGATGTATTGTCGAAAAACGCAGGGCGAGGTCGCGCAAAGTCGACAGGTTCTGTCGAGAGCAGCTGGGGACTGTCTCCTCCACTTCCAAGCTGCTCGTGAGCAGTCGTCTCTGCAGTTTGGGCCATGGACAAAGTGCAGGCGGCGAGCACGGGGACGTCCAACCTAGCTGGGCCTATATCCTCACGGCCGCCAAGTCGACGAGAGAGCACGGCTTGGGAGGCCTCGCATCGGCAGCCAAGGCGGCTTTCGCAAACAAAGTCATCTACGGACTGCCACTTGATCTTTATACGCCTCGCATCGGAATCCATGGCCAGCTGCCCGGGTATCGCCTATACAGTTCAGAGATAAGTAAGCGAATAACAATTGCTGGTCCACGTCACTAAGCATCCACAGACGTATCGCGTAGTGTTGGTTCGACCCCGCCTTTTAGCGTACGCCCTCACCTCCCGTGATTGGTGCGCTTGCAGTCGACATCGGCTACGGCACCTCGCGCGGCTTCAAAACGGCGCTGGTTGAAAACATTTCATCGCATATAAGACCTCTTGTTGGGCTCCCTTCTCCTTCTGCAATCTCACCCCACTATGGCCACTCACGTCCCGTCTAGCTCGACTCCCCCTCTGGGCAGACAAAGGGCCCTCGAACGAATTCCGCTCGAGTTATGGACGCTCATACTCCAAGACGTTGTTGCCGAGTACGCTCCAACTCTCAACGGCACATTTATCCACAACCTCGAGCTCATGCGCAACTGGAAAGACAACGAGCATCAACGGACGAGAGCAAAGGCGACGTCTTTGCGGCGTACACTCTCACTCGTCTGTAGAAAATTTTACCGCATCCTCGCCAACATGGACCATAGGGTCACCGTCGTAAGTGGCGGCTTGCTCACACAGCTTGGAATGCACAACCTTGAGCATTCAAAGAGCGTCTTCTTCTACCCAGCACAGGATAAGCTGGAACCCTCTCTACAAAGCGTAGAGTTTCTCGCCCTGCGCTTTCTGCATGTCGAGAATCTCCACTTTGACCTCTGCGACTTGCTCACCCGCTCACCGCGACTTTACGCTCTATCCATCGGGTTTCCATACCCCACATCTTTTCTCTGGAGCGTCTTTGACCACTCAGTGGCCAGTCAGCTAACACACTTGTCTCTGACGATGAAAAGGGGCATGTGGCTGGAGCCAATTTCACTCCAGTCTCTCCATTTTCTCCGTCTAAATTTTGTTCGCTGGTGCGACTATACGTTGACCACAAAGACGAGCGGGCGGGAGATAATGCCGTGCGCCTTTCCCCGGCTGTCCAGTCTCGTCTTGTGTGGACATATGGCAGAAGGGTGGTTCCCACATCTAGTCCCCTTCTTGCAGCGTCATCGTGACACAGTCATCCGACACGCGAATGAGCTCATTCTCGTCCGGAGCTCAGGAGAAGAGGAGAAAGCAGTGACGGCGCCCTACTTTGGAGCGCTCAAATTGTATCGTGCGTCGGTCAATGAACTCTTCGCAACTCCTCACAGCGCAAATCCTCTCCCTGGCGAGACGCTGCTGCCGCTCACCATGCTGCTCAATTCGAGAAGTATTCGCATCCTCGCAGGTCGGATAGAGGAGGAAGGTGCGGTGCCGAGTATGCAGACGGGTATTCGTCTCCCCGGAACGTTGTATAGCGTCAATCAAGTGATGATGTACAGACCATGGGACAAGACTGCACTCGAACTCGAGATACCCACAGATCCAGCCCACATCTCTGCCATTAGGTGGCTCATCTCGCGTGGAGTTCAGGTAGTTGATTGCCACGAGGTAGATTTTGACGACTTTGCAAACTTCTGTCCTCGGCCAGAGCAGACCGAAGAGGCCGAGGGTAATGCTGACGAAACCTTGACAAGCTCTAGTCCTCAGACAGAGCAGAATGAAGATGCCCCCGACGATGCTAACGAACCCACAGAAGCAGCGCTTCACAACCCCTACCCCTACCCCGACCAGCAACCACCCGTCATTCCGATCCTCCAGGGTCCCTCATCTTTATGGAGCCAATTCATCGATTTTTCTCTCGACTTACTGAGGCAGTCACTCCTATCGTAAGAAAGAGGGAGCAACACAGACCCAAAACTGTACTCTCTAAACACGCCATGTATTAGATCATTTTGTTCTCCTAAGCACATGCAATGACACTGTTTACTTATTCCGCGTCTCGGTGAAAGGTGGCAGCACCACTAAACCCGGACCAGGACTTCGTTGGTTATCCTAGGAGCGCGTTCTCTCTATCCCGAAACTTTTCCAGCCACCTCAACGAGGGCATATCGACATTCCGACGCACCAGTCCCCTAGAGCGCGCAGCAAAAGAGCCGCCTCGAGGAGCGAACCCGAACCCAACGCCCGTGTTTTCGTGGAAATCTCGTATGAATTACCTGATTTGCAGAATCTGATCCCGTCCGTTGGTTGCGAAACTAATGAGAAGCCGCTCGGGTTTGGATCGGTCGACCACAGGAGAATGTCGCCTGCTGGTCGATCTCAATATGCCAAATACATATGTATTGCAAAATGTGTGGGTACATTGTCCTAACCAGCTCTATCTACGTTGACATAATGTCAGCGACCCACCCCACCGTCACTCGGAATTCCAGAGGAGTTCAAGCAGACGTCGGCACATTGTAGTCTTCCAATGGCTGCGCATGTGAGCGTAGATTGCTGGTTGAACGCTCTAGAAGACAAGAACGAGTGTGTTGAACCAACGGCTCGAGTTCAAATCCCCCTATATAAGGAGAGCTCTGATCGACCTCGGGTTGATCTCTGTGGATTCTTTTCCCGTTTGGAGCCGGTATGCAAACGCACGTGCTGTCCATATCGGCAACTCCCTCATTGAGCGGACATACGAGTCTGTTCGAGCGGATCCCAACAGAGGTGTGGGAGCACATATTCAAATACGTCGCTGGAGAGTCTGATCCGACTCTCAATGGCAAATTCATCCACGACCTCGCGCTCATGCGTGACTGGAAAGAGGATGACAAGCATCAACAGGCGAGAGTCAAACCTATGCTTTTGCAGCCGAGATTGGCACTCGTCTGCAGGAAATTTTATCGTATCCTCTCCGACATGGACCACAACGTCACCGTTTTCAGTTGCGGGGCCCCGAGGATGCTCGGTGGGCACAGAATTGAGGAATCAAAGAGGCTCTTCTTTTATCCATCGAAGAATAGTGTCGATCCTCGTCTCAAAATCGTCCAGTTTTCCGACCTCACGTTTCTCTACGTCGAAAACCTCCAATTTGACCTCTCGGGCCTCTTCGCACGCTCACCCCTGCTTCACTCACTATCCATCGTCACCCCTTACTCAAATCTCTTTCTCTTCCGCATGCTTTCTCACTCGGTCGCGAATCAACTGACCCACCTCTCGCTGACGATGGAGACGGGAATGTGGCTGGAGCCATTGATTTCACTCCAGTCACTCCGCTTCCTTCGTCTACACTTTGTCAACTGGCACGATTACACATCGACGGCAAGGAGCAACTGCCAGGAGATAGTCCCCTGGACCCTGCCACGTCTATCTTCTCTTGCTCTCTGCGGTGGAATGGATGAGGAGTGGTTTGTGGCCCTCCTACCGTTCATAGAGCGTCATTGCGATATGGTGATACAGCATGACAATCAGCTCGTCCTGGCTGGACGTTCTGAGAGGTACGAGGTGGTAACAGCACATCATTTTCCAGCTCTTAAAATCTATCGAGGGTGGGTTAATGAACTCTTTGCAGTTCAAAGTAACTCGAATACTCTCCCTGACAAGACGTTACCACTTACAATGCTGCTCGGGTCAGAGAGCGTCCACACCCTTTCGACACGGATCAACGGTGGCGACGCAGTGCCGAGTGGGCAACTGGGTATACGTCTCGCGGGAACGCACTATATCGTCAATAGGGTGATGATGTGCGAATCATGGGAGACAACTGCGCAGGATTTAGGTATTCCCATAGATCAAGCTCACATCTTTGCAATTAGGTGGCTTATCTCACGTGGAATTCGCGTAGTTGATTGCCACGAGGTAGATTTTGATGACTTTACAGGTTCCTGGCCCAAGCCAGCTGAGAGTACTCACGACCATCAGGTTCTGGCTGACGAAAACCAAACGCAACTAGCAACTCCGTCCCTCCCTGTCTATCCACCCACGGCTGGTATGGCCCTTGCCCAACCGCCTCCCCAATCTTGGTGGATGCGAGCCGTCGAGTTCCTCCTCGGCGTTCTGCGCCGATTGCGATTGGCGTAAACAACAAACAAACCAAAAAGGCTCAATGAAGAGCTGTAGAATTAACATAGATAGAGTATGTAGTTCTTCCAAAATGCGTAATGACAATATGCGATTAGTTTTTCTCGAGCTCGCATGCGGAACAAGGTGGCGACGTTCTTGAAACCTGACCACGATATTGTCGACGCAAGGTTGTGCCGACACGCCGCGAAACATAATCGCCCACAATCTCTTTTACACTGCCTGGACTATAAACAACGCGTCGCCAACACCGGTTTGAGCGCTCTCGTGTCACCGCACCGCATGCGCTCCAGTCGTTGGCGGGCAGGCAGTGCTCAAGTGCTCGAGAGAGTAAAGTCATCGAATCTGTACATCAGTAACGGACAACCAGCCCTGATTATTCCTTGTTATTTTGACCTGCATGCTCATTGGCGCAAGCGAATAATGAGTACTCTGAAGACGAAAATGTGCCTTTCTATACCCTGTGATTGCCTTTCTGAACCCTTTTCTGCAGAAAAGCGCTCGAACCCTGCTGAGCGTTTCAGTGTCTGAGAGGCTGGATCACTTTTTGCAGGATTTGAACAGAGAAGATGCGTAAGTGAACGCATGATGATTCACTGGCAAATTGCCGGCAGACTGCCGAGTCGCACACGTTCAGTCGTCGCCGGCCGAGTCGCGTCAAACAACCGTCCTCGTGAGCACCCGACGAGGACCACGACTCTTATATCCGCCTATAAATAACCGTGCTATCACTTTCATTACACTTTCAACCCCTCCTCTTTCCTTCTCCTCTCAGTTCATTTCCTTTCCTAATTATGCGGTTTGCAGTTCTCTCAACCGCACTCCTCTCCTTCTCCTTCTCCTTTGTCTCTGCTGTTCCGATTGCAGATGGCACACCATCCAACTCCACGATCCGAAAGCGAGCGAGTGGTGTCACCTGGAATCCATGGGGTGCAGCATACCAGACGTATGATTACGTCGTCGTAGGTGGTGGGCTTACTGGCATCACTGTCGCAGCTCGTCTCGCCGAAAATCCAGCGACTACGGTCCTGGTCATCGAAGCCGGTGGGGACAATCGATGGGACCCCCGCGTTTACGACATCTACAACTATGGTCAAGCATTCGGGTCTGAACTTGATTGGCAATATCCCACGGATGCTGGCAAGACGATGGTTGCGTGAGTAATTATGTTCATTTCCCGTCCCTTGTTCCTGGAGAAGCCGTACTTACGTATATTGTAGCGGGAAGACACTTGGTGGAGGCTCTTCCATTAACGGAGCAGCATGGACTCGTGGTTTGGCTGCTCAGTACGATGCCTGGTCATCCCTCCTCACGCCGGACGAGGCTTCTCTCAACTGGGACTGGAACAGCCTGTTCAACTATATGAAAAAGGCAATTTATCATTTCCCGCGATCACTTCATTGTTAACCCCGCGTCTCATCTAGGCTGAAACCTGGTCTGGTCCAAACGATCAACAGCGTGCGAAAGGTGCCGACGGTGTCGATAGCTACCATGGCTTCAACGGACCCGTTCAGGTCACGTTCCCAGACGACATGTACGGAGGTCCACAACAGAAGGCGTTTGCCCAGTCCATCCAGACCTTGACCGGAATCGCAAAGAGCCCCGACCTCAATGGTGGACAGCCCAACTGCGTATCCTTCACTCCAAATGTAGGAATAAACATTGTCGAAGGAGGTGATCGAGTACTGAGATAATTGTAGAACATGAATTGGCACGATGGAGATCGTCGCTCATCCGCGCCAGCGGCCTACTTGACCCCTGTCGAATCTGTCCGCACAAATTGGATCACGCTAGTCAATCACCAAGTCTCGAATCTCCTCTGGGCCACAGATGACTCCAAGTGGGCGTACGGCGTCAAGTTTAAGCAGGCAGACAATTCCGGACAGGACTATGAAGTCTACGTGCGCAAGGAAGTCATCCTCGCGGCTGGTGCGATTGGCACCCCAGCATTACTTCAGCGCAGTGGCGTCGGGGACCCGACCCACTTGAGCTCCCTCGGCATCAATACAGTCCTGAATCTTCCTACGGTCGGCAAGAATCTACAAGAGCAGACAATGAACGCGCTTGGTGCTGCTGGCAACGGCTTCGATCCTGCTGGTCGTGGTCCGAGCGATGTCATTGCATATCCAAACCTCTACGAAGTGTTTGGCTCGCAGGCCAATTCGATTGCCCAGACAATTTGGTCGAGTATCAGTCAGTGGGCCGACGCGCAAAAGGGAAACGCTCTTTCCAAGGCAGCTCTGGAGACGATCTACCAGTCGCAGGCGGATATGATTATCAATAAGAAGGGTAAACTCTCCTTGCATAGTATTTTATCGTCTCACATACAACTTAGCTCCCATCGTCGAGTTGTTCTATGACACTGGATACCCTGACATGGTTGGCGTTCTTGTCTGGAACCTTCTCCCATTCAGCCGAGGAACCGTCAAGATTACTTCTACCGACCCCTTTATCAAACCTCAGATTAATGTCAACTACTTTGCCGTCGACATGGACACGACGATCCAGGCTGCTTCTTCCAAATTGGTCCGCAAGCTGTTCAAGACTGCGCCGCTCTCTGGGCTCACGACAGGCGAAACCATTCCTGGATTCTCTGCCGTCCCCGATCCAAATAACAACGGCGGATCAGATACCGAGTGGAAGCAGTGGGTAAAGAATACGTACGGTCCCGTCAATCATCCTGTCGGGACTTGTGCGATGATGCGTCAAGATTTGGGCGGTGTTGTCGATGGGCACCTCAAGGTCTACGGTGCCCAGAACGTACGCATTGTTGATGCAAGCATCATGCCCACGCAAATCTCTGCACATCTCAGCAGTACGCTGTTTGGTATTGCAGAAAAGGTGGCCGACATGATCAAGAATGGGCAATAGGCGTGTTTATTTACCCAAGTTCCTTTCGTATGACGATCCCCATACCCACGAGTTTTCAGCTCGTGTTTCTTTGGTGATAACGGGACGCTGTCGCCCATTATCACGGACATTCATCTATTTTATGCACCATTTCTGAACTTTGAGGCATTTTGCGTCCGCCATTCCTTTTTCTCGTAGCCACTACGGACACTGTATTCTAAAACCTATGGGGAACGAACGTAATCCCATCAATCCTGAATAGTGTTACTGCGCTCGTGAAGCCTTCACCCCGGTTGAATTCTGATTCTCTTAGAACGCATCCTGGGTTCTGCCATTGTCCTGATAAGCCACGCCACGATCCCACGCATTCCAAACGAGATTTGCGGGAGATACTTGATTGTATATTACACAATCACCTACTTCCAAAATCATGAGTTACTTCTCTCGGGGAATAGGCTGTGACTGTGGATATTGGAGTCAAGCGGTTAGCTTTCGCAAGAAAACTCCAGGAAGGCCTGTCCAAGGACGCGATACATCTCCAGCAAATGAAGGAGATAATCTATGAGAGTCGTACCGATGTGAAAAGACTGCTTCGTTGAGATGAGATGATGTGCCTATCAATTTACAGGGAGCCTCCGTTGTAGAAAGGTGTCTCGGGCAACGAGGTTCCCTAAACTACGACTTGGCGCTCGTCCAACGATAATTCCGACGCATGAGAGCTAATAGAGCTTTCAAGGTTCATTATTCTACTCTCTCAGTGTTCGGGTCTTTACCATACTCATGTGGATGCCGTAAGGGCCAGAACCGTTCAAGATTATAGATCAAAGGACTCAAGAAACTTGATTCACTTGTTTATGACATTGACAAAGCGGTTGGACTCTAAAGTCGCTCTGGAAAACCGATGAGTAATGGATAATGCGAGATAAATCAATACTGACCATCCAATGGTGAGGTTGGCTACCAGGTTGTTTCCGTCGGCAACGACATACTTGATGCTATACTTGCGGGCACGAGGAGCCGTGCTGGTGACACTGTACTCGGCGAGCTGGCTCCACTTGACTTTTCCCCTGTCGGTGCCCTCAACATACCACTCTGGGAGGAGCTTGGTTCCGGAGTCGGCGGGGGTGAGAGCGGTCACAATGTCGCACCAGCGCTTGTAGTTGTGGACACCAAAGACGGCAATGATACGCTCGCCAGTGTCGGCCTCTAAGCGAAGAGAGCCAGAGGTACCACTGCCGGTCATGTTGAGGACGTAGGTGTCGCTGGTGGAAGTCCAAGTACCGCTAGAAAACGGACTGCTCGACGCAGCGGAAAAACGCGTCCGAATTGGTTTGGAAGACACGAACGGTGATTTGATAGGCCATTCTGCGAGGCAAGGTCAGACAAAGAGTGAGAACGGGAGGTGAGATCGAGGACAAACGTTGGTGTTATAGGATGCAGATGAGAAGAGAGAAGAGACGTTGTCTGAGCTTTCTAGGTGGCTCAGAGAGACTCCTTTTATAGCTGAGAGTCCACTTGCACCCGATGTATGCGGATGGTCGAGACCTGGGATTCGACTCAAGAAGGCACACGTTATGTTCTTCCTCCACGGCGAATTTGTCTCTCCGGTTGCCAAAATTATGTCCTTGGAACGCCACGGGTGCGGGATCCGCGCGAGGTGAGCTCGGAAGGCCCGTGGGTGAATAGGAGGGAGTGCCCAACGTCACGTCGGAGAGTGACGAGGTGGAGATCTACAAAATAGATGGTCTCTCGTGATCAAGCCACAGGCCGAGGTGATTCGCTGCCTCTAGAGTTCCCAACGTTTGAGCTGTGCATCGGCAGCTGGAATTGGACCGAGACAATGTGCTGATTGTCACTCTTTTCACCGGTAGGATTCTCGAGCGACGTTTTTAGCACCGGAATCTGGTGTGGAGGATACAGAGTGCCGCAGCAGTGTCTTCAAGGAGCGCTGAGCGTCGAATAACGATATTATAAAACTGTAAATAACCCCCTTTACGTCAGTTTTGTCGACTGTGAGGAGGTTGTGCAAGCCACAAATCGCGAGGTGAACACCAGACTGTCAGACAGGGATTCGCGCTTCACCCATTCCGTCTGTGTCGCGGGTGATATTTCTGTTATGGGCCTCGATTCGCCGTTGGGGGCGTCAATGTCGTCGGTATGGTCGAGGACGAGTCTAACGTAAACTCGCGTCGACGACGAACAAATAGGCCTTAGGAGGCTCCCATTCCCGGGCCACGCAATGTCGAGGCTTTTATGACTATATTTACGTCGGTAAGTACTCGATTTGATTCGCTTAAGCCTTGTCCCGCAATCGCTACTGGAAACTCTAGGAAGAGGAAGCCGAAACCCCTGTCGTGGGCGTCGGAGAGGATTGCTGGGACGGAGCAGGTGGACCAAATGGTCTAGACAGGAAGAGTAGAGACATCGGAACGGGACATGCCGTTGGGTCCAAGTGAACGTTCAAGGATGAGGTCCTCGGTTCAGGATCCGCCGATCCGCGCGAGGTAGAAAAGGAAGAATTGACTTTAGTTGGCGAAGGAGCCGGAGATAGAGTATTTGGAGCAGGAGTCGGTTACATTTGGGCAGATGGTTGCGCAGAGGTTGAACGCTGCAAGCGGGTCCGCCTCGGCGAGGTTGCCGACCACCACCATTCACAGGAGAACCACAGAAAGAGCCTCGGATGATTACACCTTCCATTGGGTACACCTGAAGGAGCTCGAACGGGAATCCAGGTTGTGGAGGCGGAATGGCGTCGGATTGAGTAGAAGCGGCATCCTATAAACAAGGATAGATGACCACGTATCAGCTCAAACTCTCTATTGATCATCCATCGAGCCTACATATCCGCCGGGACCGAGCCATCGCACTCTCATTGCGGGGTCCACGTGGACCAGCTATCGATTTGGTCTCTTGGGGCGAATCGTGAATTATAATTTAATGGCCAACGAGAGGTTTTGGTGTGGAATGAGGCGGTGCACGACCACGCCGACTTGACCTGCCTGACTGCGCTCCTGCCAGCAATTGGACGTCGACTGTGATTATCTTGGACCTGACCACTATCACCCTCAAACATGGACAGTCTTACTTCTCGTTTCAAGAAAATCCTACAACCATCACGCAGGCACCAAGCCGTGTCTTCTGCCGATGCCACTAGCTCCGGGCCATCGACTTCGAAGCACAGATCAAAGGCAGATGACCTAGACTTCTTAGAGCTTGCTTCTGGAACTGATCCTATTGTCGAGTAAGACCTCCCAGCTATCAGAGTGTGCGCGCCGCTGATCTTGCTTTATCAGTATTGTCGCCATCCACGGTTTAGACGGCCACAGAGAGAAGACATGGTCCACAAAAAAGTCAATCCTGTGGCTGCGCGACCTCTTGCCCACCGACTTGTCCAATGCCCGAGTCTTATCCTACGGCTATGATGCCGATACTCGTAGCCTGGGCTGTGTATCGACCCAGACAATGCGTCGACATGCGGATGGGTTCGCCAGAGCGCTCGCAAGAAAACGCAAAGATATGCCTCAAGTGAGTGCCTATGCCCTGCCTGGGAACTTTTTTGACTCGCTACCAGCGACCTATCATCTTTATTGCGCATGACCTGGGAGGTATTATCCTAAAATGGGTTTGTAGCCTCAGATCCACTTTGATCGAAACCAGCCCTGACGCTCGATAGGCGCTGGTGATCTGTCATAATCAAGGACTAGAAACAAAATGCGACCTTCGAGATATTCTAACTTCCACCCATGCCATCCTTTTCTTTGGAACTCCCATTCCGGCGCCGACACTTCCCTCCTTGAACAAGTCAACCGCGTGGCGTCCGCCTATATGGAGACGACAGACACCATCCTCAAAGATCTTCGGGCTCAGTCGTCTGAGCTCGAGAACATACAGAGCCTTTATGTTCAGGCAAGTATCAAGATCCACGCCATATTCTTCTCCGCGGAGTACATGAATGGACCAGTGGTGGGTGTCCGCATATTTTGAGATTGAAAGCTCACGCAAAGGATAGACTGTTCCATACTCGTCGGCCGTAGTTGCTGGCGATCCAAACGCAACAGCGATTGTACTCCATGCGGACCAGCGGAATCTGGTTCGATTCGCAGCCAAAGACAGCCACGACTATCAAACGGTTCTTCACTATCTCAAAGAGCACGTCGACAATGCGACTGTTGAGGTGAAGAAGAAGTGGGAAAAGGAACACACCTATCGCAGTTCGTAATCAGTTTATATGCAGTGCTCGTCTCACTGACAAACAGAGACTGCAAATGACGAATCTGCCCCTGACGAAGTCATTGTGCCGAAGCCCCGTCCGCCTGTATCAAGAGGCTACATAGAGCGGATTCATTTCCAGTCCTTATGACACAGAAGCTTCTGCCAGATGGTCCCGTGAAGCACCAGCCACGGTGTATACTACATGGACTCGGAGGGGCGGGCAAGACGCAGCTCGCAACAAACTGGATCCAAGAGAATGAGAGCCGGTACGGTTTCACTATTATATCCGCGCAATGTCTGATCTCCGTTTAGCTTCAGCCGGGTGATCTTCGTCGATGCCTCGAGTCAAGCCCAGCTGGAAACAGACCTACAGCGTTCAATTCGGTGCTTGGGTCCTGAGTACAGCAAGACGGCGTGGAAGGATGCAGTCGCATACCTTGACGGCAAGGAGAAAGGCTGGCTACTCTTCCTAGACAACGCCGACTCACCAGAACTCGATCTGCGCCCATATCTCCCTACTTCGATTCACGGAAAAATTCTCATTACCACGAGAAACAGCCAATGCATCAACTACGCTCCCGATGGCGCAATTGCTGTCGGCGGTCTTGAGGAAAATGAAGCAGTGAACCTTCTTCATAAGACTGCCAATATCTCACCTGAATCTGATGCCGACTCTGTGAAGATTGTGACGGAGCTTGGGATGCTAGCACTCGCTATTACCCAAGCAGGGGTGTATATTCGCCAGACGCGACGTTTCAACACATACCTGGACACATTTCGGAAGAGTCGGATCGACTGCTGCGCAAGCAGCCAGATTTCGGCTCGGACTACACATCCTCGATGTATACTGCATTCGACCTCTCGTTCAATCGATTAGAGGCAAAGACACAGGAGTTCCTGAAGCTATGCGCATTCCTCCATCACTCGCTCATTCCCTAGCTCTCTTTGAGAAGTCGACGACTTCTGGCTTCACCACACACACGGTCCTGAAATCATATCCTCCGCCAGCAAGTGACAAGACTTTCATCTCAAAGCTGGAAGTGATCTTTGGGGAGACATGGGACGAAGTTTTGTTCCAGGAGATCGTCAACTTGGCCTCGCAGGCATCACTCGTCAACGTTACAACGGATGGCCTGTTCTACACGGTTCATCCTCTATTTCAGATGTACATCCAGGATTCGCTTTCTGTGGAGGAAAAGAGCAGCTATATCCGAATGACAGCACAGTTGCTGCTTGGTGCAATTCGACCAGCAGAAGGAAGCAATGCGGAGCTTTGGCAGCTGCTACCGCATGTTAAAAGCATCCCTCTACCGATGCAGTCGGAGAATCTAGCGCGCACATTGGCCTTCAATGATTTCTACAATTCTTTGGGAAATTGGGATGCATGTTGGATGCTATTGGAACGCTGCTATGGACAAGTTCAGCAAAACCAAGGAGAAAAGCATATAGAGTCGATGTTGATAACGAGCAGACTCGCCGAAGCACTGTGGCGCTGTGGTAAACTCGTCAAAGCAGAGGAAATGCAGAGAGCGACACTTGCTTTGCAAATGGAGATCCTTGGAGACAAGGATGATGAGACTACCAGGACAATGGACCTCCTTGGGCTCACGTTGCATGGCCTTGGTCGATTTGCTGAAGCGGAGAAGATGCAGCAAGACGTGCTTGCTCTGCGGCTCGAGGTGTCTGGACCACGCCATCCTGACACCATCCGAGCCATGGGCAACCTTGCGGCAACCTTGTGCGACCTTGGTCGATTTGCTGAAGCGGAGAAGATGCAGCAAGACGTGCTTGCTCTGCGGCTCGAGGTGTCTGGACCACGCCATCCTGACACCATCTTGGCCATGGGCAACCTTGCGGGAACCTTGCGCGACCTTGGTCGATTTGCTGAAGCGGAGAAGATGGAGCAAGACGTGCTTGCTCTGCGGCTCGAGGTGTCTGGACCACGCCATCCTGACACCATCCGAGCCATGGCCAACCTTGCGGCAACCTTGTGCGACCTTGGTCGATTTGCTGAAGCGGAGAAGATGGAGCAAGACGTGCTTGCTCTGCGGCTCGAGGTGTCTGGACCACGCCATCCTGACACCATCCGAGCCATGGGCGACCTTGCGGCAACCTTGTGCGACCTTGGTCGATTTGCTGAAGCGGAGAAGATGCAGCAAGACGTGCTTGCTCTGCGGCTCGAGGTGTCTGGACCACGCCATCCTGACACCATCGCGGCCATGGGCAACCTTGCGGGAACCTTGCGCGACCTTGGTCGATTTGCTGAAGCGGAGAAGATGGAGCAAGACGTGCTTGCTCTGCGGCTCGAGGTGTCTGGACCACGCCATCCTGACACCATCCTGGCCATGGCCAACCTTGCGGGAACCTTGTGGGACCTTGGTCGATTTGCTGAAGCGGAGAAGATGGAGCAAGACGTGCTTGCTCTGCGGCTCGAGGTGTCTGGACCACGCCATCCTGACACCATCGTGGCCATGGCCAACCTTGCGGCAACCTTGCGCGACCTTGGTCGATTTGCTGAAGCGGAGAAGATGCAGCAAGACGTGCTTGCTCTGCGGCTCGAGGTGTCTGGACCACGCCATCCTGACACCATCGTGGCCATGGGCAACCTTGCGCTCACCTTGCGCGACCTTGGTCGATTTGCTGAAGCGGAGAAGATGCAGCAAGACGTGCTTGCTCTGCGGCTCGAGGTGTCTGGACCACGCCATCCTGACACCATCCGAGCCATGGGCAACCTTGCGGTAGCCTTGTGGGACCTTGGTCGATTTGCTGAAGCGGAGAAGATGGAGCAAGACGTGCTTGCTCTGCGGCTCGAGGTGTCTGGACCACGCCATCCTGACACCATCCGAGCCATGGGCAACCTTGCGCGAACCTTGCGCGACCTTGGTCGATTTGCTGAAGCGGAGAAGATGGAGCAAGACGTGCTTGCTCTGCGGCTCGAGGTGTCTGGACCACGCCATCCTGACACCATCGTGGCCATGGGCAACCTTGCGGGAACCTTGCGCGACCTTGGTCGATTTGCTGAAGCGGAGAAGATGCAGCAAGACGTGCTTGCTCTGCGGCTCGAGGTGTCTGGACCACGCCATCCTGACACCATCGTGGCCATGGGCAACCTTGCGCTCACCTTGCGCGACCTTGGTCGATTTGCTGAAGCGGAGAAGATGGAGCAAGACATGCTTGCTCTGCGGTTTGAGGAGTCTGGACCGCGGCATCCGGATACTCTCACCGCAACATAGTATCTTTCCTATACATTATACACCCAGCGACGGTTCAAAGAGGCTTGGCAGCTCTTAGAAGGGATAATTGAACTACGTCGCGAGATCCTTGGTGAAGATCATCGTGATACTCAGTGCGCAATCCAACTTCTAGGATTGATCAAATCTGCACGATCTTCTAATAGCTTGTAGTTACTTTGAGTGTCGTTCATCTTATGGATTTGTTGTATTATATTCGATTGTATATTCCCTGAATTAGCATTTCTCGGCCAGCATGAACTCCGAGCTCCATCCAGATATTTTTCTTAGATTGACTGAGGGATCTGAGGTGCCACCAGGTTGTGTATAGCATTAGAAAGTGTCAAATAGTTCTAATTGAGTCACAAATCCAGAACAACTTTGCCGCTGCGACTTTGCTAGCATTCCGCCTGGCTGCAGAAGATGATTTTTCTGAGAAGTGAATGTACTATAAGAATTTTATACCAAAATATTACCAAAGTAATATTAGGAAATCACAGAGCGCATGAGTAACACCAAGAGCAAAACGATCCAGCGTACGGTGCTGGAAGCAGGATTACTACCTTGCCTTCAATTTGATGAAACGACATACATTGAATGAATCCACGGTTGATTCAATGTGCCTTTGCCAGCTGATATGACACTAAAATTGATCCGCTGGCAGCTTCAAACAATGCCACTCGGAGCAATGAGAACACCAGGTGTGCGGCCAATAGTACACCCAACCTGAAGTAAATCCTGTTCGTTCGTCTCGTCGCTCTCCTCGTTCAACAATATGCCCGCCATGCGCAAGCCGACGAGAAGACACTATCTCACCTCTCAAAACAAGCGATGGCAGGCTTGCACAGTCTGATGAAGAGAAAGCGGCCATACTGGCCGAGGCATTCTTCTCGACAGTAAGAATATCAGATTGATATGCGAAGTTTACAAGGCGCTAGTACCGAGGTGTAGACGTCTGTTGGGTTATTGCCTAATGTCGTGGCGGGCAATGCGCCTCGACGCAGCAGACGTTAGGGGGAACTGGACCTTTGGCTTTTACAAGCTCTCATGCTACATTGACGTTACACTGTAGTCGGCGCATGGATCGAATTCGGTGATGGGATCCCGAGACATTATGCGGGTCGACTACGTACTCTCTCTGGACCAATTCAAGACTCTAACCACTTTGGCACTTGCTCATCACTACTTGGATGTAGCGTGACATGAGATAGATTCACAGACCAGGAGCAAGGGTGACCTTCTCGAGACCAGGATAATAAAACGAGATATATTAGCCATGCTCTTGCAGAGGGGTGCGGGTCGAAGAGGAATTATGAGGACTAGAATGAGCATAGAGTAGAGTACACCCTCGTAGATGTCGACGGATCCACCCCGGCGTAGACCCATTGTATTCACTGAACCATCAAAGCCATCTAAGGCAAATTTAGAACCAAATATGGCGAGTCTCATTTCTTTGAATGTCGACGAGAGTTTCATAGATTTGGCGAACTATGGAGACGACATAGTCTCACTAGCTCAGAGGTCAAGAAAGATGAAGGTCAAATAAATAAATAAAAGGCTATTTTAGATCTCTAGCAGCGTCTTCTATTACGAGTTGGTGTGGGCCCTGTAATAGAAAGGCGATCAGTATTGACCTTGATCACGAATTCGAGGGTGGAAGTATTCTCGCGACAACACTCTATTACGATGAGCTTCTCCCTATCGCTATCGATGTGAAGCCCTGTCATAGATGCAGGGGCGTCTCCAGCAGCGAGGTACCCTAAGCTACGACTCGCGCATCAAGAAGGTTCTCAGCGAGCCAAATGCATGTAACGTTGAGCCTGAACCGAAAGAGGAACATGCCATACTCAGTGACCAGAAAGAGGGCCTGTGAATCCTGATGCGACAAAAGGGTTAGAAGTCCAACACTCATTTCGTTGTTCGCTCGTTTCGATACTCATGTGGATATCATAAACGATCAAGATCACTCAAGATCACGAATCAAAATGGTTCAAACAATTTATATCAATTGGTTACGACATTGACAAAGGCGTTGGACATCGCTCTGGAAAACGGTTAGTGGGGGAAAATTCCGAAGGATATCAATACTGACCAGCCAATGACGAGGTTGGCTACCAGGTTGTTTCCGTCGGCAACGACATACTTGATGCTATACTTGCGGGCACGAGGAGCCGTGCTGGTGACACTGTACTCGGCGAGCTGGCTCCACTTGACTTTTCCCCTGTCGGTGCCCTCGACATACCACTCTGGAAGGAGCTTGGTTCCGGAGTCGGCGGGGGTGAGAGCGGTCACAATGTCGCACCAGCGCTTGTAGTTGTGGACACCAAAGACGGCAATGATACGCTCGCCAGTGTCAGCGTCGAAGCGGAGAGAGCCAGAGGTGCCGCTGCCGGTCATGTTGAGGACATAGGTATCGCTGGTGGAAGTCCAAGTACCGCTAGAATAGACGGACTGCTCGGTGCAGCGGAAAAACGCGTCCGAATTGGTTTGGAAGACACGAACAGTGATTTGGTAGGCCATTCTGCGAGGCAGGTCAGACAAAGAGTGAGAGCGGAACATGAGCTCGAGGACGAACTTTGATGTTATACAGTTAGCCCAAAAACTGTTCACACCGCCACCCCGGCCGCCTTGCTACCCCTGTACTGTTCGTAATAGTTAGTCTAAATCTATGTATAGGACCTTTTATAAGACTTTAGTATTTTATCTATATCTGAGAGTGATATTAAGAGTTCAGAAACGCTGTAGATCTAGAAATCGAGGTACAAAAACGGAGGCTCTCGTGAATAGTTTTTGTTCAATAGTCAATGCTACCCCCTTTCGCCCTAATTACCGCCTCCAGTCTATTGGGCATAGTTCTAATGTACTTCTCACACTTCTCCTTTGATATACGCCCCCATTCCACTTCAATTCGTCTCACTAGTTCGTCTATACTGCTCGGCCAGGTGGGATAATCGTTGAGAATCATTTTGAGCTCTCTCCACAGGTTTTCGATCGGATTGAGGTCGGGGGACTGAGAAGGCCAGTCAAGAAGTCTGATTTCATGAGTTTCAAACCAGTCTCGAGCTGTTGCTGAGGCGTGCTTTGGGTCGTTGTCCTGCTGGAAGATGAATCCTCCTCGTGTGAGTCGAAGGCTGCGGGCTGAAGCGAGGAGATTCTGGTCAAGGATGCGAGCATACTTCTCAGCATCCATAATACCATCAATGTTGCACATTTTTCCTCGTCCAGACGTGCTGAAGCATCCCCATATCATCACATGGCCTCCTCCATGCTTGACTGTGCTCGTCTGCTGATGCTGCTGTCGCTTGGATCCCTTCTCCCTCCAACACCACTTCTTCCCATCAGAGCCACATCGATTGATTTTGGTCTCATCTGAGAATATAACTCGATCCCAGTCTTCAGGAGTCCAGTGGCGGTACTTGTAGGCAAAATCAAGACGAGCCTTCATGTGCCTCCGAGTAAGTAAGGGCTTCTTGACCTTGACATAGGCCTTAAGCCCCTCCTCTTTGAGCACATTACGGACTGTCTGTGTGCAGATGTTGATTCCGAGTGCTTGCTTTACTCTCCTGGCAGTATAGGTCTTGCTGCCAAGTGCCAGGCGCACGGCTGCACTCCGAGTACGCTCTGAAACCTTGGTAGAACGGCCACCAGGCTTATGGGTAAGCTCCAAATCCCATTTCTTCTTATATTTTGAGATAGTTGGAGGTGCAATACCAAGACTTTTGCTAATAGACGAGTAGGATTTGCCCGCCAAAAGCAGATGACGAAGTTCGAGCTGTTTCTGCTTGGAGAGAGGTGACATGATGTGATAGCGACATACCAATGACTCTAATGACCCTTATATATCTCATTCCGTTATTTGTAACTGTTTACAAGGCTGCTAGAACTCTAATTCACGTGATCTAGGGGTGTGTCACAAAATGCACAAAAACTATTCACGAGAGTCTCCCTTTTTGTACCTCGATTTCTAGATCTACACAGTTTCTAAACTCTTGACATCTCTTTCAGATATAAAAAAGATACTGAAGTATACTCAAATGACCTTTACATAGATTTAGACTAACTAATACGAGCGATACAGGGGTAGCAAGGCGGCCGAGGTGGCGGTGTGAACAGTTTTTGGGCTAACTGTAGGATGCAGATGAGAAGAGAGAAGAGACGTTGTCTGAGCTTTCTAGGTGGCTCAGAGAGACTCCTTTTATAGCTGAGAGTCCACTTGCACCCGATGTATGCGGATGGTCGAGACCTAGTATTCGACTCGTGAAAGTACCCGTTATGCTCTTCCTCCACGGCGAATGTGTCTCTCCGGTTGCCAAGATTATGTCCTTGGAACGCCACAGGTGTGGGATCCGCGCGAGGTGAGCTCGCAAGGCCTGTGGGGTGAATAGGAGGGAATGCTCAACGTCATGTCGGACAGTGACGAGGTAGGGATCTACAAAATAGATGGTCTCTCGTGATCAAGCCACAGGTCGAGGTGATTTGCTGCCTCTAGAATTGCCGACGTTTGAGCTGTGGCTTAGGCGGCTGTTGTTGAGCACTAAAGATGAGCTGATCGTCACGTCTTCACCTCAGGGTTCTCTGGCGACATTTTTATTCCTGGAATCCGGTGTGGAGGACCGCTGCACAGTCTTCAAGGAGCGCTGAGAGCTGCATAATGACATTCTACGACGGTAAATAGCCCCTTTATGTCAGTGTAAGTGATTGGGAGGAGGTTGTGCAAGCCACAATTCGCGAGGTGAACACCGGAGTGTCAGACAGGGATTCGCGCTGGCACCTGTTCCGTCTTTATCGTAACAGCTCGTCTTTCTATGGGCCCCCAATTAGTTATTGGACGCGACAATGCCGTCAACACTGTCGACGACGAGTCTAACCGTCGAGTCGCGATGACCACCAAAGCCTTGGCACCCTCTCTCGAATCCGACTTGCGGAATCTAAACATATTCTGTGGGCTTTTATGACTATATCCACGCCATTAAGTACATGGTTTGACTCGGTAGACGTGCGCTAAGCCTTGCTCCCAGAACAGCTACTAAAAACATAGACGAGAAGGAAACCCAGAATTATAGACAATATTCACGAGAACCGCCTACATGGTCGATGTTGTATGCTAGAAGATCCCCTAATACCGCGGCAGGCATTCGCGGGAAATGCGGCTGGACATAACGGACGTTTGGGAGTGGATGATAAACGACCTTGGGCTTTGGCAATCTTTCTTGCTATAGAGGCTATACTGTAGTCAGCGCGTACATCGAACTCGGGATGGAGCCCCCGAGGGCCCTGTGAGTTGGCGACGTACTCCCCCAGGAGACAATTCAGACTTGAACTACATTAGTTTCCCCTCGTGACTGTCAGGAAGTTGCCTGAACTACATTAGTTTCCCCTCGTGACTGTCTGGAGGTTGCCTGAACTAAATCAGATGTGCAGACCATGGCTATGTGGGCTTCTACGCTCGTGTACATGGTTACAAGCCGAAGTGACACATAAAGAGGGCCAAAGTGAGCATAGAGCAGAGTATAATTTTCGTCGGCGCCAATGGACCGACCTTGAACATATATCCGTGATGATTGTTCAGTGTTGTTCTCAGAATCTCGACGAAAGTGGTCTGGTTTTGGGGAATCACGGACACTGACGCGATTAGGAATCAAAAAGATAAATCAAATTTCTCGCAACATCGTCTACTACAAGTTGGGGAGCGCTCTGTAATAAAAGGCGATTAGTATGATTGACCTTGAGCACGAGTAAGCGGGGCACTCACCAACCAACGAAAAGAGTCGCCACAAGGTCATTACCCTCGGGAATGGTGTACTTGATCGCAAAGTTGCGGCGGACGGGCGTGGTGCTATCGACATTGTACTCGGCGAGCTGGCTCCACTTGACTTTTCCTCTATTCGTGCCCTCGACATACCACTCTGGAAGGAGCTTGGTGCCAGACGCGTCCTTTCCGAGCGCCGTGACAATATCGCACCAACGCTTGTAGTTGTGGACACCGAACACGGCGATAATGTGCTCACCGTTGTCGGCGAGGAGACGAAGGGCGCCAGAGGTGCCGCTGGTGTGCATATCGAGTATAAACTCGTCACCGTTCTTCGTCCAAGAGCCACCAGTCCAAACAGACTGCTCGACGACGCGGAAGAAGGCGTCGGGCTTGGTCTGGTAGATACGAACGCGAATCTTGTAAGACATTCTGCGAGATGGAGTGAGATACGAGAATAAAGGCGGGGATAGGAGTGCAGACCTAATAGGCTTTGCGAGTGGGCTCGATATCGTTTCGTCGGGGAGCTCCAGCGCACCTTTTATAGCACGAATCCGGGTCCGCATCCGGTTCTCATGAGATACTGTCGCCAAATTTCTACTCTCCAGCCATCAGCTGCCTGCCTACGTCGCCCATGGTATGAATGGATGACCCCTCTGGATCGTCTACCACGAAGAGCCTGTCGGGTGTCAGAGAGTGACCGTGACGACTGAGAAAGTAGAGGATTCAGAGTGAAGGGGAACTCGTGATGACACTCTTTTACGATGGGATTCTCACCATCGTTATCGATGTAGAGCTCCGTCGTAAATCCATGGGTGTCTCTAGCAACAAGGTACCCTAAACTACGACTTGCGCACCAAGAGGGTTCCCAAAGAACCAAATTCATGCATTCTACTGCCAAGAGTGACGTTGAAATCGGGCCGAAAGGCGAACATGCCATAGCGAGGCCGTGTGGAATCTGAAAGGACTTGGACTTTCATTACCCTCTCAGTTGTCTGTTCGATACTCATGCGGCAACAAACGCTCAAGGAAAAGGCCCAAAAGCAACTTGTTTCAATCGTTTATAACATTGACAGTGGCCTTGGAGATCTACACTCGCTCTGGAACAACGGTGAGCTGGAACGATAAGTACTGACCAGCCAAAGATGGGTTGGCGACGAGGTTATTTCCGTCAGCAACGGTATATTCGATGCCGTATCTGCGGGCGCGAGCATTCTGGGTAGTGACGGAGTACGCGGAGCGCTGGGCTGTTCTGGCTTTTGCCTATTGGTGCCATCGACGTACCACTGTGGGAGTAGCTTGCATGTCGTGTCTGTGGCCGGGAGCAAAGTGACAATGTCGCACCAACGCTTGTATTCATGCACGCCAAAGAGGGCGATCACATGTTCGCCAGTGTCGGATTCGAAGCGTAAAGAGCCACAGCTTCCACTATAAGTCATTTTGAGGACGTAGGTGTCGTTGATCGGGGACTAGGTGCCATTTATGCAGACGTTCTGCTCCGTGCAGTGGAAGAATGCGTTGGCGTTGGTTTGGAAGACGCGGACGGTGATCTGGTAAGCCATTCTGCGAGGATACGGTCAGGCAAAGAAGTGAGACGGAAGATGAACTCGAGGACAAACGTTGGTGCTATAGGATGCAGGCGAAAAAGTACATCGTCTGAGCGTGTTGGTGGCTCAGGGCGCCTTTAATAGCTGAAAGTCGCCTTTGTACCCGAAGTACGAGGGATGGTCGAGACCTGGAATGGGACTCGAAAAGGGAATTGGTATGCTCTCTCTCCACGGCGAATGCGTCGCTCCGACTGCCAAAATTATGTTCTCAAAAGGCCATAGATGCGCGTGAAGTGAATACGGGGAGTGGTCTACGTCACGTCGGAGAGTGACGCGATGTGATCTACAAAACAGGTGTCCTGTGAGCAAGTCACAAGTCGGGGTGATTCACTGTCTCCAAAGCTGCCAGAGATGCGACCGGTATGGTTCAGTGGCGATGTTTCTACCACCAGAGCCTCGTGCAGAGGATCCAAAGTGCCATTGAAAAGTCCAAGGGGCGCTAGGAGGGGCACAGCGACGTTCGAGAACGCTTGATAGCCCCTTCGTGTCAGCTTAAACGATTTTGAAGAGGTTGGGCAAGCCACAATTCGAGGCCAAACCCGGACTTGAGTCCAACCGACGGTACCCATGACCAACAACCTCGTCTCAGCCACCGGTGTCACTCGTTTTAAGCCCTCTACTTGATTTAACTGGTAGATGTGCTCAAGCCTTTGCTCATGGGAGCAGGTATTAGTAAACCTCGACAAAGCGAGAGAAGCAGAAGCCTACCATAAGATCCCAGCTATGGTTGACAGTCGCCTATTGCCCCGGTGGACACTCGCAGACGGTATGGGAGTCTAAGATTCGAGTCTGAACTTTTGACACTATTTTGAGATTGCACTACATCCAATGCATCGAAATCTATTTCAGACTAGGATAACGTGCGCCTGTGAGAGGGTCCAAGCTGAAGGGAGGACCTCTACAGTGAATCTTATTCCCTTTGAATGTCGGCGAGTGTAACATAGTTTAGCGAACAATATACTTGATAGTATATTTTCTGGGGTTCGGGTTTCGTCAAAGAGGATGTGCAAGCCGCCGTTCACGAGGCGCAGTAACACCCGAGTGTCACGCAGGGATCTGCGCATGTCCATCCTTGTCTCTGACCATGTCCTCTGTTATCCATCGTAGGACTCGCCATTGCCGGTGTCGACGACGACGGGTCCAAGTACAACTTTGAACCCGACGACGACCACTGCCTGCTCGTCAGGCCACGACTTTGAGACGCCAACGAGTCTAGAATTGTCCTTTTACTTCGTTTATTCCTTCTTTTTCGGTGTGGACAACCTGGGAATCCCCCACGACGACGACGGTTGCGCGTCATTCATTCGGCGTGCAACCACCGCTGTGAGATAGAATGAGTACGGTGCAGATACAAGACGAAGGAGATGCACGTCTACTCGGTTCTCCACCCAATAATGATGAGGCGAGTGCGCTGTTTCTGTTTCATTGTCGCCGGCATTCTCCGTCTGCTCAGCCCAGTTCTTAGATCTCACTAAGAGTGAATCGAAGGCGGCTGAGAAGGCCCAGACTCTTGATGGCAGCGCTGACAGTCGCCTACAGAGTCCTCGCGTTTCAACACCTCTTTCATTCCAAACATTTGGAGCTCAACAGACGAGTCTAACCCCTCGAGATGGCGTAGAACGTCCATCCTTTGACTCTGCCCAGTCGTCGTCTCCCAGCACCGAACCCCCTTCGACCCCTCACCGCCAGGACCCTTATTTCCTTTCTTCCATGAGCTCAAAAGTGACTACTGAAACCCAGACGGCAGACCGACCGACCAAAGTCCACCGTCGTTTTCGTATTCACAACCCGGCCGACGCATATCGAACGACTCCAGATTCACCAAAACCTACCCCTTTATCTCCCCCACCACCTCGTACCACCAAACAGGACGATGTAAATGAGCCGACCCTTCGCCGAATCGCCAAACGTCGTGGTCGCCCAGCCCTTGGTGTTACGACCTATGCCCCATCGGCGTCAAACATCGTCGTAGAGGCTTCACCCCTCTCCCCAGTCGTTGCGTCCCCCAGGTCGACCATGTTCCAAGTCGCCTCTCAGACGCCCAGTCCAGCTCCTAATGCAAACTTTGCTCAAGCTGAACCAGCTGGATTGCCAATGAGCCCAGATGTCACCCTGGATCTTTCCGACTCGCAGGACCTCGTGTCTCCAATGGGCACTCGACATATCACTACCCAAGCCCCACCAGCTCCAGAGAAATATGTCCAGTACAAGCCTAGACGGCGGATCACTACCCCGCGCAAGCGAAGTTTCGTCTCGAGTCCTGTACCAGATGAAATCTTTCAGCCAATTGTCCTCGACGAAACGACCCAATCAGCGTTGAGAAAGTGGTCCTTTTCCGGTAAACCAGAATCGCCCAGTGCCAGTTCGACACTTCTCAGGCGCTTTTCCAAGTTTACCCTCTCTGCATCGGGCACGGCCGGTGGACCCACATCGAGCAAGGCCTCAACCGACGAAGGACACGGCTACGGCTATGCAAGCGAGGATACCGGATCGCGGCGGCTCAGTATTGGCCGTCGTCTCTCTCATTTTGTCACCGGCAGCCGTCGTCAATCGTTTGCCGATGCTCGTCCAGCTCCAGAGAGTCCAGATAGGAGAAAGGTGATCATGATCCAAGTCATCTCTCCAGGCCACAACCGCCACTGCTGCAGACGCCATCTACCGAAGGTAGCACTACGCTCCACCCGAGCCAGCCGTCGACCGTGACCGTACGGTCGAGCGACGGGTGGTATTCAACTATTCCCTCTAGTCTCACGACCCAAGAGTCTGTTCTGTCGACCGTCGAACCCACCTTGGACCTAGAGTCACCAGAGGATTCTACCAGTTTGCGCCCATTCAAAAACGCATCGTCTTCGTCGGTTGTCATTCCCAATCCACCGCAGCACGTCCAACGTGCGACTGGAGCAAACGTGGTTTCTCAGTCCATGCCACCGTCGCCCATAGGACCCAGCGCAGCGAGCGGATTCCCTCGACCGGCGTCCTTTCAACCCCGTCGGTTCTCTGGGAATGGCAGCACCATTCATGATCCACTTGGTGGTGTGCCGGAACGAGATGGCTCGGTTCGTCTACTAGACGCAGCGACGGCAGCAGCCATCCGACGATCCGTCGACTTTGACGACCGTGTCAAGAGGAGCGAGGATATGCTGCGGGCCGCCATCTATGGCCCAGCGATCAACGCGTCTCCACGCTCGTCTACGGTCTCGATTAGTCGCACGAGCATGGACCGTGGACGGGGTGGGAAGCCGTACCAGTCCAGCCGTAGCCAGAGTTTGGACAATCGGCATGGACAACACCGTATTCGTACGGGGTCGTTTGGAAACGTTCATTCGATGACGACTACGCGCGATACTCGAGGTGGTGTCTTTTTACCGAGTAGTTTGGAACACCCCGACGACGGCATCAAACCCCCTATTGCTCGCGCCAATACGACCTCGTCCTATGCAACGCCGATTATGTCTCATTCCCCGGTCCCCATTATGAAGCATCTACCCAAGATTGACGACAATCACTATACCACAACGCCCGTCCCGACTTATGAACATCCACTGCCGCTCCGTTATCGGATCGGAAACAAGATTAGTCGTATTTTCACTGGAAAGCCCAACTAGATATATACGAGACTTCCGTGCTCTCTGTTTGATAGTGTTTACGGACTGAAGCCACGAGGCTTCGCGCTTCGTTTTCGTTTGACAAGTGGCCAGTTTGTTGTATTGCCTTTTCTCTCTCTAATACCAAGATGGATGTTTGTAGCGTACTGCGTTTGGGGTGGTGGCTGTGGGATGAGTCCTTTGACCTGGACGCGCCAGACTTGAATGGCGACGATACTCTGCGACTCGTGTAAACGAGGTCCGCTACTTGAATATTTCACCTGCCATGGGTGTATAAACGCTGCGAATGCGGATACGTACGATCTCGTGTGTCGCTAGTGCCTTTTGTGGTAAACTTTGATGTCTGATGGGACAACTAGTGCTGGGATTGTGCGAGTAACTGTGCGAGAGAGGCACATGAAGTCGCGAATGGGTCTGGCCATGTGTTTAGACCATTTCGGCTGCGGAGGATATGCGATTATTGTCAAGGACAGATTGCATCCGACTTTCTCATGTGCACAGCATGTCGACAGGACAGTGCTTGCTATGATCTGGTCCGCCTTGTCGTTTACTTTGAGCTACGGCTTGTTTACTTTCTCACAGTGCTATACGTGTGCACTCGCAGAGGATGGAGCAGAACGACATGCGTTGGTAATGTCAAGGCAGCATACGTTTCGACTTGTCCAGTGGGATGCCAATATGCCGACCAAGCAGCCACAAGAGTTTCGGTCAAAGGAGCGGTGGTGGTGTAATGGATGTAGTAATGAGCTTACGGGCGTCTTCTTTCACTGTCTTGGATGTGGATCAGGCGCGAGTGGGTTTGATATTGTGAGTGTCCGTGGAGTACAGCAATGGGTATCTGATATGATTGCAGTGTGTATCTTGTGCAGATAGAGGTGGTTTATTCCGTCATGGAGATGTTCCGACTCATCTCTTCCTCTTTGTTCGCCCGGTGGTTGCACACTCGCTGCCATTGCCCTCTGTCAAATCCACACGCCGACCACTTCCACCAGCGCCATGAATAGGATTATATTTACAGATTCCTGACGAATTCATCAAATGAGCACCAGCCAGCCAGTCGGCTTGCTTCTTGACCCTTGTGCGTATTCACGGCGACGCCTCTTCCGATTCGACCTTTTGCCTCTTTGACGCAGATTGACAAGTGGGGCTCGCCGGAGATTTATCTCATGTTACCTCTACGCCCAAATTATAGATTTCAAATCCCCATTCCTTGTCAATCTCTGCTAGCGTGTCCTTTTTGTCCACAGCCAGCGGCCCCAACCAAGGCGCAACCTTGGACTCGACAACGACCCGTTTGCACTTTCGTGCCGCCCGCCATAAATCATCAAAAATTCAAAAACGCTGCTGTAATATCCATATATTACGCCACCTGAACGGAGAAAGAGTGTCGCCTTGTCCGGTATTATCTTTGGTGCTCACGACGGCGGATTCTCCGCTTCGTCGAGACTCGAATTCGCATTTTAGCAGTCTCTGGTACGTTTTCCATTTCTTATTTGGCTTAGCGCCCTGCGCAGCGGCCCGCTTTTCGTTCAAAGTTGTCGCGGTGAGCTGACTGATAGCGACAGCTAAAGAATCCAATGAAAATCCCCAGACGCCTAGTCAACTCTCACTTCATTCCATCTCATTTTACTTTACACTCTGAGCAAGAATGTTAGACCCCGACGTCGATCCTGGACCAAGTAGTCTGCTCGTTCATGCCTCTGTACGACGAAGCGCCAGCCCATCTACTTCCAATCTACTTCCTCCACCTTCAAAACGACAAAAGACGACTGCTACCACCGATCCCGTGGCCGCTCACAGTCCAACCGCCCAGGGCAAACGAGCAAAGGGCCGTAAGAAGCTCTTGGAACACACCATTGACATTTCCACCACCATTTCGACCTCGTACATGCCTTTGGATCCAGCCGCAGTCCCCGCAAGCAGATCGGAAAAGCCTTCGCCGACAAAGGATTCGCAGGCAGACGGCTCGATTCGTTGCATTTGTGGGACACATTGGGACGACGGTCAAATGGTCCAATGCGACGACTGTCAGACGTGGCAACACACAAAGTGCTACCGCGTCGACTTTGAGCGGCTGAAAAAGGACAGCGAGGCGCTCTGGGTATGCGTCGTGTGTGATGAAGCCAAATGGAGCCACGCGACGCTCGATTCAGAGTGGGCGAATCGAATGCAAAAGAGCGAAGAAGAGCGCGAACGCTTGGCTGCACTCGCAAAGCAGGTCGAGTCGGCGGCAGGAAGAGGGAATGGACATTCGCGACGAGGTCGTGGTACTGGGCGCCGACCGAATAACATTTCGCTCGACATTTCTTCTGCCCTTGCTGGTCGCAACATCGTGCAAGAGTCGGATGAGGAGACGGTGGACGAGCCAGAGACGTGGAGAAAGGTGTACGTGAGCATTGAGCATAATATTGGAGATGAGAGTTCTGCTCCGCACATTCGCTCCTTTCTCCAGACGTATGGCCCAAAGTCGCAGTTTGTCGCCAAGTCTGTCCAGCGGCACTATGGATGGGCCACTCCTGATCCAAAGGGCAAAGGCAAGGCGATTGAGATTGGTGACTATGATTATCTCGATCGCTCGATGCCCATCATCGTCTCGGACCGTGAGCTACGAGCGGCAGAAGACGAGGCTTGGGTCACTGTCCGTGCCAAATATTCTGGTCCTCTTCCCACCCAACCAGCGCGATCAAGCAAGTCCCCTGCTCCGCGTCCATCCACTTCAAATGCAGCGGCGACATTGGCCCCTCCGCCCCCTGCACTCGAGTCCGTACAGCCGGCTACGAGCTGGTCGTATGCAAACGTCTTTCAACGGGCGACTGGACAAACCAATCCCGTTCCGAAACCCCCAAATCCCGTTCTCACTACCACTGCACAATCAACGCCACAGCGACCCGGTCGCACCTCTACTTCGCCTGCTCCCGATGCAAGAAGAGGTGCTGCATCTCCTATCACAGTTCGCGGCGCCAAAGGTGCCGACGATGGAGCCCCAAAGGTGCAGGATCGCGTGCCGACTCAGGACCCCTATGTCGCCCAAGAATACTCCCTCCATGCATCTCAACCTATTCCTCCCCGCACGCTTATTGCCCTTTATCCAGCGAGTCTATCCTCACATGCATCATACCTCAAGACTTCTTCTAATCAGTACCTCCGCCTAGGCACGCCTAAGCCACACGTTAGGATGATGCCGCCCCCTCTTCCCCTCATCCTCGACTCTCGAGTTCTTGGTGGGATCGGTCGCTTTGCGAGAAGCGGCTGCTGGCCCAACAGTGTCCTTCGCAGCGTCGTCCTCAAGGGTCGACAGGACAAGAGTTTAAAGAGCCACGTAGGAGATCCGAGTGAGATTGTTTTTGGCATCTTTAGCTTGCGCGAGCTTCAAGAGGGAGAGGAAGTTGTACTCGGTTGGCAGTGGGACGACGCCCATCGCCTTCATCGTCTTCCTCGGCTCTTGCTCGAAGAAGCGCGTCAGACTTTGCAGGGCACAAATGACGAGACCAAGTATGTCTTTCACGTCATTTTCTATATCAATGGCTAACGTGACATAGGGACTTTGAACGCAAATATTTTTCCAAACTCTCCTTCTCGCTACAAGAGGCGTTTGGAGGGTGTGCTTGTCAAGATGATCCGACACTCAATGGAGAAGCGCCCCTGAGCGGATCATCACCTCGCAGACGGTGTGCCCTCAAGACGCTCTCCGAGTGGGTGGAACGTCAGAAGCAGCGAGAGATTGCCGCAAAAGAAATGGCAATGGACAAGGACGATAGTGAGCGAACGGAACCAGACGACACGATTCCACCTCAGGCTCCGGATCCCGCCCGCAAAGTCATCAAGCCCTCTATTGCCCATCTTTCGAACCCGGTCACTACTCCTCATGCGGTCACTTCGCATCCCTCGCTCTCTGCGCCGACTCACACTTCGAGTCCGATGCCTCAATCCTCATCTCGTGGTGCTTTGGCGTTCATCACGGGACCAGCGTTTTCCCCAAACGATCCCTTATCGAGACCGAGCGCACCCCCCGAATCCGGTCCCCGTGTTGCGATCATCCACCCAACTCCTCAACCTCCTTTGATGCAACCTGCGCCACCGTTGGTCGCACCTACACCACGACATTCCCAAGTCAGCATGCTATGGGAGCCTACTCGTCTACCCGCATCCACCCCTCGTTCCTCGGGTCCTGTCTCCATGGCCGCTCTCATTCACGAGAGCGACACGCACCCACTCTCTCGACCATCCTCTCGTCAAATGTCGACACCTCGTTCATCGAATCAACTCAAGGTACCCGTCCCACAGCACCGCGGCGCGACTCCGCTCAGTGCATCGCAAGAACTTTTCCAACTGTGGGGCCGAAACGTCACTGCTGGTGCTCTCACAGCGAGGTCAGACGATACGGATGAAGATATTCTCGTTCGTGCGCTAGATATTACACTTGGTCCGCTCATTGGAGCCAAACGAGGTGTGCGTATTGAAGATGTCGAACATGGTGGTCTTGGTATGGCCAAACCTGTCGCTGGCTATGGACGCGTCTCCTCTAGTTTGCCAAAGGCGGCCAAGCGGAAAAGGCAAGATGTGGAAGATGGCGAAGATGGCGAAGATGGCGACCTGCCCTTGCAGAAGAGACGAAAGCAAGATGTCTCCCTTCCGCCTCGTCTCCGGTCAAAGCAGAAGAGGAAGCGACATGTGCCTCGCCTTTCAAATGGGATGGACGTTGACGGGGAGCGAATCGGTCCGTCTTTTTTTTCTCAATCCTATAGAATTCACACTGATGGTGAAATAGCTACGGACAGTTACGAGTTTACATTTAGGGTCCCGACGTCGCTTTCTGCGCACGAGATGGAGGCTCCGAATCCTGACGATATTCGAGAGAGTATCATGAGGGTTCTGGAGGAGCAAGGAATGTCTATTGATGTCCTCAATGAGGCACCCTCGACACCGCCTCCTGAAGCCTCCTCTGCTCACCAGGAGACACGGCTGACTGAAGTCGAGGCGTCGACTCCAGTACCTCCAATCGCTCCTCGTTCTCCTACTCCACCCACCCAGCAGCCAGTTGTCCTAACCCCAAAGGACGAGACCCCGCCTGAGGTTGCCCATGAGGTTGCTACTGAGAACATCGCCTCTCCGGAAGGATCTCCTGCCAAGATGCAGGTCGATTCGACTCCGGAGCCACCAACGGTTAACGAGGAAAATGAGATGCAAGATGAGCATCAAGTCGTTCAAACGCTCACGAAAGTATCTTCATTTGAACAGTCGGTGACGGCCGAGCCAGCGGACGAGACTGCACGGGCCATACCGAACGAAGTGCCACAATCATCGAATCGACCTATCACACCCATCCCAATGATCATGCCGGTCGTCGATTCGCATCGACATTGGCATTCTCCTGCACCGAGCTCTGTGCCAGAGGATCATGTTCTCTTGCCAACCGAAGAGCCAACCGTGCCAGAGTCCCGGTCGCCAACAGCGTCTGACATTGAAACTGCGCCTCCTCCAGAGAGCATGTCACCGCCGCCCGCCATTGTCGTCGGTCGTAGGTTGGTCACACCGGATAGCGATCGGGAACAAACACCGGTGGTGGTGGCGGCCTCAAGGGACCAGGATAACTCGTCTGAGCTCAGCGGAGATCCCGATGACTATGCCGAGAATCAAGATGATGAGGACGAGAGAAAGTCCGAAGGGAGCGAGGAGGAAGAAGACGGGAGTGAGAATGGGAACGATGAAGAAGATGAGGAGAGCTCTGACTTTGATACCAAACAAACGTTTGACGACTCGGGCTCGCTTACACCAGCACCTTCTCCGACTCCCTTGCCTACTTCTGTTCAGGCTCTACCCGAAGTAGCGCAGCCGTCAACACCTCCACCTCACCAAATCGCACTCCCTGCCTTTGAATCGTCTTTGACTTCGTCCTCGATAGTCGCGACACAAGCCGAGCTCGTTCAAAAGGAGGACGATAGGGCCTTACAGGAACCGTCCATCGCGTCTGCGCCGCCCAAGGAGGCTCCCGCCCTCTCAACTGTTCCCGAACATGTTCTCCATCAGAGCAACACACCGCAAAGCTCTCCAGGTCCCGAGGATATACCGCCTCCTGGTTCTTCTGCAGATCAGCCACCTAGTGATAAGCCACAACAGACGCATATTCGTCGTATGACGCTCAAGGATTATGCTCGAAAACGAAAACTGGCTGCCGTCTCACCTCTGCCTCCATCAGGACCTGTTGCGACGGGCTATTTTGCCAAAATGTCGTCTCCTGGACCCGCACCCGCGCCGACGGCTACAGAACCTGTTCCGACTGAAGAGCCAGTGACACCGCTTACGGCTGCATTACCCCGGAGAGACGATGCAACTCCTCTAAGAGTGGATTTATCCCCTTTTCCCGACCCGATATCGTTGAAGCGTGAGCAATCGATCGAGGTGCATTTCTTTTCTCTTTACTTAGGAGATATTGACCATTGCCTTTAGCCTCTTTCTCTTACATCCTCTCAGCAAGCCGCAGTCTCCTCTCCGACGGTCGCCAACCCACCACGCCCACTACCAGTATCTCACCCTATTTCTAGACAGTTGGATACTGATCGCTCTCTGTTACCATCACCTTTTCCAATATCAAGTCTGGACAGGGAGACTTCACCAGTGAGCGTCAGGACGGTCTCGAGTCCTCCGCGCCACCTACCCACTGTCAGTTCACCACGTGCTACTTCGCCAGCAGACCTGAACGCCATCAAGATGATGGAGGACGGAGAGATTGAAGCGTCGACGACGCCTTCGCCCTCGAGAACGCCCGCTCCTTCCTTTGGTGGATCTCTCCCCACTCGAAGATCCACATCGCCGATGCGGTCTTCATCGTTTGCGGATGGCAAGGCCTCTCAGGCGCCAAATCAACCACGGTCAATGGGTCCACGCGCGAATGGGGCGCCCTCTCATGCCTTTCCATTCAATAGTCAACCCAGTCGTTCGTCTACCAACGGCACCCCGTCACGTCCTCCACCTCCTAGAAGTGATCGACCCCCACCGTCTGGCCCGCGTGCTCTCCGAGGCCTCGACGGGCGTGGACCACCTCCTCGACACTCTGACCGGCCTCCCGACAAGCCAGCACGCGCCTGGGACAGAGATCGAGATCGAAGCGATATGGACCGCGATCGTGATCGTGACCGGGACCACCGACTGTGGAGACCGCGGGGTGGATATCCAAGGGGTTAATTCGCACATCTCTCGGACTGACTGGCGCTTTCTTGTTTTTTGCGTAACTGCGTATTATCCTGACTTATTGCCTGTACCTGCTTTTATTCCTTTGACTGGTCCTCCATCGTGTACTTTTCCTCTTGCAGACGTCGCCAAGTACCGGGTTTTCTACACTGTGTTCACTCTATCAAGTCTGAATGATACCTCCCTCAATTGTACTCAATCACCCCCCGAATCAACTAGCAATGATTCTTTGTCTACCTTGGTTCCGGCCTCGACTTCTGGACTTTGTATCTGCACGCCGGATTGGACGGTTTTGGACACGGAATGGATTCCTCAGGCTCGAAACCATTCTCTGCGGAGCGTTATTTCGCCACTCAGCCAAAACCGGCGTATCTTGATGAGATCTTGAACGGCGTTCGCGAGTTTGTCGCCGCGAATCGACAAGCAGGACGCCGAATTGTGCTCGTAACGGTATATGAATCATGATTATCGCATTGGACACGCGACTTATCATCTCGAATGACAGTCAGGAGGGACGACAGTCCCACTCGAACTAAACGTGTATGTCTCTTCCCTTTCTCAAGACGTTTACTTTCTGAGTGGCAATCGTCAGTGTTCGCTTTCTCGACAACTTTTCTGCGGGTCAGTTGTTAGTCTATGATGCGTTCTTTGTACGTCTGTGGCGAGTGGATGGAAACTGAGTTACTGTCTAGGCACACGAGGAGCGACGTCTGCCGAATACTTTCTCTCGCATGACTATGCTGTCATCTTTATGCATCGACAATTCAGTCAACAGCCGTTTCTGCGACACTACTCGCATTCGACGAATCCGTTTCTTGACCTCTTAGAAGTCGAGGAAGACGAACCTCCGTCGAACCAAAACCCTGGAACCCCATCAGACGGGAAGCCGCGACTCCCACGGATTACAGTCAATCCATCACCAGAGGCACGACCACTGCTCTTACATGTCCTTCGAGAGAACATGCGCGTAAAGCGACAGGGCACTCTGCATACAGTCACATTCGTGACGATTGATGACTATCTGTTCCTCTTGAGGGATATTGCAGGGATTCTGGGGAGCGATGCTACACACGGGCGCGATACCCTGTATTATCTCGCCGCGGCAGTGAGCGATTTCTTCCTCCCGCGGCAAAAAATGGCAAGTGCTATCTTATTGCTTGACCATGGCTCTCGCTTATTGACCCAATGGCGGTTGGATATGATTCGCTAGTCGGAGCACAAGATTCAGTCGGGAAAAGGGACGCTTCATATTGAGATGGATCAAGTACCGAAAATCCTGAAGCCACTGGTCAGCGAATGGACTCCAGGTGGATATATTGTCAGCTTCAAGGTGCGTTTGCTGGCTTTACTCCACACTACCAATGTTTTCCAATTCGCTTGAACGTTGACTGGTTATTGAACAGCTTGAAACGGACCCAGCGCTCTTGATTCCCAAATCTCGTATCGCACTGGAGCGATACGGCCACCAAGTCGTCATCGGCAACGAATTACATACACGAAAGTATCAAGTCGTCTTTGTCGAACCAATAGACCCAGCCTCGCAATCACAAGCAACGGACGCGGAGCGATTCACCGAAGAGTGGATCAAGATTCGCGAGGATGACGACGTTGAGATTGAGAAGCTAATCGTCGAGAAGCTGATAGCCAGACATACCGCGTGGATAAACAGGCTAACCGTGAATAAAGTCTGAGGATTCCGTCCAGAGTAAACCATACACGCTCCTATCCGTACTTTAGGGTATATACTGATCAACCGTCCCCTTCATGGCGCGTGGATGGGATTCCAGCTGACCGCACCCATGTCACCCAAATCCAGACTGTCAAGTTTTTCCATATCGGCATCGTCGATTGCAAAGTCGTATACATTTGCATTCGATCTAATTCGCTCGTCATGAATCGACTTTGGCAAAGGGGAGAATCTGCAATGGTGTTCAGGGAGCGTGGTGTACGGAAATAAAACCACCTACCCCTTCTGCAGACTCCAGCGTATCAGAATTTGAGGAACCTCCTTGCCGTATTTCAACGAAAGCTCTTTGAAAACTGGATTGTCCCATCGCTGCCCGCGCATGATGGGGCAGTACGCCTGGACGACAATGTTATTGTCCTTGCACCATTGTACAATCGGCCTTTGTTGACAGAACGGATGTAGTTCAATTTGATTCACCGCAGGGAGTTCCAACGACGCCGACTTGATCTCTTCGAGGTGACGCACCCCGCTGCCGGTTCGATCAATATTAGCCTCGCGCACAGAGAAAGCATCAAGCATACTAGTTTGAGACGCCGATAGATTTGATCTTTCCATCGTCCCGTGCCTTGATGAGAGCCTTCCATGTGTCAAGCCGTCGCTCTTTTCCAGAGAGCGGGTCATGAATCAGAAAGAGGTCCATGTATTCGAGTCCAAAGTTCCTTAGAGATTGGTCTATCCACGTCAGAGTCTTTTCGTAACCATGATTTCGCGAGTTAATCTTGGATGCTATTCGGTCGTCAGCTTTGAAGGAAAACGAGGGCACCTTCAAGCGCACTAATGAATAGCATTTCCCGTACAAGTCCGCTCTCTTTAACCGCTTGTCCGACCTCTGGTATCGTCAGACGTGGGATTGGACGATGACGAAGCCCTCACCAGTCTCATTTCTGTAAACTTGGGCAGAGTCTACGTGCCTAAGAGCCGCAATTAGTGATTGAATACCCAGGGTCATTGAGGAGGTATAAACTCACCTGTACCCAGCTCTGAAAGCGGCCGCGCAAGCGGTAGTCGCAGTTGGCCCCGTATTTTGGTAGACGCCGAGTCCTAACAGAGGCATTGCACGTCCAGATCTTAGAGTGACTGTCGAATTCAGCGAGAGCGGCATGTCGCCAATATTCATTATCGTGGTCGAGGTCAAGTTCAGAGGTGGAATAAACTCAATTAGAGCGAGACATTCAAGCAGATAGTCACTCTATTATGAACAAGTACATTGTACTGTAGTGGTCGTGTGCTATCTCACGGCTTGGCCATCACCGTGACTGCAATCAGCTCGATATGGAAGTCGTAAGCCGCCATTTGGGTCATTAATCGAACATAAGCTGACGTATATACAGTATATCGCAAACGGGTGAGGCCGTTTCTCCATCCCCAGACCTCAGAGCTTATCCAAATCGACATCCCAGAGGGGTCAAGAAATGCGACTGCTGTGATAAAGACTATCTTGTCAAATTCTTTACATGCACGGCATGTGCACCGCATTCTAGTGACAACAGCGTTGACATTGTCAAGTCGTGTCTTTCGCTCCTCCACGCCCTTGCTAATCGTGATATAGTGCACGACTTGCTGTTTAATGTACGCTCGAAGCTCACCAAGCACGCTGTGGACCAAATCATCAATTTGTTTTTATGCGTACACGACGGCAATGCGGAGGATGCGGCACGGCCATCAGTAGCGATTACATGAAGTGCAACAATTGTTCGTTCGACCTAGTACGTACTCTATTTCTCCCTCTGCGCACCCCTTGACAACGCTCCTAGTGCATGCTATGCACCGTCCGTCGGCGGCCCATGGAAATCCATCAACACACAAATCGGAACCACACGTTCAACTACTCGGCATGGCTACCACACAATAAACCAGGGCCCATCCGCACAGTGCAGAAGTTCCAGCTGAATTGGCAATGGCGATGTGACGTAAATGGCCCAGGGTGTACGCCGTATATCACAGGCCCATTCTTCCATTGCCTTGATTGTGACAAACCAGGATTCGATATTGTATTTCCCTTCCTTTCTCAGCCGCGCGGTAACATACTAAAAATACTATAGTGCGCTCACTGCGCTGATTTTGGAGGCATATGGAGACACGTCCGGCAAACTGGACACAGATTCAGCTTTCTACAGCAAGAAAGTCACATCGAGACGTCGGATCCGCCACCACCCTATCAGCCCTTCTGAGACCCTTTGGTCGTATCATTTTGGGTCAGGGAGTATTGATCGTCTTTCTCGTAGCCGGGAAAATACATCCTGTATACCAAATTTGCAACGGCATGATCAGTTTTGCTTCTATGGCACGTTTATGGGCGGGTTCCAGCCCGCTATCGCACCAGCGTCGCCTTGGTCCAAAGCATCCAACGCTGCCATATCCTCTTCGCTGATATTGAAATTGAATACATCCGCATTATGCTTTACGCGATGTGCTTGTGAGGATTTTGGAAGAGGGATAAACCTAAGAAAAGGCAATGAGACGCCACAAATCGTGACGGAAAAGTACATACCCTTTCTGAAGGCTCCATCTCACGAGTATCTGACCAGTATCCCTCTCATACTTCTCAGACAAGTTGACAAGAGTGGGATTATCCCAATTTCGGCCACGGACGAGTGGGCAATATGCCTGATGCTTGTCAGCTTAGTCGGCGGGAAGGAACAGCTTGCGCACCTCTACGACGACCCCGTTCTCTCGACACCACTTGACAATATCTCGCCTTTGGCAAAACGGATGCAGCTCCACCTGATTCACAGATGGCAACTCGAGGCCTGCATCAACGATTTGCTGGAGGTGACGAACAGCGCTATAAAGAAAGTCAATCTCTATGCGAGATAAGGTAAAATTGTCCTTACAAGTTACTGACGCCAACATTCTCGACAAGGCCTTCATCTCGCGCCTTGAGGAAGTCCTTCCACATTGACAATCTATCCGCTGGATCGATTCTTGGATCGTGTATCAGCAAGAGATTGATTGGACCGAACCAGAATCGGTCATTGTCATGTCTTGAAAACTGGCGATGGGAAGACTTTACATGTTTATCGACTTCTTTCCAATCTCTGGACTGAATTTTTGTCGCTAATCGCCCCAGATATGTGTTAGATCTTCGAAATGTAGATAGAAGCCTCGCACTTACTGACGAATATCTCGGATCGGGGAAGTCCACTCTTCGAAATGGCTTCTGCCACTTCAGCTTCGTTTGCGTACATCTGCGCCGAATCTATGTGTCTATATCCTGCTTCGAGTGCGGCTAGACATGCGGTGACGACTGTTTCCCCAGTGTTCTTATATACGCCGAGCCCCAGACTCGGGATCTTAGTCCCAGAGGAGAGGGTCTGGTATGAGCGAATTGAGAGCCCTTCCGGTTGTTCTGAGGAGCTCATAATATCTGCCTGATTGCGGTAAACAGTCGTTCAACGAAATGCGCCGTTGTGGTGGGTGACTAAGTCCAGTATTGTGAGTGGCCAAGCTGCAGGGATGAGATGTTCTATTGGTCTACATACGTCATCACGGAGAAGAGTTAGGTACGGCCGCCGATGCCCTAAGCGACATATGGCGGAGGGTCTTCGCTTCTCTCCAGAATATCGTTATTCTCTGCAATATCTGGTGAACCGGAAACGAAAGCATTCACTCCTTCTGGTAACACTCCTCCAACTTCAAGCACGAAAAGTACCATATCGTGGGGATGCTGCCGAATATGGCGACGGCCTTTGCCGTCTTCAGCGCATTTGAGACACTATTCACTGTCAGTAGAAGGTTTAGAGACTATAAGACGCACTATATCATAAGACCTGCAACCAAGACAGACGAGAGCCCCTTGTTGGAGGTTTGTTTCACAATGCTTACAGTTCCAGCTGTCGTAGCTTGGTCGGCTTGGGACAGAGATGAGCTCAAGTTCTTTGAGCATATGATTAGGTCTTATTTCTACATGCGAGAACCCATGATTTCCTCGCGTTGACTTGTGACTGGCCATAGCTGGCGTGTCAATAGAGCATTTTAGGCACTTCTTGCGTCATTTCAAACCTATAGCAGCTAGATAAGATACATACCAAGGCAAAAGATGGAATGCTGTTATCGTCTGTGCACCTAGTACACATGACACAGTTGCGAGTGATAGGCGACCGACAGTGACGACAGGTACGTTGAAGGCGCGTCAGAGCAAACTCATGGTTTGCACCGTTTCGATAGGTGTGTATCTCACGAGAGTATGGATTGATACAGTTGAAGCACTGGTAAGGGTCAAGGTCTGAAGCTGCTGATAGGACGCAGTCTTACAATCTTGAAAGGGCATCCTTGACAGCTATACCATGCGAGGTGACTAAAGCTATTGCAAATATGGCACGCCTGAGGCTCCCTTGGGCGGCGTGAGAATGTCAGAAAACCGTCAAAGTCTGGGTACCAACCTGCGATATACCTATATGCATGTTTCCATTTATAGGGTTAGTCTCTCCTGTTTATTTTAGAGGTACGTACAATCGACATGCCAAAGACTTTCGGGTTTGCGTGAGAGAATTGACGCGCGAGTAGTTTGTACCGTAGCGTCTCTTTATAACTTGAAGACGGCAACTAACGTGGCAGTGTAAAGAAGACGTTCGACTGCGAGTATTTCGTTCCATCGCTGCGGTCATTGAAACTTGCGTTTGAAATCCGCTCTGTAAACATGCTCGCACATTTATAACCGCCCACATTTGGAGTCCAGCAATTAATTGTGCTTAAGAAATATTTCTCAACTCGGAAATCGTCGCTCGTCGGTGCAGGTCGCAGAGTCCGGGTGCCTCATGCCCGAAAACAAATTATACATTCATCACCTCCGTCATCTGCCTTCTTTCTATTCAGTGCTAAAACTTGCAATAATACTAGCCCGTGTAGGGTGGCGGCCTATCGTCTACATCTCCTGTGCTCAGCACCAACCCTCCTGTCGACAGAGTATCCAAATTGCCGGCCGAGGTGGACGGGAGGTAGCTGAAGATGTGACAAAAACCCGTCAATATCGAGGATGTAAAAGACTAGCTCATGGCTCCTGAATCGGATATGGCGAAGTCCTTGGCCCGCATCTACGCAGTGAAGACACTAGGCAAAGTCAGACTCGTGTTGAGCTGTCAATAGGCAGAGATAAAGTCCCTTACGAAGTCATAGCTCATACAATCTAGGCAGACAAGGGCGCCGAGCTGGAGCAACCGTTTGCAAAGAGTGCATTTCCATCTCTCGTATTCAGGTCGGTTAGGTACCGAGATGAGTTCTGTCTCCTTTAATGGATGTATTGGTTGTAGCTCGCTGTGAAGGAAGCGGTGAAAGGTGTTGTTCTTTCGGCGATGTTCCGATATAAAGTCCGTGTCAATGGAACACTTTAAACACTAGACGAGGAAATTAGACCGTGTTCCTCGGTTTAGACCCGCATACAATGTCGATTGAATAGCATTTAGAACAATGGAGATGGTTCCGCCTTATCACGGCGCGGCAGGATTGACACGTCCGCGTCATGCGATGGAGGACAAAGGTGTGGTTTTGGCCATGCAAGTGAGTATGAGCTTCCCTAGTGTAGGGCGCCAAGCAATTGAAGCACTTGGTGGACTGAGTGTCTATTCGGGTAGTCGGCTTGAATGCTCACCATGTTCTTGGAGCATTCGGAGCAGCTGTACCACTCCGTAATCCCCGTTTTCTCGCAGTAGTCACAAACGCGCGCTTCTCTAAAGGAGATGAGCAATGGTCGAGGCATATTCATGGGGTTCACCGATGAAAGATCTGCGAGGTATTAGCCTGGAGATAGGAAGGAACGAAAACTCACAATAGACATTTCCGTGATAATATATCTCGAGTAGAATGGCTTATGTACAGATTCGCGTAAACTACGGAAAGGAGTTCTGGGCGGTGTACGAGAACGCTCAGGTCCATATTGTACGGAGGATGGTTGGAGGGTTGACTGTCGGGTTTCAATTGGAGAGAATGCCTGCCGCTTGGGCAATTGGATGTTGGTGAGCCGTCTGTATGGAACCTGGAGGGCATTTGGACTTGGTACTCCGAGGGGAGGTAGTAGGGAATTATCCCGCGTAGGGAGGAGGCTCTTCGTGGTCGTGGATGTCACTCTCGTGGAGAGGGAGTTGAGACGTCGAAGCCCCCAAGTTATCCATTGATGTAGCGAAATGAGCCGCACTTGACGTGGATAGTAGTCCATCAACGTTGAGAATGTAGAATACCATGCTATGGTGCGTTCTTCGGGCATGACGCGCACCCTCCTTCTTGTCTACGCACTGAGTACACTGTAGAACGTAAGGGTGAGAGAGCTAAGATCTGTATAAAACCGGCTTACCAAGTCAAAATCCTGACAGTCAAGACATACCAGAGCCCCGAGCTGAAGAAGCCCCTTTGCAGATTCTGCACTTCCAGTCATCGTACGTCGGTCGATTACGAACAGAGATGATCTCTAATTCGTTCAGTGGATGGACGGGCTGTAGCTTTACATGGATGAACCGGTGTGATGCGCCAAATCGCGTACGGTGACCGGTCGCGTAGCTGGTATCAATGGAGCATTTCATGCACTAATGCGAGTCAGTCAAATTTCATAGACATTACTAATGACCTACGACGTCCGTGGAGCATTCTGTACATTTTAAAAAGTTGCGTGTGATGGGGACTCGACAGCTACGACACGTCCGTCGAACTCTATTGAGAGCAAAAGCATGTCCTGGCCCATTCAAGTGGGTATGAGCCTCGCGGGTATAGGGCTCGAGACATTGATAGCACTTGGCGTCGTCAGGAGGGGTAGTTACTGTAGGAAGAAAGATCTCACGACGTCTCTTGGGCATTCAAGACAGCTGTACCACTCTGTAATCCCCCTCTTGAGGCAGTAATCGCAGATGCGGGATTCCCTGAACGCCTGTTAGCCAGCAAAGTAGCTTTTAGAGGTCTTACGAATGATATATCTATGTCGTTGATAAGCCAGTTACTAGCATAAGAAGGATGAGGACTCACTATGGACATGTTTGTAGTCTCAGAGGTGCCAATACGCTGGTCTTTATAGAAGATCGCATAAACTACGGATGGACTGGGCGGTGTTCCTGAGAGATGTAGAGATGCCTAGGAATTGTGGAATGAACCCTTTTCTCAAAGACTGTCCTGAGCGCTTCCCCGGGTTATGAGTGATCTACAATCGCTGACCTTGTGATCTTCGGGTTTGCCAGACTGCATTTGATTATTAAAGGGTATTGTGTGCGCCTTTGCATCCCCATCGGCATGTGCTCGAGATGCGAACGGCCGGCGAATTTCCATTGGGGCTCGACTTGAAGTTGGACCCTCCCGCGTTTCTGGAAATTGTCAAGAATATTCCTAGACGCTCCGCAGTCATCATATAGTCCCTTACTCTTCCTTCTCGACTGCAGGATTCTGGCTCAACACACATTTTCACGACCTTCAACGCGAGTTTGCTAACGTTTTTCCCTGCATATACTCGTCTTTCAAGCTTTCTGCCACCTAGGAAACGATGCAAAACGTGTCCTTGTTGCTCGCTATCTGCGCTGTCCTTGCGTCAGCGACACCTTCGCCGACCGCGGCTCCGGATGCAGGTCGAGCAGCCTCGCCGCTGCATAAACGAAGCCAGTTGGACGCACGAAATGATCAAATAATTTCGATTCCACTCGTCCGACGCAGTCGACCCCGCCCATTCCGCAAGGGCAAGCTCAGCTCCAAGGAATTGGCCGACATCGACTATGTCACAGACGTCGCCGCTCTCCAGGCTTCACGTGATGCTCTCATCGAGAAATATGCAGAGACTCGTGATGCAGACGTCGTAAAGCGTCTACAGGAGAAGCGAGAGGCCGAGGAGAGTGCGCTCAATGGCAAACGCGACATCAAGACGATTCAGATGGCCAATCATCAGTTTGATACGACGTATTCTGCCGTCGTTTCGTTGGGAACTCCACCAAAGCCGTACGTGCCACTGTTACCTCGGACGGACTCGTACTCACGGATGCGCCTAGATTCAATTTATTATTGGACACCGGGAGTTCGTGAGTGTTTCTTCTCTTGCCACGCCAACGGAATCGTTGATCACACATCTTGCTTCTCCCATTTCCACGCCAACGGATTCGCTCACCGCCCGTCCCGTTCGGAACGTCACCCATACAGAGATACCTGGGTTGCATCGACGAACTGCTCGTGTACAGGACCAGGCTGCCAGGCATGCGTTTTCGGCAACACTTATAACACTTCTTTGAGCTCCACCTGGATCCAGCGTGGCAAGACTTTGTTTATTCAATACGGCAGTGGCTCTGTATCCGGTCGAACTGGAAGTGATGTCGTCGAGCTGGGTGGTTATACAATCAATGACCAGGTCATTGGTATTGTTGATCAAGCGCAGCGCGCTATGCCTGGAAGCGTCGAGGGTCTCATGGGCTTCGCCTTTGGCACAATTAGCAAGGCGGGGGGAACACCGTGGTGGCTACGAGTCATCGCTGGGGATGCCAACGACACTGGTGGGACACCAGATGGTCGGGTCATGTCCTTCTGGTTCTCCAGGTACGCCCGTTCTTGTCACTGGTAATCGATACTGAGCACTAGTAGATATATCGATAGTGCGGATTCTGCAGAAATTCATCCTGGTGGACAGTTCACCATTGGCGGTACCAACTCGTCTTTGTACACCGGAGACATCAACTACATCGACGTGATCCAGCCAGCGAAGTGGTGGCTCATTCCAATCCAAAGCGCTGGTATTGAAAATGGCCCTAGCGTCTCGGTGACAGAAGGGTACGCGTCAATTTCCTGTGATTTATTTCGTCTAATGCCTTTTTAGACGCCAAAATGCTATCATAGACACGGGGACCACACTCGTTGGTGGTGAAGACATCGTGTTGGACGCAATTTATGCTAACATTACCGGTGCGATCAAGGGTGGAGAGCTGACTATTCGCCTCACTGGATTCTGGACTCTTCGTGCGTATCCTCGTCTCGAGTGCTCGCGCCCATAGCTGACTTTTCTTAGCGTGTGACACCACCGCCGTCGTCACTTTGACCTTTGGAGGGGTCACATACACTTACTCGGCGGTCGACCTCCTATACCAGCGAATCGACGATATCAAGCCCAACTACTGCCTCTCGAGTCTCTTCGTCTTTTCATCTGCAGACCCGCACTCGTTGTATTACACACCCAACGGCTCGCCTTACTGGATTGTAGGCGATGCCTTTCTCAAGAATGTATATTCGGTTTATTCCCTCGGTTCTGGAGGCTCTGGAGACGCTGGAGTTCAAGGAATGGGAAACAATGGTGCGACCGCGCAAGTCGGCTTTGCCAAATTGTCCAACGTCAGTGGAGAAATTGGCAGTACCGGGAATACAACGACTACCACGTTGACGGGGACGACAACTACTCGAGGACCACGTCCGGCGTCCACAGATCTGCCGGTGGGTGTCATCCCAGACGTCGACACCACTATTGTCGTCGTTGTTACGGCCACTCCCGACGCGACACAGCCCGCGCCGTCGTCTGCGTTTGCTACTGCAGGCATCGCAACTTCGTTTGCGCTAGTCTCGACACTTGGCGCAATGGTCCTCCTCTTCCTATAGTGGCCTTTTCCCGCAACGATTTCCGACCTGCGACCGTGCCATGGACCGAAATTCACCTCTAGCACATCTAGTTTCTTCTCGATCCCGCCTACAGAAACGTAGACGGCGCATTCTGTCGCTCGTTTATACCCCGACTCGCTCCAGTCAGTCTGGACTTTTGTTTACGACCTTTAATGACTGCCGTGGTGCGTCTCCGATGTGGAGCTGATTTACATCATTCGTATCTATCACCGCATGGTTTGACGTTTCCGGCAACCTCCTAGCTATTGTTCTCTTTTCTAGCGAGAGCCTTTACCCCGTCTTCTTCCCCCCTCGCATCTTTCTTCTCTCTAGCCATTGCGTTGCTGGCTATCGCTGATTGTATCGCTCCGTGGCGGAATTTCTACTTTCCGCCGCCCTACTCTTCCTTGTAGTTGATCGTGAAACAAGACACCAACTCGACGAACGCCCGTGTTCACTGTCTGCCGTGAGAATAGGATACAGGCAACACCCGTGTAGGCTTTAATTGGGTCATGATCGAATATACATTCAATGCTCTCGGCGACGTAGTTTGGCGTGAAACGAGATACCAATCTGACGAATCGGTAAGTTTCTTGCAAAAATTGCACGAGCAGACGTATATCCGAGTTGGAACCGTGCGAGGAGGCCCGCATCTACATAATAGTTGCCATGAACTCAATCAGGGGTTTGTATTTTCCTTTGTAGCTCCTCTTCGTCCGCGGGCTCATATGTCTTTGCTATTTTGCTTGTCGCTGAAGTTGCTTGAAGGTGAGCCTGTGTTCAATGAGTCGAGAGGGGATGAAGTGGCACATCATACATACTCTTTCTGCGTGAAATAAACCCCATTCCTCGAACTGAAACCCCCATAGTCGAACGGAAATGGCCCACGACTGGCTTTATCCCAGTTGTAGTCGTGATAATAATTTCTGATCCAGGCTTGCAGCGACCCTGTCATCTGTTCACAAAGATTGTAGAATATAGCTCGAAGCTCTACTCCTGATCGATTGCATTCGAGAAGTTGGGAATTGTGAGCCTGTCCTCCAGAGATGTGTCAAATAGCAGACTTCCGCAGAGAGAAGCCGTCAACGAATGAAGTTGCGCAAGTGTCTCTGCTAGGTCACTGGCGAAACGTCGACGCGTCTGAACACCAGGCGTCAAAACAATCGTAGAGGCGCTTTCCTGGCATATAGTCCATGACGACCCATTCGGCACGTATGGGATTATGAGGACTGCTGCAATATAGAAATACCTGGGGCGTAGGGATAGATGTGCGTGCTGAAAGGGAGAATGATTAGACCTTCGTTAACACACGAGTCTGTCATACCACGGACAAAGTCCATCGCAGCGACTTTGGTTTCCGTTTTGATCGTCGGTCTGGTGGGGAATAAAATACGCCCTACAACTTTGAGGTCATTTTGCAAGACAAAAAGAAAACTTCTGGCGTAAGCGCCAATTGGGAAAGGTTCCCGTTTGTCGCAAGGGGACTCGAAATAGGTGCTAATAATGGCCTGTAGCTCCTGTAGATCGGGATTCGCCTCTGTCTACATGCAAGTTTCTTCTTTCATACAGTCATGGCTATTGTGACTCTGTATCACTCGCTAAGAATACAGTGATGTCGCCTCCTCTGTAAACTTACCGTCATGGCAAGTTCTGTTGATACTAGGACGCGTGAGGTGAGAGGCAAGACCAGTATATAGTGTGGCAAACCTAGGACGCGTGAGGTGAGAGGCAAGACCAGTAAGGTCCGGCCGCATCGTCCCGCGTCCCTAAATACATTGAGTTATGACGTGAGCTATTACTATCGGCTAAGCCTATTTAGTGAGCGCTAAGAGTCAAAGGGTAAACCTTCAACATGACCCCCTGACCCTGTGACTTAGCGCATGGACTGAGTACGGGCATGTGGGTGAGGGATCAGACCGAGCATTTTGACAAACTGTTCAAACTTGATGCGGCCTAGTGGTTTGGTGAAGATGTCGGCAACATTGACGGCTCCAGGGACATGAGCGACGCGGATTTCATTATTGGCAACTCTCTCGCGAATCCAGTTGAAGCTACGGTGAACATGCTTCATAGTGGACTGGTGTTCTGGGTTCTTGGCAACTTGGATGGCAGAGGCGTTGTCAACAAATAAGGTGGATGGGTAGGACGCAATGTCGTAGCCAATTTCATCGAGGAATGACCGCATCCAGATCATTTCGCACCCGGTAGCGGAGGCTGTTGTATACTCCGACTCTGTTGATGATAGTGATGTGTGGCGCTGGAGTCGGCTACTCCACATTACAGCGCCACCACCGATTGACATGACAAAACCGGCTGTTGAGCGGGTATTATCGGCATTTCCACCCAGATCGGCATCACTATGTGTTATGAACAGTTCATCGGAGTCGGGTTTAAGGCCGTAGGTGAGCTTGTAGTTTGTTGTTTTGCGGAGATATCGCAGTATCCGTTTGAGAGCTAGCCAATGTGCTTGTCCAGGGTTCTCGCTGAACCGACAGAGCACCCCCACGGCATATGAGATGTCTGGTCGAGTGGCAGTGGCGAGGTAAATGAGCTTTCCAAGGGCCTCTCGATAGGGTAAATTCTGCATTTCCAACTTCTCCTGCTCAGTTTGTGGTGAATCCTTGGTGGAGAGGAGCGGCTTTTCAGCCATAGGCGTGTCGGCGCCATTACAGTCCTGCATTTTGTAGGTTTCAAGAATCTGTTCAATGTACGCAGGTTGAGAGAGGGAGATGGTATGGGATTGGCGATCGCGCTCAAGCTTGACACCAAGTAGGAATGAGGTAGGGCCTTGGTCATGGATCTTGAAGCGTGCTTTGAGCTCATCCTTCGCCATTTGAATGGCTTCGGATGACTTTGATGCAAGCAGTAAGTCATCGACATGGACTGGTACAATGATCTTCACACTGTCGCGTTCATAGATGAAGACACTGTGATCGCTTTCGAGACGTTTGAATCCAATTTCTGATAGGACAGTGTGTAGCTTCACAGACCAGATGCGAGGGCCTTGTTTGATTCCATAGAGGCCCTTGAGAAGTTGAAGCACCCAGCTCGTGCCTTCATAGCCCTCGAACTCGACACCTTCTGGCTTTTGCATGTAGACCTCTGCATCAATCTCACCGTTGAGGAAGGCGGTTGATATGTCTACTGACTCTAGCTCCCAGTCTTCAAGCGCTGCAAGTGCTATGATGGTGCGAAGGGCACCAAAGCGAGCTGTTGGTGCAAAGGTCTCTGTGTAGTCGATTCCCTCTCGTTGTGCATATCCCTTTGCCACAATTCGTCCCTTGTATTTGCTAATAGACCCGTCTGCGTCACGTTTGATCTTGAATACCCAACGTGAGCCGATAGCCTTTTTGCCTTGGGGGAGTCGCACAAGCTTCCACGTGCCGTTTTCCAGGTGAGCTCTGACCTCTTCTATAGCCGCTTGGACATACTTGTCGCCGTCAGGGCGTTTCAGAGCTTCTCCCAGTGTTGTTGGCTCGCGGCTTGTAGACGTGTTTAAAGCAGCTTCGACACCATCAACAATGGGAATCAGAATATGGTCGGGCGCTTTGAAGTTCGGCTTGGGTCTCCAGCGTCGAGCTTTAGTTGGCACATAAGAGCTGGGATTCGAGGGTAGGGACGCATCTTCTGTGGCTAATTGGACATTATCTTCATCTGAGCTCTCATTTAATTCGAGATCTGAGTCAGATTCAGTCAAAGTGCCTGGCTGACGCGCAACTGTGTGTCGTTGCGCTGGGAGATTTGTAGGAACCTTCTCGAAATTGGTCTTATCGGTGAGTGCTCGAAGCTCACGACTCAGACGCTGTGAAGCTGTGGGTTTAGGCCGTGCCAGTGCTGGTACTGGCGGAGGGACAGGCTCAGGCGTAGGCTCGGGCGGTATGGGTGCAAGTACAGGTCTCCCTGCAACGTGAACAGGAGGGTGAGAGTTTAGAGGTGGAATGGAAGATGGAGAGATATTGATTTCCTTGAGATCTGGTAGCTGGATGTAGTCGGAGAGGTTTGGAATTGATTCCTTTGCAGTGTGACGTGCCTGGAAAGACTCTCTCATCGAATGCAGCACTGTCACTGTGTATAATCTTTCGTGTCTGTGGGTTCCAGAACACCCAGCCAGGGCGGTCAGATGGGTACCCCACGAAGATGCACTTCTCAGTGTGCGAATCAAGAGCATTCCGCTGTGATTTTGGGACGAAGACATAGGCAAGGCATCCGAATACTCAAAGGTGATCGACACTGGGAGCTTTACCATGCCAGTGTTCATATGGTGTCTTTCCATTGTGAACTCGGGCACGATTGAACTCGTGGACAGTGGCAAGGGCAGCGAACCCCCAAAAAGATGATGGAAGATTCGCTTCTGTAAGTTTAGCGATTGTCCCTTCAGCTATCCATCGGTTCGCTCGCTCGACCCGTCCATTCTGCTCTGGTGTGGCAACTACGGTGCGTTCCCTTGTAATCCCAGCAGAGATGCAGTATTGGTCGAACTCTTTCCCACTGAACTCGCCACCTTTATCGTCTCGCAAGTGTACCAAGCGCTGGCCTGTCTGGTTCTCAGCGAGCTTATGGAACTCGCGGAAAGCCCTGAGCGCTCCATCTTTTGAGTGGAGAAGTGCGAGTGTGACAAGATTAGACGCATCATCCACCATAGCCATCCAGTACTTGGCACGGTGTGGAATGGACTCAACATTGATTGGGCCTTTTAGATCAATAAAGACGCGATCTAATGGAGTTGTAGCATGGGTTGCTGGTGTAGTATGAGGCGCTCGAGTCTGTTTCCCTGCAATACACGGTGCGCATATAGGGTCGGGCTTTGCATTTGAGTCAAGCTTGAGTCCATGAACCAGATTTTGGCGGATTAATGTATCAACTCCCTCGTGGTGATAGTGGCCCAGGCGACGGTGCCACAGTGAACGGTCTAGTTTCACTGTGCTCGCAGCATTTGCCTTTTCGGATGTGAGAACTCGTCCATCAAGGTAAGCAACGCAATTAGCATCAATTCGAGCTGTCATGCGTAGCTTATTGTCGATATAGAATTCCATTTGCTTGGAATTGATGCGAATTTCATAACCCTGATTGCGGGCCATTGAGAGTACTGAGACAAGATTTGATTCGAGATCAGGAGCAAAGAGCACATTAGGAAAAGTGATGAGATTAGGGCTAAAGGAGCCGTCTATCCATGGCTGAAACACAATATCCCCTTCTCCTTTCGAGAATATCCTCTCTCCATTAGCTAGTTTAATTGTCCTGACCGAAGGGCAAAGCGTAGTAAAGTATCGCTTGTCACTCATCATTGTCCGAGTGGCCCCTGTATCGGCATTCAGATCAGACCTAGCTAATAAAGGGAGAGAAGGGTTACTTGCATTCGTTGCATGGGCAGTAGCAGGTCCAGTAGATGTATCTGCAACACGTGCTGCTTCGTGCTTGAGACGGCGCGATGCGTCGGCCTTGGCAAAGCACTGGGCCTCGGTGTGGTTCTTCTTCCCGCAGAAAGTGCACAGCGCTCCAGGTGTGCGGTCGGTGGCGCTGGGCTTTGGACGGAAATGTTGCGGCGGACCATTTGTCCGGTTCTGATTAGGTGTGGCAACTCGCAGGGCGGTGGCCTGGCTTCGTTGCTCATGTCGGCGTTGATTATCCTCAGCTCGGAAGGCTTCCTCGACCACTTCACGGGTGATGTTTGTTTGGCAGAGAAGCGAGGAGCGAAGATGGCGGTAATTGTCAGGAAGGGCGCGGAGCATGGCCATGATTGCCAACTCGTCGTCGAGGTCAGTAATCTTGTAGTCTGTTGGCCGAAGTTGCTTCACACGCTGAAGTAGTCCGTTGATGCGAGTCATGAGCTCGGCCAGGTCCTCGGAATCTTCCTTTGTGACTCCGAATAATGAGTCCATGGCATTGAAACGAGTACCAGGCGGCTTGTTATTGTGCATGGAAGCGAGTTTCTTCCACATTGCAACAGGATCATCGCTGATATCATCAATGTGGATTGCATTGGTCTCGTCGATTGACATTGTGATGGCGGCGGCCGCCTGCCTTTGTCGTCTGATCCACTTCGATTGGTCATCCGTTTCTGTAGGTTTGAGGTCTTCGCCGAGTACAAGTTCATAGAGGTCGTGCAGAAAGAAGTATGCTTTCATCTTTCGAGACCATGCTGGGTAATTGTCCTTTGAGAGGACAGGAACGCTGGTCGGTTCCTTTGAGTTGGACATTCTTTGTGAATTATGCGCAGAGGGCGATTGACTGATCTGTATAGTTTCTTATAGCAACAAGTGGCTCATAACCTGTTGATACTAGGACGCGTGAGGTGAGAGGCAAGACCAGTATATAGTGTGGCAAACCTAGGACGCGTGAGGTGAGAGGCAAGACCAGTAAGGTCCGGCCGCATCGTCCCGCGTCCCTAAATACATTGAGTTATGACGTGAGCTATTACTATCGGCTAAGCCTATTTAGTGAGCGCTAAGAGTCAAAGGGTAAACCTTCAACAAGTTCCAGGAGTTGAAGTGCCTCATCCGAACTGCAACACCGTCTGTAGCTTGAGAGGTCTGCCAACGCTCCATAAGCATGGTCTTATAACCCAATTATTTAAATATTTATTTTTCCGATCGAATCAACAGCGACACCACCCGAGATGCGTGAGGGTGGCCTATGAGGGTACTACCGCACGGAATTGCCATTTCCAGATGTGATCGACTTGGCTTAATCAATGAGATCCAAAGTACCGGGTCAACACGTTTACTGTGCAGAAAAAGATAACTACAAGTTACTCGAGGGGAGGCTAGCTATGGTACCGAGGGGTTCGTGCACCGATGGTATGGAGTCAAATCATCTTCGTACTTGTTGTTCTTCGCGGTGACATTCGGGCTACTTCCACTTCGAGCGTCGCGACGACAATGCTCGCCGCGACTTGGACGCGTTGCCGGTCGATTTCCACGACATAGGTGGAGATCCAGATCGGCTTCGTAATAACCTTCCACACTTCATATAACTTTGTTACATCCAGTCCGCCGAGAAGCGCCAAGGCGACAAAGTTGGACACTCCCGACTTGAACTTGCGTTCAATGCTGCATGGACGAGAGGAGCGTGCTGGTTTGCTGATACGATACGAGGGCATAGGATCGAGGGATGGATTAATGCAGATGCACCCATTGGTCCTATGGTCGATAATCATGTCCACCAATCGACCAATCTCCTGGCCCTCGCAAGCATGTGGCCAGCTGAGTCCCGAGAACGCAAGGGAATTTGGCAAAACTCCAATAAAGGAGACGTAGTGCATGAAGCCTTGCATCTTCTCCAATTTTTTTTTCATCCTCTGGGCTTCTGGCATGGAGGTAGGCATGAAATTTGGCGATTGGAGACCGGGCTGATCAATCCGCAGCGAACCAGACGCTGCTAAATAGGTGTGAGTTCAAAGGCTGGATCCTGGAACATACTTACGTGATGTAACCAGATGATTCATTTTCGCTGGAGGCGACCGTTGCGCGCCCTTTAGCGTCATAGTGTATGAGCCGTCAATGGATCTATTGCTTTCGTCGTCATGGTCCAACTGTTGTCCAGGATCTGGGCTGTCCTCCTCTACCACTGAAATCATGGCCTCTTTTCTTGCTTTCCGGGTGTCGGTGCGGTCTGGAATAGACGTTAGCATGTGAGCCTGTACTCGAGCATACGGAACGTGGGGCCAATACTTTCGCTCTGAGGTGGATTGGGTCCGTAAGACGGGAACGCACTGACGGGAGTAGGGCTCTCCGAGAGCCTTCGTTGACAGTCCTACTCCTCGCAAGGCTGCCTAGAGGCACGTCAGCAGTGTTCATAGCAGGACGGTGATAGATTTACCCTCATTATGGGGCGGTAGCAGAGAGAGAGGTAGCGAGAGATGGACTCCCTTGCGCTTCTCGGAGTTCGTCCGTTCTTGGATGTGGGAGAGACGTTGAATTTTGTCGCCGAGTCGAGCTTGACAACGCTCGAGCCGTTCTGTTTCCTGCCTTACAGCGGTCAATTTGCGATTGACATTCTCCAGCTCCTCCTGATACTTGAGTATCTTCTCGTCTTCTGAGCCACTAGAAGCCATCGGCGATACTCCAATAAGCGACTGGCAGGTTGAGAATACTTTGCAGATTGTTATCGAACACCTTTACTCAAGGACGGGTGGACGGCGTCGAGTTCAACATGCGTATGTTTGTGCGTGTGGCTCAAGGGGTGATTATATCGGAATCGGGTCTGCCGAGTTATAGTCGCCCTCAGCGGCAGTGACAATAACGTCGGTTATCCGAATAGAACCCGTATGGAAACCAGATGACACGAAAGGAGGACGTGCCATTATCCAGTAGTAGCCAATCAGAAGCCACACACGGGTGCTGGGATCCAGCGCTTGCGGTTATTTATCTCGATATTTGATATCCTATAACTTATTTCTCCTCAGAGGCCACGCTCATGGGGGTCCGTCGTGGTTGCGGTTCAACCAGTTTATTGGGCGCAAACTTTGGGACCCGACGACGACGAACCTCGGTTCCGAAACTCCTAAGGTCTGGAACTAAAATTGTATATCCGAAATGTATAGCGTCGGAATAATTCATAAACATTTGGTCAAGCGTCCGAGCACCGTCACAACCTTTCGCTCGTCGACCAGGCCCGCGTTTACATCGTCCAAGGATTCTTTGTGGAGACGAGAATCATTTCTCCGCCCAGACCAGGGCCCATGCTACGTAGCCACCGCGATAAGATGACGTACGGCCTGCAAACTTGGTCTCTCCCACATCCATCATGGCATCTTCGAGCTCGCAAAGTACCTCAAACTACGCTGGTATAACCCCTCAAAAGTCTCAAGTGGTAAAGGAGCATTCCCAGAAAGCGGCTGCTATCGCAAAGGAACAGATCACTTCCGCTGCCGTCATAGCCAGAGAAGCTGCCTACAGCGGCGCGTATATCTGGCCCATCCAGGTGCGTATATTCGTTTTGGGCATCGAAAGAACGTACTAACAGACGGTAGGGTCAATATCACTTTTTGACGCATCCAACGCTTCTCAAGCCGGTCCTTCCAGCCATTCTGAGCGCAACATTATTCACCATTTGCGTAACCATTGCACTTTTCGTCTTTACATATCTTCCCACCGTCGCCGTCTTGGCGTTTGTCTCCGGCCCTCTTGCCTTTTTTACGGCCATACCCGTCATCTTGGGAGAAGGCGCCGCCATTGGTATCTTTGTAGCAAAAGCATTCTGGCTTGGATCCGCTCTGGAAAGTCTGTTCGACGAAGTGCGCCGTTTTTTATGACGTACGACGATGACGCTCATTGCTCCTAGGTTCTCCTTCGTCAAGGTCTCACCAAACTCGTATCGCGGGGTCGCGAACTACAATCTGACGGTCAACACGGCAAACGTCTTGGAAAGGTCTTGACAAAGCCACTCGACCGCTTCTCAAAGGAGAACATTATACGCTGGTTGATCAGTCTCCCACTAAACGCAATCCCAGTGGTACGTGGCCAGATTTTGGATATTCGACGATTCTCACATGTTCCAGGTCGGTCCGGCGGCATTTTTCTTATACAACGGCGCCAAGTCTGGACCGTCCTACCACGCGCGTTACTTCCAACTCAAGTCGACTGCCTCTAAGCACACTCCTGCTCATCAAGATGGCGTCGCGTCGGAGGGTGGCGTGTCTGTTTTCAACAAGGACGCGTTTGTTCAACAACATCGAGGCTCATACTCGGCCTTTGGCGCAACTGCCATGGCTCTCAACGTCCTTATCCCGGGTGGTGCCATCTTTTGCATCTTTGGTAACCAAGTTGGTGCCGCTCTGTGGGCGGCGGAGCTGGAGAAGCGGGGTGGATCAGAGAAGAAGAGCGAGTAAGAATCTACGAGACAGTTGGAATTCATCTATAACGCAACGATACTACGAACAACTAATATATTGTCTCTCTTATCCGTCGGTAGACTTTTGGCTTGAGTACTTACCTGCCCAAATGGACACCTTTACAACTCGGAGCTCTTTTATTTCCCCCATTTAGTCTCATGAGGCACGCGAATAATGACATTCATAGACTCTGACTATCCCTTACAGGTTGAAGGTGAACCGCATTCACCCAGCGCACGCTGGATGTTTCGAACCAAGATTGTTTTGCTCACTTGGTGAGGTTATAAAGATTATAAACATTGTTAGTTGAAATGGCGCATAAAAGAAGTCTTAGATGTCTCTTCTTGGCTGCCAGTTCCTCCCACAAGCGGAGGCCGCTGAAGGAGTCAGGCTGCGAAGGGAGTATATCATTCAAAATTGGCTGTGACTTAAACTATGGGCCACCTACCAAGGAGTCGGTATGCGTCGGCCTTTGCAGACTGGTTCAAGAGGCTGCTTCGGCCATGAATATAATGAGAGCATTTCCAGGCTGTCTGTTATACGTTAGGAGATCAGCTATCGGCCCCATAAGATGTCTCAGCCATTGTCAGATATGCAAATTCTAACAAACTACCTCCAAAGTCAAGGGCTGCAGCTCGTGATGACGAGTAGAGTTCTCAGTCGGTCACAAAGAGGAACGAATATTACTATTTGGGAAGCGTGTTGGTCATTTGGCGGTGAGGTACGCGTAAGGAGATATGGGAGAAGCCGGATGAAAGCGAGGAATGCAGCTGCACGAGCAGCTCTTGCGTGGTTGGGAATTTAGTTACAGGTGCTGAAGCACAACTTCATGTATAAAGAGTGTCTATAGGCTCTACGCAAGGAAATAATCAATGGGCATCGAGCCAATTCTCCATATTTCGAGGCATCTCGACTCCATGTAAGTCCACAACCGCAACGTCGAGTTCCTGAAACTCGGTCAAGAATACCATCAATTTGAATCTGAAATCAGCGGCAAATTCTCCGCGTGTTTCTATGTCACTGCGAATATGATTCCATGGCCGGTCTAGCATGACGCGAGTAACCCTGTACCGAGAGACGGAGATAATCTTCTCCACAAAACTCTTCGGAGCTGGTTTGAGCCAGTTGACATCCTGATGCGAAGGCAAGTGTGGGTCCATGAGGAGCAACGTAAGGGGTTGGTACTGCATTTGATGAGATGATGGGACAATATCGTCTTCATAACGGGAGGTCATAACCCAAGCAGTGCTAATGACATACATTTGCAACTTGTTGAAGTATCTCAGTATAGAGTACTGCCGTGTACTGCCCAGGGCGCAGAGAACGTTGACAATAGTGGACGAATGTCGAAAGAGAAAGGGTTCCAATAGACTAAAGACTCTCTCGTTGACATATCCATGGAGAGAAAGAGTGCTGAGAGCCGGAAGCGTCCAGGGAATGAGTTCTGGTTCCTGCGTGATACGGGCAGGATCCAGGAGCGACCATTTAAAGTCCAGTTGAAGAAATCTGAGTGAAGGAAGGGTTAATTTCACCATAGGCACACTCAATTGCCGTTGGCCAAGGTGGAGTGAAAGATGGGTGAGTCGTTCGAGCTGGGGATGAAGCAGGAGTGCATTTACCTCTTTTTCTTCCATGTATCTTCCATGGAATGAGCAGGAGAGTAAACGTAGGTTCGGAGCACGAGAGACTAGGGGGATCGGATCACGCAGAGAGGAAGGTTCTATTATGAGGGAGACTAAAGAGTCCCAGGACTCGGTCAACCAACGAGACGGCCATGGCTCTCTATCGTAATTGTGCAATTTCGGTTGGAAGCCAGGGGAAAAGACGTTGAGACGCTCTGTCTCCCAAGCCGGGTACAAGCTCCGTTTATGGATGATCGGTTGGTGTCGTCCCTTACACTCGAGGATGGTCATTTGGCTTCGTGGGGGGCCTAGAACGTGTCTAAAAAAGCGACATGTGAGAGCAATATGAGCTCTAGCAGCTATTGAGTGTTGCAGACTTGGTAATAATTTCTTCACTGTCGTAAAGAGCCCCAGGTCCTCTATCACGTCCCCCCTTCGGCATTCGGTACGAGTGAGGGTTCGCATAGAATATATTCGAAGATTTTCTTCCAAATTTCTACGGGCAGTCTTTCAGCGAGGATGGGGTGCGGCATTGTGCCGCGGGAAACAGTCGGCGCCAAGTTGCAATCGATCAGCACGTCCTTTCGCTGTGAAGAACTGTCGAATTGGATACGTATCTTGTCTCAAATAGTAGTTGCTGGCGGGCAGAGGCTTCTACTTATATGCACAGTGACCCCGTCGACCCGTTCGAATACGTCAAGGGTTGGTATATTCTCATAGTACAACGCGATACGAGCGTTTAAAACATATCCCCTTGTTAATACGCCTCAGGGCGACCCGAATACCCTGCGCTACCATTTGCATACTGTGTCTGCGAGCTCCCGGCTGGTGCTCCGTACGTCCCTGGCCCGGTGCCAGCACCCGCATGAGGATGGGCATTGGGTGATGAGCCATATATACTCGTCACCATCCCACCATACGGACTCGTGGACGTGCTGTAGATACTCGTGGTATTCGCACCACCCGTCGAGCTACCCACAGTCGACGGGGCCGCTGGGGGGACATAGCCATTTGGAGGGGTCTGAGAGGGATACTGGGCCACTGTATGTGCCGTTCCCCCAACCGCGACGTTTACGACATTGGTCGTGCTTGAGCTCGCACCGGGTGTGGTGAACGGATTCGTACCTGTGCCATTGGCGTGTCCGTGTCCGCTACTCCCCGTCGTAGTGCCATAGGCAGCAGAGAATGCGTTGGAATGGTGCTCCGGTGGTGGAGGCATGTATCCATTTGAAGGAACGTTGTTGTTGGCCGGGGTAGAACTGTATGGTGTCGACGCCGTCGATGGTGCGCCAGTGGGGACGATCCATGGTTGAGGTTGTTGCCCATATTGTCCACCCATGTTCTGAGGAGGGAAGTATCCGTTCGAGTTGGGATTCTGAATGAGTGGTGCTGCGGGGTTGAAGCCTATACTCACGTCAGGCGGATACGAAGAGTATGCTCAGAGGATAGACGCACCAAATCCACCGCCTTTTTGCTGTCGATAAAACTCTGCCATTGGCCGATACCATGCAATTCGCTTTTTCTGACGAAAGAAATAGATGGCAACAACGCGAGACCTGCAAGTATGTAGAGAACAAAGATCACAACTAGTGGACCGCAAACCGTTAGTCACCGGACTTGGATCAGACAGAGCGGAAACGCACTAATGGCGACAAGGGCACCACTTAGACCAGTCCGGGCAGCTTGAAAGTTTCCATTGTTGAAACCGGATAGTGTCTGCGTCGGTGAACGTGTACTACTCGATCGCGATCCTACTCGAGGCGTCAGCAGCCGCTCTTATACGGTCAAAGATGCCTTACCACTAGACGAGGCGAGAAGAGACGTAGAAGAAAGTGCAGCAACGGCGATTCTACTCGCTTGTGACGGAGACCAGGTTGTGCCAGTCGGTAAAGCCCTGGCCCATTCCGGGATGGTCAACGAGGCGACGTTCAGACTTGGCGGTATGGATAAAGTGTTGTAGGCTACGGCTGTACAGTTGCCTGACCATTCTGAGTCGACTGTAAGTACGCGAAGGTATCATCGATAGGAGGCCGTACGGTCGACGGTGAGCCACCACGGGATTTGGATAGTACTCTGACACCACCCACAGCCAGCCATAAGGTTATAGGCAACCACGTTGCACCCACAGGCATTGTTCGGAGGCATGTACGCCGTCGAACTATTAGAGGTACCCGTTAGTAGTTGCATCGTTGGACACTATAGACGCACTTTTCGTTGACAGAATTGATCACAAAGCCTATATGGTATAAGACTCAACAGATATATAATTGTAGGGGTTGGACCGACTGGGATCGCAGAGTCCTTGGAGCTGGGCATAGACGGTGCACGCGTTTTGGCCACGCGAGTTAATCTCCCAGCTAGAAGAAGCGCATGAGCCTCAGATAACCACGTCGAAACCTCGCGAGAAGACGCTCGCCACGCTCAAAGAGGCAAACGTTTAACTGAGGACGGCGAGAAACGTAAGACGTACTCTGCGTCTGCATAGTCACACACAGCGTTACTCGTCATCTTTTCTACTTAAAAAGACTCCAATTGGCGACAAATGAGTGCGAAGAATGTCGAAATACGAATAGAAACGAAGAGCGGCGACGATAAAAGCGCAGCGTGGACGTCCAGCGAAGTCGAGAACAAGAAAGGTGATAAGCCTGTTTGACCAGCATTGACGAAATGAAGCGTGAGCGATAGACTTTTCGGACTCGTCGTGCCCGTGGGTTACAAGGACGAACCGTCTGAGAAGGATAGACTTTGAAAGTCTGCAGTAAAACTGACAGAACTGGCTTCCTCTTGTGAGCCTGTGAAGAGGGAGGGTCCAAGAAATGAGCCATAAGCTTATGCGCGGAGCGGTGTCTTGCACAGGGACGGTGACCTCGGCGGGCGGCATAGCGACTCGCCATCAAAGTTTGGAGGACGGACATAATCAACCAATCACCGGGTATTATCAAAGGCTCGCTTTTATTCATCATCATCAGCATCTATGCTCAGAGCAAATCGAGTTGTTATTAGAGGCTGCATACCCATCTCGACGCGTAGGTCGGCCACCCTCTGTATCTCCGGCGAACATCTCTTGACCATGTCTTCGTTGCCCTCTGGCAGAGTTATGACCAAGTGCTTTAACTGGGGCAAAATTGGTTTGGCTAATGCCGGTATAAACGCCCCCTCAGCCTCATTCGATGATTCAAACTCGACATAGAGCTCCTCGACATTTGAAAATGGTGCAATAATATGCTTCGAGTCGTCCACGAGTGACAGAAGAATGTGAACGGAGCGTAGTCCTGTCATCCGGAGGACGCTGGGTCGAAGGCGCGTAAGCCCATAGTTTATTTGATAGAGTCTGTCGATCTCATTTTCTAAGACGAGTTAGTGTAGGCTTGGTGCGTCAATTGACAACAGAACTTGCCAAACACCGTTGACCGTCAAATGTACCAGGCCTGGAAGGACAATTAGCGAGCCTCCAGTCTCGTTCGAACCAAGATCGAAGGGAAATGCAGACGGTGGGAGAACCTCTAGGCGTCTGATGCGTTTTAAGACGAACGGTGGCAGCAGAGCGACAAATGATCCTGGAGCCTCGAGGGTGGTGAGGTTCGGCAAGATGTCGTGTTTGGGCAAGTTGAACATTACCCCTTGAATACTTTCATATGGTATAAGGGAAGGACACCAGCTCAGCTCCTCCAACTTACCCAATGAGGGTAGGAGCTTGTCGAGGCGGAGGGCGGTGTTTCGCGTCGTGTGGACGTAAAGTCTCTTTAATCTATGCAAGATTGTCCCAAAGTCGACGAGTGCAGCATCTCTCATCCCTATAATGGTGAGAGAGACAAGGGGACATCCCCTGTCGACCTGGGCAAGCATAGTGGAGATGACGCCGTTGTTTGGGTTGATGATGTCGAGATGGGTAAGGGCGTGAAAGGGAGGGAAGAGATATAGCCAGTGAGTATTATAATTTCGGAGACGCAGATGCAATTTCGTGCATTGCCGCGAAAATGTAGTCCAGAGTTCGAATCCTGGCCTAGACTCCAGCGGTAATGGTGCATCTTCAAGTTTATTTCTCATTGAAAGAGAAACGTAGGTGAACTCGAAAGTTCCTCCGTTGAGCTGCTCTATTGCGTGCACCGTGCTTAATGGAGAGGCGCATCTGGCCTTAAATTCGGAAAATAAACCTATGGGTCTTCGATTACTCTGCGGCAAGTAGATGATTCTACTTTTGAGGATCGGCGTCTCTTTGGCGACGGCGTACCAGCGTCGGCAGACGAGCTGGAGTGTCTGCGCCGGACAGGAAGCGAGTATGTAGTAGGTGAAGATGATCGCTAGGATCTCGTTTGGTAGATATGAGATGGGCATCAAGATGTAACGATGGTGAACAAAACCTGTAATGACATGCAGGAGGCACTGTCAGGCGAGCCGCAGGTGAATATACGTGCGTTACTTTTCTGCCTAGATTTCCATGCAATATCAGCAAACAATGCCACCTGGGGGCGTGGTCGGGTCCAAGTTGGATGTTTCATGAAATCAACGAAAGTGTCACTCGCACCTCCAGGCAGATGCCAAGGTCACTGGCACAGGCATATTCGAATGCTCAACCCCGTTTTGTGAATGATATACTTGAGAATGAGGAGCGACTGGAAATGGCTAATTATCTATTGCAATGAGTGTATTACCGACAGGACATATCACACAATCCGACGGTCCATAATATAAGGGCGAGCCCGATATATAGGAATAGACCAGCTCTCCCAATGATGGCCGGTCACGAGAAAGTGTTCCTTGTCAATTAAGTTGATGAGCAGACTTGATCCAGTCTACCACTTTAATATGGACAGTGACAGTATTATTAGGGTGATCCAAGGATTGAGTGCCCCCCGAGGCAACATCGGATCGAAATATTACAGGCGATAGTTTCCTAGCATGATATATCCCATAAATATGGTATGGGAGAGAGAAGATCATTCAGAGGGAAAAGACAATGCTATAAAGGCAAAGCCCGAGGGGGCAAACGTTTTCACAATGGTGGCAAGGAACGTTGTATGTACTTGCGTCTGGATTGTCACATACAACATTACTCGTCCTCTTTTCTACTCAGAGGAGTTCTAATTTGCGACAAATGAGCTCAGAGAATGTCGAAATGAAAATGGAATGAAGAGAGGCGACGATAAAGCACAAGAAAAATTATGAGCCCCAGTAGCCAGCATTGATAAAATGAAGCGTGAGGGACGGAAGTTGTCATACTCGAGGCGGATATAATCAGTCAAATACTGGACATTATCAAAAGATCTTTTCATCGCGTACATTGAATCGAGTCGTTATCAGAGGCTGCATACCCATCTCGGCGCGCCGGTCGGCCACCATCCGCATCTTTGACATCCAACTCTTGATCACGTCCTCATTATTCATTGGCGTGGTTATGACCAAGTGTTTCAACTGAGGCAAGATTGGTTTAGCCAATGCCGGTATAAGGTCCTTGTCGACCCCACTCGAAAAAAAGGATTCGATATGGAGTTCCTGGACATGTTTAAACGGTGAAATACTATCCTCCGAGTCCTCCACGACCGAGAGGACGGTGCAAAACGAGCTCAAGTATGTCATACGGAGAATGCTGGGTCGAAGGCGCGTAAGCGCATACTTTGATTGATATTCGTTCACCTTCGAATTGCTCTCTAACACGAGTTGGTGTAGATTTGGTGCGTCAATTGACAACAGGTCTTCCTAGACCCCGCAGAGTGTCAAATGTACCAGACATGGAAGCAAAAGTGGCGGGTTTTCAGCTTCGTTATGGCCAGAATTTAGTGACATTATAGACGGCCGGAGAACCGTTAGACGTGTGATGCGCTTTAAGACAAAGGGTGGTAGTAGACCGACAAGTGATCCTGGTGCCTCAAGTGTCGTGAGATTTGGCAAGATGGTGTTTTTGGGTACGTAGAACGCTGTCAATGGAACCCTTCTGCGTAGTATAGGCGGGATACGCAAGCTCAGCTCCTCCACGTTGCCCAACAAGGGCAAGAGCTTGCCGAACAACTTTTGGATCCTTGTACTGACGTACAGTCTCTTCAACTGACCCAAAATACTCCCAAATTTGATGATCGTGGTAGTCCTCAGCTGCATCACTTTGAGAGATATGAGCGGACATCCTCTGTCGATACGGGCGAGCATAGTGGAGGTAACGCCGTTAGCCGGGTTGATGATTTCGAGATGGGTAAGGGCGTAAAAGGGTGGGAATAGGTGTACCCATCGAGCTTTGTTACATCGGAGATCCAGGTGCAATTTGGTGCATTGCCGCGAAAACGTCGTCCAGAGCTCGAATCCTGGGCTAGATTCCAGCGGTAAAGGCTCATCTTCAATTGTACTTCTCGTCATTGCAAGAGAAACGTAGGTGAACTCGAAAGTTCGTCCGTTGAGCCGCTCTATTGCGTGCACTGTGCCCATTGGGGAGGCGCACCTGGCACGAAACTCGGTATATAAGTTTGGGGACTTGGAAAGATTCTGAGCCAAGAAGAGAATCCTGCCTTTAATGACCGGCGTCTCTTTGGCGACGGCGTACCATCGTCGGCAGACGAGCTGGAGTGTCTGCGCCGGATAGGAAGCGAGTATGTAGTAGGTGAAGATGATTGCTAGGATCTCGTTTGGTAGGTGTGAGATGGGCATTGACATGACAGTAAACGACAGGGCTTGGAATGTCCTGTAAGAGGAATTGTTAGGAGAGTTACAGTTGAACTACGAGTTCATTACCTTTCTATTGAATGAATCTTATGCTAAGCTAATAATTCCTCTGGTTCTGATCCAAGTCAGGTCCAACTCTGTTGGTCGTGTTGATATTTGACTAAGCGCTGAGATAAGGATTCCCCGCCGAACTGAATAAATACAGCAACGTTCATTGAGACATTGGTTCAGTTTTCTTGCACACCTTCCGTCTCCGTTTCGACTTCTCCAATCCCTCATCAGGAGCCCCATACTCTGCCCACCCGTTTTATACATAGGGTAGGTGGCCCAATTTGGGTATGTTGACTACCTAGCTCACGAGTTATACTCGAATCATGAATGCGATCTCTCTTTTCGAAGTCTGGTTAGCTATAGAGAGCTTGGAATACACGGCTCTAACACTGGCAATCCTTGACATTCTCAGCGAGTCAAGGCGGTTTTATTATTCAAAGCAATTGGTCCTTCTAAGCGCATCGAATCGTCTCCAGAGTCTTGATACCCAACTCTGCCCGCTGCTTGGCCGCCTTGACCCATTTTGATCTCCATCGCTCGCTTAGGTCCTCTCTTTTCGCTGGAGGAATAGTGACCAAGTGCTTTAGCCGTGGCAGAGCAGGTCTCGCCGCCAATCTTCCATATCCAAGCGCCGCGCCAAGGGCCTCTTCGACATGTCGGGACGACGTAAACGTGACGTAGAGCTCTTCTACACAGTCAAATGGTGCAGCCGGATCGGTCCCAGTCGGCTCGATGAACAAGAGGAGGATGTATATGGATCGTAGGTTTGGCATGCGGAGGACTGTCGGTCGAAGAGGCGTAACGGTGTACGTGTTGTCGTAAAATTGATCGCTCATACCATCCTTGAGCACTAATTCGTGTAGTCGTGGGGTGTCGACGAAAAACATGTCCTTCCAGAGTCCAGAGAGTGTCAGGTGAACGAGATGTGGGAGTGAGATGGGTGAAATCTGACCCCCTCCATGGCATATCGGCTGTCCCCGTAGCTCCAGATGCGTAATCCTATTCAAGACGGACGGAGGAAGCTGCGCAACGAGTTGTCCTGGTGCTTCGAGGGTACCAAGGTTGGGCAACAGATCCTGAGAAGCCAACGGAGTCATGGCTTCTCGAATGTTCACGTCTGGTACCGGCGGAGACACCCACGTCCAGTCTTGCAACGCGCCCATCAATGGCAAGAGTTTGTCCAACGGGACCAAGAATCTCCTGCTGTCCGTCTCGACATGTAGTCTCTTCAGTCCACCCAACACCCTTGCAAACTCGAGAATTTCTGCACTCTTCTCGCCGACGACTTTGAGTGAGACGAGTGGACAACCCTTGTCGAGATTGACGCGGGCGAGCATGGCAGTAATGACGCCTTTAAACGCGTTGACGATTTCGAGATGGGTGAGTGCGTAGAAAAACGGGAAATGGTGCAACCACCGGACCTTGTCGAAATGGAGATGGAGGTGTAATTTTGTACATTGCCGCGAAAACACGCGCCAGGGATCCAGGTTTGAACTATATTCGGTCGGTAAGGGTGCGAGGGCGAGTTCGCTGGACTCCATTCGAAGAGAGTTGTACGTAAACTCGAACCAGCCGCCTCTCAGACGGTCAATCGCCTCCACTGTCTGCGATGGCGAGGCGCATTTGGCCAGGAATTCTGGGTATATGTGCGGTGATCTGGAATAAAGCTGTGATAGATAGATGATTCTGCTTTTTAGGAGGACGGTCTCGTGCGCGAGGGCGAACCAGCGGCGACAGACATGTAGGAGTGTGTGTGAGGGAGAGGATGAGAGGGTGTAGTAGGTAAAGATGGACTGTAAGAGTTCGTTGGGAAGTTTTGAGATGGACATTGAGATGAGAATGGGCGAAGAGGGGATATTTGAAGGGGTGGAATGCTATTCTGTAGGTGTAGACTAGGTGTATTCAGGTCTCTATGGAGAAAAGAGCATCCTGTAGATGGTACAAACTGGGTGCTGTGCTGAGAACGTGGGGTCCAAGTTGAGATTAGAGGTCATGGTTACTATTTGCAGTGCTCTCTATTGCTTGTCGGTGTCGGTCTTTGTCGGCAACGAGCGCCAAGGGAGTCGCGGAGAGGAGACAAAACCCGATGAATATCGTGTTGGATAGCGAACGGAATCCGTGCGACAGACGGGCGACAGACGGCGATTGGACTTCGGTCAGTCGGGAACAGCCCCCGGCGCTAAGGCCACAATGGTTATATATGTCCTTCCCACTCTCCGTCTCTTGGGTTTCACATTCCCTCTCTCTCCTCTTCCCTCCAAAATGTCTAGCAGTGTCACGTGTGACTATGTCCAGGCCTCGTATGTCTTTATGAAACACAAAGACTTGGACTGATCGATCAACTAGATGGGAGGTAAATGCAGCAGGTCAAGACGCATGTGTCCAATATGCATCCCTCATTGGCCTCTGCGATAGCTCGTTTACCATTGCTGGTGTCCAAAACACGTCGGCACCCTACACTCCCCCTCAAGGCGCTGGATCCCATTGTGGATGTAACACTGTCGCCTACAACCTCATGGCAGCCTGTGGATGGTGTCAAAAGGATATCGAAGTCAGCTGGTGGCTCACCCTCGATCAATGGGCCGGAAACTGCACGACTGCCAACGGAGGTGCAGAGTTTACAGAAGATATCCCAGACACTGTCAACACGACCAGTTTGACTATCCCCAACTGGGCTTTGATGCCACCCGTGTTGGATACCTGGAGTCCTGCCCAGGCCAGCGCCGTCGCAGCAGCCGCAACAGCGACATCCACCTCGAGCTCGAATTCGCGTGCATCTTCCTCGACGAGTAGCAGAGGAATCCTAGGTGGAAACGTCAATCTCGCCTACACCACTGCCCGCCCTGTCACCGTCGGATCTTCAAACGGAAACTACTACGGCAGCAACACATACACCTACTACGACCCCAAGATTGGCCTCATCGTCGCCATCCTCATCTTTGCTCTCTACGGTCTCGGTGCCATCATCTTTGCCATTTGCTATTGCGTCCGCCAAAAGAGACGCAAGGCATGGTACGGTCCCATGGCCAAATACTACCGCGAACTCAAACTCGGTGGACCCTCGCATTACCCTATGAACGCGTCGTACAATACGCCCTACACACCACCAACGCACTACCAGGACCCATCGCATTCGTACCCTCCTCATCCGGCACATGGTCAAGGCGGCGCTACGACGCCGTTGATGCACAACAATGACCACGATCACGACGACTCTGTACACAATACAAACCCGTTCAATACCCCCTATGCCTCGACCTATTCCAGTCATGTACCACCCCCAGACGCCTCCTATGCTCAAGGAGGGTTGGGTTACCAAACTCAGGGCATGTATGGAGGCCAATCGAATCCCTATGGTCCACCGGCGGGTCCACCACCGCCCTCTGGTCCATACAAGGGACACGCAGAGGCATACTAGGACTTGGAGTTTTTAGGATCTTGGGATATATGGACTCTTTCTACATGATGTACATGAGAGCAGACGGAATTCGATTTCATTCTCTAATCGTACAAATGGTCAACTGCGAGACCTACACCATCCGCGTCGAAAATGGGCACGCTCATCGAGTAGAGCGGTGCAAAGATACGTCTCATTGCGTGCGACCGCATCTGTTGGGCCTCGTGGATAAACTCTGCCCACGTGAGTGGGATCCGAAGCGACTTGAACGGTCGACGGGATAGAAAGAGCGCCACGAGACACTTTAACATATCCCCACACTTTCTTTCTATTCCATAGATCACCAACGTATCCACCTTTCCACACTCTGCCCATTGGCTCTCTAAAAGCCCGATTGTACACCTCGTAAAGTGCGCGCCAGTCCCGTACAACTGCAGTCGCGGGAGAAGAGGGATGAGTTCAAACAAGACAAAGGGCATGTTTTGATAGCCGAGCAAGACGAGGTCTGTGAGCTTGCTGGAAAAGGAGACGATAAAGTTGTGGATCTCTGGGGGGAGTGTGTCAGAGGAACAATGATAGGTGATAACGAGCTTTGTCAAGCGAGGAAGTTTGAGCGGAATCCCCACTTTGTCGATATGTTGAAGCTCAATATCTAGAAAGCAAACCTTTGGCAGATGAATAAGAGGAATACCGGGTGTCAAGAACACTTGTCGGAGATGCAAATGCGTCAGGTTGTCGAGGAGATATCTGCAGACTCCTACGCTCTCATGGAGTGCCGGTAAGTAGATGGAAAGGGACTGCAGCGGCGGTCTCCCCTCGCATAATCCCGGAATCATCTGGAGTGGGAAATTCCACGCGTTTAACACCCGAACGTTCCGCAGCGTCTGTTGCCCATTATCCTCTGGTGCCGACATACTTTGCTGAAACAAGGCCATCCTTTGAGCCATTAGTGCTCGCCAGGGTTCGTAAACCCCCTTTTCGTCGCTCCTTGAACTGGACTCGCACACCCAGACGGCTTCAAGATCCAACCTTGCCGCGGAGGAAACGTACGGCGAGTCAAAACGCGCACTGGTCACATCCTGTACGGCAACATCGTTTCGAATCGATAGAGACTGAAGAGCCGTGTTCCACGCCTGGCATACGAGTCGTAGGCGGGTCCGGATATATTGTACACGTTGATATTCTACATATGTAATGCATCCGTGTTGGAATACTTTGTGCAAGGTGATGATGGACGCATCTGGACGTGGGAAAAGCCAGCTATCGAGAACGTATTCGAAGATGGCGATCCAGAGCTCGATGGGGAGCCTTTGAGTGAGCGACATACGAATCGGATAGACTGTCTGGTCTTAAGACGCGAGTGATATCCAAGACGAGGAGAACCTTTCTTGACGCAAACAGTGGTCAGGTCCAAGCCTATCACGCCCTTGGCGGCCGGAAAGGACTAGGAATCTTCAAGCCTATGTACACAGAGAAGTACTATGACCGTGTCCAAGGCAGCAAATGAGCACAGGGCGCAAGGGTAGCCTTTGACACAGCTAATTATATTATTTCTTTAGCTCCCTGCCTTCACATAGCCGCCAGTTCCAGACGTACACCTTCTCCATCAAGGATCGGTACGTTCAGTCGAAAAAGATCTTGTAGGTTCATCGCCAAAAAATTAAGATAACTTGAAGCATGAATCTCGTCGGATGTCATGGGGAGCTGGAGTACTTTAAACGGTCCAGTAATGAATAGATCGTACCAGACCGCCCCTGGAAAGACTTGTCCTTCTCCAAATATCTCCTCCTCCACTCCGTAGAGAAGAAGAGTTTGTACAGTATTCTTGACATCCTTGAGTTGCCAATTCAGGTCGATGCCATAGGACATCATGAACTGAGTCCCAGCCCCGTAAAGTCGCAGCAGGGGCAATTTCCGGATAATGTCCAAATAGCAATAATATAATTCCGGCTCACCGAGCAGGATAAGATCAGTGAGAGTCTCATGAAAGGAGACGATGAATTCTTGAACTGGTGCTGGCATGAGTGCAGGTCCCCATTTTGCGGTGATCATCAGTTTGCTCAGATTTGGGAGGTGGAGTATGCTGAGTGGGAGTACGTGTACGCTAAGGCCGAGTTCAACCTCGAGGTATACGACATTTGGGAGTTGGATGTTCGAGTTATACCGGATAGAAGTGATCTCTTGCAATCGAAGGTGCGTAATGGTCCTAAGAGAGGGGTTGAACTTTCTTGCGGCAGTACACAAGGGCCAGAGATTTGTTGAGAGACTGATAATTGGGGACTCAGTCTTATACATATCTAGTATATAATCCAGGTTATCACCCGCAAAGAGAACGCGGGCATCTAAGCGACATATCGGCACACCGTGTTCGACAGGGACGATCTTCTGACTCATCAGAGTAAGCCATGTGTCACAGATTCTTCCTGATACCAAAGGTGGGCGACAACTACATTTCCATCCGATACCAAGGTCGAGGCGTGCTGATTTTGACACGTATTCTGAAGCAAGTCTCGTAATATCTGTCGCCCTTTGGACGGCAGTATCCCTGCAAGGAAGCATAGATACCACAATAGTATTCCATAAGCGACATACGAGCCGAATTCGCGTACAGGCGCGCTGACACCTTCGGTATTCGTTATAGGCGCTGCAACCGCGTTGGAAGAGTTTCGATAATCTGACAATATCAGTATCGTGCTGAGCAAAGAGCCATGTATCAAGGGCCATATTGAAGATAGGGATCCAGAGTTCGACTGGAAGGTCTTGATTGGAAGACATTGTACAATAATATGGCGCGGAAAAGATACTGGTGAGTCAAAATATGTCTCTTTAACCTTGAGGATAAAAATGTGATCGCTTAATGTTGGGAGTCTAGATAATCGCTTCGGTGGTCAAGTCCAAACTGTGGGATTACTATCCGGAATGTGAGCCAAGAAGCATTGAGAAGTTTGCCCTAGTCCTGATGCGATACAAATATTTGCCTGGAGGTTTGGGGTTTATTTTTCTTTGCTCGTATGACCCATCTCAAGTCTCAAGTGCCCAACAGGACGTAGGACGAGGTGGCTTAACCAAGTAACAGGCTCTCGGCCGACGACTGATAGAAGGATATTTCAGACTCTATCAAACCAAGGTGTCAAAAGATGCGAGTGAATTCAAATTACGAGTCTATAGAAAGAGGGAGCACTAGAGCGAGTTCTCATTTGCACTTAGCCATATGAGTGCTTTCTCTGCAGCCGCATTTGTGGCGTCCGTTTCCTTGCGAAGCTGTGAAGCGCTTGCGCGCTCAACTCCATCAAATGTCCAATGAGCCTCCCAGAACGTGTATTTGGTCATCCCTTGCACCGGGTCGGACTTCTTACTTGTCATGACGGCGCGAGTTTGCCATCTTTTCTCTTGGAGGTATTCGTTAAGAAGTTGAGAGTATGGCTTTGATGCGGACATTTCTCGATGCACGTTTGGTGTCCGGAACCCTCGTTGAGACGTTGGTATATATACTGCATCTTTGGAGAACCGTCTCTCTCACTCGCAGAGACAGAGGAGAGAGACAGCGTCTGCTCCTAAAGGCTGCTCCTTGGTAACTGTCCATGGCCCTCAGTAGACAGGAAGGTGTACAGCGAGGCGGTCGTTGTTTAGGTCGAGCTTGGCTTGTTGATGAGACTGTCAACGAGGAGCTGTCAGTCAAAGGTCCGCTTAATCAGAATCCAAATCATAGACGGCATTCTCTTCTCTTCTCTCTTTGTCATCTCTGCGCAATCTGGTATGAGCCGTCGAAAGCCAAGTTCCGGAGATCGCCGCTTCTCGCCTTGTTCAGTCGCACAGTGGCTATATCAAGACACCGCATCCACCAATCTCCATTCCAATTGCCAATATCAACAAAGGACATAGATAGGGAGTATATACCGCACAAGTGAGAGTCACAGTGGGTGCGAAAGTTTAGTGCAGTTCGTTTTGACTTGATACTACTCCGAATGAGATTGCATGTTTATCGCCTAGGTACCATAAACAAAGCTGCACCTTAAGCCAAAACAGGTGAGTATAGGCTTTGAGGAGACGAGTGGAACGTAAAACAATCTATTTCAGCTTTTACATGCCTCCGAGCAATTCCTTCAGTCGCTTGAATGTGTTTGACTTGCGAGCTGGCTTTGCCTGTGTCATATTCCCATCATAACCCAATGTTTCTGTGCTTAAATCGCGACTTACCATAGATTCCTTTAATTCATCATCGGAACCCCATGCTATTATGTCCTCCGCAGGCTCCTCAAGGTGATATGCTCCATCCAAATCGAGAAAATGATCGTTAGCCAACATTTCTTTGCCAAGCTCTTCACCGAGACGATCGAAAACGCGGATATCGATCGAGTTCAAATACCTAAATCTCTCCATATTTCTTGATATTGCGGCTGCGGTATCTTTAACTCCTCCAATAGCCTCTCTGAGCTCGCTCCAGGAATCTGATAGCATAAGCCGATCGACGTAGCGGGTGCCCTGAGTAGCCACGCAGAGTCGAAGTTGCTCTGCAAAGATCCTTGGAAGCGAGTGAACCTCGGCCAAACTCATTCCCGTAGTGAGAACTGTAATGGGTCGAGGATCCACGTCGGTGTCCACGTCGGTGTCCACGTGCTCGGATACCGGCGTTGCTAGCTGTCCGAGTATGAGGGCATATGTATTGACACCGTATATCTCGAGATGAGGGAAATGTCGCAACAATGCGGGGTGAACCCGCCGTCCTTCGCGACTGACTCCAAGAGTGCTGAGAAGGCACGCAAGTGTTGAACTGTGTCGCTGAAAGAACGGAAAGAGACCTTGGTATGAGGGCTCTCGGAGTCTTCCTTGGAGGACAAGGGACCGGAGAGATGGTAATCGCCACGGGAGGGTTTCTTCATTGTCAGCGAGGCTGATGGAGCTCTCAAAGTCGATTTGAAGAAATTGAATAGAGGGAAATTCTACCGGCCCTAACGGACGGTGAATGACAAGAGCGAGGGCAAGATGGGTGAGCTGATGGAAAATTGGATGAGAGAAGGGGTGATTGTGGACATTTAAGTGAATCATAAAAGATAAGGCTTTGAGACGTGGAGCCTGGTTTAGAAGTGGATCAATCTCCACTGAGTTCTGAACGGCGTCTGTTCTCAGAACTTCGAGCGATGGCCACAAGAGCTCCTTGTGAGATTTTGGGAACCTGGGACCGAGGCATAACCACTTTGTCTGCAAGAGTGTATGATTACTCCTTTTCCAAAAGGAACCGTGGTCGTCCTCGAGGACCAGATTCTCCGAATCATGGCTGACAATTTGATAAAAGTGGCGGCATACAAGAGAGATCTTCAAACTGAGGACATTGTTCAATATTGATAAGCGACGCGCTGCGTCTGCCTGCGAGAAAATCCGCAACTGTTCGGAAAACGAGGCCTCCTCGTTGGGAAGGAGGCCACTGCGAATAAGATAGCCGAATATACGCAGCCATATCTCGGTAGGAAATGGTGCTGGGACACCAGGCATGGTGATTGCGGCGGTTGGGTCAAAGAAGCTTGGATCCACTCAGGTCTTTGTCGAGTCCCGGGCTCTTCCGGCCTATCAAAACAGAAAGAAACCAATGCATTACAGCAGCAACTTCTCCGTGTCAGTAGATAGCAAGTGGCTTTAGCGAATATTTAGCCAATGCGCAAGCTTCCACTTCTCGCCTGGTGACTCGAATTCCTTCAGCAACCACTTTCTCTCCTTCTCTGACAAGGATTCTATGGTATATACGCGTCAGCGCGTAGGAGAATGACGAGGAGGCGTACCGGATGGATAAGTCAACAGGGTATCAAAGGATACTTGCACACCATGAGCTTTGCATATACGCTCGTATGCGTACTTGTGCTCGAAAAACAGTCTATTTGAGTCCAGGAAGACAAAAACCAGGTCTCCAATTGATGGCATTCTCGACATGTATTCCTCCAGAAGCGAAGGCCTAATACACGCGTTTTGTGGAGTGACAAGCCGCAGCTCATCGAGAATAAGAGGCATATAATCGATATGATAGTCTAGGAAAGTAAGAGGTACCTCGAGAATTCGCAGGCTCGTGCAGACTGGTAGCCACCCCTTCGGTGTATGGCTCCAATGTGCACAGCTTTTGATACCAATATGCCTTATTTTCCCGGATGTGATAACTTTTGGAACCGGCCCGGCAGACCTATAGCAGACAATGAAGATTGTCGTCAGAGACGGGCAAGCGAGCAACCAATCGTCCATAAACGAGATATTCTTGTCGTCTGTATCAATGGCTTCCAATTTGGCTAGCGGAGGCGTCATCGCGGGATCCGGCACCCTGTCGAGTAACAAGCTACCCAGCTCCAAATATCGTAGGTCGTGAAAGGCTGAGAGCTGCGGATGTAGTGAATCCAGGTGGATGGGTGCAGTGGTAAGACTGAGATATGATAGATGTGGGTGCTTGGCGACGCTTATAGGGAGGATAGTACGCACTGTCCTCTCATTGAGTTGAAGCTTGCTGGAAACCTGTATGATTGGGGCATAGAGTGCAATTAAAGACTCCATTGAGTTCACTATCCGCGTGAACATCGTCATAACTGGTGCCGGACACGTTACAGAGGGATCGACCGGCAAGCGCAGGACCTTTATGCAAGAGCAAAGTTTGGTGCGTCGTAGAATAGTGCGATGAAAGAGGTATGCACTACTGATAGTCCTAATGGATACCGTATGGTAAAGAGCCTCTGTGGCAGCACCATGCCAAGCGCGACAAATTCGCGCAATACTCCAGGCATCTGGGGTTGGAGGACATGGTTCCCATGTATCCAGTGACCGCTTTCTTGATATATGACGAAATATTTCCAAAAGTATCTCGGATGGCAGTTCGGACGCTAAGCAGCGATCTTCCATTGTCTAATTGGGCTTAGCTTCCTCTCAGTCAGGTATTTCAGCATACGTACAAGGCTTTCCACCAGAATTGTCCCCCAACCCTGCTCGCCACGGTCTTGGGCGTCTGAACGGGTCGTTTAGTTTAGCAATTGTTCTTTATCCACTCGGTCACAAAATCACTTTTTCCTCTTCAATTTCAGCCGTATACACTGCTGCTTGCTGGCCAGGAGGACGTGAGAAAATGTGGGGAGGGCGAAGTGATAACACCGTATCCAAGTGACAAAGCTGAATGCGGCACTAACCCGTCCAACGAACTTCAATTACAGACAATCTATCAATCAAGAGTCGGCCTCCTCTGGGAAAAACAGCCAATCCTCTTGGCCAACCGGCATTTCGACCTGCAGACGGTCGACGACGGGCAGCCCCCAGTTCTGAAGAAGCGACAATGTCCGCCCAGCACCAGATCGAATCGCTTCGGGCGATAGTCTCATTCTCCGCAAGATGCAGCGCGCCTCGTACCACGTCTCCGGGACCATGATCCGCTTGATAGTGTACCGCGGAAGACATTTGAACCCCGAGTGCATAAACATGTTCATCTCCATAGCAGCATCCGACGTGCGTGGCATCATTCGATTGGTAAACATGTCCACAAAGATAAGCGTGATAGGCTTACTCTGGCGATCTGCGAGCGGGGTGGGATAAAGTTCATGTCACCACGATAGAGCGAGGACACGCAGGCGCCATATTTGCGAAGGTTGGGAAACGAGTTGGCCAATTCGTGTCGGACGCGGTTGCCGTCGCCGACGACGAGGAGGTTGTTGATCAAGTTGGCGACCGTGTCGGTTTGTCGGAGGAAAAAGGGCATCAGTGCTTGGTAGTAGCACGTTTGCAGCGATCCGCCGAGGACGAGCGTTTTGAGCGAGGGCAATGTCCACGGAAGGAGGTCTTGGATGTCGACCGGCGGAATTTGCTCGCCTGGATTGCCGCCCCGCCAGGATATTCCCTGGAATGAGAAGCGGAGAAACCGTAGATTGGGAAATGTTTCGTTTGGGATGGATTTGAGAAGGCAGTAGCCTTTGAGGACGATGGAAAGGTGGGTGAGCTGGGATAACCTGGGGTGAGATAGAATTGGGTCGACGTGGCCTTCGTGATCGTCTTCTCCACGTAGGACGCAAGACAGTAGCTCGAGGTTGGAAGCTCGGTCGAGTAAGAGGGGAAGATGAAAGGGGAGCATGTCTGCGAGGACGGCATGCAAAGAAACCCAATCATCTTCCAAATAGTGAGGCGGCCAATCCTGTAAGGTTGGCGGTCTCCGGATAGGCACAGGGATATCGGTGACCCACTGGAGAGTTGGGCCCATCGACTCGAGTCTTTCGGTATCTTTGAGCTGATGAGAGGCTTGCTTCCATGTTCTAGGCTGCCCCGTCGTAGCGTCTAATTCGAGAAGAGTAAGGCGATTCCCGGTGTGATGGCGTAGGATCGAATAAAAGTACCGGCATGTCAGAGACAGCCGCCGCCACTCGGAAATATATATCTCTAAGCGAGAGATGGAATACTCTCCGACGGAGAAATGAGCAATGCCATCCAGAAATTCCTCGTGGTCATAGTGAAGGGTGTCAAAGATGTCGTCGAAAATGCAACGCCATATTTCGACCGGAAATCCGCCAGGAGAGTTTGCGATCTCGTCAACATGGGCTATAGAGAGTATATGAGTAACCAGATCAACAGCTTATTGAGGCCAAGAACTCACTTGCTGATTTGCCTAGGAAGCGACGGCGCCAGTGAGGACCAGTCGTCCTGGTTTGATTGGACGACATAAATTTTTTGTGAAAGAGAACGGGCAAGTTGTAGTTGCCACCATGTCTTTAACCATGAGACACATAGCGCGTCATCTGGTACGTACTAGCTGAGAGGGTGAGTCGTCGTAGCATTCAGTGGCTAGTGCCCCACATGATGCCATAGCCGAGATCTACAGCCTAGACGGGATGATGAGTCCTGTGGGCTTCGACTGTCTTATCCGAGAGGAGAACAGGACTTACTCCGCTGAATGTATTCTTATACCTTTGGTGAATTAATAGATTTATAATATTGCCTCAACCGATAATCTAGATTTCCGAGTGAAAAGACTGGTAGAGTCGGGTTCAACTTGTGTTTTCATTGGTCCACTAAGAATGAACATAAAATATATCGCACATGCATTATCTACTATTATCTCGAATAGCTGTGCCTGATGTCATCCCAAAGTCTTCAGAAGAGCCATAAAGTAGGCCACCTTCGATATCTAGATGTGGGTCGGAATTCTCTATGAGGTGCCAGCTAACGAAGAGGCAAAAAAGATGCAGCTTTTTTGGATACAGCTTACGTGAGCCCGACGCTCTAGCAATCGGCGAATTCGTAACATATATCACCTCTTCAGCCAGTCAGTTTTACTCTGGTCCATCAAAGAGATATACGCTAGGTTCGCAGAAGAAAGAATGTATCGAAAAAATGAACTGCAGTTGCTAGCGACAAATGTAGTCTCTGCATGAGGGGGTATTCGGGTTTCGACTACGCCTAAAGAAGGCACTGGCTGTACCAAGCTGCGATCTGTTTGAGCAAGGGCGTCATCTCATAAAGGAGCTCGTACCGTTGAAGTACTTGCATGTTCCCTGAGCGCAGGTCGTGGGTCCAGTATATCCTTGACCTCCACACCTAGGAAAGAAGGGTCAGACCAGGCGATTAGGGAGGACAAGTGGCGGTAAGTAAGGAAAGGTGAAGTATGCGGTGATAAGCAGGGAAAGAGGAAGGCCGAGTGGTAAATAAAGGTAGAGGGATCAAATCAGACAGTGAGAAGGAAAGGGCGATCAGACGGAGACATAACGTACTGTCCGTAAAGAGATTGTTCGTATCCGTTGGATACGCTAGATTGGGTACGAGTTGTGCTCGACGAGGGTCTAGTCGACGTTACCGTCCCAGTGCTGCTGCCACCTGTGACACCCCACCACGCAAGCTCGACGTCCTCATGAACGGGCACAGTATGACCTACGCCTTGTGCAGAGTATCCGACAACGACATTGCCATACATTGTCTTGGTGTACCCGGACTGGGGGTTGTTCGTCAGGGTGCTTGTCGGGGTCTGGCTAACACCAAGAACATTTGTCCACTGCTTGATCATTTCGGCGTAGTTCTTGTAGTTGAGAACCGTATCCCTGTTCGTGGCATTGTCAACTCTCGAGCAGAGCATCATGGAGTAAATGAAGCCTACGTTGTACCGTCCCAAATCATCATCTTCGGGCGGGGGCCACTATACCCAGGGTATGCGGCTCTTGCAATATCTCCCTATATCAAAATATAAGAAGTCGCTAGCATTCTCTAATAGCGTACCCATTGTGCAGCAGTCTTGATAATTTGTCCAGTGGCACACTGAGAGTTCCACTCGCCTGATCCGGCAAAGCAACCGAATGGAACGCCATTATATGACGACGTCGCAGTGATGAGGTCGGCTAACGGCCAAAGGTCAAATTATGGTCGCTATGCACGGGATCGCACGTACGATAGGATCCAGCCATGACATTGGTCATCATTGCTCCGGAGCTTGAACCAGTCACAAAGACTCTTTGGGGGTTGACACCATAGTTGTTGATGGCATACTTGATCATGGACGCGATGCCCTGGCTGTCACCGCCAGCATTGTGCTTCAAGGTCTCGGGACTATGGACATCTATAGTCAAAATCAGCAAATGGCGACGTCTTGGAACCTAATGCACCCGTACCAAAGCACTTTCCACTGCGTGGTGAGTCGGGATAGATAACGATAAAGCCAAGTTGATCCGCCTGTTCGCGTACTGTGTTCCGCCAAAGTATGCTTGGGCAGAGCCTGAGCAGTAGTGAATGGCAACGACGAGGGCGGGGGAGCTAGCCACCCTCGATGGCTTGTACACATCTGAGGAGTTTTAGCCCAAATGACCATGAACCTGGACCCAAGGACTCACACATGCCCACATTGTTCGGATTCGCACCAAAGTTGGTCACCTGCTGCAGCCTGTTTTGTGCCGCAAAGACAAGAGCTGCAGAAGCCAGGAGATTGAGAACACTGGTGAACATTGCGACCAAGGGTGGGAGCTGAACGTGCCTTTCTGCTGCAACAGCAAGAGGGCTTTCAAATACCCATTCGGCGTCTATGGACTTGAGACGCCTAACAACCGATGTAGCTGCGAGAATTCGCAGCGCAACATTATAAGAGGTGCGAAGGTGTTTCCATCTCGGGGCGCTCGCTAACACCGCGGGGGTTTACTAAGATTGTTCCCATATGGAAGGAATCAATACCACAGCACAGTATCACATGAGTGTGAATCACCGACGTTGACAACAACCTACAGACTCAATAACGGTCCGAAACACCGACTGGAGGATCTCCGGCGAAGGACGCCCTCATGTATTCAGGCTTAAAATACTGCCCCGCTGACAGGAGTCTTGTGTTGCCGACTGCTGAATGGAATTCTGCCGGCCCTGTCGATATTCTAGGCCTCCGAGGATATATAGACGGGAGTAGTCACGAGAGAATGAATACCAATTAACCAAGTATACATTCTTTAGTATTGTCCAAAATAGCTGTGGCTGATGTCATCACGGCACCGATGAACAAACTCGCTCCTCGCAACTTGGACCCGTCCAACACACGGAATATGTCTACACAACCAGCCCCAGAAGCTAAATCAACTCCTCTTCCACCGCCAACGCCCTCTGAAGGCCCGTCAACATCAACGCCATCCAGAAGCAAGAGCCGTCTGTCTGTCGCTGGCCTCCGGAGATCCGCTACAAAGGCATTGCAGAGCCAGGAAGCTCAGTCTGGCAAAAAGGTCATCACTGCCTATGGAAAGACCCTCGTGGGCATGAGTCCCATTTGGCTCATGGGCGAGGCGTTGACCGGTCGAGTATGTTGGATTGTCTATTGTCCGTAGAGTGCTAACGGTAGGATAGAAAGTAGGATCCCAGTTTAGAAGAGGAAAGGGAGATCTCGTCGCCGCTGCAGAAGAATTGCGCGGAATCCTCACCGATTCTGCGTGCGTCCGCCTCTTCTCCGCGGCCACTCGCGTACTCACCAACACTTTATAGCAAAGACATTCTCGTCGTAGTAGACGACAAACTCAGAACACAAAAGGATGAAACGGTCAAGACAGCCGAAGTCCTTCGTTCAGCCGGGTGCGCATTCCGCCTTTGCACGGAAATTATCTAACAGCTCTCTAGCGAAGACGTAATCGTCGTTGTGACCTCTTCCCTCCTCGAGTCCAAATCTCAATTCGAGAAAAATGCACCAGGTCTCAAACACACTGTGCTCAAGAATAGCAAAGACGTCGTCATTATCCTCGACAAGGCTATCAAACATCCCATCGTCGTCACAGGAGTCACCAAATTTGCCAAATCAAAGGGCATCCCTCGCCCAGAGGCCATTCTCACATTGGCCGCACTCGGCATCGGCAAACTCGTCAAGATTGTCGAGGCAGCAGAGGCAGACGCGAAGCGAGAACTAGAGATATTGGAAGAAGAGGCGCGAAGAGCGGCATTGGCTGCAGACCGCGCGACGACGCCCGGTGGTGGCGACAGTGAGATTGTCGTGGTGGATGCGACAGAGTTTGAGAAGAATGCACCCCGCGAGGAGACAAAGGCTGCAGAAGAGATTGGAAAGAACGCGGCGGATCCTGCGCCTGGCCAACCTTCCACCTCTGGCGAATCCTCGATGCCAGGCGGATTGCCCGACAAGGGTAAAGGCAAAGCAAAGGAAAAGAAGGACGACGGTTGTGTCATGATGTGATCCGCTTACTATACACGCTAATGGAGTCGGGCAGTTGGGCTTTTATAGATCCATCTAATATCGTACATCTATGCGTTTCTCTCCTTTTCAAAAAAAAAGGCCCAAATGAAAATGGAAACGAGTGAAATTTGCGCGAGGCAATAAGAATAATGACTGGATGCGCACAAGGCGCGACAAGATTTGAAAAGGTGTTTAAAAAGGCGGGCTTTGCGAGTTGGAAGGCGGGACTGGAAGCATACGGATTGGACGCGTTCCAGAGGGGGAAGTAGGTGAAGGGAGTGCTCGTGGACCCACCGGTGATGGCACGCTCACGTTGGACGCCGGAAGCGGATTTGTGGAAGGTTGTGCGCGCGTCGAAGTCGGGAAAGGGTTCATCGAGAGAGGTGGGATTGTCGAGGCTGGTGGTGCAGTATTAGTTGAAGGGATGGGCATGGGACGTGAGGTCGGTTGAGAGGGTTGGACGGGGGGAAGAGGTTTGTCGACAAGTGCGTGTGACGATCCTGTTGATTGCGCTTGGAGATATGGAAGGACGGTACTCGTTGCAGGAGAAGGCGGTCGAGCGACGCGAGGGGCGCTGCTAGTGGACACAGTCGTGGGTTGCACGGGCTGAGGTTGTATCGTGCGAGTACTACTAGAGGTAGTGACTGTTGCGTTTCGAACATTGCTCAGGGACGAGCTCGAGCCAGACATGGTTGTCGCATACAACGCCGCGATCGGAGTTGTAGTCGCAGCTGAGGACGTCGTAGGGTGAGACGAAGACGGTTGGGTCTGCTTCGATGTGCTGGCCACTGGTTGCTTTGATGTGCTGGCTTGTTGAAGCTCCTGTTTAGACGAATTGGGGCTCACGCGTCTTGGCTGAGGTTTCGCAATGAGCGGTACTGTCGCAGGTACATCGACCCCTGTGTCCCCAATCGTGGAAGCGGACGCAAAGGGTTGAAACGCATCGACATTCGTCACTTTCCATTTGCTCCTTCCACCCGTACTCGCATTCGCACTCGTATTCGCTTTTCCAAGTTGACGAACAGCCGGAGTAGACGTGGAGGCTATTGGTGCTGTCTTGTTTCTTGCCAAGTCGCCATCGCGTTTCGAACTCGAGCCGATAGATTTGTCTCTTTGGTTGTCCTCTGACAAATTCCCACCACGGAATAGATTGAACCACTCGGCGCTCGGCGCAACTTTGGGACTGGGCGTTCGACTTCCATCACTCTTCACACCACCGCCATATCCAGCAATGCTTCGATCAACGCCAGCCTGTCCAGACGACAGACTCGTATTGGCCAACACGCTCAGCCGTGCGTTCCTCTCATCCGTACCACCGCTGGCACTCGTACCGGTTGTAGTCGACAAATGTCGCAGATTAACCTCGCGCTTCTTGCTCTTCCGCTTGCCTCGCGTTTGGCCCCGAGAGTTCGAACCGGCAACAGCATTTCTGCCCGTCGCGCCACCGTTGGGTTTGGATCCACTCGAACTCGACCCAGCCGTCGCGGCAGTTGGACTGGCGACGCTCTGAATACCACTTCCGTCTCCTCCCCCTTCCTCCTCATCCTCGTCATCATCTTCATCATCGTCTTCTCCTTCCTCGCGGGCAGAGGATCCAAAGGCAGAGCCGGCAGCGGCTTTAACAGACGTGCCATTTGAGCCCTCGCTCTTCGCCGCTTTGGATTTCCCCCTGGAATCTACTCTCCCATCTCCAGCTAGAGCATGCGCATGTGTGGGGCGACCAATAGGCGCAAGAACTGCGCGTGAGGGAAACTGACCACCAGAGAGCGGATGAGTCGCCTGTCTACTGCTTCCTCCGATGGCACTTGGTCCAGCTCGAGCAGTCGATGTCGCCGTGGCCGAGTTGAGCCGTGCCAATGCGCCCTCTGAGAGCGTTCGCACTCTTTCCTCGCCAAACTGTGGTCTCTCCCCAAACGCAGCCATATCCGACCGGTACAACGAATTCTCGCCTACTGCGCCAGATGAAATGTGTGAGACAGGGAATGGATTTGAACCAGTAAACGGACTCGAGAGCGTCGGCGGCGCCTCGTGACTCGTCGCCACCCCCAATCTTCTCAAGGAATCAGATCGTAGAGGCGTCATGTCCGCATGCCATGCTGGAACTCCAGCTCCACCGAATCGACCAGTGAGAACGGAATTGTCGCTCGTCGAGTGGTGGTGCATGGTCGGTCTCGTCATGGCACTTTCACCGAGTCGGATCCCGACATCGTCATTTGCACCCATAGCCCGAGCGTCCATGGCCGCTGTCGGTTGGATCGTGAGCTGATGTTGTTGCTGACTATGCGCGGCAGACAGTGGGACGAAGAGTGAACCATCCTGCGCAACTCTAGCTATGGCCAAAGCTTCCTTGGTTAGAGGAATGGGACTCGGCGTTGGTGATATGTCCGGGTTCGATGAGCCGGTAGGCGGAAGTAAGGCGTTTGCAGATGGAGCCGTCGTATTCACAACCGTAAGAGGGGCGGCGTTGTTACTGGCAAGGTTCGCATACGGATTTCGTGAGGCAACGGCACCCATTGGCGACGGATCACGCTCCACCATTCCCATTCCCGAGTATATGTTTGGAGTTTTGTTCGAACCCATTGGATGCGTGTACCGTTCGTTGCTTCGTACAGATGCTGATCGAACCATTCCTTCTCCATACATATTGGGATGCGTCCCATGCCCGTGAGATGACGAGCCTCCAGGTGCTGGAGAGGACCGAGGTGATTGTCGGCCTCGAGAACTCAGCCCCATCCCAAGGTCGCCTACACGCGCCAGAGAGCCACGAAACTTGTCAACGAGGCTCTTCCTTCCAGTGATCCCTATGGCTCCGGCTCCAGTTGGCGTGGGCGTGGTACGCTGATAACCGTGGCCATGGGCGCTATTGCTAGGCTGGGTTGGGTGCGCATGTAGTGCTTGGATGTCAAGCGCGCTGAGATCACTCCCCACTCTTTCAGGGCCGTTGTACTTTGCATAGTCTTCCGGGCTATGCATCCTGCTGACGCCCATCGCCGTTCCCGTCGTCGGAAGACCAGGGACAGGAGGCGGTGCAATAACCACCCGTCCTTCATCGCCATCCAGATCCACTCGGGCCCCTGTGCTAGAAGGAAGGGCCGGAACGGGGCTGATCGTATCGACCTTTCGTCTCCCAAAGAGTGACTTGACTCTCTTTGACGATGCCGGTCCTTGACTCCCTCGTTTCTCTAGATCACTAGCCGGAGATAGCCGACCAATTTGCATCACCGGACCGCCGAGGGCGTTGTTCGAGAGTCCTCGGTTGGATATGGCCGTCATATTGTGCTGTGGTGTCCCTGTCCCACTCCGAGTTGCGGAAAAGGGCCACAGACACTCTTTCCACTCGGACCAACCCCATCCCAGTAGTCCGAGATCTTGCTTGGTCCCGTTGTCGTGTCCGTGCTTGGACGAATTGATGGTACGTCGATGAGTGTCCCAGTGTTGGAGCCGTGTTTGTATTTTTCGGCGATTTCGAATGCGAAAGATGCAGAGAATGAGAAATGAAATGAACAGGAGGACACCAATGACCGTTCCGGCGATTGCACCGCCGGAAAGCTAAGCAATGATAAGAGATTGTCAGCTTCTTTGGTCTATTTTCTGAGGAGATATGAACAGAGGAAGATGTACCTTGTTTGGCTTCACCGACCCGGGGCCGCTTGCCGAACTGGATACACTTGCAAGTGCAGCAGACTCATCCCTACAACCCAAGATTAGCAATCTGAGTGTATGAGAGATAGGGTCTTACCATAGACCATTCCCTGACGACCTGAGATATGCCCAGCTGGGAATGTGAATGCCCGCATTATCCAACGCTCTTTGCACCGCTTTAGTGAGAGGTGCATTTCTAGGTGGACCGCTACTACTACTTGTAGTCGCATTACTCGGGGCACGTCGCGATAAGTGTCCCGACGGAGAGGAGATAGATGATGTGGAGAAGACGGATAAAGTTGATGAGGAAGACGATGTGCAATTCCCGCTCGACCAAAAGTCTGCCCATGTAGTCCGTACATAACCTCCAACAGGCTGGTCCCACTGACATGACCAACATGCCGCATATAGCGCATAGGCGACGTTTGAACAACAAAAATCGTGGATTAAATCTTCGTTGTCTGCGGCTGATATCGACGAGGGAATGGTGGCAACAGTATTCGACGGGAGGGCTGAGGATGTATTCGACGGGGTGGAAGTAGAGGATTGGCCGCATTGAAAGGAGAGTTCGAGCCAGGATAGGGAGAATTTGGTGTCGAATTCGTGTAATGATGCATTTAGGACCTGGCCTATTAATAAATGTTAGAGAATAAAATAGAACGGGTAAGACGCAGGCTGACATGGAGTCTGTGCACGGTCATTGAACATCCAACGGGCATCTTCGGTATTTTTACACTCTGTCGGACTTTGGTTTGCCATTGAGGATGATTATGCTCCCTAGAGGAGGGGAGGAGGGGTCTAGTAGTGGACGGGTCTAAGGATCAGACGTGGTCGCTGAGAAAATTGTGGTTGATTGGGCGGCGGTGCTTGTGAATGGGCGAGTGATGGCCCGACAAGGCCCAACCGTCGCTTGTCTGAGTGCTCCTCTGTGTTTATATCTTTTATATCTTGTAGTGTATCCTATTTCTCCTGGCCTCTGTAATCTACGGGCGTCCTTGATGGTGGGAGTGGAGGCCAAGGCTGTGCTCCACCTTTGCCATCGACCACCCGGGCGCGGACCTTGTGGATGCCGAGTTTCGGCTATAGATTTGTCAATACGTAAGACGTAAGCGTGGAATATTGGAGAATTGATGGACACCAGGCGTCGTCACGGAGACTATTCTCACCCGACCATATGACATTCCGAGTAGCCAATGTTCATCTCCGACTATCAACTTTGGCTCACCACGTGTCACGTCGACAGATGGCCCAAAGTAGGGCACTTGACGCCGACCTTTTCCATGTCAGCGTCTACTCTCATTTACGAACTACCCGTCGAAATTTGGGAAAATATATTCGATTATCTTTGCAAATACCCTCTAGTTCCACATGCACAAGGTGTAGACGCATTGGAGGATCTGGCCTTATTCACCAGAGGTAAGGCCTTCATGGCGAAATTAGAGCCATTCTCAGCAGCCAGAAAGGACCTCTCGCTCACTTGTCGCTACTTTCGACACATTCTTTACCTTCCACGAAACCGATTGACGATCATCAGTTGCACAGGGGGAATCGTCGTCCCCACATGGAAGACATGCGCCGGATGGTTGCCTTGGGAGGCAGAACGTCTCGAATTCTACGCGGATAGACCTCTATACTATCCTATTGACGGACAGTCCCATGGAATAGCATGGCCTTTTAGCTGGCTTACAGAGTCTTGGGACTCATTAACATCTATGGTTCTCCCTCACAACGCTCCCTTTGATCCAACTAAGATACTCTCTCGCGCTCCAAACTTGCGATTACTTTCCTGCAGACTCTGGGAAGTACGCAGAGAAAGTGGGAAAACATACCCACTCCTCGACCATCCTCAACTCAGGCGGCTCACTCATCTATCGCTCAGTCTCGATAACGGGCAGCTTAATATGCCGTTGCCCAAAGTGACACTCGAGTCGCTCAAAGTCCTCCACCTCGACTTCCAAGGGATACCCTCGGATTCTGTTCGCACAACGATTCAATCAGAGTTCATTCCCTGGACATTTCCAACTCTCAGGACCCTCTCACTCGACGGCAGAATCAAGGTGGGCATGTATAATGACATCAAACCCTTCTTCGAGCGACATAAATCTGTCGTCCTCAATTTATTCAACAATCTATATTCATCCACCCGCACAAAGATCCTGTTCTCAGTGCTATATCACTTTGACCGACTCGAATGGTACGGCGTCCGTGCAATCTCGACTCTGGATGAGTATAATATTTTTTCATGCTTAGAACGCGATCTAGCGCAGCAAGGACCTTCCACGCTGCTCCTCATCGGGCTATGTGAACCTTGGGTCATGTTCAAACGTCCTAGTCGCTTCTCAGCAGCCTCCGCCCATATGGCCGGGAGCCCGCATCGCATTATGCGCGTCATGCTGGACCTACCATGGCCAGCTATTGATCAAGCATTGAACGCGTTACGAGGAAATTCTAAGCGCAAGATAATGACGTTTTTGGTTGGACTTCAAGGGCTCGGGTTCACAATTGTGGATAGACTTGGCGTGGAGGCCCCTCCGGGGCTCATCCAATTGCATGCATGAGATGTGATAGTATTTACAGACCGCATTGATGCATGTTTCTTTGCACAAAAGTTTCCGGAGAAGCTGTGGAACGACTGTGAAGCGTTTTCTCTGATTCTGTCAGTACGTACGTATGTGATCATTACTGTCTTGGACCGAAACCATTTCGAATCGATTATGATTGTTGTATTTGTCGAGGTCAAAGTAGATGAGCTTGAGGATCGTGGTGCTAGTATAAAAGGCGGGATGGACACACCTGTACAGAGTCTGCCTATTCCCTCCTATCATCTGTGACTTTTAGAATTCGGTCGACCATCGGTGGCAGATGGCTTAACTTGACGCTAGCCTCTTTCCATGTCGCAGCAATGTCTTATTTATCGACTACCCATAGAACTGTGGGAGTATATATTTGACTTCCTTTGTTATTATCCACTCGTCCCAAATGCCGAACGCATGGATGTCCTGGCCGATCTGGCTCTTTTCGTAACCAGGAGACGCGTCATCTCAAAGTTGATGCCGCTGTCAGGTGCTAGGAGGTAGATCTCACTCACCTGTCGATATTTCCGAGATATACTGAACTCTCCACGAAATCGGTTGACAATCGTATCTGGTTGGAAGGATAGTCCTCGACCTCTCATGGGATGATCTAGAGAGAGAGCGTCAGTGGTCTTTCCCGAAATCAACAGAGATTTTCGATGTCATAAGAGCCATAGATAAACCCGAATGCTCTGTTTTCGACAGGCACCTCGTTCGTTGTGGGCCTAGCGTCGCGTAAAGGGCCTGCTCCCGTATTACGTCCCATAGTGCACCTTTGGATCCACCACATATGTAGGAGTATAATTCCAACAATACGGAACGCAAATGCCGTGGCCCGATAGCGGAAACTGGGCTCTTAGCCTGTCGCGCAAGGATCCTGTTGAGCCGCAGGCGCGTCCAAACATGGGTTGGTGCACTACACAAAAGAGCTGGGATATTCAATGGGTGGCGATGAAGGGTGAGCTTAGCCCGTGGGGTAGGAGGGGAACCCCGATAGAGATAACCATGCCCTCTAGACGCCATAACCACTGACAGACCTATTTCACGTGTCTATTTCAGTATATAGCAACCTCTCAGTCATGATATGGCCAGGTGTACACTCTTACCGTGCTGTTTCCCTTTGAGTGACATTGTCCAGAGTCGTTTGAATCAGAGCGTGTAACAGGTCGGCGTGAATGAACGATGATGTGATATATGTTTGACCCTATATGTGATTGGACGTGATTTGACGCGACCCGAGTGCAGCCATTGCGACGTGGTCGGGAAAGAGCGCGGAGCCACATTCGCATCTTGGAATGTGGCAGACTGAGATGGCATCATAGAAACTCGAGAAAATAGATGAAAACTATCTGGGAGCAGTTTATTGTTATAGAAACGACAGTTTACACATTTTCCCAGGAGAGACGACGCTCCACCGACTTGTAACGCGGCATAGATCACGTGCAGAATTAGAGTTTCAAGCACCGACACGCTTCGCCACTATAAGAGGCCCACGAGGTACTCCCAGCCTCGTCTAGCAACTCCTCTCTTGCCCTCTCTCCCAGCCACACCGGGCTACTGGCAGACGCGCCTTCGCGCATCCTTTACGTGTCTATTGTCATGAAGATTCAAGACATTCTTCCTCAAGAGGATGTGCCGTGGTACGAATACTTTGACTTTTGGCCAGCCGATGATGAGGGAGTCGCTGAAAGCCACAAAGAGCAATCGCTTGCGCTTGCTGTCGAAGAAGAACACGAACATGTGTTCGAATATGTGCCCATTACGCGTCGCCCAAACTTGCTGACATGCTGTAGGGAAACCCCAGAGATGATCGCGGAGCGCGAAGAAACCAACAAGAGAATTGAGTGAGAAACCTGTTCTATATTTGAATCATGTAGCTTAAGCCACATATAGGGAAATATATCGACGCTACGAGGCATATCTATCTGGCGAGGAACCGCCAACGGATAGCGAATTCGGCTTCAGCTGTCCGGAATCTGAGGTCGATCCTTCGGAAGATTACAATCAGGTCGCAGAGAACGTCGTGTTGGGGCTCGATGAGTGGTTGGAGGAGCCACAGGATCTTCCGGTAGTTCTCGACGAAAGGATAATCCATCCCGAGTTAGCCTCCACTAGCAGAGCCTTGCTTCCTGCTAGCGGAGATACGCAAAACATCGATGGTCACGGCTCAAGCTCACTCTTGGGTCGTGACGAAGACATTTTGGGTGGCTCCGCCACCAAAAGTACGTCCCTCTGTTATGGGATATCATAAATGACAGCTCTTCCTAGGGAAACGGGCACCCCGCATCCTACTAGCGGTCCGTGAGGACGACGGGACCGAGCCCGCGCTCCGTACGCTTTCCATCTACTCCTCCCCTCGAACCTTAGCTGAATTTGCCGATAGCAGTGGGAGAGGATGGATACGCCGACCCACACGCCGTTCTCCGTCGTTTATCGAATCGGCTCAATGGGCTCAGTGGCCTAAAGCGCCTCCAAACGCAATGTTATGATCGAATCTTCGTCCCATCTGCAGAAAAGGCAACAATCGACTATCAAGCAGGCACTATCCAGTGCAACTACGGCGCATCCATTGCGCATAAGGGAAGAGGGGAGTGGGTGACACTGGAAGAGATGTGCGGAACGACGATGAATAGCCGGGAGAGCTACAGTCGACATGTTGTCTGTTCCCATATCATCGACGGCCGTCCTCCCACTGGAGAGACGATGGATGAGAGGATCGGTAGGATCCACAGCCTGAAAAGCGATGAATATCTACTGATACAGTATATAGTACATCGTCTTTACCGCTCGCTGGTCGCCATTGGGGACTTTGAAGCGGCGAGCCAGCTCAACCGGACAAAGTCAAAAAAGAGAGTCGGAAAAGCGAGAAAGGGAGCAGAGAAAAAGAAGGCCAAGGGAAAGAAGAGGAAGTTCGCTGACGAAAACGAGTACAGCGCGGACGACGAGGATCTGCAGTATGTGCCCACAAAACGTCGTCGAGCCGATAGCTCGTGAACACCGGGAGTGCTAGATTTGTCATCTAATCCAGCAGTTATCGTGCGAGATAGACCTGTTCTTGTCCACCTTTGTCCATTCTGTGTGTGTAAAACTCCTTGTGCCACAATCTAGTCAAGATCTCGCTCTTATTGAGCGGTTTGAAATATCTTACTGCCGTAATTGAGGTCCAGGTGTCTTATTAATTGCTTCCAGCGCGAGCAAAGAGCACGGGCCACAACTTCTGGGCTGCGAGTCGGGGTGGTAAGGTTCAAGTTGCTCGGCATTTATAGAATGGCGGGAGGGTGAAAATATGAAAAATAGTTCTGCAAGAGTATAATATCCGTCGGTTTAGACGTCGCCCTGGTTTCTTGTGGACATCTCGAACCACAGCACTTGACCCCAATTACGACTCGTGCTTCCTTGTTGCGCCGAGGATTCACGTATGAGCGTGGTAGAACAGCTTATAACTGTGATTTGGCTTCAGATGTTCTGCCTTCCCACTCGACAGAGCTCCTTCCGGCCGAAAATACCACGCTTGCTGAGGACCCTTAGGTCCTCACCATGAACCGGTCATGGGAGAGCCACTTCAATGTACTCAATGCAGAGAGGGCAAACATCTCGCTCGTGTGCTGATACTTTCGCAACATATTAAGTGGAGAAGGACCCAGAGTCGCGGTGGATAAGAGATCCAAAATTCGAAAGTATACAGATTACACATTATATGAATTACATCGCATAGACATACCCTTCATTCCTGTCGTACTACCATCGACGGAATGACCGAGGCAAACGTCCAAAGGATTGTGTTGGATAACTCATGGGGCGGTCTCTAAAGATGCTATAAGCGAGATAATGACAACTACTCGGATTTGGTGTAGATCATGAGACTTATGGCTTCGCCGGATCGTCCTCTGTATGACAGGCACCTCGTGCGTTTCAAGGCCGTTTCAAGCGAAGTGGTAATATAATGAGCCCTGTGAGTTCCCTCTTGACTTTTCTGCATCTTTATTCACCAAACACGCGGCGGATGGGGGATTATCCCAATCTGAGAGAGGCAAGTCTATAGACAACGGAGATTGACAATCTACGGAAGCTATGGAGGCTCCCTATCATCCACATTCTTGTACATATCACCAGTCACTATCAAACTTTAGCCATGCTACAAAGCCAGCCGAGGCGCCGTGAAAGTCTCCGAATATTATAGTTAAATATACTGGTTAAAAGATGAGAAATCCTCCACTTTGCTGTATATTATGAGCCTGATATGCAGAAAGCCAGATCCCAATTGGATGAGAGTGGTGCTCCTTCGTTGACACCGACGGCCTCGACATCACACGGGTCCTGCCGACAGATGAGCGCGTCTGAGCGCTTTCCAGCGGAGATATGGCTACATATATTTCGCTTTCTCACTCACACCGAGCTGCTTCCAGTCAAACAGGCAACGTTTGTGGAAGATCTCAGGCTATTCGCCATTGGCAATTTCCTGGAGCCACGCTTTCAGGTTTGCAATGTTGAGCGGACAAACATATCCCTTGTCTGTCGATATTTCCATGACATATTGAAGGAGGAAGGAGCCAAAGTGGTCGTGGTGGACCGGGAAGGCAAAGTTAAAAAGTTTGCTTACTATAAAACATACGAAGCACATCGATTAGAGGTGCTTTCAACCCCTCTTGGAGCAGCAGCGGCAAAATGGCCGCGCGAACACTTCTCAGCTCTAGAAGTCCTCGTAGGATATTGGCCATGCCAATATCTCGAATCCTTTTTGGATTTCACCCCAAACTTGAGAGTCATGTCTATAATTCTTTCCCAAGACGCTTCAAAATGTTCTATCTTCTCGCCAGCTCTTCTTCACCCGGTAACTCGACATCTCACACACCTCTCTATATCTCTCAATGCTACATCGTCACTAAAACGGGTCACCATGCCAAGCCTAAACTTTCTACACCTCATATTTACACCACACCGCTCGCCCCCCACAGCTGGTCTCCCGTGGGTATTCCCCTCTTTGCGCTCACTGCATATCTCAGGATATATCCAAGGAGCACTGTTTGATGCACTTACTCCCTTCTTTGTCGCTCACTCCGCTACGGTTACGCGCCTCTATGACGATTTCCGTGTCCGGCGTACACTGTGGGCATCATCAACAAGCATTGTGCATTTCAAACATCTTGATGTATACGCGGTGAACCTATCCGACCGAAGTAAAAATGTGGATCCGCCTCCACCCCTATCAAACTCCTCCAGCGCCAGCCTACGACCACTTACAGTACTCTGGATGCATGCGCCAGTATTTATCGGGTTCAATGAACATAGTAATATTGAGATGAGAATGCGATGGCTCAAGTGGGAGGTGGCGACGGTAGGATCATACTCAGTGCAACGGATCGTACTCGATCGTTCCTGGGATGGTCTCAAGAGCTATCACGAGCGCTCCAAATCTAATTTGAGATACTTGCGTTTCTCATATGAACTGGAACGCCTAGACATACCGTCTTGTCCCGTCTTCGACAGACACCTTGTTCGCTTCCAGCCCAGTGATTAATCAAGTCAGGTATAACGTGAGTTTATTGATAAACTTTCTTTTCCGTGGTCTTTCTGACCCAAACTCGGCAGAACAGCGAATAATGTGACAACTACACTGTGACCTTTTCAAGGAGTGACGACGATATGAAATGCCGAATCAATTTTTCTTATTCGTAGGGTGATGGATAAAATGGATTAGGATATGAAGCGCCTGTGTGAGCTGTGTAAAGGTGAAATCAACTATAGAGGTACTAAGAATTAACGATTAGGCCGTAATCAAGCGTACTTACATCTATAGTAAAAATTCAAAAGAAAGAACGAAATAACAGAACGAGTGGACGACATCTGGTGATGTTAAGGGCGTTAAGGAGTGACAGTGGTCAAAGGACTATTAGGAGAAGACCTGAAGCGACAAAAATGAGTGAATTAGGCAGAAAACCCATTATTGCCGTAACTAACGACAATAAGTAATTTGCACGAGATTTGAGTGGTTAAGTCTCCTTGGTCTCGGCCACCTTCACTGCCTTTGACGTTATATAGCAGTATGAGCGCTTCAGAGCATTTCCCAATGGAGATATGGCTACAGATATTTCGTATTCTCACTCACACCGAGCTGCTTCCGGTCAAACAGGCAACGTTTGTGGAAGATCTCAGGCTATTCGCCATTGGCAATTTCCTGGAGCCACGCTTTCATGTTTGTAATGCTGAGCGGACAAATATATCTCTTGTCTGTCGATATTTCTATGACATATTGAAGGAGGAAGGAGCCAAAGTAGTTCTGGTGGACCGGGAAGGCAAAGTTAAAAAGTTTGCATACTATGAAACATACGAAGCGCGTCGATTAGAGGTGCTTTCAACCCCTCTTAGAGCAGTAGCGGCGAAATGGCCGCGCGAACACTTCTCAGCTCTAGAAGTCCTCGTAGGATATTGGCCATGCCAATATCTCGAATCCTTTTTGGATTTCACCCCAAACTTGAGAGTCATGTCTATAACTCTTCCCCAAGACGCTTCAACATATTCTATCTTCTCACCAGCTCTTCTTCACCCGGTAACTCGACATCTCACACCTCTCTATATCTCTCAATGCTACATCGTCACTAAAACGGGTCACCATGCCAAGCCTAAACTTTCTCCACCTCATATTTACATCAAACCGCTCGCCCCCCACAGCTGGTCTCCCGTGGGTATTCCCCTCTTTGCGCTCACTGCATATCTCAGGATATATCCAAGGAGCACTGTTTGATGCACTTACTCCCTTCTTTGTCACTCACTCCGCTACGGTTACGCGCCTCTATGACGATTTCCGTGTCCGGCGTACACTGCGGGCATCATCAACAAGCATTGTGCATTTCAAAAATTTTGATGTATACGCGGTGAATCTATCCGACCGAAGTACCGATGCGGATCCGCCTCCACCCCTATCAAACTCATCCAGCGCCAGCCCACGACCGCTTACGATACTCTGGATGGATACGCCACAATTTATAGTTTTTCATGGATATATTGATGTTGAGACGAAGATACGATGGCTCAAGTGGAAGGTGGCAACGATAGGATCATACTCAGTGCAAAGAATCGTACTCGACCATTATAAATGCATGGCGTGAGCGGCAAAAGGCCAGACATTCGGCATTTATGCGCAAACTCGAATGCGTAGACACGCAAGAGTGCCCAATCTTTGACAGACACCTTGTCCGTTTTCGGCCCAAACCCAAGGTAAGTATCTTGGCGGACTACCTTTTCGCGCAACTACCAACAGCCACTTCAGATCTCAATGAAACCGGTCAATACTCTCGTGGAAAGCGTGTGATTTTCTGATTCCAACCAGCCAACTAATCACATCACATCCGTACAAGGCATCGAGGTGCAGACAAAGGGGATGGATTCTGTTGAATGATCATGCAAAGATAGTGCCAAAACAAGGTCCGATAGTCGTGAATAAAGTATACTGCAACGAGCGAAGACGATGGATCGCAGAGTCCCAAAAGACAAAGTTACAAGAATTGGAGGGAGAGAGAGGAGGGGTCGACTCTAATGGGTGTTGACGTGCTTTGGTGCAGCCGTCGGGGCGGGTGCGTCTCCATCACGTTTTGCAAAGACACCACATGCCGGGATCGCAGCGGTGAGCGCGTTCCATGGGTCAGGGTACGTGCATCCAGCGACAGGCACAGCCATGGGCGTTGTATCTGCATTATTTGTCCACCCATCGCCCACAGACGCCGTCGCGCTCGCAAACGTCGGTACAGGGAGCGTCGAAAGGGCGCCTGTAGCGGTGTACGTCGGCAGGCCAGCGACGCTTGGATAGCCGCCAATTGCAGTTGGAGGCCATGGGTACGAATCCAGTCCCTGGACGGCAGTGCCTGCGCCGGGCCCACCGACTTGCGCGGGCGTATAGGCGCCAGAAAAGGTGTTAGCGGGTGCACCGATACTGGCGCAGTAGCCTCTGGAATCACGAGGATTGGCAGGTGCCCAGCCTTCTTGAACGGCGAGCTTGTAGGACCAGAATGGTGTTTCGACCTTGCCACTGGCACGCGACTCTCCGATACGCCATGTCCAGAAGAAGGAATCTTGGAGAGAGTCCATGCTGGCAAGAGCAAGATTGCGGAGGGCATCCTTGATCGACTGGTCCCAAGTTGCGTAATCTTGCCACGGCGCACAGCTGCCAATGCGCGGCTGACCATCAAATGTTCCTTCATATCTGGTGCCACCTGTACGGTGTCAGCAAGAGTTTACCACACTCGCCCGCGGCAAGAGTTGGCCAGCCAACGCTTCGCGCTAAAAACTCACCTCCAACAGTGTTGAGATAGAGGCCGCAGTCGTTGATAGCTAAGTCAACAGTGTTAACAGTGTTTGAGTAAGAGCGCAGTAGTACATACCTAAGGACCACTCTCCAGCTCCTGTTTGACCGAATGCACTCATACTAGCAGCGGTCGCTGCGCTCCACTGGGTGCAGGCAATGGCCGGGAAGGCCGCCGGAGGTTGATTGATGAGCGGACCGAAGACGAGATAGGTATGTTGATCCAAAGCCAAGCGGTCAGCGCCCGGAAGAAAGTCGGTCCAACCACCGAGGCCGTAGAAGGCTTCGTGGATCGAGATGACGGGCCCATTACCGTTTCCATTACCGCCAATGCCACGAATGATCTTGTATGCCTCTGCGTAGAAGGATTCAATTGCGCTCTTGGGATAGTTGCCCGTGCCTGATCCCGGCTCGTTGATGATACCAAAGTATTGGATAATGTTGGCGTACTCGGGCTGGGAGATGAATTCGGCGAGGATGCGAATGTAGTCGAGCGTGCGTTGAGCGTTGGCGAGACCCATGACACCATTCAGAAAGTTGACCTGGCCCATCTTGCCGCTGTGGTTCCAGCCGTTTTGGGATCCAGGGACGGCGTGCAAGTCGAGGTTGATGCGGATACCGTACTTGCGGGCCCATTCGATTGCCTTGAGGAAGTAGGTCCAGCAGGTGCGAGCGAGGAAGGGTTCGCCGGGATACGTTTCGATGGCCCAGAACGGGAGTGGGATGCGGACCCAGTTGAGACCGGCAGCAGCGATCATGGCGAAGTCCTCCTCGACGATGAACGTCTTGTAGTGCTCCTCAATGACATTGAGATTTCCGTCTCGCTGTTGGAGAAGAGTCGACAGAGTCCACTCATCGACCGCATTTGGGTAGAACGGTTCATAGAGAGCTGGCGAGATGAAAGGCTCGAGCGTGAACCAGCCACCAAGGTTGACGCTGTAAAAGTGATGAGAATTGTGAATGAATCATGGGAATAAAATGTACCCGAAAATTTGATCCTCTCCCCATTTCCATGGCTCGGCAAGGGACGGAGTCGTAGATTGAGCACGCGCACTGTTGTTGAGTGGATTCTTGGGATCAAAAACCCAATAGCCGCCGTGTGTATTGTTGTATCTGAATGTCGAGCCGTCCTCCTTGGTAACAATGGAACCATCGCCACCCCAAGTGACCGTCGTGTCCTGGTTGTTGTTGTTGTTATTGTTGTTATTGCCTCCGTGACCCGTATTCGAGTGTCCACTGTTGGAGCCGCTGCCACCACCCGAGTTGTCCTTTTTCTTGATGACAAAAATGTAGACGGGGATGACCACCGCTGCAGCAATAATTGCCAGCGCAAGCGCCGTCAAGGCCCAGAAGACAATCTTCTTCTTTGATTTTCGTCTTGGAGCCTCGTACAACTCTTGTTTGTCGTGCAAGTCGATTGAGCGCTTGGGAGCTGCCGACCATCCCGAGGGTTCGTCGACATAGGCCGACCCACGGTGGTCATGAAGAGGTGCAATGGAGCCGTATGCAGATGAACGGGCCGTGGACGCTTGGCCATACGAGCTACGCGTGCCGGCCTCGCCGAGGAAAGCTGGATTGGGTGCACCAAATTCTGCATTGCTTGGATTGTCGTGGTAGGGCGTCAGGTAGCTTGTAGAATGAGGGTTTGGAGGCAGATAGGCGCCGGCAGGGAGAGGTGTAGCGGTTCTACTCGACACTTCGCGCATCTCATGGTCGTCGGCGGAGACTATGGGCCCGTAGGGAACGGACGAATGCTGAGACTGAGACATTGGAAAACTCTGCAGAAACGAGTGTCAGCAAGGAATTATAAAACCCGGAGAGTCAAAGGGCGCTGCACAGCTAGGCGGCAGAGGTTTCGAATGGGCGGCTTGAATAAACTGCAGCGCATGCGGCTCGACGCCAAAACCGTATTGCCAGTTGAAATCTGTGCGTCGAGAATGTATCCATCGGCCATTCTACGCATCGCCGCCACTGCCCAGGGCGTCGCGAGCGTCGCGGCAGACGAGCACGAGGGGTCATCAGGGGATAAACTCACAAGAAACAGTCACAGAGACTGTCAAAGAGGAAGAAAGAAATGCGTTTGCAGCAGAGAAACAGCCAGACGGGAGAAAAAGGTCGACGGGGGAGGGGCCAAGAGTTGGGCGGCAATGAACACAAACTTTGGCCGAGATGACAGCCAGTTTTTATATCTCATTATCATCAATCAATCACTGTACCCAACGCGAACACTGGTCAAGCGCACGGGCTGTGCAATCCATCCGACCTCTCCGCCCATCAACTCCCTGATACATCCCGGTCACCGCTAAACCATCTTGAATATTCCCTCCTCATCGTCTGCAGCCCTCTTCTAGTCATCCCATTCGGCCCGCGCCAAATATACTCCTGGGAATCGCCCACGGCCTGGCAACTGGCTCCCACGTCTTCAGCATGCCTGCTCCAGCCATACTTTGTATCGTTTCACAGGGTGCCATCCAGCTCGACCTGGACGGGTGGGGGACCGCGAGGCACTGTGCCCAGCGGACATAAGCACAACCAAGAAACAACTGACAGCAAGGGACAACGACGCACCGCTCTGGAGACATTTCTTGCCTATCTTCTCCTATCTTGGCATTCTTGTGGGTACTGCCTATTGACGCCCCGTGCCTATCCACCATCTCCACACCAGATGCCTCGAGCTGGGTGAAAAACTCGAGCAAGCCTTGCTCCATCCAGGGCGTCGTCTGTTTCATATCACAAAGGGCCGTCCTTACCTCCGCCCACGTCTCCGAGAGCATCACCCTCTCGATGAAATACGGCGCTTCCGGAGGTAAGATCCTTTCGATGATAGCCGCGACGGCAGAAAGCGGTGTAGACGACACATATGCCATCCACGGAAATGAAGTTCCTGTCACCAGCACCGTCAACGGCTTGGCCTCTTCCGCCATCGGCACAGAGTCAACGGGGAAGAACCCATTCCGAAGGATGGAATGAAATTCGACTCCGTAAATCTTCAAATTGGGGAAATGCATGAGGAATTCGTGTCGAATCCGCCCGACGCCGTGGTACACGACGAGCGAATTGTGAAAGCGGGTGAGTCCCTCCCTCTGGCGTATGATGAATGGTCGTAGCGATTGGAAACAATCATGACCAATCCATCCAGATAGAACAAGTGAAGAGAGTACGGGTAGCGTCCATGGTAAGAGGTCGACGGGTAGCGGAAGTGGGATTGCCGCTCGCATACGGGACGAATAAATTGCACTGTAGCAAGGATCCACAATCTCCAAGCGAAGAAAGGCCAAACATGGCATCGCGACAGGGGCCAGTGCGTCAGTGGTCGAGACGCAGAGCGATAGATGCGTCAGTCGATTGAACACGGGGTGTTGGAGAATTGCCGAAATGGACGAATTCCCGCTCGCATCGTCCAAAAAGGTGCAAGAAAGTGCGACGAGGCGTGGAGTATGATCTAAAAGGTGAGCAAGAGGGACTTGTGCTGCTTCCACGTGTAAAAATTGCAACGTCGGCCATTCCTGGACTAGCCATTGGGGCGGCCAGTTTTCTTTCGAAGAATCAAGAGGGTCAGACTCGGGCAAAACCGGCAATTCTCCGGCACCCAATACTTCAAGTCGTCTGGCATGCTCGACGTTTTGGCCCCTCAACTTGCACGTTGTCGGTGCTATCTTGGTCGCATCGAATGTTACCAGTCTATCCCCTGCTGGAGAGAGAATGGCGTAAAAGTAACGACATACGAGCGACAGGCGCGTCTTCTCCATGGTGGAAGAAACAAAAGAGGTGACGGACGGCTTTCCGGTTGAGAATAGTCGAATGTCGGTCATAAAGTCGGCGAGAGGATTAGGCAGGAGCTCGGTTGGAAGGAGGTGCTTGAATATGTCGACCCATACTTCGACAGGTAGGCGTTCTAGGATGTTATGGGACATTATTAGGTGATTCTATGATGCTTCTATGATTTTTTGCTTGGAAGAGGTGGAAAACAAGTCGTGTCGAACCAGAAACGTGCCAACCTCCTGGAAAGGGCCAGCCCGGTCTTGGCGGGTCGAAATTGTCGGAGCCGCAATTCAGAACGCTTATCGCTGTTTGAGCGAGTGATAGGCAATGATATTCATGGAATGAAGGCAGTGCAAATAGATAAGACCAGCATCTGCAAAAGCCAGTCAAGTTTAGAGCAACATGGTCGAACCGAGACACACCATCTTTGAGAAACATGTTGAAATTGCAGGAGAATCCCCACAAGGAATTTTATGTAGCGGCGACGCCACTTCTATAATAAAAAAAGTGAATAGGTGTCAAGACTCAGAAGGGAACACACAAACAGGATGGTGCCTGGGCAGATGAGAACTGCCGCAGACTTCGAAGGCAAACCATGTCGCGGTCAACGACCGGACACTCCGGGCGAATCAAAGCCTACGAGCATCTTGAGGAAAAGTTCGATGCGTTCAGGCAGGGTCCGCTGAAGCCATGTGTCGATATCCTCCCATCTCTCGCCGAGCATGATCATTTTTGGGATATAAGTCCCCTCTGATTTGACGTATTTCATCAATCGTTTCAAAACCGCCAACGTCGCACTGGTGTCCCACCACGACAATGCAGTTTGTACTTGTAGGGGTATGACCGTCAAGGGACGGGCTGTAGGTGATGGCTGTATATTTGCTGGCAAGGTTCCGCTGACAAAGGTCGGCAAATCTACACCATAGACACACAGAGACGGAAAGTGACTGATGATTTCAGTGGGGATGTTTCGCGTTCCTTGGGAGACTCTAGCTTCGTCGATCAATCGTGTGACAGACGACGAATGCGCGTCGAAGAACGGGGTTAAAGCATCTCTTGTTGAGACACCAATGGTACCACGAATAACGAGGGACCGAAGACGAGGAAACGTCCACGGAAGGAGCGTCGTCCCCATATTTTCCACACCCTTTATGTGGCCATACGAGACGTCCAAGGATAAGAATCGAAGATATGGTAAGTGAATGGTCTGCTGAGGGGTGTCGATGAGGCATTTGATCGATAGGTGAGTCAACTGATGGACAACTGGGTGATGTAGAACGGATAGTTCGGTGATTTCATCCGGCCGACAGTAAGAGAGATTGAATTCAAGAACCTTGAGGTTGGGTGTATGGTCTAAAATGATACGAGCGTCGTCGTCAGTCCACTTTCCAACCATGACTTGGAGTTCAGGCCAATCCCACGAAAGCCATAGGGGATGTCTCGAAATGAGGTCAACGCTCCGCATGAGTTCGAGCCGATGAGATTGTACCAGGTCATGAGACCTGTATTTCTCTAGCCTCGCCATCCGATTCACGACAGCTACGTGCGGCATTTCTTGCCGAAGTATTTGATAGAAATGTCGACATACGAGTGACAGATTTGTTCTCTGCGCATCTCGAGCTGCGATTGGATTCCAAGGCGCGGATCGAAAGGTGAATAGTGCTAATTGTTGTAAAATGGTGTCGCTTTCGTTGGGCAATATGCTGATATGAACCAAGGGATGAAATATGTGAAGCCATATCTCCGTTGGTACTTGCCCTAGTAAGATATTCATGGCAGGCGCTAGCAGCGATCAGGTCCAAGATACCATTCATCACGTTGGATGGAGCCGACTGACTCGTCGAGATGCTAATCTATTAACAAGGTTGCAATTGATAGTCACCCAATCACGTTTTATGCACTTCAAGACGACAACACACCAGGCGCCTCATTGGTCCCCATATATACGTATAACCTCTGGGTGATGGTTTGGAAATCCCAAATGAAGACTTTGCCAGCTCTACATAACTACAAACCAATTAAATAGGAGACGCTGAGTGCCAGTAGACATATGAGCAACTTCGGAGCCAAGCGTCCAGCGCCGGAGCCGCCAGAAGACCCATGGCCACAGACATCCAGATTGAAGTAAAATCCAAGGCGTGGGTTCACACCATATTGCCCATACGAATCGACCCCTTGGAGCCAGCCATTAAAGTACTGATGCAAACTTTGTTGGGTCAGGTTCACTCCACACGAGGACAAAGAGGGGCATACTAGTCCAAGTTTCGCTGTGAATAGCAATCCGTGTTTCTTGCAGCCGTGGCATCAGAGTATGTCATTCCGCTGAACCATCCATTCCAGCGTCCTACAGCCAAAACTATTGACTGATTCTCTTGAAGAAGTTGCTGAAGATAAGCACCACCTATGCGTATATTCGTATACGGATCATAACAGTTGTCGTGAGTGCATTTATCCTGTACAAATTAGCGACCTTGAGCGCGAGGCTATAGACCAACTCACTGGGGATAGTTGTAGCAGTCCTGCTGTACCCCCAGATCCAGTTGCACCCGGATTGCATGTGGATTCTTGCATCGCAAACGCAGCCATCAGCGCAGGTGGTATACCAATCGCCGCACTTGCGTTAACAAATGCGTCAAAGTATGGTGCGCATGGCTTGAATATTCCTTTCGATAGCGCAGCGGCGGAGGAAAAGTCTGCGCCAATGACCAGGTCGGAGACTCGAACGTTTGGTGGTCTCCATTGACCCCGCGTCTTGTCTTTAGTGGATATCCCGCAGTTGAGAAAGAAGATGGACCCGTTTGGACCCGTAGTTTCACTTGTCAAGGCTATCAGGGACAGTTAGAAATGGTGGCGCGAAAACGTGAAGGTCCACCCACGTTGGGCATCGATAGGAGGACACCCTTGTGTCGGAGAGACAGATATAACCTGGTTCGACCCACTTGCTTGCCGCTTCTTCAGCTCTTCGTGTCGTTGAACCGGAGCTGAAGGTGGTCCGGTCAAATGCTGTTAAAACGAACACGCTTATTACCCCTTGGGAAGATGACGGCTTACCAGACGTACCATGTTTCGTGTAGCACCCTCGAAAGGCGCGTCTTCATAATTAACGCTGGCCGAAGCACCCCAAATGGAGCAAGATATGATCAAGAGACAAAATAGCCGCATGATAGGGCGCTCTTGGTATGCTTCTCTAGAATAGAACCATCCTAGGCTCATATATATATCCCGACGTTGAGGCACTCCAAGCCAACCAACCGCACGCAGGAAAAGGCGAGGTCTGACCGGGTAGCAATGCTGCCACCTCGTGGATCCGCGCCGCTTTACAATAAACGCTCAAGTACCGGATTAAGATCGGGAGGCGAGCGTATTATGAGCAAGAAGAAATAGATGACATTAGATGTTATACGGTCGACAACTGTGAATGCGCTGGCACAGTTGTATAATGAAACCACATAGAGATGGGTGTTTTCGCTATGTACCACGAGCAGACTGAGGCGGCAATGCCTCCTTCGGTAGTTTTCCTGGATTGTACTTGAGATGGGTATTGCGTGGTGCTACCAGCTGCATAAGCAGGATCATATTCTGGACCGAAAGGCTTACCATTTGGGTCTACGTGGCAAGAGCAGACGTGAATCTCTGGGAGGCCCGTCGTCTCACTCCCAGCCGCGCAATGGCCAGGTGTAGTCACACACAAGGTACATTCAAAACAAGCGGCGTATATTGGGAACATTGACTCTGCTTGTGGCTGGTGAAGACTCATCGTATGGCGTAGGGTGTCGACTCTGCTAGCGCTTGCGGTGATATCTAATAATCCGAGTCAAGTATATGAACATCAGAACCTTATACATACTCGTCCTCCATTGATGGTTAAGCCAGCACGCTGGTCATTGTGGTGGGATGGCGCACAGCTCTGAGGCCAGCGGCGCACGCCTTTGAGCCATCAAGGATGGAAGTAGACGTAAAGGATGAGAGGAAATCTCAGGTATTATTTGCTCAAAACTGTCAATCTACAGTCCGCTGGGAAGATGCCGAGTCGAGATTGGTATGGTAGAGATCAAGCGCAGGGCGTTTGCAACGCCGCTTATGGCTGTAGTAGCACGAAGAAATGAGCAGTTGCTGCTCCAAAGGGTTGATTAAGTACTTTAGTGGGGCGTAGTTTCGTATGAGACATGCCGGGAACCATTCTCTATATATGTCTGGACGTACACTCGTATCTAGTTGCGATATGGAGCGAGTCTCTTCGAATGCGAGGGGAACTTGATGAGAGATAGCAATCATATCAAAGATCAGTACTTCCTGGTTACGAGTGTCGACCTGAGCCTCATCAATTCTTTAATTCGTACATCTCCAACCAAAATGCTGTGAGATGCCATTCGATCATTTGAATGTGTTGCATGCGGTGTGTTCTTTCTTGACATGTCATGTATACTTGTCACTGATTATGCGACGCATCTTGTGAAGCATGACCGCAATAGATATGATATGCAGATGGTGACCGTTCGTGGTTTATTCGTATCCAATGCAAAGACGTGGGTATTCTGAGAGGACGCATGCCGAAGAGGTGTTCATTGTCCGAGCTAGTATGGCGAAAACCGGATGAGTCGAGGTCGTTTGAGACGCATGACCGGATCCGTATTGGAGGGCGCTATCGACGATTCCATCGAGTTTACTGGTGCTTGTCCCTGTCCAGGTGATGCGCTATATCCGGGTAGAGGCGTACCTTCTCCCATCGGTGGGTGGATGCATAAGCTGAGGGTTGATTGTCCGTATTTGGGGGATTTTGAGATACTGCCATCACAGAATTTGCGGTGATGGAAACAGTGGCGAAATGCGTTGGTGTAGATTCAAAGGTCATAGAATGCTGACGGCCCGCCCCTTTGCCAGTTCCATATCCATCACCGACACTAGTATTGGCGTCCATATTTGGCTCTCCATAAACAGGTGTGCTGGCGCCCACACTCGCATTCGCGCTTGTCGCGGCCGAAACTGAAGCAGGCGAGCAGGATCGTGATTCGCTATAGCTATTCCTCCGCCGTCGGCCGTGTCCAATCGGGCGATGGTTGAGGATTGGCTGTTGACGTTGACGATGTCGTCCAGGGACTCTGGCGTGTAATCCAGGATACACAATCCCATCGTCGAGGACGCTACCTGTCGGTTCTAAGGACGAGGAACGAGCCTTTGATCTCGCCAATGTCGAGATTGACGACGGATTGTACGTGCGAGGCAGATGGTCTGACCCATTGACGGCCGGTAACGAAGTTGCGAGTCCAGTAAGTGAGAATACATCTCTACGAGAGTGACTTTAGATCAAATATAGCTCAAGAAAAGCAATAGTGAGGCAGTAACGAACCGGTCACCCATGAACCAAAGTTGTGGTGGAGGTCCAAGGTTCGTTCGGGCCCGGCAATGTCGGCACGACGCGAAAGGACGTCAGCTCCACAAAGATCGCGTAGAAGAGAACGAATGAGATTCATTCAATGGTTACAATGAATTACACGTCTAGATAGAGAAACAATGAGAAATACCAAGGACGTGACCCGTCTGACATACAAAAGAAATGAACCTGGGCTAGCCTATCAGATGTAGAGCATTTCATGATCATATTTATGCACTCTCAATACGGTTGATAGCGAGGCGCACCCTCCTTGCCCTTCTTCGCCCCTGCCCTCGAGATTGCCCCCGTCGGAGCCACCCAGTCACCAGCAGCATGATTACTCTTGCGTGGAGACGGGGTAATGGTCAACAACGGCCTCTCTGGGAAAAAGCTTCTGTTCGGTGGCAGAGCGGGGTGCTTAAGGGGCCGAGGCTGCACCTGCGCTACTGGAGCTGGTTTAAGCGATGCTTGATGTGAGGGGGAGGATGTCGTTGGCCGTGGAGGTGCCACAAGGGGGTTCAAGTCGCCTGATCCCGACGAACTGTCATCTTCCTCCTCCACTTCTCTCTTCGGTCCGGGTTTTATCAATGGTGGTTCCATTCTCTGTTGATGAGGTCTTGATTGGCTATGTTTCGGCTGTGAGATTGGCTCGTCTTCGGGTCTTCCTGGTCGAGTGCCGTTCACAACACGTCTTCCTGGACCTTGGCCTCCTCTTCCCATGGATAACGGAACAATGGCGCTCGTCCTGCCACGACCAGGATACTCGGCGTCCACTAGTCCTCTGATCACTGCTTGGTCTCCTATCTTTCCATGATCTCCACTCGCATACACGTCTTCCTCTCTGAACAATTGCTTTCTAAGCTCTGAAAATGATGAACGGAGAGCCTTCTTCTCCTCAGCAATCGAATGCAAACGCGCATCCATCTCCGCTTCTGTCTGGACCATCAACGCTTCGATCCGTACGCGTCGTCGCTGCTGTTCCTCTGCGACTGCCAAGTATTCGGCGACTAATGCATCCAGTTCGCTCTTCTTTGATGATAGTGCGGCTGAATAATGTAAATGAACACTCGATAAGAGCTGAGAGTTTGGGTTTGGTACACGAGAGTTTTGTGGTTGCGTCTGTGGCGGCCTAGCGCGATGCTGAGCAACTTCATTACTGGCTACCCCTCGCTGTGGATGGTTTGGAGGCCTCGAGGACATCGCCTTGTCTTCTGTCTTGACAAGGTCGGAGTGTAAACTGGAGACGTCCAGCCTCACTCAGACCCGACCTCAACCATTTAAAAAGCGGCAATCCCGTTCTTGTTGCTCAAATACCATCTAAAATCACAGTGGATACATATTCTAGCGGGATTCGTTGAGGAGAATTTGATCAAATGCGCGGAGTAGCGTCAACAACGACTCTTTGCGAACAGCAACGAGCGGGGATGGGTCATTGACACCGGAGTTATCGATAACACGCAATTCCTTCGTTGGAAGCAACGGAGACTGTGGAGTCGCGCCGCTTTCGTCCAGAGAGCTGGCCTCTGTCCTGGGAGAATGAACTATCTGAGAGTCGATCAGTGAATCCAGTGAAGAATGGATCTTTAGTTCAAGTTCGCTCGCTGTCTTCGCTGGTGACTTGGGACTAAGATCGATAACTTGCTTGGGGTGAGGAAGATCCCGATGGCCAAACTACGATCGTAAGCAGACCGTATGCATATAGATGATTAGACTCACGTCTGCTATGGAACCAATCTCTGGTAGAATTGTAGACATCATTGGGCTCTCGACAGAAGCGGATGGGAGAGCTAGTTCCCTATCGAACCATCGCCAGGTGCTCTGGTCCAGCCCTTCACCCACCGTCCTGACAGCAGGGCGTATATATTCATCGGCGCTCAAATTCTCTCGTTTTTCCAGGTCGAAGCTCCGACTCAGACCAATCCCGAGGCCGAGCCTCGCGATACTGTCCACGTCTTCCAACTCTTGCTCTACCTCTATCATCTTCTCATGTGCCCTTGATCTCTTGCGTTCAAGCTCATTCAGCAGCTGGGCCTCCAGGTCCTTTGTCTTCTGCTCAGCAGATGCCTTCTCTTGTTCGAACAGACGTCTTCTTTCCGCGAACTCTGCCTCGAGTTCTCGCCTGCGCTCCCGTGCCTGTAGGAGTTGGGCTAGGAGATCTTCAAGTGGGCCTGGCGCATCATCTTTGTCATTGGTCGCGGGGGAGGAGAGCGAAGGCTCGTGTCTGGTCGAGGAAGACGCGCTAGCCGGGGAACAGGGCGAGAGACTTGTAGGAGAATTACAGTGCATGTTGGATCTTTGATACTGATCGTAATCGAAGCCCAGTTTGCGAGGATTGATGTCGTGGAGTGAACGGGTCCAAGCAGGACATGGAGCCTGACAGTCACATTGGGGCGCCAAAGTCTCCAAGACGCTGATTGATACTCTTACCTTCTCTCCTCAGCAACTATCGGCCCCTCAGTGTTATACGCATAGATTGAGCGCCGCAGTTGCGAGCTTGGCGGAGACTCTACGGTGACCAAATACACATCGCACCGGGTGTATTGACATGCAGAGGACACGATATGGAGCTTAACAACGCTTTACCGGCAACTTTTGTCCCGTTTCGTGCGCCATCGACCGCTCGGAGGAAGTGAACACCCGACGTCTGGAACACTGCCTGCGACCGAGGTACGTCTATCCTGGTTGACAGGCTATTAGTGCTATAATAGATTTTCCATCGATCTTATTCAACGCAGACCCCGGGATGTCGAATCCAGCCTGCCTGCCTTGTCAATCGCTTCGGCGGAATAGAAGCTCCGCGGGACGCATATCCAGGATTATGGAAGAGATACGTAAACGGGAAGAAATTTCTATAAGAGGACCGGCCTGGGTGAGACTTGCCATGGACATCCTTTCTCCTCGATAAATTTTGCTCATTATCAATCATGGGATTCCTAGGTGGTAAAGCAGTAACTGTTGTCGACTTTTGGAATGCTCTACAGTCGAATCCGAGTGCGGGCAAGACTCCAGTCATTCGTCTTACCCATGTCAAGAATCTCGATTCCAGCCTCGCACACGAGTATCTTCAGCTTATCATCGTCAATGACAAAGGGCGGGAGAGGATTGTCGTCGAGCGGTCCAAACCTGATCGTTTCATCTTCAACGGGGAATGGAAAATGCCCAAGATCAAGGAGCATTGGGATCCCCTCAACTCTGAAGGGACTGACTTGCCTCTACCACTCTACAGTCTCGAGTGGGATCAGGACAAGGCACCGAATCTGTCTCAAATCACCGATATCTGCAAGGCTGTTCACGACTCTGCGCCCGACTACAACATTCTGCTAGGCAAGCACTGCTACTGGTACGCATTGCTTGTGTACCAGACGACGAAGCGCGCGTATTACGGACACGAAAAAGAGTGGCCATTCCATACGGCTCGAGGGAAGCCCGCGTTCCCGGCGTTTGAGTGGTTCTATTCATCCAAGTTGAAGGTGAGGTCATCCCGCCTCTCATTCATATTCTTATCTGCCCCACAGGTCGATGCAGCTGCGTTTCAGACAGATCGCGCAACGCATATGAATTGGGTCGAGTCTGGCGATCCTGACCCCTCAAAAGCATCCAAGGGGATGATTAAATCCCTAGAAACGACGTTGAAGGAAAGCGAAGTCAAAAAGGAGTCTGTACAAGAACTTGCGACCCCCGAAGAATCGGTGAAGACGTCTATTGTGGTGAGCTCACCGCAGCTTCCTCGTGGCCTATCTCATTTCTGTAGGATGAACTTGGCGTTCAGACGACACCGTACAAGGGCCCTCCTCCTCCACCAGCAGAGCTTTCGGTCACAACGGTATTTGTTCTATCCACTTGTCGACGTATGCTGACTTTTGTAAGATTCTCGAGGAGTACGACGAGGTCATCAAGATGACGGATGAAGATCCAAACGCAGCTGAATACGTTAAGATTGCACGCGAAGCCGAGCTTGCGTATGTCAACAAGGCAAGAAACTCATCGTTTTATTTCAAACCTACTGACATTTGCCACTCTCAGGATCGCGCGCCATCCGACCCATTAATGATGCCGACAAGCTGGAACCAGTATGGATATTGGGATCTCACCACGAGGTCCCTCGAGATGGACCGAGCGACGGATGTCATGATTGGCAAGGTATTGCAGCAGATTGGAGTTACGCCAAAAGTCGAACCACCGAGTGATGGCCCCTCTCAGGACGAGGGGAGTACGGCAGACGCAGTATAGATAATATGAAATTAGGAGACACGAATCTACAGAATATTGAACTTAGAGTATTGTGCTCGAATCTATTGTTTCGGACGCAATCACCATGTTGAGCAAGCGGCCTAAAGGAATCCCCGCTGGCGCTTCCACTACCCGTAGACAGCTGCCATGTAAAAACAGACGCTTGAGGCAAATAATAGCGTGTATGTCAAGGATACGGAGGTATGTAATGGCCGATGAACACGCTAGGGCTTTATAAGAGTGCTGGTAGCTGAATGCCTTTTCGACAGGAGCCCTGAAGCGGGTGTGATGGTCCTCCAACCTCGTTCAGAATCCCAGCACAGATATTCCTTCTTACGGTGTGCGTATGCCCGATTTGACATTCGGGGTTCCCATCGTGCCATGTCGGTGGAATCGTAGCTCCGTAGCGTGCACTATGAGATGTACTGATGTTGAAATATCATTGATGGTGTCTTCGTCTATAAAACGAGCTCCGTTGACCCCACCTTTGCTTGCTCGTCCGAGTTGTTCCCACTATTGCTCAGACAAGTAAGATCGTATCATTTGATCACATTTTCACTAAACCCTACATTCTAGGACTGCACTTTATTCGATACGACTCAATGCCCGAAACAAAATCTAACGCCCAGCCAACCAAGAGCACTTCCACCGGTGGCTCGGGGAGTAATGATTCCGGCCAAGGTATTAAGGCGAGGGATACATCCAGCCAAAATAATGGGACGAAGGGAAACAACGATAATGGCAAAGACCAACCCAAGAACAATCAGTCAAATTCGCAGCAGCCTCGCTACCAAAACAATAACGGAACGAAGGGAAAGTAGATAACGGAAACCCCTATGGACCAGTGGTCTAAACCTGTAGCGAAATAAACTTTGTTCACCAGAAATCTTGCTCCGTTGGTCACTATCCAGCTAGTTGAGGATGTTTTGGAGAGAGATAAGACTAGGTCTGTTTGCGGTGTCACACTTGTGGTCAAGACGGTTGGTCGGTTAGGGTGCAAGTGGTGGTCAACCGTTGCTCCTATACCATGTTGCGCAGTCTCTGGGATTTGCATTGTGTTTCTACTCCCTCATAGACATGGACGTTTGGATCCTACTGCGGGCTCGGGGACTGTCATCACCGAAGGGCACTCGGTGGTCGAGGGAGAACCGGTTTTCGTCGGACACATAGAAAGTCAGCATGGACCCTAGGGTTCTTCTTCCGACGCGACCCGGATATAAGCGATACTTTATTCAGATTGCTGACGAGGCTATACGCCGAGCGCTCAAACACGCAAGCCCGCGAACGCCTCGTATGGCCCCAAGGTAATGAACAGTACACTCGGAACACTCGTTTATAATCCTAATCGAACCCAGGACCTCATGCCCGGCATGAGGGTAATAATGGTAGACGCGCATTCTTCCGACAAATGTATAAGCGCCCTGATACGAACTCGGAGGTTGTAGTGCAATATTTCCTGCGGAGTTGAGACGTTTGCACCGCATCGAACAGCAAGTCAAAAGGCGGCGTTTGGAACCCGCCCCTGCGCTTCTCCACCAATATCCCTTCCCCTTTCGATGTCATCTTATTCTTCCACTTTGACAGCGACATTGTCAGCTACAAGCTCGACGTTGAGCTTGGACGACACACCTCGTTCCCGCTTTATCGATCCACCTGCACATAAAAGCACAATTCAGCGACTAAATGACGACTGCCTCGTTGATGTATTCTACCACCTCGCATTCTCACCACTCCGTTCGCCGTCTCGCATCATACGGAACCCACGATTCCCGCGAATGGTCGACATTGAGGTTCAACCCCACCAAAACCTCGACTTGCTGGCCTGTATCCAGGTGTCAAAGGCGTGGTATGCCCTAGCGATTCGGGCGTTGTATGCGACGTTGGTGGTGAGGATGGGTGAGAGGGACAAATGGTTTGAGCGCATTCCACTCTCGGTGCATGCGTGCAAGGAAGGTGAAGCTGAAGACTCTTATCAGAGTAGACTGGGAGACGAGCAACGTCTTTGGGCGAGGAGAAGACACTGGGTTCAAAAAGTCTTTGTCGTGGGAGGTGGCGACTTTATGCTCATGGGTCTACCGATTATGGACGTATGGATCCTCTTCCCCAACATTCACGACGTGTCAATTGTAGGACATGGGCCACCTGTCGGCGGGCTGCTTTCGTCGTCGGTCTTCCAGCAGCTGGATGCGAACCCGTGTGGAGCTGGGATCCTTGGGCGGATCACTTCACTTTGTATTGCTGGGACGGTGGCGTGTACGATGCAAGAGGCGGAGAGGAGGCAGAACGTGGTGGAGTTGATGGAGTTGCTCGTGCGATTGCCAAGGCTGCAGTCTCTCGAGCTGCAGGGCTATCACTATTCGATATTGGCATGTTCATCACCCTCGCCAACACCAGCCTCGGCGTCAGGTCTGGCCACGCCCCACGCTGTTTCAATACTCGCAAGCCGAGAACCACCAGCCTTTGCTTTGCATTCACTGCGAGTCGCAGACTGCACCTTTTCGATAGATATCCTCTGGTGGATCGTATCTGGGAGTTTGGAGACGCTAGAAAGTGTCTACGTACCGGCTGGAGTTATCGTGGAGGGACCCAACACCTCGACATTGATTAACATTGATGCCCAGGGTGAGAAGAGGGACCGAGTTGAAGACATGGGCAAGCGTGACAAGGAGAGGTGGTTGGCGTCGCTTACTGGCAGACGCGTCGAGAGGCTGTCAGTGTAAATTAATCTATATATCCTATTTATTTGACAATGCTAGATTGCCAAGGATATTGCCAAACAGAACATCATCCAGGAGTTTGTTGATCCGACCGAGGCTGGAGCCCTCTAGATGTGCAAATAAAACTATATCGGAGATAATTCTTGGCATCGGAGAAGGTACAGGTCGGCTAAGCTGCGACGGTTCCCATTCAGCGGCCGTCGCGTGGGTGGCTAAGAGGGTTGGAGACCGCCTCTTTGGCCCATAAACCGGGGGAAGTGATGTCAACCAAGAGGGTCCTGGCAATCTATCCAGCATGGTTCTGATTACCTTACACTGGATTTGTTCATTCCCACGTGCGATGGCAACTCTTGCGCGGTTCACCAATCCATCCAGACCCCACAAGAGTCTGCGCCAACCCCTCGACCAAGACCACTCAGCAAAGCTTGCATGGCTCCTATGAGCACCAACTAATCCTCAGCTGCAACGACTCCAAGAGCAGCGGCGGGCGCGATGCGATGGAAACGGATTCATATAAGCGTTTCTGAGACTCGCACATATCCCGTCAAAGCCACAAACTGCGGCGCGGTTGTCATAAAGCTCTAGCGAAAAGGCCGAATGGGCGGGTTTGTCCGGCCAAGCAAGAGACCGCAGGCGGCGCATAGCCGCTGGTCCGCCTTCCAGACTCGAGTTTCCCGTGATTTCTCTATATAAAGCCCGCATTAGATGTCCTACTCGCAGATCACAACTCCCAACCCTCACCCACAACTCTGCCAACATGCAAGCCTTTATCAAATCAAACATGACCCTCATCGCACCTTCGACCGCTGCCAGCACACGCGCCTTGACTTCGGGCTCTTCACGCGCATTTGAGCAGCTCTCGAATCATCTCCAGTTTTCTTCCATCTCAGACTCGACTACACTTTACCCACAGGGTGACGTTACCGGGCCAGACGAACACACATCAGAATGCCAGTGTTCTCATCTACCGACTTCCAAAGTCAAGACCCCGCAGGGTGTGATTGAAGTCCAGTTTTGCACATGTTACGTACAGGAGACGGAAGGTAAGCAGCTACAAGTCGGCATCCTACATCAGATCTCTTACATTTTCATAGCCTATGAACAAAGCCCAAGGCATCCAGCGTACCTTCAAGTACCCAAACAAAAGCAAAACGGTCGAGCCCGGTATTGAGAGACAGGAGAGGTTGATCAGCCTTGATCCTCCCCCCCACCTCTACCCTGCCGACTCGGTGATCGCGATGCGCCTTTGCTCATCGCACCATGTTCTCCTTGGCTTATACATCTGTCATCTCGCTGCGGGAAATCTGCCTCGTCTGCAACGCGCGTTGCGGCGAAATAGAACCCGAACCAGCTCCTTTCCCTCTGCTGCGGTAAGAGATGGTCAGACGTTGTATCAGATTTTAGATTTATTTCTTCGTATATTCGTACCCTCATGCATGCAATCGTACTCACGCTTTACCTCGTTTATCTCCACTACGGAAATCGCTCGGATTCCCTTATAGGTCCGGCTCGGCATTGAGATGATCCCCACTTGGTCATCGTATCACTTCAGCTCGCCAAGTATAGGTTTGACTAAGGATATAAAGCCCTCAGTAAGCCGACCAAGGCTCGTTGTCTCTCCCTTCACCCAACGGTTCCATTTCCAAACTGGACGAAAATGAGCCTGCAAAGTGTTTATCCACTGGATGTGGATATCAACGAGTACAAGAGGTGTCGCTGTGATGTGTCCACGTCTGTCCGCCCAGCGACGTTGGCAAAAGAGTACTCGGCCTCGAGGACGGGTATATCGTTCCATGTGTGTACATGTAATGTCGATAACAATGGTACGTCTTCCCTCCCACCCCTCTTTCTCTCTCTCCTTCGTCCTCAGAGTAAGGCAAGAGGCTGATATCGTCATATAGCCCTGAACGAGTATGCACGGCATAATGTGTCGGGGTTTCTCCGAGATCCCTGGTCGGCCTCATCGTCTCAGGCCATAGCCAAAGCGACGATGCAGATTAAAAGGGTCATCCCGAATTGAACCTATGCAATCATCTTTCTCACGTCTCTCGTGTATCAACAAGATCTTATAAATGATTCTATTTATTCTGTTCACTCTGGGCGGTTTGACGTTCGACCTCTTATAGGGAGTCAGAGCCGACATGCTCTCTTTGTCACACTTGAGATGATAAATATTTACCAATTTATTGTCGCTTTCTTGCGCTACTTCAAGGTAGGGGGAAAGTGGCTGCCTAAACTTGGTCTCCACGCCGGCCATGAGTGACATCGCGCAAGCTACCAATGCCGATCAAAATAAAAGCAAGACTACTCCTCAGGCGCAGGGTGTGGCACCATATGGTCCTTTGATTGAGAACCTCAAGTAAGCAAACCATTGTGCTTCGTTACTAACCAGAATACTCACTATGGCTGCAGCCGCGACGAGGTGGCTCAGTTAATCGCCGAAGATGTGAATATACGCAAAGAAGTGGACATAAAATCGCTCCTGACGTACCTCTTGGGAAGGATTCGCCTCGACAAAGAGTTTCCTCCGGACGACTCGGAGCTGCTGGAAGAGCTGCTGAACAAGATTGAAGCCAAGTGCATTAACCGGTCAAAAGCAGAAACACACTCGAAGACGGAAACGAAAAAGTCGGAATGGAATCCGTCGAGCTCGGAACTGATTGGTCTTCACACGAAATTGTAAGTAATCCCAACGGACGTTATGGATCTAATTTTCGTGGTAGTACCGCATCCAAGAAAACAGAAGCAGAGTCATATGGGCCTTGGATTCGGATGACTAACATCGCTCTGGCGATGCTCAAGACAGTGGAGCTCGATTTGGTGGAAATAAAGTCGATCTCTCACGACATTATATCCATTAGAAATGATCCAAAAACCCTTGAATACAATCACAACGGCGCAAGCGTCATACGGAAACCTGATACAATTCTTATCGATAAATCTGTGGCGCAAAAGGTTTATCTACCTCAAGATGAAACCACGCCAGCAGATTGGAACAAGATAGCTGCGAGTGAGTCTTTTACTATTGTCGTGACAAGGCTTCTCTGATTGCGTTCAGAAATTGAGTTAGAAGAGGAAAAATCAAAGAAGCCTCGTACCGCTAAGCGAGGCTGGGAAGACGTGTATTACTGCTGCGAGCACAAGAGAGCAGCTCCTATGATTCGGTACTTTGGATGTTTCGTATATTATCATAGCGGCTTACGAGTTCGCAGGCGTGTTGGACTGGGGATCTCGTATCTTAGTCAGAGTAGTGGTGAGCTACGCGGTTGGTGATGCTATGTGTAAATTAATACCATCTATAGGTTCAGCAAAGCGACCACTAGGCCAGGAGAGCCCCGACATTCAGAGTAATGCTTGTTCACGATTCTTCATCACAGGCTCTTACACTGTCTAGGGAGCCGTAAAGCCGCTAAGAAGAGCAGTACTTCATCACCTGGGCAATCCTCCACCCCTCTCTCGTACAGTATGGCAATGCCATCTGATGCTACGAGCCTATCTGGATCAGAGAATACCACTAGCAAGTTCGATGACACATTCAACCAGGCCACAGAATACGCCATCGCACGACTTGGCGCGTTTCAGGCGGTAACGCACGCAATTGGCTCTGTACGAGAAGGTGAGTTCTTTGATACTCTTCAAAGTTACTCTGACGCATCTAGGTAATCTTTTCACAATCCAATGGTACGACCTGCAAGGGGTCGTCTCCACCTACCCAATAGATATCTATGATATCGCCAATCTTCCCCTCTATTTAGCATTCCTTTTCATTGTCCAACGGTTCGACACAGCTGATTGGGGCATGCATCCAGACTTTCTATCAAATCCCAATGGAGATACAGTTATTACTGTCGATGGCAAGAAGTTTGAACTTGGAAAGAAAGTTCTGCACAAACAATGGGGCATCAAGGGGCGCTCCACCTCGGTTATCGACTGTGTCGAGGTCGGTAAACCAGCAACTAGATGCGTCATCAAAGTAGCCTTCCCCGAAGAGACTCGCCACCTCGAGCACAATCTCATTGATGAGGCAAAACGCAGAGGAGCCGGGGACCCCCGTGTTGAGGGCCATATTCCAGAGTATGTAGCATACAGAGAATACAAGGAGACCTCGACTTCCAAAATCCGTCGCTTTCTCAAACTTCCCTCCACCGGCTCGAGGAGATTGTACTCAATCGTCCTCATCAAATTCGATGGTATGATAAGAGAGTTGGAAGGAAACCAGTACTGGCATGTGTGGTGGGACTGCTTCGACTGTGAGTGTCTTATAGTGCTGATCACATATAATGATAACTATCTGTAGGCCACTTTGCGCTTTGGAAGGCTGGCTTTCGCCACAGGGACATTAGTGACAGCAACCTTATGTACAAGAAGACGACAGACTCCGGAAAGGTCGTTGGAGTCCTGTCAGATTTTGACCTCTCGTCATTGGAAACCGACGAGGGACGCAACACCGGGCGCACTGGCACATTTCCGTTCATGGCACGCGACTTGCTGACTCCAGAGGGATTAGAGGGAAAGATACGGCACGAATACAAGCATGACGCGGAAGCATTTTTCTGGGTCGTATATATGAATACTGCACTCTATCCAGCCAAAGAGCGCCATTCCGACAATGCTCATGTCAAGCAACTGATTGAATGCATGACTGGAAGGGTTCCCGCTATCAACTTGCTTCAGTTCAAGAGGTCCTATATAGCCTACCCAAGCGATCATATTGCCACGCCATCGCAACGAGTTTGCTGGACAGGGTTTCGCCGAGTAGCCAAAATTTGGAAGGACCTAGATCCCGACGAGTATTCAGAAGAGATACCTACTACCTCCGCAGCGGATATACCAAGGGAATTGTACAGGCTACATGCCGAAGTTCGGCAGTCACATGAAGCCAACTATCCAGAGCTTGGCGATGCTGGACGTCACGGCAGCTTATGACTCCTGCGCTATGCACTGTTTCTTGGTCTTTGGTTACAGCTTGAATTTCAGTATAAATATTGACAACTCGATGTCGAAGTAAGCTGCAAGCTGCGAGGTCTCAGCCACACCGTCTGTCACCCCATCTTCTTCTTAAGGAGACTCAGTCACAACTCAATATAGGCAAGATGCGTATACCGATGCAGCCACCGCGGCGGGATTCAAGTTTACAGGATTGAGCTTAGCAAGGTGTAATGACTTGGGTCTCATCTCAGCCAGAGAAAGAGGTATTACTACCATACTTTTGGAACCAAGCAAGCTGCGCATCCCAACCGACCCTCTCCGCCTCGACTTTATCCAACGGGTGTCCGTTCTCCGGGAACCACAGCATCTGCACGCGTTCACCCATTCCCCTCGCTTTCAACAAATGATAATACTCTTTGCCTTGACTTGGAGGGACGCGTTGATCTACATCTCCAATTCTCAAGAGGACTGGCGTTTCTACCTTGTCAACGTATTGGATTGGAGACATGCCATAGAGGTCGGAGTAGGATGCAGGTGTCAGGACGGATGACGGGTCGTAAGGAACGCCGCACTCGACTGTCGTCCAGTCCGGAATATCCGTCGTGCTGACCATACTCCCGACATTGATCACTGGATTTCGTAGTACGCACGCAGAGAAATGTGTAGGAAATTGCGCAATCACTATAAATATGGTCAATGATTGGCATCTCACCTATAGAGAGCGCGGAGTAAAGTGCGAGTTGGGTATCGGTTCAGGAATTGCGAGGAGACATACCGTGAGCTCCAATGAACCCTCCATGACTCCCGCCCATATAGAGTTGCTTGTTCCGACTCTTTTTCGCCATCCCAGAGTCGACCAGCGTATCAATACTTGCCATTACGTCGTCTATGTCAAGACGACCGATCTTTCCGAGTAGCGCTTCTACCCATTTCTGGCCGTATCCAAGGGAACCGGTATAGTTTGGACATGAGATTGAGTCTGGGAATCGCACTCAGTATCCTGTTCAAGAAGAGATGGAGGAATAAACGCGAATATGAGAGGTGATATGGATAGAAAAAGAGCTCGAGCATGGAATTGACAAAGACGACTTACATCCGCAGTTTGCGAGCGCGGCAAGTTCGACAGAGAACATAAATGGTGTCACGCTATGTGGTCCACCATGCGGCATAGTGATTAATGGCGCATCTTTGGACCTTTTTGATGTCAAGTGAATCGTTTGAACGGGGTATCGATCTTTAATGTCGATGACCCCTGCAGCGAGGTGCTCGGTCAGGTCTTTAACTGGCCGATAATGAGCGGCGCCGCATGTTAAGAATGTTGGTTTAATAGATACGGACCTCTATCCCCAGTTTTTGTCACTTGTAACCATTCAATCGAGGAGACGTCCGAAATATCGTTCGCGACGAAGATCTCGTTTGGTGCCGTTGGATGCGTTGCCGAGACAACTATCGCACACTTTCCATCGCTGTTGGCGAAGCTTACAGAGCCCATCCCAGGCGGGCATGGCACACGAATGACGTCGTGCGCTCCGGTGTCACCTCGTAAAGGGACTGCAACAACGACTTGATAACAACCCCAATTCGATACGCATATAGCGTGTGGCTTGTCGGAAATGGTGACAACTGGATTCGACGGAAGTTGATTGACGTAGAGTCCCGGAAAGCCCCCGTTGTCTACGGGTTTGGAAGACTCCCAGACCGTATCAACGAGGATCCGGGATGTAAGTACATCTAAAGCGGTTTAGTAACTGGAAACCAAGGAGATGAACCTTGCCTTTTGTGAGCTCTGCAAGGTGTAATCGTCCACATGATCCATGTGGCTCCTTGGCACTACTAAGCCAGATAGCAACAGGGTTCCCAAATTCTGCGCTGGAAGGCTCATCTTCTGGTGGGAACCAAACGCGGGGCGAGCGCGATGGATCCGCTGTTGAGATGACGCCCGCATCTACTTCTACCTCCTGTTTCTGCTTCTTTTCTGCATTCTGACCCTTTTCCTCCTTGCTTACCTCCTCCAAGCTTGGTTCCGGTAGTTTGGGAAGACTGAACTTGATAATGACGGACGGTCGGTTGGCGCAATATACAATTCCGAGCTTCCTATCACCATCACTACGCAGATAAGCCGTGGCTAAAACATCCAATCCGTCTCGTGAGGCGAACGTTCCTTGTCCGAGAGAGAAAATCGGGGGTTCCTCCAACTTGTGCGAAGCCAGATTGTTTGGGATACCAGAGATGTTGGCAGTTACTTTACGGAGTTCATATGCTGGTTTGAGTGTATGCGTGACTGCCCATCGCAGCCAGAATAGTGTAGGCGAACGACGTCCGATGAAAGTCTCGCCGTAGGACTGATCATAGGCAAACTTCTTGAATGGATCCTTCGGATCTTCTTCCTTTGTATTGGCTTCGGCTGTATATAGGAGCGACTTCTCGTCCTGTGAGAAACACAGGCTGGAGAACGTGGCTAGAAGAACAAATTAGACTCATAATGGGGAAGCAGTAATTTCGGACCATCTCCGTAAAAGCTCCCATGGCGCGAAGTTGTCTCGAGTATGAGCTCTGGCTCATCGCCGTTCCAAACCTCCACATATCGTTTCTTTGGTGGACCAGCAGTCTCTTTGAGAAGCGCAATGCGCCTTCCGGAGGATGATATGACCCTCGCAATGACAGATTCTCCGCGTTCGAGTGGAGTAGATAGCCAGGCTTTGCCTTGTGGGTTGTCATTTGTCGGTAGATTTACGAGAGCTTCTTGTAGAAAGATTCGTTTCGTATTGTTGACATGATCTCGTATGCTGCTTTCAATCGAAATCTCTGAAGAGGATCAGCCGGGGCGCAACATGACAAAGTCAAATAAACGCACGGGTTCGTGAGATGAACGACGCGGATGTGAAAACGGGGAGTTCTGCAACTCGTTTGTAGATGGCGCTCGCTGTTGCAGCCATGGTGGTCAAGACCAAGGATGGACGTTGACCTTCGCCACTCCAGCGACGCTCACAATGGGTGTCCCTGGGCTTTGGGAAGTATGTATATTTCAGCTCTAATTGTTCGATATCTTTGTTTACGATCGTGTAGATTCTCCGACCGGCTGCACAACAACGGTCCATCGTTCATCTGGCCATTTACGACGGTTTTCTCAGCGACGAGCACAACAAGCGAGGTTATCGCATCGGAATTGACGCGTCTATTTGGTTCTTTCACTCTCATTCCTCGCGTGAGGGCGAGAATCCAGAGCTGCGCATGCTCTTTTTTCGGCTCGCCAAGTTTCTCGCGTTGCCGCTACTTCCACTGTTCGTGTTCGATGGGCCAAGACGTCCGCATTATAAGCGTGGCAAAAGAGTCATGGGCGCTCAGCATGGCTTGACGTCCAGTTTCAAACGTATGATCGAGGCGTATGGCTTTGAGCATCATCAGGCGAGTAGGACTTTGACGTATAAACAGCCTTTAACACGATATTTAAAGGCTCCCGGAGAGGCAGAAGCAGAATTAGCTTACCTAAATCGCATTGGGATTATTGACGCCGTCTTGTCTGACGACGTGGATAACTTTCTCTTTGGCGCGACTCTGGTTATGCGCAAGTGAGTATCTTGCTTCATGTGGACAACATTGTGACCTCGTACCCAGCCCAAGTGCCACTCTCTCTGGTAACAAAAATCTTGCGATGAGAAACGCAGATGGAAAGCAAGACAAGGAGCACGTTATTCTATTCTCTGCAGAGCTTATAAAAGATCACGCCGATATACAGCTCTCACACGGTGGCTTCATTTTGATGGGACTGCTCAGTGGTGGAGACTACTCTGTAAGAGACTCGATTTATCTTACTTCGTGCTCACTTGGTACAGACCGGCCTTCACAAATGTGGCATCAAGACCTCTCATGGACTCGCTCGAGCGGGATTTGGCGATTACTTGATCGAACTCTATGAGTCGACTCCACCTCATCAACTACAAAATGCTTTAAGCGAATGGCGTGAACAGCTTCGACGCTATCTCTCGACAGATCCGGATGGGCACATCGGCAGGAAGCAAAAGTCCTTGGCCAAGAGCATCCCGGATACATTTCCTCCCCTTGATATCTTGGAGTCCTATCTCCGCCCTGTCACCTCAGAAACCATCGGACACGTTCCGAACTTTGAATGGGCGAAGCAACCGAGTCTCAAAGAAATCGCAAACTCGTGCGAAATGCATTACGAGTGGGGTGTTAAGCCTCTTATCATCAAACGATTTCGTACAGTCATTTGGCCAGGAGCTGTTGTCCGCGTTCTCCGCGCATCCGTGATGAAAGGAGATCAGAAAGAGCAGAGACAAGCAGCTGCTCGCGGTGTACTGTATACACCCAGTCATGGACGTAGAGACGCACAGACGGCTTTTGGAACTCCTTCCAAACTTGTCTCAGAGTCTCTCTCACGGCTAGAGCTCAGTCGCCCGGCCAGAGGAAATCCGTTTGACGACGATTATGTTCGCGAGCCGACATACGAGCCGTTAATCGTGAAGATTCACTCGCAACGTCAACACGCATCCACGGACCACGTGCTGGAATACCGCGTCGAGATTGCGCCAGAGCAATTTGTGCGCATGACCGAGGCCGGATTACTCAATCTGCGGCGGGAGGACTCGATCGATGTGGCAAATTTTGGCAGACGAAGAATGTTACTTGACAATGAAGACGAATTCGGTGGGTTTGGCGAGGAAGGAGAAGGGGAGAATAAAAGCAAGACGGCCGACCCGCTGGAACATATGCGCATTTGGATTCCGGCGTGCATGTTAGAAATGGTCGAACCAGAACTGGTGGAAGAGTATGAAAACTCCGTTGACTCCAAGGAGCGCAAAAAAGTTGCTAGGGAGCAGAGGGCAAAGGACAAGGCCGAGGGGAGAGTCGCGCCGAAATCGCGCTCGAAAGCCAGTCCTCGGAAGAAAGCTCAAACCCGCGCAATAGAAGGCGACGAATCGGATGACCTGCTCCCAGAGTCGCCAACTAAACCAAAGGCCAAAAGCAAGATAGGAGCAAGGAGGGAGAATCATGATCCTGATACAGATATGGAATCGCTGGGCACGTCGAATAAGGGCAAGAAAAGTGGCCCAGTGGTCCGAGATCTACCGATTAGCCTCGCTGCTCTTTTCGAGACGCATATCGATTCCCCTTCTATCAATCTCCCAAACGCTCCAAGCCGTAACATACCTGCAACTACGTCAAAAGGAAAAGGCAGAGACAAAGACAAAGTGGCACCTCGGTTCCTATTCTCGATGAAGCCTGACTACGTCGACCTTGACGCGGAGGAAGAGAAGGAAGGAGAGGAATTAGATCCGTACGAGGCACTCAGGAGGAATCGGGAGATCACTAGTTCTGGCAGCTCGGGAATGCCGAGTAGGTCAACTTCAGGCCAGAGCTCGACACAAACGCCATCTTCTGGACCGTCTAGTCATACGCTTCTGTCATCTGGAACGACCTCATTGATCAACAAACCGCCAACTATGACATCCTCTACGTCGACGTCGCGCCGTCTTCCACCAGCATTTGCAAGTTGCACAGGAAAGAACGCTCGCAAGAAAGGTCCTCATGGACCTGGCCCGGAGCCGATGGAGGATTTCACAGACCTATTCGCCACTGCGTCTTCTGAGGATGAAAGGCTAACCTATGGGCGTGGAAGGAGCGCTCAAGGACCAGAGGATGTTTCTTCCGGCGGACCTGGAGGGGGAAGAGGGCAAAGAACGAACCGTTTTGTACACAGCGATAGCGAGGAAGACGATCATCTTCCCATTTCCAGATCCAAAGGAAAGAAGCCAACATCAAACCTTGGAGCGCCTATAAGGAGCAGTAGCAAGACCGCCAACCTTGTTGGCTCTTCAAAGAGCAAAGAAGGCATCCACCCAGCAAATGATCCTTCCAATGCCGCCAATTCTCGTGCACCAGCGGGTGTGAGCATCATCGAGCTCCTCGACTCCGATTCAGACACTCCTATCTCGACGCAACCTGTTCTCAAGCAAGCTGCAAAGCACGTCGCACCAAAACCATTCCTTTCCACGTCCCGACGACCTGCTCATGCAGACGTATCTATTATCGATCTTGATTCTGACTAGATATTAATCTCTATGGCTGTCATTATGTCTCATAATTTACTCTACACGGCTATTGGCATGTGACGAGGCGAGTCCTGAGGTGCCGAACTACCGCGATCGGCCGGTATGGGTGTGAGCATTGTTCGTAGGTCATACCAAAAAGTGAGAACGTAAAAGACGAAAATGAGACCGAGCGTCCATTCCAATATCCCTAGCGCACGAGTTAGGAAAACCAAGTCGGGGATGGAGTAGAAACGTACCCGCTTGATTATATCCAATGTCAACACCGCGTTCTGTAGTTGCAAGTCGGGAGACAAATGCTACCCCCACCGATATCAAGACGAGGGCCGTCGAAAGCTTGAGGACAAAGCTTGTTTTCAGCCATTTGATATGTCGGTGTGCGAAGAAGAGTTGCCCGCTGAGTACAACGGACGCAATGACGCCGATGAAGAGGGAGAGTGCAAAGATTGCTAGAAAGCGTTGATGTGTTCCTCGGTATTGGAGAGTGTCAAAGCCTGAGAGTAGAATGAGGGAGAGAGAGGTGAGGAGTGTAAAGGCGATGGTTATCACGGATGTGACCGTTTGTAGGCGGGTCGTCCGATGCGGTAGATGAGGGGGGAACGCGAGGCACTCTCTCCAGGCGAAACAGCATCCGACGCTTGTATCCTTCCGGGATATGTGATTGCGTGAATGAGATGAACCACGAGGAGGGTGCCAAGGAAAAAGAGGCTAGTGAGCACGCATCCGACGACGAAGAGTGGTTTGAGGACTTGAGCTCCGACGTCGGATATGACTAATTAAGCAATATTAGATATTCTTCGTCGAGTTCAAGGGGGACATACAAGCTACTGCACCCTCCTGAGATGAATATCGTGGTCGTCCGACCGCGAGCCAATAGATTAGGAGAATAAAAAGGGTGACTTTAGAATAATTAGAGGCCACTTAAGTCGCTACTAGTGACTAATGGACTTACTAAACCATACTACTGCCGCACCAATTGGCAGATACTGCGTCCGTGGAGAGAATACTCGATGGAGTGTGGCTCTCCTGCTGCGAATACTCATTATAGTGTTAAACAAAAGGCACTGAGGGCCTAAATTCTCAGGAGGGGAGGGATCCAAGCTTCGTCATCGCGGCAGACCGGCTTTAAGAGGTCTGCCGCAGTCATCCAAATGGCACATCTTGGCGAGAGTCAAAACACTGTTGATATTAATTAGTTTGAGAATCGGTCAAAGTTGTCGGTGTTAGTATATCGGTCAGTACACGCGCCTGTCATTTGATGGTTCGCGCGAAAGCGGGGTTCGATTCCCCGACACCGAGTTCTTTTTTTGATTCTGCCCGTGCTGTTACATTCCAGCAGCTGAACGTATTTTTGCATTATGTTTAGATGGTTTTGATTGGAAATTCTGTGGACTTTGTGATCTGATGTTGACAGCTGGCACAATCCGCTCTGAATCCGCTATCGGATATAAAGTCTTGGCGGTACAAGCGATGAAACCGAGGATCCACTGTGATTCCCCGTGTTATCCTTCCTCCGTCAACGGCTGCGCACCTGGGGGTTTATAAGCTCTTGCCTTCCGCCACGATTAACTTGGCCATCCCTCTCGTGTCCATTAGCATCGAAAGGTGCTTCCTTTCGGATTCCAATTACATCTATTGACGTTGATTAGAGTCTGGATACACAATGTCGCTCGTTCCACCTTCTCCGATTGGCAACACGCCCACATCCACAAATGCAGAGGGCTTTCTACTCCTCACCATATCGAATGCAATCCTCACATCAACAGCATTCGCGCATCCAGTCCCAACTCCCATCGTCGGGACGCTTTCGCTCGAGTGCGTCACCATCAACGTCTCCGACCCATTGGAGCGCGACGTCTGGCTCGTCTTGCGCGTCGAACCTCCTCTATCGCCCGTCACCAATCAACCACACGCAGGTCACCACGGGTTTGAGTACCCACTACCTGCGACGCAAAAGATTGTATTAAACCGAACGGAGAACCGATACACGATGCCTGTCGTCAGCGGTGGCGAGTTGACGATTCGATTGCCAAAGGGACTTACAGCAGCACAAAAGGAGGACCTGGAGACGCTCGAGGTCTTGTTGGCCCAATACGCCGTCCTTCATGTCCAAGAAGGTCCCGTGCCAGATGCGCATGGTGCGCCAGGAAGTAGATCATCGCCTACAATGTCAAACGGAATGGTTCATGACGCGGATGGCGACCTCAAGGGACGACTCGTTCTGGTCGACGAGGATAACGGCCAAATTGTTGGTACGCTTGGCGATCAATTTGAGGTTCGAGAGGATGCTACGCTTAATATGGATGGACACGAAAAAGATCCCGTCGTCGTGGAGATTCCAGATGACGAGCAGTGGGGAACAGGCAGGGGATGGTCGACTGGCGAAGATGGACGACCGAGGGTTCAAAAGCAAATCTTTGTCCACCCCATTACGGTGGGCGATTCGGATTGGATGAGCAAGACGGCCGGTTTCCTCGGGTATGCCCAATAGTTTCGTACACCTGATTCATCCTGACGATGATAGACGAGGTATCGTGTTTGCAACAAACGCTGTCACGACAGGTGTAACAAGTGCAACAAACTTGTACATCTCCAAGAGCGCACCAGCGACCGAACCCATCGTGTTTAGCGAGACGACGAAACGCAACGTAAAGCGTGTACACAATATTTCCGGTAAAGCGGTCCAAGTCACGGCCAAAACGACTGGTCTCATTCACCAAACCGTCGAGCGACTTGCCGACAAGGTCTCTGGACATAAACCCGCACCGCCGCCATCCTCACATCCTCATTCGGGTACCTCAACGCCGGGATCTGGATGGAATTCTCCTTATCCTGGTGGCTCTACTACCTCCCTTCGTGGACCAAATGCCTTTGGACCAACAAGCGCTGCACATACGCCACCGCCACCTCCCCCCAAACGCCGTTTACTCAATCGTCTGCTCACTTCGACCGACTTGATCCTCACGACGGTCGAGCAGTCTGCTCACCATCTCATTTCGCACACCACAAACTCGCTGAGTGCCGCCGCGCATCATAAATACGGACCAGATGCAGGCAAGGCTGTGGGAATGATGGGTGAAAGCGTAAAAAATGTCGGTGTCGTCTACATTGATGCGCGAGGGGTTGGACGAAGAGCGTTGCTCAAGTGTGCCGGGAAGAGGATCATCAAGGCCAAGATGGGTGGACGAGACGTCGTGTTCCAGGATCAAGGTGCTGGTAAGGGGACGGTGATGGTGGATGAAAAGACACACGACGGTGCGCCCGTTGGCGTCACGCATGGGCCACCCCCTGGTGCGCCTCCCTCGTTTGGTGCACCTCCACCATATCCACCTCCTATGTCCACCAATGCACTATATGCACCGTACAAGCGCGGGACTCAGGGACCTTGAAGCTATTCAAGCTCCGCTCGAATTTGCCTTGTGGTCGCACGACCTTGATGGATATATTTGCCGGCTATTCGTATTAGCGGCTAGTATCATCGTGTATGTTATCCCGATAAACTGAGATATCCTTGACTCAATGAGGTCATCGCTGAGCTGTACCATCGAGTTGCGAATACATTTTGGTCTCTACCAGTACGAATGGTCCGTATCAACGTGCACAATCACTATCACAAACTGCCCATTATTGCGTCTGTAGCGTGGTATGGTTCGTGCTTTTGAATCGTATTCGATTTGGCGAGAGGTAAAGACGCAAGTATAGTGACCCTCCTTGTGCTGCTTATCGTCTGGTTGGCGAGTGGGAGACCAAAATATCCATCTCAGGATGGCTCCATTGCCTGTACGTCGCTCCACCCTCTGAAGTGACCGTACTTACAAACTCTGGTGCTATATATAGACATATCCGACGTTGGAGCAAGCTATATGAAACCTTTTTTTATCGTTGGCACTTGCATTACTGCCGTCAGTTTCGTCCTCACACTCGCGTCCGAACGGCTCCTCCAACACGCCCACCGCCTATTACCTACACAGCGACGCTCAGAGACAATTCTTTCGTATTGCTCGATTGCTGGCTCTATCATCGCTGGCGCAGGGCTGATACTCTTGTCCATCTTCGACACCAAGCGATACACCAGCCTTCATCGGGTCTTTCTTCTCGTCTTTATGCTCGGTGTCATTCTAAGCGCGCTATTTACTGTCGTCGAAGTGAGTGATCTCCTTTAGACGCATCATTGGCTGACAAGCGGCAGTTCCGTTTGCTCTCACATACATACGCGTCGTACAACAAACTCCGGCGGTCCTATATCGCCAAGGGTATCATTGCGGCGATTCTTATCTGCCTTGGCGTAGCATTTGGTATACTACTGTTCGGCGATAGCGAAGCGTTGATAGACGCTGGAGGTGCGAACCCCATTGGTCATCTTGCGTACGACTCATACTTTGTAGCCATTCTGGAATGGGTTATAGGTTTTGGATTTACCGCATATCTCCTCGTCTTCTTCTACGATTTACGGCTTGCGGCCCCTCGACATCAAAAGTCCCAGGCGCTCAAGAATATGGAAGCAGGACAATGGCGGGTTTGACCGTGCGTGCCTTGGTATCTGGATACATCTCTTGAGACCGTGTATACATGTCTCTATAATACCGATAGATATTAAATACTCAATATGGGTATATGCTCCTCGCAACGGCAGTCCTATGCATTCGCCTCGACTGGAACGATATTCGCCGTGCTCCCATTCCGGCTGAGGGCAATGACATCTGTTGAGCCAGACTTGAGTCGCTTGCTCAGCTTGCGCTTCTTCGCCTCCATCGCCCGCCGCTTGTTGTACGACTCAATCGCACGTCCAACCGCATTCTGTATATCCTGCAACTCTTCTCCGGTTCGACTTTCTAGCCAGGCATCCCGTCTCTCTGCTGCGTTTGCGCTACCAGCACCGGCAGCACTTCCTCCAGCCAAATTAAACGCGACGCTGTTCTGCTTTGCGTCCATGCCGACCAACCGAAGTTCGGATCTGAGACGGTGAACTTCATTCTCTGCCATACTTCGTGCACGTGCCTCCTCTGATGCCTGATTCTCGGCTTTCACGCGGGCGGCTTCGCTCGTTTGAAGGGCAGCGCGGGTGCGGTGTAGATCTTGCTCTTGTTGTGTTCGTGAAGTGGATAAAAGCTCTTCGGCATTGTTCCTGAGTGCTTGCTCCTCTGCGAGTCGTTGTCGAAGGTGCTCGACATCGTGCATGCTTGTGCGTGGTGAAGAGTGTACCGGTGCATGAGGGAGTATCTTTTCTCCTTCGACTATGACAATATCTTCCGCTAAGAGCAATCAGCATCATGGACGCCGGATTGGCCATCGCGAGTTGCGCACCTTTGGGGTCCGCTTCCGCCCCTCCACCACGTGCGGCGTCGTCCGCGTCTGCGAACCGTTCTGCGCGTACAGTCACGTCGTCGTCGTCCAATCCTTTCTCTTTATCCATAATACGTCTTACAATTGTAACCTCCTTTTCGGACAATGCTAGGTTTCGTTTGGCCACTTCGTAGTCATTCCGTGCTTTTGCCTCTTTGATCTCGAGCATCTTGTGTAATTTACGCTCCAGTATCTCCAGATGGTCACGCAAAGCGCCGTATTCAGCAATTGTCCGTTGTAGGACATGCTCAAAGTCCACCTCTGAGCTATTACCGGCATGAAGCGCAGTATCAGAAGGAACATTATTGGAATTTGATAGTTCCGTAAAATATCGCAGCCACGAATTCTGCGCGAGGAAGAGCATTTGAAGGAATTAGACGTTTGGGATGGGTTCAAGTGTGGCAGCCGCGTGTAAGTAGAGATCCTTCTCAACTCTTTCTTGCGCTCCGTCAAGCCACAAGTTTGAAGTGAGATCCGGGGTCGACGAGGAGTATGATTCACGGCTAGTCTTTTGGTATCAGATGGTCTAACCTGGCGACAATACCGACACTCATTGATGTTCTCCTGGAATACTCCCAGCTCGAGTTAGGTACATGCTTGCTCGGCCTCTAAACCTTGAGATTCTTGAAGAACGTGGCATCAATATCTCCACTGCAGCCTCGGGCTGAGACGATATGTCTATTTTATTGGCTTCATTGAGCTGGTTGTAGTTGACACTGTGGTGGCCCGCTCTAATCAATTAGCTTCTGTCAGGCTCCATTCTCGTGATTAATAGTGTCCTACTGGTGGATAATGTGTTGAGATTCATTGACTAGCTTTGGCATCATGTATGTCAACCCTCGACGCCATCTAGTGGGAATTGTATGTATTCTGCTCATAAGAGAAACATTTTGGGACCGACAAGGGCACTAAGGTTATAGTTCCAGTTTGGAGTCGCATCCTTTTTGGGTCCCCAACCCAACCCACACTGGGCTCATAAAGGCAAGGCTACGACGAAATAGTATATTGTCCAGGAATCGGACCCTATTGCAGCTCTTGGCAAGTGGAGCATTGGCAAGCTCCGGGTGGGCAGCTTCGTGTGACCGGCCAACCTTCTTGCTGAAGTTGAAGGAGTACATGTAGTGACACTCTTCCTTGTGGGAAGGTAGATGGAATTTTGGAATAAGGAACATGATTCGAAGATGAGGTGGAAGACGGAGAAAGGTAGCCAGAGAATCGAACCGGGCTTGAAAATTACGGCGATACTGGCATGCAATACCATAGGTGAGGATAACATCTTGAATTCCCGCCATCTGTGCGAGTATGCTGGATACAGCGAATCCGAGTTCACATACCTATCGCACATATTTAGTGTCATTTACTGGGAAGATGCAAGCTTACCGTTTTCCTTTGTAAAGATCAACAATCCTTGCGGAATAGCGCATTCATGCCGACAAACGCCACCTGCAACGCCTGTCACTTCAAGTTTATTGTAGTGGGATCGAGAGCCACTTGAGAGGGCACGACAGTTGGAGCAATCTGAGCGCTTTTTCTTGATTGAGTACAATCAACCCCCGAGGTAAACTTACACCTTGTTGAGCAACATTGACAGATGCAAGATAGCCACGATATTGAACAGGATTGGCAAAGAAGTCGCCATCCTTCCATAGCGGGGAGTCGAGCGTGCTCTGTTTCTCCTTCTTCATCATTGTAAGTCGAAAGTTGGCATCAAAATGAATGTAGCGTCGGACTAGCCACCTTGAATGGTTGAGAAGGTGGTCGTAACATATCTGGCTCTTACCATTGACTCTCTGGCCTTGTATCCTGCCAGTTCTCTTCGATGTTTATCCCTGGTTGTGGGCAAGCAGGGCATCTCACACAGCCAGGTCCCTCCTCACCAGTGCCATGCGTCCCGCTGTCTCTCATTGCGATAAGATAGCTCCATTGATGAGAAACACGTCGGAATTCTCGCATCAGATCCTGTTGTCAGATTTAGAACCTGAACCTTTGCAACAAAATGTGTCGTACCGGGGTACTTGTACCCAGATCATTGTGAGCTGTAACTGTGAAGAACGATAGAGTGGATTTATAAGTCTCTCGGAGCTGTCTTGGTCCCATGGTCTCTTTGTTGCCGCTGTGAAGTTGTTATTATCTACCCCTAAACTCACCAAAACTGTGGCTTACCAATGCTTCGATCCTGATGGATCCTCCCAGGCACACGAGGACCACCTCCAATGTCCGATATGTCCTTGACTTCACTCGCATAGCTAAAGAAGGTAAGCCGGTCAGAGCCCAAGTCTGATTATCAAAGTGCCTTGTCGAGTGTGGCTGCAACTCTGCAACTCTGTCGGAATAACGCGCAGGAGATGGCCCAGGTGCACCCACTACCCGACTGGTTCCTAGGACAGACGTATCCATGCTACTGGCGATGGCGTGTTTGTGCTCACAGCAGTAAAGTATATCCTCCCAATCGACTGCTGCAGTGAGAGCCTTCCTTGGATCTTTCTCTACAAGTTCGATTTCTACTGGCCAGTGAGATGCTTCAGTCGCGGATGAATACGGAACTCACGGGCAGCAGTCTCCTCCCAACCCACTGGTTCGGCTCGACCAGATAGGTAGGTTTCTTGAGCCACAGACTTGTAGACGAGCACTGTATCCAATCTTCTTCGCCGTATATACACCTTTTCATGATGATATCAGCGGGATTAGGTTTTTTGACGCCGTCCAGGTCGAGCTCCTTGAGCAGCGCAAGAGCGACATTTGTCAGACAAATCCATGATTTATATGAGTCATTATTCCTCTTTGCTTTGATACTACGTAGGCAATTAGCCGTCTCCGTTGTTGCGGCCACGTACTTACAAATCCCGATGGAAATGAGCTAGTCGAGAGCTCGATGCAATCCACTTTGATGGTTTGTCCTCGGCCTGAATCCTCTCCAATAGGATTTGCAGCGATGTCTCTACGCCATTACCGGACGAAATCCTCTTCAGAAGGAATGCAAGAATAGGTTCTATCTCCACTTGGACATGCTTCTCAGAGTTTGTAGATGGGGCATCGCGCGCTTCTTCTCTTCTAGCCTCCTAGTAAGCATTTCGGTAAAATAGTATAGAAATGAAGGTGCGTACCGTTGATCTTGAATGAAAGATCCGTGTTCAGATGTATCATTACGAGGATCCAAGCGCTTTTCTTGTGCTTGCTGACTTTCCGGAGATTTTGCCATCCGCAAATCACTCGCAGACGAGAGGAGACCAAGGTTAGACAGCCACTCTGCTCCCGGTATTGCACTAAGAAATTTCAAATTAAATAAAATCTCAGTGTACTAAGTATGTGAAAGGGGATTCATCGCTCTCCCAGCGAGGAGAAAGTTAAGCCGGGGGGGTCGGTCTGGATGCACAGTTGCATTCCGGCAAGCCATACAAGACCGGATACAGGTCGAATGGAGCCTCAGGAGGTCTCAATGTATGCCTCTTATACCTAATAAGAGCTTACTGTCCCTCACGAGATCCACTCCTCTGAAGAGCGCACCAGATGAGTACGAAACAAAGTTGCAGTTTAAATGTTGATTCGACATCTATTTGTCGTAGGCACCGCTCGAATCTGGGTCAAGGTAAAAGACCAAGAAATAGTACATCATCTAGCATTATCGCGAATCTAAGTAAGCCCTGGGTGACTGGCTTCGTATGAGCGCCGGACTTCAGCGTGCAAAGCAAACAAATCCTGTGGGTCATCTGATGGAGGAGTAGACGTTTTACCTCCACGAGGGCGCGCTTGGACCATTCGGTCGTACCAAATCTCGCCAACCTTGGAGAATCCTTCCCAGCAAACTCGTTGCGATGGCGTGGCAATATGATCGCTTGGGTAGGCTATATAGGACCTCTTGAACTGAAGCAAGTTGATAGAGGGAACCCTTCCAGTCATGCATTCAATCAGTTGCTTGACATGAGCATTGTCGGAATGGCGCTCTTTGGCTGGATAGAGTGCAGTATTCATATATGCGACCCAGAAAAATGCTTCCGCGTCATGCTTGTATTCGTGCCGGATCTTTCCCTCTAATCCCTCCGGAGTCAACAAGTCGCGTGCCATGAACGGAAATGTACCAGTGCGCTCGGTGTTGCGTCCCTCGTCGGTTTCCAATGACGAGAGGTCAAAATCTGACAGGACCCCAACGACCTTTCCGGAGTCTGTCGTCTTCTTGTACATAAGGTTGCTGTCACTAATGTCCCTGTGGCGAAAGCCAGCCTTCCAAAGCGCAAAGTGGCCTACAGATAGTTATCATTATATGTGATCAGCACTATAAGACACTCACAGTCGAAGCAGTCCCACCACACATGCCAGTACTGGTTTCCTTCCAACTCTCTTATCATACCATCGAATTTGATGAGGACGATTGAGTACATTCTCCTCGAGCCGGTGGAGGGAAGTTTGAGAAAGCGACGGATTTTGGAAGTCGAGGTCTCCTTGTATTCTCTGTATGCTACATACTCTGGAATATGGCCCTCAACACGCGGGTCCCCGGCTCCTCTGCGTTTTGCCTCATCAATGAGATTGTGCTCGAGGTGGCGAGTCTCTTCGGGGAAGGCTACTTTGATGACGCATCTAGTTGCTGGTTTACCGACCTCGACACAGTCGATAACCGAGGTGGAGCGCCCTTGATGCCCCATTGTTTGTGCAGAACTTTCTTTCCAAGTTCAAACTTCTTGCCATCGACAGTAATAACTGTATCTCCATTGGGATTTGATAGAAAGTCTGGATGCATGCCCCAATCAGCTGTGTCGAACCGTTGGACAATGAAAAGGAATGCTAAATAGAGGGGAAGATTGGTGATATCATAGATATCTATTGGGTAGGTGGAGACGACCCCTTGCAGGTCGTACCATTGGATTGTGAAAAGATTACCTAGATGCGTCAGAGTAACTTTGAAGAGTATCAAAGAGCTCACCTTCTCGTACAGAGCCAATTGCGTGCGTTACCGCCTGAAACGCGCCAAGTCGTGCGATGGCGTATTCTGCGGCCTGGTTGAATGTGTCATCGAACTCGCTAGTGGTATTATCTGATACAGATAGGCTCGTAGCATCAGATGCCATTGTCATACTGGACGAGAGAGGGGTGGAGGATTGCCCAGGTGATGAAGTACTGCTCTTCTTAGCGGCTTTACGGCTCTCTAGACAGTGTAAGAGCCTGTGATGAAGAATCGTGAACAAGCATTACTCTGAATGTCGGGGCTCTCCTGGCCTAGTGGTCGCTTTGCTGAACCTATAGATGGTATTAATTTACACATAGCATCACCAACCGCGTAGCTCACCACTACTCTGACTAAGATACGAGATCCCCAGTCCAACACGCCTGCGAACTCGTAAGCCGCTATGATAATGTACGAAACATCCAAAGTACCGAATCATAGGAGCTGCTCTCTTGTGCTCGCAGCAGTAATACACGTCTTCCCAGCCTCGCTTAGCGGTACGAGGCTTCTTTGATTTTTCCTCTTCTAACTCAATTTCTGAACGCAATCAGAGAAGCCTTGTCACGACAATAGTAAAAGACTCACTCGCAGCTATCTTGTTCCAATCTGCTGGCGTGGCTTCATCTTGAGGTAGATAAACCTTTTGCGCCACAGATTTATCGATAAGAATTGTATCAGGTTTCCGTATGACGCTTGTGCCGTTGTGATTGTATTCAAGGGTCTTTGGATCATTTCTAATGGATATAATGTCGTGAGAGATCGACTTTATTTCCACCAAATCGAGCTCCACTGTCTTGAGCATCGCCAGAGCGACGTTAGTCATCCGAATCCAAGGCCCATATGACTCTGCTTCTGTTTTCTTGGATGCGGTACTACCACGAAAATTAGATTCATAACGTCCGTTGGGATTGCGTACAATTTCGTGTGAAGACCAATCAGTTCCGAGCTCGACGGATTCCATTCCGACTTTGTCGTTTCCGTCTTCGAGTGTGTTTCTGCTTTTGACCGGTTAATGCACTTGGCTTCAATCTTGTTCAGCAGCTCTTCCAGCAGCTCCGAGTCGTCCGGTGGAAACTCTTTGTCGAGGCGAATCCTTCCCAAGAGGTACGTCAGGAGCGATTTTATGTCCACTTCTTTGCGTATATTCACATCTTCGGCGATTAACTGAGCCACCTCGTCGCGGCTGCAGCCATAGTGAGTATTCTGGTTAGTAACGAAGCACAATGGTTTGCTTACTTGAGGTTCTCGATCAAAGGACCATATGGTGCTACACCCTGCGCCTGAGGAGTAGTCTTGCTTTTATTTTGATCGGCATTGGTAGCTTGCGCGATGTCACTCATGGCCGGCGTGGAGACCAAGTTTAGGCAGCCACTTTCCCCCTACCTTGAAGTAGCGCAAGAAAGCGACAATAAATTGGTAAATATTTATCATCTCAAGTGTGACAAAGAGAGCATGTCGGCTCTGACTCCCTATAAGAGGTCGAACGTCAAACCGCCCAGAGTGAACAGAATAAATAGAATCATTTATAAGATCTTGTTGATACACGAGAGACATGAGAAAGATGATTGCATAGGTTCAATTCGGGATGACCCTTTTAATCTGCATCGTCGCTTTGGCTATGGCCTGAGACGATGAGGGCGACCAGGGATCTCGGAGAAACCCCGACACATTATGCCGTGCATACTCGTTCAGGGCTATATGACGATATCAGCCTCTTGCCTTACTCTGAGGACGAAGGAGAGAGAGAAAGAGGGGTGGGAGGGAAGACGTACCATTGTTATCGACATTACATGTACACACATGGAACGATATACCCGTCCTCGAGGCCGAGTACTCTTTTGCCAACGTCGCTGGGCGGACAGACGTGGACACATCACAGCGACACCTCTTGTACTCGTTGATATCCACATCCAGTGGATAAACACTTTGCAGGCTCATTTTTGTCCAGTTTGGAAATGGAACCGTTGGGTGAAGGGAGAGACAACGAGCCTTGGTCGGCTTACTGAGGGCTTTATATCCTTAGTCAAACCTATACTTGGCGAGCTGAAGTGATACGATGACCAAGTGGGGATCATCTCAATGCCGAGCCGGACCCACGAGGGAATCCGAGCGATTTCCGTAGTGGAGATAGGCAGGTAAAGCGTGAGTGCAGGGGTCGGAATATGCAGGAAAATCTATCCAAATCTGATAGGACATCTGATCATATCTTACTGCAGCAAAGGGAGCGGCGAGTTCCAGTTCTGTTCGCCGTAATGCGCGTTCCAAACAAGAAAACTTTCCCAGATGTCCGATGTAGAAGCTGAATTCAATACATTGATGATCCAAAGCAAAGTGACTGTTATCGAAGTCGTGTGGAAGTTCAAGTTGTCTGACACACATCCCTTGAATTGGCACATGTTTACATTCTACTCATTGTACATTTCTTGCATCTCTAGTAAGTCACGCCGAGCTCTTTCCAGTTCGTCCTTGCCCTTCTTTACTCCCAACTCTACCTGCCTTTGCAGTTGGCGAGTCTGCAGCAGCTTGACAGTAATTTCTCCAACAAGGCGGCGGGTCGCTATCATCGAGTTGCCCAGCGTTTGGTCAACTGATAGTCGTGTTTCAGTCCCGACACTCGACACAGTCGACTCGATGTTGTCTCCAGACTGCGTACTTGAGAGCTCCGAAAGAGTCTCAGACTCAAGTGTCCTGGTACCTTCGTCGGTGCCTTCGTCTTCAGCTTCCTCAGTACCCTCAATGGATTCCGTGAGCGTATCGACAGGACCCTCGCGCTCCGACGTGTCGTTAGGTTGCGTAGATTGCTTCGCGTTGCCCGTTTGAGATGGATTGGTACATTCAGTTCTCTGAGGTGATTCAGGAGTAACCTTGTATGACTATGAATTCGTCAGCTGTCGGACAAAAGGTCTCAAAGAAGTATCATGTACATTGCCTAGACACTGGTACATCGAAGCTTGAGCAATACCTACTTCACGGGCACGTTTTTGGGCTCTCTCTATGGCAGATTGAGCTGCGTATCGCTGCCTCGCAAAGAGGATCTCCAGCGCATCCCTCAATCGAGACTCTTCCTCGACTACAGCAAGCAGCCGCTGATATACGACTAGGATATCATGTTTGTAGTCCTCTGGAATGCAGGGTGTGCCAGAGTTTGAACAGATCTCAGTATACGTTCGATGCATGTCGAGGTGGAGGGCAAGCGTGTGGCTCGTGTCAGGCTCTCCTTTGCCCAGGGCCGAGCTCGACCGGAAATTTGAACTGGGCCTAGAATTGATTGGTTGGTAGCGACAGAGCACAGATTGATCAATCTACCACCATCGCGGCGATAAGCAGCCGTCTATCCAAGCATGATATCTATGTTTTACAAAATATTTGATACCAGTTCAGCTCGCTTGATTTTATTATGGCTCTGTGAGCCACTTTGATTAAGCTATCCACAAGATATACCGGGATCCCGGGCCTCAGAAGTGAACGGTCTAGCCTCCCACAATCCACTTTGACAATGGATGTAGATTGAGCTCATTTTCATTTTCATTTTATCTCGAGCTTTGGTGACCGGGGCCGGGAGTGGTGACGCCTTCTTGATCCTTCTCATCGCGAGGTACTCCCGCTGCTTACATCCATTCGCTTCGTTCGATTATCTCAGCTACCTAAACTGGTCAAAGACATGCCGCTGTGCAAACCTCGAAGTCGCACCCTTTTTGCAATTGCCGCTTTCGTCGTAATTCTTCCGGCGAAGAGGACGTCTTCTCCGCACTAATTGATCTCAATCACCTCTTCGTCAATGTAACGGCCCGGAATCGACGGAAAAGTACGCGATTCGTGGACGAAACTCGAGCGACTCCCACGAGTGAATGCTTTAAACTCGTGCACTGGTGTGAGGAGCTCCTGCTGAGCGCCCTCGTCGTTCTTGTCAAGTCGCTATGAAACGTGCAACCCTCATCCTACTCGCTCTTTCAACAATTGTCAATGGTCTTTCAAAGCCCACCGATTCGCTACTTAGTCGCTCTTTCGCCTTTCCAAAGTCTGGAAATGCGCTCTGGTACCGTTCTCCTGCGGCGAACTGGGTATTGGAATCCCTTCCTATAGGTAACGGGTACATGGGAGGTGTGTCGTCAAATAAACTGTATATTTGTACTTAGACTATTCAGCTTCTGTCTTCTCTGGGGTTCAAAATGATACTATCCTCGTCAATCTCGACAACCTTTGGGCCGGAGGGCCTTTTGCTGATCCTGTAGGCCCTCGTCGAGTAAAATCGTTTCATTCTAACAGTTAAAGGCGTATAATGGTGCTAATTGGGGAGAATCAGATGTACCTGCGGTACACCAACGTCTCAAAGCCCTTCGGGAGACTATATTCGCCAATGGTACCGCCAACGGTGCTCTATTCACGTGGCTTGATCGCACCCCCTACTGATACAGTTGTAGATCTTAATGGGATCACGCCAGACGCTGGGCAATACGGTATGTCACTTCACAATCAAATGAATCACTTTTCAACCCCAATGCAGGAACGTTCGCCAGTGCAGGGAGCCTTGTGGTTTCCAGACCTCAAATCATCTCCAACTATACAAATTATACTCGCTGGCTTGACCTGGATGACGGGGTGATACGTTCGACCTGGTCGGAAGGCTACATAACGTTCAGAAGGTACCAATGAGAGCTCAGTGCTGCGAGATGCTGATTCTTTATAGAGAGTACATTTGCTCTTATCCCGATCACTCATGCTCGCACAAGACTAGCGCATCCCAGGCCATCCCGAAAATACTTTACTCGATTGTACCCATCGCAGATCATTCAGATATCGAAATCTCTTGCAAGGGCAATTCAACTCTTGTTCTCAGAGCCCGGGCCGGAGCAAATGGCATGGGAATGCTCTACGAAGTCGCTGGTTCGGTTCGTCTATCCGGCGATGGTTCGACGACTTGTTCGAATGGGTACATCTCCGTGCTCAATGCTACAGATATATGGTTTACTTGGACTGGCGACACAGAGTACAATATCAACGCTGGTACTGCGGCTCAGCACTACTCTTTCAAGGGATCCGACCCTCATTCACAAGTGACCGGGATACTTGCGAGAGTGGCCTCAATTCCCTATGCCAAGTACCTGCAGAACCATCTTAACGATTACAAGCGAGGAACTAGTCAATCCTTCAGTCTAGACTTGGGACAAAGTCCAGACTGGTCGACACCGACGGATGTGCTGCTTAAAAACTATCAGGCGTGGCAGAAAAGCCGCCAGCCGTCGGATGCGAGCACGACCCTCTTGGAGTGGATCCTCGTCAATTATGGCCGGTATCTGATGTTTAGCTCTGCACGCGGGAATCTACCGGCGAATCTCCAAGGCGTCTGGTCTCAAGGGGCTTGGTCTCCATGGAGCGGTGGTCAGTACGGACCTTGACGGCTGATCGATTGCTGAAGCTTGATAGATTATCACGGTATGGTCAATGCTTCAATGCCAGCAGATACTGAGTATAATAGCCAATATTAATGTACAGATGATGTATTGGCCCGTCGAGGTTACGGGGATGGACGTCACTCAAACGCTTTGGGACTTTATTCAGGTACTTTCCTCAGAAATTTCATCCTGCATCTGATACCTCCATCTTAGAAAACGGTCGTCCCGCGAGGTGGTGATACCGCCCAAACTCTATACAACGTCTCAAGAGGATGGGTTATGCATGACGAGGTCTGTTGGACTTTGAGAGATTGAGTATCTCATCGAATCTTATTCTTTATAGACCAACGTAGGGCATATATATGGACTTCGTACACGCCTAAATGAGTGATGATAGATATTCGGCTCTACTGGCATGAAAGGTCTCGATATTCCCAACTACAATCCTGCAGAATGGACGAACTATGCGGGTAGGTGGACTATCTACGAATTTACTAATGCTAACTCGCCGTCTAGCCGCCGGCGCATGGCTCGTACGTATATCAGGGATGAAATCCACCGTATAATGACTGCTCATCAGATGACCCACGTTTGGGATCATTTCGACTTTACTGGTGACATTGCGTGGCTCAAGCGGCAAGGCTACCCCTTACTCAAAGCAACTGCCGAATACTGGTTAGATGCGTTGCAGGTGGACGCATACTCGAAGGACGGATCTCTCGTCGTCAATCCATGCAACTCTCCTGAGCTCCCGCAAACCACTTTTGGTCTGTGTATTATCCCGCCAGATGAGCAATTGCTGACGTCGCGATCATCAAAGGATGCACTCACTGGCAGCAAATGATATGGGAGTTATTCAACTCGGTCGACAAAGCGCTTTCGGTTCTTCACCTTGGCTCTGAGAAGGCTTTCCTTGAGGAAGTCAGAGCGGCTCGCTCCAAGGTCGACAGAGGTTTTCGCATCAGCCCTAGCGGAGTCCTCCAAGGTCAGAATACATTCTTCATAGGAGCAAGTACTTATGCGCGCAGAATGGAAGCTTGACCTCGATAATTCGGATCGCCTTGCTCATCGCCACCTATCTCCATTGACTGGGCTCTATCCTTCATATTCCATCTCTTCCTGGGTACCTAGATCTGATGGTTTCATGTCCGCAGATCTCTCCAAATCGGTGCGTCGAACCGCGCAATCGAATAAATATTGATCGATACCAGATGCTGATAAATGCATCGCGTACCCTCTTGATGCAACGTGGAAATGGAACGAGTCCTGATGCTGACGCTGGGTGGGGCAAATTCTGGCGTGCTGCATGTTGGGCCCAGCTTGGAGAGCCGACTCGGTTCTATAGTCAGCTGAGTGTATGCCGCTCATGTCCTTCAGGAAGCGTCGACTGATACAGCCCCAGTACGGCATCGCACGCAACTTTGCGTCCAATCTGTTCAGCTTATATAACCCCTTCAATACCGCAGAGAACACTCTGTTCCAAATGGATGCGAACGGGGGTTATCCAGCGGCTGTTCTGGTATAATATTTTCGCTCACATGCACGAAATGGAATTGACGCACATTGAATAGAATGCGCTTGTTCAAGCACCCGATACCCAGAGACGAGATGAAACTCTGGTTGTCACCTTACTCCCTGCTCTGCCCAGTTCGTGGTCCAGAGGTCACCTCTACGGTGTTAGAACCCGTCGCGGACTCGAACTGGATCTAGAATGGAGGTCTGGGAAACTAACCAAAGCGAGTATCAAAGGGCCAAGGATCCTCAACGGTACCGTCGTTCAGGTCAAAGTCCAAGGGGCCGGGATCAACAGACAGATCACACTCACCCGCGGTCAAAGCGTCACGCTTGCCTAATCCTGTTCAAATTTGGTACATATTCATACTAGTAAACTTTATATATGACCTTGTGAGACAGTTGTTACACATCCTCGCCTCTGGAATATCACTGTGCGCGTTTGAGGATGTATGGCGGCGAGATTTCTTGTCCTCTTAAGGGATGGTGTCTTTGGTAGATAAAAAGGGGGAATTCTGTCGCTTGAACTCCGCCACGATCGGGCTTGATTGCTATAGCGCATTAAGACCGGACTATCGCCCATTCACGACATGTCAGAAAGTGATTTGGTACTAGACCAGGTGCGCTATCTCGTTCCCATCAACATAAACCCACGACTAATGGTTTACTGCGTTCCCGGCGATTACACTCGGCCATCTCGTTGAAATTCATGGCCAAATCTGAATACAAAACACGCAAATGTCGAATCTGTCTCGTTCTGTGTCACCGACTGACCGCGCTCTCATGATCAACTCTGGACACGTCGGTGCTTGCGGATTTAGTCAAAGATTGGCAACGAGGGTGGCGATGCATACGTATTTCAATTCCTATCTGGTGCTTTACGGGCCATAAAGGCTCTCTCATTGGCAGGTTTGCTTCTGCGTTTTCCAATTCTGATACTGACGGGGTTGAAAGGAGGATGTTAAACCTCAAGTAGCAACCTTTGAATCTACTCTTCTTTCAATCGCACTTGCCACGACACCATTCAGTACTGCACCAGGACGGCCGGTTCGACTTTTAACTGCACAATGCTTAGTGGCAATATATAGCAAGGGGGAAACAAAAGGGCTATTTGATACGATAAACAAACTACTAGTTGCAGCCGGTGATGCGAAGGAGAAGGAGAGTACGCGTGTGTAAGTCGAGCGATTGTGGCCATCGAATGCCAGGTTCATGTTGTCTAGGTCGGCATTCTTCTGCCTTGGAGAGTTAATGGGCACGCATGGTTCCCAGGTACGAAGACAGGCATTAAATACCTGATCCTCATGCCCTCTAGGTCATGTCATTCATGACAGAAATCACAAATTCGGCTATGAGGACCTATAGGGCTACATCTTCCGTATGTACTTCCGTACTTGATTCAGAACAGAGCTTGATATCGCTACCTAGGCTCCTATACTTCGATATCATGCCATCTCGGCTCTCTCGAAAGCCATATCGAACGCCGGAAAAGCTATTAGTGACCAAGCGGTAAAGGACCTACACAAGAATATGAGGGCAGCTCTGCTGGATAAGGCCCTATCGGTCCAGAGGGCTGCCGCCGCTACTCTAATAGCGCTCTATCCCAACAGTCTCCATAAACCCATCTCGTCTTCTGCATCTCCTTCCATCCTTTCTGCCGCGGAAATTGAGACGATCCTCGCACAAGTTGTCAAAGCGTTCGACGGTGCCGACATTGACACCTCAACACGACTCGCCCTAGCACGGCTTATCGGTCATATGCTCGCCACTACTCAGGTTCCCCGTGCTGTTGCGGCTTCTACCTCCAAAGCTACTAATTCGACATCGCAGCAGGACGATTCTGCTTCGCTGGGCGCGAAATCCCAACCGGAAATAGCCTCAAAGCCACTTATGCCGCCAGCCGAAATGTTTATGATGCTCTCTACATGGATGAACAAGCAAAGTGGCACACGACGCCAGCGGGTTGGCCTTCTTCAGGCTTACGCTGCACTTCTGAACATCCTCGGGGCGTCTTGGGTTGAAAACCACTACGCGCTTGTCATCGGCCATCTTTCAAAGGATTTGATTGTAACGCCCAAAGTTACGGCTAGTTCGAAGGCGGAGCGCGTTTGGACCCGAAGAGCCGTAGGCATAATCCTGCGGGATGTGGTGCGGGAGCGGATGCTGAGCGAACAAGGACTTATCAGTGCGGTGATGGAGGTCGTAAATGGGTTCCTTCGCCCATACCTTTCTGCGGTCCTGTTCTCTGGTGGGAGTAGGCCTCAATCACCCAGCGCGGGTAGTTCGACTTCTGCCTTCATCAAAGGGCAATCCTCTGAGAGCCTCCATCCACTGACACAATGATTATCGTCCTTCATGAACTTTGTGGTCTCCTTCAACAACTCGGAAATACCCCACCAGTGATCCATGAACTCTTGGGAGGTGGTGAAGTGTTGGTTGCAGTGGCCTGTTCTGCTCCCGGGGGTGGCGTGAGAGGCGCCGCGGTAGGTGTTGAGTTGTACAAAGATATATTCTGACGTACCCCAGGTGAGCGCCCTTTGTGCTTTCGTTCGCGCATGTCCTGGCGGTCTGGGGCCAATTATGGAAAGCATATACGAAGGCGTTAAACGGGACATCACAACCCTCAACACAATCGCATCTCAAATCGGGAATTCAAGCACATCATCAAGTAATCTCCCGTCACTGCCTGAAGTCAAGGCACGCGCTCTAGGACACGCATACTGTATTCACGGGATTTACACGCTACTTGCGACACCCAATGAAGACGTCGACGCCTCGAATAGACGGACGGAGAGCGCAAGCTCAACCTCCCCCGCAAATCTCGCAGTTACGTCTCTTCACCTCCATGTGCCCCCTATATCACCAATGGTCCTTCATACCGCTACTTCGCTTCTCAAATCCACGTTTGATCTACCACTTCCTGTGGCTCGGATAACGTCGGAAATCGGATGGACTCTCCTGAGCGGTCTCATGGCTCTTGGTCCACATTTTGTGCGATCCAATCTGAGCGCCTTAATGGTCCTATGGCGTAATGCACTGCCGAAGCCAACTGTTCGCGACAATAGCAGCGTCGTCGGCAAGGAAGAGTGGGGCTTCCTTCTAGGCGTTCGTGGGTGGGCAGTTGGTGCCATGTGTTCTTTTCTTAAATGGAACAATCTCCCAATATCTGGAGATCCAGGGGCTTCTGGAGATCGGAGCATGTCCAAGGTCCTCGTCACCCTCGATATATCCCGACGCTTGGGCGTATTGCTCTCTAATGCGCTTGGCTTCGCCAATCTTTTCATAACAGCGCAAAAAGAGGAGATTTTAGATCCAACGTCACCAACAGCACCTTCTCTAAACTCTGCAGCCCAGGTTGATGAAGATGGTCATGACCTCCACGCATACGAAGCCCTGCTTCGATCGCACATCCACGTCGCCTTCACCTTGCTAGGCTTCGCAACGACCACAGAATCTATACAACGAGAGCTGATTACATCTTCCATCAGTCTTTTTGCTGCTCACGCAAACTACAGCGGCAGCGGCCTTCAGGTTGCTATCGCCGCCAAGGAGGGCTCATTCAAGGGTGTGTGGAGATCAGAAGATGGGTACGCATATGGCGTAACAAGCCTCGATCTGGCCGAAGAAGCATTAAACGAGACGGGTACGCAGACCGGAGGTACGGCAGGCAATGGGTTGCCCCAAGCGTCAACTGGACTGCAATACGATATCGCAGAGCGAGAGCTCGACAAACTGGTATGTCTCCTCAATTGTGATGTCTTTCTTGCTAATTTTTGACAGCTGACTTTGCCCGTACTGGGCTCTCCAGAAAACGATCCGTTGGCCCTCTCATCTACATCCACTGAGCCACAAGTGCTCTTTACCCCTGTCCCGCCAGTCACTGCAGTCGTAGACAGTGCTATCAATCTTTACGCCGCCTTGCTATGCATCCAAGACTCGAATGGATCTCTTAAAGCCATTGGCGGCCTGATAGATGCAGCTAAAGGTTCTGGTAAGTGGACCCCAAGAATATAATGTGAGCGATAACCGGTTCTAGGTGAACGGGCTACTGCTATTAATATGGGAAGGAAAATGGCAATGACCATTAACGCGGTCTCTGCAATCGTGCTGTCATTGCGACACGTAATGGGACGATCTGGTGGGAGGGCGGCAAAGGAAGTCTTTGGAGGCGCCCAGGTCGCGAACATGCTCAGCAACTTCCTAAAAGACGCCATTCTTGACCCTGATGAGACACTTCGCGGCCTCGCGAGCGAAGCATTGGGTCGTCTGACGAGTCTCAGTAGTAGCACCTTCCTCGGGAACCAAATCAATAACCTGGTGCAAGAGGTGGTCAATAATCGTGATCCCCTTTCTCGAGCCGGGTGTACTTCTGCATTCGGGGCCATCTACATCTACGCTGGCGGTCTAGCGGCTCAAGCTTACTTGAAGACCGTGCTCAACGTCCTCATTTCCCTCAGCAATGATCCTCATCCCGTGGTACACTACTGGTCCCTTCAAGCCCTGGGACAAGTCATCGCTGCTTCCAGCTTATCGTACGGACCATACATCTCGAACACCATCGCTTTGGTCTTTAAAGTCTATAGTATGGAATCCCACGAGCCAGAGGGAGGCTCCCTATCTCAGGCGAATCTCAGTGCGGATCTTCCAACCTACCAAGCACTTTGCCGCATACTCGACGGAGTGATATCCGCCATTGGCCCAGAGCTTCAAGAATCTTCCAAATACCGCAGACGAATAAGCGATCTTGTCTTCGCATTCCTGGAGTACGAGGACGAAGGCGTTGGCGTTGAGGCAATTCAGTGCCTCCGGCAAATGCTTATGTTTGCGCCATCGAAAATGGACATGGTCGACCTGGTCACTCGCTTCAAGACCTATCTTGCCTCGCCTAGACGGCCTCTCAAGGTCGCGTCCATCAACGCGCTCTACCAACTGGTACAGCGTGATGCATTCCTTCTCTCCAAAGTGGGCGGGGATAAGCTCGTGGAAGTTCTGTTTGGCATGCTTGATGAAGAAGACTCATTAAGCATCGAAGGAGTCAAGAGCATCATTATCAGCTGGCTCACTCAAACTGTCACCGCTGCTCCGTCGGCATGGATTGAACTCTGTCAACGTATTATGGCGAGGACGACGGCAGCTGCCCAACAAGCGGTCCCACCAACCACTGGCCCCAAAGCTGGAGCATTTCAAGACGAGGAATCAGAGTCTCTGGGCGCTTCGGGTGCACAGAACGAGGGAGGTTCTGGACACTCGACCGCTCGTTGGAGAACGCAGCTATTCGCAATGGACTGCCTCCATCGCATCTGTCTCGTGGTCGCTGCTTCTGGTCGTCAGGAGCATTTGGACCTACGGTTTGCCAAGCAACATTCCATTGCTGTCAAGGGACTCCTTGTCAGTCGGATTCCAGATCTAGTGAAGATGGCCTTCAGCGCAAGCGCTGCCTATGTCACTGAGATTCGCCTCGCGGGGCTTCTTGTCCTTCGCGATGTCATCCAGGTCTGTTCATTGGCTTCACATTTTTAACGTGACCTGATGGTTTGAAGATATTCGCCACTTCTCCAGATCCCGATTACGACGGTTCTTTGCTCCTGGAGCAATACCAAGCTCCTATCACCGCAGCACTTACTCCCGCCTTCTCATCGGACTCTACGCCGGAGATCCTCTCCTCGGCTGTTCAAGTGTGCGCCATCTTCGTGGGTTGCGGGGTCATCAAGGATGTCAACAAGATGGGAAGAATTCTGAAACTGCTAACCGGTGCACTAGAGCAATCGAAATGTAGTAGGCATCTAATATGCTCCTGGCTACGTACTAATTCGCGACAGCTTCCAACTCGTTTACTATTGGAGATGTGAAACAAATTTCTCCAAATGCTGCAGTGACTCTCAAAATTTCTACTTTGACGGCATGGGCAGAGTTGTACATCGCTAGTCCTCAGCAGGAGTACCTCAAAGCGGTCATTGAGCCATACAGGGAGACTCTATCTTCGTTGTGGATTGGCATCTTGCGTGACTATGCTAGCATTCGTGGCGATTCTGAAGTGCTCCAAGATCCTACCTCGAGCTCGATGGATGGTTTATATCTCAACGTCGGCAAGGAGATCCTTCTTCCGGTGAGTGAAACCTTGCCATATTGGCCCACCTAACAACTCGTAGTACTATGATGATGCTTGGTATCGCATTCTCAAAGCGATTGCTATCATGATGCAATCGCGAGATCCGTTCATCCTTCGAGCGATGGACGGAAAGGAAGGTCCCGGCGAGCCAGCGCCAGAGGGTCCGACCGCGTTGTTCTTTGTCGTATTTGGCCTCGTATTCGAAGCACTTGTTCAATCCTCGACAAATGCCGCCTCGTCTGCATCTGGAAGGCTTGTGACTATTGCCGCACTCGAAGCAATGGAGAGTTTGGTACGACCAGAGTATGCTGGTAGCGCGATACTCGACAATACCATCTTTGAGGAGTTTAGCAACTTGTGCTACAGAATGGCCATGATGGAGACGGCCGAGGTGCACATCCCGTTGGTCAAAACCGTGGCAAGTCTGGCTAGCACACAGTTCAAGAAGACTTCTATTGGGTGAGTCAGATAGGTGTTCGATATTGCTGGGCTCACCTCTGGTAGGAACGGCACCTCGTCCGGCATGTCTTCGACGGTTCAACTCACACATTGCCTTCGAATCTGCTCATATGTTCTTCGACGAGCACTCCCCTCGTCAGGAACGCCTTCGAGTAGTAAGTTCGTGGACCCAACCGAGACCATCTAATTTTCGCTTACAGCTGCCAATTCTGAAACCAAAATTACCTTGCTCAAGACGTCGTTTGCGGCACTGGGTCAGATTGGCACCGCATTTGGTTCTGATACTAAAGAAGATATCCGAGGCATCTCCATTGCTCTGTACTCTGGTACGGCCATTGTCCATGGTCGATAGAATCTGACAACCATGCAAGAACTTTTGAAGGACGAAATCTCTGAACAGGATCTTGTCGGGCCTTCTTTACCAGCCCTCAAGCTGATGCTAGAATCGCCTCCGCATACTGCGAACCGACTTGAAACGTACTCGCGTCTGATACATGGGCTTCTGTCGTGTTGTTTACAGAACATTGACGAAACCAGGTTAGTTATACCATTCCCGAACACCAGAGCTCATACGTTGCTAGTAACCGCTCTGGACCCATTGTGACGCTAAAGACGAAGAACAATCTCATGGCGTCTGTGCTCATTCTCACGACACTTCCTCCAACTCTCAAGATCAGTCGGGCGCTGATCGATCAATACTGCTACTTGGTGTCCCAAAGGATGAGCGATGGCTCGGACGTCAGTGTTATTAGTGCATATCAGGCTATTACTTATTCCCTTTAGTGCACTTTGACGGCAGCACAATGTGCGAAGACGCTCATCACGGCGTCGCTCGCCCCGACAACAAACCCAGTTCTCAAACACTGTGCTGGGCTATTGATTCCGTCATTGATCGGCGTTGTCTCTAATGCAGCAACATGCGTCGATAGCCAAGAGAAACTCGCGGCAGTCACCCCGGCTCTGGACGAAGCGCTCAAGACATTTACCCTATTTTTCAATGGTGTCCCAGAGGCCTCCCGTCAGTCTACTTATACAGTCCCAATCAATTCACCCACTGAACGTTTGATGTAGGACAAGCGGCTTTGGGTGTCATTCTACCCACTTTAGCACTCTTGCTGGACCCATCGCGCACACCTCCGTCGCCGTTGCATGCCCAAGCGATTCCCTTGGTATTAAACTTTGCGAGCTCGGCTCCCGGGCCGTTCAAGGAAGTCACGGATGGACTTGACACTGGAGCACGAGAGGTCCTAGAGGCGTCCGTTCGACAAGTCGTCGCAGGACGGCAGCAAGCCTCTACGGCGCAAGTAGCTGCAAAGCCTCAGATATCATTGAAGGCGTTTTAAGTTGAATCATATAGAGTATTTTGTTATCAGCTTTCAACTTTTTGGGGCAAATTTTAGCATGGCCGGAGCCGTCTCGGTGCGTCGCCGAAGTTGCCGTTTGCGCGCGCATTGTCGGCTTCCAACGTCAGCTGGCCGTCATACGACTAGACGCAGGGTGGTTTTGTAAAAAAAGTACGTAAAAAATAGACGGGTAGTGGACGTCACGCGACACGGCAAATGGATCGACGATGCGAGCTCAGTTGGGAGTAGAGGCCAGGCGGATACAGCCAGGACAAGTCTCCGCACTTCTTGGACCTGACCGCGTCCATCTGTAATCTGTCCCGAGTTTAGCTAAACGCATCAGACGCGCCCTCATTACTACTCCTACCTTGTATGTTTACTTGAGCCGCGATTGTTGGACGTGACCATCTGACTGCCCAGCCAGCGTGCATGGACAAAGTCACCTTCAGCAACGCAGGCGTCTTCTATCGACAGTACAATGGCGAGTCTGACTTGCGATACATCATGAGTCTCGTCCAGAACGAACTTAGCGAGCCCTATGTGATCTATACCTATCGCTACTTTCTCCAAGGATGGTCAGCCCATTCCTCTTTCTTATCGCTACACGGGACTGATTTCGCTACTCTAGGCCAAACCTCTCATTCCTCGTATGTCCTACCATGTTTGGAGTCTCGCCCGTCCCCCAAATTTCCCGCCTCCCCTCCCTCCCAAGACGAGCCCTATGGGTTCGAAACACCCGACGAGGATGCGTTTGAAAGGGGGACTATATCCCCCCAGCCTCGCTATCCAATCCCGACCTATTCTTTCATCCCCCGTCCCTTGCTTATCAGCAACTCTGACTCATCCCGGTCTTGACAGGCCTTTCCCGAATTGGACGACACGTCGGATCCAGATGTCGCTCATGCACAAGAGCCCATCGGGGTCATCGTGTGTAAGCAATCGCTTCACAAAGGCAAGAACAACAGGGGTTACATTGCCATGCTTAGCGTCGATAGGGCGTGGCGTAAACGCGGTATCGGTTAGTCTTTCGCTCTCATTGTCTCTTATCGCTCACGCTGACATGCTCCACCTCATTGGCCACTCCTCGTCTCCCCAATTTGGCTCGTGGACCAATAGCGAGCACGCTCGTCAAGTTGTCCATTGATATGATGACTCGCACGGGTGCAGACGAGGTTAGTATTCTGTTCTATTCTCTCTCTCGATATTGACACGGCATAGATTGTCCTCGAAACCGAAGTGGATAACACTGCCGCGCTCGGACTCTACGCTTCACTTGGGTTCATCCGCGAAAAGCGTCTGTACCGGTTCTACATGAACGGAAAAGACGCGTTTCGTCTCGTTCTCCCCGTCATCCCCGAGGAGAACCTATTCTTCCCTTCAGCAAAGGCAACTGCGGTGACGGGTACGTCCAAAGTTGTCGATAAGGCGCTCGCGTCTGAATTCGGTACTCTAGACAAGGCCGTTCAAAGCAGCACGGTCCCTATCGCCGTCCCACAACCCATGCACATCTCCTCTCTCGGAACAGCCAAACACAAAGTAGTGATGCTCGAGACACCACCATCACCAGGCCTTCTCCACGCATCCACGGCCCCGCCCGCGACACGTCTCAACAAGACGAGTGGCCTCGGCGTCGACGGAGAGAGATTTGCATTGGGTGGGCTGTTAGGCGCAGCTGCCCCGCGTTCCGTCGAGTCGACGGATAGCTTTGCTCTCTATGGCGCACATATCCCGGCCTCAATCTCCCCACCTATCCCGCCTCGTCCTACAGGTAATACCGACATCTCCCCTCGTAATGGATCTGGGATCTCGGTTCGTGGTGGTGCTGTTACGGGAGGGATCGGGGCTGCGCTTGCGCGAGGTGCGGCTAGTGGTCTAGGCGGTGGAGCGTCGCATTCTGCGCCTGTGATTAGGCGGTTTGCGTACGACGACGATGACGATGATTACTATATCAGCGGTCGTTAGATGGTACGACAGCTCGTTCTCAAAGTATTCCCATACCGGTCAAGTATTCCAACTTCAATCAACTCATCGCCAAACTCCAATTCATCCACCAAACAAATCACATACCAAAGCTACTTATAATCCTCGCTCCCTCGAATCTTTTTATCGTTTGCCGCTCATGGCTTGTTGTTTGTTGTTGCTCATTGGCTCGCGACTTGCTCGTCATTTGTGTGTCTAGCATCCTATCGTCTTGTTGTCGGTTCCTAGCTGGGCTCTTCGAGTATACCTTTCACTGGTCGTCTGCTCGGCACTCGGTGCCCGTCCTCTGACCGCTCGTCCATTCTACCTTGATGGACGTCTAAACTTGTACCATGTCATTATGCCAATTGCATCTTTATCATTGCCGTTTTAGTCACCGTAAGACTGAGGGTTGTGAGGGTATGTGAGGGTCGAAAGAATAGAGAAAAAGTCTAGAGATGGATACAGTCGTCACTTTAGCTTGGCGAAAAGCTTTGGTGCAGCGCATTCCTGGTTATTTCGTGAGCATAGACGCCAAAACGAGTTGGAATAAACGCACGTTTACGCAGTGCATCATGCTGTCGGGGTTCGTCAGCACATGTCAGATGGAGGTGTGACGAGACGTACTGGACTGGATATACGGGTAACAGAGACGGAAAACAAAGTGGATATATCAGTAAAGTGCGAAATCCATCTCGACGAGACAGCAGACGTACACCTGTGAGCCATGTTCAGCACGAGCAAACAGGTACAAAGACCGGAATAGGCGGATGTAATGTAAAATAACGAAATGCACGCACATTTCCTCGACGCAGTCTTCGTGCTTGAAGCCCTGACCGCTCTGGACCTTTTCCTGACAATGTTCAAAGTGCTTTTTGGCGCCTTTGCACTCGGGTGTCTCGCTGCACTCTTCACGAATCTCGTCTGCGGGCTATTCGTCGAACCAATACACGCGCCAAACAATTTCGCAACGAGTTGTGATGCCGGCGGTGTTCGTTTTCAACAAAATCGACTTTTGTCAACATACAAACGCCAATTGCCTAGAAGATGAAAATAAAAAGACGTACGTCGACGGGTTCTTCAGGTTCTTCTTCCTCCTTTGCCTCTTCGCCGCCCTCTGCCTTTGACTCGTTGTTCGTCTCCTCTGCTGGCTTTTCCTCTGCGTGCGCCTGTGGAATCAACGCGGCGAATAATTCGGATAGCATCGTCCTCTTTTATTACTTGTATCCACTAAACTCGGGCGGACGGGCAGGCGGCGGGCCTTGATGGAGTCGTGGTCGAACAGTCGAAATCCACAATACTCGGTTGGTCCCGACCGCGACTTTGTTCGACAAAGGCAGGCCAGGGTATTCACGTATCCTATTTTGTAGATTAGAACCTTCAATCTCATAGCAAGCGAATTCATCTCTCTTGACCACCAGGAATGCGCGACGGGTATACGGCAGACGGTTGACCTGGCCATAACGAGGAATAAATCTCAATCACTTCTGCTCAGGTTTTATCTGAAAAGTAGCAACCTCGAGACAGCACTGCACCATAGTGGCTCCGCTAGAAGATAGAACTGCGTCCCACTAAGATCCTTCGCACACTGTATATGAAATGTAAGATATATTAACAATGATTACAATCACAGATTTATTGGCTTCCGCCTTTTCGAACCTCTGTCCAGGAGCGGCCACAATGAAAATTGGTAAAATCAAACTCTGTCAAACGGGACCGGCTTTCTGGAGGTATTGTCAGGAGAAGGCGTGGGTTTACTAGTCTATGTCGATTGTCTGGCGGGATCCAAAATAGTAATTTCCCAGAGGATTTGACCCAGCCCTCGCGTGTAAGTGAGCACTTTTTGAAGCCGGGTATGAGTAGGTTCAGCGGAGTATCTTTTGCTCTTGCACCCTTTTCTTTAGACTGCGTCGCGCCTGCGTCTAACACCATTTGTTAGAATATGAACGACAAGCAAAGCCTTATTCACCTATCTTGGCATCCCATACTCGGACTGTTCGATCGTCTGAGCCTGAGGCAATGCGCATGCCATCCGGGGAAAATGCGATAACGTTAACGAAGCCTTGGTGCCCTCGAAGCGGCTCTCCCAACGGCTGACCCGTGCCTGCATCCCATAATCGAATCGTTTCGTCGCACGAGCCAGAGACAATTCGTGAGCCGTCTGGTGAGAATGCGACCGCTCTAACTGCCTTTTTGTGACCTCGAAATGGCTCTCCCAATGGCCGACCACTGTCTACGTCCCACAGTCTAATCGTGTTATCTCCCGAACCGGAAATGATTCGCGATCCGTCTGGCGAGAATGCAACAGCCATGACGCCACTTTCGTGACCTTCGAGCGGTTCTCCTAATGGCAGACCGGTTTCCAGGTTCCATAGTCTGATTTTGCCATCCCACGAGCCAGATGCGATTTGTGCACCGTCTGGGGCGAATGCGAGGCAAGATGCCGAACCTTGGAATGGTCCTCCCATTAGATGACCAGTTTCTGCATTCCACAGTAGAATAGTTTGATCGGAAGAGCTAGAGACGATTCTCAAGCCGTCAGGCGAGAATGCGACTCTAGAGACTCTGCCTTTATGACCTTGGGTGGACGTCCACAACAGCTGCCCAGTGTTTGCGTCCCACGCACGTAATCGAAAGAGCTTGTCGTCCAAACTAGATATAATTTTCGAGCCATCTGGGGATACTGTAATGATATCGACAGTATTTTGGTGGCCTAGGAATGGATTTCTTAATGGCAGACCCGTATCGGCGTCCCATTGTCTGATCGTGTGGCCTCGTGAGCCAGAGATGATTCGCAAGCCGTCTGGAGAAAATAAGACGGTCTCTACGCTTCTCTGGTGACCTCGAAATGACTCTCCCAATGGCTGCCTACTGTCTACGTCCCACAGTCTCACCATCTTATCCTCCGAGCCAGAAACGATTCGCGACCCATCAGGCGAGAATGCGATGTCGTAGACAGATCTTTCATGCCCTTCGAGAGGCTCTCCTAAAGGCTGACCAGTGACTCCATCCCAGAGTCGAATCATCCAATCCCAAGAGCCGGAGGCGATGAGTGAACCGTCTGGGGAGAATGCAACAGCAACAACACAAGATGTATGGCCTTGGAGTGGCTCTCCCAGTGGCTGGCCTGTGTTTGCGTTCCATAGCCTAACCGTCTGATCCCAGGAGCCGGAAACGACTCGTGAGCCATCCGGTGAGAATTCTACAGCGGCAACCAAGCTTTTGTGACCTTTGAATGGCTCAGCAAGCGGCTCGCCGGTGACTGCATCCCACAGTCGAATTGTCCGGTCAGCGGAGCCGGAGACGATTCGCGAGCCGTCTGGGGAGTATGCGACGGCATTGACCGAGCCTGAGTGACCTAAGAGTGGCCCTCCAGATGAATGTCCAGTCTCTGCATCCCATAGTCGAATTGTGTTGTCCAATGAGCCTGATGCGACTCGTGAACCGTCTGGAGAGAACGCAACGGCTTCGACTCCATTTTCATGGCCTTGCAGTGGATCTCCTAGTGTATGGCCAGTTCCCGCATCCCATAACCGAATACTCTTGTCGCTCGATCCAGAGACAATCAGTGAGCCATCCGGAGAGAATGCGACAGCGTTGACAGGGAGTCTATGACCTCGAAGGGCTTCTCCCAATGGTTGCCCAGTGATTGCATCCCATAGTCGAATTGTATTATCAGAAGAGCCAGAGACGATTCGCAAGCCGTCTGGTGAGAATGCGACAGCCGTCACAGCCTTTTGGTGACCATGAAGAACACCAGAGAACTCTGGATACGTCTCGTCAAGCCCTTGAGTCACAGCGAAGGTTCTTGGAAACCATTTTAACGCTTCGGTATGCATTATAGACTTTGTAGGAGCAAATGGCAGCGCAGAAATATAGATGTGTGGAGCGCTATCCTGGATTGGCACCGAAAATGACATTGTAAACCGTTGCAGCTCAGTCATGGTGGCTCTGATTCTCTCTTCAATCTATATTTTTGTCAAGATATGAGATTCACAGGGATTGGCCACTCACTCCTTTGCAACGAGTAACAGTTCGAAGACCATTTATCACTCGTGGCACTCCTCCAATGAAGCTCAGAATCTCCATCCAGTATAACACGTGTGGAATTTGGATGGCCCGTCGAATATCGTCCTCGAGCTTGGATCGCCAGTTGTCGTCTGTTTCCGCCAGATGGAATAACCAATGAGAGCTAGCATATCGAAGTCGTCTCCGAATGAATTTCGATACCTTGGTTTCAAGATTTTTGATCTGGCTATTGAGGGAGAACGACGACTCGATTTGGCAGATGTTAAACCTGAGACCTTCAGCCGGCGACTGGAGGCATTTGAAGCACCACGAGGCAGCTTGGCCATGTGCTTTCAAGACATTAATGTAGATCCTATTGCCGCTATTGGCTTCTGGAGCGACGGAGCAGCGCCGAAGGTATTCGACAAAGGTAGGATGCCTGAATTGAATCAGGCTTGTCCCATCTTCGATAAGTACGCTTCCAAGGTTTTGTACCAACGCCTTGGCGCTCCCTTTGATTTTAGCATGCTTGAGAGCGTCGTCCAGATCTTCAGAAGTGAGTGGTTCAAATGCTGCAAGCAGCAGAGCCAGCATCTCATACATAATAGTATAGTAGGCGGGGTTTGTGCGTTCGAAGATGAGACAATACAGATCGTCTATCCCCCCATCCTCGTCTATGGACATCAGACGATTGTATATGTCTTCAGGAGGGCTCAAGCTAGTCTTGTCACTGAGCATTCGACATGCGGTACTTGCCCAGATGAAGAGCCCGTTGGCCTTCTCCACCAATCGCTCTCTTTTGTCCTGTGATAGTACGCCATACAGCGACTGATGCACGTAGGTGGCAATATCGTCGATATTATCGTGGTGACTGACGTCGTGTAGCCGGTCCTTTAACTGGGCTTTGATCGAGAGGGGCTGTAAAACCGACTCGATGATGGGGTCCGGTCGACTCGTGATAAATATCTTGAGGTTGCTGGTTTCTCGAGCAGCCATAGCAAGACCATCCAACAGCTCCTTTCGGTGCGTTCCGGATTTACATTCGTCAACCGCGTCGACGACAAGAATCGCGCGTCCTTGTAGATGCTTGAGTGGACTGGTGACCAACGTTCGGATCTGGTCCTGGAACGAACTTCGCATGATGGCGGGATTTCGCTTGACGGTCTCAGCGATATGAGGCGCGAGTTCGGGCATGTGCTGCACGAGTTCTCTCGCTAATGTCGAACAAAACTTCTCCGTGGTAGATCCCTCACTGTTGGCGAGGGAGAAGAAGAATTGGGCCCCAAGCGTTCCTTCGCTTCTCCATGCTTGCGCCACGGACATTGCTACAGTGGATTTTCCGGAGCCTGCTATATCGCAAAGCCAAAAGATTGGCTTCTCCGACATGTCGTCCTCCGCCCAGCGCCAAATTGTCTCAAGGACAGCCTGGCGTGTTCCTTGAAGGCAAGGATTGTGGACCGAAGATGCAACAAATGCCACCATTGGCAGCTGGAGTATGGCAGATGCGTCGACTTGGGACAGTTAGCGAGGTCCTTGAAATAACTACCGACATACCTTCTGTCAGAATAACCTTGGTATTCCGTTCAATGACCTGAAGGCGCAATGCCGCGAAAAAACCCAGTTTCTCCTGTCATCTATAATGAGATCACGAAGCCGACTGGCGAACCTCGTACCATGAGCTGCCTGTGTTGGTCCTCGAGATCACGATGAAACTTGCGGATATCTCCTGGGTCGAGTTTAATCTTGCTTATCGTAGTAAGCGGGCCGAAGCCGGTACGGCTTCGCTTATGCTTGTGCTGGTCGACCTTGTCATGGAATTCCCCAAGCAGTCTGGATCGGTCAGAATAGTGCAAGAATAGTCAATTTGCACGTACTTGACGTATTCAACGAGTGATTGACTGAGTGCGTCGTCTACGGCTCTCTCCTCTGGAGGGTATTTTTCGAATGCGTCGATTTGGTTCTGTACAGCGGACATGTAGCCATCCAAACGTTGTATCAGCTCGTTCCATTCGTCTTGGTTGTCGTCAGCAGTCTGTCATATTCGTCAGCGGGAGTCGTGTCAGTCTCGTCAACTCACTTGAATGACATCGATGATCGATTTTGACGTTCGACAGGCTGCCTTGAGAGGAGAAAGTATGTCTGACGCCTCGGATATGTTCCCCAGAATGTCGAAACCTGTACTGGCCACGCTGTACACTCGAGCCCTCTTGCGCGACGAGGGTACGGCAGAAGACGATGAAGCCGGCTGGTTTGTGGTTGAGCTGTTAGGTTGAGCTGAGCCTCTCGACGACATCGTGGACGTGGATGGCTCTAAGAGGTGGTAAGCGTCTGCCACTCTCCGAACCCGCACGATCCGCTGGATACACGAGGCCAGGGCTGCCCCATTTAATTTAAGATTTGAACAGCCTCATTACCAGCGAGATGACTTCTCACCTGAACAACGCCATCTCACATGTCTGGATGCACTCGGTCACTACTAGTGATGCCATGTACTATTAAACGCGATAAATAATAACTCTTTTAGTCGTCTAGCTATCCTCTGCCGTTGTCATTCCTCAAGTTGGGATTTCTGCTAGCCTTTCCTCTGCGTGTGGATGTGGAATCAACTCGGCGAATGACTCGGATAGCATTTTGCACTTTGTTCATTGCTTGCATCCAAACCACAGATGGAGTGGAGTGAAGTGGACGGCGACAGACCTCAATGAAGTTGCGGTCGACGAGTCGAAATCCACCAAGACTCCGTCGGTCCCGACCATCATCCTGCTCGATGCTGGAAATGGCCAAAGTCTTCAAGATTAGGACTTGAATAGCCCGTGGAACCGATTTCTCTTGACTGGAGCCCAATTCACTCGGGCGCAGTGGACAAAAACGCGGCAGGCCATCATCTGTGCCCGATAATAAATTGAAAGTGGGCACTGGATTCTCTACAGCCCAAATAGGAACCTAGTTTCGAAAGCGTCCGGGGTTAGATGGAGGTACAATATGGTCGTTACTAGTCATTATCGTTGAGACTTGTGAATGAGAGAAATTCGTGAGATATCAATTCACAGCGAATTTAGCCACAACTGAAACTGCGTCTGTAGTGGCTTCCACAGCGTGACTCTGCATGACAATGTGTAGCATCCCCAAGATTCTTCGCCTACTATGTATGAAAGAAGACATGCATCAATCTTTTGATAGAAATTACAATAAATATTGGCTAACCTCTTTGCGGACCTTTATTCAAGCCAAGAGTGGTCATCCAAAGTCTGTCTCCACCCCCGCCATGAGCGACGTTCAGATGGCGCAAGATACAGACGCCAACCAGAACAAACTCGAATCTACTCCTTATGCTCAAGGAGCAGCTCCCTACGCTTCTTTCATTGAAACACTACGGTATGCGAACCGTTTTGCTCGATTCATACCTGGATTACTCACCAAGTAGCCGTCAGGATGTGGCTCAAAATATAGCAAGAGACGTGAAAGCACGTGAAATGTGGATCTCAAATCGTTCCTTTCATATCTCTCGGGGAGGATTCGTCTCGACAAGGGCAAAGAGCTTCCATCAGACAACCTCGAGCTACTGGAAGACCTGTTGAAAAGGTGAAAAGGTTTGCATGGAAGACATGAAAGAGGATACCTCACCTGGATGAGTTTTGGAAACGAGCATATTACTACTTTATCACAGAAAGTATACTGGGACGGATTCCTCAAGGTCGCCAAAATCTGGACGCGAAGTTATCAAGCTAGTGATCCTCCATCATGTTGAAGGTTCACCCTTTGACTCTTAGCGCTCACTAAATAGACTTAGCCAATAGTAATAGCTCATGTCGTAACTCAATGTATTTAGGGACGCGGGATGACACAGCCAGACCTTACTGTCTTGCCTCTCACCTCACGCGTCCTAGGTTTGTTACACCATATATACTGGTCTTGCCTCTCACCTCACGCGTCCTAGTATCAACACATCAGACGACCCGGATGCAGTTTATCAGTGGCATCTTGACGTCTGTCAATCATACGAGGCTAGTCATCGAGAACTTAGTGATAATAGAGATTACGATGGACTAGACCTATGCGTTTTTACTATTTCTTGTTGACCACATATGACTTGAACCCAAGGGCGAAACTCAAAGCTTTGGAATCCAAATTTAACATGGCTTCACGAATTTGGGGAGATTAGCATTGTTTCCGGAATTCCTTTAATTTCACATTCTGCTTTTGACTCAGACACTAGTAGCCCCTCCAAACGGCAGACTCTGTCGAAGGGAGAGTACTGTACTATGGAAAGCAAACTCAGACAAAATTCATCAGAACTTACATGTAGTTGGTGCAATCAGTGCAAATCGGTGCAATTAGGTGCAAATTGGTGCAAATTGGTGCAATTCAGTGCAAGTTGGTGCAATTCGATGCACATTGGTGCACCCTAGTGCATTCTCCGGTGAATTTTGGTGCATTTTGATGCATTTTGGTGCACTTTGGTGCATTCTTTGGTGCAATCTGGTGCAACTAGTGTGCCGTCGGATGTGGTGTACCTTGATTTGCACCATAACTTGCACTTCAGGTGGCACCTCAAAATGCACCAATTTGCACCATGACTTGCACCTCTCGAGACCTTGGACCGTGAAATTCGGCCGTCATGGAACCTTCTAAATCGGATATGTTGATGCCTCTTGACCCCCGCTATGAACGATATGAATCCTACAGCTCCTGTAAATTCACCTTATCTGCTGCCGCGGTCTCCCGTAGGAGAGTCCAAGAAGGCTCTTCGAGAGAGAGATAATATAAATATATAATTCCATGTGATATCTAAAGTGCAATAAGAAGTGCATATTGGTGCAAAATGCACCAAGTTGCACCAACAATTGCACTAGTGCAAATCTTGGTGCAAATGTGAGTGCATGTTGCATATTTCGTGAGAATGCACCAATATGCATCAATTTGCACTAATTTGCACTAATTTGCACTAATATGCACCTAATTGCACCGATTTGCACCGATTTGCACCAACTACGCGTAAGTTCTAATGAATTTTGTCCGAGTTTGCCTTCCAGACTGTACATGAAAGGTAGCATATATTAATATTGATTACAATACCTGTGGATTTATTGGCTTCCGGGCTTTGTCCAGGAACTTGTGAATGACAGAGATCTTTGGCAAGATATCAGCTCATATTGAATTTGCTAAAACTGAGAAGGGGCCCAAGTTGAGTGCACTGGAGCATGGTGCGTAAGGCGTTGGCCCCGGCGCGAGTATCCAGGGTAAATGTACACATAACACGCAGGCATCTTTCTGGGTCAAACAGATTGATATTACCCTCTCCGCCTTAGCTTTCTCCTCATGGAGAGAGGTATACAGCTTTCTTCACATATCTGGACAATTCAAGGGCGAAACTTCTCGGCGCTGTGCGCTGCAAGAGTAGGGAGAAAAGGGCCGTCTCCCCTTGGTCCCCGTCCCACCAGGAGCACCCTATAGATCCCATTAACCTGCTATAATGGTGCGCTTTGGTACAGCACGGGCGTGATTTGTTGCTCGTCTTTGCTTCTTGGACTCCTCTACAGCCGCGGATGCAAGAGGACGCATTTCGGAGAACATTTGCTTGTAGAAACCCGTAAAACTACGTCTAGGAACCAGCGCCGTGCATCCAATACTGTGATTCGCCCATGAACCCGTTACCTTGCAAAGTTTCCATCACTCCGGATCAGTGCTCTCTGCTCATTTCGGGACATTAAGAGAACCTGCATGACTACTGACGAGGTCATGTCATGGTATATCGTCATTTGCTGATCGCGCTTTCACGGTCTGCCCACAAATCTCACGAAGATACATCGGCTGCTGCTTGGCGCGAGACATTTATGCCGAGATTCAGCATGATGGAATAAATTTTCTTTACTCCCGTCGCTCACATCCTGCGAGAGGTCAATTTCATAATTAAGGATCCCCTGAAAGCCTTAAATTCGCGAGACATTCCTTCAAATCTTCTGACATATCGTCCTCCAACTATGTTGGAAGGATGAATGTAGCCGCAAGAAGCAAGGCGTCGCCGAGAGCCGGGTCCGCGAATTGCCCGATTGCCTTCCACCGGCCCCGAACAAGCAAAGCGTGAACATCTGTAGGCGAAAGTACACCTAGTGCTATCTCACAGGCTCGTAGAGGACGTTCGGTTGCCGTCGCACGATTATCGCGTCAAGTACGGCTCAAAGTGCTCCTCGGAACCATCCTCTCCAACCATCGCCGCACCCACCAGTACCTGATCCGTATGAACCTTCTATGATCCGATTAGTGGCGTGCTAAGGAGCTCAGCAGCCGTGTGTCTGCCGAAGAGCGTTGTTCGGTTCCTCGATGTCCTTTGGAGGGTGAAAACTATAAAAGGTCCCAAGATTCGGTTACGAGACCCTTATCCCTCTCTTCAGTCAGAAGGCTGCAACTCACCATGAAGTGGGCCGCTTCAACACTCCTTTTCGCTGCTGCTGCCAACGCGCACACAATTTTCCAAGTACCAGTTCTACTCCTTGCTATCATTCATTACTGATGAACTCCTTCAGAAAGTCTTTGTCAACGGTGCAGACCAAGGTCTCCTTGTTGGCCTTCGTGCCCCAAGCAACAACAACGTAGGTATCCACCTGTTCCTGTAGACCACTATACACCCCCATCTCGTAGTCGTCCCAGCATACTAATTGTTTGCAGCCCATCCAAAGCACTAGCGACTCTGGTCTCGCTTGCGGTGCCTCTGGCTCAAAGTCATCCACTGTGATCAACGTCAAGGCTGGTGACACCATTGGAACGTATTGGCAACATGTTATCGGTGGACCTCAAGGATCCAACGATCCCGACAATCCAATTGCCAAATCGCACAAGGGTCCAATTCAGGTCTACCTTGCCAAGGTCGATAACGCTGCCAGCGCTTCGAGCAGTGGTCAGAAATGGTTCAAAGTCGCCAGCGAAGGCTTGAATGGGGGAAAGTGGGCCGTTGATACGATGATCGCGAACAATGGCATGTGGAGTTTCAAGCTCCCAAGCTGCATTGCTCCAGGACAGTATCTCCTGCGAGGAGAGCTCTTGGGTGAGTCTCATTACTAACTTTCTTCGAATCACTAATGATTGCTGATTGTTCCCACTTCCAGCCCTCCATAGTGCATATTCGCAAAATGGCGAACAGTTCTATGTCAATTCTACCCAGTTGCGCTACTGGTTCCTAACGTTGCTTTACAGATCTCCTGTGCGCAGATCAATGTTACGTCGGGTGGCAGCTTCAGTCCCTCAAGCACGGTGTCGTTCCCTGGAGCATACTCTCCTACCGACCCCGGTATTTTGATCAACATTTACGGTTCCAGCGGTCAACCGGATAACGGTGGAAAAGCATACACACCCCCTGGTCCTGCTGTCATAACCTGCAGTGGCTCGAACACCGGTGGACAGTCAAGCACCAATAACAATGGTGGACAGTCGACCACGAATGGTGGGGGAAGTGGTGCTCCGCTCTATGGACAATGTATGTCTTCATAGCCAGCCACGCTAACGTTTCTTGACTTTTATAGGCGGTGGACAAGGATGGAATGGTCCGACGACATGCGCTCAAGGAACATGCAAATATTCCAGTCGTGAGTGTTTCCGAGAAGCGGTAGACCACCTTTGATTGACGCTTCCCAGAGTACTACAGCCAATGCCTGCCATAAGAACCCCGTCGTTAGAATACTGTCACTACGTTGCAATGCTACGATTGTATAAACAGGATTGCACCCACTCTCAGACTTACAGTATTGTGGGTTCGAGCGATACCGTAAGGTTTCCTTCTTCGTCAGTCTATTGCTGGAGATAAATACCTAGGAGTGTCGTCATTGATGAAACTCTTGGGCCTGTATATCGAGGGCCTTCCAGACCTTTGATCCACCTCTTCTCCATCCATGCATCTCACCCGACTACCGCTCGTTCTAAGTCATTAATATCTTCCCTCATTCACCATTTCAACAGCTGATTACCGCCACTCTATCGATTTACTGGGACATATGGCGACTCATACACGAGGACGCCCTACTTTTCCGGTCTGGCTTCTATATATTCCTCAAAATCTAGGAAGTGAGAGATGAATCGACACTCATGTCCAATAGCGATAAAGATGGTCGGTTTTGAACGAGTTTGACCCTCGGCACAGCGCAGACGCAATGGTCGTATGTTTAGAATTGACCACAGTCTCTGGATACCGGGACTTCGCGTAATACTTGGGAAGGATCCTCAAGCTATAGTTTTGGAGCACGATGAGTTGTATCAACTCTCGCTCCATTTACAGTATAGAGTAGCGCCAATCATGCATACCCCGTCCACTGCCTCGAGTAAGTCTCCAGCTGTAAGTCGCATATACAGCATCTATTACACCAGATTAAATACGAAATAGCAAACCTCCTTGCAGAGGATCATATAGTTGACCTAGCAGTCTGCTTCTTGGACTCTTTCATGTGTAACCGCGGCTGCAAGAGGACGCATTTCGGAGGACGGTCGCTTATAGAAACCAGTTAAGCCACGTCTAGGGATCAACACCGCACATCCAACAACTGGTGATTCGTCCACCATCGCGTTCTCGCGCAAAGTATCCATCATTCCGGGTCAGTGTTCTCTGCTCATCCCGGGACATTGCGGATACTCGTACGGCTACACATGATGGCATATCTTCATCTGGTGACCGTACTATGACGGTTCGTCGACGAATCTCACGAAGATACATCGGCTGCCGCTTGGCACGAGACATTTCTGCCGAGATTCAGCATAATGGATTCACTTTTTCTTCTTTTTCCTCGTTTCCTTCCGGCAAGGCGAGTGCATTTCAGATGAAATCCCCCTGAAAAGTTCACATTCTCCAGGCAGCTCTTGAAATGCTCCTCATATACAGTAAGCGCACATAGACTGGACATTAGGTGTCGCTGCGAGAAGCAAGGCGTCGCGGAAAGCCAGATCCGCGAATTGCCCGATCACCTTCCAACCGTCGCCGAACAAGCAAAGCGTGTACGTTTGTGGGCGACCGTCCACCCAGTGTTATTTGCCAGTGCTCGCTAATTCTGTTAAGCCGTCGTCGCACGTCTGGACGATTATCGCGTCAAGTACGGCTCAAGGCGCTTCTCAGAACCATGCTCTCCGAGCAACCCCGCACATCCAGCAGCGTCGACTCAATGCAAGTTTCTCTGGTCTGATTAGTAGTGCGCCAAGCACTTCATATCAGCCGTGTGTTTGCCGAAGAACCTTGTTCGGTGGTCCGCGTTGCCTCGAAGGTGAAAGGTATAAGAGTACCCTAGATTCGATAATGAGGTCCACATTCGTCTTACCTATCCCCAATACCCGCAAGTCATCATGAAGTGGGCCGCTTCAACGCTCCTTTTCGCTGCTGCTGCCAACGCGCACACAATTTTCCAAGTATGATTCTTACTCTTTGCTGTCACTTATAGCTGATGAATCTTTCAGAAAGTCTTTGTCAACGGTGCTGACCAAGGTCTCCTTGTTGGTCTTCGTGCCCCCAGTAATAACAACGTAGGTATCCACCTGTTACTGTGGACCACTATACACCCCCCTCTCGTAGTCATCCCAGCTTACTGATTGCTTGCAGCCCATCCAAAGCACTAGCGACTCTGGTCTCGCTTGCGGTGCCTCCGGCTCAAAGTCATCCACTGTGATCAACGTCAAGGCTGGTGACACCATTGGAACGTACTGGCAACATGTTATCGGTGGACCTCAAGGATCCAACGATCCCGACAATCCAATTGCCAAATCACACAAGGGTCCTATCCAGATCTACCTCGCCAAGGTCGATAATGCTGCCAGCGCCTCGAGCAGTGGTCAGAGATGGTTCAAGGTCGCGAGTGAGGGCTTAAGCGGAGGAAGATGGGCCGTTGATACGATGATCGCGAACAATGGCATGTGGAGTTTCAAGCTCCCAAGCTGCATTGCTCCAGGACAATATCTCATGAGGGGAGAGCTTTTGGGTACGTTTCAATACAATTGTTCGGTGTAGGTTCAAGGGAACGCTGATCATGCCCAATCTAGCCCTTCACAGTGCTGGATCCGTGAACGGGGAGCAGTTCTACGTCAGTCATTCAGGATCGCAATCCTCCCTCCTAAATATCTTCTAGATTTCTTGCGCACAAATCAACGTTACGTCGGGTGGAAGCTTCAGTCCTTCGAGTACAGTTTCGTTCCCTGGAGCCTACAGCTCGAGTGATCCCGGTATCTTGATCAGCATCTACGGCTCTAGTGGCCAGCCAGACAACGGTGGAAGGGCATACACGCCTCCTGGTCCCGCAGTCATCAGCTGCAGCGGTTCGAACAATGGTGGACAGTCGAGCACCAATAACAACGGTGGTCAATCGACAACGACTAATAATGGTGGTGGAAGCGGCGCTCCGCTCTATGGACAGTGTACGTCCTCCTTTGTCAAACAACCCGTGGCATTTTCTGACCTTTGTAGGCGGTGGACAAGGATGGAGTGGTCCGACGACATGCGCTCAAGGAACATGCAAATATTCCAGCCGTGAGTGCCTCCGAGCCCTGATGGATCCGCCTTAACTGACCATACATAGAGTACTACAGTCAATGTTTGCCATAAAACGCTCGCTATCCAAATACTGTCATTACAATGCAATACCACGGCTCGTTTCGACAAGCTTCCGGATCTATATGACTGTCACTTCGAGTGATTTGAGATTCCCTTCCTCATCCGTCTATCGCCTTTTAGCTACTCTTGCGGACACACAAGTTTGTGAGACTAACCTTCATCCCGATAATCCTCTCAGAGTCCAGCATGAGCGCGACACACTCATGTGTCCATCTGCTCGTTAGCTCGACGTACGGCGCACCCGTGCAGATATCTTCGGCGTACGTTTCCCCTGCAAGGATGACTGTCTTGTGTGAGATGACTTGTCTTCTCCATCCATTTCCGCCTGTGCTTGAACTAGTGGCCTCATCACCAGAAAGCGTTGTGCTTGCCGTGGGCTCGCCCAGGAAAGAGTCTTCCTTGTTTCCTTCATCTGAACTGAATAGTGCTTCTCGATGAGTATGGACGTTAAAGTCCATCACACAGGTACGGAACCCTCCTGTTGTACGTGGTGGCGTGACCATGCTGCTTGGGACAATGGTCGTCATTGGTAGATTGGTATCAACACCGAAATCGTCACTGGGCGGATGCAAGTGATGCGCAAATGAGTCGGCAGGTGTCACGGATGTTGCTGCCATCGAGGTCCCTGGAAACATCTCCAAACCAAGGGCCAAGCCAGGTATCTCGTTCTCTTCTGATTCTTCGGGGTACGAATGAAACGGTATAGGAGCATCCACATCGGGTAGGTCCACCGTCCTGCATGCAAGCCTCGTCCCGTGGATGTCCCTCACCCACCGAGGGCTTCCCATGCCTCGAATCCATCTTGTCTCTCCCATCCATTCCTCCCATCCGACTACTGTCCGAAGTTTCATTAATATCCTCGCTCCTTCATCCTCGTCGTGCGTCTGCACGCCTTGCTCGCGGTACTCTATTCCATTTGACGACGTGTATATCGGTCCAGGAGAACATTCGAGCGGCTTTACTTTCTCCGTTTCGGCTTCTATATATTCGTTAAAGGTCGGAGCAGGGAGGTAGGAAAGTTGTTCGACAGTGATGCCTAGTCGCTCGGCGAGCATCTCCTTCATTGTTTCCATGCGATCTAGCCACTTGTTGATTGTCTTCCGCTTGATTATTAGTGCTGAATCGGCATCCTTGACAGGGCGTTGCATTTCTGCGGTCGGGTCGGCAATCCGAATGACGCGCATTGACAGCACGAAGATGGATTCATCGATGTCCGACGTAAATGGCGTTTCGATATGACGATTGGCGGTTATATTTGACCCAAAGTGTGGATTCTGCTCTGTTTTGGATCCAACATATCGGATTGAACTCCCGTGTGGCTGACCTCTGACGAGCGTGTACAGATAAGCGAGTCCTGGCCGCAGAGTCGGTAGAGCAAACCGCATGAGTTTCGTCGTAGAACCAGGAACAGGATCGCTCAGTGATTCTCGTTTGACGTCGGCTGGGGATAGGCTGTAGGATACAATATCCAACCCTCCTTCGAGATTGGCGGGCACCAGGAGCAGACCCTCTCGTATAAAGAGGAAAGAGTCAAATTTTTGGTTCGTAGCATGGTGCGCCTAGACAAGATTAGCCCTCTGGTAGCGCCTGTAGTACCGACTAACAGCTACGCCTCCGTTAACCCAATCCCATATCACAATCTGGTCGTAGTTGTTCGGATTCACTCGACCCGAGTTCATAAGGATCCCAATATGACTGGAATACATGCCAAAGACGAGCTAGAGCTTCATCAGATGGCACGGCAGGAACGTCTAGGCTTACCATGTAATCTGGGCAGTCCTTGTGGCTGGGGTATGACACCTTTGGACGATGTGCGAGTGGATGTGGAACCAATGTGAGGCCAGATAGGGAAAGAGAGACAAAGTTGAGCTGATATCGAGTCGTCTCTTCACTATTACTTGGTAAGTTGAATCAAGATACTGATGGGGTAAGCTCGCCTTGGGTTCCAAAGATCTCTTTGCTCGACAAGCACAAGTAGGTCTGATTGAGCGTCCATAGTAAAGTCGACCAATTCAGTGTCTTGGGGAACATAGACGAACCGCCACTCGGGCTCAGTATTACCTGTCAACGCGGACGGAAGGCGGACAAAGTCGAGTCGAGTGTACGGGGACGAAGGTGGAGAAGGGTATCCTACGTTGCACTAAGTCCGTTAGAAGGCCTCCTTTGGAGGCTGTCTTACCTGGCACGGGGTCTGGAACCCACACGGGCTCAGTGCCCAAGACATCGCCGAGGCCAAATATACCTCCGTTTAGCTCGTAAATCGTATCGTTTCGGGTCACGGGGATTAATTTCCTCATTGCCGGGGAGCGCACACCGCACCATGCCAGGCTTTGACGACGAAGATGTTGAAGTTTTTGAGAAGAGCTGAGAGCTAAGTGCAACGAAGTGGGATAAGGTTCGCCTGCAGAGGCGTAGATGGAATCGGCGACTGGAAGCGTTCGAGTTTCTTCTTGACAGTCAACCTGGCACTCGTATTTGAGTGCAATCTTGTATAATAGAGGCCTCCTTTTCATGATAAAGTCGTCAAATTGATGGCAGACCTATCAAAATCGACTCAGTGTTATATCTGGCTCGAATGAGTCGCGTAGCGCGAATCAACTTACAAGTCGGCATCTCAGGATACTCCGTACATCACATTCCATCATGATTAGAAAGAGCACATCCAGCGGTAACGTAGTGGAGGTTTGTCCAGAATTGGCCTTGATATTTTGATGACCTCGTGCCATCCTTGACAACGTAAATGGCCTATCAACTCCGAGTGTGCAGATTTGAACGATTATAGGCAGAGAAAGACTCCCTGACACCTCCCCTAAAGTACTGCCTCTCGGGCTGACTGAACCGTCCTCCTCTCCTTCGAAATTCTGCGACGATACCGTTCAAGCTGACAAACTTGGTGCTATATTCAAAGAATCCCCGAGACTTCTGAAATTCGTTGGAGTGGATGGGGGCAAGGAGATTCAGAGTCGTAATTCTGACCATCATGCTCTTCACCAATGCCGCAGACCAGTATCATCTACAAACTTCCCATCAAAATTTGGGCAAAAATCTTCAATTACCTTTGCGATTATTTATTTGCCCAAGACGATACCGGGATCGACGCGATGGACGATATTGATAGTGGGCAATCCACCATACAGGGTATCCAGCACGGCAGGTGTAGGTCGTCTTGATATGCGTGCCAGACCCCGAGGACGGCTCGGGGGGCAGTCCTGGAGGCGCAGCCGTTGTTGGACAGGAGTTTGTCACGCAGCTGGCGACCATTGCTGATATTCAGGGCACTGTCGACGACGCCGTGGATACCAAGATAGGCAATTGGCTGAGTACCGCCATTGCAGCCGCTGAGCTGAGCACCAGCAATGACGGCCACGGCACGGAAGACGTCTTCAGGATTCAAAATTAGCTATATTTTTCGGGAAACCCACTAGGATGTGAGCAGGCAAGTGAGTATGACATGGCACCGCCGTAGCTGAACCCAGTGGCGAATCGCTGTGTCTCATCAACACAGAGCTGGCTCTCGACGGCACTGATTATATTGTCGACGAACGTAATGTCCTCGCCACCACTGTTACCCCAGCCAGTGTTGAGTCCATTTGGAGCGACGAAGATGGCACTCTCGCCAGCAAGGTTCCGCAGACCGTAATAACCAGGTGCCACATTATTCATGTTGCCGTTCAGCCAATGAAAGCCAAAGATCAGCTTGTAGGCCTTGTTAGAGTCATAGTTGGCAGGGATCTGCAGGATATATTCTCGATTCTTGCCGTTAACTGTCATAGTCTTTGTGCCACTGGACGGAGGGCTCTTGCCGCAGCCAGAAGACCGAGCGAGCGCGCTGTCGATGATCGCCGCGGCGAGAAGAAGGAAGACTGTGATAAGGGAGAACATATCATCGGTGATCCGTGGCGACACAGTTGGTAGGAAGTGGGTTTGTCCTCCCGCTCTCCTCTTTTACGAGACAGGAGCCTATTCATTGGCTTCTATCTCCTGGCAAATAAGAAAGATGTCCTAGAAACGATTGACCTGGCCCGAACTACCTCCGAATCCGTCTCAATGTGTACGGTTCTTGATGGTTCATGGCCATCACGCGACGCAGTAGCCATTGGGAAATATCACACGCCGGAGAAGTAAAATTTGGTTGAGCGTTGGCGCATTATCTTCAACAAATTGTACCGCATTCTATTACGAACTCACTCCGGAGAAAAACTCCGTGATCCTTCTCTTAGGTACAATTGTATGCCTGCCTGGGCCAACTGGATCACATGCTGACTGGAAATCAGCCAGTAAGGGAGGACGCCCTTACTGTGACTTCTGCGACGAAATAATTGCAGTAATTTCATCGAAGACTCCCGATTAGACAGCATGATCGAGCTAGGGATCATGTAGACTGCCTCTGAGATCCCTCAGGAAAAAGTATTGAACAGTTTCTTGACCTACTGTTGAAGAAATGATATTTAATGTTCTCTTCTGATGAGATACGGACGATACTTGGGCGCTTTCTCCGCTCGACTGTTCATCTGGCAACAAGAGAGTGAGGCGGAAGAATGCTCGTACTCCCTAGTTAGCTTTATTGTCCCAATATGCCGGGTATGGGGAAACTTTCTGGAGTGGACGAAGACACAGAGGGTGAAGTTGCAACGGGTGATCCTTTTGCTATCAAGAGCTGCTTCCCCTTCGTGTGCACGCCATCCCTGTGACCAGAAAGGTGTCAACACCTCGACTTATGTATTTAGTCTAGTCGGATTTTCAATGAACCATCTAAAACAGAAAGCCAAATCTCATCAAAGTGGTGATGCGGGGAAATCTAGATTCTTGCCCCGATTGCAAATCCCACATTCTCATAGTCAGTATCCCTCTGCCAAGCTCGGAAGCTGATCAATTCCAGCGCCAAGATCGACTTCGAAGTCATGCATCTGACAAGTGGAAGCGGAAAGGAAGCAAAGGATGTTCAGACGGTACCGAGCTTTGATTTGACGGCATGTACTATGAAGCGACGACCCGCTGAGTATAAATGTTCGCTGTTTTTGAGAGTCTGTAGTACAAACTAGCAAACACGTGCAATAGCGTGCAAATAAAAAGCAGTGATCCGATGCAGAACACTTGCTTTGAGGGGCAAGGTCGACATAGTCGTCTGTCAACAGTTTCAGCCATTCCTCGATCGACACGCGTCCATTGTCATCAATCTTGCTAATGATCTTACCTGCTGGCACCATCTTAGGGCTCTGTACCTCGTAATACTTCACTTCCAGCAGCTACAGGTGTACAGAGTTGAGGTGGGATCAATCCTTGGATGTAGACTACATAATATTCCGAGTACACTCCCTCCTGAAAGGCACCGCGAATCCCCCATTTTACTTCTTACGGGGATCTGCGATCCTTACAACATAATATCCAAGCTCTCTGCTTTTGAGTCGACCACAAGTCGTATAGTCAATAAATATAGGGTGCTCACTCGTGTCATGCTGGACGAACCATGGCAAGATATCCGAGTCGCCCTAGGCCGAAACCAAAAGGGCGCCATTGACTTCAAAACCAAGGTTATGGCGCTTCTGAATGGATTTCAAGACCTTGGATCTGTGGTTGTGGACAGGTATGGTGGCCCTATGACGACCAGTCATAGGTTGGGCTGTGCGAGCAGAGAGGAGTAGCGCAGAGATACGAGTGTCACTCGTATTGTTCTGCGCGGGAGAACAGTTGGCGGAGGCTCAATGAACGAACGCGCAGGTGGCAAACCCTCATTCGTTTCTTGGACTCCGCCACGACTTTCGTTCTTGGCCTTAGCGGCGTTCGCTGCTTATTTTCTATTGCCCACCCACCCTCGCCGATACCCGCATCTCTAACAAGCACTTAGGAGCGATTCCGTGGAATCCCCGCACAAGCACGGCAGGCTTAACGGCCTGGTTTGGTTTGTATCCCACCCATCCCTGCCCGGTACCCAACCCATCCCTTTGCCTGCCGACCGCTTCGCGCCCCCCAACTACACGAATAGCTAGAATAGTTTATTATTGTTTATATTACAGTATACCTATATATTCATGACATTACCGCTATTAGCCGTTCCATGGTTGTCCTCCTCCGAGGTACAGTCGTCGGACGGAGGTGGTGCTCGGAGCCTCCCACAGCGAGCGATGACAGCGACGCAAGTACGGATGATGACCGCCATCAGACGTTCAAGAAGATGAAGAAGGCAGTAGATAATATTTAGATATATTGCCGCCTCTAATACCACGTTATTGACTGGATCCAGTATCAACTGTACCTTGAAGACGATTGACGGCCACATCCCTAGCTACAGGTCGCTGGCATGGTGGTGTGAAAGTTTGTTGGATGTGAAAGTATTGTAAATTCATGTCTCTTTGAGAGCAGAATGCACTATGCCCTGGCCATGCAGGTCGACATGTGTGTATTGCGCTCAACGACGGAGGGAGTCAAAGTGGAACGAGCGCACCAGACTAAGTACAAATAAACTCTAGACATATTAACATGCTCCAACTCGACATGGAGGTCATTGCTAGTATCAAGGTCTTGCACGCGCGAAGGCGGGCAGGGGTGCTTTTGGTAGACGCGCGACAAGTCCTAGGCGACTCTGCATCCCAGAGGCTGAGATTGCCTCAACAGCACTAGCCTCAGTCGATGAGCTCAGAGGTCAAATGCGCCTCAAACTCAAGCGCGAAGGATGTCGGGAGTATGGTCAGCCACGACGGATATACCGGACTAGACGACAGTCGAGTGCAGCGTGCCTTACGACCCGTCATCCGTCCTGACACCTGCATCCTACTCCGACCTCTATGGCATGTCTCCAATCCCATAAACTTGAATCCTGCCACGGTGGGTTGCATCGGTATACACATCTTATCTATATTGAGTTATGAATGAGTCTCCTTAAGAGGGAGATGGGGCGACAGACGGTGCGGCTAAGACTTCGCAGCTTACAGCTTGGTTCGACATCGAGCTGTCGATATTTGTACTGAAATTCAAGCTGTAACCAAAGACCAAGAAACATTGCATAGCGCAGGAGTCATAAGTTGTCGCGACGTTCACCATCGCCAAGCTGTGGATAGTTAGCTTCATGTGACTGCCAAACCTCAGCATGCAGCCTGTACAATTCCTTGGTATATCCACTGTGGAGGTGGTAGATATGTCCTCTGAATACTCGTCGGGATCTACGTCCTTCCAAATCTTGGCTACACGGCGGAACTCTGTCCAGCAAACTCTTTGCGATGGGATGGCAATATGATCCATTGGACGGGTAATGAGGCTTATTTTCTATTCTAATAAATTGAGAGGCGACACCCTTTCAGTCACCCATTCGATCAGCTTCTCGATGTAGACATTGTCGGGATCGCGGTCTTTGGCCGGGTAGACTGTCCATCCGATGCTCCCACTCGTTTTCCGGGGGAGTAGTGATATGACTATCAAGAGCTGGGATTGGGAAAAAGGACGGAGAAATGCAGTCGTACGTTACTTACACGGACATTTTGGTCCAAGAGATTTTTGGCTAACAGTGGGCACAGACATTCCAAGGTCATACGCACTATATCATGAACGTTGCCAACAATACAAAGGATCCACAGACATTTGCTACCGCCTGCCTCGACCGCACCGTCAAAGTATGGAACCTCGCGACCACCTATCCAAACTTTACGCTCAAGGCGCATGAACGCGGCAGTGTAAACTACGTCGAGTACCACCTAGATCCGCATAAGCCATAAATCGTCACCACAGGAGACGACAGGACGATCCGTGTCTAGGACCTCCTCTCCAAATCGTGCATCCAACCCCCCTAAGGCCACACCGCAAACATTTCGTGAGTCGGGTACCTCCCCACGGGTGTGCCTCTCATTGTATCCAGAAGCGAAGACAGCATGGACAAGTTCGGGAACGCAGGCACGTACAGGTTGGAGAATACGCTCAACTATGGCATGGAACGCGTATAGTCCGTCGAGGTTAAAAATGCCAGAGGCGCGGCTGGAGGGAATGAGATTGCAATCGGGTATGATCACGTACTGGTCGTACTCAAGTTGAGCAAGGATGAGCCGTCGTATTCGCTCGACACGAGCGACAAGCTCATCTATGTCAAGGGCAGCGAAGCGGGGATGTCAATGGTTCCGTGCAATGTATTCTGGGGCAGGCCCAGTTATCTCGGCTCAATAACGCAGTCAAAACTTCAGCGACGGCATTACGTCTCATCCTGATTTCCTTCATCCATGCCCTCTCAAAGTGGTGGTATCCGGTTCAGATATGGCCAAACAGGAAAGGCTGGCTCATCAGGAACTTGGGATTCCTCGCAACTGAAAGATGTACTTCAAGAAGTCCTAACTCTGACCACGGTGGCGACCTACTCACTAGTTGTTCAGCTGGCAAACCAGTGATCATCTCCACCTTGCCCAGTGACGACAAATATTCATCATTGGCTGCAACACCTTGTGCATCTCCTTTCATCGTTCACTCCTCACGGGCGGTGGCTTTGGGGGTAGTGGTCATCACTGCGCTCATCGAGTCAGGGGGTTGACGTGGTTTGTGACTCGTTTAGACATGTACATAGGTGACGACGATGGGCATCAAGAGGTTCTCACCTCTTGGACCCGGCCTCATCGTCGTCACAGCGTTTCAACATTGTGGGCATGGATATTGACAGAGAAATTGGAGAGCTCAAGGTTTGTAACAGGGTGGTTGTAGGACTTGGCTGATGAGATGCAAAGGTGCACATCAAGCGGCTTGCAGGAGATAACAGGGACCGCGACGGACATCCGTATGTAAAGTAAGTCTCAATAAATCTATAGGATCCCCTTTCTCATCCTACGCTCAGATTTGGAGTGCTCGCCCGGGACAGCGAATGTGAGCTTGAGCTGAATGATGGTCCGTCGAGATTGATTTAGGTTTATATCCAGTTGAATCTCTCATTGGAGCGCTCAAAGTTGCCATGCAGCGCAACATAGTCCGCTACAATGCCGAGCCTTTGCTTAAAGACGGAACTGAAGATGTGGACATTATTCTGCTCCAGGTATATAATACTCTTATTCGTTACTGCTGTATCTTATATCTGTGCAGGAATGAGTGTCACTGACGTTGGAATGTATGTAGTAATGGCTAACGGATAACTAAGTTAGCTCAGACGGTGTTGTTAACAAACCGTATCAAATACACGACCTGACAGACAACGTAAGCTAGCCAGTGTAATTCCATGAGTACTCCGGTGGCATACGAGTGATCTGTGCGCAAACTGTCGAAGGTTTTCCCTTTGACTCTTGGCGCTCACAAATAGACTTAGCCAATGATATCGTTTTACTTTGTAACTAATTGTATTTAGGAACGCGTGACGCAATGGCTGGATCTTACCGGTCCTATCTCTCGCCTCACGCGTCCTACTATCGACAGGTTATGAGCCCTGATACCTCAGACGGTGTCGTTAACAAACCGAGGGTAGCACTGCCACCGGTGAGGCACGTCAACGTGAGCGTGAATGAGAATAACTAGCCATGCTTATAGTTCATCTGCTCACCGCCACTTTGGATCTTGCCAAATCGGCCACTTTGCTTCCGACCTTGAGGTAACCCAAAGAGCCAACTAGTGAATAGGTGAATATTTATCATCTCAAGTGAGTCAAAGGAAGCGTGTTGGGTCTGAGTCTGTATGAGGGTCGACCGTCAAACCGCCCAGAGTGAAATGAGTCAATAATAATTCAGAAGATCTTGTTGGTACACGAGAGAGATATTGAATACGCTTGCATAGGCTCTATTATAGATAACCTTTTTAATCTGCATCGTCGTTTTGGTTATGGCCTGAGACGACGAGGACGACCAGGGATCTCGGAGAAGTCCCGACATACTAAGCTGCACATATTCCGTAAGATCCATACGACAATACCAGCCTCTTGTCTTACCTGAGGACTTAGGGGGAGCGGAAACGAGGGACAGAAGAGAGGAGTTACCATTATTATCGACATTATACGTACATAAGTGGAACGATATTCCTGTCCTCGAGAACGAGTGCTTTTTTCCAATGCCGCTGGCCGCACACGTAGAACACATCCTCACAGCGACATTTCTTGGATTCGTTGAGATCCACACTTAGTGGATACATAATGTGCAGAATCGTCGTCACCCAGTTAGAAATGGAACTGTTGGGTGAAGGGAGAGACCCAGTGCTTTAATCGGCTGACTGAGAGTCTTATACCCTTAGTCAAACCTATACTTGACGGCCTGAAGGGATGCATAGGTATATTTCCGTCTCGAATGTGGCTTTATCGGCAGGATCCAGCATCGAATGTGCTTTGAAGGCGATTGAGGCCACACACGCAGTTGCAGGTCGCTGATGTGAGGCGTGAAATCCTGTCAGATGTACAAATATGGTGAATGCGCAGAATACTGCAAATTCATCACGTCTATACCATGCAAGTCGGCGTGGTCAGGTCAAGGCTCCAGGTTGACTCGGTTGACTCTGCCCTTGACCTTGGAATTACCATGGCTTCAGAGAGCAAGAAGAAGGTTTGCGTGGTTGGATTCGGAGGTATATCAGTATTCGTATACAGTCACTCGCGGCAGACAAGAGAAATCTTACTGGCCTTTGGGTGGTACAACCGTTCCTGACACGAGTCTTACTATACAGCTATTGGAACTATCTATGCGTGGCTTTTGGATCGCTCAGGAGAAGTCGAAATCACTGCCGTTTGCCGGTAAGCCATGGCTCTGCGGCGATGACCCGAGATGGCTCTACTCAGACGTCATATTTAGATCAAACTATGCATCTTTGACTGGTAACCGACTTCCTTCTTCCTTCTAAATCTACCCTCGCGCTAAGCGCACGGCAGAACACGGCGTCGACATAGAATCTTCACAGTATGGGGATGAAAAGGCCTGGAGGCCAAAACGAGGTGCGTAAATCCTGTTCACTTTGAATCATCGTCTCATTATGTAAAGTATTTCAAACCGTCCAAGAAGCTGCGGATATAGACTATGACTATATTATTGCGTGCTTCAAGTCAGTATCTATCTCTTACGAGATTCGTCGGCTAATAGGATCATAGAACTCTCCCTGATCTCGAGCCTACGCCAGCCGTCCTTGGTCCTCTGGTACAGAGATGCCAGACTTTTGTGCTGATACAAAATGGTATAGGCATTGAACGCGACCTCCAAGAAGCCATCCCACAAGCCACTATCATCTCCGGGTGTGCATGGATCGACGTTACGCTAGTGGATAATTACCGGATTATGCGACACGGTGGCATTAACCGGCTTGTTACTGGCGTTCACCCGCCACTACCTTCCACTGGAGACGCTCAGGGCAACCTGAGACTTCGAGGCGACGCAGCACTTAGACAGCTCGAGGAGCTGTGGAAGAAAGGGGGCTTTGAACCTACCATTACGTCAAATATCGTTGCTGAGAGGTGGCGGAAGAATCTATGGTCTGTTCAAACCTCCGTTCAGCGCCCTATTTTGCTGATGAATTTCATTAGGAACGCTGCATTCTCGACCCTCGCCACCCTTGCTCGTGCAGACTTGTTCCAGATCTATGCAAAGGATGCATGGGAGATTAACAGACCAGTCGCCGAAGGACTAATGAACGAAGTAAATCTTATTTTTCCCGTATGGCTGAGTCTAATATTACTAGGTCGTGACAGTTGCGCGTGCCATAGGAATCACAGAAGAGCTTTTGCCTTCGAGTGCTGTCAAGCATACGGTTGAGTTTGCTCAGGCAGCATATAGTGATCCAACAAAGGGCAAGCCTTTCAAACCGTCAATGACAGTGGACCTAGAAGCTGGAAGACCGATGGAGGTAGAAGGGATAGTCGGTTCTGTCGTAAAGCAGGCGAAAGAGTTGAGTATCGCAGTTCCAAGGTACGCGCTCCTCCATCATCACGCTCCTTTTCTCATAAATATTCCAGACTCGAAACTGCTTATGCTGCGTTGAAACTTCTTCAACGTGGTATTATTGAAAAGAGATCCAATTCCGCTAGATAGTTCCAATGAATAGTACAGAGTATCCAGGTACAATAGTTCGCTAGACCCAAAGCGGGAGGAGTGGATTGTATTTTGAGAATGTGAATCCGGTGACGAGACCTTGTTCCTCGTTGAGAAAATTGATGCCTCCCTCAACAATATGGCCGCGCACTTCGTCGAGTCGCTTCTTGATTTCCTCCACGGACAAGTCAGTTGCGACATGACCAGGTGCGACTTTTGGTACATAATCCTATTACTCGATGAGCATGTATACAGCTTCGAGCATGACTGAAGACATACGCTGTACTGCGTCCAATTGTGAACTTGGTTGTTTGGTACCGTCTTGAAAATGTCCAATAGGATCGAAGTATTGTTCTTTGCGGTCCCGTTCCACAGAGATAGAAACTCTTCAGAGAGTGGGTCTTGCACCAATTTATCCTCTGGACTGTGCGTCGTATCATCTGGTGGACTAGGGACGGGTGTCATGGCATTCGTGACTTGACTAGCATCCGATGGTGTGGCATTCTGTGGCGGTATGAGACCCAAGTGCTCTGTAGACTGTTAGTTTGGTGGTGGTGATGGCGTAGTATTACCTTTGAATAGCTGGCGTCGCAACGTCGCGGCGAACCGCGCAGCTTGATACTAAAAGCTCATTGAGCCCAATAATCTCAAAAGTTTGAAGACGTACTGGCTTGCCATCCATTTGGCTCTCAATGATGTCAGTGTCTTCGATTACAACTGCAATCTCCTACGAGTGATCAGCATCCCACGGCCACGATCAATCTTGACTCACTGAATCGCCGTCTCCTTTCAGACTTCTGTCATTTAAATTTGCGGAGCCGATGATCACTTTTTGGTCGTCGCTTCATCGGGTCAGTCACGTTTATGGGCATACGGCAAACATACACAATCATGACTTTGGTATGGATGTAGGTGAGCTCTGTGACAAAGCTAATTCACTTAGTCACGAATCTTCCACAGAAATACAACTCACCAATCCTTCTCCTCCCCTGGCGTTCCCAGCCAACGTTCGTCGACGAGGGGTTTATCTTCTCGCAGGGCATGGCTAGCGACGCTATCTGCCACCAGCTTGTCTGATGGAGACGATGCCGATTCGTACTTCTTCAAGATCGCCATAGCCTCTTCCACCGTCTTTGGAATCGACCAACGCCTGACTTTTGTTGGATCCGCAGTGGTCAGTTGGCGATCAGGTTCGTAAATGTTGACTATGAACAGTGAGATGAAATGATAGGTGGCATCACAACGGTCGCACCTCCATCCTTGATATATTCCGCATCCGCTCGACCAAGCCAGATGCGATCCAAAGCAGCTTGTGCTTGCTCGTAATCGAGCTTTGTTTGTTCCCGAATCTTGCTGAGGAAGCTTGGCGGACCATTGATTCTGTCGTACGAGCGTAGGTGATAGAAAGAGATGTACTCCTTCCTGCTCGAGAGCCTCAGTGGGAATGGTGAAAGAAGGAGGGTGGGACGTACGGATCAAAGCCCTTAGCAGCAACTTGCTCCTATGTAATATTAGTAAACGAGTACCCGCAGCAAGTGGTTCTCACCATGATGGAATCCCCGGCCCGATTGATTGTGCGCCATTGCGCACCCATGATGATTTGTAGCGTTTTAGTATCTCTGATAGTACCCGGGAACCCAGGTACTTCTGGTATCATAACGATGACCTATCAGGGGTCAGGTTGGATACTATTAGCCATAGTCGGAGACGTACCTTGAACTTTTCCTTTGCAGATGCCGCTTGGAGAATTCTATCTCTCAGAGCCTGAGCGACAAGATTGACAATCGATCCACCGCTTTCCGTGGCAGAGATACTGTGATGCGTGAGTCGCGACGTCTTGATAATAGGAGACGCTTACAAGAACTGGTTCTCACTACTGGTCGTTAGTGAATGCCCTGTACGGGGATAATCAGGACATACATGTAGATAAAGTGTTTGGCCTCCTTGATAAGTTGAATATCTAAACAAAAAGCGCATTAGCTCAGGGGTTAGGCCGTGCAAAGGATTATACAAGCGTTCTGGATCGACTGCTCCGTCGGAATAACTCCATGGCTCCATTCAGACGCACTGCGACAGAACTGCACGCGACAAGTGGGTTGCATCTGGGTTGTTGGATCACCTGAAGCCGCCGGTGTATTCGTGCTGGGAGAAGTCGCCACAAGCTGGGGAGTGTCCTTGGCTGTATTGGCCCAGGAGTTTAGCATAGGATGGGCTACGATGTAATTAGCGCACAAAGATATTCATAGAGAGCAGGATCACCAGATACTATCGATTCGGCGGTCGAGGTCGTCGTTGGGATAGGTAGGTACAGATAGCGAGGTTCGTTGGCGTATTTCTGGCCCTTGATAAAGTTCTAGACAGAGTGAGTAGCACAGTGGAGAGACAAGTCCTATCTTACCCAGCGCTCAGCGAAATGCAGCACAGCGTCTTGTCCAGACGGCCCAACGAGCATGACGTGAATGTCATGCCATGACTAGATGCCTTAGCTCTGCGGTCACCACGAGAGAGCACCACCTACCATTCTTCCTATTAATTGTTCAAAATTTGACTAGGACAGCGTCTATTACTCACCAGTCTTCAAGGTCGAGAGCTGATTGAACACGAAATGTTGAACCTTTTGGAAGTCCAAGACCCGAGAGTTGTTGTAGTCCTAAAGGATGTTCGAATGAGGCTCGACTAGCGTGCATGTCGTACTTGACCAGGGAAAAGGGTGCGATTGAATTGTGTCGGATGGGCGTCTGCGAGGTAGCTAAGACCAGTTATATCAGCGAATTGATCTATACATCAGAGTAGGCTCACTGATTGTGGGTGTCCCATCGGCCAAAGCATAGATCCAATCCGCCGAGCTTTGCAAAGTAAGAGTCGCTCCGCGTTCGCGCTGATGAAACGCACTGCAACGTAGCGATTATCAACAATCACGAGCTGAATCACTGTCAGTCGACTTCCACAAGGTATTAAATCGTACCTTTTCATGGTGGCTCCAGAAGTAGACGCTCTCTGGCGAGAAGATGTCGTGAGATGGATGGCGCTTGGGTCAGGTTAGTCGGGCCCAAGATAAATTGTCTGCATACCATTACAAAGATGTTTGGACTAAGGGCCTCAAGTGCCTTCTACATATGGGTGAGCAATCATAGCGAAGTTTGAAGACAACCTACGACCGTATGCGCAGAGTCCATTGAATCATTTTCCGGAATCTAACCAAGTCAGTGAATGGACTCAATGAGACCTCGAATTAGTACCTCTTGGTACACAATGATGTAAATCTTTACACCCTCGTCGGCCTTGCGTTTGAGCAAGTCGTCCAGCCTCCAGTTTTGAAACAACTCTGGCGGCCTGCGAAGGTAGACTTCGGGACTCAGCCTGTCGAAGGCATCAGCAAAGTGACCTATGACGCCTCGAGTTGATACGCACCACCAGTCGAGGATGAATATTTGCGTCTTCGCTGCTTCCCTATTCATCGTCTAGCCCTCGGCTACCTTTACAGAAACGAAAGAACCAACAGTACTTCTGAAATTGCCCACATGTAGTCATGACCGTCGACAAACCTGTTGGACGGATCACGAGGTCAGAGGCAAGCGAGCCCCCATCGACGTTCTCTAGAGAAGGACAGACCATTTGACGGTGTTTCCGTCTCTCTGAGGTGCAAAGCTTTGATAGCGGTGTTGATCCAACAGACCTCGATAGGCCGCACGTTGCGCGCGTTTTGATGGCCTGATGTTGTTGACGGCTGTAGTTGAATGCAATTGACAATTATTATGTCGAAATAACGTCTTGTGACGCGTAAAGCACATACCATTGTGAACTAGAAGACAACGTTAGATGTATATGCGGAGAACATGTCCGAGAACTCACTCTTTGAGATTCCAGAGCTGATGATAGCAGCAGGAATCCCCCAAAAAGGGACGCTGCTCGGTGCGGGGAAGACGCCGCTCATGGTCGGAAGCAAGTTGGGAGCGGAGGTGGCTGCCAGCTAAAGATAGTTCAGTTGAAAGTATTACTTTTGTCAGGTTTGAATTAGAGTGGCATTGCAGGGGCCTGGCTGATTGTCCGAGGATCGTCAATACATGATATAATGTACATCCACTCAAGTTGTGGCAAGTTGAGAGTGTACATGACATAAGCTGACAAACTGCCTGTTTCCAGCAAATTCCAGCTACGTATGCTCCCACGTATAGTCTTCGCCACTTGCCAGCAGATCAAGGGTCCGGCGTTGTTGGCTGGATACAGGCTGAACCGGAATCGAGCAAAGTCCGAAGAAAGAGAACTGTCTACGTGGCAAGGATTCATAAACCCAGCGTGGTGCCAGCTCACATCTTGAACTCCAACCACTTCCACCTCCTCCACTCTCCCGCCTTGACTTTAACGGGAATCAACTACAAAATGATCCCTCGGTTGCGAGATATCTCGCTGGCGTGTCTAGCACTCCTTTCTCTTGCGTCCTTTGGCCACGCCGAAGAGACCAAGAACGACTATGGCACCGTTATCGGTATCGGTGAGCTCCTTTTCGCGTCTACATGCTCAAAAACACTGTTTCTGACTACTCTGGTGTTTGCAGATCTGGGCACGACCTACTCCGCCGTCGGGTGAGTTTGCCAGCTCATGCCACCTCATCACTCCGGTCGGCCCTAGAGCCCGCTACAGCGCGTTCTGGCCTTTCTTCTCCTCACCAACTACATCCTTGGAACGTGCTTTCTAACCTCCATCTCTAGTGTGCAGCGTGGTGGTCGTGTCGAAATCTTGGCCAACGACCAAGGTAACCGTATCACCCCATCCTGGGTCAGCTTTGGCGACGATGAGCGATTGTAAGCATCTTGACGTGTCTTTTTCATTATGCGAAGTGCTCACCATGCCCGCCCCCTTACAGGATCGGTGACGCTGCAAAGAACGCCTACGCTTCGAACCCGGAAAACACTGTCTTCGACGCAAAACGTCTCATTGGTCGCAAGATTGACGACCCAGAGGTCAAGAAGGATATGAAGCACTGGCCTTTCAAGGTTATCGAGAAGAACTCTCGACCACACATTCGTGTCAAGAACAAAGGTGAACTCAAGGACTTTGTACGTTTCTCTTCTTCTGCATTTTTGCATATTTTAATCTCGTTCTTCAGACTCCTGAGGAAATCTCCGCCATGGTCCTTACAAAGATGAAGGAAACCGCCGAATCGTATCTTGGTCACCCCGTCACTCACGCCGTCGTTACTGTCCCCGCCTACTTCAATGACGCTCAGCGTCAGGCTACCAAGGACGCCGGCACGATCGCTGGTCTCAACGTTCTCCGAATTGTCAACGAACCGACCGCCGCCGCCATCGCGTATGGCCTCGACAAGAAGGGTGGAGAATCTCAAATCATCGTCTACGATCTCGGAGGAGGAACTTTCGATGTTTCCCTTCTCTCCATCGATGATGGTGTCTTCGAGGTCTTGGCCACCGCCGGTGACACCCACCTTGGTGGTGAGGACTTTGACAACCGCGTCATCGACCACTTTGTCAAGCTCTACAAGAAGAAGACTGGTACCGACGTCTCGACCAACCTCCGCGCCATGGGCAAGCTCAAGCGTGAAGTCGAAAAGGCCAAGCGTACCCTCTCGTCCCAACAGAGCACTCGTCTCGAAATTGAGAGCTTTGAAAACGGCAACGATTTCTCTGAGACGCTCACCCGCGCCAAGTTTGAGGAGCTCAACATGGACCTCTTCAGGAAGACCATGAAGCCCGTCGAGCAAGTCCTCAAGGATGCCGGTGTCAAGAAGGAGGATATCAGTGACATCGTCCTCGTTGGTGGTTCGACCCGTATTCCAAAGGTTCAGCAACTCATCAAGGAATTCTTCGGTGGCAAGGAGCCATCCAAGTCGATCAACCCCGATGAGGCTGTCGCCTATGGCGCCGCAGTTCAAGGTGGTATCCTCTCTGGCGAAGGTGGTCTCTCCGACGGTGTCCTCCTCATTGATGTCAACCCACTCACCCTCGGTATCGAGACCACTGGTGGTGTCTTCACCAAGCTCATCCCCCGCAACTCTGTCATCCCCGCCCGCAAGTCTCAGATCTTCTCGACCGCCGCTGACAACCAGCCCACCGTCCTCATCCAAGTCTACGAGGGTGAACGTTCGCTCACCAAGGACAACAACCTCCTCGGTAAATTCGAGCTCAGCGGTATCCCACCGGCACCTCGCGGTGTTCCTCAAATCGAGGTCACCTTCGAGATTGACGCCAACGGTATCCTCAAGGTCTCCGCCGCCGACAAGGGTACCGGAAAGTCGGAGAGCATCACCATTACCAACGAGAAGGGCCGTCTCAGCCCCGAGGAGATTGAGCGCATGGTCAAGGAGGCCGAAGAATTTGCGAGCGAGGACGAGGCTCAACGCAAACGCATCGAGGCCCTCAACGCCCTCAGCAGCTTCGTCTATGGTCTCAAGAGCCAGATCGCTGACCAAGAGGGTTTGGGAGGCAAGCTCGAGACCGAGGACAAGACGAGCCTCAACACGATCATCAAGGAGACCACTGAGTGGATTGATGAGAATGGTAGCAGCGCAACGGTCGAAGAGCTCGAGGAGAAGCTCCAAGCTGTTCAGCAAGTTGTGAGCCCCATCACCTCCAAGCTCTACAGCCAATCTGGTTCGGAAGAGCCATTGACCGGCCACGACGAGCTTTAAGCACTTCGCCCAGTGATGGCGTCGTGCGTGTTACATTTGGTGGAAGGCGTCGCGCTGTGGAGTGGGTCTGGCTCGATGCCATGGCTGTTTGGTGTGCAGGAGCGTTCGTCGCAAGTTTTCAAACTTGTGAGCGCCGTAGGTGTCGACGGCGTCTATCAAAATATTCTCAGTCTTTTGCACGTTTTTTTATACCTGTAAGGTAATAACGTCTGTTGCATGAATCCTATCGCTTCATCCACCAACTGTGTAATATAAGAATGTAAGGGGCTGCCTATCAGAAGCTGTCGGCACTGTCTCGACCCGACGACGACGGCGGACACGCCAAGATGAGTATTCTAAATGGACCACGTGCTTATCTAGACAAAGAAGAGGCGCCTCCTGCTGTCGTTTGCGCAACCCTGCGATTCCGACCCGTCGCGGTCTTTACACACAGGTTTATGGACCCCAGGGGCACGCAGCTTGGAGATGTGGGAGCTATCTCCATAACGAGAGAAGATTGTATCGCATAGTGTGTGCCTGTTTCTGCGTCTCGAGCGTTCCCAGAGTCAATGAGGGGCGCCTGATGAGCTGTGCTCCACTGTTGAATGGAATATCAATGGAGATATTACGATAAAGAGAGGGGAGATTTGGGATGAATGACGACGATGTGTCATGTCGACTTCTGACGCTAGCGGGTTCCAAGGATTGGGCCTGGAATGCGACAACGCGTAAAATACGGCGAATATCGAGAATCCTGTAGTCCAGATGATCGAATTTGGTCGCGGTCACCAGCACAAATGCCTCCGTGGATTGGCCGACATTTTGGACTAGTAGAGGCTACCTGGGTATTTTTTCGACCTCTGTAGTCTCCAGCAACGACTTTTCAGGCATTATATTGCGATTATAATTGGTACAGATGGTTTTATTCTACGCCAAGCGAGGTAGTATGGCTAATTTGGTGCGCCTAGGTGGAATGTCGCTGTTACGACGGGGGCGCGTAGCCAACGGCTGCGGAGAGATGACGACGGCTTTATCCAATCGTTTCCGTATCTAGTCTCACATTCGTGGGTCACTACTCGGCTCACACGCTTCGCACCTTCCGAGATTGTGTCTGGCCGCCCTCGGAGGAGAGAGGTATAAAGCGCGACGCGAGAAGCGCTTTCTCGTGGATCCCTCAGTTCATACCCAACTCGTTTTCCCTCCTTACCCGTTCTCCCTCGTTGCCTTTCGACATGAAGTGGATCGTGTCTCCTCTCGTTTTCGCTGCTGCTGCCAATGCGCATGCCATCTTCCAAGTACGTGAGTAGTGGCCAAGGAGAGCCGTATTGACTTATTTTTAGAAAGTGTTTGTCAATGGTGCCGACCAAGGTCTTCTCGTTGGCCTTCGCGCACCAAGCACCAACAATGTACCTCCCTCCACTTCCGTCTCGCTACCGACGCTGACTTGTCATAGCCCATCTCGACAGTGACCGATGCCAACTTTGCTTGTGACACTCCCGGATCCACTTCGAGCACCATCATCAACGTCAAGGCGGGCGACACCATTGGCTCGTACTGGCAACATATCATTGGAGGCCCACAGGGTACCAATGACCCAGATAACCCAATTGCTCCTTCGCATAAGGGTCCTATCCAGGCGTATCTCGCCAAAGTGGACAACGCCGCCACGGCGTCGAGCACTGGCCAGAAGTGGTTCAAGGTCGCGAGCGAGGGTCTCAGCGGCGGTAAATGGGCTGTTGATACTATGATTGCCAACGGTGGCTTGTGGAGCTTTCAACTCCCGCAGTGCATTGCCCCAGGCAACTACCTCCTCCGCGTCGAGCTTTTGGGTATGTCCAAGAGCCGCTGAGATGAACTATTTATTGACACTGGATTACAGCTCTTCACAACGCGTACAGCCAGAATGGCGAGCAGTTCTACATGTCCTGCGCACAGATCAACGTCACGTCTGGTGGAAGCTTCAGCCCTTCGACCACCGTCTCGTTCCCGGGCTCATACTCTGCTACGGACCCCGGTATCTTGATCAACATTTACGACAGCTCCGGACAGCCGACCAACGGTGGTAAGACGTACGTTCCTCCGGGTCCGGCCGTCATCACTTGCGATGGAAGCAACTCGAACCCTACGACTGTTTCGTCGAGCTCGAGTACTCGTGCTTCTAGCTCTTCTTCGTCCACGCGAACGTCGAGCACCTCTACCCGCGCCTCGACGACGAGTTCGGCCAACGGGTCGGGACAGACTCTCTACGGACAGTCAGTTGTATCCCTTGTTTCGTGACCATGTGCTCATATTCGAGATAGGTGTGGAGGACAAGGCTGGACCGGGCCCACGACATGTGCCTCTGGAACCTGCAAGGCTTCGAACCGTACGTTCATTTCATTTTATTGGCGCGAATCATTCGGCTAACGCTAGTTTAGAATGGTACAGCCAGTGCCTGCCTTAAAATTAATTGTTCCCGGTGTATATTCGCGACTGCAATGGATACCGCGTCCGGTTGATAATGACCTCCGTTGAGCTACCGCGCTCTTGGGGACGGGTGCGGTTGAGATGAGACAGACGACTAAATGAAACGTTGATGTAAACTTGCTGTCCGCTTGTGACGGAGTTGGGCCTCGACGTACATCCCACCCGCGGCCCCGCTTAGGGTGCTCCTAGTCGGAGGGGGATTTGCCAATTGTCAGGGACGTACCGCGCCTGATGCCTACAAGCTACCTTGGACTCTTTCTTCGTTCTTCTTTACATCACTCTTTTATTTCTCTCCAGCGACTAGCTGCTGCAGTTGCTCCAGTCGCCTTTTGTGACACTCGTTGATCTCGCTCTAGCTCAGAGCTTACAGATTATCTAGCAGAATACCCAATTTGACGTCGCGCGGTACCGGAGAGACCACCAAAAAATGGAGTTATATACCCGCCTCTGCATCGAGTCGACCTTTGTCGCACTTGTTACAATCGGTTTACACCTGTGGACATTCTCGTCACCGCCAAAGGATGGACCAAGAATTGATCTGGACTGGGTCTACTTTGCACTCGCCGCGCCGACGCTGGTGTTGATCCATCATCTCACCTATTTCCTCACCAAGGGTGTCTTTACATTCAGTGAACCCACCCTCCCACCTTATGAACGCCTTCATCAGGCCATCTCCAATGACCCCATTGTCCCCGTCGACGAAACCCTCTTCGAAACGTCTGAAGAGGAACAGCTCCCGCCCTACTCGACCTTTCGGGACCAGCTAGAGTTGGAATCTGAACCAGAACCCGGAAAGCCATATAATCCTTTTATATCTTCTGTCCCTGCGGTGGTGCTGTTGCTCCTCATCACTATCCTCGTCGGCGGACTCGGCCTCTCCGCACTCATTGCTGCATCCGTTGATAGAATAGATAGCATCGCGCGTCAAAAGGCCGTCAATCACATTGCCGCACTCGCTCAACAACTTACGCCCTTACTCCCTTCCGACGTCTCGTCGGCGCTCTCGGAAGAGCTAAAGTACATTACACCGCTCAATGCGACCCACGTGATGGAGTTGTATGATTTGAGTAGTGTCGGGCAACTTGCGGAAGAATTGCAGGTCTTTGCTACGCAGGGAGGTTATGTGTACAAGGATGGGCCAGGCGCGGGGTTGTTGATGTTCCAGGGAGTATTGTCGCTGATCCAAACTGGGCTGTTGGGAACTATGTGTGTGTTCTGTTTTAGGACACACACTCCCCCGTCCTTTGAAGATGAGGAGGAGGAGAAGTGGGAAGACATTGAGTATGTCTAGATCTTCTCTTGTAAGTTGATATTCTAGATATCTTTATTCCAAGCTCACCGTCGATTAGAGACTGTTTGATACCTCTGCCTCTCCTTTTATACCAATGTTTTCTTTAGATGGCAATGGACGATTACTTTCGCGCGCCAGCAGACAAAGCAAGGGTATCTGATAAGCCATCGAGTCCCCTCCCACGATATGCCCGTCCAGCAAGCAGACCTCGAAGCCGCCATCCGGGCTGCTATAGATCCTATTGATCATCTCGTGCGTCTCCACGCCATTTTATGTAGCATTTTGTAAAGAGGCCCGTAGGAGATTATCGACGTTTCGAGCGGCTGCGGAGAAAACTATGCTGTCGTCGTCGTCTCCCCGGCATTCGAGGGCAAACTGACGCTTGCGAGACATAGATGGAGTCTGCATCTCGTTTAGTTTCTTGATATCTTTGTTGATCTTTACACGCTGCAGTCAATGAGATTCTCAAGACCCAGATTGCGCAAATGCATGCGTTTTCCCAGGTGCGCTTCCTGAAAACAACCGAGATTTTGTAGTGATGGGATTTTTCCAGAAAACGTTTACACCCAAGCAGTGGGCAGCAGACCAGGCCAAGAAGCAAGAGGCTGCACGAGTGAAAAAGGAGCTCGAGGAGACGGTAAAGGAGTCTGATCCACCTGCTCAAGCGGCAGCAGCGTCTTAGTCATTTCAAAGTCGTTTGAGAATCACATTTAGTGTTTTGAAATGTCACGCAGGTGGTGATTTTTCATTCAACCCCCCCGTCTGCTTTTTTGAACTTTGGTCATCATGCTGGGATTTCTGCGAGGAATTCGTCAGTACAGTTCTTCTGCAAAGGAAGCTGCGTGAGCATACACTTTGAGTACCAGGAAGCTCGAGTCTAACGTTGCCAGCAATGTTTTCGTATGTCGCGTCTCGCGTTGTTCCACCCCAAATAGGTCTTCATGCCACTTTCTGTCACTAGTTTGATATCTCTATCGGAAATGCACCTGCACGTCGCGTCGTCTTCAAGCTCTACGACGGTATGTCACCTAAAATGCGTAAAACAGGCTCTGACCCGTCGCGACTTTCAGACGTAGTACCCAAGACGGCTGCAAACTTTCGCGCTATTGCACGTGGAGATACCCAGGACAAGGCGCAGACCTATAAAAAGTCAACCTTTCACCGCATCATCCCAGGAGTACGTCGTAACCTCGCGTCTATGGGATCATTACTAATAAGCTTAGTTTATGATCCAAGGTGGGCAATGGGTGGGCGAGATTTGGAAGACGGTGGGCTAAATAGGCTACAACAGGCGGCGACTTTGAGCGACACAACGGAACAGGTGGATATTCGATTTACGGTCGAAAGTTCAACGGTGTGTCCGTCGACAACAATATGACATAATAATGACAATTTTAGACGAAAACTTTCAGAAGAAGCACACCCGGCCGGGCCTGTTATCTATGGCGAGTGAGTAGTCGACAAACACCTAGAGGTTACCCGCTAATACGCCCTATAGATGCCGGACCGGTGGGCATATTTATCAATTATCCACACTATGGTACTAACATTTACTGCTTTTACATCTGTAGAACACCAACGGTAGCCAGGTAAGGAGTGACCATCTGCGCCCTATGTCATCATCACTAAAGCTGTCAATAGTTTTTCATCACAACCGCCGTGACGAGGTGACTAAGCTAGTCACTGAACTTGTTCTGACTACTGACGTCCGACTTTAGCTGGCTCGACGGCAAGCATGTCGTTTTCGGTGAGTTATAAGCAGCAAGGCAAAGGGTCGTATACTCATTGCATCTTAGGCGAGGTCGTAGAAGGCATGGACGTCATCAAAGAGGTAGAGGCGGTTGGAAGCTCTTCTGGAAAGCCGCAGAAGATGGTTACTGTGACCGAGTCGGGCACTGTCGAGTAATATCGTGTTGATACATACATCTCTTCTAAATCAGATCGTCTCTTACATATGGTTTTGGGTCCCTGAGAAACTGGCAACCTGGAAGAAGTGGTGAGGCACATCCTGGACGCAGGCGCGATGGACGTCTCATATGAACAACTCCACGCGACACTGCAAGACGTGTATTCGGGCGTGTATAATGGAAAAGAAACAGACCTTTTCCAGGCCATTCATGCCGCACGCCCCCAACTTCAAAAGTTGTTGGACTTGGGTCCAAAGTCTGCCGACGAGCGAAAGATGGTCACAGAAGGTATGAATTAACCTCTAAATATCGTAAATCACGCGTTTCTTACATTTTTATCCCCCTTTGACGCGACGAATGGAATCCGTCCGACGTGTTGGGACGTGCGCAGGACCCGTCGTGAGTCAGGGACTCGCGTACAAACCAAACGCACCCGCGACCGAGCGCATCTTGTTTCTCTCGGACCATCTCGACGCGTCCGAGCTCGTCTGTGCCGCACTCGTCAATGCCGTCGCGAGCAAGCGGCCCAATCTCCCTGGAATGACGCACATAGAACTCGCCACGCGTGAATATTACGCTATAAGAGATGGGATATTAAACGTCTGGCATGACCTTCTCACCATGCTCGTCGCCGCGCACCACAACGAAGTCGAGTCGGGGAGCCTGGTATGGAGATTGGCGGAGCAGACGGTGCAGATACTGCATGGTAGAGAAGAAGGCGCCACAAATTCGTTTGTGATGGTTTTATTGGAGCAGTTGGATGGGCTGGCACAGAGGATGGAGGTTGTGCGAAAAAAACTCGTTGATGCAACCTCCCAGACGAGCACGAGCACCAGCCTGCGCGATGTGGTTCTAGAAGGAGAGCTGGAAAAAGTAGGCGAGCAACGTGCGGCGCTAGGAAGTTTGCTCGTCCTCTTATGTGAAACCCACGAGTTGTCGGCCCGGATATCCTGCATTTACTCCAGTGGACGTCGAAATTTGATGCAGCGGACGATCTCGGTATACACGTTACAGCCGCTGCGCTTTACGCGCTATCCTCTTCCCCACCAACCACCGATGCGGCACTATCGAACCTATCCGACGTCGATTACATCAAATCACTGCTAACAAGATTCGACAAAGGAACGGATTGGAAGTCCAAAGGTGTCAAATCGGCGCTTCAACTACAATGTTCGCTCTTCCTGGTTGCTTGTCGCGCAAAAGATCCGACGGCGTGCGACGAGCAGAACGCGACAGTCGATGCAGTGGAGACGATGGCTACAGACGCCATGGAAAGCGACGCCTTTATTTTCCTAGACCAAATCGTTGCTGCGACCGCGGTCGGGATTCCTCCTCGGACAGAAAGCTCCGACTACCGATGCTGCTCAGATTCCCACTGCGTCCAAAGGTGCAGACCTCGTCGACGAGGATGTGCGACCAAAAGTCTACGCGGCAGTCGAGTCTGTCGTCATCGGACTACTCGTGTCATTACCAAACGTCCTCAAGCGACTCAAACATCGTCAAGAGGATATTGGGCTCTCGGCGCGAAAGCACCAACCGACACCATTTGTCACAGCTCTAGGAAGAACGATTGTCGAACCAGCTCCCGTTGCACCCGCACCAACGCCACGAACGGATATTGCATCGCTATTCAAGTTGATCGGTACCATTTACGACGCGCTTCCGGCCGAGTCTGCACTCAAGTTCTGGACGGTGCAGAACGTTGGCAAGAACAGACAAGCAGATATCGTCAACGCTCGATTACCGTCTTTCCTTCGATGGGCGGCCGAGTCGAGAGGGGAGGTCATGGTACCTGCCGTGTACGACATGTTAGCGGGCTTGGCCAAAGGCACGGCATGCAGTGAGCACGCGTACAACTTTCTTTCCACGGGAGGGGTCTCCACGAGCGCATTGGCGGGCATGCAAGTCTCCTATGGTGGTGGTGCGTTCTCATGGTCCGTTCTTTTTGGATCATTGGGGTATTACGCAGATGCTCTACCGAATCCACGCACCATTCAACAACACCGACAACAAGGCCCACTTCCGGAGATGCGTGTAGAAGAGGCGAGCTTACTCGTCTCGTTCCTCAAACTTCTTCGCGTCGTCGTGCATTGGTCTGTTCCCGCGCGCCTGGCACTCGCCGATCATCCACAATACCGCGCTGTTCCCGCTATGCTCCAACTTGCGACGTGCCGAGTACCACTCGAGCTCAAAGGAGCAATCTATGAAGCTGTTGGGGCCTTCTGTGCACCTGGCGGTGGCGTAGCAGGTGCTGCGATCTGTAGGAACACATGGCTCATGCTCGAGCAACTCCAGGTCCTAGACACGCTAAATGTAGCTGTTGGCGTAGGTGCCACGCACGGGATCAAGTTTGAACTGCTCGAGGTGGAGGTTCCGAGCAAAGTATACCCTTGCACACCCGCGTTTATTCGGCTCATGAACTCGCTCATCCACACGTCCAAAGATTTGTCGCTTCGACAGGTACTATTCGGCGCAGACGGTGGAAAGACAATCCCAGATGGACTCGGCCTCCCTCATCGACAGCTCCCCCTTGCGCCCTACCTTTCCTTTGCGGCCGACGATGTCCTTTTCTTAGCGGAAGACGCATTCAAGACAGACGCAGACAGATGGTCACTCAAGGACCTGTGTTTGCAGTTTGTTGAAAAGTCACTGGCAAGCTTTGACTTGGAGTCGATACCCGCTGCATTGCAGGCGATTGCAACACAGGGCCCACAAGTCATCAAACCCTATGTTCTTCACCCAGGCTTCGATGTGATGACGCGGTTACTCACGGATACTCGTCTGCGTGCCGTCATCAGCGATTTCCTCGCTGAAGGTCCGAACAAGATGGAGAAAGGAACCATCAAAACGACGTTTTTCGAGAGCTGCATGCGACGCGTGGTACGCATCGTTCATCGAGTGCTAGACGTACAGAGCTTCTTCCTCGACATGCTCGTCCCAGCTATTCAGTCGTTCGACTTTTCCCCCATCCTCAACGACTTTGCGCCCGGACAACTCATCGCACTTGACCGACATCTCTTGTTCAATCACGTCCTCGTCGAACGCATCGCTCTACTTGTCACGATGCCAAGCCCAGAGATTCAATTGCTCTGCATCCGAATCCTCGGTTTACTCGCTCTTTCTCCCAATTTCACCATCATGGACCAACAGGCCTCGCGAATGGCACGGAGACTCAACAGGCTCGCCGTCATTGTCCAGAACAGCGACGACTCGGTGCGCATAAACGACGGATTCGCCGCCCTCCTGGCTACTCCTTCTGTAGAAACAGACGAAGCGGACGATCTAGAGATGCATATTGGTGCTGGGGCGCCAGCCCTGGAGGAGGGCGCAGAGGAAGTATCGTTGACGCACATCATCCGACTGGAGATAATGGATCTCCTTTTGAAAAACTCGGAAAAGGGACGACCAGCGCCCAACCTCGCCCATCTTCTCCTCGGCTTTGATGTTGCCACCGCGTCGACCAATGAAATGTCCATCCAGGACCCCAATGCGCTAAACTCAAACGTCTCGTGTTTCCACGTTGTCACGGACCTTTTACGAGAAGGCATTCCATCGTTGGATTCTACGCAGAAGCGACGCCACGACGCAGCATTGGGTGCTACTCCCCTCTATTTCAAAGCACCTCTTCTCGCCGAAAAGTGCCATCGACTCTTCTACCAACTTTGCTCACATGAGCTCACTAGCAAGCCATCTGCTCGCTATCTTCGTACACGAGAAGACTATTTTGCGCGAAACTTGGCAGCGCTTCCCATCCGCGCTCCAGAGATCTTGACCCAACCGGAGGGTATGGCAAGTTATGCAGACGGGACAAGTATCGATACGACTTGTCGAGCCCTCAGTTCGTTCTTGCGTATGCGATCATGGCTACTCGAGTCGATTGCACTCGAGCTGCATCTCCTCACGGATGAGCGCCAATTCCCCAAAGCGGGTCGCTTACTCGACATCCTCTTTGGGAGCGTTGATACCATGATAGCCGACACATCCATCGATGACCTGGAGGACCAGTTCTTTGGCAACGCTGTCCAAGTGTTCGCCCCTGGCCAGTCACTGATGCGTATCTTGGAGATATTCCAGTCCTTCGACTTGGCGTGGCAAGACTCGGTCGCGCTCCAAAGCGAAGTCAACTGTATTTCTATGCATCACTCGACTACTCTTCTTGTCTCCAAACGGCAGAAAGTGGTGCAGAGATTATCGATAGGGACGCCCTTATCGGTCTTTTATCGACAATCCGCCGTATGCGAGAAGAAACCGGACATCTTACTCCAGAAGCAGAAGAACAACTTTCCCAAGAGACCAAGTACCTTTTGGAGAGTTGTGTCAAGGAGAACAATCGACGAGAGATTGAGCATGCAAAGTCAATGGGCTTCGAGGCATGGCGACGAGTTGTCAACATTTCGCTCGCAAAGTGCTTTAACAGGCTTCCTATTGACGGTCGTGAGGGTATCCTCTTCGATCTGCTTCAGGAAGTTCCACCAGTCATTCGCCAACCATCCCTTGCCGTCTCATCCGCCATCCTTCTCTCCGAAGTCACGGTGATGCTCATCACCAAACTGCGGGAGGACAGGAGTCAGCGAATCCAAATGCAGGCGCTCACTGACGATTCCAATTTCGCTGCGACGTCGCTTCCGGAAGATCGGTTCCATGGCATTTTGAAGAGCTTGATTGAGAGTCTTCTTACATCAGGCATGCCAGAGGTCGTTCGCGGGAATCTTTACGCGTCCGTTACCAACCATCTTCAGCTCGTTCAAACGGTGGCCAATGTGCGTCGAATGCACTCAGTTGTGGATGATGAGCACGAAGAAGAGCCCTTGTTCGGAAGTTCCAAGGCGTTCCAGTCCTATACTGCCCTTGAAATCGGTTGCGTCAATATCATCAACTCTCTCTCAGAACGCCTCATTCCTGTCCTATGCCGCGATGCAATCGATGGTAGTGAGGTCTGGAAGACGGTGGCATTTACATTACTGGACTCACTCATACGACTATCACGTATCCAACGCCAACACCGCGTCCTTCATCTTCTTTCAAGAGGCGGATATCTTGGAAACTTCTGTGTAGGCTTCAAGGAGGCAGATGAAGAGCTCCAGGGCACACTGGTGCCCGAGCCAAGTATGTTTGCCATGTTTTATTTGCATTATCTGACAGGTGCTCGTAGGTTCTCTAAATGCGTTGTTTGTTCACGAGGCAAAGACAGCGTTCCTCATTCGAATTGCCCAGACACGCGCTGGTGCCGAGAGGCTGCTGGCTGCGCGACTTCTCTCTGTTCTCGCCCAGTGCGATTACATTGACGCAAGGCCGGACGCTACCCAAACGTTCCAAGGTCAGTTGGAGTGGATGATGGGACAATTTCTAACGAAGAATACAGATACGGACTCGCTTTTTTCACCTTCACTCGAAAGATGGCATCAGCTTGTGAAGCCCACGTTACAACTCGTTGCCAGTGTACTCGCTACTCTAGGCTCCTCAAACGGCGAAGCCTACAAGCAAGCGATGGAGTTTGTCCTCAACCACCGAGAGACTCTGAGAGCCCTACTCATGGAATCTGGCCGACTTTCCCTGGCACATCTCTCCGAGCTATCTCTGGTCGTTGCCATAAGCTCGTACGTCGTACCAAGGGTGGATCGTAATGACCTTGTAAGTCTGCCCTACCTGTTTATGTTCAACCTTCTTACCAACGTAGACGACGCGCTCAAGTGGATTTGGGCCTCTACATGAAGTTATTCTGACACTGGCTTCAAAAACCATATATACCGGCCGATGGGGAGCAGTCGTTGCTCCAGCGAATGACGCTGAACTGGCGGAAAGTCGAAATGCTCGTATGTGCTCAACTTATAGCGACTTTTCTTTGATTGACATTGCCTAGCGGCTGCATTCCAAGCGCGAATTCTTGAAGCTACAGAAGACCTTCAACGTGCGGTCTTCAATTACCTTGTCGCCTCGAGTGACGCTTCCGGTGCGGTCTCCGTTCGTCGTTTGTATTTGACTCATCATGCCTAGGTCCGACGCTCTACCCACAACTGTCGACTAGTTTGTTCGTCCCTCGAGATGGAGACGTGAACCCTCAGCAAGCAGGTAAATTTTGCAAAGAAAGCCTAATTTCTGTGGACTGATGCGCCACAGGACCCGTTCCTAGTGTCGGTGATGCGATCGTAGCGCTCCGAGAGGTTTATAGCTACCTCAACCGCTCGCTACTGGAAGTCAATTCGTATTCTGTCAAGTTGCTCAATCAAGATAGTTCAGGAATGGACGAGCTTGAAGAGGCGCGTGCATATACCGGCGTCGATACTTTCACTGACTCTCGAGGTAGATTGCACTTGCATCTTTGGAAGGGTCGGAATTACTTGAACCGTCTCAAAAACGTGCACTCGCCTTTGGCCACCTCCAAGAAATGATGAACCAGCGGATCAAAGACTCGAACCACTACATGGGTACGTCTTTTTAGGTATCCTTTTTCGTGTACTCAACTTCTTTAGATTCCTTGGAGGAACTCTTGCTGCTGGTCTGGAGACACGTTGATTATTACATCAATTACCGGAGCACCCCAGCGATTGATGGCCCAACCGAGCCAGCACCAAAGGCCAATGAATTGGGCCTGAGTCAAACGGCACGACCCACACCGACGCCACCGCCGGAAACACGAAGTGGATGGGGCATGAGCTTATTCTCGCCCTTCCGACGAAGAGCAGATTCGCCTGCGCCGGGGACTGGTGGTACAGCAACTAGTCCCGCACCACTTGGGGCGTCGGTGGCCCTCGCAAATGGAACTGGGCGGAGTCAGCTGGGGAGAAGTATGTTGACGGTCAGTGCGCTTGGTGGACGGGCGCCTACGTTGCGGAGTACCGAGGATAGCCAAGCAGAGGCGTTTAGGGTGGACGTTGCCAGAGTGCTGGAACCGCTACTTGATCGACTGGATGAACTGCAGCTGGTGCGCTTTACGACTTGTCTTCATTCAGGAGACTTATGTTTATTTAGCCGGACGACATTGCCTCGCTGGACTTCCGCATACGTGGACCGTATGTACAGTCGTTTATCAAGCGATTACGGGCGGTGATAAAGGCTCCAACAAGCGAAGAGACGGAAGAGTAGGAGCGGAATCTGGCGTGCATATCTCCCTTGCCTTGTTTCCAGTGCTAGCAAAATTACAGACTAGTTTAAGATTAAATAAATGAGAGCGTTGAGAAGAGGAAATACGCGATTGTCGAGATACGTCTGCCGAGTGTACTCTTTTGGAAATCAGACGGGGAGAATGTTGCCTGCGCCACGCATAATCATTTGTGCACCGAATTTGAGGGTCTGGATTCCACCGGGAAAGTAGGCGGCGATGTACGAAAGGAGTGCGCCGACTTGGACGACTGCGGCCACGATGGCACCAATGTAGGAAGGGTTCTATTTTCACGTGAGCTTGTAGTAGAGGTCCAATGAAGCATGAACACGTACGACCATGGAAAAGTAGATTGTGAGTACTAGCGAGCCAATGTATGCTGCGGAGAAGGGGAGACGTTCTGGTGAGATTACTGCAACGGCTGTGAGCATATGTATTTCTCAAAGTTGGCAAACGTACAGTGTTTGATTTGGTTCATTGGGCCAATAAGAATCATAAATCTAGTCGACATTAGCGGGGAGTGATGTAGACTTGCAGTGAGAGGACGCACCCTAGCATGACGAGTATGCTGCCCAGTCTTCATTTCATACAGTTAGCGACAGCATAAGAGGGTAAAAGGAATGCTCACGTTATGGAAGTAGCGAATTTTGCTGGACGAAGTGCAAAGAAGGGCAAATGGATGAAAAATGCAATAGCAAAACAAGCAGCAGCGCCGAGGATGCACATAATGAATCCAACGAGTCTTGATAAATCAGCCATTTGCCCGTCTTAGGCCATGGTAAACCACGGAGAGACATACCGTTCCCATCTCGAGAGCGCAAACATGGCCTCTTCCTCATTTGTACGCTCATTACTCCGTAGAGGAATATATCCGCTCGCTGTGGTAGATATTGTGTTATATGTCCGCGAGAAGAAGCCGCCGCTGTTGTTGTTGGCCGCTGCGTTTGTCGCTGCTGGTCGCGAATCGTTTGTAGATCCGCGTGCCCATCGGAATTGAGAGAGCTGGGAGCGGAAAGCTTGCTCGTTGGAGGCCATTTGGTGCAAAGGGTTGGAAATGGCAGAGAACACGTTAGAGCTCACAACTCGGCTCCAGTCTGCTTGGGCGTAATATATCTTGGACAGAACCAGGCTAGATTTCTATAATCTGCACTTGACAAAATGCTAAATGATCAACTAGCCCGTTCAAAAAGCACACGCTATTTTGTTCAGTGCAAGACTTTGCTATCAATTGAGGCTTCTGAAACCACTTAGGTCGTCCAAGGCGCGTCGCTCCCGCACACTGCGGCGTGAATGCGCATAAACGTGTCTAATAGTCTACTACCGGCATGGACGACAGCTGGAGTATTGTAATCAGTCGTAGGGTGCCCGGTAGTTCGTCGCGTTCCATCATAAGCTAGGCCCCTATCCCAATATTTACTGGGTATAGACTGAGGTTTGGGAAACACTGTATGCTTGATGTTTGCGGTTGTAGGTCGCGAAAGTCCTCGAAGAGCGCCGATATGGTGAAAGCATGGGCAACTCGGGTTCATATACGTACGTACACGGTAAGGAAGAGTGACGAAAATAAGTTAAAGGGTATGAAATTCGACAAGGTTTTGCCATCTTGACTAGCAGACGTACAAAGCTTGAAGAAATACCAGTTCTCTTCCCAAGCGGATTACTCTGGAGAGCTTCACAAGCACTGGGAGTACCAAGTGTTTGAGAATTGACATGTGCTACCAGCCTGGCAGCACGTCGGACCAGAGTATCCCTGACCACCACACTGACCCCATTTAGCAGCGCAATTGCCACCGTTACCAGCCGAGGACGTGGAAGAGGGTCGTGGGGTAGATTGGCTAGACTGAGGCTGTCCACCGTTGATGGCCTGGGTGAAGAAATTCCACGTCTCGCCGGGTGCCCAGTAGCTGCCGTTGCTATCGCGTGGGTCGGGAACGTGATCACCACTGTGCGCGATCCACCACACAGGGTATCCAGCGCGGCAGCTGTAGGTCGTCTTAATATGCGAGCCGGAGCCGCGAGCTGGCTCTGGGGCATTCTTGGAAGCGCATCCGTTGTTGGCGAGGAATTTGTCACGCAATTGACGACCATTGCTGACGTTAAGTACGCTGTCGGCGACACCGTGAATACCAAGATAGGCGATTGGCTGAGTACCACCATTGCAGCCGCTGAGCTGGGCACCAGCAATGACGGCCACGGCACGGAAGACGTCTGCAGAATTCAAATTAGCTATATTCAAGAGGTTTTTGCTAAGAAAGACGCACTAGGACGTGAGCAGGCAAGTGAGTATGACATGGCACCGCCGTAGCTGAACCCAGTGGCGAAGCGCTGCGTCTCGTCAACGCAGAGTTGGCTCTCGATGGTATTGATCATGTTGTCCACGAACGTGATGTCCTCGCCGCCACTGTTACCCCAGCCACTGTTGAGTCCGTTTGGAGCGACGAAGATGGCACTCTCGCCAGCAAGGTTGCGCAGACCGTAATAACCAGGTGCAACATTATTCATGTTGCCGTTCAGCCAGTGAAAGCCAAAGATTAGCTTGTAGGCCTTGTTAGGGTCATAGTTGGCGGGAACCTGTAGGATATACTGCCGGGTCTTGCCGTTAACTGTCATAGTCTTTGTGCCACTGGACGGGGGGCTCTTGCCGCAGCCAGAAGACCGAGCGAGCACGCTGTCGATCGTGGCCGCGGCGAGAAGAAGAAAGACTGTGATAAAGGAATGCATTCTGGTGGGGATTTGTACTGGTGCGTCTGTTCAACCTGGGACTCCTAGTCCGTTAGGAGGCGAAGAGGCCTGGCATTTATAGACATCCCATCTCTTGGCAGAAGCGATGATGTCCTAGAAATCTCCTGTACCCGAGCTACCTCCGGGACCATCTCAATAGCCCTTGCTCCTCGTACTCCATTGGATTCTACACGATACACTCCAGCAATGCAGAAATATCAGAGCCGGGAGAAATAAAACCCATGATTGGATGCCACGAAGATTGGCCAAGCCAAGAAAACGGATCATACGAAGGTCTTGATGCGGAGAAATCGACAACTTGTGACAACAACGACCGGCCCAGGCGACCAGTGAGGGCCGGCCGGCTCCAAGTGATGCAAGCCAACCGGGCCCTGATCACCGGTGACATTTCGCGTCAATAGTTGTGTTTCGACCACTTTGACATACTTTGCGCCTTTGTAATCTCAAGTGTCCTCATTGCAGAGTGGTCACGATGTAGCTTGTGTTGGAGTTTGTCGTTGGATCCGATTTACTACTGGTGTCCTCCATTTAGAGTTTGGAATCAACGACGCAACCGTCAAAGTTGAGCCGTGGGAAAATGGAAGACGCCGGATTTGCACCGACTTCTTGACACCACTAGAACTGTAGTGTCCTGCTGTTTCCTCCATCACTAGGTAACCTCCTGGTACGCAGGGAACTCTTCCTATACGGGGGAATTGCGTTATGACCTGTAAGGTAGCCAAACGCCTTACTGCCAAGAGTTTGTTCATCCAACTTCGGGGTACGCTTGATACTGTGGCAACGAGCGGCTAGCCGAGGTAAACAGGCCCGGATGAATATCAACAGGGCCGGACTATTTACTGGTCTGGCTCTTTATCCGGTTGCAAATATTCACTTCGGATGATAGTTTAGTACTATTATATTCTAGAAAGCACAAGACATCCCGAGACGGGTCAAAGACATTTAGACAAACGCTTGGCGGTCGCATTCTTCGCGAGATCTTCGCACAAGCTAGGGATCACCTAACAAACGTAGCTTGGCTACACTAGCTCGTATATACATCCTTCACTCCGGGCCCAAAACGGACAAGATGCCTGTCGAAATCGGGACACTCGGGTGTATCTAGAGCTTGTATGACTTTGATAAACTTCGAAAAACTCATCCACGCGCGTTGATGCCAACGCTGGAAGCCGTCCACGAGCGGTCGAGCACGACTTCCTTCACCGAATAGGATCCCAAAGCCATCTTCGTTCTGATCTCTTCCATCCATAAAAGGATATTATCGAGGTCTCTCGATCGGACTGTGATCTCTAAATGAACCAAAACCACTGTGAGTGGTCGAAGCCCGTAGTTCGGTGTCAGAAGGGCTTCATTCGCGTCGACAGAATGCATTCCTTTATCCTGCACAGATGTCGCATATAATTCAAGGTGTGGAAAGTGCTTTATAACGGATGAACTTTCTGACAGTTCAGTCGAAGCACGATCGTGGAGGCGCGTGACTGTCTGTGAATGAGCGATCAGGAACGGTACGAGAGCGTCAAAAGTCGCCTCCGGTAGATCCCCTTCGATATATAATGTGCGCAAGGAGGCAAACCTCCACAGGAGAGGGGCGGTTGTATAGCCCAAGAAGTCCATGTGGAGAAAAATGAGGGTCGGGATCACCAGGGGTTCAGTCGATGACATCGTATGGAAAGATACAGAAAGGTGGGTAAGCTGTTGGATGACTGGGTCATGAATGAGGGGCGATGAGATGGAGCATTCCGACTCGCTCGTCGGCATAGGTGTCGATAATACTTTCAGATTTGGAGGTATAGTCCAGGAAATGTTCAAGATAGTGGCACGGCCACTCCCCGACGAGGACCTCCAGCGCAGGAAAGATTTGGCGTGGCCACTCGGCCGATGGCAGTACGATTGGACGCAAGGGTACCTTTATACGACGTGCCTCGTATGTGCTGTAGCAAATAAATTTTCGAATCCTTGATTCGTCGTTTATAACGACGACTTTGGGTCCTTCCTCCTTCAAGATGTCGCGAAAGTATCGACATACGAGGAGAGAGATTCCCTCTCAGTATTACACACCTTGTACCGCTCCTCTAACTCATGAGAGGCTGTGAATAACCTGAGATGGTCAACAAACGTCGCGTTGTTGACCGGGTAGAGTTACGTGTAAGTGAGAATGCGAGATATTTAGAGCCATATCTCTGTTGTAACTATGTCTACCGCATTCATTTTGGTATGCGTATGGCGGTGACAAAGATAATGGTGCTGGTGGTGGTCAACTTTCGTGGCTAGTATTTACCTGGAAGGGAAAACTGCAAAGTTGTACCAAATATGTATACTAAATTTGTTCTTGTTACATCTCTCGTTTTCAATGTGAGCCGCATGGCCTTGGAAGAAGGCTGCGTCAATCTCTGCCACCCAAATTCCTGGCAGAAGATGAAACAATATCTCAAGGCATCGCATTCTGTTAGACTCTTTCACTGACTGTGTAATCTGTAAAAGTAGAAGACATCTTATAGACGTGAAATACTTGGCTTATTTTCTACTGCCGCTCGACTGGATAACAGACGCCGATGCTTTGCTATCGAGCTAGCTATTAGAATGTATAAAGTCGAAGGCGGGTGCTTTGGGGGAGCCGCCTAGGTAGGCGCATGAGTCATGAACATCCCAAAAGACGGTGTATTCACCGGTCAGAGGCTACGAAAGGGTGCAAGATTGTGGAATGTTTGATCCCTCCGGCAGTTCACTCTGTTATTTGAGAGAAGACCTTTGGCGTTTCTGAGATGCGTAATTTCAACAGGTCGATTGTATTCAGGTGATTGCATATAAACAGGTCTGCCGAATGACGAATTCAGGAAGGCGGTCCTTTGCAGGACTCAAACATCGTCTCGGCCTCGGTATCATGGCCACGGTAGCGCGCATGAATCCTTTATAAAACGCCGGGTGCGAAACGGACGAGATCCCGGTCGAATATAGGACACTCCAGCGGGTGTAATGCTTGGATTTCATTCAGAAATTTGGAAAAGCCGGAATTCGACTCGTCCCGCCATCTCAGAATGTCGTCCCATGAGCGGTCGAGCACAAACCTCTCCACAAAGTACGATCCTTTCACCTCTAACTGCTGTTTGATGACGCCGACAGACTCTGATAAGTTGATAGATCCCTGTGGCTCAACCAAAATCACCGTAATCGGCCGCAAGGAGCTTCGCCACGCCGGTATGGCTGAAGGGGATGGTGCATTAGCGGTCGACATCGATTGCGCCATGAGGTTGAGGGCGTATATCCTGAGGTTTGGGAAGTAATCTACGCTCGGTGATTGCGTCCATGGTCTTCCCGCGACGAGAAATTCATGAAAAAGGCGCATGACAGTTTTGGAGTGAGCGATGAAGAACGGTTCTAGGGCACTAAAAGTCTGCTCTTTCATGTGGCCCCTGATATGTAGTGAGTGTAAGGAGGAAAATCTCCACAGCAGAGGACCTGGGGTTGGGGTTGTATTTCTTTCCAAAATCATGAGACTGAGAAACGTGAGGTTAGGTAGAACCAGGTTTCCGAGGTAGTACGTAGTGTTGAGGTTTATAGACAGATGGGTAAGTTGTCGAACCACGGGGTGATGGAGAACGGGCGAAGAGATGGTGCATCCTGAAGTATTATTGGGAAGAGTTAGAGATAGAACTCTGAGCTGTGGCGTGTACTCCAGAAAATGATCCAGGAAATAGCACGGGCAGTGTCCTACAAGGACTTCCAGAGTGGAGAAGGGTTGGCGCGACCACTCGGCCGATCGCAATGCCGTAGGACTTGACCATATCTCCAAACGGCGCACTTCATATGTATTGTAATAATTAAACTTTTGGATACTTGACTTATAGTTTATGATGGCAATTTTGGCTCCTTCCTCCTTCAAGATGTCGCGAAAGTATCGACATACGAGTGATATATTTGTCCTCTCTGTATTACATGCGAGTGCATCCCCGAAGTGAAGAGCGATGTTGAATAAACTGAAGTTTTGAATAAACGTCGCGTTGTCGACTGGAAAGAGTTCCATGCGAGTAAGAAGGCGAAATATTTGTAACCATATTTCTGCCGGAAAACGCTCTATTGCACTCATCTGCGTGTATTGAATTCGCTAGGGAGTGGCGGGGTCCAAGACGATACTCGGACTTGACCGGACTGACGGTAATAATAGGTTCCAGGCATCCGACTCTCACGAATGTGTATCCCATCTTACATCCAACAACTCTACCATAGAAGCATCACCAATCGACTGTGACTGCATATAAAATGACCCCGAATTAGAGAAGGTCAATGCTAGATAAGCCGTTGAGTGTATACAGAGGATGTAAGTGGCTGCAGAAACGGTCGCCTGCCTTTTATTTCTCCGCCTTTTCGACTGCTGGTAGCGGTCATAATATATATATATATATATATATATATGGCCTCCTCGGCCGCTCACTTCCTTCTTTCCGCTTGTTTGGCCTTAGGGCTCGCTAAACATGGATGCGCCTCTCAATCAAGTCCCGCCTGTATTATCAGGCCGACACGTCCCAGGCAAATGACACCGCACAAGGGGCACTGTCAGAGATGTCCCCTATTGGACTATAGTATTTTGTCCCTTTCAAGGTGAGATCATAGAAGCTTGTTCATACATAGTGTATCTACTGAAGCTCGGTCATATGTAACGGTTACTTCTCCAACCAATCGGAGGATCCACGAGGCATCTTTACGCCATGAATATCCACAACGACGATTCCATACTTTTGAAATCCGACCAAAAGCGCCATAAGTTTGTCCTTGAAGTCGACATCTGATCTGTCAGGTTGATTGTGCATGTGTCGGATATTGCGCCATGACTCGCCTAGCATGACACGCGTTAGTGTATTAAAGTTCGGTACAATACGTCTTGCGGCTGATGCGAAGTGAAAGAACGGAATTTTTTGGATGGAAGGAGTACAAATACCCGTGAGTAGGAGAGTGGGGGACTCGCGCTGCATTTCGGGGGATGTACTCTGACTAACACAGATGTCCTCGCGCAAGATGCAATCTACATCAACGCTGTAAACCTGCAGCCGATAGAAGTGAAGTAGCATCATATACAGAGTCTTACGGTGGCTCAAGGACGTTAGATTGTTGACAAAGTTGACGACAATGGACGCATGCCGATCGAGGAATGGCTGCAACTGGTGATGAGTTGCCATATCGATCTTGCCCTGCAGAGAAAATGTTCTTAAAATAGGAAGTTTCCAAGGTATGAGGTTTAATAGAGCCGTCCCGGTACCAGAGGATCGATCAAAGGTCTGGAAGCGAAGTTGAAATACGATGAGAAACGGAAGTATGAGCTTTGGGAGTGGGGAATTGATCAGCTGCCAGTCGTTGAGGCATAGAGAGAGATGAGTGAGCCGCTTGAGTTGGGGATGATGGAGGAGTGGGTATATATTCCCGTTTTCTGCGCGAGTCGTCTCCAGCCTGCAGGAAAGCAATCGCAAATTTGGAGCGCGCGAAAGTATGGGAATGGGATTGAAAGGAAAGTTTGGGTCCAATACGAGGGACTGTAAAAGTGGCCAAGATTGTGTCAACCAGGCAGATGGCCAGTTGACGACTGAGCCGATAGTCTTATCATATGAGGGGTAGGGATTCAAGCCTTCTAAACGCTCCGCCTCCCAAGCTGGATGTCCGGCTATTGTTGTGACGATGACTGTTGGTTGGCATTCGATGATTGCGAGTTGGTTTCGGGCAGGTTGCAAAATGTCTCGGAAATAGCGGCAAGTGAGCGAGATATATGTTCTTGCAACCCCTAGGCGTAGGAAAAGAGGCACTTTTGTCTTGAATAGGTCGATATCCTCTATCCCATCTATCCCGGTGTCACCTTGGACGAATGAACGATGGCAAAGGTAGTTGAAGATTTGCTCCCAAATTTCGACGGGCAGTTTGTAGACGATGTCAGTCTGTGGCATCGCTTAACAATTAAGAGACGATGTGGTCAGTCTCCAAGATTACGCTTGAATATGACCACGTCAACCTGCGTGGCCTAGACGTGCTCCATTTTGCTCCATTTTGCTCTCAAGGAGACGTGAATTTGCGATATTTTCACATCCGACAAACTTTCACACCACCATGCCAGCGACCTGCAACTGCGTATGTGGCCGTCAATCATCCTCAAGGTACAGTCGATACTGGATCCAGCAGATAACTTGATATTAGAGATGGGACTATATCTACATATCATCCACCACCTTCTTCATCTTCTTGGACGGCTGATGGCGGTCATCATCCGTACTTGCGTCGCTGTCATCGCTCATTTTCCTCTTCTTTTTCGTTTCCTTTACTGCCTCGTTGTGGCTCTTGATACGTTGTTCTGCAGGTGATTCGTTAGGCGCCATTCTCAGCGAGAACCTCGACTTACCGATGCGTTTGTCCTGATTGCCATCGCCCCTCTTGACACCGAGGTGTCTCTCGATGATATGGCGTCGGTACGAGTCAGGTGTCGCAACCGACGACCCACAGGAGGTACCGTGGGTCTTCTGCCATACGGCCTTGCCCTCCGTCGTAATCTTTCCCCGAACGAGGCATGTGTACCTCCCATTCTCAACGCGAGCTGCCTGGCTCGCTGGGAAGAACTCCTTGTCGATATCCTCCGTCCGAACTCCGCCAAGAAGTCGGTGGAGGACATCGATGGGGACCGCGTACTCGTTCGGTCCTTTCACTGTGTGATGGTTAGGCTCAGAAGTAACATCTTATGAATGTGAAATACCTGGCTCGTTCTGCCCCTGGGCGCTCGGTTCTCCGGTATCACTTGTCTCGGCGGGAGGCGCTGGTGCTTTTCCAGAGTCAGATGAAGTCTATGCGCGCGGGGATACGTACTTTGGGGGATGCTGCGCGCTCTTGGTGCAAGGTTCTGACTCGATTTGCCTTTCCCTAGACGGTCAGGTTTATAAAAATTCATGGCTGGAGGGAAAGCGCACCTTTGGCAGCGGAGTCATACTTGACAGATGAGTCGTGGTCTCCCATCCTTTGGGGGCCACGACCAACGGTGTTTCGTGTGATTCCGCTGGCAGGGGAGACTCCCACCAACGGACGTTGAGGTCTGCTTGGAGGTCGACGCTGCGCTCTCCTTGCTAGGCAGCGAGTTGTGCTCCCAGCTGGGGAGCGCATCTAGGCGGGTAGATGATTTTCTTGCTGGATTATCCTCGTTCTCGTCGTCCGAGGTGTCGACCACAACTCGGCCACCCTTCCGGGTCCGCAGACCGAAGACGACCTGCTTGGCAACATCACTGGCTTTTGTGTCAGATTAATCCTGTACTCGAGCGGAATCACTCACAACTCGCTCCTCTCCCGCGCAGGGTGAGGGATGATGGTCCGAGGAGGCAAAGCTCTGTGATTTCAATCACTTTCCGGTTGGTTGACTCGCTACGAAGATGACTTACTCGTCGTTCTCTTCAAATTCCTCCTCGTTTCCATCTCCCAAACTCTCTGCCTTGGGTTCAAGATCGTTCCTCTCCCTGTGTAGGAGAGGGATGATGGTACGAGGCGGCAAAGGTCTGTGTTTCCACTCAGTTTCCGTTTGATTCTGACTCCTATAGGAAAGACTTACTCGTCGTCTTCTTCAAACTCTTCTACCTCATCATCCGCCTCCCCCAAATTATCGGTCTCGGGTTCAAACCTCGGCAATTCCGCGACATCGACCTCTGATGGAGGTGCTGAACGTAGGTCGAGGTCGCTTGGAGCGACAGAGAGGTCGTCGTCCGTCAGCGACCCAATCGACTGTCGGTATCCAATGATACTCTCCCAATTTCCCGGGCTATTCAAATATTGAGTGCCATTCTCAAACGAGATGCTGTACACTTACATAGGGTACGCCCAGCTCCGCCGTCTGTGGGGGAGCCGAATTAAATGAACGTCGTCATTGATGGAACTAGAAACAATGTGCGCTATCAACAAATCCCATGGAAGAGGCTCCATATGACTCACACTAACTCGTAGTTGTTGTCAGATGCCATAAGCAGACGTGTTCGGCTGGGTCAAGATCAAGGCGAGCCAGAGGTGTTCTCTCTTTCCGAGGTTAGGCCTATTGTATCTTTGGGTGTCTGGATTTGATGTATTGGCGTGCGTGTGGATGGGTGATGGGCAACACGGACGGGCAACGAGGGTTGGCGGGGGCTAAAGGGCTAGGACAAAGCAAAGGCCTCTTATAGTGGCAAGGTACGTCGGTGCTTAAAACTATAATCTTTGCACGTGATCACGAGCGCGTCACAACTCGCAGGACCGCGGTCCTCCAAAGGCGGGTACGTGAACATACACCACCGCGATGCAAATTTGATTTTGTGCTGATTTTGTTCATTTTAGATGAATTTATACGACCTTATTTTGATCTGCCACATACCTGGCTGCAAATGTGGCACAACTCGTCCTCCCAACCACATCGTGACACTGCAGTTGTGTCGCGTCAAACTGTGCCGAATCATGTCTATATGCGAATTAAAATTGTTTACGGGTGCTCTTACACGATCCAGTGAGAGGCTTCGAGCTGTACCGTCTGTGGTTCGTCGCCGAAACGGTCAGTGACACGCCTCGCCGGCTTTATAATGCAAGCTAAAGCAATAAATCTTTCGAACTTTGCCTAGTGCTGTTTTCTCTTACTCCCTACAAGAGGTCTAACGTTACAGCCACATCCCTCTCCATTCCCCGCTCGGCGCTCGTACCCTGTTTGAGCATGGAGAGACCTCTACTAGAGGATATGAAGTTTGGTTACATCTCGAACATGCTTACTTTGGTCCAAATATTGTCGGAATGTAGTACTCGTTCGGGGAAGAGATACAAACAAGGGCACTTTTCAAATACGGTATACGTACAGAGATCACACTCTAATTTAGCATTGATCCCCCACCCCAGAGTCCAACCAATCGGCCGTCGCCCGAGGCATTTCAACACCATGCCTGTCTACAACCGCAGCTCCAAGGTCTTGAAATCCATTCAGAAGGGCCGTAATCTTGGTTTTGAAGTCAATGGCGTGCTTTTGGTTTCGGCCTAGGGCGACTCGGATATCTTGCCATGGTTCGTCCAGCATGACACGAGTGAGCACCCTAAATTTATTGATTATACGACTTGGGGTCGACTCAAAAGCAGAGCGCTTGAGTATTATATTGCAAGGATCGCAGATCCCCGTAAGAAGTAAAATGGGGGATTCGCCGTGCATTTGAGGAGGGAGTGTACTCGGAATATTATGTAGTCCACGTCCAAGGATTGATCCCACCTCAACGCTGTACACCTGTAGCTGCTGGAAGTGAAGTATTACCAGGTACAGAGGCCTAATATGGTCCCAGCAGGTAAGATCATTAGCAAGATTGATGACAATGGACGCGTGTCGATCGAGGAATGGCTGCAACTGTTGACAGACGACTATGTCGACCTTGCCCCTCAAAGCAAGTGTCCTTAGAGAAGGAAGCGTCCAGGGGATGAGCTCCTCTGGAGCAGGTGCATATAAATCGTGCATCGTAAGCTCAAATTGAAGGACCGTGAGAGATGGGAGTGTGAGCTCTGGAAGCGGCACATTGATGGCCAGCGTCTTGGCTGGATACAGAGAGAGGTGAGTAAGTTGATTGAGTTGGGGATGAAGCAAGACCGGGTACATGTCACCGGTGTCTATACGGTCGGTTCGCAGCCCACAGCCCAATAGTCGTAAATTTGGAGCTCGGGAGAGTATGGGGATGGGATCGAAGGGAAACCCCGAGTTGAGTACGAGGGACTTTAGGGATTGCCAGGATTGTGTGGACCAGCCGGGTGGCCATGGGACGGGACCGAGAGTGTTTGAACCATGATCTATAGGAGCAGAGGCCTCGAGACGTTCCGTATCATAAACTGAATGCCCGGTTTGTGTCGTTGTGACTGTGATCGCTGGCGATTCTCCGTCCCTGTATTCGAGGATGGTGAGTTGATTCCGTGGGGGTTGCAAAATGTCTCGAAAGTAGCGACAGGTGAGCAAGAGATGTGTCCTTTCAACGCCTAATCGCAGGAAAAGGGGCATTTTCGTCTCAAATTGGCCAAGATCCTCGATCGCGCCTACTCCGGTGTCGTCTTGGGCAGATAGATAATTGAAAAGAGAGCCGAAGATTTCTGCCCAAATTTCCACTGGCAGCTTATAGATGAGACGGCTCTCCGACGTCGTGGTCGACATGGTCGACATCAAGCCATTGTCAATACTCGCCCGTCTCTTTACAACAGACATTGACATGGTCAACCGTTGTCTATGATAGTAATGGGTAAATAGACGATATTAAAATGAAGGAAATTTAGTCAATAAAGGACTTAAATCACTTGTTACACTGTCTGCTGCGCCGAAGCGGCAGAACAGATGGTGACCGGTCACCTTGGAAGAACTATGACGCAAAGTTCTTGGTATTCTCTATACATTTGGATAGAATGAGATGGAAACTAACCATACATAATGGGGCGCTGCGAATTTCATACAGTTCCCTCTGCGCCCTGACAGGGCAGTCCAAAGGAGCGCAACGAAGCGTTGAACCGTAGACTCCTCCATCACTGTTGAGCTTTTCATATTCTCGAGGAGATTCAACTACATGTCTGTCGCAGCCAGTGACGGTATCCTCGTGTCTCCTGTCATGCGCTCTTCGTCACTCTCAGTGACAAATAACTGTGCTACCGCTGAGACAGATGACCAGCTGGAGACGCTTATGGACGATTACGTCCGTGCAACGCAGTTGCAGCAGTCTCTCAAGAAGCGTATCACTGCTCTCATGAAGCAAAAAGAGGCAGAAGCGGAGCGCAGGGCAGATGAGGCGCGGATAGTTTTGCTAGAGGCCGAAGACGAGAAAGTCCGGCTGAATAGGAAGAACCAGATCCTCAAGGAGAAGATGATGCAGCTTGAGACTGGCGACAAGTGCGAGAAGGCTCCGACGACGCCGGTCCCGATTAGCCTCGCACAAACGCCTTGTTCCCCTCATTCTGCGATCATTCCAACTTGCCAAGACCATAGCCCTAACATTTTTTCTTTCGATCCTCCCCCTTCCAGTCCTCCTCACAGCCCGGCATCGGAACAACCAAGCGTAGGGAGACCCGCAACACCGTACCTCCCGCAGCCGCAAGAGGAGGTGCACATAATGCCAGATATGAGGCACTTATATTTACCTCCCGATGAATATGTTCCCTTTGAGGAAGCACCAGACTTTATTTCCCAGGTCCGTCACCTCTCCCAAATGATCGGCGCTTCCTAACAGTTTCAAGTCTCTAAAAACAAAAAATTCAAGAAGAAGGGCAGGATAGTGAAATAATAGATCATGTATATGCATATAGCAAGTAAAGCAATGCCAGTCGCTCTGTGACTTTACCGTCCAGTCAGATGTTTAGCAGGCGAGAGCGTGGACCCTTGGGATTCCTTAAAGCTGCGTCAATATTGTCATCGACTTGGAGGCGGATGGAGATATACATAAATGGAGAGCCTAAATTACCAAACGTTCGATGGTTCCTCACGATTCCGCAGCAAAACAATATACCGTATATGAAGGAGAGCGACAATTATGATGTCCCAAGCCTTATTTATATGATTACTTCAATTGAGAGGTATGGTATCACCGTCAAAGTGCAAGAGGCGGATTTATCCACAAAGGGTGCGCTCCGCGACGGGCGGCTGAGGTAAAGTGACACGATCATAGAAAAGCAAGAAACATGGCTTAGTTCGGCGTTGGGAATGGGTGAAGAATTGCCTTAGCAATATCTGCCCAATGCCCAATGCTTGTGGGCGACGGAATGAGAGTAACTATTCCACTACGCATTTCATATACATGGGTTTATTCTGTATACCTTGAGATAGTGCGGGTGCAGTGCTCAGTCAGCCAGGGTGTATCCGGTTTCACCGCAAAAGACTGGTCTAGATTATGAATTCAATATATTGCATACGGCGGACAGAACAAGTGGTTCCTGTTTCGTGGATTGTATTCAGTTTAGCTGGCCGGCGGCTGTAGAGTAGTGACGTGAATGTGATGAACTGTGGTGCGAGTTCAAGTCATACTCAGCGGAAGCAGTTCAACAGCCCGGAGTCTGTGAGCAGATTGACCCTCATGTCAAGTAGGGTACCCAGAGTCTCGGACAGGTCCCGAGCTGGTGCACGGTGAGACCTTTCTTGATTCTCGGACGTCTCGTTTCACCTCTAGTATTTGGCCCAGCTTCTCGAATACTCTATACTTGGACGAATCAAATCTTTTGATCTACCGACATCTCCCCACAGAACCGTGCCTCGGATCACTGCTTTTGATTTGCACGCTATGGCACGTGTTTGCTAGTTTGGACTATCGACTCTCGAAACTGACCAATATTTATAGTCAGCGGGTCGTCACTCCATAGTAAGTACCGTCAAATCAAAGCTCGGTACCGTCTGGACATCCTTTGATCACTTTCCGGTTGCACTTGTCAGATGCATGGCTTCGAGGCAGATCCCAACGCTGGAATTGATCAGCTTCCGAGCTTGGCAGAGGGATACTGACTATTCGAACGAGAGATTTGCAATTGGTGCAAGGATCTAGATTTCCCCGCATCACCACTTTGATGAGATTTGGTTTCCTGGTTTAAATGGTTCATTGAAATCCGACTAGACTAATTACAAAGTCGAGGCGCTGATACCACGGATCACAGGGATGGCGTGCACAGGAAGGAAGCAGCTTTTGATAGCAAGAGATTACCCGTTGCAACTCCACCACCCTCTGGTGTGCTCGTCCACTCCTATTTTTTCCCGTACCCGGCATAATGGGCAAATAAAGCTGAATGAGGGGGTATAACCTTCTTCCGCTTGACTTCCTCGCCAGATGAGCAGTCGAGGAGAGAAATCGCCCAGCACGGTTCATATCTCATCAAAAGAGAAGATTGGATATCATTTCTTGGACAGCAGGTCAAGAAACTGGTCAATACTTTTCCTGAGGGATCTCAGAGACGGTCTACATGATCCCTAGCTCGATCATGCTGTCGAATTGGGAGTCTTCGACGAAATTATTGTAATGATTTCGTCGCAGAAGTCACAGTAAGGGGCGTCCTCCCTTACTCGCTGATTCCCGGTCAGCATGTGATCCAGTTGGCCCAGGCAGGCATACAATTGTACACAGGAGAAGGATCGCGAAGCTTTCGCTCTGGAGAGAGTTCGTAATAGAATGCGGTGCAACCTTGTTGACGACGATGTGTCAAAACTCAACTAATTTTATTTCTCCGGCGTATGATATTTCTCAATGGCTACTGCGTCGCGTGATGGCGATGAAGCATCAAGAGCCGTACACATTGAGACGAATTCGGAGGTAGTTCGGGCCAGGGTAATCGTTTCTAGGACATCTTTTTATTTGCCAAGAGATAGAAGCTGATGAATGCCCCCTCCTGTCTCTTAAAAGACGAGTGGGAGGACAAACCCACTTTCTACCAACCGTGCCACCACAGGTCACCGATAATATGCGCTCCCTTCTCACAGTCTGTCTTCTTCTCGCCGCAGCGACTATTGACGGCGTGCTCGCTCGCTCTTCCGGTTGTGGAAAGAGCCCTCCGTCCAGCGGCACAAAGACCATGACGGTCAACGGCAAGAATCGAGAATATATCCTGCAAGTTCCTAACAACTACGACTCTAACAAGGCCTACAAGTTGATCTTTGGCTTCCATTGGCTGAATGGAAACATGAATAATGTGGCACCTGGTTATTACGGTCTGCGCAACCTTGCTGGCGAGAGTGCCATCTTCGTCGCTCCAAACGGACTCAACAGTGGCTGGGGTAACAATGGCGGCGAGGACATCACGTTCGTCGACAATATGATCAGCACCATTGAGAGCCAACTCTGCGTTGACGAGACGCAGCGCTTCGCCACTGGGTTCAGCTACGGCGGTGCCATGTCATACTCACTTGCCTGCTCACGTCCTAGTACGTTTTTCTCAGCGAAAACCTCTTAAATATAACTGATTCAAATCCTGCAGACGTCTTCCGTGCCGTCGCCGTCATTGCTGGTGCTCAGCTCAGCGGCTGCAATGGCGGTACTCAGCCAATTGCCTATCTTGGTATTCACGGTGTCGTCGACAGTGTCCTGAACATCAGCAATGGTCGCCAGCTGCGCGACAAATTCCTGTCCAATAACGGCTGCGCCTCCAAGAATGCCCCCGAGCCGTCCTCGGGGTCTGGCACGCATATCAAGACGACCTACACCTGCCGTGCTGGATACCCTGTATGGTGGATTGCCCACAGCGGTGATCACGTTGGTGACCCGCGCGACAGCAATGGAAACTACTGGGCACCGGGCGAGACGTGGACCTTCTTCACTCAGGCCATTTACGAGGGCGTGCAGTCTACGCAGACACAATCTCAGACACAATCTCAATCTCAGACACAATCCCAGTCGTCTTCTTCCTCGCGATCATCTTCCACGACCTCGTCCAACGGCGGTGGTAACTGCTCCGCCAAATGGGGCCAGTGCGGCGGTCAGAACTGGTCTGGAGCAACGTGCTGCCAGTCTGGAAGCACGTGCCAATACTCGAACCCTTGGTACTCGCAATGCTTGTAAACACCTGGAGCACAAGGATACATGGAGAGGACGGGCTCTTGTCTCTATGTACTGTTGCTATTCGGGGTGTTTCCACCTCTTCGAATCCATACCCATCTTTACTAGGATTTAGCTACGCGTAACTTCCCTTGTCGTCTACGAACATTGAGCCCTGTCGGTGGCCGGTTCTGTACTGTCCTCACCTGGACTTCTTTTTGAGACATGGATCAGAACGCTTAGAATACTCTACTGGTGAGAATACTATGCGAGGACGAGGCGGTTGGACTGTACATATGCCCTTTCTTGTGACGGCATCTCAGATGAATCCCAACAGGTTCACGTAGTAATCGATTACCGGATTTTGGCGGTATGAGAGTACCTCTTTGAAGCGGCTCGCTACGAATCTCAGACGAAGGGATCAGATACCGACATAAATTTTCGAGCTTCTCGAACAGATATACAGGCCTGGTGTATCTAAAGAGGCTACATCCTACGTTAATCATTACCCTTTGCATCAGAGTCCAGCCAATCGGGGGGATCTCGAGGCATCTTGGCTCTATGCCTGTCCATGACTACGATCCCGAGCTTTTGAAACCTGGTCAAGAGCGCCATAACCTGGGCCCTTGGCATCGAGTGTGGTGATACTTTTGTAGTGGTACGTAAATCTTGCCACGACTGTTCGAGCATGACATGAGTGACGCAATTGATAATACAACCTGCGATCCGTGCGAGATCAGTCGTGGAAATAGAATGAAACTTGGTATGAAGTAAGTCTATGAGGAGCAATGTGCGAGGTCCGCGCTCCAGTTCCTTGTTAGGGAGTGGAGGCACGAGATTAGGATCAGAGTTATGGCGTGAGAGCAAAGTGGGTACAGTATCGCTGTGCAGTTGCAGGTGATCGAAGCGCCATTGCATTCAACAAGATTTTGTGATTCCAGGGAGTAGTTTGTTGATAAAATTGACGAAGATGGATTTATGCCGATCTAAAAGTTGTCCTAACTCTTGACAGACAACTTTATCCACATGTCCACAGAGCTCTAGGGTCCTGAGGGCTGAAAGCGTCCAGGGAAGGAGATCTGGCGGCGCCCAAGTTTTCTCGAAGTATGGGAGTTTTATTTGGAAGTCCATTCTCAGCACTTTGAGCAACGGGAGCATGATTTTTGGCAGCCGCGCGTTGAGTTGATCCACATCGAGGCTAAGCGACAGATGAGTGAGCTTTGTGAGTTGGGGGTGGAAGAGGAGTGGGTATTTCCCATCGGCTCCTTTGTGCACTATGCAGGAGATTAATCGTAAGTTTGGTGCTTGGGAGAGTATGGGGATCGGATCAAAGGATAGTAGAGTAACAGACATTTCAGAGAACTCCATAGCTATGTGAGCCAGCCAGGTGGCCAACTCTTTGACGGTGAGTAACACGTTGGATCCCGACAAGGCTCAATGAATATGCCGTGGCAAGCAATGATATTACATCTTCCAGAGGGCATTCTAGCCGGGTGCCTTGTGGGCGGAGTGATGCTACGACCAGCAAGTTTGAACAAATCTATCATGATTTCATACATGCTGCCAGCATAGAGCATTGCCAGGGGCCAATCCCATGTTGCTCGCTACCTTGAAACCTAGACATTCCCATATGGCTCATCCTGTGCAGCTTGCTGAAGACCACGCACACCAAGCCTCCAATATTAGGCGTTTGCCTTGGTATGCAAGCTGTGAGAAATGTCAGTGGGAAGACAGCGAATTCTTTGCATATGATTGTCGTTACGATGTTCAGAAAGGTCTTTACGATTGTCTTTGAGACAAAAGCCGGCTGACAATATCTCTTGCAGAAATCTTCGATTTTTGAAAGCTTATTTTCCAAGGGAAGAAATGGGAGTTTGTCTTTGACATCTTCCAAGAGATATATAACGATGTTCCAGAAGAAGCCAGACAGCGAGTCAAAGACTCATTATGCGCTGTTGAACATCAGATGTCATGTATATGGCGTCAAACTGCAGTGGGAACCCAAGCCGAGGACGAGAACTGGCTTGACGAAAGTAAGTAAAATTATGTTCCTAACTCAAAATCTTATATCAAAATAGTTCTACGAGTTCGTTTTCTGGAAGCAAAGGTCAACCATGACCGTTGGCAGGAAGAGTCTGAGCTTGTACAAGCTGAATTACAGTATACACAAAGGTAATTTATGCACTGGAATCAAAAATGGATGCAGAAAGCTCAAAACGCGCAATATATGGGTGAAGCTGCCCACGCCTCCTCGATGGCCAATCAGTATAGAAGGCTAGCAGCTCAACTAGAGGATAGTATTGAGCAGTGTAACATAATTCGCAACTATTAACACTCCTCTATCTACACTTGATGTGTTCTGTGCTGAGCGGGGGACAGTAAGGATGGATCATCCCAACGTATTGCTAAGTCAATGAGTCATATATTTGATGTGAGTTGCATCGTATTATGGTTTGACTCTGGGCTGTGGATATGATCAATCAGTGGGAGAGCCACTCCGGAGTCACACAAGCCAAATCAAACTTGCAACCTTTTCACCAGATATAGCCATCAAACCGAATATATCATCAATATGACACGGTTCGACTTTCCGATGCAAAATTGGTCAGTTAGTGGGAGAGTCCTTGAGGTATCGCTGACCAAAGGACTCTCACAGCATTTCCGCTGGATATAACACTTATCCAGACGTCTCATGGGATCTTTATGGTCTTTATAATGCCGCGATTTGATTCTGGGATGCAGAACTGGTCAGTTATAGGGAGGGTCACTTCGAAGTTGCACTGAGTGAACTGCTCTCACTATGTTTCCCCTGAATCTATCGTGAAGAAAGTGAGCTTATAGATCTTTGAAAGTGATGTAGATGATATAATTCAACTCTGGGACGGAAAATTGGTCAGTTATTAGAAGAGCCACTTCGAGGTTGCACTGACTGAACTGCTCTCACTATGTTTCCCCTGAATCCATCGTAAACAAAATGAGGTTATAGGTCTTCTACAGTCATGTAGATGATATGATTCAACTCTGGGACGCAGGACTGGTCAGTTATTGGAAGAACCACTTTGAGGTCGCACCAACCAAATTCGTCTCACTGTAGTTTTACTGGATACATTGCGCATCTGAAATGGCCCTTAGGTGTAAGATGAACGGAAGGAGGTGCTATATTACAATCACTGTGAAAACACAGCCGGAAGGCCGAAGGGGAAGGTAGGTAAACCTGAGGCAGAGGATGAGTAGTATCGAATGGAGGAAGGAGAACAATGGGGGAAACACGTAGGGAACACTTAGAACTTGAACGTTTAGATGGCGTCATGAAATCACATATGAAGAACTACCTGAGAGTACAGGTGGTTTATAAAGAGCGCATCGGTAAAATGTAAGGGAAATGTGAGGGAATTTGGAAGAGAAATAAAGGTGTTTCGTGCGAGAATAATGACGAACGAAACGTTGACGGGGAAAGTGGATGAGTTGGAAGGCGAGCGACGCATGGAAACAAAACGTCAATGTGCCGAGGAAATAGTATATGAATGGTGAGTGAAACAAATGTAACGAAGTTGCGAGAAAAGATGAGGGATCAACGGCGAAACGGGGGAGGGGTGAGAGAGCGTAGGGAGGCAGCAGTCCACCGCAGACAGAGTTTCTACGGGTAAATGTGCGACGCTGGGACTCTTGATGAAGGAGAATGGCCGAAGTAATAACTGAAAAGGGAAGGGAGGTGAAGGTCGTGTTGATCGAGTGGCTGAGGCTGGAGGTCGAAATGAGCGCTTGTAGGCCTGCTCATATCGTCTTGTGGTACAACTGTAACAGGGAAAGAGCCACCTTATTGCGATCCCTGCACTCAGCCCGCAAGGGCTCACAAGCCTTGCTCCGCATTTCTGACATATCCCAGACAAATCCAATCCTTTCATTGCAAAGATCTGTGTGAATATAGATTTGACAGGCTTACAGAGCTATACGACCACGACCTCGACCCCGGCCACGTCCGCTTGCATTCCTGGAGTTTCCATTGCGGTGGCGCGTCTCCCGAAGTGAAACCTCTGACATCTGCGAAGTCAATGTCTTTCGACTACTTACGCACTGTCCTTTAGCACGCAACCGGGATGATCTCTCTGCACGGTTGCTAGGGGATCACTTTGGTTGTCTCCCTCTGCAGTATCACCTTGATTGTCTAGAAAAAGAGGAATAGCTGGCTGGGGCTGATGCAAAATTGATGCTGACGTTCCAAGCAGATGTGCATCTTCATTTGTGTTCATAGACCGTGACGATATATGATTTGGATGGGCCATATTAACTATAATCTGTCAGTGTACCGATTTTATAACAGTGGCAGGACATACTGATTGGGCCAGCAGGAGTACTTGGTAGTCCAGCAGTTCTGAGCTCGAGACCAGACAACAAATAATCAGCTTCTCAATGTCAAATCAAGTTCCCGTACGTGAAAGAGACTACAAACCGTCTTGTTCTTGCACTGAGAATTATATTAGAACCCAATATCCATCAAGAAATCCTGACGTACCCTGGACTTGGGATTCCTGGTCGGGGTATAAAGCCGAGTCTTAGTTTAACGTATTAGGAATGGAACAACTAATAGTTGAGTAATATACCATGAGCAAACGCGGCCAATGCCTTCGCCTTTGGTGTTAGTTTGAAGAGTAACCCCTTTTCCCAAGGAATTCTGTGGGACTGGTGGTCTTCAAAGAAGTCTAACCAAAGCGCTATATGCGCCTTGGTCGCGTTTTTGGGTGCCAATGGAAGTGGGATGGGCACGTCGAGATTGTCAACCTTTGTTGTAGGAAAGAATTTGTACCAGGCAATGTCGGCAAGCTGGCTCTCCAAAATGGTCCACTGAATAGGCGCTTCAATATCGCTAGCTCGACCAACACGGACTAGCAAGGATATTAGGACGCTCTGCATGTAATATAAACACACATACCCAGACGATTAGCAGTCAGGAATCGAATAAGCGTCTTGTTTTTGTGATGATTCTCGAAGCCACCAGTTTTGAGCTCTTTGACCAGATAGATACCGTCGCATATGCCATATATAGTGAGTGCTAGCCCCTGAAAAACCACTGTGGTTGGAAATATGTCGCCTTCTCGGGGAAGCTGAGGTGTTGGCTTCTTTTTCTTCAACCGACGACCATCTTCAATTGCATCCGCTCCCCGTTTCCGTGCAAGGATGGATACGGTGTCAAGGGCAACATTGTGGTTACCATCCGACAAGGACCCGTCATCGTCAATCTGGACTAAGGGGCTATTAGCTGATGAATGAATCATAGGATATGACAAACATTCTTTCCAATGTTTTGTCCACAGAAGGTTTCCATAGGCTTGAAGCGTTGCTTGAAGAGGTCGGGCTTTCGGGTCGTCTTGTGCATGCCAGTCAAGTATTGTGGGGGACTTCTTTGGTTTGAGAGCAAGGCTAACCAATAACTAGATATTAGACAAGATGGCCAAAGACTACATACGTACATTTTTGCCTCTGGTGGCGAACCATTAGGACCCGCAACAAAGATGACACAAATTGATGGCCATCGAAAGCCCTCATAAGTGTCCAGCATTACTGAGGAATAGTGAGCCTCAGCAAGAGCACGACGATGCCTAGAAGAAATCTCATCAGATATATTCCTTTGTAATCTTGACTTACTCAAAAGACAACAGCTTCATTCCCTGGTGGCAAGACGTGTATATCTCCATAAACTCCCCCCATACGCGAGCGTCATCACCTTCCAAGGGAAATGCAACCTGTGTGTGGAGGCGGCGAGTGATAAGTTCGCGCATCTCCGCCGAGACTTGCTCATAGTGGTTGATCACGGCACGAATTTTCTCGGGATTATTTGCAGATGTGGCGTGTAACCATAGCTTTTGTGCGTTGGGTACAGGCCCTCTATAGCGATTCTTGCGCCGGGATAAATTGATACGGTATCCAGTGTGCACATAGCGGACTGAATTGTAGTCTCCGTCGTCGTCACTCTCCGAGTTGTCGAGATGAAGGTGTCTCTGTGGTCTCTCGGAGGTGGGCTGACGAACGAGTTGTAAAGACTTCGTGTGAGCGTTAACATTGTAGTCCGATAGCTCACTCTCCCCGGAATCTTCAGACCAACCTAACCCATCTTCCAACTGTGCCGCCACCTGTCGCTCATCCTGTTGATCATTGATATTGCCTAGAGAATGTTAGTCGAGAAAGCTAGCAGTCAAGCTATAGCCGCACCGTGTTGGGAGTGAATGTCACCCACATCTCGAAAACTGTCGAGATTTTGACCGTTAAAGGCATTGTAAGATAGCTGATTATGCATTCCTTGTATGGCCTGTGGGTTGTATTCCTCGTATCCGGGTCCGTTTGATAAGGCGGTTGAGTACGAAGGCAATGGCGGAGGCCAACTGGTGTTACCCTGGTGTTCAACTGGCTCGTGTTCATTGGAGGTGGACCCCTTCATACGTATTAGCAAGCTAATTCAAACACTATCGACTATGTATATGTACCAGATTTACAGCAATGTTTGTTGCTCCTTGGTACAGATAGCTGGGTTGAGGGTGTATGATATGTGAATGTTCCATTGTGTTCGTCGATGTTCAGGTGAAAATATGATTGGAAAGCACGATTTCTTGCTAACCTGCTTAAATACCTCAGTTTTGTTGTACTATCATCGGTCAAGTCTTCAGGTTAGCCATGAAATCACGGTAATCACCCCTGACGGGTGGCAGACATGTGTCTCGGGTTCGCAAAGGATATCACAACAAACTTGACGAAGACTGTCTGTGATATCATGGTGCCATTAGCCAATGTAGCCTATAATCTCAATGTAAATTCTTCTGTATACACGAGCTTTGATTCACATAATTAAGACGAACTTCCGCAATCTGACTGGCATGATGCAAAGCAACCAAGAATACTGTCGATAGCTTGACAACAGTTTGAGGTCACTCAAATTAGTCTGAACGTAAGGACTCAAAGTTGATCACTTATACTTCCAACCTTGTCATGCCATCGGCCAATCATGCTGGCGACATTGTAGCAGATCCTAGGTTGATTTGCCCACTATGCAGCTATAATTTCAGTACTTCATCCAGTACAAGGCGTCATCTCATGCGACTCAAACCCTGTTGGCTTGGGAAGAAGTTGTCAAAAGGGCATTCAAAATCACAGACACAGAGACGTGAAAGAAAGAGACGCTACACTGCTCGGTAAGCAACCAAAACAACTTTGCAAACAGCTCATCAACCCGTTATGGACAGTTGTGACAGAGCACGTAATAGGGGATCTCCATAGTCCGATATGTCAATTCTTCGCATATTTATTACAAATTGGATCTTTTATTACCAGATATCAGCGTCTAGCCAAGCTAGGCCTGTATAATATGGCTAACAAGTTGTTGGATGTCGAACATTACAATCATCCTGATGGTATTTACTTAATTCCACTAAAGATAGTAAGATCTAATCTAGCTTTCACTCCTCAATGTATACTTAGGGAATCTTATTGCACCTCTGTAGACCACGGTGCAGGTTTGCCACATCCTCTCTTTGGCCTTATCATCAAGACGCCATACTAAACCAGCAAGAGTCCTGTGAGATATCATTTTTTCCATTGCGACTTTACACAAACCAGCTATGTTATCATTACGGCTCATGGCTATGGCCGATCACGTACACAGTGATGTAATTAAGCTTAGCGTGATATCAAGTGTGGCAATTACAAGTCAATTTGAACTAGTTGTGTTATCATTACGGCCATGGCCGATCAGGTATCAGTGATGTAATTAACATTAGCGTGATATCAAGGGCGGCGACCACAAGTCGAGTCAAACTACCTGTGTTACCATTACGGCCACGGCTGTTCAGGTACATAGTGATGTAATTAAGCTTAGCGTGATATCAAGGGCGGCGACCACAAGTCAACTCAAACTAGTCGTGTTATCATTACGGCCATGGCCGATCAGGCATCAGTGATGTAATTAACATTAGCGTGATATCAAGGGCGGCGACCACAAGTCGAGTCAAACTACCTGTGTTACCATTACGGCCACGGCTGTTCAGGTACATAGTGATGTAATTAAGCTTAGCGTGATATCAAGGGCGGCGACCACAAGTCAACTTAAACTAGCCGTGTTATCATTACGGCCATGGCCGATCAGGCATCAGTGATGTAATTAACATTAGCGTGATATCAAGGGCGGCGAATACAAGTCGAGTCAAACTGGTTGTGTTATCATTACCATGCTTAACTTCAACTACCGAGATGTCACACTAAGTAAGCCTGCACTATGTCACAAAATTATAGAACATCACGGCATGATCTTCTAGACTAGCTTTGATTGCATGATAAACTTGCTCAAGTCTGGCGAACTGAAGGGTGCTTAGGCCGTAGCTGATAGCAGGTCTCTCAAGAAAAGTATTCTGACAGCTTAAATCAGACTTGATTAATGTAGAAAATATTGATGTCATACGATGGCGGCTGGATGATCTCATCGAATATCTGTGTAGATATGCCGTGAAAGTATGATATCTGTAGGGAATGATGTCCATTGTCAGGAAATTCACGCAATGTGTGATTTGGATCACGGCACCCGTGCTCGTGATCTCCCGTGATTCCACAGCAGATCTGCACCTTTTTCCTTAGTAATCTCCCGCAAGTTGCATCGTACCTGACTGCCAGTTCTGGAATAATCAGTGTTTCTGATGAAGTGTTCAAGGCCGCTGTCCCAAAGTGACCGACGAGGCGGAGACGAACAGACTTTGGCCGCAAACCACACTTGACCATTTGGCCATTCTCTTTTGCAGTGTATACAAGCAGAGAATCTGAAATATGCACCATGGAGTGTCTGAATCCTATATCTATCTGCGCTCGATCAGATGAACTTGACGAAACTCTGAGCCCTCGCCCTCTCCACGAGGATCTTGCTGACTATGCTCCACTGAAACAACAAAAATGTCTATCACACCTAGCGATAAAGACCTCGTTTCTCCGCCCATACTCCCATTCAGACCTGCCACCCTCGTCTCGAGTCCCAGATGGGTGACTATGTCCGAGCGACGCAGCTGCAGCAGCTCCTCAAAAAGCGCATCATGGTGCTTATGAAACAAAAAGAGGCAGAATCCGCACACAAGGAAGACGAGGCGCGCAGGGTTCTACTCAAAACCACATAGGAGACGAGGGAATTGACCAAGGGAAACCAAGAACTCAAGGAGAAGATACTCCAGCTCGAGATGAGTGGCCAGGTCGAGCACAGTCCGTCACGGCAAAGTCGAGCACCCAGTCCGCCTTCTGAGGACCGTCAAGCGTGCTGGAGATATAGTCCCATGTCATCACCTATGCACAGGCACAGATCCTCCGCAGTGTCTCTATTAGATTCCCTCGACCTTTACGATGAGTCCCCAACCACAGAATATTGAGCCCTTCAACGGGAAATTGCTCCGTCCTCGGTATGTCTCAAGTTTTCATCGTCAAGTTCATGTAATTAGATCTCAATTCCTTAGGTTGGCTTCCTTAGGTTGTCTAATAGTGAGACAGCGAATGGTTGGCGTATGTACAAGGAAGTTAATTGGATGCACACTTGGATCCAAAGTCACGAGGCCTAAGCATACATCGATACCTACGGGTGTAGGGGCATTGAGTTGGCTCAGCGCCACCTCATCAGAGACTGGCTTTTCATCCAGCTCTTCCATTCCATGAGTCTTGGCCCCGAACACCACGGCATCTTGTAAGGCTGATCCCATCGCTCATTAAACATCCAGAGCTCAATGTCAGCACCGTGCGAGCCTGCTACTGAGCATTCTGGCCGATCATCCAATGACTCCAAGACCAAGTCCACACGGTCACGAAAGAATCAGCGTGGGTCTTTTATGGTAGGTAACAGACGCTGGACAGTGCTCCTTTATATAACGCTAGTTAATAGCAAAGGATTAGGTCCCGACTTGCCCCCACCATCTCTGAAGCGGTCCCTTCAGTGGCAGATCCACCGACAACCCCTAATTCATCATCATCTCAGGACTCAAAAACAGCTCAAGAATCATCAACGACGTATGGAGAGCCACCAGCACTCTCCGATACGCCGTGGCCACGCGACAATCGAGAGGATGGCCGGAGTCGTTGCTCTGGGTGTGGATTTTTCCCAAGGCCTCAAGGGTGCACCTACTGTTACGAGCAAGACTGGTTTGAGAGCCACGCATGACCGAGCCAGAGATCATTTCAAGTATGAGGTTTCCAGTAGCTGGGCAGTGGCAAAATTCTTGTACTATTAGTATCAATCTCGGATATCTTCCTAATAGACGAGTCCGCGTATACGAGTTCCCGAGCTAATGGCTAGATAGAGAGGGTCTAAGGGCTATGAATGCGGATCAGCTGCGGCCCCTGTAACGAATTGAAGACATACACTCAAAACAGTCCTTTATCTTGAATCCATCCCTTCAAGCTATATAACTCGCGCTTCCGTCTGGGAGGTGGCCAGCGCAGCTAAACGCATCTTGGAATCATCCACCGTCGCGATGTCGGACCGAAAGACAGCCAAATCCATGAAACAGCACAAAAGCGCGAATTCATCGAGATCTTCATCTCGCGCTCGACCCTCAACGAGTAAGAGGGATCAAGTATACGACGCTGTCAACTTTGGTCTCGATGTGACCGTAAATATAGCCGAAGGATCAGATATACTTGCGCCTCTAAAGGCGGCCTGTCGAACAACCAAATTGATCCTTGAAGTCGTCCAGGTGGTTTGATGAAACTAGCACGACTTCGTCTAATGGATGCGACAGGCGACAGAGAACAACCAAGAAGAATGGATCGACTTGGCTCGACGCCTGAAAGGATATATATCAGCACTTGAGGAACGGGTTGCTATATTTGAGACATATCCTCCGGAGGACAGGGTTGTCGACAAGGCATTTAGCCAGCCGCTCATTCACTATACTGAGTACGTGAACATATCAATTCTATCAATATACTGAGCGAGGCAGATTCCTCGAAACGATGAATGACATGGTTGTCGACCTACAGACGAAACGGAGCCGCAGCAAAGCCGGCATCTTTACCGCGTTCATCAAAATCAAAATTAACGCTGGGAAGATTTCCAAACTTAATTGAGATATCGAAGATCAGCATAGACAGTTTATGGTGCGAGCCTTGATCTGTCGCGTTTACAAGTTGACCACAAGCACAGGAGGCGTTGAGCCTTTTTACCGCAATGCGTATTCAAGCGATTGAACGGAATACAATGGCTACCAAAGACGATGTACGGGCTACCAAGGGCAACGTGGAGGTCACCAAGGCCAATGTGGAAACACTTCTGTCGGACGGTGTGTTGAAGCCTCTCATGAGATGCTTACTTACCATTCCAAGTCGACACCGCTGCAATACTACAGCCGCCAACAGTTGCATTCGTCGCATCTTCGGTCCACAACACCTGTTTGAAAGGGACGCGCGAGGCCGTTCTTCAGACGACCTGGCACTGGGCCGACGATGATTCCTCGGACAAGCCAATCTTTTGGCTCTGCGATATCGCTGGTTCCGGCAAGTCTACCGTCGCAATGTCCGCAGTCGAACCATGGCGCAAGAAGGGAGTGTTGGGCGGCCGGTTCTTCTTCTCCATAGCAAGTAACGAAAGGTCGACCACCGACAAAGTCTGCTCGACTATAGCAAGGGATCTTGTCCAGTACATCGCCGAGCTCGCGCCGCACATTGCTGAAGCAGTGAAGCAGAACCCTTCCTTCATGCGAAGCGCTCTTGATGAACAGTTCCAAGTGCTTGTCGGCAATCCTGTCCAACATCGCCAAGGGCGCGTGATACTTGTCATCGGCGCCCTCGACGAGTGTAAACTTGGATCACAGCGAAGGGAACTCGTAGGCATGCTGTCTGCGACTGTCAGAGAATACAAGAATCTCAGGATATTCATAACAAGTCGGCCAGATCCCGTCATCCAAGCAGCCTTAGGCCCACTCTCCATCAAAGCCAAGTTGGAGGACCGTCTCCACAATGTCAATTACGGCGACAATATAAAAGACATCGCTGTATACGTACATCAATCGCTAGATGGAGTATTACCGGTAGACAAGAGGCAGAGACTGGCCGACAAAGCCAACGGCTTGTTCATCTGGGCTGCCACAGCATGCCGAATGCTGAAGGACGAGACTAGTTTGAGCTCTCCCAAGTTCACCTATGATCTTCTGATTTCCATCGACCAAGCTGGCGCCATTGACAACCTATACAGCCTCATCTTCGAGCGCATAGACCCCGTGCACTATGAGGTGATGTATAGCATGCTTGCTCTGCTGCTCGCAGCGTTTGAACCCCTCACCACAGCGGATCTCGACGATATTCTCGAGCACGCTGGAATACATTGGAGCGCCAAAACCTTGGTGCGGAATCTCGGGAGTGTACTGATTGAGGACGCGAGTACAAATTTGATCCAATTCCACCATTCCACGCTCGTCGAGTATCTTCGACGTTGCTCCGTTAACCCGACTGTCAGTAGCTCCAATAAGATGTACATCAACGGCACCAATGCACATGAGCAAGCCGCATCGTGGTGTCTCGAATGCTTCAAATCGCCGACTGAAGGCCTCAGGTTCAACATATGTCAAATCGAATCTTCGTTGTCCCTAAACAGACAGATATCTGACCTTGATGCCAGAGTTTCAAGGTTTATCTCAAGAAAGCTTCGATATGCCAGCTCTCATTGGCTATTCCATTTGGTGGAAACTGGTGACGAGTGGCGAGGTGCGCTCGAACGCAGACTTGAGCACGCTCTTAGAATTCCCTATGTGCTATACTGGATGGAGATTCTTAGCTTAACTGGAGGAGTGCCACGAGCGATAACCGACCTTCGAGCTGCAACGCGCTGCACAGGGGTGAGTAATCCACCTGTACGATTTCTCGTATTTTACGCCGTGAATAGATTGAAGAGATCAAGAGCAGAATGACAGACATTCGACGTTTTCTAACGTCATTTTTGGTGCCGATTCAAGATAGTGCTCCCCACATCTACATCTCGGAGCTTCCTTTCAGCCAAATAAATTCAGTACTTCATGTCGAGAGCTTAAAACGACATGCAAATACCCTCACTGTGACTCAAGGCCTCGAGGAGATGTACCCTGGGCTCCCAAGAAGTCTCAAAGGCCATGAGGGATCTATACTTTCAATCAACTTCTCGCCAGACGGCTCGCGAATCATCTCTGGCTCGGAAGGCAACACTATTCGACTTTGGGATGCAGACACTGGTCAGCCACTGCGAGAGCCACTGCGAGAGCCACTGCGAGAGCCACTGCGAGAGCCACTGCGAGGGCATGAAGGAATGGTCTGGGCGGTTGGGTTCTCGCCAGATGGCTCTCGAATTGTTTCTAGTCCGGGTGACAGTACCATTCGATTGTGGAACGCAACGACTCGTCAGCCACTGGGGAAGCCACTCCAAGGTCATGAAGATCGGGTGAGGGCCGCAGGGTTCTCGCCAGACGGCTCACGAATCGTCTCTGGTTCGGACGATATAACCATTCGAATATGGGATGCTGAGACTGGTCAGCCACTAGGAGATCCACTTCGAGGTCATAAAGGCTGGGTGAGGGCCGTACAGTTCTCTCCAGACGGCTCCCGAATTGTCTCTGGCTCGGACGACCAGACCGTTCGACTATGGAACGCAGCGACTGGCCAACCTCCGGGAGAGCCAGTCCGAGATTGTGAAGGGCCTATCTACTCGGTTGGGTTCTCGTAGGATGACTCACGGATCGTCTCTGGCTCGGCCGACGATCTTCCACCACTGAGTGCAAAGATTGGTCAGTGGTAGTTTTGATTTATGGCGGCAGGCTGACGAATCTCGTTAGATGACACTGAGGAATCTGACTCGAGTGCCAGAACTGACTCGCGGGGTACTCCACCGAGAATCCTTGTACCCGGATTCAGTCACTGCTCACTGTCCCAAGATGGCTGGGTGCAATCTTCGGGTCAATTTCTCTTCTGGGTACCTCCAGACAATCGACATGGACTTCAATACCCGTCTGCTCTTCTGACTTTACCGACAAACAGTCCGCTGCGTCTAACCAAAGTTGATTTCACCCACTTTCAATGCGGTACCTCCTGGATAAACGTTCTACCAAATGCCAACCGGTAGATCGATCTGGTTGATGTGGCTATTCTTATATAATAAAACTATTATACATCAACCTATAAATAATAATAGTGTGAATGCCTTCCTGCTTCCAGTGGGATCGTAGTACTATCCTTTCTGATTAAATTTTCTGCCTAAGGAGCTGCAGCTTGTCCGGGCTTCATCAGTCAACGGACTTGACCTCGACGACGACTTGGCACGCTCGGTCAAAATTGCTTTATGAACCTATAGGTGCCAAAACTCACCTTGTTCACTCATTATGTCGTCCAAGAAGGCATCAAAAGCGATGAACCGACCTCAGCTGTCCAAAACTGCGGCTGGAGAATCGCCCGCTGCTGGCAATATCTCATGGGCTGGACCCGCCGTGCTCGTACTTGAAGCGCTTTCAATCCTTTTCCTCATTCCCGTTGCAACAGTCGCATCCCAACTTGCACTACACCCACTCTATGGCTCGACAACCGCGTCGTTACACTTCAGCACGCTCGCGCAGGTCGCATGTCTTTCGTCTGTCACACGTCCGACAATGCCAGCGCATCGATTGTTGCTATTCATTGCTATCATCCTCGGAGCCGCGCCAATGTCGGCAAAGGTCCTTGGAAGCTGGACAGGGCGAATGGGCGATCACACCTTGGGGCCAGTAATCACACAACTCGCAATTTCTGTTCCCCTTATTGGGCTCGCCAGTGTCCTGCTGCGAACTCGACTCGTACGTTGCCCCCTTCTTCCGATGCACGCCTCTAATCGACTCAGGCACCTCTTTTGCGCGGCACAAATCCGATTCTACCAAATATTCTCGCTGCGGCCAGTTTATACGCTGGCATTCACTACGGGGAACCTCTCCTGTGGAGGCGCATGTCATTTGGTGGCTTCCTAACCAGTTGTAACATGGTGCGTACTACCAGCTCAAACACAGGCCGAATCTAACAGATCACAGTTTCTGGGACTGTCGATTACCTCATCTGTCGCAGCGGCCCTCTCGACGCCAATCAAAGGCTCAAAGCCACACGAGGCATCCCGTTCGCTCATTTCATCTGGAATACTCCTCACAATTCCTCTCTTTATTACCGCATTTTCCAGATCCCAGTCGCCTTGTAGAACTCCCAGCCTCCCCGCGACGTTCCGGTCCGTCTACTACCCCACGCCGACAAATGCTTCGGCCCTCTCAAAGCTGACGCAAAGTTTTGGAATTGGCGTATCAACACTCGAAGCTGATCCAGAGAATCAACCACGCAACGTTACCGTCAATCTGCTCGCCAGGTCCGACTCGGTGACCGGTACGATTGTGGTTGGTGAATCTGTCGAGGATGGGTTTCGCTTTCTCCGTGCCGACCATTCCATACTCGGTGGTCGGTGGATTGGTGACAAGACCTACGGGGCACCGCTTGGGGAGAGCGTATATGGAGCATTTACATTGCAAGAAGCCGTACGCCTGGTCAAGCGTGAACACGTCAAAGAGTCGGAGAATGTTCTCAACATGTGCGCGCTACTCTGTTCAGTAATCACAGGAGATTGACCTACCATTGCAGTGGCTTAGGGATCGGTATTGCCGCTGATGCCTTGATCAAGCATGGTCACAAGGTCCACATAGTCGAAATTGATCCAGCGGTATATACCTATGCAAGGGGTTTCTTCAACTTGTCCGAACCGTATGCCGTCCATCTTGTCGATGCCCGAGGTTGGGTACACGAGCAATACAAACTCCACAAGGCCACGTCGGACAAAGTCTTCCACCTCGATTATTCCGACGCATCGTCCTCCTCGAAACCTGGACAATCTACAGGCGATCTAAACGCAGACAAGTTCGCCATGGTGATCCATGACTGCTTTTCTGGCGGCGGCGTACCCGCGCATATCTTCACGCTCGAGTTTTGGGAAGAGCTTAAGGGGATCATGACACCCGACGGCGTCCTGGCTGTCAATTTTGCTGGCCACATCGGCACTGAAGCCGCGCGTGCTATTTGGTACACGCTCGAGCATGCCTTTTCGCCTGCAAAAGGTGGAAGAGGATGTCGTGTATTCCATGATCGCGTCAGTGACCCTTCTAAGCCTATAGAGGAGCAGAACGTCCTCGAGGAGGATGCGTTCCTGAATATGGTGTACTTCTGCCAAAAGGACGAGGGCGCATTGACGGATGTGGATAGCAAGGATGACAAGAAGGTGGAGTTTAGGAGAGCAACAGAGGCGGATTACTTGAGAAGTTGGTTGCGACACATGATCCTCTCGACGATGTTGGATCGTGAGGTGACCAAAGAGCAGATTACAGGAGCAAAGGCAGCGCAGGAAAAGGGCACAGAAATCAAAGCAGACGAGTGGATACTGACCGATGCAAACAATCGGTTAGGGGAGTGGCAACACCACAGTGCCGTGGAACACTGGGGCCGTGCGTATCTTTTCTCGTGTTTGAAGCGAGCTGATTTCTTTGGTGTGCAGTTATGCGGACCGTTATGCCGTACAACGTTTGGGAGATCTATTAACCATCTCGAAATACATTTTTTTTCCAGAATTCTTACCCCTCGGATATTAAACAAGCTTATCGCATTGGAACACCACCTGGAGGTCCCATCATGCCCATACCCATAGGCGGAGGAACGCCTGGCTGCATACCCATAGGCATTCCCATCCCTGCGTTCATATTTGCTTGTTGATGCGCAGCCTGGTGAATTTGCGAGACCGTATTTCCCATTCTGAGTGCTTCGTATACGCCGACACCTTCATATACCCAGTCTTCATGGAAAAAGTCGCTGCGCATGAGATCGCTCTCGTGAACGCTCAGCCCAGCGTTTCCGCCGCTGCCTCCACCTTCTGCAGCGCGTTCATTGCCGTAGATGACCTCCAAGTCGCGCGCTTGCGATTCGACAAAGGTTTTCATAAACTTGGATGGGTTTTCGGCGAGAGATGTGAAAAAGTCGCGACGCATGCGCAGAAGGCGAAGCTCTTGGAGTCGTTGTTTGATCTAAATGATGATGAATATGAAAATGAGGAATAATTCGAGCGTATAGGTACTAACCTCGTCATCTGCTTTTAGGATTGCGTTGAATTGACCAGTGCTGGATGCAGGCGCCATGGGTGTCCCTGCAGTGTCTGGCTGCATACTCATGATAATCTAAAAAAAAGGTCGTGTCAGAGCAAATGGATTATTCGAGAACATGGACGCACCTCGCCAGCTTTAGCACGCATCCACAAATCGTCCATATCGAGCGCAACGTCGTATACCGTCAAACCTGACTTGCCATCCTTGTCTACACCAATTCCGCCGGGCTTGGGAACCGCAACACCTGTGCTGTCTGACATTTCCACGTCTCCGCTGATAGCAGGGTCGATACAGTGCGTGCCGATTTCGTAGCGGAGCATGATCGGGTCCGGGGGAGTGAGGTGCATATTTAGAAGGGTGATTATGTCTTGAAAGTTGAGTGACTCGTATCTGCCATTAACAATGAGTGCTCGACGCCGACAGATATGAGAGATACATACTTGAATACGGCGCGCAACTTGTCGTCCAATTTGATCAACTTGCGATCATTCTTGTCTTGTAATCCGTTTGCCTTGACATAGTGCCAGAATGCGCCACAGATGTTCCCCCGAGTATCTTCGTAGATGCCCAATAATTGTGCCAGAACAGGGGGAAGACGGAAGCGTTCGGGGTTATGATGAACATGAAGTGTGATTCTAAGTGCAGTTGGGGCATCTCCCGAACGCGTGAGAGTGAAGCCGTCCAGGGGTGCAGCAGGATTGACGGGTGTGGTCGAAGGCGTAGCATTGGATGCAGAAGCAGGTGCAGCTGAATCCGTACCAGCATTTCCGTCGGTCCCTGTCGTCCCCGTGGCAGAGGCAGCGGCGGTAGCTTGAGATTGCTGTTGCGCAACAAGGTGTGGGTAGAATCCATACGTGGAGTAGACCGCCCAGTGCTGCTGAGGTGTCCACTGTACATGATTTGTGTCCGCGTAGACGTTTGGATCTCGGTCCATCTCGATGGATAAGCTTTTGAGCATTTGCGAAAACTTGCGTTCGGGAAGAGGCCAATGCTTGGGTCTTGGTACATGTTCGGGCTACAATGGCAGTTGTGCTGTTAGACATAATCATATATAGCAAAGCGGCCTACCTCTAGCAGTTTCCCTTCAATTTTAAACGTCCATGATGGGACGTTTTGACCAGATTCCAGACCCTCTTTTGCCTCTTCTCCTTCTGCACCCTCTTCCGTTTTCTCTTCATTGTTTTCTGTTCCAGAGGACGACTTTTGCCATGTCTGGTTGTTGACGGTGTGCGAGAGATAGATTCTCAGTGTCCTTCTCGTCTATTTGCATCAATATTTGCATTTCAACCGATTAGGCGCCGAAAACACGTCAATGGATGCGCAAACACGCGCAAGAGGACGTTACCAAAAAGGAGCCGCGATGGAGACTGTCTGTGAGTTCTTGTCTGCGACGCGTCATCGTCCAGTCCAACTTCTTTTCCATCTCCAAGAGCTCGTCGAAGAGGGTTGCATCTGGCGAGATGGACGACAAGCCAGGCGGGAGCGAACGGTCTGTAAGACGGCGTGGCCTGTTGCAAGCAATGTTTTAGAATATTTCATTTCGATTTACCGTCCTCTCGGGCGTCTTACATGGCAAAGCTTAGAAATGGGTACGTGTGGTTGGGAGAAGGTGTTGTCGACTACAAGATTCTGACTATGTAGGCACAAGAATCAACTACCACTAAAATCATGAACAGTTCTATCTCCACGATGTCGGTGGTGGCGGCTTGTTCTGGAAAATCTCTTCAACCTCATCCACGACAGCCGCGTCAATCTTTCCGAGTACATCAAGCGCACCAAGCTGCTCAAGCATCTGAGCTGGAGATTTGCACCCCATGATAATTGTCCCCGTGCTCTCCATCTTCAGAATGTACGCAAGGCTGAGCTGGGTCACGCTCGCACCTAGGCGCTCTGCGATTTCCGTAAGCTTTTTCACCTTTTCAATCTGCTGTTTCCCCTCATCCGATGTCAGAAGATGTTTCACCCGTGACTGCAGCCAGTCCATCTCCGTATGCACTGCGAATCGCGAATCTGGGGGGACGACGCCAGAGTTGTATTTCCCCGTGAGGAAACCGCAATAAAGCGCACTGAACACCGTGATACTCGTCCCGTAGCGCTGGAAGATGGGCTTGTACTCTCCCTCGACGCGGTCCCGCTTGAACAGACTGTGCTCCGTCTGTTCAGCAATGGGCGGGATGAGGTTCAGTCGTGCACAGGTCTGATGTGCCTCTTCGAGTTCGAGTGCAGACCATTCGGATGTACCCCAATAGTGCGTCTTGCCGCTTTGGATGCAATGGTTAAAGGCGCGAACCACTTCATCCATCGGGACAGAAGGGTCGGGCCGGTGTGCAAAGTAGATGTCTACATAGTCCATTTGCAGACGTGCGAGCGAGGCGTCGAGGGCTTCAATAATGCTACCCGGTACGGTGAGTGATGAAGGTGGCTGATTTAAGGCGGAGTCTTACTGCTTCCTAGAGAGTCCGATTGCATTGGGACTTTCGCCATGCCCCCAGAATACTTTGGTCGAGATGACCAGGTCGGAACGACGGATGTTTAGCTCCTTGACGCAGCGGCCACTGATTTGCATCAGCTGAGCCTCAACGATTCGATATTGCTTACATCTCCCTTTCTGACTGGCCATCCGCATATTCTATACTCGGTGAGCTTCATCATTCAAAAGCAGAAACCAGACGAACCTTCAGCAGTATCGATAAAGTTTACCCCATTCTCCCAGGCACACTTGATAATATCCCGTACGGGATCTCCCTTGACTGTTCCACCAAGGGTGAGCCACCCTCCGAGCGAGAGACAGGACACCCTCAACCCCGAGCGCCCAAGCCTACCCAGCATAAGTACTCCAGCTTTTCAATACTATTGAATGTACCTTCGATACTCCATCTTTTCATTCTTCTTGAACGCAAATACCTCCTCGGCCATGGCTGCCTTGGTCTATGGTCGGTTGGGGAAAGACATCTGACATCGAGTACTTATATAGTCCAAGCCATTACCAGGGTCGAGGCTTATTCGGGTGTTGAGACGAAGAGGAAGTGCGGCCGGGCAGATGGTGAAAGCTACGATTGGCCACTGACGCTGTTGACGGCACATCTGCTCTATGAATCGGCATCTGCCTCGACTGGAACTGGCCTTTGTTCCGATATTACGCCGCTTCGCCTACTGTTATTCGGATCCTCGCCTTCTCGTGGGTATTAGAGCGTATGGAATCAATAACGATCTAGTACTATTACATCTTCTCTACTGGTTAATTCAGAAGTTCTATCAAGGCTCGGTGAGTGGCTGACACATGGTCTGGACAGAGTAACGCACCAAAGTGGCAAAGTCAAAGCGACAGCTTAAGAATCTCCCTTATTCATCAATCCAAGCCCACCATCTCCACCTTTTGCCATCTCGCCAGGTGCACTCCGGAACCTTACAGCCGAGCTACTCCCCACCCCCTCTTCGCTCCTTGGCACCTCACCCGCGCGACCCAATCCACCACCTTGATCCTTTGTCGTCGTTGTCGTAGGATGCGCAGGTGACACACTCGCACTACTCATCCTCGCCTCTCCCTTGGTATCATTCAACTTTGCGACGAGCTCCTCTGAGGCGGGTGGGTGATGTGTGTAGAGTCCTGATGTAGGGAATGGACCAGGTGACTCTCCGTGGTCTTGTTTCTTCACACGAGGATCCGAAATTTTCTCTCCTTGGGATTGTGGCGCCGTCGCATGGACGTATTTGGGACTCTCGTTCGAAGACGACGTATGAGTGCCACTGTAGAGCTCCCTATTATAGTCTTGCGATGCAGCCCTTTTCGCTGCAGCCGCTTCACGCTCCGACGAGGCCGAATGGAGTGCATTCGACGCTCGCGCATGCGTATACGCCGTTGTCGCAAGCGTTCGACGCGTTTGTGAGCTCGTAACAGTCACTATAAACTTGGATCCGCGATTCATTTTGTAAAGGTCAAGAGCGTTGAGGTCTAAGTCGTTTAGCCTTGACGTCACTAACGAGTGGCGACCAATGTTAAAGAGAACCTTGGAGCCATCCAAGAAGAGTGTCCATGAGAAAGGAAATATACACGAAATGACACGACTTCAACCCAAGAAAAACAAGGGCTAAATCAGCTCCACATGAAATCGAAGGCTCGCCCCTCTGCCTCTTTATCCAACTGCATCTGCATCTCCTCCCCTCGCCGCTCGTATGTCCCATCGAACAATGCACCCGTGTCGTATATGCTCGTATCCGTCTCGTACCCCGCAGGCACTACAGCACATCCATTTGCGGTAACCTCTGGAGCGACAATCTCGTACATGGCTCGTGTCGAATGATGATGGTGCATGTACGATTGCTCAAATGTATCGTCGAATGGGTTTGGATCATAGGGGCTGGACCCGTATTGATAGTCAACATTGAATCCGCTCGAGGCGCCGACGGTGTGCGGCATCGATAGCGACGTCGCACTAGAAGTTGACGCATGGGTCAATGAGATGCTAGGCGTATTTGCCCATCCAAACTGCGAAGCGTCCAAGGAAGGGTACGGCGATTGAACTGAGTAGGACGAAGACGATTGAGATTCAGTCAAAGACTGAGCCGACCTCGTCAAATCTTCATAGTCCTGATCCGCATCGTAGCAGAAATTGTCCAACGAGCCTCGTCTGCTCGCCACCTCGTTGGCCACCGTCATCGTAGGGTCGACATAGAGGAGATCATGGGCTTGAAATCCAAAGGAGTGAGTCGAATGTGAGCGTGATCGCCCAGAGACCGAGGCCGGGTGGGACGCTGGATGAGATAGGTCGCTGATACTCGGAGCATGGGAGAGTACCGAGCTAGTGTAGCTCGACGACGAATGGTGTCCGTAAGGATGAGATCCCATCTGTGATTGGCCGACTTCATCCGCGCCTTCGTATGCCAGTTGGCCAAACGTCTCATTACCCATCGGCGTAAAGCCCTCGTCAAAATTATTGGGAAAGAGTCCTCCCAATTCGTCGTTCGGATGTTCGTTTGGGACCAATTGCGGCGAGGGTTGGTGCAGGCTTGCATAGTCTGGTTCGGTTATCGTCGACGGCTGCATAGGGCCAATTCTCCGTCCAATAGTAGACAAAGGACCATCCAACTCGTACTCGGAATCAGGAACGATCCACTCATCGTCTCCATCTCCCGAATCCGACGTCAACCTATCATCCATTTCCAACACGCGCAACCGCGATGGGAGGTGCTTTCCTCCAGATGTTCTTCCTCTTTGACCATGCGCAGAGTGACGCCTCGCAGAAGAAGAATCATGCGATCCAGCGGTCCCTCTCGGCAACGACTTTCCCTTTCCACGTCCAAAAGGCCGGATGGCATCCAACGTCATCTCCTCATCACTCGACTCGGACAACTCAAAGCTTGGCATCGGAGACTCGCTACGAGCCTTCCAGATATTCGAATCAAACCCCGCCTTTTGCGCAGGCGGCTTGAGGCGTGCGAGTGGATCATCCCCGACGACGCCCACCCACTGCTCTCGCACAGTGTATCCCCATCCTTGACCAGTCGTCATCTCATCAGGCGTACGGTGCGCCATTGCGTTCCAAACAATCGCCCTCGTCATCGAAAACGACGAAAACGCGTGTCTCTCGCGCGAAATCATGTGCAGTGGAAAAGTTTGGTTGCCTAAGATGTCGATTGATGGATCAGAACCCGCATCTTTGCTCGAGGACTCGGAGAGGGACGGCTTGGAGAGGTCGTAGATGTGCAGTGCGACGAGTTTGGGCAACCGTCGAAGAAAAATTCCCCAAAAGGACTCGAATAATTGCTAGATATAAAGTCAGCGGTGCTTTAAGAAATCTTGAGAGAGACGAACCGAGTCCGGTCCCTCAGTGAGACAACGAATTTCGAGTGCGGTCAACTGAGGCAACTCCTGGACGATCATCCACAACAAGTCGATATCCCACCGTACGACAGTAAACTCCAATCTTTCCAACGCACCCGCCAAAGTCTTGAGGGAGGAAACGGTTGTATGGAGGGCATTGGTGAGGTATTTTGTGACCTGTCGCTCGATGCGCTCCATCAAGTGGGCCTTTGGGTGTGCTCCTTGCTCAGGTGGACCGAAAAAATTGTAAACGGCGCCCCACTCTGTCGAGGGAGACAACGCCGTATGATTCGAGGGTAAGGCAAACACATTTTGAGCAAGGTGAAAGTGCATCGTCCCGTTCGTTGCACCCGGGAAAATCGCACCAGGATGCGTCCCGTCTCGCCAGAGAATGTCGTTGGCGACTTTGCTAAACGAGTCGCGGATGCACAAGCTTTTGATATTGGCCGCCTGGAAAAAGAGGGGTGCCAGGCATGATGGACCAGTGAAGGATTGGAGGGATTGGAGAAAGGGTTTTGCATCCTCGAAGGAGTGGGAAGCCATGCCCAACCGATCGCGGAGGAGCATCACAAGATCGACACATTCTTCCTTGGTCGTCTCTGCAATCTCGAGATGGGAAAGACGGTGGCCAAACGACTCGAGAAAGTCGAATAGCCGTCGTGCGCCTCCATCCGCATTGGAATAGACAATACGAAAGTCGGTGAGCTGAGAGGGGATATAATGTTCGTCGGTGGCGTTGGTGACCAACAAGGCCTTTTTGTATGCCTCGAAAACGGTACGAAACGCCTCTGATGTCGTTCGAAGGGAGCAAAGGTGCGGGGAAATGATGGTGGCATACAGTTGCTCGACACCGTCGAGTCGTGTGAAATCGTAGGACATGGCGCCACCGTGCATACGAAAGTCAAACATTGTCGGAGCAGATGCGATGCCACTTAGGGACACGCGTGTGAGACGAGGGGGCCATCTCGGGGTCGTAGAATTGAACAAGGGGACGCCAGCCTCGTTGCTCGATTGGTCGCCCATCAGTAACTGAACTTGTATCCCATTCCCCTCTTGAATACGCTGGTTGACCAACTGATCAGAGATGGGTGTCTGGTCTAGAACAAGAATGGTCTCGGCTCTGCATCGTTCGAGTTCCAATTCTTCGAGATTCTGCAGATCCGGAAGCGCGTTTATTAGCTCGCCGGGGAGAATCACGTTAGAGAGGGAGAGTTTGCGGAGATTGGTCATAAGGAGGATAGAGCCGGCAATGCTCGTCGATGGCAATGAGCTACGACGGCGGTGGTTGGCGACAATATGGACAAACGGACCGACTGATGGATCGCGTTCTTTTCTCCAGGCCTAGTGATAGATTAGCATAAGAGCCAAGTGGAATGCAATGCATTGGATAAGAGACGCAGGGTCGTGAGGGGGGATTGCTTACTGAAACAAAGGCATTATCCGTTCCAATAACATTAAACGTGTCTAATCTCTGTTTAAATTTCTGCGTTAGCATCTCTCGTCTGGCTGCTGGAGGAGAGGTGGGACGACTTGCCTGTCGTGAACGCGTCGCGCTCTGGGCGTGGGGCGCAAAAGAGCGCAGAATACGACACTCTCTGACGTGTTCGAGTATCGAGCCATTTCTGTTCAAGTCGCGCACCAGGGCCTCTGTGCACAAACTCGACCTGAGGAGCGCCTGCTCGTCTGCGACGGCCCAGGAAACATTCTGGTAGAGGAGTGGAAGAGCTAGCTGATAAAATGTTCTTGATAAGCAGATTGCATTCAGCAATTCTGGCGTGTGCAGCAAGGAGAGAATGTGCAACCAGAGCTCGGGCGGGAGACGTGTATACTCGTTTGTCGTCGCTGTATTCTCCATTTTTATGGCAATTAGTTGACGTGTCCTTTGGAGCACCCAGCCCGGTCGCTCCACGGACGTTGGGGTTCAAGAAGCAGGATAGGCGGTGGCAGCCGCAGAATGGAAAAAAGACGAAAAGAGACGCGGTTTACAAGACACGGATGTTTATATACACGACAGCCTGCACACTGTCACAGCTTCCAAGGAGACCCTTGAGCTCCAGAGCGTGGCTCCTTAGCCAACCTCTGAATCCTCTTTGCCCTCTGTAAACTCATACGAGTCCAACCAGTCACTCTTGACCCCTGAAACAAGTGTTAGCATCCACACAAACATAAAAAAGGAGTGCATACCGCTCAGCGTGTCCTCTGTAATCTCGACCAGGTTCTCCGGATCATGGCGCAGACAATACCCCTCGCGATAGTACTTTGCCGTCCACTCGCGAAACCGTCGCTCATTGGCATCATACGTCTTCCACCACGAGCTCATCCACTCGCCCTCATCTTCCCTCTCGCCCTTTTTCGCAGTAGACGGCCCACTTTCCGGCACCGTCTCTCTCCCAAGCGACTGCGGATCCGGTGCCGAAGCCGATAGTGGTGATGATGATGGTGGCTTGTCCCCACTGGTCGACGAAACAGGCGCAATACCCTTGTCAACAGGGGCCGTCGCGTTGGTTGGATCACGCTCTTCGGAAGATTGCGAGCGCAAAGAGCCTTCACCTTCAATATATCTTGCGGAAGCAGAAGAAGATGCAGCAGTTCCTGCTGCTGCATCGCCATTCTGCGTTGTTGTCTCTTCTGGCGCACGCGGCGGCGACGTCTGGCCGTTTGTCATTGGACAAGCCCGACTCGAACCTGGTCGAGCTGAGATTGTCAGATCCAAATCTTTGGCGCACCCTGAACTCTCTCCTTCGGCATCGTTCCCGGTCCCGATGTGCCCAGGCGAGGCGTCGGACATGTCCTCTTTCGAAAGCGCCGGCGAGACGAGATCATCCCCCTCTTGGGCCTCCACCATCTTGACTGAGGGGTGTCCATTGGCAAGGGAGCCATTCGGGTACGCCCTCTCTGGACTCTCCTGTATACTCGATTCTTCTGAACCAGCAGCACTCGATTCTCCGAGTAACGAATCGAGCTCGAGTGTCCCTACTTCCAACGCATCCAGCTCGTCTGCATCCGCAACGTCTCCTTCTGCTCGCACGGTACCTTCCTCTTGCGCATCTTGATCCTGCGCGTCCTCGTCCTCGCCTTCCCCGTTATTCTGAACGAGATCATCAAACGAGTAAGGCTTGGGATGCACGGGCGTCTTGCACCTCCATCCACTGGCAAAGCAATAATGGCACCCGGGTCTGTCATCATTAAGTACAAGACGAATAAAAGTTTAGAAAAAGAGACGTACACTTTTTCCTTGAAATACCGCTCGTCGTATGAAAAAGTCACGCCCTCGCCATCATCCGGCGTACTCAGCCGTTGACCAAGCAATCTGACGATACTCGACAACGTATCCGGAGCAGGATACCCAGGCAACAAAATCCTCGTAATCTTCCTCGGCGGTTTCGACCCACCACGAGAACCAGGCGTGCCCGCACGTTCTTTGCCTTTATCTCGACTCGTCTCGCCGTTGAGCCGCGGAGTCGTGGCACCGTCCCCCTGTGTAGCCAACAAAGGCGGGAACCAAAGATTTCTCGTCTCTAATACTCGCAACAAGAGATCAAACGCAGGGTAGCCTCCAAATGCCATGACCTCTAGATTCGGACACGGGAAATGGCACTCCTCATCGGTTTCTTCTTCGAAATCTTGCCACGTCGTCATACTTCTCCTCCACTCTGCACCAGGACCCTTTCGTGTGCTCAAATTCGACTGCGGGCGTGAGGACGAGGTGCATTTGTCCGTCTTTCCTAGTCCTTCGAGAAACTTGAGCACCTCGGGCATGATCGCCTCTGAGCCAAATTTAATCTCTTCAATGGATGGGATGAGGAGGGAATACGCGGCAATACCCATCGCCACGGGCGGACCCCGCTCGCTCTCGTCGTTGCTTTCCTTTCTACTTGGCCCTTCCTCTTTTTTCTCGTCGACGATGCCATTTCCCGAAAAGGATGGCTGCGTCGTGGTGAGCGATTCTTGGAGGAGCATCTCTCCATACTCGTTGACTTCAGCCCACTCCCCCCGCGCACCACGCACTTCTTCACCTCCACCAACCCAGTGAAGAATCTTCAAATGCGACGTATCCATGATAGAAAGAAGTGGAGCTTGAGCAGGGTGAAGTATCACTTTTCGAAGCGACGACCCAGCGCGTAAGTGAATCTGTCTTCGGGCGCGGTTTCTCGAAGAGTGCGTGATGCGTTTCAACTGGGGTGGTGGTTTGGAGGAACTAGGGTCTGGTACGGATGGCGGTGTCAGAGGTGGTGGAGTAGAGAGGGCCGACGAGGGTTTTGGAGACGGGAGTGACGACGCGCTTCGTTGCTTGCTCGCCATGTACGACGTGAGCGAGAGGAACAAGGGTGTAGGATCAGGGCAGTGTAATGTATGCAAATTTGGCGCCTCGATGAATCGCAAAATGGTCGAAGTGAATGCTGTCAATTCGTGGAGAGCAGGGAGAGAGGCAAAGGATTGGTGAGGTGTTCGCTGTCGTTGACGTTTCGAGGTTCCGTTGACTTTGGGCAAGGAAGAGGAAGTGGTGTTGGGGTAGAGGGCACCTCGTCGACTGGTGCTGAGCATGCCGCTGACGCAAATCTTTTCCAATACGCTGGAAATGCTGGATAGGTATCCGACCACGGGCCAGACAGAGACGCGTATTCGAAACGTCAGAGTCAAGTCTGTCACGCCAGAGAGCATGGTCTGGCAGGCATGCAAGAGGTGTGCAAACATGGGCGAAGCGGTTCGGCGTCGAGGAGAGGGGGATTGGGAACGTGTAGGCGGTCGCTCATTTCCAGTGGATGTTGTAGCCTTTTCTGGTGAGATTTCGTCGTCTTCCGTGTCCGAGTTGGAGGAGAGCGACTCGGCATCTTCATCCATACCGTCGCCTAGTGGCCAGTACTCTGTATCATAGTTTTGAAGAATCAGAGTACGGACAGAGGAGAGGTCAGGAAGGATACTCGGAACGATAAAGCCCTTTGATCGCTCCGGGCTGGTCCCCAGGCCAATCTCGTCGCTCTCCTTCATGCCCAGTTCCAGTCTTGTGAGCTTTGGTAGAGTGGCGAAACTCTGTAGAAATTCGGATAGTGAGGGCCAGGTCAGGTCGAGGCAGAGTACAGTGAGGGTGGGAAGATGAAACAATGGATGGTGTGCTGGTGCAATTAGTTGGCTACATTCTAGCATAGAGAGCTGGGTGGATGCGAGAGTGGATAAGAGGACTGGATCAGAATGAGATGGAGACGAAGCATAGAGGTTGTCACGGGCATGGGGCGAGGTTAGCATGAGATGTTGAAGAGAGGGAAGTCGTGAGAGAAGACTGCAGGCGCGTTCGACAGTCATATTGGTGGAAAGATGCCGGAGTTCTGGCATTGCTGAGAGACGAACGTCGGACAAGGCGTCGCTGGGCATAGTATCTGATGGCATCTCCTGTAAATTGTAGAGATCGTTCATCATCCGTTCTAATGTGATGCCTGGAAGACACCAACGCCAGACGCCACGCAATCGTTTGGAGACGGGGAATCCCTCCTCGAGGAGGGTGCGCGAGTAATAGTCAAACTCGTGACGCATCTTGACTTCTTCGAGACTTTCGAGTTGCTTGAATGGTTTCAAAAGAGAAAAAGCGGTATCGTAAAAGGCGATAAAGGGGCCGTCGTCTCCGGGTTTGTGGGCACGATGGGAGGCGAGTGACTGGGTAAAGATGATCCGTCGTATCCTCTTTTTTGTTTGTGGTTCCAGCAGAGGTGCATAAGCCGTGTCTGGGAGGACGGCTGAATCTGAATCGATAAAGAGCGTCGGTGGTGGGAGCTGAATCAAGACTGTGAGTGGGAGAGTACCAGACAGATGGAGACCAGCGTGTAGACGGTGAAGAACATCGGGGTTGTCGTCGAGAACGAGCGTGTTCCAGAGAGCGTGGACGGCAAGGAGCTTGCGGGACCAGGAGGAGGAGACGAGAAGGAGTGGATAGATGACATCTGGGCCATTCTCATCAGACAGCAAATACAGCAGACATTCGATCCACAGCTCGGGCGGGAGAGCCTCGAGTGGGTCTGCAAGAGGCTGTCTGCGGAGTTTGTTGCGCTGATCTACAAGTGCATTGTATTCTTCATGCAGTTTCTGGAGTGTTGGTGCTGTTTTTGAACTGGATAAACGAGCGGGTGAGGTGCTGGAGGCAGGCTCTGGCTGGACAGATGGGCGGCGTGCAGATTTGATAGCAGCAAGTAGACGATAACGCTCCTGTTCCACCTCTTCGGGGATATTCAGTCCGTCCATGGTTCACTAGAAGACGACAAGCGTTGGGCGCTTAGATTTTGCCAAACAGCGCGGGGGAATATCAATAATATTCAATATAACGTCGAATGGGAGCTGTCTTTTGCACGTGATATATATATGTTGCTCTCGTTTGTAGACTACGCTTATGTTCAATTTAACAACTCGCATTCCGTCGAATCTTCCGCGGCCGAAATCCGCGCAATTCGATTGGACGCTACCCGACAAATTCACGAGCAACCCAAACGGCCAAACTGGACACTCGCAACTTGGACCCGTCCACTTCCTCGCCGGCCTCTCCCCCGCCGTGCTCCTCCAATTCTTGTCCTCCATAGTTCATCATGCTCACCGTTGACAAGCGCGCTGTGGCAATGGCCCACTCGCTGCGCCGTCTAATGGCCACCGCCGCCCCTAGAATCGGCGACACAAAGGTCCAAATGTCCCTCTTGGAGCCTGGAAAGTACATCAACTACCAGCGTATCGAAGACAACTTGGCCATTGTCCGCAAACGGTCCGTATGCGCTCTTTTCTTATCTCCACCCCGTTCTGACGTCGCATTCGACCGTCCGTAACCGCGCCTCGCTAACTCGCTAAAACTAGACTCAACCGTCCTCTGACACTCTCCGAAAAAATCCTCTACGGTCATCTGGATGACCCCCACCACCAGGAGATTGAGCGTGGAAAGACGTACCTCAAGTTGAGGCCAGACGTAGGTCAAACTGTAGTAACTATTGATGTGTATACTCATTCTACATAGCGTGTTGCTTGTCAAGACGCAACTGCACAAATGGCCCTCCTCCAATTCATGTCAGCTGGCATGCCCACCACTGCCGTTCCCACCACCGTACACTGCGACCACTTGATTGAGGCCCAAGTCGGTGGTGCTCAGGATCTTGCCCGTGCCATTGATATCAACAAAGAAGTCTATGATTTCCTCGCTACCGCAACCGCTAAATACGGCATTGGCTTCTGGAAACCAGGATCCGGTATCATTCACCAGATCATTCTCGAAAACTATGCTTTCCCCGGTGGTCTCATGATCGGTACCGACAGTCACACTCCCAATGCCGGTGGTCTCGGAATGGTCGCCTGCGGTGTGGGTGGTGCTGACGCCGTCGATGTCATGGCCAACATTCCTTGGGAACTCAAATGCCCCAAGGCAATTGGTGTTCGTTTGACCGGCAAGATTGGTGGATGGACGACGCCCAAGGGTGAGTTTATCAACAAACCGAGGTGACAACCCACTCAATCCCCTCAGACGTTATTCTCAAGGTTGCTGGTATCCTCACCGTCAAGGGTGGAACTGGTGCCATTGTCGAGTACACCGGCCCTGGTGTTGAATCGCTCTCGTGCACGGGTATGGCCACCATCTGCAACATGGGTGCCGAAATTGGTGCAACGACGTCGCTCTTCCCCTTTAACAGCCGCATGGCTGACTATCTCAACGCCACGAAGCGTCCCGAGATTGCCAAGTATGCGCAAAGCTTTGCGCACAACTTGACGCCAGACGCGGGTGCCGAGTATGACCAAGTCATTGAGATTGTGAGTCGTTCAAGTAGTAACCTCTTCATTTCTTATACCATGGTAGAACCTCTCCGAGCTCGAGCCACACATCAACGGTCCATTCACTCCTGATCTCGCCACTCCTCTCTCCCAATTCAAGGATGCCGTCAAGGCCAATAAGTGGCCAGAGGAGCTCAAGGTTGCACTCATCGGCTCTTGCACCAACTCTTCGTACGAAGACATGTCGCGCTCGGCTTCGATTGCCAAAGAGGCCATTGACCATGGTCTCAGCGTCAAGTCCAAGTTCACCATCACCCCCGGTTCGGAACAAGTTCGTGCTACGATTGAGCGTGACGGACAAATTGCCGCCTTTGAAAAGGTTGGCGGTGTCGTCCTCGCCAACGCGTGCGGGCCGTGCATTGGCCAATGGGATCGTCGTGACGTGAAAAAGGGTGAAGTCAACTCGATCATCACCTCGTACAACCGCAACTTTACCGGTCGCAATGACGCCAACCCTGCCACGCACGCCTTTGTTGCTTCGCCGGATATCGTCACTGCCATGGCCTTTGCTGGTGATCTCACGTTCAACCCTGTCACGGACACGCTCAAGGGTGCAGATGGCAAAGAGTTCAAGTTTAGCGATCCGACCGGTCACGAGCTCCCACCGCGTGGATATGACCCTGGAGAAAACACTTTCCAGCCACCACCAGAGGACCGCGCGAGCGTCAACGTTGCCGTCGACCCCAAGTCTGACCGTCTCCAACTCTTGAAGCCATTCAAGCCATGGAACGGCGAGGACCCGAAGAACATGCCGGTGCTCATCAAAGTAAAGGGCAAGTGCACGACGGATCACATTTCGGCTGGTGGGCCTTGGCTCAAGTACCGTGGACATTTGCAAAACATTTCACAAAACTGCTTGATTGGTGCGATCAACGAGGTCAATGGCGAGGCAAACAAGGTTCAAAATCTCGAGACGGGCGAGTGGGGAGCTGTCCCTGCTACGGCTGCGTATTACCGTGATCGTGGAATCCCGTGGGTCGTGATTGGTGATTCCAACTATGGTGAGGGATCGTCGCGTGAGCACGCTGCGCTCGAGCCTAGGTACCTCGGTGGAATGGCCATTATCGTCCGCAGCTTTGCTCGTATCCACGAGACCAATCTCAAGAAGCAAGGCATGCTCGCCCTCACGTTTGTTGACCCAGCCGACTATGAAAAGATCAGGGGAGATGATCGTGTTGATATCGAGGGTCTCAAGACGTTTGCAGAGGGTAAAAACTTGACGCTCGTCGTGCACCACAAGGATGGACAAGTTGACGTGCGTACTTTTACTTTCATGATATCATGATACCGATACGTGTTTAGCGAATCCCATTGGCCCATTCATTCAACCAGGGACAAATCGAGTGGTTCAAGGCCGGTTCGGCGCTCAACCTCATGGCAGCAAAGGCCAACTAAATGTCACCTCTTGACTCGACTGGATTCACTGCATTGTCCGTCCCGACTGGCATCTCTCTCTCTCTTTTTACATCTGCAAATATACTTCCATGGCGAGTTGCCGCCTCTCTCTCGAAGCCACCCTCATTCCCTCCTGCCCCATAGCCGACTTCGACCCTCTTACGTTGATGTCGGCATGGTAAAGGCTCGTTGGAAAAGGCAATTCCGCTTGGATGCTCGGTTTGCCCCGACTCTGCGCTTGGCCCGTTTTTCTCAACTGTATAGTCTCGTCTTTGAATCGAACTACGTTTCTCTCCATTCCGTATCCGTTGATTACATTTCATGCACATGTTCAAAATCAATGGTTTTTATTGGCACGCATGCAAGCTACACTGCGAACCGTGTCATGAGTAGATGCAGTATGAATCATCGTTCGTCAGGAATGGGTCATGAATAAATCCACGTCGTGATAGATAGAAGAGAAGGGGCGACGTCGTGATGCGCCCCCAGGGGGTCATTAAGGATTATGGTACATCCGTCCATGAGTAGTGAGGTTGAAGATGGAGAGTACTTTCGTGGTGGCCATCGTTTGCGTGATGGGACATTAGCCAAAGGATGAAAAGTCGACGCTTGCGAAATTCAATTAGGTGGATCTGAAAGTAGGACCGAGAAGTTGACTGTCCGAGGGCACGAGATTGACATGAAGTAACGAGAATCGATCATCGGAGTCGCGCGTTGGATCGGAGTTTGCCAGCGGGCGGGGACGCTGCCATACGTTGCATTCCGACACCATTCGTGCCTGACGTACTCCCTCGCAAACCACAATCACGCGGTGCGAGCTCGCCGCACTTGATATGCGACCTATACACAAAATCAATACCCTAGATGCAAAATATATAGAGGCTCACCTAAGGCCACAATCGTCGCATTCCAAGCATGGCTTCCATCCCAGCCTCTTGCCACACAAATCACACTTTGCTGTCGCGGCCTTATTCGCACTACTTCCAAACCCAAACCCAGAAGAGAAGAAGAATTCGAATGGACTCCAGCTTGACGATGACCCGACAAACGCAGTCTGCGTTTTGGCTAATTTACCATTCGCCGCCTTGCTACCTGCGGCCGCAGGAGCTATGCCAGACTTTGGGTTGAGTGCACCGGGCTTGATAAGAGTGAAGCGGTGAAGACCACCGATAATCTCGCTGCGGACAGTACTTCCTCCTTCAGTCGCTGCAGCAATCGAAGCCGCGTCAATCGTCGAGCTCGAGTACCCACCGCCGACGCGATCACCTTTGTCGTTGAGATGAGAGGCGTACGGGTTCGTGATGAAAGACGAAGTGGGTCCTTCTGCGCGAGCGGTATGGTAAGAGTCGACTGATAGATGCGAGTCGGTGGTGAGAGACTTAAAGCCAGATTGAGAGAGGGGCTCCTGCTCCTTTGTCTTGCCCTCTACTGTATCGTCGTGCTTTGTTCCCCCAATAGCAGCGGCAGGTGTGGGATTATTGGGACGGACGGTCAGGATGCTGGAAAGGCTGGGCGGACTATTGCCCATCTTTTTGACGACACTTGTCGAATAGTCCGTGTATGCGATACTCCCAGCCCCGTCTCTCTTCAGCAATGGCTCCTGTGAGAGCGTCGAGCCTTCTTGGTCTTCGGCATGCCTCCTCACATGCTCCTTTTGCAGCGGTAGTGAGTCGTTTGCCTTTTCAAATGTACGAGGCTTTGCTGTGCCTGCACCTTGAGAGGACCTGTCGTCCTCTGATTCAGAACGAGCCACGCGTAGGCCAGAGATGGCCTCCATCAGCTCCTCGTCTTCACTCGTCTCTTCAGGTGTCGTGTCGCCATCGCCATCTCCGACTGGCCCGCGCTTATGCTCGCCCTCTTTGCGACCACGTATCTCGTTCCCAACACCCTCCCCAAAGCTAGGAATACGCGGACCGATCCCTGGTCGTCCCTTGCCTTTGGTTCCAACCCCCGTGAAGAGCTTGACCGAGCCGACATGGAGTTTGTCGGCATCGTCTTCGCGATTGAGTACTTCAAGTTCGATCACGCGGAGGCGGTCCAGCACTTGGAGCATTGTAGGGCGGCGCTCTGGCATCGCATGGCAGCACTCCAAAGCGAGCCGAATAAACGCTTCTGGCGCCCCTGGGCTGGCCAACGATCTCACTTCAGCCACATCAATGTCGTAATATGGCGGTACGCGTTTGAATGTGTTGTCATCGGCGAGCTTTCTCGAAAGAAGCTCACAGTAGATGATGCCGAGCGAGAAGACGTCTGTGGGGAGGCCAAACTCGTTTCCTAGTTGAATCTCTGGGGACATGTAGGAGTCTGTCCCACAAAAGGTCAGACGCTTGCGCTCCTCCATTGTCTGAGCTGCAATACGTGCAAATCCAAAGTCGGTAATCTTCAGTCGTCCGTTGGAGGTGACCAAGAGGTTCTCGCCCTTGAGATCACGATGAATACATTGCCTCGCATGGAGATATGCAAGCGCGCGTGCAATGTCCGTCGCAAACGAGAGTCGAAGCCGCCATGGGAGCGGAAGGCTGCGGTTGAAGATGTAGCTCCGTAGGTTGCCAGCAGGAATAAACTCTGAGATAATGTAAATGGTGTTTGATGGTGGTGGAGCACGAGAGAGTCCCAGGTAGAGCACGACGTTTGGGTGCCGCGCCTCTCTAGGTCACCGGGGTCAGCAGAGTGGCTCGAGGAAAGGAGAATGCCCACTTCATCAGCCGCCATTCTCGTTCAAAGTATTTTGCTACATCATAATCATTGCTCGGAAGAACCTCTTTGATCGCGACATCGATGCCCAAGTAGGACCCTGTCGCAAAGTTTCAACAAAACTAGCGTCAGAGAGTGCGTTGTTCACGTACCCTTGTAGACATTTCCAAAGCTACCACTTCCAAGCTTCTTCCAATCACCCTTAATGTCCTGTTTACAGCAGATCGCCCCAGGCTTTGGTCAGCGTCCAGCCCCGATGACATCCAGATGACCGACCTCGAACGGAATCACGTCAAAATCCATCGTATGCAGCGACTTTGATGTTAAATACAAAGAAAATGCACGATCCGACGTCTGCGTTGAGCGTCTGCGAGGGCGGCTTGCGAGACGGTGCTGGGCAAGTGGCGAGGCAACTTGGACCGCCATCCAGCCTGGCGTCTAGACGCGCATCAGTATCTACTGGAATAATTAGACGCGTAAATAGGTATACAAAAGTATCTAAATAGTTTTGTGCAGTCGAGCTAATGTTTCGTCGATCAGGTGCCATGGATCACGGGGTAGAAGACGACGAAATGGCTGCGTAGGACCTTATTCCTCTAATTTAAGCAATATATCTTACAAATACAGAGCTATCGCGGCCAGTCTTGCTACCTACGAACAAGAAGGAGCGCGTCACAAGCCAGTCGAGATCGGCGACTCGGATTCAGAAGATGATGAAGGCGAAGAGACCTTTCAAGCAGACTTGAAACGCGCATTGGAAGAGTCTAAACGCGAAACAGAACTAGTGGCAAATGCAACCGCAGGATCCAGCAAAACTACAGAAGAAGCCTCCACAACCAGCAAACAAGACGAAAACCCTGCAATTTCGTTTCTTCGACAACGAGCGCAACTCGAAAAGGAACGGTTGGAGAGAAGTAAAGGCATTGTCAACGTCAATGTCAACCAAACGTCCACTGCATCCAAAAAGAGGAGCTACAGTGCTTCTCAAAGCGAAGATGATGACTCGTCGAACGGCCCACCACCAAAGCGAGCCTCCACGACTTCCAACGCGGCGAAACCCAATGAGACGGCAGAATTATTCTACCAGGGTGAACTAAGGCAGACGGCAAACAGAATAACAGAACGAGACGACATTGCCAAAGGCGTAAAGACATTTCGAATCAGCGAGATTATTGGAGACAAAAACAGCGTCGCTTTTGCCATTCTCAGTTCGTATTCGACAGACATTGCATGGCTATACGGCATGTTCTCGCCAATGGTGCGCTATCTCCTCCCAATCTCTCTCGTCGCTCACCCAAGTCAGACTCCTGTGATCCTCGTCAATCAGCCGACCGAGACTGGCAACTCGGATGTTAAGGGCATTCTTCCAAACTGGATTATGACTATGCCGTTTCTTCGAGGTGGTCGAGGGGCTATGCACGTTAAGGTGGCATATTTCATCGCCGAGGTCGTTGGCTAATCCAACGTAGCTTATGTTACTATTTTATCGTTCGGGTCGTCTACGACTGGTCCTTCCTACTGCAAACTTTATCGATTATGACTGGCGGGATATCGAAAACGTAAGCAAGCAGCTCTACTGCCGGATTACGCTGACGTATGCAGACTGCCTGGGTTCAAGACTTTCCTCCTTTGTCAAAGCCTGCTGTAGGACGTGAGGCCACTTCATCAGCGTTTGCCTCGACGCTTCAAATGGTCCTTACAAAACTCAATGTCTCGCCTGCTCTTGCTTCTTTACTCACGGATCATCCAAATCTTCCAATCAAGTTTATAGGGGACCTCGGAAAAGGTTGGAACTTTACGAAGGCCGCAGTATGTACCTCCGAGCTTGAGATCCAATAGGTGCTAATAGTAAACCAGGTTAAGCTTATACCTTCAATGTCCGGAAAATATGAAGGATGGGATCAAGTACTGAAACAGGGCCATGTTTCCCTAATGAAGGGTATCATGGACATTGGCGCACATCGTGGCCACACCAAACGTAAGATCTTATCAAGCATATGAATGAATACTGATCATTTGAGTGTAGGGGATAAAAAGAAGCCGCCGGAAGAGCTCATTGTAGAATGTCAAGGGTCCTCTATCGGAACTTACTCTGCACAATGGCTCCAAGAGTTTTATTCGTCATGCTGTGGTAAGAGCATATTGACCTTTCGGTTCGTCGTCTCACTTGATTAGGCATATCCCCTGAAACCTGGCTCGACAAGTCGAAAGCCTCTCGCAGTAAACTTCCAAAGCCACCCCTTCGAATCTTATTTCCAAGCCTTAAAACTGTGCAATCAAGTGTACTTGGAGAAGACGGCGGAGGGACAATGTTTTGCAGAACGTCACAGTGGGAGGGAGCAAATTTCCCAAGGGATCTCTTCTATGACTCAAATTCGAAGCGTGGAAAGGTTCTGATGCATACAAAGGTTCAAATTAAATTGATTATTTTACCCAAACTGACCTGGAACTAGATGATCTTGGGTCTGTGGAGAGATAGCTCATCTGACGAACGCTCTTCCACGACACTTCGCAAGTATGCGAAGCAGAAAGAGGTTTTGGAGATTGATTCGGACGACGAAGTGGAGATTATTGATCCCTTCGCGGCGGGATGGCTCTACGTCGGGTCGCACAACTTTACGCCATCTGCGTGGTAAGCTCACACACAGACACCCCTTCACGACTCTAAAGCACAAATAGGGGTACTCTGTCTGGATCAGCATTTACTCCTGTCCTAAATGTTCGTCTTCACCTTCCTAAGGCATTCTTGCCCAACTTATGTTTACAGATTACAAACTACGAACTCGGAATTCTGATCCCACTCCCAGAAGACATCGAAGAAGCCGAAAAACGTGGCAACGACCTCGTAAGTTGGCAGCGACCGCCACGAAAGTATGACATTCAAGGCGGCGACATACCATGGGTGCGTTTTACTATGGGCAATGCGATAGCGACTAACGTGGATTGATAGTGCCAGAATTGATTGAAAATTGTTCTATTACAACCTACATAGACCTCTTGTTTTCGTGCAATCCATTTACTTGGTATTTTCCTTTCTTCAAAAACTTCTACCACATCTACTTGGAAGCGACCTTGTGGTGCTCTTGGAGGACAGCGTTCAAGCCATCACGCTTGGTGCAATTCTCAAACTTGAAGCTAGCGGCGAGCTCGTCGAGCTGCTGCTCATCGAGTCCGCGGAAGTGCTCGGCCCACTCGCGGACCATGTACTCTGCGAGCATGATGTTGCGGTAGAGACGGCCAATGCGGTCGCTAAACGTCCAGACGGGTGCTGGGTAGAGAGCGCGGTGAGATGGGTCGGGGATGGCGTCGATGATAAACTTCTCGAGCATATCTTGCGTGTCCTTGACGCTCTTGGTGTCTGCACCCCACGCGTCGACGGCGAGCTTATACTTCTTGAGGAGGAAGGCTTCGAAGCGCTTCATGTAGGGCGTGTCGAGACCAACGTGGACCATTCCTATACGAGATGAGTATCAAAGCAATTGAAATAGGTTGATGGTACCTTGGAAACCGATATCCTTATACAGCCAGATGCTCCAGCTGATTTGCTCCTGGTCGTAGACGTCGAGCTGATCCTTGAGGAGCAGGTATCGGCTCTTGTTGATCTCATCCGTCTCCTCGCCATCATATTGCCTGCGCGCGTACACCGGTCCGAATTCGCCGTTCCAAATCGGGAGGCCTCTCTCCCGCATCCATGCCGTCTTTTTCAGGTAACCTCTTCGCACACGTGCCTTTTGCTCGTCAGAGCTCACATACTTCTCTGTCGCGTTGGGGAAACCATAAAGGTTGTAGTCGTGGACAGAGTAGACGCAGTTGGGCCAGCGCTCGTGAAGGTCACCCTCAAAGCGTGAAAAGTCGGACGCAAAGGTGTTTCCATCGAGGAAGATGATGTGCTCGCTATCAATGGCGTGGATGGCCTTGATGCAACGGTCATACCATTGCTGGAGACGGACATGGGTAGGGTCAGTAGGCTCGTTCAAAATGTTGTAGCCAGCAATCCATGGGTTTCCTTTGTAGTGCTCGGCAAGTTGTTCCCACAGCCAGATGGTACGGTCCTGGAAGTCTTTGTGGACCCAGAACGAGGCGACGTGCGTTGGGTTATCCGAGTGCCAGTCCTATTCGCCATAAGCTTGGCTATACTTGGCACGGTATTGGGACGTACGGTATTTTGGCCACCAGCGGCCGCATGGTAGTCGAGGATGGTGTAGATACCGGCCTTGGCGCAAATATCAACAACACGGTCGAGGTACTTGAACCCTTCAGTCTTGAGGACGCGAGGGTTCATGTCATCTTCGAAGTGGCGGTAGTTGAAAGCAACACGAATGGCGTTGAGGCCAAGCGACTTGTAGAAGGTGGCATCCGACTCGGTGAAGAAGTATTCGAGAAACTGTGGACTGTTAGACTATGAGATATGAACATCCAAAGCGTACCTTGTCCCAGTAGAAGGCAGCCTTTTCGGGGCCGAGAACATCATCGAGGGCCTCGCGGATCTGGAATTCACGGCCCGGGTAACCTGAGTATGCCGAATTTCACCTCAGGGACATGCTCTTCACGTGAAATACCCCCCGTGGGGGAGTGGTTGCGCACCTGTGATGAAGTTTTCCTGTCATAGGTCAGTTGGTCGCCCAGTGGTGGTCAATCGAACCAACCTGGTTCATCCATCCACCAAGACCTGCGCCACGCAAGAGGACTGGGTTGCCCTCGCCGTCGACAATCTTGTCGCCCTTTACCTTGAGGATGGCTGGAGCGGACATTCTGGAGCGTTGGATTGAGGTGCCTCGGGTGATAGAAGGATGTGGGAGGGAGAAAATGCTGGAAAGAGCTCATTCTGGCTGGTCAGCCTTTTAAACCACAGAGGACGAGGACCGAGGATAATCCGCATCCGCGGGGAGGCCAAGTCAATGTCATATGATTGTGCAAGTCTCGAGTTCGATTTGACGACGAGAAATGCAACGGGAATGCTTCGGCGTTTCGTTTACTGCAAAAGGCTTGGGTGCTGTCGGGGTCAAGTGTGTGAGCCACCCAGACCTGACCAAGATCAGTCGAATCGAGATGAAAAGCGGGAAATGTCAACCTGAGAGAAGTAAAGGGGAGGATATGACCATCAGAACGAAAGCAGCCGCCATATTCTCACTGGGACTGGTTCCAAGGGCGGAATCCGCTCATGGAATTGTGGAAATAGGATAAAGTGCTGGGAATATGAATCTACGCCGTTACGCCCGTAATATCATGGCTACCAATCCGAGCCACAGACCTCTGCTCTCAACTTGTCACCCAGGTTGCGTTTTGGGAACCGAGACACTGGCTGATAGAGCCAAGACGCTATTCGGTTGACGCGGTAAGCTCATTTCTACCTGTGTACCTCCTATGACACTGATGAATTCCGTCATACAGTAAATAAAAATAGCTGCCACCGAACCTTGGTTCATATGGATGGTATCAGGCGATGTCCTGTTTGGCACGTGTACGAGAGTGGCAGACGCCGACCATCTAACCTTGGAGTCTCCCACCTTCACGATGTCGTCCAAAACCCCCAATAGTCAACATGAAGCCCCGAATCTACCGGAGCCTTCGTCTACTGCAGGACCCTCGTCGCGCAAGAGGGCTCGGGTGTACCACACGGCCAGTACCGGTCTCGACATCCTGGGAAACGTATCCGAGGCGTCAGATATACTCTCTCCTCTTAAAGCTGCCTGCAGAGCGACCAAATCGATTCTTGATGTTGTCCAAGTGAGTGGGCGAGACTGACACAACTTCATCTCATGAATATGGCAGGCTGTCGATGACAACCAGGAAGAATGGAATGATCTAACGCAGCGTTTGGAGGGCTATATGTCCGCTATTGATGACCAGATTGATGCGTTCGAAAAGTATTCTCCAGCGGAGAGAGCCGTCGACGATGCACTCAGCCAATCACTCGCTCATTACGTCAAGTACGTGCAAACTCGAATACTCGTTCGGGTTTCTGATTGGTTCAGACTGCTCGGGGAATTCCATGACAAGGTCGCCCAGCATAGGCATAAGAGAAGCCGTATCAGCATCAGCGCATTAACTACGATAAGCAAAATCAAACTCGACGCAGGAGATATCCGCAAGTTCCATCGTGATATCGAGGACCAACACAGGCAACTAATGGTATGAGACCCATCAGCCAATTTCGTAATCTCATTGTAAATGACAGGAGAAGCTGGGTCTTTTTGCCGCACTGCGCCTTCAGATCATCGAACAGAACACCAAGGTTATCCTGACAGAGGGTAGGTAGAAAAATATGCGTTGGGCGTCGCTAAACATTTAAAGTCGACGCGTCTGCTATTCTCCAGCTGCCGATCGTAGCATTTTCTGCATCCTCGGTCCACAATACCTGTCTTCAAGGAACACGCCAGGCTGTGCTTCAGACTATCTGGCGCTGGGCAGCTGACGACCTGTCAGAAAAGCCAATATTTTGGCTCTGTGATATAGCTGGGTCCGGAAAGTCCACAGTCGCAATGTCCGTGGCGCAAGTATGGAGAACAGAAGGAGCTCTGGGGGCCCAATTCTTCTTCTCCCTCGCCAGCAGTGAGGGCTCTACCACAGAGAAATTCTGTTCAACCTTAGCCAGAGAGCTTGTCCAGTACATGCCTGAACTTGGACCTCATATCGCCGACGCCGTGAAGCGAAATCCTGCGATCATACGAAGTTCGTTCCACGACCAGATCCGAACATTGGTCACCGCCCCGCTCCAGCATCGTCAGAAACGGACCATTCTCGTCATTGACGCCCTCGACGAATGTAAATCTGGAACGCAGAGAAGGGAGCTATTGGATAGTCTTGCCATGGCTGTTCGAGAAACCCGGAATCTCAAGATATTTATCACCAGTCGGCCAGACCACGTCATAGAGTCGGTTCTACAACCACTCTCGATCAAAGCGCAGCTAAAGGACCGTCTCCACGACGTCAGCCACCACGATAATATTGACGACATTGCGTCCTACGTGCATCAATCGCTGCACGATATACTACCGCAGGACAAGAGACAGCAGTTGGTGGACAAAGCTAATGGATTGTTCATCTGGGCAAGCACTGCATGTCGAATGCTCACAAGCAAAACCAGCTTGAGTCCGCCTGAGGACATATACGATCGCCTAATCTCCATGGACCAGCCCGGAGCAATAGACAGCGTATATAATCTCGTCTTTGAGCGTATAGATCCCGAATACTACGGGGTCATGTGTGCGATGCTTGCGCTGTTGCTTGCTGCATTCGAGCCTCTCACCATCGACGATCTAGACGACCTCCTGAAGCACTCGAGGGTACCCGGAAGAGCCAAAGCGCTGGTACAGAATTTGGGAAGCGTACTCAGTGTGGATCGGGGTACAGATCAGATTCAATTTCGCCATCCTACCCTCGTGGAGTACCTTCGACGCTGCACCACAGCACCAGTTATCGCTAAACATAATAAGCTCTATCTCAACGCGGTCGAAGCACATGGTCAAGCAGCATCTTGGTGTCTCAAACGCCTCAAATCGCCGAACGGAGGGCTCAAGTTTAATATATGCGAAATCGAATCTTCCTTCTTTCTAAACAGGCAGATACCTGACTTGGATGCCAGAGTTACAAGGCTGATTCCAAGAAGGCTTCGATATGCGAGCTCCCATTGGCTGTTCCATTTGGCGGAAACGGACGACAAGTGGAGGCGCGCGCTCGTGAGGGAGCTCGAACCCATTACCACATACCCCTATGATCTATACTGGATGGAGGTTCTTAGCTTGACCGGAGGAGTCCCACGAGCGATACTTGGTCTTCGATCGATTGTTGGTCGCACAGGAGTGAGTGATATACCCCGATGATTTCTGTTTTTCACCCCAAACTAGCTCGAGAAGCCTAGAAGTAATCTGAAAGAAATCCGAAGGTTTCTCATGAGATTTTCAGTGCCGATCCAGGAGAGTGCTCCGCATATCTACATCTCAGCGCTTCCATTCGCTCCTAAAAGATCGTTGGTACATATCGAGGGCCTGAAACAATACGCGAATACCCTCACCGTGACCGAGGGGTTGGAGGAAACGTATCCTGGGCTTGTCACACCTCTTAAATTTGTTTGTAAGGTGCTGGCTGCCGGATTTTCACCAGACGGTTCACGAACTGTCTTTGGGTTGAGCGACCATACCCTCCGAATATGGGATGCAGACACAGGTCAACCACTGGGAGAACTACTCCGAGGTCACCAAGAATCAGTCAGTGCCGTCGTGTTCTCACCAGATAGCTCACGAATCGTTTCTGGCTCGTATGACACGACGCTTCGAATTTGGGACGCGGACACCGGTCGACCACTGGGAGAGCCACTCCGGGGTCACAAGAGACCGGTGAAGATTGTCGAGTTCTCACCAGAAGGCTCGCGGTTTGTCTCCAGCTCGGATGACGCGACGATTCGAATGTGGGATGCAGACACTGGTCAGTTACTAGGGGTCACGCTCCCAGGCTATAACGGGGGTGTTTTAGCCATGAGATTTTCGCCATGCGACTTACGAGTCGTCTGTCGCTTGGACAACAAGACGATGGGACTGTGGAATGCGGACACTAATCAGCCATTTGGAGAGCCACTCAGAGGGCATGAAGATCTGGTGACGGCCGTCGCTTTCTCGCCAGACGGATCACGAATCGTCTCTGGCTTGTGGGACGGAACGATTCGAATATGGGACGCAGCCACTGGTCAGCCACTGGGGGAGCCACTCCGAGATCATAATGGTTTGTTAGTTGTCGTCGCGTTCTCGCCAGACGGATCACGAATCGTCTCTGGCTCGTGGGACGGCACGATTTGAATGTGGGACGCAGACACTTGTCAGCCTCTGGGAGAGCCGTTCGGAAGTCGCGATGGTTCGCCTTGTGACTTAAGGTTCTCTCCAGACGGATCCCAAATCATCTCTTCCTCAGGCGACGGTTTGGTTCGACTGTGGAATATAGACACTGGTCAGACACTGGGAGAGCCATTTCAAGGTCACGAATCATCAGTAAAGTTCGTCTCATTTTCGTCAGATGGATCACGAATCATCTCTGCCTCATTCGACAATACGATTCGACTCTGGGACATGGACACCGGCCAGCCACTTGGGGAGCCGCTCCGAGGTTTTGAAGGAGAAACTTTGGCCGTCATATTCTCACCAGATGGATTCTTAATCGCCTCTAGCCCTGACGGTGACAACAGGCTCGATCTCTGGGACGCTGCCACTAGTCAGACACTGAGAGCATCACTCGAAGGTCACGAGGATGATGTAACAGCCGCCAATTTCTCGCCAGATGGTGCACGAATTGTCTCTGGTTCACAGGATCACACGATTCGACTGTGGGACACTGCCACTGGTTGGCCTCTGGGAGAGCCACTCAGAGGTCATGAAGGACCAGTCAGGGCCGTCGTGTTCTCACCAGATAGCTCACGAATAGTCTCTGGCTCGGATGAAACGACGTTTCGAATATGGGATGCAGCCACTGGTCAGCCACTGGGGGACCCACTCCGAGGTCATGAATGTGGTGTGTATGCCCTCGCGCTCTCGCCAGACGGATCACGAATTGTCTCTGGCTCGGACGACAAGACCGTTCGACTGTGGAACGCAGAAACTGGTCAGCCATTGGGAGAGCCACTCAGACGTCATGAAGATTTGGTGGAGGCCGTCGCATTCTCGCCAGACGGATCACGAATCGTTTCTGGCTCGAGCGACAGGACGATTCGACTGTGGGACGTGGCCACTGGCCAGCCGCTTGGAGAGCCACTTCGAGGTCACAGAGAGGGTATCAGCGCCATCGGTTTCTCGCCAGACGGCTCACGAGTTGTCTCCGGCTCATGGGACTCCACGATTATTGTCTGGGATACAGCGACTGGTCAGTGTTTTTTCGACTCACTACTGAATGTAGGGACGACCTGACGAGTGTCTTTAGTCGCAAGCGCAAATCACTCCAACACAATTCTTGGGCCTGAGTCGCAGACAATTTCCGTCCCTGGATTCAGTCACTGCACACTTTCCCAAGATGGCTGGGTGCAATCTTCTGGTAAATTTCTCTTCTGGGTACCGCCAGATAATCGGCAAGGACTTCAATATCCGCATCCTCGTCTGACTTTACCGACAACGAGCCCCCTTCGTGTAACCAAACTCGATTTCACCCATTTTCAATGCGGTTCCTCTTGGACAAAGGTTCGAACGGATGGCCATGAATGATCGGTTTTGATGACTTTCCTATCGCTGTCTCCATTAAATAAGAACAAGTTACTACCTCCAATTTAGAATATAGGATTTCTAATTATGCGCTTTATCTACTCTCGACCTATAATGAGAATCGACTGATATCCGCGCGCATGTCACCTGGAGCTGTTCTCTATCATACTCCCCATCTTTTTGCCGTGATGGCATTATTTTGACGATGAATTCCCCTGGTATGTATTCTCCCGAATAGTCTGCCACTATACACCGGAACTCGAGTCGTGGTCGAGGCAGGGTTTTATCTCTCTCGTCCAGTCACCAACGATTCATGGCCCAGCGATGCCCCTTCTGTTCCAGATATTGAACTGTGACCAAATATGTGCTCTTTTGACGCACTTTGATCCATATTGCTGAGCGATTCACCCTGTTCTTAACAGTCGTTTCACCATTGGCATCACTTTTAGGCATCTTTCCCTTGTATGTAATTCTGGAATGCAATGTACACAGTTCTACGCACGAAAGGGGGAAGAGAGAGAAAGATGGTTGATGGAAATGAGTGGTCACGACGGTGGCCCGTCAGTACAAGAGGTATAGGGTGTCACAAAAGAGTGGTATTGATTGCCATTCCTTCATCTTCTCTTCTTGACATGTCTTGTATCGATTCAATGCCGCGTTACGATGGGCCGTATAAGGGTTCGATGTCGAATACAACAACGCTGGGCATCCTCCAGAGCACGCGGATATCTGACGACACTGCTGGGCTGTGGCGTTGGATCAACGCAGTTCGTATATTAGGCAATAAAGGAGCCCCGAGAATGAAACAGTTGCAACCCTGTATTATTACACGCTAACCTAGGTTATATCGCCTGCTCCTCTTCAAAACTCCCTTGCCTTCTAATAGCCCTCGTTGATCCGGACCACCATCGCCAATCCGAACCATACACCGATGAAAGTGGCCGAACGAGTTCCTACAGAGGCTTGGTTACAGATCTTTCGTCTTCTCACTCGGACGGAACTCATTCCAATCGAGAATGCAACATTTGTTGAGAATCTCAGGTTGCTTATTATCAATAGTCGCTGGGAGAAGCCATTTATGGCACGTATAAAGTAAGGAACGACTTATCTCTCGTATGTCGCTACTTTTGGAACATCTTGAAGGACGAAGGGGCCAAAGTGCTCCTTGTGGATAGGCACTCGAAAGTAGAAAATTAATCCCACGGCAACTAATAACTCTAGGTTCTTATTCAGCGCAGGCAATTATGCTCGACCAATCTTGGGAGGAGCTGAAGACTTGGGATGGATGGCTCCCTGGACTTCTAGGAATCCTTTTGAATGCACTTCGACAATTGGACTCATCGACTTGCCCTGTCGTTGAACGACATCTCATTCGACTTTGACCCAACTAGGACTTGGCCTATGTTCTTTACCTCTGGATTATTACTTAGGACCCCCTATAAATACCGTTGATATTCTGTAAGGTGTCGGGAAAGCAACGGCCTCTCCCGGTTTCAGTGTCGAGAGAAATCTGCATGTGGTGATGGTTGGACAGTATTTTTGTAAATATTTGATCTCTGAGTGTTCGCTCGCAGCGACTACAAGGTGCGGCTGGCGGTTGTTCAAGCTGTAGTCACAACTTTGGACCCAGCCGTCTCCACCTCCCCAAGGTCCAGGCGCTCAGCCATTATATCTGACGCCGTCAAACGGCATTCTTCTTATCAAATAAGAGTAATTAACGATAGAAAGGGTATCCCAACTTGCCTGGGAGACAGAACTCGATGTGAGTGGCCATAGGCGACAACGTACGCATGTTATGGAAACATTTCTTTCCTATTCCATGGTCTCTTGATACTAAAGATGACTCCGAGAGCCTATAGAGTATGTTCTCATGTCCCAAGGACAGAAGTGGCCGCCCTTGGTTGATTGGCTCGCCCCCAGCCCGCATCAGTCTTCTTCCTCCTCTTCCGCACCCAGAGGCTCGCATCCAGAGTCGACGCTTGAATCTTCGTCAGAGTCCACACGCTTTCTCTTTCTCCTCGCGGACGGCTGGGCCGCTGAGAGTCTCGCCTCTGAATGGGGTGTCAATCGGGGTGCAGGCTAAAAACGGCTGAAACATACGGATGGACTGTTGCAATGTCTCCTTTTTGCCCGGACGTCCACACCCAAGATGGACGCAGATTACGTGGCGACGGTAGCTGTCCCAAGTGCGAACGACGGTTCCGCAGGGAGAACCCAATTGACCCCAGACAGGACGCCCCACAGTCGGAACGCACCTGCGAATACAGCAGGTCACATTTTGCACGATACCGTTTGTCACCTCTACAACTGCCTTGTCCGACAATGGAACGAAGAGGCCGTCAAACCTCTGCACATGCAGGTTCGGCGGTTGCAGGAGCCGCTTGTATGCCTCGATTGGATCCACGTATCCTTGCGAGTCCATGGCTAGCAGGGCATTAGTATCTCTCGAGGAGGTTACACGAGACGTACCCAGCGGATTTTCGATGTGCTTCGTCTCGCTCACTTTATTTGCATAGTGAGTCCTCGCAAGATATCTGGGACGCTCTAAAGGAGATTATTAGGGTACAGAGTATTTCAAGGATCCGCTGGCGTACTTTTTGGAACCAAGCCCACCGGAAGCAGCGTTTCGCTCGGGCCAATATCGATCTGCGGAACAAACCTTGAAGGTCGAGCCTTCTTCTTCCCTGTTGCGTGCCTTTTGCGCGGCGGATGGCCCACGGATCTGACAGGGGCCCCTTGCACTTCGTCGTCGCTCAACGAAAGCACCACAAGACCGGGCGAGTCGTCCTCTTCTTCCTCACCAAAGCGTCCCTCATCTACAGGTCTTTGACGACGTTTGCCTTTCCGTTTATCGTTCTCGTTGTCGGTGTCGGATGCAACCAAGCTTGAGGTAGATGCACCGCCACCGCCCACCGAGCGATACCGGGACAGGCGACCCTCGTCGTCTGTAGAGGGAGGGACTGTATGATGGTCCGAATCGTAGGTACCTCCCTCGACGACGCTCAATCGGCTGGCTGAGCGGCTGCCGAGGGAGCTCCTTGACCCGGAACCATAGGACCAGCCAGGTTTTGCGGATGCGTCAGTTGGCGACGCTTGCCTTGCACAAAAGTCTCAGCATATGCTCGGGTTATGCACAGAAGCATGCTACTTACCGGCTCTTGTCCAAAGGCTGAGCAGAGGGCTTCCTACGCGTCGTCCAGCCAGCCGAGTCCAAGAGCACCGTTGCAAACTTCGGTGCAAGCCTGTACGCGATGGACTTTTGTCGAGGCATGACTGGTTAGGAGATGGCGATGATATCTGCCGACCTTATATACGGCGGGCTGGTTGTGGTTGGGGGAAAGTAGTGAGTCAAGCTGCTCTCTGGGCCATCTCAGGCTTTATAAACCTGATTTGATGACGTTTCATATCGATAAGCAGACTCCCAGAAGTCCATCTAGACCCTGGGGTTCCCTTGTCTCTGTCAGGAGTCCGAGAGCAATGCCTCTTTTTCTCAGAATCTTCTCTCAAAACGGCTCTAATACCAAGAAATCTCTTCTAGAGAGCGATTTGCATTTTCTCTCGAGGTAGCATCCCTAGCGGACAAATGTTGTGCGCGACTAAGCTACAACGGGAATAAGAAGCCAAATTTACGTGCTGGAGCTGATTTTTCGGGGGATATTGGTTCAATCGTATGAGCTGCCTCTGCCACAATGTCCGTGTCTATGAGGTTCGAACTAGAACAGCACGTAACGCGCGAATTAGATGTATGTATATCCGCTCTAATCGAATTGGATGAACGAGCCTGAATGCCTGCGTCTCACACGAGCGGAGTTTGAAACCGTGGTTGGACCCCTCGGTAGGAGTATCTGATATACTGGAAACAACACACCTGCGTCTCTATCAATATTTACGTGTCACTCGGACACACATGAAATGAATGATCTTGAGGAACAATCGGCCAACCTAGCTAACTGTAGAAAGATCACTTTCAGAGGATCTTATAGGTTTGCTGTCGTCGTCATTGTGACTGCCAGGTCCTTAATATGAGTTTGACGATCTTCCCTAACTGGCATCTACGGCCAGATTCGTACTCGCGCATGAGATTTGTTTGGATTCAAACGGGAGGAACTCGTTCAATCGTCACATTCTACATTGTCAAGCTACTGAGAATGTCCCCAGCCACCCACCCGTCTTCCACAAACATAGACCTCTTTGATGTTTCGGTCGTCCCCACCAAAGAGGAAGCGCTCGACAAGAGTTTGAATATCGTCATCGGCGGAGTACCAAACAGCCGGGTTTGCCCTCCCTTGCTCTCCGGGTGTATTGTCACCAGTTATACTGGCAACAATAGCGTCAAACTCTTTACCAACTACGAAGTTGCCGACTTTGTCCTTGAGGAGACAAACATCTGCGCCTCCTAGTGTCGCGAGGTAGAGCAGTGTAGAGATAGGAAGATGCTTTCCTTCCAATTTCTCTGGGTCCTCCTTGTAATCGAGTGGTTTTGGAGGAGTAGAAAGAGAAAGAATCTTGCTCGTCACGCATGCATCCTGCAGTGTGCGTAGTATAGAGGGACAATACCCGCCAGAGCAGTCCGTCCCAAGACCGACCTTGATTCCTCGGTCGAGGTACTTGCCTACGTTGGCCATGCCGCTGCGGATATTGAAGTTGCTCGTCGGACAATGCGCAATACCGGCGTTCCTTTGCTTTACCAGCTTGACTTCTTCTTCGGTCAGATGACACGCGTGTCCGAGTACAGTTCCGTCGCGGAGTAGACCGTGCGTATCGTACACACCGGCATAGTGCGGTGCGTTGGGGAAGAGCGCATGTGTGTACGCAATCTCCGAGGCATTCTCAGAGATGTGGGTTTGGATGAGCATGCCGGGGTTCTCCTTGGCAAGAGTTCCAAGTTGGGAAAGAAGCTCGTCGGTACATGAGATGGCGAAGCGGGGGGTGATGATGGGGTTGACGAGTGGCGAAGACGTTGGGAGTTTGGGCAATGACTGGATGTACGAGATGAGGGACCGAGTGTCGGCAACAGAAGACGAGCATGAAGCCTCAACGTATGTCGGCGAGCCATTGCGATCCATATTACATTTCTTACAAAGATCAGAATGGAGTTATGTATACTCTATTGAACTTACGCCAACAAATGCTCGCTGGCCTTGTGCCTGACATTCGTCCGCGAGGACCTTGGTCGCCTCTAGGTGTAAAGACCCGTAGTAGCAGCACGTTGTCGTCTAGGAGTATTTCAGTGATTATCCATTTCAAGGAAGAAATAAACGTACGCCCAGTGATATTACCCTTCGCACGACTTCGTTGTACAGACGCTTCGCGACGGCAACATCCGCAAGCTTCTCCTCCTCAGGAAAGGTGATATACTTCAGCCAATCAAGTAGCTCGTATTGCTGCCCGCGACAAATGTTAGGAAACTGCGGGGCTGCCAGGGCCGATCAGTCATGGATAGTCAGTAATCAAGGGCGCATACCATGGGTATGTGTATCGACAAACCCTGGAACGAGAAACTCTCCATGACCCAGCACGGTCCTCTTGACATTCTCGGCCTTCCAGCCCTTGTCGAGATTCGCCTTCTGGCTCAGCTGCTCTTGAATTATCCGTTCGACGTCTCCTGGTGAGAGATCATGTACAGCGAAGTCGATTACACCGTTATCGGACACGCCCACAACTGACAGGGAGGAATACTGGATCGTCGTAGGATCCAAAGTATGCACAAGTTGGCCAACAAAGATTTGCATCTGGATGACTTTTGGCTTTGAGTCTTCTGAGGATAAAACGCTGTAGAAGAGGCGGGGTCGAAGTTCCAACGCACAGTGAGGGGGTAGATAAGAACATTCTAATAGATCGCCAACAACTCCACGCCTGCGTCGGCTGGCGCGACGAGGGCGCAGTCCGGAACCGCAGTCCCGTACGCCCACGGAGATACAGTGAGACAAACATTTCATTGCAAGTTAGAACAGACTCCATCCGATACACGATGTCGTTACATAACGAACCATTTGAAGGACCGCATAGACAAGAAAACAAGCAAACATTCATACCGGTCATGCCCTTCGTCTCTAGTTGACGCCCAGCGTGTTACTTTATGTCCAAGGAACTCCTCCGATCAAGTGATGCGCCGCGTCGAGCAGTCCATCGCGCATGGGTTTCCGTGTCTCCAGTCGACCGTCGAGTAGGCTTCTCTCGTTCCCTCGACACTGCACTCTCTCGTTCTCGCCTTGTACCTGTAATGGCGCCAGTGCTTTCTGTTCTTGCAAGCTTGCCCGCACTCTGCGGCCGTGTGATTCCGCCTGTACTCTCTCGTCGTGACATTGCTGCCGCACTGGTTCTCTCCCGAATTGAAATAGCAGCGGGAATGGTAGCAGTGCTGTCCCTCTTCACGTTGATGCTATTCCTTGCTGTGGCCGTACTCTCCCTCCTGCCAATGGCGCTCGTGCTGTCCTTCCTGGTCCTGATGACGGTACCCTCGCGTGAGCCAGTATCCCGACTGGTGCTGTCTTTCCTGGTTCTGACGACAGTGCCTTCACGTGAGACAGTATCGCGATCCTTCTTTGGAACAGGAGGCGGGCCAGTGCTACCCAGTCCAACACTTGTGATAGTTTCCACACTATCGTTTGCACCTGGTCCAAGTTTGAGTCCAGCAAGAAGTTTGGTCGGAATAGGAGGGCCTTTTCTTCCTCTTCTACTTCCTCTTTGCCCTCTTCGTCATCACCAGACGTCGGTTCGACCTCGATAGGTCCTTCGTTATCGTCATTGTCGTCCAGCCAAAGAACTTCTTCCGGATCCAGATCGGCCATGGTAGAGAAACCATCCCAATCAAGTTCGCCATCCCACTCGAGGTCTTCGACAAGCCAGCGCATATCACTGACTGCCCTACGTCCGACAGCATCGCAATTACGAATACGTAATTTACGAAGCGTCTTACCGCGCAAGTCGCGACCGCGTGCCAAGTCCAGGACGACTGGACCAGGGAGCGAGCGGCATCGCGAGATAGCAAGGTACGCCAAGTTTGGACAAAGCATATCACTCGCACTCGCATCTGCTCCAGTAGGAGTACCAGTGCCGCTTCTTCCTGTAGCAGGCGGCGTCGTGGCAGTCGGGGACGCAAGCCCAGACGCCGTGAGCAGCCTAAGTGCGTCTGCAACAAAGGCACAGTCGTCGAATGCCAGGTCTGTGATTGTTGGCCTGTCCATCAATATGCGGATGTAGATGCCCGGGCCAATGATAAACTTGCTGCTCATGTTACTCCACGCGAGACATCGTGGTGTATACCGTTTGAACAGCGTCACGCTGAGCAGCCAGATTAGCAGCTCGACTTGCTCGCGAGATTGAGGGCTACGGAAAACAATGGCAAAGGCCAGTTGCGAGTCGGGATCCCAAAGGTGAATACCGAGCTTGTCTTTGTCGCTCGTACTACCTGATGATCCGGTGAACATCGTCTCTTGTACGCGAAGAAGCGGTCGAAGACCACCGGACGGATTCTCGAGTACAGCAAGCAGCGGTGCAATGTTGTTGTGATGGGCGAGGTCAATGCCAATCTTGACACAGCACGACATTGGGATATCGAGAAACTCCAGCCACAAGAGTTCGATAGGAGCCAGTCCCTGGACAGCTAGCCTCTTCAAGTGCTGAAGCTTCACCATCTCCACCTTGTAGTTTTGTGGGAATGTTCGGAAGTACGGCTGGTGTTCCGTTCCGTAGCGCTCGATCACTGCGTCCTCCAGCAGCGGCGCGCACGCTAGGAGATCGAGGATGTAGCGATGCGAGGGGATTTGGCATCCGGTCTTTGGTCCATGCCCAAACGCAAACTCCAAGTGCGTGATGTTGAGAAGTAGATGGAAGCTACTTCGCGGGAGAATGATAGTGTCCAGTCTGACCTTCTTGAGAAGCGGCGTGTTCTGGTCGAAGAAGGACAAGTCCAGGTCGGCACTGATCGGCGATTGCGACGGCACCGCGGAGAGCACAAGCTCCTCTAGCAGTGGTGCGGGATTGTCTAGCCAAGGCTGTAGGTCGGCAATCCATTCGGGTGGGATGTCCTTGATGGTGATGCGCTTGCAACGACCAATGTGTTCGTGAAAGTACTCCCAGTGATTTGCGCTCCCCTGTGTGCCGGAAATGGTGAAATCCAGCGCCAGCCCATTGGACCTTCTCAGACTTCTAGCCACATCTCGGACAGACATAGTCGGCCATATCGACGTCCAGAGCATGGGAGTCGCAATGGCTACCTTGCGCCAGTGTCGACACACTTGCGTAAGCGTAAGCACTGGGACGTGCGATTTATTTGTTGGGTCTGCGGCGACGAGTAGAAAGATTTGGCACAAAATCTCCGTCGGGAGGCACGCATAGTCGGCCAATGCGTTGATTTTGAGACGAAGAGAAATGAGCTTGCGCTGCACTTCCTCGTTGAGCACTTTATACAACCGTGCCCATCGACGCTCCTCGCGTATATGGTTCGCCCGCATTTGCTTGAGTGGCACCGGCGTTACGCTTGTGAAAATGTGTTGGACAACGAAGGGTACGATATAATGGTTCAGACTTACTTTCCCGATTCATCCGAGCCATTAATGTAGAAACGAAGGTTGCGGATATCGTTGCGGACTTGATCGATGGACGAGCCGGAGATTGTCGAGCCCCCGTAAGCTGACAAGCCGTCGTCTGCACTAGGATCCCACTGAGCACGTCGTTTGACATGATCTCGAATGGGGTCGAGCCAGACTTCGTCTGGCCAGGACGATTCAGAGGACGAGACCTCACCGTTGACGCTCATTCAAACGAGGATGCGTCACGTATGATGGCGTAAATCGAATACCGAGCGTAAATATGAAATTCTGTGCAATTCGTGTACTGTCTGTGTGCTATAGCCCGTGTCAGCGTCCTACAACCGAGCCAAGGAACGCTGCTCTGGCAAGCGACTCGAGCTCACCTGTTGTGGTCGGGGTTGCTCGAAGTGTTTCACAAGAATATAAACCACAATTGGAGATATTTTACACGCTTTTCACGCTGCTGGACGCGTTCTCTGGTGTTTCGCTTCGACGCGTGTTGTGTTGCAAAAGCTGGCCGTTGCGAATGTTGCGTCCCAACCCAGTTGAGGACGTATACAGAATGGTACAAGTCTGCGGTGTCGAGTATAAAACAGCGAGCGCTCAGCGGGTCAGGAGGGATTCGCCAGTCAATCCTCGCACGAAGCTCGTGGCAGGGACCAAGCTAAGGCTTGCTGACGGATTCTCTGGCTCAAGCAAAGGCACAATTTCGTGTATAAACAACATATACATCAGGGTATCGCAACGTCTTTTAGAGGTTAGGCTTGACGGCCTGGATCCAGATTGGCTGGTCGCTACCATCCGGGTTGGGCGTGACGGAGAGCTCGTACTGGGTATTGAAAGAGCCCTGAAGAGACGATCAGCACATGATATAGAAACAGACGGGCTGCGACTCACAGCAGACCAGACGGTGAAGCCGAGCATGCTCGGGTAGTTGTTCTTGACAAACGCGAGCTGGTTGTTGAAGCTGAACACAAGTTAGTGGTGACAATTGGTGAAGAGATAACATACTAAGTAAAGCATGACGAAGTGCTTCCCGCACCGGTTTCACTGAGAACTGCCTGACGGTTGTTCTGCTTCAACCAGTTGACAAGGTTCTGGAACGCAGAAATGTTGTCTGTCACACAGGTGGTGTGTGTTCCACTGCCGTCAGAGTCGAGGTACTTGTGGACGTCGAATACAAGCTTGTTTTTGCCACCAGCCGGGTCCGTAACGGAGAGGAGTGAAGGACCAGCTTCGGTAGGGAGCTGGGCGGCACCAGACCAAGACGAACCAGGGATAAGGATTATCTGGCTCGTAGCTCCAGCCGAACGGATGGCATTGACAGCAGCCTGAACGGCTTGTACCCATGGGGCGATTGACGGCATGTCGTGAGGCTCATTCATGATACCAAACTGTCCCATTTTTAGCTATATTTCCCTTTTCGCTATCATGACGCACGATAATCTTGCTGTTACCAGCATATTTCTGAGCAAGCTGGGACCAGATACTGGCATACTGGGAAGTGGTCGGGCCACCCTGGTTGATGATTGCGCCATTCCAGCGAGCATAGTTGTGCTAATATCCCGATTAAGCAGGCTATTTTGTGTGACAAGATTTGAACGCACGAGGTCAATGATCACATAGGCACCCGTTGCCAAACCAGCCTGTACAGTGCGGTCGTATATGCTAAAGAAGTTGTTATCGATGTTTCCACCAAGAGTTGGTGTCATTAATTGCCACGCTACGCGCTGGTGAGCTCGACGTTTTGACAACTAGTTTAATCGTACCGAACGGAACACGGAAGGCGTTCACGCCCTGAGATGCAAAGTGGTTGAATTGGAACGAGGGAGGTGTCACATATGCATCAGTGTAAGAGCCGTCAGTCTGCAAAGTTGTGAGCAAATGGAACGTCAACGATGAGAAAGAAGACGAACGCGAACGGTGAAATCTAGAATGGTCAAGTTAACTCTATAATACTCGATAGAATATTGCTCTGCGTACCGAATCCAGCAATGTTCACACCCTTAAGACGAGGCAAGCCAGACAAACCACCGCCGCTGGTACTCGTCGACTGCGATGAGCTACTGGTGCGAGTAGATGATTGCTGGCCGCCATTGCTGGTGGTCGTCGCACCACCACCTCCTTGGAGGCACTGGTAGTACCAGGGAGGAGAGACCGCCTGGCAGCTCCACCCGCTAGGGCACTGGGTAGGACCTGTGTAACCAGTTCCACCACACTACCAGAGATCAGTACGGCATATAGGGATCAATAAGTGCTTACTTGTCCCCACTGTCCAGCGGTTTGTGCGACCGCAAGGGTGATGAACGAGCTGAGTACACCCGCGTAAAGGAGTGATTTGACCATGGTCAAAGAAAGAATGTCCAACGAAAGAGAGACGGGGAAACTCGAGACGACCAAGGGAGTGTGACGGCTTCATATCCGGTATAAATACCATCGCTACGGGTCTATAACCACGGATATACGAAGCACCCGTGGAGATTGAGGCGCTAAAAGAGCGGGGAAACGACCCACACCAACCCTAGACGACTGATTACGGAACCTCTGGCAAATGTCAACAGAGAACCACAAATCGTCCATGACTATACACTATAAATAGAGATTTCTTGTACCATCAAAATGTTCCAGCCGACCGCCGACGTTACTCCTTGTCGTCATCTGACAGATGAACGCACGGTTGCAAGTCGGGACGTTGATGGACTTCGCATAAAATTGAGGGACTGTCATTGCGCGGCCTGTTCGGGTCAACGCGGACGTGTTTGCAATTACAAATGGGCTAGAGTGTTGATGCTTCTTGGCGATGTGGTTCGTCAAACCCAATCACGGCTATCACCTAGGACACTCCTTCCGTCAGAGGAGTCGGAATCCATCAGTAGAATTCCGCCTGGGGATTCCGCGAGGAGAGGCCGTACTCGGCTCTCCGCCTAGTTCTTCACGAGAATGCTCCCTTCCTTGTTAAATCTGACATCCCAGGCACCTCCAGCTTCACGTGGTTTTTGAATCAGGGTCCAATACGCGATAGCGTGAGCTTCTCCGCTGAACTCGCTCTCCGAGGGCGCCCGACCCAGGGCGTCCACCTGAGCAGCCAAATAGAATCTGAAACCACGCGAAGCACCGTACGCTTCGTTTGCTCCCTGAACGTAGTAAGCCAGAGCACGCTTCTGACTACCGACTCCAAAGTATGCTATTGATGGTTTTTGCGACGTTCCGAGAAAGTTGGAAGTGGCAATAAAGACCTGTTCATATTTTTAGCGATCATATTACATAATTGAACCGTATACCTTTGGCTTGTCGTCTTCCACTCGCTTGAACGCCTCGACCGTATGCTGTAGTGTAGAGTACGCCCCGAGTGCGCCAGCAGTAAAGTCGCTAGAATTTATCCATTAGTACGTCAAGGTAAATACAGATGCCACGTTACCTAGTGAACTGCTCGTACGGCAACGAAAATGGCTCGCCCTTGTTCGGTAGCGATGAGAAGGCAGCCACTTCCCCTGATTCAGAGCCAAAAATAGCACGATTTGAGAGGTAGATCCGCACCATTATATATTACGACGTTTGCAGGTGCGCCAAAGGTCCTCTCTACCTCCTGAAACGCGGCAGAGACTTGAGCCGGTTTTGAAACGTCGACTTTGATTGAAGTCATTGATTTTGATTCGATGCTAACGCTCTCGCTGCGAGATCCCAGCGCAACATGAAAACCATTAGAGGCAAGCTTAGACGCAACTGCCTGAGTGTGCGAATTTTGAGTCTTGGTTTCCATCCTTGATCGAACCCACCTTTCCGACACGACCTCCAGCTCCTAGAATTAGTGCGATTGACATTGTTGGGACCAACGTTGGATGGAACAGAGTCTATAATCATTGACAATGTCCACTGCGGATCTGAGATGAGGCCAACATTCCCTTAATTCCTTGGTAGTGAGAGCGAACTATGGCCCCGTTCATGGCGGATAGAGATAGTAAAGGACTTACTATACTCCAATCAATGAGGCTGACTTATGGAGTCAGCACGATGAGCTTCTGGGTTCGTCTCAAGCACCGGCTGAGTGTGTTGATCTGACGAATCAAATTCACTCTCCCGGCCTGCGTTACATCAGCGGATGGCGTCGACAGCCTTTCAGTTTGGCGACATTGAAGAAACCCAATCATAAGTCTTCAACTGATATGATTACTAATGAGTGAGTAAGCGTAGCTCAGGAAGTTTTACACAGTTCACCCCTAAGTCCGATAAGCTTCGGAAGGCCATTCTCAGAGTATTTATACGCATGGAAAGTTGACAAGAATCGATATCTCACTCTAGAGATACTCTCCGTGCGCCTTTCAATCATGTCGGTCGCACTCATCCTTGGGGCTGGTAGCCGTGTCGGAAGTGTGCGTATCATTGCTCTGCTCTCGCCGCTCCCTCTGATGTCCCCCAGTCTGTAGCCTCCAAACTGGTCGCAAATGGCTACAAAGTAGCTCTTGGGTCTCGCAGTGGCGGAACTGAAAAGCCAGAGGAGAATACAATCGGGGTCAAAGTCGACGTCGCCAAACCGGACGAGGTTGCTGCAGCCTTTGTTACCGCGGAGAAGGAGCTTGGAGCGCCAGTAAACGTCGTCGTTTTCAACAGTACGCCTCTATTTCAACACATACCTTTCACTTAATATTCTGATAGCGGCTGGCTTTTCGCCACTTCCTGTTCCCGGAGAGCCATTTTCAAAGCCATATGATCGGTTCTTGCAGTAATTATCCAGTCAACTCTTGGCTTCTTGTTTACTAAACGTCGAATGCCAGAGAAATAACCGTCGGTGCTCTGGGCGCATATGCAGCCTTGCATGAAACAATCAAGAGCTTCAAACGTGTCAGCGAGGATAAACCAAAGGTAACTTATCTCTCATTACTGCCATCCATCTAATGGCTCGAACAGGTGTTCATCGCAACTTCGAATCTGCTCGGCGTCATTCCACCAGTGACAAACTACTTCACTCTGGGAAACGAGAAGCACAACCTTGCCTACTATGTTCAAGCTGGTAATACGGCCCATGCAGACCAAGGCTTCCGGTTCTACCTCGCTGCCCAAGTGAGCCCCTCGGGTGGGATTCCTCCAGGGGCCAAGATTGATGGCGAGGCACATGCTACCGCCTATTGGAATCTGATCAACCGCAAAGAGAGAGGAGGGTGGGATATTCGCTTTATTCAAGACGGAAGCATCCTTGTCGAAAACTAACTCGTTGAATGAACCACTGTATTGATATGATCCTGTATCATTCAGTCTAGTCTCGAATTGTAAGATTTTCGTTCCCAAACCCACGCAATAGAGACTACGCGTGAACGTCGCCACCTACCTATGCTTCTTCGACCCGTCCAACGGCGATATTGGAATCACGGCTGCCCATTCACTTCAGAATACCATTCCAAGAGTGATTTTGTACCTTTAAAATTCCCGAGCATGCCACGAGCAACGTCGGAAAAGTTTGCAAGGCTTCATCAAGCCGCGGCCAAATCGAACAAGGCGCCGACGACCCTTCAGGTCGGTGGCTCGAGTAAGGGATATCAGACTGCGAGTGGAAGTGGCTCGACCTCAAAGTCCAGTGGAGCTGGAAATCCGCTGTTCAATACAGAACGCTTTGGGCAGCACATCTTGAAGAATAAAGCAGTAGCTCAAGCGTAAGTTCTTGATGTATGCTCTTTGTATATTCTCATAAGTTTATAGCATCGTGGAAAAGGTTAGCATTCAACAGGGGAGAGTAGCGTAGACTGAAAAAGACCTAGGCAAACCTCAAGCCTACCGACTCGGTGCTAGAAGTTGGGCCAGGAACAGGAAACCTCACCGTCCTGATACTAGAAAAGGCGAAACATGTCACAGCCGTCGAGGCTGACCCACGAATGGCGGCAGAATTAGTCAAGCGGGTACAGGGAACGTACGTGCCCTGTTTGTCAAGGAACTCATTCTAACATTCATTCAGACCTGAACAACGAAAACTCGATATCACTGTTGGCGACTTTGTCAAGGCCGAGCTACCCTTCTTTGATGTCTGCATTAGCAATACTCCATATCAGGTCTGTCGCCTATCCTAAGGTCTAATTCCGCTATAAATCTGATACATTGCAGATTTCTTCCCCTCTTGTGTTTCGCCTATTGTCCCACCGCCCTCTCCCGCGCGTCGCCATTCTCATGTTCCAACGTGAATTCGCCCTCCGACTAACAGCGACACCCGGCACAGAATTCTGGTCGCGACTCAGCGCCAACGTTCAGCTATATGCCAAAGTCGACCACATCATGAAAGTGTCCCGCAACAACTTTATTCCTCCTCCAAATGTAACGTCTTCAATCGCATTCTTCTCCTATTCTTATGTTATGCACCTTAGGTTGAATCTTCGGTCGTTCGTATTACACCGCTCTCGCCCCCACCGCCTGTCAGATTTGAAGAGTTTGACGGATTGACGAGGATACTCTTCACGAGGCGGAACAAGACCTGCCGTGCAAACTTCCAAGCTTCTGGCGTAGAAAAGATGATGAAAGACAATTGGTCTCAGTGGAAGAGGGAGCAGAAAGCTCAAGGGAAAACCAGCATGGTACGTTCATGTATTCATGAACCGCCAGAATGATATTGATGTATCATAGGATGTCGACGAGGAAGACACGATAGATGCGAAAGAGGCCATCGAAGAGATTCTCACCAAATCTGGCTTCTCAGATGCACGACCCGCAAAGATGACAGTCGACGATCTCCTAAAGTCAGTTTCATCACTTGTTCGCTTCATATCTAATAGCGATCCAGATTGCTTCACGCATTTCACGCCCGAGGATTCCATTTCGCTTAGAAAAGACACCCTGTACTTGACGTTCAAATTCGTTGCATTGTCAAAGACGATTGACAGGCCAAAAAAATCAAACCCATGAGACTGATCCAAACTGACCGACTGCTTTTTTTTTTACATTCCGTGCAATCACTCTCGACGAGCCTTTTTGATGGTAGCTGGTCCAGCGTCCCTACTTCCCGTTTCCGGACCATCTGGCTCAGCGTCGCGTTTCCTCTTGTTATTCGCAGCGTCTGTATCCATGGCGCTGGAGGAGGCAGCGTCCCCAGATGCACTGGTAGATGGAGCCGATGTCTCCGTCTTGGGTTGGGATTTGATAGCTGCTGGTGCCGACGTCCTGGTATCCCTTCTCTTGTTGTTACCTTTGCCTTTATCGTGTCCCCCCCTTTTGACTGGTTTCTTCCCTTTGATAAAGACGTCTTCCTTGTCTGCTCGACGAGCAATAGAGGATTTGACATATTCTAGTTGTTGAGCGCGCTCTTCATCCTCTGAATAAAAGACAGTCAGCCAAGCCGACTGTAAGACGATTGGGCGCTGTACTCACCCGACAATTCTCGCCACTTGTATGTAGCACCGTCAATGAAATCGGGCCCGTCTTGCAGCTTTTTCCACTCGGCGTCATCGAGACCACGCTGGAATACCACGTATCCCGTATTCGTATCAGGAGGATTGACGACGTAAGAAGGCATGCTGAACATTTCTCGAAGACCAGCCTACAGAGGAATCAGCATCGATAGACATTGATATCACACTGGTGTACCTTGATTGCGCCCATTTTGACGTTGCCCTCGGCGACAAAGCCCACCATGGCACGTTTGACATAGCGAACGTCTGTATCTTTGGCGAGTTTCCAGACATTGTCCTCGGGATCGAGTTCAATGTCCAGCTCCTGGTCGAGGATATTAAACTGCTTGACGACGGGTACGTGACCAGGCTCTGCACCAAGGTCTTGTCGGCCTTCTCGTTTCTTGAAAATAGGGTATAAGCACAGATAAACGTAGGCAAATGAGAATCACGGACCATGAGCCGGAAAGCGTTGAATGTTGGACGAGGTTTAGGCGGGATTGGTTTCGGTAGCTTGACGTTCTTGTCTTCACACTTCATCGCGACGTAGTCTTGCCTAAATCATGTCGATTAGAAGACAAGCTTAGTAGCGATGCCGACCAACTTTTTCATGACGAGGAGCTCTGTGCCATCAAACTCGCGTTTGGAGCCGTCTGCAGGCTTGACGAAGCGCTCTGCGGTATCTACGTCGGAGAATTCGCAGAATACGCTGCCCTTGAACTTTTTGTCCTGATCTCGGCGCATTCTTACGCAGGCGACTGCACCAAAGCGCGCAAAGTAGCGCTCCAAATCCATTTGCATATCGCGATACTCTGTAGTCGGGAATCCTTTCTGTGGATACGTTGTTCAGCAATGGGAACCAACTGACAATGGCAGAGACAGACCACATAGACGCTGCGTTCGTCCACTGACGGCTTGGGCCTTTCGACTACAGCAGTGCGACGCCTGACGTTCTTTCCTTCTTCATCAATCTCGAGGAGTGTACTGGCGCGAAGGGTGTCGGCGAGCCACTCGAGGCCAAGGGATTGAAACTCGGCCATGCGGTTGAACTTGTAAAACTTGTCGAGGGGAATCCAATGATCCGGAGTTTTGTCATGTTCAGTCCAGAGATATTTGTCGTAAGGCAGGTTGGAATCGGAAAAGTAAAACTCCACTGCGACGAGGAACAAGGTCAGCAACTGTTCAGAGATTGAGAGCGTCGCTATTAGACGCAAATGGATGCATCTTTGGATGCTTGTAAGCGACGCAACGGCGTTTCCACCGGTGTAATGACTGGGACGAACGACGATTCGACTCACTCTGGAAACGAGCTCTCCTTTGCTTCTCTTCTGGACTCTCCGAACGGAGAGTATTTTTGATATTCTCCGTGCTGATAGCAGGAGGATTTGCGACGACGGCGGTCATTTGTGCGCACGGTAGGATGCAAGGAAATGGGGCGCAGAGGGCGCAAATAGATAGACAAGGAAGATATTCCTCGAGTGTTTGCAGAGATGCGGGGGATTTGCCTGTCGGTGACTCGAAATCGACTGTGGAGGACAGGAACAAGATGGACGGCGCCTTCAAGGGAACAAGTCACCACAGATATTAGCACCAAAATGCCATATTTACCCCCTATATTTCTCGGATCCTGATGGTCAAACGGCGTTGCAAGTGGCGACTGCAGTGCTTCACATCTTGGCCCGACTGTCTGCTGTACCATAACCCAAAATGTCAACATCTGCAACAAAACGCAAAGCAGAAGAGCCTGAACAGGCTACATCGAGCAAAAAGTAGGCATCTGGCGCATTTATACTCGCACGTTTCATCGTTCAACAATTCTATTCTGCAGGCAAAAGGTGGTAGACGATGAAGAGAGCGGCAGTGAAGAGGAAGGAAGCGGAGAAGAAGGTTCAGACGAAGACTTGGACGAAGGCGAGTAATACAACACGAAAAGGAAGCCCCCTGACAGTGCCAATAGATGAGCTAAACGACCTCATACAAGATCAAGAGGACCAAGCCGACGGTCGCACCTATGGCCGTCGAACTCGTGGTGTCAAGATTGACTTTACAGGCAAAGACGTCCCAGGTGAAGGTGACGATGACGAAGATGACGAAGAAAACGTGCCAGAGGTTGAAGAAGAGGTCGTAGGCAAAGGAAAAGGCAAGGCCGTCGCTAAGCCTAGTGAAGAGACCACTGGAGGGGGGTCGTCAAAGCCGGCCAGCAAAGCTTAGATAATATGTGAGTTATCCGGAATCTCGCGACCCAACTTACCAAGTTGACAGTGAAGCCGACAAATATTGCTACTCTTCTTGATATACAAAAGCTTTTCTTGGTCAACATTTGCGCAATCAGCGCTTCGAGAATCAGCCGATACTATGAGTATTAATGATTCTTTACAGCGACGCTAGTGCCATCAGCTTTGGCGGAACAGCGGACCATCTTGGCAGCGTTTGCGTGGGAAGGTCTCTAGACCTCTTAAACGTATTATAAATTCATCAACTCACGTTACTCTCCCACGATTAAAGTCAAATACCGCAGGCGCGAAGAAAGAGGTTTGTCACAACGCTTTGAACCTCTCCGAAAAGATAGTAACACTAATAAAACTTGCATAGATTCTCAATCTTAAACACTCGAGGGACAATTGTTGCACGGCTCCTGGTGACCGTCCAACATCTCCGACCCGTTCGTAGATCTCGGGTGAGTTTGACAACCGGACTCGATGTCACTTTTTCTGTCTCGTTCACCTTTAAATGCTGATTTAGGCAAACGGAATATGGCTTCATTCCGCGTGAGGCTCTCATTACCGCCTCGCCTTCCGCGCGATGGGCGGTTAGTGGCCTTTTGCAAGAAATTTCCGGCTCTTATCTAACCAGTGACAAGTTTAGGCCCCCGAAAGGATGGATGTCCCTGCCAGCCGCAGGTGTTCCACCGTCTTGCAAGGAGCAACCTCCCACAACTCATCAATGCTTTCGTGAATGACTTTCCGTATAGTTAAAGGAGTTTTAGTCTCTCGTAATTCCCCTTAGCACCTTGCGGACACGCCTCCTCCTTGAACCGTCCAGAACCCAGAGGACATAAATATGGGATGTTCTCAGCAAGTTCTAAAGCAGGTTTCCTACAGACCCCTCCCAGTAGTTTCGTTAGAGTCATTCGTTTTCCAGCAAGCATCATGCTCCGAATCCAACCCATAGCAACTTTTGTCGTAACACTCGCCTCCCTTAGGGCTTCCACTCCCTTGAAACGTGCCTCTAACCTTGTTGCCTCTCTTTCCGCAACTTGACCCTCCATCGATTCTGTTGATGGTCTGGGAATCACGGCCACGGTCGAGAACGCGGTATTTCGGCTGTCAACTGCCTTTTCAGGGCTGAATCCAAGTAGAGCGATCAAGACATCAAGGTCCTTAAGCTTGGTACTGGTAAGTATTATCGCTTGGTTCATAAATTCGTGCTAAAGGTTGCCAGTCCTGGACAATACCCTCCCTACCAACTCGTTCTTGGTATCTCTCGGGGCTCAATCCGTCCCCTTTATCAGTATTCAGGTTCAGGTATCCATGCATGACCTTACCGAAGACTCTTTCGTGGCGATTCCCGCTGGAAAATCTGTCAGTGCGACACGTACCAATCTCGCGGCATTGTACAGCTTTGACTTTGCACCCAAGCAAGATCTCCAAGTCGCCGACGCCAACAGTGTGGTGACCGACCGTGGCTGATATACTTCGCGCCGCCGCTATCGTACCCAGTGTTGACATACACATCGGCAAGAATGTTCCGAAGAGGAACCTTCTTTCTGCCGAAGAGTTGGAGAAGCGTACCGTCGTCAGCTGCTCCACCAGTAGCTCCGCCTCTTTTATTTGTGCGTGGTAAGTACCTTGACGGTTGCATTTCTCTCGTTAATCATATTCATCGCTTAGATATATCGAAGCCAAGAGTCTTGCATCAATCGCCGCAAGCTATATTTCGAGCCGTGGCGCATCCCACTCTCTCTTTCAGGCTTACTTTAGATCCTCCACTACTACGACAAAGCTTCTTGCCGTGCTCAATGTGAGTACATGACTTCTATTGCTCCTATTTCCCACGCCGAATAAGCTGCCGCAAACGGAAATTCGTCGTCGCGCACACTTAATTGCCCAGATCCATACGGAGCCTGCGGAAATGGTATCATGGCGTACATCGTACCCACCACATTGAAAATCTAGTAAGAATTGCTCATATTTAGTGACCTATCTAACCTCTCTTCAGCTATTGCTCCATCTTCTACAACGAAGTGACAACCTCGCACCTAGTAAGACACCTACCTTATCTTCTGTCCTCTGCTAATGTATTTGTCAGTGCTCAGATACCAGTGTAGCTTCACGTGACATTCGCGGTGGAACGACGTTCCACGAGCTCACGCACGCTCTCTCCAATACCGATAATGTCGGGTATGGCTGCACCTACGATCAAAGTTTGGCTTCTTCCAACCCACCCAGGCGCAGAATAACGTTGATAACTACAACGTAAGTGCCACACTTTAACTCAAGACCTTCTAATGGCTTGATGTAGTACTTTGCGACCCAGGTCTACAAGAACACGCGGTGCTGAAGGGTCATCCTAACCTAGGAGGTTCTCTTCATCCTTTTATAACCCTTCGTGTTGTGAAATAGGGATGGCAATTCAGGTAGTGCGATAATATCAGGGAGAGCGTTCAGTCACAACTGGAGCCTCAAAATGAAATTACCTGATACTATGGTGTCAAACTTACTTGTTCTCCAGCCTTGCTTTCTTATCCTTCTGGGTTCTACCATGTGACTTTCTCAGTTACTTGCGATCGAGAGACGACCATGGACAAAGCACGTATAGTTGAAAGAGTACATTCTACATACTAGACTCTGCAAGAAAAAGGGCGCCTATTCCTAATAGAAGATGCCATATAGCGCTAGTTGAAATAATTGCAACAGATTACCGGCCGGTATCTGTTCGAACGTTTGTCCAGGAGGAGCCGCATTGGAAACGAGTGAAATCAAACATGGTTGAACGGAAAGGCATAGTCATGAGGAGGCGCAGATATTGTAGTCCAAGTCGATTATTTGGCGGCACCCAAAACAGAAGCTTACCGGATGATTGCACCCAGCCATCTTCAGACAATGAGCAGCGAGTGAATCCAGGTACAAGCATGCTCAGCGGAGTATTCTGTGACTCGACCTTAAGACTCGAATTAGGAGGCTCACTGTCGTTCTTGCTGGAGTCATTTGCATTGGGGCCTAGTCGTACTTGTCAGGCTGTCACCACATTCAGCAATAGGCGGAAACTACAACTGACCAGTCACTATGTCCCATAACAGAACCAGGTTATTGGATGAGCCGCAGACGATTCGTGAACCGTCTGGCGAGAACCCGACGGTTAGGACGAATTCTCGAGGACCTCGAAGTGGCAATCCTAATGGCTGACCAGTGTGCCCGTCCCAGAGTCGAATCGTCTTGTCAAGCGAGCCGGAGACAATTCGTGAGCCGTCTGGCGAGAACCTCACGGCGTGGACAGAATCTTGATGACCTTGGAGTGGCTCCCTCAATGGCTGACCAGTGTGCACGTCCCAGAGTCGAACAGTCTTGTCATCCGAGCCGGAGACGATTCGTAAGCCATCCGGTGAGAAATCGACGGCCTGTACCCACTCTTCATGACCCTGGAGCGGCTTTCCCAGTGATTGACCAGTGTGTGCGTTCCAGAGTCGAAGAGTGTGGTCTTCCGAGCCAGAGACAATTCGCGAGCCATCCGGCGAGAACCTGATGGAAGTGACAGGTTTTCTGTGACCTCGGATTGGCTCTCCCACTGGCTGACCAGTATGTGCGTTCCACAGTCGAATAGTTTTGTCTTCCGAGCCAGAGATAATTCGCGAGCCGTCCGGCGAGAACCCGACGGCATTGACAGCTCCTTCATGACCTCGGAGCGGCTCTCCCAGTTGCTGACCAGTATGAACATCCCAGAGTCGAATGGTTTCGTCGCCCGAGCCAGAGACGATTTGTGAGCCGTCTGGCGAGAACCCAACCGCGTAGACAAATTCTTCGTGGCCTTGAAGTAACGCTCCTAGTGGTTGACCGGTGTCTGCCTCCCACAGTCGGATCGTCTTGTCGGATGAGCCGGAGACAATTTGCGAGCCGTCTGGCGAGAAATCGACGGCTAATACATACTGTTGTAACCCTTGGGCCGACTCTCCCAGTGGCTCTCCCAGTGGCTGACCAGTATCCGCCTCCCATAGTCGCACCGTATTGTCGTCCGAGCCAGAGACAATGCGTCCGCCATCAGGTGAGAAGGCAACGGCATTGACAGGTCTGACATGACCTCTGAGTGGCTCTCCCAGTGGCTGACCAGTGTCCGCCTCCCATAGTCGAACGGTCATATCATCCGAGCCAGAGACGATTCGTGCGCCATCAGGCGAGAACGCAACGGAATTGACACTTTCATCATGTCCCCGGAGCGGCTCTCCTAGTGGTTGGCCAGTGTCCGGGTTCCATCGTCGAATGGTCTTGTCACGTGAGCCAGAGACAATGCGTGACCCGTCTGGCGAAATATCGACGGACTTTACCCAGCCTTCATGGCCCTGGAGTGGCTCTCCTAGTGGTTGGCCAGTATCTACGTTCCACAGTCGAATCGTCTCTCCCCATTCGCTGAAGACGATCCGTAAGCCGTCTGGCAAGAACCCGACAGACTCTATCGGCATGGAATGAGCTCGGTATGTCTCTCCCAGGGGCTGCCCGGTGTCTGCATCCCAGAGTCGAATCGTCCCGTCAAATGAGCCGGAGACAATTTGCGAGCCGTCTGGCGAGAACCCCACAGCGTAGACCGGTCCTTGATGGCCTGGGAGAGGTTCTCCCAGTGGCTGACCACTGTCCGGGTTCCACAGCCAAATAGTCGCGTCGTGCGAGGCAGAAACGATTCGCGAGCCGTCTGGCGAGAACTCGACGGCAGTCACACCTTGTTGATGACCCCGGAAAGGCTCCCCCAGCGGTTGTCCAGTTTCTGTATCCCATAGTCGAATCGTAGTGTCTTTTGAGCCAGAGACAATGCTTGAGCCATCTGGAGAGAATCCGACAGCCGTCACGGCACTTTGGTGACCTTGAAGAGTGCTAGGAAGCCTAGGATATGTCTTCTCGAGCCCTTGGGTAACAACCACCGTGTTTTCATACCGCCTTAATCCCTCGATATGCAGCATTGTTTCTGTAGGGGTGAATGGAATAGCTGATATGTAGATGTGTGGAGCACTGTCTTGGATCGGTACCGAAAATGTCATCAAAAATCGTCGGATCTCTGATATAGTGCTTCGAGTTTCCTCAATCTTTTATAATGTGAAAAATTTAACTTGGAGAAATAGATTACTCACCCCCATGCGGCGTGTAGCAGTCCGAAGGCCAGCTATCGCTCGTGGCACTCCTCCAGTCAAGCTAAGAACCTCCATCCAGTATAGCACATAGGGAATTCTCAGGATGTGCTCAACTTCACTCTTCAGCGCCCATCGCCACTTGTCGTCCGTTTTCGCCAAATGGAACAGCCAATGGGAGCTCGCATATCGCAGCCTTCTTGGAATCAGCCTTGACACTCTGGCCTCCAGATCGGGGATCTGTCTGTTTAGACAAAAGGACGATTCGATTTCGCATATATTGAACTTGAGTCCTCCAGTTGGTGACTTGAGGCGTTTGAGGCACCACGATGCAGCTTGACCATGTGCCTCGACAATGTCAAGACAGAGATTACCGACGACTGGTGCTGAGATGCAGCGCCGAAGGTACTCGACGAAGGTAGGGTGACGAAATTGGATGAGGTTTGTGCCTTGATCCACACTCAGTACGCTGCCCAGATTCAGTACCAGGGCCTTGGCACTTCCAGGGATTTTCGAATGCTTTAGGATGTCATCTAGATCGTCGATAGTGAGAGGCTCGAATGCAGCGAGCAGCAGCGCGAGCATTGCACACATGACCCCATAGTATTCGGGATCTATACGCTCGAAGACGAGACTGTAAACACTGTCTATGGCTCCTGGCTTGTCCATGGATATTAGACGATCGTATATATCCTCATGCGAACTCAAGCTGGTCTCACTGGTGAGCATTCGACATGCGGTGCTCGCCCAGATGAATAGACCATCGGCTTTTTCGACCAGTCGTCGCCTCTTGTCCTGCGGTAGAACTCGATTTAGCGAGTGATCTACATAAACCGCGATGTCGTTAGTGTTATCCAGGTAATTGACATCATGTAGGCGGTCTTCCAACTTTTCTTTAATCGACACTCCCTGCAGGACGGTTTCAATGACGGGATCAGGTCGACTAGTCATGAATATCCTGAGGTTCTTCCTCTCTTGGACACCCTTAGTAAGGGTCTCTACGAGTTCTCTTCGCTGTGGCCCAGACTTGCATTCGTCCATGGCGTCGATGATGATGATCACGCGCTTGTCTGAATGGCCGAGTGGGCCGGTGATGAATGTGCGGAACTGCTCTTCGAGAGGGCTTCGCATGATAGCTGGATTTTGCTTCACGGCGTCGGCGATGTGTGGGGCGAGTTCGGGCATATGATGGGCGAGTTCCTTAGCCATGGTCGAACAGAGCTTCTCAGTGTTTGATGCTTCGGTGCTAGACATCGAGAAGAAGAACTGGGCTCCTAGTTTTCCCTTGTCGCGCCACGACGCCGCCGTGGACATCGCAACTGAGGATTTGCCAGATCCAGCGATGTCACATAACCAGAATATTGGTCTCTCGGACATTTCATCCTCGGCCCAACGCCGGATTTTGTCAAGAACGGCACGCCGAGTTCCTTGCATGCAGGGAATATGGATGGAGGATGCGACTAATGCGACCATTGGAAGCTGGAGTATAACAGCGGCGTTGGCTTGAAATGTTCAGTAGCGTCCGGCACAAATATTGAGCTTACCATTCCGTTCAACGATGTGAGCAATGAAAAGACTCAATGCACTCTGCATTCTCAGTGAGCTGGTGAATGAGACTGATGATGCCCATACCATGAGATGCCTGTGTCGGTCCTCGATATTCCTATTGAATTTACGGATGTCATCCGCATCAATCTTAATTTTGCTGAACCCCTTCAGAAAGCTGAGCCTGCTGTGGCTGCGTTTGTCCCTCGCGTTGATCACGGTACTACATATATCTCTGAGGAGTCTCCCTCGCTCAGCATCATGAAACCGGACTTCGATCATTCACGTACTCAAGATAGTCATTGAGGTGTCGACAGAGCGTCTGGCTGATGGCTCTGTCCGTTTGATTGTATGTCTCAAACGAGGCGGTCTGTTCTTCGAATGTGGAGATATATCCCGTCAGACGTCCCATTAAGTCATTCCATTCTTCTTTGTTGCTTTCTATCGCCTGTTGTATCCGTTAGGAGATGCTTGTGGTGCGCGCCGCTGGCTAATCGTCAACTCACCCGCACGACATCCAGGACAGATTTTGTTGCTCGACAAGCCGCCTTTAGAGGGGCGAGCATATCTGATCCCTCGGCTATATTTGCGATTACATCGAGGATAAAGCTGAACGTGTCGTACGCTTGATCCTTCTTGGATGATGATACTTGTCCTGAAGACGAAGATGTCGGTGGATTCGTGGTCATATGTCGTTTCTTGGGCTTCGTGGCCGACATCCCGGAGGCGGATGGATCCAAGATTAATGAGTCGGCCGCCACTCTCCGAACGATACACGTGCCAGAAAGGTTGTCGCCAAGTCCAGTATACGTGAAACCAAATAGTATATACATGTAAACGTCCTCTCAACTGAATCCACGAAATGTCGTATCAAGCTTTACAAATGGAGGTGGCCTCGATGTGCCTTACAACCTTTGCTACATTTTCACGCATCCCTCGCATCGATAACTGGCCCTGTCACAGCTCCTTGATCTTTCACCAGGGGTTAGCCTAGATGTATATATCTACTCCGAGTCCACAGAAATGGATCAAACCATCGTATTGCGCAGTTTCCTGTAGCACCATAGCATTTAGAATGGTTCAAACGTCTTCTCGACCTACAGAGCAGTCTCACCGGCGAAGGGCACCACCAGGCTAAGGATACGTGGAGGACAAGGAACTGTGAGAACCAATAAAGAAGGGTATGAATTCTATGGGTCTCGCCGCCATGACTAGCAGATATACATGGGTTGAGAGCCTGTCCTCTCCATATACCTGCCCAGAGGCGGTACCGCGCCCAGCAGTCTGCTCTTGACAAATCTACAAGCACTGGGAGTACCAAGTGTTTGAGAATTGACATGTGCTACCAGACTGGCAGCACGTCGGACCAGAGTATCCCTGACCACCACACTGAGCCCATTTGGCAGCGCAATTGCCGCCATTGTTGCCAGAGGACGTGGAAGATGGTCGTGGAGTGCTTGAAGACTGAGGCTGGGACTGGGAAGACTGCGTACCACCATTGATGGCCTGGGTGAAGAAGGTCCACGTCTCACCGGGTGCCCAGTAGTTTCCATTGCTGTCATGCGGATCGGGAACGTGATCACCGCTATGAGCAATCCACCATACAGGGTATCCAGCGCGGCAGCTGTAAGTCGTCTTGATATGCGTACCAGTGCCTGGGGCGGGCTCCGGGGCAGTTTTGGCGGCACAACCATTGTTGGCGAGGAATTTGTCACGCAGCTGGCGACCATTGCTGATGTTCAGAACGCTGTCGACGACGCCATGGATGCCGAGGTAGGGGACTGGCTGGGTACCGGGGCTGCAGCCACTGAGCTGGGCGCCAGAAATGACAGCCACAGCACGGAATACATCTATAGGCTCCTTTAGTCATGTATAAGGGGCTAAATATGAGAATAACGCACTAGGGCGTGAGCAGGCAAGTGAATACGACATAGCACCGCCGTAGCTCCATCCGGTAGCAAAGCGTTGCGTCTCATCGACACAGAGCTGGTTCTCGATGGTGCTAATCATGTTGTCCACAAACGTTGTATCCTCACCGCCACTGTTACCCCAGCCATTGTTGAGTCCGTTTGGAGCCACAAAGATGGCACTCTCCCCCGCGAGGTTTCGCAGGCCGTAGTACCCAGGTGCCACGGCATTCATGTTCCCTCCCAGCCAATGGAAGCCAAAGATCAGCTTGTATGGCTTGTTAGGGTCATAGTTGGCAGGAACCTGGAGGATATATTGCCGAGTCTTGCCGTTGACGGTCATGGACTTTGTGCCGCTGGACGGAGGGCTCTTGCCACAGCCAGCAGACCGAGCGAGTACGCCATCGATCGTCGCCGCGGCGAGAAGAAGGAAGACTGTGATAAAAGACCGCATTTTATGGGAGAGGTTTGTCAGTACGTCTGGTTAGGAAGTGGGTTGTCCTCCGCGTCCTCATCTTCTGGGAGGAAGAGGGCCCTTTTATCGACATTCCACCCTTTGAAAGGCAACAATACGGCTTAGAAACGATTATCCTGCCCCGAACTGGCCCCGAAACCATCTCAATACGGCTACTGATGCTCACGACACCCTCTAGTCATGGGTAAATATCACAATTCGGAGAAAAAGGTTGGTATGCGACAACAGCGGCTTGACGGGCCAAGTGACACATATCAACCGGTCCTGATCGACCGGACCCCGTCGCCCTGACCAGGAAACCCCGAAACAATCAAAGCGAGTACTAGTGCAGTTGTTGCTATTTATAGCCCCAGGAATGCAAGAGGTTCGCAGAGAGGACCGTCATGTGGAGCGAGGTCGTCGAAAGTGCCATGGCTATCAGGAGTGAGCAATCGATGATAGCTGAGAACTGTCGAAACCAAAGTAAAGATTGGGTCCTCTGCTTTCGCATTGTCGAAACTAGGAACCGGATCTTGCGAAGGTTGTGATGCGGAGAAATCCAGATGTATGCACCGACGGGCAATGTTCTCGAGTCGATGCCCATTGCTACGGCACGAGAAGCCGGCCAATTCTAATGTCAAGGCCGCTTTGGGTGGTACATCAGACAAGGATCTCCAGGTGGTGCCGCTTCTCTAGTATTGACGCACCATCGAACGAGTCGGCTCGCTGAACAATAAATATGTGCTAATTTTAGAACCAAGAGTCCAAATCAACAGCAATAGTGCGCAAAGTGAAGGTCGTGATTTGCCTGCGACATCCGTTTTCCCCACAGATCCGAGGCAACCTTCTGTGGGAAGATGTCGGGAGATGGATGGCTTCATGACTTGAAATCTGGAAGCTCGGCCAAATACTAAAGGCGAGGCAGTACGGCCGAGAATCAAGAGGGGAGGGTCCTGTTTGAGTTTGTGGGTTCACGGGTATCAACCCGGCCACCCACAATTTATTCACACGGTGGCAACAGCCGCTACACTCAGCTAACATCACCAAGCTGCTGTCAGAAACCCCATCCGTTTCCCATCTATTTCTCCCAGTACTGTACTGCTAGCTGGTCTGGAGTAAATTGCAGAGGTTCAGCTTGGCAATGAGGGCAAAACCCCCGTATTAGATCTATACCATCTCCAAACCGTTGAAAATGATGCTAATTTCCTAGGCGTCCACAGAGATACCTTCCGTCGACCTATTCTTGGCTTTAACCACAATCGCTGAGACATGGCGAGGACTACAAACGCGCTGGCAACACCAAATGCAAGCGATAATCTCCGCTAGGTCATACGGACTGGGTGTCGTTGGCAGTTCAACACACTATAGACGAAATATGGATGTTGCTTTGCTGCCACGCCCTCCGCAATCCACCTAATAGTTGCTATTACAACTTCATCTCCTTTTGGATCTTCAGACTTCATCATCTCATGTGCATCCTCGCTGAATCAATCTAAATTGCTCAAAGCACATCTCTCCACTTCCGCAGGAGGTCTCTATTGTTCTTCTTGATGTATGTGGGCCTTTAGGATTACAATTACTCAATCTGTATTGACGCTACTACAGGTAGCGGGCGTGCGGACAACCGACTGAGTATCCCGCTAGGTTTCATGCAAGAAGCTCAACGTGGACCGGATGTGTCTTTCGACTTTATCGTATTACACCACTTTCCCATGACGAAAGCCAAATATCGCCTGAAGGTGCTGATAAGCTCACGGCCCCTGAGTCCTCTACGACCATATCGCATTGCCAAGAGAACTTTTAGCATCTCGGAGGCTTTAGCTCTCGAGAAGTAATGGTTGCCTTGCTTCTCGCAACCGTGCACATGGACCGCAAGCTTCCAAGTAAGCGACAGCCGTGAGTGGCATAGTGGATTCGCCCATATCCTATTGGAACGAGCTCCTGAAATCATTATGGTAATCTCATTGTCTACGTGATGGCATATGGATATCCACATGGACCAACCTCGACTTCGCGGTTGTTTCCAACGTCTGTCTTCGATCACTTACGCACCTTGGGTGAGTCTGGGTGTATAATATCACCCTTTATTCTACATCATTTACCCTCAACTAGGCCTTTCGAATGCGGGCTGTCATTTCACTCGACCTAATGCCGCCATTCCGGCCTTGCTTATCGATGTATCAGGCTAGTAGCCATTGCAATGGAGTTCTCGTACAACATGTGCTCACTATGAGACCCGATCTTGCCGAAAGAGATCTGACGGAATATCGTTTCCCGGCCGCGAGAAGGGTTCCATCGTCTCGTAAGTAGCATCCTCCCACAAGCTACACTACTTCTCCCTATTACTGCCTCCTATAGATGATAGCTCCTTTCTTCTCGTCATCCCCCTGAGCACCTCGCGGATACGTCTTCTCTTCGCTGGATGCTCCTGAGCTCAGAACACATAAATACGAGGGCCTCCCCAGGGGATTCTATCCTCAGGCCTCTCTACGGATTCCTCTCGCCGCCCTCGTTTGAGCCACTCGTGCTGTAGCCAACTGCCCATCATGCTCCGAGCAACCGCAATCTTTCTCCTTACACTCGCCTCCCTTGGCGCATCCACTCCTTTGAAGCGCGCTCCAAACCTTGTTGTCTCTCTATCCACCACCTCTCCTGCTATTGATTCGGTTGACGGTCTTAGCTTGACTGCCACAGTGGAGAACACGGTATTTCCCCGTTGAGTGCATCTTCCATGCCTGACGTCGAGTAGAGTGACCAAGATATCAAGATCCTCAAGTTTGGCACTGGTAAGCGTCGTCGATAGGTTCAAGATTCTGTGCTCAAAGTCCCTAGTCCTGGACAGTAATCTCCCTACGAATTCGTTTTTGGTATCTCGCGGTGCTCAATCTGTACCCTTCACTGGTGTACAAATCCAGCTCTCCATGAACGACCTCACCGAAGACTCTTTTGTAACCATTCCAGCCGGCAAATCTATCAGTGCGACGCACACCAACCTCGCCGCGCTGTACAAGTTTGACAAATTTGGTGTCGGAAGCTTTACGTTTACTCCCAAGCAAGACTTCCAAGTCGCCGGTGCTAACAGTGTCGTGAGCGACGTCGCTGATACCCTCCGCGTCTCCGCTGTCGTTCCCAGCGTTGACATTCATATCGGCAAGGATGTCTCCAAGAGAACGCTTGTCGCTGGTGAAGAGCTCGAGAAGCGTGCTAGAGTCAGTTGCTCGACTAGCAGCTCTTCCTCGTTCATCTCTGCATCGTAAGTGACTAAGTGTCCACAATTTGCTTCCTCTCAATTATCTATCTGCTAGGTATACCGAGGGAAAGAGTCTCGCCTCGCTCGCAGCAAACTACATCTCAAGCCGAGGCACGTCTGACTCGCTCTTCCGCGCCTACTTTGGTGCCTCTACGTCGTCCAAGCCACTGAGTGTGTTTACGGTTAGTACTCTACCTCTATCTTTACCCATGCTGAGAACGGACAGGCCGTGGCTAATGAGAACTCTTCTTCGCGCACACTCAACTGTTCTGATCCATATGGAGTTTGCGGAAACGGTGTTATTGCGTATACAGTCACCTCGACAACCAATATCTAGTAGGTTCTGCTCAACATTTAGTGGCTGATCTAATCTCTTCTCCAGCTATTGTTCCATCTTCTACAACGAAGTGACGACTTCACGACTTGTAAGCATCCTCTGCCTTTTCTGTCCCGCGCTCACAATCATTCAGTGCTCGGATACTACCGTCGCCTCGCGCAATGTCCGTGGTGGAACCACACTCCATGAGCTCACACACGCACTATCTGGTACTACGGACGTCGGATATGGTTGCAGCTACGATCAGACCCTTGCCTCCTCCAGCCCATCCCGCGCCCAGAGCAACGCCGACAACTACAACGTATGTATTATACGCCAAATTCGGATATCTCTAACACCGTTCAGTGCTTCGCGACCCAAGTCTACAAGAACACGCAGTGCTAAGAAAAGCCCGGGGGATTTGGGAAACTCCATATCACCCTTGATCAATCGTTTTAAAGTCGTAGAATGTGCAATAGTGACAACAAATCAGATGGTGTTATCACCCCGTCCGATCGGTCTCAGGCAGAGCATCCTTCTGATTTCAACCACGCTGATGATGAGCGGCAGAGAGCTGAAACTCGGAGCCGTTTCTTATGAGACTGGTTCTGCTTTGACAGCGTTCGTCCGGCCAACCTTTACCTTGTTTTCTAATAGGGGCGAGCTTGATGATCTCTGATGGCGTGTTCCCTCCCTTTCCTATCGCTTTTCTTAATCTTCCTCCTCAATGTTCAGCTTGATTTTGCTATGTATAGTGAGTTTTACGGTCCAATCTACCATGTTACGACCTTTTCTTGCCTTGGTCTTTTCGAGTTTTGGTATGCAATTTATTACCTAGGAAACTATTGAAATGTATGCAAATCTCATCTACAAATTTGAATCCATCTCTCAGATGGCGTAATCTGAGTCCACCACCAGCCTCTAGACTTGACTTGAACCACATCCGCACAGAGAGCAGGCCTAAATCGCAGACGCGTTGGAGTGCACAAAACACAACTAAGGACCTCTCTTTATTGTCTCTGAGAGATTGGCACAAGGGTCGTCCCGGTTAGTGGCTGTTCTCTGATTTCGACGCGCGTTGAGCACAGTTTGGGCGTTGTTTCGCTGACATTCTCCTCATTCCTGCAAAACTACAGACAAGGAACGGCCGATATTCATACGTCGTCGCTTCTTGGAGAGTTCAAACTCTGCCACTGTACGTACGTCCCCTCATTGTCAAACCTTGGGCACCTGGAATGAATATTGCGCATTTATGAGCATCTGGAATGTCAGATATGAGGCCCAAGGCCGCGTACATGCCTCTCAGGGTTGCCATTCTCCTCAGTTTCAAGGCGGGGTGCTGAGTTGTGACCTCTGGCTCCCATTTCATACCAACCTCAGATATCTACTGTTGTATGTACTGACATTTCCTCCTACAGCTGGCCGAATGTCTGAACTCGACGCATTGCTCAACACTCTTACATCCGAACTGACCCATCAAGGAGGAGATCCAACTCCACAACTTATTTTTCATGCACAAGATTTAGTTGCTCTATTGGATAATGGTGCTGGATTCGGATGTCAAGATATTGGAAAGGTCATAGGCCCAATATCCATTTTATGCTCCCCAGATCAAGACCCAAGAGTCCGCTCTTTGGGCTACGAAGCAATATCTGCAGTTTGCATGCATTCACTTCCGAGCAACTCCGATTCACCAACGGTCCTGGAGCGACGACAACTGTGGGACGCTCTCTGCAGTGCTGGAGAAGAATGGGAGCTAGAAATCAGTGCTTCTAGAATACAGGCCCTTCGTGCTCTGCTGGGTCTTGGGAAAAGTGGCGAGGACACCTCCCTGACACCTCAGGTCTCCAACGCCGAAGGCCTCGAGCAACTGCTTCCAGAGACGAGAAAATGGCTATCTCATGTGGTTGAGATTCTCTTCTCGTCATCCGAGGCGTCCAGAGACTCCAGAGACTCTCACTCCTACCATCTAGCCAGCGAAGACGAGATGGAAACATTCATTACCGAGTTGGATCGAATCATCAACTGCATCATCTTCGATAATCCGAAAGTTCTCTCCGACAACGAATTCGAAGAGACTCTAGAGCTATACTGCTCGTGGATCCAGCGCATCAGCAAAGACGAAGCATGGGTAGCAATCACTCAATCTTCTTTCGCCACTCCTACCACGCTTACACAACCAAAAGCCCCACGGATTCACCATCGCAATACTTCGGCCGCTACAACCCCAACTACTTTTACATTTCCATCTTCTATCGTGACGCCCGCCGAGACCACAGCTTCTCTCTCACGACTTCCTCATACGTCATCGACTAGCGCTCACGACCCCGGTATCCGGTCATTCCATCTGGCCATAGGACGCCTCTTTACGGGTCTTCTGGAAAGGAGTTTGCAACAGCATCTCCTGATTCCAACGGAAATACTATCTCAGGCAATTAAATGCCTTTGCTTTTACTCGCTCTGGTCATGAAGCCTGTCGCGCAGGGTGCCATAGGGGACGCACCGCTGGTCACAAAGGAAGTCGTAGCTACAAGCTCTAGCTCGATACGCAGCATTCAATCCTCATCAAGCCTTGTTTCCCCGGCAAACCCCAAGTCTCGGAGCCCACGCACTCGAGCCACGCCTCGAGCAGCATCCCACGATGTCCTTGCTTCAGTCATTGAAGCCGGCTTTGGGCTTCCATTGAAGAACGTCTGACTTCGATCTTCGACGCACTTGTACAGAACAAGTGGTACTCTGCCTCTGCGCTCGATATCGTCCAAGCACTGGTTCTTCCTGCCAAAGACGATCAACCTGATGGCTCATTTATAGCGCATGGTGCAACTCGGTTCCTGCGCTGCTCGATCCTGAAAGCTCTCAAATTGGAGGTCGCTAGACTTCGTTTCAACGAAGCCGTGGCGAATAGTCATGGAATGAGCGGTGCTCCAAGCTCGTTTGGTGACAGGGAGCTCTTCGAGCTCGGTTGGAAAGCGAACTCGGGCGGTATTCTCTCCGCGCGCTTCGAGACATTTGGCACCGGTTTGCGAGAGGCCGTAGTAGCATGGAGACAAAAGGCATTATCCTCTGCGACTGTTAATAATTCCGCTGAGACGATCCTCATTGAGTGCTGTGGCATAGTGTCAGACGTTCTCGCCGTATGCCCAGATGGTTCGGTGATCGAAGTTCCCCGCTTCACAGGAGAAATAATTGAAGAGCTCAGCGAATATGTCCAAGCTTATCGGTAAGTAAGCCTCTCATCGTTCCTGGAACGGCAATCTAATGATCTGAAAGTTTGCTAGATGGGACAATATACCGCCTGAGGTTGAGCACTATATCCACGGCACCAACGCCTCTGCTCCACAGCATCACAGAACTGCTGCGGCTGCCACTCGGTGAGACCGTCACGAAACCATCAATAGGCTCTATTCTTCTCAAACTCAGCGGTCATCTCAACGACAACGATGGCTTGTCGGTCATCAATCACCTCGTCGCAAAATCGGAACTCTCGCCTTCCCATCCGGATTGGGCTGCAAATTTTCATACTCTCATCGCTTCCTTCTGTGGAAACCTCCGCGGTCATCCCAAGTCACGGCGTGCTATCGCGCTACAACTTGCGAAGGTCTACGCCGAAATCACCGACATTGAACAGGAGGAGCTACGAGCTGAGATTGTTGGAGACATGGTCGCTATGTGGGAACAAACACTCTGCGAGGAGACTAATGAGGATATTTTGACTGCTGCGTTCGACATTATGAGCGCAGAAATCGTTCTAGCTACCATGGCAGACGAGTCCGCGGACCAACCTGCTGACAAGAGAGTCGAGTGGATATCCATCGCCCACAGAATCCGCGACCTGTGGTTCAAGCTGGCCGTCACATCTCCTCCGTACTACGAAAGTGATCGGTTGACTCTATTACAGAGCCCAATCCCGATATCAACAGGCTTTCACACACCTTCTATCGTTTCCACGCCCGCTGTCGATCAAGCCCTTCAAAGCCCAAGCACTACTACGCTGGTCGCCTCGACTTCGAGTGACACACCACCAGCTGTATCCATGGCAGAGCCTACGGTCAACGGGATACAAGAAACAAGCTCGCCTCGGAAGGGACAGGCCGTTCTCGCGGTCATATTCCTCATCAAAGCGTTCAACAAGCTTTCATTCCGCAGTCCCCAGAGTCTCAAAGTCTTGTTGACGGACGCATCCGACGTCAGTCGGCCAGTGCCGCAGGGATGGCCATCTCCCTATTCCGAAACATTGTTCAGCTCATTGGCACTGACCGGAGGGACCCAGCTGGAGTAGATGCCAACGGCAGACCTGCGCCTGCCGAGCGTCTTCAATGCCCCAAAGCACGCCTTGTCATCCTGCAATGGCTCCTGCGGCTAAGAGCGGATAGAGATCATCGGGTGTACGCAGTGGGTGAAATCGAGGCCGAGGTGCTTCCTCTTGCAAGGCTCGTCTATCGTGCACAACGCCCCAAAGCTGCGGACGGTCAAAATCAATCTGAACGGACGGGTCGAGATCTTCCATCCGCACTCGCAGAACGTCGTAGAAATCGGGCGGAAACTAGGGGTGCCTCGGATATGCGCGCTCGGACATTGGAGCGTGATAGAGAGCGAGAGACAGCAAGTAGGGATCATACGCGCGAGCCACGCAGTCGTGGTGCAGAAGTTCTAAGTGCCTCGGCGTCTCGCAGTCGGTCACGACCACCAGCTTCGCCGGGAGTCACGAGAAGCCTGGTCCAGAGGCCCCAGGAGATGATATGGTACCTACCTGATCCTCTCGCTGTGGAGTTGGAACGGCATGCAATGCGACCGAGCCCAGCAATGACAACGTTCACCAGTACTCGAGGAGAAGAAGGCAGCTTTTGGCTCCACGTTGACTACTACGTGGAGACTCTGATTACGCTGCTGGAATACGAAGGCGACTGGGAGATTATCTCCTACATACTGTGCCATCTGCCTCTGCAGCTGTCGAACAAGCATTTCTTTTGTGGACCCAAAACCAAAATCCAAATCAGGAAGCTTGTCCTCGTCATCTGCAACGCAATAAATGACGATAAACTGCACTCCAATCTCGATTCCTCCCTTCCCTACGATCTCAAGGCCGTCGACGTTCAGGCCCTCCTTTATCACACTCTCACTGTCCTCATCAGTTACCACAAAATATTCGACCCTGATGCCGGTGGCTATGATCAAGCCTATCTTCCGGTAAAGTCGAACATTGTGGAGGTAATATTTCGCGGACTTGCGAGAGACGGAGTGACGAATAAGCCTTGCCTCGAGGCACTTTCACTTGCTGTGTACGAGCTGCCCGATCAAGTCGCCAAGTTCACGGCACCAATCGTCGAGAAGTTGTCGAGAATTATGAGCAATCCCAACATGGCCGTTCATATCCTCGAACTCTTGATGATCATCGGTTATACTCCAAAACTATATTCTGGCTCATTCCGTGAGGAAGAGTACAAAAGGGTTTTTGGTGTGGCGCTTCTCTATATTGAGCATCATTATAGACCAGATGCGAAAACCCTTCGAACCAGCGATGGACGAGACTCATTTGCCTTGGCTCAGCATGTGCTGAACACGGCGTTCTTCGTCATCTACATATGGTTTATGGCCATCAAACTAGAGGACAGGGCGCGCTACGTTCCGTTCATTACCAATAAGCTTATCAGCGCCAACAGCCGGAACGAGCAATTGGAGCCAACCACGGAGATCTGCTTTGACTGGCTTGCTCGTTACGCATACAGCAATGCTGATCCCAAGTCCGCTTCATCATTTCTCTATCGGTCTATAGTCGCACCATCTGCAGGTGCCTTCAACGTCAACAAGAGCTGGGACGAGCAGCATGAAAATGAGATGCTCAACGTGTCGGCCATCAAGGCGTGGAAGCTTGGTAACTCTATTGTAACAATTTCAACCATGAAGCATCCACCGGGATGGGTCAGAATAGTTTCGAGGCGACCTTCTGGTCTGACAGAACTAATATGCCGTTTGGAGAATTGGCCGCATGTCAGTCCAGGTGATTTCGCCCCGGATCTGACGTCTATGCCCGTCACGATGTTATCAGAAAGGCCAGTCCACGAGGAGGGTGACGAGTCATTGGATGTAGATGAGGTGTGCCTCCAGGCGTTTATTGGGAAAATGACTCTAACTACTTTTAGAATTATCTCACTGCCCTCATCAACGATATTGTAGAGCAGTCTGATGTGATTCAAGACATCCAGAAACCTGACCCCATCAGTGGATACGTATGGTCTGGTGTCGCGCCTTCACAGCGTCGGAAGGAAGTGACGCTTGACCCAGCGTACATTGCACTTCTCCTCTCTGCCTACCCTGTCGGAATGATGACACGACCTAGTCGATTTCCGGATTACAACGCATTAAAGGATACGTTGCGTGTGATTGACTTCACTCCAGTCATCGACACTCATAAAGTTGGCGTCCTCTATGTTGCCCCAGACCAGACAAAGGAGTCCGAGATCCTCCGAAACAGACACGGTTCCCCCGCGTACACCCGTTTTCTGGCAGAACTTGGTCGCGTCATCAAACCCAGCAATCAACTCGAAGTTTACACTGGCGGATTGCGGTCGGAAACCCATGGAGATTATGCATATGCGTGGTGGGACGATATGAGTCAGGTCATTTATCACGTAGCCACGGTGATGCCTAATATTCACAACTGTCTCTACAAAAAGCAAGAAATCGGGAACGACGGCGTCAAAATTATTTGGAATGATGGAGGGACACCATTCAAATTCGATACTATTCCATCCGAGTACACGCTGATCAATGTGATCGTCGAGCCTCATTCGATTGGTGCACGAGGGGCGTACTCGGATAACAAACACGAGAACGAGTTCTTCAAAATTACTCTCCAGACAGCACCCACGCTGCCACGCATCACCCCAATTGGCGAGTTCAAAATCATTTCCGCAGAGAAGCTCTCCATGGCCCTTCGACATTTTACTCTTCAGGCCTGTCTTTTCTGCCGAACATGGGAGATGACAGGCCAGGATGGTGATCACGTCATTCCGTTGCAAACCAATTGGCAAACCCGCCTAAAATTCATCCAAAACTCTGAGAGTAAACTACCACCACCACGACCAGAACCCGCGGACCAAGATCAGCACGCTTCCACCCTGGTCCATCGCGCTGCCTCGCGGGACTTTACTTTAGCCTATTAGGGGCCGTGGTCTCTCTATTTGGCAGTTCCTGTTTCTCCTTACGCCTGCCTCGTAGCCTCGTGTATCTTACTGGAATCTCAACCTGCTCTACTGCTCCACAAACGATAGGCGCAAGCCTAGATTCCTCATGAGCATCCAATTCAATTTCAGTGGGTCAGCTGGTCACTGATGGTTCCGATCTCTGTTAGCTCCTGTGCGACCTAGCGAGGTAACCTAGCGGCTGGCCTCGTGGATTTGGTGCTGGTTGGACAGCCTCGTAGAGAGCGTAATATATAGATGGTCTATCTTCTGATCACCTTGTCCCACAAAATTCTCGTACTCTTTCAGTTCAAACCTTCTTCATGCCTGGTTCCTTGTTCGAGTTCTCAGACATCTCGATGGAAGGAACTCAACGGCCAGAATCGAGGTCATTTGTCAGGGAGGCTACTCCTCTAGACCAGCTTGTAGACAGCTTATCTCGCGCCACCGTGGTGCGTTCCCATTCTCTCGACCGCGCCCGTGATAGGCGCATACGGAAGCGCCAATGGGTTCGACGCCAAAGTACCCTTGATGGTGTTGAATCTTCGCGAGTAAAACCCGAAGGCGAGACCCATGACGAGTCTCTGGATGCCAATACGGTGAGCTTTCTTGCCTCAACTGGAGCAGACAGGTCTGATAGCGCCGTAGATTGTGGGCCAGGACTACGCATTCGCGTTTTCCGTCCAACTGACTCAGACTCATTGAAGAGCCATGAACTGTTGTTTAACTTGTGTACTTTGTTCGTTCCTATGTAACGCGACTCTGGTCTAACAATGTATTTTGTGCATTCCTTTGGAATCAGTCAGTAACTGGGACTGTTCGCCGAGTATGCCCACTATCGATCATTAGGGGATACCAATAGACTGTTTGAGGGCGGCGATGATCTTATCCACCTCCTCCAGCGTGTTGTAGTGCACCAGAGAGACACGCACAATACCATCATCGGCAGCAAGTCCAAGGAAATCAATCAGCCTTGCTGCGTAAAAGTGGCCAAACCTTATCCCAATCTGACAAAGGGTAAGCAGACAGTCCATATACATGTCTTACTTACATTCCCCAGTTTATCTACGCCGGAAACGACATCCTTGCTCCTCATTCGCGGTTCTCCATTAGAGCCGTCAAGCACAACGAAGGATATAGTCGGAGCACGATCAACGTTATCGTCGCTTCCGACTACCCGGATACCACGGTTCCATTGCGCTTCGGCCGTCAGAAAGCTGAGTAGTCGCTCGACGAGAGTCCTTTCGTGCGCCTCCATCAGTTTGAATGACTCGTCAAGTCCATTCGAGAGCTCGCGAGACTGAGTTTCAGAAGGAAGTGATGTCAATAGTAGCGATGTGTGATTTGGGTTGGCAATCGAGAAGAGGTAATCGAGCACCGCTGAAGTTGCATAGGTAAGCTCGTAACCTGGACCTCCTAATTGCAAGCGATTGGCCGGATCCGTCACGAAATAGTGATTGATTGAATTGAGAGATGCGTTCGACGTAGAGGCCCTGACCCACATCGCAGCGGTGTGAGGTCCGTACACCTGAAGGATTGGGTTAACAGGAGAAGACCTGGAAGTGGTAATTATGCCTTGTAATATGAGAAGAATGCGTAATCCACATCCCAGTCCACCGTGTTGATTCGTCTGTGTGGCGCATACGCAACGCAATCCACGACAACCTCAACTTTCTGCTTCCCATCACTTTTCTGATGAACAACATCCCGAATACGTTGGACGATACTTTTGATGTCGAAGAACGATCCAAGGATGTTACTGCACGCGGAGAGGGCTACGAGCCGTGTCTTCGCAGAGAGAAGAGGTTCAAGAGATTCGAGAGTGTATCCAATAGCAAAAGGATTTGAGCGTGATGCATTTCCTCTCGAGCATTCGATGGCGGTTGGCTTCCAGAAATGAATATGGTTGTTGGTCCGCTTGGCAAGACGCTGCCAGGGGCCTACATTGGCTTCATGCTCTAATGTAGCAATGAATTCCTCTTGGCCATCTCTCTTGATCGAGGGTTCCATCGCGCGAGCAAGATTCTCGGCTAGCTGCGTAGATGAGTTGCTGAAGATGATCTCGGATGGAGATGAAGCATGCGTAAGCATTGCAGTGGCGGTCGGGCCCATGCTGACTCTTGTTGTGCTCTTCACGCCAATGGAATAATCAGCACCTGATAGATGTAAGTGTAGATCATCTCATGAATAATTCACTAACCTAGCTGCACATTTGTATTGCTAAGGTAGTCTGTAATTGCGTGGATGACCCCAGCCGTGCACTACCGTCGTCAGGCATTGATCAGATTCAACGTGATGCGAACCTGTGAGCCACCGGCATTATCGGCATATATGTAACTAGTGCTCAAAGCCGGAAAACGAGATCGGACTTGTTCCACATTCATGATGGATAATGCCTGGGTCAACGAGGCGAAAGCCAAAGTGAATTCAACGAATCCAATTCCATCAACTTGAAGAAGTGTGGTAGTAAGTACAAGTGCTAAAATATACTCCTAGACAAAGCTCAGTCCAGAAAAACTGACACGAGATGGATACCCACTAGATAGAGGGCTTGGGATAGTGGTGTCGTGGAGATGATCACGAGAAGAAGTATGTAGAGTTTCTGATAACCTCTATGTTGAATTCGCCTTTTTTGGGAATTGGGGGCAAGGCATCCACAAGGTTGACGAAGCGATGGTCGATTTCTTCATCAATCTGCTGCAATTCGCTCGCCGAGCGCTCTCTTGCTGGATTGAAGACGACATATTCCATCGACTTCTTAACGCGTGGTTTCCTGGTCTTTGGCTTCTCAGGCTCCTCGTCTTCCTGTGGCTTCGTTGAAGATCGTTTGCTCTTCTTGGGTTCCTCGCCAATGTCCTCCATAGACTCTCCTAGCCCGGCTTCCTCTTCGTTATCTACTTCCTGTTCTTCTTCTTCTTTCAGGGCCAGTTTGATCCTGCTCTTCAGCTCTGCTGATTCTTCAGACTTTCCGACTGCTTTCAGAGTATTCCTATTCTTGAAAACAGAGATAGGCAGCTTATACCCTTGGTACCGCGCTTTGAACTAGGCAGGTATTAGCACAATGGAGCTCTTCTCAATCACCATACCTCTTCCAGGAGGTTCTCCAGAACGTTGGAGCTGTGAAGATGCACAAAGGAGTCCCGGATAGCCACTGACATGGCGTCGATATCGCATGCATGCGTCCAATAAGAGTCATGCACAGCTGCAAACGCTAGGCCTTGGCGCTAGAAAGTATTAGACGAGGATGCATTACGCGGCAAGTAAAAGCTTACATCACATTGCAGAGCCGTTAACATCATATGGGTGGCGTCCAGACTATGAACAAAGTTGGGCGGGAAAGCGCTGACTTGTTTCATAGTATTCACTAGGGAGGCTCAGAATGTCATCCTGCCATTGAGCGTAATTTCCCGTACCTGAATGCGGCTGATTGGGGTCCGAAATGAACACGGATTGCAGCTGCGTCATGATCTGCAGAAAATTATCAGAGGGGTTCTTTTGATCATCTTTACGCACCTGTTTGCGGCCTGCCTTGCGATAGGGTTGAACGATAGGTAATCCTAACAGCGTGGTCCATATCACGGTCGTCATTTGCTCCTTTCCACCGTTCTTGTCCGCAGCCCACTGCCTGGAGATCGACTGTTTGACATCTCCGGGCACGCGGCGTGCGTCTTGCTCGGCCATAACCATCAGTCTCACACGATCCTCCGGGATGGACTTGGAGATAAGGCGTGCACAGTCGTTTAGCCACAGTTGGATGTCCTTTGCGCCTTTGAACAAGGTACCAATGCAGTTGAGGGTCTATTGAATATTGTTAAGGAATGAACATATGGGTTCTCCGCGGCGCTACTTACCACTTTAGCCAAGTAAATAGCCCAGGGGTAGAGGTCCATGCCGTCCAAATCATCGAAGGTTTTCAGCTGCTTATAGATCTGATCACGAGCACCGATAAATGTCACCCCTGGAGGTAGTTAGTCAGTGCTACTTGAGTTCGGCAAGACATGCCATATACAGTGGTCATGACCTGTCGTCTGATGAGTTTCTGCAGAGTACTTTGCAGATGTGCGTACCGTTTGCTTGACAAGCTTTCGCGTGATGCGACCCTGCAGTTTCTGCGCAATCTCATGTCCGCCCTCGGCATCTTTGTTGATCTGTGCCTCAGCCATCTTGGCCACGTATGTGTACACGTCTGAAGGGCGATCCGAGACGTCCAAGTTGACTTGCCGCGCACCAATAACGTCACCACCCAAAGCTGCATAGTGTTGCAGACCGTTGCATGTTCCGTCCTGATGAACTGGAAGGCACGACTCGTACATCTCCGGGTTCGGCGACTCGAGTGCATTACGGAGTTCCATGCAAGTGGCAAGGCATTGCCATGGATCATCTGCCTTCAGCCACCATTGACGGCCCTCGAAGCGAGGTTAGATTAAGGCTATCAGGCAGGAAACGAGGACGCACTGTCAGCGGATTCTCGGCAGAATCGTAAATCTCCTCCAAGTGCTCGGTCGAAAAAGTTTCTCGATCATCAAAGGTAGCCTTGTCGTAACCGTAAAGGTTAGCCAGATGGATCTTCAACCAGCGAATCCCACGCTTCCCAAGTGGCTTTCCCTCGGCAAAGAGCAGCAAACCACGAGAAAGATCATCACCAAGGTGATTCAGGTGAGGGGGAATGGGGTAAGCCCTCCCTCGAAAGTCGACGTTGTGGGGGAGATAAAACTTCTCTCCAAGGAACTGCGCATCAGGAGTGTCAAAATCGCCTATAAACCCCAAAAAGCACTCACAGTGCGAGCGATCTCCATCTTGTAATTTGTGCTACATCGGTCGGAGTGATTGGCGGCCTGTTCAAGGGCAAGCTTCTTCATAGCGACGGCATAGTCCGCCTTTGCCCTCATGTCAGTGTGATCCAGGGGGGGATCTGGATACGTTTGTTGGAGGTTAAGAGGAGGAATGCAAGGGTAGCCTTCGCCTTTGTTCCACACTTCAAGGGCGACTTCGAAGACCGGCCTGTTAACCTTCCAAGCTGTCTTTCCAAGCACGTCTAGGCCTGCGTAAACGAGCTCCATGGCCCCACGACTATCGGCTTCTCGTAGATAGCTTGTCTGTTCGTTCGATTCCTTCATCCGCATGACACTTACTGCGAAAATTTGAATGGAGTTAGAAGAGACTATAATATTACTCACGATTACTGTATAAATATCCTCCTGCATTGTGTCGCAGCCACGGTCGAGGTCGCACGACCATGGGTAGATGACGAGCATGGAGTCGCTCTCGTGGAGGCTCGCGCGAAAGTTTGTCGATAATCATGTCGTTCATCTTGATCACGCCTATCTTGAATCCCCGTTCGTAACGATAGGCATTGTAGAACGCCTGCTGCTCTTCCTCGCTGCACGAGACGTTAAGAATATTAAGTTGTGTTTCGAACGAACTCACTGAACAACGTCGTTGATGACCTTTGTCTGGATCACCTTCGCCTGCTCCATCAAAGCATCTGCTACAAATGCGCCCACACGAGCTCTGACCTCCTGCGTCCACGGTGGCATCCAGTTTTCCCGGCCCTCGAGCTCAAGTCGCGCCTTGACGCGCTCTTTATGAAGTTCCAAATAGCCAGCTACCGAATACGTTGGAAGTTCAGACTTGCTCTTGAAATCTGGAACCGGGATGTCATGTTTCTTTGCCATTTGGAAGTGATGCTCTGCTTCGATGGCCGCTCCAATACTGAGGAGAACGCGTGTTGTACGCGCACCATCTTCGTAGCCGCCGCTTGCGAGCATGTTGAGCAGCTCGAGCATACAAATAAGGGTGAGTTTTTCGGGCGGAAGGAGCCTGAGGAAGAAGGAGATAGGAGTTCTTTCTTCTCCTTTACGATGAGCCTTGGCTCTTCTCGCCTGCTCTTCTACCTCCTCGATCTCGAGCTCCTTGATGCGCTCCTGCAAATAAGGAGTCGTCTGCACCTGCCAGTCCCACATCCATGCTTGTAGACTGCGCCGGTTGAAGTTCGTTCCCATTTGCATCTTCTCAAAGAGCTCTGCTTCATGCTTCATGCGGGCCAAAGCAGCATCGTAGGCTGTTTCTTCTAGCTGCTTTTGACGGAGGAGGACATCGTCGGGGATTGTCTTGCGACTCTGTACAATCATCTCCAAGTTGCTCTTCAGAGTCTCGAGATTGAACGGCGTTTCAAAGACCTCTTTAGAGACTTTGACGCCGTCCACTTCCATTTTGACAACCTTTAACCGGGTAAGCAGCTGTCATATACAGATTAAACGAAACACTTGCTCTTTTCTTCTGCTGCGTTTTCACTTCAGCAATAGTATCCACAACGTCATGCTGGTCAGTCGGTGTGATCCCGATTTTTGCCAGCTTTTCCATGACTTGGGCGCGCGAGCCACTGTGTTTGGCCCCCTCGGTCAAAATTTCTAGGAATTTCTGACCAGCTTCACCATCTAGAGGGTACTGGGCAATGACATCCGCCAGCGATACCTCTCGCAGATCCATGTTCTTCATCATGTTGGACACAAACTCCGTGCACGCCTCGCGGCTCATGTCGGGCGAGCTGTAGGAGAGGGCGGGATCAGATACTGGAAATGAGGGTTCTATGCAAACTTACTGAGCGACCCCAAATAGCATGGTAGTATATGTCTGCGTGTTTGGCTGTGCGAAATACCCCTCCTCCTCCATGCTGGCGTACAAATCCCAGAAACGACGTCTCCAGACGGTCGCATTGTGACCATTCTGCTCCTCATGAAGTGCATATTCAATATAAGTCTTGAGATATGCATTATGCAAAGACGTATCCAGCAATGCTCGCAGCTTTGGGTCTTTTAGTGCGTCGGTGAAAAGATTGTGTGCGCGCTGAACGTCGTGAAAGCCAGTCAAGCAGGCCTCCATGATAGCCAACTTGTCCAGAGTTGGAGATTCGGGAAAGAATAGTCTATGCTGGTCCGACTTTGGATAGCTGACACCAATTGGCATGGGTGTGGGCAAGACGACAACCTGTCTCTTGCGCAAGAAATTGCGTATCTCCATCTTTTCGTCTTGTTCGCTACCGTGTTGTCGCGCTTTTTTCACCGTGGCCATGGCCGGAGAACGCGCCGACGCTGAAGCCGACGTTGGTCGTCGCTGGACGTGTCGGGAGCCAGAGATAATTAGTCGACATTGTAATATACGCGATTTTGCACGATTATTTGCTGTTTGCAGCATTTTTAACGGAAAGTCGGTGAGCGGGGAGAAAGAAAGGCTGGGCCAGCTGTCCCTATTTGCAAGGGCAGGTGCCGGTCGACAGACTAGCTTGGAGCCTGCCATGTTCAAGAAGGATTTCAAATCACTAAAAAATCAAGGTCAATTCGAAGCATTCTCGTCTAGTTTTCTTATGCGAATATCTTTTCAGTGCCACTCCGTGCATCCGACCTGAAGCGTCTGAGGCAGGCGCTGATGGATCGATTTCAACTCTCGAGTGAAGATGGAGAACTCTTGGTCCCATCTGGTCTTCTCGCTGCAAAGTTTACCACTAACGCCGACGTTGCTGGCGTAAGTACGTCCCGCTCTGCTCATTCGTCGCGAGCCATCGAGTTTACACGCGTATAGATGGGCTACTTTGACTCCAAGGGACTACCCCTATGGTTTCATATTGGAAGCTCATCGACAGATCACTCTTCGTTTACACCGACTGGTGCGTCAGCACTCTGCAGTGTTATGGCCACTCAGTTAGCGTTCAGTTTATACACTCTGGAAGCGGGTGTTTCTGCCTATTGTTACAACACCACAACTCGTTGTCGACAAAATGAAGCAAGGCGCTGATCTGATGGCACCCGGCGTCGTCTCTATTCAAGCTTCACACAATGCTTCTCTCCCTCTATCTACCGGCCAGTTAGTCTGCGTCGCTCCATATAGTGGAGGATTACAAGGCGTACCGATGGCGGTTGGTACCATGAACATGTCTTCAACCGAAATCTCCACCGCAGACAAGGGAAAAGCGGTCCTCACCTTGCACGCATATGGAGACTCTCTATGGGAGAAGGGTGGGAAAGCGGATCCCCCCAAGGAGATTGTCGTGGTTCAAGCCATCCAAGTCGCGGCGCAGAGCGAAAGTGTCCAGTCGACTGCAGACCAGCAACAGCCCGCCAGCATACAAAGCACGATAGAAGAGAACAAAGAGGATGTCATTCAACCACAGGCTTCCACGTCGACCCAAGACACCGTTTCGCCTGCTGGTGAGTAGCAAGGCTACTTTATATATCACTCTCCTAACCGAATAGAGGTCGACAAGATACTACGAGCAGCTACGTTGTTCGCTCTTCATGCAAAGGCCGCATCAATCGAACTTCCATGTTCTGCCTCGGCCTTTTACGCAGACTCCATTCTCCCATTTCGACCAGCCGGCCTGGACCCATCGATATATGTGATTAAGAACTCGAGTTTTAAAAAGCTCAAACCGTTCTTAAAGGCGCTGGAAAAAGAGGGAGTTTTGAAGACGAAAGAGATGGGTGGTGAACTGCACTTGATGGCGATTGACTCGACCCATCCAGATCTACAGGGTGCGGCAAAGTATCGTACAATTGCGGACGAAGAGCGGAAAGAAGCCAAGGCTCGAGCAATGGAAGAGATTCAGGCGGCGAGTCCAAAGGCGATGACTGTCACCGAGCTTTACAAGCCAGTTGGGTCTGTTGCCACTTTTTGTAAATCCATCAGTCCAGAGTACGTAAATTTTTCATACCCGTCCCAACATTGACCCCTTCACTAGCTGCGGGCCGCACTTTACTATTGTCGAACTACGGGACGAGGTATTGTCGAAGTATATTACTGAGCACAACCTCGTACATCCGACTGAGCGGGCATATTTCAAAGTCGACGAGACGCTCAAACCAATGTTGCTCAAGAAGAACGAGAGCCAGGAGTTTTTGAAGAGAGACGAAGGCTTGCAGCGTCTTGCGGCTGCGTGTCAAGCGTGGTACCAGATTGAACAGGAGGGTCACCCTCCAGAGCTGAGGTGCGTACTCTATCACGGCCAAGGTCTCTCTAACGCAAATTAGCAAAGGAAAGCTGCATCCAATCGCTATTACCATCAAGATGCGACAGGGTAAAAAGGCGGTCACTCTCATTACCAACTTTGAACCTTTTCATTTCATCGCTGACTCGATGGCCGAAGACTTACGGAAACTATGCGCAGCGCAGACCTCTGGTGAGTCTGGCGACTGTACGCATGTACTGGAGCGATTAGGTCTGCGGCGTCCTTGCTGATCGCCCTATAGTCTCTCCCTTGCAAGGAAAGGCGAATCAACTCGAGGTGATGGTCCAGGGAAAGCAGGGCAAGATTGTGACCGATTACCTGCTTCAGCGCGGCGTTCCAAAGAAATGGATCGAGTTTGAGGATACGACGGAGAAGAAGAAGGGAAAATAATGTAAAAATAGGATACTATAATGCCTGTTTGCTATTCCCGTCGCGGTCGAGGCTAGACGAGATGGTCGAAATAACGTGGACCTGGCTATCCCGACATGCAGCGATTGGCGGTCGGTAGAAGTTGCTTTTAACTGATTGGATTTATCTGAATAAAGATTGCAAGCAGAGACCTGCACGATTTGTGCTTCTCGCGGCCACTCCTTTGGTCGCTGAACGGCAGCTGCCGAAACACAAGGACGTACGTGAATATAAACAGATTCTGACACGCTGAACCACTGATTTCTTTATTTTCCAGTTACCCATCTATCCAACCGAATCGCCAAAGCCCGTTGTCGTAGAAAGTCCGACGCAACTCGAAGACGGCATTCGACAGTCGCGAGAAGTGGTTACTGAAGGATATCGCGTCGGAAGAGCACATGTTCAAATGGTTGTTGACCGCTGGATTGGCGTCGAACATGCCGTAGAGTGTACGTATCTTCTCAAAAATGGCGCAAAGAGGAATCCTTGGCTAATTATCTATTTCTTTTATACTAGCTCGACTAAAATCGCTCGCTCCTCCACCGGAAACTGAGCCTCTGTTCCCCGGTGCGCTATGGGTTGGAATTGCGGCTCTCTCCGGCTCAATCGTCGCACAACAACTACGACCTACGCTTATGCGACGCATCATTTATCCACCCGTATGGGGTCTCATTGCCGCCAACTATTTCCTTCCGCTGCATACCGTCAATGTCGGCAAGTACGTCTATGAATTGGAGGAACGATATGTTCCAAATCTCGCAAAGGCCCAGTCTCGACTTGCCGAACGCATGATCGAAGCGTCTGCAAGCTCGCGAGAGTCATTTGGTCGCTTCCAGACCCAATTAGATGTCCAAGTAGGCAAGACAAAGCAGTGGATCCAGGCGAATACGGGATTGCAGATTGCAGACAAATCTCAGGAGGAGAAGAAGTGATCGTGTCGACACGCTTGTTTATAGACCGCTTGCTATTCACTTCATAGACATACCAAAGATACACGTTAGATAATGCATCCAATCTCGGCATCTCAGAATAATCCTAGGAGATCATCCTGTGGCTGCGTCGCGGGGGGTTTGGCTGGTGTAGGTGCCGCTGCTGCCGGCAGTGACGCTCCACCAAACATATCCAAACCAGCGAGCCCCTGACCAGGTGGAGGAGCCGTCGAGACGGGTGAAACTATCCCGCCCAAACCAGCAAGATCGTTTCCACCGCTGGAAGCAGCAGCGGCGGTTCCTCCAGCGCCAAAAATGGACACCAAATCGTCAAGAGGGTTACTCGACGTGAGCACTTTGCTGACGCCTGGCGTACTGGCGACGGCCGCTGCAATGCCGCTCGGAGCCACGCCTTCGACTGCAGGTGCGTCGTCGAAGTCGAGCAAGTTTTCTGCGACTTGTCCTGCCGCCACCTTTTGGATTGCCGCCTCTCGCGCTTGTACCTCGTCCCTACGAGCAATGCGGTTAGGATGATTACATGTAGAGAAGAAAGACATACTCTAGGATGCTCTTCTTCATCGACTCGGCTCCCATACGGCCTTTACCGACAAAGGTTTCTGCTGGCTTGTGATAGACACTTGCCAATGACCCAATGTCACTAATCAGCTCTTCCAAGACGGCTGGAGAGACTGTTGTCCGTGGTAATGATATCGCAGGTCGATGTGCCATTACGACGGCCTAATGTGGCTCAGAAAATGCTTGAACATAGTCCATAGACGCACCCTCGCTGCACTCGTATCCGTTGACAAAAGTCGCCAGTATATGTATGCACGATCTCGCACGTCTGGAGAATCACATTTGGTCGCTAGGTCGAGCACTCGTTGCAGAATAGGCTGCGAACGATCTGGTCGTTTCAGGAAGAGTTTGACGACAGCTGTCAGTGTTTGTAGTTGAACCTTAGAATATTGAGTATTGTAAAAGATATCTTTGGTAACCTTACGAGGTAGGCGTCCTCTGTGAACGAGTCCACGAAGATGCCCAAAAGTTCCTCGGCATTGTCGATTTTCTCGGCATATTCACCAATGATCCAAATCAATGATGCCTTGGCTTCTGGCTCGTCGAGCTCTTCGAGGTTGGCACAAAGTGTCGGGATGACACCTTCGTACGTCGACGGATACTTTCTGAAAATGTCCTACAATTCATTGAGCCAGAATTCGAAGATATGGAAGACTCTCACCTTCATCACGACGACGGCCTCTTGAACAACATAGCTCACTCGCGTGTTGATTAGGTCCATCAAAACGCCAACACATCGTTCCGCGGAGGATTCAATCTTGATGGCGCATTGGCCGATCGCCTTGATACTTCGTCGTACAAAGTCGACGTCTACTTCTGACGCGTACCTTTCAAAATTTAGTCGCTAAGACCTCAAGATGCAGGGTAGGCTCACTCTCTTAGTTCGCTGAGGAACGTATCGACGTTGTTTTCTCCAGCGAGCCGGACCATGATGGCGAGCTTCTCGACTTTGACATAAGGTGGATCGTTATACTTGCAAAAGAAGACTCTCATCTCGTTTTGTAGCAAATCATCGCGCTTTTGTAGGAGGAGGTTGATATTACGCAGTGCCACCCATTGCACCTAATAAAGATTAACGATTGCTGGTGTGAATTATCAAAATATACCTCTGGTGCGCTTGACACGAGGGTAACGAGAGGTGGGGCCATCTTCCGTATCAATTGCTTCTCCAGGTCTGCTCTCTCTGAAGAAATGTGCTTCATATGGATCATGATCACCTGTATTATGTCAGTCAAGTGGTGAGAGACTTTGCTCTTCGTACCTTTACAGCGGCCAGGACGACACTGCCGTTTGCATGCTGTAGTTGCGGAACGACACGTTCGCATATATGTTCGCTCTCACGCTCATCTACAGCCTTGTATCTAGACGGATTATATGAGCTCGAAAGGAGCGGAGAGACATTACTCACCGTCCAAGCTGGGTCAAAATAGCGACTCGACCCCATTCAGAGCATTCGTTGAGCGCAATAAGAAGTTTGTTCAGGATGGCTGAATTGATTTGCCAAGTCACTTTGGCGACGCCTTCTGGCGTCTCCGCGCCTATATGCTCATTAGATTAAACTACTCGAGGTGCTAGATGTAGTGCGTACCACTCTCGAGCATGTTTTGACTGGTGATGTGTATGTCCATGAGAGCTGTAACGGCATTTGCAACAACCATTGGATTCGCATCTCCGACCATTTCCTTGAGCGTGTCGATAAAGCCGTTGTCAATGGCGAGTTCCGGCTTGAGATCGTAGAGCTTTGCAACGCCTAGAGGGTGTAAGTGAGTGTTGGGAAGATATTCGTCGTACGCTTACATATGGCTGCAGTCTTGCGCACGTATGGGTGCTCATCCACGAGCGCCTTTTGTAAGGGAGGACTGAGGTAATCAATAATCTTTTCTGCTCGCAAGCATGCCATTGTTCGGATGGAGAGTGCACGGATGAGGGGGTTTGCATCGTCCGAGTCCTGGACCTCGTTGAGATTGTATCAAAGTCAATAGTACTACGCACCCTAACAAACGTATTGACTGCCAGAATGACGAGCTCTGGCTGCGTCTTTGCATAGTTCATGAGGTAGAGATAGACGAGCTTCTTCTGCTCGAGATCCTCGGTCTGCATGTTCTTGAGTACGTCTGGGAAGAGACCAGAGACGTCCTGAGGCTACGATAAGACTGTCTATATCCTGTTCGGTGGCTGCTGCTGACCTTTCCGACGGTCATGTTTGCGATGACGCGCTTGATGGCATCCTTTCTCTTGTCTCGATATTCAGAGTTTAGATCTGCACGCAGCTCGTAGTTTTCGCCTGTGAATTGTGTGGATGAACGTGTGCACGGTGGCGACTGTAAGAGTCTACGTGCTGCAGGAATAAATAATGTTAAATACCCTTCTTTGGAGCAGCGCGTGCCCCGCTCGAGCTCATCGTCCCAGCGTAGTGTTTGTCCAAGTTTTGAACCCGCCCGTGACCGCCCATTCCCACTTGTCCGTAAGGATATCGGCCATTTGATATACTCACTCACATTAGAGTACTCTATCGACAGCTCTCCTCTTTCTATCACGCGCACCGTGCACCCCGCCTGCACCAGCACGGGCTTGTTGGCTGCCCAGGTGAGCACGGATTCATTGTATTCTGCAGGTACACGCTAAACCAATCCTTTTGGACTGATAGATCACGTGGTTTCACTAGCCGCATTGCTGCGACTCGCCCAGTGGACAAAGCGTGCGGATATCTTGTACTCTTCTGGACCCTATACAATCCACGTTTGTAATCGTGTCCATGAGCAACCCACTGGGCTCTCCTCTGTCGCTATCAACTCTCCCACCAGCCACTCGTGCGGTCCTCACCTCGTCCACGGGAACAAATCCATCAAACTCTACAAATTCTAACCCTAGCTCACCAGCCAGCACGAGCTCCCACGGCGCACTATCGCACGAAGGATATGCTCAAAACTCTGGACGCACCCCACGGCCTGGCACAAGTCTGATCAATATCAACGCTGCCTCGAATACAACTTCTGGATCTAGATCTAATCAATACCCCGGAGAACACGTCGCTAATTACGAACCCTTGACATACGGTGTCCCCGACGACGGAGACGAGCTCGCCAGCCCAAGTCCGAGCCTAAGCTCCTCTGTCTATCGCTCACAACAATATCACGCTTATAGCTCGCAACTCCGGCATTCTCCCAGTGCCCAGTTGCAAGCTAATCGAGCCGCGGCGGGTCTGAGCTCGATGCCACTCGACCCCTATTCGCCTTCCAACGGCCACATTCTACACACAAAGGGTAGTAATCTCTCGTCAAACACTTTTATTGCCGCATCACCTAGAGATCGTGACCCGTCACGGGACAGAGATCGAGAGGACGCATCCCTTCTCTCTGCACCAACCGTGGCTACGCCTACTCCAGGTCATATGACGCCGTTTACACCATCTATCACTGCAAACCAGGCATCAAATCCTGAACGCCAGTCCACGCCCAGAGCAGCCCCCGATACGTCATCCTCGACAAATGCTACATTGCAAGCCTCGCAGACTGCGCCCTCGGGGCATGCAGCTCATCCAAACGTTGCACGTGCCAAGGGAGCTGCCTCTTCCGCCTCTGGGAGCACACAAACTCCGAGGGCGAGTAGTCGAAAGACTGCCAATGGTCGAGAGCGAGAACGAGATCGCGAAGGTGAGACTCCCTCTTTTCTGGAGAATGAAGACTAACTCGATTGGTAGACGGACACTCGTCTCGGCGTCCGAAGATACGGACCCACCCTCGATTGCCTCATGGTCCTGCGGACCCAGCGCCTCCGACGCTCATGTACTGGAGTCTTGCTCCTGTCTATGGGCAATTACCGACAAGGAGCATGCGAGCGCACAGTGTAACGCTCGTGGAAAATAGTGCGTGGCTCTTTGGAGGGTGCGATGAGCGAGGTTGTGCTCGGGATGTTTGGTGTTGCGACGTTGGTACGTCTTTCGCAATATCACTCAAACGGCGTCCGATGTGCATACAGAGACCTTTCAATGGACCCACCCCCCGCTGACGGGGGATATACCACCACCTTGTCGTGCCCATACAGCTACTTTGGTCGATGGGAAGCGCATCTTCATCTTTGGAGGTGGCGAGGGACCAACATATTACAATAGGTGAGTCCAATGATGGCATGTCGACGCGTGCTTAGTTACGACAGTCTATACATTTTGGACACTCAAACGCGAAGGTTTACATGGGTTCCATGTGGTCAAAAGCCCGGAACGAGCGTTGGCGGCTTAAACGGTCCGTCGGCACCTCTATACGTTCGGGGAAATCTAACGTGATCGATCAGCGTCTTCACCACAGCAAGCGGAGTCTCCCTCGACGAATCCTAATCAACTACCAACGCCGAATCCATCTACACCATCTAAAGCGCACAATACCTTGCCGAGTACACCATCGAATACGCCGCCACCAATGCCGCTCCCTCGGCGTGCGCATACTGCAGTGTTGTACAAGCACAAGCTTTACATATTCGGTGGCGGGAATGGGATCAAGGCGCTTAATGATGTTTGGAGCTTGGATACGAGTGTGCCTATTGACAGGATGCGATGGGAGCAGGTACGTTTGACATGCGATCTGTGATGAGTCTAATGAGAAACAGGTGCATACTCAGGGGCAAAAGCCCGGACCGAGGGGCTACCATACAGCTAATTTGGTTGGTAATATCATGATTGTCGTGGGCGGTAGCGACGGAAGGGATTGCTTTTCGGATATCTGGGTTCTCAACCTGGGTGAGTTTCTTTCTCGGAAACGCTGAGTTTGTGTTAAATGCATTGTAGATACATTTGTGTGGACTTTGATCGACACGGACACGGAGCACAAGCGGTTATCTCATAGCTCGACTCAAGTGGGATCCTATCTTTTCATTATGGGCGGGCATGATGGTGTCAAGTATTCTAGTGACCTGCTCCTTTTCAATCTCGGTACGTATCCCTTACAACTATGCACCTCAACTTAACCTTGTTCGCCAGTCACGTTGCAGTACGAGCACAAGGTCACAATGGGACGTCCACCCCCTGCCCGAGGATATCACATCTCGCTCTTGGCTGACGCCAAGTTATTCGTGTTTGGCGGATTTGATGGACACTCTGTCTACGACGACGTGTGGATCCTCGACCTCGCGGGGGCGGCCTACCTCCCACAAGTCACCAGCTTTGCATTGCTCATCGACGGAAACTCTTAATCGCATTCGTATGAATCTGTCGATGAAAAAAGACCAAAAGTAAGGTTTCTGTAGTCATCTCTACCTAGCTGTACTCTTGATGAGTGTATCCCCCGCCTCTTGAAATCCCAATTTGGTGTTTTGCAAAGTAACGTTATCGTTTGTGGACACTAGAACGTGTTGTACCACACGTATTGATATGACTCCCACAGTTTCTGTGCAATCATTGCGTTTCTGAGCATCCGGCCGAGTGCCTCGCCCATCTGAACAGGGACAGCCTCGCCAATTTGACGGATAATAGCGCCAGGATCACCACAGAACTGATAGTGATCCGGAAAGCCTTGACCACGAGCAACTTCTCGGATCGTAAGAACGCGGCGTTGCTAGCACAAAATGTGAGTAGACCAGCCATTTGATAGTTAGTGGACTGACAGAGGGATGCAGCACTTTGCCTTGTTTGGATGTCGGATCGATGCGTGTGACAAATGAGTTAAAGACGCCCTGCCAGTCCAGTCGTCCGTATCGTCCTGTCGGATGATCAAGGGGACGTACATGGTTCAGAACAAGCTAACCTGGGGCCCATAGGTCTCGTGCTGCTGCGCTGAGCGGATGTGAGTAAGCCCAATCATAGAGCACTCGCGGAATCGCTGGAACCTGTGAGTAGGATAGTAATGTCAATATGGTGACTCACTTCGATGGTCTGCGTTTGGGCGCATAGCTACTGCAATGACTCTTCAAGGGTCCAATAAGTCTTAGAAACCAAAGGGAACGGACATACTTTTCGGCCTTGTGAGAGTGCTCTTTAAAGGTGCGCGTATAATGAAGTGTCACCTTTTCTCCCACATGCATCCCGCGTCTCATACGCGCTTGATAAAGAGTCTTTGGTCTTTCTTGCTGATAATCACATCCATGAGGATATCCAGCAGTGCTCGAACCAGCGGGTGACTCTCCAATGAATGAAGGAACATTCGCCCGCTGGGTCACTCCTGAAAGCGGGTTTCGAACGGTCCTATCTCGAAATTAGATCTGCCCAGCGAGACGTATAATGGCTTCACCAGTCAAACGGTGGCAGATCTCCAATGGCGGAGCTGATATTGACTGGCGGAAGGGCAGCGAGGTAGTGCATGAGTTTGGTGGGCACCAAAGTGAAGCGTTGGAATCGCGTCCTGGAATTCTTGGATGCAACGTGGGTCGGGATAGGGATTTCCGGAAGTCTAGAGCCTCCACGGGAGCCGTAGAAGAATAGACGAGACCGATGTTGAGGCGAACCGTAGTTGACGGCATTGAAGAGTCCCCATCGAACTGAGTATCTGCCCCAAAGTCAACAGCGTCTATGTTGGCTCTTCCCACGTCACATACCCTAGTGCTGTTAGCGTTCGCAAAATAATCTTGACGATTGCAAAGGAGATCGTCTCCTCCGTCGAATAATCGAGGCTTTCATAATTTATCATACGCGCAACGTTTTCTATTATGAAGAAACGTGGCCGATAACTTGCCTTGTGAGTACCACGAGCCTTTCATGCATGAGTAGGACTCACAAATCAATCAAACTCAGTACAACCAGCACCAATCCGACCTGCGCCTCCTTCGTATCTCGACCATAGACACTCTGCATCGAGAACCCCGAACTCCGGGGCGTTCAACAGTGAAGTTTCGATTCGCAGGTTGTACTCACCACGGTAGACCAGCGAGTATGACATCTACTGCCTGTGGAGGAGGCATATGCCTTTTACGTGGATTCTGTGGATCAAGGCTCGGGACTCGATGTCTAGCTTGACCGCGGCGTAGAGCATTCGAAGCACACTCATTTATATCTTGGGTATAGACTTGCGCATCCGGAAAGTTGCGTCTAGAATGCGTATGAGAGGGTAACCCCCGCTCTACCATCGTTGCTTACCGAAAAGTTTGAGATGCCGGTATACTCTTTTCGACCGCCCATTTCACGGCGAGCGCTCCAGTCATAGTGACTCCCAGAGCGAGACCCCCTGCTCCCGAGAAGAGGTCTAGAGTGTTCATCTGCGTCCCTGTTGATGCATTTGCATCTTCCCCGAGACTCGGTTTGTAAAAATTGAAATATGAGTCCATTTTCCCTTGCCGTTCGCTGCATTCCTCACAGACAGGAAAGTCTCGAGGATTAATTGGGTGAAGATCCCTGACAGTCGGGTTCATAAGCTTCGTGGACCGATGAGTAAGGAAAAACTCGTTTGGTTCACTCTCCAACTGGCTATGCCGATCCCAGTGAGGATCATACCTCACGACGCATCGTCTGAAAATATTTTCTACGGGGATATCAATTTCATCCCCGACCAGATACAGCCGGCGCTGAAAATCATGTTCAGTATGTCCGCATCTGAGAAACCATAACACACCTCATCCATGGGAGTTCGCAGGTACGGCGGCGTCAAGTGAGTGGCATCCGCGCGCTTCCGTATTAGGTCGTCAATGAAGCCAAGGTTGCGGACAGTCAGATAACTGGACCGGTCAACCCTCTTGGCAACTGCCCATGACTTGATGATCCCAACACGAAGTCGCACTTGTTCAGTTTGGGCATCCTGGCCGAAGGGCTCTCTATCGCCGACAAGCGGCTTATAGAGGATGGTATCGTATTTGTGATACGTGACGTTGGCGTAGTTGAGGCCTGCGATCCCTTTTGAGGGTGTAGCTTTCACTTCGAAAAACTTGTGCGCTTCCTCCCGGTCTACGAATAGTGTAGCCATGCATGCATCACAGTGAACGGGTTCAGGAAAGCGTTTTTGGAGATCGATATCTGCACCAAGGAAGAAGTCGGGTTGGCTGAAATCGTGAAACGACCCATCCGCGCGCTCAAATCGAAAGCTGGACGATCAGCAGCAAGAGAAATCACGAAGAAATGGACTCACCGACAAAAGAAACGATCCTCCATTTCCTTGATTTCAGGGATGACCTTCCTGGACTCGCCCTTGATGAACTTGACACTAATCAGCTTTTGGATAGTTGCGAGCCCAATGTTGGAGCAGTCATAGGTCAAAAACAGTTCATTTGAAGCGGCAAGCTCTCTGAAAGGCAGCATATAGTTAATGTCAGTGAACGTCGTCGATACTCACCCGAGGTCAGTCCAACATCCATGAACAAACCACTGGACGTGAGCGAACCGGATGGCATTGATACCTATTGCTTCTGGATCTTCCGCAGTATATAACCTTTTGATTATGCCAAACCTGTAAGACATGTCAGCATTACGGATCGATCCGCGCGTCTCTATACCAAGAGTTATCAGCCAGTTGGTTACTACTGGTGGCTGGTGGGCGATAGTCACGTGTCGAAACGATCTCTCCTTGCTTGATGGCCACACAGTCACCAAGCTGTGGTGACGGTCAAAGGCCGCCCCACGTATGATTATTCTCTGACCTTGTAGCTTCTTCCCTCTAAGCTCAAGCGGGAAAAGTATTGTATGTTTTTATACGAATCGATATCCTTGTGAACCCATTCACCAACGTCTAGAGGTGCATCGGGGAATCGTTCCACGATCGGCTCCCTCGGCGGGTTCATGTGTTCTGGGGGAGGACCCACCACCTCAAACGGATTTCTGAAGTACCGGGCAGCAATTTTCGAGACCAATGGGCTGACGACTGTCCGTCTGGTCGTTCTTGCATCGACCCCTGGTGGTGGTTGTTGACTGCGGCAGGTATACGGACGAGGGTCCCCCCGTGGCTGCATTCGCTTGAGTCGTTGACCCAACACCGACTCGGCTAGCGTTTGTGCGAGAGATTTTGGTAGGTATAAATGGTCATTCTCAATAAAGCGCCCACTTATCTTTATAAAACCTAAGCTAAACATCGTCAAGGGAAGGGAGAACGTACCGCCAGGTCTAGGTCATTTCCTGTCATAGCACGACCAATGCGGCTAAAACTCTCTTCTCTAATTGTAAAGTCGCTCTCTAGGCTTTCAGTAAACTCTGCCTTGTCACCGGTTGGGTTTTTGGTCGCAAAGCTCATTATGAGCTGTGACAACTTGTGTGATTTCCAGAACCGCTCATATACTCGTCGATATTCGTCGGCGGGTTCTTCCAAGACGTACCACGCCGCAGACGTGAGGATGTACATTTCCCTATCATGAATAAGACGAGGAGAAGGTAGCCTCATAGTCAAACCTGTCACCGACTCCATCTCCAATCCACCATTTGAGAACCGGCCCGAGGACAATCTTACGCCAGTCTGGCAGAGCGGCGGGCATTCCTTCCTCATCATCCTCAGCATCGGCCGCTGCCTCCTCTTCTGGTTCTATTGATGCCGAGGCTACGGCACCGTATCCACCTATTTTATCATTTACTTTATCACTGGACTCTAGCTGGTCCAGTCCGATCATGACTCTCGCTCGGCCGCTGCCTTCCATGTTGGATCGCTTGTCGTCATAGAAGAAGATGAAGTTGCTCAGTCGAAATAACAGTCGGTGTGGAGACTTGTCTTGATAAAGTTCTTCATCTCCATTCAGTAGCCTTAGTACGAGCTCTTCCGAATGGTCTTCCGGATCTTCAGGGAGCTCAAATGTTGCGCCTCGTGGATGATTTAGAGCGTTTCCTGGTCTGCTACTGGAGATACTTGGAGACGGTCTTTCATCCAGTCGTGGTCTTTTCGCCTGCGTGCTGGCCTCGGATGGTTCTGAGTCGGCGTAACGCTTTCTGCTGCCTAGCCTTTCTGATGGTGGAGGTTGCTCAACGATAGATTCGTCGTCGCTATCTGAAATGACAATGACTTCGTTGGGCATCAATGGCAGAGTCCAAGTTGGCTTTGCTTTGTCCACAACTTGGTCTGCTTGCGGCTCCAGGCTCATCTCCATCGCGAACAAACTGTGTCCTTATACTTTGTATTTGCGCATATTCAACCCTCTCCAGTGACTAAAACGCGGTTTTGACGCGTGAGGAGCGTCTGAGCATGTACCTCGAAGAATTGATCCTCGAAGGCTTCAAGTCTTATCCAGTCCGGACGTCGATCACAGGTTGGGATCCCTCGTTTTCAGCGGTTACTGGGCTCAATGGCTCTGGAAAGGTGCTTTCATCGTTTAGATTTGCCATTTCATACAACTAACGGCTTCGAAGAGCAACATCCTCGATGCAATTTGCTTTGTACTTGGCCTCACCAATCTCTCTCAGGTGCTTACCGTGTGGAGCGTGTTCCTATCCTATTTCTCAGTTTGCTTAGGTTCGCGCCACTAATCAACAAGACCTGATTTACAAGCGTGGTCAAGCTGGTATCACTCGGGCAAGTGTAACGGCTGTATTCAACAACTCTGATCGGAGCAAGAGTCCAGTAGGCCTCGAACAATGTTCCCAAATTACCGTCACGAGACAGGTGGGCTAGAATCAGTCAGATCTGTCAAGCTTTTCACAATATTGTCTTAGATAGCACTCCCTAACGTCTCAAAATACCTCTTAAATGGTCACAAATCGACTCAACAAGCTGTTCAGCTCCTCTTCCAAGGCGTGCAGCTCAATATCAACAATCCGAATTTCCTCATCATGCAGGGAAGGATCACAAAGGTACTGAAATTCAAATATACTGCACCACGAAATTGTCTAAAAGGAACCAGGTCCTAAACATGAGACCGCCGGAGATACTGGGCCTCATCGAAGAGGCTGCGGGCACTCGTATGTACGAGGAGCGAAAGGACAAGGCCAAGAAGACGATGACAAAGAAAGAAAAACGCGTCCAAGAAATCACGTCCCTCCTCGATGAAGAAATTACGCCCAAACTCGACAAGCTGCGAGATGAGAAGCGGTCCTTCCTCGCCTACCAGAAACGTTCGACAGAAATTGAACGGCTCACGCGTCTTTTGATGGCATGGGAATGGAACGAGTCGACAGAACGAGTCAAACGGAAGGATGCGGAAGTCCAAAAACGAACGGAGCAACTTGCTGCGCAAAAGAGCAAGCTGCGTCTCGAGAGCGAGAGCTCGCATCCGCAGAAGCAGAGAAAAAGGCAGCAATCAAACGACGAGATAAGGTGAGAGGCGGCGAAGCCTGATTTTCGAATCTCATTGGCTCTAGGAAATCGCGAAAGGTGGTCAATTCCAGAAACTAGAGGCACAGGTTGCAGAGTTTGAGAAGAAGATTGTCAGTCTCGATACTCAGGTCGAACTCAAGCAAGCCTCTATCCGAGATGAGGAATCTCGAGCAGCGAATCTCAAAGAAGCAGCCCTCGAATTGGAGACGGGATTGGCTGCGAAAATAGAAGAAGTAGAAGAGGTTAACAACAAGTACAATATGATGAAGACGCAGCACGACACGTTCCAGCAAAAGTATCAGAGTAATCAAGAGCTACTCCAAAGTCTGCAGACAGGTCTCTCCGATGGTGCCAACAGCTCTGGAGGTGGCTATCTGGGACAGCTCGCCGAGACGAAGGCACGGATTGTGCAGGCAGAAACGGAGGAGGAGCAGATTCGTCGACAAGCGGCACTCGTCGAGAGAGAACTGGCCGATGCGCAAGGACGATGGAAGAAAGTAGAAAAGGAAGCGAGTGATGGCGCGAAGACGATCGAAAAGGGCAAACAAGATGTGGAGAAACTCAAGCGTAGTCTTGCTGGGATGAATTGGAGTGATGAAAAGGAGACAAACCTTGCGAGTTCACTCAAGAAGGCTCGCGACGCTCTCAAGGGCCTAACAGAGGCGAGTCACTGTATTACCACGCATGAGGGATGATGCTCAGCCTGCTCCTCTAGAAACGTGATGGCCTCCGTCAACGGCTGTCAAACCTCGACTTTTCCTATTCGGACCCCGCCCCAAATTTTGACCGAGGGAAGGTCAAAGGCCTCGTTGCAAATTTGATCGAGATTGACTCAGCCAACTATTCCAAATCGACAGCCCTAGAGATTGCCGCTGGTGGCCGCCTATACAATGTCGTCGTGGAGGATGAGCGGGTGGGGGAACAGATTCTCCAAAAGGGCAATCTCAAGAAGCGCGTAACGTTGATACCGTTAAACAAGATCAGAGCTTTCACCGCTTCTGCCCAGGTTAGAGTTTATGACCTTCGTTACTTCGTCATTCAACGCAGTTCTAGAAATTGGCAGCTGCCACCCGGGTTGGCAAGGGAAAGGCCCAGCTTGCTCTTCAACTCATCGGATACGAAGAAGAAGTGTCAAACGCCATGGCCTATGTCTTCGGAGACGTCCTCATTTGCGACGACGCAGACACTGCCAAGGCCGTCACCTTCCACCCGGAGATCAACATGCGCTCCGTCACTATTAATGGGGATGTGTATGATCCATCTGGTACGATCAGTGGTGGGAGTGCCCCCCAAAGCTCCGGTTTGCTGCTCAAAGTTCAGGAGCTACACGAAGTCGAGAGGGAACTCCATCAGGCCAAGGTGGCGTATCAGAAACTGGAGCATGAGGAGCAAAAAGCCGATTCGTTGCGACAATCATGGACGAAGGCCAAACGAGAGCTCGAAATCAAGAGCCATGAAGTCAATCTTCTGGAGCAACAAGTGGGTGGAAGTAATGCATCAAGAGTGAGCACAAATATGCTATCATTGGAGTGAATAATGACAGTTTGGACTAGATTGGCAACGATATAAAGGAGCTGGAGAAGAAACTGGCCCAACTCCGTGAGGCCAGTACTACCGCTCAAGCACGACAGAAAGAGGCCGAGCAGGAATGCAAGAAACTGGAGAAGGATATGAAAGAATTTCACAGTAACAAGGATGGAAAGTTGAAGCAGCTTAAGGTATGCGTCCCAAGCCCTCTCGGTATAGATTTCACATTTGGTAGGCAGAGGTAGCAAAGCAGAAGACTGAGCTCCATACGCTCACGGTGCGCTTGAAGGAACAACAGCGCCTTGCTCAGACGTCACAAATGGAATTGGGTCAGCCGGGACAATAACCATACATAGATTCGACTCACTCTACCAACAGAACAAATGAGATCAGACATTGAAGCTGCTCATGCGTCTGTTATAGAAGCCAAGGAAGCGACAGCTATCCATTGCAGCGAATTGGAAAAGCTCACAAAGGCTCTTGGTGTGGCAAAGGTGTGTATGATAGACGTATGTCTGGCATTTCAATCGCTAACGTTCTACTAGGAATCGCACGAAGAGGCTTCTTCGCGCCTCCAGGCTGAGCTGGCTGCCTTGACGAGGTTCGACCAAGAGATCAAAGGTCTTGATGCTGCTATCTCGAACATTAAAGACGCAATCACGGAGATGGAGGTTACTATTAAGAAGACGGAGCATGAAATACAGACTGCTCAGAAGGAGCGGGCGTCGTCGGAAGCTCACGTTGCGTCGCTGGAGAAGCACCATCCCTGGATCAAAGACGAAAAAAGGTTTGTAAAGTCGAACTCTCAAAGGCCTTCTGACATGAAATAGGCAGTTCGGCAAGCCCGGAACGATGTACGACTACGGCAGCGTCGACATTGCTCAGACGAAGGACAAGGCCAAGGAACTGGAAGAACTTCAAAAAGGAATGAAGAAAAAGATTAACCCCAAAGTCTTGAACATGATCGATACGTAGGTCTTACCGTGTTTGTCGACGCGTCTGATTGCGGGTACAGTGTGGAGAAGAAGGAATCCGAATTGAAGAAGAACCTGCAAATTGTTCTGGGTGATAAGAAAAAGATCGAGGAGACCATCGACCAACTTGACGTTCTGAAGCTTGAAGCACTGGAGAGTACATGGACCAAAGTTAGCAAGTCAGTACCCCTCGATTTGTGCAAGAATGCCTACTTACCCCCACAGGGACTTTGGTGAGATTTTCGGGGACCTTCTCCCAGGAAACAACGCAAAGCTCCAGTACGCTGAGCCTGGAAATATTGCCGCTGGCCTCGAAGTCAAAGTACAACTCGGTTCAATATGGAAGCAGAGCCTGACCGAGCTGAGTGGGGGTCAACGGTAGGCTTTCCGGCTGCCTAGGGATAGCTGACTGACACATGCGCAGATCTTTGATCGCTCTCTCGCTTATCATGTCGCTTCTCCAGTTCAAGCCTGCGCCCATGTACATCTTGGACGAGGTCGACGCGGCATTGGATCTCTCTCATACCCAGCATATCGGCGAACTTTTCAAAAATCGCTTCAAAGGATCCCAATTCATTGTTGTCAGTCTCAAGGATGGTCTATTTAACAACGCCAATGTTCTTTTCCGTACCAAATTCCGGGATGGTACCAGTATCGTGGAGGTGTGTTTCATCTCTAATACTGATTTATACTGATTATCTACCCAGAGAACCACTCAACGATCCGGAACTGTCACAATGAACGGCAGAAGTGGCCGTTAGATCCTCGACTGTTCATGTGTACGAAATACGCCAGCATTGTATCAATTCTTCTTTTGCAAAGCCGGGGCAGATGTTAGCATTCAACTTTGTCAAAGAGGACACGAGCTGGGGTATGCACTACCGCAGGCGATCAGAGCTACGGCTGGATTTTGATTATACTACGGGAAAATAGCCCATTCGGGGGTATCAATACTAGCAGGAAAGGAGGGAAAACTGCGACCTCGTCGAACAGTGACAGTTGATGATAAGAGACGAATGGCCTCCTGAATCTCCGGGTCGCCAAAACGTACACGGGCCTCTGATGCGTACTTAGGAGGATAGGGCGGACGGATGAGAGACACATTGCCGAAAGTCCCGTGAAGTTCCAAGGATGGTGAATTCTTAACCAAATCATAGAGGTCCTTTCCATCGAAGTCGCTACTACTTATTGAAAGTGAGCGAAGCGTTTGTGATTGTGTCAATCGTTGCAGGCAGCCGGCTGGAAACCTGCAGTTATGGAGTCGAAGATGATACAGGCTCATTAGCATCGGGCTTTCGAGCAAGTAGTTGCGGCCCAAAAGTCTAAAACCTGACAATGCCAGCCTCTGGATATGAGGCAGGCGTGGTAGGGAGTCGAGGACGATGGGCGGGCTATCGAAAGTCTCTTCCCCTTCGTCTTCCAATTGGAAGAGTCCGATTCCTCGTAGTCCAAAAGATTCCAGGTCAATGGGACAAGTGGGTTCGAGTTGAGTGACAAGAGAGGAGTTTTAGAAAAATGTAATAGGGAAGTTATCGAGATACAAACGAGAGAAATTAGGTGCTTTCTTTATGATTCTGGTGATCAAAGAAATTGTTTCCGCTTCGGTGTGATGTGTTGCTGGCCATGGAGCGGAGAGATATAGGGTTCGTACGCTGGGGCCGTTTTCAGTCGCTACAGGAGTCAGAAGCATCTTTTCCAGAGATGCCACATTCTCTCTGGTTATATAAATTGCCACAATGCGAAGTAGTACCCTTACGGCAGACGCATACCATGCACGACAAACCAAGGTCAGACGTGAAAGCCGCCGCAAGCGGTTCCAGGCAGAGTCAGAGGAGATCCACCATGGTGGAAACATGTCACTATCGGCAACGTCACGCAGCAGCGAGAATATAGTGTCCAGAATCTCCGGTGGAGTTGAAGTCCATCGCGAGTCGTTGATCGTACTTTGTTCGGATACGTCTGATGTATATCCGACTTCAAGTTGACGAGGTAAAGGTAATCGGGTCTGTGGTGCCATCCAAGAGCAACTGAGGGTGTATTCGGCAAGGCGTGTATCAAAAGCCTCTCGAAGCCTTGCAAAGGCCGTGTGATTATAACTTAAGCCGAAGTCCACCGGTATTTCTGGATGACTAGAGAGGATTTGGAGGTAAAAGACGATGAAGAATTCAACCTTCTCTTGACCTGTCTCGGTGTCGATCGCTATCTTATTCGTCTCCAGCCGAAATGGTACTTGTACCTCACGTCGAATGAGTGCCTCGAGTCGCCCGGATATCATGCTGAGATTACGAGAAGCAAAGTTGGCTACCTAAGTCCATCGACATCGGTATAAATGCTCAAGATTTCTGGTGTATCCACCCTCATTAGAAGATTTAGAATCGAAGTGTCGGGTATTTTTATGCCGATGGCCTGATACAGGTGATGTTCACACGATGACATTGTCGTGGAGCCGAAGGAAACTTCGGTCCCCTAAATCTGGGATGGATGGACCGTGTACAATGAGGAATTTTGGGTGGTAGTGCATAACAAAACGTTATGCTCTCCTGAATGTTCCATCGACATTCCCGAGTCATGACCCAAACCTTGTCCCTATCCCCGTCTTCCTTTCCGGCCATTTATTTTCCGGCGGCTCCGTAATCGCAGGTTAGTGGATAATTCGACGGTCTGTGGCAATTCGTGACTCGTTACGTAGCCTCATCGAAGTGGCATAAGAGCCGAGCTCGGAAATCCACTGGCAAACCATCTACCCTCTTCATTCTACGTCTCTATCGTATGGAGCCGAAGCTATCTGAGCAATTGGAAAGGTTAAGTCTTGGATCTACTTCCAACGAGTACGTACCCGTTGGTTCGAGAACCGCCTCTGACGCTGTACAGTCCAAGTCCCGGTTTATTCTCGTCATTGCCCGTTGAACTGCTGCAAGAAGTAGCCAGACTGTTGGACAGGCAGAGTCTGCTTGCCCTTCTCAGTACCAACTCAACCATCCGTGCGGAATTGGCGCCTTTGGCATTTGGGACGCTAACGCTCTCAAACCAATGGATCAAGCACTTTGAGTATCGAACGATTGCTCATGCAGTAACGGCACTCGTGGTCGCATCGTCCGCCCATCAAACCGTCCCAGTCGCATTCGCCCAACTTCCCCAGGTGTTACCAACACTACACAATCTACGTCGTGTAGATCTCAAGATATGGGGCCTATTCTCACCAGAGCTGTACCTGGCGATCCGGGCTCATCCCGCTATACGTGAGCTCAAGATTGCGAGAAAGATGAAAGGTCCCGTATGGAGACCGAGCCAATCGTATCCTGGAGTTCCCAAATGTCGTTTGGAGTACGTTGAAGTCCCGCGCTCGATCATCGAAGATCTCTTCCAGACCGGCTCTCCATCAGTGGAGACCGTCCATACCCTTGTCGTCGTTGGTCAGCCCCTTTTCCGACAATTGAACCAACTAGGTCCATATCCCTCGCTCCGTCGCCTTACCCTGCTCGAACAAGCAAATAATCGTTACAACGACGTTTTCTGGCAATTCTTGAAAGCCAATCCCTGGCTTTCGCAGATTGAGCTAGCTTCTATGGAGTATTGGCAGCCAGATCTCGAGTACAGGACGTCACTACCTCAAGTAGACCTTCAGTCCATCACTCGCTTGTCTGGGCCCTTTTTCCTCCTTGACCCATTGATACGAGCCAGCAAATTCACACTGCAATCCCTTGACATTCGTGACGTCTTAAAGGTACCTCGATACACGGAAACGGTCGCTCCCTCGTCCAAAGGTTCCGAGTTTCAGGCCACATTGTCACTGGCACTCAGCACCCTTCGACTGCACGAACTATCCATATCCATAAACGGGCAAGATCTGTCCTATATGTTTCTCGTCTCGGCTCTAGAGGCGCACGCTACGTCGGAAGGCTTGGGCTTACTTCGCACTTTGCGAATCTCTATCAAGAACAATATCGACCATCACTCATTAGGAGAGGTATGTAATGTTCCTAAATCAAGATGACGGATCGTAATGCCATCTCAGGTTCTCAATGCGGTTTGCTCGACTTTGGTAGGAAGAGTCTCCACCTATTGCAGCGTCGGCATCTCCACGGCATGCCACGAAACTTGTCGGACAGGGGTATATAGGTACATTGGAAACCAGTACAGTACCCTTTCGGGCCCGGATCCCGTATTACGAACCGGGGCCGGCGTCGCAGAGGCTATGACAGAAATCATCCCGGCCATCACAACCTGGGCTAATATGAGATCCTCTATTCGCATTGATCGCATAGACGTACTTGGACCTCATGGCCTTCGATGGTTCTCCTTTCGGCCCCTCGCAGACGATGCTCAGAAATGGCACGTCAAGATTACACCCAACGGTGGGCGTGTCTGTTCCGACATTGACACGTACCAACTCGAAAGAAAGGTCCGGGAGCGATACAAATGGGTTTTCCCACTCTTCGAGAACGAGACGGTGATCGAAATCGGAAAGGAGACCATCTTTTGGAAGGAGATGTTTGAGCCAGAGTACGTACCTTCTTTCCGCAACATTTCAGTTCTCATGCGTTTGTAGTCCATCTCGTTTCCTTTAGTGTCGTCGCGCTCATAGTCAACCAACCGTTGCGAAGGTCTCAAGGCTCGAATAGAATATTCATGTCCACGAGATTTTCTTGTATCACTTAAACCCTTATATACAAGAGGAGAACTAGCTGTACCCATTTACAGTTCTCGAGTCCTCACAAGAGGTGCATCCTGAGTACAGACCTAGGCGACCGTATAGTTCTATTATATAACATGATGTAATTCTGAGGTTGATGATTCGGTACAGCCTGGACTTGGCTCCCTCCAAGTTTTACTCCTCGCCTGAGACACTGACGGGATGCGGCTAGTTCGTCCGATGAGGATAAAAATTCTCTGTATTTCGCCAGTACTTAGTGCGGGAATACAGGCTGAGCAAATAGATTCAAAGGGGTATACAAATGTCCATGACGGCAAGGAACGTAGATGTCCATGAGATGGTAACAGTCCGAGAAGCAAGCCAGAGTCCTTTTTGTCATCGACTCGCATCCTCTGGGAAGAGGGATGGGAATGATGGAGACTGCGATAGGGCAGGGGTAAACGAGGCCTGAGAAGGTACCGGTGAGAAAGGAGAGTGTGTCTGCGCTGGGGAGAATGGCGAGATGGGCAAAACGTCGACACCATGATCGCGTGGTGGAATGTATCCCGCAGGAGATGATCCACTGTTGAACCTTTGATGGCGTTGGTGAATGGACCGCGCGAGAGTCGGTTGAGATGGGAGGGCATGAGCGGGTGAAAGAGATGTAGAATGAGAAAGTGAAGGCATAGAATGTGACTCTCCTTGATGAAGGAACAGAGAGGGTGGAGTTGGAGTTGGAGACGGGCCGTGCATGATGCGCGCAGAAATGGCTTTGCGCGGTTGGGTTGAAATCTTCTTTCTTGACAGCGGGTCCCTCCCTCTGCTGAGCGCATGAAGATCGGCGCTGGGTTGCAAATGGTAGGGCGACACGTGCAGTGATGGGGCCGGTGAATAGTTGACATTGGCTTCTTCTAATGAAGACGAGGAAGACGAGCCTGGGTGCTCTCCTCTCCTCCTTTTGATGGGCCTTTCCTCCATCTGCCCAGCTCTTGCCCATTCTCGTATAGTGTTTTCCTTTTCTCCGTCACCGGCACCATCACGATGACTGTGCGCTCGAGAAGAGTGAGAGGAGGACGCACGGCGTCGCTTGCCTCCAAGTACTTTGTTGGGTATGCCGTCCAAGAGGCGTCGAAGCCGCGATTCCAAGTGTTGTGGCAGGGTACGTATCGAGGTTGCTGTGCTCGTAGACTCTGCTACCGCCATCTCGTCGTCACCCTCTTGCTTGACCGCCGGGGGGGAAGGCGAGGATGCAGACACGGGTGCATCATGTGATCCGAGAGAGTGGAAATACGTGTCAAGAAAGGAAGTGGAGGGAATAAACTCTGGTTGCGCACTGTCCCCATCCATTGGAGAGGTGCTCGCTGAAAGCAAAGAGCCGGAGCCTGGGCGCCCCATGCGGTGATACCATTTAGTTGAGAAGCCAACCAGGGTGCGCCTGACCGCTCCTTGAATGTCGACAAACTCAAAAATGAACGGCGCCTCGCCTACATGTCAATCCATCAGCTCAGCCATCGCTCGTCTGGGCTTGCAAGGGCTAAATTGCTTACCTGGCTGCTGTGGCGTACGTCGACAGAGTATGATTTGACGTGCATCAATTTGTGCACGCATGGCTGCCCGCTGCTCTGCACTCCACCACATTGGGTCAGAGGCGGGGTCGACGGCGTTGCGGTGGATACCGGACGGTCGTGGCAGACAGCACTCTGGCCATCCGGTAAAGTAAAGTTGCTTTGCTGCTAGTTGCGCGGGGAGTGTTGTCCACGGAAAGACTTTGGTACCATTGCGCAAGTCACATGTTCCACCGCCTTGTTCTGTGTACTTGTCAGTTACGAGTTCTGCGATAAACACAAGAGATGGGTTGACATACCAAAGATGTTGATGAGCTGATCAATAAGGGCCATATGCTCGACCAGTGCCAACACCCTTCGCTGGCGCCTTTCCATCGACGGCCCAGCTGGGTTGACCGAGCTTGTTTGGTTTGCGTGTACTGTTTGCATCATAGTAAACCCGCCAAATGCCTGCAGATAGTTGGTGGGGTTGGTCTTTGCAGAGGTAAACGTTGGCGCGAATTGGGGGCGTTTGAGGGCCATTATAAGGAGAACCAGTGAAGATGAAATATTAGACAAGAGCCGGCACACTGGTTCTGGTGCCCCTCCGGCTTCAACACGGGACCGGTCAATCGTCGTCCATTAGTGCCCTCCGGCGATACTGCAAAGGGTGCTTGAATCGAGCGCTATCCGCGCCGAACATGTTCTGTTGGCGAATGGTCGTCTACGTTTACCCATTCCACCCGCCGGTCTGGCTTCATTTGCGTCTTGCTGTCGTGCGAACCGCGCGAGAGGTGTGGACAAAGCGACAAAGCCAGCTAATCCAGCTGCACGCCAATTCGGCTATCTAAAACACACATCCTTTTCATTTCTTGTCAAAAGGCTAAGGCCGGATATTGGCGATATCCCGGCCAACCGAAGCCTGGCCAAACAAACGGACACACTTGGACCCGACCGCTTCGTCGTCAACGGCAGCGCCGGTTCCATAGACTACCCTGTTTCATTTCATGCCGTGCCTTGTGCACATAGACGTCCCCGCATGGCGTCTGGACAACTGCGAGACCCATCGGCGTTCGCTCGAGCTCCTCTTGGACGCTCCCGAGCTTTGATGCTTTGACATCTTGTGTCAAACATTAGAATCTAAAAATATCATTCGCTTCACCGTACTATTGGGGGACCCATCCTTAAAGTCGGAGCTAGATTGTCAAGACTTCTCCGTGACCAGTTACGAGAGGCCATCTCTCCTTCTCGAGAGATCTATACGTGTTGAGTCTGATAACGTGGCTCATTCGCGGCGCGGCGAGGCCACTAGGCACGATTGCGACCAGTGTCAACCCAATGATGGTGCCCCCTTCCTCGTTGGAGAGTGACCATATCTATCCATCTTCAAGCTCAGACCTGGACTGAGCATTGGCATACAGTTCTATCACGTCCCGAAGTGCTCCTCGGTGATTGGAACACTAGAGACATCTCATAGTCCTTCATGGAATTCGTTCAACATTGTTTCTATAGCCTTGCTGCCACTGGACTATTATGTGAATAGAATGGATTTTGCGTGGGGCATACTCGCCTTCCGTGTATTTGTCTTGATCATCCTCGCCTTCATCGGTGCTGATCATCTGCCCGTTTATACCGCCCCTCAATTTGCTTGATGATCCTTATATGTTCTTTTTGGGATCAGTTGGGCGTCAAGTCAGATGAAAAAAGGTTTGCCCAGAGCTACCGGTGCCGGGATTGGCAAAGACTCAAGCAGTCCATCATCCGCATCCTCTTCACGTTGCCCTATTATGTCGCAAAACCTGACATCCGCTTATGAGAAACTCTGTAGGAAAGAAGCCCGTATTTGTTTACGGGTGGTCGATCCGTTTCTCTGCTATGGTATAACCGAGAGGCTGCGACGGTTTTACCGTCAAAAAAGTACGGGTTCAAATCCGTTACCACATACGGTGTCGGTCCGTTCACCAAATACGGGTTCAAATTGGCTATTGTGTTACGGGTTTTCTCCGTCAACGATGGCGGGACCAACCCGCCCTTAGTGAATGATGAACCCATTTTGGTGATACGGGTTATCCGCAATGCGTATACGGGATGGCCCCGTTGAGGACGAGCGGATAACCCATTCAAACCCACTGTTTCCCATTCTCGATGGCGGTTCACCCGTACCCGCCAAACGGTGATCCGCAATGCTGGGAGGATTTGCCATTGTACTCTACGGGTTTCCCAGACGACTTTAATAGAAAAAAAATCATGTATAATCATACTCTCAGACATTAATTAACTATCATTAGCTTCTAGATCAATGTCCTCAGGTCCGACGAAGGTAGTTCGGGCACAGTTAAGGCTCGTGTCAATGATACCCCATCGTTTTCCAACTTTGATACGACCAACAACGCATTGGATTGTGTTAATGTGAACAAACTCTGGTGCTCTGAGTTCAGAATACCATACACTTTCCTGCGTCGCGTCGCCTTGTGTATTGCAGGCGCTGACATAGGCCAAAAGTTCCCGTGAGGCCTCATGAATTCCATCCGAGGAGCTTGAGCTAACTTCTGCGACTAGGATGTGGTGTAGGCACACATAGGAGCACGTCTCTTTGTCGACTATGGTACCGTCCGGAGTGTAGCTAGAGCGAAGGAGTGCCAGCTATCAGATGTATAAGATTGGAGTACGGTCAAGCCAGTATCACTTACCCGAACATATGAAGAGTCCCGAAGTGTATTTGAGGTCACCCGACTTGCAGCCCAAGTCCCACGTATGACTTGACTACTGCCAAGGACACGTAATCCACCAATCTTCATAAGTTTTTTGGGTATATTCTTGAAAATTGACTTCATGGCAACTGAGCTTGGATAATTGCGGCGGAAACAAGCGCCCATCTGTTGTTCCCTTGGTCTGCGACCTTCAGCTGAACGGAGTGTACAAGATCGCTCGGATCTTTATTGTAGTTCTCTACACACATTATGAAGTAGAACAGAGAGGCGTTTGGCCAAGTCAGTCAGCGCATCCATTTTCATGCCATCAAGGACAGACAGAGTAGTCTTGTGGTCTACAGAGGAAGTAATTTGGCGGGTTCTGAGAGACACCTCGCACGAGCTCACAGCTTGCACCTGTGTCCCCCAATAGCTCGTCTGCTGACACGACTCTGGGCACTATACCCCTCAATATACTGCCAAAGTTGCCGACAATTGGTTACTCGCAAATGCACGCCCACCGACACGGATTATTCCCTCGCAATGCAGAGCCTGTGTACAACCTTCGCTACCACAAAGACAAGCCTCTTATAGCTCGCAGTGGAGGTTATCGTGACACACCCCTGACATTGCACAGCAAAGACCTACAGACACTATTCTGGCAGCACCAGTAGCGTCCATGGCTGTACGCCTGATCCTCGTCATTGATCGAAACTACATCAGGGTCCTCGTCGGCGGCGACGTCCGGACCAAGGACCGTACCCCAGCCCCTCAAGACTGCGGTTGTGGCACAAAGTTTGCCGTGCCATCGCTGGTGTAGATGAGGGAGGGTTGACGCATATTGTCACCATAGTATCTAGGTCATTTCTACGATCGTGAGGTGGTGACCGTGATACTTTGATGGACAGGCGCTATCACCCAACTCCATGGGGCTATGGTCACGCTATGCTAAAACATCCTAGAACGGAGTACTAGTCATAATTGCCGAGCCTTTGGGTTTTCTTCATGGTGAATCTGTTCCAAGGACATACTTGCTTCCATCATCAACAGATAGTTCTCCCGTCCCTAGAGTGTGGCGGCGACCATCCGAACCCGAACCCGATCTAGTGACTTTACCTGCGTACATTCGCTATCTTTCTTATTTCGTTCCCATATCTTTGGTTTTGGTTTGCTCGTTAGGGCCATGACATCTTCTGTCTGCGAGACCTCTCCGAAATAAATTTATGTCGGCTTGTGAAGTAAACTCTCTAACTTTTTACCGTTTTAATCAATGGTATTCACAGGTTGAAGTACCTGTTGAGCTGTGCGTCGAGCGAGGGTGTTAGGACCTGCTCTCGGAAGCCCCCTTCAAATGTCTTGACGAAGAATTGAGAGAACTGACTCCCATGGAAATTTTGATACTAGGATGCGTGAGGTGAAAGGCAAGACTGGTAAGGTCCCCTATTGCGCCACGTATCCTTGGATACACTTAGTTACAAAGGGAATCAAGGCCACTGGCTCAGGAAAGCATAAATAAATTAGACATAATCTGTGGGAGTCAGTCATTGAATGAAGATGCACAATACGGGCTTGAAGCCCATTAGCAGTTGTCAAATTATCTACTCCGTTGTGAAGAGATATGCACAAGTGCGACTCGGACCATTACTGAAGGCACGACTCTCATTCACTGAAAGCCTTGTTGGCCACGAGAATGTACACGCGAAGGTGGACGACGAATACACCTAGATGACTGATGATTGACAACGGTTACATAACCTATAAATTGGCAAGCTAGAGGCAAACATGAGCACTAGACAGTACGTAGGAAGCGACGTCAGAACACAAATAAATACAGTAAATACAAGATACATGCAACCTTCACGAGAGCGACGGTTCAGGATCAAGTGGCCCGATTTCCTCCAAGACGGGAGGCACAGGCTGACCAGGGGACCAAGGATTGCGAAAGACGATGCGCTCCTGTTCAATGATGCGACCGTCCTCGTCCTCAAAGAGCAGGATGTCGCTCCTCTTGACATCCGATACGTCCTCCTCCATGACAGCAGGTGCCCAGATTTTGGTCTTTTGGACAGGAGGAGCCATTGTGCTCGTTTGTTCGGAAGACGTTGCCGTCGTCTGATGTAGGTTTGGCTGTTGCCGTCCCGTGAGCTTTGCGAGCTCTGTATTCCATTGTGCACTCATCGCGAGATAGTTCATAGAGCCTATCCCGAGTGCGGTCAGTTCTCCCAATGTTTTGGGTGGCGAGCCATCGCCGCGAGATTGCATATACGCATTCCTGCGGCCAGGAGCTGCGTAAGAGGTTGAGTAATGATGAAAAGATTCATTCTTCTCGTCGTCACGTCGTCCAAACGGCGGCGAAGGACGAGGGTTTGGTTTATAATCTTTTCGTCGCGTTGGCACGAAGGGCGCCGAGTCAGGTGCAGTACGTTCGTATGCATGATGAGGTGGATGATGAGGCGGTAGAGGCTGAAAGGTGGCAAGAGACGTCAGTATCTGAAGCGAAGAGGGCAGACAAGAAAACAAGAACGCAACTCGTTGTACATATGATTCCGCATTCATTGGTCCCCGAATTGAGTTTATTTGATTCGACAGTCGATTGTCCGGATAGCAGCCAGAGGTGTCGACACGCTTAGTGTTGCAGATCCCTCGTCGTTCCTGGGCGGGGCGTCCCTGCATGGTTAACCGAGGAGGGAGACTAGCGTTTGAATAGTTGTAAAATCTAATCAGCGAGGCGTGTGGGTAAGCAATCCAGTCACTGGTCATTCGCAAACAAAGGCACGTACGACACAAAAGGTGAGTATGTTGGGCAATTTGGTTGAGAAGACGGTACAGCGGGCATTTGTTTCTGTCTGTGAAACTGAGCGTCGGAGGGAGGATTGTGAGAGGGCATTGCGACCAAGGACATTAGGGGCCAAAAGTCAGAGGCGAGTCCAAGTTGCACAGGATCACAAATTTTTCAAGGCCGTTGCTCATATAGCTATAGCTGACCAAGGAACCAAAGCAAAGTCACACTCTTCGACAGTCTGGACACTTCCCAAACTCGTTTATGGGCAACCCTTACCAAAAGGCTACAACGGTCGCGCCAACGATGACCGATTCAGAACCCAAAGATGCGGGGAAATGAGATGAAATGACGATTGAGATGAGGGATATCGTGATGTACATCGACCAAAAATGCAGTAGTTTTTCTTCGCGGAACGGAGCAGAATGCGCGCGTGTATGGGCAGGGCAGCGATGAGGGACTGCCCAGACGATATGGAGCACGTACAAGAATGAATCTAACGCAAAATGGACGTCAACGTGACCGCTCTCGACCGGCCGACGAGGATGATGAACAAGGACTCACCCAAAACGATGCGATCAGCCGTCCAGCGTCTGGAAAGCAAGCACATGGATTAATCATGCAAAAATTTGGGCAAGATGATGCTATGAGATTGCGAAATGGAATGGGTTGTAATTGTCTATAGAGATTAGAAATTGTAATGGTAGGAAATGAAATCGTCATGTGACTAATGTCAATCAAATTTTGGAAGTCGGCGTCAAGGTCTGGCACGGGTGACGATGGGGAGCCATCCATGCCAAAAAGAGGTGGGCGACGCATCTTTGTGGCGAGACCGCTCTCAAGAGGGTCGCGCTCAGGATCCCGCGTCCGAGATGGCGTAAGACGGGACGGCTGGTTTCTGAGACCCGAGATGAGGTGGGTGAGCGAGGTCAGGGTCAGATCACAGGTTGCCTTCCTGAAGTGGCGGATGCACAACAGATTGCTTGAGAAGACAACTGACTGGCATACAGGAAATGATATCGAGCTGAGAAAAGATATGGAACAATCAAGATGGATGATTGGAAAGTCGCGGGTCCAATAAGATGAGGGGGAGAAAATTGTTGTACACGAGTTCAAGGAGGGTTCACCCAAGATAAAAACTGTCAAGCTGGAGAGGGTATGAGCCTTAGTGTCTTCAAGACATTTTGGCCGGCAACTCACCAAGCAGACAGATAAATCAACACTCCGCCGCGACACGGGCTCACATGCCACCAGTTGGGCCGTAATGAACTCGTTTGTCCTCCATCGACTCGCCAAACAAATTGTTGAACAATTCTTCCTCTGTCGAATCAAACACGTTTGCACCGGATCCTCCAGTCGGCGTCGGTGCATTGTGCGTCTCGTAGGCTCGGCTGCTCGCGCCGCCGTCATACAAGTACAGCGGCATGGTGATGTGTTGAGAGTTGGAACGAGAGTGCGAGGTGGATCCACTCCTCGAATGAGAAGGAGAATGCGAGTGCGATTGCGAACGTGCGCGATTCATCGAGCTCTGTGTGGGAGTGTGCTGGAGCGTGCTCGTCTCCCACATTGTCGAGTGAGGATGCATGAGATTGGGCGGATGGAGTGGAACCAAGGGAGGGTGGATCGGATAGCCGTAAAAGTCATACGTCAGCCCGACTTGGCCTGGAGAGCTCGTTCCAAAGGTCGAGCGAGTAGGAGATGCTGCGCCATTGGACTGATCACCAGCATTGCCGGCATTCGAAGAGTTGTTGACATTGTTCAGCGTGGCGTCGAGAGAGAAAAAGGGTGGCGAGGTATTGGGACCCTTTTGCCCGAGACCCGTCGGCGAGCTGTGCGTAGAATTGGCGCCGCCAGTAGTGTGCGCAAAGCTGGATCCGCTAAAGCTCGACTCGATTGTCATCCGCCTCCGCTTAGCATTGGGAGCGCTATGTCCACCCCCATTTTCGATGCCTGCCGTCACTGTCGTCTCGACAATGTGCTGAACCTCGGTGGGGGAGCGTGGGCTAGCCAATCCATTGCGCGTCATGGCGTTATTGCTCGCGTTGGAAGAACTCGACTCTTGAAGATTGTTGTAGCCAAAGGACGTGAAAGAAAGATCGTTTCCGAATCCCATTCCCATCGAGAGATAGTCCGTCTCGTTGCTAAAGGTAAAGTCTTGCTCATAAGGAAAGAGCATGGGGTCGACACCACTGGCGCTGGACGACCCACCGACGTACTGCTCGGGACCAGACGAGCTGGAACCAGCAGAGGGCGGTGGCGTGGGCGAGTTGCGCCTCGAGTTCTGAGGGTTACTAGATGGAGTCATGACCGTAATGATGCTGGACACGCTCGTCCTCTTCTCCGTTTCATGGCGAGAGCGCTTGCGAATCACATCCGACTTCATAGACAGAGGCCGCCTCGTCCCATGAAGCTTCAAGCTGCAACCTCGTCAATACAAATATCGATAGAAGCAAACGAAAAATACTCACTAAAGGCCGCATCTGTGGGTGGAGAGAAAGAAAAGGGTGTCAACGAAATCCACAAAGCCCCGCCACAGGAACACACTCACGCATTGCACAGGGTATTCCCCTCGTCGTCCTTTCGCCACAGCGGGGTGGCCATCGTAGCACAGTTGTGGCATTGGACTGTAAGCGAGCAATGGTCGATCAGTGATCGATCTTGGGAGAGCAGGGTGCATGGGACCAAGGAAAGTGAATTAGGTGAGGAAGATCTCCGCAAAAAACCGCCCCTGAGATCCTCATCGCCAGGAGATGGGACCGCAAAGCGCGCGTGACCGCCAAGGGCGAGCAGCAGAGACGAATGAGGGGAAGAGGAGTCTTGAAGACGGTAAAATACACACCTGGTTCGCCCACCATCTCGGTCTCTCCCGTCTTGGTGCCCCAGGCGTTGCCCGCACGGTCACCATGCGACGTTCGAAGGTTCTTGGGACGCGCTCGCTTATGCTAGATAAGCACAAGCGATGTGCAGAGAATCATATTACGCCGGCGGGCGAATAAACGCCATCGTCGGTGGTCGATGGGTAGGGGGGTGGGCCAGTGCCGTACCGCGGGTGAAAGGAAAGCCGTAAACACAAGGGACCGTGAAGAGGTACGTGATGAGGGGCAGCCCACCATAGCGTACGCGAGAGAAGGCCACCAGTGTGATCCGAATCCATAGTGGTGGACAAGACCCATTCCACCGGCCGATAGCAGAGCCATATGAGTTTTGATGAAGGTCGTATAGAAGACGCCAAATGTTCATTGTCCCATCATTCATCGTACCAAGGACATTTGCATTGAGGGAGGAAGCAGTCGTTAGCATTCGAGCCAATGAAACATCAAAGAAGCTTAACCAAGCTCCAGTTCCCAGAAATGTCAGCCCGAACCAGCGCTACGGTTCGCCAACGCCTAAGCGAGCCAATCCCGCTGGTAGCAGCCCGACAGGCAGCCGATTGGAGGAAGCAGGGCTGAACCATGGAAAGGAGGAGCCACCACATGGGGGATGAAGGAAAAAGACAACGCACCAACTTGCAGTACAATCCACACGCATTGCAATTGAGCTCGTCGTTGAGTCCTCGTCGCCAAAGCGGCGTATGCGTCGCACCACAATTGGCGCACTCGCTCTTCACGCCACCAGGCGCGGTATTGCCGACATTGCCAGGCACGACGCTCCCAGCTGCGGTGCCAGCGACCGTACCACCAGGTGTAGCCGTGGCGATCATCGGAGCCGAGGAGGGGGCAGGAGAAACCATGGAAGAAGGCGTCGAGCCACTGACAGACTGAGGAGATTGCGCGACGGCGCCTTGTCCAGAGGTGGGAGACCCATCGTATCCTTCTCCCTTGACACCACCAGAAGACATGCTGACGGGACTCGTGTTATTCGCCTTTGCTTGATGCGGCGTCTGCTGACCAACGGCTTGCTGTTGCTGTTGCTGCTGATGACTCTGAATCTGAGCGCTATACGCATTCGTCGCAGGACTGCGCGCACTCGTAGGATGTCCAGAAAACGCCCTTCGAGTCGGACTCGTCACGAGCGGCACGCTCTGGTTCATCGTCGACGAATTGACTCCGTTCGCAGGTGTACCACCGGGACTATGAATCTCGGCAGGCTGTACACCCCATGCAGCAGCAGATCCCGTGACAAATGAAAACATGTCATTCGACGTGTCCCATCCCATCGTCGCGTCTGCACCCGAAGTCGCACCCGTCGTCGACGCACCCTGGGCGCCATCGCCTTCCCCAAGCTCGCCCTTGAGAATATCATCAATAGGGAACTCGAAAGTCGGACGAGGGACACCAAAATCGAATCCAGTGCCGGAAGTCTGCATCCCAATCCCAATCCCCGGATGCCCAGACGAACCGCCCGTCGATCCAGAAGTATAACCACCAGCGTTACCAACGCCAGCACCGCGCGCAAAGGAGTTGGAACCAGTGCCACTCGTCGAGGACGCAGAAGGTGGACCACCAGGACCATAAATGCCCTGCGTCGTCACATTGGACTGAATCGTCGTCATCCCATCGAGCGTGTTTCCAAGCGCGGCAAAGGACTGGAACATGCCGACTTCAGAAGGGCTGGGGGATCCAAGGCTCTCAAACGAGAAATGAGGCGCGACCGCGGGCGCGTTGGCAGTCGGGACCGCGCACAAGAGCGCAGTCGGTCCAAAATCGGAAGAAAAAATGGTAGGGAAGCGAATAATGTTGGGCTGGGGCGGAGCCTGGTGCTGGGGTTGAGCCTGCTGCGTGCTGCCGCTGCCGCCACCGTGCTGAGCGCGTCCGTACGAGTTGCCACCACTACCATTGTACGAGGTATTGTTGTATCCATTACTGTACGAGTTGCCCGTAAATGCATTGGAGAGCGCATGCGCGGCCGGTCCCGTCGAGGGCGGGGGTGGGTAAGGGAGCGCAGAGGGGTGGTGAGAAGGCAACATGTGATGTTGCGTCGGTGTATGATGGCCAGTCCCCTCTCCATCATCCTCTTCGTGCCTTGAATACAACTGATCGTCCTGCTCGACAGACGTGGCAGCATGGTTCGCATCATGCTGCATACTGTCGTCCTCGGCAGACGCATGATCTTCGCTAACGTCCATCGCATGCTCATTCTTGACCACAGCGTGCATCGTTGTATCTCCATCTTTACCAACCTCATTCTTCTGAGCCTGATTCTGAAGACCAGCCTGCTGCTGTTGTTGTTGCTGTTGTTGCTTCAATGCCTTGGCGGGAACAGGAGGAGGATGCATCCCCATGGGCTTGACACGCATCTTACCCATAACACCCCCACCACGTCCAGCACCGGCATCCATGGACGGCGTCGTGCTAAGCGGTTTGACACGAGGATCAACCGCAAACGTATACTGCATCCCTTTCATATAATTCGCATCCCGGTTCGTCAATCCATTCGCGCCAGCGGCGTTGGCGGACAGATGAGGCGGGAGCGTGCCAGACTCGCGGTGTTGCGCCATTTCACCTACGCGCATCCGCACCTTGTCCGTCGAGTCGGTGCGCTTGAATCCAGGTGCTTGGAGCTCGTGAATCGAGCTAGAGGTCGAATAGGTCCACATATGCGATTCGTTGGGGAGCGAAGTCGAAGTCGAGAAAAGGAGCAAATCGTCGGCAGATTCCGATTTGATTAACGATGCATCGAGTGGTTCGGATTTGACCGAAGGTGGGGATTCAGATGCAGAGTGGGTCGAACCAGATTCGTCCGACGTCGACGAAGGCACAGAAGTCGAGGGCGTGGTCGGGGAGAGGAGTAAAGACGACGACGGTGGCGGTGGCAGCCAATAAGGATCAGCACACCCCGCGACCGGTTTCGCATCCAGTTGCGAATCGAGTGAATATCCACGACGTCGTCCAGAGTCGGTCGAAGTCGAGTAGCCGGGCACAGCATACGGTTTCGTATTCCGCATCGTCGAACCAGAGGTGCGTTTCACGCCCAAAGCACGTCGTGACGACGAGCGCAAGGCACCGCCAATCGTCAACGGCGCAGTGGGTCCATCACCAACACCAGCATGGTCGATTCCATACCCAGCACGTACGTCGTCGACAGAGAGTGATGTAGTATAGTTAGCCAACACATATGCCGTATCACGGTCGAGGAGCGTGAGGATTTCCGACGGCGTCAAGTTGGCCGAGTCGACGTCCGTCGTAGGAGGGAGCCGACCAGAAGATTCCGTCGTTGCGTACGACGGTGTAGACGAGGCCATGATATATCGCATAAATCAAGGCGAGGGTTGTGGTGGTCGTGTCGAAAAGGTGGAGGACGTCAATCGTGCCAAAGGGTGGTTTTTGGGTTCGAGGTGCGGGTACGGGTCGGTCAACGCGTGCAGCGAGAGAGCAGCGAGCAGTGTGTAGGGAGGTGTACGGCCCGGGATGTAAAGTGCCCAAATGTGCGTGGAGAGCGCAGGAACGGGTGGAGTAGCCAATAGCCAATACCAACGTCCGGTCGAAGACCCACGGCAGAAGGACGGCACGGCAACGAAGCAAATGCCAAGTGGGGTTGTGGACAGTTTGCAGGGAAAAAACCCAAGACGACCAAAGGAGCAGAGGTGGTCGAGGAGTTGGTAGAAGGGAAAAAGAAGGTGTCGTCCATGTCGTCCCGTTATATGGTCCAAGAGTTGTGTGAATGCCAGGTATTGGCATCATCGCGCGAGTGAACGAGTGGGTGGAAATGAATTGTCCCCGAGCGGATATGGCAAGTAGGCAGTTGGTTTCGTCAGGCCAGGGCCCAGACGCCATTCATCCAGCCGAGGGGGACATCAATTCAATTGAGGCAATATGTCGCATAGGCCGGTGGGTGTCGTTCCGATTTCGTGAAAGGAGTGGGTGGCATAACGTGAACATGGGTGAACGTAAAAAAAAGGGTCGAGAGAGCGTCAGTAACGGGCTTCTTCACAAGCGAGAAAGAGAGAGAAAGCGCGGCGTAGAAAGGAAAAAGGAAGATAAGAAGCCCAAAAGCCGAGTGGCCGCGGCTAGATCAACCAGCCAGCCGCACGACCTCTTCCGCCGCCAAATGGAAAAAAAAAACGAAATAAGAATTAAAAAAGAGCGAGCGAAGTAGTCTAGTTGAAGCGCACAAGGACGCTCGTCCGCGTCATACGGGCCAAATGTCCGATACGGAGTGGCATCAACGAGCGCTTCTAAGCGAGGTGCTCAAAGTGCAAGATCCGTAAATGCCCCATTAGCCAGGTACCCCCCCAACCCAGGCACACGCCCCTCGCTCCTTCTTCCAGCGGACCAACTAAAGCCAGTTTAGACGGGCTCTAGGTTCTGGCCCAATCCATCCGGCTAGCGGACAGGACTGACAGGCAGCAGCGGGAAAAAAAGGGGCAAAACGAGGTCTGGGGAACGGCTTCTGTGGCTGGCTGCTTCGAAAACGGCAAGGTCCCAAGTTGATGTCTGTCGTTCGCGTGGCGGATGGCATGCCATTGTATAGGGGGATCCATAGAGCGGGGATGGTCGAATTGAGAGGAGGGGGAACCATAGGCGCTCAATGATGGTCTCAACGCCGTGATTCAAAAAAAAGCACCGAGGTATGCAACTTCTGAGAAAGAGGTGTGGCAGGTGAGCACCTGTGGTCGGCGCATCCCGTCGAAGTGGACGTTGGCAAGGATGAGGGTTTTTTTTGGGAGCGAGGGGAGGGTAAGAGGACCGCGAGAATTTGGAGCTGAGCCGGCAATGGTGTACGCCAGGGAGGGCGCAGAGAATGTGCAGAAAGGAAGGCCATCCAGTGAGCTGAGCCCGCTCGTCGACCCAGGCGAAACCTCGCGGCCATTGGTTCGCTCAGGAGTCCATTTGTTGGGGTTTGTCGAAAAAATTGTGGTAGTAGATGTCGCTGGCAAACGGTGTTGGCCCGCGCCGTGTGCCGCTCGCCAGAAGCCGCAGGTGAGAGGGAAGCCATGTCGTTGCTGCCATGGAGTCGACCCGACCCGCTCGCTCGAGAAGGAAAAAACAAGAAAGAATAAAGAGAAGAGAAAGAAAAAGGAAATGGAGCGAATATGGGTAAAATGCAACGCACCGTCCTTTATCCTTGTCGAGTTTCTCGCCCATTCCCTTGCTAAACTTTTTAAATTCGCGTTTCTGCTTTGCATTGTCTGCTTGGACGAGTGCGATTTGGAGGAACCAGAGACGCCAAGAGAGATTCTCGAGCCGCTGGCCTTGCTCAAGGTGAGAGGCGACCTTTGTGCATACTTTCCAGGTGCGTGTGAGAGCTTCTGCGTCGGAGATTTGAGACAGAGGCGAAAACGACTTGTTGCCCTGGAATATTCGAGTCGACAAAGACGCAAGCCGTCGTCGGGCCAAGCGCGCAAAGGCCACAAGAGTCGAGGAATACGAGTGTAAAATAGGAAAATGACGTTGCAGAGGCGTAGAATACAGCGTCGTGATCCGAGTGGGTCCCACGGGCGACGAGGTGGGTCGAGTAAGCGGGTGATGAGTGAGCGAGCAAGACGAGGACAAGTGGGATAAAAACGACGGTTACCTTGAATTTGAGGACGAACGGGGCCATGTTGGGGAGCCAGAGCGCACTTGTTGTGGCGGAGACCAACAGCCGTTGGCAAAGGTGGTGCGTCTGCGCAAAGTGTACAAATTAGTGTGATTGCGCTCAGTAGGCAGTTGTACAGTCGCCGTCGCCGTCGTCGTCGAGTTCAAGTTACAGTTTGGTAGTTGTCGAGAGACTGGGCGGTACTTGGGCAAGGGTTGTAATGGGCATTGGATTCCGTTGTGGTCAACTGACTGACATTCGATCATTCCACCGCGCGGCCTTGTAGTATATGCTGTGGGCTGCAGACTACAAAGTACTGCTGATAGGACTAGTGTAGTAATTGCCACATATATTCCCCAGCAATACTCTCCACGACGCCCATTCCCCCCCGGCTACTCGGTGCGTACTCCGAGTTTGGTCCCAACCGGGCTTACAAAATCAGCACTCCTGGCATTCACATTCGACATTGCTCGGCTCACCGTCCAAGCCTTACTCGCCCAACTACGCCTCCGTCCGGTCCTTTTCGATCATATTCACACCAGCGAATCTGGGATCTAATTCGACACCCCGCACTCGGACCTCGCCGCGTTGCTCTCCTCGCATCCACCGCGCGACTGCCACGCCTCGCTTGCCATTCGACTCGCCCACCCACTTGCGCCTCTGCCAAACTGTCCTCCCATCTCACCCGGCCGCTCTCACTGATCTCAAGCTTCACCCTTCTGATCAAGATCTCTGTCATGTGCAACATATCGATATCAGTACTCTGGTTGAGCACCATAGCATGTACGGTCAAACCCTTGCACAGATGAGCATGGACCTGTGTCTCTATAACACGACACCTCAGGTTTACGGTTTGAGTAATGACGACGGTGGCGCAAAGGAGTCTAACTCTCATGCAGCTCGTTCCAAAGAGCCTATGTAATCAATGTATCACTCACATTTATAGTGGCTTTCATATTCGCCGTGGAATGGACATTTAAAGGTGAAATCCGGTAAACATTCAACCCCAGTTAACCTGTCACCTACCATGGATCCCCATCCAGACCCGTCCGACTCTCAAGGACGCCTCGCCACCCACCACGCGACTGCCACGCCCCTGCGTTCTGTATCTGCTACCCTTCCAGCCTCACTCATTGACTGTTCCAGAACGGATCTGTGCGAGAGACAGTCATAGCATTTGATCCCAACCACAACCAGCCACTGGGATGGAGGATCCCGGAGCAACCACGTCCTGGCATGATCAAACTGTCCGTCATGGTCATTTACCGGCTTTCAGACTCACCAAGCCCAGGAAATTGCCGCAACGCTAGTCAGCGCCTCTGAACCCGCAGCCCAATCTAGCACATCTCCAAGCCGTAGGAGCTCACGAGGGGAAGATATATCAGAAATTATACCTTACTACCATACAAGCTCAGACATATCCGAGCACTCATCTGACCACACCCAAGAAGGTGACTGTTGGGAAGATTGGGAAGATGCTCCCATCACTACGAATCCAGCGCAGAGCCACGACGACGAATACTCGCCTCCTGACTCGTTAAGCTCGAGCCAGTGTTCTAGCCCAAGCTTAACCCACGTTTCACCTCCAGACTCGCCGCTCCCCGAGCGTTACACTCAGGTTCTTGACAGTGTTCTAAATGACCGGCCAACTGTACATCTTTCCGCCGAAAATACGTTTAAAAACGGAGTTATACAGCTGATGGGAAGGGTAGAGCCATTACATCACGACTATGAGATTATTGATGGACTAATTGGTCGGTGCAATCTTTTTCACGCATAAGACGTGTGCTCATGGCTACAGAGGACATTGTATACGGGCAACCTATTTCGGGATGGGACTTTCAGCTGATCGAGCTGCTTGGCAAGAACATCGCCGGGAATCCAAGTCTCGCGCATACAGCATGTGATTCACTTCAATTCTATCTCAGGTATATACTTCTCAGGTCATCTTTGTTTGCCAACCTCGAGTTTGTAGCAGTGACAGCGTTCGTGATCAATTAATCGCCGTGGCTCTATGGAGCCTCCTACTTCAACATTCGAGGACGTTGTTCATTTGTGAGTCGCATATCCTTTGATTTGGTCGAACAGTCTCTCTGACCATCATCTTTGGCCAGCGTGTACCATACACTCGGGATTTCTGAAGAGTCTCGAAGGTATTGTCCTTAACAAGTTCACAACCCCTCCCGTTCGCGAGTTCATCATCATGGTCCTTGGTGCCGCAGCGTTCAAGTCTGGCTCAACGAGGTATGGAAGAGAAGTTAGAGCGACGTGGGGGAAAGTCAGACCGCCTTGGAGGCCAAGACAGGTGGGTTTCTTTTTCTCTGCAACTTCCTCTGTAAACGCATCTCATTCACGATAGGGAATGGAATCTTGGCCAGACGTGTCGACCTTACCTCCCCTCGACGTTCCACAAGAGTTCAGTAATCCCGCCAGTGCGCTCAGTGTCCCAACGAAGACGAGTGAGCCAGAAAGCAGAGGCCCTCTGACTGGCCTTGGGTTGAGTCGGTCGATCCAGGTCGTCAGGGAAGACTCTGAAGTATCTCCCATAAACGGCGAGCCTCATGCGGTCATTCGGCCAGAGGATAATCCAGATAGTTCAGTTGCTGAAACAACGGGATACCTAGATTCGGACGACGATCACCTCGAGTTGGGCTAATTGCCCAACAACCCGAGGGAATATTCGAAGACCTTCCTTCACCGATTCATGCTCTAGTTGTGGACTCTTATCCTAGATAGATCCATAGTCATAAGTTGTCACCAGTATCGTCCAGAACGCAGAAGAGCTAAATATGCTACCGATTCTCCCGTCACTTCCTAACCTTGTACTTAATTTATATTTAGATTAGACTATCTGCGGTCTCGGGCAACCCTCATGGCTAGTCGAGTCGTGGATGCGGCATGGCCGTAAGAGACTGTCAACGACCTACCAGCACCTTGTTCCTAACGATCCTAGGCCTTGAGAGCCGAGGCCTCATAGAAGTAGTTTACATCAAGCACGTAACTCGCGGAACCATGGAGGATGCGCCACCACGTCCTCCTTTGAACAGTTTGGCCAGCGCAGACGCTGGTATACCTGAAGACGACAACGTGGTTGAAGTAACGGTTTAACTCAGATTCTAGCTTCATCTGACACAATCTACAGAATATCGTCTTGGATCCGTCGCCTGATGCACATCAGGCCTCGCCACGTTCCCTTGGTGCGGTAGCTGGGTCTCTTTCTGAGGAAGAGGAGACAGATGATGATTCATCGAACTGTGAGCATAAATGTGAAAGACGTAATCTGGTTGTATAAACGTTCGGTAGGGTCACACTTCCGAACATCGGTGGCCATCAGGACATCTCAAATGCAACCTGAATCCAGCTCCTGCCCACGTTCTCGCGTGCAGAAATCAGTATCCCTGCCATCTACATGGTATGAGATGAATGAATACTCCCCACCAAACACTGTCGGTTCGAGTCAGTGCTCGAGCCCTGCATTTGGACCTGTTTCTTTGCCAACGGCGCCCCTCTCGGACAGGCACCGAGCTATTCTCAATAGCTTTGACGGGCCATGTTCAGCTCCAGTTACCCCCTCGGCATCTGCAACAGGCCCCCTTACGCGGAGATACTCAACAACTTCTAGAAGGTGCCTATCCTTGAATGAAGTACCACGGCATCCACCATTGGTACAACCGAAACCACAAGGCGGAACCCGATTTCGGGGGAAATCCGGCTGGCCGGGTTGGGAATTCGTCCAACGTCTCGTTAGATGGAGGAAGCGGTCATCCGTCTTGAGATGTGACAGTGGTTCACCCACGACGCACGCAGTCATCGCCGACATAGAGTACAATGAACTGGGCTCATTCAGCATTGAGCGCGTATTTGTCTGCCAGGGTGGCGTCAACACCGTCCGTCTGCTCCAGCTCACAAGAAAATCTCTCTTGGAAGAAGGACAGATGGTTGGTGCAAACGCTTTGGTCAACGAGATGTGGTCCTGTGAGGTATTTCAACGCTCCAGAGAGGTGTACGAAGTTCGTATTCGTTATGGTGCTTCCATAGCCAAAGCCTACAGAAACCCACCCTCAGAGCCAGTCGCCGTCAAGGAAGCCAAAGGAATCCCCGGGTTGATGACCATTCTGGAGGCGTCAAATGCCTAAATTATCTATCGTTTATAGTTATTATCTCCTGTGTAACTGTAGATTATCACCTTCACTTTCTTAAAGCATTGTGCCAAAAAAACAACGAGCCATGATTTGTATTCAAATGAGGACCTTGAAGGCGCATAATAACGCGTCCTTGGTGCCGTTACATTCAAGTTTGGCTCAGTGGCCTATGGGAGAAAGAGGACTGCCTTGGAGGCCAAGGTGGGTGGGTTTCATATCCCTGCAACTTCCTCTCTAACCGCATCTCATTCATGATAAGGAATGGAATCTTGGCTAGGTGGGTCGACATTACCTACCTCCCGGCCAACTTCGACATGAGTTAAATGATCCCGCCAATACATTCAGTGACCCAATTAGGATGAAGAAGCCAGAAATCAGAAATCTTCAAAAAAGTGTCGAGTTGAGATTGATCCATGTCTTCAGGAAGAACTCGGAAGTATTTCACTTGCCCCGCAAGCCTCGCGTGTCCATTCTGCCAGAGGGAGATCTGGGGAATCCAATCACTGCACCAAAAGGCCTTCATCTGGATTCGGATGAGGACTATACTTCGGGAGCCAACGCAATCTCTGAAAGATCGAGTCCGTTCCCGTGATTATCATTCACGGGTTCATGCTCTAGTTATATTTCTTCTATGGATAGAATCGCAGGCGTGAATTTTCACCAGTATCATTGAGAATGTAAGCGAATTGAATATATCATTGATCTCTTGTCATCTCACAGCCTGGTAAATTATTCGAATTTAAGTGTATCTACATCCTCAAAGGCAATGGTAATGCTGACTTAGGTCGTAGAGCCATCGGCCACGGGAGGCGGTCAATTGAGTGAGCGCCAGCATCTATCTTGACCCCGACCATTCCAGGTATCGAGACCCAAGATTTCATAGAAGTAGCGTGAACCGAGGACGTGAACTGTGGAATTATGGAGAATGCGCTACGAAACCCTCATTGGAATAGTTTGACCAGCGCGGACGTGGTATACTTGACAACAGTGGAGCGGAGGAAGTAATAGTACAACTCGGTTTGGGTATAGTTATTTGACACTGCCCATAGGATGTTCTACCGCCGCAATCACAACCCAACCTGCGTCCTTCAACCTCGCACGCGCACTATGTCGGCCACTCAGATAGCTCTCCTTCGCATGCCTTCGACTTCATTCCTCCTCTAACGAATCACCTGCCTCCTTTGCCAGGACAGGTCTTCCCGCCTAGTAGCCTGCGCGCATCGATGGCAGCTGTCCGTCGCTCTGCCATTGGACCGATCACCCACTCGTTGGAATGGCCTCCGTTGCCTGCCTCGACCTTGTCTCGTGTCTTCGAGCCAACGACCGTTGCGGCAGCGAGCCACATTCGGTGCATATGGCAATCCTGTCGAGGGAGATTGGTCCCCCTGGACCCCTCACCCGCTCTCTAGCACCTATGATTATTGGTCCCCAGGTGGCTGCCTCCCTCAAACTGTTCACAGTCCTGCCTCGGATTCCGGTTCGGGCTCGTCTGGAGCGACCACTCCACTTGCCGATTACTATTACCAGCAACAGCAACAACAACAGCAACAACAGCAAGCGTTCCATCCACAGCCACATATTATGCTACAAGATGAGGAAGACGACTTCTCCCCACCAAATTCTGTCGGCTCAAGCCAACACTCGACCCCTGCATTGGGAGCCATCCCCTTGCCAACGGCACCTCTCTCAGACAAGCATCAGGCTATTCTCAGCAGCTTTAAATCTCCTAACACAGATATACCGAACACGACAGTACCTCCTCGGAGCGAAAACGAGCGGTACCACTGCACAGAGTGCTCAAAGACGCTTTTGGGTTTTGACGCAGAGACGGTATGCACTATTTGCATAGATAACTTCAATATCTCACATGATATCTCTAGCGGCACAAAGCGTGGCATCACCTACAAGAAAGACGCCGGAGGATTCAGCGGCACGAGTCTCAAGAACACAAGTCAGACACAAGTCCGCAGCCAGGTCACAAGAGCTATGTCGCATGCAACTTTTGTCGATGTGAGCCTTCTGTGTGTATATCTGTCGAGTGCCTCATTTGGTCACCACAGTTCGCAAGATCCGATGTGATAGTACCAGGCCATCTTGCGGCCAATGCAGTCGTCGTAATCGTCAGTGCCTATACGGGTTTGACAGCAAAAAAGCGAGGAATGAGAAAGACGGCCAGCCGAAATCACAAGGCGGAACCCTATCAAGACGAAGCGGAGCCCTACAGAAAGAAAGAAAGGGGAAGCCTTACTGAGGCTCCAGCTCGGCCCATACTAACCCCTTCATGCCAGCGAGGAGCTGTTATTGAAGTTCGTAAACCGAACACAACTAGGACCCAGGGCGCATATCGATTTGGACATATAGAGTCAGCGTGTAAATAAATCGCAGAATGCCACGTCGACTATACATCCAGATAACGTTTGAGAGGCTGACCTGTCACGGATCGTATACGGATGGACGCAGGTCGTGAGTCAGGACTCATATAGGCTAATTTACCATTAATATACATTGGCAATACATCGGATACTGCGGACCTCGAGCCCACCAGTGACTACCTGTCAGTTTACCATAATATGATGTACCCCACCCATGCTGTTATGGGCAGCCTCGTGCACAGTTAGGTTCTGTAGCCTTCGAAGAGCAGGACGCTGCTGAGCCCGGCAATTCAGTCAGAGTGGCGCCCAATATCTCCTTCAATATATGCTGGCCTCCATACCGTCCGTGAGCTGTCGGTATCTTTCCGACGCCTTTACCAGCCTATTGGTTTAGGCAGGCGTCTTCTCCGATCAATAAAAGCCAGAGGGGTACAGCACGATCGTCCATCGTCCATAGAACCTTTTCCTGCATTTTTCCGATGGAAGGGCATTCGCAGAGGAGCACGGCTCCGATTCACGACCTCAGTATCATACTAGCTCACCAAAGCCTCCGGTTGCGCCCTCTCTATCTCCCAAAACGCCCCAGCCAATCTATTTAGAGGGAGGTAATATCAATTTAGCACAAGAAGTGGACTTTATCATTTAAAATATACCCAGGTTGCGTGCTTCCTGCAGGGTTCGTCGTCCAATCTCAATCGTCCGAACCCTCGAGGAGAGCATCACACCTCTCTCGTCACCGAGCACAGTATGCGAGACAAATAGAAGGCCGTATAGAGTTTCGGCCTTCTCCATATTCTCGATATAACAATTCTCCTCTCAGACCAACAGCGATGGGATCAGCAAAGACGGACCAGGAAGTTACTATTGCCCCGCATACCCCTCTCGATGGAGATAATGGACTAAATTCAAACTCGATAAACTATAGACAACACCCTTCCAAGTATCCAGCTCAACATGGGTCAGTAGAGCTACATGAAGCGCGAAATTACCCGCATTTGGATCATCAAAGCACAGAGTTCTCCAACGATTCCTCTCTCGCTGCTTTTTCCGCAACTAGGTTGACTGGTGCGTTGCCAGTCCGACACGAACAGCTGCCAGAATTGTCACTTTCCGCAACTTCCCCAGTGAACATAGCCGAAGACATTGAGCAGTGGGCTAGAGGCGTGCCAATAAGTGCGGAAGAGATGGATGGAGGCCACGGAGAGGCGAACGAGATGTCATCATAGAGATGCTAATTTGTATGGGCGATAGATGGACCCCTCATCCTATGTACAATAGCGACCACGCACCCTGATCCTGACCATGTCGCGCTATGTACCCCCGGTTGGGCCTTATGACCCTCGTGATCCTAAAGGGTCTGTGTTTATCCAACCCCTGGACTGGATCTGACTGTGTTCAAGCTTTTCTTTTGATACCGTACGCCGTGGGCTTGGTAATGCAAGAGCTCGGGATTGAAAGAATATAGGTTGTGCGACGGTGGCCGGTCATTCTCACTGGAGTCATCAACGATGTCATAGCGCGCCAGGATGTCCTCAGATCTGACTCAAATCTGAGCCCTCAAGAGCAGGCCGCTGCTCTTGATGAAGGCACTGAGATCATCCGCCGAGTTAGCCAGATCAAATCCGAAATGTCGCGCGACTATAAGATGCCGTATGCGCTATCCTTTGATTTTGGCTCAGCGTACTGATTGTTGCCAGAGAGATCGAACAAGACGACGGCCCGAGCGTCGACGAGTTTAATAGGCAGCTTCGCGAACTCGGCGAGGATGGTAGTTGGTTCAAAGCCCCATGGTTATACGCAGAGTACGTGGATTCAGACTAAATTTGCCAAAAGAGGGCTGACGATCCGACAGATGCTACCTGTACGCTTTGAACCAAGCACGTTCAAATTCTGATAGCCCGAAGATACCGACTCCTTCGATCTTACTTTGCACAAACAACTTACTGGCATCAACATGATCCATTCCTTGCCCAGAAAAACACGACATTTCGATCCAGCAGTGCAGCCATCCACAGTCAGTACTTCTATAGTGTGTCTGTCTAAGCTCATCAAGAACCAGAGCTTGCGGAGACTCTACTTGATCTTCAGTCGAAACGAGAGGAACTAGCCAAGGACGAGGCCGCCCTCAAGACTCTGTTTGGTGAGATGCTCCACATGTGCTTATGGGGGAACGCAACAGTAAATCAGTTTATACATGATTTCCGATGCTCACTCATAACAGGATCTTTCCCTTCTCACCAACATGAGCCACGCGGACATTCAGAAGCTCCAATCAGTCTCAAAGGATGAGCAAGCGGAACGAGCGCAATTCATTCTTCGTGATGATGGCGCCAAGGCTTGGGAACAGCTCCGCCGGTCTCGTGAACGCGTTGACATGGTGTTAGATAATGGTATGAACGCATGGACGATAGATCCTAAACTGAACTTCGATAGCTGGCTTCGAAGTAGGAAACAGTGATGAACGACTGCATCGAATTTACTGTTTGTAGCTCTACACCGACCTAATTTTTGCCGAGTTTCTTGTGTCGATACTCGGTGTTGGCAAGGTCGTCTTTCAGTGAGCTGCTCTCCTTACAGTACTCGAGTTGCTCATCATCGGACTAGCCCCAAAGCTATGCCGTGGTTTGTCTCCGACGTCACACCGCCAGATTTTCAACAGACTATTGCTATCTTGCAAAACGCCGAGGAATGGTCAACGACTGAACAAAAGACAGAGAACTTGGTTGCTTTGGCAAAGGTAGCCGCTCGTTTCCAGCAGCGAGTCGATGAGGGGATCTTCGAGCTTTCTGTCCCACTTGCGACGAAACTAGGTACGCCGCTAGGGTTAATACTATACCACTGACCTTGATTCCAGGAGAGTCTGTCGCTGGGACGGAATACGAGTTTTGGACGAGCCCTTCTGCTTACTTTTACATGAGAGATGAGGCTCCAAACCTTCTAGCGAAACTTTCCAAGAGCTCACTAGTCATTTTAAAGGGGATTTGAAGTGAGTGTGCGGACTCTCAAAGACGGGTCTCTAACTTCTTTTAGCTACAGAAAGTTAGTTTTGGAAGCCTATACACTCACCTTCTCATATTCGTAAAGGCTTACCGGGGATGTCAAGTGGCCAGTCAATACGACATTCTCAGAGGCATTGGGTAAGTACAATCAGTTACGATACCAGCGGCTAACCACATTATAGGTCCACTTCGAGGGTCTTTCCCAATGCTCTCACTCAGGACAAACAAAGCGGATGTTGCAGTCGGCATCGCAGAAAAGGTCGCTAGGGAGCTTGACGAAAAAGGAATAGCCTGGAGGACGAGTGGAAAGTACGTATTATCCCCAATCTCTCGGATTTATGGTGAACATGAATTTAGGTATGCTCTGATCTCCTTTGAACCACAAATATGAAGGCTGTTGCTACCAATACATTTGTACTCAAAGAAAGGTGGCGGCAAACCAGAGCTCGAGGCTTCGCCATACTACGAGAACGGAGACGTGGCAGCTCCTCACGGGATGAAAGGAATGGAATATATATCAAGGTTTCCACTTACATACGTGTGGAATAAACATAAAATAAAGAGAAAATATGAATATGACCAAAATAACAAGGCTCCACTACCGTGTTAACAGGCAGGTATAGGCCATGCAAAGTTCCAAAGTGGCACAGACTCCGAAAGTTTGACGCACTAAGCAGGTCCTAGATAATAATCTGAAGGTGTAGGCTGAAGTGTAAGCCCTTGCTCTCGGCCTTCTCTATGGACGGGCCTCCTTACATAAGGGCAAGCCTAGGACAAATCTAAATAAATGAGCACGAGCCAAAAAAATCTCCAAAGTCTCACCTGGTGTTGAGGGCAACAAAGAGTTGCAGTCTATGACTATTCATCCTCATCCATTTCCTCGTCCTCATTGGGAAGCTCTTCGTCGTCTGATGCCTCTCCCATAACTTGGTAAATAGCAGTTTGCAAATCGAGCTGCGTGATTTCCTCCTCAGGATATGTTTCGAGAAACCTCTTGAAGCACAGGTCGTTGTTGGGGCTGAGCAGAACCCTCCATGTGCTCCCGATTTCGATGCACTCAAAGGAAAACCAGGTAACGTCCCAATCTCCGACTAAGATCGACTGCAGACGAAGCTCTGACGATCGCTTAGCCCATGCCACTATAAATGGAGTGAAGATGGCTCTGCGCTTCTGGACAGACTTTCTAAGAGTCTCCAACGAGTCTGGGTGGGTACATGCCCCACGATAGCTTCTGCGACGACACGGATGCAACTAAGGATAGATACACTCGACAGTCGGTGGGCAGTTTGTTGACAAACGCGTTGAGGAGTGAATCCAGTTGCTAATTCGAGTCAGTGACGAGCGGGTCAAGCATTTTAACGTACATATTTGAATCCTCCGTCCTGTCGTCGAAGAGGTATGTCTCTTTCAATCACTAGCTTCTGAAGCGACGGCAGACCATCGGATGGCAGAGCTGACAGTGCGCTCAGGAGGGTAGAGTGGTATACTTCTGCTGTGTAAATATAGAGCTCTTGCAGGTGTTTACACCCCACAGTCGAAGAAAAGAGTGGAGCCATATACAAGCTATTTTCGATCCAGTCGGCAAAGTCGCTATCGTTGATGCAGATACGCATACAGTTATCGCGTAAATAGGGCAACAGGAACGAAACAGCATTCGTTGGACCAGTCAAGAGCCGAAGATTGGGTAATATCGTGATTTCTTGTGATGGCGGTAATCCAGTAAAGTATGGATGTATGTTTGGCATAAACTCGAGTATTTTCAAGCTCGGTACGCGCAGGAGGATGTCAAGGACGCTCTTTCCCGAAGGAGACCAGCTTCCTAGATCAAGGCGAAGCTCTTCCAAAGCGTCCAAACCACTCTCTGCAGACAATATTTGATGCATAATGCCGATTTGTCGAATGCTGTATAGCTCGAGTTTTGTGAGGGAGCGCCGTGTCGCTGAGCCAGGTTGTAGGAGGTCGAATAAGATCCTGCTAGGTGCTTTTAGGGAGCAGAGGCGGCATTTGGGCAAGGCTAGATCCCTTGGTTGAAACGGCTTTCTGTATAAGAGTGCATCGCCATCCAAATGGATGACTAAATGCCTCAAACTCAGATGATCTCGAATTTTCTTGTAAAGTTCGGTCGACATGGGCGCTTTGGACTGAATCTCCAAGCTTTCCAAAGCCGTAAAGTCCTGGAAATGTTCCTCGAACGAGGCATAAACAGCCGGTCGAGCAAATTCGGTCAACACAACGAATCGTACGACTGTATACAAGCCTGGTACTTCCAGCTTTTGCGGACCACTGGCCATATATGACACTGTGGTGATAAGCAGCTCCGTTTTATGGGGGATAGTTCGAGTTTTGAGAAGATATGTACTGCAAGGAGGCTTCTGAGGAACTTGTTCGCACATGAAGTTGCTAACAGGCCTTGCTTAGGTAGGAAACGGACTATAGATGGGCCCATGACCACCATCGTTCGTTCGAAAGAGTGCCTAATTCGGACATAAGTGCCAGAAATACGATCTGCAGAAGAAAAAAACGCACTGGTAATCACGGGTATCATAATTCGAGAGTGAGAAGCAGTTCATTTGGTTCTCTAGACTCGTTTTAGACATGCCCCTCTCCGATGAGAGCCAAGGGAGGTGGTAAAGTCCAAGGTTCTATACTCGGTCTGGCTTAGACCCACAACGTTGATTTGGTGAGGACGTCTGGCTTGAGATGACCCGCAACGGCAGTGTGCTGGTCAAGATGATCGATGGAGAATGGCACGTCTCTGCAGGGGCGCGCCACGCAAGTCGGATGGTCTACGCATGTTTTCCTATTCACACATTCTATGGAAATAACACCTGAAAACTTCGGAGTGGCATGGCCAGGACTGATCTCCGTGGTACCCACAGTGGGACATCCGAGCCGAAAGCTAATATCGATCCCAGATATGGAAAATTCATAATCTTAGAGTAAACCAGCCTAAATGTCCGTTAATACATGACTAACTCATGCCTATGTCCGTGGCGGAATCAGTCAGAGTTACCGCGACTAGTACTCCAAATTGTGTGAAATCACTGTCATAAGAGACGAGTTCCGACCGCAATTGAGCGGTCTTTACTCCGGATATATCTTACTCGTAGTTGGTGCGATGATCATTTTCCTTGCTTCTATGCAAAGAACGAGATAATTTGTCAACTGGGAGTCATTAGTTCGCATTCAGGGTAGGCACAACGAGATCCTTACTTGAGCGCCCATTTCGCTCAACGCGCGCCGCCTGTCGCCAAAAAGATCAAAGTCACAGCGCCGGACGATCCTTGGGTATGGACCTCGACTCGCTTCGGAGTGATATGGCCGCACTCGTCACGGAAGACCGGGGGCCTCAATGAGGAGAATGAGAGGCTAAACGAGGGGGCGGTAAATTCAGGAGAGGGAACAAGGCATTGAGGGCACGATGAACGCGAGACAGTGAAGGACGTTCGCAAGCTCAAAGCCGGCTATGGAGCAATGCTCGCCGAGATATAGTCACGGTACCACGATGCCTGTTGCTTCTCCATTGTACTTACATTGAGAACTCAATATGAGCTGGATGGAGATCGCTCTCTCGCCAAAGAAACTGACGGCGTGCCCACCTCGTTACTCGCCCCGGACGAACTGCCGCGACCGAACTGATGCTGCCACAGCATAACATCTGCTCCTACGGAAACCAAGAAAAAAAAAGGCATGTTATTGTACACTCGCTCCATGTCGAAACTAAAGTCTCTGTGTCTGCAAACGCCACTGTCGCACGTAACTCTTTTCGCCGACGCATCCAACCGCGCCCCGGAGAATGAGACCAAGTTCGCAGAAGGAAGGAGGACGTCTATTTGCACTAACCGGCCGGAGCGACCATCAAGTGGGACGACCTCTCTCCAAGTCTGAACGATGCCTCCTTCTCCGATTCGCTCTCCTTGCAGTCTTTAATTACGTCTCTGTGCACTCTCCATACCAGAGACGTACACTTTTAATGTGTCTTACCCAGCGAAAACTTCACGCTGACCAACCCGCCTCTGCGGCGAACGATCGCGTGCTGAAACGTCCCCAAGCCGTCCAGCGGACGGTAGAGTGGCTTAGGTTCGTATCATATGTGTTGCTTATGCAGATAGGATCCGAGCGACGGATGGGAGTCTGCATGAGTCTTAGACTTTGATTAGACAGGTTTGCGCCTGGAACTATGGGCTCTGCCTATTGGCTGTTATTATTCCTTTTCTTGAATTCATCTCGTGCAGCTCGACCCTCTTTATTGCCATACAAGCCTTGAGAGACCTGTTCTAAAGTTCGACTTTGGCGAGCTCATACTGAATCGAATTAGCGCCAAAATACAAATATAATCGTGTGAAGGATTGCAATTATACGCCAGCCGTGAGTCCACGGACCAAAGCGCCGTCTACTGACAACTGGGGACGCTTCCGCCATCGGCGCTTGGGTTTTCGGCAGAGCTCTCATTGCACAATGTCTCCTACCGTGAACGGTGAATAGATCGGCGTTATGATCAGAAGACGAAGCGCCTCTATGGTGGAGATCCCATAAAACTGACGCGTCGAGACCTCGTCCTGGCAGGCTCCATTTGAGACCATAACCACGCCCTTGCTATGTTTCGTGCATACCGTGGTTCATGGATTACGACCATGTACGCCCAGTTTATGTTATCCAATCACTATGTAAGACGCTGTCTGTCAATGGCAACTACGTACAAGGGAACTCGGAAAGTCCGTAGCGAGCGCTGACTGTCCAACTCCACACTTCGTTGACCTCTTTGGACAGAGTTAGCATGTGTCCAACGCAAAAGTGAACAGGTCACTCGCCAAGGACCTGGGTGCTACGCTCTGGAGAGAAGATTTTGAACTCGACAAAATGGGACTAGAACATGCAAGAAAAAGCCGCATTGAGCGTCCAGCACCCAAACGCGATGCCAATCGGGGCCGTCTGAGAACCCTCGACTGGAGCCGAGAGTGCAGGCCCCTAGATACAGGACAGAGACGCCGCTTGGCGCGTGTCGAGGTCTGAAAAGTCGCCTTCTGGCTCAGCATGGAGGTTGTGGATGAGCGTCGACTCGGTCTTTGGCCGACCACATCGTCGTCTCTGTGGCACAGTAAGCCCATGCAGAGGAAAAAGAAGAGCACGCATGCCGGCGCCCTCTACCACGCCGCCCTTTCAGCTACTCTGGCTCATAGCGATGGTGAAGGCGGTGAGGGTGGTGCGAATAAAAACTGCGTTGCTTGTCGGTGCAAATGTGGGGAAGGTCGGAGAACGGCGGTTCTGAGGGCTGAGAGCTTGGCCAGCAAAACCAATGACCGCTTGACACTTTAGGCGCGCTTTACTGCTACAGAGAGCTTGCGCAATACAGATTTGGCGTAGGTTCGCCGTCGGTGCAACGAGATCGTAGAGCTAGGGAGGCGAGCCGCCGTAAGGCAACTTAGGCCACTATACGTTTGCACAAGCACAATAAAAGACACATCTCTGCGTTGGATGCTGTGGTAAGCTGGCGGCCCGTGTTGCTCTGCTGGTGGTCGGCTCCAAGGTATTTTCACGGGTCACACCACCGCGACCATTCTGACTTGAGCGCCCCTTTCAGTGGCTTAGGTGACACTTTCGACACCATTTATGCAGCTAGGACCGAAAAAGATGGGAGAACCAGGGTTTTGTACGGAGACAGTCCATGCCGAATCAAGAGGATGACTTGTTGACTGCGGCCGGGATGCCTGACCGAGTGTGTTCAATCCATAAATAAACCAGTCGCTGAGCATCGCCTCTGTTTCTGAGTCCCAGGGCTCTGATTGGCTGCAACCTGCGCATTGGCCAAATTCCCACGCGAAATCGGACCAAAGTCCTGGTGCTCGGTGTTGGTACCATCTGCATAAAAAAAGGCCCAATATGACGAGGTTTAGTCGGTCAAACCAGTCCTCTTGTCCTTTAGGATGATCCGCTACGCCATTCGCAAGTATCGCGAGCGCCGCGATCAGCCAACCAATCAAGACGCTTCACCTGAGCAAAACAATGAAGCATATTATCCCCCATCGACGTCGCAGCCACCCAAACAGTCAAAATGGGAAGAGTGGAAACCACGCCTGATCTTAATGAGCGCAATCATCCTTCCCGTCTTCCTTGAGACGTTGGATTATACTGGCATGCTTTATTCATAGCTTATCCTCACTTTCTCATCATGGTTTTGCAGTCGTTGCGACATCCCAAACTAACATTGCCTCCATCTTCAACCGTCTCGACCTCCAGTCATACATCGGCACGGCCTATGTCCTTGGCTCCACCGTCTTTCTCCCTATCAGCGCTTCCATTGCAGATGTCTGGGGACGATACTGGGCCATGCAGGCCTTTGTCTTCTTCTTCCTCATCGGCTCAGCCATTTGCACTGGCGCCAGCAGTATGCCCGTCCTTCTTGTCGGTCGAGGAATCTCCGGAATTGGTGCCGCTGGGTTACTTGCGGTAATTCCGTCTCTTTTCTATTAGCTCAGCGTCTCATTACTGTCTAGATTGTCCGCATCCTACTCGCGGACTCGGCCTCTTTGGACGACAATAATGCCCAAGCAGCACTTATGATTCTCGCGTACACCATTGGGTATTCTTTGGGGCCAGTTGTGGGTGGCCTTTTACTACGAACTTCCTGGCGTTGGGTCTTTGGTATCAAGTACGTTTGCGATTCAACTTTGTTCTGAAGCTGATCACTATTGCGCCTAGTCTTCCGGTCTGCATTGCTTCAATGATCCTGATGCACATCATCCTTCCAAAACGCTCAAAGGGACCTCAACCTCCTCAGCGTCTCAAGCGCCTGCCACCTCAGATTGCGGATTCGATCCAATCACAAGTTGGTACTGGCTTCTGGAGTGGTGTTCAGCGCATCGACATTGTCGGTTCGCTCCTCTTTGTTGCCCTTGGTATCCTCATACTCCTCGGCCTCAACTGGGGGAGTACTGAAGGCTGGAACCAAGTCAAGGTCATCGTTCCCTTGGCCGTAGGTGGTTTCCTCATCATCATATTCGTCATTTGGGAGTACATTGTCGACCATTCCACCGACCATCTCGTCCAAGAATCTGGTGGCCGATACAATAGTGATGACGACGAGATGGAAGCACAGAAACAGACCAAAAGGGCCGGAAATCCTGGTACTCGTGCTCGTGCAGCAAGGTTTGCACCAGAGTTTGTTCGCGTGACAGACCCAATGCTGCCCATGAACATGTTCCGCTCCTTCGACGTCGTTGCAACCGATTTTGCAAGTATGACGAGTGGCATGGTCATGCTTGGCATCTTCTACTTTGTCGCCATCTTCTACGTGATCGTCAGCGGGAAAGATGCCGTCAGTGCGGGTGTTCAGTTACTCTACTTTGCTCCCGGATTGGTGCGTCCTTTTCCTTACCTTTTGCGACTCTTGTCGGCTCAATTGTCTCTCAGGGTCTCGGTGTTATGATTGCAATGCGTCTCATCAAGATTATCCGACAACCTCGCCCAGTCATTCTCTTTGCCAGCGCCATCCTCCCAATTGGGGTCGGTCTTCTTTCCAAAGCACTTTACGAGAACAACCAGCCACAGAGTATCGGCTTCTTGATTATGACTGGTGCTGGTGTTGGACTTGGCTTTGGGCCGCTCTGTACGCCCTCGTTTCACACTACTCCTTGCGATTTTTGACCATGCTTTTCAGCTTATCAGGCACGATTCAGTCAACCTGAGGATCGCGTGGCTATCGTCGTCGCCTCGAATCTCTTCTTCCGCACGGCAGGCGGTACGATTGGTCTTGCACAACTCTATGCAGTCATGTACTCCCGCGTACGATCCTACATCTACAACCAAGTCTACGCAGGACATATCACCCCGCAAGATGCAATGACGATCAGTGCCTCGCTCAATAACGTCGGCTCTTCGCACGGTGGCGGAAGTGGAGGTGGTATTCTTGATTTACCAGAGGCGTTGAGAAATGTCGCCACGAACGCGTTTAGGGACGGCCTCAGATGGGCGTTCATCAGCTTGATCCCCTGGTTGGTCGTCTCGTTTGTTCTTTGCCTCTTCCTCTCGCGTATTCCCGACGAGAGGCTGAATCAAAAGCCTGTCGGAACGCAGACGCAGTCTTCAGAGCTGCAGCCAATACACGAGATGGAACAGGCCCAGCCTTCGAAAAACCACGCCTAGACGTATATAACACGTATAACGATATATAATCTATAGTGATAATAGAAAGACTGCATTGCTGATAACTTTGCGTCGAGCCAAATCAGTCACAAAGCAACCTTTTGACCTCGACAGCTCCTAACGGCCATGCCAGACGAGCAAAACGGCACGATGATGTAGCTACAATAATCCAATTTTGGAAATAATATTATTTGCGGACCTGGTCGTCTTGTGGGTTGTGTGTCCGGTTTGTCGACGACCGCCTTTCTAGCTCAAAAGCAATCACTGGCGGATGAAATTTGCATTTCGGAGCCAGGATATCAGTCAGAATTCAATTTGACTGATCTTGTACCGCTGAGTCGACTCCTTGTGAGTTAGCACGGATCCGACTGTAGGCTCGCGCGTCTACTCTGTACGACGCTGCAACCTCGTGCGAATCAAGGATTACTCTTCACCGCTTTAGTCCTTGTCCTAGCTACCATCTTCACTCATTACATTGATTCTTTTTTGTCCCGTACGGCCCTCTGACCGGCGTCGCTCGTTTACCCCTATACCTCAGTCCAATGTCTTCTGCTCGTCCCGATTTACATCCACAATTCTCTCATTCCTTCCGATTTATTTCTATGTCGTCTATATAACCCGCAGCACCTGCCTTTTCTCCGATCTCTAGAGTAGACTTGTACTCCTTGTAACCATCCTCAATATACACGCATTATACGGGTTCTATTTCGTCTAGAGTCGACTTTATTCATCGTTCCTCAAATACAAAGTCTGACTTGACGTTCACAACCTCTTCACTCTCGCCAAAAACCTTACATTGACATTCGGCTGATGGCGCCACATAGACGCATTCGGGATCGTTTTGAACAACGCATTTCAACTCTATAGACTATAAGGGTATGAAATTCAGCACAATATCATCCATTTCAACCCCCTAATTCATCGTCCCTAATTCTCTTGAAACAGCCCTGTTTCAGTGCATCTGGAGGATTTGGGCTAGTCATACCTATTCTGTTTCCTGTGGTAATCTACTCTGATCATGATCCTCATCGGCAGAGTCCCTGCCACTTACTGCGCAGGGACAATCACATCTCTGCACGATCATTTCACGCACGAATTCGGCTATATTTAGGAACTAAAGAAATATCTCCTCTAATCCAACTCGTCTATGCTTCGGCGAAGACCAGGGGGGATTTGTGAAGCATGCCAGTCGGCGTGGTTGTCATGTATCTGTGCAATATTCATATGACGCTCTGCTTGCCGCAAATGGTGTGCAACCTGAGAAGAATGTCGCGCAGCGCCCCGGTGGTCACCACTATCTCATTGTCAGCGCACTGTTTGGCACATTTCATGGTTCAATTCGTGGACTGACTTGTTTGCTGCAATAATAGCAAGATTGTCATGGAAATCTGCATGATTGATATGGGCTTCTGCACGCTGCATATGCTGGTCTGATTGTGCTCGATGACTTGCATGGGCCGCACGATGTGGGCCGTAGTCGTATCTGAAGGAAAGGGGATTCTAAGTGAGTGTAAAGATGCATTCGTCGCGTCTGAACGCACGCGGGGGATGGAGTGGCGGACACCAAGAGAGTAGCCGATGCAAAAAGTAGGGCAAAGAAACCGAGGCGCATGTTGAACAAGGTGCGAAGAGAAGAGAATAGAGAATAGAAAAAAGTGGAAATGGGTGATGAAAGGCAAAGGTGAGAACCAGTCTGAGGAGTCGGTGGTTGACGAGGAGGTACTCTTATAGGCGAGCCAACTCAGGCCACATCACAAGCTACATGACGGCGTCATCCTTTCCTCCTAAGCCCCTAGTGATTGTATCAATTTAGTAATAGAATAACCGCTAGTTCTTGGCAATTAGTCTGGATGCAGTCCAGGTAGCTCTCACCGCGGCGCCTTGAATTGAACCTCTGATAGTGTTCGTTGTTGGACCAGTGCAGTCGAACATGTCAAGGGAGCAGGATCTGTCAGTCTAAATGAGCGCCGTCCAGACGCCTTACAGAGTGGCCAGGGGCAGGGCGGCTACTCTGGACGGCAACTAGCCGCTCTGGATGATAAGAGCGATTATGTATCATTAGTTCGAGTACATGGGAGCCGTGAGTGGCCACTGAGATGGCCGAACGTCGAGCTTGGCCGTTGCCCATCATCCAGAGCAGCTAGTTGCCGTCCAGAGTAGCCGCCCTGCCTCTGGCCACTCTGTAAGGCGTCTGGACGGCGCTCATTTAGACTGACAGATCCTGCTCCCTTGACATGTTCGACTGCACTGGTCCAACAACGAACACTATCAGAGGTTCAATTCAAGGCGCCGCGGTGAGAGCTACCTGGACTGCATCCAGACTAATTGCCAAGAACTAGCGGTTATTCTATTACTAAATTGATACAATCACTAGGGGCTTAGGAGGAAAGGATGACGCCGTCATGTAGCTTGTGATGTGGCCTGAGTTGGCTCGCCTATAAGAGTACCTCCTCGTCAACCACCGACTCCTCAGACTGGTTCTCACCTTTGCCTTTCATCACCCATTTCCACTTTTTTCTATTCTCTATTCTCTTCTCTTCGCACCTTGTTCAACATGCGCCTCGGTTTCTTTGCCCTACTTTTTGCATCGGCTACTCTCTTGGTGTCCGCCACTCCATCCCCCGCGTGCGTTCAGACGCGACGAATGCATCTTTACACTCACTTAGAATCCCCTTTCCTTCAGATACGACTACGGCCCACATCGTGCGGCCCATGCAAGTCATCGAGCACAATCAGACCAGCATATGCAGCGTGCAGAAGCCCATATCAATCATGCAGATTTCCATGACAATCTTGCTATTATTGCAGCAAACAAGTCAGTCCACGAATTGAACCATGAAATGTGCCAAACAGTGCGCTGACAATGAGATAGTGGTGACCACCGGGGCGCTGCGCGACATTCTTCTCAGGTTGCACACCATTTGCGGCAAGCAGAGCGTCATATGAATATTGCACAGATACATGACAACCACGCCGACTGGCATGCTTCACAAATCCCCCCTGGTCTTCGCCGAAGCATAGACGAGTTGGATTAGAGGAGATATTTCTTTAGTTCCTAAATATAGCCGAATTCGTGCGTGAAATGATCGTGCAGAGATGTGATTGTCCCTGCGCAGTAAGTGGCAGGGACTCTGCCGATGAGGATCATGATCAGAGTGGATTACTACCAGAAACAGAATATAACTAGTCGGCATCCTCCAAGCGCATTCGTCCATCATACCGACTGATACAATCCTGAAACGGGATCACATCATGGTATGTCGTAAAATATTCTCTAGCCCACTTCCCGACTTGTACCCGTGGCGCAGCGGAGCCTCCGTTCGTCACCTGGAATCTGATCCCCAATGACCCGTATTTCGCTTCAATCATCTCCTTCACCACCTTGTCGTACGTATTCAACGGGAGGATCCAGTCGTCCGAACCTAGGAGGCGCCTGGACTCTACAGGTAATGGCGTAGGGACTTGGATGACCAGCCTAGTCAAGGGAACGCCTCTAACTCGCTCTTTCAATATGTCTCCTATTTTCTCCAGTGATTCTAGAATTTTAGATGCCTTTTCTTCCGTCACATCTCGTCATCTTTTCTAACAGATCGATAGCTCGTAAACATGAGTCTCGTCCACGAATTGAACCATAGGTACTAGAAATGAAATAGTCGCATACACTCGGTCAACAATGTCTCGTACTACTTGATGAAGACGGCACTAGCGGAGTCAACGGCTCTCACGTACTCTGCCCAAACCACGCCTTACGCGATACTAGATCCACGAGATTTATGATTTGGGGCTCTGCCTTTGGCTGTGCAGGGCCCATCATCAGCTCTGGCTCACCCGTCTCCACTCCAACTCTCACCTCACTCCTAAAATTTTTATTACAGATATAACGTAGCATATGTGCTCCTTTTACGTCAACGTTTGTCCTTTCGCTTTATTCTCTGACCACGTTCGAAGCGTCTGTCACTACTCCGCCGACTTGGTGGGATCCTCCAACAACGGTTTGCCTCTAAACCTCTGTCCGACATTTAATGAGCGTCCGGTAGCTTCAACACTGGTCGCCACCTCATGATTCTCCAAGCTGGAACTGAACCGTTCATTAGATTCGGCGACGTATAACCTCGTCCTCAAGACTGGAGTTACCGTATCGTCTAGTAGTAGCTCTTCTCGCTCCATCTCGAATGCTATGTTGGCACCACTTCTCCAGGTACGCATCTATACTAATTCTTGTCTTATGTTGACTTATACCTTCTCTATCTTATAGTAAAGTAGTTGAATCCTTTCGTCGAGACCTCTCTCGGGTGCTTACGGAGGATACACGGGACCCACTCGTGTGTAATTCGACACTTGTCCCGACACTCGTTCGTTCTGACTCCATAGGCCTGTGCAAGTTCTTGAACAGGAGCACTGACCTCTGGCAAATTCCGAAACTAGCTGACCCCCTTCGGCCGCGGTACTCGCAACGATTAGCATGTGTATATACGTCCATGAAATTGATGACCAGCCCAGTTTGCACCGCTCATATGATATTCGATCGTTGGTTCGCGATCGTCCACATTTGCATTCATGACTGGTCAGAAGACTCACGAATTGGCGATGTTACTCAGGATCCGATTAGGTCGGGTGAAGCGGAATGTCAACATGACAAAACTATAGTACAGCCAGAAGAGATGTAGTGTCGTAAACGGATGAGAATTATGGACACCAACTTTGAGTTTGCCCCGTAAGACGCGGACCCGATGTCACGGGATAAGGGTGAGAATGGGTCGAGAAGGAAACGGAGCCGTTGGAACGGCGTGACTATTTATTTTCTCATTGAGGGTTTCGACATGCCACGGTAAGCGCTCATTTAGGCTGACAGATCCTGTTCCCTTTGCGCGCTCGACTGCACTGGTCCAATCATGAACCCTTTTCAGAGTGTTAACCAAGAAAAGGGAGAGACGACATAGGTGGTGAGAGCCACCTGGATTGCATCCAGACTAGCCAAAGACTAGCGCTCATCATATTACTAAAGTGATATACACGTGTAGTGCTGTACAGCGGAAAGGATGTCATTATCATAAGCTGATGATGTGAGTCTGTGTCGGCTTGCCCTATAAAGAGTACCTGCTCGTCAACCACCCACTCCTCAGACTGGTTCTCACATTTGCCTTTCATCAACACTTTCACTTTCTTCTATTCTTTTTCTCTTCTTCACAACTTGTTCATCATGCGTGTCGGTTTCTTTACCGTACTTTTTGCCTCTGCCGCTCTCTTAGTGTCCGCCACACCACTCCCCAGGTGCGCTCAGAGGCGACTAACACGTCTGTGTACTCACCGAGACCCATTTCATTCAGGGATCGATATGCTGCACACCGTGCGGCCCAAGGGCAACACCAAGCACTGGCAAACTATCATCTAAACCAGGCAACAGACCACCTGAATCATGCAACTACGCATGATAATCATGCCACCGCGGCAGAACAGAGGTCTGTCGGCGAATTAAGCCATGAAATGGACCGAAGCGATGGTGCGCTGACAATGAGATAGTGGTAACCACCAGGCCGCTGCACATCACGTGGCTCAATATAATTACCATATGGGACAAGTAGACCATCATACAGATCTTCATCAACACCACCAGAATCAGGCCGACTGGCATGGCGCACAGATTCCCCCTGGTCACCGTAGGAGCATAGACGAGTTGGATTAGAGGAGAGATTTCTTTAGTGTCCTAAATACAGCCGAATTCGCGCGTGAAATGATGGTGCAGAGCTGTGAATATTGATGCGCAGTAAGTAGCTCACCCAGACTCTGCCAACAAAGGACCATGGTCAGAGTGAATTACTACCAGAAACAGAATATAACTAGTCGGCATCCTCCAAGCGCATTCGTCCATCATACCGACTGATACAATCCTGAAACGGGATCACATCATGGTATGTCGTAAAATATTCTCTAGCCCACTTCCCGACTTGTACCCGTGGCGCAGCGGAGCCTCCGTTCGTCACCTGGAATCTGATCCCCAATGACCCGTATTTCGCTTCAATCATCTCCTTTACCACCTTGTCGTACGTATTCAACGGGAGGATCCAGTCGTCCGAACCTAGGAGGCGCCTGAACTCTACAGGTAATGGCGTAGGGACTTGGATGACCAGCCTAGTCAAGGGAACGCCTCTAACTCGCTCTTTCAATATGTCTCCTATTTTCTCCAGTGATTCTAGAATTTTAGATGCCTTTTCTTCATTGTCCGAGTCTTGCAGGATATGATTCGGTCCAATAAGAGGAGTGGCCGAGGCCGGGGTGGTCACGCTGACCATTTCGCAATCTCGAGCAAGTGGTTCGTGTAAGAGAGGAACCAGGATATTGAGGAGCTATAGCTTTCTGTCAGCAAATCCTCGACGACCCGCAGTTCATGACACATACCTCTGTCAAGGGGGGCGCAGAGAAGAAGCTGAGCGACAATTTTGTCAACGAGATGCGGGACGTCGTGACAAGTGACTTAAGGAGGGCAATCAAAGGTGCGTTGACGTTGATTTTCCCAGAGAACGTCAACTCTTCGAGTTGGGTGCACTGAGACAGGGCCGTTACGAGAGAACCAGGGACGACGAACTGGCCATCTTCTCCACGGTGCTTCTCCAATGCATTATATACAAGTCTGGCGGTGGTGTCTTGGTCAAGGAAGAGCACGCGAAGGTTCCGCGGCAGACAGATGCATTCCTCTTTCGTCAAAGGGTCGGTCATGGCTCGGTAGAAGACGGCGGAGGTAATGGAAGGATGCACTCTGAAGAGATTCCAGAGTACTTGAGGATTCAAGTGCACTGTATTAAATATCTTGAGGCTCTGGAAGTGGGGGAATGGTCCCAGATGGCTCAATTGGGACACGGCTTCGTTCCAGGGTAGTGGTGGAGATATCCAGAACTCTTGGAAAGATACAAGGCATGGCGAATCTGGTCGACCCAGTAAGTCCTCGAGAATCCTTCCAGATGTTGAAATCGTTGTCAACGCGCAAGCGGGTGGGTCCTTGAATTCAGGAAACGATGTTGTAAATCCGACTTGCCAGAAGATGTAGAGTCGTTTCAAGCTGGGTATGGTCCTCAATATAGCGTACGCGTGCATCGCATGGTTATCGGCCCTGTACCGTCCTCGAAACGTCGTGAGGTTTGACATGAGAGGAAGATTGAATCTGATGACATAATCCTGGGTACGCGTTAATTGAGTTGTAATATATATGCTGCGCAGTGAAGCTAGAAAAGGAGACTGATGACCGTCTGTTGGTGCGCCAAGCAATTTCTTCCGTTGTTTCTTGCTCAGAACGTGATTGATGCCGCGTCTCGAACTGAATGATAATGTAGAAAAGGCGCTCGACAGTAAGAGATTGCGCATGAAGCGACAAGTGGACGACAAGACGACCTGCTCCTTTTGCGAGAGGTGATCTGCGGCGACTCGAAGCCATATATCAGCGGTTTCTGGTGCGGTAAATCTTATAGAAGGTGAGTTTTGGACTATTGACGTAAATTACGCACAGGCTCATGGACTGTTGGCCGAAGTCAGCGGCAGAACGTGTACTTGATGGAGTTTGGCCACTTGGGGAAAAAGTGCAATTTCTATAATCGACGCGATTTATATGTCAGCCCAACACTTTCTAGTGTATAATCATACGACAATATTAGGCTAGGACGATGGTACTACTTGAGAGAGGATGATCAAGCCTTTTCGCGACACCGATGAGTGATAAGCATAATTGTATGGACAGACGTCATTACCTCTGGATGATGTAGCAGCGCACCTACGAAGGACGCTCAGTCACGCCCAGGGACGAATTCGAGAGGGAAGCCTTTGTTCTCGGAGACTAGGCCCTTGGCTCGAGTATCTAGGAGTTTAGACTGTGCTATTGTTGGAATAGGTCGAATATCTGCACATGTGGAGGCTACACGCCCTCAATCTGACCTCCCCTTGCTTTGAGATCTGGTTGATGACATCTAAACACGCTCAGGGCGATAAAATCGGGATCTCGTTGAAGGACGGGGCGGTCTTGGCCCGTAACCCGAGGCGACTTGGATCTCGACATTGGGCCTATCAACCGAGTCCCCAGAGTCATGCACGACCGCGTGATTGCTGATGCGTAACGGGACCGGCAAGTTAGCTAGATTTGGCCCTCGTAACAAGGTTTCATATCCACATTTAGCAGCAGAAGCCGGCAGTTTATGAAATTCTTCTGTGTGAAGTTCCCCATCTCTCGATCACGAAGCGAGTTGACGCTTGGCGGGACTTGGATATAACAAGTTGGAATAACTTGTGCGTATGACCTTGCCGTAATGATTAGTTCGCGCGATCGAACCGAGAAGAGGGTCGATTCCCCAGCACCAGACAATGCATAGTAACGCTGATTAGCTTCTGTCGATTCGAGGTTTTCTGAGCAGTCGACGTATCCGACGTGACGTCGTGTCCATGCTGAATTCTATTGCCGGTGTGAAAAGCCTCTTGTATGCATTACGTTGGACGCAAAGAAGACCCGCATACCGTGGGAATAGAGCGACGCCACATCTTTATTGAATTTACAACCAGCGTAGCTAATCGAATGCTCAATTCACTCGACATAAGCTCGCCCGTGCCAGACGCCAGCCACCCGACGCGAAGAGCGGCGGACTTTCTTGTTTTGTTTTGTATTGCTGAATATGCGTATATATTAGAAATAGCAAAGAAGTCTAGATCCGTTGACTGATTGACATTTGTATCTGTGTGTTGCGAAGTGTAGGTAAACTCGGGTGGGTCTATCTCCGATTTTGCCACCCAGCCTCAGTGATCATTTGGCCTGATGGAAAAGAGAATGGGCCGCTTCTCACGGTTGCCGCGTTTCGACGAACACAGCGCTTTTTTCACGTTGTCCGACGGAGCTAAAGATTATTATAATGAAAATTTAGTGTATATGAAATTGGATCTGGGAAATTGGGTTCGCTAGATGGATGCTATCGAAATTTTCATCGAAGTTGATGAGAAAGCGAGAAGCGGCCGCGGGATGGTTCCACGAAATGAACGGGTGGCGATAGTATTGGGTGCCGTGACCTCGTGTAAATGTGTGAGAGTCAATCAAGCGGGTGAAGTCGGCCCAAGGGATGCCGCAAGCCGGTGGGGATGGCTGACTATGGATTCGGCGTGTTCCGAACTACCAAAACCACTTCGCATGCAATAGTATAGTTGATCTATGCATCTATCCTGGTGGACAATAGGCGAATACGTCACATCGAGGCGTTATGGACAGTTAAATTTTCCACGTGTCGTCCTGGCCTCGTTGGATCGATTAGAGCAAAGATCGCGTGGATAGTTCACACGACGAGTCAGCTGTTCGTCATGGAACCCTACGGAAGCCGGTCCGATGAAGAGTCGGATGTGATTTGAGAACGGGGATGTGCGAGAAATGGCGCTTGACAGAGACGTTGTCGCGATGCTTGTGTACGAGATGGTCGACCTCTGCGATCAAGCACTTGCTTCGACGATCCCAACGGACAATTTGTGAACCTGGGCCGCCGACTTCGAAGCTGAGCCGTACTGGCAACGAACAAGAGGGTTGATGATCTGTCATTAAGACTGAATGGAAACAAATAGGGCCTAGTCCGCTCACGCGCGCTACCAGTGGCTGTGCTACCTAGCGGGGGATGAAGTAGGTCAGGAGGTCGTGGCTTGATTTAGCCGGCTGCATGCAGTAAACGCGATCCAACGACGCTGTCAAGACTGAGAACCAAATTGTTTCTCCGCGACAGGATTCGGCAATCGCCGCCGGAGACGTAAGACAGCGACGACTTGCCAAGGGTCGAAATGTTTATAAGGCAAGCATCATTACCTTGGACCCTCCGCCCACAGACGACATCCTCTAGTCCGCGTCATTTACGGCCCCCTTTTTACGGTCCATTTGGCCTATTAGATTGCAATCTAATTTGATCATGCTGCGAGATGCAGATGACGGCGACCCCCCCCTGCCTGGCGCGCCTCTCCCGGGCGGGTCCAAGCAGTCTGATGGCAAAATTATATTCGGCAACTCCGACAGCTCGTCTCATCGCAGCTCTGCGATCTTCTGAGTGCGTGTGCGGCCGAGGCATTGTTCTTTGTTCTTTCCCTATCCTCCACTGGCTCTTGTTTCCCCTTTTGTTTAAGCATTTCGCACTCATTACTTATCTACTTCAGGTGATGCAGGCATCCCAGCCACGCGTGTCGTCTCTGGCAGACGCTTTATCCGTTGGGATGCCCTCCCAGACCTCCTCGCGTCTGCTCACAAGCAGATTATCGGTCTCCCCTTTGATTTCTTCACCTGGGCGTCATCTGGTTTGTCAGGATCTGCAACCACCAGCTGGACCCCCTCTGCCACGCCCCAGCACCTCATTGCCGTCCTCCATGCTGCCCCACTGAACATCAACATCCTCAGCTGGAAAAAATCAACCATTGAACATCTGCTTGATCTCCTGAAAACGAGGCAGATCAGGGTCGACGACGCAACCGGTACGTGCATTTGGATAAATTCCCTCCCTCGTCGCCGATGCTTCGAGATATGCTAATGGCAAGCAGATGATACCGTGTTCACAATCACCCTTCCTGATGGAGGCCTCTTTCGAGTGCCCAGTTGGCCGCCAATCGATATCTCGAAACCGTCTGTCGCAGAGCGTTCTATTGCGCCGAGCGTAGGCATCCGCAGGAGAAACTCCAAGCGCACGGGTATGGAGGAATTTGAGACGGAAGACAACACAATTCGTCCAAATGATCCACCAAGTGGGGATGAGCGTTCACTGGGTGAATCGACTCGTCCAGGCAGCGAGGTGGACAGGCCTGCGGTCGGACATACCATTTCAGAGGACACGCATATGCACTCTCGACGTTCAAGCGCAAGTGGCATGGTTTCTGGTCTCAAGCGTCCCCGGAGTGCTGATGCGGGCTTGTCGGATAATGATGAGCCTCGCAAGTCGGTTGCATCTATTCCTACATATCCGGCTGATCCGCAACGAGGTCCGTCGACAGGGCCTGGAGCCAAACAGGGTCACACAGGGCACGTCAGAGGGCACTCCATCGAGGTCCCGTCATGGATAAAGGGTCAGCACGAGTCAATTCCTGCTCACTCGGGAATTTCTGCTCCGACGAGTACAATTTCAAGCATAACTCCCGGTACCATTCCGACATCATACACGCCCCCCGCGCCAAACCTGTCCATCAGCACGCTCCCCACCACGTCCGGAACAAGTGCGAGTGCGAGTGCAAAACCTGCTCAAGCGAAGAAATGGACCCGCCGCTCGTCGCCCGACCGCGTCTTCATGAACACGGAGCTCAATTCTTTGCTACGCAGAGCTGGGATGGGGATCCCGCGACAAAAAGATGATGCCAGTCGGTTGCCTTGGAGCTCAATCCCTCAATTTTTGGCCGAGCGTGGTCTTTATCTCACGAATTGGCCAGAAGCAAATCTGCCATGGCTATATTCGGGCGATCAAGGCGTCCGTCCGTCTACGTCTGGTGCCCAGCCTGGCATCGCTGGTTATGGAGAGGGGGATCCAGTTGAAGGTGGAAATAGAATTGAGTGGCGGGATAGGATCGATTGGAAATCGTCGCCATCTCAACGTTCCTACAAAGCCCTTGCGGCTGCACTCCGCACCGGTGAAATTCAGATTCTGCCTCGCCCACCTGGGAGGGACGTCCTTTTTGAAGTCAAGGATCCTCAAGGACGCAAATATGATTCAACATTGGGATTGAGCAACGCGTGGAAGCTGCGTTGGATGCGCGACCCGGTTCCTGGAACCGTTGGTACTAGTGTTACTGGTGCTTCAACTTCTTCTGTACCATCGACTTTGGAGACAGATGCACCCGTTCAAGTCCAGCAGGAGCGAGAACGCGGTCGACCAGGCTATGCGAGGCATCATACTCGCTCTCGCTCGCATTCTCCCCATTTCTCGACTGCTCTCCGGGGTGCAGGTACAGGAATAATCAGTGCATCACGTTCTATCCGCGGTATTCCCGGACACACCCGACACTCGTCTGGTGGGCTCCCTCCGCCAGGAAGTCCCCTCAATCTTCCTCTCCCGGGAGGTGCTATGCCTCTTACTGGAAGTCCAAGCGCTCTCTCGATTCCGAGTAAAAGTGCCCCTATTCAGCACAGAGGAGATAGTTTTCAACGGACCGAATCTGCATCCTCGTCACCAACCTCATACAGGCCCCCATCATCATTTGCCTTTCCACCGCTCTCGAGTTCGCATGCGCCGTTTTCATCGCTGTCGTCGGCACAGTTTGGTCCAAGCTCGCCGTTGCAACCGGGATTTACCGCTAGTTCTTCTTTGCGCCCTTCATCGCATCCAGTGCTACCCTCTCAACCCCTACGTGGCTCATCCTATCCGCCCGTACCTGGCCTCCCATCGGCATTGTCAACTCCGAGCTCCAACAAGAATCCCCAACGAGACCACTTTTCGACTTCTGGACGAGCGTCTTCTTCAACGAGTAGACGGACCTACTCCCCTGGTCCAGAGGGCTCACCTTCCAGATTGCGACATCACCCATATGACCGCGCTCCGAGCCCAATGTTACTGGGCAGAACGTCGTCAACATATTCGCTCCCCTCGCTCCTAAACGCAGGATCGGCCGGTCCGACCTCCGGTAAATCGAACCCCCTTCGTCTTGACCCAAGTCCTGGAAGGTCCTCCACGAGAATGGATGTGGATCCCAACGAAGAAGCACCGTTTCAGCGCACGCTACCCCCGATCTTGCGTGGTGCTCCATTTACAGAGGAGCGTGGTTCATCCTATGCGTATCCGTTATCCGAGGAGCGAAGAGTAGAATCTTCTCGTTCACAGGCGGAAACTGGCGAGCCGGCGTTGATGCACTATGATGGCGCTACGGTGATGCGAAGGCGAAGGCCTTCAACCGCCCCATCGTATCCTTCCATCTCTGCTCCTCAGCCAATCCTGGGTAGGGACGACTACCATCGTCGGGTGGACTCGTCGACGTTTACACCACTTTCACCAACCGGATTCTCCTCTTCCTCTGGCTCACTCTTACACGCAGCACCTTCATCTATAACCTATGATAGCCCGACCCCTCAATCGTCATCACCAGCGTCGAGCGCCATCCCAACGCACCTCCCGCATCCGACGGCTGCATTCTCACAACCGATATGGGATGCGAGAGGAAAGACATGGACGCTGAGTGTGATTGATCCCGAGCGTGCGGCATTGCCACCGTTGGGTGACGAAGTCGTCTGGGACGTTCAGAGGGGCGTATGGCGATTGCGCTGGATGGCAAGCGTGGGGATGAATACGATCTCTAGCTTGACGATGGCCTCATTGACCTCTGCGCCTGGTGGGTCGTCCTCGAGCGAGGAAGGGTCCTCTCAGCGCACGCTTGGTGTTGCCGATTCGCCTATTGCCGTCTGGAATGTAGAGCAAGATGCGTGGATCTTGATCCCCTAAGTTGAATCTCGACTCTGTAGGTGCCCATATTAGCAGAATGGACAAGTACTGACGGTGCTTTAGTCATTCGAGATTCAGCCGTCGTTCGACTTGGAGAATGAGTAGCTTTGCGTTTCTTTGGTATTTATCTCCACCACTTGACGCCTTCGAGGATCAAGCTATGTTCAACGGACTTATATTCGCCTCAATTACACCCTTATCACCAGTTCTCGAGCTCAAAGCTTTGGACTAATTGGCCCCGCATTTCCCGTGACTCCCTGCATCAACGCATTCATGGAAGAGGCGCTATTTCCTCTTCGTGTATCTCACCCTCTAACCATCGCATTTGGCACTGGTTCCGGCTCTCATCTCTTGCATGTCGCGTGTACCCCACAATGTTCTGCTGTCAACCCACTCGGCTCCCCCAATGGTCTGTTCGCGTCTCGCACTTTGTCTCAACCTCGTCACCAGGTTTGCCTCTCTGTCGAAGCCTCCTGTCATCCGAGACTTTTGTCAGGGAGCTCATTCGATATGGCGAGGGGAGACCGCGGACGTTAATATGTAGCACTATCACCAACGTCGCATTCATCCATCATGCGTCCGGCTCATTGAATCGTACTTCTCTTTATACTCTCGGTTATGGCTCTTATAGGCCCTTGTTGTGATAGTTACACGTAATATGATATACTTGCATAGCTCTTGCTGGGCGGCTCTGCTCGACCAGACTTCGTACAACAAAAGAGACATTGGCGCCCCTGACATGACCACTCAACCTGTAACGCATGAGTGCTGATACAACATCTGAAAGAGCATCGTACCTATACTTTTGTACCGGGAAAACTCATTGCACAGGGACTCGGTTCTTTGCGGCAAGTCTGACGACCATCGAAGGTCAAACGAGTTTGTCGGTTTGCCCAATGCTGTGGCGATTTCTGTCGCCCTGTTTGTCAGATAGTCCCAGTGTGGTAAAAGCGTCTCTGTATGGCCGATAAACGACCTCAGATCACCACTTGCACCATTCAAATGCACGATTGCGAGACCACACGCCTCGATACTATCTGAGAGACCTAGCAAGCGAGTATCTGTGAGAACGTCGGAAGATGTAGGCGAGGAGAACTGACTTCTATCTTCCTTGGCGTGCCCATCGCGCGCCCGATCAACGCTCCATTCGACTACCGGGATAAGAATTTGGGGCCGTAGTTGAGATTTCTGGTTGCCTTCTTCCTGTATTTTGGACACAATTTGCTGAAGATCCCGATACAGTTCGTCTTGCTTCCCGTTTTCCCCTTTGGCAAGGCGTAAATTCTCCATTTCCTTGGGTAATTCTGCAAGACGCTGTTCAACCTCCGCCTGGAGCTTGTGGTTCAGGGCAGATGAGTCTACACATTTGATCGGGCAAGAAACGCGGCGTACGAGGAGGAGGGACGACTTGTTCTTAGTAATCTCTTTCCACGCACCGTCAGCGTCAGTGGCCGTCCTTGACATGGCCTTCCACTGCGCTCCCACGTCGATAGTTGTGGATCCTGAGAATGCGGCAGATAATTCGGAGGTGGCTTTATGGCCCCGATCAGCTACGGTCTTGATCCGCGTGAGAGCTTCGCCGTGCTTTTTCGTTTGAGTGGCTATCTTGGCCAGTAAAGGCTGCACTTTTTTGTCATTCAAGCTGGATAACTGGCGTGAGCGGTTATCCCAACACTTGAAGTTCTCGAACACGCACGAGACGTCTTTCCAGTGATCAACTCGCCTATTAACTTCTGGGATCGCAGCGACGATGGAGTCGATTGAGGGTTTGCTCATGGGAGACTTTGTGGCTAGAGCTAGTGGGTGGTCTAGATAGGTGTATGGGTTGCAGTCTAGGAATAAATTTTACTTGTCTGATGGGACATTAGTACGCGTGGCCTGCAGGATATGGTCAGGAAAGCGCGCCGTTATCATCATTAGTCCTAAACTGAATTTAAAGGCAATGCTTAGATGCATTTAACATAGTTGGACTCAATAGCAGTGTTAGACTTGCAACTTCAAAGCGTCGCTGGTCATTGTACCGTAGCGCGGGTGAACGGGGATGACATCACATTTGGAAGGTGAACCTGCGTTCTTTGTGAGACAATCAATCACGTTCGCCAAGTATCACAATAGAATCACCGAATTGTAGCCGTTGAATTGATCCACTCGCGCCGACGATGCCGTAGCCAGCTCGTAGCATTATTACAACAGTGTCGGTATAGTCTAATATGTACCTAGTGTAGGGACATGATCAAAGATCTCAGTCTTCATCCGAATCCTCATCATCTATGTGTCGAGTCCGGATCATAGTAGATCATTCCTCCTGTCACTAGGCCCGAGGTCGGAGGCATGGATGAATGTTGTTGATTTGTCTGTGCATAAGGAAGTGGAACTTGAGCGCACGCAGTTTATAGTTCTTCTGTGAGTGACAAACTGAGGATGAGATTTTGCGTCGTGTTGACTGACACATTTGCCTATGTGACGTCAGACAGTTTCCAATAGGGAAAATTGCAGACGGCGGCAGAGGCTATATCCTCACCAGAGGGGATGTGCAAGGGAGTCGCCCGAGTGCATTGAGGATTGGAATAACTCACGAAGTCAGTCACTCTTAACATACAAGCTCGGCGGACCCGAGGATCTTCAGTCCCGCTTTGGAGGGCGAAAGGCTGCTGCGCCAGATGACCTCGACGACCACTTCGTTCCCCGGGTCGTGAGCTGAGTTTGTGACTAGCGTGTAGATCTAATCACTGGCCAAGCATACCTGAAGTTACCCTATATCCAAGTTTTTCGGCCTCTCTCCTCACCCTGTGGGTAATCGGCGCGAAGGTGATATAAAACTTTGGAATCAGGGTTCATTATCATGGGAGGGCTGAGAAGGAAGCCTTTAATATGTGATGAAAAAGCTGCGGTAAATATAGTCGAACATACGTGATTGAGGATGAGAACGAAGTGCTCATTAGGTCGGGAATGACCCGTGAGGTTGAGTCAGTAAGAGTCGGGGAATTCGAAGCGCAGAATATAAGTCGAGATAGCGCTATCATTCCAAATATTACTTTCGGACGCACGGGAACGTATCCAATATTGGTATCAGCTCTCATCCCCTGAATGTTGCGTGTACCCGACAACGTTCTGCTGTCAACCCACTCGACTCCCCTAATGGTCTGTTCGCGTCTCGCTTTTTGTCTCGATCTCGTCACCAGGTTTGTAAGCCTCCTGTCATTCAAGACTTTTGTCACGGAGCTCGTCTGATGTGGCGAGGGAGACTGCGAGCGTTGATATGTGGCACTATCACCAACGTCGCATTCATCCACCGTGCGTCCAACTCATTGAATCGCATTTCCCTTTATATTCTCGGTTATAGCACCTATAGGCACCTGTTGTGATAGTTACACGTAATATGATATACTTGCATAGCTCTTGCTGGGCGGTTCTGCTCGACCAGACCTCGTACAATAACGGAACATTGGCGTGCTCGACATGGCGACTCAACCTGTAACCCATGAGTGCCGATGCAACGTCTGAAACAGCGTTATACTATACTTTTGTACCGGTAAAATTCATTGCGCAGGGACTCGGCTCTTTGCGGTAAGTCTGACCATCGAAGGTCAAACGAATGTGTCGGTTTGCTCAATTCTGCGGCGATTTTTGTCGCCGTATGTGCCAGAGAGTCCCAGTGTGATAAAAGTGACCGCGTCTGCTCAAGAAATGAGTTCAGATCGTCACTTGCATCGAACAAGTGTTCGATTGCGAGATAATGGGTCTGATACTACGCAAGAGACCTATCAAGGGAGTATTTGTGAGAACGTTGAAGCCGTAAGCGAGGAGAACTGACGGCTTTTATTCCAAGCGGTAATATCGCCCACCACGTCAACGCCCAATCCAATTGCGGGGATCAGAATTCGGGCAGGTAGTTTAAGGATCAGGTTATCATTCGCGTAGATTCGTGCCAACTCTTGAACTTTGACTTGAATATCCGTGAGCAGCATGTGTGCCTTGCCACTGTTCTCCCTGGTATCCAACAAACCCTCTATTTTCTTGCATAATTCCTCGGCATTGCGGGTAATCTCCTTCCGGAGCTTATGGTTCAGCGCCGGTAAGTCTAGGCATCTTGTCCAGGCAGGAAACATAACATACGGAGAGTATGGAGGCCTCGTTCTCGGAAATCTTTCTCCATGTTTCGCCAATTTCCGTGGATAACGGTTCGATGATACGCTGTAGCGCTCTCACATTGATAGTCGCAGGATCGGATAATGTGGCACATAATTGGGAGGTAGCGTTGTGGTACCGATCAGCGGCACCAATGACAAGCGTGAGAGTTTCCAAATGTTTTTTCGCTTGAGTGGTTGTCTTTGCTAGTAAAGCTCGTGATTTTCTGTCATCCGAGCTAGAGATTTCGCGTAAGCCATGATTTTAACCCTTGTAGTTCTATAATACGCACGAAGCGAGTGACCAATCAGTAGTCCGCTCACCAACTTGCGGGATCGCAGCGACAACGGACTCAATTGAGAGTTCGCTAATGGGAGACTCCATGACCAGAGCTAGTGAGTAGTCTAGACAGGTGTGTGGGGTGTAGCCCGAGGAATGGGCCCTGATGGGAGCATTAGTATGGGCAGCCTGCAGGATATGGTTAGGAAGGGGCACCTTTGTCATCAATGGCCCCAAAACTTAATGAGGAGGCAATGCGGAGAGGCATTTGAAATGACTCAATAGAAGAGTTAACCTTGCAACTTCAAAGCGTTGCTGGTTATCCCACAATAGCGCGGATGAACGGAGATGACATCGCATTCGGACAGTGAACCCACCTTATTTGTGAGGTAGTCAAATACGTCCGCCGAGTATCATGATAGAATCATCGAATGGCATTGCAGCCGTTGAATGGAGATCCACTCGTGCCAATGACGCCGTAGCCAGTTTGTAGTTGTTGCACCTGCATCAGTATATTCTGATGAATACCTAATGTAGGAGACATGGTCAAAGATCTAAGTCCTCGTCCGGATCTTCATCGTCCATGTCGTCTGCCGAGTCTGGATCATAGTAGATAATCCCTCCTGTCGCTGGGCCGGAGGCAGAAGGCGTAGATGGGTGATGCTGACCTGTATGTGCATAAGGAAGCGGGACTTGGGCGCGCGCAGTTTGCTGCTCTTCCGTGAGTGACAAATTGAAGCTGAGATTTTGCGTCGGGTCGAGTGAGGCCTTTGCCTATGCAACGTCAGACAAGGTTTTATAGGGAAAAAAGCGCATACGGAGGTAGAGTCTATATCCTCAGCAGCCTTTCGGCCTCCAAAACACGATTGCAGACTCTCGAGTTCGCCGAGTTTGCATACTAAGAGTGGCTGACTTCGCGAGTCGTTCCAATTCGTGATACCCTCGAGCGATCGATCGACTCCTTTGCGCATCCCCCCTCCCGTGCGCCGGATGACCTCGACGACCACTTCGTTCTCCGAGTCGTAGGCTGATCTTTCGTCAGCTTGCGGATCCGATCAGCAGAAAAGCATACCTGAATCTATCCCATATACGAGGTTTTCTGCCTCTTTCCTCTCCCTATGGGTAAATCGTGTGAAGATGGTATAAAACTTTGGGTCAGGGTCCATCGTCGTGGGAGGACTGAGGAGAAAAGTCTTTGATATGTGACGAAATAGTTGCGGCGAGTGTAGCCGAAGATATGTGATCGAGGATGAGAACGAAGTGCTCATCAGGCTTGGAATGACCCGTGAGCTTGAGGCATCTGCTCGAGTCGGGGAACTCGAAGTACAGAGCATTAGTCGGGATGACCCTACAATTGCAAATATTAGCCCCGGGTGTTAAAACAGGGTTCCTTCCACCTGAATGCACTTTGAGCCTGTCGACGAGGCTGTGGAGAAGCGCCAATGCGGCGACCTCACCGTATAGGAACACCAGCATCTCCATAGAGTCCACATGAAACATTATTGGGTGGTTTTCTAAGGGATCTGTGAGTTAATGAGAACTAGGAACTGGATAACGCACTCGATTGTAGGATCCTCATCCAATCCTCCTCTATATATTTAATATCTCCGCATTGATCATGATCAGGGAACCTCGAATGGTCGGTATAGTCCTTCACAATTAGTTTTCCTGTTGCCACGGCCAGCGTATCCTCCCGAATGAATGTCGAAGGCGCGTGTAGAAAGGTCGCTAGTACGATAGTCCTAGATTTCGGCCCCTCTTCTTGCAGTGTTGTGGATAGGACATGCCGAAGCAGTGGGATAGCTGAGCAGCTCAGGTCGTGTTCGATCAAGAGGAATGGCGATGGTTTCGACGAAATGAGCGCATCTTGAAGGATCATTCGATAATAACGCAGTGCCTGGCAAGTAGTCTTCAGATTTAGTGTTCGATACGTCGATAAAGTCGAGTTCAAAAGGCCGTCGCTAAATGGGTCACTAGGACATTCGTGGAATCAACAAACAAAGAACCTCTGAGTGGTCAGTTCTTAGCTTTCCCTTGTATATGGGCATGGTGATCAATGAGAGTCGTCTACGTCGGCCCCATTCAGGACTTCCGGGAACTTCTTTGCGCAATGAAGAGTGAACGAGCTGATTAAAGGAACCAGGTCTGGTTTACTCGATGGGTCCAAGTATAGCAGTCCCATTACAATCGGATTCAAGAAGCAGATGTCAATCAGTGCCTACGTTGCAGGAGCTGCGGGCCCTGCACCTTGTTCTTCTGGTTTCAGCGCTGGTGCCGCAGCCGTCTCCATCTTCTTCTTCATCATGCTCACTGAAGACAGATTGTTAGCACAAGGCTATTAGATCGGAGGTTTCGTCACTCACCTTCTCGAGAGATGGTTCCGGTATTCATCCAACCATCCGGGAACGCCTGGAGAACCTTTTTGTACAACTCTTTGCGCTGACTTTGTTCGGAGACGACTTCTTTCGACCCCTCCAGGAAGCTATATGACGAGTCAATTTCGACTCAGACAAAATAACAAGAGACTCACTTCTTGTCGTTGGTTAGAGTGCATACTTCGTTGCTGAGCTGAACGAGCGCCCATAGATAGCCGCGCATGGCCTCGTTGAGGCGATATCGTTGACCGGGTGCTTTATCCTTATCGTCGTCACCTTCATCATCACCCTCGTGGTCCATATCAGGTGCAGCGACTGGGGCCTGCGTTGGAGCTGCTGGACCCGTATGCTCTACACCCTCCATCCCGACGCCACCTTCGGTCTTTCTTCTTGCCTTTTTCTCCTCCCACATTGCAACGTTCCGATGGTACTCGCTTTCTGCGTTTTCAAAGCCCTCATCAACGAGCTTTTTGAGCTCTTCGAGTAGCACATTTTGTCGCTCGTGGACCAGTCGCACATGGTCCTTATAGACGAGCCGCTTGGTGAGCTTCATCATCGTGAAACGGTTGTAGGGAAAGATGGTTGGCAAAAGGTTGAAAAAGTTGTCATTGTAGTCACCAACCGTAATGGCTTGAATGGCGACATCTGTAAGAATGGGCTTGAGATCGGGAGGGAATTTGCCCTTGATAGCGAAATCGTGCTTTTTAATGGCAGCTTGAAGGTTTTCTATTGCGACTTGCAACTCTGGATGGAAAGATCCCTACAAACCTGATCAGCCTTTATGGTAAGAAGGTTGAAATTGACATACGGTAGCTCCCAACTTTCGTCTTTTCGGGTCAGCTCCATCTGCGGGGGGAGACGCCTCTCGCTTCCTTTTGTGCCCGTTGCCATTTGTACCATCTGCATCCCCAGTGCCAAATGGTGGCGTCGCCGTTTGCTCGTGCGGGTCTATTCCAAGACCAATCCCAGCACCAAGATCCATAGAGGCAGCAATAGCTGCCTGAGCTCGGACATCGTCGTGATGTTTGTCTCCGAGCGGGTAACTGAGCAGAGTCCGTGCAATCAACGTCGCGCTCAGAGGACCAGAGGCACGTTTAGGCGGCCGTCCGGGACCACGCTTGGTACTGCTCAAGCCTCCATTTGGCCCACCAAAGGTATTGTTGGGATTGTTGGGATTACCGTATGCATTACCGCCAGTATAGTGAGAGGGTGGAGGAGTGGATTGCTCGACAAGAGCGACGTCTCCAGCAGACACGTAGAATCCTTGTAGGGTTGTTTGAGCAAAGTGGGTTCGCTCGTCAATCGCGAGATCGACATCGTCGATAAATGGGTCGTCCAAGTCGTAGTCTCGATTTCGTCTCTACAGAAAGGGGTTCCAGAGTGAGCACAGGCGTTCACTAGGAACAAATTGCTTACTCTACGCCTCTTTGGAGCAGCACCAGGCTCTACTCCATCAAGCCCTGCAACAACCTGCGCAGGCGGCTCAGGCGGCTCGTCGTCATCGTCACTGTCACTCGAATCCTTTTCAGGAGGGGGAGGAGTTGGTAATCGTTGACCAGTGCCTTTTGCCAAGGCTAATACGTCCACTTCGTACTGCTCGGGGTCGTCAATAAAAAACTCCAGTCGAACCGTGGGCTGTGGTGGTGGTCGAACTGGAAGTTGAGGAGGGGGGGAATCAGCTTTCGCGTGCTTTGGAGCCTGTGTAGACTTTGGCTTTTGAGATATGTCGGCCGGTGGGTGGTGCAAGTCCATCATCATTGCGTCCGCACCGACAGGAGCAGTATTTGCAGGCCTTCCACTTGTACCACTGGGCGTTACCGTCATGCGGTGTCCAGGAGTCGGCGAAACACTTGCACTTGTCGGGCCGTTGGTTGTCGGTGTCCTTGGGGGATCATGGTCGAGTTTGGTATCCCCAGAATACGCTCCTCCGTCAAGATATCCACGCTGAGAGACAAATTCTTGGGTCCCACGCGCTGGAAGCTGTCCACTGGCCGTAGAACCGCGAGGGCTGCCTTGGAGGAGTTGCGCTTCGACAGCACCCTCCGTCTCTGAATCATCATCAATTACAATCACGGTTCGGTCTGGATCTGCCATTTCGCAGTGTCCCTATGAGCCAGTCACAGCGTCGGTCGCGCGGTCGTGATGGCAGAGTTCAAGTTTGCTTGGAACAGTCGCAACCATATATAATACGGTCATCAATATTGACATTACAGATCATCATTAGAGATACACGCAAGATGAGTGAAATGACGACGTCCTACTCCTGCCGAAAGCGAAACACGAATGTCTAGATGGAAGAATCACTGGCTAGTCTAAACCGTGGAGCTTGCCATCCCATTCGAACCAAAGGTGTTGGCTATTCTGGAAAGTGCTCGACATGTCGTCCCGTCGTGTCCTACTCGGTCGCACAACGATGGCGCACGCAGCCATTTTGGACAGCTTCGACTTGAGTATTGTACCATGACCACAATCCGCCTCGCATACAGTGTGCTCCACTGCAGATACAAGTAATTCAAAGGGTTTATTGGCGGCGGGTCGCGGGAGCCAAGCAGGATGTTCGAGACCCCGAGCCGCTTGCACGTAGATGTGTATTTTACTAGCATCTATTCAAGAATGAGTTCCGTCAAGAGTTAGAAGCACAGCACAGACCAGCCTCTTCGACGAATGTATTCATATTCCCTATTCCGACGATGAGTGACCTCAAAGCAGACGCGTGCTGCTTCTGTATCGCATCATTTGAGCGTGCATTCTCGTTGGCGAACGGCGATGGTGGTACTGTGGGTTGACGAAAGTGCCCAGAGGTGGATACGGTTATTTGCCCTGAGGGTTTAAGGAGTGTTTGATCATCACTGAAGGGCGTGAAAGAGCGAGGAGGAGCTTTCTGGCTTAGCATTTCTGCCCGTTGAGAGGTCTGAGAGGTTTCAATTTGAGGATGCTCGTCAATAGACGATTCGTCGTCGCTGTCGGGTGGAAAAGACTGAGACTCTGTGTGATCTAAATCCGACCCCGCTGTCGCAGGATTGTTTATTGTCCAACTGACTGGACTTGATGCGCAGGCGTCCCTGGTATCAGAAGCAGGCCCAGGTTGCTTGACGTCGGAGTTTCCTGGGAAAGCGGTATCGAATAATATGACACGTTTTGGGATGCTCAGACTCCCGAGCACGATCGCCATACGAAACTGGCCAGCAGGTGAGAGTGATACGTCGCTCTCCGCTGCGCGTTTGACCACCATGTTTATATCTTCTTTGAGTCGTCCTAGTGCTTTGAGAAGCTGTCGAGCCTTAAGCCTTTACCGCTAGGTATAAGTTGCACTGACTTCGTCTCGTTTTCTGGACGCCTTCTGATTCTGATGCATCTTCAATAATCATGAAAGAGCACGCAGGGACAGCCATACCTCGTCACGCAGGCTGGCGAGTTTAGCGATCGGGCTGCGCGGGTCGCTCAGTATGACGCGTATGAAGCACGTTTTTGTATGTCTCACAGAGGAATCTGATTCGTAAAAAAGAGAACTTGCTCCAACGAAGCATATGCCAAGCGTTGCACAAGTTGTGAATCGAACAATGTGTCTTCTGAGATCACTACGTCACAGATCTCCATCAACTGCTCATTCTTGACGGCCGAAGCGCCCTCCAAGGGTGGGCCGCTTTCTTGTAAGCCTCCAATCGTAGTTTGAAGCGGTGAGCTCGTGGATATTGTCGTCGCATTGTGTTCATTGGGCATAATTTTGTACTGTAGAAATGTGTGATGTATGCCCAATTGGTTGATGGGCAACGTGGTCAGGACCAAGGTCGCAAGTTTGAACCGGCCCACGTCGGCTGGATGGATGAAGCGACGCTGGCGGATAAGATAACTCACGGGATATACGATCTATCTATGGATCAAACACAACAAACAATATCTTTCCGCTTGGCAGACTTGCCCATCGAATTGACTCAAGAAGTTGTTCAACACCTCACCCATGACTCGAAAGCATTATACGCACTCAGTCTTGTAAACAGACAAATGGGTAGCCTGTGCACACCGGTTCTATATTCAGCAATCAAACTACGCGACTCCACCATGACCCGGCAGCACCAACTCTTCACGACCCTGGCTGAATCCAGAGACCGACTTCAGCTGATTAGGTCCCTCAGTGTCATAATTGGGCCACCCCACTACTCACACGGCTATCTCATGTACGCTCTTCTTGAGCTTCTGCCCTCAATGTCTCAGCTGCGGGATCTCGCGGTTTTGAGAACTCCATCCATGGACATGGATCTCTATCCTACAATCAAGTATTTGGGAAAATCTTCACAGATTGCAGCATTCCTAGAGGAAAACTGCGGAGTTGTATCCCCAACCCTCACATCCCTCCAACTCGAAATACCGCTTCCGACTGGTTTGTTTCAACCTCTAGACTTTCAAAAAGGCAAGATAAGACTCAGGTCGCTCGAACTAATGTACCCTTATGCCGTACAAAGTGCGAGAGACCTGGTCAGTCCCTCTCTAGAACGTCTAGCAATCAACGGAGACGTTGTTCTCTTGAATAATCTATTCAAAGTAGCGTACATAGATAAAGAGGACGCAACAGTGACAACTTTTTCTCCAACCCATCTCTATCTGGATAACCATTCGACTCTCCCGCTCTGGCGATCCAGAATGCGCTTGGCTGGTGAATCTATGTCAGGAAATACATCGTTACAACTCCCAGATACCTCCCGTCTGAGGTCTCTCGAGATCTCCAGCTCGCTCGTCGACGAGCTGGCGAACTTGGACAAACGTCCAACCACAGCCTTGGACACTACTCCATCCTCTCACTCCCGTTTCTCATCTGTCACTCACCTCGGCATCTTTTCTCCTCCACTCGCCGAGCCAAACTATGCAATCGAACGACGTTTCCTTAGAATGTGGTCAGAAGAAACGCAAACATCGTCGAGCAATATGGTTCGAATCTTGTCAAGCTTTCCAAACCTTCGCTCGCTCTCTTTGCAACGCGAAGACGTCGGCGATTGGCCTGACCGAGTTGTGGATGCTGTCCGGAGGAGTGGCGGGCCGTCAAGCATCTCATTACTCCCAGGAATGGAAGATCCACTCACCACACTACTCACTTTGCTGAGGGTAACTTGCCCCTGGCTGGAAGTCGTGCTATATCGTTCTCATTCAAGCCACGCAAGCGGAATGGGCGTTCTTGATCGTGAAAGCGGCAGATGGAACTACCAAGCTATCGAGGACGAAGGTGCGCTTACAGTAGAAGCTTGGCTATCCCCTCTGACCACTCTCCAGAATGTAGTCGATATTGGACGACTGTCTAAGAACAAAGCATGGATGGAACAGGCGAAGGATCACATAAACATTCGAGCTAGCAGATCGTACAGTCCAATCGTACAACGACCCTGTATATAGCGCTACATTCTCCTTGATATCGTAGCAACTAGATGGGAGCCGAGAACTATTAGATGAAGGAAGACTTGTTCAACGTACACGCGATACTTTAAGGTCAGGTGAGCAGATCTCGTAGTAAAGGCGCGATAGGCGAGATTTGGTTTATGAGCACAGGATGACGGCAGGAGAAATTGCTGCGTAGAGGACGAACATCGTGCTACTTGCTCGTCACTTGACTTGAGGTTGTTTAATGGTCATGCTGTTGGCGCATGACCACACGGCGCTCCTCGGTGGCTTCAGCGAGAGCAAATGCCAGGCTGGTGGCAGCGCCAACGACACGCCACTGAGAAACAGTCTTGCCCTGGACGGCAAACCAAGAATCATCGAGAATGACCGCAAGTGCGAGTTTGACAATTCCAGCGCTCAGCGGATCAACGTCCTTGCGAGGGGTGGAGAATGAAATTAGAGTCCCCGCGGCTTGTGGGAGGAGAACTGTAGGGATGAACCAATACGAGAGCTCCTTGTAGAGATGAGTACTGAGTAGGTATGACAGTGGAGGATATGGGATCACGACGGAAGATCCACTTCCTGCTTTATCAACAGGAATCTGCGTGTCCATGAGATTATCGCTTGAGAGGAAACAGGGTGAGTACGAACCTCATAGTATTGCCAGGGAACCATGACGTAGAGAATGAACAAAAATTCGAGAAGGACAGTGACACTCGCAATGTTCGTCGCATTGGATAGGAACTAGATATCCTGTCAGTTCGTGAAATGTTTATCGTGCAGATACTAACCTTGCGAGAGCTGTCTAGATACTCAACGGCGCGAGCGCGGAGCTGCACGCTCCGCTGTCCAGCAGCTTGGACGAGAGCATCCTTGTCTACGACGTTGGAAATGGCGGCATCGACGTTCTCGATCAAAGCGCGCACGGGTGATGGAGGTGCCGTCAGCGTCCCCGTTGCTCCCTCGGCTTCAACTTCAGGGGGTGGAGGAGTCTGCTTGTGACGCGTAGAGCCCTTGCGCTTGAGAAGGGAGGATGTCTCAGTATCGCTGACGACAGACTGCGTCCTGAAAGGTCGGTCAACTCGATATCTCAGCATGTAAGCGGTTACGTACATAGAACTGGCGAGTCCGCTCTCTTTGCGCATCATCTTTCTTTTCGAGGTATACAACCCTCCGAACACGGGATCCTCTGAGAGGTCTTTGGCGTCCAGATGCGCTTTAATACGCGCTTGAAGTTCATCTTTTGTTCCAGAGGCATCAATAGAGAGCTTTTCAGCAATTTCCTGGAGCTCGCCCTTCCTCTTGGGCGGGAGGGGACCAGAGTACTGTACGGCGGACATGTTGCTCGCGTTCCAAGCGCGTCAAGAGAACTGTGACAACTGTTTATCGAATATATGAGGCTACCCTAAGAATTTCGGGGCGTTTGACGCGTCGGGCGAACGTGGTCGCGGGCAATGCTCGACGTGGTAGTGTCGAACTTGTTGGCCCTTTGTTTGTTCCAGTCCCGTGACTTGCAAACGCACCATAAAAATTCCCTGAAATACAATAATAAAGAAACAAAAAAGCAGTATTATTAGCTATTCATTACGCAGCCAAGCTTCGGCGCGGTCAATCCAGTGTTCATGGAGCAGGGATGTCAGCGTGGCTTGACGGCCAATCTCAAGCGAGCGAAGGATTGTGACCACGTGCATGCAAAATTCAACATATTCAACGACTGCGCCGCCTTCTCGTGAACTGATGTACGTGGTCACGTTGTGGCGCATCGCTTTGAGCAACTCCGCAACTCCGCTTATTGCCTCCGCATTCAGCCGTATACGCTCGTCTGTAGAATCCCCTGAGGATATCCTCTGGAGATTCTGCTCGACATTGGAAAGGACGCCTGCGTATAATCAGGACGAAGACCGATAACGCTCAAAGTTACTGACTCTCGATGATAATCATGCGATTGGAAATAAATAGCCCTTCATCGAAATCCTCCTCTGTCACGGCGCGTGGGAAAGGAACATTGGCGAATATGGGGTGCCTCAAACCGTCGACTCGGAACAAGGTGAACGTGTAGGGCGGGAGAATATGAGCGGAATCTGCACCCATAGTCATGAACCATGCCTTGATAAACTTATCGCTCGAAACCTGTAGGAACAGTCGACAACAAACCTGCTGGAAGGACAGCCATCGTACCTGATAAACCTTTGGGTCCCCTCGAAGTATATTCATCAAGAAGATGGGCTCCGTTTCCTGTATCCACGCAAAGTCTTCCACCCGACCGAGCGTTGACGGACTCCTTTGGAGAAAGTAATCCCAGCCCTAAGAACCATTAGATGTTATCCCCTCGAGTAAGCCAATCTCACCTTGATATTGTGAGATGTGACTACGAGAGATAAATCGGCCCAACATTCAATCCACGCTATCACATCCACATTCTTCCGCTCCGCCGACTCGGCATATGCTAAACGACTGACGATAGACGTCACAGGACCAATGAGCTCTATGAGCATCTTGCACCAAATTAGCCAAGTAAGCGAAAGATGATGCGTATACCTGTGCAAGTGTCCGGTCCTCCTGCTGATGCAGGCTCTCCCCATCTGTTATTCTTTCCTCCATGAAATTAAGGTCGTTCATATCAATGGGGGCGAAACCGTAATCCTCCTGAGACTCCTCTTCCACTACTGTCTCCCGAGGAAAGTCTGGCAGGGATGGGTCTGGGAAGAAATGGGAGCGCAAGTCGAAGATGACCTTGAAAAGGAGTATGATCTCGTTCAGACATCTTTCGTCGTCTCGAGAAATGACGAGTAGTCGAGGGATAATATCTAAACATTGTCATAACGAGGTTTGTGCGCATGCCGCAGGAGACTTACCTAGCATGCAGCACGAAGGCTGAGGAAAGATTGGCTCCAAAGGAGTCTGGTCGTCATCCATGGTATTGGACAGGAGCACGTCTCTGACAGAAGCGATACTCAATGCGCAAAGCATCGATATCTCCTTCAATTGGTGACTGGTGAATGTTGTTCTGCCTCTTGCAAGCTCTTCGATAAGATTAAGGCACATTTCGGTGATCCAAGCTATGGGCACCTGGATGGGGAGGCCGTAATGACGATGGAGTCTTCCGAATATCATCGCCGTTCGGATACAGATTTGCCGTGACCTTTGGTCTGCCACCTTGAAGTCGATTGTCTTCTTACAGCTACCTATCTGGGCTTGAGCATTTGGTAGATTAGGTGCAACGAAGAAGAGGATAATCTTTATAGTGAGCTGGTTAAACAGAGCTGATAGGTCCTTCTGAGTTGGAGGTTTATCGCGAGTGTATTCCAAAACAGAAGCCGTGGCTAGCATCGAGATCCACTTTCTGGATGTTTGGATATCTTCGCCTGCATCCTGAAGTTTCTTGAACAGAAGTTTGATTAGGATGGTCTGAATGGAATCTTTTGCTTCGAACCGGCGTAAAAGATCCAAGTTCCTGTAGGTGATGAACCGCGGAAACTCGCTTTGTTCGTGAAGCAGATTCATGAACCTGCGCCCTTTTAGGGCTCCTCGAAGTATATCGAAGAGTTGCTTGAACTCATCCTGATCTGCGAGAGACCAATCCCACCGGAAAGCCAGCACATTGCATCGCGCAAATAGCATGCCAGTATAGGTATCCTTTGCGACCAAAGTCGCCTGAGGAACTTTCTTGTCCTTTCCAATCGTCTGTGATAAGTCGATCAAGCTAAGAGCTCTACAGACTATCGGCCAATAGCTTGCCAACCTTCTTCGATCCGTTCCCAGTCCTAATGCATCGATGCTGGAAATGGAACAGAGGCAGAATATTGATGCGAATATGAATTCCGTTTCGTGCACAACCGAGGTGAACGGTCGAGTTGATCGGTCTAATCCGCGCACAACTTGCTTCCAGAAGACGTCTGACGAATCTTTGTTCACTTCAGTTGCGGAGGGGTCGAGGAGGTTGATTTGGATCAAGGCAACCCATAGTTCGAGGGTATACAAAGATAGGGGATCAGCACGAGGTGCATCGTGAAAGGCCAAACAGCTTCTTCGGATGCCAAACTCGAACAGTCTTGACATCAAGCTAATAGCGAAGCGATCTGCCGTTGCGTCGCTGAGGATAAATGTACTAGGCGCCTCCCGTTGCTCCAACGCCAAGATAGCGCAGGCAATTCTGTTGCTGACTTCGACTGCAAACCAGTGGATGGAGAATAGTTCAAGGGTGAACTGTTTGCCTGATATTTGCTTCAGGTTAAGCTCCTCTTCTATTCTCTCCATGAGCAGGACAACCTGGCCTTTAACGTGGTTGAGAACATCCACGCAGTCCTCGTTTCCCGTTTCGACCGACCATGATACGTATAAACAAACGTATCGCGTTAGGTTGTGCAACTGAGCCTGGGCCTCTGGCCCATTGTCGAATGCGGCCTCGTAGAGAAGGTCACAGATAGTCGGTATCTGAACCTGGAATTCGGGTATAGGTATCGAAGGGTCGAAGCGGATGCCAGAGGCATGAAATGGAAGGGGGCGACTGGCGCTACTTCGACCAGAGAGGATGTTGACGAGATCGAGCAGGCGTCCCTGCATTAGCCAAGATGTTTCCGGCAATTGAAAGCCTTCACGAGTCCGTTTCATACCGAATGCCAGAGCAGAGTGGAGGGATATCTCGATGCTTGCGTCCAAGTCCGGTAGATCACTTGATTCCTGCACATAGATGTCGTCGTGGCTACTTGAAGCTGCGTCAACAGCAACAGATCGAGGTTGCGTCGAGCGTGCTGCGTACGGTGGCTTGCTTCGAGTCGGATGACTTTTTGCAGTGAGAGCGTCGACGAGGTCCGCAGAAAATTGAGTATCCCCTCGCATCACAACTGTAACTCCTGACGGACCACGGTCTGATTTTCGCTTCATTGGGTGTCTCTTGTTGACCCCACTGGAAGGTATCGAGACATGGAGTGCATGGTGATCTGAGTCTCTCTCGGGAGGCCTCAGGGAAAGGCGTGATTGGTACGTGCTTCGGGGCTTGGAACCGGTTGAGTGGGAACCAGAATGCTTGCGAGGTTTCACGGTGTTTGATGATTTGCGCTTTGAAATTCCATGGACGGAATTTAGCATCCTGTCTATTCGAGTTTGCACCATTTGTGGCCGTTCGTGACTGGAGAGTCGCTGACGAACTCGTCGGACATCGGAACGCTGGTTGCGAGTACCAGACGAGCCGTCGACTCTCCTGATTATCCCTGCAACTCGGTTGTCCTCCATCGCTTCCATCATGGGGACTCCCTCCATATCCGAGTTGGACATCTCACTTTCGAGGTTGTGTCGGACTTGACGCGATGAATATGTATCACTTCGCTGTTCGCGAAGGTCTTCCTCAACATCGTTGTCAAGGCTTTCACGGTCGGATGTAAGGTCAATAAGCTCGTCGAACGCTGGAGGCGAGACAGAGGCTTCTCTGGCTGGAGTCCGATGCTGTCGGGGTGTTTTGACCCTCGATTGCCCAGGATGTAATGTCACTGCTTCTTCGTCGCCGCTCTCACTAGGATCACTATCTCCAAGGCCACGAGCTCGCCGTCGCGCACGTTCCTCTTCGCGGTCCCGTCGTTGCCTTTCTTGCTCTTTTCGTCTATGAATCGTCATTCAGAGTTGCAGAGACAAGACCTTCATACCTCGCCTCTTCTGCCTTCTTCTGGATAAGAACAGTGGGCCATACTCGACTAAGTATGCGCTGGCGCCTGCGATCCAGTTCGTCCTCTGATTCCTCTTCCTCCATGGATTCATCGGCATCTTCCACCTTCATTTGGCTTGCGGAGCCTTCAGTGTCGTTTTCTGCACTATTCACGCTCTCCATGGCCGAGTCACTTGTGCCTGGCCCGGTAGCCTCCTGATTCTCATCCTCAGGAATTCCCATAGACTTGGACGCTATGTGCGCACTGCGAAGTAGTTCGTCATCATCATCGCTGTCCTCTCCATACAAGCGACGAAGTGCCTCTGCGACCACAGATGGTGAGGCCCTCGGACTTGAGCTCCCATCATTCTGATCAACAGAGTTTTGTGATCTTCGGGGTTTCTCTTGTAGTAGCTTGCGATTCACTGGGCTCCTTTTGGACATTCGGCGTAGAGGTGAGGGTGGAGCTTCCCGAGAAACTGACTTCACCAAATGATTGGGCTTTTTAGGGCGTTTACTGATACTATCCCAGGCTGGAGTTGGGATTGGTGGAAGCTTCTTCGTGTTGGAAGAGGTGCGTTGTCGCTGTGGACTAAAGACAGGAAAAGCCTGGCTTTCTTCCTCGATTTGACTTTGGCTAGCAGTCCACGCAGGATCTTCTTCTTCCAGCTCATCCAGATGTCTCTTATGGGTACGCCGTCGGCTCTCCCGTTCTTCGAGAAGTCGCAATTCTTTGTCTCCGAAGACTTTCTTGTAAGCGGTGTATGGAGCAAAGTTTTTGTTGCTTTCTCGGGTACGTCGACGAGGCGGAGAGGGAGGCGGAGGCGTCAACGAGGGCGAACGTTGGATGGCGTTTGTGGATTGAGGTTGAGAAGTCGTCGGCTTAGGCGATAATCTTTGAGGGCTGCCACCCAGAACCCACTGTTCGCCGTTCGAGCGAGACGATGGCCTCTCATAGACAGCTTCTTGTACTATTTGCTGGTCTCCTGAATGGTCGCTTGGCCGCAGCGGTTCTACCACCTTTCGCCATGTCACTTGTGGCCAGTCCTCCTCCTGTAATTCTTGAGTTGGAGTATCTTGGTAGTGACCTCACTTACACTCTCTGTTTTAGACCCATCAGAGTCTGCGTGATCCGATTTCTGATCACCTGTGTGCTCATCATGTTCATTAGACGGCACACAGACCCCACTAACAGGCTCTTTGACGATGTCCAACGACGTTTGTGTCATCATTGGAGATGAGATGGGAGGCCAACTGCTGGTCTTGGGACTGGATGGCAGATTCTGTAATGATGTCGATGTCACCTTGGTTTGTTTAATCAGGGGATACATACTGTAACGATTTCCGAATCGGATGCGTTGAGTGCCTTGGGAACTATAATCTTGATACTCTGCTGGCTGGCCGGTGTAGCTTCAGAAGACAATGAACGCGCCTGAAACCTTGGTGTTATTGAGACATCGAGCAATAAACGTTCTTCGCTGTCCGAAGTGTCCACTATTGCATCAAGAGAGCCACTTTGCTCAAACTCTTCCGCACCGGCGCGATTAAACTCAGGCCGACTGAGACTAATTGCTACATTGGTGTCACTCGGAGATTTCTGGTGATGCAGTATGCCTTTGGAGCTGGTCTCCTTCGTCGTTACTGAGCCACCAAAGCTGGTCCGACGTCGTTTGACGGGCCGTAGTCTTGAACTCTCATCGCTGTCCATTCATAGGCAAATACGGTCGTTCTGGAGTAGTTTCCAGATGTATATATGATGCTGTGGATATTTGCCTCTGAGAACTCGAGTGGCAAAACGTGTTGTCGCCGCTTCAAAACTTGGACTCTACTTGTTACCCGCCTTAGACTCTACTAATACCAACGCCCGTCCAGCTAATGGGCAGACCATTACCAGCGTCTATTGTAGCAGGTGTTCGACACTCTTTTCGGTCCTCTTCATCGTCCAATTCGTCGTTCAAAACCTTCACCAATGGATGTCGACTGGCGATGGCCAGCACTATCCATCGGCAAGCAATGTCTCTCCATGGCTCTCAGAGTCAACAAAAGCACGCTTTCACAATGCCTGAGGGCTCGCGACGCGCGATTCCATCCGACTTAGCGATCCCCAATTTCGTTGCTGATCAGCAAGCACCGTATAATCTTCCGTTCGAGAAGGAGGATGCCCAACCCAATGATATGGGAGGTCTGGCTTCGTGTTCGCTAACAGACGACCTCAAGTTGCCGTGCAGCGAACCATCTTCATCCCGGACCGTCGAGCGACAAGACGAGCCCAATCTCAGGAAACTTCAACCTGGGGACTTTTTGTACAAGCAAGTTTCGGCGTATCAAAAACAGTGCGTAGGCACTTTGTTTCGTAGCATTCAGCTGTAACGCGCCTCTCTAGCTTCACCCCATTACTCGAGGCGGAACAACATGAAGAGTCCTCGAGAATTCAGGAAAGACTCGGACAATGGCCTCTGGAACTCCTGGTTGCCGAGGGATATGCTTTGGTGGAGCTCTCTGCTTTCCGTTACATTAAGAATGGAGAGAAGGTACATGATGGCTATACGTTTAGCTTCGTACCTCCACCAGGCGAATTCCTCGGTTACAATCTCTTTACGTACGTCGATCTTTGCGTGCTGAGTAGATTCTGAAATTTTTGTAGACGAGCTCAGCACTTGACCGTCGTGCCCAACCCGTACTCTCCCCTGAACTTCTACCACCAACAAGATGTCGACCTTGGTTTCGATGCAATTCCTAGTGGGATAGTGATTCATTCCAGCCCTGAAGAGATAAGAGTCAGGTTTTCGACGAAGGATTTGAAGTTTCCTTCCAATCAGCTGTGGAGATTGGATCTCGCGGCCTGCGATATCGCTTACTTGCGAATGGCGGCGGCGATGGAGTGCTTACGCGACACGCCCACCGAGATTGAACCAGGGGCGTCCCAAGACAAACCTCGTATGAAGGGGACAGTTTTACGGGAGCGTTTGCTTGAAAATTGGCCTACTGAAGGGGCCCGGAACCAAGATGCGATTCGGCCTGCTGGTGTGGGATCTAGCCCTCTCATTGACGATCCCTCTATCCTCGACTGGGCGAACCGGCACTCTATCACACCGCCCGTGCACAAGGAAGGAGACCCTGTCGTCACCCTCAACGCCTCTCAAACACAGGCCATTGCCCTCATGTTCAAAGAGCGGCTCAGTCTTGTCCAAGGGGTATGTTTTACTCTACGTGATCAACAAGCTACTTACGCTTGTGTCTAGCCTCCTGGAACCGGAAAGACCCGCACCATTATTGAAGCTCTGCGCATCCTGAAATCCCATTTCAAAGTGGAACATCCCCTCCTCGTCTGTACCTACACCAACGTCGCGGTGGACAACCTTGTAGAAGGAATTGCCGACGCTGGTATGAATCCTCTTCGCGTCGGGAATGAAGGGGGCGTGCGCGATGGTCTCGAGAAATGGTCCATGCAGGCATGTCTTTTTCGGTTATTCATTCAATCACCTGAACAAAACTGCAGGCCCAAATGGAAAGACACCCTCGATGGCCAGAAGTTGTGAAGATTATGAATGAGATTGCCCAAATCAGACAAATTCGTGATCGATTGCGGCGGGAAATGGGCTCAGCACCTTCAGATCAGCAAAAGGAGTCTATTTGTAAGTCATGGTTGACGCCCAAACAATCCCGTAACGTTTCCCCAGCTCGACTTGGCAACAAGATACATTTACTAAGGGAAAGCAAAGCCAAGCTAGAGTCAGCGATGAGATACATGATTTTCAAATCTGCAGACGTTGTAAGCCTTATGTTACTTGCTGATACCCTATCTCACGTCGATGTTCAGATTTGCACTACTTGCATCACTGCCGGATCTAGCGCATTCCGTATGATGGACTTCCCTGTAGTCTTCCTTGACGAAGCTTCAATGTCGACGGAGCCAGCTTCTCTTATTCCCCTTATGCACGGTGTGAGTCAACTGATTCGGTCTTATTTTCTGCTAATGCCGTGGAAGTGCAAGCACCTAGCCCTGATCGGTGATCACAAGCAGTTACCACCAGTAATCACTAGTGAGTTGGCCAAAGAGGGCGGTCTTGGAAAGAGTTTATTCGAGAGGTTGATCGAAGAGGGTTGTGAGTACTGATGCATCTGTTTTCACTGAGACTAAGGTCACTCTAGCCGTTCCTTCGGTGATGCTCGACACTCAGTACCGTATGCATCCCAGCATTTCTGCATTTCCCAGTGACGAGTTTTACGGAAAGGCGTTGAGGGATGGAACAATCAGTCCCGCTGGTGGCGTCCCTGCCACTCTGGCTCCGCCTCATTCGATGCATCTTGCCAGACGAAAGTCAAAACTTACGGGCGAGATCCCCGCGGTTCTATTTATCCATCACGACAACCACGAGATCAGCCGAGACCGTTCTAGGGCCAACCTCGAGGAGATGAAGATTGTCGCCGCCGTTCTTGAGGATCTCCTTCTCATGAACCCAGGACTTCGAGGACGAGATATTGGAATTATCTCGCCGTACGTCGCGCAAGTCCGCATGTTGAACAAGATGCTCAAAGAGGATTCTTCCTGGGCGGACGCATTCCGAGACGCACTCGGCGACCCTCGGTGTCACGAGCTGCAAGACGTGGAAATCAAGACTGTCGACGGCTTTGAAGGGCGAGAGAAGGAGATCATCATCTTTTCGACCGTCCGTAACAATTCGTGGGGCCATATTGGCTTCCTCGCGGACAGAAGACGGATGAACGTTGCTCTCACACGCGCTAAGCGCGCCTTATTTGTCGTCGGGAGCATATCAACATTGTCCAAAGGTCGTCATGGTGGCAACTTCCTTGACCCAGAGGGTGAGGAAATGGAAAAGGATGTAGCCAAAATGGTGGTTCAAGGTTCGGGAGATGAGTGGAGAAAGTACATCAAATTTATCCTCGCCAAAGAGTTCTTCATCGAGTTCAACCACCCAGTCGACTATCGGTCTCCAGAGGAGATTCAAGAGTTTGAAAAGGTTGCGGAAGCAGCCCACCTGTCTAGATCTACGTAAAACCATTCTAACCTGTTGTACACTTTACTTTCTTGGGTGTCATTACGCATAGATGTTGTATTAACACGCAATTCGACTTATACTAAAGACGAATTTACAAGCAGATAGAAGCAATAAACAAACAATCGATCCAATTCATGGTGAGAAGGCAAGACCGCTCATACTCAGCGGCTATAGGGGTGATAGTTGTGCTGGTGACCTCGTCCCATGCGCGCAGGTCCAAGTCCTCCACTGGGTCCAGTTGGGACGCCTGCCATGCCGCTTCCACCTTGAGCGCCTCCTTGGATATTACCAGGGCCACCACCACGCATCGCAGCTGGGCCGCGAGGAATGTTACCGCCTCGCATGCCGCCTTGAGGGCCATCGTTCATCCCTCCACTTCCCCGCATTCCACCTCCCATTCCAGAGGCGGAGGTTCCGGCAGGCATGTTCATCCCACCACCACCCATCATAGGGTTATTCATCATGCCCATTCCCATGTTCATTCCCATACCCATGCCAGGGTTCATACCCATTCCGCCGCTCATGCCCATTCCTCCCCATCCCATTCCGCCTTGCCCACCACCCGCTAGCTGAGCCATGCGCTGGTAGAGAGTCGCGAGTGCTTGAGGATCGAACGGCGTACCACCTCCTCCAGTACCGCCCATATTGCCGGCACCATAATTGGTATTGCTGTATCCTCCTCGGTTCTGGCTGCGGTCCGAATTCAAGCCAGCACGGGGTTGAGCCATCTTGACTTCGATCTAGTCGCCCAGAATTAGAAACTCGACTCTGAGCGATGAACTACATACCGTCTTGCCGTCAATTGCCAGACCTGGCATACCAAATAGTCTCTCTGCGCCAGACTGGTCATCAAATGTGACAAACCCAAAGCCTTTGCTTCGGCTAGAGTCGCGATCGACCATGACGGTGGCATCAATGACCTTGCCAAACTGCCCGAAATACTCTTTGAGCCCTTCATTCGTGACCGAAGGCGCAAGTCCCCCAACGAACATTTTGACCGTTCGTTGGTGCTCCGTGCGAGGAATGGCGCGCTTGGGATCAATCTAGAGAATGTAAATCATCTGATGCAACCGAGGTTGGAGGCGACTGACAATCTTTCCATCAAGATAATGCTCTTGAACCATGACCTTGTTTACCGCCGCGGGATCTTCAAAGGTCAAAAAGGCAAACCCACGGGAGCGACCAGCTGGATCGCGCATAATGGTGCAAGCCTCGACTCTGCCAAACTGGGAGAAATAGTTGCGCAGTCCATCTACGGAAAATAAAATGTTATGGGAAATGCTAGCTGCAACTACGAGAGTACGCTACCATCAGTCGTGTCCCAGTTGAGACCTCCAACAAACATTTTCCTGAAGGTTCATGTCGACCGTCGAGCCGTATTCATGAATGAGCGTTGATGAAAGGGGCGACATAGGCGTAATAAACGAGTATAGACCAGATTATGCACAGGCAGGACGGCGTCGTGCAGCTATCAGTATCGTATGCTAGGTATGCGACGTAACAAATAAAGAAAGGAACTTGTCTGTAAAGTTGGATGTCGTGATGGACTAGGTAGTCGAGTGTACGACGAAAGTAGGCGAGTATACGACGAGCGAAAATGATACGATCGAGCCCCCGACGTTCCAATGTCCAACCAACGCGTCGAAAACAGACACTGTTCAATCATCGAATAAGATAAAAGACTCACCCTTCATCTTTCATGCCACTCTGCCTTGAAGAGTCGACAGATTCAATGGTATGGATTGGAGCCCCGCTAGGATTCGGTGGTAGGCCATGTGTCGAATTGACATTGCTTGAAGAAGCCGTGTTCCTTGCGTTGCTGCTTGTCCCCATTGATCCAGCAGAATGTGAGTCCTCGGTAAATGTTGGAATGGGGTTTGTCAGCGGTTCTTCAATTTTCGCGCTCAACGCGGCCGAGGTTTCAGTTTTATTCGTTCCATTTATCGGCTTCGTATCCGCTGGGGCAGACTTGCTGCTAGTCTGAGCTGGCTTGACGGGCTCTGACGATCCTGCCGTCTCTTCGTTTGATTCCGGTTGCTCATCTTCGTATCCATTGAAATCTCCACCATCATTTCCGTAGAGGTCTAGACCAGAAGATGAGCTGTGAGCTGTCTCTGGTAGCGTCCGCGCTTACCGCCATAAAGATCGTCATCGTTGGCTGAATTCGGATCTCAATGAATGGCTTAGATCAAATGAGAAATGAGAACATACACATTTTGGAGTTTGTGAATGAAATAAGTGGCAAGAGGTCGACAAAGCCGGGTCCAAAGTTGGATTGCGCCCATTCTCTGCCACCGTCAAAGTCATTGCTCACACACTCGATGCATGGACTCTTTTGTATACTCTGGTCAGCTCTGCTTGTTACCAAGAACCCCCCACTCAGACTGTCCACAGAACACGACACGCAGGCGGAGCAACTCGTCGAGTCGTTGAATTTGCTGCTCGACAATGTCGAAATTCCGCTGCAAATTGACACTCTCTACGACCTAACACCCAGCCTATTGCTCATGATCCTCGAGAATTGCCTTAAATCCCGCTTGCCTCTTCCAGACAAGCTTCGCAGACTTCAAACTCGTATGTAGTGTCCATACCTTACTTAAGATGCTTATATTATATAGCCGAGTCAAAAGTCGAAGTCATCAAGATGTTCCTTGGTGTGTTGGGCAACGACGTCTTGCAGGTGGATCTCTCAAGCATGGACCCACGACGGGTGAGCGAAGGAGAATGGGAGGAACTCGTATATGTCGGGGAGCTTCTTATCACCGCGTCAAAGAATCTGGGACTACTAGGCGAGGACCAGATCGTCGATGCCGACTCCCAGGTTTCCTATAGTCTTGACGACGTTGATAACTCGACATATTCGAATCTCTCTGCGTTGAAGATTGATACTCGCGATAATAGCCGTTCAACTCGATCGCAAGCCTCTCTAACAAGCCCTACCAAGCATACCCTTGCTAACAGGTCGACTTTGACGCCAAGAAGTCCTAATCAAACCATGAAGCCGACCTCTTCTCGTCTTCCGGAACGTCAATCAACCCCCCCACCCACCCCATTAGTGGTTTCTCCGCGGGCTGCTAAGCGGAATCAACTCTCGAACTATGACTATAGCGCCCAGTCTGTGTGCACCTGTGCACACCAGGAGGATTTGACGAGTTCAACGATGCATTGCCATTGTGACCTGCATAGTGGCATCGATGGCGCGTCGGCTTCCTCCTTTGACGATACGTGCGATCAAACAAATGAGACGATCACGGATATATGGGGCAATAGTGGGAATCTGCGCCAAGAACGTGATTTTGGTAGTCGTATCGCTAATAAGAAGGTGCGCTTTACCGAGTTGCGAAGGAGTCGTCACGCTTATTCACATAATTTAGCTTAGTTGGAACACAGGAACCTCCCAGAGCCGTCCACCACGTATCTCGGACGAGTTTCTGCGCCTTAGGTCCGGCTCGTCTCTGGAGCATTAGGGTCTTGTGGTCTCCGGCCACCATCCTCTGGCTACGGCTCAACATGTCGCATATCTCAAAGTCAATCTGAGGACCAATTAAGCAACTCCCAGGTCCCGAGAGAGATGCTGGAAAGACAGGCCGCCCTTGCTGAGGCGCTTCCTTTATTGGGATACTTTTCATTTTTATTCCATCACGGATTTGATCATGGGCACTCACCAGTCATATGTAAAAGAACATAGGATAACTCATTTTGACACCGCCTCTTGTCAACCAGCTTCAGTCGCCATCAGGCTGTTCCCAGCTCTGTTCAAGACAAGCGCTAAACTATATCTTGTCCACGATTTCAACTCTCAAAAATGCTGCAATCACTTCTCTTCTCACCTCTCGTCTACGCAGACCAGGTCCACGTCGTCAATAAACCTCGAGTACGAGTCACGACAGCACTCGTCAACTTTCATGCTCGCATCATTGATCAATGGGGAGATGGAAGTGGCAAACTGTGGACCATCGCCAACGACTCTTACCATCCTTTTGCTCATCGCCAATTTGGCGGAGGTACGCGGCGAGAGATCAGAGGAACCAACATGTTCGGAAGTGGATATCCATACGGAGCATGGAATACGACCAGTATCGCATGTCGCTTGTTTCCATTTGGCGTGTGGCCTCTGCATTGGGGGGACTTCATGGACTCGGATGAAGTTGGTGCTCGGTTGGATGCCATTCGTCCAGGAGGTCATCTTTCAGTCGTTCCACTGAGAGCGACAAAGGATAACTTGACAGTCTCGCCGGACGAGGTATACTACGCGGTCGGAGACTCACAATCTCTACTCTCTATCCTAATCTCGTACGTGACCTGGTGTCATGCGAGTCTAGCATGGCCAACGCGCTTCGATCCGATGTCCCCGAACACAAAAGTCAAGCTGGATAATGTACTGATGTACTACCGGGCTAGCAGTTTCGCACTTGCGTCCCCCACATACAACAACACCAACAGTCGAAACGCATCGTATCAGCCAATAACAGAATGGATACCGAAGGCAGCCAAAAACTCACCATTCTGGCATTGTCTAGACTCAACGACGGCCAACGCGCTGCCAATTATGAACCCGCCGCCTCGACCACCCGGATACAAGAGTATCCCTAAACTTTTTGCTGCGCTTTGGTGGATCCTTGTGCCAGGTGCATGGGTAATTTTGGTGATCATTGGCTCGGCTGTTTTGGATAATCCGGGATTGGGTATGGAACTTTGAGGAGAACTGGCAGATACTTCCAGGGAGAATCAAGGAAGGAATAAAGAAAACCAAAGAAGCATGTCCGTGGGTAGCTGCACTAAAGGCGAAAGAGTCCGCAATGATTGCGGGGAGGGGGAGGGAGGCACGCCAGGCGGAGTTGGCATACGAGGGATTCCCTTGACAATCTACGTCGCCGTGTGACTAGTTTAATTTTTCTGGATTCATCGGGTCGTTAGGGGTGTCTGGAATTCGTTGGAGTGAGAAAGGGGGAGTAAATTTATTTATGGGAGTCATGACCGTATAACAGTTGTTTAGATGTTTAGATTGGATATCCGACTAGACTACAAAGTCGAGGTCTGGCGACCCGTCGGATCAAAGAGAAACCAAGAGGAATAGCAAACAGTAAGTATCGTTGTCAAATAGTGTATTCCTATTGGTTTGCCTCACTTTAGGGTTTTATCTCCGATGGTTAGGCTTTGCCCTTCGGCAACCGGTCGAATTGACGCGCAATTGACGCTTGCACCTTGGACTCGCCCACAACAGAAGTTGAACGCATTTGAGACCCTGTTTCGAGGCATATACAAAGGCAGAGAGCATACTAGCTTCGACACAACACGACGTGATGCCGCGGCTCTGCCTTTTTGTCCTCGTCCTTCTCCTTACCGCGTTTCCCGCAACGGCCAAGCTCTCTGTGAAGAATAAACCACAGATACGCGTGACAACCTCTTTTGCAAATTTTGATGCACGCATTATGAATCATTGGGGTGGCGGAGGCGGCGCGACATGGACGATTTCAAACGACTCTGTGCATCCCTTTGTCGGTAGAGAGTTTGGAGGAGCGAAGAGGAAGCAAATCGCAGGTACTCGATCCTTTGGAAGCGGGTATCCGTGGGACAAGGACGACCCGACGACGCTCAGCGGGCGAGGCTTCCCATTTGGCACCTGGCCGATTTGGTGGGGGAACGATTTCATGGGGACAGACGAGTACAACTCTACCAAGGATACAATACGACCCGGTGGGCAGCTCGTCACTGCTCCAGTTCAACTAATCAAGGCGGGTTCACCATTCACCAATGCGACCGAGGACGAGATGTACTATGTACTCGGAGACACGCAGAGTGTGACGTTTATGATGATTTCGTTTGTCACCTGGTGTAATGTAAAACCGGCTTGGCCAACAAAGTTTGACCCCTTGTCGCCCAACACGCCGATACGACTGGAGAACGTTTTCCAGTACTATCGCGCCAGCTCATTCGCGCTCGCATCGACTCTGTACAACAACACGTTTGCGCGAACATCGATTGCCAATTCGACGGAGAGCTCACCGCTTCCGGGGCAAGTGGAGTATTCGGACTATCGACGATGTGTCGATAGTGTCATCTCCAACGCGCTTCCCGTGATGAACAAACCACCGGTCGTAGTAAAGAAGTCGGTGACATATGGAATCATCTTCGGCATATTTGGTATCCCAATGCTGATTGCCGCGGTATTGGTGGTCGTGTGGGTTTCGATGGCCATAGGGGCCATTTTTTCAGGAACAAAGTTACGAATAAAGCAGTCAGCTACCCGCAAAGCTCGAGAACAAGAGGAGAGACAAGCGGCGCTGGCTTATGAATCTTTCCCTTGATCAGAATTTCTTCTCGTGATACTGTCATTTTACGCCATACACTGTACAAGTTTTCTAAAGCCGTACTTATCCCCTCGATAACGTGGTGGGGTGTAATAAGACCTGTCTTGAGCCACTTCTTGTCACCTTCCAATAGCCGTCTTCCCCACCCCCCGTGAGGAAGACGCAAGGCCGCACTGCATGACGCTTGACCACCCTACAGTCAGCCCAAACCTCGGACCAATGCTTAGACTGCCCATCTTGAACTTGTTATGCCTCTTACCAGTCATTCACACTGGTGGAGTATTCTGACTATCGACGATGCGCGGATAGTGTCATCTCCAACGCGCTTCCCGTAATGAACAAGCCGCCGCGTGTAAAGAACAAGTCGGTGACATACGGGATCTTCTTTGGGATTTTGGGATCCCGATGCTGGTAGTTGCAGGATATTTGCTGGCTGGTATTTGGTATTTTATTGTGGCCGTTTGGGAGCATATGAGGAAAGGGAAGCAGGTCTTGCTTACGAGGCATTCCCTTGATCGCTTTCTATTCTCATTTTTATTTTGCCTTTCATGTGTACTCTATTCATATCCTGGATTCGACATTGCCGAAGCCGCACTCATAAGGGCTTGGCGAATGGCTGGCCACCCGTCTTCCCCACCTCGTTCAAGGAAGACGCCAAATCTCCCTATATCATAGTTGCCCACATCTTAGCGCCTACTACAACTCTTAAAAGATGCTACGACTGCTCATCTTGAACCTTTCGTCTATTTTGCCAGTCATCTACGCACATAAAGTGCACGTCGGAAACAAACCTCAAGTACGAGTCACGACAGCTCTCGTCAACTTTCATGCTCGCATCATGGATCAATGGGGAGATGGAGGCGGCAAGACATGGACGATCGCCAATGATTCCTACCATCCTTTTGCTCATCGCCAATTTGGGGGAGGCAAGCGGCGAGAGATTAGAGGAACCAACATGTTTGGAAGTGGGTATCCATATGGAGCGTGGAATACGACGAGCATTGCACGCCGTTCATTTCCGTTTGGCGTGTGGCCTCTGTACTGGGAAGACGACTTTATGGATTCAAGTGAAGTCGGTGCTCAGTTGGATACCATTCGTCCTGGAGGACATATCTCGATCGTTCCATTAAGAACGACAAAGGAAAACTTTACTATCTCGCAGGACGAGGTATACTACGCGGTTGGAGATTCACAGTCTCTCATCTCGATCCTCATCTCGTACGTGACCTGGTGTCACGCGAGCCTAGCATGGCCAACACGTTTCGACCCCACATCCCCAAATGCTACGGTCAAGTTGGAGAACGTCTTGCAGTACTACCGCGCGAGTAGCTTTGCACTTGCGTCGCCTGCATACAGCAATCCCAACAGTCGGAACGCATCCTATCAGCCAACGGGAGAATGGATCCCGGAAAAGATCAAGAATTCGCCATTCTGGAAATGCCTGGACTCGACGACGGCGAGTGCATTGCCAATTATGAACCCACCACCAAAGGAGCCTGGACACAAAATTTTGGCTAGGCTTGCGGCCCCGCTCTGGTGGGCTCTTCTTGGAGGAGCAGGGATTGTATTATGCATCATTGCCTTCATTTGTTGGTTAATCAGGTACTACGCATGGAACTGGCGAGGGATTTTGGAGGAGAAGGAGCGGCAAAGGATGAAACTTCGAGACGAAACATTGTTTCAATATGAACAATTTCCATAGAGAGGTTGAATTAATATCCGTACTCTTCACTGTGTGCATATACTAAGTCTGACGTATGCAGGTTGGTCAAACCAACCCAGCACTATTCAAAGTGATGGTTCAATTACTACGTCTGTACAAATGATAGGTGTCTACCTGGATATTCCAGCTAACGTTTGGTTCGGCCACATCGTATTTTGGACCAAACACCACTCTCATGCAGCACGAACGGCACCCATGCGGCAGACTTGGACTCTTCCACATCCAGGTATTTCAACTCTCTCTTGTAGGAATTAACCAACGGTCATAAACCGCAGCATGCTCCCACTTCCGGTGTTGGTCATGTCCTTCCTGGCGTTGACCGTCCCCGCCAGAGGGAACAAACCGCAGGTGCGAGTGACAACTTCGTTTGCAAACTTTGATGCACGCATTATGGATCATTGGGGAGGCGGTGGAGGTGCAACATGGACGATTTCAAACGACTCTGTCCACCCATTCGTGGGCAGGCAATTCGGAGGGGCGAAGATGAAGCAGATCATGGGTACTGGAGCCTTTGGAAGTGGGTATCCCTGGGACAAGGACGATCCGACGACGCTCAGTGGGCGAGGCTTCCCATTTGGCACCTGGCCCATCTGGTGGGGGAACGACTTTATGGGGACAGACGAGTACAACTCGACCAAGGATACTATACGACCCGGTGGACAGCTCGTCACTGCTCCAGTCCAACTAATCAAGGCGGGTTCACCATTCACCAATGCGACCGAGGACGAGATGTACTACATACTCGGAGACACGCAGAGTGTGACGTTTATGATGATTTCGTTTGTCACCTGGTGTCATGTGAAACCAGCTTGGCCAACAAAGTTTGACCCCCTATCGCCCAACACGCCGATACGACTGGAGAACGTTTTCCAGTACTATCGCGCCAGCTCATTCGCGCTCGCATCAACTCTTTACAACAACACGTTTGCGCAAACGTCGATTGCCAACTCGACGGAAAGCTCATCGCTTCCGGGGCAAGTGGAGTATTCGGACTATCGACGATGTGTCGATAGTGTCATCTCCAACGCGCTTCCCGTAATGAACAAGCCGCCGCGTGTAAAGAACAAGTCGGTGACATACGGGATCTTCTTTGGGATTTTTGGGATCCCGATGCTGGTAGCTGCGGGGTATTTGCTGGTATTCCTTTGGTATCTGCTGGCTTGTGTCTGGTCCCTTATTGTGGCCATTTGGGAGCACAAAGCGGTCATCTTCTCCTCGGTGAGGTCGCGAATCGAGGATGCTGCTACTCGCAAAGCTAGAGCAAAGGAGCAAAGGGAAGCAGGTCTTGCTTACGAGGCATTCCCTTGATCGCTTTCTATTCTCATTTTTATTTTGCCTTTCATGTATACTCTATTCATATCCTGGATTCAACATTGCCGAAGCCGCACTCATAAGGGCTTGGCGAAATGGCTGGCCACCCGTCTTCCCCACCTCGTTCAAGGAAGACGCCAAACCCCCCTATACCATGGTTGCCCACATCTTAACGCCTACTACAACTCTTAAAAGATGCTACGACTGCTCATCTTGAGCCTTTCGTCTATTTTGCCAGCCATCTACGCACATAAAGTGCACGTCGGAAACAAACCTCAAGTACGAGTCACGACAGCTCTCGTCAACTTTCATGCTCGCATCATGGATCAATGGGGAGATGGAGGGGACAAGGCATGGACCATTGCTAATGATTCCTACCATCCTTTTGCTCATCGCCAATTTGGGGGAGGCAAGCGGCGAGAGATTAGAGGAACCAACATGTTTGGAAGTGGGTATCCATATGGAGCGTGGAATACGACGAGCATTGCACGCCGTCCATTTCCATTTGGAGTGTGGCCTCTGTACTGGGGGGACAACTTTATGGATTCAAATGAAGTCGGTCCTCAGCTGGATACTATCCGCCCTGGAGGACATATTTCGATCGTTCCATTAAGAACGACAAAGGAGAACTTTACGGTATCACCGGATGAAGTGTACTACGCGGTTGGAGACTCGCAGTCTCTCATCTCGATCCTAATCTCGTACGTGACCTGGTGTCATGCAAGTCTATCATGGCCAACGCGCTTTGATCCGACGTCCTCGAACACGACAGTCAAGCTGGAGAATGTACTGATGTACTACCGGGCCAGCAGTTTCGCACTTGCGTCACCCGCATACAACAATCCCAATAGTCGGAACGCATCCTATCAGCCAACGGGAGAATGGATCCCGGAAAAGATCAAGAATTCGCCATTCTGGCAATGTCTAGATTCAACGACGGCGAGTGCATTGCCAGTTCTGAATCCACCCCCAAAGGAATTTCGAGATGATATTATCATCATCGTCTTGACTTCACTATGGATGGTGGCTCTTGCTGTGCCTGCCCTTATCCTCTACGTGATTGGGTGGTGCTGCTTCAAATGCAGGGATTTTATATGGGATGAGTTGGAACGGACAGCACAGCTAAGCAAGGAAAGAGTGGAGAGAATGGAGAATCTTGAGTACGAACAATATCCGTAGCAGAGAGCAGCCCCGTCTTCTGTAAATAGGCTTTTCATTTGATTTGATTTACTTCAAGGAGCTCCAAAGGATTGGCTTGGCATTCGGCGACCGGTCAAATTTGACGCGGAATTTGCGATTTGGCGCGTAATAGAATATAGATAGCTAGTCTGGACTCACCACCAAGAGGCACCGGATGCCCTTATCCTTTAGCCCATAAGGATCTTGAGCGATATAAACCACAGTGCTCACCACACGATGCTGCCATTCTCGTCAATTGTCCTCGCCCTGACATGCCTCTTTGCCACGCTCCCCGCGACCGCAAAGCTTGACGTGAAGAATAAGCCACAGATACGCGTGACGACCTCTTTTACAAACTTTAATGCGCGCATCATGGATCATTGGGGAGGCGGTGGGGGTGCGACATGGACAATTTCAAACGACTCTGCGCATCCCTTTGTGAGCAGGCAGTTTGGAGGGGGAAAGAGAAGGGATATTCGCGGTTCCAAGACATTCGGAAGCGGGTATCCTTGGGACAGCGACGATGCCAGTACGCTCAACGGACGAGGGTTCCCATTCGGCGTTTGGCCACTTTGGTGGGGGAACGATTTTATGGGAACAGATGAATACAACTCGACAATGGACACGATACGACCTGGTGGCCAACTCGTCACTGCAGAGGTCAAATTGACCGATCCGAAGTGGTACAGGGGCTCGACCAAGGACGAGACGTATTACGTTCTCGGAGATGTTCAAAGTGTCACATTCATCATGATCTCCTTTGTCAATTGGTGCCATACCACACCGGCCTGGCCGAGGAAATTCGATCCTCTGGCCGCTAATACACCGATAAGGCTGGAGAACGTGATCCAGTACTACCGAGCCAGCTCGTTCGCACTCGCCTCCACACTCTACAACAATACATTTGCCCGGACGACGTCCGCCAACTCCACAGGAGCTCGCCACTCCCGCAACAAGTCGATCGCTCGGAGTTTCGGAAATGCGTCGACGGTGTCATCGCCAATGCACTTCCAATCATGAACAAACCGCCTCGGATAATCAAGCCGTCCCTCAAGTGGGGTCTCATCTTCGGCCTCAATGGCATTCCAATATTGGTTTTAGCCTTTTACACCGTTACTTTGTCCTATGGTTTGTTGATTTTGATATGGAGACACGTGAAGGTTTTTCTGTGGGGACGCACGTTGACACCAAACGAAAAGGAGCAGAGGGAAGCCGAGCTTGACTACGAGGCATATCCATAGTATGTACATATAATACAGCTTTTCATTCGCTGGCAATTCTTCTGTACATTGATCGCGGTACCGCAACCTTGAATATAGCACCCTGTGGCGTTCCACTCCTGACCCTGCCTGAAACCACGCTAATTCGTTTCGAAGCCTATGCGCCAATTTGTATCTATATTCAATTCCTCATGAATATTCATATGCGGAAACAACGCCTCCGCATGTTTGACGATGGTTTAGAGCAGGCGAGATCCATCAAGGCCGACTCTGAAGAGTCCCAATCATTAAAGCCACTTGCGAACAGTGCCAGCAGTCTTGTTTTACTATTTGAACAAGTCAAAGTACGTTCTTTGGACGCGGGGGTTGACGGCGGCTAACTCTCTCAGGAGAACGGCAGGAAGGACGCGTGGATTGGCTTGTGTCAAGACCTATTGTCTCAAATATCTGACATACACAAGGATCTACTGGAATGCGGATCAATGCCCGGGGATCTGACGGCGCTCCTAGAAGCGTTTGGTCAATATGAAAGGTAAAGTTGTCCATATGGACATACGAGTTATGATGAAACTTGAATCTAGTTTACTGGAGAATGCTCTGGAGGGAGCGAGAGATGCATGGAGTTCGGAGGAATTGAGGTTGGTGGACCGGGACGCAGATAGGAGGTGGAAGGACGTCATGGTATGTCTACGTTTCAACAGAAACGATATATACTAAAGGGGACGTAGAGGGAAGTCTCTATACTCCTTCACAGGAACACCCTCAATGAAAGTGGCTAAGCACTTGGTCTTGGTGGCCGGAACTACTTGCAGAATTGATATTATTCATCTTCTGCAGTAACTCTACGTAATATTCCCTGCAAGATGCACTTCCCAGTTGATCGCCCCCATGACTTTGCTCTAATCGAGATAGGCTTGTATAAGTATTCTATGCGAATTTACATTCCTCCTTCGAACGGTGGATATTCGGGTAGCCTTTAGTGTTCGCGTGCGCACTGTCGCCTCTCCGCCGGCCACGTCCCGTCTTCTTCGAATCATTCATCTTGGCGGTCGGCGGCAGCGCGCCTCTTGGTCCGCACCACAAGATGAGAGCGCCGTCGCTATTCATAAAACTCCTACTGCTGCAGCTCGTTAGCGCAGGATCAGTTAAAGTCCAGAACAAGCCACAAGTGCGCATCACCACTGCATTTGTCAACTTCCATGCACGCATAATGGATCAATGGGGAGATGGAGGAGGCAAAGCGTGGACCATTTCCAATGATTCATATCACCCATTTGTCGGTCGCGAATTTGGAGGTGCAAAGCGACGAGATATCCGCGGGTCCAATGCGTTTGGCAGTGGCTACACGTACGGAGTGAAGGATACATCGATAGTGTCTGGTCGAGCGTTTCCGTTTGGTACTTGGCCGCTGTATTGGGCGGACAATTTCATGAACTCGACGACGGAGTACGGGTCACATCTCGACGCAGTCCGACCTGGTGGACATCTGTCAGTGGTCTCACTGAGATCGACGAATGGTCAGATCGACACTGCCCGAGACGAGGTGTACTACGCTATTGGAGACTCACAATCTCTTCTTGCGATTCTCGTCTCGTACGTGACATGGTGTCATGCAGATCTAGCATGGCCGACTAGATTTGACCCACTGTCTCCCAATGCGACTGTCAAGATGGAAAACGTCTTGCAGTATTACCGAGCGAGCAGCTTTGCCCTCGCCTCGGTTTCCTTTACCAACCCTCAGGCTCGAAATGTCTCCTACGATGGGACATATGCGATACCAGATCGCATCAAAGACTCTCCATTCTGGCAATGTCTCGACTCGACAACCGCCAGTGCCCTTCCCATCATGAATCCTCCTGCGAAAGGGCCACAAACTGGCAAAATAATAGCCATCGTATGCCCCCTCCTCTGGCTAATGTTAATTGCCGCCTGGTATCTCTTTGGCATGCTCTATTTCGGATGTCTCGAACTCAGGGACCTGATATGGAACTTTGACTTGAGAATGGCAGAGAGGAAGGAGACTCTTAGGTTGAGGAAGGAATCGCAGATGGAGGCAAAGATGAGAAGGGATTTTGAACTTTTCAAATATGAACTTTTTCCCTAGCATTCACATATCATATTCCCTATCTATAGAACTCACTCAGACCTTGACCCCCCCCCATATCGAGGCTAATCCAGATAGATAATTGACCGTCCTCTGCAGTCTCTTATCTCTTAATGAGATCACATGGATATATATTTGGGTGCTGAGACGGAACAGTAATTCTAGACTCGAGCTGTATGACACACAGCCAGACGCATGTTCCCCATGCAGCCGTGTGTTGCAGCTATTCTGGGAACACCGAATGATATGCGACCATATTTCGAAACGAGACGGTCTGCCAGCTCGTCTGTCCCGTAGCTTGGTATTTATATTGAGCAAAAGGTGCTGGACGACGATGAGCGCACCTTCTGTCTACGATGTTCGCCTCCAACTTACTATCATTCCTCTTCCTTTATGGACTAATTGCCCGAGTAGCCTACGCTGGACGTGTGCACTTCGATAACAAGCCCCAAGTCCGCGTTACGACCTCGTTCGTCAACTTCTACGCCCGTATCATGGACCAATGGGGAGACGGTGGAGGAAAGACATGGGTTATCTCTAGTGACTCTTCCCACCCTTTCATCGGTCGGCAATTTGGTGGCGCAAAGCGAACCAGCATTCGGGGGACCAATGCCTTTGGACGCGGATACCCTTACGGTGTGAATGATGCATCTACAGTAGCTGGGAGACCCTTTCCCTTCGGGGTCTGGCCGCTATGGTGGCCCGACGACTTCATGGGCTCGGATGAAGTTGGTCCACACCTTGATGGTATCCGACCAGGTGGGCATATTTCGATCGTCGAGTTGAAAGCAAACAAAGAAGAATGGAGTAAGTCGAACGACGAGACATTCTTTGCTTTGGGAGACTCGCAATCTCTCCTCTCGACACTGGTTTCTTATGTGACATGGTGTCACACCTCACGAGTGTGGCCCGTGCGATTCGACCCAAGATTACAAAACGCGACGGTCAAACTGGAGAACGTATTGCGCTATTATCGCGCAAGTAGCTTCGCACTCGCTCATCCCACCTATACGAACCCGTCTGCCCGAAACGCAACATCCCAAGGTACAACATCACTTCCCGATGGTATACAGAACTCTAGGTTCTGGCAATGCCTCGACGAAATTACGGCGAGCGCATTGCCGATTATGAACCCACCGCCGGACAACCGATTTTGGCGGGTCTTTCCACTCGTCTACCGCTTCACTTACTGGTTGATGTTCATTATCGGATGTGCAGCGCTGTACTTACTGGCCATCACTATCGCTAAGCTACGAGACATCTTGTGGAATTGCGACCTTATCGTGGGGGACTGGATGCAGGCCCGAAGAGAGAGCAAAGCGCAGACTGCCAGGGATCAACGTCCACCGAGTCCCGAGTATGAAACGTACCCATGACAATACTCAGAATACTAGACTGAACGGAATGGCTTTTGATTTATTTCTTTATGTAGCCCAATTAGGTCTACGAAGAAGATTGAACCTGTACTACAGTAACTCTTTAAATTTATTTCGTAATGGCATGGAACAAGCGTCCACTATGAAGCGAGAACAACTGAGACGTCTTCCTCCGCATTTCAAACTTGCTCCCTCCGCCGACATAGCCAGATAGTCATCTCCTGCCGTTTGCCAGCCATGCCAAGTTTGCCTAGGCGAACCAAGGGACAGCTCGCTTGTCTCTTCCCAAATCTGACCAAAACAGATGGTAGATGAATTGCTTACATCGAACGTTCTGTAATGAGGACTGCGAGATGCCGAGGGTCTGGGAAGAGAGCGATAGGAGTCGCTGATATGGTAGAATCGAAGGACAGACGATAGTATTTGAAATCTTCACTGAGCTCACGAGACTATCATGCCACCTCGCATGTTCCACCTTGGACCTTCCCGTGTCGAGGCTTATCCCAGGACAAGGTTAACCAGCCTCTGCAGTCTCTTCATCTCACCACGAGGCCACACGGGTGCATCCTCGTGCGTCGAGACTTACGATAGCATCAGCACCGAGCTGTATGGAACACAGCCAGAGTAGCGCTCTCCATTGAATGATGTCCGGGGCCTGTTCTGAGACCTCCGAGAGATTTACGACCATCCTCTGGTTGAGAGGCGCTCTATCAGCTCAGCCCTAGCTCGATATTTATATTCGGCGAATGTGTGGTGCGGTGAGAGTTACTTTTGTCTACGATGTTCCCCATTAACCTTTTATCATTCCTCACTCTTTATGCACTACTAGTCCGAGTTGATGCTGGACGTGTGCACGTCGACAACAAGCCTCAGGTCCGCGTCACGACTTCATTCACCAACTTTGACGCTCGAATTATGGACCAGTGGGGAGGTGGAGGAGGAGCAATATTCATTGTCAGTTTCGATGACCCGCTCCATCCTTTCATGGGTCGGCCATACGGTGGCGGAAGTCGACACGACGTTCGGGGTACCAATGCGTTTGGGAGCGGGTATCCTTACGGCAAAATGAATGCATCGATAGTGTCCGGACGACCATTTCCTTTTGGTGTTTGGCCATTATGGTGGGCCGACGACTTTATGGGCTCAGGCGAAGTTGGCCCACATGTCGATGTTATTCGACCCGGTGGACACGTTTCAATCGTCGAGTTGAAACCGGATAAACGACACTGGAGCGAGTCAAGCGACGAAACATTCTTTGCGATTGGAGATTCACAATCTCTTCTCTCAATCCTCGTCTCTTATGTAACGTGGTGTCACGCATCGCGAGCATGGCCCATGCGATTCGACCCAAGACTATCAAATGCGACGGTGAAGCTGGAGAATGTACTGCGCTACTACCGCGCAAGCAGTTTCGCCCTCGCTAGTCCCTCCTACAGAAATCCATCTGCCCGAAATGCTACATCTCGTGGCACAACGTTGTTGCCTGGTCCTATTCAGAGCTCTGGGTTCTGGCAGTGTCTGGACAGTGTCACTGCAAATGCGCTGCCAATCATGAATCCGCCACCGGAAAAGTATGTGTACAGGCTTAACTAGTACGACAGATTGCTTCAAGCGACGAGCGTCACTTCCTGTCTTAGGAGAACTCTTTATGACACCTGGCCATCAAGATTTAACAGTGGAGAAGAGAGCTCTCGGGCCAAGGAAGATTTGCCAACAGGGGGAGGGAGAGACGAGGACTTAAACTATTTGACTATTTGATGTAATTTCTTTAACCCTCTATGAAAATTTTTCTTTCTGATTCATTTGCTAACCGGCGCAACGACAGCTTTCGTGTAATAACCAACCTTGGACATCTCCACATCGAAGTTGATCCCGAAACGATATCAGCCGTGTTCTACAGTCCCTCTAGCTCTCACAGGATCACATGAGTATTTCCTCGTGCGCCGAGACTGCACTACAATGCTAGCATCGAGCCGTATGACCACACAGCCAGACGCATGTGCCCGATGAATCTGTGTTATGTATCTATTATTAGACCCGGGGGATTTGCTACCATCCTTCGGTAGCGAGACGCTCTGCCAGCTCGTTCCGTAGCTTGGTGTTTATATTGGGAAAACAATCTAGACGACAGTGAGCGTTACTTCTACCATGCTCTCCCCCAAATCGTTCTCACTTCTCTTTCTTCATGCGCTAATCATCCCAGTAGCCGACACTGGATATGTGCACGTCGACAACAAGCCCCAAGTCCGCGTTACGGCCTCGTTCGTCAACTTTTACGCCCATATTATAAACCTATGGGGAGATGGAGAGGGAAGGGCACCTTTGATCATTTCCAATGTCTTGTTTCACCCTTTTACTGGTCGACAGTTTGGTGGTGCGAAGCGAGGCGAGATTCGGGGTACCAATGCCTTTGGGAGCGGGTACCCTTACAGTTGAGGGATGCATCAAAAGTATCCGGACGATATTTTCCCTTTGGTACCTGGCCTCTATGGTGGGCCGACGACTTCATGGGATCGGATGAACCTGGTCCACACCTAGATGCTATTCGACCGGGTGGACATGTCTCCTTTGTTGAGTTGAAAACGAGCAAGACGGAATGGGGCGAGTCGAACGACACATTCTTTGCGATTGGAGACTCGCAATCCCTCCTCTCGACATTGGTTCCTATGTGACATGGTGTCACACCTCACGAGTGTGGCCCGTGCGATTCGACCCAAGATTACCAAACGCGATGGTCAAGCTGGAGAACGTGCTGCGCTATTATCGCGCAAGTAGCTTTGCCCTTGCAAGTCCCTCCTACACAAACCCGTTCTCCCGAAACGCGACATCTGAAGGCACAACATTGCTTCCCAGTCCTATACAAAGCTCTGGGTTCTGGCAGTGCCTGGACAATGTCACGGCGAGCGCGCTACCAATCATGAACCCGCCGCCGAGAAATCGACTCCTAATCCTTGCATTCGTACTCCGGTTCACTTATGGGTGAGTAATGTCGATTGGATTTTCAGTCCTGTACCTGCTCGGCATTGCCATAGTAAGGCTCCGGGATATTCTGTGGAACGGGGACATTATTGTAAAGGAATGGATACAGCCCTGGAGACAGAATAAAGAGCAAGCTGTGAGAGATCGAAGTCTCTCAATTCCGGAATACGAAATGTACCCATAGTTCATGTCGACAGAACGAGAGAGTTGTATCACGTTTGCTATGTTTTGTTCTCTAATTCATTTTTACACCTGGACCGCCCTGATAATTTGACTTCAACCACTACAATCGGATCTAAACATCGGTCATATTTGCTCGACTACGACTCTTCAGTCCATCTCCAGCATTTGTCAGGCCAAATAATCTTTCTTTCGCTCTTGGACGTCAATGACGGAGTCTAAAAAAGGTGGCTTGCATGCTAAATCGGTAATATATAACAATTCTGATCGATATACACGCAGTTTGACTGTTAAAAGGCCCAAAATTTTGTTTGAGTTGGGTTTCCGGACGCTCTCTCCACTGTGACAAGACAATTCCACCTTTCAGTGCAAGCTTGATGCCATTTCTATACCTTGATCACGTTCTGGACGCATCTCTGATAAGAACCATCTAGGTATAAGTTGTACTATTGACGGCCAATAGCCCGCTGCTTTAGTGGCTGGACTGGCTGCCCCAACAATCAGTATGACGTCTTAATACGCTGGATTCTATTTCATGGTCGTCTAGCCTGTGCCTCCGGGCCAGGCTTGGTGCTGGCACAGAGGCAATCAGCTTTTCGGACAGACCCTTCGATCCAGATCGACACCGGCGAGTTTCAACAAGATCTAGTAACCCTATGAGAACTGATTCATAAATAGTATCTCGCGGCCTGGATCCTTACCTGCATCGCTCCTCAACCTTTCCCGCCAGTCGAGACTCTGCATGTAGTCCAGGCTTCAGTCAAATCATCGAACGTACATTTCGAGACTCACTCGTCTCGACAGCCTTTGCTGTACCACTAGCTGCCGATTCGAAGGGTTGCAGGCCAGCACAGCCTGATAAGCTGCGAATATAAGCCCGTCTACTTTGAGACCTAACTCTATTCCTCTGCGATGTCCATTTCACTTTCAATACACAAGCAGACGTCGCCCGACTCGGGCTTAACTGGTGGCACAACCCACCGCGATCTTTCATTGGGGCCCAACTCAACGGTACACGACTTGAGGAAGGCTCTTACCGCCACAGGAGATATGGATCCCGGGGATTTGTTTCTCCTTCCCTCTGGCTTTGCGCTTGCGCAAATTGACGAAACCCAAAAGTCATGGAGAATCCTCGGAGAGAAAGATACTGTACGTGCTCGGCTCCTGCGAGCATGACTGACCATGTGCTTCAGAGTATTTCCATACTTTCATCATCTACAATGCAATCCTATAGCTTACCCCAACCAGAAGCTCATAACACATCTCCTGGTCATCATTATTATATTCATTCTGCCGGTTTACTGTACAGATACCCTCAGAAAAGCGATGTGGTCTGCAAAGTGCGAGGTCCCGGTTCCGGACCACCAGACCTCGTAAAGCCAGAAAAAACGAAGGCACCCAACCCAGTTGTATATGAAGATATCATCCATGCTGCTCAGCTCCAGACCTTGCAGTGGAAAGAGTTATATGAAGCTAGCAGATGCCTTTGCGGCGTCGTACTTGGGTCAGGACCCGACGATCCAGGCCCAATACCCGCTGCTCGTCAGCTGGTACATACCGTGCTTATCTCCTCGCAGATTGATCTTACATCAGCGTAGATAGACATAAAAAACTTGACAGATTGTCTCACACATTCCGTCGCTGACATGGCCACACAACGGCTGCTCACCGTTTCTACCAAGCACAATCATAGTTATGCCGTTTCGGGGTGGTCCAAAGGCGCCATAAGAGTCTCCATGCCATTTGCCACGGTGAGTTTGGTATCAGCAGGCTTCTAAGCTCATCTCTGTAGGCTGCGGTAGAGGCCAATTACAAAGAGTCATTCGCAAATAACGCTTCATCGGTGACCTCTCTTCACGCTTCTTCGCAGATGTAAGTCCACTTCCTCTCGCTCCTGATCACAACTAAATCAATCGAAGAATCTGTCGTGCTCGACTCCAGTGTGAGCTACAGTACCTAACAATTATTTCATCGGGTTTGATGTCAATATTGCAGTTGACCAGTACAAAGTTCAGTTGACACCTGCGTTCTATCAAGACCTCAACGAGGCCCTCGGGGCGGATTCCGATGAGGCGAAGCGTACAAAGTTGTACCATCTATTCCAGTCTTATGGACATGTGTTTGCAACCAGCGTCGTACTTGGAGGATCCCTGGTCACCAGTTATGAACAAACCACCCGAGGGGTCGCCGACTATAGGGACGGTGAGATCTCGATTGACATGCAAACCATCGTGAATCAAATTGGCCTCCACGCCAGTGGAGGTAAGAAGTGGACGAAGCAAGACAACGCCGAAGCAGACGTCAAAATGTCCGGAACTACAATTATCGGTGGGGACCAGCTTCTTATGAAGGAGCCTGCGAAATGGATTAGCTCGTTGGGAGATTGTAAGTGCGCGAACGCAGTGTGGTCTCCTGGCTGACTTTCTAGATCGCCGGTGGCGTATCGTCAAGACTGAAAAGGTCATTTCGATACTCGACTTGGTGCCAGAATACAAGGATCAGATCTTGGCCCTCGCCCCTGAGTTACGGATCCCTGCGCTCCGTGGTGTTTGGGCAAAACGTACGGACCTTGGGTTCTCCTGTCAGCCTGATTCCGCGATACTCCAAATCTTATTGACACCCTGGTAGATCATGGCCTCAAAGGATACATTCCAGTAATCAAGCCGGGCCAGCCATATTACTGGATTGGCCAAAGCCTTGACGCTAGCCGTGTGCTACTTGTCGAGGAATTGATACCCGGTGCGCTCTGCGAGGTAAATGACCCTGAATCTATCTGGAGTCACCGGCGTCGGTTTCCCTGGGTTTCACGCAAGGTATGTATAATCCACCGACGTGGTAAAATTATGGACTGAGTCACTCGAAGACCGTTCATTTAATCGAAATTACACCTCTGGATATTCATCACTTCGCATCAGTTGGTTCATGCGTCTCCACAACCAAAACGCGCGCGATCTGGTCCCAGGGGAGAATTCCCACCTCCATCGAACTGCCATGGAACCGGTACCGTGCCGTAAATCGTAAGCTTTTAGTCCGCGTAGCTCCTGGTGAAGAGGTAACCGTTGAGCTCTCACACTTTTCTGTTCTCACCCAAATCTACAGAAATTGTCTTGTTCGGCAAAGTCGGGACGTTTCAGTATTTACTCAGTCTCTCATATCGGATCAGACAAGGCTGAAGAGTCGTCAATTAACTCGGGGCTCTTTGTCGCTCGTCTTGATAGCAGCCCCACCGATATTTGGGGACTCCGAGCGGATGTAATTGAAATTTAGGCATAAAAGACTGTATTCCCAATGCTCATGGATTGAATCAAGACTACACTATAAGACGATATATAGAAAGAGTTGCTCCCGTCCATGACCGAGCAATCACCTGAGTCCCTGGAAAACTACACCAAATACTTGCGAACCCACCTCAAGCTCACACGTATTCGTCAATACGGTACTAAACGCAGCCTGCTTGTTTCGTCCCAAGTCGCACCAAACGGGTTTTGGACGAGCGAGGAAAAGGAACGGTTCTTTTCCGCGCTTGCTCGATATTCCAAGCTACGACCGGACCTTATTTCTCTCGACGTCGGCTCGAACAAGACCGTGGCGGATGTTGTTGCGTACATTGACGTTTTGGAACGAGGACTGCGTGACGTCTCGAGGTTAGAGGTGGATAACGAGGAAGAAGATGTGCCAGTCGTCCATCCTGCAGCATATACAGTCTCGCAAAAGTGGATTGAATTCGAGGAACAACAGGCTGTGAGACTGGCGGCGCAGGAGAAAGAGTGGGAGCGAAAGATAGTCGAAAAGGAGCGACAAATGGCTTCGATACGACTGAGGAAGCAACTCGGGAATGCCGCTATCAAAGGACAGGAGAGAGACGCGGCGACTCGCGAGCGCGAAAAGCAGCTTCGGGCACAATGGAAAGAGGCCCTACCTTCTCTTGAAGCACAGTGGGCTCGTGAAGATATGTTGGCAGAGCTCACGAAACCGGATCTCGTACACATGGATAAGCTCATACGGCGAGAGCGTGAGGCAGACGAGGAGCGTCGTCGAGCTGCGGCGAGGGAAGAAGGTGTGTCTCCGAATGCTACTCCCGAGCCGGGCAACGAAGCGAGCGACGTGGATGAACTGGACGCGATGATGGCCAAAGCCGAGAAAGCGCGGATGAAGATGAGGCTTGACATGCGTCGAAGGCGTGCGAAAGCGGCAGGTGTCGAGTTTGACCCTTCGGAGAAACGACTCAAGCCGATGAGGATGAGAGATCGAGCGCCTACGCAGCAAGGGGATGTAGAGATGGACGAGCAAGAGGGCGGAGATGGGCAGGCCGATTCATCTAAGCAAGAGATGAAGACTGTTCGACGTGGTGGTCCCAGTGTAGCTCAGAGGACCGAGAAACGCTTTAACGAAATGCAAGTCGACTTTGGCGTGCTGCATACCGATGGTCTCGATTTATTTAATCATTCCAAGTTTGCTGGGTTATGGAGGTGAGTCAGTATGTCTGTTATTCACCGCAGAAGCTGATGATAACGGTACAGTGTCTTTGCGGAAGGAGAAGAAACCACAGTGAAATCCATTTCCTACACAACTTTGAAGTTGTTTCGGTTATTATTGGATCGATACCTGTCCAAAATAACCTCTATGGCCATTTCTCTTGCCGAAGAGGAGAAACGGGAGACGCAGACATGGAATTCAGACGACCATGACATTGTAAGTGACAAGGCAGTCGCAAAGCACGCTTATTTTTTATTTTATTTTTTTGGGTAGATACGACTGCGGCACGTTCATGGCGCTCTCAATTTACTCGGTGTGCCCTCTTCTCATCGGACCAAAGCGGGTATTCTAGGTTGGACCCTGGGAGAAGACTCGAGTGAAGAAGAAGAAGACATGGATCTACCGAATGACCTCTCCTATGGAGTGACGTACCATCCTCCACCTCTCGACAAGGATGACGCTCCCATGGACGTCTTGGTCATGGTAGATGAGCACGAAGAAAGGATGCGGAAGGTGGAAGAGCTCGCGGAGGATGCGCATCTCGACGACCTGGACACGGCGCACGACGTACGGCACGAGCTCGACTTGTGGAAGTCGATGGGCTTTACAGATGTCACTGCGGAGACTATCAGGACTGCGGACAAGGGATTGCCACTTGACGACCAGAAGGACTGGACCGACGACGACGCAGCCGTGGACGAACCCCGAAACCTACGCTCGCTGCGCTTCCGCCCGCCAGGAGGGAATGTGCAGAGCCAGGCGTTTATTCTTTCCGAAGACGAAGAAGAGATGAACATGTCGTCGCTGTGATCGAGGTTGACCATTGTCGGAGCCGGTGATGGCCGGGGTGTAATCCTCAGAATGGCTGGGAGGAATTGACGGGTGTAGGATAGTATTATTTAGACGAACAAGCGTATAATTAGACGTTTATCGAGTGATAGAATAGGGTTCCCGTTGTTCGGGATTCGAATGGGAGGCTTTTCGTCTGAACTGCCAACGGCTCTCAGCTCTTGGACCTGACGCTGTGCGGTCATTCGACGCGCATCCGCAAGAAAAATTCACTGAATAATCTCTCGTCTACTTAGGACAGCTCTACAGCCTCTAGACGTCTCCAATGCCAGCTGCGGTGCCACCGGTGAGTTTGAGCTCGTCTGGCCAATGTCATAGGAGGCCATTCTGGCTGCTCTGGCTCGCCCGTCAAACTCGTGTTGTATATGCTGACATGCCGTCTAGATTCGAAGGAAACTGGTCATCGTCGGCGACGGTGCATGCGGAAAGGTGAATACGCCCAGCTCTCTTTGGAGCCCCGCCGCCGTCCTGAACTAACGCTGAGTGATCCTAGACCAGCCTTCTCTGTGTATTTGCGATTGGAGAGTTTCCGCGCGAATATGTACGTCTTGTTTACGACCGCTTGTCAGCCCTGTCATCAACACTGCTCACCCACTCCGCGCCTGTGTCTGGGTTTTACAGCAACCAAGTGAGTGTCTCTTTTGGCCCTCAAACAGCCGCCGTAGACAGTTTCTAACATGCCCTTAGCAATCTTTGACAACTATGTAGCCGAAATCCGGCTTGATGGAAAGGCCGTCCAGCTAGCCCTATGGGACACCGCGTACGTTGAATGCTCAACCCTCGTCTGTGACCTGCCAGGCGTCTCGTATGACGCCGAGCTACAAGGAGCTCTTCCGGAGCAAAACTACTTCCGAGCTGCAAATCTGCATGCCGTGGAGCTCATTATGGCCGGCTTCCTTCGAGAGCCAAAACCCCCTCTTCTCAACCGCCGTACTGACCCGAGCCGCAACCCCTTTTTACAGTGGACAAGAGGAATATGAGCGTCTACGACCCCTCTCGTATTCGAAATCGCACGTGGTGCTCATTGCCTTTGCGATCGACACCCCGGATTCGCTGGAAAACGTGACCGTAAAGGTATGTTGGACATCGCCTTTTGGGCTAAAGGAGCCTATTGGATTCTTCCGTACAGTCAACTGATCAGAGACTGACACTTGTGCTCTTTTTTCCCCTCTTGGCCACAGTGGAACGAAGAGGTTCGGTCAATCTGCGGTCCATCTGTTCCTGTCCTCCTGGTTGGCCTCAAGTCAGATTTGCGACCGCCTCCTGGCCACCCTGACAGTGATCAATACGTCTCTCGCGAACGCGCCGAAGAAGTCGCGCAACAGATTGGTGCGAGAGCGTACAAAGAATGCTCTGCGCTCAAGATTCAAGGTGTTGACGACGTCTTTGAGGCAGCCACGAGAGCGAGCCTGTTGGTCAGAGACAATCCGACCCCGAGGACGAAAAAGCCAGAGGCGGATGGGTACGGCGGAACCAAGGAACCTTCAGATCACGGCAAAGGATGCTGTGTCGTTTGCTAAATCGTCTACCTCCGTGCTGCAAACATCTTGTGAGTGAACGACTGTCATCTTCCTTCTTTCCACTCAATGTGTCAAGGACCAATGAACCCTTTACGACTTGCCCGTGAACCGACTGGACTTCACCGAGATACGATGGCCACGGCGCTTTCTACCTTTAACATCCCCCTGGCGTTATGGTCGCTGAACCGACATCTCTCCTACCCTTTTCACATTGACATCCGGACATTTTTGACACCTCAATGCTCTCCTATAACCTCCACGTCCTGTCACTACCGACAAGGCGCCATGATATCCAGTTTTAGACCAACCCATCCACCATATTTCTTCGTCTTGTACCTTACGGTTGATCCGAGTTGCGTAATTGCATTCTTTCAATCACGCCCTCTTTGGCATGTTTACTCGATTGAATGCCGCTGTAGCGCTCAGGATAGATAATAGGTTATCTACACAAGAGTAGTCTAGTGATGGTGATGCTCCTCCTTTGGCAAATCCTGTTCCAAAAACTTCAACAAGGCGGGGCCGGTGAGCTTTCCGTCTGCCTTTCCGTGGCCCTCGGTCGTGCTTGTTGCTGCTGGAGCTCCTGATTTTGGAGCCAGAGTCGGCTCGGATGCATCGTATGCGCTCAACTCTGCGGCGACGTCGCCCGGTAGCGATGGAGCTTCTGGGACGGCTGGTGCTTTGAATTCACGGACAGCACCGACGTGTGCATCTTTTGCCTTTTCATTGGATAAAAGGTCGTGTTTTAGCATCTTTGTTCGACGGAGAAAAGTGGACGAACAATGTACCTTTGGGGCTGGTTTGTATGCCTTTAGTTCCTTCAGATACATATCCTGGACGAGGTCTAATACTTGTAAACATTATAGTGCCACCATAAAAGGATGAACGGACCTTTGCGGAGTGCACTCGACGTTGCAATGCATCGTTGCGCTTGCACTCGGCCAGTGCGCACCGTCTGCGACGAAAAATGGATAAAATCAGGATGATGACAAATATGCAATAATTTTGAGTAAGCGTACGAGGCTCGAGACGGACTGAACCAGTAATCTCATGGTCGAGGCTCAAGTCGAAAACGTTGTATAAACACGGGTCATTCACAACTTGGATCTCCACCACCACATACTATTTCAGAGTAAAAAAGACGCAAATGTCGGCTGTTGTCAGACGTGCTGTTCCTGCTTTTGCGGCTCTCCGCACTCGTACCGTTGCCGCCGTGGGCACACGCATGTACTCCGACGGCTCTGGCGCAACCGCTCGTGATCCTGGATGGTCGTACGTCATCTTGTTATAGCTAGACTCGAGAGCTTGTATAACTGATTGCGGTTTTGTAGGAAGAAGGAAAAGGCTGTCGAAGGTTTGTCTTAGGGCTTTGGTGGTGCGGCACATGACGAATGGACCGCGCCTAGATCAATATGCACACAACCGTGAAGTTGAAGCTATGAACAAGTTGAGGCAGCAGGTTCGTATCGTACTAGTCTCATAACATTGTCACTCAACTCCTCGTCAGCTCGAGGCAAAGGAAAAGGAGTTGGTCAGTTCTTCGCTTCCAATGACCGATGTAAAACTCACTAAATGATGTAGAACGAACGCGAGAAGAACTTGGAGCAGCGAGAGAAGAAGGGTAGCTCATAAACTCTCCAGTTTCATCCCAATGTAAGTTCGTTGTTCGCTAGTAACAGTGTATAACAAGCGCTCTAGGAACCTCATCTTGTCTGATGCATTCCAAGTGTCTGAAATCAAGTGATTTGTTTCGAGTTTTCTATCTACACGTTCAACTCGACCACTTTGGCGGACTTGAGGGCATTTTCATAGGGTTTGAGCGCAGGCTCAACCCACTCTTTGATGAATTCGTGCGTCTGCTCGGGCGCGCGACCGATAAAGGTCGACGGGTCCATCAACGCGTCGAGTTGATCTACTCGCCAGTGTCAATTACCGATATAACCGCTCAAAGGCTACTCACCCCAGATAGGTTGGAAGTACTCGTCCTTTTTTATCCTCTCAATGAGGTCGTTAGGCTTGCCTTCTTCCTTGACCACCTTGGCAGCTTGGTGTGAGAGGACACGAATGTGCTCGTGGGCCTCTTGTCGATCTCCCGCAGCCGTTACGTCTGTTTTTCATTAGAAACTTGACGCCGACATTACAGATGTCACTCACCACCTGATTGCTCATTCGCACCCGTAGACTTGCTGTTGTGCGTGACAATGGCCATGATAATATTCTCAGTGGCCATGAACGGTAACTCTTCCTCGATTCTCCGTGCAATGACCTTTGGATAGACGACTAATCCCTCCGAGATGTTTTGTAGTGTTGAAAGGACGATATCTGCGGTCAAAAAGGCCTCTGGAATGGAAACACGGCGGTTTGCACTGAGCGAATATCAGATACGTTGATATTTCCCTAGAATAGCCTACCTATCGTCGAGCGTTCTCTCAAACCACTGCACGCTCGCCGTCATGAGCGCGTTCTGCGGAAGAACCATGAGATGTCTCGCAAGACTGCAAACGCGCTCGCATCTCATTGGATTGCGCTTATACGCCATTGCGCTACTTCCAATCTGGCCCTTTTCAAACGGCTCCTCCATCTCCTTTAAATTTGCCAACAGCCGAATGTCCGTTGCCATTTTGTGCGCGCTGGCTCCCAAGCTACCGAGAGCATGAAGAACGTCAATGTCAATCTTTCGCGAGTATGTCTGCGACGTGACAGGGTACGCGTAGGAGAAGCCGGAAAGCTCTGTCACGCGCTTGTCTAGGGCGAGCACCTTGGAATGGTCGCCCTTGAAGAGCGTGAGGAAGGACGCTTGTGTTCCTGTCGTTCCTTTGACACCACGGAATCCTAAATCATCTCTGGCTCTGGTGAGGTTACGCAGGTCCCAGAGAAGTTCCTGGATCCAGAGCGTTGCCCGTTTGCCTACGGTGGTAAGTTGTGCCGGTTGGAAATGCGTGAATCCCAATGTGGGCATGGAGGCGTATTCCTCGGCAAAGGACGAGAGACGCGAGATGAGGATCGCGAGCTTGTCCAGCAAGAGGGTGAGACCTTCTCGCAAGAAGATGAGATCCGCATTACTGTAAAGTATGAGGACTCGACATGTGTTCTAGATAGCACGTACTCTGTAACGAAACACGACGTTGCTCCAAGACTGTGCAAAGTCAGGGATTATAGGCGAAATCACGTGTAGAACTGACTGGATGATACCAGCAGCCGCAGGAGCGACAGTTCCAAAGACATGTACGTGCGCCATGACATCGTGTCTCCGTTTCTTCTCCTCTTCAGCAGCTGCCTTGAACTGGTCGGCGTCGAGATGCTTTTTGACACCATCAGTCCCATCAGGTCATTCCAAAAGACGAAGATGCAAGTTACATACGAGGTTTTCTTTCATTTGTTGGATCGCGAGGTCGGAAATGGGCAGTCCGAGCTCCTTTTCGGCAATCGCAAGATTTAGCCACAGCTTTCTCCAGGTGTGAAAGCGCATCTGCGGCGAGGATTGGTTAGATAGTCATTCATATCAGTCCTCATTAAAGTTTCTCACATTGCTGGAGAAGAGATGGGCCATCTCCTTCGAAGCATAGCGACTACAAAAGGCAACACATGGTCACACTAGGAAATCTAAGGGATAATTTGAATACCTGGAGAGTGGCGTTTGATAAGAATCCATGTTTCAAGGGATTCGGTTCTTGCGAGCGATGTTTTGGCTAGGGTCAAGAAGACTGGGCGTAATGGGCTTTGGTCGGTACAAGGGGTACATTTCAGTTAGGCCTACACACAAGTAGGATAGCAACCAATGATCCTTCAATAAGCAAACTCGATGGCATGGAAAGCAAGATCAATCTGCTCGCAGAAGTAGGAAATGTCTGGTCGTTTTTCTGGTTCTTCATCCCAACAGCTCTCGGCAAGTGCCCAAAAGTGTGGTGTGAGCGAACCGAGTATGGACTGGTCCGCTTGTGATTGACGAGCAGGCGGAATATGATTGTAACCGGCGGCAATGATAGACGGTACAGTGGTTCTGTCAGCGAATGGAAGCTTGAGATAGAGGAACTAAGGGCCATGTTAGTTTCATTTCAGCCCTAAGAACCTACTTGCCTCATATGCGATGCACGCTAGCGAGTAAATATCTGTCTTACTCGTCGCGAGGATGTTATCCTCGTCATCCGGTGGACACCTGAGTTCTGGTGCGGCATATCGTTGGGTTCCTGGGTTTCCACCGCCCGAGACTAGTGTCTCTCCTTCCCCAGTGACCAAATGTGCAAGACCAAAGTCGCATAGCTTTGCTACTCCATCGTTATCAATGAGAACGTTGCCTAATTCATATAAGCAGTGACAATGAGGATAATTTATTAGATTGACCTGGTTTCAAGTCACCATGGACAATGGTCGGTGACTGGTGATGGAGATAGCGAAGCCCTGAAGAAACCTCTCGCAACTGTGATGGATTTATTGAGTATAAATCAACCTTGAATGAGTGATGGAGCTACCAGCTGCAGCCGAAATTCAACTCCCAAACCCGCCTTTTGGACGTAATCAGCAGCATTCCCATTCTCGTACCACTTTTCCTTGGGTGAGCAGAATATCTCCTTTATAAAAATAACTCACAGGTGCAATGGGCGCAGGTAATGGGCCCATATCATTGGAAAATCCCCAGAGCGGGACAATATTTGGATGGTCAAGCTTCCACCAGACATCCATCTCCCTGTTCAATCTCTAATGAATGCTCAGCAATCGAATCGAAACGTATTGAATTTACCTTTCGGATCGTTGATAAGTTGGCACCGCCCACGTTCCGAATTACCTTGATTGCAACCTGCACAAAAGGTTTAATGCTGACTTTGAGATTTTTCTGTACTCACCTTTGTCGTTCCAAAGTTTCCTATGTGAATGGACGCAAATCCTCCCTCGGCGACGGGAGACAAACTCGTCTTAACCACTCGTCCAGTCAAATCCGTGGGTTTAATAGAGCTGGGTTGCTCCTCTTGTCTTCCTCTCTGTTCTTCTTCAGTGATTTCCACCTGCTTATGCCTCTGTGGTGGACTCGGGGAATGGTCCTCCACCATAGGGAAGTTATCAGAAGGGGAAGCGGTGATTATTGATGAATGTAGTAGTGGCTCAGAGGCCGATTCAGAAACTTTTGTTTGAAACGATGCCTTGATCGGGGTTTGTGACTGCGGTGCATCGAGGAATACTGTAGGAGGAGCCGCTGCGGGTTGATAAGCGGGTATTCAGACAAAACTTTGAATCGACCTACCTTCATTCCTAGCGGCCCATACTTGAACATATGACTGCGCCGGTCTCCAATCCAAATCTCGAAGGACGCTTGTCTGAGCGGGAAGCGTCGTTTGTCGGCGCTGAAACTGGGGTACGGTTTCCATCGATCCATCTGGCGTCACTGGAACGCCCAGTTTATCTCCAAAAGTTGAGTTTGATGGCATCGTCATGGAACGTATGTGGGGTCCGTCCTGACGAAGAGGCAGTTCAATAGTCTCGTCCTCAAGTGCTCCGGTATCCTGTGACTCCATGCCAGCCTCTAGCTGTTTAAGTTTTCTCTGAGCAGTCTTGAGCTGTATCTGCAGTGCTAATGTGTCGTCTTGCTCGGCCACCTTGAGTGCGAGAGCGAGCAACCTAACAGCGTTCTGCAGGTCGTCGTGCCGCATTTTGAGAGCATCCACATTGCTGATAGCACTTCTTCTCATGAGCGCCGTACCATAGTTGTAATAGAACGTCGAAAGATCTTCTCCTCCTTGTGTCGCTACCAGATCCCACACCTGCTGGTACGACTCTATTGCCGCATTGAGAGAATTGCCATCACCAAAGTCCTTGGACATTGTGACCAAGAGGCCGGCAACCTTTCGAAGGATGAGCGGATCCCCCTCCTTCGATTTGATGTACACCGCACGACGAGCCCAGTACAATGCTGTATCTAAAGATGATCTCTCCTTGGTTTGTTGATACTCATCCAAGTAGAATTTGCTGAGTTGGAGGTTCGCCTCTCTGCTTCATCCGGCGGTAACTGGCCGGCGAGGGCCTCCTCAAAGTGCGACTCTGCTGACTTCCGGTCATCCTGCGACTTTCTCCGTTCGAATAAAACAGAGTATGTCTCAGCAGCCTTGTAGTGGATCCTCGCGCTGACGCCTGGGGACGCATATGGTAACGCGGTTTGAAAGCAATTGATCGCAAGCTGAAGCACAGGAAGCTCCGCAACACCTTGGTCGTATGCATAGCAATACGCATCTCCAAGATTGGGAAGAATATGCATTGCCTCTTAAATGTTAGCAAACGGTAGGGAGAATTATTCTTGAGACGTACGGACATCACACTATGTCCAATCTTTGATGATATAGCATGTGCTCTCTCCCATTGATCTGCAGCTTCGACCAAGTCTCGTGGGCTTCGCTGGAATACCTCCCAGCGATCCATATACGCAGCGCCAAGATTAAGATGATTCTCGAGCCTCTCGAAGGACGGCATCTCCTCTTGGTAGCTAAGAGCGTTTTCCAAAGACCCAATCGCAGCGTCAATGTCTCGAACGTGTCGTCGGCTTCTCCAGCGCAGGAGTAGAGAAAGTGCATATGAAGCGAGCACATCACTGTATCTGTCGTCTTTGCTTGTGATGGAGAGCAGAGACCACCATCTAGACACGGCAGTATCGATTGCGGAGGATGTTCTGGTTCGCCAGGCAATCGACAGAGCGTCCTGGGCTTCGACAAATCTCGACTCGTCTATCATGTGCGTAGATATCATGACTTAGGGACCTCAATATTCCAAAATCCGGAGATGGCAAGTCATGGTAGAGTCCAAGTGGCTAAACATATATGCACTACGGTTGCCAAGAACTGTCTATGGATATCGCTCGTATTGGAAGATGGTTTCGTCCCTGATTCTCATCCGAGTTCTCATCTGGTGCCGTTTCTCTTCTTGTATCACCCCCCAATTCCACGCCCAATCCCTCATTTTCCAGCAGACCAAGAAAATGACATAAAGTATCACCCCAGCAGCACCGAGAAACACCATCCATAATGGACACATGATGGCCGGGAGGATGTCATATTTAGGAGGCTTTGGTGGTGGATTCATAATTGGCAATGCACTCGCCGTCGTTGAGTCTAGGCATTGCCAGAATGGAGAATTCTTGATCCTCTCGGGGATCCATTCTCCTGTTGGCTGATAGGATGCGTTCCGACTATTGGGATTGCTGTACGCAGGCGACGCAAGTGCAAAGCTACTCGCGCGGTAGTACTGCAAGACGTTCTCCAGCTTGACCGTGGCGTTTGGAGATGTCGGGTCGAATCGTGTTGGCCATGCTAGACTTGCGTGACACCAAGTCACGTACGAGATTAGGATCGAGATGAGAGACTGCGAGTCTCCAACCGCGTAGTATACCTCGTCCTGCGAGATTGTAAAGTTCTCCTTCTGTGCCCTCAGTGGAACGATCGAAATATGACCTCCAGGACGAATGGCGTCCAACTGAGCACCGACTTCATTGGAGTCCATAAAGTCGTCTTCCCAGTACAGAGGCCACACGCCAAACGGAAATGAACGCCGTGCGATGCTGGTCGTATTCCACACTCCGTATGGATAACCACTTCCAAACATGTTGGTTCCTCTGATCTCTCCCCTCGTCCCCGCACCAAATTCGCGATGAGCAAAGGGATGGTAGGAGTCATTAGCAATGGTCCACGTCTTTCCTCCACCATTTCCCCACTGATCCATGATGCGAGCATGAAAGTTGACGAGCGCGGTCGTAACTCGGACTTGAGGCTTATTGACGACGCGCACCTTACCAGCATGGATGGCCGGTAAGAGGCATAACAAGCTCAAGACGAGCATTCGCAGCATTAATTCGCAGTCGCAGTCGACGGCAGGGTGCGGACAAACGCTATGCAGCGCATTCAGCGTCTTCCTTGAACGCGATGAGGAAGACGGGCTGACGGGAGGCCGAGGCTGGATGACAAGCGGTGGCTTTAGATAGCTCTAGACACACCTGTTAGGCCATCTAAATGGCGGTGAACTGCAGCTTCAACACTTATGTCCATGGAAATGAAGAGAACATATAGGCTAAATGAGATTATCCATGATAAAGATACGAAATAAGTGGAGAATAGGAGGACTTCAATCATGGGAATGCTTCATAAGCAAGCCCTGCTTCCCTCTCAGCCTTTGCTCGGGCTTTGCGGTCAGCAGATTCCCGGACTCGAGCTATCGGTCCTGAGAACATGGTAGATAAGCAATACCATGCAAACACCAGCAGATATCCCGCAGTCAGCAGCATCGGGATACCCAAGATGCCAAAGATGATGCCATATGTCACCGATTTCTTCTGTACAAGGGGCGGCTTGTTCATCACGGGAAGCGCGTTGGAGATGACACTGTCGACGCATTGTCGATAGTCCGAATACTCCACTTGCGCGGGAAGCGGTGAGCTCTCCGTCGAGTTGGCAATCGACGTTCGCGCAAACGTGTTGTTGTAAAGTGTTGATGCGAGCGCGAATGAGCTGGCGCGATAGTACTGGAAAACGTTCTCCAGTCGTATCGGCGTGTTGGGCGATAGGGGGTCAAACTTTGTTGGCCAAGCTGGTTTCACATGACACCAGGTGACAAACGAAATCATCATAAACGTCACACTCTGCGTGTCTCCGAGTATGTAGTACATCTCGTCCTCGGTCGCATTGGTGAATGGTGAACCCGCCTTGATTAGTTGGACTGGAGCAGTGACGAGCTGTCCACCGGGTCGTATTGTATCCTTGGTCGAGTTGTACTCGTCTGTCCCCATAAAGTCGTTCCCCCACCAGATGGGCCAGGTACCAAAAGGGAAGCCTCGCCCACTGAGCGTCGCTGCGTTGTCGCTGTCCCACGGATACCCGCTTCCAAAGGCTCGAGTACCTGCGATTTGCTTCCTCTTCGCTCCTCCGAATTGCCTGCCCACGAATGGGTGGACAGAGTCGTTTGAAATAGTCCATGTCGCACCTCCGCCGCCTCCCCAATGATCCATAATGCGTGCATCAAAGTTTGCAAACGAAGTTGTCGCGCGTATCTGCGGTTTGTTCTTTACGTCGAGCTTTGCGCTCGCTGGACTGGTCAGCGCCTGGAACGCTATGACCAGAACCAACAGTGGACGCATTGTGCGCTTGATGAATGTGGTTCAAGAACACGTATGAAAGAAAGTGGATGTTGGTGGACGTGGAGGAGATCAAGGCACCTGCATGGAATATCGCAAGGGTCAAAACACTGCGCACTGCCCGACCTCAAGACGGGACGAGATCAGTCTCCGGCCGAGACAATTCCTACGGCTTACCGGCTGAAAATGTCACTCGGAACTTGCTTTATTATAGGCAATGTGGAACCAGCTCGAGAAAGAAGATGCTCTAGGAATGTAATTCAGAAGGCAGTAAACGGTCCCAAAAGTACAGGTGAATAAGCAGATATGAAGATAAAACACCTGTTGCTTCAATCCTTCTATGGAAATTGTTCGTACTGGAACATGGTTTCGTCTCGGAGTGCCATTCGAGACCTTTGCTCTCGCGCCTTCTCCTCCAAAATCTCCCGCCAATTCCTTGCCCCAGTCTCTGATTGTCCAAACGCTCCAGCCAGCGATAGAGAGCACTATCTCTGTTCCTCCTAGGAGGATCCACCAAAACGAGCCCAGAAGTCCAGAAAGTTGCTTGTATCTGGGTGACTTGGGTGGTGGGTTCATAATTGGCAATGCACTCGCCGTCGTCGAGTCTAGACATTGCCAGAATGGCGAATTCTTGATCCTCTCGGGGATCCACTCTCCCGTTGCCTGATACGATAAGTTCCGACTATTGGAATTGCTATAAGTAGGCGACGCAAGCGCAAAGCTACTCGCGCGGTAGTATTGCAAGACGTTCTCCAACTTGACCGTGGCGGTTGGAGATGTCGGGTCGAATCGCATTGGCCACCCTAGGCTCGCATGACACCAAGTCACACACGAGACTAGGATAGAGAGTAGAGACTGAGAGTCTCCAACCGCGTAGTACACTCCATCCTGCGAAGCAGTAAAGCTCTCCTTTGTCGTTCTCAATGGAACGGCTGAAATATGGCCTCATGGACGAATGGCATCCAACTGAGCACCAACTTCATCTGAATCCATAAAGTCGTCCCCCCAGTACAGGGGCCACACGCCAAACGGAAATGAAAGCCGTGCAATACTGGTCGTATTCCACGCTCCATATGGGTATCCACTTCCAAACATGTTGGTTCCTCGTATCTCTCGCCGCGTACCTCCGCCAAATTGGCGATGAGCAAAAGGATGGTAGGAATCATTGGCGATCGTCCATGTCTTGCCGCCTCCATCTCCCCATTGATCCATGATGCGAGCATGAAAGTTGACGAGAGCAGTGGTCACCCGGACTTGAGGTTTGTTCACCACATGCACCTTGTCCGCGTAGACGAGAGGCAAGAGGAGTAGTATACTACAAATAAGCGGTCGGAGCATCAATGAGAGTCGATTTCGATGGCAAGATGTAGACAAAGAGTTGACGGGGTCAGCGCTTTCCTCAATATTGAGGTTGGGTGAGAGCCTATTGGGAGTTGAAGCTGGTTGACAGGAAGGGATGTCTTACGTCCTGTTACATATGCCTAGTGAGATCATTTTAAACGCAGTTATCTACACGTATATAAGGACACAAGATGTCTCGTTGAGTTGGTATGCCATTTCGTATCGTTCGCTTTGAGCTCTGCGGTAAGGAGCTATCCGCTAGGTCACATTATATCGGTTTAGCGTTTTAATTCTCTATTGCCCCTGAAAATTTCCCCTACCAGATTGGCTTGGTGCCGAATAAGTGCACAGAGTCGTTTGAGATTCGCCTTGTCGGCTCTCCAATGATCAATAATGCGTGCTTTAGACTTTACAAGCGAAGAAGTCACGCATATTTCTGGCCTGTTCTTCGTGTTGAGCTCCGCGGTTGCTGAGATGGGCAATGCTTGGAGTGTGACGGCCGGCAATGTCAGTGGAAGCGTCCTGCACTTCACAGGTCTCCTTGGCGCATGATTATGAAATCAAAGTCGAAAAGAGAGCTGTGGAAGGGTCCAAGGTAGTCCATGAGCTAAACCGCATTGGACCCCACCAAGGCGAATTATTGAACCATGCTTAGGAATACTTCATCTGGGTCGAAATAGTCTTAAGTCGAGGAAATATAGTGTATTATACACCTAAGGATACAGCTCATATGTAAAATAGAACACCTCTCGGTCCTCCATGATTTTTCTTCGCCTTGTTGCAATCTCCTCCATCCTCACGTCATAGTTCCACACCCAGTCTCGGGCTTCAGATGCGAGGTATTGCGTGTAGATCAAAGTTCGCCACAGGAGGTACACCAGGGGTATCGCCAAAACAAAGAAAACAATTATGACTATATAGGCTGGTGACACCTTCCAGGTTGTATTCATGATTGGAAGGGCACTGGCAGTTGTCGAGTCAAGGCATTGCCAAAATCCAGAGTGCTTGATGCTATCTGGTATCGTATATGCCCCATCATATGAGACATTTCGAGCTTGTGGGTTGGTAAAGGAAAGTGAAGCGAGGGCAAAGCTGCTCGCTCGGTAATACTGCAAGACGTTTTCCATCTTGACAGTCGCGTTGGGAGCTAGTGGATCAAATCTAGTGGGCCATGCTAGATTTGCATGACACCATGTCACGTACGAGACGAGAATCGCAAGAAGAGACTGCGAGTCTCCAATAGCGTAATACACCTCGTCGTGGGAGCTGTATGATTGGCCCTTTGTCGAACTCAGTGTGACTATTGAAAGATGTCCACCAGGTCGGACTGCGTCGAGATGTGGTCCGCACTCCGTTGTCGAGTTCATGAAATTGTCCGCCCAATACAGCGGCCAAGTACCAAACGGGAACGCTCGACCAGATACAACCGATTTATCCTTTACTCCGTATGTGTAGCCACTGCCAAACGCATTGGAACCGCGGATATCTCGTCGCTTTGCACCTCCGAATTCGCGACCGACAAATGGGTGATGTGAATCGTCGGCAATCGTCCAAGCGTCGCCTCCTCCACGTCCCCATTGATCCATTATGCGTGCATCAAGGTTGACAAATGCGGTGGTGACGCGCACCTGTGGCTTGTTCTGCACGCGAACCGATCCTGCGCTAGCGAACTGTAGCACGAGTAGTACTGTGAGTGTTTCCATCTTGCGGTGAGGACCAAGAGGCAGGCTGCCGACAACTGCAAAGCCGCAATCACGAGGCTGGGAAGACGGTAAGGAAAGGCGGACAGCAAGACACGTTTGTAGCTGGAGGCAGTACCTGTTCTAGCCTATAGTCTGTGAGCTCCAAAGACCCGGAATAGCACCAATGGTAGACGACCCAGGGTCGCTGCCGACGTTCATGTAGAAAGGCTGTGACACGGTGGGGGCAGAGTCTAAGGGGTGTAGATTCTGCCACTGCTCACAGGGTTACTGTGTACATAGCTAATCGAGTCAAATTACAGTTCAGAGAAAAAGACTGGGTTGCATCCTCTGCCCGTATGCTGCCAACTGTATCATTAGAATTGAAAGGGGTAGGCTAGCACTCCGGGAACCCCAGGTGGTTGTGCCTTAGCCCAATATCGGTATGGTAATGCGAATTGAAGCGAAGCGGCGTTTCACTGCCCAGACCAACAACTCATGGACAATATAGCGAGGCAAAGCATCTGTCTACTGATTGCCCAAAGCACTTGTAGTAGTGAGAAGGATGCTTGGCTTGTTCAATTGGAAACAACGATACATTCTTTTATTTGGAAGAAAAATGAATCTTATCGGCCTTGATACCCCAAATTGCAGGTTCAGTTCCATGAGAGGCCACGAACAGCCCCAAGTCAACTGACGATTCTCCAGGCGATGTGGCCTGAACAATTGGTTGGATGCAGCAACCCTGCGCTTTTGTGGGGTGGAATATCGTCTACAATAAGGCAGAGTAAGAAAGGGAAGTCTCGAAACATAATCAACACGCACCTCACCACCCGTCACATGAACCACGAGCTGCCTATTAACCGTACGATAGTACTTCCAAGGATTGTCGGATAATTTGGGAGGGTCATTCGAAATACATGGAACAAGCGGGACAAACTTGCTGATATTCCCTGAGATAGGTGAAATCAGACGCATGGTCTTGGGCTTCAATAGGGTCAATCTAAGATTTGCTGAGACCCTGAGCAACATACTTTGGTGAAAAGGGCACACGTATGCTTGGATTTCCATGCCTCGTGAAGACAGCTTGCTTCACTGAGCGCACCCGGAATGAGCTCCCTGACTAATAGTGCACGATTCGGGTCGAGGGTTTGGCCTATCCAGTAATACTGATAGGGCGCATTGTTCGTGCCTGCCGAATTGTGCTCCGGGATCACAGGAATATACCCTTTGATGTTTCCATCTACTAGAAGGTCACTAGAAGTCCGCGGGGTTTAGTTTATCGCGTACAAGAAAACGCAAGCCGAGTATTATTCGTCCAAACCCCAATAAGGGATGGGATCTTTTTCTCTGATATGCCTGGAATGAGATCAAGCACTGGAATGGCCCGATCGACTTTGATGACGCTCCATGTTTGATCTACAAAATCAGTAAATAGCCGCGTCGGGGTTGACGCACATACAATTATCCAAAGTATTAACCCACCCCTCAACATTCCATGGCGTAGGGTTACTTCCGCCGATGATTGTGGTACTGGAGTCCTCGATATTGACTTTGGAAGCGTCACTCATGAAGGTGCGCCAGCCTGCACTGGCCTTGGCTCCAGCTTGGCCAGCAAATACTCCTATAGTCCCCGTAGTCTCCTCTTCTTCCTGGTCAGTAACAGTTCGTCCCTGTTGCTTCTCGATAGCAACGATAGATCCTCCCAGGATGGTGGTCATTCTGAACACATGGCCATAATCTTTGAAAAGCCTATCCAATAATTCGCGCTGCTTGCCCTCATTTTTTTCGCGTGAAACGGCATCAACGTCGTCAATGAACTCCTGTGTTACCTCGAGTCCATTCATCGTGACTACCATCCGATTGTAAGGTCCACATATATAGGTCAGTAGATATTTGACTCACACTGGAGTAAGCAACGGTCATTTCTCCGGTCGATATTAGATCTGTGAGAATGTTTAGAAGAAGTGGGCGTACCTCCAGAATGAGGTACAAAATGCGGCCGTTGAAGAGGCATTATGCGCTGCGGTAACCTTGCGGCTTGCTTCGATCCCAGCCTAGGGATATTAGGCTAAGGTGATAGGAATTACTGTACTTACAATAAACTGCGTAATCACACCAAGTGCGGCTTGAGACCATCCAAAGGTAGCGTACTTAGAGTCGAGCTCATTAGAAACAGTGTGAGTTCGGCGAGTGACCGCATCGCCAGTCGTATGCGTGAGACAAGCTCCTAGACAGCCTTCATCGATCTACAAACGCGTCAGAGTAACTCGTAAAAAGAAATTGCAAGCTTACCAGTTTTCTAGGAGCACATACTGGCTCACGACCGAGTATGACACCACGCAGACAAGCATTCTTTTCATATATAGCATCCCAATCAGGCCCGAACAGGTTGGCAGCATTCCAAATAAGCTTTTGCGAAGCGCGTATGATTGGCTCAAGCGGGGGCCTCTTTGGAAATCTGGTGATGAATCTAAGTGGAGAAACCTGCCTGTCTATTGTGGCCAAAAATGTGCGAAGAGCTCTGGTGCGACCACCAGTACCTATTACCGCGACCGGTAAGAGTTTTTGTCCCTTCAACTCGCCTGACCTAGCCACCGTGAAATCTTTGGGTGAAGATTGTCTCCCCTGTATGGCGTAAGGTGAGGCCAGTGATGGCGCGCTTCTACCAATTTCGGATGTGGGAGGAGGGTGAGTGGAAGATGAACTTGGCGTCGAGAGTATGGCAATGGTCTAGATAATAACATTAAAATTTGCACTAGGTGCAGTATTACCCACTTTTTCGTCCATTTTGAGGATTTCCCATGGCTTCTGAGGCTCGTCAATGCGGGCAAGCGCAAAGCCAGTGGGTAGAAGAAACAGGCTACCCTCATCCATGTTCCCGGTCTTTTGGAGGGCAGCTCTCAAGTCTTGTACCGTCGACACTGCCGTCTCTGGATCGAGATGGGGGGTGTATGCCTCCGGCTTAGCATCATTCTCGTCTGAATATTTGCGTAAACAAAGCGAAGAAAGCGACATATCGTGCGGCTGACATACCATGTCTTCGACACTCGGGACCTTATATTTCCAGAGTATGCCGGCATGGGGCTGATCTAGACAGGTCCTTTCGCTCAGGACTAAGCCCACTGCAGCCAGTGATACAGGAGGATTTCGTCAAAGCTTTATGATTCCCAAGCATCTTCACTGGACGATTAATGGAGTCTGGACGGTGCGCGGGAGGGCAGCTCGATTACTGGATCGGGGAGAGGCTCCAGGCCGACAAGCCTATTGTCGGAAAGAATCACCGTGTACTGATGCCTTGATTTAAGAGAGCATTTTCCCGATCACAGTGACGTTGGCGGATATTGCAACTTGTCAAAGGTGATCTTCGCCACCCTCCGACACTGATGCAGGTTTGGCTACATGAGTGGTTTCGGCTATTATTCTGGTATATCGGTGTACCGTCGTGACTCCGGACGAGCGTCAGTCAATGGCGGGAGCAGTCGAATGTGTAGAAATATAGTCTGGATTTGCTCTCTAGGAGTATTTAATAACTTGGAAAAGTCGTGCTAGCCCCCGTGCGTGCATTTGGTTCAAACGACGGATATGGTCGGGAGCAAGAGGAATGATCCACTCGACTCGCAAGGCGAGCATGAGACGAGTATCTTATTGTTATGTAGCGTATTAAGGAACGAGTCGTGCATCTGGGATTCGTTGTATATTCTGGGACTAGTTGTACATACAGCTCGGAGACGAAGCAGCTCACCTTCTTGGCCACCAACCACGAGGCGACGTTGACATTGCCATCTCACAACTTTTGTAGAACACCATTCGACGTCGTTTAGGACTTGGATTTGTCTTGTCGAGAAAAGAATCTAGAATTGACGGCTTGACCCTCTAAAGATAGAGACGAGGACGGTGGCTTTAAACACTGTTAAAACCTTGAGACGAGGACGACAATCGGTTTCATCTAAAGCCACTCTAGAGAATACCACATCCCTGATACGACGCATTTGATCGTCGACTGGCCAGATGCCCGGACCTGCAAACCACAAAGGCAAGAAGAAACGACAAGCCAAGAAGAATAAAGCGAAAGGAAGCGCAGGAAATGTCCTAGAGCAAAAGTTGGCCGAGATCCGAGGCTCAGTCGCGCCGTCGAGACCGAGTACGGCTGCTGCGCGCATCAAGACGCCTCTTATATCACGACCTCCGACGGTATCCGCACCTATTGTCGAAGAGGAGAGACGAGGGAGGTCGAGAACTCGTGCCTTTCCTCGTGAAGAGGAGACGATTCATGAAGAAGGAGAAGGTGGAACGTATTTTTTGTACAATGGAGAGTACTATGAAAAGATTCCACCAGAAGAGATTGCGCTCTATGAAGGGATGGAGGCAGAAGTAGTCCAGTACGAAGGCGAACAAGTAGAACAGGAGGAAGAGTACGAGGGACCAGAGGAACCGTACATTTACGACCCAGGAAACGGACCTCGCGTACGAGACTTTGTGGCATTCTTACACAGTCCATTTGCGGTGCAACCGAGTGTCGAATTTGTACGGGTCGGCGAACCAAAGGGGGGAGCCGAAGACGACGTGGATTGGACGGATAATGAACTCGTCGGTCTATTAGCGCGTGCAGTGCCGGATGAACTAGCCCTCGTACGTCTTTTTGATTGGGGAGTTTGAGGTAGGCTAATTGTGTGCCAGGTACTTTGGTACAACCGGACACGAGCGACGCACCGGATCTGTCCAACATGTCAACGAGTGTATCACGTTGGGGAAGCACTTCGACCGCATCTGCCGGGTGTAGATAGCGAAGAGGAGCAGAGCGTGACGGAAGAAGAGGTCAAGCGACATGCAGCGCGAACGGCAGAGCAGTGGCTGAGCGGAATCTGTGAGTGTTTTTTGGTTTCTTACAGAGTGAGGGGTGTGTGTGCTGAGATGATTCAGGTTCGATTCCGTGCTTTGCACTGTCGACGTATACGCTGGGACCCGCAGCGGTGCTTGCATATGGCCTATGGTGGTCGCAGCTCGACGAGGGGACAAAGGTCGCGCTTCAGCCGGGGGAAGACGAGGAGGAGAGGATTGATGACCAGGGGCTGAGTGCATATGTTGCACTTTCTCGGTGTACAGGACGGGAGATGCTGGTGGTCCTGACGCGGGAAGATGGATAGGAGGAGATTCAACTCCGCTCGTTGGTGTAAAAAATCGGAAAAAAGCTGGGTAAAAAAAGCTGAGCGACAGAAGTGAGTGCAGAAGAGAATAGATAATTTAGAGGATCAAAGGGATTAAATGTCATCGAGGGGAGCTTGCGGAGCTGGGCGGTCCAATGAACGGGCACAAAGCAAGCGGATAAATGGGCGGTCAGTGGTGCCCTTGCGCCTTTGCTCTTTGCCCTCGCCCATCCATCGCCCATCGACCACTGTGAGTGCCCCCGTCCATATCCCCCAGCAGCCATGGCCCACTGGCGCTCCTCGTCGTCTCGGCCAACGTCGACGCTGCTCTCGCCATCGTTACTGCCGTCGGGGACAACACGTCGTGCACGCGTCGGCGCATCCCGTCGTCGTCTGGCCCATGTTGAGCTCCTTTGCGTCGACGACAGCCGCCTCCAGACCCCGCCATGAGCCCAGCCAGCTCACAACTAGTCTTTTCTGCCTTTTCATCCTCTCTGACGCGTCGGGGACGTCGTGTTGCTGACCCTCCGTCTCCCAGCACATCGCCAACCAAAAAACACTCCCAGTCCTCGTAGCCATCATGCCAAAGGAAGCAAAGCCAAAGGTATGTTGCTCTTTTCACTCTCTTACACTGTTACTCACCTTTCCTCCCCCGAGCAGAAGGAAAAGGTCACCAAGAAGAAGGACCCTCACGCGCCCAAAAAGGCTCTTTCCCCCTACATGTTCTTCACTCAGGAATGGCGTGAAAAGATCAAGGATGAGAACCCCGGAATCGGCTTTGGCGAGGTGGCCAAGCGTCTCGGTGCAAAGTGGAAGAGCATGACTGATGAAGAGAAAGAGGTATGTTTATTCTTGTCCTCGTTATTACCTGGCACTAATATTGGATAGCCCTATGTCCAGAAGCATCAGGCAGACAAGAAGCGCGCTGATGATGAGAAGGAGGCCTACGAGGTACGCCCTTCCCTTCAACCCACACTGTCTGTACTCATCACAATCTCCAGGGCAAGTCCAAGGCCGCTGCTGCTGCTAGCGGCGATGACGAGGACGATGACTAGACAATGTCAACCCAGTCGGACTCTACTCTATCCAAGGTACCACCCGAAACAATAATCACCTCTCTCACCCTGGTTCATTATTGTTTTTTTCCTCTCTTTGTCTGTTCTAACAACGCTTCTATTCCTCTCCTCAACTAGCTCTACGTGTCCTCGTTACAACTGTGCTTCCCCATGTTGTGTACTTGCCCTACTAGTCCTCGGAGATGCTATTGATTTCATTTATCCCTTGATTGCTGCCATGAATGTTGCCCGTCTCACTTGACCCGACCATCTCAGGTGCGGAATACCCTCCAGCCTTTTGCTTGGATCTCTCTACCATATGTCATCAAGTGAAAGCAGCGATGCAGGTCCACGACAGTCCCTCCCCCTGGTCGAATAGTGCGTCGTCAATCCTCCAGACACTGTTCGCTTTACCTCAACGAGTGAGACTGACGCTCTTGGATACGTTTAGAAGATCCAGACGAGCCAAAGAGGGCGCTCTCCGCGTACATGTACTTTGCTATGGAGTGGCGCGAAGGGCTCAGACTAGTCACGCCCCCCATGTCCTCTGCCGAGACGGCCAGACATCTTGGGATGGTGTGGAAGTGTATGAGTGATAACGAAAAGGCCGTGAGTTCTCTCTTCTTTGACTCTTTTGATGAGTTTATAGTGTAGGCCTATGTCGAGGCTGCTCGCGGGATAGGATACGGTTCCAAAAGGAACGAGAGGCTTATGATGCCAAGGTGCGTAATGTTTGCTTAGAGGTGTTGTGCTGAGTATGTAGTGACGATTTGTCAACGCGGCTCATCTGGCCGAGCATCCATCCCCGTTTAATGGGTGATTGGTAGATACCCTCTATTGTCGGTGGATTCGACTTTCTACGATGATTTGCAGTTTCTAGTGGATAAGTGTACCGAGTAGCATGTCCCATACATCACCTCTCCTCCACCCTCTGGTATCCTATTGGTAACGACTGGAGTATTCCCTCGAAGTATCACATTCCGGCTATATCTCATCTTATTAACAAAGGCTTCCTATACATTACAGTCTCAAAAGGCGTGGAATCATCCCCTCCCCGCAATAGTGTAGACATCGGAATTGCTAAAGAGATTGATCATACACTTCAAACTTGTATATACCTACTCCCGATGCTTTTCTAAACACTCTACAGCTTTGTGTACCTCGCCCTACTACCAGTCTAAACTTGAACCCGACCGCCTCTGACTCGAACCCCGTCCCGAGCGTACAAACTAGCAGATTGGGTAGCGATAACGCGCACATCTGCAACCATTCTGTCTAGGCATCTCCGCTCTCTTGCCAACAGAGCACCTGTACCATATCTCATCAAACATCGCACCCGTCATCAAAGAGCCATGGCCACTGCACCCGTAGACGAAAAAGTGCGTCCTTTTGATTCTCATTCTAGATCTAAAACTCTTCTATCGCCAAATCCGTCAAGGCGCTGGCGCTTCTTCTTCTTTCGAATTTAGTCAACGAGTCAAATCTTAGACTGACCCTCTTTTATTACCGTATAGCCCACTGTTAAGCGCGACTTTCTCGTCGATTTGGAGAAAAAGTATCAAGCCGAATGGCGAGATGCCAAAGTATTCGAGGTCGACGCGCCCGGCTTGGACGAGATTACCGACTCTTCCTCTTCAAAAGTCGACTTGGAAAACGAGTTTGCTGCCCAACGTGCGTTACGTGAAAAAGAGCCCAAATGGCTCGGCACGTTTCCGTATCCTTACATGAATGGATCGTTGCACATGGGACACGGATTCACAATCTCGAAAATCGAGTTTAATGCTGGCTTTCAGAGGTTGATGGGGAAACGGGCATTGTTCCCTTGTGGATTCCATTGTACGGGTATGCCCATCAAGGTGAGCAGTACAAGTCTGCCCTGATAAACACGCCATTGTTCATTCTAACCTCATGATAGGCCGCTTCAGACAAGATTATTCGTGAAATCGACATGTTTGGTGAAGATTTCGCTGGATATCAACCTCCAGCAGAAGACGAGCCCGAGCCAGTAGCAGCACCAACTCCCGCAGGTGCATCTGCAACGTCTGCCGCTGCAGCCTCGACAGTCGGCAAAGCGAAAAAGGGCAAGGTCGCAGCAAAGAACACTGGACTTGAGTACCAATTCCAAATCATGGAAGCCGCCGACATTCCCCGTGCAGAGATTAAAAAATTCGTCGACCCCGCGTACTGGCTCACCTATTTCCCTCCCATTGCCAAATCCGATTTGACCGCGATGGGAGCAAGAATCGACTGGAGACGGTCATTCGTCACGACAGACGCCAACCCATACTACGACTCATTTGTCCGGTGGCAGATTAACAAGCTCCATGCGCTCGACAAGATTCGATTCGGCATGCGGTATACAATCTATTCGCCCAAGGATGCTCAGCCTTGCATGGATCATGATCGAAGCGAGGGTGAAGGGGGTGGGCCGACTGAATATACCGGTATCAAGATGGAGGTAGTTCAGTGGAGCGATGCAGCGAAACAAGCACTTGGAGGCGTGATCAATGGCAAGAAGGTCTTCCTCGTCGCAGCGACGCTGCGTCCCGAGACTATGTACGGCCAGACTAACTGCTTCGTTGGAGCGACGCTCGACTATGGCCTGTTCACCGCAAAGGACGACGAGATTTACGTCTGCACCTATCGTGCCGCAAGGAACATGGCGTTCCAAGAAATCATTACTCCACGAGATAATCCTGTCAAGCTTGCCGAACTCAAAGGCTCGCAGATTATCGGCACAAAGATCAAGGCGCCGTTTAGCGTGAACCCAGAAGTGTACGTTCTCCCCATGGAAGGCGTCCTCCCGACCAAGGTTCGTGACGACCCAACGACTGTCTGCATCTGATCTAATTGGTTTTAGGGTACCGGCGTGGTCACTTCTGTCCCGTCCGACTCGCCCGACGACTATGCTACACTCATGGATCTGCGGAAAAAGGCCGAGTTTTACAAGATTGATCCCTCGTGGGCGGCATTCGACCCGGTTCCCGTTCTCTCCACGCCAACTTATGGCGAGATGAGCGCACCTGCTCTCGTGAAACAGTTGAAGATTCAAAGTCAAAAGGACACGATCAAGCTTGCCGAAGCGAAAGAGCTGGCGTACAAGGAGGGCTTTTACAAGGGTACAATGGTGATTGGAGAGTTCAAGGGCATGCCTGTCGAGGAAGCCAAGCCAAAGGTCCGCGACGCAATGATCGCAGCTGGACTGGCGTTTGCGTACGCCGAGCCCGACCGGTTCATCAAGAGTCGGAGTGGAGATGAATGCGTCGTTGCACTGATGGACCAATGGTATCTGGATTATGGAGAAGATGTCTGGAAGGCGCAAGCAGAAAAGTATGTCGACTGTCCATCTGAGAAACATGGACTGACCTTGCCTTTTCAGGCTCTTGGGTCGTATGAACACCTACTCTTCCGAGACGAGGCACGCTTTCGAGGCTGTACTCAACTGGCTGAACAAGTGGGCATGCGCGCGAACGTATGGTCTCGGATCGAAGCTCCCATGGGATCCTCATTTCCTTGTGGAGAGCTTGAGTGACTCGACAATCTACATGAGCTACTACACTGTGGCCAATCTTCTGCACGGTATGTTCATCCAGCTATCAAGAGTTCTGATTCTGACCTTTTAAAGCCGACATTGAGGGTTCAAAGCCCGGTCCGCTTGGCATCCAAGCAATTCAAATGACGGACGAAGTCTGGGAATATGTTCTCGGATCTGGTCCATTCCCAGCATCGTCCGATATTCCAGCTGCATCCCTCAAGAAGCTTCGTCATTCTTTCACCTACTTCTACCCTATGGACATCCGATCATCCGGAAAGGACCTCATTCCTAATCACCTGACGTTTGCCGTCTACAACCACGCCGCGTTGTTCCCCGAAGAACACTGGCCACTTAGTATGCGTGCTAATGGCCATTTGATGCTCAACGGAAAGAAAATGTCCAAGAGTACCGGCAATTTCCTCACGCTTCGTCAAGCGATTGACAAGTGGGGTGCCGATGCGACGCGCTTGGCCCTTGCAGACGCCGGTGATGGTATCGAGGACGCCAACTTTGATGATACCACGGCCAACGCGTCGATTTTGCGTCTCCATACCCTCATTGGATGGTGCCAGGTTCGTACTCTGCTTCACGAAAGACTAGCCCTAAAGACATTGACAGGAAGCCGCCGACGGATCGTCTGGTTTCCGCACCGGCGAGTTTACTTATCATGATCGCGTCTTCCAAGAAGAGTTTATCAATCTCGCCAACGAGACGAAGAAGCACTATGAGGCGTTAGTACACCACTTACAGTCGAGACTTATTGACAATCTATTGTAGGACCAACTACAAGGACGCTCTCAAGTCTGCGCTTTACGAAACCCTCATGGCGCGTGACTGGTACCGAGAAGTCACCTTTGAAGAGGGAATGCATCAAGATCTCGTGCTTGCCTTTAACCGGACACTCGCTCTCCTCATTTCTCCCATTACCCCTCATACTTCCGAACACATCTGGAAAGCCATACTCAAGCAACCTGGTTCAGTGCAAACCGCCCGTTGGCCCGAGCCACCCGCGAATTGGCAACCATCGCCGGACTTGATCGCCGCGGGAGAATATATGCGCGGCACGCTCAAGACGATGCGTGATGCCGAGCTATCTTTGGCGAAGAAAAAGGCCAAGAAGGGTACCGTTGGTGCCTATGATCCCAGCTCTGCGCAGAAGAGCGTCAACATTTTTGTTGCGAGCAAGTTCCCGCAGTGGCAGGATGACAGTATCGAGATTATGCAGCGCGCTTATGATGAAAAGACGGGAACTGTCGACGATGCAAAGATCAAGGAGGAGCTTGCGAGCAAGGGCTTATTAAAGGACAAGCGCATTATGCCGTTTATTCAGATGCAAAAGGTATGTAGAACCTTGCGGCGCTATTTCAATCACTGACTCGCGCAGAAACGCATGGCCCAACTTGGTGCCGAGGCAACGTTCCGTCGCCAACTCTTGTTTGACGAAGCAGAAGTGCTTACACTGCTCACCCCGTACATTACGAAGAACCTCAAGTTGATTGACGTGACCGTCATGCGCGTCGAGGATGCAAAGGAAGCCAAAGTCGCGCCAGATATGATCATCGATACCGCAGAGCCTGGTTCTCCTGCATTCAACTTTTACAACCCATAGTCTCGCATGATTGCAATCGTAGTGTATTACCCTGGGCACTTGACGTTTATGCATACGTCCTGAGAAGGGAGACAACCCTCTATAGTGATAAGAATAAAGTTAAAGGGATCAGGTCGTCAGTTTATCCGATCCCATAGGGCAGTGAAGAGGTGAAAGCTGAGGCACACCTCGTAGACGCTAAATGTCACACCGCCAGAGATGACCAGTCGTACAAGTCGAGGTGTCGTTCCTCTCCAGAAGCGAGTGATCCCTTCTTCGGTGAATGTCCGATAGATGCAGTGGAACGAGTTGCGATACTGTGTTCGCGCGTCGAGTGACTGCATGCGGGTTTTTACAACGCTGTTTACGTTTTAAGTCGTTGGCAGTTGAACAGGTAGCGAAACGCACTCTAGCGGCATCGTGGCGTAGACAGTGACGAGACCGGCCATGCCGCCGATTGCGAATGTGATACTCGATGGCAATGTCTGGCCGGGCCGTGTATTGCCTTGAACGAATTGCTTAAGTGTCGTGTATGTCGTGAAGCGTACAGCCGAGTTTGCTCCCTGACGCATCATCTGCGAAAACTCTCAGACTCCTCCAGATCTGAAGAAAATGGGACTGACCACGGGGAAGAGTCCACGATAGATACCGAAAATACCCTCTTCTGCGATTATCGAACGTGTGCCGTGAATGAGACCTTGTATTGAGGATTAGGACGCCTCGAGTCTTGGATCATTTTCGTCCTGGGTATGGATCAGAGTCATTCAAGAGGTCGATAGGTACGCACTTGATGGTTTCCGATGGAGTGACGGCGAATATCGACTCCATCACGCCTGCACCCAGACCGGCTGCAGAAAGTCAGTGGCGAGATGAATTGAGACTGCATAGCACTCACCCGCGAGACTCCTCGGTGCAGTCACTTTCCCCTACAGGAAGATAAGGCTGGATAGTGGATCAAGGAGACGTACGTACATCCTTGTCTGCCAGCATGCCTTTGAGCGTATCATAAGTTAGGAATCGTACACCAGCCTGACCATGGTCAGCTTTCATCTAAAGGAGATATTGAAGCGGCCTCACCTTTGCGGCATTGCCAACAATGAGGGCAGATGCGCCTGAATAAAGTCCGGTAATACCCTTTGTCTGAAGGGTTGTCCGGACAATTTCAAGGGGTTTTTGACGCTAGTTACAGGATTCAGATACTTGTACCATGCGAAATCGCACAAAAATGTACCTGGCCTCCAAATTGGCTTGTCGTCTTTACAAACTCGGTGGGGTATGTCACAAATCCTTCCACAGCGCCTTTGAGAGGTAGGTGTCAGATATATTGGTTGAAATATTGGACGAATGGTGAGAAATACCAACCTGCTGTGGCTCCAGCGAGCAATGAATGCCACGGTTGTTCCTTGTTCGCCATGAATTTCACGACAGTTTCCGAGTTCTGTATAGTGTGTGATGCAATTTGTATGGGCCAACTGGGAAAAAGGTCCGACGCGGCGACGAACAAGACGCTTCTGGACGGCCGACCAAATAAACACGACCTCGATGCCACCATAACCGGGGCGCTACAACAAATATCAAAAGACTCTAATGGCATCATGTCCTGTACTTCTCTGCAAGACCTTCTCGCAGCCTTACCATGACGCCTTTGTCGAGCGTGGCTTTGAACCGCATTTTCTCCAAGTTCTCGATACAAGGTTTACCAATGAACGAGAATTACTTCAACTCATTGCGGATGGTCCACAACAAGCGGACATAGGTGGCGTAATCGTCACAAGTTCACGCGCAGCCGAGGCGTGGACAGCTGCAGTGCAACGGATAAGGGAGACGGAGAAAGACAAGAGTGACAGTAAGTAAATCTCACATGATGATGATCATATATCTGAGAGCCAGGCGTGTCGTGGAAGAATATCCCATTCTTCGTCGTTGGAAAGAGCCACCGAAACGGCGCTCAAGAATTGCGTTGAATGTAGCTATGCCCCAAATCTCATCCATGGTGCAGAGCATACCGGATCCGGTAAAGCTCTTGCCCAATACATCATTGTAAACCACAAGCCGGCATCAGACTCCGACCTGGAACATCGCCAGCTCCTCTATCTAACGGGGGACAAGAACCGAGAGACGATTCCGGAGATTCTAGGAGACAGTGGCTTCAGTCTTCGAAGACTTCAAGTCTACGAAACTGCTGCAGTGGACGATCTTATGAAAAGATCCGTGGAGAAAATGGAAGCACTAACTGGTGTGTGGTAAACAGAAACTCCCCCTTTGTTAACTTCTATCCAATAGCTTCTTCTCAAGAGACACCCTGGGTCGTCTTCTTCTCTCCATCGACGGCTGAAGCAGTTCTCGACGCAATACCAGATTCAAGATGTGCCTCTACAGAATCAGATTCGCTCTCCTTTCGAAACTCGTCCCTTCGACTAGCGAGCATTGGATCCACCACCCGAGAGTATCTCATGAGTCGAGGGCTGGCAGTCGACGCCTCCTCGGGAAAACCATCTGCAGATTCGCTTTCTCAGGCAATCAGTGAAGCACGTTTAGTAACGTGATCATTGTGGCGCGTAAATGGACCATCACCCAAGTCGTCCCCACCAAGTTTCAGAGGTTGGCGTGTCAAGCGAAGCAATCGTAATATTCGAGAAAACACCTAGATGTCTTACTCTACGCCTCTATGCCACCGTAAAAACGCGAAGCAACCTACAATGGAATTGGAGATCAGGGAGATTGGTGAGAGATGTCCCACCGCGCCGGGTTCCATGTACCTTTCTTCCTGTAGTTTAGCTAGTAACCCTCGTATGAATAGACATTTTCCCGAACTGCGTTGAGTGCATCAGCCCAGTAAAGGATAAACCCAAGTATTTAAGTTGCCTCGGGCCGGTTCAAGAGCTCTCAATCAACAAGGCTTTCTGTGAACCCGTATTTCTATTTCGGGTTGCGGGACGGAGTATATACGTAGTTGGGTCCACTCTACTGAACCAAAGAATCCAGTCCCTTCGGGGCGACAAAGCGCTATTCGAACCTTTCACATTGTAACTGTCAGTAAAACCACGTGGCGGCGCATCACTATCTAATCTTGCAACACGGTTCAGTCACAAACAGAGGACAGTCCGGTCTCCCGAACGTCCCACTTGCAGGGGACACCTTGATGCCTTGACGGACTGCGACGGCATCAAGCTCCTTATCTAAATCTCGTGGTACAATATTGCTGACCTATTATCTGGAGTTAAAGGACCCTCACACATTGCTGGCGCTCGACTCACATTAAGCCATCCCGCGTCACGTCAACAAAGCTCGTAGAAATACATCCCCGGCTTACGAAATCGGCGTCGCTGCGACACGACACAACTCCAAGTCGGTTATCTATTTATTTATTTGTTTATTTGTTTGTTTATTTGTTTATTTATTTGTTTATTTATTTATTTGCTATTTTAACGATCCGCCAATAGATCCTCTTTGCCGGTTGCATGCAAAGCTTGGAACCATCCATACCATGAATTTGTCGAGTAACACAACATCTGGGCCCAAATCCGCCTCTGCTGCTATAAATACGACATACCGGGCTTGCAACTCTAGGTCATATTCGGCGTCTCTTGCTGCAAGCCCGACTTCCAACATTATTTCCACCAGCGGACCAAGCCCCTCGACGAAGATAACATCCGTCAGGATGAACTCAAGTTACAACACCCAGAACCCTGCGTCCTCCAAGAAACAATTAGAATCCGATGTGGGTGCAACAGGAGCCAATCAAACCGAATTGGAACTCGACCGAGCTCAAAACAGAGTCTCGATATTCAATCCCAATTACCGACCGCCCGATCCATATATCGTGTACAATGAAAAGGCCGCCACCACTGATGCGGACTTTCTTTCTGACTGCTACGAGAGCATGGACACTCTTTTAGTCTACGTGAGTTTTGATATCAATGTTCACTTGCTCGCTAACATCGGCTAGGCGGGATTGTTGTCTGCCGTGACTGCTGCGCTGATTGTGGAAACCTACAAAGATCTGAAAGCAGAGCCTCTGGGTCGCACCGAGCAAGTGCTCGAGGCCATCCTACGCCATATCGAAAATCCAGCCGTGCGGACATTTGTCCCTTCTTCCCACTTCAAACCAGCAACACATGACGTCGTCACCAATATGATGTTCTTTTTAAGTTTATCTTTCAGTCTTCTAGCTGGACTCGGAGCAATCCTTGTCAAGCAATGGACAAGAAGAGCCTACAGAGGATTAAACGTCATCGTTGTTCCGAGGCAAAAGGCACGGGAGCATTATCGGCGGGTCGAAGGAATCAAACGCTGGGGCCTACCAGAGATTATCGACGCTATTCCTATGCTACTCCAACTCTCCCTTTTCTTATACTTCATTGGCATTTGCTTCTGGCTCGGCTTCCTTCATTTGACCATCTTTATCGTCATCTCAACGGTGCTAACCATCGCACTAGGCTTCTACCTTGGTGCGGCGTATATCCCAGCTCGCTGGCCGGATGCACCATTCAAGTCGCCAACTTCTAGCCTGGTGGAGTGGTGCATAGTCCGCATTAAATCGCTCGTGTCAAGAGCAGAGTTTCGAGTTTCAGACGATGAGGAAATGTCAACCTACATCGTCATCGGAGCACCACCCGTATTGGCCACGCCAATGGGTCGGGTCGGCGAATTTGGGGACGAGTCGAACATAGATAGAAGAGATAGCCTCGACTTCAAGATTCTTCTCGACATACTCAACCATCCAGATACCTCGAAAGGCATTGATGGAGTGGTTGACGACATACGACTCGCCTTTACACAGCGCGATACAGAGGTGTTTCATCCCATTGTGGATGACGAGCTGATTCCAACAGTTATAGCCAAGGCAAGAGACTCCATTCTCTCTTGCTTAGAGCTTCGGAATCATCGCACCGTCTTCAATGAAAACGAGGTGGAGAAATGTGTTCTTAACCTCCAATTCTTCGAAGTAGTACTGCAGCGCCATGATTTCAACAGTCCCGAGGACCAAATGATACTCAACGACGTATATGAGGTCGTCGACCTTTTCCTCGACCGCGCTATGGAAGCTCGGTTGCTTGACGAGATCATTCTCGCTGCTTCAGTGGCATTTAGAATCCGGCTTGCTCTTGGAAAGCGCTTCGACTGTGACCAAATCCAGCGGATCATTATCCTTCTCCGAGACCTTGGCCCTGCGCCGCGTCATTGGGAGGACAGAGGTCTTCCTAATGATGATTTCCTCCCAGAGTGGATGTTCAAAGAGTATGCGCGGTACCAAGATCGCATTGGAGCCGTCACTTTGGCTATCCTGGAGCACATCAGAGCCAGTTGGGTACAAAAAACCCCAAGCCATACTGAAGAAGTGGCGTTGAAAGAGATAGGAAGGCAGTTGGAAGGTCTTTTAGAAGTGGGTCGGTATAAAGGGGACCGGGCACCAGACAGTTATCCGGTTCTGCGGGAGGCGATGTCTGGCCTATGGATGAGGTCACAAGGCATGCCTATTGCATTATGCAACTGGATGGCGGTCCAAATGAATACTACTGGAATCCGGGTCCAGAGGGAGGATAACGGGCTGCATTCGGTGGTGTACCTTTTTGAGGATGAGGTTGAGCACATAGAGGGATGATGATCAAGGAAGAGAATAGGCTGCAGACTGCGCGAACTTCACCAAATGCGTTCGGTTTATAATCCTGGTTCATAGATCAAACCGAATAGTAAAAAGTTATTTCAATTAATTCTCCTATTCTGGTTGGAGGAAGGCGCGCAGTAAGATTTGTTGCTTATGGTGCCAGGTTGTAACTCGCATTTGATGTCGACCTACCCCGTTGACTTTTCCACCTGCTTGGACGCGGCCTTAGGGCTGGTAGAAACATACCTGAGAGATGCCGACCACGCTCTTAGCGTCGGGAGGAACGAAATTGCCCCTGCACTGACGGAATTACTTGACCTTCGCGAGGAACTTCGGTTTACTAGGCTGATGGAGGGAGAATATGCTATGGCACCCATCAATGAAATCATGGTTTCGTGCAACTTCATCATCGAGTCCCTATCTCCGCCTTCGACTCCGGGAACAGCATTTCAACAAACCTGTTCTGGGACTCCAGGTGATCAGAACGTCGACTGCCAGGAATTCTGTACCCTCGTCAGGCAGTTAAAAGGTCGTCTAAGCACTGCGCTTAAGCATGTGGACGGACGGCTATACCCAACCCCGTCTCCCTCGGCGGCTGATTATGAACCGCCGTTTAGTTACGCTTTCGCTCTTCCCGCGCGTTCCATGCCTCTTCCTCCTAATGGCATAGTCCAAGGATACGAAGAAAAAATGCATAAATATGGTCTGGCCTGGGCCATGCAAATGAGAAGGGAATTAGCAGAGGCACCAAACTTACCAGGCCGACAAATCATACGGCAATTATGGAATCGTACACTGCTATCTCTGCAGGGAACAGTCCCCGATCCGCCGCCTCTGGATATGGATCTGGAAGCGTTTCGAGACTCTTACAATGAGTTCGATCAGATGCTGCGAGACTCTATCGTACGCCAAACTGTCGATCATCACTGTGCGGTCTTCGTTGGCCTGCAAAACTCAGGGAAGTCGACATTGATCAATGCTTTGATCGATCAAGACTTACTACCGACGGGAGGTACGCGATGTATTTGCCTCTTGGATATGACCTGACTTGTCTAGATGGCGTCGTGACCACTTTGCCAAGCAGAATCGTTCATGATGCGGAGGCTTATCAACCCATCATGCACCTTCCTCATCAATTCCTTGATCGCACTCTTACCAAACTTCGAGCGGCTTGGCCACTCTTGATTCAAAGGCACCCGAATTATCGAAGGACCACCAGCTACATGAAGGAACGGATAGAACTCATCATTGATCCACTTCTAGTACTTCCTTCTACAGTACATGGACTTCAAGAAGTCAAAAGGACGGTAAGTGCTTACATAGTGTCGTGCGAAGTTTTGATGTTGGCACAGCTTGGTATACTTAATGATATCATTCGCATTTCTGATATGTTCGGGCTCGAATATGACGACATCTCTGCGGGAGAATGGATTCGAATTAACATTCGATTCCCCTTCGAAGTGCAACCCATTCGAGGTCATTACGAGGTCAGCAATCGCGCCAGCGGCACCATCTAACTGACGAATATCTAGTTTGTGGACATCCCGGTACATACGAGTCCGAGTAGCTTGCCATTTCTAAGTGAGGTTTCTAGGGCCTAACAGAGACATTTGAAAAGGCACGGTAACTCTGTCTTCGACACCAAAGCTAATAGTAATTTAGAACTATTGGACAATTCTTGCCCTCCAAACAATCCGTCGTGCTACCGTCGTGGTCGCTGTCGTAGATGCAAATAGCTATCACCGCGGATCTTGGCGAGACTTACCTCACGTCATCTATGAAGGAACCAACCTTCCAGCAAGCGTGATCGCGGTTACGAAGACGGATCTCTTTGTGGAGACGGAGAGTTGGCCTGCAGTCCGAGCTGATATCCAAAGAACGTTTTGGAAGGAGTACCCTAGCGGACTTTACTTTGAAGGCTCTCCAAGAGTCGGATGGGAGCTCAGGGATATGCGGGAACAGCTTAAACACATGAACGTGGTACCGCAACTCTCTCTCTTGAGAGAACAATATAGAAAGGCGAGTGTTCTCATCGGTTGCCTTGCCTCCCTAATAAACTATGTAAGGCCACCCATATTGTTTGGCCGTCCGGCTCTGTGTCTGATGCCGGCTTCACATCGGCCACACTCGACAGCCTGAAAGCAAGTATCGATGCACAGGCTGAAAAGCAGGGATTCGATCAATTTCTGAAGGACTTTTACCGTTCTTTCCGAGGAAATGCAGTTGATCCTTATCTCACGGATGAATTACGGGGTCTCGCAAACCGAATTGTCCCGCTAATTGAGTCAATCGAGCAAGTGCTTTCCGGGAGTTATACTTCCGCTCACCTTCCAACCAGGCATCAACTGGAGTACATTGGTCTGACTCCTTATGATTCGAAGGCGCAGTTTGCGGCGTACGAAGCGCTACAATCAGAAGCAAAGAACATGATAGAAGAATGGTTCCACGTGCAGGACTCACTAATCCAAGAGTGTGATCTTATCATCGTGCGGTCGTCGAGCAACGTACAGGAAGAGGGTGCAGAGGTCGTCTCCGGCTTCGACTACTATTCGGAAGCGACAACTCTAGGAACTGACTCTCCTTCGGTACGAATCGCCACTATATCATGTTTTTTTCTTATCTATCTCAGGGTGGAGTCAAAGCATTCTTCCTGTCTGCTCAGGACGCCGAGCATTTCCTTGAAAACGTTCAAGCGGTTCTCAAGTCTCAGCTGCGGGATCTCCAAAGCAGGGCTCTTCATTCAGTATCAGTTGATGCGAAAGCAGTGCTGGAGTCGCAGCTGGCCTCCCTAATAAGGGGCCGTAAACTGAGAATCCCAATCGAACATTTGGCCGAACAGTTCCAAGAGCAGATAAACAACTCTGCAACATCTACGCCCTGGTCCCCACAGAAGGTCGACGTGATTTCTCTAGTCAGTCCTATCGGAGAGAAGGACCGCCTGACGGCCGAATTCGTTGGGATGCAGCAGAAGGTTCTCAACGTGATTTCACCTAGGAGCGGCGGTCCAAACGGGAATCGTCCGCTTCAGAGTACCTCCACATTGTTGCGTGGTCTGGTGGCGGCTATCGCCATTTGGCCCTTCGCGCTCAAAATACCCCTTACTAGAGCCAAGAGTCCGGTTTACTGCCTTGTGGACCTGAGGGACTTACGAAATAGTCTCCTGGAAGCGTTGATAAAACCATGGAGTATCCAGCTCAGGGCAGATCTCAAGTCTGCCGTTTACTCTTCCCTGCAAACAGAAGCAGCGATATTACCCAGAGTAGTGGACAACGCTGCAAAAGTCAAGTTCCAGGAATCCACTAATTATCCTCCTGCTGGGCTCAGCGAGGAGCTGATCGATAATTACATTCGCAGCTATTGCAATCTTGTCGCCGCGAAAGCTGCACTCGAGCAACTAACCGAAAAAGCTGCATGATTCTATACTTATTTATTACGTAACTCGGAATAGACATCGCTGCCAAAGACCCCATAAACCGTTGAAATATTTTTTTTATTGTTTTCGATTTCCGCTACTCCGGCACTGACAGCCAAATCTATTACAATGGCGCCCTAAATATATAACACAAACTACAATTCACTTATGGGCGTTGCAGGATATAAAACCCGCTAGAGCAGTCGCAATGCTGCCATAAAATCCACAACGCCCGTCGACTCATCCACTTTCCAATACTCCACTTCACTAGTCAATATGGCTAGCCATATCGACTGCTATTCAGCCGCAGTTCGCGCTCTCGACAACTTCCGTATGCTCTGTCTTGCAGGACTCCCGAAAAACTTGGTCCCCCAGCTCAACTCGGAGATTCAACGATTCGTCCTGACCCTCTGGTCAGACGACGTCTACATCTCGTGTACGCACACACCAGCTTATGTCGACATCTTATCCGATCTCTCCCTGGAGGAGGCGCTCAAGAAGATGAACCACGCTCTCTCATCTCTTATATCTCTTTTCGACCTAGAATCGGATATTGCAGAAAATCAGAATGACAAGCCCGCATTCACATCCCTCATTTTGTCCCCAGTTCCGCCTCAACAATCTACCGTCGCCGATGCTTGCGAAATTCTGGAGCGACGCAGAAAATACATCAAAGGACTCTCATCAAATCTGCATGCATTGGTGCTAAAAGTGGCAAAGAGGGACCCTCTCCAGTTTCAGAACGCTCCTTACGGGCAATTTGCGGAACAATTCACTCAGAACGTCAAGTATCTAAAGAGAACTTTCATCAACACTCCTTTCTCCATAAATCCGGCTAGTGCTATCCACAACTCGCCTTACCCCTTGCGAATCCTCAACGAGCTTCGAGTTGAGCCTTATTCGGAGCTTGGTACGGAACTCGTGTGTCACCCTGCATTTAGGGAGCTAGAATCCTCTGGTAGACTCTGGGTTCATGCTCAGAATACCGTGCCATTTGGGGCTGCGAGTGGGTCTCGTCCATCCAACAATCGGATCCATCGGGGAGAGCTCCACCAACTTGCTGAGAATCTCCTTCGAACACTCCAGTCGAGTCAGGTTCATCTCGACGCAGCACTCGACGTCTCGGGGAGCTATGAAAACAAGGAGCTCGTCGACGGAGTACAAATGATCCCAACGATAGCAGTTAAAGTTGGAGAATCATTGGTCAACTATCAAGATGAACTATGCGCCACCCCTCGCTTTGCTGTCTGTGGACCCGTCAAGGCTGGCAAATCGACCTTCCTTAACGTCCTGATTGGAAGCTCATTGCTTCCTACTGATAGTAAGCTTTGATTTGCGGCTATATTCCATACTGACCCGACTGAATAGGTATAGGATGCACTTCATGGCCAACGGTCATCCGTCATAATGAGAATGCGACCATCCCGAGACTAAGAGTCTCTCCAGGTCACTTCAAGAAGTATTTTGACATCCTTCGCACTTGGGTCGCCCAGATAGCTCCACGGAACAAGGCCAATTTCATTCAGTGGAGCGAGGTACGTGGACAGTACCAACAATTACCAAGAGCTCTCCAGGATAGAGTCACCGAGTTCATCGATGAAAATTTCGAACTTCCAGAATGGAGTTATGGCGATGAAGAGATCCTCAAAACTGTACGTGGTTGTCCCATTACAATCAACAATAACGGAAGAATCTCCAGAGTCGACAGATTAACGACCTCTTACGCGTTTGCACGGCGTTGTTCCGCGACTCGAAGCCGAAACGTAATTCGCAGCCGAAACAAGGAAAACCTTGGGCTGATGACGGAAATTTTCCGGTGCTGGAAATTCGCTATGGAGAGTTGGCACGAGACTTGAAGGATATGGAGGTAGGTCTTCTTGCTTTTACTGTCATTGAACTTAGTTATCGCAGTTTGTTGATCTTCCGGTATGTTCTATGGGCGCGCTTGGTCATGAGCTCATCGGTGGAAGGGCCAAAACGACCATGGTATGAATAAGGTTAGTGATCAACCATCTATTTTGAACATAGGTGTCATTCATATTTTCTACAGAGTGATCTAGAAGCAATCTGGAAGGGCGCCATGGAGGGCTGCCACGGCGCAATTATGATCGTTCCGGCCATTCGCGGAATGTACAGTGACCATGCTTCGAAGGAAGTAGGAACTTTCATAAACCGTAGTACATCAGGCCCGAAGATTATGATTGGTACAAAACGGGATCAACAAGACCTGGACGACTGGAGTAGTCAGGACCAGGAAGACATGGCTCGCTTGCTCTTCCCTGAGGCTCATCTCCCGGCGGTACTCCCAAGAATCCTCGAATGTGCACCACCCCTTTATACTGGAGTGCGCAACTTGGAGCACAAGATACAACTCGCAGAATCCACAGGTCAAACCCTGACCGCAAAAGCGATGAAAGAGTTTGGAGGTCCCGCGGTAAGCAAGTTTTCTACATAAACAACTTCTTCTTTCTGAAGAGGGACAGCTCTGGAGACGATTTGTTGGCAATGACCCAAACACCTGCTCCACGCCCGAGATTATTGAGAGGGAGCTCCCCACGAGACTCGAGGATGCACTCAAACTTTCAAATGTCGGAAGGCTGTCAGGATATCTTCGCACTCTCCTTTACGAAGAAGCAAAGGATCAAAGATATATAAAAAAGCTGGACGCGGTCAGAACCTCCTTCGAGTCTCTTTGGATTAAACAACGGTATGATGGGCGTCACGAAATTCTCTTTAACTGAGTCTTGTCCAGGCTCGTGCTTCATCTTTCTTCAGAGCAGAAGATGCACCTACAGCGTGCTCGAGACGACACCATTCGTTACGGAGAATACACTAATTCTGCAATTGAAAAGTGGGAGGTTGATGAAGCGGCGTTCACCCAAAACGTACTTGAATCCATGGAGGACGAGCTGGAGGACACGATATCTCAAGCGACTGAGCAACTGGAGCGCGTTATCCGCGCCGAGAAGAATTATCGGGGTGATGGGATCCTAATCAATGGAGGAGTGAGTTCGGACCCAGTTCGGACCCAGTGTCGAGTATGCGCTAACAAACCCGTCAGCTCCTGTTCATAAAGCGAGCCGGTGCTGAGAAGTATCTGGACAATACTGAGCGCGAACTCTTCCACGCTATAGATAGTCTCCAAGCAATCTTGATTAACAAGGTTCGCTTGAAGGCGGGCGATGCCTGGAGGGAACGCTTGCTCGGCCTTCCCGATTACATTAAGGACAGTCGTACCAAAGCCAGCTCAACAGGAGATCAAAGCCCCATGAGCTCTTACGAGCAGGAACTTCAGACCAAAACGCACCGCGAATTGCAGTCGTTATGCAACCAACGCATCGGCGCCATGGTCAAGAAACTGGTTGCGAAGAAGATGGAATCCAGCGCGCTAAAACAAACTGGTGGCCGTAAAGGGCACACCATCTTTCGAATCAAGAATCCTTTCCGTGCTCGCCAAGAAGCAACGGCTAGTGCCGTCGGGAGCCCGGGGGAGTTCGAATGGGCATGGGATGAGAAGGATGACAGAATCTTGGAGAGTCTCATGACCTCTGAGAATTTTGAGAATGACGAATCCTCAGCTGGAAATGCCATCTCCGAACTCGACGCCCAAGAGCTCTTTGTTCGGGGGATTAACCTTAACGGATGTTTGGATCGAGCGCCACTCTCCGCAAACCTTGCCATAGATTCAGAGTACGGGATCCTCCACGAGAAACCCAAGTCGAGCATTCAGCTCACCTTCGCCGAGCTTACCGAGTATCATACAAAGACCTTGTCTAGTTGGCAGGCTCTCCTCAAAAGAGAGATGACGCAGAGTATAACAGGCGGCATCAAGTTCACTTCTCGAGTGGCCAAAATGACCGTCAAGCAAATGATCGACAAGAGAAGCCGTGAACTTAAGGCAATCTTGGATGGATGCAAGGAACCGCTCAAAGAAGCTGCGGTGGAGACCTTGATCTCTCTGCACGCCAACTGTGTCTCTTCCTACGGAGCAGTGGATGAGCTGAGGAGTCTACTGGCTGCCGAGTGCGAGTCCAGTCGCGGTCTTGCCTCTCAGGAGCAGAGTTAGAAATCATGTCTATGACTACTTGCTATGGATTTCAACAGCCCTCTAGCTATATATCTGTCTTGATAATCGAACGGACTATCAGGAGCCTGACGAGGCGTAGTTCGACAACACTGTTATATTTCCGAGAAAATGCTCTTTCGGCATGCATGTAAGAAAGACGTCAACGCGTCTAAGGCTTGAGGACAATGGCAGGACATTGTTCCCTTGTTCCCTTCCTCGACCTCACTTGGAGATGACGGTTCTTTAAAACAATGACACGGACATCCCGGTTCCGTTCGACTTGAACTGACTCAGGTTATAGCATCTTCCGCCAAAGCGAAATGGTATACCTACCCGCGCTCACAAAATCTCGTCTTTAATTGCTCACGAAAGACGAAAATCTTATCATTTGGCAGGATGGATCAGAACAATAGACAAGCAAGAGGCGGCTAGTGACTGTGGATATCACGGTTATAGAGGTTTCTCCTATCACCTCATAAGGATTGAGGTGTTCCTCATCATACTGACGAACTACCAAAGAGAGTAACATTTACAGCGGCAATCGTTGATTGACAATCTTTTCTACACATTCGACGATCCGTGAATGAAGAGTGCCACGAACAATGTCATTGGAACTAGTTCGCACCAATATACGATCATGGTTTATACAGGTTCGTCAAACTTCGACTCGTTTTAATACTGTATCGTTAACCTTATTTCCATCTTCTGCGGAAATTATGCACCAGAAAGCGAGCTCTGTCGAAGACTCTCTAAAGGTCTATTGCGCATCTCTTTGCTCGTAATTACGTAAGTACGGCTTCAAGGACCTAATCCGACCTGCAGAGCCTGACGACCAATATGACGGTCCGCCGGATGTGGCATCGGCTGGATAACCCTCAACCACGACAGCGACACGGTTACGAGCACTTATCAAGTATGTTATTACCGTGGTAAGTACAATGTAGGAGCTATCCTGCGGCGCGAGTTATTGGACGACGTGTGGAGGCGATTCTGTGTGCAACGCTGACAGGGGACAAGCTGTACTGACAGAATCTCGATTTGCAATGATGAAATCGAGATACAATAGTTGCTCGCCTCGGTGGTCCCTCTTTACATGAAGCTGTTGGCCGCTACAAGGGGGTGTATCATGGACGGCACCGAATGATAGACGCTGGCAAGCTACGACTGAATTGATCGAGGCGAGCACAAAGGCCGGATATTAATGGAGCTCAGCCCATCCGTGTGATGATGGCGACGTGCGTCTGGCAAAGGGTCGGTGAGCCCTCGAGCCCGATGAAGACTTGCCAGATGGGTCTGACAGATTCTGACAAGGAGCAAGGTTAGATAACTCGTAACGCCCAAACAACTGGACACTTAACCCTCGACCACACATTGCCCTGGACCCCAGAGACCGCCAAGCTCGTCGCTGGACGCTGGTTGGCCTATAACTCGCAAGACTTGAATTATTCACTTGCATCTATCAGTCCGTCAATGGCGACAACGCACTGGGTCACATAGCTCCCGTTTCAGCCTCAGCCCATCGCCCTCTAGCACGTAGCGAACGTCCAAGCATGCTTTGATCAAGTTATTCGTGGTCACTTATCCTGTTCACATGCTATTTGTGGCTTCACGACGTGCCACAACGATGCAGCTAACGTGAACTCTGCCACATTTCCACTGCGACGGTCCGCGCCGTTTGCTTGGACTTTCCTTTTTCAAACTCGAGCTACTTGTTCACCTTATAGGTTTATCAGTCGCTTGACGTAACCCGCCAACACTGTGCTGAATTCGGTCGTCGAAACGCGTTTGGCGTTGATAAAATGCTGTTACAAGGGGATGGAACGCTGTAAGCAATACCTTTGTGGCATATTATGTCCGAAAAGAGTGTCCTACTTGTTGTTTGCTAATGCTATATGCATTTTTACACTAGCTGGGTCTGCACGTGTATGAGTACAATCTCGTCGTTCATAAATGCATTCCTGAGTTGATATTATCTCTTTGAGTATGTTCGACCGTGTAAGACGCGCCGGGATGGAATCAAGTACAACGACATCTCTTCATTGAACGAGCAGCGTGATTCATCCGTTTGCGTTCTTATTCTGAAGTATAGATACAGAAATCGTAGATTAACCAGCATGAACCAACATCTTGCTTGTGGCTGGTACACCGATGGCCACATACTCAGAGGTCTCCAGCGACGAGTGTAACGCGTTCTACGCGTAGAATAGCTCTCAAGTACTGCAAATCTACTGAATCTTGGTCTCATTCACGGTACGTTCTAGCTCTGCGTAACAAATTAATTCTTGGTGAATAGCGTACAAGAAATCGAAACCACTTAAATGCACAACGAACGAAAAGGCTCAAAAATTCATACACATCTTACTCGCCTCGTTTTCCGACCCACGACCCCACTTTGAATAAAGTGTCAACACGAGCGACTGAATCTCACTCTTGGTCCCCAAACGCGCCCGACGAATCGACCTAAAGGCTTGCAAACACTCTTCTCTCTCTTGCTCACGAACGCGCTTGCACACAATGGTCATTGAGCGTAGGTTTGGACACGTCTTGGCTGTCCACTCGGCTCTTTTATCTACGCTGCTCCGACTTGCTTTGCGTGGACTCTTTGGAGTATCCTTTTGATTCTTTGGTCCCTGAGCGAGGAGCTCGAGGAGTCGTTTGCTGATTTCAGATGGCGAACGGTGGTATAGGTGCAAGTACTTGATATTCGAGAGGTATTTGAGGATATTAATGATGATGTGTTGGCTTCCTACAGGCTGAATGTGTAACGTTTCAGAAGGTACGGGTGCTGTGCCAATCAACTCGTCGTTCCAGATGGAGTCGATACTTTCCCTCGCAGCCTTCCCAGCGGATACACCACCGTAGAGTTCTAGGCAGGCGAGGGAAGGGAGAGAGAACCAGCTGAGAGGCAGGTACGTCTCGTTGGTGAGTGTGAAATGGGTGGTTGTCGGGAGTTGAATGGATTGGGGACCAGGCGGATTCGCGTACATGGAATGTGGTACGGATTCAATGTGCATGTATCTGAGTAGTAAAAGGTTTGGACCCCATCCTGTGAGATTCGTGAATGGACTGCCTTCAAAGGCCAGTGCCCTCAGTGGACTGGGCTCTTGCAGTTCGTCGACAGCAGAATATTGGGGGAGATTGCGGAAGAGATAGAGAGTCTCCAGCGCTCTAAACTCCTCCCACAATGGAACCGTGGTTGGTTGGGGGCCCAACAGGAGATAAGCAGGGGGATGGAAGGAACCACTCCATCGGAGGTGCTTGACTCCTTTCAGCATCTTCTTGCGCCTATAGAGAGGCTCTGATACTGTAGAATGTGCTACAACCATGTCCAGTTTCGTAGCTGTATTTTCAATAGTTTGGAGCAGGATGTCGAGGTCGGTTTGGGGACAAGCCTGGTCGATGGCGAGTTTCTTGAGAAGTGGAAATGCAATGTCCTTTCCAGCCCAGTGTTCGGCCAATGTCCAACCTTGCTTGCTGCTTTCGAGCCTCCATCGGAGGGAGCGCCAACGATGGCTGGAGGAACAGACGAGGTCAAAGGCGGCAATGTTGGTGGAAATAATGGTAGCGTCGAGAGTTATATCGAGAGGTCGGTTTCCGGCAAGTTGGATCACTTGCTTGATCTCCTCGGTGTGGCGCACGACGATCCCGAGGTGCGCGTTGGGACCGTACCATTGCAATGCTCGATCATTCTGGAGACCGAGGGGTCGTATTTTGACGTGAATACGCGTCCAGAGTGACGGTACACCGCGTGCTATGTACCGCCATGAACGGCAGACAGCGAGAATGACAAGCGGGTTATGGTCGTGTTCCCCGACGTGGATTTCAAAGATGAAAGCGAGTAGTTCCGCAGGGAGATTTCGTATAGGCGCAATGAGAGCTCGTTTCTCGTAAAAGAGCGTCTTGATGCGTTCCATCTCGGAAGTCAGGCTGCGGACTCTCTCCAAGTGTCGCGCGCATCTCCTCGTCTTCGCACCCTTCCGCGCTTTCCCACGCAATTCTAATCTCCCGAGCATATGCGCTTATGTCCTGTATGTAGTTGGCAATCGTTTGCTTTGTCAACCTCACTTCTGCGCTCGAAAGCAGTCTGTAGTGATAGCTCGCTGAACCGGTAACAGAACCCATTGCTGAGGAGATTTAAGACTCTAGAGTGTGCTGGATTCAGTAATCTCGTCATTGTCAGCAGAGCGTCTAGCGTCACTCACCGTTGAAAATGGTAATTGTCCGACTATTCGCGTGTTTGTTGGAGCTAAACCAGGAGTTGACTTGACGGGGTCAGCGCCTGGTTGGATTTGGGATACTTCAGAACCTAGAAAGTTGGGGAGGGGAAAGAGAGTGGATGGCACGAGCTCAGGTGGTGCGTCCGCCGTAAACCTCAAATTTCGACAATACGTGAGACATGATAACATATGAGGTAGAGATATAGAATAGGAAACTATTTCAGCAATGGCTAGCTGCTTAGGTCTTGGTGGATTGTCAGACGATGTGATTCGCATAATGATGATTATTGTGAACATGCAGTAATTTTACAAGATGATCAAGCAATTCCGACAACGCAGACTGTGAGTGACCGTGTTCTCCAAAACGTCGAATCTGGAGTCCACCCTCTCCGGGTCTAATGAATCAAACCAGCTCAGGACGTTTAGCGTCAGTGTAACACGCAGAATAACGTTAAGAAACCCAAAAGAAGCTCTTCGGCTCTTTCCCGTCTCTTACGTTGGTCCAACCGGCGGCTCAGTTTATAAAGGCTGGGGGTAATGCACGCCATTGCAGGATCCCGCGCGCATAAAACGAGGCTCAGTGGGTCCTATGGAGTACCTCACGAACTTCTGCAGGCAACCGCAAGGCCAAGTGACATTATGGGCTGCCGGATGACTGTCGGGGCGGGGGCAGCGCGAGACTTGTGGGTTCTGCCTTGCTTTCGAATGCATTTCATGATAATGATCTACAAACGCCGTAGAGGATCTACTAGCTAGGCATGATACCGCCAACTTCTGTCTCCGACCCCAGAACGCCAAGGAGGCGCGTTTATGGCCTCCAACTCTACGATCAATGAGCACCAATTCAATGATATTGGCTTGTTCGTGGCCCAACCTCACGCGTTTCGGTGCCGTTTGCCCACGTAGGTGGACAACCCATCTCGTTTCCCAACGAAAGAGCCTGCAAATCAGGTCATACTCATCAAAACTTCTCGGAACTCGTTTTCTGCGTGGTTCTACTACTTGGAGTATGGCCCTAAGAATTATAAAGCTCACGATCTACCCAGACACTGAAGCACTTCTCACTCAGCACCTTGAAAGTAGTCCAGATGTCCACCTTTCCCTTCTGTAGGGTTTGCCAACACCTAATTTATCCTCCGGGACGTCCTTGTTTATCCTGCGTCCCTCCCATCGTCTCTCCACAAACGGTTCCCCAATTTGACGCAACGCCATTGCAAGGCCGAATAGGTTACCAGAGAGCCGTCGTTACGAGCCCAATCTCCCCAGCTCTTCATCGCTCATTGCCCCATCACATGCCCATAGCCGCGCATCAGACACACTTTTCGACTATCAGTGATCACGCTACTCAATCGGCTGGTTCACGCACCCCCGCTCGGTTTCCCTCCACGCATTGTCCTCGCGCTCGGACACATGTCCCTTCTCGTCGACCTGGGGCGAGCAACCAGGCATTCATCAATCAAGCCGCTCCGGCTCATCTACGCCGTCGACTTCAGGACATCCTCCAGTCACATTGGTGGCGAAACAATGAACTCGAGCAGCACCAAGAACTTGCTGATCTGCTCGAGCATGATAGGCCAAATGAGTGGCGTTGTGTCTTGGGAGGCTGTCAGCGAAATGAAGTCACATGGTCAAGAAAGGAGCGTGCTGTCGATCATATTAGAAGACATTTAGATCATAGACCGTTTAAATGTGCTGACAACGCGTGCGGAAACACTGCCTGGTGCGCGCACGCTGTCCACCTGCTTGCGTATTCTGATATCATTTAATAGTACCCTGGCATTTCTGTCCAAGCGAGATCTCCACTCGCATCTCAACCCAGTCTCGGTCGATTGTGAACGATGGTCGGTTCTTTTCAAACTTAGACTTGGTAGATAAAGCCTGACTGGGTTTACAGTGGGCGGACGGTTAAGAAGCGCAATCTCCCTCGTCACCAGGGCTCGAGCTGCTGTCGTAGAGTATTCAGACCACCGAGCTCTTAGCCTTTAGCATCGCCGCAGTAGCGGCATCCCGACAACGATAGGCCCGATGAAATTCAAGACAAGCCGTAATTCATCGACCGCATTGTTGCCAGCTCTGATCAACTCTAATACCGTTCGTCTGCTCCAACTATCTGTTCGGCACCAGGCGGTCCAAAGTTCGTATAAATATTCTCTTTCTGCAATTCTCCGTATTTGCCTTCGAAGATTCCGATTATACCCAACCGAAATTTCTTCTTTCATCACGTTTGGAGATGCGAGACGTCACAGACGGATTCCTATTTTAGCAACTGTCGCAGCGCGTTACAGTTTTTATTCTCAAATGAAATATATACGCTTTATTTATACATTGCGCCTTGGTAGAATGGCTAATGCACCGGCGTGGGCGAGTCGTTGCTAATCTCGAGCACAAGTCCAGAACTCGCGAACTAGCTGTCCATTCGGCCCCTTTGTCCATGCCGCACAAACTTGCCGTGCGTAGACTCGTCGTCAAGGTATTCTTATGACGTTTCGGTTAGCTCGAGTAGGCGTTCGTTTGGGTGGCGGGCGATGGTGGTGAGGCGTTGACAATTGGATGCCGTTTTCCTGTAGGCTGGATGTAGAGCGTCTCAAAAGGTACGAGTGTCTTGCTAATCGACTTGTCGTCTTGGGTGGCTTCGATACTTTCCTTGGTGAGATTGCCAGTGGATACGCCACTGTAGAGTTCTAAGCAGACGAGGGAAGGGAGAGAGAGAACCAGTTGAGCCGAGAGGATGGCACGTCTCGTTGATGAGCACCAAGTGAGTGAGTTTGGGGAGCTGGATGCTTTGGGGGGTCCGACGGTTTCGCGTCCATGGTGTGTGGTATGGATTGCTTTCAAACGCCAGCACGATGAGTAGGCTAGTTTTCTGCAGTTTCTCAACGGTAAAATACTCACCGAAACTCATGGCCAGTGCGTGATTGGGTGACTACCCCAGCATATTGCGGTCGAGTTGGCGGAAGGGATGGTCTCCATATCTAGTAGCTGCGTCAGCCGGTCGTCGTCCACTGATCGTTCTCGGCCTTTATGAGTCTGCGTACGAAGTAGTTTGCCATTGTAGCCTTCGGACTTGCTGTCGCTATTAAACTTGCGGCTTTGGCGAGTCGCACGTCCGTCCTCGTTCCATCATCTCCAGCGTGGCTTTAATCTCCCGGGCATACACGTGTATGTTATGCATGTGTTAGCCGATCGTTTGCTTTGCCGACCTCACTTGTGGTTCACCAGAGGGGATTTCGTAGTGATGCGGCTCTGAACGGGAGTCGGAAGCCATTGTAAAAGAGTACTTTAAGGCTTTAGAATATGTTGAATTCATTCATTCCGTCGCTATCATCAGAGTGTCCAACGGGCCTGGTCGAAGTTAGGACCAAATGTCGAATAGTTTGTGTGAAAGTCAAATATAACTAGATAACGACTTGATTGGATCAAGTACTGGGGTGTCGCGGGTCCAATAGAGCACGAAACGAACCGCGGGGTGGATGAGGGCGGCTCCAAGTCGTTGAATTTGACAGTTGATTGGAGAGTAATAGATCAACTGGGAACACGTGATTGTGAATATGCATTAAAGCTGAAGATGTCCGTCAATTTCCACCAAAGCAGACCACGAGTGGCCGACGGCGACGCCCAAACCCAAGGGTCGAAATCTGGACCCCCCCGCTACAGGACTCACAAACCAAACCAGCCGATGTCGGCAATTCTCAATTCAACACGTAACACAACGTTATTGAACGTATAACAAGCCCCGTTGTAATCCCCCGTCTCTTACGTTGGCTGGAATAGGGCAAGGCTATAAGGGCGGGGACTCGCACGACGTAGCAGGATTCCTCGCAGATACCACGAGGCTTCAGTGCTGCTCTCGCATGCCTCATCACCTTTTGCACGCAGCTGCAAGGCGCGGCAACTCACGGACCTTCCAAATGACAGACTGTCGGGGCGGGCACAGGACAGCAAATTGTACGCTTTATCCCATAGGTTTCAAATTCATCTCACTGTATATCGTACAGGTGTAGTATCACAATCAACCAGCTGGCAACCCTGTCTGGCTCTGTCGCTCAACACTGGCCGGCACCCTCCTTGACCCCTAAATCCTGTTTAATGGGATCTAATTCAGACTTTAAGCACGCTCGCGGCGCGTACTCCCTCGTTTCGCCGCCACCTGCTCACGTAGAATGACGAGAAATCTCGTTCGACTACGCAAAAGCCGACAGATCTTGTCCTACTCGTCACCAAGTTTCGGGCCGCGTGTACGCCGTCGGTGCACCTACATGGAGTATGTCGCTCGAGGCTTAAACGTATAAAACTCACGGCTCGCATCGTACGGCTTGCCTTTCATCTCACACGCTCTACGCCGCGCAAACACTACGGATGTCCCGTCCTCAGTTTTGTTCAGTCTGTCGAAATCAGCTTCATCCTTTGGGAGGACCTTGCTTGTCCTGCTTCCCACCTTTTCTCCCCTCCCAGCCTTTCCCCCCGCGCAACGCCAACCCATTCCAAGATTCAACAGGCTATCGCAGGGCGGTTGTTATTGATCCCGATCTTTCCTTTCCTCCCCGTGTGGTCTCAGCCCACATCGGTCACCGCCGCATACCGGGCGCAGATTTCGACGATCAGTGCTCACGCGGGTGGTTCACACCCCCCGTCTCTATCCCCTTCCACGCATGATCCTCGTGTTCGGCTTTGTAGCCCTTCTCGTCAACCTGGGGCAGATAACCAGGCGTTCATTGATCAAGCGGCGCCGCCTCAACTGCGTGGGGCACTTCGTGCAGCCATCGAGTCAGATTGGTGGCGAATGAACACGCCCGAAAAGCATCAAGACCTCGACCAATTCCTTGTACAGCCGCGCCCGGATCAGTGGCGTTGCATGTTACGAGGCTGTCCCGATGAAGTTACATGGAATCGAAAAGAGCGAGCAGTTGACCATGTTCGAAAGCATCTTGATCACCGCCCGTTTCAATGCGTCAACGACAGTTGTGGCAATACTGATTGGTGCGTACACCGGCCGACCAGCTGTGTATCTGACATCATGCGATAGTACCTTGGCATTTCTGTCCAAGCGTGATCTTCAGTCGCACCTGAAACCGGTCTCAGTTGATTGTGACCGATGGTTAGTCTTCCTCGACTCGGAAAGTAAAGGCTGATAGGATCCGTAGTGGGCAAACGGTTAGGAAGCGCAATCTTCCTCGTCATCAGGAATCAACTACTTGCCGCAGAATTTCTGGAATTTCAGGATCCCAACGCCAAGCGTCGACGCAATAGTAGCCTCTTCAGCGTCTTAAAATGACCGGCCTTGCGATAAGGAAGACAAGTCACATCATGTGCCCAACCGTATCGCCGCCCACGCTACACCCCTGCTTCTTGCATTGCCGCCAGTCCTCCATCAAAGCTATCTATTCAAAGCCAATTGATCAGGCTTGAAAGCGTCAAAACCTACTTTCCTTGCACACCTACCATCTGTAATTGTCTCGGTGGGCGACCGTAGACATTTGGGTAGAACCGGTATTTGTTATGTCTCTTCGTTCACGACGCCTCGCATACAGTACTCTGGTACTGTATTACCGAAGCTAGGCTCATTTGTAAATGCGGAATGTCCCGGACGGGTTTTCGTTGCGCAACTGTCGCAATATATTATACCTTTTATCTAAAAACGAAATAAAATCACTCTGTTATATAACACGTCTTTGTAGACTGGGTTGGCGCAGGGTCCAGGTCGAGCTCTGGTTTCTGTTTGGCGTTCTCAATGTCTTCTCTTGGAGCTGACGACTTCGAGCCTTTGTCGACAAAAACGTGCGCTACCTCGCTTCAATCTTCTATTTTTACTCACTGACTTGTTGGATTCTACCAGCTTCAATATATGATGTTTTCTGCCTCACGAATTGTGTCTTTTCTTTCACGCGTCTCCCTCAACAGACCTGACCATATACCTTCGACTAGATGAGATTCCCAGCTCCAGCAACGGCCCCAAGAATTATTCGACGTTTAGTTGTCAATTTGTCCTTGAGGTTGACCTTGGACAGACGCCCTGATGGAGTTCGTCCACCCTCAACAAACCAGCCTCAATAAGCTTTCCTGAGCCCACGAATTCGGTTCAATAACCCACCCCCTCGGCGGAGATTCTCTAGATGAGTTGTGGTTCAGCGGGTGGCTGGTTTTCAATCGCGAGCCCGTCTCTACAACAGCAGAATGACTCATCACGTTTCCGAACAACGGGATATTGGTCGCTGCTTGCCATTATCGTCACAGGATTTGGAAGCCTCGTGTTGTGGCCTACTCCCATGCCAGTAAAGGTGCTGAACAAAATGCAAACTCGGTTACGCCCGAGGCCTCTTATCAGCTCGTGGAACACAACATCGACCCAACTAACTTTGTCTCACTCCCCTCCCTCTAACATCACTGTCCCAGGCCGGGCAGCCGGAATTTATTCACGTAAATTGCAGAACGTATCAATGTTGTACTTCACATCTTCCTTCCCCCCTCAATACTTCCATACAACTGCTCCCGATCATTTTTCCCCCCAGCAAAGTGGTCAGGGAGGATACACCATGCCGACTACTTACACCGATACGCCTGCGTCATCTGTAACCCACCCAGTGTTGCAAATCCCCGTAAGCTCTGCTAACTCATACGCTCCCGAATTGCATTCGGTGGTGCATGACCACACTCCTTTGCCACATGTAGAGCCGAACGGTTCTCCAATTACCTCAACTCAGCCACTCATTTCAGCATCTCGGCACCCTTCCCAGAATCCTACGTCGATTTCATCTAGTGTCAACCCAGAGGATCATTCTAATCAAGATTACGGCTCCGAGACATTCATCCAAAGGACGGCACCACCGGGCCTCCGCTCACGGCTTCGAAAAGTTCTAAACTCGTCTTGGTTTAGACAAAACCAGCTCGAAAAAAGGCGAGAACTCGAACTTTTTATTATCGAGCCCGTGAAGCACGAATGGAAGTGCGCATTGATTCCCTGCGCAGACAGTCCAAATGTTTGGCAGAAAAAGCAGCGTGCTGTCGATCACATCCGAACGCATCTCAATCACCGGCCCTTCTCTTGCCGTGGACGCTGTAAGCGGCCCAATTGGTGAGTTCTTGCACTCGAACTGAGCTTCTTCTGATCTAGGCCACAGCACACTCGCCTTTTTCTCTGAGCGAGATCTTACATCACACATGAAGCCCGTTTCGGTTACGTGTGATCGATGGTCAGCTAACGAATTCCTTGTATACGTCGTCTTAGTGCTGACCACGCCGCAGTGGAAGAAGTGTGGAACGGCGCAACTTTCCCCGACATCGAGATACGGACATCTGTCGGAAGGGCCCAAGAGTTACAACTCAAAGTCGCCTTTAGCGCACATTCGATGATCCCTACGGAGCAGGAACTCTGTAGCTCGACTTTACCAACTCCACTCATTTACTCTTGACCACGAACCTTCAAGATTGCAAGAAATGCTCCACGATACTTCTCCAGCTCTAACATTCAGTTACGACTTTAACACTGATCGACTCTCGAGTCTGATTCGACCTTTTGTGTCTCTTCGTTGATTCTTCGTTTCGCGGCGAACTCCCCTGCGTTCACTTTGGTGTCCGTCTATTCTTAGCGTAGTACTACGGCTCCTCTGTTCTTTTGTGTATATCAGACCAATACATTTCCCTCTAATCACCTCGCACTGAACCCGCGCGCGTCCACTGCGGTGCGAGAGTCTCGGCTGGTTCCCATAACATGCTCGCTTGACTGAAGATCAGAAACCCGTCTACCATAGCTTCGGACGCCTCAGAGGCAAAAACTTGGCCGCGGCTGCTGCCGTGTTTAGTGCGATGCGACTTCCATCGCGTTCTATTCGCTAAAACTGCACTCATCTTAGAAGATATTTGCACCTTGCACCATGTTGGTGAAAGCACAGATCCGCAGCACGTGGGTCGTATCGCAATCATCTGCTCTCGAAATCAAGACATAGTGGACGCTACTGAGCAGCCTGATGAGCTAACGCCTTATTGATATACATGGGCCACCCTAATAACACAACATATGAAGTCGATCAGGTTGTTTCACCTGGCACTTCCGCCGAGCGAGAATGTAGAGTACATTCTTATTCCTCGGTAGAGCCAAGTCATCGAACTGCCGATCGACGAGGGACTGATCCCTTCGCTTGGAACCAATTGGACGGTAGCTCACTGGTATCCAAGGCATAGCTTTCCAGAGATGTTCCAAATGCACTTTGACAGATTCACAGGGTGGCTGGCAGCACGGGAATGTGTTTGACAAAGGAATGTCTTCTTGAATCAGCACCTATGAGTGTAAAAGGTGATTCACGCACCAACAGCGAGAGGCGAGCATTGTTCATCGACGCAGACGGTGATTACTGTGTAGCATCGTAGCCCAGGAGACGGATTCTGGAGGGCGATATTGGCGTAGTAAAGTCGAGAAATACTATCATGAATATCCGTGGTTCTTTTGCTGATCTTGTGAAAGCGGCGTGAATCGGCTTGATCTTCTGACCACAAAGTGAAGTAGTAAAACCGATTGGGGTCAAGTTTATAATGAATGTCCACCAGATTTCTCCTAACTTCATTCGTGCTTCTGATATATCGATCTAGAGAGGTCAAGGCAGAACCTACGGCTAGTCGGATACCCACCTATCTTAATAGACTGCTGACCGTAGGTGTCCATATCCGAAAGTAAGAGAGGTGTCTCGCGCTCCATTAATATTCGAACCGCCTGGTTTTTACTCTCTCGACTTTGCTCCGTGGGGGGACTTGCAGTTGATACTTGATGCAGCTCCTCAACCGATTGTAGGTCCGCATCCCGCGCTTTCTCCTCCTCTTGATGCCTCTGCCTACGGGTCTCCGACGAGATAGAACTATGGCTCTCCTGAGGAAAACAATGAGCGCATTCCTAGTGCTGACTGCTTACGTCGGCACTTACTTCCAGATGCCGAAGCTCGGAGAGACTCTTTTGGTAAATTTGAGACTCCTCGAGGTTCTTCTGTCGTACATTATCAACGCTGAGTGGGTCCAAAGGCTGTTCACATTGTGCAAGCAGGACGTCCATCGTGCGTCTCGTCAAATCTGTGGCACAAACAACAAGCTCTCCTATATGATTCTCGCCTTCGCAAGGATACTCTCGGTTAGGTGCGTTCGCCGGGTGCAGGTGTTGGTTTTCGTGCCCCAGGGCTTTGACTCTAGTTGTGAATAACTCTGCTTGCCTCACCGCGACAGTCGTTACGGCTATAATCTTTTCACACATCTGTGAGAGTCCCATGGTTCGCCGTAGCTGATGGGTCATGGTGGGCGTCAATCTGATGGCCACTTGCGGGCTAGGTCGCATATATTTATCGACCGCTCGGTCCGATAGGTCTAGTACATCGGCCCCCAGCCTAGACGGATATCAGTATCACTGGCTTGGACCCTACCACGCTATCATGGCCGAGTGTGGACTCCTTTCGGATCGCGTCAACCCCTCTCTCTCGCCTGAGACGAGTAGTCATCCCTCTTCGCCTTCGACTCAAGTTGCCTCGCCACCTGTGTCACCATCTCAGCGGTTTTCTGAACTCAACGTGGAGTGGGGGTTGCTCTCCAGTCCCTTCAGCGGCTTCCAATCCCAATCCCAATGGTCTCCTTGGTCTGGGGATACCATTTTGCATACCATCGGGGCGACATCTTCTAACAGAAATGAACCTGGAACGCTGACTGACTACCGGTGCGTGAGTGTAAAGGACGACCACACAAAGCGGACGATGAGCCCTTCCAGAAATTTAGGAATGATGCCTTTCCGAGATAACAACCATTCGCTCCCAATAAGGATTATTGGTATGGAACCCATCGCTCCTGTCATTATTGACGCTAATAAACCCCTAATTTATTTAGAGTCACACGAAATGGTAGAGACCAAATCACTTACTACCAGTGCTGATTGATCTCAGTTCTGCACCGCAAATCCGCCTCACATTCCACCAGTCCTGCGCATTCCAGCCGCTCGGGCGAACAATTTGGTTGAAAGAGCTCATAAAGCGGAAAATTTTGGACCACAACTACTGCATATTGCCCTGGCTGTGAGACATATTGTCTATATCATGGCGGAAGAGATGTACACATACGACCAGGACAGTCCTTCCTGCTCCGACGATATGCTTCAGCAAGTTCTGAGAGTTCGAGAGTGAGTGCTCCTATCCTGGACTCGGAGTTGCCATCTCATCTTTCAAGAATAATCACCCAATTCGAAACGATCATGGGAGGAACCAAAACGGGAGAACTCGATTCAGATGCAATTCAGTATACACTGTGCACGTTCTTCGAAACCCTTACCAAGGAGCCCCTCGCAGGCAGTGATACAATCGCAGAGTCTCGTGGCCTCTTTGACGCTCTCCGAGATTCTGAGAATTTCGCGAAATATGACATGGATGACGAGTCATCGACCAGCGAAGGACAGTCTTCGTCATCCGAGGATATTGAAATGTCCGAGGATTGTAAGACGCAAGTTACTTCCCCCCCAAAAATAGTGTCACGTTCAGAAAGGTTGACACCACGCCTACTCCAACTTTCCTCGCTCCGACCTCGAAGCGAACTCCCAGAATCCGGGCTAGATCTCAGTGCCGCCACGACACTCGATGTTGAAAGAAACGCTCGACCGTCGCGCAAGGCGGAAGCGAGCCCACAGTTATCAGCGAATACGAGGCAACAAAAAGACCTTGGGTACAGCCGAGATATTAGCAATAGGATCCCCTCACTCTCTTCTCACGCCTTCTCTTCTATCGACACGTCAAGTGCAGGCAGATTGTGTATGGTGAGCCCTTGGTTCCCCGATTACTTGATATTGAAGGCCTGCTGCGTCTCATTCTTTTTCTAGTTTTGTGGAATCAAGCCTCGATGGTTTGATGCTACCACCGGCCAGGTATTTGATCATTGTGGTAATACATGTAGAAATGCGGCCAAAGGAATGCCAGCAGCAGTATCTCCAAGTTCAGCGCGCCATCCGTCGCTGGGTGGCCTATATCCGTCGGTTTATAATGCACCACAGCTGGGACCTTACCCTTATCCTCCTACTGAGCAAGGTCCAGAACCAATGGGCCAAAATCTTCCACCATATCCGATTACGTATGGTGTTAATTCATCATGTGGCTCTGAGTATCTACGAGACGCATATCCAATAGGGTATCACATGGCCAATCCATATCCTCTTCCAACCACCGCATCGCCCATCCAACCAAATGGACGTACGTCTCCCTTTCAACGAGATGACTGACGACTGAACTGGGTATATTTCAGCAATATGTGTCGTTCCTGGTTGCCAGAAGCCCGCTTGGTTGGCTCCGAATGGAGTCCATTCCTTATTCTGTGGTAAAAGATGTAGAGAGTGAGCCTTGGTCACTATTTGGATGTACTATGGATGCTCATCGATTGATCAGTAATAATCCACACCTCCAGCAACCCGCACTGGCTGCAAATGCATACGGCTCTCTGAACCATCTAGGCGCTGCAGTCGAGAAGGCAGGTTTAGGCACAAGAGCCTGTGTCATCTGCAAGATACGGCCGTACGATCAAGTACGGAACAGTCTCTTCTGCTCACCGGCGTGTGTACACACCGCAGAAACGATGGCTCCGGGGATCATCGAGATACCCTCTGGTCACCCAAAATTCAGAGATGGTATGGCCGATGTTTCCACACTCGAGCCGGCTTGCTGAGACGAGATCACAGTCGCCAACCAGTTCGACACCAAGTGGACGCATACAAACATGGCGCCACAGACTGCAAAGTTCATCTATTTGATCCTAATAAACGCTGCTCAAAATTTCTCGTACAACGCATATCGAGATCGGGTCGAGCAAGAAGGTGGCTTTGCTACCAAAGGGCGGATGCCAGGCAACGAAAGTCTAAGATTCCATGGCACCACCCGCGCTTGTTTACTTGGTGATCCAGGAGTGAGTGTTTCAGGTAGAAAAGGCGAGGGAGAAGAGGACTAATCGATCGGCAGAACACGCAGCTCTGCTCAGACTCGACGTGTGGGCTGTGCGGTATCATTCGGACATCTTTCGATCTCAAGCTTTACAAAGGAAAGACTGGATGGGGTCAATTTGGTTGCGGGTACGTTCATCTTTGAGCGTATGCGGCAAAATGGCTAACGAAAGCTAGCTTTTACACGTCTGCGACGTCGTCGAAAAGCGACTCGTATACGAGTAACAAGAAGGCGTCGCAATATAAAGCCATGCTGATCAGCAAAGTCATCGTCGGCAATGGGTACAAGCTCACGAACAATGCCACGCAGCTCACTGGCCCTCCTGCGGGGTATCATTCGGTGCGTTTTGAGTATTCATTGCAAGTGGACATTAGCTTATGTTCTAATTCGATAGGTCCTGGGCGAGCCAGATACCGCAGGTGCGCTCAATTACGACAAGCTGGTCGTATACGACAACGACGCGATTCGACCAGCGTACCTCGTTGTGTATTAGTGATTCTCTCCGTTCATTTCATCACGTCCATCCCTCCATCCACCTTCCTAGTCCAGTTCTTGGCTCATTTTGCTTTCAATTGTGCTTGCTTTTCTGTACTCGTCCGTAATTGGTATACAGATTGTCACTGCTATTCCAATATCTTGTTAAGTTGCCTTCATATTCTCCCTATGCCAACCTCGTCCCGTAGGTTTTTCAATTAAAGGCGAAATATTAATTGTGAATACATAGCGGCAGTAATATTCAAATCTTATAAGGTGCGGTGTCGAAATGTTCTCCCAGACGCTGGACTGAGGCATATCACTACCATTAACGGGGTGGAAATTCAACGAAATCATATGCACAATCCCTGTTGTAATAAGGGAATAACGATGATGTATGTGGAAATGAACTAGGTCGTCAAACGTAAACTGTATTCTCGGCCTTCTTATGGGTGGACGAGGCCGTATCCTCGTTCTCATCCTCCTTCTTCCCATGCTGGTCATTTTCCTCTTGTATCACCTCCTGCACAATCCGCTCAATCGTCTCTTGGTCAACCATAGGGATGCTCTCCGCCCTATTCTCGCGCCACTCGGCGATACTCGCCCAAGCCAAGGTGCCAATCAAGTATATCAGCAACGAACCCACAAACGATCCAAATACGATTCCGATAATCGCACCACTCGTGATCCCCTTTTCTTTGGTGTCGACCGAGTCGGCGATAGGGAGTGCGTTTGCGATTGTACTGTTGATACATTGCAAAAACGCAGAGTTGGCGATTTGTGATGGGAGAGGGGAAGAGTCGGCAAAGGATTGGGATGTAGTGGGATTTGACGAGCCAAGAGCGAAAGTGTTGTTATATCCAGAGTAAGCGATGGCGAACGAGCTGGCGCGGTAGTACTGAAGGACGTTCTCTGGTTGCGGTTGAGTGTTGTTGGAGGCGGCGGAAGGATTGAAACGGCGGATTAATTGGGGCTGGGCGTGACACCAGTCGACGAGGTCGGCCATCATGAACATTAGGGATTCCCTATCTCCAATCATCTCATACACCTCGTTCGCATCAACTCCATTCCAATGACTCGTATCTGGAGCGAGCTTGACCACCCCCACAGGACCTCCAGGACGTAAAAAGTCCAGGTCTAAATCTCCACCATTGTTTGAAGAGGAAGCGGAAAAATATTCTCCGCCGCCTAGATAACTCGGTCCCCACGAGATGGGCCATACACCATAAGGAAAAGGCCTTCCGGCCACCGAATTGGCATTATCCGCACCGTACGGATACCCGCTTCCATACGCACGAGTGCCATAGATGGTATGGCGATCACCTCCACCATATTCGCGACCGGAAAATGGACCAGAGGCTGCATTCGAGGGAATTGCGCGCCTCGGACCTCCGCCACCGCTCCAAGCGGATACAGCGATAGTGTCCATCGTCGAAGAAGTGTATGAGATACGGAAACGCATATTTTTGACTGCGCTCTCTTGGGCCTTGCCGCATCCTTTTTGCGCTGCGACAATGTCGAGCTGTGCCAACCCGACGAGGAGGAGTGTCGTGAAATGAAGCGGAATCATTCCAAATTATACTTTTGTAGTATTTAATGGTGGAAATGGGTGGGTTATCCTGGATCCTGTCGTGTATAGGATCCGTATGTCGAGGATAGATGAGTTATAAAACTCGAAGAGCGGAGGAGATCAGGCTGCGAGACCATAGCACCCGACGAATCGTGTCTCATGGGTCTGCCCTGATGGTCAAGGTTCACCGCTCGAGTTCCCTTGGATGCGGGAGCTGTCAAAACGTCAAACGACGGGACGCCAAGCGCAAGAGTCGATAGAGCCCGTTGGTTTCTGGACAGAATCAGATGACTCGGATAGTTTGACGTCGAATGCCGAGTATCAGTAGACGTGGTCAGTGTCCAAGAAGTTGGCCTGCTTTGCTCAGCACGAGTCGCACACAGGAACGTAAACCAAAAGCTTTGCTGAATACAGTGAATTTGAATAGCAGTACATTATAATCACTACCCAGAAGAGGCCTAGAGGTAAATCGTGTTTTCGTCCTTTGGTGGCGCACCGTCCGTCTTGCCGTCCTTTGTGTTCGTCTTTGCATCATCATTACTATCTCCTTTCTTTGGCAGCATTGTCTCCATTCGTATCCGTCGCCCCACCTCCTTGAGTAGTCGGCTCCTGGTCTTGCTCTTCCATCGAAATCTCCTCCCTTCCGCCAGTTCTGCACTCGTCTATCCATTTCCATACCCACATGACAAACAGGTAAATCACGATAACCCCCGCAATACTGCCAAAGATGATCCCAATAATCGCACCCGTACTCAACCCTTTTTCTTTGGCGTCTTTGGCGTCGGCGATTGGAAGTGCGATGGCGATTGTGCTGTTGATACATCTCAGGAACTGAGAGTTGGCGATGGACGAGGGAAGGGGGGACGAGTCTGCAAATGATTGAGAAGTCGTAGGGTTTGAAGAGCCGAGGGCAAAGGAATTGTTATAGCCAGCGTAAGAGATGGCAAATGAGCTGGCACGGTAGTACTGTATGACGTTTTCTGGTCGCGGCTGGCTACTTGACGAAGCATTGGAGGGAGGCGAAGGGTCGAAACGGCGAATGAACTGAGGTTGAACGTGGCACCAATCAACGAGGTCTGCCATCATGAACAGAAGAGACTCTCTGTCTCCAATCATTTCATATACTTCGTCTCCATTAATCCCGTTCCAACGACTGGTATCTGGAGCGAGTTTGACTACTCCGACCGGACCACCAGGGCGAATAAAGTCCAAGTCGAGTTGCTGATTATTGACATTGGTAGTGGAAAAGTACTCCCCGCCACCGAGATAACTTGCTCCCCACGAAATGGGCCACACGCCGTACGGAAACGGTCTCCCCGCCACCGAGTTTGCATTATCCGCACCATATGGGTATCCGCTCCCATATGCGCGCGTTCCATAGATCGTTCGTCGATCCCCTCCGCCGTACTCACGTCCACCAAATGGGTTGGATAATGGTTGCGAAGGAATCTTGTGTCGAGGACCACCGCCACCTCCCCATGCAGAGACAACGACAGTGTCCATCGTCGAGGGTGTATAAGAGATGCGGAAACGCATGTTTTTCACGGCAGAGGCCTGCGCCTTGGTGCACCCTTTGGCCGCGAACGTCGTCTCGGCGAGTGCGATCAAGAGTAGGGATACAAGCACGAGCTTCATCTTGTTCTCTAGAGTTGTGGTTTGGGAAACCTTTGGGTGAGAGCGTAAAAGAACGCAGAGGAGGGAAGAGGACAAGATGCGGAGACTGTCAAAACGAAAAGTACCTAATACTTGTACATCTCAATATTGCCTTGGCGTCTCCGGTCGGGATTAGTCGCGGTGAGCGCCTCACCTGTCAACCATCGGAGAACGTGCTCGGCCCAGCACTGCACGGGTTCGTACTATCCTTATCGTATTTGCCCAAGCTTCAACAGGGAAACAACGTCTATCGAGGTAAAAAGTAAATTAATTAAAACCTGACAAAGCGCATAATCTTGTCCATTAAACGCGAGGATTCTCTGTACGGAGGGACTCCGCCCTTGTCCACAATCTTGAGGATAAGACCCTGCTCACCCGCACGTACAAATTCATCCGAGGAAAAAGCTAACACCAACCCCACAACCGATGACGATGCCAACGATTGCAGCCACGCTCAATCTTTGCCCACGTCGGGTGAGTCAGCAATGGGGAGGGCGTTTCCGATTGTGTCGTTTATACACTTCAATAATCCTGAATTGGCGATTTGCGAGGGGAGAGGCGAGGAGTCGGCAAGACTTTGAGAGGTAGAAGGGTTGGAAGAGTCGAGTGCAAACGTATTGTTATAGCCAGCGTAGGTGAGTGCGAAAGAATTCGCACGATAGTATTGAATGGTGTTTTCCGGCCGCGGCTGGCTGCTTGACGAGTGGTTGGAAGGGAGAGTGGGGTCGAAGCGACGAAGGGGTTGAGGCTGAACATGACATCAGTCAACAAGATCTGACATCGTCAATGCCAAGGAATCTCTGTCTCCAATCATCTTGTATACCTCCTCCGAGCTCACCCCATTCCAGTGGCTAGTGCCTGGAGCGAGTTTGACCACACCCATCGGACCTCCAGGACGAAGAAAGTCCAGGTCAAAGTTTGTACTATTGACGGTGACATTGGAAGCATACTCTTCGCCGCCGAGATAACTTTGCCCCCATGAGATGGGCCAGACTCTATACGGAAAGGGCTGCCCGCGACTGAGGTAGTATTGTCCGCGCCGTATGGATATCCACTTCCGTATGCGCGGGTACCATACATCGTATAACGATCTCCTCCACCGTATTCTCGACCAGCAAATGGACCGGCGGCAGCGTTGGAGGGAATCGTACGCCTCGAGCTGCCTCCTCCACCCCATGCAGATACGGAAACTGTATCCATTGTGGAAGTAGTGTAAGAGATGCGGAAACGCACGTTTTTGATGGCGCTCAGCTGCGACTTGGAGAGGCCATTTCCTTTGGTCACAATTGGCTCTATGAGCGCCAACACGAGTACCAAGACCAGAATTGGGGACATTTATCTTTCCTTTTAGTTATAGAACGCCAAGGTCGACTGGAACGTGAAGTTGGGGGGTTCACAATCCGAGGATAGTACAAGCGCAGAGCGTCTGATATATATACGATTCCGTAACATATCAAACTTCTATTGCCATTGATCGGGAAAGTTACTCAATCGTGCGTTGCTAGTCGTGATGAGCCTCTATATCAAATTCAGAGGTGGCTTCTTCGGAGGGGTAGTCCAAATACCTTGCGAGTTGGGTAGAATGAGATGGTTGCTTCCGGTGACAAGCAACTGCAGTGGAAGACGGACATACGCCTAGGAAGACGGCTCAAAGTTTGGAAGACGGGCAAATACCTCGGACGGAAGGGACTTAGCCGAATCGATTTCTGGTCAGTGAAAGTTCGTGTCAAGTACTAGTAGTAATCGCGTGCCACAACTTGGGGTACATCAATGAACCTCTCCCTCCGTCATGCTCTGTTGCAACGAGACTACGTTATATAATACTCTGATCCATGGATCTCCTTGTCGAGTTCTAGACTTTAACATCCCCATAGAAGAAATACAGGCTGATCTAATCTCCATTCAGAGAGACACAGGGCTCTATCAGTCGGACACTGGGCAAAATAAGGAGATCTCAATTCAAAATGTGCTGCACGGCAACTTGTTGCTCGTCAATTTCCTCAAGCTGAAATCATGGATCAAAGGAGTCGGCATTCCTGCTCATGCATCACACAAATAGAATCAATCAAACGCGAGGCAGGCAAATGCCTCTTTCTTATACCTACTTTACGAGCAGCTACAGGGACTCCTTTTACTTGAGCGCTAGTCAGCCCTTGTCATATTCAACATCCATCCAGGTAAAAGATAAATTATTGAGTACAACATGACAGAATGCATGCTCTTGTCCATTCACCGCGAGACTTGCTAATATGATATCCAGCCGTTGTCGTCAATCTCAAGGATCAGCGCCTGCACCCACACCTGTAGATGCAAATACACCCGAAGAAAAAGCTAAAACCAACCCCGCTGCCCACAGCAATGCCAAGGATTGTAGCCATCCAGCTTTTCCACAAGCCGGGCGAGTCTGCAATTGGGAGTGCATTTCCAATTGTATCATTGATACACCTCAAGAAACCTGAATTGGCGATTCGCGATGGGAGAGGTGAAGAGTCGGCAAAAGTTTGAGATGTAGAAATGTTGGAGCCGAGTGCAAATGTATTTTTATAGCCAGGATAGGTGACTGCAAACGAACTTGCGCGATAGTACTGAATGACGTTTTCTGGTCGCGGTTGGCTGATTGAAGAGGGGTTGGAGGGATCGAAGCGACGAAGGGTTTGAGGCTGAACATGACACCAATCAACGAGATCTGCCATCATGAATGCCAAGGAATCTCTGTCTCCAATCATCTCGTATACCTCCTCCGAGCTCACCCCGCTCCAATGGCTGGTGTCTGGAGCGAGTTTGACCACACCCATCGGACCTCCAGGACGAAGAAAGTCCAATTCATAGGTTGTACCATTGATTATGGCATTCAAAGAGTATTCGTCACCACCGAGATAGTTTTGCCCCCATGAGATGGGCCAGACTCCATACGGAAAGGGCCTGCCCCGGATCGATCTGGTATTGTTCGCGCCGTATGGGTATCCACTTCCGTATGCACGGGTACCATATATGGTATGGCGATCCCCGCCACCGTATTCGCGACCAGCAAATGGACCGGTGGCAGCGTTGGAGGGAATCGTACGCCTCGAGCCGCCGCCGCCACCCCATGCAGATACAGAAACTGTATCCATTGTGGAAGTCGTGTAGGAAATACGGAAGCGCATGTTTTTTATGGCACTGAGCTGGGATTTGAAGAAGTCATTGCCTTTGGTTGCGATTGGCTCTGTGAACGCCAACGTGAGTACCAAGACAAGAAGGAGGGTCATGGCTCTTTCTGTTATGGAGCGCTCTGGCTCACTGGAACGGGAGGTGGGTTGAATCACGGTGCGAAATTGATACATACAAGAGCAAAGCCTCTGATATATAATCCCGCAAACCCTCGAAACTTCTATCACTATGAATAGGGAAGTCCACTCAATTGTATCATGCTTGTCAGCATGACGAGCTTTATTGGAAATTGCCAGCCTTCCAGAGGTGGATGTTCCGCCGGTGCCATCCAGATGCCTTGAGGATTGGGCAGGGTGAGGATTGGTGCTTCTGACGACAGGTAGTCGTACAATGCTAATTTAATAGTAATCTCGTACTACAACTTTGGACACGTCAATGAATCTCTCACTATTGATCAAGGATTCACCAATAACGCAACAGGTCATGCTCTGCAGCAAATTACGTTATATAATACACTTTTATGTGAGCTTCTTTGTCAATCCATTGGCTTTTCTGACACTCGCGCACATAGAACACGAGGTTGCCCATAGACGAAATGTAACCCGCTGATCTAATCTATCTTCAGAGAGACGCACAGAGTTCGATCAGTCGGACATTGGGCCAAAAGAATCGCACTAAAGAGTTTGCAATTCATACGATGGCGCACGGCGCCGTGCCCGCAGCTAGTTTATTGCTGGTTAATTTCCTTGTACCGAAACCATGGGTCAATGGGGTCAATACTCTTGCTCATACACTGTACTGATAGAAAAGACTCTGAAATGAGAGGTAGGCAAATGCCCCTCTCTTTCGCTTACTTTTTGAGTACGGCCTGATAAGAACTACAGAGACTCTTTTGCTTGGGGTCTTATTGTGACAGGTGTTAAGAATATAGTGTAACATTAATCACGACCCGAAAAATGCGACTGCACCCTCATCACTTTCGCCCGGTTCAACAGCCAGTAAGACTTGACCAATAATTGATGGGAACAAGTAAAAATGAAATCATTTGCGGTTACTTTAGATGAGAAATAACTTGTGAATCTAAGGAAACAAGCTAATTACCAACCAGTATTGTTCATTTGCCGTTCAGGCCACTACGAAGCGTTCATATGACCCTCTTCTATACTTCTCTCTCCATACTCATGCACATCCGTATGCCTCCGCATTCCCTTTCTCCATCGCCACGTCAGCTCGCCTCTGACCCCTACAGGTAGGTATATGCTTCGCTGCATCGCTTACACAAGCGCCCAATAATACTAGCAGCAATAATTGCGCCGAAGCTGGTGCCAGTGATTTACCCCACGCTCAATCCTCCCGCGTCAAGCGAGTCGGCAATGGCAAGTGCATTTCCAATCGTGTCATTGATGCACTTCAAGAGCTCTGAATTCGCGATCTGAGATGGGAGAGGTGAGGGATCAGTAAAGTTTGAGAGGTAGAAGGACTGGAGGAGCCGAGTGCAAATGTATTGTTATAACCAGTGTAGGCTACTGCGAAAGAGCTTGCACGATAGTATTGAACGACATTTTCTGGTTAAGATTGGTCGCTCGATGATTGGTTGGAGGGGAGAGAGAGGTCGAAGCGGCGAAGGAGTTGTGGCTGAACATGACAACAGTCAACGAGGTCGGCCATCATGAATACTAGAGACTCTCGGTCTCCAATCGTCTCGTAAACCTCGTATCTGCTCACACCTTTCCAATGGCTGCTGTCTGGAACGAGTTTGACTACCCCCACCGACCCCCGGGACGAAGAAAGTCCAGGTCGATGTATGTATTGTTGAAAGTGGTATCCGAGGCTTACTCTTCACCCCCGAGATAACTTTGACCCATGAGATGGGCCATACGCCGTAGGGAAAGGGCCTCCCTGCGACCGAAGTGGCATTGTCCGCACCGTATGGGTATCCACTCCCGTATACGCGGCTACCGTATATTGTATGACGATCTCCGCCACCGTACTCACGACCAGCAAATGGACCGGCAGCGACGCTGGAAGGACTCTTGCGTCGACTACCACCACCGCCGCCCCACGCCGATACGGAGACAGTATCCATTGTTGAACTAGTGTAGGAGACGCGGAAGCGCATGTTTTTGATGGCGTTCTACTGGTCTTCGGTGAACTGTACCGACACCTTACCGCCTTTCCCTTTGTTGCTTGCGATCGGCTCTGTAAGTGCCAATGTAAATAACAAGGCGAAGAATATCTTCATTTTTTATGCTGATGTGCTTTTGTTGTTTGCTAAAACGGAGAACTGGAATGTGAAATGAGAGATTCACGACGCCAAACGGTATGAGAGCGGAGTCTCATATATATATGCTCGCGCAATTCCGTAACTCTTTGACGTTCCTCGCACTACCCCTCGAGGTGTACACTCAACCTCGAGCACCCAAGGATTGCTGGTTGAAATGAAATGCCGGGTCTAATGCGCCCGGCTATATATAGCTCCTTGTGCTGGACGTGGTGTCAAGTTTGACACTAGCACGCAGAGAGCGTGATTTGTACCCTGAATTTGCCCTCATTCCTCCTTGTCCTATGCACATCGAACCACCACCACATACACGTACCCAGCACGGAAAGAATGTGAGTGCCAGCATTACGGCAGAAGAAATGATGCCAATGATTTCGCCCTGGTGAATGCTTTGCTCTAATTTCGGGCGAGTTGGCCTCGGGGATGTGATCTCAATTGCACCATTGATATGTTCCAGGAGAAGGTCTAAAATTGAGATGAGAAGCGGAAGGGGATTTCGACGTCGTAGGGCTCGAGCGGCTAGCGTTGCACAGGGAGAGGAGAGGGCAAGGTGCTCGCTTGGGAGTAATACCCGGATGTATTTGTTTGTTTGACGTATATATTGAGAAACGCGGGAGTAGAAACCAAATGATCGTCAGGTGTCAGTCGAGCGGTCGACAAGCATGGCTAATAGAGCTCTCTTTCCCCGGTGATTCTGTCAGTTGTGACCCAGTTCCACTGATACTGATTTGGATCCGGCTCGAGTTCAATGACTTTGACGGAATCCGAATCACCAGAAGTCCAGATTCAGTCACCTATCATCGTTTCTGAAGAAAGGCGAAGGATATTTCCGCCGCTGAGATGACATGCGTTCTGCGAGACAGGCCATCGTAAAGGAATGGTCTACAGAAATCAAGTTGGCTCTCTCTGATCCGATGCATACCCATTTCCGTAAGCAGACATACCATGAGCCGTATTCCGAGCTGCGCCAGTATACCGCGACTGGCAATGGACCAGCACGGAATTCGAAGGACGACATAACTCTGAGCCACCGCCTCCACCCCAGATGAATTAAGAATAATTGATGAGGCTAAGGAGGTGCAAGAAACCCACGTTTTTGATGGTCCATCACCGGTCGCTGTCATGATCCTGGCGAATGCCAGCACAAAGAACGAGGCAAATGGGAGCTCTATCACTACATTTATTGTAGTTTTAAAACCTTTTCAACAGAAAAGAACGCAAGGAAAGATGGCTTGTACCGTGAAGGGAATCTCGATGAGAAGTAATCAACACAGAAATTTGTTACTTTGTCACACCTCGAAATCTTTCGATTGAATTGGGATGTATGGCGCCTAGGCCTGTCAATCTGTCAACCCCTTGCTGGTTAATGTTCGTTGAGCCCGCAGTCTCTTTTTGTTCAACGCGCCGCCGCCATATAAGTATGTCAGCCCATCCGACAGAGGACATATCTTGAACCCCAACCACGACCTCTCATGACTCTTTTTCCTGTACTATCTGTCCTCGCCATCCTATTCTCCGTCGTCGACGCCAAGGGCGCCTCTGCCTGTAAGTCGGCGGTCAAGGCTGCGACGAGAAATGTCCAGTCGCGTGTGTATATCACGTCCTCCTTTGGTGACGCTGGAACTATCACGGCGTGGTCTGGTGGTGGAGGCCCCGTATCGACGATTCCGACCGATAATGGACATCCGTTTGGCGGGCGCAAGTACGGAGGGGCGGATAGGTCGACCATTTATGGGAGCAGAGTCTATGGGAGTGGATATCCATCTGGATACGACGGCTCTGGTTCGTCTACCTCGAATAATAATGTAACAACAACTGCAACGACCGGCCGTGGATTCCCATACGGAATGTGGCCTATATCGTGGAACCAAGACGAATATTTCTCTCAAGACGTTCTCGCACTCCGACCGGGTGGCCAACTCGTCAGTGCCCAGGTTGGGTCGACGGATACAAACAAGTGGCCTGGTCTACCGCGCGAGGAGAGGTATACCATTGTCGGGGACATGGATTCTGTCATGTTTATGATGTCCAATCTCGTCGGATGGTGCTCTGTAACGATGGACTGGCCCAAAACACTCGGATCCTCTGCTGGATTAGGTGAACAGAATGTGATCCAGTATTACCGCGCGAGCTCCTTTGCGCTCCTGTTTACTGGCTACAATGCGACATCGACGGCGAGTAATGCAGAGGCGTTTCCCCCGCTGCCGGCGTCGATTGCCAACTCGGCATTCCTGCAGTGTGTCAATCATACGATAGGTGACTCTATCCCTATCCTGGACTCGGCTGCATCAGGTGATGGCGGTCTGAGTGAAGGTGCGACTATTGGCGTCGTAATTGCATGTGTGGTCGGTGCAGTTGCTCTTATATTGTGTATTGGACGCGCATTGGACAAGTGGCCAGAATGGAAGGAGTCTATTAAAAGCTGGTGGAAAAGGATAGCACCAGCAGCAGCTAATGCGTAATGATAATAATAATATGTCGTGTTTGATCTTCCCACCCTAGCACTTGATGAGTTTCGCCGATGGACCAAGGTCGGGCCGGTCTAAATGATTAGCGCTTGTTGACCATATGCATGCAAATGGCTTCCCATCAACCTTGGACTCTTCCGTTTCCTCGTTTTTCCTCACGACGACCGTCAGTGCACCTACAGCGTGCACAATGTCTCGCTCTTTCTCCTCTTTTAGTATTCTTTGCCTCTTGGCCATCACATCGACCGCAAATGCGCACGGTGAACATGATATGAATCACCTTCACCGTCGTCAACTACCACCTTATCCCTCTGGACCGGCCTACGATGTTCCACCGCTCGAATCCATCGTGCCACTCCCAGCCGATTATAGCGCCAATTCCTTGCCAGTCCCTACAACCTTTGCACCTGGTTCGACGCCTACTGCACTCCCAGGTGCACCTCCGCTCCCGGCTGGTGAGTGCTATTCTTATCGCATCCGCCAAGGGCGAGGTAAATGGTGTGGACGGTCAGGCAGTGCAGCCGTCCTCCGGCATCTCCGAACGGCACCCTTTCTGAAACAAATAGAATTATTCTTACTGATTTCTGTATGTAGCTACCATCAATATCAATGCATATCCACCAACAGACGAGATACCGCCAGTCGACAGTCCCGAAGTCAAGCAGTGGATCTCACAGATTGACTGGTCGACCATCCCTGCAATTCCACCGACTTATTCCAAAGTCTGTGGTGATCCACAAAATGCTGCCGCCGTCGCAGCGGCAGGGGCGAATGGGACCTGTTGGTGGACATGCAGCCTGTGCACCCGCGACGTCGATATTACGACCTGTGCCAACAAGGGTGAATATGGACACGGTTATGATGATGGTCCCGGGTTGTACAGCCCCAAGTTAACGGCCTTTCTCGAGTCCAAAGGTCTCAAAGCGACCTTTTTCATCGTCGGCTCGCGCGTCGTGTACAACCCGCAGATGCTGCAGTACGAGTACATGACTGGTCACGAACTCAGTGTTCACACGTACTCTCATGGCGGCTCAAAGTTGCTTGGGTTGACGAGCATGACCAATGAGCAGATTGTGGCCGAGTTTGGATGGACGAAGAAGATTATCAAAGACGTGCGTTCCTCTCTATGAATCACTGCATCAATTCTAATATCTTTTCATAGGTGACGGGCGTCACGCCTACCACATTCCGACCGCCATTTGGCGACATAGACGACCGCGTGCGCGCGATTGCACTCGCCATGGGCCTTCAACCCGTCATCTGGTCCTCCAAGTCTTTTGCCGAGATTTGGGATTCGCAAGACTGGGTCGTACACGGTGGTGGCGTCCAAGCCGTACCCAACCAAGCCCGCTTCCAGGCCACCCTCGACGACTCGTTTACAGCCTTTCCCGACCACGGCGTCATTGCACTTCAGCACGACATTTACATCGAATCAGTCAACCTCGCCATCGGGTACACACTCCCTTTCGTCCTGGGACCACATCCGAATAACAATAATCAGCCGTTCAACGTCAAGCCCGTGATGCAATGTCAGGGACGTTCGTTGGCGGATGCGTTCAATGAGACGAGTACGAATAAGAATAATCCTGCGTTTGATACATCTGTTGATGTCGCGAGGCGGAGGTCGAATTTGGGCTACGCTGCGGCTCATCCGAGTGGAGATGCTGTTAGTGTGACGAGAACATATGTTAGTCCACCTCATTCTACGCAAACCCAGACGCCTACTGGAACGGCTGGTGGGTCACCGACTAGAGGCGCGAGTTCATCGACTACCTCTTCAAGGCCGAACGCTGGGGTCAGTACCCAAGGGGTGTACATATGCTGGTTGGTCTTGGGTTTGGTGCCGTCTTGGTGCTCGTTGGACTTTGCTTGTGATGGATTATTCATGGACAGCTAGGCTATTATCATCCATACATACTCTGCTATAGAGCTTTACGAAAACTGGGACGAAGAGCCGAAGACTGAATTAACGTAGGAGAGTACGAGAGTACACGGCTGACAAGATACAGTGACAAGATGACGAGATGAATGATAATTGATACAACGACAAGAGTGATGACTTGCAGGACGGTTCCCTAGAGAGGATCGAGCGGCGTAATCTATTCGTTAACTTGGCATGAGTCGTAAGATAACGGGAAGGGGAAATACGGGATATATAAGAGCGAGATTGGCGAGAGCGATAGTTGAGTGTAGTTAGAATGTCGATAGATAGTGTAGACGATAGTGGTATATGTCGCGCGCCTCGATGTGGACTAAGTTTGTTGAGTCGACAGGCGTAATTAATGGTTGTTAAAGTATCTTCGTGGTGTGAATAATTACTGTAGATCAGGACGTTCATAATCCGTAAACCGAATCTGTTTATGAACGAGGCCATGTCGGTTCTTGAGAGAGGTGCATGTCTTCTTCGCGAGGTGTCACCCGCATGTAGCGCGACGACGATGGCGATAAGACATGCACTATTCGAGCATCTTGCTGTCTACCCCTCGTGGCGCACGAGGCGCGAGTGAAGGGCATAGGCGGGAGCTTGACCGAATAGTATAGATGAACCAAATTTTTGAGGAGAGAGTTAATGGCTTAAAAGTTTAGCTCTGGCCAGTATCGAATCTCCTTGGCGCTGAGGATATTGGCGATCAAGCCGACTACGACCGCCTCTTTGTAGTACATGTCCTCAATCTTCTTCTTCCATTGAGCTTGATGCTGTTCCTCTTCCATGGAGTTTCCTTGGTTTGAAGCGTTGAGCATGGTTGCGTGAGCCATAATGTGGCTCGTTGTGTGCACCTTCTTCGCCCTCGCCACGCCGTTCGTCCTCTTCCCAAGTACAATCCCCTCCACAGACTCGGCCATGGAGCTGCTTGCTGATTGCTTCTCTTTCTTCAGCACCTTCGGCTCCTTGGGTAGCCCCAAGTATGGTTTGGTGACCTTGTGGCGCGGCTTGGTTTTACGTGTAGGGCCCAAAGTCGACGCCTGAGACGAGACGAGACGGCCTTCTAGAGCTTCTTGAGCATTTCGGGAGATGATGCGGCCTCGTCGGCCCCTTCCTTCCCCCTCAACCTCCCGAATGGTCTGCTCTAGGCTGTACTCAGATCTCCAAATATCACCATATCTTCTCACGTAGCCGCTATACGCCTGTAGAGTGCTTCGAGTTCGGGGCGGATTAGTTTCTGTAGTTTTGTTCAAAGACGACTCACATGCATTGCTCCCGAAGAAAGTTGCTAACGGCGAAATGATCCGGGCTGCATCCGTTTTGCTTGTACCACTCCTCTATTGTGGTTTTCATGGCTCCTCGTTTCGCTTGTTTCACTGGTCCCTGCATAGTTGTCAGGTATGGGCAGTCAGATGTGGCGGCGACTCACAGTATTCTCCGCTACTAGTTCTCCCAGTCCCTGAGAGCGCCTTTCATACTGTTCTAGCGCTTCACTTATCGACGATGGGCGGGACATTGTCGATTTTGCGGAAGATGCGCCGCTTTCTTGCCCCCCAGACGGTTCTACTGCCGTTAGTGACGTCCTATACGCTGAATCCTCTCGAGAGAATGAGGATGCACTGCGGCCAACTTGCGAACGAGCCCTCTCGGATGGCCCAGGGAGACTATGGCCATCCGTAACTGATGAGGAAGTTCGGTTAGGCCGAGGGAACCTCGTTGTGACTGCTGCAGAGGGACCATCTGCTAGCGCGTTGTCCCTCGCAAAGGCGGCGATCGCTCTCTGTGTTCTATCGGAATAATAATCAGCGCTTCATTCTTATTATGACCGCATATAGTAGATTATTGCTTGAAACGAGGCCTCTGGAGCGTTTGCCCGGTCGTACTGCGACTAGCCAGCCAACACAGATCCAGTCTTGCCCACATCGCGGACGATTCATGGTGAGAAAGGAGCAGAAGAACTCACATTCCATGAAAATTCGAGATTTGTGCGAGCTGGTTCTTGCTCAGGCCCCCGTCGCATGACTGGATAGCAGCTACGATGGCAGCAACCTTCTCTTGTGGTACAAAGGTCAACTTGCGCAACGATGCCGAGGGATATGAAGCTCCTTTGCGCGGCTTGAGTGGCTGAGGTGTGGAGAGTGGGTGGTTCGACGGGCTGGTACGAGCAGAAGAGCGGGTTGTTCGGAGAGCGGGCATGACTAGTAGGGTTGGACGTGATGAATGGTATCAGAATGTACTTGGGGTGAGTTCGAATCAGGAAAACTGCGATGAAAAGAGACGTGGGCGGGAAAGTTGTGTGCCACCACCCTTCACCGATGCGGCCAGCCAAGTTACCTATCCCCTAGAGTCTCGTCTGACACTTGCCATTGCTGTTCATGCGTGTTGATTTGATAAAACTAGAATGTTCTTGAGGCTAACAGTGTCGATAAGTGACTTTCGGACTCGCTCGAGATTGGTATCGGTGTTTCCGCCCTTGAAGGACCCTCCGCAACTTCGTAAAATGGCTTTCATTAAGATTGATTTGCTAGAGATGATTGGTTACACATGATAGAGGATGAACCTACAGTATTTAGACTATTCTCAGGTGACTAAATCTCCTTGGTAGCACTGCGATGCCAAAAACGAACACAGAAATGATCTCGAATCCGAATATGCAGACCCAAAACGCCGCTTTGGTCATGTACTAGTATCGTTTTCAGTCCCAAGTTACGTCGAATGCCCAATTGATCACTCACCCATGGCGTCTTCTCACCAAACTTTGGAACGTGAAACGCTTGAGCGCAGCGTACGCCTTGCTCAAACGTCAGGAGCACGCCAGGAATAATAATGAACAGCGCCGTTTCAAGAATTTCCTTCTTTCCAACAGGAGTGGGTCCGAATCCTGTCTTTGGTTCGCCGCGCGCGAGAGGTTGGTTGGTGACTTTGCTGACTTTGCCGCTCATATGTCCTCCTTTGGCAGTCTCTTTGGCTTCGGGGTTGGGTTTGGTTCCGTTCGCGTGGAGAATTCGTTCCTTTTCGAGACGCGCATCAGCGTCGGCTTCTGGGTCTGCGTCACCCTCTGCGAGCGGTTCAGGCTTGTCAAGTCCACCTGGAGCGAGTGCCTTGAGGATAAGAACGAGTAGGACGATAGGGATCGGGAGGAAGGCGAGGATGACAAGGAACACCGACGCGACGAGTCGAACTTTCCGGTCGATGGATAAGATGTGAGCATCTGTCGTGAGGAATGACTGTACGACGGTTGTGATGACTTTAGGGTGTATTAGACTTGTCAGGAGGTTTATGGTCGGTTTACGTACCCATTGCGAGGACGGGAATGATGAGCACGGCGAAGAAGTTGACGAATATGCGGACCCAGGATGCATGATGGGGATGAATTTGACCAAAGAATCGACGTGACATCTGTAGATTGACGAAAAACTGGATCTCCCGGTGAGTTTTATCACGATAGAGCGAAGATGATGAAGACGAACCAGTAAGACGACTCCAGCGGCAATGAAAACTTGCGCTATGATATTCAGCGTCTTATCCGTCACATGCTGTGGTCAAAGCGTCAGCAACAGCAAGCTGAAGGGAGCCATGACGCACTTTGACGACTGCAATTCTCAACGACAACGCTGCAATGCGTGCCATACAGAAACCAAAGCACAGAATCGACCATATAAACTTCCTAGAGGAGCAAGTCAGATGTAAAGTCGGATTTGAACGATGCGAGTTGACATACTTGCCATAGGCATGAAAGATGCGAAAGTGAAAGTATAAGCCGATGCCAAGGAAGAGAGGAATGAATACAGCGCTCAGGATGAGATCTGTATTGTTCGGAATCCCTCCTGGCGGCACCATCATATGCGCAGCTGGGCCAGGCGTTGTACCAGGAGCCGACATGGTTGTCTCAAGGTATGTTCGAGAGGTGGGAGTTGATTATAGACAAGTGTCTGACTTCAAGCATGGGGTCTGCCAGGTGAGGTTTAAGAAAGAGAAGCAAACCTCCGAGTCGGAGGAGCCCGCCTTTTTCCAGAAACTATCGAGCGTTAAAAGGGCATAAATTCACTTCGGGATTACGTTATATTGAGCTGGATGCCCGATGATTATCCAAATCCAGACCGTTCGGGGCTGGGGGAGGGATAAAACCTCCGCCGATGGGGCACTAGTACAGTAGTCTATTGGGTAAAGGATACAAGATACGCAAGCTAAAGAATCCGCAAATGGCTAAACCTCTGCGGTAGTTGAGCGAGTCCAAAGATGAGCACCGAAACTACTTCCAAACCGAAGATGCATATCCAGAAAGCGGCCTTGGTCATGTGCCATGGTATAGCTTGACCAGGCTGATGAACATAGAAGGCTTGCGCAGTTCGAACGCCTTGCTCAAACGTAAGGAGAATTGCCGGGATGACGATGACCGCAGCCGTTTCGAGAATCGCCTTGCGCGATGCCGGAACCGGGCCAAAACCGGTCTCTGGCTCTCCGCGTTGGCGCATAGTCACCTGCGCGGGGCTATCCTTCTTCTCTCCGACTGTGGCCGAGTCGGCAAGTGTATCGTTATCGACACTAAGCATGCCACTCGAATTGGCCAATTCAAACCCTTCGAGATCATTGGGTTTGTTCGTCGGCGACTCTTCATCGGAGATGGTTGTGTTAGGACCATTGAGGCCTCCTGGTGATGCCATCTTCAATCCCAGGACGATGCAGACAACAGGGATGGGAATGAAGGGAAGGATGGTAAAAATACAGGACACGACCAGGCGGATTGTACGGTCGATAGACAGGATGTGACGGTCGTGTGTAAGGTAGGATTGGATGACTGTGGTGATTACTGTGACATATTAGCGTCTTTCCTGGTGCAAGAGAGAGAAATTACCCATCACTAGAGTAGGGAGTATTGCAATAACGCTCCCTGTTATCAAGCGTTCGACTATCACAGCGTGGTGAGGGTGAAGTTGACCAAAGAATCGTCGGGACATTTGCAAGTTGACAACAAACTAGTTCTCCAGGTCAGATTTGAGAGTGCGAGAGAAATGCTATTTACCAGGAGTGCCACGCCTGCAGCTACCAGAATCTGTGCAACGATATTCAGGGATTTGCTTGTCGGATTCTTCAAGAAGTTGTCATTATCAGCATTTCACCCAATAAGTGAAACTCGCCTTGACAATGGCAATACGCAAGGCCAGAGCGACGATCCTTGCCATGCAGTAGCTGAAACAGAGGCCGCTCCAGATGAACTTTTTCTGATACGCACGAAAGATGCGAAAATGGAAGAAGAGGCCGATGAGGAAAAAGATTGGGATGAAGATGGCAGAAAGAACTGTGTCCGTGCTCGAAAGAACACCGCCGGCGATCACCACTGTTGAAGATGAACTCGGCATGCGAACTGGTGACACTGAACTCGGATGGGGAGTGGGTTTGAAGCACATCACTGGTCGCTTGATGCTTATATACGCTGAATGTTTGATCCATCTGAGCGAGGTTCCTTGGAGGATTGCGAAAGGTACGGACGATGCCGTTGGGCACGGAACTACAAGCCGTAGAGCGTGTTGGCGAAAGTGAATTTGCTGACAAATGAGTTGGATTTAGCTTAAAGCTGGTTCATTGAAGGTTCGCAGCGGTGAATGGCCCATATGGCTACCGAAATTGGGAGGATTCGCTAGTGCCGCGTCATTAAAAGAGTAAGTATCGGTCCAAGTGACCTAAGTGTTCGTTTGAACCGTTTATAATGCCAACACGGATAGCCAAGGCCGCAATTAGGCATTCATGACGGGAGTGTCATGAAATGGATGTCATGGATCCTCCACTGATAGATGAAAATTTCCGGACACCAAATCATTTAATGAGCGAGCTATTCTCTTTCGACAAATTTCCCGTGAAAAGGTCGAGGTCAAAGGTGGATTCGAGAATTCGACCAAACGTCACACCTGACTAACATCAACAACATCAGCAAAGCTCACCAAAATGCAGTCAATTATGAGGAATACTGCTATTCGTACAAATGCACGAGCGTTTACTCGTACCGTTGCGCGTCAAGCACCTCGTTCTGCCGCCTCGGTCCACACATTACCGGATCTCCCATACGCCTACGACGTGAGTGTTTGTTCACGTACTGACTACTCTCCCTACCCTGATGGTTTGACGCTGTAACTGACTGTTCTGTTAGGCCCTTGAGCCACACATTTCAAAGCAAATCATGGAGCTACACCACTCCAAGCATCACCAGACATACGTAAACGGTCTTAATGCTGCCGAGGAGAGTTATGCAAAGGCCTCGACGACACAGCAAAAGATCGCTCTGCAGGCTGCACTCAAGTTTAACGGAGGAGGTTCGTCCAATGCGAATGATATCAATAGTATTTTACGTACTTGCAGGTCATATAAATCATTCTTTCTTCTGGAAGATCCTCGCGCCTACTTCTCAGGGCGGCGGCCAACTTGCGGATGGAAAGCTCAAGAGCGCCATTGAAAAAGACTTTGGCAGCATCGACGCCTTCAAAAAAGAGTTCAATACAAAGGCCGCTGCTATTCAGGGAAGCGGCTGGGGCTGGTTGGTGCGTGCAGAAAGGTCCAAGGCCTCGCAAAGTTCTGACGAGAGAACAGGGATATAATACGACGACGAAGAAGTTGGAGATCACGACAACCGCTAACCAGGACCCTCTGCTTGCTCGTGAGTAGAATCAACGTAGTTACATGTCAACTGACACTTGGTTAGCATGGGTCCCCATCATCGGAGTGGACATGTGGGAGCACGCCTTCTACCTCCAGTACAAGAATGTCAAGCCAGACTATCTGGGCGCCATTTGGCACGTTATCAACTTTAAGCATGCGGAGAGTTTGTATGCCGAGGCCACCAAGTAATTTCAAGTTAGACCGTCCTGTATCTTCCGCAACTCTTCTTTGCATACCTTGAGACGAGATCACAATTAGATTGCACGAGTGATAATATGAACTGCTAAGAATACACGGCCAGAGGTGCCGGGCAGACACGCGTTTGGCAGCGTACCAAGCTTGGTCTGCACCACGATCTTTGTCAGCGCTTCCATTGTCTATAAATAATCTCAGTAACTGCAGACTGCAGTATTGATGCTAAGAAGTGCATCGAAAGCGCGTCCGTGAGTGTTGACATATTAACTAAAAAGTAGTCAGAGTTCGACGGACGGTTGACCACATTATCATCTGGTCTTTTCAGGCGCAAATTTATTGCTTCGTCTTCTTTATCAAGAAATGGAGTACAGAAGCACGCGTTGAGCACTGCGACGATTGCTCCCCACAATTCATTTCACCAGAGTCAAAGACAGCAGCTGGTCGCGGTTTTCGCCATCGGTCTAGATTCTTCTAATGGATGGAGATGTTATTCTACACCAGCTCGTAAAATGGATCAACTACCAACCAAGGAGAAGAACGAGCCGCTTTTGAATTTGTCAAGTAGTGGGCCAGGGCACACGAAAAAGCCTGTAGACTCGCGCTTGACACCAAAGAAGCCGTCTGGGAACGATAACTTGGCGTCCTCTCGTAGTACCGGACTCGCTGGCGGTACTCCCTCGAGCAAGAGCGCGTCTGCTTCGTCAAAGTACGATGAAACGACGAGGAGTGATAATATCCTTCACGCAGGCAAAGTGGGACGACCGCACCTGGTGCAGCCTGCGATAGTTATTGACCCAGGCGTCATCAGGACGGCGCTGAACGATATTGAAGAAGCAATGTCAGACGGGACGCTCAAACCCCTTCCAGCCGAGCTCGCAAAGACCTCGAAACCAAACCCAAACGACCCACCAGTTCCTACGTTTGCCGGTGTCGAACTCAAAGTCGACACGGGCAAAGTCTGGTGGCACAAGTTTAAGGAGATGGCAAAGTTTTACTTTTTTGGCGTCGTCACCTTGGGAAGAGAACATCGCGTTCGGGCAAAAGAGCTCTCGCGAAGGTTGAAGGAGAGCGAGAAGAATGGCATCAAGGGTATTGCGGAATGGCGAGACCGACAATTTGTGTCCACGTATAGAAAGGATCTATTACGGTATGTTCCACCCGTGTTCCTCCAGGAGAGTCTAACGCATACTAGATTGGTTCCATTCATATCCATTATCATTATACTGGAGGAGATCCTTCCTCTTGTCATTATTTATGCTCCTTCTTATTGCCATCAACCTGCAAGCTACCTTCCCAAGCGCGAAGGATCGATGAGCTTGCAGACAGGAAACGATGGGACGCGCTCGTTGCCTTGGGAGGGATAATGAAAGCGAGAAACGGAGGGACAGAAACCCAGCAAATTGCAAATATTCTTGGACACGAAGAGGGCGCAGCTGCTGGGCGCCTGGACCGACTGCCAGAAGAGAGCATCCCGTTACTCTGCCGGTGCGCTGGCTCTTAATGAATCTATATCGTCTCATCCTCTACAGAGTCCTTGGTATTGCCCCGTATGGACCATCCTTTTTCCTCAAGCGCCGTTTACGTTCGACATTGGTCGAACTCTCCGAGGAGGATGAGCATTTCAAGTCGAACAAGGCAGTTTCATCATCTACCGATCCAATCTCTCATCTTTCGTTGAGTGAGCTACGAACAATTCTAGGACGTCGCGGATTGTGAGTGTGGATCTATACTTTTTCGACCAAGGGCTGACGATCCATCTAGCCCGTCTTCTCCGTTATCTCTCTCTCAACTCCGAGATAATCTCAACTGGTGGCTTCGACATCCGGAACACGGAACGGAAAGACGTTTGGAGGCCGTCCTGGCACTCGCCAGATATACACCGAACACGCCCGTTCCTCCTCGCGAGTAGCATCTTTAGATTTCCTGGTTTATTTCCTTGTCGTAATGGACGTATATAGAAGGCGGTGGCGACGCACAGCGCTGAATTATTTACCCGAGCCCACCTCTCTTGACCGGAACCACGTTGACCGCAGAGGGCTAAGAATTTCCGGCAACGCCCGTCCTCTGTCGACGTGGAATGAACTCAAAATTCGTCGTGGATATACCATGGCTACGAGTTTTCTTTCCTTGGCGTGTGCCGCCAGGTCAAAACTCTTATTTCCTCGCCTTGCCAGCCGAGCTGTTGCTCCAAATCGCATCTGAGATAGAGGAAGATAGACGGTCACTTCTCCACTTGTGTTTAGCATCTCGTTTGCTTTATGCATTGCTGGAAGGTATGCTGTACGGCGTTATACGACTCGACGACGACCCAATTAAACGATCTCCCAAACGCGCTATATCGATTCGACTACGTCTCTTCAAAACCCTGTGTGCCCCCAAGTATGCGCACATTGTCACCGAGCTTTATATCAAGCTCCCTCCGTGTACTTTGCCTTCGGCTGTCGCCTCGAATAGTCCACTAGGTCGAGTGTTTGATCCTTGTCCAAACTTGGATGACAAGCTTGGACTTGCACTGATGACGCTGGACCGACTCGAGGTGCTCAAGTTGTATTGCACCGGGTGTGCCTCGCCAGAGCCCATGCGACACACGTACCTCCATTTTCTCCCAACTCGCTCCTTGCGCGTCTTTAGGCTGCAATGTGCATGCAACCCATACGTAGGACACCCAGACAATGTAATCGAGCTGTTCAATCAACCGTTTATGCGGTCGGTCGAAGAGCTCGAGTGGTGCCTTGGTGAATATGGGTGGCGATATCCTCCGAATTGGGCGACATTGCCCAAGCTGCGCAAGCTGGTCTATGGACAAGAGGAGTATATGAAGGAGTTGTTGGCGTCCAGTCCCATCACGTACCTCGAATGCGATGCATTCGTCATGAAGAATGTGCACGTAAAGTTATGTCAGGGACCCAAGACGCTCACATGCCTTCGAACCCATCCATACATTCACAATATCCTTACCCCCGAATATTTGCGCTCGTCTTCGCTCTCTGCAGATTGGATGACTTTATGCATCAAGATGGACATTTCCCCCTATCTGAACCTCAGGAGACTTGGTTATCTGTGCTTTGGACTCCGAGAGGTCAGTCGTCGCTTTTCACCTCGTGCTCGCTGACGAAGAGTCAAGGCTCCAGAAATCGCGCTGAATTTGACCGAGATACGTCTTCTTCCTTACTTGGAATGCATCGAAGTCGTCAATCTCTATGGGCACCTGTCGCCACCAAACAACGACCCATGGGGCCCCGAGCTGCTTTCGTCTCTGGGATTTCCGTCCCTTACTAGCGTATTGATCGTTGATAAGCATCTAGAAGAGACACTCGTCTGGGAGCTTGATGGTCTGGGGTGGAAGAGTCGTCGACGTCGCTGACGATGTAAACTATGCTTATTTATGCTATTTCTATATTTTTCTTGACATTCTACGCTGCTGACTACTGGCCAAGTCGAGATTGGTCGAGAGTATCTTTGAACTTGAACTCGAACTCTACGCTATGCTCGCCGCGGTTCGCTCGCCCTGCCGTCGCGCAGCGTCAAAGGCAGCTCTCCGTACACGGTCATTTGCGACGTCTGTCAATGCTGCCGGTCTCAGAGTCGCCGCATTCGACAATGGCCAGCCCTCGGCCTCTGTGACTTTTCTCGTCAAAGCGGGCACCAGACACGAGTCCAAGGCCGGTGTCGCCCATTTTCTGAAAAACTTTGCATTCAAGGTGTGTGCATTTATATTTATTATACCGGCTTTTGTGGCCCAAGTGGCTGATAACAGCTTGTCGAACATCGACTAGAACACGGCCAACCGCTCGGCGCTGCGGATTGCACGAGAAACGGAACTCTACGGTGGAATCTTGTCTTCTTCGCTCGGTCGTGAGCACCTCGCGCTCACTGCAGAGTTTCTCAAGGGCGACGAGTGAGTTCGTCATTTGGTTTAGATTTTTCAGCTGCTGAAAATGGTACCAGGGCCTACTTTGTCGATCTCCTGTCAGAAGTCGTGACCTCGACTCGTTTCAGTCGTCATGAATTTATGGAGAGCGTCCTCCCCAGCGTGCAGGCAGAGTCGTCTGAAGCCTCTCACAACCCGGTCCTCACCGCCCTCGACGTTGCACACAGTCTCGCGTTCCGAAAGGGACTCGGTTCCTCTCTCGTTGCCTCTCCGGCTGGCCCAGTCATCACCGAAGAGGATGTAAAGGCGTATGCACATTCGACCTTTACCAAATCGGGTCTCTCGGTATTCGGAACCGGAATCGACTCTGCGACACTGGCCAAGCTTGTAGAGAAGAGTCTGTCTTCGTTGGCATCGTCTGGGAGCTCCGCGAGCGCTTCCGCTACGAAATATTTCGGTGGCGAGAGCAGAGTACTCCTCGAGTCGCATGGCCCGCAAACCATCTTTATTGGCTATGGTTCTGCTTCCGCCGTCACTCCCGAGCTTCAGGTGCTTGCTGCTCATCTCACCAATACGCCCTCTATCAAGTGGTCAGAGGGAGCCGTCTCCACCTTTTCTAACATGCCTCATGGCGCATCCGTGCAAACGGTTCTTCTCCCTTACTCTGATGCTACGCTCTTTGGATTCCTCATCCAAGCACCGACGTCGGAGACGGTTCACCAGGCCGGCAAGTCGGTCGTCGCGGCCCTCAAGGACGTATCTGGATCGTTCAAGGGTGATGCATTGAAGCGTGCTATTGCCAAGGCCAAGATGAGCTCTGCGGCTGCCCTCGAGACCCGGCAGGGCTTGCTTGATGCCATTTCGCTCGATTCCAACACGACATTAGAGTCGGCATTTACTGGAATTGAAAAGGTCTCGGCTCAGACTGCTGGCTCGGTGAGTATCCTTCCTCATTGCTACCATCCTTCGCTAATGACGATCTACCTAGGCGGCTTCCTCTCTAACAAAATCCAAGCCCGTATATGTCGCTGTCGGAGATGTACACTCGCTTCCACATGCTGACGAGCTAGGTCTATGAAGTCGAGGAAGAGTAATTTAAGTTTTCTTCAATACACTCTGTTCCATCTCGAACTCGGCGCGTGCAAGGAGAGCAATGCCTGTTGTCACCCCTCTTTCTCGAACGCAGTGGATGCTCAAACGTGCTTGAGACCTCAGGCTGGCCATTTGTCAAGGAAGTTGTCCACTATCGTGGCATTGAGACAGCGTGAGAGCTCGGGGAAATCGAACTTGCCAACAGATGGTTGTGCCCGTGTCTGGAGGAATGGAGGCGGGAGATCCAGAATGTAGATTTCGAACGAGTCTGCATCAAAGAGTATGAATCCTCGTAGGTAATTTGATCCATCTCTCTATCAGTATGTCTAGCGGCATTGAATTCCTAGCATATTTCATCTTTGAGGGATCTATATGAGACCCTTTGACGATTGTAGATGCCCGAAGAGGGTTTAGGCGCCGACAGCCAGGTCACCGCATCTTGAACCCGACCTCGAAACCCGGTGTGAATATGCATCACCGCGGTCTCTCGGCAAAGCTTGCTACTTTTGCATTGTGTACGTTATGTCGACGATTCAATCATCCCCGATGGACGTGAATTCGGATCAAGTGCCCACCGCTTTAGCACCGCCGAGGACGGTGTCGACATGTCAAAGGAAGATTCCATCTGCGAGTTTCGTGAAGACGGTTGACGAACGTTTGTTCGTCACGACCCGAAGTTGAAACCCGCCTCCGAATCATTGCAGGATGGTGAAACTAGCCCTCTTATGAGACCTATAAGACACCTTTGAGCTCAGCTAGGTTTTCTCCACTTTCCAATATGCAATCTTATCAGCATGCGCCCGTTTACACGCAATATCCAACAGAATTGCCGCCGACTTTTCCAGTCGGAGCTCATCAGACGACTCCATTGGTCAATGTGACCGAACTCCAAGCCCATCTTCGTCTCCTTGGTGCAATCTCCAAACTCAAGTCTGACGTCCAGAGCCAGAGTCAGGGCATCTCTGCACGGAGCAAGGACGTGGCTTGGGTTGTCTTCGTCAACCGTGCCGTATTTCGATTCTTTACATGGGCAGGCGCGTTGTGGGAGCGGTTCATACCAGGATTGGACGAGACGCTGGTGCCACCGCTCGACGTGCTGATGGTCTGGCATACGTATCTACTCGTACGAGACTTTATCTATTTTATTACCGATTCTGACCTTTCGTAGAATCCTCGGGCGTACTTTGAAGACAGTCAGCGTATGGAATCAGTCTATGCGAATAACCTGCGCAATCTCGCGTATGTAAATGGTCTCCCAGATGGTCTCACGTCCTAATTCGGGTTCTCACAGTGAAATGCCACTGACATTGATCGCGTCCCTCATTAACGGCCGAACTCTGGACCCTCTACCTCCTTCGGCGGAAAGACAGCGATTCTTCGAACGGACGACGGGACTTTCGTGGTATATGCCACTTTCCACTGGCTATACAGAAACTCTTTCCGTCTTTTGCCCGTTCTGCAAGAATGTTAATCCCAGTGTGCGATGGGTGACAGACAGAGACACTGGTTATGCTCAAACGAAATTCATGCAGAGATGTCAGTCTTGCTACAGGGACTTTAACAAAGTCGCTCTGGGCATACGACGCTTTGTAGACGAAGTATCGCTTCGAAGATCTGGCTGGGCAGTCTTCTTTTCGTGCGTACTTTGGTTGCTCTTGGAAGTCTTCTTACCTTATGTTAGTGAAACGTTGCTAGATCCACCCACAGGAAAGGTCGATCAGACAGCCGCGCAAACGCTCATCGCAAAGGCATTCAAGGTTTGTCCGACTGGCATCATCATTTATGCATCTAAAGAAATATAGGCTTTGGATGATCAGTACGGAGTTTTGAAGCCTCTCCCAAGTCACAACGCGGCCGAGGAGGCGGACAAACTCGGTCAAGCGCTGAATTGGGATTTCGAGGTGCTCTGTGACCGCTTGCACGAAGGTGTCAGGCCAAATTCGACTCCTGATAGGAGCAAACGAAATCCTCGGTACGTTCGGTTTGTCAAGAAATACCCGGGTTTGACGTTGTCCCCAGGCTACAACGGCTCGCGGTTGCATATAGTAACCCCGGGATGGCATCCCTTGATCTTGTAGGCGCAGTTCTACGCCAAGGGTTATTCATTTCCAAGATGGACGAACTTGGCTGGACTCGGCCAGGACGGTTTGATTTGGTATCCGAATCCGCCCCGTTGGTGCGCTGCATTGCGCGTTATCATGCATTCCTGGACCTCATGACCGTGCACAACTCCACGTTTTGTGTACCTACTTTGGTATGGGACGATTCGACTTATATTCACCGACGCTTACTTTCCCATAGGACATAGTGAGATTCCCTGGAATATGCAGTGTTCAAAGCTAAATCTCTTTAGGACCTGGCATGGCACACCCATCAACTGAAAAGTGTCAACTATCGGACGATTACGACCCAGTTTGTTGGAAGATTCCCTAACCATGACGACAATGTCGAGCCAAACATCCTCTCAACTGCGTACGATATCACTGCTAAAGCCTGGAAGAAGCGCTTTGGAGTTCCGTATAGTATCTGTGGCTGCCTACCAGACGGTGATTCGGAGTCGCGTATCAGCAGATTCGCGTCAAAGATCTCAAGTGGCTTCAAGAAACGAGATGACAGCCCCGGCTCCCATGTGCCACCAGTCAACAACAAACGACCAGACCTTGTGAACACAGACGAAGGCGAGGCAGACTCATCTCACCCGTCTGAACACACTATCAATTTCGGCAATCCAAGCGATGCAGTCGCGTCAAGAAATCGGTTTGACAGGCAACGCAGAGCGGACAAGTGTGTTGCCAGTGCACACAAAGGCGCAGCGCGTGATCCATGGAGAGGGCTTCAAGCCGAGAGAAGTGAGAGACGCAAGAGAGAGGGACATAAGGAAGCATTTACAGATTCTCATTACTATGCGATGTATTACCCCTACTGGGGGGTCTCCGCTGCGATTCCACTCGGGTAGGCACCTTTTCTACTCTTCACCTCATTACATGACGAAACTGTCACTAGATTCTATGGTGGCTATGGCTACGGCATGGCTGGGGCGTGTGGCAGCGGGGGTGCGGGGGGTGGCTGCACGGGTTGTACTTCAGGTGCATGTGGATCTTCGTGCGGAGGTTCAGGATGTGGAGGATGTGGAGGAGGATGTGGCGTAAGTCCTGTGCGCGTGCAGATGTCTATACTGACACCTCTTTAGTAAGGATGTTTATTTCATCTTACGCCAAATTCACGCAAATTCTCCGTGGGAATGCAATACCTATCTGCTATTTGCTCAAAGTGTACAGTTACTGGATAATCTATATATGCTAGTCGCGCCAGCGAGCTTCGCCACCCATCTCAGACACGCTAGAACCTGAGACAGAGCGAGATCTAGATCTGGCTGAAAGAGCGGACGGGCGTGCTTGAAGCCCAGAGCTATACGCAGTTGGCCATTCCGGTGTGTTTGACGTTCGCCTAGACGCACTTCGCTCCAGACGCGATACACGAGTAAAGGCACTAGGACGACGAGATAATGCCGCAGATGTCGAGGTAAATTTGCCTGTACTCTGAGAATTCAACGTCTTGGATCGAACTGGAGAGGCGAAGGCGAGCTCGCATCCTTCGGTCGTGTCCCTTCTCGGAAGGCCTCTGCTCATTGACATTCTGGCAGGTCGAAGAGCCATGGGTGTGAACACGTCATTGTACATTGGCATAGTCGAGCGACGAGAGGGTCCCGCAGAGCTGGATGGAGTCGTAGCCGCTGGTGTGCGTTGACCTGCGGCCTGTCTGGCTGCTTCTAGTGCGGAGCTCAGAGTACTTCGAAGGCTGATTGCCCACGTCGAGTGAATCGGATCTTTGGACGATCGACGGGCGGGAAGTGCGCTTACAGGGGAACGAGTACGAGGTGTTGGAAGGATAGGGAAAGGTTCCTGTACATGTGGTCAGTACCTTCTGGGAAATAGTTGACAGCTTACCTGTGTAAGTGGAAATGGGCGCTGCATCCATGGATGGTCCAATCCTTGTCCTTCCAATGCTAGAAAGCGTGGGACATAATCTCTGGGGACTCCAAAGTTCTCGTTTTGGCGTGGTATTGCGGCTGCATCTCGAGATTTGCGGAGGCCAAATGGAAGACCGGTGCCATTTGCTATTCGGAATGACGATGGATACGGCCCTTCGTGCTCTTGTAATGATCTATTACCAAGACCTTGCACCGTAAAGGATGGCGTCCGAGCCGCACCTGGAGATGGCAACTTGAATGCATTGCGCTCACCACATAGCTTCTCCCGAGATGCTTCAGACTCTTGCAAGTTGTCGAAAGGATTCCCAGTTGACTCGTTCTCTAGACCAAGACTAGCGAGGCGATGGTTACGCTGTCGTCTTCGAGCGCGTACAATCCATGACGCCAAGGACCCCACTGCTGCGATGAAGACAACCCCAAGAAGGATGATCCCTGCAATGATGGGTGGGTTCCTGGATACTACGTCGCCATCTGAAGGAGATGAGGTCGAAGTACTGTCGCCAGTACGAGTGCTGGAAAGGGCACGATAGTGAGCCGTCAAGGAGTCCAAGGAAGGCCCTGTAGTAGACGAGCTGAGTGGACCAACCACAGTGCTCACTGAATCCGTCGGAAGGATCCGAGAATGGTCTTGTCGGGGGTGATTAGAATGGAACGGGATACAGAGGCAGGTCGCGGTGCCTGTATGTGATCGATAGGAAACGGGTTTTCTCTGTTTGTTTGGTCCTCCTGAGGCGCACTCGAAGTCGACGCAATGCTGGGAATAAGGACAGTTGAGCTCTGGAGTTCAGAGATTGGGCGACTCTGAAATGAATTCGTCGATGCGTTTATGCGTACTTCATATATTTGACTGCTGGAGGGCCGAGAAGCTGTGCGAGACGACTCCGCTGCAGGCGCAATTTCAGCAACAAAGGGTTGCGAGCTTGAAGATTGTAAACTGGAAGGAAGTATAGGCGCTTGATCCATGATTGCTCGTCTTAAAATGCCAGCTTTCTGATCGGACCGGCGTGCGTTCATGATCCTTGTCTGCTGAAAGCCAACGCGCCGAGCTGAGTGCGCAAATATTCCACCAGAGCGATTATAAAAGGATTTATAGGAATATAACAGACGCTCCAGGCGTAATTTGTCAAGGGGACGATCCAGCGTTGGAATGAACGAAGACAAGTTGTGAGTGCCAACCTTGGACCCGACCATGTCCACTGTGCCATTCTTTCGATTGATTATACTGCATTTTATTCTATTTAGCTGCTCTTGTGCTCTCAGATGGCCATTTCAACCATCGAGTCGCGCGTCCAAACGCATCCCGGAACTCGCTGCTTCCCAAGAGTTGAAAGTCGACGGTACCCGAAACAAATGCAAGTTATTTGCGCCTCTAAACATTAGTAGATCTCACGATGACGGATGTCGAGAAAAGAATGCTCTTTCGCTCCATAGGTCAGCGCGTAAGACAATTCGAAGGCACCACTTATTCTGCTCTGAAGATACACTTTCTTCCTATAAAACTGGCTCCGGTTGCTTCTACGATGCGAGCATGGACCTGAGTAAGCGGTGTGACGAGCTTGAAAGCAACCAAGAAGGTCGAGTTCTGGGTGAGTCCGCTTAGTGGCACGTCGCCCTCGCTCATTGTTGTAGCGGCAATCCGATTCACTCTCTGCGAACTTGAAACTGCAGACTTCTTAAAGCCACCAGCCGAGTGTGAACAATACATTCGTCGCGACACAAGAGGATTAAGCCACTGTGTCGAGTAATGCCCTCTCTCCTGGGCTTCAAATTTGTCTTGAGCAACCTCTAGAGCACTACATCGAAGCCCTCAGTTCTGGTCCTCTTACTCTGGCTATCTTCGTGAGATCCGTGAGTCCCCTTAATTCTTTCCCCCATCCAGCTGATGGTTCCCGACAGCTCAATTATGCACCGCCTACCGAAGATTGCATGATATCGGTAATGCCCTAGCTATCCTCTCTTGCTCCAGCCCACAGGTGAACAGACACTGCGAAAGGGTTGTACCACAATGCAACGCAGGAAAAGATATATCTCCTTCATTTGCTGCAGCAAAGGGAATTAATATATCAGGAACAGCAAAGGCAACTAATTGCTAACCTGAACGTGGGTTTCACTCGTCGTACTTTTGTGGGCACTGATAACAGATAGAACCTCGGGGAAGTAGAGACGAAGCTGAAGCAGTCTGCCACTATGTTTGGTATCAAAGGAGATACTGTGTTGTCTAATTTCGAGACGATGCTTCATCAGGTAGGTCACTTTTATGGCAACACGCAGTCTCTGACTCTCCGAAGGCGAAAAGACATGTTTTCGATCTTCACTCTCAGCTATCGACGACCATCACCGAGCAGACTCGTATACACGGGGACCAGGTCGGTATGTCTGGTCCAGCTAGAAGTTAACTGACCATCTTGTAGCTCTCACGGCTCGTGAGAAGAACAGAGAATGAGGTAATATACCTTCATTCTTCTCAAAATGCTGATTGCAGTAGCACGAGGCGGTGCTTCATACACTCCTTCACGACACCTCAACGGCTATTGGGACAATCGTCAAAGCCCTTCATGATATATCCGATAAATCTGATATGCTTGCTCTTTCCATGGTAAACCATTTGTACCTATCTCAGCCAACTCTAAGCAACAACCAGGAAACGACACAAGGCGAATGGCGAAAGCTTGATGAAAGTACGATGACCCTTGGGAACGTAGGCTTCTTCCGTGCCATCTTCTATGTTGTTCTCATCCATGATAGGTGATAGTGTCTCTCACAAATACTGTCGAGCAGGTCTCACATGATTTAGAGAGACAATCTGTAATGGTCCATGAGATGACTGTGAGCGATACTACCGCATATATTTTTACTCACAGTCTTTAGGTGCATCAAGAGAACTTCTCTAAGTACATGCATGGAATAGAGATGGCGATGTCCCAAATGATGACGGTCATCTACGGTCACATCGAGAATGTCACCCATGCATCTACAGCAGCTCAACTTCGTCTCTCACAAAACAAGCATGGAGGCTTGAATCTACGCCTTGTTCTCGAAGCTGCCCAACTTATCTGGATGTCGGATTGGAGCGAGTAGTATTCCGATTCTGATAATCGTGTAACTGACATGATGCAACAGCCCCTCAAACAATGCTTCTACCCATCTGGCATGCAGCTCGAGCATCTGTTCTCCTTGCTGGTAGCATATTCTCTTCTATATGGCTGACTCTTTCCATAGTCCGTGTAGGTGAATTCTCTTAGTGAGCCCAGGCTGACCCTATCGGCAAAAGCGCGTCGTGATAGTCTTTCGGAAATGCATTTCTCGCCTCAGAGCTCTCCCGAAATCACGTTCATTCCCTGCTCAATTGATGGAAAATTCTGTTGATCAAAGCAAGATTCGACGGGTTGCGTTTCTTCCTCTGGTGGAAAGACGCCGCCGTGAGCTCCCGGTAGTTCATGGGATAAAATCAAACAGGAGACTGTCTCGAGCAATTTCAGAGCCTCCACCAAAGAGTTTGTCGCTTACACGATGACCAGCAAATCTTCCCTCTTGTAATTACTCTCTTGGACGCTCGAAGACTAAACTATATATTGATTGGCATAACGTTTGACCGAGATTATACAAATAGTATGTTAGATATGAACATCTATGTCGGTCGGGAATCGTGTTTAGGCTACATTGGTAATGGCGGGTAACTCGAGCTGTTGCATCAACAACAGAGGTGGCAAGTGAGAGAACCGAGACGGAAGAGAGGCAAAACCCCAAATTATGGTGACAATGCTTTCAATACCGAAGATAGGGATCCAAAAGGCGGCCTTGGACATATACTATGCCACTCGTCAGCATCGAATAGAATCGAAAGAGGCATACGTACCCAAGGTAGATCTAAACTGCCTGGATTCGGTGTATAATAGATTTGAGCGACGCGGATGGCCTGTTCCAAAGTGAGGAGACAGGCAGGAACGACAATAACCGCAGCGTTCTCCAAGATCCCTGCAAGGCTAATTGGGGTCGGACCGACACCGCTTGTTGGCCAGTGTGGGTTGGAATGGAGTGACGCTTCGTCGGTCTTCTCCTTTTGTTTTGGCAACATAGGTCTGTCTGTGAGCGTGCCATTGACGCTAGCGGCCCGAGAGCTCTCGACAGAAAACGGTGCAGATGACTGCACTGGCGCATGCCTCGCCTTTTCTTCCACGTCGTTGAGCAACGGGAGAGAGCGTTCCAACTTGCGAAGAACGAGAACGAGTATGACCACTGGGATGGGAAGGAAAGCAAGAACCACGAAAAAGATCGAACAGACGATTCGAATGTCACGATCTATTGAGAGCACGTGTGGGTCGGTGGCAACATAAGTTTGGATGATGGCGAATATGACTAGTAAGAGTCAGCGATGTGTTTTCGACGATAGGGTGTTTACAAACCAATGGCGACGAGAGGATCAACCATGTATGCTGTGCCCGTGAGAGCATACTTGACCACCTTGGAGTGACGGGGGTGCAGTTGACAGAAGAAGCGCCTGCTCATTTGAATATTCACGACAAGCTGTAGTCGAAAGAGCCAATCAGCACGTTTAGTTGTGTAAGAGAGTTGTTTGCCCTACCAGAATCGCGACCCCAGCAGAGAGGAGAATCTGAGTGATGCATCCCAATGCCTTGTTGTGTAGATCGTTCTTGAGTGCAATGCGCGTCCCAATAGCTAGGATACGCAAGACGCAGAATGCGAGCAAAGCCAGTGTCCAGAAGAATTGGTATCCGTGGGTGAGCAATGGTCGGACGTGGAGCCCAATGCCAACAAGGGCAAAGACTGCAATGAATATAGATCCAGCGATGACACTGTTGCAAGGTGAGTGGGCAAGGAAGTCGTACAAGAGGGGACGCACTCGTCGTGGTCAGGAAGACCGCCAGCAGAGTAGGGACTAGCCATGAAGCAATCCGAAAGGTGAAACGATAGACAATCGAGGCATGCATGGGTCTGCTTTTATAGCCAGCTTGGTAAAGGTCGTGCTCCGGCGGCCTTGTAATCACAGACACTTTCTGTGAAAGTTCACATGTATACGCGCGCTGTGGCTGTTGGCCCCTCTCGGCGCGACATGGACTTGACGCCAAAGGACCGGTGCGATGTTAATTGTATCGCCGCAAAGGCGCCCGTCGTGCCGGGCCACAATCGTAACTCCCGTCCTCTGCGGCATTCGACTGGACTCATGTGGAATACTGCCACAAAAGATAAATGGGTAGGACTCAAGATTGAGAGGCGATGATCTGTTGATGTCAGCCGAATTGTCTGGATGGAGCCGGGACATTGGCAAGTATGATTTGGTCGAGCCTGTAATTTGCAAAGGAAATAAGTGTATACAAGATGATAAAGATCCTCTCAGGTGATTAAACAAGTTTACTGTACACCGCGGGGGAGATGCGAGCCTTGACAAGTTTGATGATGTAGAGAGGGACGGAACTGACGGCCACAAGGACTGCCACCTTCCATGCGAACCGAACCGACAATACAAAGGTGAGGTCTAGAGTTCTTGTCAGTGATCGTTATATGGCATCAGGCGGATACGTACCGAAAAATTGAGGCAGGAACACCATGCTTATGGCGTACACGAAAAGAGTGACGACCTCAGAGATGATCATATAAACATGCCTGAGAGTTTTGAGACGGAGAGGACGGAGAGAGAGCGCTGACATACCATGTGGTAATCTCTAGAGCGACCATGATAAGTTCGTTCAGAATCAAGGCAGTGAACGAAATCGCGACGATGTTTAGGAACTCATTCTCGAAGAGCACGAGCGACATGATCATGATTGCTCCGCCTGTGAATCTGGTCAGACACAAGGAAATGCGGTGCATCGGATCGCTGACCTTGATAGACGCTGATGAGCAGCCATGAGAAGAAAGTCTTGAAGGAGAGTTGTCGGCCCTACATAGGAATTAGAAGTGGAACGGAGCCAACATAACAGCGGACGAACCTTTGTCAATTCCTTGTAGAGTTCTGGATACAGGAGTGCCAAGTCTTCGCTCACATCTCGATCCAGCACCAAGGAGAAGACAGGAGCCATCGTGTAGACGGTCGCATAGCCGACCATGAGCCATCCCTGGTAGACCGCGATAGGCGCGAAATAGAAGATTGCTGAGAATACGGCTTGAATGATCGAAATGATAAGACCTCGGTGGATGACGAATTGGGCAAGCTTCGCGGAACGACGGTACGAGTTCCGGCCATGCCACATTAGTAGTTTAGTGAGGAAGCTAAATTGCGTCACAGAAAAGTCTGCTGCGAGTGACGCTTGTTTTCCTTCTTTGCCGACAATACCAACCCCTGAAATCACACTCCGGTTAATCGGATGACCGACGCTAACATGAAATCACACATACCGACATCAGCCGCTTGAATCATACTAACATCGTTTCCTCCATCACCAATACAGCATACTCGTTTCTTGGTATATTCGCGAATCAGCCGTGCTACGTCTGCCTTTTGCGTCGGTGAACATCGGCAGGCGACAACAGCGGAAAGCTTGGTCGAGATTTCGATAAATTCGTTTCGGAACGTGTTGAGACAGAGCTAGGAGCCGATATGAGCGGAGGGAATATTCAAAATGCTTTCCTTACCTGCAGGGACTCTCCATCAATCACGAGGCAGCAGTCCAGTTTTGATTGTAGAAATTCCAGCTGTTCCCGAGCGGCGTCACTGGTTTTCACTACCCAGAGGTTAAGTTATGACGAATCACAATCATGTATGACGCACGTTTCTGAACTTGATGAATGTACTGATTTCTTGCCACCAGTTTGGTCGAAATGGCGATGCAGGTCGCAGTCTCGACTTTGTCCCCTGTAAGCATCCAGATCTTGATTCCGGCATTTCTCAACAGCTCGAGTGTCGACTTGACGCCTTCCTGTAGCTTGTCCTCTACACCGGTGACTCCAAGTAGTTCCAAGTCGAGCTCTAAGTGCTCAGCCACCACCTTGTTCATCGCTTCGTTACGACCTTCGAGACGAATGCTGGCCTCGTGGTGCTTCTCCTTGAAGAGCATGTAGGCCTCTTCACTGAGTTTCTTCCTGCCCACAACCAAGGTACGAAGTCCTTCACGGGCCATGTTTGCGCATTCTTCCTCGAGCCAGTCGTTTCGTTGAACAATCTTGGCCATGACAACATCAGCTCCTTTCTGCAGGAACATGATTTCGCCAGACTGCATATCACGAACAACGATGCCCATCCGTTTAGATTCCGAGGTGAAAGGGAATAGCTCGAGAACTTCGAAAGAGATTGTCGTCGACTGAGGGGTTTGCAGCTCGATCTTGGTTCGGTCGCGAAACGTCAGTCGCAGCCCGACGGATTCGGTCCATTTGACAATGGCGACTTCATCAGGCGAAGATGCTTGGTACGTAACAGTCCCATCATCGTTGGTAACCGGTGTAACCTGTACGAGATTAAAAAAACACGGGGCTGACGAGCACACTTACATTGTGGCAGAGGGCCAGACTGAGGACTACATCACGAACACGAGACGAAATGTCTCGACGGCCTCGCGTTGCCAATTGAGCACCAGTAATGGTGCTTACACGTTGCATCACTATGATGGTTCAGCAAAGGCAGCTTACATGCAAATTCACTCACTTTGTTCTGCAGTGACACCAAACGCAGTAGCTAGCTGATGTGCTATTTCGTCCATGGAGTCTGAGCCATAAGACATTGTTCCCATGTGAAGCTTCTTCAGCTCCATCTCTGGTGAAATTTAGCTGGTATGAAGGCGAGGTCTGGGTGCTCACCGTTTTGCGTCAGAGTACCAGTTTTATCGCTCAACAAATACTCGATGCGACCAAGCTCCTCTGGGAGAGTGCTTGTTCGTACGATTGTGTCTGGAATTTCTGGGTCGTTCATGATTTGATGAGCGTACACTGTCTTGCCCATGTCAAGGTTGACACGCAAACTGTTTCCTGTTGAGCCACATAGCCCGAGATATTGAGGAGACTGACCTGATCGGAATAATTGAGGAGAAAAGGATGAGGAAGCGGAAGACGTAAATCCACCATTGCCCTCTGAAGCCGTTGAGGGCGACCAGTACAATCGAGAGCGCAAACGTCACTGCGCAAAGGATCTATAAATGGATGAGCGATCCAAGCACTGTGCAAGAGCTGATTGACCTTTGCTAGCCTGTTGATCTCAAGGTCCAACAACCCAACCTTGGTTTCGGGATGGCTGGTATTCATCACCGCTCTCGTCTCCGAGCCAGTATAAATCACAAATCCCACAGCTGTACCGGCGGCGAGCACGGTATTAGCCCAGAGAACATTCTCCACCGACAGTGGCTCAACCTTTGGTACCATTGGCAATTCCGAATCGTTTGCTCCGGATCGATGTATAGAGAATGTGCCAATGAAAGAGTGAATATCCTTGATTGGGGCATCGGCTGTCCGTATTTTAGTAGTGATACTAGGCACAGAGTGTCGGACAAACCGTAAATTTCCGCGTCCAATGTCAGGAGGTCTCGATCACTGGCAAGCTTTTGACACGAGGGGACCGCAACCTTGAGCTTCCAATCAGTTTCACCGTCCAGTTGATCAGTACGGATGAAGCAGGTTCCACTGCTTTCACTAGTTCGAAGTAGCACGACGTCTGCGGGTATACGTTGATTCTTCTCCAGAACCAACAAATCTCCGACACGTAACTTGGACGATGGGATGGCCCTTGTCGGTGGCGCGTCGGATGAGTCTGCCGTTGCTGGCTCCAGAATCAAGTACTTTGCAGAGTTGGCCTCTTGATCGCGCAGATGTCGCTTGTAGTCGTCGTACGCTTCCTTGCCCATCGTGACTGCGAGTACAAATGCTAGAGGAGCGATGTACGTCGCAATATATCCAATCTTGAGTGCCGGTATAAACTGAGACAGTGCTACGAGCAGGAAGTACAAGTTGAAAAAGAACTTGAACTGCTCGTAGAACACTATCGGTAGGAAGGTGAAGACGTTGTATTTCTGGTTCCGGACGACATTGGCCGGAAACTTGTTCTGGAGCTTTTCTATAGTACGCTGAGAATATGGATGACCGAATAATATGAGTGGAACGTGCCTGGTGGACGAAATGGTACAGTTCGTGACTTGTCCTTGCCGCTCTGTTGGCGCACCGGAGTCGGGCGCTGATCACAGTATCAGCAATCCCTTCCAGATCATTATAATTTGAGATACCTTTGGTGGCTCACTTGGAGGTAACTGCCCGCCGGCCTCTGCGTCCTCTGGGTCATCCGCGTAATGCTCGTCAAACTCATCGCCGTGGAGAAGATTCACTTCATCCTCTGGATCATCAGAGTATTTTGCTCTGCCTTTTCCCTTCTTATTGTACGCTCTCGTTGCCCTGCCGTTGGAAGCCATGCCAGGTCGCTCGCTCGCTGGTGCTTCCGTGTCTTCCGACTGCAGCTGCTGGTATCCCTTCTTGCTCTTGTTGCGCAGCTTCGAGAGCTCCAAGTCCATACAACGAGGGACGGCGTGCAAGTATGCCCAAAGTCTGGACGGGACAGAGTCGAAGATGCAAAATTGGCCTCCACAAATACAGTCAATGGCCGGAAAAGCCTTTATGGTTCATTCATATTATTTAAACGTATTTTACTTTCAAATCAAAAGTACATCATTACAGAGCTTCGGAATTGACCGGGGACACCAGCACCATCCTAACTTTCCCCCTCTGTGTAGTCGTGTCCTTTTCCACCGTAATCTTGACAGTAACCTTGTCAAAGACAGCCAATGATACTGGTTTTTGCTTCTTGCCGTTGGGCAACGTTACCGCATACGCCTCTGCGTCGTACTCAATTTCATGCTTGAAAGTCACGAGACCTTCAATGCCCAAGCTATATGCATGGTTAGAGTGCTGTCAAATGGTGTAGAGAGAGACTCACCGAGAAACAAACACGGCGATACCATTCCTAAATGTCCGAATCACATATGCTTCCTCTCGTACACCGCCAGCCTCATTAGGCGCTCTTGATTGAATAGCGAGTCCCACGTAGAACTCTATGCTTGCACGACTCGCCATTTGCGCCATTCGGTGCCGTCGGTTCACATTGTTGAGGATACGTTCGACGTAGTCTTTCGAGTGCAACGACGCATGTAGTGGTGCGTGATTAATAGCCGCTGAAAGTTGCCTATGAACAAGGACATCTATAAAACGATGAGTGGCAATCGATTTAAGGCCAATGACTATACCAGCGTATCGCCTGATAGGACTCGTGAAGTGAGTGTAGATAGGACTGGCGAGACCGTAGTGACCAAACGTATCACGTGGGACGTTACCCGAGCAGAAGTACTCTGCTGAGAGCATACATCGCGTCGCCATGATTCTCACAAGGGTATTGAAAGCCGGCTCGTTGGAATCCACACAGAGATCCAAAGAGCTGGCTAGAGCCCCTGACGAAGAAACATCCAGCTTGAGACCTTTGATCTTCATAAGAATATCCTTGAGCGTCTCAAAATTCGTCGTGGGCGGTGGCATATGCCGTCTATTGCCATGAGTGGAGCATGAACTAACGTGGGATAATACATACCTGAGAACCGCTGTGAGTGGGAAGGTCTCCTGGATCTTTTTTGCAACCGAAATATTGGCGAGGAGCATAAACTCTTCAACAAGGCTGTTCGTCTCCAGTTGTTCCTTTTGTTTCACATCGATAGGATCCGAAGATTCGGAGCTCTCCATCTGAATCTTGACTTCGGGAGATGCAAGATTCAGCGCTCCAGCACGCATTCGTCCTTCACGTAGGTTACGAGCAAGTGAGTTGAGTAGCCGGATTGATTGCGTCAAAGGATCTTTGAGAGACCTTAGCAGAAGAACGGTTAGACATGTCTCGTTACAAGGATACACATACTGATCATCTTTGCGTATCTGTGCCTCTTCATATGTAAAAGCGGATTTCGATGCAATCACAGACTTGGTAAATCGTACATTCACAATCTTGGCCTCTGGTGTTAGTTCCTTTCGATTGCAATCAGTAATGGTTGGCTTGGCACAATACGGGAAGACATACCCAAATGACTGAGAAGGCGAGACGTTCGACATGTGGGCGTAGGGAGCACAGGTTTGTCCCCAAGAGGCTTGGTAACATGTCTATCCGCTTGTCGACAAGGTAGACTGTCGTCCCACGCGCTGCGGCCTCGCTGTCCATCGGTGTCTCTGCGTGAACAAAATGAGAAACGTCCGCAATATCTACGGATATTAGTGAACATCCTAGTTTGTTTAGTGTTAACTTACGGACGCCAGCCTCAATGTTGCCATTAGGCAGCGCTCTGGCGTGAAGCGCGTCGTCGATATCCTGACAACCTGCTGATGTTAGACCGGGTACGTCGTTGAGGCATAGAGACATACCAGGGGATCAATACTACAGATGAGCACGTCCCTTAAATCCTCTCTATCTTTCCAGATATCGTGGCCCTTGGGAGGTACCACCCAGCTGTCACCTTCAGGTGGCAAGCAATCCTGGATTGCCTTGCCAAACGCACCATAAGCCACACCATATTCGACTAATAGCGCCTCTTGCTCCGCTTCTTTACCGCCCACTTTTCCTAGCGATCGTACAAAATGACCTTCTGGGTATCGGGAGGTACTGTCCCATCTGTCGATTGTGACGAGTATCTTCTGATCAAGGAGCTGTGGTGCTTGTCGTGTTCGCATTCGTATGCGGGGTAGGAGCGCAGAGGTTGGGATAGCAAACACAGCTTGCACGGACGTAGAAGTTTCAGAGCTCGACGAAAGAGATGCGGGGTCGAGGTGGCACACATAGCTGGAAAGGATGAGTTTGTGATCAAGGAGAGATGGCTCACTCACGTCCTCCAGTTGCGTTTGATGATTCCAACGATACGACCCGTGGGTGACTTTTCTTTCACCTTGCCAGATCCATCTCGTAGTTTGGTCGCTATCCGAGCTTCCTCTTGCGCCTCCAAGTCATCGCCTCCTTCAGCCTCGGTGTCGTCGGCATCGTCGTTCTTCAGCGCCTCTGGCAGAGAGTTAGTTCAAACTCGTGAGTTTGCGAATACTTACCATCTTGGTCGACTACTGCATCGGCTGGCGACCGCCATTCAGTTTCAGGGAAAACCTCAATGGCGACAATATCCCCATGCATGGCTCTGTTCATGTTCTGCCTCCCAACGACCAGCACAGGTTTTGGAAAAGCTGCTACTCTCACGGTGCCCTTGAATGTGTCAATAGTGCTGTAAATCTGCGGCGCTGTACTTGCCTCGAGATAGTTATAATCATTAGCATTGAAGTGGCCTTGTTGTAATTGACCAGCCTTGATTCCAGCGTTGATCATTATACTTGACATGTGCTACTTGCATATGAGCAATTATGAGATCTCCTCGGATCGTAATCACCTCTGGGTAGATAGCAGACGACTTTGCCTTGTCGCCTTGGTCTCCATCCCCAGCACCAGCGGCGAGCAGATCAAGCAGAAGGGCGCTATTCTTCGAGCCTTGGACATAGTGTGAGACTGTAGATACTGTTCAGACCCAAGGAAGCGACAGAGTGAACTACGTTACCAGATACCGCCTCGACGCCTTCTGTCTGGGCATGTCTTCGATTAGCCACATCGTCCGTCAATAGTACTATTCTAGGCACGGGCTGCCCTTTATTTCGGGCGGATGAGATTTGGCCGATATGATGCCTGTACCAGGCGACCGCTGATCGGATAGCTGTGCGTTCTTCAGTCATAGTGTATGAGGCCAAATCTGAAAACGTCGACCTCTATCATTCATGTCATTCGGTGACTCGTCGTCTTTTCTTTGTACTGCAGTGTCCCTATAATGTCTCGCCGTGAGTTTCCCATCGGCCAAGGCATAGTGGCCGTACTCGCGATATTCGTTGTAAAAGACAAAGCATGGTCGATCTTCTGAGCGCAATAGACTCTTGAGGCGGTTATGCAGAGGAATGGAGCGATGGCGAACTTCTTCGAGGACGGTTTGGAGTACGATGAGCGGCGCATCGAACAGGGGCGACTCCATGAGATCCATCTGCACTATTTCAGGACTATACGTGGATCCAATTCTTTTACATACCTGATTGAGGAATATGTTTGTGTCTGGAATCACATAGTGGCCTGCTGGGTAATCCGAGTGTCTCGCTGCAACAGCCAAGGATAATGGACGAGATTGCTGGGTGATACAGTAAGGACACTCGTTAATCCCACAGGGAATGTCATCGCGCAGGTAGCGCTCTCGGAGGACTGCCGCAGTGAATATTTAGGGCATATTTGATGGCTGTACTGACCCTTAATGACCTTTCCCTTTGCAGTCTTTTTGAAAAACTTGCGTTGAATAAGGGCTGGATCGCCCCTAGGTCGCTTTCTCATTGCGATGACCGTCGCCATCCTGCAAGACGTCGGGATAAAGCTAGCTAGACTACCTTGACCACCGACCATGCCAGCTGCCCTGGTGGCCTCTTCCTTCACTCTTCATTCTAAAACTGATTATTCAGTCACAATGCTCTCACGACGCGGATTTCAGGATAAACCCCAGTGGCCTACCCGCACTACCTCGCTCCTTCGCCGCCGCGTCGTCCAAGTCCAACTCCCAGACGAGCTTTTGATCCACATTCTCTGTTTCTTAAATCTCCGAGACCTTTTACGTTGCCGTTTAGTGCGCGCGCCCGTCCACTTTAATTGTCCCAAATTAACATTTCGTAGGCGAACCGACGTGTCTATACCGTTATCAACAATTCTCTGACCCTTCAATTTCGAATTGAGCTGTCCCATGCAGCCCTCCTGCAGTTTAGCCAACCAGTTACGGGCAAGACATCGCACAGCACAACGCTCCAGCGGCTCGACTTACTCCGCAAACTTCAGTTCAGCTGGCGGAATCTCGCTTGGAGATCACGAAAACCATTCCTCTGGGTCAGCCCTACCCACTCTACGAGCTCAGCTCGGGTATCTTCATCACAGCGGCCCGTAGAGCGGGCGTCGCCAAGCCGCATAAACTCATCTTTCAAGAACTACCTTCGCTAGATAACCATTCAAATATCTCAAGAGCAACGATCGACTGTGGGATTCCGACGTCGCAAGTTTGTATAGATGTCTCGCAGGATTTGCTCGTTTTGCTTGAAGAGGGTCACCAAAATACTGGTCTCCTCAGGTGATTATCATCATTTAATATCGTATGCATGTCAGTAATTCGTGGACAGGCAAGGTCACAAGCTCAGCTTCCGAGTGCATCTACGATCGCTTGCGAACAACACGCTGCACCCAGCTGCTCGTCGCCAGGTTCTCGAGTACGAATGGACGAGTTCCTGGACCTCATACACGTTTGTGATGCAAATCATGGGTCATAGTCTGGGCATCTTGTTCTCATCGGGCGTGCTCGGAGACTCTGACTTTGAGCGATTCGTCGTTTGGGACTGGAGGACTGGTGCCATGCGAGGAGTAAGCATAAGCACTTCTTGATTCCCATTAATCCTGACTTTCCATAGATGGTCTTCATGCCTGGATCACGCTACGACTCCTTTACCTTCATCTCACCAGACACTTTTGTTATTCCTTGCGCACGAACCGAAACGATCAACGTCTTCCTCTTCCGCCCTACCCCGCCACCAGGCATCCCTGACCGCGGACCATCGATCCACCATCTTTGTGCACTCAAACTACCTGCACTGAACCCTACCACCGGTTACAAATATATCAATGTCACTTGCCAATCCCAGCCGACGCCAGACCCACCCGCACATGCCTACTACGCCGCGCCACACACGATCCCGCGCCCAAAATCCAAACTCTTTGCACAAGATCAGGCCAATGGCATAGTTCAATTTACGGCTAGCGTATCGCGACATGCGAGGACAGTGGACCTTCTCATTATCACGCACCGCAAGGCTCTCATGAGCTTCGTCACCTCGTCCCAAGACGCGCTAGGCGACCCGCTTACAGAGCCATGGGAGAGCTACCCGATGATGCCCGCCAAAACATGGGGACCAGACATTGGTTTCAAGGAATGGAGAGCCGTCTCACGGTGCATGTTGTCGCAGTTCACTTACCTCGCCAACTCGAACTGGCGCTCGCAAGTCTTTGGATATCGCGTCGCTCAGCTTGTGCGAAATCCAGCGGAGACGACGAATGCGACTGTGGCACCAGTTTCACTTGCGCGCGCGGGTCATATACGCGTACTAGATTTCAATCCCTTGTTCGTGAAACGACCACCACTCTTTCCAGAGGATTATCACCACATTATTCAGTCTACTGTCACAAGGAGGATGGTCACCGATGTGGGTATCATACCCAAGGGCGAAATCTGGGTGGAGAATATAGAGAGCAGTCTCCCCTACTACGAGGTTACCACGAGAGAAGCATTTCCATTGGCAGGAATTATGATGGATGAGGAGCGATTGATCGGTCTTCGCGTATGTCTTCACCTTCAATGCGCGATACTTCTCTCTCTGACACTTTCTCTAGACTGCCAGTCCTGGAAGTCCAGATTTGGTTGCCTTGGACGTCTTTGTTATTTAATACAACATTTGTCTATTTGTCTTTGTATTATATGGTGACATAGCCATAGGTTGTTCCTTCCAATCCTTGTTCATTTGTCAATAGTCATTCCCAGATTCCACTTGTACGCACCGCGAGTGATCGTCTGGAACTGCGTGACCGCATGTCGTCCTTTGTGAGCGTTTCTCGCCCTATCAATTGTGAGACTAGTCAGCGGATAAGTAAAGAAACGTACGCAAGTAGCGAGGTCATAAACGTTTCTTTTGCCTTTTGTGTCGCCATTGGATATTTGGCGGTGAAATCCGGCTGAAATTGTCAGCAACAAAGTCGAAGGGTGTAGACATACTCACGGAGAACAGAATCTCCGAGAGAAATGCGCGGGCTTGTTCGAGCCGAGTTGACGTGATACAGAATAATATCTCGTTGAGATTTGCTGTGACCGAACGGGGGGCGAGACCAGCCACACCGTACACTATCGCCGCGACGATTTGCTTCCCGTGGAGGCTCATGAGAGCATCTGCTTCACGCGCAAGTTCGCTCGTTGTGAGAGTTTTGCGTAGTAGCGTCACCTGGTCTGAGCTTAGAGTCGAGACAGTTAAGAGAATAGAGAGGCGCACGAAGAATCTGCAGCTCGCTGCCAATGAATACCGCTCCTGCAATCCAAGAGATACGGTCGCCTGTTGTAACAAAGAAGATAAGAGATCTTGCGGCAACCGGTATATCGACGTTGAGAAGTCCAACGCAACCTGTCTTCATTGAGCCCTGATCCTCCTGGTCGTTTTGCCACTTACAACTTCCGCGAACCGGAAGAATTCTTGGACTACATCCGGATTCTGCACGACGATTAGCGGATTCTCTCTCATTAAGCCACACTCACAGATTCTAGATACTCTGTGTTCGTCATCAAAAGCAAACACGGTGCCATAATCTCAGGAGCAAGCTGCTCAACAAATTGGATCGCATCTCTTGTCGGCTTGGGATTGAGATTCTCGAGGCTCTTTCCTGGATAGAGTTGGCCGGTGAGAATAGTTGCAAGCGTAAGCCACGTTGAAGTGACTTGTCGTTGATTGGCCTTTGCTATTATCTGGAGCAACGGCTGAGGAGATAACGAGAGTATACTTTCTTCCGCTTGCGTTGCAGTAATACCTTTTATGAGATCACTTAGTACCTTTCAAAAGTAAATCTTCGTAAAGCGTTATTTGGTGGACATACCGAAGTAATCTCCGCATCGGAACCCCATAGGTTCACGACGGATTCGATTGCCAGTGTAATTTGCTCCCTCAGCTTGAAGATTCGCTCATCTTGTCTCGTTTTAGCAATCGCATCCGCATCCGGAACAAAGGTTCCTTCTGTCAGCGGATCAGAGATCGGTGTCAGTCCACGCGCGCATCCAGTAAGGCTCCGCAATTGAGCTATACATCTCGGCTGTGACTCTTCTAGTGCCTATAGAGCTTTAGCCACTGGCGTAATCCAGATATAACCAGCTTACTAGTCCTGTGTTCAACGCTGTGGCCAATGTCTGCAACAGAGGCTGGACGATGGCAATAATAGGCTCCACTTGCTCTTCTGGTCGAAGTGCAGAGATGACGCTTGAGATACTTTCGATGACTTTGCTTTTCTCCTCGGGTCCAAGAAGTTCCACATTCCGGTGAAGGTCAGCGAAAGAGTTGATATGAGGTGCTAATATTGCCCTATTGGCATCACAAAGATCTTTGAGTGACATAGAGGCTTGAAGAGATAGCGAAGGCTCCGGTAGTGCGGTAACTGTGTAATTGACTGCCCGTAACAACGACGGAGTGGATGAGACTGTGGTGAAATAGGACGCATATTCACCTAAGCCGCATTAAGTTTCAGTCTGAGGTCTTTAATCTCTTACCAATCAGAGTAAGCATTGTCCAGCGCACGCGATGGGCCCCGACTTGAGGCAACGCGTTCATAGTCGACTCCGAGAAGAGAAACTCGAGCGGTTCGAGGTTGCTGGTCGTCAAAGCGTCGTGTACTGCCTTGATGCAGAAGAGCGTAGCCTCGACATTCTAGGAGCCATCAATGAAAATTCAAAAGCCAGACACCAGACACAAACCTCCCAACTGGTAACGTCGCGAGATGTCTGGGCCAATTGATCCTTCATGTCATTCAATAGGTTCTCCAGGAACTTGTCCCGGAGGACATAACACGCGTTGATGAGCGTGTCTCCAACATTCCGACGATAGCTGATAACTGTGAGACGGTTGGCCAAATACTTGTGAATGGACGCACATGCCAAACATCTCGCGTTGTTCTGAATCATTGTCAGTCAGGTTTATATGCGAGTGTAAGCTCACCTGCATCCCAGCCACCGCTGGCGTGTATTTGAGCGGCAGAAGGCCAAGTGATCTTTCTCCTGAGGGTCGTCACAACTTCGGCAAACAGCACTCTTGCCAGGCCCATTCCATCTTGTTTATCCGACGCCTTTGGAATCTCGCTCTCGTATTGAATCGGCGACCGCATCGGTCCTTCAGGATCCAGGACATTGGCATTCACGGTGTCAATCGCGTTTTGAATGGCCTTTTCTGTTTCAGAGTTGATAAGATCCACCCAATCCTCTTCGCCGCCTTCTCCGACCTCCCATAAACTTTCTTGCAGGAGATACCAAAAGCCGAGTGTCAATTCCGAGTCTTCTTCGTCTACGCCATAGTATCCTGGGAATCCAGTGTACAAGAGCATAAGACGAAGAAACTCTTGTACCCGCGGTTCCAAAGCGGGAGAGTCGGACTGTCCTTGAAGGCTGGCTCTGTATAGCTTGGTGGCAATATATCCATTGGAATGGTCGCCGAGCGCACATATGAGCTTGCAAAACGAGGTAGATATTGCGTTGGGTGATCCTTCGGTAACAGCAGCGTCAGCTATTGTCCTTCCAGTCGTAGATATCCAATCCAATAGTGGCTCTGTGAGAGTCTTTACGCCAGCGCCTTCGGCCAAGGCAGATGCGGTGAGGATATCCTGCAAGACATCTGATACGGTAATGAACAGTGAAGGGGATGAGAGGACAGAGAGTAATGTCGGAACGACGGATGTAAGATCACTGCCCAAAATTGTTAAAAATCAGCGCAAACTGAGCCTATTACCTACTTTCCGGTCATTCCCCATCCTACCCAGGCCTGGAGACACTTGAGAGCACCTATCCTCTCGCTTTCTGGGACTGATGGACCCAGAACAGTAGTCGAGAAAGTCTCCATGAAGGCCGGAATAGCCGCATTAAGTGATTCTGTAATTTGAACACTGTACGTTGCCTAAATTAGACCGCGCGAGATGCTCAATCGATCTCACCTCGCAACCTTGGATGCTCTTGAGACTTCCTCTACGGCAATAGTCATGAACTCGAGTAATGTCTCCCGGTTTGCTCCTTGCGATTGCAAAGAGGACAAAGAGTAATTAAGAAAATCTGGCCACTTGGGAGGAGACGTTGTATTGAGCTTGAGGGCCATTGATGTAATCTTTACTCGAAAGTCTATTAGAAACAACAACAAAAGGGTGACCGATCAGAGATACCGACCGCAATGTAGAGTTTTCTTAAAACCATCTTTGGTCGTTGAAGTGCGATCGCAGTCGCAGTGAGCTGTAGGACCGTGTCTCTCAGTGGTAGCTGGATATCTTCGCCTAATGAGTTCCTTGGCCAAAACCTGTCAGTATTGGTCTTAGAACAACTCGTGAGGATGGTTTACCACTCTCGGACTACTTTGACACCAAGGATATGGGCTCCGTAGAACTGAACATTGACGTCGTCGTGCCCAAGGAATGGGATCACGAGTCCCCATGCATCAGACGTTCCAACGAGCCGCATCAGATCTTCTTGCCGACGCTGCTGCTCCGCAGAGTCGACACTCGTGTGGATAAGGCTTGTGGCTCGAAGAACGAGCTACCCGATGCCCATTTATATCGACCAACAGAGGAAGCAGCAGCGAGGAGATGACCAATTTCAAGCGGGGTGAATGAGAGAATCGTAAGACAAGGTGCGAGGAGAAGACGAGCTGAGGCGGCGAACCAAAGTCGATTGCTGGACTGCATCCGAAGGTAGATGTGGAAGAACAGACATGGCTGAAGACGAGATCTATGTTCTGCGTCTGGAGACTGGCAGAGTTAGGATGAGGAAGTCGGGGTCAAATAAAGGTCGCGATTCACCACTAACTGGCTGGTCACTCATACAGTTGATGGCTCTGCTATAATTTAACAAAAGTATAACCGTAAGGAGATTAGCCCGTCTCGGCATAAACCATGACAAAGACGGATGACAAATCTAAATGTAGTCTTTGCATATCTAAATGTTCGAATCGATATATGCGAATTTGTAAGTCAGACTCCTGGGTTTCGTTTAGACTTTTAGACTATGGTCGAGACTACTTCTCCGAGTCCTTCATTGCTTCATTTATGATTATTCTAGCCTATTCGCGAGCGTTTTCTATACTTCTCGGCGTGCCACTAAGCATTGCGCCCTTTACCGAGGTGAAGCCCCAGGTTGGAATGCGACTACGACCAGAGTTTCCGCAGCTTCGGATTTCTTGGACCAAACTATCACTCAAACAAATTCATTTCAAAGGAATAGGTGCGAAACCCACAAAGGAGTGATATCTCGGCCGAGTTCTGAGACGTTGGAATCAGCCAGACACGGACAAGGGTCAACAAACAACAGCACAAAACTTGGAATATGTTCTTAGAATCTACTCAAGCAGACCACAAGCTCAAGACCAAGTCGTCCAATGCCTCCGTTTCAAAGGCCACGACGCTGGTCGAGCCGAGCTCTGTGGCCGAGACAACGGCGCCGCTACAAGCCAAGGGCCTTCAGACTACACCTCTTTCAACGCATAGTCAAGGTGAGGATACACTCTGCTTGAGACGACGCAGGTCAGCTGACCACTTTACCCTGACACAGGACATCATCAGAGGCGTGACCTCCGGACACTCCTCAAACAATTGCCATCTTACTCTTATCGTGACACCAATCCGACCAGGAAGATTACCTATACACGCAAAAAGGAAAAGTCGTCGCAGCTCGCGGAACGGCTCCTTGTCAATGGGTAAATTGAGTCTGCCGGTCGGAGCGGAGTTATTACTGACAAGGTTTCATTAAAGTGTAAAAGTTGTCGGATTTGATTTGGAGTGGAAACCGATGCATAATGCGCAGCAATACAATCGCGTTTCTTTGGTACAAATTGCATCAGATGACGAGGTTTTACTTATACAGCTCGACGGTTCCACGAGTACGTACTTGTTTCATTCAAGTTAGACCACTCTGACGATGTGCAGAGTTTCCAGCAGCCGTCAAAACACTACTGGAGAGTCCTCATATTCTCAAAGTCGGCGCAGGTATTGAAGGTGAGTTCATGAAGACTGACAATATCCTCTCAAGGCCGACATGTTTTATTTATCCAGGCGATGTAGCAAAGCTCAAGAAGGATTGGGATGTCGACATTCGCTGCTATCTCGACCTTGCTGATTATGCTCGCGCCGTGGATCCGTTTTGGAACACGTGCGACGTAGTACGTGATAGTGCCACAGATGGGGCACTTGGCGGTCCCTGGTGTCGGCCAACTATCGACGCCACCGATGCCATATCTTGTACGGAGCCGAATACACTTGCAATCGAAAATTCAATACACGACGTTTTCACCTCGTCATCTTCGCTCACATCCGAATCTCTAAACACGCCTCCAACAACGCCACCGACGTTGCATGAGCGCTACACTCCTCCATCTCCCATGACAACAAGGAGCGAAGGCCGAGAGCATGTTTATCCCAAGGGTCGACCTATTGGCCTCGCCCGGCTGGTGGCTCGTTATCAAGGGAAGAAACTGGACAAAGGATCTCAATTGAGCAACTGGGCGGCGCCACTCAACAAGAAGCAAATTGACTGTAAGTGAATTTCCTATGTTTATTCATTACCGATCTTATTCCTCGTGCAGACGCGGCGAACGATGGCTGCGCGGGATTAGATGTGTACAACACATTGGCAGCGGTGGAAAGTTCGTCAGAATGGAGGTTTGCCGAAGAAGCGAGATGCGAAGAGATTATCACCGCGTACCACCTCTCAATGGCTGCTCAGTCACTTCCAACACCAGCCTCTTCGCTCGATATAGAGGCCGCAATGGCAGGCGGTCTAGATATCTACGGCCGTCCGCGAACAACTCCTTCCTCGTCTCCTGTTCTTACTTCACGGGGAACTCACCCGTCATCCTATCCATCCCCTCCCGTGACGCCCTTGGTAACCAGAGCCTCCGCCCCGATGGCTCGAGAACATAAGCCTTCTCCATCACGGGATTTGTCGACACTGGCCAATGCGAACTCCCTTGGATCCCTTCCACCGCCCCATGTGATCGTCCAAATGATCCCACCCCAACCTGTACCTGTGCCAGCACCAGGAATGGGTGTGTTTCATCAAGGGGATTTCATCCGATACTCGCCTCCAACGAGTTACTTTCCATCCGCGTACCCAAGTGCCGCCTACTTCAACGCCTTTCAGGGCCCTATGGCGCCTTCGAACCCTTACCAGATGGGTAATCCGTCGTGGAACATGACGCAACCGGTACCACATGGGAATATGTGGGTTCAGCCTGTTCAATATACCCCTGGACCTGCTGGCACAGCTCCCATTCTTGCTCAGCCGCGCCCGTCAAAGGTAGAACTGTCGAGAACCTCGGCGCCGCAAGCTGAACGGGCCAACCATTCCGTACCCGTCCACGGATTGGAGCTGCGTCTCGCTCGGAGAGTTCTCTTCCAGTCTCTGCGGATGGTTGGATAGGAGAGCATTCTCAAGGACAAGCGGAAAGGCCAAAACGTACTTCGTTGGTATCACGCTCGCTTTCGGACCTCTTCCAGGGTAAAGACATGTCCCCCGAAACTGCACAAGCCATTCGGTCGGCCGTGGCGATCAAACACAAGGAAGAGGCGTCCTAGGGAACCATCACCAGTACGCTGTCGCCCCATTACCGTGATGCTTTTGTTAACCCTGCTTCAGATTCGAACAATCATTCGTTATCCTGAACCGATGACTCTGTACACTTGTGACCATACTCCTCGTACTTGGTCTGACTCTGTCGTCCAAGACGCGATCTCTACTCTGTAGCACTACTTATTTACCCACGTTCATATTCTCTGATACCTGCCTAATTATACGCATGAATTCTAGTCTCTTCCCAACTGTCCTAGACAATTCCGGGCGTAAGATTCCTAAGATCCGTTGTCCGAGGATCGGAGCTGACCACCTCTGACGGTGGCGGTCCGATCCTTGGTCATCGCCTCCACTGACATATATAGGCCTTCCATACTCCACATCAACCGCTAACAGCTCTTGTTTATGCTTAACAGACTACTTGCGATCAAACAAGCCTTTGTCGCATCACTACCTTTATCAACGCGTGCCGCTTCCTCCATTGGACCCAGAATTATGGCCAACGACTCGGGACGAGGTGCGCATCATCCTGTATAATTATTTAGCGATGACTGAGAATTACCAGACAATATTGCTACATTTGCTTCTGGATGTTTCTGGGGAACCGTAAGCATAGCGTTCTGCTGCAGCGGCTGAACAAGGTCGACTGACCGTTGAAAAAGGAACACATCTTCAACAAGTACTTTCCAGAACTCAAGACCAGCGTTGGATATACGAATGGAAGGGAGGATATGACCAACCCATCGTACAGACAAGTCTGCAGTGGCGAGACTGATTATGCAGAAGCCGTACGCATTGAGTTCGATCCATCAAAGGTGTCTTATGCCACGCTCGTTGGTACGCTCCCCCCTCGCTACTTCGACTGTGAACATCTGACTAAGTGGGCGTAGAGCATTTTTACCGCACTCACGACCCAACGACGAAGAACAGGCAAGGAAATGATCAAGGAACCCGTGAGTTGGGAAGAGAGTCACAAGGAGTCGACTGATTTGGTGGACAGAATACAGGTCCGGCATCTACACCCATACCGATGAACAGCTCCAAATCGCCAAAGAGGTGACGGAGCGAATTCAGAAGGAGCATTTTACACCAAAAGGCGAGACCATTGTCACCGAGATTCAGCCTGCTGGAACCTGGTATAATGCAGAGGTACGCCGTAGAATCAACAGCTCGAATGCATCTGACTCAGATTGCTTAGGATTACCACCAGAAGTATCTCGACAACAACCCAATGGGGTATCAATGCCCGACTCACCGCTTGCACTGGTAGTCCAACTCTGCCCAATGAGAGCTCTGTAACTAGACGATTGACAAACGCGATATATATTTGACGGAAAAACTCGTAGGACATTTGAAACCCTAGTCACTAGTCCGTATGCAGAAAATAGCTTGTACTCGAGTAATAGGGTTCATCATAGCCTTCATCATACGCTTCTTCATAGAGCGCGTTATACTCTTCAGCATACTCTTCGTCATACTCTTCATCATCCCCGGCTTCATCCTGGGTATGATCCGCATGGTTCTCTGATCCCGGGTTTGGATCCTCGTCATCGAGAACCTCTTCAATATCGATCTCTTCGAATTGCAACCACAGGCTATCGTCCGTTACAACATCACGGGATGGATCCTCCTCCCGACTCTCGAGGTCGGTATCATCGTCGATACCGTGCCCTTCTACATTCTCGTGGTCAATATCCTCTTCGTTGATATCGGAATCCGATGATTCGTAGTCGATTAGATGTTCAGGGGCAGGAGTCTGTGTCGCTTGCATCCCTTGACGTGAAGAAGTTGAAGTGAAAAAGGCACTAAAGGATGTTGAATTGAAACCATCCCATTCCTCTTGCGTATTTGCGTTGCCACTGTCGAATAATCAGCATGTAGCCACTCGCACTCTGAAATCACGCACCTCAGGTAAGTAGTCACTTGAAGATTCTGTGGCGCAGGGTGCATGCCTGGAGCACCGGAGTAGTATGGGCAATGATCATAGTGAAGGGAATTGTCAAACCGGATGATGGGTTTGTACGGTGCTAAGCATGACCAACAACTGTGGACGCTTCAGCTCTAGAAAGCTCTGTAGAAATATAGACTCACAATTCGAAACCACATCCACCTGGAGGTTTGCATATCATGTGATCGCACCCCCCGACTTTGGTGATTTTTCGGCCGCAGTTGGGACCAGGGCAGCATTTTGTCGACTGTGCGATCAAACTCTCAGAGAGATTATCGTCTTGCATCCTGGAATATAGAAAGGTATCCCATGCATCGCAGGTGTATCCTTCGTGCCAGTGTGATTGATGAGTGAAACACTGTTTGGAGCGGCATGCCGTGCACGTGACTATTGGATTGTCGCCTATATCGCGATTAGGACATGATGAAGGGCGCAGAAAAGCGTTACCTCCGCCTTCATGGAGATGGCCACCAAGACAACCCGGTTGGAGACACCTGACGTATCGGGCATCTTTCAAGAGCTCCTTTCTGAGTAGCATATAGTCGTATCTAGTAGGTGTTATGCGAAGGACTCTTCAATGCGAACGGATTGAACTTACTCGGTGAATAACTCGCCACCCCAACGTCGAACATCTTCATAGTCCAAGATGGCATTACAGTGGTAGCTGGGACATGTGATCCCACCGACCGCACTTCCGTCTGTAATTGCCGCTCGAATTGTCTGCCTCAAGCATTCGCGACAGAGGTCGCCCGGATGGCTACAAGAAGCTGTGGGAGCCAAGGTGAATAAAGGCAGAGAATCCTCACAGATGGAGCATTCGGTTGCAACAGTTGTGTCTGCTAGACCGGAGCGTCGCACGGAGCCTGGCGTCCTTCCTTGGGTCAACCCCCAGAAGCATGAACGATCCAGTTCCAGGGAGCTCATATTCTACGAGGTGACAGTGACTAGTTTCGCGGTCGAGGTTGATCGCTTCTGGGCTGTTGATCAATAGATCTATTTCGTATTCTGTGGACAACAACTCCCAAGTGGGGATGGTTAAAGGTAGGTCACGATGCCAGGCGCCAGAATCGAGCGCTTGAGAAGATACTGGTCTATCAGATTAATGAATTCCACGTCTATACTTTTGACAGGGTATTTTCAGAAGGCTGGAACCTGTCACGGAACCACAGGGCGACATAAGTAAGGCCAAGCAATACAGGAACCTGCTCGTTGTGAGACTTGAGTTCTTGACAGGAGTGAATCACTTACTTCGATGAGTGGCCCAATTCTAGTGTATCGAGTTAGAAGATAGTTATGAAGCTATGTGAAAGATGACACACGTTGCTGCCAATGCCTCTGGTGAGTCCGAACCAAAGCTCGCAACAGCGACCGCAATAGCGAGTTCGAAGTTGTTGGAGCCTGCCGTCTAGAGAATAGATTTCTGGTAAGAAATATTAAGCGACACGTTCGTGAACTTACAAAGGCTTGCACAACCGCCTTTTCATATCCGCCTAGCCTCACCATGTTCTTCCGCCATGAAAGACGAAGCAGCCCGAAGAAAGTTGAAGACCAAACGATGACAAAGTACTATTGGAACCATTGAGCTTCAAATATCTTAGAGAGATATCATCCTTACCAGAAATAAGGGGACGGCTATGCGGAATACCGAGCCAATGTTGCGAATGATACGTTGACCCTGCAGAGAGATCAATGCGCGGGAACGGAACATGGCGAATTCTAACTTGGAATGCAAAGAGGATTATGATGGTGTACCTGTGGCATACTGGTTTAGTTGGTGATAAACAGCACGAAAAAGGAACGTACAAGAGACCCAATAGAGCGACGGGACCAAAGAGAGTTAAGAATCGAGAAAACTTTTGCGGGGATAAGACTGATTTGAGAGTGAAACGCGTTACCACGCCGGCAGCTAGAGGAATGCCGAGATACTGGTAATCTGTCAGATTGAATGAATCGTATGTGTCAGGACTTACGATCCCGACACTCGCTGCGGTGTGCGGATAATCCAGTCTGAGCTCAGCCGAAGAGTGCCCGCCGAGAATATTCAAGAAGAGAAGCGAGTAGGGTGAAAAAAGAATGACCTATGGGAGTAAGTGAATATACAATTGGAGTAATAGGACGTTACTTGTAGAATTGAGTTGACGCAAACCAGTAATGCACAATACTCTGGATCTCCACATGCTAGCGAGTTCCAAATGAGGACCATTGCTAGATGATTTCAGCAACCCACCAGATGCACCTTTGGATCTACATACCGATGCAGCGCGCAATACCCACAAGGATGACACCTTTGCGTTCTCGCTCTAAACTCTGCTCTGGCATTGTCGCCCAAGCAAGTCCCAGCATGATCAAGGGAGCAATGATCCAGTTTAAAACAAGCGAGATGCCGATATGGATCCAGATTTGGCGGCCTTTGAAAATGAGGGGTAGACGCTCGTATTGAACCTTCGTCAAGACTGGCCACATCATTACGAGTAACCCGATAAGGATAGCTGAAAGAGGCGGTCAGGGACATACGTAAGATGGCCAAGCCGCTTACGAATAGAAGTCCCTTGCAAACGTGCGCCCTCTCCGAATGCCTTGCGGACTTGAGGTTCCTACGAAAGTGAGTTCTCTGCATAGAGAAATGTATATCTTTACTTTGTAAACGCCGAGGAGAACACCTCCAATCATTGCAAGCAGAATAAAGACTGCAAGATAGCGATCCAGAAAGGAGAGCGACTTGAGTAGCTCTATGAAGACGCGTTAGAAAGCGTATGGTAGCAAAGGAAACTTGCCTGTAGCAGAAAGCTTTGAAGGTTGTTTCGGGGATTTCTCCTCACGCAATCCAGTGCAGAAGTCGCAATCTCTGCAGTCTTTCATAAACATTGGGGAGTTGGACTCCTCCGATCCGTGCTTTTCATCATCTCTAGGTGCGGCTTTTTTGGCCATCGTTTGGGGTGGTGGAGAGTGAGTAAGACAGCTTGTTTGTCCTCGAGTTCAAGCAATCGGAGTCTAGAACTTGCTGCCGACCAGAATACACGAGCTCAAGTTAAGTTCGTTACTCGTAGATAGAACAAATTGAATGCATCCTCGGAACCCGTATAAGGAGCCTCCAGACTTTCTCGAGCTTGCGCAAGCTTACCCAGAGCTCAAGCCGTTGTACGTAGTCATAAACTCGCCAATCTCTTTGCTTATACGTGATATAGCGTGTATATCAGCAAAAAGGGCAATCCATCCATCAATTTCAAAGACGCAGATGGCCTCAGGTGTGGCGTGACTCGTTCTGCCGTCCGGCCTCTGATCCTCCTTAGGCTATTGACTCTATCCCTACTTCATCGTGACTTCGGCCTCGACCTAGAACTACCAACTGATAGATTATGTCCGGCGGTATGGCAGGATGCATCCCAGAGGACTGACGATCTGACCTCGTTTACAGATTCCGAACAGGTAGGCCCGTATCAAAATCCTTTGAAATGCTTGATGAGCGTTTACAAGATTGAAGACTCAACTATATCCTGTGGATCCAGGATATTCTAGCAAATTCCTCCCGACCGGATGAAACCGTTCGTGGGATTGACATGTAGGTCAAAGTCTATCAAAGCGATGGCTTATTCAATGAACTCAGAGGAACCGGTGCCTCGGTGATATATCCGCTACTAGCATGCAAGCTGTCGCCTAGCTGGGTCTTTGTCGCCACAGGTGAGCCAGAATGACGATACAATGTTCCCATTGACCGGCTTTGTAGACATTGACACACGATCCCTGATGGTCGCAGAAAGCAATGTCGCTCGGAACGGTTTACAGAACCGCATCATCGTCAAGCAAAGCCTCCCTGACGGACCCATCATTTCTGATGTACTCCTCGATCCAAGCTTCCCAGCGTAAGCACATAGTTTTGGCGCATCTTGTAAATCATGACCCGTTGGTAGCTACGACTTTGTCATGTGTAACCCCCCCTTCTATGGGAGCAGGGAGGAGGTGGATCAGGCGACCGAGGACAAGGAATTTGATCCCTCGGCGGTTAGTGTCACCCGTGAGCCTTTTATCTTCATCTCATCCCCCTAGGCATGTACAGGTGCAGATTTCGAGATGATCACACCGGGAGGAGAGGGTGTCTTCGTTACGCGCATAGTGAATGAAAGTGTAGACGTCGGAAAGAGATGCAGGTATGCTACCATTTAGTCCTCCGTAATGATATTTATGGCTCGGTTAGATGGTTTACTTCGCTTCTCGGAAAGCATACATCCGTCGCTGCAGTGGTGGCCGCAATCAAAGGGCTCAAGGTACGTGATTATACTATCCATGTATGGATACTCAAGTCTTTTCAGATTGACAACTATGGGATCACCGAATTCATCCAGGGCAATACCAGAAGATGGGGAGTTGTTTGGTCCTTCAGTGATGAGCGCCTTCCCGACGTAGGTTCTCATTGTTATCTTTGACACAGCTCCTTATAGGTTCTGTAGAATCTCATTCGTCCGTCTTCAGACAGCCTGCATTCCCTCCAACCACCGTCAAACCAACTTCGGCAACCCATTCTCTACGGTGGATCCTGTGTCAGTAGTAAAGCTACTACAAGTCATATGCATGGAGATAGATGCCATAGGATGTATTCCTACCGATCGACCAAATGAACTTCGGGTGTGGGCTCGCGACAATACATGGTCGCGCAAAGCTAGACGGCTTCTGGAAAGGATGAAGAGAGAAGGCAGTCTCTCTCACTCCGCTGTTCCATCAGAGGGTGATGCACGCGTGGTGATTTCCATCAGCCTTGTAGAGTTTGGACAAGCGCGAGCTGTGGAAGCCAAGTGGGTCCGTGGATTGGATAGGGAATTGTACGAGACGCTGTGGAATCACATATCCAGGCGTCTTCTCGAACGTCTTTAGCCCAACCTTGTGTCGCTCGCCATGAATCATCATTTATTCCTCGATCGAAACTGCTGAATTACATTTGCAATATCCTTGGCCAAGTGCACTGAGAGAACCCCACACAAGTGGTGAGTCGTCACACCTTACTTGTCCTCTGCTCCCATCCCGGTCGCGCACAGCCAAACAACAGACTCGTACAAAGTATTCAAGCAAGCAAACTCGACATGTCCAACCAACAAGAAGAAGGAGGCGCTGTTCCGTAAATCATTGCATCTTGTTGGATCCAAGCGCGAGCTCTTACAACGTTTGTAGCGCCAATCAAAAATCGGGATGGGCGTCGTTTGTGAAATCGTATGTCTCGACTGCTTTACACGTCGTGAGATGCTGATCCCGTTCAAGCATCGCGTCCTTCTCTGGTGACCTGTACTCGATGACGGCTCGTAAGTCGACTTAATCAACCATGTTAATGCTTGCTAAATACAAGAACACCGCTCTAGCTCCATTTATCCTCAGCCCCGTCTCTCTGACCGGTAAGCATCTACATCATCCGGCGCTTTGCTCACAACTCGTCCAGAGTTTCCGGCCTATTGGCTTGAACGTCCCGAGCTCTTTGCCGCGATTTCTGATGGTGTGGATGCAGAGGACCGCGCGCTACGCGTACTCAAGTGGTTTATTGTCAGTTCCCCTCTAGAACGCGACCTTCTTCTTCTCGCTCAATATTCTACAGGCTACTCTCAAGGGGCAATACACTTCTCGTAACGAGAAGATGGGTTCTGAGAAGAAGCCCCTGAATCCTGTATTGGGTGTGTTAGCTAATATCAATGTCAACGCAATAGCTCATTACATTTGTAGGGGAACTCTTCTACGGGACCTGGCCAGACCAGAACGGCCGCGGCCTCACCAAGCTACTTGTGGAACAAGTCTCCCACCACCCCCCAATTACTGCATATCACATTACAAATGAGTCCCGAAACCTCACACTTTCGGGTCACAATGCCCAGAAGACCTCATTTTCGTCTGGTGCTATTCTTGTCAAACAGGTTGGACATGCCATCCTGACCTATGCCCCTCCCGGAAAGGACGTTGAAAAGTACCTGATCACTCTTCCACGATTGAGGATCGATGGCATCTGGTACGGAGCGCCTTATATCGAGTTGACCGACAACGGATACATCCAAGCATCGACGGGGTACCTCTCCACTATTGAGTACAAGGGCAAGGGCTACTTTAGTGGCAAGGCGCACTCGATAAAGGCGTCGTTCGCCGTCAACCCAACTTCGCCCATTGTCGTCGTAGAAGGACAGTGGGACACAGTCACAAAGGTCACCTCTGTGAAAGGCTCAAAGCATGCGAAGACTGGCGAAACGTTTACCGACGTCACGACGCCAAAGGAAGAGGTTACCGTTGCACCAATAGAAAGCCAAAACGAGTGGGAGACGAGAAAGCTGTGGCAGAACGTAGCCAATGGTATCCGGAGTGGGGACTTTGAGGCCGCAAGCAAGGATAAGACCCGAATTGAGGTGAGAGGCCTGTACATCCGAAAAAGTCGGTCCTAATATGGCCTAGAATGAGCAACGGCAGCGAAGAAAAGATGAGCAAGCTGCCGGCACGCCATGGCAGCTCAAGCACTTTGTACACCTCGATGAGGATGCCGACTGTGAGTTTGCTCTTAGATCGCCAAGAATGACGCTGAGCTGTGTCGCAGATGTGTCTTTAGCGGCCATGATCAAGGACACTACTAATGTTTTACCTACGGAGGATTGCTATGTTTTCAAGCCTTCCTCTGTGTAAGCAAATTGATCATTAGCTGGACAGTTCAGGCGGATTTGCGGTACTGGCAGATCTAAGATTACGTGATATAAATGGCTTAGATAATAAACAGTTTTCACTTTGTACACGCGTTCTTGACCCTGACCACGTCGGCCTCTCCTGCATGCCAACCAAAATATGCTAGCTGGCGCGAGGTTGACCTCTCCCTCGAAAGGATGGAAACAAGGATAAGCTAGTCTGCAGCTTTTTATAAAACTCTCGACTGGCCTTACAATCGCTATACATGACCAATCAGACTCCAAAACTGCTCCGTCTCATCCCTTCGTTTCAACATGAGACGAGGTAGTCCTGTGTGCTAATCGACTTTGTACACCACCCGAGTGCCCTTTAGCCCTCTACGGCCAGTAAATATTCGGGAAAAAGAGACTCACCTACATGGAGAGACGCTGGGCAGGCGCAATGCGCTTTTGGGGATCAAGGTTACCCAACCGCGAGGCAAAGCGCTGGCTCATTCAAATATTCGGTGTCAACGGCTGTGGGGACTCATTTGACGTTTTGGCAGAGAAACGTACACGATGCATTCGGGCGGTCCTATAGGAACTGCGCCCGCCCCTCAATGACCCGGGGCTTAGGGTGTTACGCCATTTCATACGCCAGCGGAGTAAATGAGGATCAGGATCCTAGATAAAGAGCTAGCCCGGACTCCTCCGTCAAATCTAGCGCAAACCTCCCCTCCCTCTCCAGCGCGGAGAACGCGTCTCTAGCACCCTGGTACGTGGTCATCATACTGCTATATTGCCTATACTCACAACTCCTGATGCGAACGGTAGTCATGGCGCACGTCGCCACCTGTAGCGAAAATGACTCAGGGCTCTAAGTCCACTATGCATCAAGAACACAATCTAACTACACTATTATCCGTTCTTCATCTAGGCATATGCCTAGTTTCTAGGAGATAGCCCCCAGGCAGGAGACTGGTCAATTATCTTCTCTTCGGCCAGAGTAACTCTGAGCAAGTATCGTCAAACATCGTCGATGTCGATTATCGCAAGGTACTTGTCTTTCTGGCGCCATCTCCCAACGAGGTAGCCCACCGCCACTCTCCTTGCCGGCTACAGACACGGGCAAGCTTCGGCTCTCAAAACTGGCGGAAACTCTTCAAAGTCGGGTATTGTTCCTCAACACGTCATGGTTCTTGTACCTTAGCCGGGCTGGCCTCGGGGCCAACGGCTTCTTGCTACAAGAGGGCGTCTGGTTCGTCGATTATGAAGGTGCCCGGCCTATTCAAGGAATATCTTGAATTCTTGCGCATTCAGCGACAAATATCTCAAGATTTATTCCAGCAGACGTCACTTTGTGGACAAAAAGTTGATCGCTCGGCGCTGAGAGGGACACTTGCACACTCGTTCACATGGTCTCGAGCTCAGAATCCGCGAGTTGTAGATATTACTCAGGAGTGCGAGGGCCTCAAAGTTTGCGCGGTCGCCCAGGCCAACTTTGTCCTCCGCAACATTCCCAGCTTTTTTTGGCAAAACGCCCAAATGTCCGACGTTCTCAACGACTTTGGCTTCACTAACACGCAGATTACAATAATCGGTGCGTTCCCTTTGCTTTTGTTGTTCGGACGGCTGCTAATAGACGTCTTACGCATGTAGCCCTCGCATTCACCACAAGTAAGTTTCATGGCATCATACGGGGACATGTTGGAGTCCCGGGATGCTTTTTTCGTCTGCGCTGTGCTGATCATCTGGCTTTAGGTGCCTATCCTGCTCCAACTACGCCGTCCAGAGGCGTCGACCACGAATATCACAATGCTCGCTATGCTGATGCGGTTTTCGCAAACTGTGGTCTCCCCGCTGCCGACTTGGAGCGCAGACGCGGAATTTTGCGTGCCTTACTCGCTTCTCCATCCTGGCTCCTGCAACTGGCTCCTGTCACGGTCGAGCAAGTTCAGGACTTTGTGCTCCGCACTCGTCGAGGACGTCGGATGTGCTGTTTTTGTCGGGCAGAGGGCTCTCGTGCCGCCATTCTCGAGTGTGCCCGGCAGCACGTGGCCTAAACGAGCACCATGTTTGCCGCAGAACAGTGGAAAAACTGAAAATTATATCTCCTTTTCACCGTTCCCATGTTCAGCGTGCCGGCCTGCGGACCAGCCCCAGCCTCAAACTTCAAGGCAAGTTCAGTTTCCCTCCAGCGTCGAAATATCAAGGCAAGTTCAGTCTCCCCAGCGTCCTCGTCTGTTCTCTAGCAGAAGAGGCGTGCTTCAGCAACCACAAACCCGCCACCGCCGTGGTTTATGGGGCTATGTGCAGAGCGCAAGGGACGGCGAGACCCCAGCGGAGTAGTAGTCACCTCGCGACCATTCTATCTTCACTTTTCCTTGTCCTAAAACACTCTACGCCCTCGCTCCTGCATCAAATGCCTCCCTCTTACCCCCTGAGGCTTCGCTCCATCATTGGTTTTCACCTTCAGGCGGGCCCGCCTTGTCAACTACCCCAGACCGGAATTCTCGTCCTTCGATCACAAGGGGTTCTCTTGCACAGTGTGTTTCAGCTCGGGTGGAGGACGTACTTGGAGACACGATTTCCGGCTTTTCATTTAAATAAACTGGCTCCATTGTAATATTGATTTATCCCCAAATTTACTCTATGCGAACATCGGGAATGTTTCAGACCAAAAGAGAGCGATAACCAGTGGTGTGGGCCAGTTGGCCTCTACGCCTTCAACTACCCACAAGAGCAGGACCCGTCGGCCTATTCCCAAACAAAAGAGCGCATTTCAAATCAAAGTTTCGACGGCTCGTGTGGTCAACTGCGCCAGTCGTCCGGCGTTTGCTTAGGCATTGTTTGCGCGGGCTGCCGGCTATCAAATTGTTTGCACTTTGCCATGCAGAAACATGATAAGTCATGGAATCTGTCCCAAATGAGACAGCACTGCTGCCGAAATCTATCAGCGGATCGGTTCTATGGTCTCAGCATGTTCGGCGGTTGGATGAGTGTGAGTTAGGCGACCCCATTAACCCCATTGGAGCAATTCGGTGCATGGTTCGATAACTGAAAGGCACTTGAAGCAAAGCAACGTGCTGGACGTCCGCGTTGGCTTCCGTAAATGACGACGCAGCGCCTTGGCATCCAGGGAGCCTCTGACACTCGGTTATTGCAAAAAAAAGCTCTCATTACCTTCCTCACATTCTTATTTTTCTCACGTTGACGTTCAGTAGTAGCCATGGCTCAGGGATGATACCGGATTTGCACAACCTAACTTCCTCGTCTCTGTATCACCACGCACTAAATAAAGTTTGGATTCTATTCGTCTCGAAACCTTCCGAGTATCGCGCACCTTCAAATGTCCGCCGAACACAGACGTCTTCTAGGAACACTTTCCACCCCATGTTTTCATCAAACATCTCTATCTCCTTACTCAGTATGAGGTACACCCCAATCTGGGTCTCATGACGATCCCTCGCGTACCAAACCTCCGCCAGGGCCAGGTTGATAACCGCGCAAAGGCGCATACCGAAATCTCAAACTTAACGACGCTCAAATACCAATGAATCTCCTTATGTGCTCTGTATTTTCTGGTACAGGGCCCACTTTGGCCAGATGCCATAAAACCCCTCACTCCTCGACGACTGTGAACCCCCGCCTCCCAGCTGAAGCAAGACAGACTCGCACAAGCCATTACTTAGTTTCTCCTTATCCTTGACCTCTCATCTTGGCCATGTCATCCGTACAGGGCACAACGCCTCTGTTACTCGGTGAGCCCATCTCGGTCGCTCGAAGTCGACTATGACTCACGTATGTATCATTGGCTAGGTCTCGTTATCCCGCTAGGTATGTCGCAATATCCACCGCCCCCGAGGCATTGTCGCCGTCTCCACATCTGGCCATGTTTATCTTGTTTCATGTCAAAACTATCGCGGGGTTTGCCGATTTCTGACGTTATATAACTTTTCCTTTCTAAGGCCAGCCCTTGCAGCCAAACCATCCGCGACCAGTTCGCTCTCCCACCGGAAACCCAGATGAGCAGTTCATCTCCATTTGTTTCCGACATATTGCTAGAGAGCGCGGAGAAGGACTAAGAACGAATCTGCGTGCGATACTGGACGCGCTTTGGTGGCGGAATAATCGATTCGAACTCGCTCCACTCTGCATTCTGGATGTCTTCGCCTTCACCGGCTCAGTCTTCACATGTGCATTCTGCACCAGCACCGCTAATAATGTTGAAGCAGTTATCGGATGTATTCGCAGCCATATAGACGTCTGAACCTCGGTCAGATCTTGGTGAGGATTCAAGTCGGCCTGCGCGACCTCCGATACTCGGTACCTTGGCTCAATATAACCACTAATGTCTCACATATTCTCGTATTCGACGTTTGTACCCCCTCGAATAACTCTAATATACGTAGATTGTCTAGTTCTCCATCGTTTATCTGTGAATAATTGCCGTTGGGCGCAAGCGGAGTGGGGCCCCAAAGGCTTGGTCCTCTCTACGCTTATCCCTCGTGGTTCATTTCGGAGACACGTGGCTAATGTGTCGGTGTCTGTATTCGCCGCTGTCCCCGCCGCCAAAGGCCGGCGAGCATGCTCAAAGGGATTTGTAAAGACTACGACCAGACATACACTCGGTTATCTGGATTGCCCAGAAGGAGCATAATATTCATTGCCTTCTTCTCCTACCGAGGATTCAACTTGACAAATCTCGCTTAGAAATCCTTACGGCCATTTCATATGGAGCGCAAAAGATCTTTGAAAGAGCAGTAGCCGCTATTTTATCGAATATCAGAGGTCAAACAAGCTGGAAGGCGCCTATTTCCGTGAGAAGCTCAGGGGGATCAGCGACCCTTGGCAACCCTTGGGTTTAGGCGAGAGATAGGCTTTGGTACACGGGTCACACGCAACTTGATCCCAGACCACATCCCTCTCTCAGCTCTGTCCCCCAACACGTCGACAGCGCTCGGCCTGGCACTCGAGCGAAGAGGTTGACTTTCTACTACTCAAAAGTCAGAACAGGAGCCTGTCTGTCATCCGAGCTCTCAACCATTCTCAAGAGCTTGAAAGCACTCATCCTCGCCCAGCGACACTCCACAACTGCGCGTCGCTTACAAAATGGCAACGTGGGCCGAAGCCTCTGCTTCCGGATGCTGATGGACCATGTCCTCAGCCCTACGTCCTTCCAACTTGACAAGGTAGCAGAAAATCTTGGGGGAAAAAGGATCTTACCTATCTTTCGGGACGCCTGGCCTGTGCAAGCACGCTTCAAGGAGTAAGGCCTTCCGCGAGGCAAAGTGCGTGTTTATTGATGGATTCAGAGCCAACGGCTGGAGAACCTCACTTAAAAATTTGGATGAAAATTCGGGATAATGCACACGGCTCTCCAATTGGAGCAGCGCCGCCGCCGCAATCTTAATTCGGTGGTAGGCCGATGACTCCTGACCATCTCATGTGATGGCGTAATGGATAGCAGAGGCAAGATAAAGGGACAAGATCAGACTCGCCACTCTGGCCCACCGTAATCCTCCCTCTCTCTCCAGCAGGAGTATCGCGCCTCTAATACTCTCGTACGTCGGCTTCATGACAGCATCTTGCACATATTCACGTTGTTAGATGCCAATAGTACCCATGATGAGCATTCGCCACCCGGGCGCAGCTGCCACCGTTATGGTCCTGCGGTCTGCACTGCGCTAAGAGCTGCATCTCGACCTCTTTTATTCCCCCTTTTTTCACCTAGAAATACTCTGCTTTTCTGGTAGGGGTCTCCAGAGGCGGGGGGACTGAAGTCATGCGGATCGATTATCTTCTGCCCCCGGGATAACGCTGTACAATGGCCTCCAAACGCCACTGATATCAAGTATCGCAAGGTGGTTCTCCTCCTACCTCAATACAGCTCCAACGGGGTAATCAACATCACCACTTTCCCGCCCGGCTGCAGATACGAACCAGGTTTGGTTCCCGAAGTTGACGGGAGCACTTGAAACCCAATCTCGCTCCTCATCGCTACGTGGTTGCCGCGCATTAGCCTGTCTTGTCACGGCCGTGACGGCCACTTCTTGATGAGAGGGCGTCTGGTCAGTCGATCGTTGATGGTACCTGGCCCAATTCCAAGGGAAATATTTTCGAATTCTTTCGTATTACGACAAAATAACTCGAAAAATAATACGCCTTACTGGTCAAGAACCACACGTGTGTGTGGAGAGACGGACGACACGCTGCTCATGGGGTCTCAATCAGCGTGAAGATGCGGGTATTGTTTGGGGACAAGTGTGGTTATAATCCCTCGCTCTCACCTAGACAACTTGATCTCCACCACTCCTACAAATTTCGCCACAGCCCCTTCAGATGGACAAACCTTCCGCAAACTCGGGCTTTGACGAGCATCAGCTTTGGATGACTGGTTTGTAACTTTATTGTCGCGGTTTTGAGCAGACTTTGATGCATTTCTTGCGGTCTAGTTGTCGCGTCTGTGCCAAGTAAGCCGTTGAGACAACGTCCCGCGACGCAGCCTGCTAATAATCGACCCCAGGCGCAGAACCTGTACCAAATTCACCCTCCAGAGGACCTAATCACCAACTCCACAACGCAAGGTTCTCCCAGCACGCCTTTGCGGACTGCGGTCTGGAAGAAAGCGACTTGAATCGTCGTCGCTACAGCCTCCGCACTCTCCTCGGGTCTCAATCTTGGCTAGCGGGTATCCCTGTGACGACTGCGCAAGTTGAGGACTTTGTGCGTGTCTTTCGTCGCGGTCCAGCGACGTGCTGCTTTTGCCTCGAGTCCGGCAGCCGTCAAAAGGTTCTCCGGTGTGCCGTTACACACCTCTCCTAGGAGAGGCCCTCATCCTCTACCAAACGCCATGCCGCATCCCTTGCGGCCTGACTCAGCACCGAACCCCCAAGGTAAATCCCATCTCTTCCACATCATCGACTTGGATCTAGCAATGGATTACCTCTTCGACAAGTCAAGGTCCATTGCGCTCGTTGTTACCTCTCATGGGCTCATGAGCTACGACGGATGGCGACACGGTCGCGAACGCGAGTTCCCCTCGCGGTCAACCCATCATCACGGCGAATGCATCCCGCGCAGCAGGTGTCTGGTCTCCTGTGCCACATGAGGGTTATCATTTTCGTCGAGCGCCTACCCGCACCGGCGAAAAGTTTTCCGGATCCCCACTTCCCCATTCACTCCCGCCATGCACCATCAGCACCGATAAACTCGGTCGTTGAGCGCAGTCTCGTTCGTCGCAAGACGCGTTTCAGATCATGGTATCTCGGTCGTACCCGAAGATTTTTGAGTATTTTTTTTTCCATTCGGGGCTGTATATAGTCTTGGCTACACATAATCTGTTATGTAATCATCAAAGTGATCTTATTTCGCCATCTCTTGCAGGGCTGCTGATCGGCGGCTTTGCCGCCACGTCGGGTATGGCCAGCCCTGCGTTGCCGAACTAGAGAAGACCGAGAAGTTCGGTCTGTTTTCACAAGAGCCGTGCTTGAACAATAGGTTTCAAATTATCTGGAACACAGGGATCCATTATTCGGATTTGCTTCATCCAGATTTTGCTGCATCCGGCTTTATGGACAGTCATAATCATAGTTCTCCCTTCCCATTTGACTTCGTGTGGTTGATTCCGTTTCAAATTCAGAAATTCTCGATGATTGGAGTCGGTCAGTGAGGGTGGCGGAGTGAATTTGGCCTCAACTTTTCTAATCATCCACAGGGGCAGATCCAATCTTCCAACTCGTGAGCAGAAACATACTCTCAGGATGACGATCTCTACGGTCCGCATGTCGAATTGCGCCAGGCACCAGGCTAGTTGCTTCTGTACTATTTACAGTAGTCGTCGGCTACCAGCGAATGCAATTACATGCCGAAACACGGTTATCTCCATAATAATTAACCTGAATATTTCCTTCGAGGTAACGGTGCACCCTGAATTAGTCGTCAGATCGCAGGGTCCTTGTTCTCAAAGTGTCTTCTACCGTCGGGTTCGGTGTAACGAGATATTATGGATTAGTCAAACTCCACAGGGTGAGAACTAAGGATACATGTGCGGATTTGGGAATATTCCTGGCATGTGCCCCATGGGAGCGTGAAGGAGGCTCCTGGCGGGCCGCATTCGGATATTCTGGAGCGCAAGATGATTACGGAAAGGCGACGAGCTGAAAGAAGTGACACAATTTGAAGTAATGTGGCGTTTCGAGCATCCCCCGTTGGGCTTTATGGCCGACGAGTAACTTGTAGCCCTCAGGTAACCCTTAGCACGCGCTTGACATGATAAAACCTCTCAACTGTGTCCTCGACTCTTATCCCTGTTTCACATTGGCGCTCAACACCCGCGACGCAGGTACCGGTGGAGACCATTAATCTCGTTTCCCACTCGATGAGCGTATACATAGTCAGTGCAGGAGGCTCACTTGGATTCCTCCTCTCTCAAAAGCGATACGGGATCTGCCTCTTCCCACAGTGGCAATGGTACCCACTCAAAGAAGACAGTTTTGATTCAGTCTTTACCTAAACCTTGCGAATCATCGTACAAGTTCGAATATCAGCTAGGATGTACGCTTAGGACAGGATAAACTCGTAACAATCGCGTTCTCCCCGACACTTCATGACTGACCTATCTCTTGCTACGTGCTACGTCCTCTTGAGACGAGGCACCGGAACAATCACTGGTATGCTCGAACACTCGTACTCCCTCTGCCCCAGCATATGTTTTCATCTTCAGCGATCCACAGTATATACCCCTTGCCTGCCGTCACGGAGCCGGCGTCGCCAAGATGGTGGGCTATCTTCGCGGTATGTAATCATCCGAGTATTATTTACATCTTGGTACGAATCTATCCTGTCTCGCTTTGACATTCAGTTGTGAGTGACACGTAGCCAATACTCAAATCCTATGATCACATTGCTACCTTACAAACTCTCGAGTTCATAGTCGACTCATTCAACAACCACTTGTCTATGCACACTATCAGGTTCTGGCACAGTCCTGCTCTTTGACTTCCATGCGGGCCGGCGGAGCGGCGCACGTAGGTTGCACCGGATTTACTCAGAAGCTCATGTAATACGAATGCTCAGATAATAAATTTGTACACGCGCACCTTGATCCCTGACCACGTCGCCTTTTCATTGGTGCCCGACGTTTGTTGCCAGCATCTGAGGTTGACCTTTACCATTTCAAACGTCAAAACAAGAGCCTGTCTGATGTTCAAAGCTCTCGACCTCTTCAACCACTCCGAAACGAATCCTAATAATACCTGTGTTTGCCTGGAGAGGTTTCACAACTGCGCGGTTGGCAACAAAGGACGGGTGGGCTCTGGTTGTTAATGGTCCATATACTCAGCCCTAGCACACTTTTTGACGCCTAGTGATGCCCTTAACTGATTTTCCCTACATCTGAAGGCGCCCAGTAAAGGCCAAGGCGGAGAAGTTGAGAGTAGGGAATATTGCAGGAAAAGGGCAGGTAATTTCATGTTTTCAGAGCAAACGTACGAAGGAGCTCACATGATATTTCAGCTGAGTAACTCAGTGTGGATACGTATCGGCCGTTGGGCTCGAACGGCGACCCGTCCTCAATCGGGCGAGGCATTACGCCCGGGCCACCAATGTGGGTGTTCTAATTGAGACTTGTGAAGATAAAGGGCACAATGCCGCACTTGCCACCCATCAGGCGCAAAGTCTTCCACCTCCCTACCTGCAAGGAGGGCTTATACCTGGTAAGTGATCCCCTTTATGTGATCCTCTTGATGATATATGTGATATATACAACTTTGGATACGAACGGTGGCCCCAGCAAGCAATGCCACTCGCTACGCCACCCTGTTCCAAGCAACGCACGGTCTACTCTGCATCGTATCTAGCCTTCCATCTCTTTTATTCGGTACTTATTCTCTAGGAGAGGGATTCAGGAAGGGAGAGATCAACGACCTGGATCGATTATCCTCGCCTCGGGCAGAGCAACTCTAGACAAGACTCTTCGAACAATGCTGTATCAAATTATTCAAGGTATTCGGTTCTTGGCGTAATCAAGCACGGGGACACCCTAACCCATCCCAGCCTCATGGCGAACAAAAGCGAGGTCCAGACCTGAGAACGGGTGCAAGTTCTTCAAAGATTGCTCTTATTTCTTGCCGAGTCGCCTGTCTTATGGACTGCATTGTCTGGTCTCGGATGCGACGGCCTCGTTGGTTATAAAACTTCAGCTGGTTTACCAATCTGATGGTACCTGGGCGATTCGCTAGGGGAATAGTATCGAATTCTCGCGTACCTGCAGCAAGTTGCTTCGAAATCATATTCGCATTGGTGATTCTGTGGCGAGGTCGGCCATCCTGTGCATAATAGGGGCTTATACACTTGCTCGTGGGTCTCCTGAGCTCAAATGTGGGATCCCGTTTAGACACTGGGTACTTCAAGTGTGTGTTACCTCCTGACAAACTTGCCCCCTACGCCGACCACAGTTTCATCGAAATGTCCGATTTCGTTGCCAATTCTGGCTTTCTCAACGCTCACATCATGCCGGCTAGTGTGTATATTTGTCCTCAAGTGTAGAATATTCGCTAACGAGTATCTAGGCGTCGCATTCGATACGAGTGAGCCTCTGGGACCTCTGTTTGCGCTGCGCTCTGCTGATCATGTAACTCCAGGTGCTTATCCAGCTCCAAATGCACCTTCCAGAGGACCTAATCATCAATATCATAACGCGCGATTCATCCAAAACGCGTTTTCGGGTCTTAATCTTCCTGAAGGCGACCTGAACCGTCGTCGCTTCTGCCTAAGCTCTATCCTCAACTCTCCGTCTTGGCTGCTACAGATTTCTCCTGTGACGACCACGCAAGCCCAGGACTTTGTAATTCGGGCTGGTCGCCGGCGAGCCATCTGTTGCTTTTGCCGTCGACGTGGCTTTCGCATGTTCATTATCCGATGCGCACGTAGGCATCTCGCCTAAGTGAGGGTACCCCGGTTCTCGTGGCGTGACTCTTGCACCAGCTATCAAGGCATCCCCCCAAATCCACCGGGTATCTTCACGTCGCGCCCGACAGGCAGGGTTCCTTTCTGGCTATCTGCATCCTACTGCGTTCGTTACAATTGCTCGTGCACCTACACCTAGGAGAGATGGCGGGGACGCATCCCAGTGCGGCGTCACTTCACGAGCAGCTCATTGACAAGCTCCCTTGTCCTGCGCGTTCGAGTCTAGCTGCTTTTTTGCTGCATAAAGGCTGCTCTTTCGCACTCTGCCGGGCGGTTCCGAGCAACGCAACCGGGATTCCCTTTCTGGGTCCTGTGGCTCTCTGGTGTCGTCTACTATCAACAGCACCGAAATATCGGTCTCCCTACACGACGGTACGCGTTTCAGATAATGGTAATCGGGAGGACATTGGGATCCTTTCAGTTTCGGTTTTCCTGTTCGGCGTTGTATACAGTCTTGGTTACTTATACCGATTCCGGTTTATGATATAAGGACTTTGAGCTATTCGAAGTTTAGAGTTCAGCCTTCTGGTGGTGACGGGCGTTTGGTCCTGTGTTGGTTGGCCCCGACACCATCGACGGTCCACGCCGCAAAACGATGATCAAACTCGTGTATGGCAAAAGCGCGCTCTCGGAATATCCGTTTCGACGTCTGGCATATCCAATTGCGCCATGCGTCGAGTTGTTGCTGCCGCAGTATTCTCGCTGGCGCTCGGGTATCAACTCTTTTGCAATATCCCATCATGAAACATTGTCAGTTCCCCCAAAATCATGGCTTCGTATTCCCTGCAGGACGGCCCTCCCGTGTTGATCGATCGTCGGGCCGCGGGGCACTCTCAGGGGGTTTCTGTGCGGCCTTCCCCACTATAAACGTGTCTAATTGATTACTCTAATTCCACAATGACGGAGAAGCCCGAAATCGGGACTAGATCCTCCGCTCTCTGGCTTCGCCATGGAAGTCGCGCATTTGATGTTCTCGCCGGTCATCAGTTGCATTGGTTCCTGACATGAACAGATAACCATACAAGGCTTATATCTGTAGAAGCAAAGCGGCGTCCTGAATTGCCTTCCTGGTCCTCAGTCAAGTAAGGACCTTTTACCATATAGAAAGCCCGTACCACGTGGATGACATGATAAATGATCTCATCCACGAGTTTGGGCTCTCTGTTCGTTTCAGGTTAGCGCTCGGTGACCACCCGGGACGGTATATCGTTGTGCTCAAAGGGCGTGACGCCCCGTATCTTCACGGGAATGTGGAAGCTCAAAACCACAGCTGTACGCACAATCCTGCTATCCCAACGTCTATGGCTCATACGTAGCGCGGCAGGACACGTATGAACGTGGTGCCTCCGGTCAGATGAGATGGGCCCCGACTCGCACTTAGGGGACTCCCCGACCAACTCATTATATTACTCTCCACAATTTCCGAGTATCACGGGTGTTCCATATGCGTTATTCGCCAGCATTGCTAGGACCAGGCCACCCGACAAGTCTTCCCACCCGACTTTCTCTGGGACCTTGACCGATTCTGGCAGGTCGGGAACACACCCATGAGGATCTAGTGGCGATCTTTCCATAAAATTTCCCTCGGGCCCGGCCAGGGCGGTTGTCCTCCGCGGCAGCGAAGGCTCGAAAGATGTTTTCTGACGATTGATTAAACTCCGTATCTTCTCTTCGGCGCCTGGTTCTCTTTGACCGACCATAAAAGCCTCTCAAGCGTTGACAACTGTGACCCCCAGTTTTCGTCCCAATCGCAGCAAGACAAACTCACACCAGCTATTAACAGTTTATTCGCCTCTCGCCTCAGTCATGACATCCGTACAAGGTCCCACTCCTATCTCATTTGGTGAGCCCATCTCAGAGTCCCGGGAGTTGACCAGGGCTTACCTGTGGATTATTGCGCTAGGCCTCGTTGTCCCGCTGGGTAAGTCCCAATCTCCTCCGCCGCCGAGACATCTCCCTCGGCTCCGCCGAGCGGTCTATCTGGCCGCGTTTATCGTCATAGAGCTGTCCCGGGGTTAGCCGTTCTGACGGCACGTACCTTTTCCCGTCTTCAGGTCCGCCCTTGGGGCAAAATCACCCTTTGCCAATTCGCACTCTCATTGGACATCCTAATGGACCGTTTATCTCTGGATGTTTTCAACATCTCCCTCAAGCCGAGGCGGAAAGACTTAGGACGAGCCTCCGTGGTATCCTAGACGAGTTGTGGTGGCGGATCAATCAGTTTGGATTCGCTCCGCCCAGTGTTCTGGATGTTTTCGTCTTCACCGGCCCCGTCTTCACTGGCCTCGTTTACACCTGCGCATTCTGCGCTGGTACTGCTGGTAATTCTGACGCAGTTATTGGGTGTATTCGCGCTCATATAAACGTTTGAGTACCGGTTGAGTCTCGGTGAGGGTGTATTCTTCCAGCATCAACCAGAGCTAATCTCTTGTAGCGACGTACGAGTGCGCCCGGAGTCTCTCTCCCAGGAGGTTCATTCATCACACTTTGTAGCATACTGTTTCCGCAACGCAACGCTCGAGTACCCCAATCCCGGATATCGCAGCCATCTAATACCTCGTCGCCTTCAACGTTCGTAGCCCATCGAATAATATAACCATTACTAGTATCAGGTTCACCACCGTCTAATCCTGTAAACGACGTGCCGTCGCGGCGTGAGCAGAACGGAAGCCATGCACGAGATCTGGTCTGTGACTGCAGAGCAACAAGGTCACAAATGGCTTTCGCGTCACTCATCTCCGCCGTCGTGTCCGTCTCTTTACCACCGGAGACATGTTCAAAGTAAGAGGTTCGTTCGGCTGCACCCGGTAGGGCAAGGGACATAGTCGTGCTTCGAGGGAGCCACGTCGGGTGCAGTCCGTCCCAAGCAAGGGTAAAGAACTGATGAATACCTTTTGAACTGGGACGGCTGGTCAATCGATATAATAAATCCCACCGCCGACGTCGTCAATGAGGGGAGACCAGCGTCGACGATGGGGTATCACTCGTGTTCAGACGCCTTCCGGCGGAGTTTGTCCGTTTGTTGACTGCCGTCGCTGCGCCGCCGCCGCCCTTCATGGCCCGCCGAACCGTGTCCGACATTTTGCGCGTAACGTATATTGCTCGAATTTAATTGTATCGCATGAAAGCGAGACGCAAAGAACGCGTTCTGTCCCTCTTGGCGTTCTAGATCATGGACCACGTCGTATGGCTTCATGCCCGCAGCGAAGTCCTCTAGACGCTGTATTTGTTACCTAGAATACCCGAGGCGTCGGGATTGTATCAATCTACTAGCCTTTTGATTCGACTGCGTTTCACGTTGGAGGACGTGCACAAATTCGGTTCGTCTCTTCGCCCGTCAGCTCTTGTCACACGATGATGTATGACGAGACCAAAACCAGCTTTCCCCTGCAGGAATTTGGATCAGCGCGTTTCATATCTCAGCAACGTCGTGGTGGTGATAACTGACTTGGCTCAAGTGACCACCAGCACATAACCTGTCATGGTTACACATAGAATCCCTCACACGGAAATTCATCGAAAATTTCTCTCGCGTGGCCATTTCGCGCTCAAACTGGCCGACTGCCGTCTCGTACGTCCCGATGTGTCTGCCCCCTATTCAATTCACCTGATATGGTAATATCATGAGAATTCTGGTTCTAATAACCCCAAGTACACAGTTGGATATCCCATCCGACTCCAGACTTTGACGGGCGAATCAACCATCGTGTTGTCACGGCCTTCTTGGGGTAGGTCTGCAACTTTTTGCGAACTAGGCGTCTAGCAGACCGCATATGCATTCACAGGAGCGCAACGGCCCAGCTCGCTGGATAGGCACGGTGTTGGAGTCTGTCTTTCGGACAACGCAAGTGTCGCCACAACTTCTGACTTAATTAAAACATGTCATCTCGACGTCTCCTTCCTCGAAGGCAAAAACTGATGATCAGGCCACGTTCCACCAAGCTGCTTCTTCATGGCGACCTCTGACGCGTACATAGAATCATCAGACGTCTTGGTCACGCCTTCTAATTGGCATTCTCTGTTTGATTCCAGCCCTCGGAATCTCGACCCTTCGCGGCTGTCTAATTTCCACGAGACAACTCGATACCAACCCATCCTGAGGGGAAATGCGACAATATGGGTGCGAATACACCACCCAGTCTTCTTCCTCCAGCTGCAGGTTGTGAACAATCTACCCAAGCACGGGCTCCTGGCCCGACGTGGGACGGTACGCACAACCTCGAGGATCCGGATGCTCGCTAGTGCCGATTTTCGGAGAGAGTTTGAACTCTATTCGTCGTTGAACCTTCGCAAAGCAACTCGGGCGCTCCACAGCGGACAGGGCCGCGATCAATACATTCTTCAAACACGTATTCCCGATCGACGCTCTCAGTTCTCCTTACTTGGGAACATTCTCCACCCTACCACTTCCAACGATGATATCCAGGGGGCGTCCACGGTTCATTTCCGTCAGGACGCGTGCTTTGACATCAAACCGGTTTCAAGATATCTTTTTCGATGGAATTATTTTTCGTGTCTTTCCTCGAAGTCACCGTCCCTGCCCACACCTGGGACGTTATAAACGGGAACATCCTGACAACCCCCAGATCCAACGATTCCTCCTCTCCATCGAACCCGAGCAACTCGCGGTCGCTGTCTCGCCATCGTTCTCTTAGGCTTGCCGCTCCTCTATGTCGTCCGTCCAAGGTGCTTTTCACCTACTTGAGGAGCCCTTCGGTGCGTTTGGTGTTGGGACCTAATCGTGTACTTACGCGCTAGCAGGCCTCATCACACCTCTTGGTGAGTTCAGTTTAACCTTTTACCGCTACGGTCCCCCGGACACGTCACGTCTATGTTCAGTTGAAATCATGGGTGCCGCGGTAAAAACGTTGTGTGCAACGCCACTGATACTTTCTCTGTCACTCAGGGTTGCCGCTGCCTGTCAACCACGCCCTGCCTGTCCGCTCGCTCACCGGAGACCCGGATGGCGCATTCATCTCTCAATGCTTTCGACACTTGCGCCGCGACCTGGCGGAACCAATGAAGACGGCACTGTTTGCAACGCTCGATGTGTGGTGGTGGCGGGTCAATAGGTTTGACCTTGCACCTGCTGGCGCACTGGATGTCTTCATCTTTGTCGGCCCAGTGTACGAGTGCAAGTTTTGCGCGGGTACTACTACCGACCCCGACATGGCCATTTTGTGTGTTCGAGGACATATTAATGTCTGATTAATACTTTCTACCACGGTAGGTCTGATTCGTGACTGTGTTGGACAAAGTTGACGACGCTCCCAGCAACTCCCGGTCATCGTATACAGTAACTCGACTACCGTCCAACCTAATCAAGGCTTCACTGTCTCATTAATGTCTTTGTTACTTCTATCCCATCTCACGTGCCATCCCACAACATCTAGCCATTCCGGTATATCCCTGTCTCGGTACCCGCACCCTTGTTTTACACTAGTGTGTATAACTGCTTCGTCTCTCTTCCCTCTCATCCCCGCTTTTGCGTTTCTTATCACCACCTATGCTACCGTCGGCCCAGTAATCCCTGTGTTCTCCCGCAAATGTATACTTTAGCCACTCCCAAACCCCTAATCTTACACCGTCTTCAACTATCTTAGTGACTACACCACTCTGGCACAGATTGGCAGACAAAGGGTGTCAAGCAAACACGGAGTGAAAGAATTGATCGAAGTATTGAGCTCAGCTCCACGATTGCGGCGCTTAGTTGTCGCTTCCTCAGTCCTACTACCTTAATGGCTTCCCTCGGCATCCACATACAACGCACCTGCTTCCTCAAGAATTCGTTGGCTCCTCGCAAAAGCGTCACACTGGGCCTCTACTCTCCGTTACCTCAATTGACAGATTAGATCATCGGGTTTGGATCGGTTTTGAGTCTACTTGTTTCAGAATTCGATGGACGTCCGACATGGCATTTCCTTTGTGGGGTCCGTCGCGCACGCGACTTTCTTCGGGCTTGATGGCGAGTGCGTGATTCTCGGACAACGTGGAGAGGTGGTAGCCACTCACTCAACTCACTTGGCTGTGATCTGTACGAGGACCTGGAGGGCAGAGACGTCTTCCACGTCGAAAAATAGAAACCCACGCACGAAAATTACTGTTTCGTATCTGTCAACTCCTAATTCGGCTCCAGGATGGCCGGCTGTTCAATCTTGCGCTCGAACCGCTGACGCGGCCTGTTCGACCTCGTCCTAACACATCTGATGTGAGAAAATTGGGGGATATGTCCACTTTGGCTTCCCCAAACTTGGCGATTCTGGTGATAAACTCTCGCAGGTCAGCCAGTTTATTGACAAGGGCTCGCTCAGGGTAGCTACACAAGTAAATACGGTGCAAGTATGCAATTCCATACCCGCGTTTCATAGGAGCGCAACGACTCAACTCGCTGAATCCCGTCTGTTCCGGAGTATGTCTCCCAGCTAGATGGCGCTTTGGCAACGAATTGATCGTTGGAAGATGTCTTCAATCTCAGTAGTCGTGACAAGCCAAATGATTAATGAAGGTGTCCGGAACGCAACTCCAACTCATTTGCTTCCCTATCCCGTCCTTCTGAGACGTCTTTGGGATCATATGAAGTCTCGTTTTCCAAGCATTTTCCATCTTCTCATTTCAATACCTACGAATCCGAACCGACCCATCGTTCCTACTCGCTTCCACCTTCCCCACCCGTGGGGTCTGGCCTGTGAGTATTCGGGAAACGGCCGTCTCAGTTGCCATTCTCATTGAACTCAGGTTGAAGCCGCTCCAATACTGGACAAGTCTCAGGCCTCAGGGGCTGATGGTCAAATGGAGCCCCGCTTCCAAAGTTCGGCGTGCTTCTTAGTGCTCATGTGCGAGGAAGGGTGAGCATCATATCTTGCCAACGTCACTTGTACAATCAGAAGCCGCCTATCATTCTCAGGAACCCAGGGAGGGACGTGGGAAGCGCGTCTTTAAATGCAGAATCGATCGCCTCGGCCGGACATTGTCGGTGGAAATAAACACAAGGTGATTCTTGCTGAGCAAGTGCGTCCAGGGATGAATCACTTTCAGTCCGAGCGCATTCTCACAGACTGAACGAGTTTCATGATGTGTCTTTTGGGGGGCCAAGGGGCCTGAATCCTATAAAACCGGGGGGGGAATTTCGATACCCAGATTCATCCTCTCCCTTCTATCAAACTAGAATCGACCAAGACGTCTACCGTACAATATCTCTCTGACTCTCGCGCAGCATGTCGTCTTTGCAAGATCCAATGTTTCTCTTATCCGGTGAACCCTTTGGTAAGTCTCTCATTTTGTTGGTGTCTCTTCACATACTTACTTGCCGATAGGACTCATCACTCCCGCTGGTACGTTTCCGTTTACTCTTACCGTCACCGCGCCAGAACCCACCAGTTGTCTTCATTTCAAATGTCTTCGCAGAATCAAACCCTCTAACGCCACACATCTTTCCAGGGCCGGCATTGAGCGTCAATCACACCTCGCCTATTCGGACACTTACTGAGGTCCCTGACAACGGTTTCATCACCAATTGCTTCCAGCATCTCCACCGGCAGGAAGCAGAGTTGATGAGGACTACACTCTATGCGATCCTGGACGCATGGTGGTGGCGCATAAACGAATATTCGCTTGCGCCTGTAGGGGCACTGGACGTCTTCGTCTCTGCAGCCATTGGCCCAATGTACACCTGCAAGTTTTGCACTGGTGGGTTCGATGACCCCGACAACGCAATATCCTGTGTTCGTGGGCATATTAATGTCTAATCCGTGACTTGTAAGTTGGATTCAGCGTCGCGGTAAACGAGCTAACGCCAATCCCCAGACGGTCACCTAGCGCTTTCATTGTATGGTCAAAACTGCCATCTTCACACACGATATCTGGCACGCATACACCATGTAATCAGCCAAAGTCCCTCTGCTCTGTTTGTTTCTCTATGCTCACATCGTCCCCGCATGCCATTCCAAAAGTTTTTTTCCCCCTTCGTTGATACCTCCACCGGGATCAGCCGTTATTTCTATTCGTATGTAGAACTAATCGGTTCTCCGACTATGCCCTTCACTTCTGTCGCTCATGGCTGAATCCGCTTGTTGATCACTATCCTCTTGCTGTTCCTATAATGTAGCTACTCCTACAACCAAATATACACGCACTGTTTCTGATCCTTCTGACTGTTTCATGGCACCCAACGGCCTGGTTCATCGGAGGACATAGGTGCTACGCTTCAATCGCTATGATTCATTTCGGAGAGAAGAGGCTATGACATATTGCGATTGTATTGATCGGAATGGTACGCCGGGCGTCCCTTCAATCGATCGGCCACAAGGCGAACATGTGGTCATGTGGGCTCGAGACCAAAGGCTATGTAATATTTCAAAGCGATCTAAGATACTGTATAGGTATCTTACGGCCACTGGTGGAGCCTTGCGGAGCCTGCCTCCTCTCATTTTGATTCTAATTGGTAGGTGAGGGAAGTTTGGTGCCTTGTGCCTTTTTCGAAGGACATTTCGACGCGTAGCTGGCTGATAGACACCAAAAGAGTGAAGGGCAGCGATAAAGCGACCGCAGAGTACTCAATGGAAGCGTGGAATTACCGCACCGTCCTCTTTGGTTTCGTATTCAGATAGTGAAGTTTTGCAACTTTCGGTGGGTCCTCGAGCTACGACGGCACCCACCCCCGGGTGAGAGGTGGTTCTTGACTTGGAGCTGGCCATGACTTTTGAACGCTGGGTGTCCGTCACGGAAGACGTCTGTGTGAAAAACTTGGGCAAGTCAAACCATTCTATCGAGGCCTCTTACTTATTTGCAAATCTCTAGTCATGTTACGTGACGATTAAGGGGTCCGGCCTTTCGTACCGCCGTCTCCTGGTCGTTTCGCCACGTAGCTGATATTCAAACACAAAGAATTGCGTATCGGAGGGGAATGGCTCTAAGATAGGCAGATGACGGCACTCGGTCGTGTATTTCCGGTCAAACTGTTGGAGTGACCAGCATTCGCCACGACGCAGATGCCAGCACTTGCGCCCTATTTTCCCTATCGACAAAATCGGTGGCCGGTGCGGTGTTTTCGCATGATTCAACATCAGCGCCGCCATGCTGTAGGCGCTGCTCTACCTGAAGCGACGCCATTTCAGCTGGATACCTTGTACTGGCTCAGATTCCGGGATTGAGCTATTCGACCATCGGCTTATGAGCCAGCAGGGCTGCCATCGTCAACACAGCTGTATTTCGCCATGACTTGGTTGTGACAGTCGCACGGAGGGTTTAAGAAGAGGTATGTAGATCCTATTATTATTATCATTACCTGCACTCCTCGGAGGTTATCTCACCTCTACCCCCCCGATACCCATGGACGAAACTCACGATTTTGCGATAGCGAATGCACAAAATATCATAGATAGAGGCGAAGCCAATGCACCAGTACCTCCAACATACCCACGGCGACCCCATCATGGCGGCATCAACGATGTTTGGATCCGTGCGCAGTTCAGAGGCCATGACGACGCCGACCGGCTGCGCGGAATACTCGAATCCACCCTCCGCTCGCAATGGTGGGATCTGCATCTTCCTACGCCAGGCAATGACCTCGATGCATTCGTCAACGACGGCAAATGCCTATTCTGTGACACATACTGGATATGGTCAAGACTGGCTTTCCCCTTTTGTGTCCACAAGCATCTCGATTATCACCCTCCTATGCTCTCATCCCGTACCCGTGGCATTTTGGTTCTCTCCTCAGCCATTCTTGTCGTGGTACGCTGCACGCTGCTCGCGCTCGCATATGTTCGTTACTCATCCTTTACAAGGGCATATTTGCACGCACGTACAGGCGTCGTTGACGGGTCTTCCATCATTCACCGTGATGGCATCTTCGACGAGCTGTTCTAGGCAATCGTTGTCACACTTGACCGACGGGATCGCTGCAATTCATTGCCTTATCGAGTCAATAAAACAACATCAGAGGCTCCGATGCCTTACAGCCAGACACGGGTGACACTTGAGTTGCAAGTGCGCGACAACGCACCTTCAAAGCGAGCCCATCCTTGTTCATTGTAGCCTTTACTTGATCACGCATGCAGATGATATGTATTTTAGAGGTAATTTCACGGGCAAAACTGTATCTGTAGAAGCCTGGGATCGTTTGCATTAGACGGATTCGAGTGTCGTTTTTGGAATTCAATTGATTCCATTATTCGCGGCTGGCCTCTGAAAGTTCGCCAGCTCAAACTTGAACTTGAACCAACTGAGCAAAACTAGATCTGGAGCGAGCTGGTTCGCGGATATATTACGTGAAAAATAGTCCTACCTGTTTGGAAACAATGACCGACATTTCTGCAGGCGATTGATAGGCGAACCAGCTTGCGGGTTCGTCAACGTCACGATGTCAGAGGCACTTTGCTTTATTTGGTATGTCCCTTTGTTACTTATTGAATCGCGTGGTCGTGGAATCAACCAGCAACCAGCATTACCGTCTTCATCGCTGTTAACTGCAGCTCGACAGCGCGGTGAGGCGCGAACCTCCTCCGGATATTCGTCGAAACCAGATTTCTGATCATTTCTACAGAGCGTTTGCGCTCTCATTGGTCTCTCGGGTGCGGGTACATGAGCCATTCTCCGCGGGAGGGCACCGCGTTTGCTGGTTAAGATGGCCTTCCTCGCCGTCCAATTTGGAGGAGTCCACCCGGGACCAAGTGCCTCGCTGGTTACAACGTGCGCCCTCATTGAACTGTCCACTGCCCGTCGGTCTCCATTGCAATCCTGACACTTGGGCCGTGCGCAAATATAAGTCCTCGAGCGGTCCGAAAGTCTTCGGACTCTCCCTTCAACATCCCTCGTCCCCACTGCTGCAAGTACCGCGCCATGCCTCGCCCCGCCGGAGGTAAAACTTCGCCCGCGATAGCTTTCCCTGTCTGGTTCGCTACTTGCCGCGCACTCGACTCGGTCTTGTTCAGTAAACCAGGACGGTGACAGACCAACTATCCCTGGCACCTTTGATCTGTCAATTGGCGTCGCTTTTCTCACAGCCAGCCTCTTGACGCGGCAGCGTCGCGATGGTTCAATCCTGAGACTTATTATGTGCGTATCCCGGCTTTCATTCGGACAGTTCCACATCCTCATATTCCTTACCAGGTCGCGGATCAAGCAAGCCTGTCCGACAAGCTCCAGAAAATGTCTGCAAAGATATCGTCGATGATCCTACGGCAACAGGTTGAGAGGCGGTCTAGCATGCAGTCCCAATGTGCTACTACTCAACTCATCCCCTTTACCCTCCCAACCCTCCGCGTTGCTTAACTTGGCGCGCCCGAGGATCAAGTATGGCCGTCTCGTTTCTCAGTATCATCACTGGTGCATCCTAAAGATGGGGACTCTTAGTCGCGGTCATTGTATGGACCTTTCACTGCACAACGGCGACGGCAGCAACCAACCATCCATCCAGGCCCAAGAACCCCTGCCGGGTTATGCGAGGCAACCAGACTCAGACCTACATCTCCCGAATTGCAAATCAAAGCGGATGTTCATCGTGTGTCTTGCTAGTTGGCTTCCACCAAAGTCGACTAGCACGTGGGCGCCCGCCTCCTGCCCCTCGAAATCCGTCTCTATCTTTCTTTCATCACCCTCCATGGCAGCTTAGGGAAAATAAAATAGGAGGATGAAGAGACCCTCCGTACCGACGCTTGCCCAGTGCCGCTTCACACCCTTGTGCGCACCAAAGGATCCCTTCAAACACAATTCTGGGTTAAAGGAAGCATGGAACCGACTTCAGAGGCGGTCAGGGATATAGATGTCAACCTGCCGCTAGTTGGCTTGCGGAAGTCAGGGTTGATGCAAGATGCTAGTTGAGTTTCCAATGCATATAAAAGAGCGAAATTGCGCTTGAACTTTGGACACATCTCTCCTCCCGTCGCTACCTACCAAACCCTCGGAATTCGGCGAGTCCTTGTCACCCCAACACTGCTGCTAGCTAACAGACAGACAGTCATGTACCAAGAAGATGACCAGTTCTCCACGAGCTCAAAGCATGTCCAAGCCTTCCGTGACGCGCATCCCTATCGACCGCAGGCGGGCCTACACCCCCAACACAACGCAGGCGGGATGCCAGACATGGACTGGATCATTGCACAGTTCCATGATCTACCTGGAGATGAGGCTAATCGCCTTCGTACCCATCTAAGAGTCGTCCTGACGAGCGACTGGTGGAATAATCCAGCCGCGAACCCGATAAATGACGGCATCATCTCCGACCTCCTGCGGTTCTTCATCAATGGACGCTGCACCTTTTGCAACACCGAGAGGACTCAATCCACTGGTCTCTCCTGCATCAAAGACCACCTAGACTATCCAAACTAGCCGCATAGTGCGCCGAAGGCTCTCTGCTAGGTCAAGTTCAATAACGGTCTTGGTACGTGATCTGCCGCTGCCGCTGACCTATGCTGACCTCCTCTAGGAAACCTTATGCTATACCGATACCCACCCATTCGGATAATACCTCATCTGCATCTGGACTGAACGCTCCACTTTCCACCGTACGCATAGCGCCTATCATTATAGCTCCATAATGGTTGATTATAATGGCGCTATTCGCTACCAGAACCCCCTTCTTCATAATTTGAACTCGAGAACTTCGTCTTGTCTTCGTTGCATGGGCTGGAAAGGACCCTCAATGACTCGATCGGCACGTTTTCCATCTGTATATATTGTCGGTTTGGGTATATACTCTAGCAATAACTCTCGATAAAATTAGCCTTCCTCTGCACTGTGATATCTATGAGAACAAACGGCGGAATACAACTTGGACCTCTCCGCTGCTTTGAAGAGCGTTGGCTCGCAGATTTGGCACCCAATATGGATTTGCAATTCGAGTGAACACAACGTGGGCGAGGAACTACTGGGGAGTAAATACACATTACGAATTTGCTCATCGATACACTCTCATATTAAAGAGTAAGAGGTGTAAACTTTGGACTCGACTTGTAAGAAAAATCATCGTTGTACTATGGAGTCGATTCTTCCAGTGTAAGGGACTCTTGGCCCCCTTTGACCTTCATATGTGCGGGCCTCGCAGTCGGTCTGTCCCTCTAGGAGGCCACTTACTAGTTGGGACCTGATCGTGACTATCTATCTCAGATATTGCTCGAGATGGACAGCTTCTGCTGGTGAGAATGGACGACCTACAATGCAACAACCGGACTGACGCTTGCTTCGCCGCAACGTCGGAGACTGGGTACTGTGCGGAGAGATATAAGTCACCCGACAATTCCTGTCGTAACATAGAGGATTCCTGCCGCTCATACCGCCGCTCATCCAGCTTCCTTCTCTCCCGAACCCTGGCCTTTGACCAGTTCGTATCTTTCAGTGGTCATAGTACACTTGACTGAAGCTCATCTATAGGTAGACTAGGCTCATAAAAGCAGAACCGTTGCATTCGACCCAAAATTGCTCGTCATCCCTCCTGCCTCAGCGTTCTTCACCGGTGGCATCTCAATATTGGAAACGTCGGGTTCGGGAACGTTCAGTGAATTTGCTCCATTCCCCCGGCGGATGGTCGATTTTCTTGGACCATCCCAACCATCAAAAGGAGACTGTCTCGGACGCGTTTAACGCGCAGGAAGAGAATGTCTTCAACCCGTGCAGATTCCCTGATCCCTCAGAGGGTTAACAAGAATGCGGACTCACTGGCCTTGCATTTTTGGGATTCCTTGGCGTCTCCGACGCTAGGGTTCCCTCGCTTCACCGAAGGAAGGTAGCTCGCCTCCATATCCCTCTCTCTTTCGAGAGAGAATTGCTGCTGGCACTTCTACGGTCCATCGCACCTGGTCAGTGTCTAGCACAAGCGTCGCGGCAGGGACCAGAGGTCTATTGTAGGCGCTTGCGGGAACAAAGTAACCCGACTCTTCTGCTAGTTTGTTCAGTCCAATTTCTTCAACCATCGTAGGTCCTGACTATCCGCCACGTCCACCAACTGGCATAGGCCGCGCAAAAGGACGGTTTCGACCATCTTAAAGGCAAATTGAAATACGACAGGATGCAGGATCTACCATTTACCTCTACTATAGGTTTGATTCCGGTTGCAAAACCAGCCTTGCAGTAGTGGACTTTACCCGTAATCGTTGGTCGGGTTCACCCTGCCACCGAACCGACCCAACGCGGTGCTAAAGTAGCTGGGTCTGAGGCGTGATGCGCGATACCAAAACCCCCAAGCCGGTGCTCACATACTCAAGGATTGCATCCCACGGCGGGTATTCGAAATCCGGGCGAGGGCTATCAGAAATTGACTAGCTGGCTGTAGATCCTTGCGGAATTCCTACGTCTGCAACACTAGTTCACTCCAAGATATAAAGATGGACGCACCTAGGAGTCTTGGAGCCCAATTCCCTTAACCTAGGAGAACCGTCCCAAGCTTCAAGGGCCATATATACCGTCTCGCGACCACCTACCCCTGGGTAATTTACGCACCAAATCATGGCCCATCATGGCGACAGCTACGACTTCCAGATATCGACTAATGCTCAACTCCTCCGAGGTTTCCGTGTTGCGGTATCTGCCCCTCCGCCACCAGTCACGGTGCACCCTCAACGTATCGCGACTGGCTTTGCGGACATGGAATGGGTGAACACACAGTTTTGGCACTTACCAGAGGAAGATGGTGCTCGCTTCCGCCTACTCCTTACAGCCATCTTGATCACGCACTGGTGGAATCAAAGGATGAACCATCCAGATGCATCGACTCTGCTCCATCAGTTTATCCTCGGCCATCGTTGCGCTTTCTGCAACGCCCCAGTGACCACGCTACAAGCCGGGATAATTTGTGTTCGCAACCATATAAACTACTAGCTTTGGCTACACAAGTGCGTTCTTAACGTCGATCAAGTACGTAGTACATGGCCCGCGATTGCTCTTGTTGACACTAGTTAGCGATGTCGTGTCTCATCCTCCTCAGGAATGGACCTCTCCCTCCTCAATACCGTTACATTTATATACCATAGCATCCGTGTAGCATATCTCCGCTGTATCGTAATCCGGCTGCGCCTCAGCGAGCTTGATGTCACTGAATTATGTATCTTCTTCTCTACAAGTAATCCGAGCCTGCAGATCCCAAGAAGCCAATCTTGACTAGGTTCGGGTTTCTTAAGGTTTCTTGCTCCTAGCCCGCATGGAGTGAGACCTCCTCGCTGGGATGAGCGTCAGGGCGTGTTAGAGGGCAGGCAGGCTTTGCACGGAATGGGGTGTGGTGGACTTATCGTACGATATAACTGGTTCCGAGAACGGAGCACAGGCTTGCTCCAAATGGTGAAAGCGACATATTTTATGTTCTGCAGTTTAACTTCGTCCGGGGCCACTGCGCTGGCTCGCGTTCAGAATAACTGGATTTCTATAATTCTGAATATGTTTTGCAAATTCCCAGACGATCGCTGCTTCAGCAATTGCCAGCTGAGCGGTCGGCCTGACAATATCCGGTGACCATCTCTTTTTTTGCTGGTTTATTTTTTCCAGTTTCCAGTTTCTTTACACCTCTTAGAATTTCTAGCCTACACCTGTCTAGGGTCGTCGATGTGGCGGGAGCTCATCTTTGGACCTCACTCCTTTGTTGGTTGGCGTAATTGGTCCGTGCAAAGCGAGCCCATGGGCAGCCAGAAACATACCTCTCGACGAGAACCCGCAATGGTTCAGACGACTCAGCCTGGTTTCGCCGGAAAATCAGACGCGTCAAATTTCAACAAGGTAGGCGGATGAGTAGGTCCAAGTGGAGGCGGGAAGCTCCTTCTTACAACGGAATTGACGACTTTGCGGTGGTCCTTTAGCCGGAATTCGATGCCTGACCGACGCAGATAGTAGACCCGCGGCGCACCTTCCTGTAAAGATTATATCTGTAAATGCTTGGAAAAAGCTGGCTAAATCTCTTAAACTACCAGGATTAATCTAGTTTGCAGGGCGACCAGATACGCGCAAGACTTATGATTCTGGGGCTTTTTCTTCGACCACGCGGCGTCATCTCCGAGCGGATGATGAACGCATCTTTTGTGGGTTCGGACTTGCTCTGCTCCCAGCATTGCAGGTTGTTGGTCGACCTGCGCATGAAGGAAGATGCAAAAGTCGATGGTTTACTTTCAAGAGTTGGTCGGAGACTGCAGAAATGCGCAGTAGCAGGGGGTATAAAGCTCCAATCCTGGAGAATCATCACTCGTCTCTCCAGCTATCCCCTCAGATCGAAAAATGGACGCCTTCCCGCAATACGCTTTCTCCCTTATGACACAGGCCGCTCCTCTATCTGTATCAGCAGGACCTGTTCGGCCAAATGTCGGCGGTGTCAATAATGCCTGGATTGCAGCCCAGTTTTGGGGTCACCCAGACGCTGAACGGCTCCGGAGCATCCTTCGATCATTTCTCGACACTGATTCTTGGCAAGAAAATACGCCGGCCCGTGACAAATGCCTCGACATGTTTGTCAAGAACAGGACATGCCAGTTTTGTCTCGGGCAGAATGGCACGCCAGCGGCACAGTGTGTCCGGCAACACTTGTGCTATAATCCTAGATAGAACATGAGCGCAGTTTCAGTACGTTCCTTTATCGTCACACGTCCATTGGCTTACAATCTCCCTTCCGATCCCAGATCATGCCTTATCGTTATCACTCAAACTTATGAGGTTTAAATGGACTTATATGTGCACGTTTATGCACTCTCATATTCTACCGGACCTCAGTCCCAGGTAATCGCTTCTCGTCGTCTTCCACTGCTGCATCCTATCACTATTCACCCTCCGTCTTCCACTCTCATCACTTTTCCTGTTCTCTATAGTACTATCGTCTCTTCTATTTAATCGCATATGAGCATCGTCCAATTTGTATCACCGACCTTGAGAGGCGCACCAAGAGAGTGGCTCGGATGGCTGCCGGAGCCGTGTCTGTATGAGGCTGCAAACTGCCCGTGGGTGTATGCAAGGCGCATGGCGCGTTCTAGCTTGAAGGAGAATGCACCAGCCGACGTCCAGGAGCGTCACTCTCTCTGAAGGATGGTAGAGATTCGCGTCGGATGCCATCTCGGCAGCTGTCTGGCAAGGAACGCTCAAGCTTTATAAAAGGCGTGTATCCGACAATCGCTCACTCGCCATGCATCTCCTCTTCGCCACGAGCTGAGAGCCTACTACTCACTTGGGGTCAAAGTACCATGCCACGTATTCCAAGAAAGATTACTACTAGGTTTCTCAAAGACGCAAGGACCAGAGGGGTTGAATGGCCGGCATGCTTGACTCTCATAGAAACACAACCCTGGCCCAAAGTGAGGCCTCCACGGCTGTCAGTCATCCCAAACGGGGGTTATGAAACCGCGGATTAACTCTTCTTAACTAGCAGAGAATGTCGTGCGTGTTATTCTGACCCGGCGCCCAAGCGCCTTCTCTGTGTAGAGTCTGCCCGGTACCACCTGTCCTCCGTGAGCTCACAGACGCATTTACTCAACGGCCATCAGCACTTTGAGACATCTAATTATCGGCCGCGATTGCCTGGCTCCAGTCAGTATGCGCAGAAGCCGCTCCAAGGGTCATTTGCGTCGTATGCAATCTGCCTCCTCCCCCTTTTTACCTCGTACATCATTTTTGCAAGAATACCTGCCAAAATGGATGCCATCCTTCTCTGAATTCAAAAAATCACGTTCCATGTGCGACTCGACTCCTTGCCAACAGTCTTGCGTCCAAAGAGCCGTACATCGGCGCCGAATCGACTGAAAACCGGGCAATAACCAGTCCCCAATTCGTAATATGACATCATAGATTGGTCAACAATACGCATGGTAGTAGCAACCGTGATTATTTAGAAAGCGCTTGATCGGCATGCGGAGGCTGACTGACACTCTCTTCAGTTTCATCCTCTGTAAATCAAGGTCTCAGCTTTGATAACAGAGTGTCCTGCAGTGAACCAAACGGGGTCCCTGCCAAAATGGCCGGCAGTCGCTGAACCCTCCCAGGCTCGCTTTCGCGGGTCGCCTTCTTCGCTGTGCAGCACATGGCGGCTCATTCATGCTCATCATGATTGATACTCATGTCATACATCTGACATACCACTCGAGTTACAGCTATTCCATCAACTCGCAACGAATAGATGAGGCCGTTCGCCCGAGCTCGTCCGCTTTGTCGAAATCACATATAATGCCCTTCACAATCTTTCCAACTCTCATCACTCTCACCTAAAACTAGGTTTTCCCCCTTCCTCCCTTTAGGATGGCTGAACATCATCACGAGAATACTCCTTTCCCAGACATCTCCACCGATCCGTCAATGTTGCCTCCAACGGCTAATTTCCTGCACGCCGCTCCAGACAACGCTGACGTGGGTCAATTCCTTCGACCTCATGTTGGCCATGAAAACAATATGAGAGCCAACGCTGAATTGGTCTCGCGGGTAGCCAGGCGTCACTCGCCAGACCGCGCTCAAGCTTTGGGGACTGTTATCATGGCAATCCTACGAAGTCCATGGTGGAACGCTAACACACACTTTCCAACAAATATATCCCATCCTCACGCAAGCTCGCCAGTGGATCCTTTTGATGAGTTGGTCGAGGGACCAAAACGTAAAACATGCACCCTTTGCGGATCCAGTAATGGGAAAGCATGTGTCAAATATCACCTTGCTTACGGTCATTGAAATCGTGCAAAAGAATGCATGATGCACGCTTGCATCTGTTGCCGGTATGTACATGCGCGGCAGGACTCTATTATTCCAAGCTTACCCATGCCCCGTTTTGCCTTGCAAACAGTCAACAATTCACCTCTTATTCCAACTGCATCCTTCATATCATATCGTCGATACCAGGTTATACCCTAGCCTCGTGATATGACACCCTTCTTCTTTCTTACGGGACTCCAACGCTCTCCAGCGCTTGTTGCTTTCTAAGATCTACTTCGCATTACCATTCACGTATCTTTCTCAATGCATCTTACTACCTCTCACACAAAAGGGCCTCACGTTCTTTATTCCTACTTCTGCGATCTTATTGGCCTTTCACTACTTCTTTCACTACTTCAGCTCTGGATTGTACTTTCTTTTAGTGATTCCAGTGTAGATCCAATTTGCATTCTTATATCACTTCTTGGGTCGAGGAACAAAACTCATTCGTCACGATGCTTCATAGTAAGATCATTAACTATACAAAGGGTGTAATTGATTCTCAAGATAGGCCTCACAGTGGAATGTTTCCAGCCAATGCATTTCTTGCACTCGTGCCACTCTGCTGCTAGACGCCCCAGAGGATGTTGCGCTGAACGTAGTCAGAAGCGCCGCGCAGAGACGCGATAGAACAGCAGCCAACGATGTAACCGAGGTATGGTAAGCCCGCAATGAGTAGGCCAAGACATCCAAAGGCCGATGGTGAGGATGAGATTCCAGCTATACATGAAGGGTGGTTCGTTCACGATCAGCAGCGTACCGGCAATTATGCCGTCGTAGTACTGGTACTCGCATTGGATGATGGAGTTAAGTCTGGTCATTGCTACCAGCTGCGCTATAGGGTACCGATTCAAGGGGTCGCCCTTAAGAGTACTCAATAAACTTTCGAGTTTGGCCACAGAGTCGGTAAATGTTAAGGTCGTAAATCTCCAACGACGAAATAAATCTCGTTCAATGACGAGTTAATGCACGTACTTGAGCTATAAATTGTCCACCAGCTCGTACCATACCCATTGTATCCTCTGTCTCCATGTAATCATGACCCCAGTACAGCGGACATGTGTTAAACAGACCTATGCAGTTAGGGAACATGGTGGAACCCTCTCTTTGACTAGAGCACCCATTTCAATACCCCTACTTCCATCCATTTCGCTCCTCGTAACTCCGTCCATCCGTCTTGGAGTGAATATGTCCACTCTATCGCGTCCAATCGTCCATAAACATGCACCACCGCTACCTTAGTGGGGCTTCATACTTGGAAACGCAGTAGCGATGCAGATATGTGGCACATTGATGACATGCAAGGCCAGCATAGCTAGGTGGTGTCTCTAGGGAACGAAGAAAGTGAATCAAGTCTTTATCTCTCTTATTGAGACGCCTTACATCTTCACTGTGCTGGCAAAGGATACACATTGTCGTGGTCACGTTGAAGGGTCTTGCCTACCACTTTTGCCCTTTGAGTTCAAACACGGTTAGTAACAACGTTTCTGACAGAAATTAAGCCGTTGAAATTACAGATTTTGCGATTGTGAAGACTGGCAGGTGGATCCCAAACTTGACCGGCGCCGCATTATCCGACGCACGAATTTGACGACTTTAGTCTGGTCACGCAACAACTAATCTTTACGACTTTCTACGCAGCTTTCACATTTCCTCTCTGCTCCGGAGCAAAACGTACCAGACGTCTCTTTACGAAATCTCAGTTGACCTGCCAAGACAATGACTTCCAGCTTTCTACTCCTCGTTGGCTCATTCTCGCCAATGATTTCTACTCTTAATTTCACTCTTTCACCTCCATCGCTCACCCTTGTCTCGCAAACTCCTGCGGGGACGTCGCCAACGTGGCTCTTGGGCAATCCTACAAACTCGTCCATCTTTTATGCGACCGACGAGACCGAAACCGGTGGCCTGAACTCGCTCATCATCGACCATGTCACGGGTAAAGTAACGCCTATAGCTTCAATCTCCACGCAAGGTGGTTCGCCTACGCATATCGGAATGATCGGAAACGGTAGCACTCAGCTCGGAGTTGCCAACTATGGAGGAGGCTCGGTGTTCTTCACGACGCTAGAGGACGATCATTTGCATTTCGCAAATCCACAGCTGGTGAAGTTTGACTCGGTCCAGAAATCCAATGCCCATCAGGTACATTCTCCTTCTTATAAATTGGGAATTACTGACCTGTGTAAATGGAAAGGTTGTCTCGAACGGAGCCCAAGTCCTCGTCTCAGATCTCGGAGCAGATAGGGTCTGGCGACTCAATGGTGGAGCCTCTGGCCAATGGAGTATTCAAGGCGCCATTTCACGGCCTAGCGGTAGCGGTCCACGGCATATTGTCGTAGATGGTGCGTTCAAACTTAATTTCTGCCGAGAATCGGCTCAGACTTTCTTAGACTCATCACTGTATACCCTCCACGAGCGCGCAAACACCCTCACGCAGCAGACGGCTGTGACCCCCTCGTCAACGGGGCAACCGGCAGAGGTGGCCAGCATCTCTATCATACCGTCAGACACACCTGCTTCAGCAACACTCTACGCAGGTGAACTGCTTCTCGCTCACACGCCTTCACCGGTCATGTACGCGTCTAATCGAGAGGACCCAAGTCCTGCCGGAGATGCCATTGCAGTCTTTGAGCTCAACCCCCTGACAAAGGTAGCCGAGATCCGAACGGGTCTTCAGCACTTGAGGGGTGTGGCGCTAGTCGGGGAAGACAATGCGTATCTCATCGCGGGTGGGATGAAGGGTGGTGGGATAAAGGTTTACGAAAGGGTATCCGCGGCACAGGGGTATCTCAAAGAGGTTGCTTCCTTACCTGCCGGCGTTGTAGATCAACCTTCATCGTTCATCTGGGTGTGAGTTTGTTATTCCTCTCCTAGATCCCTTGTTTACTGACTGAATAACTGGGACAGGCCACCTCAAGACGTTGCAACTGGGGGTACGACTCAGGCATCCACGGCCACCGCCTCCATCCCTGGCGTTGTGCCCACATCTTCTGTGAGCCGAGCACACCGCCGCTACAAGATTGGAAGCTGGTAGACTTGCGAGCGCTCGTGCAGATGCGAGTCATTTGCGTTGTTATAATGATTACTGCTTGAAATCACACCGTTCCTTCAACACTTCTCCTTTGTCGATAGAGTAACATTGATTCGAAAGACTTGAGAAGACACACGAGGATGGTGGGAGGCAACCAGGGGTTGTGCTTCCATCTGATTGATTCCGACTGCATCTCTTTATCAGGTTCGATGGCTATGTGCCAGAAGATTGTGCCTATCTGTCATTTATGAGGACCGTATAAAGCCAGCAGCCGTACGCCCAGAGGCAACCTTGTTCTCTGACTCCCTTCAAAATGCCCAGGCGGCTGCCGGCGGCTTACTCCCGCTCAGGCGTAAGAATTGAACTAAAGCACGGTAAGGTCATTCTGAAGGTAGATCATGGTCCATTTTCTATCAGCTGGACTGGCAGGCGTGTAGCCACATCCATATCGGCTGTCTGCCCGAGCTGACTCAACCAAGTATTCGATAACACTATAGGTCATTCAGATACACGTACTGTAGCAAGTAAGGACTAAGTACTCACTCAGGCGCCATTCTCTCAAACTTGATACTTTGTGGACTCTCCTAGTGCAAAATGTCGATACGCCAGCAATACCCAAAGGCTTCCGTGGAAATCGTGCAACCTTGTAATCGCTTGGGTGATGTCTTGACTCATCTGGCGCCGTTTTCGATGGTTAGGTTCTCCAACGCTTCGCCAAACGTATACGCCATCCCAATCTGTCCGCCACCAAGCGAATTACTGTCCATTGAATGCGTTTACTTCGGCGTGCTGGTCGGAAACGGCATCTGGACCCAAGCAACCCCGTAATCACCCGTCCGTCGAACAGTTGGGAAAACTTGGCAGGCGTATTACCAATTTCTGTGCATCTTCTTGGTTCTCAGGCAACATTTTGTTCGATTCTTTGGTATTGAGTCGGGTTTCACCGGGTGCTGGCCAATCGCGACGAGCAGCGGCCACACGCGTTCGTCCTCGGGGCACCTCGTTTGAATCATGGAACGGCCGGCGTTTGGACACATAACGCATGCAGCACACTCCACGCGGTCGTTAACCTCAATGGCGGCGTGCGCAGTATCTGGGACATATGTCAGAATATAGGCCGCAAATTGGGAGGGGAGAGTCATGGCTAAAGGAGCAGACTTTTCCAGATGGTTGAAATCGCAGCCCACTCTTGGAGTAGATTATATTGCATTGTTACCAATGAGTTATCGTCAATTACGAGACAACGTCAAACGTACGGATGGTTCACTCCGTCGTGCATTCTCACGCAGACCTGGGGATGATCACTTTGCGTGTAGGATTCCAACCCGCAGCTCTTGCCGATGAATCCCACCACGAGCGTATAAAGCACACTCAAGGTATCAGAACCTTGGTAAATCATTCTGCTTGCCTTCGTGTCTTCTACTCCAAGACCCGCCGACGACGATGAGCGATTGCGACTGCGGTACTTGTTCGTGGTGCTGGGGCCGTCGTTCTACCCGTAAAGAAGCATCCCCATATCTCGACGAGAAATCGCCTCTCGGTAGTGAGTCGACTCATCGGCGACGTTCTTCCCGTCCGCGCGATGCATGCCATAGCTTTCCAACGAGAAATGCTGAGAAAACCTTCAGCGACAGATCAAATCGAGGCTCAGATGAATGGCTACCTACCTTCACCGAGTGGTGGCCTTCCGCCCCAGGCTGGGTGTCCTCATCTCTCGACGAATGCTATCAATGGCGCTCCCCGCATGGACAAACGTACACCCATGGTAGGCAGTCAGATCCTGTCGCGGCGGAATCACCTGACAGCAGCACCACAGCTATCACAGCCCGACAGGGACGGCGAGTTCCCCTACGCAAATACTGCGCCGACGGGGGGACAGGGAAATGGTGGGCGACGCTCGATGCAAGAAATATGGCGTACGATCCGTCACATCCCTCGCCGGATGCTTTCTTCGCTAACTGCCAACCACCCGAATGATACATCCCCAAGTCCACCCGTGCGGCAGTCATGGCTCCGACGGTTTTTTCGTGGGATGGATATGCGCAAGTAGGCCAGATGATGGGGACGAGGGGAAGCCCCCGCATGGTTGGCGCCCCCTGGGCTGGCCCGCTCTCCGCCCCCGTTTCTGGCCCACCCAAGCTGGACAAGTCGCAAAGGCGGTCGTACTTGAAAGCGCAGTAGTCTTGATTTCCACTCCATCTGCCCAGCCGCTGTTCGATATGCATGCCCCTCTCGCCAGACGCCTCGGGATCCTTTGAGCCTAGAAAGGCATTTTCTTTCCACTCCGCAGCAACTAGTACCCTTCCAAATCCTCCCAGGTCACTTTCCCCAAAAGTTCAGTCAGCATACAGCATCCGATCTTATCAGCGTCAGCGCACACCCATATTTGTCGAGGGCCATTGATCCATTGCACAGCTCGATGCCACCCCATTGTATCAGAACGAATCTGGGCCCGCAAGAAGTCCAGTTGGAACTTGCACGTTCCCTCTCTCTCTGGGGCTTCCACCGCCTCTTCGCCTCTTACAGGACCACAAAGCCTCCTACCAGCGTTGCATCCTCCTTTCCCCCTTCTGATCTCGAGATATATAGAGAGCCACTCGGCCGCGTAGCGTAGAACTAGAATCGCTGCTAATCTTCAGCCAACTTCCTGCCATCGCCCACCCTCTGACGCGGACACGCTCACCTCGTATTACCCTCTCACCATCCATTCGGCCGAATGAGTCGCCTCTTGTGCCCCAATTGTCACCGGGAGATGCAAGATGGGCCTCCTAATCATGGAGATCTGCCGTTTCCTTGGTCACACCAGGATGGGCTGCCACAGCGACCTCTTCTATGTTGTGAGCACCTCTAGCGTCTTCCAATATCCCAGGCTTTTTGTCGTCGTGCAGCCCTGGGTCGCAAGGAGGAGAGGGCTGAGGATGGGGATGCCATTACGCCTTGGCGGGCTGCGCCGGCATCAAGCTCTTTATCTAGATCTCGTGGAGCGATATTGCTGACCGATTGTCTGCAGATAAAGCACCCCAACACATTGCTGGCGCACGACCCACATCCAGCTGTCACAGGATGTCAGGTCGACCGAATGAGCATGTTGAAGGGTCCGGTCTGTCGGCTCAATCAGATTGCTCCAATAACAGCCAATACCCCCCTTCACTTGCCCATCGCGGGAATATCATCAAGGTACTCCAATCAGCTCGAGTACAAGACCAGCCATCCTCGCCCAAAGACGAAAACCGTATACCAACGATATTTAACCTTCTATATGGGGTATGGAGTACGATATGGACAGCACTTTACCGCCGCTTTCGTCGGACCCAGTCCTCTTCTCCTCAGTTCCCAATTCCCGCCTCTGCTCAACCCTTACAAGCGCCACAATAAGCACACCTGATTTATACCTGGATGCATGTGCTCCAGACGACGTCCGGAGTGCTAGTCATCCAGCGAATACGCCAGCGTGTCGCGATTGAGGGCCGACAAAGTACCATATCCAACATTTACAAATCGCCTCTGATCTGCCACGGCCACAAGTCTCTTCTCATTGGTCAATCTTCGAATACCACGACTCTTGTCCATAGTCCCGGAATGCGTTACGCTTCCCTGTTTCCATTCTTGAATCGCCTTTCTGCGCTCTTACATCGTTTGTATATTTTGAATGGCCCTTGGAATTCATGGAGTGATCACATTGGAAACCCGCGTTTCGGTGAATTTCTCCTGGGCTCAACAGCAGTTTATGCGTGTACCGTAACACCCAAAGTCTGAGTGATCTGATCCAATATGGAATACCCCTCGGCTATATATACAACATATGCTAGCGGTGGAGTCCGCACATAAGAGACATACTGCTTAGGAAACGAATCACTCGATTGCAGCGGAAGGAAGAGGTGGTTTACAAGCCTCCCTGGAGCCGTTTTTACCCGCTCATCCCTCTCTACTTGTTTCTCCCAGGTTCTTCGAAGATGGAAGTCAGTTTTGTATAAGTGGCGGATGCTTGTACGGGTAAAGCCTCTTGTAAACGATAGTCTGGGTAGACATTAGTGAGCGTGGACAATCGTCACCGGTGAACGGTAAACACACTTTGCTGTTCGCAGACATCTTCCTCGAGGCTGACCGAATTTTCAACTTCTGTGGCGAGAAAAGCACTATAGATGGGATTTTGAGGTTCTAAAGATGCAAAGTCGACGCCGCCTGGGTCCTAGTCGAATTCTATACGGGGCTGGTAGACGTAGTCGAAAGGTTTGCGGGCGAGATGGCCATTCCGCGTGGTATTTTGTGTTCAAGTAGTTCGTACATGTCAATTGCGCGGCATTACATTTGCGGATTGGCGGCGCTAAGAGTAGAAGTTGTCGTCCATTCACAAGAGATTGCTTTGTTCATCTACCAGTCCGTGATATACGCACCAAGGCTCGTGGAGTATTGACTAAGTAAGCCGTACTTGCGGCCCGTCGTCAGTGTCGAGCGTTATGAGTAATAACGTCGAGGGAATAGCCGACAAGAGAAGGCCGACAGAGGGAAGGGGTCGTCATCTACTCCCAATCAACTATGCTGGTTGTAGCTAGTCACTAGGCTGAGGGCGGGGGACGCCAATCACGAGGTTGGTGTCAAAGCCAACTCGGTCTCCTTCGAAACGTCAACTTGACTTTTTGAGCCATACTGACTCATCTTCTCGCTTAGGTCATCTACTAGAATGCCGGCACTCGTACGCGGACTTCTGCCGACGGCCTCTCGTAGCGCATACACGTTACTACTAGAGGGGATGCCGTGAGACTGTGAGTACTACAGGAACATGATTGGTACTCGGGAGGCCACTCACTCACGGATTTGTTCATTGTACGATCTGCTTCGTTGTACATTGTGCTGGCCTAGACTACCAAGCCATCAAAGCTCCTACTTGAGGCTAGGCGAGAGACAACAAAGTTGCGACCCAAGCCGTTTGCAAATTGATTCCATCCTCATCCCCTCGGCGGTCCACGGATCTAATGCTGGGTCTAATAAAAAGACATTTGGACCAGCAGTTGAGTTGTGACTATAAAGACTGCTGTTGCCGTCGAGCATCCAGCAAACGTGTCCGCAGCGCTCATCCTACTTGCACCTCTCCCATCCCCCGACGAGATTGGAGCGACTCGCGACGACAAAATATCAGCCTTAAGCATCAATTCTGAAATCCTATCACATACCAGCGATACTACCGAAACACCTCCATATTCCCGTCGCTTCACCCAGACTGGAAGCACTCGGACCTTTGTTGGATTGTTGGGCTGATCCTCATCAAGCGTTTTGCGTGTCTCTAGGAGATCAATAGTTCCATCAGAGATACCTAGATCAAGAGGGACATCCCACCCACGGCTGCCCGAACTTCTTTTCATGATTGCCGACGACGGCTCCCAAAGCTTCGCCACTCGAGAGAACGCCCATCCAAACACATTCCAAGCAGGTATGCACCCCGCTCTTCAAGGTGATGCAAACTGTGGATCTTTTTGCGGACCTTGTTTATGAAGCCCTTGCCACTCGAGAAGCGCCTCGGGAATCATGCAGCATTCGAACCATCCATTGAAATGTCGACGTATGCTATGTTTTTGACACCGTGCTGGCTGAAAACAATGCAAAAGTCCAATCGCCACAATTCATTCATCGCTTTGCAAGGCCCGTGCCACCCTCGGTCCTACACCCTTTTTATCTTGCTCTCGAGTTGTACTGTCAATGCGGATGGTGTCATGGCCCTCTCTGACTCCAGGAGACAGCCCAAGCAAATGTCCTCCCTGCAGCATTCCAACAACCGTCAGACCCTTAACGCAGGGGATTCGAATTCAGAGCGACTTACCTGAGCCGGAACTCTTATACAAGTCTCTGTCTTTCTGTCGAACGTTGTATAAGCTTCTTCACGGCTCGGAATAATTGATCGTCGATCCTAGTTACGCACCCTGGTACACCAAACTGCAGTGGAATCAGCTGTGCAGATCCACGGATGATCAACGACTCTTCGAGCATGTCCTGCCAAAAGCAGTGACGGTCGCGCGGCGGCCCTCTACTTCTGGACCCGCACTTCTGAAAACCGCCGCTAGATTCAAAGGCAGGTACTATATGAGCCAAGAGGGCGAGTCTAGTGGTTATCCTACCTTCATCTTACACCTTTTGCCCCCATGAGCCCACCGTGTAACTGCGGTCTTTGCAGATTCTGTTCAAGAGAGCAGTCTAACCACGACGAGCGCGCCATTTACCTTGACTGGTCTTCGCCTTTTTCTGGTGAGCTGCTCCTCTTTACGCCTCTGTGCAGTGCTTGCTGGTCGTAGCCGGCCAAGCCCATCGAAGATAACGTGCTAACAAACGTTTAGGCCCAGACCCCTTGGACAGAGCGATGAACGAGTACCGCACGCTGCCGTCTCGTGCCCGTCCTCGACCACCACCATGCTTACATCACTCGCCCAGCTCAGCGAGTACCTCTCGTAGAGTTGCCAGCACTCGACCAATGACGTCGAGTGCGCTAGCAGAGCTGCAAGGCGACGACGCGGAGACACAGCTGCCACCGCCTGACCCCAATGGTCAATTCCCGTATGCCCCCACCGACTCGACGGACGCGCAGCCTGCAAGGAGACGAAGACGTATTCGAGACATCTGGCGTGCAACTCGAGATTTCGCTCAACGGATCATCAGCCCGTCCGCACCTCCTGTTCCATCCGCCACGACAGCACAAAACCACTCACCTCTGAACTCGCCGGCCCAGCCATCCAGATTTCGACGGGTTCTAGGCGCGCTACGCAGGCGTCGTTGATGGACGCATAGACAGACGTCACGATGATCCGGCCGTGGTCTCGCGCGTCTGTCTTCTGCAGTCGTGGGAGATTCGACTGTGGGCTATACCAAATCTCCCTCTCCAAAATTCATCCACTGCCACGGGACGTTCACGTTTCCCAAGCGCAAGGATCACATCGACTCCTCGGAATATTTTATGACTCGCTGCGTTGGTTATGTCTCCACCTATCAATTATTCTAGAATTTGATCAGCTATCACTCCCAAAAGCTGGGCAGCACGCGAGGCGGCGCACCTCACGCAAACCCGGCACTGTTCGATACCAACCCGTATGCACGCATCTCGTGGTCCGTTGGTCGAGGAAACCTTGCGGTTCCTTTTCTGTCCCGTTAAGGGACAGGCGCCGCCACCTTCGCGTCGCCGTTCTGGTACCAAGAGGGGAGACGTGCTGATAGCCGGCTCGCTCCCACTCCTTTACTATGCAAAGGAACCACTGAGGTGCTCAGCGCCCTAGTCAAGAGCCATGCCCGTCTCAGCCCGAGGTCCTTTCGCCACTAGCGAGGCGGATGGTCTCACTTTACATGCTCCTTCTCCCATGCTTATAACTAAAACGACACTATCTCCTGCTTCGTACGTGCCTTGGGAACCACAGAATCGTTTCGGCCCAAAGCTGGCACATACTCTTCTACGGCCCGGGCTCGCATATCGATATGACGGTCTGGTGAGTGTCTTGACCTCCATTTCCTATGGTCTCTTTCTCCGATAGCGTTGGTGCCCATGCTACTCTGGTAGCGGCAAACGCAGGAAAGGGGCTCAACTCTTGTACACGGGCGTAATGCTCCAGATCCTGATCTTGATACGCTTTGCTAACCAAATACAACTATAGGACTCACATGACATCCGCGATCACCATTTGATTCTATGCAAATGTCAATCAATCAATTCACTTCCAGTCTCCCATCCCGCTAGAGGGCCCAAATAATGGATGTTCCACCAAAGTCATTCTCGCTCCGCATATTCAAGTTTGGGTGGGGGGGGGGAGACTTCGTTTGGTAACGGCCTTCACCCCTCTCGTCCATCCATAACGCTGGGCGGTCCCAACCCGTTCGGAGGCGGCTCTTGACAGAAATTTACGACCGAAGCGCACGAGAAACTGCTCGTGACGTTGAACATCTCCTACCAAATTCATTCCCAGCCGCAACCTCCCGCCTCAATCCGACTGAAGCGCCAAGAAACACTCACCGTACATCTATCACCTCACCTGTGATAACGTTTTAACGTTTCCCGGAGAGTTTCCGATTGATCCGTCGCAGGGTGAGAGGCAAGAGCAGAGTTTATCGATGGCTCCAAGGGCGGGTTGTTGTTGTTTTGTCTTTTTAGTACAGTTGTATGCCAATCATCACCCCAAATCCATCGTGATTCTTGCTTTTTATTAAGCAAGATGGTCACGCCTCTCTGACTCTCCCTATCGCGTTTCGGGGACTACTTGTGGGGGAATGTCCTCATAGTTCGGGTTCTCTTTTTCCAAGTTGAATGAGAAAAAGGATTGAGTAAATTGAATACTATGTACAAGCACCCGCCGCGAAACGAATCAACATAATGAGGTATACGCCACCCATAGAAGCGCCTGCCTCCCATTGGTACTCCAATCATTCCGGTCGGAATCATTGATCACAGGTGATCAAGATTTTGAGGCCCGCCGTTAGAGATCAGCTTCAGCCTGAATGCGAGCGCTCCGTCGAGATTCTAATTGGAACGTCTCATCACCCCCCTCAATCCTCCAACACCTCTTTCCTCTCTCTTCAAGGAGGGAGTGCTGAATCTATAAATGGACCCACACTGCATCGGGCTACAAGCATTCTGGCCTACTTTTCTCAAACTGTGCGACATCTATAATGCGCCAGTAGTATTGAAATATTTCATATCAACGCTGTACTGGAAATTTTAATCACACATGGAAGCCGGTAAGTCACATAGCATGTCCAACTTATTAAATCTAATCACTAATGATGATCCTTTTCTCGCCAGTATTGCCGGGGTGGACGGAGCAGAACGTCGTACCCCCTTTCCCAGTGGATGAGCAAGGTATGTACAATAGCTCTTCTATATCACAGTTTTATGCTCGCGAGTCTCTCTGTATCGAATCTCATCTTAACATAGGACTGATATTCCCGCAACTCGACCCGGCTGGCGAGTCTACCTATCACCGTTACTCCAGCAGATGCTAATAATTCAATAGCCCAGGTAGCCCCTCCCGTGGTAGCATCTGTGATATGGCGGATAATGACATCTATCAGACGCCATTGTCAATCACTTTGGATGACCGTTACTTGGGTCCTCTCTTGATATATGAGCGAAATCTATCAGTCTAGTTCTTTCGCCATTCTCGCCATGTCATTATAATATTCCACCATGTGTTCTCCCTATTCTACGAAGCGGACAAAGGTCGGGCTAACCACAAATCCTAATTAAAAATAGTCTCAAATTCAGTAATATATTAAAATAATCAGATTTCCGTGTACAGAGTGTGTCTGGGTGAGTGTTGTCAACAATAGACCTCAGGAGACGCCTTCGGCTCCACGTCTCTTGACCTTATGAAGTGTCTCGCATATAGATATGACACTTTAAAGTAGATTATCGTTGATTCCTAAGTTGAAGTTCAAAGCTTGCGCACGCAGAGGGGTACAAAGAAACTGTTCAGGCTCAGTGATCGGTGACTGTGGATTACTGTCTCGTCACTCGTCACAGGTACACTGTCTCAAACCCTCATTTTGAGAATTGGTCTCAGACAATAGGGTCAACCGCCCCCGTCCACGCCTGTGACAACACCCCTCTTGCAGTGAAGCAAAGCCGACTGTGCGAGTTTTTAGGAATTCTGGCCCCTGTGAGCATTATATGTTGATGAATGTTCATTTCCGTCGCGTAGCCCAGCATAACACGCTTGGTTATGGTGACCCTGACTTGGATTCGCCGGCCTACACGGTCCTCGTGAAGGACACGCCGAAACGCACCTCCAAACGAGTCTTCCATGGACTCCTCGTGGCAGTTCATAACTGCCTGGGTGGGGCTTGATGGGGTCACCTTGTGGCTATCCGCTCCAGCAATTTAATGAGAATCATATAAGGAGCGCCGCAGATATTAGAGTGTGTGATGTCTTTCTGCACCTTTTTCTACCTCTCCGCCTACAGCCTACGTGCTTAGCGACAACCCGCCCCTGCTGCAAGCGGCAAGATGGAACCTCGTCACTTATCATTAACGTTGCTCTGATATTGAAATCTATGTTGCGCTTCAGCTGGATTGCAACGCGGCGAGTGGGCGGCGTCGCCGTTGATGAAAAGTCGGCATTTACCAGCGCTGCCACAGTCTTGAGCACTCAGGATGATTCAAAAGTCAAGATAACTTACTTGAATCGGTTGGGTTCTGCTCCTCAGACTCTCTTCTGGCCTTCCGACTCAACGCATCACCTGTTGAACACGTTTCGAAGTCTCGTGCCTGTGGCTCCTAGAAGCGCCCGTCATGGACTGTATGGTGGGTTGTCTCGGTATGAATTGCGGAATCGAGAGTACCGAACCTCACACCGTCAAATATCAGCTTGTCATCGCCGATTGAATGGTCATGTGGATTCATGCTGGCCGGGATTACTCGATCTTTGCTCCACTTAGCCAGAGCTGGCTACCAGTAGAGCCGCCAATCTTTGCTCTTCACGTTCGCACCATTGTTATCTTCTCTTCGATGGAAGAGACACTCCACCAAGTCGTCGACTCCCCGGGATTGAATTTGCCATACGACCGCGCCGCAGCCTCGAGGCATATACGACAGTTATGCGATAGGAACTCGGCTTTCCAAGATGGCTTGATTATTGATTTTTTTCGTAATATTACATCCAATTCGGACAAGCAAGATGAGCCATGTCAGCTCTCAGCGATGTACATCATTTTTGCTCACTGAACTGTTGATGAGCATAACCTCGGGGCGACGTCGATTGGTCAATGTGAGAGATAGCACCCGGCTCTCACTTGGAAGGTGTGAGGCTGTTCATTTATCGACGCCATTCAAGCGGCTTTCCCTCCCAAAGCATGGTGGACATGAAGCTGGTTATGTTCGTCCAGTCAGGTCAACGGATATCACTCACTCAAGCCCTCGTTCAATAGCCATGCTATCCGCTCACTTTTTTGTACTCCCCCCCCCCCGGCTTCGTTCAGCAATACTAGAATTTCAGTCCTTTCATTCCATGCGCCTACCGAATATTTTATCGCCGATTTCATCGGGAATACTCTCAGGATTCCATCTACCTTACATGTGTTGAAAAGGCGTGGGTAATGGCTGAGCTACCATGCAAGGGGAACGGCAGGATATGCTATCCGAGCCTCGTGCCTTAGGTTTGGCCACGGTACTGGGAACAGAAAAATTCTGTATAGCTCCGGTGCCATTTCGAGGACATTCTACAGCCGAGAACGACAGTCCAATGCGATCAAGTATCTAACGGGCTTGGCGTTTCGCCATTCTTGCGTCCATTGTCCTCCATTTTCTAGTTGAAGGCTTCATTTTGTCTGCATTTAATCGGCTTAAGCTCGCTCAACGCGTTCTGGTGGCTTCTGGATACCTGGCGATATGAGGTGCGTAGGCCTCAGCCTCACTCATCATGAAATCTTAGCACGCATCACATTCAAATAAGGCATAACCGGGATCATCGTGCAGTCTTGTGCCATGCACGAGCTATTACAGCTCGCCACTGCCATTTTGCCTCGCGCTTGCTGCAAGCCAGAAGAGACCGCCAGCACCGATCCGTTCCCGCGTTCACAATTTATAAATACGCTGGTTTATACATGCATCAGCATTCGCAGTCTTGGAGCAGTCGAAAGACGATTTACCTGTTGCGCCCTTTGCCGTCCTCACCTCGGGTAAAGCCTATCTGATCTTCTTGCAATGAATTCCTCAAAATGTCACGTATGCCATCGTGGGGCACAGAACAACCTCTATACGGAACCAGAAGCAGAACTTCCTTCCTGGTCGGATCAAGTAGGGGTACCACAGCAGGCCCGATTCTATGGTGAGTACTCTCTCATTCAAAGCCGCCTATGCGCGTGCAATCGTGGTGGCTTGCTCGTATTAATCCGGCCCTGACTTCAAATTTACAGATCGGAGCACACAAACACCAGTGGTCGGCACTGGCGAAATTGAATATGCCGGTTATCCTCATCCCGCGGCTTCCCCAGACCAAGATGTATCTCCTCCTTTGACAAATCTGGAATCCGAGGTTGCAACGTCTCCCTTGACACCGGTCGAGTTGCCCCTCGATCCAGCAGGGAGTGTGCCAAATAGTGCGGGGAACCGCGGCTGGTGGAGAGGAGTAATAGAATATGCTCTTAATATCTGGTGCATGATATGGACGTTATTCCGTCGAAGTTAGCCCTAGGCCCCCGCCCCCGCAATCCGCCCATATCCCCTCCTCAGCCCTCCCAACCGTTCACGTTATGTGAAAAGGTACTCGGCCGTCTCTCAGACTCTGAAGACCGACTTATGCCAGGATGCCGTGATTATTATGCCACTCGCCACCACTTATTGCGGATTCCTCACACAATATGCAGTCCCAGACAGAAACGAGCCGCGCCATATGCATACCGTATGCCTTTAACATGTAACCTATGGGACTTTTACCGAATATGATTCATGCCCTTCTCGTGCGATCCATTATGCGACTATTGAGTGATATGCCGGTGACAAATTGTCGGGATCGTTCGGCACCCATGATTCACATGAAACGGACATCGAACCGGCCTCCCGGTCTGATCGCCTGACCACCAATGGCGGGTTGATAACAACGTAATATGACGAAGCGCTGGCTCGAGAGGTCGAAGTTTGGGTTGTAAACAAGAACGCTATAGTGATCACTGGCAGGATTATATGGCTTAGTAATCGGGAGGTGAATCGTGTGATCCCAGCAGTCGAGGAATGTCAGTCACGTCTCTCCTACCTACACCGGGATACCAATCTCGCTCATTTCCGAGGAGGGAAGCCCTCCTGACATAAAAGATCCCCCATTTTCGATCAACTCGCCAACTGCCTCTAACCCCCAGATATTGACAACGCAATAACGGTTTGCAATGCAATTGTAATAGAGACACATCGCATACGCATTCAACAAATAACCCTCTTACATATAATGGAACATCACTCACATAGTATGCCAACATTTTCATACCCCGCCTGTCCGACTATTGATGATAACTCAGCGCCGGACGAACTGCCGCCATGGACCGAGCAGGAGGACATTATGGTTCCATTCCCCCAAAATGAGCGAGGTGCGGTCGTTCCAAGCCCTCTTCTTCTTCTCTCTCTTCCCCACGCACTGACATGCGCACGGCGATTAGGACTCGTATTTCCGCAGGCCGACCAGCAAGGTCAGTCTCCTCACCTCATGGGTCACCAGACCACAGTTATGCTGACGACCGCATGCTGTTTCAGTAGTTGTACCCGCCCCCCAAGTACAGCCGGCTCTTATTTGGAGGATGCTGGCATCCATCCAGTTCCACTTGCAAACCATCTGGATGACCGCATCATTGATCTTTTCTTAATTCATGGTCGATTGAAGGCCACTCTCCTTGAAGGAAACGGAATCGTAGCGGTTGAGTCGCCGATAGTTTTTCGTATGTCTCCGCTGGCTCGTACTGTGACCTTTCGTATATATTTTTCTTTCTAAAAAGCGAATAGTGTGAGGTTAGAAGCAAATGGTCGTCGACTCACCTCGCCGAACGTCTTGACTGTGGGAATGGTTTCGACGGGCATTCATGAGCACCATTATGAATATCCGTGAGCTTTGGGTTTGTGCGTCCGTTCCACTGTTTGTGCCTCATCACAAATCGTGCCCTCGACAGGGTGTGGGACTTGAGCTGAGGACGTAACCCCGTATTCGTCACGGACAAGGCATCCGCGAAACCACCAACTTTGTTACTCACCTGGAACCAGATGATTATCGCGGCACCATGCAAATAGTCCAGCGCATCCCCTCCCTACGAACAACACTCGGGTTTGGTATAGTTGGCTAGGCGACGACAAGTTCCACGTTCATATCGTGAAGTTGAGGTCGGCTCGAGTTAGCATAACGAGGCCACGAGTAGCTCCTAGACCTGTCGCAGGATATCCGTAGTGTAAGTCTGCACTCCACGGTCTGAGCAACCAAACCGAACGACTTGATAGAAAACCGAATAGATTAGACGAATAATAGACGAATAATGAAACTCCAGAACAGGACCATGGATGGAAAGATTCCGCTACCAACGAGGGAAGACGCGAAAGTTCGGTCCGAGAGCATTGCTCTCTGTGAGAATCCGAGTATGTTCATCATCGATGCAGCCGACCTAAAAGGCGTCAGCTGAGCGATTTTGGTCGTAACAGCTCAACTTACGATCCAGAACCGCCCGTACCACCGCTCCCGCTACTCGAGTCCTCAGTGAGCTCATAGCTCCAGACTTCGAGCCAGTTTGCCGTCATCCAATGATCCTGCGAGTTTGTCACGAGAACTTCGTGGTCCGCAGGAGTCCCATCCGCATTCTTTGCCGACAATCCCGACGCAAAGTAGCGCAAGCATCCCTCGATGACTTGTTGCCATGGTACAGAGGCATTGTATTCAACCGGTTGCGTGTTGGCATTGGCGTCGAGCGAGACGGTGTATGCCCATGTGTCGGTGTAACAAGGCCCGTAATATGCAAACGCTGAGCCTGTTGCGGACTTTAGCCACCAAAAGAATCTGCAGAGATAGGACTCGACCTTGGAATTTGTAGTAAAGCGTTGCTCCTTTGTTCCGAGTAGCTCTGAATGTCTCGTTATTCACGCCCTCTGGGAGAATGGTACCCGCATAGAGTTGATAGTCACTCCTGAGGTACAAGGTCATCCGTTGTTCGATTTGAATTCTCCCAGTCATACCAATGATGCGTTCCCGCTGGTCCATACACGATCGAGTTGTCAATCGCGTCAATATACTGCTTTTTAAGGGTGCCATCCTTTACGTTTCCAAGGACTACGGTGGCGTAATCGAAAGTGAGCGCACTTTGTGCGCCTCCAATTTTCGTCGTGAGGATCAACGTATGTTGACCTAGCGGGAGGTTCTCGAATTTTGCGAGCTCCTGCGACGTGCTGTCCGCCGTGGTACCTGATGTAACCGCATTTCCGTCTAGTGTGTACGTCGCAGACATGCCCAGGGTGACGTTGCCGGCCAGGTGAATGGCCGTTCCATAAAATGTGAGTGCCAAGGTGGCGCCTAGAATGCATAAAAGCAATTTATGAGTTGAATCCATCTCAAAGAGAAACTGACAGACCGTCCATCCCAGTTACATGGGCCGAATGCTCATCGCACCTCCACAGGATAGCATCGCAGACGACCGACCAGCCCTTGGTATTGTCACTGATACTTCCGGGTGGATTGTAACGTATGATAGGCGAGGTATCATCCACGGTGACAGTCTAAGAGTCGGATAATGCGGATATTTTGGACGATGAGAAGGTTGAGGTGGGAACAGCGGATGAAACGGAAAATAGTCGAGTCAGAAAGGAGGGTCCAAATCGGCTGTAAGACGAACCAAGGGTTGGGACATCACAATGGTCGAGGCCAAGGTTGTATTTTTGAGGTTGTTAAGTCCGTCGAGTCGGGCTGTTGATGGCATTTCAGCCGAAGCGTGGGCCAAGTTGTTCCCACACGACGACTTTGACTAGATTCTAGGCGACTGCCTGAGCAGCTAGGATTCATAAGGTTCATATACAGAACTAGTACATCAGGAATGAAAGCGTCAGACACAACGCCACGGCCACCACGACACTCATCATCGAAAAGGCAGCGGCTCCCTGCGTCAAAACGACCCAATAGAGAAAAGAGACAAATATAACAATACCTCCCCAGCTAAACGCCCACAGCATCGCATTCGAACATAAGTAAAACGGCGCTCGAAGCCCAAATTCTCGCAACCTCCGTAAACTCTTAGGACCTTCCAACAGCTCTTCAGGAAGTGGATTCCCGTGTATGACCCAGTCGTACAATGCCGTATGTCTCCGTCGTTCAGACGAATTGACGCTTTCCAGACGCCAGTGCTTAAGGACCAATTCACCGATTTGAGATTCAAGCGAAGCAGCCATATTGATGACTGCAACGGCAGATCCAGCGCATCCCAGGTTGAGGATCACAGCGCTGTACATGAACCAGCGCAGCCCGCGCCAAGCAGAGAGAGAATGGCCTTGCAAGTCGCCGCCGCTAGCAAAGACAGCCGACTCGATGATCTGGTTGAGAGAGATTTGAACTGCGGCGAAGAGTGCAGACTAGGTATCGTCAGGAGAGCCATTCGCGTCGACGGCTTTGTAGATACACATACCGTCACAGCAATCGTCTGGGCGAGTTTAATCCAAGACTTGATATCAGACTGGATTGCAGGTGGAAGTTCAGCTTTGGGACGAGTCAATGAAGGTGCAATAAGGAGCAGTGAGCTCTTACCTTTGCTAGCTTTTTCCAAAACAACCTCCTTCAAGACAGTTCCAGCCCTTTGGCTTCCACTATTCTGTACGTTGGAATCGTTTATACCATTTGGTTGACTTGAAGAGGGCGTCTGGGGCATAATTGATGGAGGTGAGACTGCTACACGAGAGGGAAGAGCGGTTAGAGTGAGAGAATTACCCAGATTATTTGGTTCTTAGAGCTTTATATTATTGCCTCGAGGTGGACGCATGCCCTAATGCTGGCTGGTTAAGACAGTCTCCTGAGCCGTAAAGGCAGGATAGTTTGACCCGTAACGATTCCGATAGATATGAACCTTTCCCGAAGCACGCAGGACAGCCAATTTATTCAAACAATCCAGATGCCATCGCTCAAACTACAATGGCTCTATGTATTCGCCGTAATGAATCTGAGAACAGTCTTCCTTCCATTCCATCCTGAGATTTTCCTACGTTATAGATGAAAGTAACGTGCATTTAAACTCATAAGCTTCGAATCAAATCACTCCATTGCGTCTCCTCGAACCTTTGTCCAAGAGGTGCCACACTGAAAGTTGGTAAAGTCAATTTCGGTCGCTCGGAACGGGCTCCTTGTCGGCATCGTCAGAAGGTGTCGGTATTGAAGCCCATGCCGGTTATCCGGTGGCACCCAAAAGAGATGTTTGTCGGACGATTGCACCCAACCATCGTGGGAAAGTGTGCACTTCTCGAATCCAGGTACGCGGATTCTAAGACGAGTTCCTAGTGATGGATCACCAGAACCTGACTCTGCAGGCTCGCTGTCCTGCTTGGAAGTGGTAATATGCGCAACTAGAAGATAGTCATCAACCACTCGTTCTCAATAAACCAGCCTATACTCACCGATATCCGCATCCCACACTCGAATTGTCTTGTCACTCGAGCATGAAATAACATGCGACCCGTCGGGGGAGAATAAGACGGCATTGACGCATCCACTGTGGCCACGAAGTGCTCCCCCTAACAACTGACCAGTCGCCACATTCCAGTATCGAATGGTATTGTCGCTTGAGCCAGAGACAATTGTTGAGCCGTCTGGCGAGAATGCGATAGAGGTAACCGAATCCTCATGACCTCGAAGTGGTCCCCCCCATATTTGACCAGTCGTAGCATCCCACAGTCTAATTGTCCAGTCATCCGAGGCAGAAGCGAACCGTAATCCGTCTGTTGAGTATGCCACCGCATTTACCGATTCAAAGTGACCTCGAAGGGCATCCCCAATTGGATGACCAGTACCTACGTCCCAAATTCGGACGGTACAGTCAGTTGAGCCGGAGACGAGTCGCAGACCGTCTGGAGAAAACGCAACAGTCTTGAGCGGGCCATTATGACCCTGCGCCTCTCCCACTGGCTGACCGGTCACTGCATCCCACACCCGAACGACACCTTCACTTGAACCAGATACAATTTTTGAGTCATCTGGTGAAAATGCGACGGTATTGACCGACTCAACATGACCCTGGAAAGGCTCTCCCAGAGATTTGCCCGTAATGGCATCCCATAGTCGCACTGACTTGTCATCTGAAGCAGAGACAACTCGCGAGCCATCTTGCGAAAATGCGACGGCTGTGACCACTCCACTGTGCCCTCGAAGAGGCCCTCCCAGATGCTTGCCACTTTGGACACTCCATAGGCGAAGTGTCCTGTCGTTTGATCCAGAGATGATTCGGGAGCCGTCCGGCGAAATGGCGATGTCGTTGATCTGTTCTGTGTGACCAGGTATAAGCTCTCCTAATGGTTGACCACTATCCGGATCCCATAGTCGAATTGTCTCGTCATCAGATGCCGAGACAATTCGGGTGCCGTCTGGTGAGAATGCGACAGCGTTGATCCAGCTATCGTGCCCTCGAAGCGGTTCTCCTAACTGCTGGCTAGTGCCTACGTCCCATAGTTCAAGCGTACTGCCGCTCGACGCAGAGACGATTCGTAAACCGTCTGGCGAGAATGCAACGGCGGTAACCACCCCATTATGCCCTAGCAGTGGCTCTCCGAGTGGCTGGCCAGTTTCAGCATCCCAGAGTCGAATCGTTTTATCATCTGATCCAGAGACAATTTTCGAGGCGTCTGGTGAGATTGCAACGTCATTGATCCGCTCCTCGTGACCTCGGATAGGCTCTCCCAAAGGCTGACCAGTTGCCGCGTCCCAAAGTCGAATTGTCTTGTCCCAAGATCCAGAGATGATTATTGAACCATCTGGCGAGAATTCAACAGCAGAAACTGAGTCTTTATGACCTTCAAGTGGTTTTCCAATGGGTTGGCCGGTATCCGCATCCCACAGCCGAATTGTCATGTCCCCCGACGCAGAGACCATCCGCGAGCCATCTGGAGAGAATGCGAGGTCGTTGACCCATCTTTTGTGACCTCGAAGCGGCCTACCCAAAGGCTGACCACTGAACGCATCCCAGAGTCGTATTGTCTGATCATCCGAGGCGGAGCCAATCCGCGAACCGTCTGGTGAGAATGTAACGGCAGAAATCGGTCCTTTGTGACCCTGGAGTGGTTCTCCCAATGGCTGGCCACTTTCTATATCCCACAGGCGAATCGCATTTCCACCTGTGTCAGAGGCAATATGCGAGCCATCCGGCGAGAACGCAAGCGCAGCCACTGAATATTTAAAGCCTCGGAGAGTCATCAGTAGCCCATGATGCCCTTCCTCGAGACCCCGAGTCACTGCGAGGGTATGCTGGTAGCTGTTGAGACACTCTGTACGCAGTTTTGATGTTCCGGGAGTGAATGGAAGCGCAGAAATGTAAATATGTGGTATGCTTTCTTGGATGGGCACCAAGAATGCCATCATAAATCGACCAATATCGAAAATGCGATTCTTTGTCTCCTCCTTGATCTTTCAGTGGTATAAATTATCAGAAAGGAAGAGAATGAAATACTCACACCTGTACGGCGCATCAAGGCTTGGAGCCCAGAAATCGCCCGCGAGACATCCGCTGTCACACTTAGAATCTCCATCCAGTATAAGACACGGGAACTCCTAATAATGCACCCGAACTCCTCTATTAGCTTTCCACTCCAGTTCCAGCCAGTGCCTGCGACGTGGAATGACCAATGAGAGCTGGCGTATCGCAGCCTTCGTGGAATGAACTTTGCTACCCGGGCATCAAGGTCAGGGATCTGTCGATTTAGATAGAAAGATGACTCGATTTGACATATATTGAACTGGAGCCCTTCAGTTCTCGATGTGAGGCAGTTAAGACACCAAGACGCGACTTGACCATGCGCGTTGGCAACGTCGATATACACTTTGTTGGTACTGCCGACGTACGGGGGGACGGAGCAGCGTCGAAGGTATTCCAAAAAGGTTGGATGACGAAATTGTATCAGGTTTGTCCCCTCATCCGCAACAAGGACGCTCCCTAGATTCTGCACCAAAGATCTGACACTTCCGCGTATACCATTATGCTTGAGAATATCGTCTAGATCATCAGGAGTAAATGGCTCGAATGCAGCAAGCAGCAGTGCGAGCATTTGAAACATCACCGCATGAAACTTCGGGTCTACGCGCTCAAAGATGAGATCGTATACATCGTCTATATCCCCTCTTTGATCCGTGGAAATGAGGCGATAATATATTTCCTCCGGAAGGTCCCAGCTTGTTTCACTTGTGAGCATTCGGCATGCAGTACTTCCCCAGATGAATAGCCCATTAGCCTTCGCAGCCAATTTCTGTATCTTATCCTCTGATAGTATTCCAGAAAGCGCTTGATGTATATAGGCCGCGACGTCGTCAACGTTATCCTTGTGAATGATGTCGTGCAAACAGTCCTCCAGCTTGGCTTTGATGGAGAGTGGTCCCAGGACTAATTGAATGATACTGTCTGGCCGGCTTGTCATGAATATTTTGAGGTTTTTGGTGTTTCGAGCAGCCGTAGCCAGGGTCTCGACTAGTTCCCTTCGCTGTGGTGCGGACTTGCATTCATCGACAGCGTCGATGACAAGAATGACACATCCTTGCCGATGACGAAGGGGACCAGAGATGAGTGTTTCAAACTGCTCCTCGAGTGAGGATCGCATGATATTGGGATGTCGCTTCACAGCATTAGCAATATGTGGAGCAAGGTCGGGAATATTTTGGGCAAGCTCTCGTGCGATGGTAGAGCAAAACTTGTCTGTGGTTGATGCTTCGCTGGTTGCCATGGAGAAGAAGAACTGGCATCCTAGGATACCTCGGTTTCGGCAGGAATCTATCACAGACATTGCAACTGTGGATTTTCCAGAGCCTCCTATGTCACAGAGCCAAAATATTGGCTTGTCTGAAGCGTTATCATCGGCCCAACGCCAGATTGTCTCAAGAACAGCCCGACGAGTGCCTGGAAGGCATGTCGTGTGGACTGAGTACTGTTCGAGCTCTACTATTGGCAGCTGGAATAGGGCAGCGGCGTCAAATTTGGACATTTCATCTTGGAATATTAAGCGGGCGTCACATGCTGGATTTGAACGTACCATCTTCCATAATTCGTAATGTTGACTTGGTAGGCACTTCTATGAACCGAGTTCGTAATATGATAAAAATTCTCAATTTCTCCTGCGCTTGTGGTCAACTTGTGAATCAGGCTAGCAAAATATCGCACCATAAACCGGCTATGCCACTCCTCAATATCTTGATTAAGTTTGACGATCTGCCTCTTATCATCTTTTGTTCTATTGAACACTTTGAAGACGCCGAGCTTGCTGTGACTCCATTTCTCCTTTAGGGTTGCAAATTCATCATAAATAGTCTCGAGAGACCTACGCCATTCAGCTTATTGGATTGACTTGATCTGTTTACATACTTCAAATCTTGAACCAGCGACCGCTGGAATGACTCGTCAATCGCCGACTCATTTGAAGGATATGGCTCAAGCATGGTGATTTGCTCCTCAAGGACCAAGGTATATCTCTTCAGACGTTGAGCTAGCTCGACCCATTCTTCTTGCCTGATCTCCGTAGCCTGTCGTATTTATTAGGTCAGGCCGTACGAGTGTCCTCAACCCACCTGTATGACCTCGAGGATTGATTTCATTGTTCTACAAGCTGCCTTCAAAGGGGCAAGTACATCTGACCCTTCTTCTATCTTCGCTATTCCCGCCAGTAGGTCGAGACTGACAGGATTGTAAACTTGACTCTTGCTTGATGGGTTACGTGGTCCAGAGCTTTTTGGTGAATCAGAAGTCTTCATCTTCGTACATTGCGGTCACCGGCGATAGGATTTCAGTCATTTGCTATGGTCTAGAGTTCTGCTCACCAGTCGCAATCGCTTCCGAAAGCCCGACTTTGGACCGCTTCTCAACGAGTCCAATTTGTTGTCATTAGTCTCCGAAACCATGCCTTCTGTCGCTAGTCGTACAGATTCAACATCTGAGGCTCGGCCAGATAGCTCAGGTGTTTGAAATTTAGAAGGCTCTTCGGAAAATATCGTAGCAGCGGGTGTGTACTGATGAAGATTGGTGTTTGTGGGTGGATGCGCAGGGACGGATGAAGAGCGAGTCACCGAGTCCTCTAGACGTTTCTGACCCGAGTCGACTGGGCAGTAACTCTTCACGTGCTGGTCCATATTCTTCTCTCGAAGGCTCTTGCCGCTACCAAGGATGATGAGAGAATAATAGAGCGCAGAGGCATACGTACCACCCATCACACTTTGCGAGTGGCTCGGTCTTCCCTGTAATATGATCAGAGAGGTCTTTGTGGGTGAAAAATCTTTGCGTGCTGCAGTAAACCCCTGTGAGTGAATCCGCCTGTGTAACTAATCATCGCACCAGTTAGGTTTCCCGCAATCCCCTGTACAGGTAACCGGCCTTTGCTCGAGATGATGTCGCATGTGGACCCTAGCGTGGTCCAGCCGCTTGTAGATGCTCGGGTTTGGTATTGAGCGCATGCAGAGAGTGCAAACAAGCGACAGATCGTCGGTGTGGTTTCCAGGTACCTTGGAGAAGAATCCTAGGAGTACTGATTCTCCTTCGATAGCCCCGGGAATTCGGGCTGCCTCCTCTGCAGAAAGAGTTCGTTCAGCTGTCTGCTGAAGGAACCAGTCCTCGGTTTGAATACGTTGAAGAAGCTGGAGACGTGGTAGATCCCTTGGGTTAAGATATACGTCGGAGTGGACTTTCATTCTAGGCCAGCGCTTGCGTCCTGGATTGGTATTCTCGTCGTTGTGACTGTGAAGTATTTCATCTGATTCGCTGTCCGTATTCCAGTTGACTTCTTCCCGGTCGGTCTGCGCCGGGTCGGTCGAACCCTCTGAAGGGGCAGGCGAACTAGGACGCTCTAGGGCTGGATTCAAAAGATGATTAAGTGCGTTTTATCTCTTTGTACCGGGTGTGACCTACGTTTATCAGAATGTGAAGTGACTTGTTGCCTGCATTGGAAGCAGATCAGCTCTCTGCCTCGCGCGAATGGAAATGTGAACAAACGATGTCAATATGATCTGCATTCTTGATACATTTTTGTGCTCCTCGATATCAACCCAATCTGCAAACTTCATCTTTCGGAACGCTCGGCGTGAATCTTCGACCTTGCATGCTCCGGCAATTTTGAGAGCACAAAGGCCGTCGAAAATGTGATCTATTTTCTCTTGCTGTTCGGAGGGCTCGTATACGGCGACTTGATGACTGACAGCTTCGATACTCTTGCCGAGATCATTGATAAGGCTGTGTGAAGTAAACATTGAACTTTGTTTTCCGTGATATGACTTACCCAACAAGAACGTCTACCTGGCTGAGCAACAGATCCAGATTTGAGCCGCTTTCATCAACAGAGATTTCCTTGGCCAGGTGATATACGCAATGTTGAGAAGCGAGAGCGAGGTGATAGAGCTGGAGACCGAATAATGGTACTTTTTGCGACGCGCCGATGGCCCATTTAACATGCATCGCTGTGAGCCACAGGACAGGCGGGATGGGAGGAGGATTAGAGTTCCAGAACTAATTTTTGGTGAGCTGGATTGAAGGGATTCATACAAGGGCCACGTACCTTTTCTTTATTCACATTGGCTGAACGCAGAGCAAAGCGACGATTAGAGTGCAACTTCACTGATGGTGAGGACTCACTATCCCCAGGAGGTTTAGACTCTTGAACCGCCCTTGGGAGTACATTGACATCAGAGGACATGATAAGATGAGCGCAGAGTGCGCTACGCCTCGACCAGGTCAACCGCGAGGCCAACGATCAGGCCAAACAAACACGCTGCTTCCGCCTGACCAGCCCTGCATGCCGTCTTTTCAGGGTCCATTACAAGAGCTATTCCAGCGCGCATCAGCAAGACTAAGTAGAGCCACTGTCAAAAGTCGTGATCAGGCTGGCCTCCTGATTGAGAGGGCAAAGATCCTCGTTTTGGGCTCGGCAAACCCACCAATTGCCGCTTCAAGCCAAGCCATCTATGACCCAGCGGCACAATCGGCAATAAATCTGCTCAACACCACCGCTGATTCAATGGAGAACTCCGTCCCTCTAGACGTTCCCTCCAACCCTCGGATGATCGCCGATGTTTTCACCCAGCAGACTCGGATACTCGATAGTGCTCACGAAAACATGCGTGGAAAGGTGATGACTTCACGTAAACTATTCCAAAAAGCTGACCACAGTCACCTTAGATGCCCCCAGGTACCAAGGACGCCACAGTTCTCAAGCAACAAGAGGCAGAATCCAAAGAGCACGATGAACAACGGTCTCTGCAAGCCCTTCAACAAGTCTCGCAGTCCTCTGTCGTCCGTTCCACCGCCGTGAGTCAAGCCGTGGCATTCGAACTCCTGGATATGGACAACCACGACGAGAAAAATGTAATCAAACTTGGTACGGATGAATACCTATACTCGGTAACCCTACTCATACAACGTTAAAAGAGCGCGACGTGTTCCCTAGTGGAATCGCCATAAGGCGCAGACTCGTGGAACTCTACGATGAAAAGTTTCCTGACAGATACTTTGCGTTCAAGCTCTGGTACGAGTTACCAAAGAGTCCGTGCGGCGTCAGCAGGCGGTTTTGGCAAATAGGAGAGCAATGTGGCGAAGTCCCAACCGAACATTCTCGCCTCTATTTCGTCAATGTCGCTTTACCAAGTGGACCTCCTGGTACTCGGCAGTATACTGTCGTAACCGTGTGTCTAGACGAGCACGAGGAGCCATTTCCTGTCGGTGAGTCACTAGCTTCTTGCGGGTTGAGCATGAGCGACTGAGCGTCGACTCCAAGATTTGCCCGCGTCTGGTAACGTTCCGTGCTGCGACGGCTCGTGTCGGGATATTCATGAACATCTTAAACGAGTTTGGAGCTGTCGGCCATGGACTATCAAATCTATTCGACCGCTCGGAGCAAACGCCAAAGATTGGTCACTGACTAATAGACGCTTCAACGACGATACACTCGCACCAAACGAAAATACACTCCTTGTCTTCGTTTCACCCAAGGTACTATGACTTCCAAAGCTAGCGGACAATCTTGTTGACGTAAACCTTTGTACGATTACTGGATTCTGTATTCAATGTATTCTAATAACTTCCTCTTATTTAATGTCCAGAACTCTACAACGGCAAGGCGCTCGACAAACCTAGGCTGCACAGTCGTACTAGGGGGAAGTATCTGTGCAAATAAACCTTGATCCGCTGTAAATGAAGCAGGAGTACACGAAGGTACAGTAACGGCCACCAATCAAGGGGTGCGGGATCATCGTTGAATGCTGGAGCGCCTATGAAGGAGAGGATTGGTTCGGATGGCCTTTGGAAGCAATAGATAGCACATAATCTCGGTCAGTTTTGAGTAAGAACTTGTAGCTCTTCAGGTGGCCTTCAGACATCGAAGATCCCAAATTGGGAATCATCCTAGTGACTAATGTTGCCGGACTTCGTCATTTTGCTTTACTTTATTTCCACAGACGGGTACTATCATGACAGAAGATGAATCATACGACATGAACTCGGTTGTCGATGTGCTCCTTCACTCACACGCATCGGTAATTCAATTCCAAATCCTTCGTGTATACAATTCCAATCCCTTGCAGATATTAAGGACTTAGATGTTGTCTTGCTATGGGAGGGCGCATCTGGTTACGACCATCAGTGTGAGACGCGTGGCTGCGAGGTGAAAGCCTCTCCTCTTACCACACCCGTGACGAAGTAGTATAGCGGAAAGTAGAGGTATTTTATATAGAACGTGCATCGGCAAAATCTAAGGAAAGTACGGGGGTGTTTGTTAAGAGGTTAAGGGCGTTTCGTACGAAATTGTGCTGGAATGTAGGCGACACGTGGAAACAGAATCATGGTAGGCCGAAGATGAAGCATTCAATTATAAGATGAAGAGAATGCGAGATAATTGAGAGAGAAAGAAGGGAGAGCGTAACGGCGGGAGAGCATGTTCCGGGAAGCAGCAGACTCTTAGACAGAGGCTAAGGACGGTGAGAAGAGACAACAAGTAAAGCTTTCTCCTGTCACCATACCTCGGTTATACTATGCAACGAGACAAATACCGACCAAAAATGCAGACGGCCACCATGAGGTTTTTACGAGCGGATGAGTGGCCTTGGACCTAGGGACAGCCGAGATGGTCAGTGGAAAGAAGAAATGGAATGTGGTCTTCGGGTCGCTGTATGACTAGGACTGGGTGCCTTCGGCCGTACACTCGTCTTCCCTTGGTATACCGAGGCCGCTCCAGAAGATGATTAAGACTCAAATTCAGGGCGGAGGTGCAGGTTGGAGGCGTCCAGCGGCCTGCTTTCCTTAACGAAGTTGTATGATGGGTCCTTCGTCGTAGATTTCATATGGAGTTTCATATGGCGCGTCTTGTTCTGCACTGTGCAACGGCGTCCGCTATGGGTGCATCAGCCATCAACGAGTGTACCGTCTCAGAAGATACGCACCACACATCGCACTTGAGACCTTGGGCATTCAACTTCCGAATCCTCCCAAATTCTCTTTTGGTCGTCTCATTGGAGAATCGGCCGTCAGGATGCCAGTTGAAGTGTCGGCGAATATGTCCAAAGGTACGGGGTAGCGAAGAATCGCCCTGCCAGGGTTCGCCTAACGCTTCACATATCTTGCAACGATTTTTCTTTCCTAGGATGATAAACAGGGCGAAAAGGCTGATGCTCGTTTCACTGGAGGGCATATTCCTGAGCCTCTCCTTGTATTTGTCCAGAACTTGCTCCTTCTGTTGACTTTGAAACCAAGGAGCTGCTAAAATGTCTCTCACAAGATCCTGATCGTCCGGTGAAAGAACTTGCATGATGCGGATGATGTCTTCGCTTTCCAGAGTGAGTGGTGAATCCACAATTGTCAACTTGGCCTGTAACGCAGCGCTGTGTTCGCTCTCTATATCAAGTCTCGCACCCTCGTCCGTGGATACACTCCGGTCATCTTCTTCCTTCTCAGTCTGCGCTGGGTCGCTTGAACCTTCTGACTGGGGAGGGGAATCAGCCGAATCTAGTACTAGGTTCATCCGTTTTGAAGCGGTGGATTTAGTCTCTTCTAGTGCGCGTGACGTGTACTCAGCAGAGTATGGTGTCTGTTGGCGCCTGCGTCAACCGTAGATCAGCTCGCTATCTCAACCAACGGAAAAGATAAAACAGACTCCATCAACGTGAGCTTGTCGTGGGACGTGTTCCTGCGTTCGTAACCATTAATCCAATCCGCCTGCTGGATTTGTTTATGAGCAGCTTGAAAGGGCAAATAAGGCAACATACCTTCTCTTCATTCGCTAGAACCGGAATATTCTTAATGGGACATGGCAGCCGTCGTGGACATTCAGCAAATACTCACCATCCTCAGGAGCTTTGGACTCTGGGCCCGCGCGTACAGGTATACAGTCGTCAAAAGACATGAATAGACCTGCGCGGGTTGCGCTATTCCTCGAGTAGGTTTCGCAGTCGGCGCCAATCGATTTGGGACAAACAACTGCGCTGCCTCCGGCTGACCAGCCTGCTTGCCATCTTATGTGGCTCAATATCAGTACAAAGACAAAAATGGAGAAATCCACTGTCAAAGGACATGTTCAGGCAGGCCTATTGACCGACAGGGCCAGCATCATCAGCTCTTTGAACCCAAAAGCCACTCCCTCAATTCGGCCTGTTAACGATACAGCCACAGGATCAGTGGTTGATCTACTCGAATTTGCTACTCTTCAAGTAGAGAATATATGAGGAGCACCGCTGGCTCACGGGTTCTGAGTGATTCACCAAATCCTCAGGTTCTCGACGTAATCTGCGCCCATGAGAGGTAGATTCTATATCGAGCGAACGATCATGTGTGTACTATCGTAACCACCTCGGCAGACCACCCCGCGAAGCTGACTGCGATCCCATTCAATAGATATGTCCTGGTGGCGAGGACGCCACTGTTGTTATGACTCGATTATGTTATGTACATAGTGGCCCCTGTGACCGGTGGCAGAGTCTACGCTCTTAGACTCCCCCCTCACCGCGTCACAGTCACAGTTCTCGGGCAACCAGAGACAGAGAGACATTGATGAGCGAGATGGTTCACGAATTATTCAACGTACTTCACAGGTTCCCTTAGTTCCCCGCGTCATGAAACAAGACCTAAACCTCGCCCTCCTAGATATGGACAACTACAGGGGTCATAAAATTCAACTTGGTCGGCGCTAGTATGTAACCTTCACACTTTTACTTATGCGATGTGAAAGACCGCCGTAGGTTCCATACTGGAACTGCCATAAGGCACAAATTGGGGGAAATATAGAAAGAGCAGTTCCCAGAGAAATTCTTCGCATTCAAGCTTTGGTATGAACTCTCAGGCAGTCCATGCGGCGTCAACAAACGCTTTTGGCAAATAGGAGAGCAGCGACGCAAAATCCCAAACGAACATTTCACCTCTATTTCGTCAACGTCGCTCTGCCAAGTGGGCCTCCTGGTACTCGGCAGTATACTGTCGTAACTGTATCTCTAGATGAGCATGAGGAACCATTTCCTCTTGGTGAGTTCATAGCTTTTGCAGTTTAAGCACAAGTTATTGAAGGGTTTGAAGATATACCTGCATCTGGTAACCTTCCGTGTTGCATCCAATTATGCCGGAATGTTCGCGAGCATCTCAGTCGACTTTGGAGCTGCCGGTCGTGGGTCGTCGACTCGATACAACCACTAGGGGCCGAGTTTGATGATTCCTACCCGGATGGCAAACCTTTCAACGATAATACGCTGGTACCATACAAAAATACTCTGCTCATTGTTGTTTCCCTAGCTCCACCTCCGAACGTGCTGACTTCTGGAGCTTCCTGCAGTGTTTGTAGAATTGTGTACATCCGTGGATTCTTTATTGAATATGTTTTGTCCACGTGATCTTCTATACTTCTAAAGGCTGGCAAGAGGCACTAGATAATGGAGCTTAGAGTACAAGTCTCGAGAGGAAAGGGAATACACGGAAGAAACTATGATCTGTAGTAAACACGATATGACTGGAAGATGATAAAATAAACACGAGGGCTGTGAGCGACCGCCAGGGATACGGACGGGAGGGTAAATTGGAGTACTTTTGAAAGAGCAAGAGCAATACACTTGAACAGTCCGCTCAGGAGCTCACTGCCCTTCAGATCTCCTTGAGAAGTCGACAGTACGCGAGAGCAGGGCAAGCTTGCCATACGACGCTTGATCCGACACCAAGACAAGTTACGAGCGTTTCCGCCTCTCTCCTCATGTGGTGGATTGAAGCCAAGTGATGTGCCCGAATATGACGCCTTAGATGGGGATTAATAGCCCAACGAGGTTTCATCTTGTTGATCCTGGGGGGTCGCTCTCTAGTTATCACCGCACGGCAAGTAACAATCGGATTTCGACACCGACTGATCAATATTGGGAGATGTACCTGAGTACCCGTCGTCGTCGATGTCTGGTGCAACGTAGTAGGACCACTAGCGAGCGACTGCATAAACTCGCTCTGTGACTCGTTTCGCGAACCGAAAGCTAGTGACAAGGAGATTGCGATTGCGATCCCTGAGAGGTGTTAGAATTTGAGGTGGCAGCGGAAAATCCTCTCCTCATCGGTATAATGCGTTCGCCAAACAGCTTGCACGCGTTCTGGCGAGCGAGCGAGAATATGGTCGAGTAACTCCCCATCAGAAGCATGATGTCAATGGGTTGCCCAGTTTCGACGACTTCATGACGGGATACAATACTCGGGATGCCTAAGCGTCTGCACCGTGATGAATCGGTCAGCCAAGCCATCAACCAGTGATTTGTTCAAACTCGCCCCGAGAGCCCAAAATCGATCAATGAACTTGGTTTTGACGTTCCTGCGACCGAAGAGCTAGACGGCGACCTGACCTTTCGGCTGGGTGCGAATGCAGATTGAGCTTGATCTGTTCTCGTCCTCTGGTATACGAATATTATTTGAATTATGATCATATACAATGGAACTGATTGGGAACTGCTCGATGCCGCTGCAGGCCGACGGGTCGAAGTCAAATAAGGCAAGTGGAAGACCAGACAAAGCACATTTCCTCTGAACCACAACGGGGCGATCCGACCAAGACCCACTACGACAAGCATTTGAAGCTGGTTCTGGAAAAGCGCTTCAAAGGCTGTGCTTATGCCAAGTGTTGGTCACCACTCGCCCAGACACAGTCCATCCATCGTCGAAGTTCATCAAGTCGGCGGTTGATGGCGAGGTGTTCCCACACGACGACTATGACCAATCCAGACGACTGCCTGAGCAGCTATGATTCAGAAGGTTCATATACAGAACTAGTACATTAGGAATGAAAGCGTCAGACACAACGCCACGGCCACCACGACACTCATCATCGAAAAGGCAGCAGCTCCCTGCGTCAAAATGACCCAATAGAGAAAAGAGACAAAAATCACAATACCTCCCCAGCTAAACGCCCAGAGCATCGCATTCGAAAACCAGTAAAACGGCTCTCCAAGCCCAAATTCTTGTAACCTGCGTAAACTCCTAGGACCTTCAAACAGTTCCTCAGAAAGTGGATTCTCGTGTATGACCCAGTCGTACAATGCAGTATGTCTCCGTCGTTCAGACGAGTTGACGCTTTCCAAACGCCAGTGCCCTAGGAGTAGTTCACCGATTCGACATTCGAGTGAAGCAGCCATATTGATGACTGCAACGGCAGATCCAGCGCATCCCAGGTTGAGGATCACAGCGCTGTACATGAACCAGCGCAGCCCGCGCCAAACAGAGAGAGAATGGCCTTGCAGGTTGCCGCCGCTAGCAAAGACAGCCGACTCGATGATCTGGTTGAGAGAGATTTGAACTGCGGCGAAGAGTGCAGACTAGGCATCGTCAGGAGAGCCATTCGCGTCGATGGCTTTGTAGATACACATACCGTCACAGCAATCGTCTGGGCGAGTTTAATCCAAGACTTGACATCAGACTGGATTGTAGGTGGAAGTTCAGCTTTGGGACGAGTCAATGAAAGTGCAATAAGGAGCAGTGAGCTCTTACCTTTGCTAGCTTTCTCCAAAACAACCTCCTTCGAGACAGTTCCAGCTCTTTGGCTTCCACTATTCTGTACGTGGGAATTGTTTATACCATTTGGTTGACTTGAAGAGGGCGTCTGGGGCATAATTGATAGAGGTAAGGCTGTACACGAGAAGACAGAGGGGCGAGGTGTGAGAGAATTACCCAGATGATTTGTTTCTGAGAGCTTTATATTATCGCCTCGAGGTGGACGCATGCCCTAATGCTGGCTCGTTAAGACAGTCTCCTGAGCCGCAAAGGCAGGATAGTTTGACCCGTAACGATTCCGATAGGTATGAACCTTTCCCGAAGCACGCAGGACAGCCAATTTATTCAAACAATCCAGATGCCATCGCTCAAACTACAATGGCTCTATGTATTCGCCGTAATGAATCTGAGAACAGTCTTCCTTCCATTCCATCCTGAGATTTTCCTACGTTACAGATGAAAGTAACGTGCATTTAAACTCATAAGCTTCGAATCAAATCACTCCATTGCGTCTCCTCGAACCTTTGTCCAAGAGGTGCCACACTGAAAGTTGGTAAAGTCAATTTCGGTCGCTCGGAACGGGCTCCTTGTCGGCATCGTCAGAAGGTGTCGGTATTGAAGCCCATGCCGGTTATCCGGTGGCACCCAAAAGAGATGTTTGTCGGACGATTGCACCCAACCATCGTGGGAAAGTGTGCACTTCTCGAATCCAGGTACGCGGATTCTAAGACGAGTTCCTAGTGATGGATCACCAGAACCTGACTCTGCAGGCTCGCTGTCCTGCTTGGAAGTGGTAATATGCGCAACTAGAAGATAGTCATCAACCACTCGTTCTCAATAAACCAGGCTATACTCACCGATATCCGCATCCCACACTCGAATTGTCTTGTCACTCGAGCATGAAATAACATGCGACCCGTCGGGGGAGAATAAGACGGCATTGACGCATCCACTGTGGCCACGAAGTGCTCCCCCTAACAACTGACCAGTCGCCACGTTCCAGTATCGAATGGTATTGTCGCTTGAGCCAGAGACAATTGTTGAGCCGTTTAGCGAGAATGCGAGAGAGGTGACTGAATCCTCGTGACCTTGGAGAGGTTCCCCCCACGGCTGACCAGTTGCAGCATCCCACAGTCTGATTGTCCAGTCATCCGAGGCAGAGGCGAGCCGTGAGCCGTCTGGTGAGTACTTCACGGTATTCACCCAGTTCACGTGACCTCGAAGGGGATCCCCTATCTGATGACCAGTCGCTACCTCCCAAATTCGGACAGTACAGTCTGTTGAGCCGGAGACGAGTCGCAGACCATCTGGAGAAAATGCGATCGTCTTGACCGACCCATTATGACCACAAAAAGCCTCTCCCAATGGCTGGCCCGTCATCGCATCCCACAGCCGAAGGGTACTATCACTTGAACCAGAGACGAGTTGGGAACCGTCTGGTGAGAATGCGATAGCATTGACCGAATTCTCGTGACCTCGCAGTGGCTCTCCCAGAGGATTACCAGTAGCGGCATCCCACAGTCGCACTGTCTTGTCATGTGAGGTAGAGGCGATTCGCAAGCCATCTTGCGAAATCGCGACCGCTGTGACGACCCCACTGTGCCCTCGAAGTGACTCTCCCGACGGCTTTCCGGTCCTTGCATCCCATAAGCGAACCGTCTTGTCGCTTGATCCAGAGACGATTAGGGAGCCATCTGACGAAATGGCAACGTCGTTGATCTGTTCTACGTGACCTGGGATAAGCTCTCCTAATGGTCGACCACTGTCCGCATCCCACAGTCGAATTGTCTCGTCATCAGAGGCCGAGACAATTTGGGAGCCGTCTGGTGAGAATGCGACAGCGTTGATCCAGCCTTCGTGCCCTCGAAGCGGTTCTCCAAGCTGCTGGCCAGTATCCGTCTCCCATAGATCAATTGTAAGGCCACTCGAACCAGAGACGATTCGTGAACCGTCTGGCGAGAATGCGATGGCTGTAACCACCCCATTGCGCCCTAGCAGTGGCTGTCCGAGTTGCTGACCAGTATCCGCGTCCCATAGTCGGAGTGTCTCATCGTCCGACCCAGAGACGATTTGCGAGCCATCTGGTGAGAGTGCGATGCAATTGATCCGTGCTTCGTGACCTCGGATCGGCTCTCCCAATGGCTGGCCAGTCACTGCGTCCCAACATCGGATCGCCTTGTCCCACGATCCAGATATGATTCTTGAACCGTCTGGAGAAAACTGAACAGCGGAAATCGAGTCCTCGTGACCTTCAAGTGGTTCTCCAAGGCGCTGGCCAGTCTCCACAACCCACAACCGAATTGTCATGTCACCCGACGCAGAGACCATCCGCGAGCCATCTGGAGAGAATGCGACGTCACTGACCCATCTTTTGTGTCCTCGAAGCGGCTCGCCCAATGGCTGGCCAGTGTTGGCATCCCACAGTCGAATTGTCTTGTCATCCGAGGCAGAGCTTATTAGCAAGCCATTTGGCGAGAAGACGACAGCGGAGATTGGTCCTTCATGTCCATGGAGTGGCTCTCCTAACGGCTGACCAGTCTCCGCATCCCACAGCCGAATTGCATTTTCACCCGAGTCAGAGACGATTCGAGAACCATCCGGTGATAGGGCGAATGCGGAGATCGAATATCTGTGGCCTCGAAGCGTCGCCGGAAGTCCATGATATTCCTCTTCAAGACCTCGTGTCACAGTAAAGATATTTTGATGGTCTTTGAGACCTTCTATGCGTAGTTGTGATGTCCCGGGGGTAAATGGAAGTCCGGAAATGTATATATGCGGAATGCTGTCCTGTATGGGCACCATGAATGCAATTATGAATCGGCGTATCTCAATAAGGCGACTTCGCATCTCCTCTTGAACCTTCTAATCCTTTAGATAACTAAAAAATGGAAACGGTTCACTCACACTTGTTCTGTGTATAAAGGCTTGGAGCCCGGCGATGGCTCGCGGCACTCCCCTCGTTATACTTAGGATCTCCATCCAGTGCAGTATACATGAGCTCGCAATGATGCACTTGAGCTCATTTGAGAGCTTTTTTCGCCAAATTTCGTCCGTTTCGGCGATGTGGAACAACCAATGGGAGCTGGCGTACCGAAGTCTTTCCGATATGAAGCTTGCTGCCCTGGAGTAGAAGTCGGGGATCTGTCGATTTAGATAGAAGGATGATTCGACTTGGCATATATTGAACTTGAGCCCTTCAGTTCTCGACGCGAGGCGGTTAAAACACCAAGCGGCAGCTTGACCGTGCGCACTGACAATGTCCAGGTAAATTTTAGTGCGGTTATTGAGGACCGTGGAATGGGAGCGGCGTCGAAGATACTCGATGAAAGTGGGAGAGCGAAATTGTATCAATTTTGTGCTCGGATTCACGGCAAGTACGCTCCCAAGATTCTGCACCAACGCATTGATATTCCCGGGTATACCATTTTGCTTGAGAATGTCGTCCAAATCGTCGGTGGTGAGCGGCTCAAATGCAACCTGCAGCAGGGCGAGCACTGAACACATGATTCCATATGACTCTGGATCTATGCGCTCAAAGATAAGGTCGTATATATCGTCTATCGCTCCACTCTGGTCTGTAGAGATCAGACGCTCATATATTGACTCGGGAGAGCTCAAGGATGTTTCGTCTGTGAGCATTCGGCATGCAGTACTTGCCCAAATGAATAGCCCGTTGGCTTTGTTGACAAGCCTCTGCCTCTTGTCCTCCGACAGTATCCCAGAAAGCGACTGATGGATATAGGTCGCGACATCATCGACATTGTCCTGGTACTTGACGTCGTGCAAGCGGTCCACTACCTTGGTTTGGGTCGACAAAGCTCCCATGGCTGCTGCAATGACAAGATCTGGCCGACTTGTCACAAAGATTTTGAGATTCTTGTTTTGATGAACAGCCATGGACAATGTTTCGACAAGTTCTCTTCTCTGTGGTGCGGATTTGCATTCGTCTAGAGCGTCGATGATAAAAATGACGCGCTCTTGTCGATGGTGAAGGGGGCCGGAGATGAGCGTTTGAAACTGTTCGTTAAACGGGAGTCGCATGACGGCGGGGTGTCGCTTCACTGCATCGGCAATATGTGGAGCAAGTTCGGGCATATTATGGGCGAGGTCTCGCGCAATGGTAGGGCAGAACTTCTCGATGGTTGAGGCTTCGGTGCTGGCTATGGAGAAGAAGAACTGGCCTCCTAGGATACCCTCTGTGCGCCATGACTGCGCCACGGACATTGCGACAGTGGATTTGCCGGAGCCAGCTATATCACACAACCAGAATATTGGCTGATCCGAGGCATCGTTGTGGGCCCAATCCTGAATTTCTCCAAGAATAGCCTCTCGAGTGCCTGGCATACATGTATGGTGGATTGAGGAGGCAAAAGAAGCTACTGTTGGCAGCTGCAGTATGGCAGCAGCGTCAATTTGAGACATTTCATCTTGGAATAATAAGCGGGCGTTACGTGCTGGATTCGAACGTACCATCTACCAGAGTTCCTAATACTGACTTGGTAGACCTTTCTATGACCTGAATGCGTGATGCGATAAAAAGACGCAATGCCTCCTGCGCTTGTGGTCAACTTGTGAATCAGGCTAGCCAAATCTCGCACCATAAGCTGCCTATGCCTGTGGTCAATATCTCGACCAAGTTTGAGGATCTGCCTCGTACCATCTTTTGTTCTACTGAACGCTTTGAAGACGCCGAGCTTGCTGTGGCTCCGTTTCTCCTTTAGGGTTGCAACTTCATCGTGCAAAGCCTCGAGAAATCTACATCATTCAGCCTGTTGGGGTAGACTTGAACTGTTCACGCACTCAACGTAGTCAACTAGCGGCTGCCGGAGTGCCTTGTTTACGGCCCTCTCATCCGAAGGATATGTCTCAAATATGGTGATTTGCTCCTCAAGGGCCGATGTATATTTTTTCAGACGTTGAGCTAGCTCGAGCCATTCTTCTTGCCTGATCTCCATAGCCTGTCGTTTTTATTAGGTCAGGCCGTACGAGTGTCCTCAACCCACCTGTATGACCTCGAGGATTGATTTTATTGCTCTACAAGCTGCTTTCAAAGGGGGAAGTACATCTGCCGCCAGTAGGTCGAGGCTGACAGCATTGTAAACTTGACTCTTGCTTGATGGCTTACGTGGTCTAGAGCTCTCTGGTGAATCAGAAGTCTTCATCTTCGTACATTGCGGTCGCCGGCGATGAGATTTCAGTGATTTGCCATGGTCTAAAATCTTTGCTCACCAGTCGCAACCGCTTCCGAAAGCCCGACTTTGGACCGGTTCTCGATGACTCCAATTGATCGTCATTCACCTCGGAAACCATGAATTCTGTCGTCGGTCGCATAGATTTAACATCTGAGGGTCGGCCAGATGGCTCAGGTGTTTGAATTCTAGAAAACTCCTCGGAAAATATCGCTGTTGCCGGCGGGTGCTGATCAAGATCGGTGATTGTGGGTGGATGCGCAGGACGGATGAAGAGCGAGGCGCCGAACCCTCTAGACGTTTCTGACGCGAGTCGACTGGGCAGTAATTCTTCACGTGCCGGTCCATATTCTTCTGTCGAAGGCTCTTGCCGCTAACAAGTATGATGAGAGAGAAGCATTGAGTGCAGAGGCATACGTACCACCCATCACACTGTGCGAGTGGCTCAGTCTTCCCGGTGATATGAGCAGAGAGATCTTTGTGGGTGAAAAACCTTTGCGTGCTGCAGTAAACCCCTGTCAGTGAATCCGCCTGTGTAATTGGTCATCATACCAGTGAGATTTCCCGCAAGCCCCTGTACAGGTAATCGGCCTCTGTTCGAGATGATGTCGCATGTGGACTCTGGCGTGGTCCAGCCGATTGTAGATGTTCGGGTTTGGTATTGAGCGCATGCAGAGAGTGCAAACAAGCAACAGGTCGTTGGTGTAGTTTCCCGGTATCTTGTAGAAGAATCCCAGGAGTACGGATTCCCCTTCAATAGCCCCCGATATACGGGCTGCCTCCTCTGCAGAGAGAGTTCGTTCAGCGGTCTGCTGAAGGAACCACTCCTCGGTTTGAATACGTTGAAGAAGCTGGAGACGTGGGGGATCCCTTGGGTTAAGGTATACGTCGGAGTGAACTTTCATTCTACGCCAACGCTTGCGTTCTGAATCGGTATTCTCGTCCTTGTGACTGTGAATTCTTTCATCTGATTCGTTGTCCGTATTCCAGTTGACTTCTTCCCGGTCGGTCTGCGCCGGGTCGGTCGAACCCTCTGAAGGAGCCGGCGAACCAGCCCGCTCTACTGCTAAGATTCATAAGCCGTAAGAGATTAGTCTTGTATCTCATAGTGGGCCCGACGCACATCTACTGGAGTGTATTGTCTCCTGGCGGCTGCGTTGAAAGTCAATCAGCTCTCTACCTGGAACAATGAGAACCTTGAGCGAACCTCGTCAACCTTGTTTCGTTCTGCGACATCCCCCTGCGTTCTTGAATATCAATCCAGTCTGCATGCCTCATACCTTGGAACGCTGCGCGCGATCCTTCGACCGCGCTTGCCCCCGCTACGTTCAAAGCAGAAAGGCCGTTGAATATACGGTCTAGTTTTTCCTCTTCTTTTGAGGGGTCGTTGGCGACCGCCTGACTACTTGCAGCCTCGATACAGTCCCCTAGGTCGTCGATGAGGCTGCAGAGAGTCAACTACCATCTTCATTCGAACTCTCATGACCCACTCAGCAAGATCGTCGGCCTGGCTTAGTGATAAATCGAGGCTTGAACCGTTGTCATTAGTGGAAATTTCGTTGGCGAGGTGGTGGACGCAGTGTTGGGAAGCTAGGGCCAAATGATAGAGTTGAAGAGCGAAGAATGGTGCCCTTTGGGACGCTTGGATGGCCCATTTGGCATGTATTGCTGTGAGCCACAGGATGGGCGGGATGGATGGAGGATCAGAATTCCAGAACTATTGTCTGTGAGAGGTAATAAGGAATTTAGTATAATGCATAGCATACCTGCTGCTCATTCGCTGAGACTAGAGTGGAAATGGGTCACCCGGCAGCAAAGGTCAGCGATTACTCACCATCCTTAGCCAATTTGGGCTCTGAAACAGTTCTTGCGAGTGCGTGAACATCAGAAGACATGCTCAGGTGCGAGATGTCTCTAGTAGGTTGCGCACCCAGCGCCAATCGATCAGAGCCAAACAACCGCACTTGCCTCCAGCGGACTCACCCAATGCCATCAATTCAAGCTGAATTCCAGCGGCTGGTAAGAATACTGAAGAAATCCACTGTCAATGATCGTGCTGGGGCAGACCGCTTCATTGATACGGCTGGCAGCATGGTCGAGGGCTCTACCTCGAGGCAGGTTATCGACGAGTCAGCAGAAGAATCCACCATGAATCTCGTAAGACAAACTACTCGTGAAATAGAGAGTACCGTCTCGCCCTCCCAGCTACCGAGCAATCCCCTCGACGATCCTCAGTTCATTGCCAATGCAGCGACTCAACAGACTCGGATATTCGATCGCGCCTACAATATATGCATAAAGGCAAAAAAATTCTCAAACCACCTCACAACGCTGATGATGATCTATCAGATATCTTTGGGTGCCAAGGATGCCACGGCTCTGAAGCAAAAGGAAAGAAAATCTAAGGATCAACGTCGGATGTCGCGGATCCTTGGACGTGCATCGCAGTACCCCGTCTCTCCTATCACAGCAAATACAGCCGATCTCGACCTCCTGGAGATGAACGATTACGATGAAGAGAATATAATCAAGCTCGGTAAGAGAAACTACCTTTAAATTGACTCCTACTTATGCGGCATGAAAGCTCGGGACAGGTTCCCTAGTGGGGTGTCCATCAAGCAACACTTGATCCAACGCTACAAGGCGCGTTTCCCTGGAACGCACCTCGCGTTCAAGCTCTGGCACGAGCTTGCTGGTAGTCCATGCGGCATCAGTAAGCGCTTTTGGCAAATAATAAGAGATCAGCAAGGTGAAATCCCAATTACCTATTCCCGGATCTATTTCGTCAATGTCGCTCTACCAGATGGACAACTGGCCAGTAAATTGTACACGGTCGTGACTGTATCGTTGAATAAGCAGGAGAAACCACTTGCTCTTGGTGAGCTTCCATCATCCACCGTTTATACCGGCGTGATTGAACTAAGAGTCCAAAGATTTACCTCCTTCTGGTACTGTCTTGTGCTGCGGCGAAGCGTGTAAAGACATTTATCAGCATCTCGACCGATACTGTAGCCGCCGGTCATGGACCGTCGAGTCTATACGACCACTAGGAGCCAAGAGCAATGATTATTCACTGACTACAAGATGCTTCAACGATGATTCACTTGCACCAAACGAGAATACTCTCATCGTCTTCGTTTCCCCGGCTTCATCTCCCAACACGGTGTAATTCTCCAAGCTTTTCGCAATCCCCTTGAGGCAGAATCTTGTACATCTGTGAATAGTGTATGTATTTATATTCTCATCATATCCTCTTCTGCATGTCCCGAGGCAAAGACAATAACGAATCTGCGGACTGTCTTTTCTCAAATCCGCTTACATTCCAGATGAAATCAACGTGTATTTGAACTATTAAGCATCAAATCTAATCTCTCCATCGCGTCTCCTCGAACCTTTGTCCAAGAAAGACCACATTGAAAGCCGGTAAAAGTCAATTCAAGTCGCTCGGAATGAACTCTTCATCGGCATCGTGAGAAAATGGAGATGCTGGAGCCCTTGTCGATTCTCCGGTGGCATCCAGAAGAGATGTTTACCGGAAGATTGCACCTGACCATCGTGAGAAAGCGTGCATTCCCATGAGTGCATGGTCATCAGAGGACATGCCGAGACGAGTGCAGAATGCGCCACGCCTCTAACAGGTCTAACGCGAGGCCAACGATCGAGGCCAAACAAAGAAAATAGCTGAGATCATTCATTCTAAGTCTATTCTACTCGCGGGCCGGATTTGGGGGGTGGTTATGAGGGAGAGGACGAAGAGATGGAGGGAGGGGTCTGACGGTGAGGGGAAGTGGGTGAGGTATCCGGTTCGTTCTTATGGTGTCGGTCCTTTCTGCAACCCCTCGTAGCATTTCGCTCCTAGATCCGACAGGTCGCAAGACCTCGACTCTGTAGTCTAGTCGGATTTCCAATCTAAACATCTAAACAAACGCGCTGCTTCCGCCTGACCAGCCCGGCATGCCGTCTTCCCAGGGACCATTGCAGGAGCGCTGTTTCACCGCACATCAAGGTGACTAACAAGGCCACTTCAAAAGTTGTGCTTGGACCGGTCTCCTGATTGAGAGGGCAAAGATCCTTGGCAGCCCCACCAACCGTTGCTCCAAATGAAGCTATCGATGAGACAGCAGTACAACCGGCAATAAACATGCTCAACGGCGCCGCTGACTCAATGGAGAACTCCGTCCCTCTAGACGTTCCCTCCAATCCTCAAGTGATCGCCGATATTTCCCTCCAGTAGACCCGTATACTTGATGGCGCTCATGAGGATATGAGTGGAAAGGGGATGGCTCCACGTAAACTACTCCAAACAGCTGACCACAATCACCTTAGATGCCCCCAGGTACCAAGGATGCCACAGTTCTCAAGCAACAAGAGGCAGAATCCAAAGGTCTGTTGAAGATTTACCCTTTGACTCTTAGCGCCCACTAAATAGACTTAGCCAATAGTAATAGCTCACGTCGTGACTCAATGTATTTAGGGACGCGGGACAATGCGGCCGGACTTTACTGGTCTTGCCTCTCACTTCACGCGTCCTAGGTTTTCCACACTATATACTGGTCTTGCCTCTCACCTCACGCGACCTAGAATCAACGGAATCAACATTCTCGACCAATGAGCTACATGTACGGTTGCAGTTATGGATGTCAAACAATGAGCTGGATCTGGAACCACTATTTTGTGGAGGAAACTCTTCTTCTCGGAGGAGACGAGTTAGGAAATAAAGAAGAAAGTAACGAACTGTTGAATTGTGTGCTCATTTGGCGCTGCATCAGAGCGAAAAGGTCAACTCCGAATAATCAAATATCGAGGGACACGCCAAGTACCTGAGCTTGTTAATTTCTAGCACGACGTAATAAGGATCACCAGTGCTCGACCAGAACAGCTCTGACTTGTATTAACACCAATTTGCCCTGCTACGAGTGCGTCGCTCATTTTTGGTTAGCCGTGTTCTCAAGGGCACTAAACGGCGTATACGGGATTAAGTACATGCGAGGATGCAGGTTGATCTTTAGCGTAGCGATGCGACCCTCATTGCGAACACGTTGGATAGGACTAATGATGGATAGTTGCTCTTTGCTGCCAAAGGACGATGGCCGAAGTCAAGGCCTAAGTCAAGACCAAAGCAGGCTGCCAAGGGCAAGGTAATTCGATCATTAAGATCACTCACCATGGCGACCATATTCATCGATAAAATGGGTAAAGGAGAGGACCTTTCTACCTTGGACTTCCTCGTAGAATTTTCGTAGGAAAACGATATGTATTATCATCGGTAGACTCTATCAATCGAGTCACTCGGTTGCATCTCCTCGAATCTTCGTCCAAGATGGCCCACATTGGAACTTAGTGAAATCGAGTCTAATTGGGAGAAATGGGCCCCAAGTCGATATTGTCGAAACATTAGGATGCTGTAGTCCTTGGCGATAGTTGGGGGGTACCCAGAAGATGATTTGATCGGCAGATTTTACCCAGCCGTTGTGCACAAGGTAACATTGTCCAAGTCCAGGTATGGTGATCCGTAAAGGGATGCCCGAATTAGTCTCCTTGGGACCTTTTTTGGTGATGTTCGTGTCGGCAAGCTGTCTACCCTCCTTATTTCCATTGCCTGTGTCTAAAGCTTGCACAAGACTGTAAGTTGCTAATGATATGAGACCGATAAGGTGCTACTGACCTATCTGTTCATCCCACTGTCCAGATATCTGGTCGTTTGACCACAGAGAAATGGCGGAGACTGGATAGTTGTAACGCTCTTCCAGTTGTTGACCAGTTCTCGCATCCCATATTCGCACCGTCTCGTCGCCGGAGCTAGAGATGATCCGTGAGCCATCGGAAGAGAATACCACAGTATCAATTCCACTTTCATGCCCTCGCAATGGCTGTCCCAATGGCCGTCCGGTCTGTACATCCCAAAGACGCACAGTCCTATCATATGAACCGGAAACTATTTGGGAGCCATCCGGTGAGAAAGCGACAGCAGAAACCGAGCTTTCGTGACCCCTCAGTGGTTCTCCAGTGAGTTGACCATTCTCGACATCCCAAATCCGGATCGTATTGTCCCTCGAGCCAGAAGCTATGAGAGATCCATCTAAAGAGAATGCGACGGCTTCAACCCAGCCTTCGTGCCCTTCTAGTGGTGCTCCTGATATTTGGCCAGTTTCTAAGTCCCATATTCGTATAGTCCTGTCTTCCGATCCAGATACGATTCTAGAACCGTCTGAGGAGAATGCGACGGCCAGAACAGAACCTTTGTGGCCTCGAAGTAAGTCTCCCAATGGTTTGCTGGTTTCTGCGTCCCATAATCGCAGGCTACCGTCAGCCGAGCCAGAGACGATTCGAGAGTTCTTCAGCGAGAATGCGACACTGTTGACCAGGTCGTTGTGGCCTTGAAGTGGATCTCCTAACGGCTGACCAGTCACTAAATCCCAGAGTCGAATTGTCCCATCTCCTGAACCAGAAACAATCCGTGATCTCTCTGGGGAAATTGTGACGGCAAACACTGAGTCTTTGTGACCTTGAAGTGGCTGTCCTAATAATTCACCAGTTTCCGCTTCCCATAGTCGGATGGTAGTGTCTTCCGAACCAGAGATGATTTGAGAGCCGTCTAGAGAAAATGAGACAGTATTTATCCAACCTTCATGCCCCCGGAGTGGCTCTTCCAATGAAAAGCCAGTTTCTGCGTCCCATAGTCGAACTGTCTCATCGGCTGAGCCAGAAATAATTTGGGAGCCATCCGGCGAAAATGCGACAGCCAGGACTGAGTCTTCGTGCCCTCGAAGTGGGCTCCCCAGTGGCTGACCAGTTCCAGCATCCCATAATCGCATTGTCTGGTCGTCTGAGCCGGAGACGATTCGCGATCCATCTGGCGATAACGCAAGGGCGCAGATTGCCCCTCCGTGACCTAGAAGTGGCACTCCCACTGGCTGGCCACTCTCTGCATCCCACAGCCGGATTGTATTATCACTGGAGCCAGAGATAATTCGAGAGCTGTCCGGGTAGAAAGCGACTGCGTTGACCGAGTTGACATGACCTCGAAGTGGCTCCCCCAATCCCTGTCCAGTGTCCGCGTCCCATAGTCGCAAGGTGTTATCATTTGACCCAGAGACGATCCGTAAGTTGTCCGGTGAGAACGCTATAGCGGTAACTGAGGATTTATGTCCTTGGATTTGCTCGCCCAGTGGCTGGCCCGTGTCGGCGTCCCACACTCGAATCGTGTTATCCGAGGACCCAGAGGCAATCCGTGAACCATCTGAAGAGATTGCGAGAGCGTATATACCACCTTTGTGACCGCGAAGGATTGTTGGGAGCACGGGGTACGTGTCCCTAAGCCCACGACTCACAACCAGGACCTCGTCGCAATTCTTCAGACTTTCAACACGCAGTTGTGATTCGGTTGGGGTGAACGGAAGTGCTGAAATATAGATGTGTGGGGCACTCTGTTGTATTGGCAGTGAGAACTCCATCATAAATCGGTGAATGTCGAGAATGCGACGTCTAGTCCTCATTTCAAGCTATTATTTGCATCAGCGATCAGAGTGCGCTAAATAAATAAAAAACTTACCTCCCCGTGGAGTGTCAAGGCTCGAAGACCAGAGATTGCTCGTGCCACTCCGCCTGTTACGCTCAGAATTTCCATCCAATACAAAACATATGGACTTCTGACGATATGTCGAACTTTATATTTTAAAGCTTTTTGCCAGTCGCTGTTGGTTTTGGCCATATGGTGCAACCAGTGGGAACTGGCATATCGAAGCTTCCTGGGAATAAACCTCGACACTCGAGCCGCGAGATCGGGGACTTGCTGATTCAGATAAAAGGAGGACTCAATTTCACATATGTTGAACTTGAGCCCTTCCACCCTTGATGTGAGGTTTTTGAAGCACCACGATGCAATTTGACCATGTGCATTGGCGATATCGATGTATATTTCGTCACGAGAGTGTGTTTGAGTGATGGGAGACTGTCGAAGGTATTCTACCAGGGTAGGATGACAGAAATGAATTAGACTTGTAGTGCTATCCGCGGCAATTATCCCTCCCAAAGCATTTATTAATGCTATGGCACTCCCGCCAACTCCAATATGCCCCATGAGATCGTCCAAATCGTCGGTGGTGAGCGGTTCAAAGACCGCAGCTATAACAGAGAGCATATTCCACATATTTGTGTGGTACTTTGGCTCTATGCGCCAGAATATGCTGTTATACACCTTGCCTATATCTTCAGTCTCGCCTCCTGTGATCAAGCGATCATATAATCTCTGGGGATTTTCCAACATCTTTTCGTCTTTAAGCATTCGGCATGCACTGCTTGCCCAAATAAACCATCCCGACGCCTTTGTGATGAGGTGTTGTCTCTTTTCTTGCGACAGAACTCCATCCAGCGACTGGTGCACATAAACTGCAATATCATTGATATTATCACGATGATTCGTGCCATGGAGGCGGTTCTCCAGCTTTCTCCTGATTGAAATTGGTTTCAAGACTGCTTCGATGACAGTGTCTGGCCGACTCGTGATAAATATCTTGAGGTTCATAGTTTCTTGAGCGGCTGCAGAAAGGGTCTCGAGAAGTTCCTTTCTCTGTGATCCAGACTTGCATTCATCAACAGCATCGATGACAAGAATTACTGGCCTCTTTCGATATTGTAGTGGACCAGAGACCAGCGTCCGAAACTGATCATTTAATGGTCTTCGCATGATGGAAGGGTTCCTTTTTAAAGCTGTGGCGATGTGTGGAGCAAGTTCGGGAATGTTATGTGCAAGGTCTCTCGCAATGGTGGAGCAAAACTTGTCAGTGGTTGATCCTTCGCTGGTCGTAAAACAGAAGAAGAAATGACCTCCTAAGAGTCCACTTTCTCGCCAAATTTCCACCATGGACATGGCAACTGTGGATTTTCCAGACCCTGCTATATCAGAGAGCCAGAATATTGGCCTTTGTGGCAGGTCATCCTCCGCCCAACGACAAAGAATTCGAAGTACAGTCTGACGCGTTCCCGGTAAACAGGTACGGTGCATTGAGGATGCCACAGATGCCACTATGGGTAGCTGAATCATGGTCAAAGCGTCAACTTGAGGCGATTAGTGGGCTTCTTGTATTAAGTACTTTAGCTCACCTTCTGTCAGGATAGCCTTTGTATGCTGCTCAACAACTTGAATGCGAAATGCGGCGAACATGGTTAATGCCTCCTACTCTCTGTGTGAGATTAAAATACAAACAGGGATGTTCGTACCATGAATTGCCTGTGTCGGTCCTCAATATCGCGGTTGAATTTTCGGATGGAGCCTGCGTCAACCTTTGTTTTACTTAATGAAGTAAGCGCGCCAAGGCGACTCCGTTTATGCCTATAATGGGCAACCGTGCCGTGAAATTGCTCCAAGAGCCTATGTATATAAGCATATTGAACCAAATCAGGATTTTGACGTACTCCACATAACGAATGAGCGGTTGGCTAAAAGCCTGGTGCACAACCCTCTCCTCCTGAGGATACGATTCGAACGTAGTAATTGTGCTCTCAACAGAGGACATATATTCTTCTAAACGCTGCGCTAGGTCTGCCCATTCCTCTTGGTTGTCGTCGGCGGCCTCTCGTAGTCAGAAAATGATGTGATGCCCGCTTTATAGACTCACTTGAATGACATCGAGGATTGATCTTGTTGCCCGGGCAGCTGCCTTGAGGGGAGAAAGTATATCTGATGCTTCGGCCAGGTTTGCCAAAGTATCAAGCTGGCTCGCAGCCGTAATGTGCGCTTTCCCCTTCCCTTGTGACGAGCTTTCTGCGACAGTCGAACCCCTGGATGGATCTAGGTCCATAACCCTGGGCGTATAAGGGGGAACGTCCTGGGGTTGGTTAATGGTTGGCCATTGCATCAGCTTACGCTCACTAATTCCTCATTGGAAATCATAGTAGATCCAACTGGATTTAACTTTTCTTCCATCGCAATTTTCGCATTCTGAAGCCCAAGTTCAAAGCCCGCATGTTGCACACTCAAACTGGTGGTCTGGGTGCCAAATGGTCCCGCCGATGATGTACTATGGGCCAAGTCTTCATGGAAGCTTATGTTTGGTCGTGAGCTTATACTGTTCAGACCACCCTAGGTAAATAACTGACCCCATTCGGCAGCTCCTCATGTGTCGCTCCATATTCCTCTGTCGGAGACGTCTGCCACTAATTGAAGGTGAGATTTGTTTAATAAAGGAGGGGAATTTCACTTGCCACCATTCACAATTGATCATTGATTCGGCTCGGAATTTTGACCGAAATTTTGACCAGCCTGTGCCTTCCGGAGATTTGTCCTGGTCGTCTTGTATGCCAGCGCCCTCACTGGTTTTCATAGAACCAGCTAAGCTACTTTTAACACCTTCCTGTTCGCCTTGCATGGGGTCGACTGTACCTCCGGGAGGAGGTATATCACCCGGTAAACTCGATGGATTTACAACGATTAATGAGGCATCTCTCGATCTGTATCGAAAGTAAATAAGCACTACGGGCACAAACAAGAAAAGCGAATAACCGGATATCCTTATGAAGATATTTGTTGGCAGTGCTTGTAGTGGGCTCTTGAATGCCCTGTAATTGTGACTTGGTCTGTTCAAGAAACATATTGTCCGAATCTCTCAAGGAGTTAAACAAGGCACAAGAATTTCGCACTTCGGATGAACCTCCATGAACCATATCGCAGAGCCGTTTGAACAGCAGGTCGAGTGTATCTTGATAAGTTGGAACGTCATTCATGTCGGTGATGTGTACGACGCCTTTGACACAGTCCTCCCAGTCGACGAGAAGGCTGATTCAGGCGACTTGTTAGTGCTAATCAGAAAGAAAAATTAGTCTCACTCGCTGAAGCACTCTATTTTTCCATCGGAATCCAGGATGATGAGCTCGTCCACATCGAATTCCTTTGCTAAATGATAGAGGGTATGACGCATAGCGAGATTGATATGAAGCATTTGCATAATAAGGAATTTCGAATTGCGAAAGGAATGATCCAGCCATTCGATGCGCCGAAGAAATGGTTGGAGAAAGGGTGAGATATGCGGTGGATTTGTTACCCAGAACTTGAGAGTTGACTGAGCAATCAGAGAGCACTATACGACTCTTCTTACCGTCTCTTCGTTCACTTGATGGGAACGGATCAGTATAAGTCTCATGCCGATAAGTAACTCTTACTGTGGGACGTGGTAAGGCGAAATGACTTGCGATGATCCATGAAATGAGAGCACAGTCACAAATTACTGAATTTTAACCAGCGAAATGATGGAAGGCGTTGTCGGCGCGTCAATCGATGGACCAAACAAATAATCGGCGCACCTTCAACCCACATCCAATGCCGCGTCAGGGCAGCAAGATATGGAAGACTATCAAGGAACTTGGGGGGGATATAGTGGGGATAAGATCACAATTAAAGGTCTTTCTGCACGAAGCTGACAATGTGGCCGACTCCAAGGGAAAAGTCGACTCTGAGGCAAAAGTTGACAATATCACTCAAGAAGTCGACAGGATGTTCTTAGCTGCAAGTAGCAACGATGAGCGAAAAGAGGCGATCAAAGCTGGCCACAACCGGCTTCTTGAATTGGTGGTAGGCTAGTCAACCGTTCATGTATCCTCACCCTCAAATGAAATATGTACATCGTCAGGATCAGCCAATGCTTAATGATCTTCAAGCGAAGATGTCGCGGGCCGAAGAGAGGGACGACAAAGAACTCTGCCGCACAATAGCTGCAGGATCATTTGATTCCAACCCAAAAGCCAACTTGGGTCCTATCGAACTTCGATCCATGGACGATCATGATCTAGACCCCATAGAGATTGGTCCGTGCGCGAGGTACTTTGGGATGATCCTAATTCGCTATAGATCTTAAAATATACCCTCATCTCGAAGATATTCGTTATCAAGTTTGGTCCAAATCCTGTTCAGGAGTACCATGCGATCTTCGGTTCTGGAACGAATTGTCACATTGTGGTCAATTCTCACTTAAATGGGAGCTTGCGCGCCATCAGGGAATGAATGGGCTCATAGATCCTGGCGTACGTCGTCTCTGGTATGTCGACGCCGGGTTAAGGTCAAAGGAGTATACGGTTGTGACCGTGCGCACAGAAGCGGAAATTCCATTTGCAATTGGTGCGTCATAATTTCTTTGCAAGGCTGCAACTGATCATCGGTGCCAGACGTGGAGAAATCATGGAGCTCCTGCTGCGATAAAAAGTGCCTCAACATAGAAGCGCATCTTAACAACTTGTGGAAGTCACGAGGATGGGTGGTTCGCAACGTGTTACTCGTACAGAATGAGGGTCCAGTGTCCAAGGAGGCCCATTTCAATTCAGCAAATGCCCTTCCGAACGAAAACTGGCTATACGTCATTATTAAGACAACAATATAACCTGACGTGTGCTCGAGGAAACACTGTTTTATACAGCGGAAATCGGTCTTCATACCGTATCACCCCAAACTAAATGTACAGTATGGTGGTGGTTGTATTCATATCATTTATTTCCAAACATTGACCAATAAAGAGTGGGCCTAACGCGTGTATTCGAACAGTTTCCTCTAGTCGAGGAGCCTAGTACAGTAAGAAAGAGAGTGTTAGACTAAGACCCAATGCGACGGCCACTGCTATCAGAGCGATGGCAGCCTTGACCTGGGTGAGTGCCACCCAGTACAGAAAAGTGAGAAAGATAAACACTCCGCCGACGATAAAAGTGAGTGTCATGGACCAAGTAATAAACCCAAAGGACTTTCCAATCCCAAATCTTTGTAATCTCCGTATGTCGGCCTTGTGATCAAAGAACTCGTCCGTCAGTTTTTCCGTCGCTACCCACGTATATACGGCTTCATATCTCTTGGCCTTTTCTGTCTCCCGCTTGCTCTTTTTCTTGTGCTCGCTGTTCTCTTGCCGGCTCCTCTCTGCAGCCTCACCAGCTATGCGACGGCGATAATACTTGGTGGCCATATAACCGATATCGCATTCCAGAGATGCCGCCATATTGATCACCGCGACTGCAGAGCCAGCGCACCCCAGGTTGACAATCACCGCGCCATACATAAACCAGCGTAGCCCATGCCATACGGGTAGTGGGTATCCTTGAGACTGTCGCCACCGCCAGACATAGCAGACTCGATGATTTGGTTCAACGAAATTTGCACGCCGGCGAATAATGCCGACTAAGAGGTGTCAGTTCTCCGAAGATATCAACGCCGCTCAGAGTTACGAACCGTCACGGCGACAGTCTGTGCTAGGGCGATCCAAGAGTCGACGTCTGACTTGATAGCAGTCGGTAGTTTAGCTGGAACATACGTCAGTCCTGCTTCTGGTGACTGGGACGGAGTGGCAGACCGTTGATTGCTTTAGTAGAGAGAGTCTCCTTGTCTATGAGTGGCGGTCCTTCAGTAGAAGGTGATTGCCCTTGTTCCGCCTGGCTATGGGAAGCAGCAAGCGACATCTACGCAATGTTGGGACGTGAGGTAAGAGGTAGTAAAAAGGGAACGGAAAAGTCTTGACTTTAAAGGCTCGACAAATCCAGCAGAGCCTTCGTTGTCCACGAGGCTCACCGTCATTCTCTGAACAACTAAACGGCGGTTGGGCGTCCCGCCTGTATTCCGATGAATTAACGAGCCACATCGCTGGGTAGGTGCCAGCATAGTGCCAGACTTGAGTTCGCGGCAGTTCTAGAATGCGATTCCGTTGGCCTTAATGCGAATGGGTGGCTTCTATTGTCCAATATGAGGTACCTGAATCAAGTCGATGTGGAAGAAGCTCGAGGACGGTGCAATAGGCCAGGATACCTGGAATGCCTCTTGATAGTTGTGGATGGTTGTCAACGACCAACCTCTTGGACCCGTTCTCATCCCCTGGCATTGTGAATATTATTTGAATTGTGACCATGTGCAAAGGAACTAATGGGGGACTGCTCGATGCCGTTCCAGGCCGATGGGTCGAAGTCAAGGAAAGACTAGACAAAGCACGTTTCCTCTGAACCACGACGGGGCGATCCGACCAAGACCCACCACGACGAGCATTTGAAGCTGGTTCCGGAAAAGCTGCTTCAAAGGCTGTGCTTATGCCAAGTGTTGCTCATCACTCGCTCAGACAATCCATCATCGGACGCTCAGAGTGGCCACCGGGTCTATTCAAACCTTCAATCTTCAAATCTAGATAGCATATGAACGTGAAACCTGTGAATTGACCATTAAATATTTTGCGTCGGATAGGCCGTCCTCAGTGCAGCCGTCCCAGGTAGCACCCACTGGGCAAGACATGACAACCGAGGATCCATAGTCATCGAAAACTTCTACAAGCAGCTATATTCAATCCTTGGTAGCGCGAGTAGCCGAGCAAAAGCTGGTCATCCTCGGCTGATGACAGTACATCATACAAAATCACAGGTTAAGTACCACCATTAGGCTGAGAGAAGAAGTTTTCAGCGTAACAGTGACAGGTGCGAACTCTATGCACCTTCGAGGTTGATTGTCAAGCAGAGTGGCTCCACGGCATGATATAGGCAATGTTGAGACATTCTTATTGAACCTTCCAGCGATCGTTCTTGGCGCTATACTCGTGTTCATACTATGGTGGACAATGGACGACGCTTCGACTGGCGCAACAAGCGTAATGTGGGCGAAACATAGAGCATCTTCACAGATTCCAATAACCCCAAGTAAATGTTGATACTAGGTAACGTTGTGTATAGACATATACTTAATTACTGATCTTCGCCATCAAAATTTCGTTTTGTGGCGAGATAGAGACAGGAATACACATCGACGCAACTATAAAACTCTTCGAAGGCTCGAAGAGTCAGAACGACGCGACTCACAACTTTGTTCAGAAGCTAATGATAGTCAGCGTCATCATCTCAGTGACGCGTTCTATGTTCTATTTAGTGACTGTCTGCATACGCAATGAATTCTCCCAAAGGGTTGATATTGGGCTTTTTCGTGAATTTATATGAGCGTGTGATGCATCTGGGGTGCCTTGAGCGTTGGAACCTCCTCCATGAGAAGAGCCGGGTTCACCCGCCTTGGACGAGTCTTGTATGTTGAGAGTACCAACGCTTTTGGACGTCATCTCTGATCCCATTTGATTAGGATCTGGCTTGTAACTGGAAGGCACGAGGACGACTGGTCAGTATCGTCCTTCTGGGTACCGTGGAAAGTACGAGCCAGCACCGGCGATGCGTTAACTGTCATAACTTCCGATACCAAGTTCATCCGCAATGGACGAGTCCTGAACGCTGAGATCGCTAAGGGTGGTAGCCAATGTGAGGGATCGTGTTTGTTGGTGCCGAGGTCCATCAGCGGGCATAGCTATCGGAGAAGGAGTTCCAGGAATACGGGCTCGGGCTCGACTCTTTGTGCAGAGAGGAAACCACGCACTAAACACTCACGATAATGCAACAGTCGCCACGGCAAATGCCACTATTCCGCGAACGATATCACGTATGTCAGACGCAGAGGGCGCTGAGCAGCTAATTCGAGCTGTTGAAGATGGTAATAACCAACTAGCAGAGGTATTAAGCTATCTCGTCCCACATGAACCTTCTGACAACTATCGAATAGATATCCCGACAGGATAATCAAACCCTTGAGGCTTCCACTGAAGAAGAACGACGAGCCAGAGAATTGGATGAGACTGAACTGGACCGTACTCGGTCATTACACGCAAGCTTGTCAAAACATCTTGACCCCAGACCGCAAGCTGAGACATGATGTATATCTCCACTCTATAGATAACCAGCTTCTTGAGCCAGTGCAGATCGGTTTGTGGACAAGATCTTTCGTCACAATTCTGACTTTCCGTAGATAGAAAAAGATTCCCCCACTTTCAATTGCTTCGCCATCATATTTCAGAGGTATTCACCAACTGTTGTCCGGACCGACCTTGGGACTTCCACTTGTGGGATGAAGTATCGCGGTCGCATAACCCGCCTTCATTTCTATGGCGACTTCGTAGCACACAAGGGTTCAGTGGAAACATAGCTGGAAGTGGCTGTCGTATCTGGTTTGCCAACATTGCATTAAAGGACGGTCCGCCCAACAGTATGAGGCAGTATACAGTTGCCACGATATCCAAAGATGAAAACGACTTCGAAGAAGCGTTTGCAATTGGTAGGGTTGATACATTCTCCGAAGCTGCGTTAACAAGGTCTTTTAGATTTGCAAGGTCCAAAGAGCCCCTGTTGTGACAAGGAGTGTTCGAACATAAAAGCACATCTGAATGGAATATGGAAATCGTGGAAAGTTCTCAATGTATGGATTCTGGATGAGGACTGGCCCCCACAGCCTGCGTCTTCCACGCTCGCATTCGACTCGGAAAATCTTTCTGCAAATGCAAACAGTCTCTACGTTCATATCATGTCAGATGATCGTCCAAATTGACGCGAGGAGTGGGTCTAACTCTCTTTATACCTTCAAACCTGAACGTACAGCATGATGGTTAGTTTATCGTTTAAACATTGACGGCTACAGAATGAGAGGACGCATGTATTCGAACAATTTCCCTATCACCAAATAAGCTAGTATAGTAAGAAAGAGAGTGTCAATCCGAGAGCCAAAGCGACGGCCACCGCCATTAGAGCGATGGCAGCCTTGACCTGGGTGAGGGCCACCCAATAAAGAAAAGTAAGAAAGATGAACGCTCCGCCGACAATAAACGTGAACGTCATCGACCAAGTGATCCACCCAAACGACTTTCCAATCCCAAATTGTTGTAATCTCCGTATGTCGGCCTTGTGATTAAAGAAATCGCCCGTCAGTTTGTTCGTTGCGACCCACTCATATACTGCCTTGTACCTCTCCGCCTCTTGTCTCCTTTTTGTCTCTTGCCTATTTGTTGGCGCTGGCGCCGTGAGCTGACGATAATACTTGGTGGCCATATAACCGATGTCACACTCTAGAGATGCCGCCATATTGATCACAGCGACAGCAGAGCCAGCGCATCCCAAGTTGATGATGACCGCGCTGTACATAAACCAACGTAGCCCACGCCAGACCGGTACTGGGTGAGCATGAAGGTCGCCGCCGCTATCAGAAATGGCGGATTCAATGAGTTGGTTCAACGAGATTTGAACGGCGGCAAATAGTGCCGACTGGAAAGGTGTCAGCCCAAAAAGGCCGAGAGTACACCCAATGTTACGAACCGTTACTGCAATAGTCTGCGCTAGAGCAATCCAAGATTTAACGTCTGACTTGATAGGATTCGGTAATTTAGCTGAAATGTTCGTCAATCGTCCTCCATCAATGACTGGCACGGCGTGGCGGACCGTCGATTGCTTTAGTAAAGAGATCGTCATTTTTTTTTGAGGCTTCAGCTTCTGTAGAAGATGGACGTCCCTGTTCCACATGGCTAGGAGAAGCGGGCGGTGCTGCTGCTGCTGCTGCTGCTGCGACGACATTGTAAACACTCTGCGGTGTCGGGACGGGAGGTAAGAGTTAGTACAACTTAAAAGAGAAGCAGGGACATTATAAGGGGCGACAGACCAGTAGAGCCCTCGTCGTTCGCTGTCATTCTCCGAACCACTAAACGGGAGTTGGGCGTCCCGCGTATATTCCGGTGAATTAACGATCCATATGGCTGGATAAGTACCAGCCTAGTGCCAGACTCAAGTTCGTGGCAGTTCTAGACTGCGGTCCCGGTGGCCTTTGGGAATGGATGGTCCAACGCGGCGGCTTCCAATTGGTTCAATACGATATATCTGAGTCGATTTGAACTGGAAGAAGCTCGAGGTCAGCGCCATAGGCCAGGATACCTGGAATGCCTCTTGATAATGGCGGATGGTTGTCAATGGCCAACCTCCTGATAGCATATTGGCGCCCCGATCCTATTCCCACTATGGATCGTATATAACCCTCAGACCTCCACCAAGTGGTTATCTTAACCTGCCGCGTGTAATATTATACCAGGGAACGAGAGACTAGCAGTTATCATGTCCAACGCGGCCTCCCTTCTAGGTCTCGACGTTCCAAAGAAGGAAGAGGTCGCCACCTTTGAAGCCTATGTGCCTGCATTCGACCCCGGGAGGATTCGTGGCCGCCCGAGTTCGTTTATCAGTATCGAAACGAGTGGCACGAGTGATGCAGACGCTTTGCTGCCTGGGAGCTGGCCGTCGCGCGTCTTTACTTCTGGCGGATCCTCAGCGGCCATGAGTCAAGCAGAACTAGTGGAGGCAAAGAGAAAGCACGACGAGTGGTATTGTGAATGGCCTCCGTTGACAGACGGTGAGTTGGATTTCCAAATTTGGAGTGGAGACTAAACTTGACCGCAGACCCTATCGAGCACGTTTGGCCGCCGAACGAGATTAATCCCATCCTCACAAACTGCAGCATCAGACTCGACTGGGATGTTCTCGAGGACCCATCTCATGCAGACCTTCGTCCAGGCTTACCATCTAATTGCTTTCGCGACCAACGGTATTCACCAGCATTGACCCCGCTGGTCAAGCAGATTTACATCGTCATCAATGTATTCGACATTGTAAACGTTCTACCCCCTTATCCTATCATCACCGTCACTGCCGCCAAGGACGCAGTCACTTGTTGGGACGTCCTACTGGCCATCCAGAGCTACGTTGCCACAGAGGTCACCCAAAACGTATTTGATAGTTTCACCGAGGCGCGTCAAAAGGCAGTTCAAATGAATTTCAAGTACAATAGAAGCGCAGCGAGACATTTGACCACCCGTACACTCGGTCAAAAACTCCAAATCGGAGATCTATTGGGAGATCAAACCAAGTTCAAGTCGCTAAGCGAAGATCAAGCGCTCGTAGAGCGTATACTCGCCGAAACGGCTCCAGGAACTCACGCAGCAGGGTTTGGTCTTACGATAGGTGGATTCGTCAAGACCCTCGTGCTTGATCTTCAAATGAGGGAGAACCTGAAATCTCCGTTTTCAGCCCACCCAAACCTCGACAACGGTTCTACGGTGTTTGTAGACGTCGCCAACGTCGAATTCAAGATTACGGATCGCCAGCCGAGTCCTTTCAAACCTATTGCAATGCTGGACCAGGAATACACGTTGGAGCAGCTCATGAAATTGCGGCCAGCGGTGGATCTCACTGGTCTCGTCACCATATCCCTCGCGGGCTCGCGAGGACATGGCGGGTTTGCGACCGTACTATCTGGAGAGTATATAGGGGAAACGGCAAGCCGTACATTGTCACTTTTATATCCGTCTCACAGTCCTCAGGTAGCGATTAAAGTCCTACGTTTCTCAAAGAGTAGGAACAGCAAGCCATATATCTATGAACGACCACTTGAGCGCGTGAGTGTAACCCGATGCGAGTAAAGGTCCACTGACAGGTTGTGATTCAGCGAACCCTGCGTGAAATCAACGTGTGGGCGGCGCTTTCTCATCCTCATATTCTACCCTTTTACGGATTCACGACTGACCACGGCGATTTTCCTTCAATGGTCTCCCCTGTGAGTTTTCAAACCGTTTTCCTGTTCTCTCTTTCTGATTTAGGTTTCAGTGGTGCGAGCATGGAAACGCATTCGACTATTTAAGACGCGATGAGGGCGTGTCGTTTGAAGAGCGTTTCCGACTGGTACGTGAAATCTCTCTTAGTGAAGCACATTCCAATTCCTTGTAGACTCAACAAGTTGCATCCGGCATCCAATATCTTCACGACCTTAAGATCGTTCACGGTGATATCAAACCGGTATGTTCAGCACTACGACAATGAGCAAACCTGACTTTCACAAGAGGAACGTTCTAATAGACAGCCAACATAATGCGCTCGTTGCCGATTTTGGTCTCGTGCGCTTGGACGAATGGCAAGGTGCTCGTGGAATGACGACAACTTCTATATTCACGGGCTCGGAGAGGTACATAGCTCCCGAGCTCGTCGTAACTCGTAGCAATCCGAACCCGAAAGCTACCAAGGAGAGCGACATTTGGGCTCTTGGCTGCGTTACAATGGAGGTAGGTACTTGGGATAAAACGCCTACAGTCGACTTACTTGAACCTGCCTAGTTTGTGGAGAATATTGAACCGTATCGAGATGTCCCGAACCACCTGTTGAAAGAGACGATTCTGGACGGCGAGAAGCCGGCAGCTCAGGGAGAAGGTGAAAACGTACTTGCGGATACCGATTCACCGTTCTGGGATCTTCTCAGGAGTTGCTGGGAGCACGAACCCAAGGAGCGGCCGCGTATACTGGACATTCGGCATCAGCTACACGCGATTGCGGAGAATTTGGGTTTCAACTGGAAGGACGAAGTGATGAGAGGGATGTCAGCTTCATGAGATGGAGCCGAGGTCTGAATCTCGAATCTACTAGAGGTATCGGATAAAAGAACCCGTTTCGATGGAATATATCGACTCTCGACATTTATCTCTATTAACTGGCTTTCACACATATACGAGTCACACTACCATCAACTTATTCCGGCAAGATCCTGGTATGCCGCACAGACGCGTCACGATCGCATTCTAAAGCTTGGAGCTGCCCATGACCGTAAGCCAGAAGCGACTTCAACGCATGTCAACCCGTGACCCTGTATCACTCTAAAAATACATTCATCTTGGAACTGGCGGAGGATGTCACCCTTCTTTATTTGCAGCGTAGCCGCCCTCGTTAGTATCTCAACCAGCAATATTTTACGAATCACCGTACCAGCAATAGAATTTCTACAAGGAAGTTTGAACCCTGTTATATCGAATAGGTCCTTACTCCATGTCCTATGGCTTTGAGGTGGGAGGGATTCAAGTCGGGATCAAAGGGGCGCTTGTCAGAAAGGCCGCAAGGAAATCTGTAGACGGAACCTATCGTGATCGAGTGGCGACAAAGGGAGACCAATCGCCAGTAGCCTCGAGGCTTAAAATCCCAGCTGTGGCGTACCACAAGGGCTTTGCAGGTCGTAATCTGAGCGCTTTAGAACGCTTATTTGACTGCCTTAATCCTTTTTCAAGACGTGGCTATGGCCGGCTGCATGCATCTGGCCTGTAGAATTGTTCCAAAGGACGTTTTTGGACGATGATAATCGATTGTGCGGAGGGTTCGAGATGGAATGGTCGGTTGACTCGGACGACTCCATCTCCAATCGAGTGCTGCTGCTGATTGCCAGCGTCCAACCTCTCCATTAGGCCTAGACAGGCGCTTTGATCTCGACATCAAGTATATATACGCACCAGACTCAGGATTGATCGATAAGTTCTTCAACGGAACAAACGATTATGCCGCTTTTGCTCGGGCTCGACGGCCCAGGATTCCATAGCCAGGGCGAGAATGAGCCTAGAATCGAGGTCTATACACCAGAATCTGCCGGTATGATTTCTGATTTTCGACTGATTTTCGACATTTACAAACATCCCGACAGCCAACGACTATGCTGAGTCTGCAACCCCTTCAAGCTCGTCTCACTCCTATGACTCGGGGGGCCGCTCCGTGGCACTGAGCGGCGCGGAGCTCGTAGATGCAATGAAATCATACGACGCGTGGAATAAAAATTGGCCTTCCTTGACAGACGGTTTGTCCAATGACGGGTCCTGGGTAGACACTGAACTTGACCACAGATCCTGACGAGCATGACTGGCCGCAAAACCAAATCAACCCTATTCTCACGGATTGCATAATTAGACTGGACTGGGATGTTCTCGAGGATCCATCTCATGCCGAAATCCGCGCCGGATTACCGCCTTGCTTTCGTGACCAACGTTATTCACCAGCCCTGACGCCATTTGTGATGCAACTATACATTATAGTCAACATCGAGGCCATTCCAAACGAACTTCCATCATATCCTATCATTACCGTTACTGCAGACGGAGACGCAATCACATGCTGGGACGTCCTGCTCGCGATTCAGAATTATGTCGCCACAGTAGTCCCTCAATCCGTATTCGAAAGCTTCGGTGAGGCCCAAAAAAAGCAAATTCAAGCAAACTTCAAGTATAATAGGAGCCCTGCGCGACGCTGGACCTTCCGGACACTCGGTAGTAGACTCCAAATCGGGGATTTATTGGGAGATCAAACCAAATTCAAATGCATTTACGAAGATCAAGCTCTCGCTGAGCGTATACTTGCTCAAACGGCACCTGAGATCCACGCAGCGGGGTCGGATCTCACTAGGGATGGATTAATCAAGGTCCTAATCCTTGATCTGCAAATTCGAGAGCATTTGAAGTCTCCTCCTATGGTGCATTCCCGGCTGGATGTTGATCGCGGCCGCGAAGCCAAGGATATCGTGTTTGGATTGACACCCCGTCCGTTCAAACCTATACCAATCATCGACCAGGTATACACATTGGAGCAGCTTATGAGGCTTCGACCGGCTTTGGATCTTACTGGGAAGGTCTCTTTGTTTGACCCTACAAAAACGGGCAAACCCGGCGGATATGCAATGGCATATCGCGGTGAATACTTGGGAAAAACGGTTAGTACTCACTTGTTCTGTGCCATAATCTAATATCCCTAGGTTGCTATCAAGGTCCTGAGATTCCCGAGGAGTCGGAATAAGCACAAGCCATATGAATATGAGCGATTACTCGAAAGGGTCAGTACACTAATTCACATTCAAAATGCTTGAGGCTCACTTTAGAAGCGAACTGCTCGCGAGATCAACGTATGGGCAGCATTATCTCATCCGCACATTCTGCATTTCCACGGATTTACGACCGAACATGGTGACTTCCCTTCTATGGTATCACCAGTGAGTGCTTTGGATCCTAGTTTTATCAGTTCGTGATTTAGTTGATAGTGGTGTGATCATGGAAGTGCATTAGACTATATGAGATGCGAGGAAGTATCGCGAGAGGAACGCTTCCAACTGGTGGGTGGACCATTCCTTTCACAGACTAACTAATCTCGATATAGACCCAACAAGTTGCATGTGGCCTCCACTACCTACATGATCTCAAGATCGTCCATGGTGATCTCAACCCAGTGCGTCCCTTCCCTATCAAGCATACCATCCCTGACTTTTATCAGAGGAACGTACTAATAGACAGTCAGCGCAGTGCGCTCCTCGCCGATTTCGGTCTTGTGCGCCTTGAAGCATACGGGATTGAGTCCAGCAGCCCTTACTCCGGTACCCTAAGGTACACAGCACCAGAGTTGGTCGTGACGCCGATCAACCGGCTCCCAAAGGCGACCAAGGAAGGTGACATCTGGGCGTTTGGATGCGTTGCGCTGGAGGTACGCACTTAACCCACAACTTTCCATATTATTCACCATAAAGCGAGTAGTTCCTCGAGCAAATTGAACCATACCGGAATATTCCACAAGGGCTGTTGAAGGAGACAGTTATCGGTGGTCGGAAACCAGCAGCACAAGGCGATGGTTTCCTTGTTGCCGCCGGCGCCGACTCATCACTATGGACCCTCCTCAATGCTTGCTGGAGTCTCGACCCTCGTGAGCGGCCGTCCATAATGGAGATTAGGAATTACCTCGACGCCGTTGCGGGAAATCTGGGGTTCCCAAAGCTCAGTTGGAAGGACGAGGTGATGGCAAGGATGTCAAATTGCTGATAGAAGCTGGCCTCTGAGACCCTTGGGCATTCTAGCCTTCTGTCGCCGGGCTATGCCTCTAGTTAATGTATTGATTCGTGTCGAACCCCCCAACCGTTGAGTTACCACGCTCCATCAATCATCTGGCAGGGTAGCTCAAATTTATCGCGACGAGATCTCGACGGCCATCTCCGAGCTTCCAAGAGCATAGAGTCTTAGTCCATACTTTCAGGGTTCCTTGCTCAAGGATGTTCACCACGCCAAAGCGAGGATCGAAAAGAGAGGCTGATGGCTCAAAGACTGTCTGAGGCGCATTGTCCTCCATTTGTAGCCCCCGGTGTCACTAACGACGTGGTTGCACCACGGCCGGCGCCAAATGTGGGGTGACCAAACAACGCAACGCTGCCTCCGAGCGAGGAGCATGCAATCTGGTCAAGGCCGACTACGAGACCAATTTGAGACGTATTCGACAAGGATTCGATGGAGTACCTGGAGAAGTCATGCTTTGGCCGAGTTGTTGGTTGAGCGGGCCAGGACCATTGCGTTTGGGCCTCTGGAGAGTCCTCAAAAAGCATCTCAAACGTCTTCTGTCAATGATACGACGAAGGCACGACTAATCATCGGTATGCTGAATCAAACGACCCAAGAGCTATGTGCAATCACGTCAGAAATACCTCAGACCACAGAGGAAGTCAGAAAGATCATGGATAAAGAATCAAGAATACTCAAAGGTGCTCATGATCGGCTTCGCTCGATGGTCAAGGTCATAGCATATTGACAAATGACACGCATTGACGATTTGATAGATAGATTCAACTGAAGACGACACTATGTACCTCAGAAAAGTGGAGTCTGGTGATGACAAGAGATCCAGGCGACAACTCCAACGGGTAACTGAGATCTTTGCGACCTCCCAATGGATAGACGACATAAATATCTTCATCCCTACGAGTACGTGCTATGATGGAAGCGCCCTATCTTACTCAGTGGTATAGAATTAGGGGACATTGAAGACATTAGATCCGGAATCGCTGACCGACCGCCGAGTCCATCCGGATCTCTTGAAGAATATACTCTGGAAGACCTCATAAGACTTCGACCGGCTCTGGATCTCTCCGGCAAAGTCAAAGCGGGTTGTCTGACCGAAACCCCACGACATGGCGGCTTTGCGACTGTATATCCTGGCGAATACGCCAGTGAAAAGGCTAGTTACCATGATTAATTCTCATCCTTACTCTAATATACTTTAGGTTGCTATCAAGGTCCTGAGATTTCGGAGGAGTCGGAATAAACGCAAGCCATACGATTATGAGCGACCACTAGAACGGGTAAGTATGCACATGTGGCATCCCGAATGCTTGAAACTCATATTAGAAGCGGACTGCTCGCGAAATCAAAGTATGGGCGGCATTATCTCATCGACATATTCTCCCTTTTTATGGATTTACAACTGAATATGGCGATTTCCCTTCTATGGTATCACCAGCAAGTATCTAATTCGATTCTATGACACGTCTGACTCTTTTGTTTAGTGGTGTCCAAATGACAGCGCGTACGAATATCTAAGAAACAAAGAGATGACATTGGAAGAACGTTTCCTATTGGTAAGTGATAGATCTTGATGAAAACTTGCTAATTGCGTGCAGACGCAGCAAGTGGCTTCTGGCGTTCAGTATCTACATGACCTCAAAATAGTTCATGGGGATCTCAAATCGGTGCGTCTACCACTATCGCCGGTTTCAAAACCTCACAATCACTAGAAGAATGTCCTGATCGACGGCGAGGGCAACGCCCTCCTTGCCGACTTTGGTCTTGTACATTTGGACGAATGGTATGGAGTGCCTGGAATGACCACGACTTCTGCATACAGAGGCACACCAAGGTTCACAGCTCCGGAATTGCTCATGACCAAGGACAATCCGGACCCAAAGGCTACCAAAGAGGGCGACGTTTGGGCCTTTGGGTGCGTAGCACTGGAGGTACAGCCCGATTTATAGTATTCATCAATACTAACCACAAAAACGACCAGTTCGTGGAGGAAATTGAGCCATATGAAGACGCTCCACTGAACCAGATGGAATTTCAAGCCGCGGTTCTTCGTGGACAGAAACCAGCAAAGCAAGGCGAGGGTAATCATGAACCCGCTGATACCAATTCGTTGTTCTGGAATCTCCTCAATGCATGCTGGGAGCTCGACCCCCACAGACGGCCCCTCATAGCGGAAATTAGGAACTACCTAGAAGCTATTGCGGAGAAATATGGATTCTCAAAGCTGATTACGACGGACGAAAGGATGGAAGGAGTTTCCTCTTTCTGATCCTCTACGCCGAGTGCTGGATCTAACTTCTTTCGCTGGGTTGTATTTCTATTCAATGTATTGATTGTATTACTCCATATCCTGGCTTTTTCTGGCTGACAGCATGCTCAAGCCTATTGCGGCGAAATCTCAGGTACTCCGGGTCGAACCATGTCCAAAATCCAGGACTTGGAGCCGTCCACGACAGCACACCACACTAAAACTCTCTACAAATACCTCCTTTAAACTTGTACGACTCTCGACTCGTGTTTGCTTCTCTCTCGGAAGGAGCAGAAGACTTCGCCTTCTTCATTTCTCCGCATCTTGTAGCCCACCTTGCTCAAGTCTGTCCACCATCAAACTCCTCTAAATCATCATGCCAGCAAATCAAGCTACCCAACGAGAGTCGTACCTCGTTATTGGCGGTTGCGGCTTCCTAGGACGACACATCGTCGAAGCCCTTTTGAACCGTGGCGAGCAAGCTGTCGCAGTCTTTGATCTTGTCCAACGACATCACGATAAAAACGTCCAGTTCTTCACTGGAGATCTCTGTGAAGCCGCCGACCTGGCCAAAGCCATCAAAGGCGTGAGTTCTGCGCCTGAAACGATATTGTAAAGCCGGGCTGACGCTTTTTTCTTGCTTATTTCTTAGTCTCGTGCCACCACCATTTTCCATACCGCGTCGCCCATGCATGGCGCCAATAACCCCAAGCTTTGCTGGCGGTTAATGTCGACGGCACCAAGGCTGTTATTGCCGCGGCACAAGAGCACGGCGTCAAGACGCTCGTATATACCTCGAGTGCAGGTGTTACGTATACCGGAGGCAATTGCATCGACGTCGACGAGCGATTGCCGGTAGTTGACGCGACAAATGCGTACGATACCTATAACCTCACCAAAGCTGAGGCAGAGAAGCTTGTTTTGGCCGCAAATGGACAGGGAGGTCTCAAAACTGTCGCTTTGAGGCCTTCTGGTATCTTTGGGTACGTCCCTTCATTCAACCCCGCCTTTTCCGGAGTATGACCCCATTCGTTTAGCCCCGGCGACCGTCAAAATTTTGAAGGACTCGCTAATGTCATCCGAAGAGGTCAAACGAAATGGCAAATTGGATACAACGACAATCTCTGGGACTGGACCTATGTCGGCAACGTCGTGAAAGCACACTTGCTCGCCGCCGACAAGCTCGTCACTGAAGCGGGACCCAAACCACGGGAAGAGCTATGCGACTATGCGCTTCCTACGATTTCGCTCACCACGCACGAACACCGCGTCCCAACGTCTGCCGCACGGCCTCTTGGACCAGCCATCGCGCCCGTTCCCAATGGTCCTGCCATCGAAGCCGCATTTAATGATCCCGATGCGAAAGACGACGTCCGAGCCGTCTGGCGAACGCGCTATGACCCGCTTACGGAACAAAATATCGAGCGCGAGCTCGAGTACCCGCTCCAAGCAGCTGGTCAGGCGTTTTACATTACAAATGGCGAGCCGATCATGTTCTGGGATTACGTTCATGCCGTGTGGAAGGAGATGGGGCACGTCCCAACGAGCAGGATTGTCATTCCAGCCACAGTTGGGTTGTGGCTTGCGACGGCTGCAGAGTGGTGGGCGTGGTTGACGGGAAAAACGCCCGGGTTTACCAGGGAGCGTGTTGGATACTCTGTCTCGCATCGTTGGTTCAATATCGAAAAGGCGAGACGTGTCTTGGGATACGAGCCCGATGTAGGTATCCAAGACGGCATCAAGATTTCCGCCAAGGTATGTTGTTCTTTATCGCTCTAACACTCATCTGACTTGTCTTAGTGGTACTTGGAGTCAAAAGGCGTCAACGCCATCACTCCCGAGTAAGAGTATACGGTCGCTCGTCTCGCTAGGCTATACTATTTCTATGCTACCTATCCTCGGATGAATTCAACTCTTAAACTCGACTAGTAAAACGCATCGGTTTGGTTGAGAAACGGTACTATAGGTTTGCTATGAGACATGACTACATATACAGCTTCGTACATTTTGTGGACAACTTTGCCAACGTGCAAGAACTGTCCGGAGGCGTAAGTAACGGGATGATTAGGGATTATCCGAGTCCATTATTTGTTTTTGTACGCTTTGATCCATACTTGAGGTCAGCTTTAGACAACGGTTGTGGAGCGAGGATGCGTAGCATGAGTAGTGGATTCGTTCTCAGGAACAATGGAGAAACTAGATCAACCAATCAGTATAAGCATCATGTACGAGAGAATGAAACGTACGCAGCGCTCCTCCATCCTTCACCCTCAGTAGCAAGTTCTTCCTTTTCGCCCTGCTTACGGATCCATCCACGTTCATGACCGACGTCTGGAAGGAGCATCGACTCGCGCTTGGGCACAATCTTAAACGTGCTATTGCGCTTGGCCTTGGTCGAAGTCGGAGAGGGGCTGCGGTTCGAAGCAGCAGTTGTGCTTCCAGCGGCAGTCGTCGAGCCATCCGTCTTGTTGGTAAAGGCCGTCTTGAGAGCGTCAAGAGTGGAACCATCGCTTTGCTTGGCGTCTGTGACGGTCGAGCGAACCTTGACTGGAGACGATGTGAGACCTGGTTCTTAATACTGGAAACGGGTACATACCAAGTTCGCGATCGGCCCATTCGAATCCGGAACGAAGACCATCCTCGATGGCCTTGGCTACTTGCCTCTTGATGAGACTAGTGGCAAGAGGGCGGAAGGTCTTGTAGAGGAGGTCGTGGCGGCTGTCGCGAATGCTAAACTTGAGCGAGTCGACCTTGGCATGCACGTTTTTGACGCGGAAGAAGCCACCTTTGCCGCTCGACTGGGTGTTAACGATCGTAACGGTCGCAGTGATTCCACGGCCACCAAGGAAGACGTCGGCGATACCAGAGTCACGGAGTTTCTACGACCAATGAGCTACGGCTCAATCCAAAACAAATGCTACATACCGGGAATCCAGCCTTCTTGTGGAAGTAAAAGGTGACGTCACGCATGTCAGCCTGGATCTGGCTGAGAGTCAACGTGAGGGTGTGGTGGTACTCGTCCTTGATGGTAGAATAGGGCGACATCTTCATGTGCGTCTGAGCAGCAATCTCGACAATGTTGGGGAAGAGATTACGGCCTTGTAAGGTGAGATTCTCGATGACGAGATCCATCTTGTCGTCGGTATACTCGATGCGAGGAATTGGCACGTAGCCAACCTTTTCGACAAGCGTTGGCACGATTACTTGACGAATGTCTCTCCACAACTATAATTGGGTTAGAGGGTGAAGAAATGTGGCAGGAAATTACGTACGCCGGCTTTCCAGACAATCTTTCCGTTTTCGCCCATGAGGAGATCCTTGACAAGACCGGCCCACTGGTCAGCCAACTTGCGGTTAAGAGGATCGACGGTCCATCCATCAACCCAGTCCTTTCCGCTGTCGACGAGGAGCTGACGGTGGCCGCGGTAGCGCTCGTCGAAGAATTCCTTAGCCTGGTCGTGGAAGAGTTCCTGCGACTGCGTGTTGAATTGAGGAGTGAGGATGAAACCTGGCTCCATGAGGGTCTAGAGGCGATCAGCATCAGACCAATTGAAGACGAAGAAGAGACATACCCTGCGAACAAACTTGTCGACACGGCTCCACCATGCGCGGAACTGCTCGTCCTCCTTTGCGTCGTTCCAGATCTTCTGCACGGCATCAAAAGTGGGATCAAGGCTCCTTCCGTTAGCGAAGCGCTCCAAGAGAACGCGGAGCTCTTGCCAGGCTTGTTGGAGAATGGGGTCGTTGCTGAAGAGACCGGTGGCCGTCTTCGTCTGGTTTGCTCCAACACCCTTGGCTTGCTTGAAGTAGGCTTCGACAGTCGAGAGAAGCCATGAGATGGCATCTTGGTAGGAAGGATGCGATTGGCATTCAACAACCACCTGAGAGGCGTTAGAGAAATCAGGGATTGTAGGAGGATGCTTCACCTTCTTCATGCGCCAGACGAATTGGTCACGGCGCTCCTTGGGGAACTCTTCGTTGAAAAAGTCCTTTGCGCGCTGTGCCTCGTCGCGAGCACGCTGTTTGTGCTTCTCTGGAATCTTGCTAGAAACCTTGTCGACGGTATCGCCGACCTTTCTCTTGGACTGTTCCTTGGTGACAGTCGAATCTTCGCGAGGATCTGTGATTCCGGGGTCGGCTTTGATCTCTTCCTTCTTTGCGGTGGCTGCAGCCGAAGCAGCATCGGTCAACTTGCTAGTGGTCTCTCGGAATCCATCGCGGTGAAGGTTGACGTCCTGGTCGACGTTGGCAGCGACTTGTTGGCTTGGTGGAGTGACTTCGGCCTTGTCCGCCGCTTTGGCCTCTGCATTTCCGAGTCCCTTTTTGAAGGCACCACGGAAGCCATCCCGGGTGATGTCGACGTCTCCTTCAAGAGAAGGAATAGTACCGTCGTTCTACGACTGGTTAGAGAGACGTGGCAATGGAGGTGGACGAATGACGTACAATTCCAGTTGGGCTAGCGGCCGCATCGTCGACCTTTGCCATACGCTCTGGAGCAGGGCGAGCACGCTCTGCAGCGCGGCTGGCACCTTGAGCGAACATATCACGGCCAATGAGGGTGAAATCTTGGACGAGCTTGCGGGCCTCCGAGTTGGTCAACAAGAGTTGAGCGAGTGTGCGCAAGTGCTGGACAGCCTGTTCGCTATCCCTCTTTGCGTCATCCTTGTTCGGGAGGGCGGCGTCGTCGGGAACGGCCGTCTTGGTGTGCTTGACCGCGCGGTCGCGGAATTGCTGAGAAGAGGTGTGGTAGATGAATTGTTGGGCGACTTCATCGGCATTCTTTTCTTGGAATTGGAGTCGTGTCTATTCAAGGGCGTCAGAGCCCCGACCTCGCAATGACGAAAGAGTGGAGAGGGAAACCTTACCGTCTCGAGAATAGCACGCACGTCCTCGACGAGCTTCTGACCTTCTGGACTGAGCTTTGAGACGTCTACGGGGGACTTTTTGATAAAGTACTGGAGGGTCTGGTCGATTTGGGCATTGTCGGGCATGCGGCCTGCTCTGAACGCTTGGATGACACCGTAGAGACGCATCTAGGGTTACAAAGGACGTCAGGTTTGTGAATGTAGCAACACAAATGGCATGCATACCTTGCGGTCAACGTCCTTCTCGAGAGCCACCTTGTCAGTGGGATTTGTGACGGCATTCTTGCCGGGGCTTGAAGTGACTTCCTTTGTTGCAGTAGGAAGCGACATGGTGATGAATTACTGTTGTATTAATGAGATTAGTCGTGAAGGGTGGACGGGGGAGAGTCCAAGTTGTACGGGTGCCAAGGTTGGTCTCTGCTCCTGGGCTTTATCCAGTTTTCGGGACCGCACCTGAAACTCTACGCAATGCTTTGAATACGCAATAGCCAGGACCTGTCACACACAGCTCCACGATTTCGTCGTATATCCAATGAGGAGCTCCAGCTCCCGGTGGCTCTTGGAATGACGCAGAGCACGATGGTCATTGCCATCGGGCATCGACGGTAATTATTCAGAACTAGAAACGTAAAAATCGGAAATGATGCAAAAGTCGGAATTTGTTGTCCGGCTAGGGCGTTTCTGGACAATGGCCTCAGAACGTCCTGGAACGTCTGCCATCATCTTTGACTACAACCGCGACAAATGGCTGAAGAATCAACGACAAGACTCGCTCTCCCAGCTCCAGAAGACGTCAAGGACGACGACAAGACGACGCTCGAGCTCAATTCAACCATTAAACTCGACAAACTCGGGGTGAGTGGCAGGTCCACGAGGTTTCTAGGGTATTGCTGACACTTGATTAGCCCATGATCGTCAACTCTGATGGTGTACGTTGACTATTTGATTGCTGACGGTGGCTCATTGCCCTAGACGATATCACGAATCTCCAATTGGCAAGAAATGTCCCAGCTGGAAAGAGACAGAACAGTCCGAATCCTCTTGAAGAGAAATCAGTATGTGGTTTACACCCCATCGATGGCCTCTAACGGTCCACAGGATTCGATTAGATTATCTGGGCAATGCACAGAGCAGCGAATCGCTAGATAAAGCTGAGAATAAACAAGAATAGCTTTTATTTGTGTGTTTAAGAGTGTTGTATCAGCAGGGGTCCAATTTATTCCATATTTCCAGAATGCATAATTCGCACCGCTAGTAAATTCCTGCCTCTCCCGTTTGTATTGCTTATCAGAGCTGCTTTAAATTCGTTTGCTGCTATTTTCCGAGGTTACCAGCCGCGACAAGCCGACATTGGGGGAAACCAAACATGCCCTCGACAACTTTCACCTTGACCTCATTCTCTTTTCAACATTACAGATGCTCTCGGTCTCGGGCTCAGCACGAACAGTACATATTCTTATATACAAGCATCATAAAACAAGTTTCTCATCTTACCTAGGGACTCCGCCGTGGGGTTTTGTCGAATGCAGCGTGGGCGAGAATACGACAACTGTCGACGTATGACACTGTCGTCATTGGAGGAGGTGAGCTTCCTTGCAGCGTTCCGGATTATTCCAGTGCTCACGCTCGTCGCCCAGGTCCAGGAGGCTACGTCGCAGCGATCAAGGCTGCCCAGCTCGGACAAAAGGTCTGTAGGATCCTCCCAAACGTTTTCACCAATAACAAGCCAACTTTTTGTTTCTGTAATAGACGGCGTGCATAGAAAAGCGCGGTACATTGGGCGGGACATGTCTAAACGTTGGATGTATTCCTTCCAAGGCCATGTTAAACAACTCGCACATTTACCACCAGACTCTCCACGATGTTAAAGCTCGTGGAATTGATGGTGAGCATCCCCCGTACGACTCGGAGCTGACGAAGAAACTGACCAATGGGTTTCTGGAAACTAGTCGAGGGCGTCTCTTTGAACCTTCCGAATATGCTCAAAGCAAAAGATACGGCTGTCGCAGGCCTGACAAAGGGCGTCGAGGGTTTGTTCAAAAAGTACAAGGTTGATTACATCAAGGGGACCGGCTCATTCCAATCCGCCAACAAGCTCAAGGTCGCACTCACTGAAGGCGGAGAGGAAGAGCTCGAGGCGAAGAATGTCATCATCGCCACTGGCTCAGAGGCGACGGCGTTCCCTGGTGTACCTTTTGACGAGGAGCGCATTGTCAGCTCGACGGGTGCTCTTTCCTTAAAAGAGGTCCCAAAGACGCTTACTGTCATCGGCGGTGGTGTGATTGGTCTCGAGCTCGGTAGCGTTTGGAGTCGCTTGGGAGCAGAGGTCACCGTCGTCGAGTTTTTGGGCGGAATCGGTGGCGTTGGTATCGACGAGGAAATTGCGTAAGTGTAATTCATACCCCGAAGTGCTGGATCTTGACCTTGCGCACAGCAAGAGCTTCCAAAAGATTCTCCAGAAGCAGGGCTTCAAGTTCAAGCTCAATACCAAAGTCACCTCGTTGAAACGTGAGGGTGATACCGTCACGGTTGAGATTGAGAGCGCAAAGGATGGCAAGAAGGAGACGGTGCGCCTTGGTCAGCTAATGATGATCGCTTCTAACAGACTCAGATTACCACCGATGTTTGTCTCGTCGCCATTGGCCGAAAGCCATACACCGAAGGTCTCAACCTAGAAGCGATCGGCGTCGAAGTCGACAAGAGGGGACGAGTCGTCATTGACAATCAATTCAACACATCGGTGCCCGGCATTCGGTGCATTGGAGATGCCACCTTTGGTCCTATGTTGGCGCACAAGGCCGAAGATGAAGGTGTGTGCGGAAATGGACAGACCGGTGCATAGCTGACGAGCTACAGGTATCGCTGCTGCCGAATACATCCAGTCCGGCCACGGACATGTCAACTACGACGCAATTCCATCCGTCATCTACACTCACCCAGAGGTCGCTTGGGTAGGCAAGACCGAGCAAGAGCTCAAGGCGGCGGGCGTCCAGTACAAGGTTGGAAAGTATCCGTTCCTGGCAAACTCGCGCGCAAAGACAAACAATGACCAAGAAGGAAGCGTCAAGGTTTTGATCGAAAAGGAGACGGACAAGATTCTGGGTGCTCACATCATTGGACCGAACGCGGGCGAGATGATCGCCGAAGCAACCTTGGCGGTAGAATATAGCGCAAGCGCAGAAGACGTTGCGAGAACCTGTCATGCGCACGTACGTCCCTGTTCTCGAATTCGAAGATGTTTTGGGTGAGCTCACATCTGTTTGCAGCCAACGCTCTCGGAAGCGTTTAAAGAAGCCAACATGGCGGCATATGACAAGCCTGTCAATTTCTAAACCCTTCCGTCCGTGTGGCCCCCCTTTTTGCTCGTGTAATTATATGCTCGATAATGGATACGTTTCATGGCATCGAGGAATTGACTGCCGGTGTTGATACGCCTGATCGTTCTTCATTAACAACAGAGTTTGCTAGTATTACTGATCGCTGCCCGAGGTGGGCTACACGTGCAGGGAGCATTGACCCAGCGTGGCGGGTGTTGGCTACGGGATTGAGGAACGTGTTGAGAAGATCAGCAACGCGGTTTGTTTCCTGAGATGGCGTTGCAGTTGGCTGCAATGGGCCTTTTTGCCAATTTCTGGCAGCGGGGGGCAAAGGGCAGCATCCCAGACGTGTGATGCTCATGGAAAAGCAAATGCACAGCTGTTTCAGTTGTTTCCGAGCCCACTATATAGACGCGCCGCGAGGGGAGCAGCAGCAGCCTCTTGTACTCGACCGCATTGGCTGTTGGGCCCAGATTTAACTCGACAATAATTCAAGCAGGGGGTTGTTCGTCGCCTACAATTCTTTATTTGTACTACCAGAACAAGCTCTCTTCTCGTTTGCGACGTGGGGACCATGCACAACGGCGGCGACGAGCAAGACGCGCTCCGGCCAGCGCCAGCACGCTCGCAGCATCACGGACAACAACAGCATCAGCAGCAATCCTCGTCTTCGCGCCGTCAACACGGCGGCGAGCCGCATTTTGATATCAGACAGCACCCCGCTGCAATCGCCTACGCCGCGTCACATCCAAACCGCACGATCCCAAAATTTGGACCGTATATTCTTCTGCAGACGCTTGGAGAGGGCGAGTTTGGCAAGGTCAAGCTCGGGTTGCATTCGCAGTGGGCTGAAGAAGTCGCCGTCAAGCTCATCCGGCGCGGGAGCGTTGAAAATGAGGTTCGGATGCAAAAGATTCGACGAGAAATTCAGGTTCTCGAGGTGAGTTTGCACGCTCGACGCCCTTTTCGCTGACGGGTGTTTTGCTGACGAGACGACCCCCCAACCAAACGCCGCCCAGACGCTCAAACATCCGAATATCGTAAGACTTTACGAAGTCATTGAAACCGACAAGTACATCGGCATCATCCTCGACTATGCTTCTGGCGGAGAACTCTTCGACCACATTCTCGCCCACCGGTACCTCAAAGAAAAGGATGCGCGTAAACTATTTGCCCAGCTCATCTCCGCGGTATGGTATATCCACCAAAAGAAGATTGTCCACCGCGACCTCAAACTCGAAAACTTGTTGCTCGATCGCAATCGCAACATCATTGTCACCGACTTTGGGTTTGCGAACCGGTTTGAGCACAAGTCGGACGATCTGATGCAGACGAGCTGCGGTAGTCCGTGCTACGCCGCGCCGGAACTCGTGATCAGCGAGGGCATGTACGTGGGCTCTGCCGTCGACATTTGGTCGTGTGGTGTTATCCTCTATGCCATGCTGGCGGGCTATCTGCCCTTCGACGATGATCCGGAAAACCCAGAGGGCGATAACATTCAGCAGCTCTATCGGTACATCCTCAACACTCCCCTGACCTTTCCCGACCACGTCTCCGCCGAAGCCAGGGATCTCCTCCACAAAATGCTGGTTCCCGATCCAGCACAGCGCTCGACGCTCGCGGCAATCATGGAGCATTCGTGGCTGCAACCATACGCCCATTTGTTCACACAGTCCATCGAAGAATCGGAGAAACTCTCCAAGGAAATGCAAGACGCCAAGCGACACCAGTATCGCAAGCAGATGCGCGAGAGGGAAAGGGAGCAGGCCCGCCAGGCGCGTGCGCAGGCGCAACGCCGCGAACATCATCAGACGCATGTCATCGAGCCCTCGACATCCTCCCGCGACGCCAGAGCTGCCGCAGACCGTTTGTACGATCCCAGTGCGCCACCCGGTGGTTCTGGCGCATACACGCAACAGGATCGTACGGGACGAAGAGCCGTAGCGTCTGCGATTGTAATGCCCTCATCGCCACCGGAAGATGACCATGTGCTTTCCATGACCAGCGAGCCATTCCCCGAGCCGATCGTCTCCGCTGTTTCTCCCTCCAATGCCGTCGTCGGATCGCCCGTCGAGCTCGGACCGTCGCAGGCCGCGAGAGATAGAAAGGCTTCGACAAAGTCTCACAGCTCGAAAAAGGGCCAGAGTTCAAGGTCTCCCACGGCGGAGAGCGGCATCGGTGCCTCGCCGGTGAATGGTGCTGCCGCTGCTGGAGCTTCGAACGCCCAAAAATCAAGCAAAAGGCTGGAGGATTTAGACATACTATTCAGCTCGAGTATGATGATGGTGCAGAAGTACAACCATCTCCGCCCACGCCACCAAGACCGTCCTCGAGGAGCCGCGCCGCTGCAGCGGCTGCTGAACTGCCGAGCGACATGGCAAACCTCAATCTCAATGGTACCCAACCCGAAGGAGACTTTTACTTTGCGAACGCAGAAGCTTCCAAGCAGTCACCGACCAAGTCGCGAAGAAGCTCGACGGCGTCACGTCCGCCGGTACCCATACCAGCCGTCCCTGCGATTCCACCGTATACGACTGGTCGTCGCGGATCGAATGCATCTCCGGTTCTTGCGAGAAATGCTGCCACCGATCCCGGCCCGGGATGGGATCACGCCCAGCAAGACACAGGTGACAGCTCCGCGACAACGCCAATGGAACAGCCTACTCCACCTCCGGAGCCTACATCGGCAAAGATCAAGTCGCGACCGAGTTCTTCCTCTGGTCGAAGGCATGTTCGGGGAATTTCCATTGACCGGATAGTTGGCTTTGGCAAGATGATTACTGGTGGTGGAAAAGACACGACAAACGCGACGACAGGAGACTCGAGCCCTGTGACGGGAAGCCCGACTGTCAGCAAAGGCTCTGGTCTCGGGAAGCGTTCGTCGTCGAGGTCAGGACGAAAGGGTGGAGAGGTCGCGCCGCCTCTGAACCAGCAAGAGGCACTGGAGTCCAAGTCGTCTGTGGGACCGCCAACGGAGACGACTGAAGGTAGTTCGACTACGGTTGCCGCTCCAGTACCCACGACGCCTGGTGAAACGCCCAGCAACGACGTCTCGATGTCAGAGTCGACTTCTGGCTCTGTCAAGAGCAAGAGAAGAGGTGGCAAGGCGCTGAGTTTGATGGTCGACCCGATTGTCAAGATGAAGGATCGCTCAAAGAACCGTGCCTCGGTCACTGTTGGTGCCGAAATGCCATCCAAGGAGGATAGAAAGGCCAAGATCACTTCCACTCCTATCAGCGCCCAACCTGATGCCGATACTGCGCCCACCCCGTTCCCAGAAAAGACGGAGAGTTCGACAAACGTAGACAAGCATGGCACGACTGGCAAACAAGGGTGGCATTTGCCACTCTTCCGCGATGCGTCTGTGCGCGGGAGCCAGCGTGCGCAAACCCAACGAGCGCCAGCCGCTCCCGTCGTCCTCCCAATTGTCTCTCCAACACAAGCAGAGCAGATCGATCCATATCATGCCGGTGAAGCCCTCACTGGGATGGCACCGACCGGAGCGACGACGAAGAGTCAGGGTGTCATGGATTGGTTCAGGAAGAAGAGTCTTGCCAAGGAGAGAAGACGAGCTGGTAGTGTCACTGAGCCTCCTTCCATCATGCCTACCGTCACTAGTGGACCTATCATGCCGACAAACGATGCAGAGGCCGAGCGTGCTGCCGCGGTGGAGCGGGATGCTACTGGAGATAGGGCAAAGACACCTACGCAATCCTCAGCGCAGGAAGAGGCAAAGACACCGACTCGAGGATCGTTCCGCAAGGGCAAGAACCCACCTAGTGTCGTCGTCACCGCAGCGACAGACCCTGCACCGAGCAACGCGTCGCAAAAGGAGTCGGTCAATTCTTCGTCAACGACGCCCAGTCGGATGGACCGTGTTGTCGGGGCCATCAAGAACGTGACGCATGTTCCTCCTGCTGTCAATGTACCTACCACGAGCAAGCGCTCTGGTGGCTCGTCTGGCGCTTCGTTCGGTGGCAGCTCTTCGGGTGGAGCATCATACAACAAGCTTGCTCTGCGCTTGCATGATGGTCCCGTGGATCCATCGACTCTTAGCACTGCGCCTCCGCAAGAGATTATCGCCCAGGTTCTTGAAGTCTTAAAGGCACTTGGAATTGAGTACACGAAGGAGTCAGAGTTCAAGTATCGATGTGTGCGACCGAAGAAGAGGAAGCATGGTGCACGTGAAGCGTCTGGCTCAGGCACTGGAAATGGCACGACCGCCTCCACTTCCGGCAACGGGGTGAGTACTACTATCAAGAAAAATGTGAATTGTGAATAACTCTATCGCCAGCTTGACAAGCGTGGCCTGCCACTCCCAACTTCGACCTTTGCCTCGACTGGAAATATGTTCAAGTACATTATGCGTCGTAGCTCTTCCCAAGCACCGCCCGCACCAAATTTCGGCTCGAGCGCACCGATAGCGTTTGACGAGGATGCATTAGACCTTGGCACGCCAACAGCCGAACCCACTTCTTACGAGGCGTCCTCTTCAACGGAGCCAAAGGTTGAGCCCATCTACGGAGACAAGACGGACCAACACGACGAAGTCCGCTTCTCTGTTGAAGTCACCAAGATTGATCGACTGGACGATTTATTGAGTTTGGACATTCGACGTCTCAAGGGCAACCTGAAGAGCTACAAGTTCTTGTACGACATTATCCGAGAGTACGTTTTTTCCTATCAGAAAACGCCCAGACTGATTCCTTCGTCCAACAGGCGCTGCAACCTCCAACGATAATCCTATGGTCCCTTTATTGGCGGCCGCTCACAGTCCCCATCTTGGCTTCAGATCTGCCCACTCTGGTTTTACATCTAATGGTCCCTCTCGTGCACATGTTCTTCCTGGCTACGGCTTGCTTGTATGACTTTGCAGCTTGGTTCGCTCTGGTGCCTTAGCGTCGTAGCAGTCTTTTTTGGTATTGCCTGATCTCAATACACCATAGATATCTAATGCAGATCTTGTCGCTCACATAGATTTACCTTAGACCCCGCTTCGGCCCGATCTGGACCATCTTGACCAGCCATCCGAAGCGGCCACTCGTCCAATGGCAGCACTATCAACAAAGGGCGTCTAAACCCCTAAACTATCAGCGCCCAGTTTCACGAGTTGGAGCGGCCCAGTACTTACAACTATGGCAGAGCCGATTAGTATAACGATTGCAGCGGTCACAGCGGTAAGATTCTGTCCCCTCGTTCGTCCAAGAAACTCACAGCGTCTCGAGGTGCTCGGCGCCGCCAAAGGCATCGTCGCCATGATCGACAAAGAGGAGCACCAGAAACATCAGAAGAATGCATCAGTTACCGATCTTGAAGCATCTGTCAACGCCCTCAAGGAGGACATGAGCAATTATGGCCTTTTCCTGAACACGATGTTTGCGGAAGATGCCAACCAAAGAGCACGCATAAGGCTCTGTTCGAGTAGGTGGTACTATAAATCTTGTAAAACAACTGATGCGTCGTAGCCCCGAGGGCTGTGAGGCTCTGAATCACCTGGATGTCTCCCTCAAAGCCGCACAGCTCTTGCTAGAGCAGAATGAGGTGATAGAAACCACACTCTCCGCGTCTGAATCCACTAGAGTTGGGCCGGTCAAACGGCCCCCTATTGGGGAGCTGGTAACATCGCTCTTTCGCACCACGTTGACCCCAAACGATGGTACCATCGACAAGCTCATGAGCACAACCAAGGATGTAGACATATGCCGCGGCAACTGCAACCGCTCGTTCAAGCGGGTATGGAACCTCTATCAACTCTATCAGCAGCCTCCGAACCGACAAGCGTCTATAACCAGCATTCGATCCGACGGCATCGAAGGTGCCTTGGATGATGTCGAATTGGCGTTCTATAAACGACCTTTTTCTGTATCCGCGGAGGGCAGTGTCCGTGTCGCGTTCAACAGCCTGTCCATGTTGAACCGAACCAGCGAAAACTCAACGAAACACATGAAGCTGATGAAAGACATTGGTCACCGGTGGGCACAGAGTGGGATGGATCGAAATGATTTCCTAGGCCAACCTGGAAAACCCATTTCCAAGATCCAAGCCCTTGGAAGGCTACAAACGTCTCTGTTCGAGCTAATTTGGAGTGGTACGATCGAGCAGATGAAAAGGCCTCAAAACATCGAAATTCTGGCTCAGGAGAAGTCGGAATTCAAAACCGAGCTGTACGAGCTTGAAAAGGCACTCCAAGATGCAATTTTGCGAGCCAAAAAAGAGAGATTCGCCATCGCTTTCTGTGGAATGGTCAAAGCTGGGAAGTCATTGTTCCTCAACGCGCTCATTGGCGAACCTATTCTGCCATCTGATGGTGAGCATTTATATCTTCACCGCTTAATCTATCTAATGTGGTACCATAGAATTACCATCCACCGCCTGGCCGTGTCGGCTTCGCCATGTTCCAGGCCAGACGACGCCGATGCTTACTTACGACGAGGGGCCGTTTATCTCCGGCCTAAAGGCGCTGCAGAAAGCGAAATATGGTCATCGACTTAGGAACTACCAACCTCCTTCCGAAGATACTTTCGATGCAATATTCCAGGATGAAGATGTAGCGCCACCGACAGAAGAGGAGGTCAAGCTCAGGGAACTGTACGCATCTTGGGTTGACCTTCATGCTGTGACAAGGAAGAACCTAGAAGAATTCGAGTCTCCATACTATGTCTTACCCAAGTCAGCAAAGGGACACGAGGACGTTAAGAGATTGGTGAGTGAGACGTTATTCTTTCCAGGCGTCACTTATTAGCTCTAGCTAGGGATTCTAAACGACATCATTCGACTCTGCTTCCGCTTCAAGCTCGTTTTCAAGATGGATGATGTCGAGTGGCCATTACTGACCGTGGAATTCAACTCGCTTCGTGACCACCCAATGGACGGCATATACGAGGTGAGGCTTTAGCTGTATGGCACGATCCCTAAGCGACTCAAATTATACCAGTTTATAGACCTCCCGGTACGAATGTTCCGCATAAATCTTCTTTTATCTTATTATCTATAGGGGGTTGGAGAGCAATTTGAAACAGTATGTCAATGATGAAATTATGAATGCGTATTCACGTCGTATATCCACAGTTCAGCTTCGAGGCCATGGTTCGACTGGTAGCAAAGGACTCAAACGCAATTGTACCCATCATCTCATTCAAAGAATTGGCCCGCAGGCAAGTACTCGAAGGCTCCGTTTCCATCAGTACTCATCATTACTCAGTGATTGGAAGAAGCTACCGGACACTGTATCGAGTGGATTTGGTGCTCGAGCAAACATTGTCATCTGCACTCATCTGTAAGTTTTGCTCGCGCGTCGTCCGTAGCTAATTGAGCCCAGGGACCAAATTCACGGCGAGAACCTCAACGAACAATTATCAATCGTTAGCAAGGTCTTTTGGCCCGGTAATGTTAAGGGAGCAGCGTCCAACAACATCATTCCTTGCTCTTCGTTAATGGGTCTGAGCGCGCGAGCCCTTTTGGACTTATCAAAGGGGAAATCAAAACCAAACTTTACGTCTTTCTGGGACCCGAAGCGCAAGAAAGTCAGCCACCCGGTACGAAGCCTCCTCCCCGACTGCTGGACGTTCTCTCACCACCTTCTAGTGCGCTGAAAAAATCCTTGGCGTCAGCCGGCCTAAGGAGAACTATGAGAGGATGCCGACCGAATTTTGGAAAGCCGAGCTCGAACGGGAGATGAAAGAGAGCGGCTTGCCAGACGCAATCCAAAAGCTGGCCCGAGAAATGGTCGATCAAGCCAAACAACGGGCTCTCATTCAGGAATGCCAGGCTGTGTGTAAACAGCTTCGCAAGATGATTACCGCCCAAGAGTATGTCTCCATCGATAATAGGTCTGCTCTATTCATCATGTCTACAGACGCAAGCTCCTCGAAGCCAGACGCACGGTTTGTCTCTGCTCCATCTGTCTCACTTGACCTGACAGGTATAGAAACGAGACTTTGATGCCGCAAAAAAGGAATTTGAAGATGCCCGAGCGAAGTTCTATGCACTGATCAATACATGGAGTCTTAGCAAAACCACCCAGGAGCAGATTTATAAAGACAAGCTGGACAGAGGGATCAAGGCACTCTCCCAGAAAGCCGAATCCTTCATACCCCTCGCCATAAAGAAGACGCTCAACGATTGGTCCCTCGGATCCGTCAAACAAGAGACGGATATTGAGTCCAGTAGAGCCCCGGAAAAAGCAAGAGCCACAGAGCAACATGGAACTACTGTACTCACTGTCAAAAGTGTGGCACATGCAGAGGAATTCCTCCGTCACAGTCAAGCTGAACTCACAAAGTCGTTGAACGAGCTCAGACGGGACTTTGTGATCAGTGTTCGGAAGATGGCAGAGGAGGCGCGAGCAAAGCGCTTTCAAGATCTGAAAGACAAAATCAAAGATCTCGATCCAAAGATGCAGCCAGAGCTCCGTGAAGAAATCATCGAGGATCTGAGCAATCAATCTGTCAATATTCGTCAAGTTGCTTTCAACCAGATCAAAAACAAGGTATAAATATACACATAATGCGTTTAACTGGTTCTCATTTTCTTCAGATCAAGACAACCAAGACGCGACATAGCGCAAGCACCGCTTTCAGAGCGATAGAGGAACAGCTAGCAAAACCTTTGCTCACGCAGAAACAGGAGGGGCAATCGGGAGATGCAGCCGAGCAGCAAGCCCGACAGGTTAGTCCGTGTTCTATTCAACCTGAATTGATCCTGACGGGATGCATTGAATCAGGCTGTAGAGGATCTTGGATTTGTGAGTTTGGGACTACTCGAGGAGTGTTTACTCAACCCTCCAAAGATACTTCGGGCCCCTATCACCGCCGTCGCAACAATCCCTTTCGTATTTGGGCTGCCCATCTGGCCTTGGATTATACACTCTCAATCTTTTCACCTTGCGATGGATGTTATCGAAGGTCGCTATCGGGAGGAAATCGTCAAACCGTGGATCAAGGATCTGGCGAGAGAGAGTGAAAAGTCGCTGACCGGAACAATCACAGCTAGTTCCCAGGTCGGGAAGACAGCGGTAGAGAACGCATTGGCACGTGAAGATGCACGATACAAGCGGGAAAGTGAAGAGCGAAACCAGAACAAGTATGGAATGGTACCGAACATGGTGCGTAAGTATGATGTTGGGATGACTGGCTCTGATCTTCATAGGTGGCACTCAACAGCTCTCTATGGGCGGCAGAGAGTGCGCTTCAAACGATCTGGAAAGAGCTCCGTGAATCACTGAACAGTGTGGGCGAGACAGCCCTCAATGCCAATGATGGGCTGCATTAAACATATATCAACAATTATGGAGACGATTATGAACCACTGTGGTCACTTAGAACAATGGAGTGATTGAACGCTTGCGAATCACGCGCCCGACGCCGATCCCAGGAGAATATGTACTATCGAATTTGCTCTGCGCACCGACCCGAGTTCGACGATTCTCAGGGGTCTTGAGTTCATGCGTCGACTGAGTGAACTGTGCTCGAGAGTCGCCCAGAGGCTCCAGAAATCCGCCATAGTTGGGACGAAACGCACTAGAGGGATCTGGAGACGCTGGGCAAGACAGCAGGTCTCTTTCACCATCACTTGCATTTGCATTCTCTTCCTTCAACTCCGTCCTGTAGCCCTGCAAGCTCACGGCTGGCAATAAAAAGGGCCTTGGCTTGCGAGTGATTGGCCGTGTCAACTGCTCCCTTTGTGCTTCGCGGATGCCATTTGTGAACTGCCGAGTGTGTTCCTCCTGTTCTCTAGGTGAGGCAAAATCCAACCTGCGCCGTTGGGCATTTGTTCCTTCGTCGGCAAATATGTGCGGTGGTAGTGATATATCATACGCTAGAATAGTATATCGCAATCTTCCTTGGAGAGCTTGTTTTTCTTCTTTGGTCTTGCGCGATATGAACGAGGCGCTGGTGCAGACTTGGGAGTGGGCGGTCTTCGAGGCTCGAGATGAGCCCCATAGAAGTTTATCATGACATTTGGGTCATGGTATACCCTGATTTGGTCTTTGCGTGCTACAGCCGGGATCCCCTCAAAGGGGTTCTTGTGCGGCGTCGAATCCGCCGAGCGGCACCTTTTAACTGTTCAAGGTATTAGCAAACACTAAAGTATTAGCTCAGATCCGTACCCGAATCCAGCTCGAGCAAAGTGCGCGGCGAGAGATTGGGGCTGAGAGATGCAACAACTTGCTTGAAAGACGAAGTCATGGGTGACGCGCAACGTTGTTCGTAGGCTTTGGTGATCCTTTTTCTCGACTTTGTGCTCTCCTTTTATACTCGCGATGGCGCCGAGTTTCTGTAGGTGGCGAGCCAGACATTGAGCCACTCCGGCGCCCTTTGTGTCGGCGCACAAGGGGCCACTGTCAGGGAGGCCTACGGCGAGTATAGCAAGAAAGATACAACCTATCAGTATCCTGTCGACTGCTCGTTCAAAATGTAACTAATCAGAGAAACAACCTTTCAAGCCGCGCTTCCACAAGGTTTTAGATAAACGGTCGCAGTGTCCTGTCGTTTGGTGCTCAATCAAGATGAGAATGTAATTCCTATTTAGCATTAGTATGCCTCGTAGAACCAAATTGGTAGTTGTTTCTTCAGGCTGAACGACCCAGATGGAATACGAGGTATACTTCCCACTGACTGCGCAACATCACCTACAGGACGAAAGGGTCTATAGGTGTAATCGGTATTCTCCATGAATACTATGTACTCCATCCACGCAATCTGGCTACTAATCTGAAAATAGCATCCGCATCGACGATAGACTGAGCTTGTGCGTTGCTGACGCCCTGAGCAAACGCCGATGCACCCTGGACGGTCAGCCACCGTCTCTTTCCTTCATCGTTACTCAGCTCGCAACATTCTCGCCACCGGTCTAGGTCCTCCCAATAGGCATTGAGCATACTCGCCACGTTGGCTAGATCGCCCAAATCGTATGCCAGTTGCGCGGCTCCGAGTGTCGTCAGCATGCGAATTGATGGGAGCACAGAGGTCGTCAGGTGTGAGAGGAGGGAGAATGTGATTGAACTCAACCACGCCGACTGAATCGTCTCGGATGCGAGCTGTGGAGGGCGAGTTGACGTAGAAGCTGGTGGGAGTTGGAGCGCAGCCGTAGCGCTGGAAAAGGAAAGTCGCCTAGCGGATGGTGAAGATAAGGACAGTCTGTTCATCCGCGGCGAGCCCGTCGCGTTTCGGTCTGGATGTGGGATGTTGATAATCTGGGCTGCGACCCACTCCCGGTACTCCTTGAGCGCTTCATTGCGCTCGGAAAAGGGCAGCATGTCGATCTCAAATGCCAATGCGTCGTCATCACCCGCATAGTCGACGAGCATTCTCGGTAATGCCATGAGGCCGTCTCTAACTTTGCGCATCGTGGGTGTGGCACTAAGCGAGAAAGTTGGTACGTTGAAACCGTATGAATTGGCTTGGGCTGCGGCCTGCTGTTGCTCGGTGAGTGACCAAGAAGGTTGCGAGGCATAGGTAGAGAGTGCGGTGAAGAATGGCCTGAGGATGAGCTGTTGAAGGAACGCTTGGGTGGCTTTGGTAAAGTCGCTCAGAGCGTTGAAAGACCCCCGAAGGACAGGTGAAATGCGAATCGGCGCCGTTGGTTCCGAACGCATACTTGACGACAACTGCCCTCCTATGGATGCTGTCATAGGTGTTGGAGGAACACTGCCTGATGTTCCAGAGGAGGCGGACGTGAAGACAGGTACGGTCGGCGGCGGATCTATAGTGTCTAAAAGCGTATTCAACTCCATAGAGTTCATCGCGGACTGCGCGAGTAGCTCTGCCTCTCCCTTTGCGGCATTCGGTAAGGAATGGCCATTAGGGAACGACTGAGACATCCGTAGAGCATGCGAAACTGAGACGAGCTCGCTTTTGGTGCGCGAGTCCAAGTGTTTAAGCTGCTCCTTGAGGGCTCGTTGCGTATTGAGTAGGTTCAGAGCAAGTTGGAAAGCAGCGAGTTCGGATGTCGTAAGCAGTTCCTCATCGAACCGGTCGATGGAGCTTGAATCCGAGTTGGCAGTTAAATCCGCTGGGGATCGCAGAAAATCTGCTTTAGCGGTGGCAAAGAACTGCTCGAAAAGGTGGTCGATGGCCTCGAGACCCCCAACGGCGCCATAGCCGTGCGTGAAGCTGAGACATCTCGCAAACGACTCCTCGGCAAGACCGAAGACGTCGACCGCTTTTTCTCTCAGTACACGTGCTTTGACTTCTGCGTCGTCCACGTTGACGAGTTGCTTTCTGTACGAGGAATCGAGCTTGGAGAGCGCGTCATCAAGCAGCCGCTTTTCTAGCGTGGCGTGTTCCGTCTGGAGGTCGATAAATGGTTCAAAAAGTGCGTGCTGCCACGTAGTGTCGATGGCCTCTGGGCTCAGTCCCAGGCTGAGCATTTGCTTTTGATTGCTTGGAATCCGTCGCGACATAGATAGTCGTTTGGACTTGTTTCGCGAGTGACCTTTTGCGTCCTCCTTTGGGGGCGAGGTAGGCCCTAGCCCTCCGGACCTTGCGATGGCTGCTTTCTCCATCACTTTTTCAACTTTGATGGCAAACTCTTCGACGAGTTTGAACGATTTGAGAAGCTCAACCAAGGCTGAGGTGCCGTACCACGCCACCATTCCAGACAGCCGTTGGGAGAATGATGGTGTAAGGGCTTCGACGGTTGATTGAATAAAGAGGGAGAGTATAGTGACGGGATCAGAAGTGGTGGAGAAGATGGTAGGAATGGAGGATCTTTCCTCGTTGATGAGTGTGAGCAATTCGGCGAGGAAACGGGCCAGGAGTTCGGAGAACATGAGAGCGTGAGGTGACATATCCCCAAGTCCTCCATCTCCTTGGACATCCGACAAGGAGGCCTTGCTCCACATCTCGACAATGGCCAACCTTCGTGCTCCAAAGTAGTAGTTTTTGAACTCGCCTTCACGCTCAATCTTGTGGAAGATGTCGTGAAAGTTTTTGCAGGCGGCAATATCCTGCATGTTGATTGCCGCTACTAATGCCGCGCTCAACGCTGCTTCGGTTTGGTTTTGTAGGTTGATCATCAGAGTCCTTCGTGCCTCATACTCTGGTGTGTGTGCGAAGACGGACATTGATTTTGCTGCTTCAGAGAGACGAGATGCAGCTTTTGCATAGGAGGCCTCTTTGAGTAGACTGGTAATCTCTGATTCGAGCGTGCTCCAGTTTTCAGCTTCTTGTAGGACTGCTCGAGCAGCCTCCATGCCTCGCTTGACGGCGTCTAGATACTGGATCTGTTCCAGTGCCTTTGTTGTACCCTCCTCTTCGGTCGAATGAGAGGCGGATGTGCCCATCGTCGTGCGATGAATCGAACCGAGTTCACGCTGGAGTGCAAGGGCGCTCTCGCGCATGATTTGGAGATCAAAGTTGAGTCTTGGGACATTTCTTGAAATGTCCTCGATGGTTTGCTCGAGTTGGCTAGATGTTTCCTGACAGGTGACTTCGAGCCTTGTCGCGAGTTGCGTGACACGGCTGTCGAGCTCGGTGAGATCGACTGGACGTTTGAGCGTGCCATCTTGTTCGAACGATCCATCCAAAGTGTCTCCCTCGATGAGTTCATTGATCCAGTCGGCCAACTCGCCGGGATATGCGTCGAGCGAGGAAGCGATATCGGCGCTCGTCAGAGCACCTAATGACAGAGAAGACGCATGATGTTCCTAGATACCCAATGTCAAAGGAATGCAAAGCGCTGGTTGTTGAATTACCATCAGAGCCGGGAGAGGGTCACGGTCCAAGTTTGCTCTAGCGTCCCGAGCTTCTGAACTGAGGGCGACTGCGCGAGCCAATCGTGTTTGGAATCTCGGAAGCTCTTGCTCATTTCATGTGTTTGCTTTGTGCACCTCTCTCGCGCGTCCCCGAGCGTGGAGCTTTAGAGTTTGGCCTAGTAGCGTCTCTCAAGAAATCTCATGAAATTCTGAGGAATATAAAGGAGCCTTATCAGTCACATGATCCCTATTTTCTACCAATTTTGTGGATTTTGGCCATGATCCGCCATTGGTTTTCGACAAGTGTGACTGATTATAGCACAACCTCTCAGGGCCTTGACGGGATCCCAACGGGCTATTTTCCTTTGTACCGGGTTGTTCCTTCGACACACGAACGTTTGCATGTGCTCTCGGTGGGATATAAGCCGGTCGAAACTCGTTCACCTGTGGCTTTCAGTCCTTGTCCCCGTCCACATCCATGAGCCCTCAGCATTTGCACTGGGATATCGAGGAAAAGCGCCAACGACGGGCACTCACTGTGCATGGAACTGCCCTCCTTGCTCTCTCCTTCCAAACCCTCGGTTGGTCATTTCGCTTCTCCGCTCAAGCGTGAGGAACTGACCCCTCAGGGCAGGGATCATCTACTCTGACATTGGCACGTCACCGCTTTACGTGCTGAATGGTATCTTCCCTTCAAGCCAGCCCGCTCCCAATGAGCAGGACATCGTCGGCGCCATCTCTGCCATCGTTTGGTCCTTGACGCTCCTCCCATTGCTCAAGTATGTCGTCTTGGGTCTACGATTCGGTACCCAAGAGGGCGAGGGTGGCACTTTTGCCTTGTTTCATGGCATCTTCCCTCCAAAGGCGATTGATTGGGACGAGGACCGCACTTTGACAGCTGAATTTGGACTCAAGACTCCTTCGACGTCCACCTCATCTTCGATCCGGAATGCACTTGATCGATTCAAATGGGTTCTCCTTGCTTGGGTTCGTCTCTGGCCGACGATACCATGACCTGCGCGACTCATTTTTCGCGTAGAGTCTCTTTGGAACTGCGTTGACCTTTGCGGACGGTATGCTAACCCCAGCCGTCTCGGTCACTTCGGCAGTTTCTGGTATCGCATTGGTCGCTCCAAAGCTCAATGACAATATTGGTCCGATTTCCATCGCCATTATCGTCGCTCTCTTCCTCATCCAGAGGTTTGGAACCGCCAAAGTTTCTGCTGTCTTCTCTCCAGGTACGAGACTCCTCTAGCCGCACAAGGGATGAAGAATTGATGAGACATAGTTACTGCGGTCTGGCTCACTCTTCTGTTCACGACTGGCATCTACAATGTCACGTCATACCCGGCAATATTCCGCGCTTTTGATCCCTCGCGAGCCGTCCTTTGTAAGAGCTCATCCACTTTTGCTCCAAACTCTGACGATGCCAAAGGGTTCGTGAGAACGAAGGAATATGACAACCTTTCCGGAGTTTTGCTCGCCGTGACCGGTTGTGAAGCCATGTTCGCAAAGTACGTTGCTCTCGACCAAGTTTGCAGGGCCTGATTTTATAATTCCAGCCTCGGGCAGTTCAACAGACAGTCCATTCAGGTTCGTGAGGTTCTATGAGAGTGTTAACTGAGCTTACAATACCACAGATTTCCTTTGCTTTCGTTACGTATCCAGCTCTCATCCTTGCCTACCTCGGCCAAGGCGCGCGCCTTGTCAAAGATGGAGAAGACGTGATCCAGAACGTCTTCTACGCGTCGATTCCAGGAGGTGCCGGCAAGCCGCTTTATTGGTGAGTTTGATTCGTGGTGACTTGCCAGATCCCTGACACGCCTCTAGGATCATGTACGTCTTTGCTATCCTTGCGACTGTAAGTGGCATTCATCACTCATGGCTACTGTCTCATTGCCATTGTAGCTCGTCGCCTCGCAAGCCACCATCACCGCGACGTTTTCCCTTTTTCAACAAGTCATCAACTTGCGAAGTTTGCCACCGTATGTTCTTTTCCAGCAAAATTTTGACTACATGCTCATCTACCATAGGGTTCGCATGCGATATACGTCAGAGACGGTTCAGGGTCAGATTTACATCCCATCTGTCAACTGGGTCCTCTGCGTCGGCACGGTCATCTTTGTCCTCATCTTCAAGGATCTAGCCAAGTTGACGTATGCATACGGGTAAGTCCTCCTAAAATTACGCGGCGTCTTGCCTAACTGAGTTCAGATTCGCTGTCGCCACCGTCATGCTTGTGACGACAACGTTAATCACCATCCAAATCCCAGTCGTCAAGAAACTCCCGTGGATCGTCGGAGTGGCATGGTTGCTCTTCTTTGGCTTCTTTGACGGCCTCTTCTGGGGTGCTGCGCTTCGCAAAGTTCCTCATGGCGCATGGGTTCCTCTGCTCATCGGATGTATCCTGTCCGTTTTTTTCCCATACCATATCGACAAGGGCGCTGACTCTAAGTAGCACGGCATTCATGGTCTTCTGGACCTGGGCAAAGGGACTCGAAGACAAGTTTGACGGCGCCAACCGACGGAGTCTGCGCCACTTTATCTCCAAAGAGATTACCGAAAAGATCAACTACTCCCCCGTTGTCCGCAGACTCGTGCTCGGCAGTGTCACACCCCAAGCAGAGGACACGATTGTCGAAACGCCAAACGAAGATGCAGGCATTTCGACGGCAGTGAACACGCAATTACAAGCCAATCTCGACTCGGAACCGCATTTCCTCGAGGAGACGAAGCTCTACTTGTCCGTCGGCGATCGCAAGACGTTGTTGCCGCGCATGTCGACCATGGCCATCTTCCACAAGCTCTCTTCTGGCAAGGGTGTCCCGCATACGTTCTCCGGGTTCCTAGAACAATGGCCTGCACTCCCTCGCGTCGTCATCTTCCTCTCTGTCCGGATCATGCCCATCGCGCACGTTCCAACGGAGAACCAGTACCGTGTGACCAAAGTCCGCAGCTTACCTGGTACAGTTCTTTCTTTCTCATATGAAAGCAACTTGCTGACTCATGTCAGGATTCTACGGCGCGACGTACATGCTCGGATTCCGAGACAAGTTTAGCGTCGACACGCATGCGCTCCTCGAACTCATCCTCTCACTCGAACTCCGCGCGACCGACTCGAAGAAGCATGCAGACGAGATTGTCGAAGAGATTAAAGAGGCAGCTAAAACGGTGACACACGTGTACGTCTTTCCTCTCCATCTTTCTATCGTATAACTAAGTCTTTCCTTAGTGTACCGCATTACCACGTCATGGCGCGTAAGATTATCATCTGGGGTGCACCCGTCGTCAACTGGATACGAAAATGGCTGATCGAAGACATTTACCGGAGTGTCGGTACGTTCCCTTTTTGTCTCTAGCAAAAACATCGACTGACGAATATCGCAGCGTACGTCTTCCCTGAGACGGCCACGTGGAAAATGAAGGCCGACGATATCATTCACGTCGGCGTCACTGCGGAGATCTAGGCGGCGTCGGCAATGTCGATCCACGCCGCCTTGGGCTCGGCACCGAGACGATAGAATTCAAGGGTCAAAAAGCAGATAGACTAGCTTTAGGAATCGTGTACAAGAAGTCGATCCAAAATCAAACAATGCTTACAGGCAGCGCCAAATGAGGCAACAATCAAGTATATTTTGTTTCCTTGACAAACAAAAAAAGCACTACTGTTGGACGAGAGCACTGGTCAAGAAGGAATTAGGGCCGATGCTCCTTGTACACGGAGAAAGTATACGATTATTATGTCCTTTGAACATTCTTTGTTTCTTGGGTAAACCGAGAAAACACTACGGCGCGTGTCCCCGAGGGTTTAATAACGGCTCCTCCTGAAGCGGTGGTACCATGGCTTCTTGGTCTCGACAGTGTACGCCGCATCCTTGGACTTGTGGCGACGACGTCCAAAGCAGACGACGCAGCCGGCGACCGCAGTGAGGACGAGGACGACGAGCGTCATCCAAAACGCCGGACCGGGCTTTGTGCTTCCGCCGATATTGTCCATCTTGTTCTTGACATTGACAAAGAGAGCAATGTCGATGGCGAATACGATGAGGGTGAGGACGCAGCCGAGGAAGGAGACGAGCGAGGCGATGAGTGCGACGGTCAAGTGCGCGGAAAAGCTAAGAGGGAACAGAGTTAGATGTACTCTAAAGGAATGAATGAAGCTTCACCTGAGGAGCCAGGCGACCAAAATTGCCGCAGTGGCAATGGGATGGATGACGAGACCGCGTGTCCAAGACTTTCCAACGACTTGTCCACCAATTTCCGAGTTGTATGCATAGCCCTATTAGGTGGACAATAGTCAGAACCCAACGAAAACATCCGTCGAACAGACGAGCGCTGCGCTTAAACGGCGTGTTTGTGCACGTCAAACGCCGTGGCGCCCTGGTGGCTGGTGGTTCGAGAAGTACGTACGGTGGAAGTGCATTCCCAGTTACCAGATCCCGAGCCCTGAGGGTGAGGTATCAGGAAATTCCATAGTCTAGATCCATTATGCATACCTCGAGACAGTATCCCCAGATGCCCCACTAGATAGAAAATAGGGTCAGTGGCTATGTTGGACAAAGGTCGAAATCAGTCGATGGCGAGAACTGGACGTACACGCGCAGAGACGATTGGGTCATTGCCGGCGGAAACGGCAGAGCCATAGGACGAACGGACGATGTCGAATGCTCGTACGTATGGGACGGAAATAGACACCTGCGTCAGATACCAAAAAAACATGACGGAGGGCGCGATGTTGGAGCACGGGCGCGTTTCAAGCAAAGTCAGCGATTGAGGGCAGCAGCAACGGAGATGAAACAACGTACGAGGATGGAGAGGATGAATGCAATGCCCAGGATGACGGCCCCAGGGATCAAATGATGGCGGGCCATGGAGGATAATCTAGATTTGTTGAGAGTGATCTAGTCGTTATGAAGACGTGGATGAGCAGAGGCAGCTCGCAGTCGTCGACGAGGAGCAGGTCGATGAGGAGCGGTCCAAGTTTCAAACATGCCCAAAAGATGATGTCAGGTCGGTCATGGCGCACACTCCGCGAGGATCGAGGCAGCTCCTTCGGACTTACTTCTCCTTTTAAATTCCGTATTTATCATGTGCTTATATCCCTCAACCGGCGCTCTACCACCATTAGACTATCGACGGCCGCCGCGCTCCTTGTCCTGACCGCGACTCTATGATGAGCCTAACAATCTAATATGCCATAAACTGCCCATTCTTTCAGATTATGTCTTCATGGCTCTCCAACAGAACACCCCCGCCGTCTCCTACCCCGCCTTTTACCAGCAAAATGGACTGCTAGCTCGTAACGGCGGCGTATGGAACGTACATTCCCCTCCTGGTATCGACTGTACGTTATCCTAGACTCTTCATTACTGAGCCTCTTTTGCTGACCAGGCGCAGGCTCCAGTCTCAAAGCCTCGGATCCGTACATTGGCGACGTCTGTCTGTCCACTGGATGCATCGTCTGTCGGGGCGTCCAAACTTCACAAGGTACCAACAAGGGGATACGCTTCCACGCCAATATCACCCTCGACTTTGAACAGTTCGAGAATCCAAGGACGTTTGATTAGTATGTTTGGACTCTACTTCAAACTATTCTTAATCATTCGAATAGTTCTCTCGTATTAGACGTCTATTGGAACGATAGATCCAGGCGCAACCCTTATGAGTGCTGAAAACCACTGCGTCGGTCGGTGAAGATTCCATCTCTGTGCAATCTTATCAAGTCGGCCACGATATATTCAATCCAAATACAGGTACGTCTCCCCTTTTGTCAATGACGACTTACTCACGTCCTATAGAAAATACGAGGGTTGAGCGACATGGAACGACGTTAATCGACTATGTCACTCGCTGTGGCTCTACGGCGCTGCTCTTCGTGGAGATTGAGATGCGCGTACCTGCCTACCACGACATGGGTTACATCTCAGTCATGCAATTTCGATCCTTCCGTATCACTCGACCCTCGCTCCCAGCTACGCTTCCACCTCCATCTATTCCGGTGCCCCTTCGTGACGATACATTTGGTCCTCTCGTTGGCAAGGTAGTATTTCTTCTCTGCCTCGCTTTGGTCGGGTACTGGATATACATTGCCGGAAAGGCCTCTCAACGGAGGCAAGTCCTAGTCGACGAAGGAACGAGCACCGATAATCCCACCCGTCTCCTTGATACAAGAGATGCAAGGGGCAAACTATGGCACGATAGCAAATCTTCTTAGTTCTTCGCCATCTACGTTGGGCACGGAAGACCAGACGACTCAGGAGCGTCCTACTTCTCTCCCTGTCGATGCGCTCCACGAGTGGGCCACTAAATATCGTGATCTCATTCCGGAGACTCTCGAAGCCAAACTCTTACGTGCTGGGTATTTGCCTCGTGATGATCCCAAGAGGTACACCGAGGACGAGTGGTATACTGTATGGGACGTGACTCGCTTTGAGTTCGACAGACTCATCGAGGCCTATAATAATACTGTCCGGGCAAATCCCTTGTGACCAATCGTTTGGTTCAGGTGGTGCTCCTATATGAACCCTAATCAGGCCAAGTGTCTTCTCTTCCTGATAAATAAACCTGGTTCTACCAATTCGACCTACCTGTCTCACTGTCAGATTCAAATCTGACTCTCACAGCATGGAGCCTGACTCCTGCCGGCTATAAGTACTCGTACATTGGCGTGCCTCCGAGAGCAATGGGTGATTTACAGACAACAATGGTGTCTACTACAGGTCTCAGTTACACCCCTGGTGTCCCATATCCTGCCTTTCACAGGCAGAACGGTCTCCTCGTAGACGATGGAGGTGTTTGGAGTGTTCGTGCACCAGAGAGTATTCAATGTCAGTGCTTCAAGTGCTCCTTATGAACCAGCTAATCCCAATAGGCTCCAGCTTACTAGATACGGACCCCTATATTGGCGAGCTTTGCACATTCAAGGGTTGCATCGTATGCCGCAGTACACAAGAAGCCGAAGATGTCAAGGAGCACATACTTCTTTATGCAAACATAACGCTCGACCTCCAAAGGACAAACCGTCCTGCGACGTTTGACTAGTGGGGTTCCTTCTTTATGTCCGGGTTTCGCTTACGAGCATACTGTAGTTCATCAATGCTCGACGTCTTTTGGAGTAATCGTCAAACGCCGTACAACTCGAGCGAGTACCTTAAAGCGTCTGTGACGGTCGGTGAAGACACCAAATCCAGGTGGTACTGGAGGATTGGCCACGATAAATGGACCCCATCCTATGGTGTGTCCTATTCATAGTCTTATTATTCAACATTGACTTGTTTCAGACAAGACCAGGATCGAACACCGCGGGACGAGCACGCTTCAATACACCTACGGCGGCGAGTCGACTGCGTATCTATTCGTCAAAGTCGAGATGGGCCTACCTTCTTCGTATCCTGTTGGTCTCATCGAGGTTATGCAATTCCAGTCTTTCAGTATCGACAGACCGTCTCTCCCCACGACTCTCCCACCTCCATCGCATGAAGACCCCGAGGAATCGTCTCCACCTGACTCGCAACCTTTACCGACGCGACGGGAGCGTCATAAACCGTCCCAAGTAACCGTTACGTGGGTACCTCCGATTCACTCGCCGCGCTACCAAGAGCCTCTCCCTCCACCAACGCCAAATAATGAAGGGCTGGTCTATCTGCTGGGGTTCATCATAGTGCTCAGCAGCGCCGTTGCTATAATCCTTATCGTGCAAGAACTGTACCGGCGCGTGCAGCGGTCAGAGCACCTTCCTACCTTTGCAGATCGCGCCGCGCTGCTCGGATATGGTCCAATCACCGCCAATCCACGAGATTATCGAACTTTTGGGGAGGAGTCACATCGTGGATGTGCATCGCATGCGGGTTCGACTGCCTGCCACGCACCGAGGGAGACTCCCAAAAAGCACGACCTTGAACAAGGGCTGTCCGCATGGGCAGCAGAGCACCGCCGTCAGATCCCGGAATCATTCGAGGCGAAGCTCAAGGCGGCTGGATACTTGCCATATGATGATCCGGATATCATGACCGAGGACGAGTGGCTCTCTCAGTGGAGTGTATCAAGGATGGAGCTTCAGAGACTTCGGCATTTGTATCAGCAGCGCGAAGATGCATGATATGTGGTCAAACTTTCAATCCTACGCATCCTTGGCAGCGCTCGTGGCCTGTGAACAAATGTTTATTCATGTCTGTTCTCGAATACTATCAATTATTAGATGCCTCGAGGCAACATCAAGGCGTATTCTAAGCCAGGTTGCAAGGTGAGACGCCTACGCCCCTTGATCAATTCCAACACCCTAAGCGGCAACGACGCCTGTGTGCAAACTGATTGCCGACAATTGATGACCAGGTTCCCTCCACAAGAAGCGCCGTTCAGATTGGCTTCATCGATTCAAATAACCGGAGCCTGACTATATTCAATGCTAGTGTTATATACCACGAGAGACTTGAAGTTGTGACTAGCACACCATGGCGCCCGTCCATTCGCTGCAAGCTCCTGCAATTCCTTATCCTCATTTTCTTCGGCAGAGGCCTGGTGTCTGGAGTTTTCATGCGCCTCCTACAATCCAATGTCGGTGATCTTGGAAGAATGTCCTCATAATCACTAAACGATCCCTTTAGGTGCGGATTTGAAAGGATTCGACGTGTACGCTGGGGACCTCTGCTTGTTCGGAGGATGCGTTGCATGCCGCGGGGTCCAACGTCACGAAGACTCGAGTGATCACGTTTATGTCTACGCCAACATTTCGTTGGACATGAGTGGTACCAGCAAACCAAAGACGGTAGATTAGTACGCACCCGTTTCCTGACATTTCTTTATCTGACCAGGTATACAAAGCTCAGTTATGCTCGATGTATACTGGATAGATCACTCCGTCGAGTGGTATGACCATCAGCTTACTGCCAGTGCCTCTGTCGGAGATGATACTATTTCGCACAGCTGGTGGCGGATTCATTGGGATGAGCATGAGCATAACAAGTTTACACCAGATTCAGGTATGACCATCTCGATTACTATCGTAGAGGGCTTGATAATTGATCATTCTTCGTAGACAAGACGAGGCTTGAGAGAACCGGAAGCAGTCGAGTATCCTACTCTGACGAAGACCCAAATCTCGCCTTTCTATTTGTCAAAGTGGATCTGGAACTGCCCTCAAACTATGGGTTCGGACTCCTTCAAGTGATGCAACTTCTCAAGTTTGAGATTGAGCGACCGGCAATTGCGACAACTATGCCTCCGCCCACGCACACGCAGACATCTCCCCCACTTGCCACGACAGTATTCCTTCCTCTACCCAATGGCAGATCATCTGCACCAGGACCGCTGTTGGTATCAGTGGAGGTAATGGGAATTGTGTCCATGCTGATATTAATTATGTGTATGCTGCTATACGCATATGAGCGCGTCAAGCGGCTTCAGAGATGGGAAGTACCGGACGAGCGTCGTCCATTGCTCCCTGGTGATCAAAATAGGGCAGAATATGAGCGAGTAACCATGTGGAGGCAATTGAAAACGCAGATTCTTCGCACGTCCGCTAGTACTACCGAAGTCTGCCGCCCGTTGAACAGTGGGTGAGGGTTGTCTGGATGCGATTTCTGTATCTAAAGCCACGTAGAGACGACACGTACATTCACTCCTCTTGACCTGATTCGTCGCCTCCAATCATAGATACCATGTGGCTTACGGTTCCAAGAGCATCGCGATTACTGCTCATTACATTGATAATTCAGGGGTGTTTTCTGAGAGCCGGGGTTGACTCGAGTATGCGTCTCGGAAACGCTAAAGGATTTCCCTCGAACAACCGAACGAACTGCCACCCCTTCTTGGAGTGGAGATTCTATCTTGTGACGACGACTTGTCTATTGAGCGAAATTCCGTATAAACATAGAGCAAACTCTTCTGCATAACATTTATCGCGAGTCTACAGAATGCCCGCTGAGAACGGGCGGCGGGGATAGAGATGTGGCAGAAGAAACAACGCTCTCGCGACCGTTAGAAAGCTATGAAGTCGTGTAGAGTTTAGCACAAGGAACTATTAGGACTGCAGAACGACTGGCCGAGCGAGCATGGCGCGTAACTTCCCTTTGAACGACCGACTTGAGCGTCGTGGGGATCCGACTATGCGACTGGATTGCATAAACGCGCGTGGAATCAGTTGATATTCATCGTTGGACATGATTAGAGATGGTTCAACGCGAGACGAATCCAGCGTCGCGACGTGGTTGGGAGGACGAGTTGTGCCACATTTTGATCCAAGAATGTGGCAGACCAAAATCAAGTCATATAAAATCTTCTAAAATGAATAAAAACAATACGAAATCAGTTTCGTGTCGCAGTGATGCGCGTCCACATACCAGCCGTGGAGGACCGTCCGTCCAGCGACTTGCGACGCGCTCGTGATCACGTGCAGAGATTAGAGTTTTAAGCCCCGACACGCCTCGCCACTATAAGAGGCCTGTACTAGTCCCAGCCCGAACTGCCCACTTTCCCTCCTCCCCGGACGCGTCGTCCATCGTCCCGCCAGCGCGCCAACACGTGCTTTGGATATACCAGGCTCAGAAACGCCCTAACTTGAACCGAGAATCCACCCTTTTTGTTCAACCTTGACCGGAAGGACACAGCCCATTCGCAATGGCCGAGAGCAATCCCGACATGGCGTGAGTATGCGAGCGAGGTTACTCGTGAGACGTTTGTTGATGCTCTTCGTGTTCAGGTCCCTACTCAACGAAGACATATTCCTACCCCTCGACCTCGAACTGCTCGGGAATATCGAGCTACCCACCGAGCTCGACCTCGCCGCCGAGTTGTTCTCACTCGGCAATACCAGCCTAGCTGGTGAAAAGCTCCCTGGCCAGCATCGAGTCACCCAGCGACAGCCACCTCCCTGGGGACCTCTACCTCCCCGACTTGTCCTATGGGCAAGATTTCTCTTTCCTAATGTAAGTACGAAGCATGCTATCCTGGGATCTTGCTCAAATGTTCGAATAGACCCGGCGACTGGAACAGCATCGCCGGGGACCAGCAACCCACGGGATTTACCGCAGACGACAACAGCTCGGTCTGCCCAACCGATCTCAATGGATACTCGGTACCTCCATCAGAGGTCGGTGAAGATGAGTTGGAAGCGTATGAAAACGACGTTGTCGAGAATGGAGTAGAGGAATCCGACGAGGAAGAGCTTGAACAGGACGACGAGTGAGTGTTATCTATGGCAAGCTGGATCAAATTGGGGCTAATGAGATTCGCAGACCCGTAAGGCCTCGCAGTATCATACCGCTACCACGTAGAGCGGCAGAGGTCCGGTGAGTACCCTTCTACCATACAGGTAAATATTCTGACATGCAACTAGTGACAACGCGCTACAGCTTGTATGGGGTCTACGGCCCCGAAGGGGCCATCCCGCCGTCGAGACGGCAGACGAGGTACCTGCGCATTCGAACGTGCCCCTCAAATCGAGACATGCCTCATTTTCCGGCGAGGCCGACCCAACATCCGCCTCGCACTCGGCATCCACTTCCGCTAGCGCAGCTCGCCTCGCCAGCGGAATTAATCTTCAAGACAACAGTCACGGTCCCCGCAAGGTGGGAGATCGTGACATAGCCATCAAGAACAATCCCACTGCCAAAGGTGCGTCTTCATCTGCGGTCATGGGCAATCCTAACTAGGCTGTCTAGGAAAGGGGAAAGCCAACCAGACTCGTGCGCCTAAGGCGCGTGGCTCCCAAGGTACGTTTCTTTGGAAATTAACCAGCTTAACTACTGACTGGATGGAAAAGTATCGGCGCCTCTTGCCAAGTCGAGTGGCACAAGAAGGTCCAAGGCCCAGGTCAAGATCGAGCCAGGTATTTCCCATCCGTAAGATGTCTTCTACTCCTAACAGTTGCATAGTGAAAGGTCCTAACGGATATGCAGATCCCACCGGGATCTTGCATCGGCTTCGAGAGGGAATTCGGGTAGGCGATATTGACGCGGCCTTTTTCCCAGCCGATCAAGCCGTAAGGATCGAGAACAATCGTTACACGTGCCAAGTAAAGGGAGACTTGACGGCTACGGGGAGGGCCGTGTGGCAGGGGACGAACAGCGCCGCCTGCGGTGTGTCGTTTACGTCAGACGAGTCGTACAAACGACACATCATTGCAAGCCACCTCGGAGTACATAGAGGCTCGGGCGAGCTAAAGGAACGAATCGGCAAGTTTGTGGTCTTGCTCACAATATGTCGCTGACGAATCATCCACAGAGAAACGAATCACTGTGCACGAGGCGGCAGAGCAGAGGGGGCAGAAGAGGAAAGTGCGCGAGGAAGACGAGGAGAGCGGGGATGACTGGTACGAGCAGCCCGATAAGAGACGCAAAAAGAAAGGAGATAGTTTGTAGAAGTAGCGTGATCCTGAATCCGACTCTATCGACCGAATCTACACATTAAAATTACCTTGATGACGAGAATTGACGGTCGGCCACATAGTCGCGGGTTGATTGGAAGGGCGGACAGTAGAGATCCGCTGTTGAAATGGAAGGATACAATGAAGAGGTGCACCTCTGAGGACAGAGTTGGACGGGACCACCGATTCTGCCGTCGTGAGAGTCGATGTGGTAAGGTTCAGGTGAGATCCATAAACAGAAGTCAGCGACGGGAGAATCCTAGAAGTACGGAAAGATTATAGAATGTGGATATCACAGCTCTGGCCATTGCCCTCACAAATAGACGAATCGCTTCGGCCGCCACCATCCCCCGGTGCTTTTGGCCCACCCGTCGAGGCATCCTATAATTCATGACCGACCATTTCAGGTACAATGTATATATGATATACAACCATCACCACGATAACATGAACAGTTAGGCAACAAGTCCGCATAGGCGCCGCTGTGAGAGATCTATAGCTCTTCATAGCCTCGGCATCTCCGACTATGGACAAAAGATGTAACACTCTCGCTCCACGTGGACACTCTATAACCACAGGTCCATAAAAACTCTCTGCGCCCTTGTCGCCAGTCGACTTCAACTTGCACTCCTTCGCTCCTTAGAACTTCCGTAACTTCTACTTGCTTAATAAGGTAAATGGAACTGCTCAATGGTGACCATTCACCCAAACTCTCTCGTTGGTCTCCCGAGCTCATCAACCTGGAGATCGTTTATGACCCGTTCATCTTGTATTGGGCTCAGAGCTTTGTATTGGAGGGCGTACAGTCTCTAGAACTATTTGAATAGCAGCGTTCAGGCCTAGCGCCGCTTTCAGTGCTTCGTCCTCGTTCACACCATGTCCAATGCCGGCGCAGCATTTTTCGCTCCACCAGCATCTTACTCGGGTTCTTAGCACCATTCTGCATTATCGGGAGCACCTAATGGATCCTGGTCTAGCTACGCGCCCCAAAATATGAATCGTATGTTCTATGCAGCATTTAGAGTGAAACTAAATGGATGTAGATACAAGCACAAATGGCGCATATTCATGATGGTTGCTTCATGTTCGGGTCGTGCATTAGACGCGTATTTCTTGCCGTCCGATGACATTTTGAGCGACTTGGAACTTCCCCCAGCAAACTCTTCATACTGGAATACATACCAGAACAGTCAATGGATGGCCACAATCTCGTCCCAACTCTACCCTCAGAGCTCATATTACACCACTGTCAGCCAATATGCACCGAGTTCTGCCTACACCGATAGCTTGAAGACGAATTCGAGTGCCTATCTGTATCATCCCTCGGGTAGCGCTATACGACCACTCCCGCCTTCAGTCGCGCCGACGAGGGTGCGGCCTGCGAGGACAACAAACGCAAATACGGTTGCACTGGGCCCTTCTACCGCAGCTATTCAACCTCATCTCACAGGAGCAACGACATCAAGCGCTGTCGGCAGGAACCCCGTCCAACCAACGGCAGCTAGCCCACCCACAGCAAGAATCAAAGCCCAACCGGTGCCAGTTTATCCACAGCTTGCGTCGTGGGCTGCACAAATCGACGCCAAATCTCTGAGAAACTTGAAGGAAAGCTAGGTCAGTTGTCTCCCTTGGCAGGACCCGGATGGCATGGGCTTGACGGAGGACCAATGGAAGAGCAATGTGGGTGTGACGAAGAAGGAGTTGGGACTACTGAGGGGTATGTACCGGCGAAGAGGCATTGTTCCTGGTGTGACAGCCCGCGGAGTTGCGCCTGGGATGGTAGACTTGACGCCGGCGAACCTGTAGTCCATGAGGAGGAAATTGCCGGAGGGAAGCGGTGTACACCTTTAAAGTGAATGCATAATATAGTTTGCTGATACCATCAGCGTCTGGATGGGGTCATCAGCCCCCTACAGACATGGCGGGCAATCTACTGATTGGGACGACTTTGACATTACAAAAGGTAGAAGAATGTGGTTGATATTGGCGCCTTGCTTTTCGCCGAAAGAAGAGAGGAACTAATTTGGACGTGTTTGCGCCTGCGCCTTTTGGTCAAGACGAGACCTAGCTAAAGCGTTACGGTGGTTCACCTACTCTTCTGTACGTTACCGACTTATATCAAGTAGTAACGAGGATCTCACTGCTGCAGAGGCCAACAGCGGATCATGCATAAAGCATATGTGGAAAACCGTTGTCATACACCTTGGACATGAAGGACGGGCACAGGCTAAACTAGGATTGTTCGCGTAGCCATCATATGATTCAGACTGAGAATCGCTACTTTCGAATTTGACAGGGGGCATGAGGCTTTGGGCTATTCCACGGGCCTGTTTATCATTTCGGCATACAACAAGGCGCAATGCCGTCCTCTAAACTTGGAGCAGTCTAGCACGTACCAGAATGGCAGATCCAATCAGGATAACGATTACAGCGGTTACAGCGGTAAGATTCTGTCTCCTCGTTCGTCAAGGAAACTCAGTGTCTCTAGGTGCTCGGCGCCGCCAAAGCCATCGTCGCCATGATCGACAAAGAGGAGCGCCAGAAACATCAGAAGAATGCATCAGTTACCGATCTTGAAGCATCTGTCAACGCCCTCAAGGAGGACATGAGCATCTATGGCCGTTTCCTGAACACGATGTTTGCGGAAGATGCCAATCAAAGAGCACGCGTAAGGCTCTGTTCCGGGTAAGTGATGCTATAAATCTTGTAAAACAACTGACGCGTCGTAGCCCCGAGGGCTGTGAGGCTCTGAATCAACTAGATGTCTCCCTCGAGGGCGCGCGGCGCTGCTTGGAACAGACAGAGGTGGTGGAGACCGCACTCTCTGCCTCTGAATCCAATAGAGTGTGGCCGGCCAAACGGCCTCCTATCGGAGAGCTGGTAAAGTCGCTCTTTCAAACCAACTTTGCTCCAAACGACGATACCATCGACAAGCTCTTGAGTGCAACCAAGGATGTGGATATATATCGTGGCAATTGCAAGTGCTCGTTCAAGCGGGTATGGTATCTATATCAACTCTATCAGCAGCCTCCGAATCAACAAGTATCTATGGAAAGCATTCAATCCGATGGCATTGAGAGTGCCTTGAATGACGTCGAAATGGCTTTCTACCAGCGGCCATTTACTGTATCCGCGGAGGGCAGTGTCCGTGTCGCGTTCAACAACCTGTCCATGCTGAACCGAACCAGCGAAAACTCAACAAAACACATGAAGCTGATGAAAGACATTGGTCACCGGTGGGCACAGAGTGGGATGGATCGAAATGATTTCCTAGGCCAACCTGGAAAACCCATTTCCAAGATCCAAGCCCTTGGAAGGCTACAAACGTCTCTGTTCGAGCTACTTTGGAGTGGTACGATCGAGCAGATGAAAAGGCCTCAAAACATCGAAATTCTGGCTCAGGAGAAGTCGGAATTCAAAACCGAGCTGTACGAGCTTGAAAAGGCACTCCAAGATGCAATTTTTCGAGCCAAAAAAGAGAGATTCGCCATCGCTTTCTGTGGAATGGTCAAAGCTGGGACGTCATTGTTCCTCAACGCGCTCATTGGCGAACCTATTCTGCCATCTAATGGTGAGCATTTATATCTTTACCGCTTAATCTATCTAATGTGGTACCATAGAATTACCATCCACCGCCTGGCCGTGTCGGCTTCGCCATGTTCCAGGCCAGACGACGCCGATGCTTACTTACGACGAGGGGCCGTTTATCTCCGGCCTAAAGGCGCTGCAGAAAGCGAAATATGGTCACCGACTCAGGAACTACCAACCTCCTTCCGAAGATATTTTCGATGCAATATTCCAGGATGAAGACGTAGCGACACCGACAGAAGAAGAGATCAAGCTCAGGGAACTGTACGCACCTTGGGTTGACCTTCATGCTGTGACAAGGAAGAACCTAGAAGAATTCGAGTCTCCATACTATGTCTTACCCAAGTCAGCAAAGGGACACGAGGACGTTAAGAGATTGGTGAGTGAGACGTTATTCTTTCCAGGCGTCACTTATTAGCTCTAGCTAGGGATTCTAAACGACATCATTCGACTCTGCTTCCGCTTCAAGCTCGTTTTCAAGATGGATGATGTCGAGTGGCCATTACTGACCGTGGAATTCAACTCGCTTGGTGACCACCCAATGGACGGCATATACGAGGTGAGGCTTTAGCTGTACGGCACAATCCCTAAGCGACTCAAATTATACCAGTTTATAGACCTCCCGGTACGAATGTTCCGCATAAATCTTCTTTTATCTTATTATCTATAGGGGTTGGGAGAGCAATTTGAAACAGTATGTCAATGATGAAATTATGAATGCGTATTCACGTCGTATATCCACAGTTCAGCTTCGAGGCCATGGTTCGACTGGTAGCAAAGGACTCAAACGCAATTGTACCCATCATCTCATTCAAAGAATTGGCCCGCAGGCAAGTACTCGAAGGCTCCGTTTCCATCAGTACTCATCATTACTCAGTGATTGGAAGAAGCTACCGGACACTGTATCGAGTGGATTTGGTGCTCGAGCAAACATTGTCATCTGCACTCATCTGTAAGTGTTGCCCGCGCGTCGTCCGTAGCTGATTGAGCCCAGGGATCAAATTCACGGCGAGAACCTCAATGAACAATTATCAATCGTTAGCAAGGTCTTTTGGCCCGGTAATCTCAAGGGAGTGGCGTCTAACGACATCATTCCCTGCTCGTCGTTGATGGGTCTGAGCGCGCGAGCCCTTTTGGACTTGTCAAGAGGGAAATCAAAGCCACAATTTACGTCATTCTGGGATCCGAAGCGGAAGAAAGTCAGCCACCCGGTACAAAGCCTCATCCCCGACTGCCGGATGTTCTCTCACCACCTTCTAGTGTGCTGAAAAAATCCTCGGCGTCAGCCAGCCTGAGCAGAACTATGAGAGGATGCCGACCGAATTTTGGAATGCCGAGCTCGAACGGGAGATGAAAGAGAGCGGCTTGCCAGACGCAATCCAAAAGCTGGCCCGAGAAATGGTCGATCAAGCCAAACAACGGGCTCTCATTCAGGAATGCCAGGCTGTGTGTAAACAGCTTCGCAAGATGATTACCGCCCAAGAGTATGTCTCCATCGATAATAGGTCTGCTCTATTCATCATGTCTACAGACGCAAGCTCCTCGAAGCCAGACGCACGGTTTGTCTCTGCTCCATCTGTCTCACTTGACCTGACAGGTATAGAAACGAGACTTTGATGCCGCAAAAAAGGAATTCGAAGATGCCCGAGCGAATTTATATGCACTGATCAATACATGGAATCTTAGCAAAACCACCCAGGAGCAGATCTATAAAGACAAGCTGGACAGAGTAATCAAGGCGCTCTCACAGAAAGCCGAATCCTTCATACCCCTCGCCATAGAAAACACGCTCAACGATTGGTCCCTCGGATCCGTCAAACAAGAGAAAGATATCGAGTCGAGTAGAGCCCCGGAAACAACAAAAGCAACAATGCAACATAGTACTACTGTACTGATCCTCGAAAGTGCGGCGCACGCAGAAGAATTCCTTTGCCTCAGTCAAACCGAGCTCACAAAGTCGTTGAACGAGCTCAGACGGGACTTTGTGATCAGTGTTCGGAAGATGGCAGAGGAGGCGCGAGCAAAGCATTTTCAAGATCTGAAAGACAAAATCAAATATCTCGATCCAAAGATGCAGCCAGAGTTCCGTAAAGAAATCATCGAGGATCTGAACGATCAATCTGTCAATATTCGTCAAGTTGCATTCAAACAGATCAGAAATAAGGTATGTATACACGTGTCTCGCCATTGACTGAGCCTTATCCTTTCCATTAGATCAAGATAATCAAGACTTGGGGACGAAACAAGCAAACGATCTATCTCGCCATGGATGTCATTGAAGGCCACTACCGGGAGGAAATCGTCAAGCCGTGGATCAAGGATCTGGCGAGAGAGAGCGAAAAGTCGCTGATTGGAACAATCACAGCTAGTTCCCAGGTCGCGAGGACGGCGGTAGAGAACGCATTGGCACGTGAAGATGCACGATACAAGCGGGAAAGTGAAGAGCGAATCCCGAACAAGTACGGAGTGGTACAGAACATGGTGCGTAAGCACGTTGTTGGGGTGACTGGTTCTCACCTTCATAGGTGGCACTCAACAGCTCGCTATGGGCGGCAGAGAGTGCTCTTCAAACGATTTGGAAAGAACTCCTTGAATCACTGAACGTCATGGGCAAGGCACCTCTCAATACCACTGAATCTATTGTGGAGGAAACCCTTGTGAGAGTATGTAAAACTTGTCGCTGCAAACTTATGATGTGCAGGACACGATGCATACAGGCACAGAGAGTGTATTGATCCAGGGAGAATCGAGAGAGGGGGAGCGAACAGTGATGCCGTTTCCACAAGCAGAACAAATGGAAGGTAGATCCTCTGAAGCAAGCATTTTGCGAGGCAAGAACTCAGAGGTTTTGGGAAGTGGCTCTGAATCACCAGGTTCTGCGCTCGAGGGTATCAAAACGTCCGTGCAACAGTATACCCACGCTGCAACTCAAACATTGGCCGAAGGATCTGACAAGGAATCCGATTCTTCTTCATCTGATCCATCGTCAACTTATGGGCGCGTTAATGGTGTCGACGTACCGCTCAAATATGCTCACGCTGCAATCCAAACCCAAGTCGAGGCAGTTCTCGAAGAATCATATCCCTTTCATCCAGGGCATTTAGCAACCGTCAAAGAGGACCCTGACCCGCTGATTCCGATGTTGCAGGATTTATTGCATCAGCGGCGTCCAGTTGAGCTGTACAACGTAACCAACATCAGCAATCATCCCTTTGCCTACGGCGGATATGCCCAAATTTACGCTGGCGAATTTCAGGGACGCCAAGTATGTGTGCTCGACGACTTGATCGCGCGGTGTAATATTTCGATAGGTGGCTGTGAAGTGCATCACCCCTCGGAGAAACCGGACTAGGCCCGCGCCATGGGAACAATCGATGAGTAGGGTAAGTGGGATTGAGTTTGCCTGACTTGTGATGAATCCTGCATTTAGAGAGTTGATAGAGAAATCGAAGTATGGAGCGCGCTTTCTCATCCTAATATTCTCGATTGCCTCGGGTACTATTGTAACACCAAACTCGCCGACTTCCCTTGTATTGTTTCTCCAGTACGTGTTCATATTTCGACTAATCGAAACTTACGAGCTGTAGCTGTGCGTTCATGGATCGTTGGATATCTATCTACGGGAGTCTCCCAACATTACAGACGCCGAGCGCCTGCGATTGGTTCGCCAACAGCTCACTCTTGCTATAGGTTTGACGTATTGTATTCAGGTTTCCCAAACATCTCTGGGAATAGCGTATTTGCATGATCTCGGCATCATTCACGGTGATCTAAAACCAGTGAGTATGCTCGACCAACAATCCACTTTCTCAATTCTTTTTCAGCTGAATATACTCGTCGACGAACACTATCAAGTCCGCCTCTGTGATTTTGGCCTGGTTCGTGCCCTGGAGGGGCTCGAGCCGACCCCGACCCCATACATCGCAACGCCTCTCTACATGGCCCCAGAATTGAGTGATTATCGAGTGTCAACGTTTGCAGGGGATATCTGGGCGTTTGGTTGCATCGCATTAGAGGTATATCTCCAAACTTGGCGTTGTCATGAATAACTGGACGTGTCTAGGTTATAGAAGGCCTTCAACCTTATGCACGACGGCAGAACGAGATGAGGACCTATGGTCGGGCATACAGAAATCAATACCCAGCTGACAAGAGCATGAGCCGTTGGCCTCAATCTGACTTTAAAGAGGCGGCCTGGGCACTCATGAAAAGCTGCTGGAATCAATTTCCCTTTCTCCGACCTCCGATTAAGAGCATGGTTTGCCAACTGCAAATGATGGAGGAAATGTTGCCCCTCGAGGAGTAGACAGATGCTATCTTGTATTGTATTACTCTCCTGGATTTTAACAGCTATCTTCTCTTGATACCACGTTTCTGTTGCGAGAAAGCTGGATCAAATTGGAGATAACGACAAGTAGAGGTGAATCACCTTTGTTTCTCACATCTGCAGTACATAAACTCCAGATGCTAGGCCATTCAATTCGACGTGCAAGTGCAGTCTATCCTCAGTGGCGGTCAGAACCAGCATGTTTGCACCAGTATTGAAAAGCGCTTGTGTGGTCGATACCATAAACGGCAGAGGACCAAAGCGGATTGAAACGTTTCGAGGAGCGGTGTCCAAGTTGGCGAATATGAGTAGTATCCCACTCTCGGCGGTGTATGTGACGGCGACAATCTGCTCGTGATTTCGAGTCGGCTCCATCACCGACGATAGGTCCTCGTCATCTGGTATCGACATGAGCGGGAGCTGTTGTCCGTCGGTGAGAGCTCGCCCGTAGAGTTGTTCCTGATTGAATGGACATATGTGGCCACCGAGAGTACGTACAACTGGGCGATCGACTTTAACGCTCGGATGGAGCATATACTCGGCGAGCCGAGGAACCATTTTTGCTAGTTTTGTCGCCGCGTCGTCAATCTCCGGGGTAGTCGGTGCAATCCATGGCGTGATACCTAGACTCGTCAGCATATAGTGATGCTAAGCCAGACCTTTACCCGTCGCGCCGCTCGATAATGCCAGGATACTCATGAGCGCAAACTCGCGTCCAGTGGGATACCGACTCCAAAAGCTATATCCATCAGCTTCATACGAAATGATCAAGTAGAACCCACCTCTGCTCTCCAAACGCCTGCACGACGCTCCAAAGCACCTTGCGTTCGCCCATCCACTCCAATCTCCTCGCATATTCCTCCAGTACAATTGCCACTTCACCTACCTCACTACTCTCACACTCGTCACACCCACAATCTCCAAACGTCGGGGTACATTCAGTTGAATAGACGGTACTCCACGTCGTGTTTGTGCCGATAGGATACGTGTCATGGAGGAGAAGAGGTGTGTTTGAGGTGTAAGGTGCGAAATTGTAGTCGCGGCAGTTGAGGACGAGCGAGGTTGGGTGATAGCCGTCGAGTTGGGAGATGAGCTCAGAGGCACGTTGTGGGAGAGCTGTATCGTCTGTCCATCCGTCGGGTCTACATCATGAGCATGAGTGAATATGAGAGTGTAAAGATGGGGATTCGTACTCGTCTGCGGTGTACCAAGCGAGGAGGTTCTTTCTCTTTTTGATCGCGTCGACTTCTTCCGCTATTTGGGTTAGATTCTTGTAGCTCCTAAAGAGGATTAGATGGACCAAATTAAGTGGGCAAGAGTCTACCATCGCATATCGTAGACGAGCCAAAGGCCAAGTTCTTCCATCCTGTCCAGCACGAGGTTGAGCGCAGTCACGTTGCCAAACGTAGGTACAGGATGGACAAGATTGTATCTGGTCATGGTATTAGATATTGGTAGATGTAGTATCAGATACGTACCCTCTATCAACAAAGTCGTCTAGGATAGATAGATTCTTGGCAAGATAGTTGTCAAACGCCGTGTAGAATCCAAATCCGATAAACGGTTTCCACTCGTCATGTGAACGGACGAGAAGTGTTGAGCGTTTGTAGTCAGTCTTGACGACGGAACCGTCGTATGGGTTTGGTGGGAGGTAAAAGAGCTCTGTTGAGACAGGTACCTCGGTGCTGTGGATAGAGCACTGAAGGGCGTACGGTTGTTGACTTGGCTCAAAGTGTTTGAGTGGTAGAACAACTTCCTGCTTCAAGCCGAGTTGAAGCGTCGCGTTGACAAGGGAGCCATGTTCTTCATTGCCAATCTGCACTTTAAACGACGTCGGATCGTCATGGAGTGGAAAAGTGCTTTTCTTTGCTACGTGTGTGACCTCCAAGTCGATAATAATTGTCGCAGTGTCGTCTTCTCCATGTATATAGGGTGATATGGCTGTATAACATCGAAAGAGGAGCAGAGGAGAGTCTGAATGTTGAGGGACTGGATAACGACCGCCTGGATGTATAACAGGCTGTCCTTGTTTGTAATGTTTACCACACCATTTGTCCTGTGCGAGTGCTGAGGCTGCTAGAAGAACAAGGCCCAACAGCATGGACGGGGGTCAAAGGCGGAGTGAATTCGAATGATGTATGACACGTGTCACCGTGTAAAATGACGTTTTGTTTGTTGGAATTGCACAGCGCCAATCAAGTCCGAGTGGGGACTCTGACGACATTGGCAAAACGGGGACACTTAAAGGCCTCGACTTTGTGGGTTTGCTCCCGTCTCCAATTTCAGTCCCATTTTCCTCACTTAAACAAAAATGCGTCTGACTGCCCTCTCGCTCCTCTTCTTGTCCTCGACGGCCATCGCGTCCAGTTGGTTTGGATCCGACGAGCCCGAGCCCAAGCAATGGTCGCAGGAACAACTCGACAAGGCCCAAAAGGCGTATGCATCTGTTCATGACAGTGCAATGCAGTCCTGGACAGACAGCCAACTCCGCCAATTCCTCATGGACCAGGGCGTCATCGAGCCAAAGGGCACAAAGGAACAAGCTCCTCCAGATGGCACGCAGCCAGTATGTGTACAAGTATATCTTTTATAAATACAACTAACTCTCCCAGTCGCAAGTCGTTTAGCTCGGCACTCTCCAGCGCATCCGCCAGTGCCTCGACGGCCGTGTACGGCGATAGCTACTACCAGGCAACCCAATCTGCCTCTTCCATCGCCTCTCAAGCCTCGAGAACTGCCTCTTCGTACATTACCAGCGCCACCGAGGCTGTCATGGACGCCATGGACGACACCAAAGATTATGTCTACTCGTCGGTCAGACAACCAACTCCGCACCTATCTCGAGGAAAAGGGTGTCATCCGCACAAAGGCTCAAGTCTCTCGCGACGAGATGCTCAAAAAGATGCGCGAAACGTATGCCGCCGCCGCCAACCCAGTCTATGACGCCTGGAGCGACAGCTACATGCGCCACTGGCTCATCCGCAACAATATCATTGCAGAACCCCCGACTACGCGTGAAAAGCTGCTCGCGGCTATGAACTCATATTACTATAACACAAAGGTACGTCATCCCTTGCGTATTTGCTTCTCCCACTCACACTTTCTCACAGGACTATGTCTGGTCTTCTTGGTCTGATAGCGACCTCAAGGCATGGCTCGTCCAGCACAACATTATCAAATCCGACGCCCAGCTCAAGCGTGAAAAGATGGAAAAACTCGTGCAGGACAACTACCTCTCGGCTTCGAATGCCATATGGGATGCTTGGACAGAATCTGAAATCCGCGCCTGGCTCATCGAACACGGCTATCTCCGCAGCGACGCCCAAGTGAAAAAGGACGAACTCGTCTCGCTCATCAACTCCAAGTGCGTACCCACTTTTTGTTTGCTTTTGTAAAGTCATTGACTCAACGTCTAGGTACACCGACGCGGCCAACAGATCTGCAGAGTACCTCACCTGGCCAGACGCACGTCTTAGAGCCTATCTCCGCATGCACGGTCTCCCCGAATCCCAACTCCCGACATCCCGTCCAGGTCTCCTTCACGAAGTCCGCATCCGCTACGTCATTGCCCAGACACGCATCGACCAAATGATTCAAAAGATTCGCGATGTCGTCTATGGGTCGATTGAGACGGCCGAAGAGAAACTCGGGAGCGTGTTGAGTGCGCTTGGAGGTGCAAGGGACGAGGCAGAAGTTAAGCGTCGCGAGGCGGTCAAAGAGGCTGAACGCCTCGCAAAGGAGGCTGAGAAAAAGGCAGAACAGCTCAAGGCTGAAGCTATCCGGAAGAAGAATGAGCTCTAAAGTATGGCTATGATGACTCTTTTATCGTAAAAGGCGACTGTCCTAGTTTTTGCATGTTCAGCACGAGAGATGTACGAGTAGATGCCAATGTTATCTTGCCCATTTTTTCTCTTGCTGATGTGAGCAGGAGGAGAAGAAGCGCGACGCGTGGGGCCAAACAAATACGATTTGGACGTGACCACGACCGGGGATTGCGCCCAGAGGCGATCACTGCACATCACATCAAGTACAACAGACGTGTATACGCGTAGATTGGCATTTATACGTCGATATTATAACAGCCAGTCTCCCCGCGCCTTTCTGCATATCCAGGAATCTCCCATCTGCGATACTTTCTTACTCCCTTTGATCCATTCTTGATATTTCCTGCTCCATTTTCCTCAAAGACTCGACTTCGAGGTCATACCCCATCTAAGCGACTCCTAGATTTGGAGAAATGATTGCCATCAAAGAAATCGTGTTTACGAGCCCACCTCGGGCACGGTTCAACGAGAATTACAAGTTCAAGATTACATTCGAGTGCATGTCGCTGCTAGAAGACGGTACGTCTCCGCGTCCATACCCGACAAAGACGTTAACAGTATATTTTTTTTTTCCCTCCAAACCATCATACGTCACATACAGACGTCGAATGGAAGCTCATCTTTGTTGCCTCGCCCGACAATCTCGACCTAGACCAAGAACTCGACGACTGTCTAGTCGGACCCATCCCCGTCGGCGTCAATTCGTTTGAATTCGACGCAAACCCACCAGACCCAACGCGTATCCCCAAGCAGGACATACTCGGCGTCGCCGCCATCATCCTCACGGGCTCCTACCGCGACCAAGAGTTTGTGCGCGTGGGTTACTACCAGAATACAGAGTACGATAATGAAGAAATGAATGAGAATCCACCACCCACTCCACGATATGACCGCTTGGTCCGCGAGCTAGCGGACAAACCCCGCGTCACCAGGTTTAATATTCGATGGTACGTTTGTTACTACTCTTATGATTAAATCCCTCTGATTTCGAACGTACAGGGATGGAGGAATGATTGGAGGATCCGCCCCATCTGCGCCCGCGCCCAATCAACCTCAACAGCCGTTCAACTCGCCCGTTCCAGGCGCTGCGTTCCCACGAGAGTACTCTGGAGGACCAATCAACTCGGCATTTGTGCCCAGTGCAAACGGAAACTCGATGGCGATTGGCTGAAATCAATCAATCAACACGAGAAAGTCTCAAATCACTCGTGGATCGTCCTTTATGGTAATTGTATGTATCTCCCCAACTGGTGTCACTATCTAAGAAAAGCTTGCTACAATCGAGTCGAATTTCAAAACGCTTGACGCGCAGTACAATTGGATAAGAAACGCAACAGTGCACGCATGCACGGTAAATAGAGAAATCGAGCCCAGAGGAAGAAGAAACGGGCAGTAAAACACACCTGGTTTTATAATCAGAGTTGAGAAAGGTGGCGAGTAGTGAACATACCGAATCAAGAATCAGTCGCCCACGTCGTCTCCAATCCAGCCTTGCTGACCCTCCGGACCGGCTGGAGCGTCAACTCGTCGACAGGAGCGCGCCTCGCATGTCGGTACCGACCTTCTGCATCGCGCACTTCCATCTCCTCGCCGACATCACGCAGAGGCACATGTCCCTTTGCGCCTCCGAGTGGACCTGCACTCATGAGTTGTCCGTTGGGCAACTCGCCTGCTCCATTCGGACCGAGTCCACCATTTGTAGGATACTTTCCACTCAGCCCTCCTGAAAACGTATCGTGCTCGCCGACGGCTGCAGCTGCACTGTAGCTTTGCACAATCGGTGGCATGCTCTCGCGGAGGTGGGCAGGACGTCGTCGGGCCGTCGAGCTCCCATCGTTTTTACTGGCTTGTCGGTGGTGACGATGGTTGATTCGTCGCCCAACTGGTCCAGCAACTTGACCAGCCGCTCCTACAACGCCTACAGACTTTCCGCCGAGCTCGTCTTCCTCAAAGTTCATCAACTCGGAGACAAAGCCGATATTGGGTGAAATGCCCTTCCGTCGGTCGAGAACAAATGCGTATGCCCGAGAGAGTGTCCAGTGATTGGCATGGATGAGGTACGCCATAACAGCAGTGACTGAACGCGATTTCCCCGCCTTGCAGTGTACATATGTCGGTGCAGAATGAAGACGAGCGTCATCTATAACCCAATTAGATACGGAAAACGCACTAGGATAGGGTCACGTACCAATGATGTCGCATACTTCTTTCATAGCCTTCATCACGTTGACCTCTTCGACCGTGTCCCTCATCGGTATGCGTACGTATTTGAACCGGTCTTTCAGATTCAGCCCAGCGTCATCATCGCACTCAATGGCGAGATTGAGAATCCGGCGAACCCCAAGACTCTCGAGCTCAGCGGCATGCTCTTCCTTGACGAGCTCGGGACCCAAGAACAAGAAACCAGGCAAAATTGTCGAGATGGTAAACACTGGCGTGGGCGAGGTTGGGTCGGGATCGTTTGGTCGGGCAGTCATGGGCGATGGAGGGAGAAGAGGTGTCAGCGGACTCTTTGGAGTCCGGGGTCTAGCTGGAGCTGCAGAAAGCCCACCCACACTGAATTGGGTCGAGCTCGCTCCGGGTGATGGAGGTGGCAAGTAGGCGGTCTCGCTGCGGGCGAAAGACGTCGAATTATCAGGACTAGATGGGGTGTTCACGATGAGCACATTGCTTTGGTGATTCGTCGACACATTGAGCTTATCAAGTCGTAGTTTAGGCTTAGCAGCTGCTGCTGCATCCGTGGTCGAGAGATGATTGGTAGACATATCAGAGGCGACCGTATGTGAACGTCCTGGCAGAGTTCGGAGTTGTAATTTAGGAGGGCCACCAATGGCGAGTCCCAACGTCGGTTTCTCCGGTCGTCCCTCAATCTGAGCCAGCGTCTTTAGTCTCTCTGCACTTGTCACATCGAGCTTCGCAAGTGTCGGGCGCGTTGGCTGAAGATTCGTTTCTTGTCTTGTGTCGAGTTGGTGACCATTGGTGGAGATTTGCAGGCTCGGAGGTTTGCGTCCATCTGCATCGTACTGCTGCCATGGTCGATTGTCACCCAATTTCAGGTGAACCGCAGACGGAGGTGTCTTGACCGCCTGCGCTGCATCTCCACTGCCGCCGCTTCGAAGTCGTTGATGAGTAGGCCTTTCACCATCAAGACGCGGCTTGAATCTTTCTGAATTTGCAGCGGGAATGTTAAGGCTGAGCATCCTCGGCGTTTTGCTCGAGTCAGGCGAACTAAGGTCAAGAGCGAGTGTTTTGGCTTTTCGTGGAGAAGGCGGTGGCTTGAGGTTGACGGTGGAGGTAGTCGTATCACGAGGCACCGCGGCAAGTTCAGCAGCCTTTTGTGGCGTTGCTTCGGATGGAGCCATATCCGCGAGCTTTGGCGAGGTCGTCGGCGGCTCAATCTCCGGCAGAGGCCGGTGCTTTGCTGCGACATCTGTACGGATCATAGAGAGGCCTTGGGGCGTTCCGCGAGGATTTGGAGACCCCAGGAGCTTGAGATTGGGAGTCGTAAGCGACTTTGCTTGAGGGGTACCGGTAGAGGGAGTATCCACCGATGGCCTGGATTTATCCCCTCCAGAATTGGATACTGAAAATGCGACACTGGATTGTGCGTCGGAACTTGCTGCAGCGTCACTACCTTCGTCGATCCCGTCACTGTCCTCTTCGTCTTCGATCTCCCATTCTCCTGACACGACAACTTCTTCGCTGCCTTCTAAACGTCGCAGGGCTGTGATACCACCCTTGAGGTAGTACAAAGGACCCGAAGTAAGAGGCCGCAAAAGCGTCAGGAGAGTCCACGCCGCAGTGGATGTTGAGGAGAGATGTGAACTTTGGAGACCTGATCCAGTGCTAGAAGGTGTTGTGCCACTCTGAGGAGACTGGGTTGGAGCGAGTGGGTCGCTTTCGTCCATTTCCTCGTCAAAGACGATGATTTCCCCGTTCCATAGGCTGGTTCCTTGGCTGTCATCGTCACCACCCATGAGTTCCACCCAGTTTCTCCGTCCAGCGTCCGTGCTCACATAGGCTTTCAGCGATTCTAAAGAGGGAAAGCCAGCACCGCCTTTTTGCAGGGACTTTCGGTGGCGCTTGAGGATCAAAGAGGGAATAGCAAGGTTGATGGAATAAATGACTCGGGAAGCGAGATAGGAACCTGCTGGACGGGTATCCAAAAGCAGTGCACGAGGCATTTGCGAGGCGGAAGGATAGTTGAGCGGCAGGAGGAGGTCCAGCAGCTGATTTGCATCGTATACTTGCGGAGGTTGATTCGACTGAGATGATGGTTGGGGCACAGTCGGCGTACGGTTCGATTGCGGTGGTGGTGGCTTTTGGATCGCGGGAGGCTACATAGCGCAAAGTCAGCTGGAAATTATGAGAACACAAGACATGAATTACCATGGGTTGGTACGATTCCATGCTCTGAACGAACGGAGACTTGGGGAATGAACCAGGAGGAAGAAAAGTCGCAGAAGCGGGACTTCCGATCGCTTGCATCTGCTGATCTCCAAAGTAATAGGAGGATACGGATGCCGAGCTGAGTGGTCTCGCGCTGTAGAACACGTCGGACCCAGTACTGGCCGCGCTCGAGGGCGGCTCCGGGTGGACAGCGGGCGTGAATGGATAACCTCCTGGCATCTGGCGTGTGGAAGATAATTCAGCAGTCTTTGAAGACGATGAGGCAGCCTCGCGCAAGTTCTGCGTAGAGATGGGCCGAAGCATCAGGTTTCTCTTGACGTTTTGGCGCAGCGCCTCGAGTTGAGCGAGTTCTTGCGCAATTCCATCATCATCTCCAGAGTTTGGCACGACGAGCGTATCGTGGGCGTCGTGGAACATGGACGTCGTCGTCGATGTCGGCGTTGTGGGTGATGCCGTCGACTGCATCGCGTATGCGTTATCTCCAACGCCTTGAGGGTATTAAACGACGCAAGTGTATGACTAGTTATCCAGGCGGGTACAATGAGTAGCCAGATCGCGACAAGGTCCAAAGTGGCGGATCCACCGTTCACCAAACGGAGATTACTTGGAGACGCTCCAGCAAAGTTTGCAAATCACTAGAGTTTCATCGACACTGGCAGCTCCGGCATTTGACAACCGGCAGTGCTAGCTTGAAACAGGCCCCCCCTTGAGTAGTAAGACACATTCGATTGACATACAAACAACCCCACACACAACTTTGTCGTAACCATCACAGTCTACTTTCCACTTGTCCGGCAAGCCGGTGGCCGGAATTGAGCACGCCAGGCCCAAACGCAGCCTCCAACGCTTCTTCGACTCGTGAGACGTAGACAAACTCCATCTTGCTCATGATTTCCGCAGGCACATCGTGCTCGACGTCCTTTCGATTTGAGCGGGGCAGGATCACCTTGCAGATCCCCTCGCGGTGCGCACCGAGAACCTATGGATGACGTGAGACATTAGTCGGACAAAAAGCAACCGGTGTAGGTACCTTCTCCTTGATACCTCCGACCGCTGTGACCCGACCGCGGAGCGTGGTCTCACCCGTCATAGCAATATATTTTGAGACTGTGAGGCCCGTAAGCAGGGAGACAAAGGCACAGACAAGTGCCACGCCAGCAGAAGGCCCGTCCTTCTTGACAGCACCGCTGGGCAAGTGGAGGTGAATGTCAATCGGGTGGGGCTCTTTCATGAGATCTTGGGTTTCACTGTTGGTGATGCCTAGAGTATATGCATGTGCTTTTACCCAGCTAAGTGCAATCTCTCCGCTCTCGCGAATGACCTACTCCAGGGTGAGTTCTGGAGTTGTGCATTTGTACCCTCGTACCTCTCCGAGCGACCCTGTCAGCCGTAGTTTACCACTCCCACTGGTCATGATGGTTTCGACAGGAAGCACAGCTCCCTCTCCTTGCCCACTAACAACGAGGCCATAGACAAGACCCTTCCTTTCCTCTCTTTCCCGCTCTTGCGGATCCCACCGTGGAACGCCTAGAATAGGTTCGAGATCATCAACATCCACAACAGGGTTATAGTCCCGTTCTCCTTTAGCCCTATTCTGTTGGGAGAAGTTGGACCATTCTACCGCCTTCCAGCGAGCAATGCTGCCAATGGCTCGCTCTAAGGAGCGGACACCTGCTTCACGAGTGTAGTACGACGCAATATGCTCATAAGCCTTCTCCGTAATGGTAAGACGATCGGCACTGAGACCGTTCGCTTCCAATTGCTTTGGGAGCAAAAACTTGCGAGCGATTTGAATCTTCTCGTCATATGTATACCCTAGCGGAGAGATGAGATTGAGGTTCACCTCCAACACAATTCTCACCAGAGAGACGAATGACCTCACAACGATCCAGCAGTGGCTCGCTGATACTCTCCAAGCTGTTAGCCGTCGCAATGAAGATGACTTGGCTCAGGTCCAGCGGAACATTAATGTAATGATCCTATTCATGTCAGTAATGGAATAAAGCCAAGGAGTTGAGCTACCTTGAACGAAACATTCTGCTCCGGATCAAGAACCTCTAGCAAAGCAGACGCAGGGTCCCCCTGGTGAGAAGCATGGCCAACTTTATCAATCTCATCTCTAAGATCGAGTCAGGTGCGCATTCAGCAGTGGAAAAAGACGAACAAGAGTATGACTGGATCGGGTCGCTGGACTTTTGACATTGCCGTCACGATAGTGCCCGGCCCACTAGCGACCTATACAAGGCCTCAATACTCCGCCACTCAAAGGGATGACACTTACGTATGTTCGTCTATGGCCACGTATCTCCGCTTCATCGCGTACCCCTCCAAGCGAGATGCGATGAAACGGTCGATTCAGGGCCTTCGCAAGCGAAGATGCGACAGAGGTTTTGCCTGAACCAGGTGGACCGACTAACAAAAGGATTGGGCCCTTGGTTCTGATCACCGGATGCTTCTTCACAACAGTCTCTTTAGGTTGTGGGTCGGTCGCACTGGTCCGAGGCGCCTCGCCAGACGCCACTATGGTTGACTCGGACGCTCTGTTGGCTTCTTCTGCTTGCTTCAAGGCTTTCAACCTGAGGACGGCCAGATACTCGATCAAGCGTCGTTTGATGGTATCCAATCCAAAATGATCAGAGTCGAGTTGTTCACGAGCCTTGGCAAGGAATTTTGGGTCTTGAAGAACAGCGAGAGACTGAGTCTCCTTGTCATTCTCCGACTCTGGCCACGGTAAAGACGTCAACCATTCGAGCTATCAAGTCGTTAATCGCAGGAACGGGGTGGCTATTCGAGTACGTACGTATGTCCTGATCACTCCTTGTTCTACGGAACCAGCTGGGATCCGCTTGAGTCTCCGGTATTCCTTAACTCCCATCTTGCGTTCCTCACTGCCAACAGCCATCTTTTCAATCTTGGACCGCAAGTCGGCAAAATATTCAGTTTCATCTCCTTCTTCATCAAACTCTGCGGACGTCGAGTCGTTCTCCGATTTTGAAGAGCCAACAGCGCCGGTTTTCGACTTTGCTCCAGGTCGGTTCAGTTCCGCGAGTTCCCTCTGTATAGCTTGGAGCTGCTGACGCAGATAATACTCCTTTTGCTGCTTCGTGAGGTTCTCATCAACGGCCGAACTGATCTTGTGAGAGACCTCTGCGATAGAGGCTTGCTTCGACAGTAGGGATGTTGCGAGCTTAAGTCTGTCGGACGGTGACAGAGTGGAGAGCATTTGAATGCGGTCTTGCCATGGTATAGTTGTGATGACCGCCATCAGAATATCTAGCACTCGTCAGTCCTGCGATGCATCGAGGCAAGGAATGCATACCTGCGACCCAAGGCGTCTTTTCTGCTTCCGAATCCTCAATTATTGCCTTTAGGCGTTTCCACTCAACCGTCCCAGCTCTCCCGCGTCTGGCCCTGGACTCTGCATCTAGCTGATCAACAAGGCGACTCGCAGCACTTCTGAAAGTTTCCGCTGCCGGTTCGGAGATACTTTTGCCGGTAGAAGGTGCCGGGTAATGGACTACGTGCAGCGGGAGTGTGTGCAACCTCGACGGGGATGGAAGTGGCTTCTCTAGCTGAACACGTGCTACACCAGCGAGAGTGACGATACAACTGTTGGGCGAGAGAGGGGTAGGTCTCACGAAACGAACAATTCTAGCAGCTGCAATGCACTGGCGTCAGGAACACGACGACGCCAAACGGCTTGTTAGACGCACCACATGCCCATTCTGAGAGTTGAACGTCTTGATACTGAAGATTAGGGCCCGAGTTGAGCGCTGGAGACGCTGCGACCAAGGGCGGTTGACCGTCTTCGTTCTTGACAATCCTCGAGAGGTAGGATGCAAAGCTTCGGGGCACGGAAATAGTTACTTGACTCGCTGGGAAGACGATATCGTTTAGGAGAGCGAGAACAGGCAGCGAAGACGAGACGGCTTCAAGGGCCATATTGCCGGTGACGGTGGAGGGGAACAAGAAGTACGAATCACGCGGGTTGGACACCACAACGGTCCCGGTCAAGGATTCGGTCCAGTAGAAATGACGTCCATGTGGTATACAACTCTTGGATCTCCCCAATAACAACAAACCTCTGCCTCGTCACCCAACTCATCAGTGAGGCAGGTCGTTAATTTACTCTCAGAATGCTGGAATAACCCTTTAAAAGGAAATAAATGGCAAAATGTCAACGTTCACTCCTGCCCACCGAGATTTGGGCCGAAATCTTTGATCAACTTCTGCATCATCCAGTACTATTCAATCCGGACCCATTGTCGGCAACCGGTAATCCACATACATCTCTAAGGCAGTGGTATAACTATCCGCTACTTGAATCCATTGAGAGGCAGCGGAGGGTTCTGCGTCTCGTGTCATCGTCATGGAAAGCCCTGGCAGACAAAAGCCCATTTCAATATCTAGATACACGACAATCCCTGGAGACAGAGCTGAGGATGGTCAGGAGAGTGCGTTTGGGCATAAAGCGAGATGCGCCATGGGACCTCCGAACGCTCGACGATTACGAAGCGTGGATGGAAATGTCAGACGAAGAACCACCCACGGAGCGACTTTTCCCCATTGTCGAGTCCTTTGTTCATACCGGAAAAGCCCGCAACGTTGCAATCATCACCCTGACTGGCCAACGATGCCTCACCGCGCTCATAGAGGAGGCACTCACGGGGATGCTACCTGCTGTAAAGGCTATCAGCGTCGAAGGATATGTATACCCTCCGCTCAATCTTGTCAGAGCTTTCCCAAACCTCACCTTCTTGGGCATGCAAGTAGGCGTGGGCCCACCTTCGGGACCCATGTATCTCGAAAACGAGAGCGTATTTCCGGATCTGAAGATACTTCAGTTGGCATTTGAAGACGATGCCTCAAACATCGCGCTCTTCCAACACTGGCAATTGCCCAAGCTGGAGCACCTCGAAATAACAGTAGGATGTACAGATATAGAAGCCGCGACAGACAGTATTCAATACCTGCATGGATTTCTCAAGCGTGTTGGACCCACGCTTACAGGCCTGAAGATTTACTTCTCAGGCGAGTGGATCACACTGCCCTCTGATCTCTGGGACATAGTTCCACGAATTGTTTACCTAGGCGTGAGTACCCTCTCGCCGGGCTACCATTGTTCTCCACCTCCCCAAGCTCATCCCCTCCGCACGCTCGCGAATGTAGAGCTTGAGACAGGTACAGCTTCAGGTGTGCTGTACCGACATATAGAAGGCTGGACAGGACTTACAACTGTCATCGACTCCCATATATGGGAGAATATACCTCCATGGACGAGAGGACCATCGCAACCGGCCTTCATCCACAGACACTGCGGTGCCGACACTTTGTGTCGAGAATGCATCATCGACATGCACATCCTGTGCACCGCACGTGGTTGGCGTTATGAGGACAAGTTGGGACGGACCTGGAAGGAGTATTGTGAGCGCGTTGAAATGGCGGCACAGAAGTTCGATGTTCAAGTAGGATAGGAGAAATACATCTATAGTGAATTGAAGGGAACCTTTTCAACGAGGCACCGTCCAATTTGGTCCCTGCCACGTCCAGCTATCAGTATCCGTTGACCGTCTAAAAGATCTATTACGCTGCCACATCTTCTGATCGATTAAATCAAGTCTAGATGACATCTCGCTCAGGCGACGAGGTACCAGTGGACATCTGGGCAGAGGTATTTGACCGACTGCTTGGAGATGCATTCGTTTTCAACCCAGATCCATTCTCTGTATCCAGTAACCCCCATACGATGTTCAGACATTGGTACAACTATGACAGACTGGCCGATATTGAACGTCAGCGTCTCTCTTACGCTTGGTTTCCTCTACATGGAAAGCCCTGGCAGATAATCATCCAAATTAATTCTACGACGCGGATAGATATCCAGGACTGGTCCCAAAAATGCTGAAAAGAGCTCGCCTTGGGCTAAACTATTCCGTCCCGAGCCAGCAAAGGGTAGATTTATATGACGACTGGATGAGCCCACAACTCCCAGCTCCTGTTGAATATTGGCTTTCCTTTATCACCTCCTTTGTGAGGACCGGGGCTATGCGCAATCTTTCGATAATCACGATCGACGACGAGGACTGTCTGGGTATGCTCATAGAGGAAGGTATAGCAGGGAATCTTCCCTCATTGAGAACTCTTTGTGTTGAGGGTGGAGTCTCTCCGTCTCCGAAGATCTCAACAGCATTCCCCCGCCTTACATTGCTAGCATTGCAAGTCTGGGACGACGAAACAAGAATACCACTATCTCCGGAGGAAGATATAATATTTGAAACACTCAAAGGCTTTCAGTTGGCCGTCGTAGGGCGACCAAGCAACCTCTCATTATTTCACCGATGGCAGCTCTCCCAACTTCGGCACCTTGAAATCGCAATTGGGGATATAGACCAAGAGAATCATGCCACATGTCTTACCACTAAACACCTGTGTCATTTCCTGCGCACGGCTGGATACACACAATTGACGAGCCTCAAATTTTCCGCTGAAGTGCGCCTTATGCTCTCTACAGACCTCTGGGAGGTCCTACCTCGTTTAAAGTACCTCGGAGTGGGCATCTTCTCCCCTAATGAAGGCAGTCCATCAATTGCGCCACCAAGCAAGCATCCACTACGTACATTAGCACATTTTGACAACCGGAATATCTATGGTATTCATATTCGAAGTGAAATTTGGAGGGAAATAAAACATTGGAATAATCTTCACACAGTTGCCGACTCGCATGAGTGGGTGACCATTGCACCTCGTGAAAGAAACCCAAACAAGGCGCCATTTTCTCATGGGTATACCAGGCGTAGGAACATTGGCACCTCCCTACTGTGCGAGGGATGCATCTGGGACTTGCTTTTTGTCTGCACGCAGCGAGGGCTACGATACGAGGATAGATGGGGCCAGAGTTGGAAGAGTATCAGCAGCAGGTTGAAAAGAGACAAAGTTGCTCCACTTCCAAATAAGAATGAAGATAATATACGTGTATCCTAGATGAATTCGAGATTCACCTTCCAACAGAAACATGCTCCTCAACGATCTCATTCAGCATTGACAAGGTGTAAGTCTGCATACAGTGTTATCGAAAGTTGCAATCCACCCAATCCGGCACAAATACAACGTGGCAGTGATATTTCCGAGTTGAAATGACGGACTGCTATTTTCGCATGGAAATGAAGCTAGTATACACGTGTGCTAGATGGGAACATATGAGTGATTGAGATGCGGTATTCCCATCGTCGTCGAAGAATGTTCTTAGGGTTGACCTATGCAGAGAGAAATGGAGAAGATAGAAAAGGGGGAAGTGAAACCATCATGGTCGGAAGAAGAGCCACCAGCCACTGAAACCGAGAACGGCGAGGATGCCTAGGGCACGCAACACAATGACGACTATTAGAGCCTTTCTTACTGCCGCGTAGAACGCCTGCAGTGCCGATCCAGTCCAGTTAATCCTGAAAAACCTATGAGCGTGGTCGAAAAGTGGCTATAAGGGGTGGCATACCTTCGGTCGTTTGCTCCTGCCTGGTTACTCTCTTCCCATCCACGAATAATCTCCCGATATCTCTTTCCAAAGACCCAGATCCAAAAGTTGACGTCCGGATACGAAAACCGGGGGAAGACAGAACTGGAATACGTTGAGTACGCAAACGAAGAAATGAAGCAAAATTACGCACGTCATACTCGCTGCCATGGTCGCCACCTCGCCGCTCATAATGGCATCCGGGCTCAATCTACCCGGTGTCTGGAACGGCATCTTCATGTGGCTCATGAGATCCATGGTCATGCCCAACGTAAGTCCCCAAAGTCGCAGTTCTTCTCCTGTGGGTGTACGACGCGCTTTGAATGGATCATACTTTTCATTGGCGGGCTCCAATGTGACGAAGTTGTATCCATCTCGCTTCTTCTTCCGGTTCCCATTCTGTCCGAGTCCCCATCCTGACTTGGGTTGGTCTTCCTCGTTGAGGAGAATGGCGTCAAACTTCATTGTGCCGACAAGGACTTGAACGAGGGATCGCAGGATCGAGTCCTTGGGAGCGAGACGAGAAGAAATGTCGACGGTTACAGTCGACCATGCTGGTCTCGTTGAGACGAGGGTCGACAAGGGTGTCCAGTGTAGCGTCGTTTCCGGGGGAGGGTCGGTAGGTTGAGTATGGGGCACGAGCTGAAGAAAGACGTAGGGCGAGAGAACCATTAGAAGTCGTTTTCCAAGCGATGTCGTAATTTCGCGATCGTCGAGTTGACCAATGCAAGTAAAAGACCGCTCTGCGAGGTCAAGGCCGATTTCCTCCCATGTCTGCCTCATTGCTTGGGCCCAGTCAGCTTTGAATAACCGTAGAGGTGAGAAGCATACCAGTATAAAGTCCATCTTCGTCGCCATCTTCCATTCTTCCACCGGGGAATGCGACGTGAGTCTCGCTCGAGTTTCCCCTCTTTTCGACCCGCTGTTTGCCATGAGCAGTGCCGTTTGCCCTGCGCAGATAGAGAAGTTCGGGACGAGCGCCGGGAGCGTTTACCCAGTCGAGTTCGAAAAAGTCTTGAACAGAGATTGGTTGCGGGGGGACTGTCGCTTGCAGAGGGAAGAGGATAGTTTGCAGGTGGTACAATGCGCAAAACGAGTGCAACGGCAGCGCGGCGTGGTTCTTAAAACAAAGAGTAAACATTGTGCATCACTGACAAAGGCTTAGACGTACGAGTTGGGGGTGAAGCAATGATCCGTGGTGGTGTAGTGCGAATACTATGAATCGCACTTGCGAGGAGAGGAACGAGCGACGAATCTGGATTGCTAGCGTCAGCGACCGGGACAACAGCACACGAGCGAGCAAAGGGTCCATGGGATTCACCTGTACGACTCATTATTTCACGCGCAGTGTCGCCTTTGCCGGCTCAAAATTCGCTAAAAGTCGAGAATAATTCGCAACTAATTTTCAACGCGTAGTTGGAGGCGTCCAAGAGCTTGGACGTCCGTCTGGGGTTGTAAACGGCTGTTCCCCCAAGAATGAAGAGACCGGGTCTATAATTCCTGAGAAAATATAAAAGAGTATGGACTATGCCCGCTTTCACGCTCCGTTGATCCCGAATCACATTGGCAGCGGAACGCCGCAGTCAGCGTCCATTGCGGGATGCCGAACGGTCCTAAATACTCTCTCGAAACATTCCTAGCGTCGATTCCCGAAATATGGCCACTTTTTAAGAGATGGACGGGCCGGCAAAAGGCGAGCCCATTACGCCCTCCAAACTTGGCCATTCGCCACTCTCCTCGACTTTATCCAGATGGTCCACGCAGTCGTCCTCGGTGCCGCTGGTAGCTATAAATCACCTTTATTATTCGTTGTATACTCATAGCAACATCCAGGCGGTATTGGCCAGCCCGTCTCGCTTCTCCTCAAGACGAACCCACTCATCACAAAGGTTGGTAGACCCTTGATGCGCTAAAACTAGTCTGTTTACAATCTCTATATAGCTCTCTTTGTTTGATATCGTCAACACACCAGGCGTTGCCGCCGATCTGTCCCACATCTCGACACCCGCAAAGGTCGCCGGGTACCTCCCACCCGACGATGGCCTCAAAAAGGCACTCGAGGGTGCAGAGATCGTTGTTATTCCGGCTGGTGTACCGAGAAAGCCAGGAGTATGTGTTTCTTACTCAGACTTGTGGCTGCTTGCTGATACTCGACTTGTAGATGACCCGGTAAGCCGCCAAGCTGAGCTGTGACTTTGCATAATCTGACCACTTGCCATCTTTGTCAGAGATGATCTTTTCAAGGTATGTGCACGTTTCACATGAGACTGAACCGGAACCGTCTCCTAAATCCTCCATACTATCTCCGACAGATCAATGCGGGAATTGTTCGTGACCTCGCTACGGCAATTGCGACAACAGCTCCCAACGCATTCGTCCTCGTCATCTCGAATCCGGTCAACTCGACTGTGCCCATCGTCGCAGAGGTCTTTAAGAAGCACAACGTCTACAACCCAAAGAGGTACGAACGCTTGTTCTCATCTCCTTCAAGAGTTGACCTAACATCTGCGTAGAATATTTGGTGTGACCACCCTCGACGTTGTGCGTGCATCGACCTTCCTCGCTGAAGTCAACGGCGATGTTTCCGCTGCACCAAATGTGACCGTCCCCGTACTTGGAGGTCACTCTGGCGTGACAATCCTCCCCATTCTCTCCCAAGCCAAACCCTCTCTCTCCGCCAACCTCGCACAAACCGACGTCGAGGCACTCACCAAGCGCATCCAATTCGGTGGTGACGAAGTCGTAAAGGCCAAGGATGGTGCTGGATCCGCTACGCTCTCCATGGCCTATGCCGGCGCAGAATTTGCTTCCAAGATTCTCAATGCCGTCAAGGGCTCTGGCGAGGAAATCGTCACTCAGACGTACATTTCCCTCGAGGCAGATCCAGAGGGTGCCAAAAAGGTCACCGAGGAGATTGGCACATCGCTAGAATACTTCTCCGTCTCTGTCAAACTCGGCGTACGTCCTTCCTAAGTTACATCATTTTCATTCCTCTCACCTTGCCTTTTTCTAGCCCAATGGTGTCGAGAAGATTTTGCCCATTGGCGACCTCAACGACTTTGAAAAGGGTCTCCTCAAGGCTGCCATTCCCGAGCTGCAAGATAACATTGCCAAGGTCGGTTTTACCACAAATCAGTTCTGACGCTGTCTAATCTGGTTTCAGGGATGCAACTTCATCACGGCACCAAAGCTCTAGATGCGTAATGCAGCTGCAGTATACCTAGATGTGTTGAGCTCTCTTTGAAATGACAAATATGTGGTCATCAAATGTATTAGATGGGTCGGCATAGACTACACGTTGAGAACGGTTCCACGAGTCACCGTTCCCCATCCTATTTACTGCATAAGCCTCAGGGTGAGATGCGGAAAGGGTATACGTACCAACGAGACGCCAATGCTTGTCGATACGTCTTGAAAGAGCGACCTTTTCTCCAATATCTGTGCAAGCCGGCTGCGTCAATTGGATCTTTGCCAGAGTTTTCGGGCCGTCTTTTGTATCGCTCGTCTTGACCGAAATGACACGTCCACCACACGATGTGGAACCAATGTTGACGAGAAGAATCTCGCCTTTTGCGAGTTTTTGGACCTGGATCACTTGATTAGCGAGATGGACATTCATAAGGTCGGCCGCTGACTTTTGTCTGCTTTTTGTCTTCGGTCTTTACTCCAAGAAGTCGACGGAGAAGGAAGAGGTTGATTTCGAGTTCTATGGCCGGTTAGAGGCGAGAAAGACTAACGGGGGTACGCACCCGTGTATACGTCGGGCAGCCGACCTGGTGCACCAAGAACGTGTCCGACCAGTCGATCTGCTCTGCAAAGTGTCGGGTCAATGAGCGTGCCGACACCAATCAACCCTCCCGGAACAGCAAACTGCAAATGGTTTTGTTCTGCGTGGAGGGAGACGATTCTGCTGATAATAGGCGAGCATCGATGGTTCCCGCTCGAATCTTTCGTCACAATACCAGGACGAATCTCGACCTCTTGGCCGACACGGAGAACACCAGTGAGGATGGAGCCACCGGCGACGCCCCCTCGTAAGTCGTCCACTTCGGATCCAGGCTTGTTGACGTCAAAGGATCGGATAATGATAAGTCGAGGATCGGCAGTAAAGTCGCGTTCAGGAATAGGGATCGTCTTAACAATGTATTCGTTTACGGCGTCGATATTGTACTTTAGCTGAGCCGAAATTGGGACGATTGGTGATCGGTCCGCAACGGTGCCTGTAGACATAAGTAGAGAACTTAACACTCCTTGCTGTACTCACCCTTGACAAACTGTGTGATACTCTTGTGATGCTCTTCGGCAGCGGCTTGCTTGATCAGGTCAACCTTGTTCTGCAAGATAATAATGTGTTTGAGTCTCATGATTTCGACGGCAGCAAGATGCTCTGATGTCTGGGGTTGAGGGCAGGTTTCGTTTCCGGCGACGAGGAGGAGAGCGGCATCCATCACAGCGGCACCGTTCAACATGGTAGCCATCAAAATGTCGTGTCCTGGACAATCTACAAAGGAGACGTGTCTATATCTAGTCAGTCGTCTGAGCAGCAAAAAGGGAACCATCGACTTGCCGAACCAAACTCATTCTGTGGTTGCACCCAGGTCTTTCACAAAGAGGTCGGTCCTCTTTGTTCGAGCTGTATGATTTATAATTTCCTGGGCGAGGGCATTTAGGGTTGTCGCATTTGTAAATCTAGTCAGAGGTGTGAGGCTAGGATGATGCTTATCGAGCGCTGCATCACCTTGGCATTTGCGTATCCGAGTTTGATGGTAATGTTCCGGACGAGTTCGTTCTTGAAACGTACAGTGTGTACGCCAGAGATCGCTTTGACGAGCGTGCTCTGCCACCCAAGATTAGCCATCGCGAGTGCATATAGGCACCAGCATGCCCACCTTTCCGTGTGCGACGTGACCAATAGTACTAAGGAAAAAGAGAAAAGAGGATTAGCAACCGCCATGACTGTACATCAAGATACAAGGCCATAAACACACCCGAGATTGATAGTAGCCTGATACCAACGGTAAGCATTTCATAGTCAAAGTAATATGGAATGACTTGTTACCTGTTTCGAGATGACCTCGGGCGAGAGAGGCGTCAGCTTTGTTACATCGACCTCAAAGACTTCGTGCTGAGGCTCTGGTGCGCGTTCATGATCAGATTCAGAGTCGGACATTGTTTTCGCGTTGTTATGGGCAGTGATGGAGTCGAGACGACGCGAAATATGTCGGAGTGGCTAAGGCCAAGTTTCCTTGACTCGAGCCACATCTGACCGTTTACCAATGCGACAACCAGGAAAATACAAGCAAAAACGTGGAGGGGGTAGAATGTTCTCTCGAGACCTCGTCGTCAACGAGGACGGCATCGCAGTGTCTGCAGATCAGGCGTGAGTGGCCACATACGGCTCGGCGCCAGACAGATGTTGACCGGATACGCGCAGGAGACGGCCAAGGAAGAAGAAAGTGGAAGAGAGCAGTGAAGAGGAGGAAGAGGAGGAAGAAGAGGAAGAGGAGAGCGGGGAAGAGGAAAGTGAAGAGGAAGTTGTCGCTGGATCGTCTAGCAGTCCAGTGGAACTGTCTCGTGCAGAAAGAAAGGCACAGAAGAAGGCAAAGAAACAGCAAGAGACTGTTGATGAAGAGGACAAAGATCTCGTCAATCCCAACCGCCTTCCAGTAAAGAATCTCAAGATATCCGATGTCGGTGCTCCAAGAGAGCTTTCTCGGCGCGAGAGGTATGTCATCCAGACGTTTATACAACTTCTCTTACGTCGCGAACAGGGAGGCAAAGGAGGCTGCAGAAGCAAAGGAGAGGTACTGGAAGTAAGCGTTCTTGCACAATAACGAGACACTCTCTGAACCAAATCTATCAAGGCTCCATCAAGCAGGCAAGACGGACCAAGCAAAGGCTGATATGGCCCGTCTGAGAAAGATTCGAGAGGAGCGAGAGGCGGCGGCAGCTGCACGCAAGGCAGAGGCCGAGGGTAAGCTATCCTCTTATTCCAACTCTAATCCATCATAATCACATATTTATAGCCGCCAATGAGCCCAAAGAGCGGTAAGGGGTTGAGACCAAGGCCTTTCCGACTGTGAGTTCGTCGGATTATGTCTATAAATGAGATATAGATCTGGCTTTTTAAATTATTCTTGCCTGTGTGCATGACTTTAGTGGTGACTGGTTGCTCGGACCAGCATGGCCCAGGTCACAACAGCACGACCACGTCGGAGTCACCGGGTTCCGACTATTAGTGACATTCGGGTCAAGAAATGTTGGATATGTTTAGAAGTAGAGGTCTACGGAGAATCAGAGGCTTCGGCGGACTGGTGTCATCCATGCAAATGTTCGTTAATGTGCCACGGAAAGGTATAGCCATCGATGCCGCTCTTTGTTCGTTTGATACTCATCTTTATCTAGTGTTTACTTGATTGGATCGCATCCCAGGAACAAAACACTACGCGAGCTGGCGGTCCGATCAAATGCCCTCAATGCGGCACAGAATACACTGTCGTCAGCTACCAACCCACTCTTTTGAAAGTATTCGACGCTATCCATACGCGGATAGTCCTCCTTGGTGCTGCATGGGGCATCACCGGACTCGTCGTCACCGCGGCTGGCACCGTCGTCCTCCTAGGCTGCTTCTACGGTTCTGAAGCATTCTCTGCATTCGTCGGTAAACAGTGCTACGACCTGATGGTCGGCGACGATTCGAGTAAATGGCCTGTCTGGCTCTGGTTTGACTTTGGCGCCATCCCATGGACATTGTACAACGTCGGATACAACCGTTCCTTTCTCTTCAATTTTTCCAGCATCATATGCGCGTTCCCATTCTCTGTCGCCGCCCCACATGGCGAACCAGAGGGACCATTCATCTTCCCTCCATCTCCATTCGCCAGCCTTGCCATTCTCCCATTCCTCATTAGCGCAAGAAACGCTATTTACGACCGATTATCTGCATGGGTTACGCTCAAAGCCGCACGACCCATCCACGACCGGTCGCTCCACAAAGAGATCAAGCCCGGCTCACGAAACGTCTCTTTACACTTTCTCAATTTCCGACGCCGAAGGGTACGGAATGTAGAAGGACAACAAGCACCCGTCATTCGTGCGGGCCAAGTCGCTGCAGCCGCCGCCCAACAAGGTCGTATGGCAGGTCCAGTGGGGGACAATATCAATCGTGTTTTGCGTGGTAGTCGGATAGGGTCAGCGTTTATCAAGCCATTGCTAACGCCATGGATCGCAAAGTACATGGGCTCGATACTGCTCAGTCTATCCGATCGTTTCCCATTTCTCAAGCCGATGCTAGGCCTACGAAGTCGCTCGATGCCAATCATTCTGTACAAAGGTCTACGAACGGTCGGGTTGCAGCAAACCTGGCGATGGAATGACTTGGACCCTGTCTGGTAAGTCGATATGTCTTGTCTCTACTTGTAACTCAAATGGATTTCAGGTGGAGGAATACGCTCGGATTGTCGGTATTTAGCGTTTGCTACGACGGTCTCCAGCTGTGGTACACCTATCTCATTGAACGCGAACGACTGAGCAGACGCATCGTTTCTCGCTCCTTTGAAGGTATCGATATCAACGAGCTGGACCTCATCTCTGATTCCTAATCTACGTCGCGCATCATGTTACCCATAATGTATTCTGCTATAGACGCATCCTGCTCTATAACCTAGTTACTTCTATTGACACCACTTCTTTGTTGATAGTCTCATACTGTCATACACTATGCTTCCGACTCGGTGGGCTTTGGTGGCTCGACGTCGATACCCAAGTCTTCAAGTTTGCCGGTCTCGAGATGGTAGACCCATCCATGGATAGAGAGGGGAATACCCTTTGCCCACGTATCCTTTACCACGTTTGTGGATGCAATGTTCTTCACCTGTTGGGTGACAGAGGCGACAGTCTGGGGCAATGTTAAGACAGAAGACAGTGTAAAATGGGATACATACGAGCTTTGGTAATCCCTGCTCTTCTCCGAGCGCTGGGATTCCCTCCGAAGCGGCGAGGTCGACGAGGGGTGTGAGCCATCGACCCAGAGGTGATTCGCCGAGGGCTGGGCCTGGATGATTGCATGCAAGGCCATAAGCACCCCTTACACCGCCGCATTGGGTGTGTCCGACGACGACGACTAGAGCGCGGGGGGTTCAGCCCATCAGAAGGTCTTTTGGGGAACGCTTACACACCATGCTGAACACCCAAGTTTTGGACGGCAAAAGTCAAGACGGAGAGAGCACTATCGTCGTGGAGATGAAATTGACTTTTTTAGAGTGTCAGCTTCGAAATAAAAAAGGGCAGGAGAAATCGGCCCGTTCTAGATCGACCGTCTAGACTGCTGGTCGTGGGGGCGGGGCCAATTCGACAGACTCAACTCACTTTGCGATATTCCGATGGACAAATACTTCTCCTGGCTTGACCGCAAGCACGACGCTCTCTGGGACGCGTGAATCTGCGCAACCAAACCAGAGAACCTTTGGTGTCTGACGCTTTGCGCTCTCCTGGAAGAAATCTGGCTCGACGCTGGAAACCTTTTCGGCCCACTGGCGGTTTGTGTGGAAGAATCTGGCGAGCTCTGCGTGTGCGGGCATGGTACGTTGTTCAGACGTAGAGGTGACGCGGGCAAACAGAGATGATGGCTGGCTGTCGTGGTTGGATCCAAGATTACACGGCACTCTCGCCTCTTTGAATGGCGTTTGAGCGGTAGTCGGAGACGGGACTGGGCGTCGGTAGACTGTTGGAGGCCCTTAACTTCTTCTCCCCACAAAATCCACGGCAAGACTCACAAGAAATACCAAGAAATCGTCGATAAAATGTCGCTGGCATTCGCACTCGAGAAACGCGTCGCAATCTCGGCTGTCGTCCGTGCTTGCTCGCTGACGTCTGCCGTCTTCCAGCGATTGGTCAAAAACGAGACACTGACAAAAGGTGACAAGTCTCCTGTGACCGGTATGTAACTTGTAGTATTCGCTTTTGGCTGCTCTTGTGGCTCACGCGCAAGCTTGGCCTCAATCCGTGGATCCGGTTCAAATCAAACAGTGGCAGACTTTTCCGCCCAAGCCGTCGTAAACTCGATCCTTGCAAACGCATTCCCTGCGGATCCCATCGTCGGTGCGGATCTTTGATTGTCCAGTCTCTGCGACGGTCTCTGACTCCACTTAACCCCCCCTAGGCGAAGAAGACTCGGCCGATCTGCGAGTTTCTACAGCTGAACAATTGCGAACGCACTTGACAAGTCTTGCAAATGATGCCCTTCATCTCCCGATTCGAACCGGAGAAGACGCCGCCTGGGGTATCGGTCCCGACGCCCCTGTTCGCTCAACAGACGAGCTCCTGTCCATCATTGACAGAGGAAACCATGTAGGAGGACCCAGTGGACGTATGTCATTGCATTTACTCTGTCTCCTTCTCTCTAATGATCACTCAGGCATGTGGGCTTTGGATCCAATCGATGGTACCAAGGGATTCCTGAGAGGCGGTCAATACGCCGTATGCTTGGCCCTCATCGTTGACTCGGTCGTCCAAGTTGGCGTCATGGGCTGCCCAAATCTCCCCATCTCGAGTGCAAACCCCGATGGTGAAAGAGGATGCATATTTGTTGCTGTACGCGGCCAAGGTGCAGAACAGGTACTTTTTACTCTCAATCAGAATCACACCAGATTTTCTCATCATCTACCTAATAGCGATCGTTAAGTGACCTGTCGATTCGCACACCACTCATCCATGCACCCGTACTGCCCCCACTCTCGTCAATTGCATTGCTCGAATCACTAGAAGCCGCCCACTCGTCCCACTCCTTCTCGGACAGACTCTCAAAACACCTTGGCCTCACAGCCTCACCACTACGAATGGACAGTCAAGCAAAATATGCTTGTCTCGCTCGCGGCGAGGGTGGCATTTATTTCCGTATGCCCGTCAAAGGCAGCGGATACAGGGAGAAAATCTGGGTACGATTGATTCTCTTCTCACTTTCTCATGAGCTGACCACGAACAGGATCACGCGTCTGGCACAGTCCTCGTCGAAGAAGCCGGCGCCATCGTCTCCGACTCGCGTGGAGAACCGCTCAACTTTGGCTTGGGAATAACACTAGGAGAAAACAATGGCATTGTTGCCTGTTTCAAAGGAATTCACCAGCGAGTCCTCGATGCGGTCACAAAGGCACAGGCAGAAGAGCAAGACTAATGTACTCTCTAATGTCGTATACTAAAAAGAGGCATGAGCCCTCAAAGTGCTCCATACTGAACGGCCCCATCCACTACAGTCGCCAAAACGTTGGTCTGGAGAATGTCCTGCGCGTCCACTGTCATGATATCTCTGTCCAAGACGACAAAGTCTGCTTTCTTGCCCGGCACTAGCTCACCCACTTCGTTTTCAGAAAACGAAGCATAAGCTGCATCCGTAGTCATGCCTAATAACAGATGAACCTAGACTCCAGAGGTCCAAGAATCTCACCTCTTAGTGCTTGCATTCTAGTAAGTTTCTCATCCGGGTACCATCCGTCGGGTCCGTGAGGAGAACCTCCCGTCGCATTGACTCGAGCAATGGCGGCATGGAAGGTGACAAGCGGGTTTGGACTCTCCACCGGCATGTCTGACCCTAGGGCTATCCTCGCACCTGTCCTAAGGGATATGTGAGAAGTGGTCTCCATCAGACGATCGACCAACTTGAGAAGGGTTTGATACGCGTAGGCGGATTTGACTCTTTCACCCTAAAATTTCATGAGATGGCGTCTTCGTCTGGAGCAATCACGAACCAGACGTGCGTCTGCGTAGACCTATACCGTTTCAGCACAGCGTATGTCTCTTTCTCGGTTGACATACCATGTCGCTCGTTGCTTGCTTTGGTTGCACGCTCGCAATGACTGCCTCCTGTCAACCATACTCTAGACGTATATGAAGACTCACTGCCCAACTTTGCCATACGCAGGATATCATTTGGGCGTAGTATTTGTGCGTGTTCGATGCGCAGGCGAACCTTGTGCGCATTATGCCCTCGCAAGGCACTTTCCATAATATCCAACACTTCGCCATTTGCGCGATCGCCTATACAATGAACGTTGACTTGCCAACCTTCTTCGAGGTATCGCGGTATAAAGTCCTTGAGGTCTTGCTCAGAGACGACGAAAAAGCCAGAGGTCGACGGATTGTCCGTGTACGGTTCATACATTGCCGCACCCCACGAGCCTATGGCACCTGCATAGGAATGAGTAGAAGAATCAAGCATAGTTTTATCCTACCATCTGCAACCATCTTGATGCTACGGAGATGTAGACGCTGGTGTGGGCCATAATGATCAAAGCGCTCTGTGCCGTTCCAGTATCCAACATCCATGTAGCCCATGAGATGCATCCTAATCTATTTGTAACCTCAGCATAATTCAGTGAATGGCAGTGCTCATACTGGAAGTTCTCCTTGGTCCGCCAGCCTGCATCACGGTCAATGATAGTACTGAATGATTACAGAAACACTCACATTCGATAAAACTTGACCGCAATATCGCGAGTCATTGCGTCGTGTACAGCGGTAACTCCATACTTCAGCACATCCTTGAACCCCTTTTGGACAAACTCTCTCATCTGAGCTTGTGACCATTGTGGCCTAGGTACGAGAAGCTGTGCATTATCGAGGAATACACCAGTGGGTTTCCCAGTCGCTCCGTTGCGAATGATTTCGCCGCCTTCGGCCTTGTCAGGTAACTTGCCGCACAACTCGAGTGCACGACCATTGATCCACATCGCATGGAGATCAATACGGAACAGAATGATAGGCTTCCCTCGTAGAACGGGATCGGCGTCCAATATCTCCTGTCCCAGCAGGTCAGTCGATACAAGGACGAGTCGCTGAGGAACATACGTGGGTCGGGAATCCCCCAGGCCAGTTTTCCCAAAGATTTTGATCCCATCCTACTCCCTCAATCCACTCTTCGTCGTGTACCAGAGGTCGTGCGAGGATATAGTCGCGCACGCGCTGCACGACCTCATCTACGCTCTTGGTTCCCTCTAGGTTCAGAGACCTGCTCCAGCCGTATTCCATCAGATGTACATGACTATCCACCAAGCCAGGTACAACCGTCGAACCTGAAGGCAGGAACCTCGGTCGTAGTTGCGGATGCGTCGTCTTGATTTCATCTACAAAAGAAATTTTGTGAGAAACTCTAAGAGCAGTAATGTACGCCGTACCTATACTTCCAGTCGCTGCAATGGTCCCATGCTTATCGACGACGAGACACTGTGTCCGTTCAGCCCACTCTGGATCATTCCCCCGCTCTTCTAGGGTGTATATCCCGCCCTTTGTTCGTGTACATATGGCATAGTCGCGGCTCAAGTGACCGGTACGTGATGGTGCGCCTGTCCTATACACTTGAAGATGATCTTCTGCTCCTAACACTCGGACAAGGACCTCATCAAGTTCGTATCGCTTCACCAGAAAGACGAGGAACGCAGCTGCAAGCGCAACCAGGAATGTTCCAAGACGAGTGATGAAACTGCTGTTGGTGGCCCGACTACGTCGATAAGTACGTCGAAAAGGGAGATAATTCTGCGTTTCTAGTGGCTTGCTCTTCTCTGGAGCCAATTTCAGGCCACCATCGTCGTGTAGTGGCTCCTGCCGCGTCGAAGAGAGGTCGTTGTCGTGTTCAAGAGACATACACTGCAGCCCGCCTAGAGATGGAGCGAATCGTGAAAAGACCAGGCGGTGGCCAGGAACAAGCCACTTCAAAGGACGAAATAATGCAGAGCGGCAACAACATGACATGCAAAGATCGCTACGCGGCTAAATACACATCGATGTCCCACTTGTCCTATCTTTTTTTGGGGGGCGGGAAAGGGGGTAGACTGATCATGGGAAGAACAAGATCCCGAAAACCATGTGGAGGAAGGAGCGAGCAGGTGATAGATTATACTAGAGAGGATCGTATCTATGAAATATAATCAGGTTGTGTAGAAGAAAGTATGCTTGTCACGTACAATGTATCCAGCCTACTTGTTACCAGCGGCCTCCTTGAAGGACATGGCCTGCTCTTCACCCATGGCGGAGACGATTGTCACGAGAAGATCCTTTCCGTCGTCGAAAGCGGCCTGGATATCCTTGCCCAAATCACCCTCAGGTACCTTGACGTCGTCCTTGGCCTGTCCATCCGAAGTCATGAGATTGAGGAAGCCATCGTCGATGTTCACGAAGCTGCAATTCAACACGGTTGACATTGGGGACATCCATGTTGTGGGTAGAGGGGGAGATATCTTCGAGCTTCTTGCCGGTGAAGATCTGGTAAAGGGATCAGTGAGACACCACGCAAAACACGAAAATGGAAAAGGGGCTTACATCGATGGCCACGAGATGGACTTTTGCGTGACCGTGCTTGCCAGTCTTCGAGGTGGACATGTCCACGATCTTGCACGGGCGGCCCTTGATCACGACGTGACTAGCGTCCAAATCATCGTATAGACATTTTATATATTGTAGGTAAGTTTTTGGCAGATGCGCAAGCAGGAGAATCAAGCGCCACAGGTGAGCGATGGACCGAAAAAAAGAGGCATCAGCGGCTCGATCCGGGTTTTTTAAGTGTGAAAATGACGAACCCGTTCTTCCTAAGTGCAGAGCACTGCATAGGATAGGTCAAGCTGGCGCCAGAGGCTGCCTGCTCGAAGTGATGTTCGTGGTTTTCCTCGTTGTCAGACATGATCGCGGGCTAATCGTCTACTGGAGGTTTGATGGAAGATCTGAGACGATCTAGCAGAGTATATTGTCAGTGCTGCTCGTCCAAACAAGGCTTGAAATCAGTAAGCTCACCGATGGAGGAAAGAGGGAAGCGAGCGCTAGAGTAAACCACACGTGAACCATTGCTCGAATAGCAAAAAGAAAATGGATTCAAGTATCATAAAATTATCGTAACAATTGCTTAATGCTTCTCTTCGACCTTTACCGTCTTCTTCCTGTACGCTACAACCCGGTAGACGAGGCCAATAGACGCAAAGAGGACGACGACGCCCCAGATTCCGATGAAAAGCCCAAATAAGATTCTTTCTTTCCGCAATCCAGCCTCATATGCCTCGACGACATGCTCGAGGATGGACTTTGCCCCGTCAATTGCTGCGTCCCCTCCAGACACAGCAGCTTGCTGCACGGTACGTGCAATATCAGCCACGTCAGATGCAGCCAACTGAATCTTGGATGCATCAAGATGCGGCAGTCGAATGTGAATGTTGCCCTTCATCCACACAATTGCATCGTCAATCTTGTACAATTGGTTCCCCAACACACGCTGGATGAGGTCGTTTGCAACCGACTCGAACATGGTCCCCTTGAACGTGCTGCGGACACCATTCTCGATATTGCCATACAACTGGATGACCGTTTGGTTCACGTCCCCGGCTGCGACAAAGGCTGAACGGAGAACCTTGTCGTTAATATCCACGGATACACCCTCCATCCAGACATTCATAGTTGCAGCATACTTTTTGCTATCAGAGCTGACAGCCTCTTCAATCTCGGTCGTAATCTTTTGCGTCCAATTGCCCACTGATCCGAGTGCTGTCGCGATTTCATCGTCTACATCATCCAGCGCACTCAAGACACGGCGGAAGAGTGCCTCTTGGATCGCTACGGCGATGAGACCCAGAATGCCTATGAGGAGGCACAGAAGAGCCGGTGGGTAGGTGATGTAGGAGAAGAACCAGGAGATGTTACTCGCTCCATTACGGGGAAGTCGTATAGCGCGGCGGAATCTGGCCATGAAATAGGCTGTGTACCCATGATTGAGCTGATAGCGCAGGATCATCACATTTTGCGGGGTGAGTTCGACAGACGGCACATCTAAGATATCGGAACTCATAGCATCTGGTGCTTGGGTTTCTTTGGAAGACGGTGGCTCCGTCTCCCACTCGCTCTGGATGGTCTTGACAGCCGCCTGGAGCCTGCCCCAGGTGTAAATCTCCCAGAGAATGCTACACAGGAGAAAGAGACCAAAGAGGATTGCAAAGCCGATAGCCACCCACTTGAGTGGCTTGAGCATGTCGGTGCCAAATTTGTCCACCCAGCTCAGGTCGGGAAGGGGGATGAGGTCGGCCTTGAGAATATCATTCTTGACACTGAGAAGTGTGTTGTTGACTTCCGTCTGCGTCTTGGCAAATGGCTGTGAGACGAGGACGGAGAGTGACCTTTCGAGATCGTCGACGGTAGGCAGTGAGTTTTGAATAGCGGTGAGACGGCTTCCGATGGGATCGGGAATGTTGATGTTCCGCAAAGGAGGGGTGGTAATGAAGCCAAGCGGAGGAATATTGGGGAGTGCCCTCGTAAGCAAGTCAGAAAAGCCGCCGATGACTGCGTTCAGCGCGCTTTGTGCTCCGTTTACAGCAGCAACAGCCGCATCGGCGACAGAGTTGAGACCGCTGGTGATGGTTCCGGTGACCTATACCAAGGGGGTGAGCATTCAGGAAGATGATGCAGAGATGTGGCCGCACCGTAGTGATTACATTTAGACCACCAACAACGAGAACTTTGAACATTCCAACGTAGAGAGATTTGAATCGTCCGACGAAGAATGAGATTAAACCGTCCAGTGAGCTGAGGCTATTCATTCCGGGGTAAAATTGTTAGTTGAGGGGTAAGGATGCTTCGGAGGACAGAGGGCATACCAGAGGAGAGCACCCTTTCGTGCGGCTTCCACCGTCTCTGTTGCGATTTCGACCATACCCTCGTTGAGCTGTGTGGCGAGCCAACGAACGGCGCTGACGGCCACACTTGCCGCTTTCTGAGCGGCCAAGCAACTTGCGAGGATAAACTCTTTGGCATCCCCAATGAGACGATTGGCAGATAACCAGGTTAGATAGAGTCGGATCGAGACAAATCCTGCGGCCAATACGGGAAGAGCAAAGGGTGCGAGGCTAAGTCTGTGGCCCAACAAGAGGTATGGGACCGACGTGTGAGTGCTGGTAGCGATTTTTGCCTTGTTTTCTTCCATGGTGTGCGCCGAGGGGTTTCGGGGAGAGAGGAGCGAGCCCTGGGCTTTAATGCTCCGATGAAGATTCTGAGCGCTTTAAAAGGTAATTTGTACATTTTCGGGCATTATAGAAGGTGGAGGAGACCAGTAAAGAGCTCTTCGGAGGGATAATGTCCACTGGCATTCATCCGTCCTCCTCAATGGTTCTTGGCCGGGCCCATACCCCACCCGAGAACAGCCAAGCCGTCAGTGTATCAGGAACGTCCACTATCGTCGATGAACGAGCGCTCCGCATCGAGCCCGGGTTTACCTTGAAAAGATCCAGCTCTCACCCAACGAGTATCATCAACATTCCCTCGTCTCCCATCGATTCCAAAGTACACTAGATGTCAAAGGTCACGCGCTGGGATGGTCCCCCACCATACTTGGGGATCCTAGAGCAAGTCAGCGTCGTCTGGGTCTGTCCCGTTCGGAAAGATCAATGTCCGCTTTTCTGATGCTGTTATTTGATTAGATTCGCACTTCCATCATTGCTATACTAATCATCGGCTTTGCACTTTGGATTGGTGCCACGACAGCCGTTTCGGGCATCAAGGATGCAAAGGGCGCGCTCGAGGAGGCATGTGCTGCCTCAGAAAAGGTGGCGACTGTGGCAGCAAATTTGCCTCACTATGTCGGAAAAATCGTCAGTGACGAGCTGAATTCGGCCATCATCGACCTTTTGCAAGCATCACGCAAGGCTCTCGAGCTACTGTAAGCACCCTCCTGTATGCCTAAAGTGTGTCTGAGTCCGTTATCTAGACTCACGGCGATGACCTCTGTCGTCCGATACTTTCTGGAGATCGTCAACAGCATCATCAAGTTCCTCGTACGTCGCTTTCGATCCTGCGCCTTTCCCTCTGAGATTCTATAGTTTCAATTCATCATTGGTGGACTTCTTGCCGTTGTCACAGACTTTACCAACGCGGTACGTTGCCGTCGCCTTCTGAGACACCGTCGATTGAGATAGAGATCTAGGCACAACAAACCCTAAACAATGCATTGGGTGGCATCGCGGATCAAATCCAATCTGACCTCAACGCCTCGGTTTCGCCAGTCAATTCTATCCTTGGTCGTATCAAGTGTGTATGAACCAAATCTCATTGACATTCGCTCTAACTTTCCCGTAGCAATATCATCAGGAATTTCAACCGTGACTGGGGAACAAGTTTCAGCACCATCAATACTGTGACCATCAACTTTGACGTCTCACGAATTCGCAACTTTCGAGTGCCAAACACTGTCGCGGACACACTCTCCAATCTGAGTGGCAGGTTGCCTAACCTCGACTCGCTCGTCAACAACATCGACAATACAATTGCCGGTCCCATTCAGACCCTCACGTCTCAGATGAACTCTACCTTTTCCAACATCAACCCTCCGACGGTCGACATTGCAATCCCACAGGTTGGAGCTGTCGAGTATTGCGACAAGCTAAACATTGGATTTCTCGACGAGCTTGGAGACGAAATTCTCTGGGCAATGCGCGTCGGTTTGGGAATCTTGGCCGCCATTGCCTTGATCATCTGGCTGAGCCATGCCTTCTTGCTCTGGCTCATCTGGCGGCTTGAACTCAAGGGTAACTCACTGGCCGGCAAGTTTTGGTCTCAAGGACACGCTAAACCACCGGCCATCTCCGCTGTAGGTGCTCATGCAATCACAGGGAAGGAAGGCGCACAAGAACCCGTGGCGAGCACCTCACACTCCCCAGCTCCAGAAAATGCCATCATTCCGCTCACACGTCATAACATACTCGCATTGGACAACCCTTTTTCGACATGGACGGCTGCGACTGTTCTCTCTCTCATCCCCTTTATCCACCCTTCCGAGGTCACTCGTGACCGCCTTGCGTGGTTCTTCGCCTATATATTCTCCATTCATCCACTGGTATGCTTCGGAATCGGTCTCTTTGGCGTCCTTGCCCTCTCATTGCAACTCATCCTCATCAACATTGTCCGACGACGGATCGATCGAGAGCTAGGCAAGCTTATAGATGATGTCGTCGATCTGTTGGTGGTGCAGTCAACTCACTGTTGGCCACTGCGGGAGGAGAGGTTGCCACTGGGTTAAACACCGCTCTCAGTGGGATCGATACGACAATCAACAGGGACTTAAACGGTTGGATTTCCACAGCTGTTGGAGCTTTTGGGAGTCTTTGGACTTCAGCTACCACGACGCTGCGGTCTGGGATCACTCAAACGTTTCAAGGGACGCCTCTCCAGACGCCAATGGGCGATCTGGCGCAAACTATCACGAATGACAACCAGGTAGCTTCGAGCATATCTAATGCACAGAATTACCTACAACAGAACCTACGTCTTGTTGTCCCGCGCATTGATCCAAAGGTGTTTGCCCTCTCCAATGCCACGCTCGACGAGATTTCGGATACCCTCGCGCGTGCAGCTATCGGTGGAAATGGAAATCAGGGAGTGTTTGGGCTCATATTTGATCGGTACACCAAGCTACTCAAGAACTTGATGACTCTCTTCGGATGCTTACTCGCCATCTGGGGTGTCGTCGTTGTCATGGCCCTCGGTATTCTCCTCGTCGATATTATTCGACATCGAGGGCCCGCTAAAGGGGGACAAGCTTCGACACAGCCGGGGATGAGTGAAAAGGAGAAACCGGTCGTAGAGCGAGATATCGAAGCGGCAGGTGGAGAGACGCCCGCTCCTGTCAATACGGAGAGTGACGCTGAGCACTCTGCGTCTGCGACGGGAAATGATCCGCCGGTTGCCGGAGACTCGACACAGAGGGAGAAGAAAGGCCTGCGACGCCTGCTACCTTTACTCTCTCACAAGGAAAGGGAAAGTAGTAAAGTGTTCTAGGTTTAGTTGCAACCCCTTGGAGTTGGTCGATCCAGAATTGAGCGCTAACTGTTTTACGTTTATTGTAATATTCTGCAGAACATTTTGAGAGAACATCTCCTCCTGGTCGCTGACGAATGACCAAAGATATGATTTAGAACGACCGCCGGTCGACCTGAGCGACACGAGACTCTTGACCGCCGATGGCAGGACCGCCTTCTGATGATGAATCTCACCTAATAATATCGGTAATATTGGTCATCTCAGGGGTTACAAAAGGACGTCTAGATGGTCATTCATCGATCTGGACATCTTGCCCTCCCCCACGTCCGCAACGCACCCCTCCCCGCTCAATTTTGGGCAGTATCACCACATAAATCGCGTCCACTGCATCTCTTAGACACTTTGAAATGCCTGTCATTCGCTCGCCCACGTCTGTGACGATGCGCCGCACGATGATCGCTGCTCCCACCAGTCCTTCTTCTCATTCACGCTACGTTACCCGTGGAAGCGCCACTAGACGTGCCTCTGCGGATGGAGGGGACTCCTGCTTCGACAACTATGTCCCTCAACTGCCCAGACAACGCGAAATATGCACGCCAGAGCAAAAAGCCGCACTCGAAGACCTTTATGAACTGACAGCAGGATATCCTTCCACTTCACAACGCCTTGAGCTCGCGTCAAGGATTGGAAAGTACGTATATGACCCGCCGCCACAGTCCCTTTGTGCATTCGCCTTTGCTCGCTGCATCCCGCTTCGCCCGTCAACGTGTCATTATCGTGCTCCCGTAACGTCTGAGATACTAATAGATTGGTCGCAGGAGTCCCGAGTCGACGTATATCTGGTTCCAGAACAAGCGCAATTCTGCCACGGAAAAGAAGAAACGTTCTGCGAAGAAGAATGCTATGGAAATGTCTATTTCTGGCTCTGACAGCAATGCGTCTAACTCATCAGGATCCTCTCGCGCTCCTTCTTCTGCTGGGCTTCCGTCGCCCTCCAGATCAATACTCCACTTCAACCCTTCTTCCACCGAAATATTCTGGGAAGAGCAAGAAATACACGCCATTGATGTTCTCACCAACGCCCTCAGGACTATGCCCGATTTGCACGATCAACACGCCCCTATTCCTATTCCCGCTGGTAGCAACGACTCTTGCAACGATCAACATACCTTCGAGTGTCCCCTCCTGCACACGCCTGAAAGTGTCGCGTGCTGCCATGAGCGTATGCCGCCTCCACGTACCAACGTCAATGACGAACCCCGCAACCTTCGCGTATACAATCGTGTGGTTTCCTACTCTGAAGTCTCCGCGCTCCGTGGACTCGCCGAATTCCACACACAAATCCTCACGTTTTGATGACTGAGTGGGAAGAATGAAGTGCTCGTCTCCCACTCTTCATGATAGCATAGGTTCCCTTTATCAGTATCCACGTCTCTAGTTTCCCGTCATTCTGTTAAGATGGACTCTTGTCCGCTTCGCCTGGTTTCCCTTCGAGGACTGGTTCCTTTTCATTTTCCCCTTGACGATCATCTCCCACCCACGCCTCTACCTGCATGACATTGGACTGATGATGCCCATCCTATTTCTCTTCCGGACTGGCCTCGGTTCCGCTCGGACGGTAATGTCCTTTGAGCGACTTGTGCAAATAGAATGATATAAACAAACTATTTCAACGATGATGACAAAAGCGAGTATATCTGATGTTAATTGGACCCTTTTGGCCACGTCAAGGCATGCGCCGAGAGATTCGCCGATGGCTAGCTGCCAACAAACTTTGAACAGCACCTCTTCCAGCGTGGCACGCACCTCGCTCGCAATGAGCGCCGTTCCATCGCATCTACACCGTCTCTTTCTCTTTCTCGTCCTCTTTTTCCCAACTCTCATCTCCGCCTCTGTTCTCGCCATTGACTATGGCTCCGACTTTACAAAAGTTTCGCTCATGAAGCCTGGCGTCCCCTTTGATGTCGTGCTCAACCGCGACTCTAAGCGCAAAATCGCAAGTTCAGTAGCGTGGAAAGGAGAAGAAAGACTATTTGGTGCCGACGCCGTCAACATTGTGAGTTTCGTCCCAGACACGTAGCCACGCGCGTGAGCTGGCTCGCGCTTTGGCCCTCGTCGCCCCTCATTTGGTCCCCTATCCGTCATATAATCTATGTTGCTGACAATGGCATTTCGATGCGACGCGTTTCCAGGCTCCCCGCTTCCCGTCCGCCTCGTTTGGTTCGCTCAAGCTCCTCCAAGGAGCACAGTACTCGTCTGCACCCTCGCAATTTCATGCACTACTCTATCCTTATTTAAAGGTCTCAGAGGTCCCCGCGCGGGGTACCCATTCGTTTGTGCGTAAAGAGGGAGAAGAGTGGACGAACGAAGAGCTCGTCGCCATGCAGTTTGGATACGTCAAAGATCTCGCGGAGAGTGTCGCGGGTGAACGAGTACGCGATGCTGTTGTTACCGTATGTGCTTTTGCCTCGAGGTTCATGGCTTGGCTGGAATTAACTTTTGGCAGGTGCCCGCTTGGTATTCACAATACGAACGACAAGCTGTCCTTGATTCACTGGCTCTCGCTGGACTACGTGGCTTATCGCTCGTCAATGATGGAACAGCTAGTACGTCTCTCGCAGTTTGACCCTTGACCATTCCTAACTATTGAATAGTCGCTGTCAACTTTGCCATGTCGAGAACATTCCCCAATCTGGAACATCACATTATCTACGACGCTGGAGCAGCGTCGCTTCGTGCAACACTCGTCTCCTTCCACACTGTTACCGAGCCCATCAGCCCGAAATCCAAAAAGACCGCAGACGTGACGTATGTCTCCGTCAAAGGATATGGCTACGACCGCGTGGCGACCGGAAGTGAAATGGATTACCGACTGCGCGAGCTCCTCCGAGGAAAGTTTGAGGCTGCCCACATGAAGGGCAAGAGCCTCAAGTCGGAACACCGCGCGATTGCCAAACTATGGAAGGAGGCGAGCCGCGTCAAGACCATCCTGAGCGCGAATACGGAGAGCCGGGTCTCTGTAAGTCCTGTTCGGATGTAAGAGTACACTGCTAACGTTTCGTAGATTGAATCATTCCACAACGATATTGACTTCCGCACTTCGGTGGCTCGCACAGAGTTTGAAGAGGCATGCGCAGACTTGAACCCCAGGTTTACTCAGCCCATCATCGACGCACTGGAACAAGCAGACATTTCAATCGTATGTTCACCCAATTCGTCTAGTACTGGGCCTAACTTCTCGTAGAAAGATGTGTCTTCCATTATCCTCGCTGGCGGTGTCTCGCGGGTACCCATGGTCCAATCGGCGATCAAATTCACCTTTGGAGAGAACAAGATTGCACACAATGTCAACGCGGATGAAGCGGCCGTTCTGGGCGCAGCATTCTATGGCGCCTCGCTCAGCAAGCAGTTCAAAACCAAAGACATTCGTGTCGAAGACCGCGCCCTCAACTATCTGGATGTCATGGTTTCATATGTCGCCGAGTCAAAGACTGGTGGACAACGCACAATCCAGACTTCCATCTTGCCTGCAAAGACGGTGTATGGTGCTAAGAAGACGATGACCTTTAAGCGTAACCACGATTTCAATATCACGATCAGCTACAAGGATGCCGATAATCTGTGAGTGGAGATACTTTTTCTAGTGACACAGTTCTGATTGCATGGTAGCGATATTCCTCCACACATCCTAGAGGCCGAAATCATTGGTGTCGCCGACGCTGTAGCCAACCTCACTTCGCGTGGAGCTGTCGACCCGCTCGTCAAAGTCTCCGTTGGAATGTCTGACTCGGGCATGATTACGCTCCACGACGCCTTTGTATATGGAGAAGTCAAAGAAGAAACCGTTGTTGGCAAGCTCAAGAACCTGTTTGGTGGATCTTCCTCTTCGTCGTCCTCGGCTTCAGACCACGGCGAAACGGCCACCGTCTCGGAACCCTCATCCTCTTCGACAGCCTCCAGTGAGGAACCAACAACGACAGAAGTCAAGTCGACTCCCAGTCAAGTTCCACTCGAAATCGCCACAACCTATCTCTCCATCATTCCGTACACCGCTGACGAGATTAGCGAGGCGCGCAAGAGGTTGATCGCGGTAGACACCGCAGAAAGGTTGAGACACAAGAAAGAAGAGGCGCGCAATATGCTCGAGGGTTATCTCTACCGTCTACGAGACCTACTCGAGGGCGAGGAGACGAGTCCATTCATGCTCTTCTCGAAACCCGACGAGAGGAAGAAGCTCGAGGAGAAGATGTGGGACAACTTCCGCTGGATCAACGAAGAGGCCGAGTCGGCAGATATCAAGGAGCTCTGGAGTCGACGAGACGATATGGAGTGAGTTTACATTATCCCGTTTGTCAAACAACAAGTACTAACGAGTCTTAGGGCTATTGAGAAGCCGATTCAATTCCGCTACGAGGAAGATACAGCAGCACCTAGGGAACTCGAGAATCTGCAACAAGCACTCCACGCCGGACAGGCATTCTTGCAGAGCGCACATCAAAACTATACGATGGAGGACCAAGAAGGCATGTCGCATCGTTTCACGCTCGAAGAGCTCGAGGATGTCAAGAACCGACTCAAGGAGACGGCGGACTGGCTCGAGAGTGGAATCACGGAGCAAAAGAAGCTTGCAAAGAACGATGATCCTGTGCTCATTTCTGCGGAGATGAAGGCGAGAGGGGTGACATTGCAGAACCATGTGCTCAAGATGAGCAAACGCAAGTTCCCCAAGCCACCGGTGAAGAAGGACAAGCCAAAGGAAGAAAAGGAAGGCGAGAAAGAAAAGGGCGAGCCGAAGGAGGAGCCAAAGATCACACATCAGGATCTTTAGGTGCATTTGTATCTATTGTCAGGCATACTTTATCGACTCATTTGAACTATGGGGGAGTGCTGTAAGTCCGTGTGCAGTTGACCGGTGAGTTGAGCATTCCCAGCTGGTACGAGTATCTTTTCCTTGAAAGACATCTGCTTTCATATCAAAAGAGAATAAATGCGTGCGAATTCCGAGCACTCACAACGAAGCAGAAACTGGTCGAGGGCAGGACAGAATACAGAAGACCATTTGAATACAACTGAAGGTCGACAAAAGATAAACATAACAAAGTGTATTCTTTGTTCTCTATGAGACGTGTACAACGAGTTTTTCGACCTCCAAGAAAGAATTGTCCATGGCGAGAAGAGTGTGCCTCTGCCAAGGCAAGCAAAGCAAAGCACTGCAACAAGGTGAGAGGAATTACACTACGAGGGGACAGAGACAGGAGATGAGGGGTGCGGTGGTTTTACGAATGTCGAGACGGATAAGATAACACATTCTCCAAGAAACACAACGATGACCCAAAAAGCGACGCTGAACAAGACTTGAGCAAACCGAGTCCGAGCATCAGTGTAGTTGATGCAGGATAAACAACCACGACAAGAACGAGTGACGGGAGCCGCATACGCGAGCGAGCCGAGTAGTCGGCAAGTGTTTTTCTTTGGCAAATGTCTAGCGCCATGTTTTGTGGTGTCGAGAAGAATGACGATCTCCAGCCCACCGACCATCATCCACCGGTGACAGCCAAAGAGGGAAGAGGGAGCGTCCGAGAAGAGGAAATGAAACCGTACGTATATAACCATGCCGTGCCAAGCCGGGGTGCTGAATGCCATCCGCAAACCGAGATCATCTAGATTCTGATGGCAATGGATTGGAAAATTCGAGGACCAGCCGTGGAGATAGAGAGGAAGCGAGCGACGGTCCAGCCATGCATACGACCAGGATATCGAAGCGCGTCTACTGCTTCTCGGGTGGATACCCGAGAGACCAGATGGACGACTGAGAAGGCCGACGACCCAATTCGCTAGGATAGTCGTGTCCAATCCTTCCAGTCGATGCATGTGACGCCTCCTTCCATCCACCGGCACCACTCACAAGATCCATACTGCCTACGGTCCTGAGTCCCGCTGTCTCTCCATGGCCAGCCACCGCAGCTGCCTTGGGAGAAGGCTGGTACACGACGTCACTCGAACGGGAAAATGACATCCTATGGAAAGACGACGACGAGACGGAAGCGGACGTAGACGAAGGTGGCGATGGCGATCCACGAAGTGAAGAGGACGATTGCGACTGAGATTCGGCATCCGAAGCACCAACTACCTCTTGGAGGAACGATGGGAGCAGAGGGAGTGGTGAAGGCGTCGCATGATCATCCGGGAGCGACAGCGAGGCAGAGGAACCCGCAGAGATACTGGAGCGAGCCGATGGTGGCGAAGGTCTCCCACTGCCGGGTGCGACCTCAAAGTCTGTAGCGACACGCAAGTTTTGGGAGTTGTGTCCATTAGATTGTGCACGAGTCTGGGTGTTGCCGTTGGGGACGAACGAGGACGTCGAGACGAGCGACGTCATGCTGGGCAGAGAGGTCGTGCTTGCGTTGGAGAAACGAGGCAGGGTCTGATCCATCGAGCCTCCAAGACGAGGCGGAAGATTCATCGTGTGTGCCGTCGACGAGCGCGTCGCAGGCACGGTTTGCCCATACCCGTTCAACGCATCTCGCTGAGACGTCAACGCAGTAGCATGCGACGTTCCAGGTGTGTTCATCGAATTCATTTGAATACCGTTGAGCCCACTGGCGTTCGAGGCGAGCAAGGCAGCCGCAGCTTGCTGCTGCGCCTGAATCTGCTGCTGCTGAACCTGGACTTGCTGCTGCTGATGAAGGAGGACACTCGCAAGGAGCGCAACACGCTCCTGGACTTCTGCCGTCGAATGCTTCGTGCCCTCTGTATTCCCCTCGGCATGCGGGAAACAGTTCGCACAGACACGCCTCCTACGCCAGTTCTACAACCAACCAATGTTAATTATCTGCTCACTAAAGAGAAGATAAATGACGTACAAGGTAATCACACTTTCCACAGACCCAATCACCAGGCTGGGCATCAATCGGTCCCTTGTTGCCTGTATTGAGAATCGGAGGTGGCGGTCCATGAACCCCTCCGAGCGCCATAAGGACAGCGGCAGGTGGTCGAATCTGGCACGCAAGCGGTAGCGGCTCATTATCCGGCCAAAACATGAGGATGGGATTCAACTCGTCCGATACGTTACGAACACGACCGCCAAGCGCAAACGTCCTCCCAGACGGCGTGAGCAGAGACGGTGGCTTGGTTGCGGGTGCATGCAGGATCGAAGACGTGTAAGCGGGTGTAGATGTCCTAGGAGGCGAGATGCCGGCATAGCTCGTCGAAGATGTCGTACCAGGCAAGGCGGCGTAGCTCGTTGGCATCACGAATTGACGCTGCTGGTGATGGTGCTGCTGATACTGCTGATGGGCGAGGTACGTGTTCTGACCGGCAATGGGTGGTGAGCGAACGACAAAGGCGGGGCTCGTGGGCGAGGTAAACCCATGCATCCCATGTGCAGTCGGAGTAGTGGGAGGCTTTGACTTGTGATTGATCACGACAGGCGGGTGGACCATGGGCGTCGGAGGAGAGTTTCCCAACGTCGTAGGAATCAACAACTGCGTCGAGCCATGTCCAAACGACGAAGAAGAGACATTCCTCTTTTGGTCATTATTCGAGCTCACATTGCGGGAAGCGACGGCTGCAGCAGCGGCATTGGACTGGTGTGCTTTGACGGCTTGCTGGATCGCATTGAGCTCTTCGATCCCCCCAAGTGCCTGCAATGACGCATCGTCCATACTAATTCCACGAGCAGTCGACGCCGGCTGGTGGGGTTGTTGCTGGGTGAATCGAGGAGGAGCCTGTCCGACGGCACCAAATGAGCGATGCCCCGCGACGTCGTCTGAACCATCTTGAACGAACAAATCCTTGGCTTCGATTCGTTGGTGCGGAGGAACTTGACGGTTAGCCGACTTGCCGACCATCGAATGAGAACTGGCGAGCGAAGTCGACGACAATCCGTCAGAGGACAAGTAAGCGCTGAAGGATGGATTTGACACAGATGGAGAGAATGTCGTGCTGGAAGGTGACGAGACAATGCGTGTCATATCAAACGGTGAAAAGGTTGGTCGCTTTGGGTCCACAGGGGAACTATATAAGACAGACGGCATGAGCGCGGATCAAACGACGATTCAACGAGTGAAAACAGGAGGATAAGCCCTCGAGGACGGCCAATGGATTGGTCAAGAGTCAGTGGGGGGGGGACGCAAATCCACCACACGACTGTAGGGCAAGACGAGGTGAGGGTATAAGAGGCAAAGAGGAACAAAGGGATCAAGTGAAATGAGGACATACCACTCTGTCTGCTTCTGCGTGGGGTAGGATTTCAAGGGAAGGTGCCGAGGAGCCTGGAGCTGGAGCACTCGCGATTGTTGCGGCTGGGAGAGTGGGACTGATTGCTGGGGTTGATCGAAGGCATAAGTGATTGGCAGAGAAGCGTGGTGATCTTCGGCTTGAGGAAAAAGAGTGTGCTGCCTGTCGACTGCATGGCGCGTCTGAGCCGGCGATGAACCTTGAGGTGCTTGATATGGAGTATCGAGTCCAGCTGTATATTTGTTCACAGCGTCGGTGGTGATAGGAGCGAGTTCCCTGCCCTTTGGAATCCCCATCCCCATCGAGAGCATACCGGGGACCCCAAAGGCGGCCTCCTTTTCCTCACGAGGATCCTTCCCACGGTCACAGAGATTGGGAGATTTGGCCTCGTCTTTGGGCATACATGAGGCTAGAGGAGAGCACAAGAAGGGGTACGTACGTGATTCGTCCAAGGCACGATGAGATTTGGCCCCGATCGAAGTCTGTTGGTCAATTTCCCCTGAGAAGGATCCAAGTTGATTGCCTCCCTCTTCGAGCTGATGGTCTACCGGGGGCGAAGACCAGGCGAGGCCGTCTTTTGGGAAGAAAGCAAGAGTGGGCGATGATGCCAATGGACTAGACGAGCCCTTTTGATCCTTTTGATCGAATTTTGGAACCGTCGGTTGAATATTTTCGTCCGACGGTAGAAGGAGACCCGTTGCATTCAACTGCTGATTGGCGCCCATAATCTCGGCTGACCGTGGCCTCGATTCTACGACTGGTGGTTGTGCCAATTTGGTACCTGCGCCATGATCGGGATCGCGATCAAAATAGGAGCCCGCGGCGACGGCCTGCCGTTGTTCCCTGTACGGACCCAAACTTTTGTCACCCGGTGCCGTGCTTGCCAACAAGCTGAAACCGTGTGCTAAAGGTTTGGGAGAATGGATAGAGACGGTCGATTTGGTGGTGGTGGTGGCGCTGATGGAAGCGAGGGAAGGATAATCGATCTGCCCGGCGGAGGCAGTTGATGAAAGTGGAGGACTCGTGATAGTCTGAGCAACACCTGAGGTCGCGTACGGGGTGGGAGAAGCCAAGAGGAAGGGCGAAGGAGCACACATTCGTGTCGTCAGCATCTGGTCATTTGCAGACAGAACGACGAGCTTGTCGGTGGTTGGATGAAGGGACATGGACGGGGGCGTCGGACTCGAGTCGTCTACGATGCCAATGTAGTGATTTGTATGGATGGGCGTCGACGTAAATATGTTAAGAGGATCGTCGACCAAACGAGTGGAGTGGTTAGGATCGTCATGCTGCGCGTCATGTGTCGACGAATGATCCAAGCAAGGCCCAGTGGAATGGACGGCGGTCGTAGGTAGAGACGTAAAAGAAGGGGAACAACGAGGGATGGTGACCCCGTTCTCGCTCAGATTGGAGATTGCCCTGTTGCCTTGATGGCACTAGTCAGGTTTTCGTGTTCATGAAATACGAAAAAATGAAAGGTCGACATTACTTTTCATCTCGTTGTCGTGGATGGGAGGAGAGCGCACAGAGCACGGATCACGCGACGCTTGACCTCGTGCTGATGTCGCCCAAAGTTTGTTTGAGAGTATATTAATATTAGACGGGTGTTGTAGCGATGAATGGTCACGTAAGGTGCCTTTGTCGCTCGCCGCCGTCGAGTGGACACCACCCGTAAACGCGCTGGCCAGTGTCGGGTGAAATACGGCAGCATCTGCTCGCGGTGTCCAGACTTGAGGAGGTGCAGGTGCAGGTACTGTCTGTGGCGGGACGGGCGTGCCATCGTCGAGTGGCTCATACGTAAACTCTGGACTGTCTACGGTAGACTCTGAGAGAAACTGGAGTTGCTGAGCGCGCCATTGAGGAATATCGACCTTTTGAAGCGACGCATAGGGCAAGAGATCACTCTGAAGTGCTGGATAGATTCCTCCGAGCTGGCCGTGCATCGTCAGCGCGTCGAGGGCAGACTGAGCCTGTGTAGATGAGCAAACAGGACACATCAATAATAGAATATGTGACCTGTTCGTGGTCCACAAAGATGGCCCAGATGGTGTTGGCGTTGTCGATCCGTGTCCACAGCGATTTTGGATGGTGGATGGGGTGAAAGAGCGCGTCGAGCTGGTCAACCTGCGTCAAAGATGCAATCTGAAGCTGATCAGCAAGCTCTTCTGCGGGTCCATTCGTGCCGCCATTACCTGGAGAATCGTCGAGCGAGTGGCGACAAACCGCGTCCAGGCCGTGTGGGCGTTGTCCATTGGAGACGACGACGAGAGTAATGTACACTCGAGTATTTATCGTCAAACGAGGTCGAGTTCAAGATCTGACTGATTGGAATGGAGGCTGACTGACGGGCTTCTCAGAAATCCACAGAGCTCTGCGTTGTCAATGCGAATCCACAATCCACATGAAAACTAATTGCATCTGAAAAAACACGCGACCCCGTGGGAATTCGGCGGACGAGTCAGGATTGGCCGGAGCGAGATCATCCCCGTCAGGCTCCTGAAGGACCATTCCTTGCCCGTCGTTGTCCATGCCTCTCATCTCTCAGACTCTACCATGTTCGACGAACTCATGCTGTGGGCAAAGATGCCTATTCCCTGGGATATTCCAGATCCATCGACCACCAAGCAGCTCCCACTCTCTCAACTCAAGGGTGAATTCGCAGGCTTTGAGCTTATTAACAACATGGTCTAGGATCTCGAGACGTCACCATGCCCAGAGTGTGGTCTCCGCTATGGCTTCCACGCAGAGCCCCCCTTTGAGGACCACGCGTACGTCGACTGTCCACTCCGCGCCTCTAAGTTCCCCAAGCCCGGAGAGTTCGATCAACGCCTCCTGGGTTTCCTTGGCCAGCAGTCCATTATCACCGACGAGGAAAACGACGACAAGGTGTTTGGGTATCCAGGTTGTCCTTTCACGTACGTCTACTCTCTATTTTTGTTCAACCTTCTCAGCCTAGTTATTCCAGCGCGACTTATGGACAAGACGCCATGCCCCCCGTCTACGAGATTGTCGCCCATCTCGAGGGTTGCAACCGCTCTCTGTCACAGCCATACGTCCAAGAATTCTTCATGTTATGAGAAACGTCCCCCATGCGTCTCTCCCCACAAGACTACAACTGGATGACCTCTAATCGAGATGCCGACAAGGATGGTATCGAGAATTACCTAAGCACGCATACACATCAAATTGATTGCCAAAAGTCGTTCAAGTGCCCCAGCTGTCCATTTTCGTACGTCCCTTTTCCCACTCCTCCGCCGTTGATGTCACACCCCATCCAGAATTCCCCTTCGAGGCGAAGAGTACCCGACGAGCCAGATTACCGCTCACCTCGCCGGCTGTACGAATGCCATGACAAAGCCAGACGTTCAAGAATTCATCTCGCTCTTGTAGACGTGTATAGACTGTCAAAGAAAGAGTATTCTTTCCGATATGGAAAACAATTTGAATGATGCTTGATATCAATCTTGGTCTCTGCCAGTTTCAATGTCTGACCTCTTCCTGGCCAACGACGACATTCTGACATACTTATTCAATGTAATCTTTGAAGAGGAGTGTACAACACTATGGAACGACAGCGAACACAAGTCCATGTCCCGTTGTGGGTAGGCAGTGTGTGCGCTCGTTGGCGTCTACTCGTCCAGAGAAACCTTTGGAGCTATATCATCTTTCATCATCAAAATAAATTTAACTTTCCCCTTTTTTCGCCACTACCTAGAGCGAAAATCAAGCAGGCACTTGCGAACTTGACTTGCAGCTCGCCAGTAAGAATATTCGGGGACCAGATGATGGCGATAGTCAACGCCCTCAGCGGCTACTCTGCGCTCCAAAGGTTCACTACGTTGCGAATGCAAATCGTGGATAAGAAAGCCTCCCTTATCCCACAAACTCGAATCGGCGCTACAGATGTGGCTCGGTCTCCCTCGCTAAACACCCTAGTTTTCGAATCAAAATGTCGCCCCTCAAACCTCACCTTATCCTCTTATTTTGATGTGGAGACTTTATTCGCGGGTTTAGATTCGACCTGAACCGGGATTATAGGCTTCGAGCGCTACGTCATCTTATTTTGGTAAGAGTCCGCATATACGAGGATCAGATTCATTCTCTCCTCAGCGGGGCCTCTAACCTTGGTAGTCTACACATGACCGCCAGTATCGTCTCGCGCGTGTTGACACCATTAGAGACAATCACATGTTTCAAGATGAAAATTTTGGAGGTGGATCCTATTTCCCAATTCATTCAAAAACACGTTCGATTTCCGGCGCTCGAGGCCGCATCGATTCGGACAGGTAGATGCTCTTTCATTGAGGCTCTTGTTAGCTGGAACGTAGAGCACCTGGATCTATGGAGTGACCTTCGAGTGACCGAATCCATGTTGCACGACCTACCGATCCTTGACTCCGTACAGAGCATTGCTCTGAAGGAACTAATGCCTAGGGTCACTACCTGAACTTGCCGAGAAGGTTTCTGTGTGCTCTGCTTGCTCATTTCCTAATCTGAAGACTATAATGATTTTTCATCGCGAAGAACTCGATCTGAATTGGATCTTGATGTACCAAACCTTGGCCAAGCTTATGGATGTTTGAGATTGTGCATGAGAGAAGAGTTCAACAATTTCTAGCGTTGAAAGGGTTGTGTTCAACACTGGTATCCCGTCGGGCATCGAGACAGTGAGTCTAACGGCAGAGGTGAGCGTTGTCCGCCGCACATCATACTGGTATCTCGAGCATAACAATACATCCTCTTGTCCGTGAGGAGACATCTGGGCGGATGACACTCACTTCAAAGCGATGTAGATAACGCGATAGGATTTCGATGTACATTACCTAGTCAAACTCAAACGCACACAGATTAAGCTTCAATGGAAATGAGAATTGTAATGAATCAAAGGCCTTTCTGTCCTTTATTTCCACGCTCGAAGCTGTCGAAAGTTGCCAGTTCGACTGCTTCTGCTTCTAGTTCTGTGCTTCTGCGTGCATTAAAGCAGAGTGTAGAGCGATCCATCGGCCGGGAGAGTGAGTAGTGCTTTATTCCACTGGGTGATGATGGAGAATCCAACTCTTGGTCGAAGCTGGGCTGTTTTACTGTCGTTCTGCCGCAAAATGGAAGTGGTGGCTGGGTCAAGTCTGACCGAGGTGGAAGTTCTCTACTAGCTGCATAATCACGAAAACGAACAGCCCTTTTGAGATGAAGGTGAAATCGTGACGCGAGCGCGACGGTCATGGCGAATTCCAGCATACTTGCCATATACCAGAGTGAACCCGGAGCGACAGCCCACTTAGTAAATTTAGGATCGCTTTGCTCGAACTGAGAGGTGAAGACTCACCACGAGGCAGGTCATCAAGCGCAAGTTTAGGACGACGCCATACCAGACATACCCATCCCTATAGAGTGTACGTATCAAAGTGAAAACGGGTAGATTGTGCTTCCGTCGATTTTGGGAGTGGATGTAATGGTGGGTAATTTGCAGTGCAAGAACGTAGAGCTCTAGTGCAATCTTTGGGCTAGAGTCAGCGGAGTTTGAACCACACGATGCAGTTTAGTTACAGGAATGAAATAAGCGCCCCCTATTATTGATAACGAGTCAGCTCCACATACTTTGACTGGCTCAAAGTAAGCGATTGATGCTATTTTTCACAGGAATGAGCCAGTGAATCCCAGGTGCATTCAACTCATGAACTTACGGTAGATATTGTGCATGGCAATAGCCGTGAGTATCCACGTCAGGACGTGCGATAAAGCGTACAAGGCATAAGTGGAATAAATGACGAGCTTGTGGTGACTCCAGAGAGAGATGACACGAAGCGATAGCAGCCAAGTTGAGATTGCGAGAGAAATGGCTAGACAATGAAGTAAGTCTGGGCACTCTTAGAAGTTGCTTACGTACCCCATGCTATCGCATTGGTGATCACTTCTGCTCGACAGCTGGGCAGAGACGAGTCAGAATCCTATATTGCGCGACTTGAGAATTGCTCACAACTGTGATATCAGGGATAACGAATAGGGATTCAGATAAAGGGTCACTTACATTATCTGAAACGTCCCCTCGCAAACCAGCGATATCTACGAGGGGTATAAAAGGTAAGCTTTGTGGTCAAAATTGGATAGGAACATACGATAGTTGTACATTAATAAGAACGGCATTGAAAGATAACGATTCTATCGAGCAACATTGAACAATACATCAGCCTCTGTCGGATGAAAGGACGTACAATGAGAAACAATATACTCGTGCTTCCTATACGCATCCTCCATATGAGCTCCATCTCCTCGTCAAACGTGATCATCCAGTCGTAAAACATAACCACCAGTCCACCCGCGCAGGTGTATCGTGAGGCATCCATATTCTTCCACGCTTCGACCAGCGTCTGGTAGACATCTTCTGGAAGGTGGACCGGAGGGGAGGAAAGGGAAGTCATGGGGCAGAGGTCGACGGCGAATGTGGAGATTGTCCCTATAAAAGATTTCTGAAGACCTTGTCTGAACCTTCCCGAGGGCGTCAAACCCGAGGAGACTTCGGAACGTAGGGGGTGATGCCGCTCGGGACCTGCAGGGATAAGCTTCATATCTTAGGCACCGAGAAATCATCGGATGCGCATCCCCCCCTGTGATCACAGAAAAAGCAGTTTTGCTAGTACCTGACATACAACGTGCCTGGAGCAATGACCCCTCACAAACGACTGCGGGTCCGGCTTGTAAAAGTACAGAATTGAACAATGGCGGCTCGTTCGTTAGCTCTCAGCCAGATTCAAGGGCGAAGCCCCTCGTGGAGTAGCCAATGAATGCTAGCCCAAAGCGATACAGAGTCCATGATGAGCGGATAGGAAACTACTGGGTCGGAGCAGGGAATTCAATTGCGGCAGAGGGTCGTGATGCGCTACCTTCCATCTCCTTGCCTGCCGACAGTATTGAAGTTGGAGGTCGCAAGGCAACGGCAGCCACCCCCAGTACCAGTTCCGGTAGCTGCTCGGCCTCCTGGTCATGTCGATCCGTTCCGTGACTTGCAGCAGCCGTTTCAATAATCTCGGGATTAATTTGGCCATGCTCTTCTTCCGGATGTTGCCCACTTTGAGAAGACGATCGGGAGACGCTTTTCCCTTTATCTCCAGCCTGTCTCCATGAACCGTGATAAATTCGTTTATCGGAAGAGGGCATGAGGATCATAACTGAGACATTGACATCTTCGGCGTCCTTCAATAGCTCCTCTGTGTTCGTAGGCACACCATTTTTAAGCTCACTGTCCACTACAGCCGGCTCAGGTCGTTGAATATCGGAAGCGGAATCATGCGGGTATCCAAACCAGTATTCGCCGACGGGAGCAAACATTCGACGAATATTCTGTCGGTACCGCTGCATTCCAGTGACCCTCGCCGGAGAGGTTGAAGGTTGGGATCCTGGAGATGCTGGGGTCATGATTGAGTGCGATACTGAGACAGCGGTCGGCTGTATGGGTGTCAGAAAAGGGAATTGTCAGATAGAAGTTATATCGGCGATAAGGAACGGACCTTGATATCCCACACGGTTTTCTCCCTTGGCACGTCTGTATGCGAATCCTTTTCTATCCACTCTTCCCACATGATGGGCTTGGGACCAACTGGACGTCGTTGTCGTTGTCGTTCCACAGGATCACCATAGCCGGGGATATACACGCCACGAGCTATAGCCTCTTCGATGCGTGCTCGCAGTAGTCGTCGTGTGCGGTACCCTCTGCGAGAATGTCGCGTTTGTTAATTGTTCACAGAAGAGTCAGGCGTTGGTACGGCGATGTTCAGGAGTGAAAGTATCCAACATTCCATAGATCGTGCGTATAGAGATTATTGTGACGTAGGCGGGGCCGGTAGGATGAAAATAGAGAGGGCCTGTCAGCATCTGGAACGTTTCGGCAAGCAAAAGCAGAACTGACTTCCAAGCTACAGCGATAGATACTAGAAAGATGAGGACCAATGTTGCCAAAAATCCATATAGATAGATGTTTGGACCCCCTGGTAAACCGTCTGGACCGTTCTGGCCTGATGAAGGCGCAAAGGGACTGCCTCCATAGCCGCTGTCGGAGCCCGAAGTCGATGAAGGTGGGTTTGAAGAGGTCAAAGAGTCTGTTGGGTTGACTCTTGTCACCGATGTGCCGCTCGCGAGCGTCGACGAGAGCTGCAAAGTCGACGACGACGCCATTGCACCCCAGCGAGCGGTATATGCTTGACTAAACGGTGGAAATAATTATTGAGAAATAGTCGTAGCGAACGATGAGATTCAGCGTCAAGCAAGGCTGGGTCCAAGGATTCTCTGTTCTCCTCTGGCGCCAAGATGAGTTGCGGCGAGCGTGGAGCCAACATAAGACACTAATTTAGAGGACTTGGTTTCGTCATTCTTTGGTTTCTAATAGCAGCAAGCGTCAAATTTGGTCCAAGCCCGAGCTCATTTGCAAATTTGTTCTGTCCAACTACAGGTGTTAGCTAACTGGCCGGTCGACTAATGTAACCACTCTGGTTGGGCAATTCGGTCAACGCATTGTCTCCTTCGTTAGAGATGGGCACCCCTCAAACATGACAATCTGTATCCACCTGAATACGTCCACTTAAGTGATCTTCAGGGACTACAATATACATGATAGGAAGCCGAAAGGAGGATGAAGGACGGACGAGAATGAAAACGACAGCCAATCGAGCGATTAGAAATGAAATACTTCGAGGCATGGATATAGAATCCGGCCGTAAAGGTGGAGGAGGAAGTTGTAAAGGAATAATGTGCCCACTGGCACCGCACAGTAGCGACAGCCTCGTCTCTTGTGAGAAGTACGCGCTCTGCCAAGATGGCATCCTTCGCATGGAGAGCGAGAAATGTGATGGATGCCATTGGATCCACGATTGCTAGTGCATCACGCCCGCCTGCATACGTGCATCCTCAGAGCTTCGTCTGGGTGCATCCGCTTGGACAATCCTCCGCATCGGCATACCGACCTGCGGACCAACGTGCACCGGAACAGTCTGCTGGTGATGGTGAAGTTGATGTATCTGCTGCTGTTGCGGTGCTGCTTGCAAATGCTGCGAATGTGTCACCGTCGCTTGAGCTTGAGCTTGCGCGGCCTGTTGCTGTTGTTGCTGTTGTGCGTGCGTACGTGTGCGTCCTCCGGCACTGCTGCTTGCTTGTCCATTCCTTACGCCCAGCCCATCGTACGCGCGTACGATTTGGTCAACTTTGAGGAAGTTGAGCATCTCCGTGGCTTCGCCTTCCTTATCATTCCAGTAAACCCTGTTCACCCGACCTCCTCGATGGATCATCGCGCAGCATTGGTAAACCTCCTCCACGAGGGCCTCCTTGCGTTGGATACCGAGATTGGCTTTGAACATTCGAATCTCCCAGCCAAGCAGTTCATGGTTGTCTACTCTAAACTGTTGCGTGGGCAGAGAGCACTCCATCCGACGATAGTCAAAGCCAGGGGGTTGCTGAATTGCTTTGATGTAAGCAGTCTTGATTGTGAGTATAATGAGGATACGACGCAAGAGCGTCTCGTCTGAGTTTCCTGAGAGCACGTCCCGTTGTTCTCGTTCTGTCAACTGCAAGTGGCATTAGTATGGTTGGTGGGATGAAAGAATCACGCTTACCTTGTGCTTTTGGGATTCGAAGAAGTCGGTGACTGTCGTATTTCTTGGTATCGAAAACTTCATGACATCGAGACCAATGTTGACGACCTGCGAAGGGGAACCAGTGGCCCATGCCATGCCAACAAGGGATCCGGTGTCCGCAACCGAGTATCCCAGCACATAATTGGGATCTTGAGATTGCTGTATGGTGTACATTGATGATAGGATGAGAAAACAGCCATTGTCAGTGAAGCGCCTGGGCAGTCACTTATGTCTACGTACAAAATACTCTTTGCCAGTGGAGCTCTTGGCGCGTTTGAAGCGATATCGAGACAGTTTATGTTGCATTACAATGATAGGATACAGTTTGCTGATCATAGAACCTGTTGGGGACGACGGTCATTAGCTCGGCGCTCACCATGCTCCAGAGCCTGCAATTGCCACTCTCGCCTGACAAGCTAGCGCAGCGACAGCAGGCAGGCAGACAAGGAAGAGAAAGACGAGACATACGGATACATTCATCGCGGGTAGGTTTGTTCAAGCATGTTTTCCGCACATCCTCGTCCTCAATCTTGTTTAGTCCTCGTACAATTTCCTGTTGGAGATGAAGCAAAGGATATGTTAGCATTTGTAGAATCCATCAGCGACCAGAGAACCGCCAGCTGGCTGACGAGTGGAGAGGAGCCATTCGAGTGCATCATCGGTGGGCTGGCGGTGGTAGTAATGCAAGCAGAAATACATACATCTGTGGTCACGTGTCTGTTCATGCTCATAACCCATACTTTGAGCGGTGGGAGGGTCGGTGGGTCAGTGTCCATCGGTGCAGCCATGGTTGGTGGAGGGAAGAGAAGGTAAAGGCCTAGACGTGCGCTTGTGTTGGCTGATTTAAGCTCGCTGCAGATGTTCTAGTGGCGCGCTCGCCGCTGTTCAGCCTTGGATGGGCGTCGGAGTCGGGGTTCAAGTTACAAAGAGGCTTGGAATACAACTGCACACGGATCTCCAATGCTCTGTTTGTGACTAATCTTGGCTCCCGCAACGTTGAGTCACTCGAGAGCCGAGCGCTGACTGTGAGCCTCTGGGCTAGGTGACTGCGCACAGAGCCACGGACAGGCGAAGAATTACAAGAATAATGCCGAGAGCGCATTATTCGGTCCACACGGAGAGATCATCGCCTTCGGACTCGAGGATTTGGGTCGGATTCAGGTCATCAGTCCATATCCAGCAATTCATGGAAATTTTATACTCGGCCAGCGAAGACGGTCCTGTTGAGTATAACGTGTCCACTCTAAACGCATACGCAAACCCCAGGCAGCTATTGAGTGGCCGCGAGAACTACCAGGATGCAGAATTGAATAGAATCGTGTAGCAGAACCTCCAGCCGTCATCGTCAGACTCTCATTCACGGCCTACCCAGTTTGTCAGTACACATGTGCGTCCTCATCACAGCATTTCGACTCGTTTTCAATGTCGACCCGCCATCTTGTGGCCACCCTCCATGCGTCGGCCGCATGCACCCCTTTGGTTCATACACATGACGCAGAGTCCTAGTGTCCAATCCCCATTTCATATCCATACATACACCCGATGTTTAATACGCGATAAACCAGAGTTGTACGGCGAATCAGAATGTCCAGACCAGACGAGGAGGAAACAAAGCGTGGCTAGACTGTATATCTAAACCAGCAATGATCACCAAGAACTTGAGAGCTCCGGAGAGGGAAGACGGAACGGCCGGTGTTACCACTCCTTTATCGGCTGGATGTGACGCCGTATCCAGAACGAGATGGCAGGTTTGGAGCACGATCCGAATGAGCTCTCCATCTAAGCACAGACAATGGCGGAATTTGCTTCGAAAGAGACTCTCCAGAACCCCTCTTTGCTGGTACCGTTGCCATAGACCTAGATGTCGGCACCGCGAGCGAGTATCGTTTCTGTCCAGCGAGGCTTTGATGTGGCCCATTTGAGATATCGGCAGCAAGTAGCGGGCCTTGTTGTGGTCTACATTCAACCAGCATTCGGCCGACTTGATCGATATTCGGACGCTGGGTCGGCTCTCGATTCCATGTCCACTTGAGTAGGTCCCAAAGTTTGTTATGCGATACCGAAACTATCGAAAGGCTCGAGCATTGGGATCGTTTGGCTGGAGGCGACTTGCTGACGACAACATCGTGGATGACCTGAGCATCTAGAGTACGATTCGCGTATGGAATCTGATCCGTCATGAGCTTTATCTGTGTGAGATTTGGAATCACTGGCGACAGGGACTACAGACCTCGAGGCCGACACAACCGAGAGCATAAATGTCACTAGCAGCGTCAACAAGCGGCACTGTTTCTTCGTCTTCTGGGTTCAGCAACTCTGGTGCCATGTATCGAACAGACCCTGCAAAATTGGAGGTAGTGAATCCAGACGGGCCGCCATCACTCTGGATCACCCTTGCCAGTCCAAAATCGCAAAGGCAGGCATCATTTCGATCCGATATGAGAATGTTCATCTAACCCAAGCGTCATTATATGCAAAGAGCAAGAAAGATAGTCATACCGGCTTGAGATCACCATGGATTATTGGCGGCTCAAAGTGATGAAGATATTTGAGGCCGGCAGTAACATCGTTTAGCTGGAAGGTATAAGAGACGATAACCTCGAAAGCTTAACTATTCACCAGTTTCAAGCGCTCCGCCCAGGAACATTTGTTGGCCTTGATGTACACCGGCGCAGACCCATTCTTCATCCACTGGGCTACGTCAGCACGGTCTAATGCATAGATAATCACATACAGGTGAGATCATTGCGTCCATATTCCCAAAGTCGGAAGCAAAGCCGTACAACGGGATTATGTTGCGATGTCGACACTTCCACCAGAGTCTCATCTCGCGTCTCAGCCTCTATCCAAATTTCAGCTAGCAGCTCATCAAGCAGACAAAGGTGCTTACTCTTCGAACCGTCTCAATGCAGTTCTTGTTTGTAGTCCGTAATAATTTCACTGCAACCTTGAATCGTTCAGTGGACGTCTTCATAGGGGTAATGAATTGTACCTTTTTAGGCACAGGAGCTTGCCATTCACCATAGAAAATGTCCGAGGTCCCACCCAGCGCCTGATACCAGTGAGCACCAGAATGGCGAGCAGAAAAGGCGACCTACAATCGGGGGGTCCATGAGTTTCTTGATTCGGCCTGTAAGATTCACGGGATCGTGATTCGAAGCGATGGCCTCTTCTTCTTCCTGGGCATTCAAATCAGGCGGGAGCGAATCCATGTGCACAGCGGGCGTTGCGGGTGGGGAATAAACCTGAGGGCTGACACTCGGTCGGGCAAAGGGATTGAAAAAAACGACAGGAGAAGGTGGCTGGTAGTTGTGATTATCGCGCTCGAATGTGCTTTCTATCGCATCTTCGTGGATGGTTCGGAGGGAAGACGGGGTGGGTGGAAGAATGGGGTTAGGAACGATGAAAAGCTCGTTTGGGTCCGTGATTTGTTCATGAGAGGTCGTAAGATCGTTGATAGAGATGTCGTGAGGGGATCGTGACTGTTCGTAAGTAAGGGTGATGGCTATATGAGGCGCGTGGATAGATTCTGGTGAAGAAAGGAGTGAAATGGGTTCAAAGGAATGAAAATGAGGCTCTAGAACGGTGGGTACGCTGATATTGCATTGCTCGGGTTGAGTCTTTTTGTGCGATCTATGTCGAGTTTGAGCCCACCAGAAGGTAAATAAGATATATAAACCTACTTTCGCTCGAGACCCCGCGAAACTTGGCAAGACTGGTCCCTCATTGCAAGATACCCCAGGCGCTCGACGAGATTCTCAAGCCGAGAACCGCTTTGGAGATGAACCGCAATCTTTCGACAGAGATTCCACGTCTCTACAAGCGCATCTCCTCTTGAGATGCAACGAACGGCATCTTCAACGCTCCTCCCGGCCTCCTGAGATACGAAACGATCAGGAATCGGTGCCCTTGAAGATTGAACGTCCTCAAAAATATGAACACATACCTTTTGCCGCAGAGAAAGGGTGAGCATGCAAACAAGAGGGGGCAGCGGTGGGATCCAAAGGAGCGTTGGACGTTCGCCGATAGACTCCCGGCTCGACGCGTTCGGAGGCGATTATCCATAGGCTAAGACGTAAATTCCTCATAGTTTGGCACAATTTGCAGACATTGCAGCCCTTTACGCAGGCTTGGACCCGACCATGACTAACACACTGCTCAGCGGAAATCATGCGCGCTATTTACTTTGAACCATAAAATGGCTCCAGATGGCTTCGTGCGGCCCGAATACCGCTAAGCCATCCAATCATCTGCATTCCACTCCGCATGACGGGCTTTTCTCGGTCATCGTCCTCTGTGCGATATAAGATCAGTATGCAACGACCACGAGTCGAGTCTTGGACGTGATCATGGCTTCATCAGCAACTCTCAAGGTCGCAGGCGACAAGATTGTCGACGGACAAGGCAATGAGCTCCTTCTACGCGGTGCAGGTCTAGGAGGGTGGATGAATCAGGAAAACTTTATCACAGGTAGTTCTTGATGACATTAGTCATCCCTCATCTCTCCACGTCCTCTTCCCATCGTCTGATCCTCTGAAGGCTATCCCGGGCGCGAATTTCAAATTCGTGACGCCCTAGACGAGGTTCTCGGTCCAGAAAAGGCAAAATTCTACTGGGACAAGGCAAGTATAAGGCTGATATCGGCAGAAATAGGTTGAACGCGTGTATAGTTCTTGGAGTATTTCTTCACAGAAAAAGATGCAGTCTTCTTCCGTTCCTTGGGACTCAATTGCATTCGAATTGCCATCAACTATCGGCATTTTGAAGACGATATGAACCCTCGCGTCCTGAAACCAGAAGGGTTCAAATGGCTCGACCGTGTCATCAACATTTGTGCTCAAGAACAGATATACACAATTATCGACTTGCACGCAGCAGCAGGAGGTCAGAATACGGTATGTGAATCGCGAGTTTGGTTCATTAACTGACCTTCTCAGGATTGGCATTCCGACAACCCGACCCATGTCGCCAGCTTTTGGACTCACAAAGATTTTCAAGATCGAGCTATATGGCTATGGGAGGAACTTGCACGGCACTACAAAGGCAATCCATGGATCGCAGGGTATAACATCCTGAACGAACCAACGGACCCAACACACCAACGGCTTCAGTTGTGGTACGACCGGTGCATTGCCGCTATTCATGCCGTCGATCCCGACCATATCATCTTCCTGGATGGAAACACCTTTGCGTCCGACTTCAGCCATTTCGAAGGTGAACTCGGTAAACGATGGCCAAATTGTGTCTACGCTGTTCATGACTACAGTCTATACGGATTCCCAAAGAGTCCAGAGGTGTATACGGGAGATCCAGAGCAAAAACGTCGAGTTCGACGGAGCTATGAGAAAAAAGTGGCCTGGATGAAAGAGCGTGGACTTCCAATTTGGAACGGAGAATGGGGTCCGGTATACGCTCGGAAGCAATACGATGGGCCTGACTGGGAGAAGATTAACGAGAGTCGTTACTTGCTTCTCAAGGATCAACTAGAGGTATATGACGAGGAAAGGATTAGCTGGAGCATTTGGCTTTACAAGGACATTGGCTTCCAAGGTTTGTAGCTACCATTTTCATGCGACTCTTCGCGTTAACCCATCGCCCAGGCATGGTTCACGTCTCCCTGGACACACCATATATGAAGCTCTTCAAGGATTTCCATCAAAAGAAGTATACTCTCGCCGTGGATTCTTGGGGAGCTTCGTTTGCAGGCATCAAGCACATCTACTCCAAGCTCGAGGAGTTTATCGCCGAGGCCGTCCCAGACGAGACGCATCGCCGGCTCTATCCATATCCCATTTGGCAATTTCCGGATCGAGTGGCCAAGATTAGCAGGAACATTCTCCTTGCCGAGTACATGGTCAAGGAGTGGGCGGAGCACTTTAGGGGGCTGGATGAGGAGCAACTCGAGGAGCTCGCAGCAAGCTTCAAGTTTGAAAACTGTGCGAAACGAGATGGGCTGAATACGGTGCTGGAGGAGCATCACAAGGTTTGTGGGAGAGTGTCGTAGATGCTGTTAGATTTGCGATATTCGGATGTTTGAAATGAACGAGCCGAGTGACGACGTTGGTCTTGCGCGCTCTCAGGTGGTTCCGCCAATGCACTCTTTCTTTCCCGAGCGCGACCACGCTTAGGTGAGGTGAACCAAGTCTTTACTCAGAACCCAACGTTGCAATATCCTCGCAATACGAAAGCTTGTTCAATCATATAATTCTCGGATTTCTAGCGACTTGATCGGCTCAACGCGTGAGCAGGACAAGACTTGTAGAGCTGCCGCTGACTACGATTCTGCTCGTCTGCAGGCCGCATAGCTTTATTTCGCTTCCGAGAATGCCCGTGACAAAGTCGAAAGCACCCTCAGCATCCACTCGCCTGCCACCGCCCATGCAGACCGAACCTGCCGCTGTAGGCAAGAAAAAGAAGAAGAAAAAGGGAAAGGGAAAGGCCAACGAGGCTTCAGAGTCGACCAATGGACCGTATTACACCAGCAGATATGGCGTAGAAGACGACGAAGACGACGTTGGAGCGGTCGACGGTTATGAAAACGATCATGCGAGGATAGGCCCGGATTCGGAGCTGGACTCGACACAACATCCTATTCAACCTACTGCTCCTCTCTCTGCGACCGCTCAGACTGGCCTAAGGATGTCAACGACCGCCACTGCACAAGCCGAGCTGCTTGCTGCCGCAAATGAGCTCTACAAACGGATGGAGACTGAACAGCTCGCGAATGACAGCAACGATGGAGAGTACTGGAAGCAGCTACCGAGCCATATACGGTCTTTTGTTGAAACGACGTATGCTCAAGGCGCCTCTCTGAGCCCAAACGAACGCTCAAAGTCTCAAGCTATGCTCGCACTTGCGCAAACGATGGTCGACGAGGCCACTAGCAGGTTTCCAAGTGCCGCTGGTGGATTTCCGCCGCCGTTTGATCCGTCAATTCTTTCAGATCCAAAGTTTGCAGAACGACTTGCGATGAAGCATGGAGCTATGAACATTATGCAGCATTACGATGATGCGTATGATGACATTAGCGACGACGACGATGATGATCTGGAAGACGAGCAGCCGTATGAGGTCGATGGTAGGAAGTGATCAACGTCTATAGACAACACATGCTCAAATACCTGAGTAGATTCGTCAAAACGAAGGAAGAGCAAGAAGAAGAAGAAAGGTGCCGCGGCTACAGGAACCGTCGACGGTGTCCAGACAAGTCCTCTACCACCCGTTATACCCTCTGCCCCAAATCCCGCGCCTGCTATTACACGAGCTGCTCCGAGTGTCGCACAGCCGCGGCCGAGCTCACGAGCCGCTGGCAAGCAACCAGTCTATAGTCAGCCATCTGCCCCACCAACACGGACCAATCGATCATCTGCGACTAAGTCGCCAGCGCCACCGAATCCATACAACCATGGCTATCCGAAGACGGCGTCAACGAATGGCAACTCGTCGCTTACAAAGCGACCGACAGGTGGTGGTGATGGCGGGACAAAGAGCAAGCTATGGAGTAATAGTACAGAAGAGGAGCGAGAACGGATCAAAGAGTTTTGGCTCGGCTTGAGTGAGGCAGAACGACGGGATCTTGTAAAACTGGAAAAGGAGGCCGTTTTGAAGAAGATGAAGGAGCAGCAGAAGCACAGCTGTAGTTGTGCTGTCTGTGGTCGAAAGCGGTCAGTAGACGAGTTTCAAACAAGAATCCGGCGACTAAGATCGTTATAGACATGCAATCGAAGAGGAGCTAGAGGTATTGTACGATGCATATTACGAAGAGCTAGAACAATATGCGAATCATCAGCAACGATACCAGTCGTCAGGCGGCAAGATTCCACCCCCACCGGGTCCGGGCCCATTCCCTGGGAGCATAGCAATCGACAAGAATGGTACCCTCATTGGTGGTCCACCAGGCGCGACAAAACATCCGTCGCGAGGAGGGCGTCCCATGTTGGCCAATGCGCGTGGGCGAAAAACGGCACCGGACAGTGAAGACTATGATGATGACGAGTACGATGATGAAGATGAGTATGAAGACGAGGAAGACGAGGAAGAAGACGAAGACGAGGAAGACGAAGACGACGATCCCAATACCAGGAAGCTGGCGAGTCGGGGTCGTGTGACTTCGTCTCGGGGGCCTGTGTCCAGACGAGCCAAAGGAAGGGATGACTTCTTCAATTTTAGCAGTTTGACCGCTGCAGGCACGTTGATTCATTTGCCGGGATGCTCATGTGGCTAAACGGGGATTACAGGGCCAGGCAATATACTGACAGTCGCCGATGATCTTCTCAAAAACGATGGTGGCAAATTCCTGGAAATGATGGAACAACTTGCAGAACGGCGGATGCAACGGGACGAAGAAGCTGCCAAAGAGGTGGAGATGGACAGCGATGACCTCGAAGACGATCAAGAGCTGAGCGAAGAGGACGATGAGGATGATGGAGAGGACGATGAAGACTCGGAAGAGGATGTAGAGGACGTGAGTTGTTTTCAAAGCGACGCCTACATCTCTAACTTTGTGCAGATGTCCGAGGAGCAAAAGATGGAAGAGGGTCGAAAGATGTTTTCCATCTTTGCCGCACGTATGTTTGAGCAGCGGGTTCTAAACGCCTATCGGGAAAAGGTTGCAGCCGAACGACAACAGCAACTCTTGCGGGAGCTCGAGGATGAGGACAAGATTCAAGCAGAGAGAGATGCCAAGCGCCAGAAAGAAAATCAGAAAAAGAAAGACAAGAAGAAGCAGCAGAAGTTAGCGAAGGAAGCAGAAAAGGCCAAGAAAGAGGCGGAAAAGGCGGCTGAAGAGGTATGCACAACTAATGACGTATGAGATATCCGTCTGACACTGCAAAGGCAGCAGCTCGAGCCAAGCAAGAAGCGCTCGAAGAGGCAGCTCGCAAGCGACGGGAAGAGGAGGCTCGCAAGCGCGAGCAAGAGCGCAAGCAGAAAGAAGAGGAAAAGGCACGTCAAGCCGAAGAACGTCGACAGCGCATCGCAGAGCAGAAGGCCCAGGAAGCGGAGCGCAAGCGCGAAAGGGAAGAGCGGGAGCGGAAAGAACGGGCAGCCCGTCAGGAAAAGGAAGCGATTGCTAAAGCTGAAAAGCTGGAACGCGAGAAGAAGGCCAAAGAGGAGCGCTTGCTACGAGAAGCCAAGGAGCGAGAGGAAAAAGAGAAGCGAGAGAGGGAGGAAAAGGAACGCAGAGAAAAGGAGCGTTTGGAGCAACTCAAGGCGGAGGAACGCAAGAAACAGGAAGCCGCTGCAAACGCTGCCAAGGCGAAACAGAATGGTTCCTCCATCTCGCCCAAATCCGCGACTTTTCCAGCCAGTGTTTCTTCCCAGCAAGCCAAAAAGCTGGTCAATGTTCCTAAACCCAGCTCATCTGCAGCTCCGCCTCAGCGGCCTCCAAGTGGCACATCAAATCGACCCCCGCCGCTGTTGCAGCAACAACAGCCAACGCAACCGATTCCTGCTGCCGCTCAGCGGCCGATGTCCCAACCACCACAACCGCCATTGCCTTTGAACATGCAGCTTCCTCCTAACATGGTTCCTCCCATGGGTATGTTTAACCCAATCACCTCACCATCTGCAATGTCACCTCGCGCTCCATATCTCCCGAATGGCGCGCCGGGACAAGCACCCAGCCAGTTCAACCCGCTCGCACAGTTTCCGCAAATGGCAAACTCGACAGCCCTCAATGGTCCGATGATTGGCTCGGCTCCGCCATTTCCGTTCGATGCACAGACGCCAATGATGTCCCCTCCACCGAACAGTGCGGTTCCCTTGCAGTCCCCAAGAGCACCGGCCGCACTTCCCCCTGGGCTTTCCATTCCAGTCCTCTCTCCATCGAATCCTCTGACGAATGGCATCACGCCTATCGGTGTCCCTCCTGGTCCCAGTGGTCCCGTCAATCCAATTCGCCGCGCATCCACCCAGGTGAACCCGTCTCCATTTGGCGCCATTGGGAAGCCGGCGTTCCCAAGAGTTGGCATCCCATCGTCTTCTGCACCTTCCCAGGCTGACGAGGAGGAACGTGCGCCGAGCTCTACTGTTTTGACAAGACCGTCCCCTCCGAGTCCGACTCATGTCCTGGGGAGCTCTGCTTTGGTGGATGAAAACGACACCATTGTTGAGCTACCCAAACGGCGAGGAACTGCTAGCTGGGGGGATGCAATTGGTGCACCGGCTGCGATAGGCTCACGTTGGGGTCGTACACCAGCCCCATCCTGGCAAACTCCGTCTCCGGTCGGGTCCCCATGGTCTACGGCACCTGGAAGGCCTCAGGCAGGCCATATCGACTCTTCCTATCTGCCCTCTTAATCATCCGAACATTCTCGTCATCTTTTTTGCATTTTGTTTCGCACAGCTACAACTGATTTGGCATATTCTTTATTCTGCTAGCTTCCTACCCTGTGTTGCAACAATGTACGGCTGTGGTGCTAGCCTCTACGATGAATCCTGGATACAACTCTGCGAATTTCGACGGAAAATCAGGGCCCCCAACGAGTTCTTCCTCCGCGTAGGTTGTGGCCGCCTTGAGTTCCGTACTGGCTCCCTCCATAGTTCATGCCACCCTGCGGATGATTTTGACGCTGCTCGACCTCCATCCTGTCTCCTGAGAAGCCCGGCAGCGCATCAAAGTCGTAGATATCATCATTTTGTTGCCTGCTGCCGGAATTTGGTCCGTTCCATGCTCCATTTGCACCGGAAGGACCGGACCCAGCGGCATCACCATCGTAGATACCTGGAACACCCAAGCCCGGAAGCGCACCTTCTGCCCAAGCCTCGTCATCGTCGCCTTCGCCTTCCACTGCATCTGGAGGTTTCTCCCCTCCGCCGCTGAAAACGCTAGTGCTATCTCCTGGCCTTTCCCGAGACCAGAATCTTGTTGTATGATCATTCGATGCACTCGCGAGCAAGTGACCCAACGGATGGAACGCGAGAGACCAAATATTTGAATCGTGCGCTTGCGCGAGTGTAGCACGTGGTTCTGATGGAATAACGGCACTGAAAGAGAGTGCTCCGGTGTTTGACCCATTTGTTGGAGAGTACAAATCCCAATAAAGGAGATCGCCCTCGGAACCACCAGAAACAATCAGAGGATGGACAGGATGCCACGTTACGGCTGCACGAATAGTCTAGACAGCATCTGAGAGCGGGATACTCACAGCAAACTTCTCTTTTGTGACCTCTGTACATTCTAAACTCCTTCATCATTCGGATGTCAAAGACGCTGAGACTTTGGTCCCTAGACCCAGCGGCAAGATAATTGCCATCCAAATACGGCGAAAAGGCGAGGGCTTGGATGGTATTCTTATGCTGGTGCCTATAGCAGGTATTAGGACACTAAGCGCAAGGCAATTGGCTTACAGTGTTGTCAAGCATGTGCCCGTTCTCGGATCCCAGAATTTAATAAGGTTATCTTTGGAGCCAGATGCAAGGAGACCCTTTGACGGATGCCACTGAACGCAGCGCACATCCCAGCCATGACCTGAACACATCTCAATATTTGGGGATTTAGATAGTAGGCATTGCATACCTGTCAATGTTCGTTCTTCTCGGCTCTCATTAAACGCCCAGATCTTCAGCGTGGAGTCGTCGCTGCACGTAACAAACCTTGCGTCATTCGGCGAAAAAGAGATCCCTCGTATGGCGGACGGGTGCGCCTGAATAGTCTGTCAGAGGCACAGCAGATCAAGGATGTATAACTTTCCTGGTAGCTAAATACACAGTTCATGTTCTCTTGGAAATACTTGACGGTACCTCCTTGATCCGCACTTGCAAGATATGCACCACTGTGGTTGAATTCGAAAGCCCGTATTGCGGCATCGTGAGCTTGCAATATAGTCTCGAAGTTGAAAGTGAGCCCATTCCATAGTGTAAACTCTCCGGATGTGCTACCAGTTAGTACTCTACGGCCTGTCGGAGTCCACTGGGGCAGGGGTGAGGCAAAGCGGAAGTGGTGGTAGTATACTATACCGTAACACAGTTAACGGGCCCTCGCACTTTATTTGTACTGGTGTGTACAAGCTTGGTGCAGAGACTCGTCGAGGGGTTGTCTGGATATGCCGTGGGAGGCAGTAAATCGATAATAAAGGGTGGTGCCGGCCTAAGGTGAGGTACATATCCGGGAGATGGTGCCATTCTTCGCATCTAAATGGCCCTAGTAAGAACCAGAAGACACTGTAGGGCCCGCTCCCACCCAAAACCAACGACCCATCGGGCCAAAGTAATCGACCGTCCGACGCGGTTTCGTCTTCTTTAACAAAGTCTTTCCGTCGATTCCAGCAGCTGCAGCTGCCGCCTCTATGCCTCGTTAATAGCACTTTCGAACTCAAGGAGAGGCCCAACCTATGGCAGGAGTGACATCTGGAGGAGGTGGAGGCGGATCTGGGCGCGTAAGATGATTTTTTGGTGTCCAAATGTCGCGTGGAACAGAACTAAGGCCGGGAACAAGGATAGGCAGACCCTTTTCCGTTCTCTGATAGTTGTTTTCCCCATTCTCCATGGATACAAACAAAATTCAGACACTTGTCCAAGTTTCGCTCTTGAGCAAGTCTTAAAAGCTAGAATAGCGGTCGTGGTTGGGGGCAAGAGGTGGAGCAAACAACTTGACCCTAACCAAGATGGATTTTCGGCAAGCTATATTAAAGGTATGGAAACCATCACGGGTCAACCACATATAAACTTAGTATACTCTTGAATCAGGTCTTTACGCGCAAGCATCGGCTCTCTCTACAAACAGAGGCAATGGCCTTGCTTCAGCAGATCCTCAAAGACCATGAAGTGGTCACAACGGAGGAAGCAGTGACATCTTTAGAGATGCTGGCACAGGAATATCTTCTCCAAGATGGTATTAATTCCTTTTCCATGGTTTCGACGCTTGATGATCAAGCGCAGACTGTACTACGATTGTCACAAAGCCATTACTTCAGCGCGCATATGAGAGTGTTGTGGAGAAGAGCACCGCAACCGTGGCTGGGTCCTCTCAAATAGCTGGAACGCTAGAACCGGACCATCATTTACACTTTATCAACGCGTTCGAGATGCCTCGATGGCATTACTCACAGGAGAGAAAGTCTTTTGAAAGGTTTGGAGTTTCTTGTAGTCTTCCGACCGCTCCACAGTTGATGCTAGGGCAGCTGCAAAGCCGAGTCTGGCAGGCTCAGCGGAATCAAAGGCAGTGTTTCTGAGAGACAGGCATAATATAATCAAGCAAATTGTTCTGAGAAACGAAAACTTCTCACCTCCTGCTTTTGCAGGCAAAGATCGGGCAAATTATCTCAAGGTGTGCGAGATCAACTCTGCGGTCCTGCTTTGCTAAACTTGTAGCTCACGTCTACCCGGAATCTTCTGGGGAGGGCTGGCGGAAGGTTTCTTCTATTTGGTATGCTGACCAGATCGCCAGAGGGAAGACTTTGCCTCGAGGACTTGGATGGAGTTGTTCCATTAGACATTTCCGCAACGGTACGTATACCTGAAGCATCGAATGAACTCGCTACACATTCCTCGTCCAGGGTCCTAGTGAAGGCTTCTTTACCGAGGGGTGCTTCGTCTTGGTAGAAGGGGATTATAGTGATGAAGAAACGCTGGTCGTTGTCGCTGTGGGTCATCCACCCACCGAGAGACGGCGTATCGCTCGGTTCGAGGTGTCTTTTTACCTCTAAGCTAAGAGACTGAAGAATGACAGAGGTATTTACGGACACGTCGATTTCCTTGGCAAAGGAAACACAACAGTCCTGGAAGACGTAAGTATTTCATAATCCCGAGTCATGCCTCTCATGGTTGTTAGGACAACTGGGCGAAACAAGCAGCTCGTCCAGAGAATGCCGATATCACACTGCTTGTACTCTCAGATGTTCACTTGGATGACGAGAGGACGCTCAAAGGTCTTCGCAAGCTTTTCGAGCAGGCGGTCGAGGCAGAAGTCATCCCGAAAATTTTCATTCTTTGCGGAGACTTCACCTCTGGAAACATAAAAAACGACATAGAGATGGACCGTTACAAAGGTTAGCGATATTGCCCCACATGAGCCGTTCTGATCCTCTCTCAAGATGGATTCACATCTCTTGGTGATCTGATTTTAGAGTTTCCGTCGATCAAACGCTATTCCCACTTCTTGTTTGTTCCAGGACCAAATGATCCTTGGTCATCTGAAGTACTCCCTCGACGGCCTATCCCCACGGCATTCACAAACAGACTTGAAGCCAAGCTTCCAAAGACCGCCGTGTTCGCGACCAATCCATGTAGGATCAAATTCATGGGACAAGAAATCGTCATATTTAGAGAAAATATGATGGGAAAAATGATGCGAAATCTCATTGGTGTCAAGCCCGATCAAGAGAGTGGGGATCTCAAGCGCTATGTACGTTCTACACCTCTCTTTAGTTGCCTTACCCATTCCTCTAGCTTGTACAAACCTTAATTGATCAAGCTCATCTCTGTCCGTTATCACTAACGGTCCAGGCAACCTATTGGGAGTTTGATCAAGCCCTTCGGCTGTACCCAATGCCAACAGCCGTACGTAACCTTGTTTTTGTTCGCTCCCGCTCGCCTGTTCATTTGCTCTCCAGGTCGTATTAGCAGACTCCTACGAGGCATATCAGCTAACGTACGAAGGCTGCCATGTCTTCAACCCCGGCAGCTTCCTTACCAATAACTATGGGTTTTCGACCTTTTACATGGCTACTTCGCGGTCTATCCCAGGAGGCTTAGAAGGGTTTAATATGTAGCGATCACCGTGCAGTCATCTAGACGTTGTACAAGTAGCGGCGAATATAGACAATGGATATACAGTAGGATGTCCATAAACGTTAATAGTGACCTTGAGGCGGGACAAGTGGCGTCGACGAGGACTCCTTTTGGACGGATACGAGTGTGGTCGAGGGGTCGTCCTTATGTTCGAGATGTTCTGCAAAGTAGCTACGCTCCAGCGTTTCTGGGACCTGTTGAGAAACAACCCCATTGGATTGATGTTGTTGAGGGGTCGGAATTAGTGGAGTGGTTGTTGTTCGGAGTGCACTGGTTGCAAGCGGTAGAGTTGTACTTGAAGAGAACGACATTGTCCCAGCGGTAGTAGCCGGTATGCGGTCCATTTCCGAAAATATGTAGGAGCTGCCGTCCCCCGGAGGAAGAGGTGGATCTCCAACCGCAGTGATACTCAGATCAAACGAGTGATCGTGCTCTTCCGTCGTCGGGCCCTTAGGGTCTCCGCTCAACAGCAAATCATCCAAATCGACGTCCTCGTCTGATGCTGGGAGTAATCCTTTGTGCACATGGTTGGCGGTGGACGGCGGCACCGTTGTTGGAGACATCCCAAAAACGTCCTCCAGATCTGCATCTTCGTCTTGATCACCGTTAACTTTTGTCATCTCATTCGTATCCTCTCCGATTACCTCGGCAAGAGCAGCGTCAATGTCCATGTCACCGACGCTATCCAACCTCTGCACGGTCGAGAGTGGAGGTTTTTCATCAAAGGGAACGGTAGAGGCTAGCATGGTGTCCACGTCTGTATCCATGGGTGATTCGTGCAGTACGACCTTTTCCTCAATGCCCTCCGTTTTGATGTTGGAAACTGGGTTTAGGTCCGGAGACGCAGTGCGGATATCACCAGAGTCTTTCACACTGGGCTGGCTCGACGAGCGATTATGTGTAAGTCGAATAGAGAGGATAGGCTTTCGTGGTGGCTCGCCATTTCCACTCACGGCAGAGCCTGGAAGTGGCGGAGGCAGCATCGAACTCGTCAGTCCAGAATTCGAGTGTGTTCGCTCCCCTAGTGTCGGTATTCGTGCGACAAGAGGGTTCCCCGATACAGGCGTTGATGTTGAGAGCATGCTCTGTTTCCTACCCGGAACACTAACGCTGAGCTTTGGAAGCAAGCGTTCCTTAGTAGGGTGACCGTTTGAGCCGTTGGGCTGGACAGGGTTTGTCAATTGCGACTCGCCGGGACCATGGGTCGCAGAAGGAGGAGGGGCTGTCGTCAATGACTTTACCTTCTCCAAGCCTTCCCGAGGTAATTTGACATTCCAGTCCCATGTGTAGCCGAGCGTAGCTTCTGCAACGCCGAAGGGGTTTCGCTCTTGCCTTCCTTTGGTGTGGTCATGGCCGATATTTGCCGTGGCATTGGAGCCGGACACCGCAGTATTCCAGTGTGCAGGAAGTGGGGGATTGGGGGGATGGTAAAGAAGGAGCTTTTCGTCTCTTTTTTGAGCTGGAGGAGGTCCTAATCTTTTGGTCCGAGTGAAGGTGGGTTTCTGATCACGATATCAGTAAATTTAACGAATCTCTATGCGGTTCGTACTCACAGAGAGCAATGCTCGTCCAACAACGGGAATTCTACTCGAAGACCCGGATACAGCATTGATAATGGTAGCGGGGACTCCAACGCTTCTACCTTGGCTAGGAGGAAGAGGAAGATCTCCCACTGGCTTGCCTTTGGCTGCTTTCGGATCTCGAGCTCCAGGCTGCTCTTCTAATGCGTGAACGTACGTCGGCAGGGGATTACTGGGACGTGGAGTGACGCTCAACGATGCCCCTAGACCGAATAACGTATCAGGCGTATTGAACCGTGCTGGAGTTGTTCCCAAAAACACCAAGGAGACTTTGTGCCGGGATGGATTGGTCGAAATGGAATGAAAGGAGCTTGCCGAGGGCGTAGGGGGAACACTATCTGTCGATGTTGAAGGTGAGAGCGCATGAAGGGCGGACAAGAGCTCTTCAGTCGTCGAGGAGCCACGCACAAAGGGTACGGATGAAGGGCCGCTGGTTCCTTTTTCTTCCACATCACTAATTACCGAGTGTGAGATTGATGGTAGATGCCATGTCCCCCGAGCTTGAAGCTTGCTCATTTCGTAGGGAGCCGGGACTATATAGTTGGCTGGAATGCTCTGAACGATGGCTCCATCTTCGGTAGATTCCTTTTCCGTTCGCTCCGCTTCCTTCTGCTTTTGCAATTCCTCTTCTCGCCGTAACTGTTCTTCCCGCTCCTGTTCTTTGAGGTCGTCTTCGGTATCTTGTTGGATAGTGACTGGAAATGGAGGAAGAAATGGTAAAAGATAGGAATCTTCATCCCGATCGTCAAGTTTGGTATTGGAGGCGGACGGGGCCGCAGGCGTCAACGGTTTGTCAAGTGCCATAGAATCTTCCCGCAGAGACGCAGAGTCTGACCCGGCGCTGGGCGTGCCTGGATGATCATAATCTTCCAAGTCTGGTGTTTCCAACCGGGTATAGCGCAACCTCTGTGGTGGGTGGTCTTCCAAGGTCGGCATGCCTGACCGCAAATTCTCTGTTGATTGTGAAGGGACATTAGCATCGTCGCCATAACCATACAATTAGATTATTGGAAGATTTTGTAAGCAGGCTCATCAAGTCCTCTCAACGAGCGAAAGCTAGGAAGCAGTAGCGGGAAAGGCGAAATTGGGAAAAGAAGGCGAGTTTTCAACAGGAAATCTTGCAACTTGCCTTTAAAGTCATTGAGCTCTGCCTCTTTCCTCGCGCTCACAACATTTGCGTAACGTTGCAAGCCAGTCGCGTCGGCTCCAGCTGGTCTGTCAACTCCAGCTGAGAGTTGAACTCCTCCATCAACCTCTAGATAATCTCTGAGATCCTCTAGAACCGTGCCCATCTCCTCCAGGCTTTGGAACACGTCGTACACTTGCAGACTGTCTCTGCCGGCATGATTCGCATATTCCTGGCATGACGCGACCAATGATTTGAGGTATTTATCGCATAGAGATGATAAAACCTGGAGAGAGATGGAGGATGCCTTGGTTATGCCTTGCGAGTGCAGTATCTTCAGAATCGACGGTCGCAAATGAGCGTGAAGGGCTTCTTCCATCTCCCTCTGCGTTCAGAAGCTTTCAAGACCGCGTTAAGTCGACTCTTGTGTCCTGTGCTGTAAGCCGCGATTCGCTAGTACGACGAGGTATGAGTCCAAGGTGTCAACTGTATTCAATCGCCACCTCCACGCTGAATTCGACGACGCTTGGAATTTTTCTAACTTTCAAGTCACATTTACGAGTAGTCTCAAGCTCGCATACTAGTTGTCAAAGCTAAACGGCTAGAGGGGGGACAAGGAGTTACCATAAATACGGGTAACGCTACATAAGTGAATCTAGATCTTCGCCTCCATTATCGTTTACTGAGATGGGAGCTGGTTGTCAAGCCTTCTAAGAATTTCCTCCGGGCCAAGAAGCGATAGGATCTCCTTCATGGGAGGTCCATGCTGTTTCAAGTCAATTCTCGAATGATACATACATGAATCACACACCTTGCTTCCTCCGAGGGCATGCCTCAATATCGCCATATAGTCCTTCTTGGAACAATGAATCTCTTGAGAGAGATATTTTCTTGACGTTTCCACGTCACTAGGGTCAGTGGTCTCGGCTACCCAACTCCTGAATCCCCGAACGACGCTCCCTACCCAGCAGTCAGAACGAATGCGTGTAGGCGACGTCGCTTACTATAAAGCTCTATATCGGTGGGCGGGGGTAAAGAAGTCGCCAATGAGCCGTCAAAAAAAATTCTTCCGGTCTCTGGAAGCTCGCCGATACGTTCCAGTCGATCCTGGAACAAGAAATCAGCTGGGGAGAGAGCAGGATTTCGAGTTATACCTTGAGGGTTTCAATGACCTTGAGGACATAATCCTGGGATAGTATAGTGCTGTGTCTGCTCAGATATGTCCTAGCAGATAAGTGCGCATCTCTGACCTGTCGGGGTATACCGCTCGAAGCTGAACAAGGGCTTTGGCCAGGAGGCTATTCCGTGAACTCTCGTCGTGAAGTTGCCTTTCGATATGTCTCTTGTTCAGTTGGCTCAGGAGGACCGGGTCCAGGACAGTTCGACGGTTTGTGTAATGATCCAAGGAGAACTGAAGGACACTTAGCACATGTGAGGACGCTTTTGCTATTTCACACCGAAGAAATGAGCTCATTCACTGAAGCAGGCCGCGTCGAAAGTTCGGGATTGTTCAAATTTCGTCCAGCGAAAGCGAGCCAGTTGAGGACGGCGTCTGGCTCCCAACCTTTCCTCTGGGCATATTCAGCATAGTAAGGGCTTGGAAACCGGCCACGTACAATAAAGTCTGAGACCCGAACATCGCCATGTCGTTTTGACATTTTAGACCCATCAGGATTTAAGAGTAGAGGCAAATGACCAAAGATTGGCGCCGTAAGTTTGAGCCTTGCATACAAGGAGCGATGTAGAGGCAAAGATGGTAGCCACTCCTGATACAAGTTGAGTACAAAAAATGTGTTCTTCATGCAGAAACCTACCTCTCCTCTCAGGACATGAGATACCCCCATTTCATGGTCGTCTACCACAGACGCGAGATGATAAGTCGGGAAAAGATCTCGTTTCACCAGTATTGGGTCTGTTGGAAGGGATCCTTGTGCATCGCGCACGTCACCAAAGAGCATATCCGAGAAAGGTGATAACGCAGGTGCGACAGTGTCCTATTAGCGAGTGAACAAGTATTCTTGGGGTGAATCCGGACTGACATCGAGACGAATCACGAATGGTTGCTGGGATTTGACGCGTCGGGTCACCTCTTCTTCTGTGAGCTTTCTGCAGCTGCGGTCGTATGTTGAAGTCGAGCCCGCAGCCTTGAGGTGTTCCCGTTTTATTTGCAACTCGTCGGCGGAACAAAAGCATCGATAGGCGTCCCCAGTCTAACGGCTCTATCAGCTCCAGTACCTTGATACGAACACTCATACCTCTAAAAGTCTGTGGGCATACGTGTGGTAGAGATCGAGGCGTTCTGACTAGAAAAGAGTGAGTCGTTGTTTCGTGTCACTGAAATAAGATGACCTGGAAATATGGCCCACGAGAGTTGTCGGCCCCAGGACCTATAGTGTGATCTAGTTTAGGGTCACGTTGAGCAACAGCGACAAACCAAAGTCGTATGCTAGGCCCGCCCAATCAAGGCCTCTTCGTATATCGTCTACAGAGCCAGGTGTACAGCGAGACTAAGGGATGTCAGTATGGCTCTCTTTATGATTGAGAAATTACCGCGTCGGTGTCTTCTATCCTCAGAATCCATTTTCCTCCATGACTTTGAGCAAATAGCTTGTTGAACAATGCAGTACGAAGACCTCCAAGATGTAGTGGGCCAGTTGGGGATGGAGCAAAGCGTAAGAGTGTATTCATGCTCTTTGAAGGCAATTCGTCGAGAGAGATTCCAAGTGGCGAGACGGTGCAAACAGTGTTGGACCTGACTTCACACACAGTCACGCCGACTGTGAACGCTGGCTCTACGGTGATATAAAAAGAGCTCTTGTTTTCTGCAAACTCGATCTAGACGTCGCTCTGCAAACTTCTCCGATTCATCTCGGAGCCCGACCATGGACGACGTCCGCCGTGTCGAGTACAACTGGGGGAGAGAACGTCTCCGAGAATTGCTCAAAATTGCCAGATTATGTAGCCATCATCTTATGGGTATTCCTAGTCATACTCACCACCCTTCAGATGATGTCCGTATCCTGAAGACGAGCATCAATGGAGATTGGAAGCTACAATTTCGATCACTAAACTTAAACGGTGTCACACCAGGCTCTCGAGCTCAGTACGACAAGGATGGCTGGGAAACCGACTGGACGCCTCTTTCACTTGTAAACCAGCGACACCCTGAGTTGTGGGCTGTACTCAGAACAAAGATTTGTTCGGAGTTTACTCTGTCGCATGCGCAAGTAGGGGATGTTATCGACTCTAGTGGAAACAATCTAGGTGTGTAGATTTAAGAGCTATATTGCCAATAAGAACCTTCGCTGATTCTCCAAGGTTCCCTACACGGCCCCGCAGTTGAGAACACTGACCCGTCAAATACAGAAAAGCGAAGGAGAACTCCTAGAGCAGCGCATGGTGTCTCGCGTCCTGCATCTCACGACCTTGACATCAAGCAGGATGACGACTTTGACCCTCGAGCTTTCCTGTACGACAATGTCATTGATATCACCAAAACAAATGACATTCCATCAGCACCAGACGAAGCTCACTTCCAAAATGAACAAACTCAAGAAGAGATGGAACCCGAGATCATCGATCTTACTCTACACGATATAATTGATCTCACCATCGAACCATCTGCGAACTTAGCTCAAGACACAAGAAAGCAAAGCCGTCGAAACCATCAGCTAGGAGAATGCGATTCGGATCGTGATTCGCTCTTTGAACAAGAAAGAGATCTGGATAGTGACGACGAAAGCCTAGGAAAGGGCAGCGAGGAGGATGTTTGTCCAGCACCCCAAGGCTTCGATGTCCCTGCCATTCCAGCTTTTTTGGTTACTCAAAAAAAGGGGAGAAAGCGGGCCCTAGACCTGGTAGAAGACGATGTGGATTCGATCCAGATACCCGTTCAACAGCAACCACACAAAAAGCTACGTCTCGCAAGGGGCGTCAAAGGTTCCAGTCTATTCACCGCAGTCCAGGGGAAGGTTGTGGTGAAGAAAAGAGATGGGCGATACACGAGATTCGACGCGGAGAAAAGTGCAGGGTCTGTTCTTGCAAAGAAGAAAGCGAATACCACAGGAGAAGAAGCAGTCCAACAAAATATTCCGCAGAGGCCCCTCACGGTGGATGATCTCGAAGATTATGAGGACGAGGACGATGCACCGCCGTCAACATTGTCAGTTATGATCACAATTTCCATTCTACAAGCTCATAATTGATAGAGACGCTCCCACTTCAAGTAAGGTTAAATCGATGTGGGACGATGTAAGTCAGCCATCGATGTAGGTCCTCCTTTGTCTCCTGGACTAGTTGCTGAAGGCTCTACCAGCTTTTCCAAGGCGCTCCCAGAGCTGCCAAAAATCGCCAACAGGGGCAGAATCCACGACCCTTTGGCACCTCCATTATTTCTCCTCCGCATATCTCCAGAATCGACTCTACGCCTGATGATGCGGGAGTGGTCTTGCTCGCTCCCGCAGTGGTGCTATATCTCTCGAAGTCGGCCAGAGGTAATAGCTACCAAAGAGGAGAACACGTCTCACGACGATTCGACGTACACTTGGGTAGAACATGACACTCATCTCCTCGTTGTCGCCCCTCAATTTCACCATCAAGCTTGGGAAGCCTCGTCCATCCGACAAGAAAACCTTATAACTTTGATCAACAAGACAAAGGATGATCAAAAAGTACACAAACTTAGACAGGAGCTAGAATTGGAACGCAATGCATCCTGGATTGATGGTGAACTGGAGAAGGCAGATATTGTTCCGCGGATCGCCGATATTGTAGACGCGGAACACCTCCTTTTCAGCTTTTCCCGCGGATCCGAGATATTGCACCTGGACAAGGGGCGATGTAGTATCGAAAAGCGCCTTTCAGGAGGCTGGGCTGAGTTAGTGCCTTATACATATAAAGTAGAGGTCCCAGGGCGTTTGGATGTCCTGGAGTATGAACAGGTTTCAGGAGTTCTTGCTAAACGGAGAAAGGTCTGTACGCCCTTCATCACAGAACACCAATCTCATATTTATAGTTTCTCCTACTGTGGTCCCCGCTAGTGGATGCTCTCTACAAGTATCCTCATACACTCGTCGTCTTCTCATCGAGGTCTCAAGACATGTTCGAGTTGCTCTCGATCCCGAACTCGTTCCCAAGGGGAAGAAGGAGCCTTGTCATAGTTCATATAGGGAGAAAGCTACCATTCTACGATACGCTACTGGAGCTGGATGTGACGCAGCTTCTCGAAGGCGAGGATCCGAAGCCAGAATGAAAGTTTATCTGCGCTATAAATATTATAACTTAGAGGCCAGATTATTTATTGAAGTACAGTCAACCCTCGAATGGTAGGCGCGCAAGCTCGCGGCGCCTGGTTTCGGACTTGGCCACCTCCATAATCCAGTTGTAAATCCAATCTCGTTATCGTGTGGTAATCTAGTCTTTTAAAATGGCCAAAAGGTCAATACATGGCCTTCATTGCCTCCTGCATAGTCCCTGACGTCCCCAATAGACATGCACGGTCTCGGTCACCATACAAGGCCTACAACGCGAATAATTATTCGCCAGGAAATGTTTATCAACCTTATACAACTCCATTCTACTATCAACCACCTCCTGCTGCTCCATTGCCAATCTACAGCCCGACGCTGCCTCCCCCGTTCCCGCCAATGCCATATAATGCACCATACATGCACCCGCTCACCCCGATTCCTGGTTCGCAGCCAGTATTTGGGAACAGAGCACCATTACCGGACGAGATGGTCGCTCTCCAAAACACATTACAGATGAAAGAGGCAACAGTGGCGTTTTTAGACGCGCAGATAGGTATGCCAGCCTCCATCGCCAGCGCAGGAATTGCACTAAACAGGTCATTCCCATAGAAGCGGCTCGTGAAAACCTAGAGCTGCTGGCAGTTCCCTATCTCGAGCTACGGGCACGTTTCGAGAGTGCACAAGCGGCGTATTTTGCCGCAAAGGAGAACCATGAAGATCTAATTCAACAGCGCAACACACTAGATCGATCCATGGATCATCTTAGCTCTTTGCTCAATCCGCTGCGTCGGTTCTCGGATGATGTTCTTGCGCACATCTTTATGTGTGCGGTTGACGCAGAGATTGAGCGGGATTATGAGCGACTCGAGCCGCCGCGAAGTCGAAGACAACAAGTCATTGTCAACATCGTTCGCGTATGCTCGAAATGGCGCAGAGTCGCTCGAGACAAACCGGAGTTGTGGACGTATGTCCGCCTCAACCTATCAAGGCGGCTACGAGTCCATGAGAAGCTCCAACACTTTCTGGATCTCGCCCGCGGTCTCCCAATGAACATCTACACCTCTCATCTTCAACCCAACTTCTTTGGGGCTTCTTCCGATTCTGAGGACGACGAGAATGGCTCCAGCTCGAGCACACTATTGGCACCAGTCAAGCAGATGCGCTCCTTTACAGTGAATTTTACACATTACCGCGCTCTTCATTGCCTACCAATGCTGGGCACGCAAAATCTAGACACTCTCGAAGAACTCCACCTTCGAAGTGAACCCATGAGCTCGCCAGCATCAGGACTATTCAGCATTACGTCGTACCTTTCCGAAGCTCCAAAGCTCCGGGTACTACGGTTAATTCATGTTCACCTACTGCCTCCAGCAGCTCACGAGGTTACACCACACATCATCCTACCCCGGTTAGAGGAGCTCGTTTTACATGGGCCAGTGACACACGGCACTGACATTTTCGGGTTCTCTCAACTAATTACCATGATTCCCAACGTCCAGAAGATCAATTACATCCAAAACGATACTATTCAGTTTACACATCAGGACGACGTGCAGCTGCTCAAGTTGAGGGAACTTGTCACGAATTGCTGTGCTCTCGAAAACTCGTTGCGTTCAAGTTTCGGAGCCGACAAGGTACAAGCACCCAAGCTGGAGAAACTCACGGTGAATGATGCTGTCAACTTGATGACGGGGCTGGCACATTTCCTCCAGTCCGTTCAAAGCATCCGTATCCTCTCCATCATGGGAAACTTTGATCCCCTTTCAGATGCATCTGTACCAGCAGGAGGAGGATTTGCACCCACGCTCTTTCAGCCACCTGGAGGAGGTCTGCTTCCGCAGGTTCTCCAGCCAGTCCTACCTATCCCTCCACCACCCGTCTTCGTTCAGCCTCCTGGATTCGTTCCTGCCCCCAATCCTGTAACGGGTCCGACAGAACCCCGGGCACTATTAAAGGCGATGAAGGATATAGAGGAGCTAGAGATCATCTCGATTCATCCCAGGTTTGCCGAAGCCTTGTGCGATATCGCTACCGTGGATCCATCAGACGAGGAGACGCCAGAGCCTAAAACTGACGGAGATGAAAAGGAGTCACGGGATAAAGAGATGGAGACTGCAACTGAGCGGCCTCTTTCCGATCCTCCGACATCTTCGAAACAGAGGGTACAAACTTGGCGGTATCTCGCTCGCCTACGCAAACTCGAATTCACCGTGAACAAGTCGTTCCCAATGAGCGTGCAAGAATTCGAATCCATTTTTGAGGCGAGATGTTGGACCGACAAGCCACCGGCTAACAATGCAGACGTCGGGTCGGAGATGCGGCCGTTGGACAAGCTCGAGGTGCACCTGGGAGCGGGACTGAATGATGCGTTGACAGAGGCTGTTAGTCGGAGAATGAAACTGGATGGTGAGGACCGCGGCAGTCGCTGGTTCAGTTGGACACGAGAGATCTAGAAAGATCCCATCACTTATGTGAATTCCCAACCTATGTGCGCATTTATGCCTGTGTAAAGTGAATCTGGTGTATTTACAATAATTCTGCGCATGGGTGATACTACAAAAATTCAGTATCTATCGTAGTCACGCCTACTATTGCGCCTCGGTGGTGTTCCGTCTCTTCTCCTTGAATGATGCGAATCTTTGTCGCGTGAACTACCGTTTTCATACTTGTCTCTGTTGGGTGAATTGTCCCTGCGTCTATTGCTCCTGGGTGAACGAGAATGAGAACGACGGCGTCCAGAGTCTCTTGTCCTGTCCGAACGGTGTCCTTCACTGTCATGGTTGCGACGCAGAGGAGAGCGAGACCTGTCGGTTCGACGCGGAGGTGTTCGATATGGCTCTGGCCGAGAGTCACGTCGAGAGCGCCCGTCATGATCACGATCACGGTGTTCCCGGTCTCGTTCTCTGTCTTCGACTTCTTTGTCGTTGTCGTCATTCGCTGAACCTAGGCGCCATCTACTTCCTGGGGTCCGCTTCGCCCACTAAGATTTGTGGTGAGATCGAGAACAGAGGTGGATCGAGTGAGAAAGATACTTGCCTCTACGATGAGTGCTTTTCCTTGCAAATGTTCGCCACTCCTAGAAGCGTTTTGAGTGCTCGTTCATTTGCCTGTGGCAAGAACCCACAAGCGGCCGAGGGCTTGCACAGCGTCATCCTCGTGAACATATTCGACAAATGCATATCTTTTGAAGAGCTGTATGAGCCAATGTTGACCTGTGATGAGGTGGGGATCGGTCACCTTTTGTTTCTGCTCGCGGGCTGTGCAGGCACATCGCAGCGAATAATCTCGCCATACCTGTGATGAGAGCATCAGCATTTACTCGGGTTCAGAGTTGTTGCCGGTGTGTCAGGCGCCTGGCATGTCACCAACTTTTCAAACTCGTACGCAAGTTCTCTTGCACGCATTCCATTAGGAAAGCCAGTAACAAAAAGAGTTGGTCGTCTTGTGTGATTAGACATTGAGACAAGGATGAGGTAGAATATAGAGTATATGGTCGGTGATGGTTGGAAGCAAGCCGACGAACAATGCCCGCACATGTCATTGTCCGCGGGTGGAATAATTACAACAAAGTGGCAAATGTCCGGATGAATCTGCATTCTTGATAGGTAGTATACATGCTCAGAGGCACTTTCTCTATGCAAATACCATGGACAGGCTACCTTGCCTATGTCGAAGCAGCTGGAATGACTGCCTCTTCATCCCGGCCCTGATAATGTAAACGTGATGAACAACACATTTGGTTATGCTACTCACTTCGAGAAACTTTTGCATAAACGTGCGTGGTTGCTGCAATTGTGGCTTGAGGAGAATACCCATGATATGTGGTTCCTATAAACACCATGAATATCTAAACCCGTCGAGTCGAAAACGGCATACCTGCATCCAGCAGTTCATAGTCTCCTGATACGACTGCCGTCCCTTGAGAATAAGTCTCTCTATTGCTCCAGCATCTTCTATGTGCAAGTTTGCCTCGAATTGACGCCGTATGGCTGCCCGGACAACATTTGGCGAGACGTTGAGAGCATACAGGGCACAGATTTCGGGGGCCTGAGGCGACAAGAGCGATGATTAGCGTCTGAAAACGGCTTAAAAAGACACCGTTTGTGCTCACCGACCGGTACCAGTCTCGGTAGAGTTCTCTGACACGAAACGCCTGGTGCTGGCGGCTTGCGGACATAATGGCAGGCCGTGCGAGGCGTGATGGAATTGTAGTCATAATTATGCTGAAAATCCGGACAGGTCGACTGTCGAGGCGAGGACCAAAGTTGGACACCACTCTTGGACCGCGCCCGATGAATCAGGGTCAAATCCGGTATGGGAACGCGTACAATCCCTATCCATACGGAAACCCATCGAACAATGCATCGACAGCGTCCGTGTCGTCGCTCGCCAGCACATCGTCCAAGATTCTCGGTCTGTTTAAGAAGGACAAGCCACCGCCCGTGCCAGAAAAGGACTATCCTTACTCGACGGGCAGAAATGCCTTGCCCAGCTCGAGCTCTCTCAGCCTCAGCATGACCTTGTCCGACGCAGGCACGACGGCCTCTGGTCACTCGGGCAGCACGAGTGGAACGGGCAAGCGCACGGGCACCATCTTCAAGATTGGAAAACGGAGCAAGAAGAATAAGGAAAAGGATCCATATTATGGACACGGCCAGGCCGAGAGCATATCCAGTCCACAGAACGTAAAGGTAGGCGTGTTTCAACTTCTCGACCGTCCATCGATCCTCACTATTGCTTGCCTATAGCACGAGCTCCACGTCGACGGTGGTCTTACTGGATTTCCTCCAGAATGGGAGGCAAGTCTCTTGCAGTTGGGCTACACCCGCGAGGAACTCGACCGAATGGTCATGGACAGGCAGCGCAGGAACCTCTCTGCAGCACACCCAAATCTCATCCCATTGGGAGGCAATCTGACCCAACCTTCTCACGCTGGGCCGAGCACATCTGCGCTTGCGGCTGCCTCTCCTATCCGGTATCCATCACCTCCTCAGCAATACGCGTTGCCAGTCAACCCACAGCTCTATCAACAAACTCATTCAATTGCCGCTGTACAACATCCAGCACCTGCTCTACAGACTCTTAAGCTCACCACGGACATTTTGCCAGGACAAGGATCTGCATCCAATAGTCCTGCCCAATTCGCACCATCATTGCGCTCAATTCCAGACCGAGTGGCATCTCCAGCCAGTTCAACACGGTCGCATCACCAATCGCCGGCCGGAAGTGATCCTCGCTCTTCTCCCGTCCCCTCATTGAGCCGCGAGCGGGACCAATACTTCCCACCTTCGAATCTGTCAAAAGAGATACCAATTTCTACCTCTTCATCTCCCAAAGTCACCGAGTCCCCCGTAGTTACTCCTCCCATCAAACAAGCACCGACCCGACCTGCACCACCCCCTCCATTGTTCTCCGACCGGGCAAACACGTATAAACCGCCCAGGGCTATCGCTATCCAGGGAGACGACGAGACGACGATGACACTCCTCTGCAGCAACAAATAGCAAGGATGCCGCTGCCTCCGGCTCCAAGCAAGGTCCCATCGGAGCAAAACATCTCTGTCGCCCCCCGAGAAGCTCCGCGACCGATCAGCGGAGAGAATAATGTGACACCGACCAAGGCGACTGCCGCCGACACGGTAAACCTGACACCTTCGGCATCAGACTCTGTACCTTCGCCAAATACAGCGACGCCACTGTCACTAGATAAGGCTCCACGGATATCACTCAATACTGTTCCTCGCATATCCCTTTCGCTTGGTCTCGGGGACTTGAGCAAAGGGCTTGACGTTGGGACGGACGCTGGAAAACGTGAATCTGTTGCATGGTCGGATGCGATCTTCTCCGCCCTACCGAGCGCGACAGCCTTTGATGGTTTCAGGAGCTCCATTAGTCCAAAGACTCTATCGGGTAAAAATACTCCCATCTCCGCGCGGTCGCCTGCTGGCGATATAGCTGCAGGCGACAAACATTCTCCGAACTCCGTATCTGCAAACGTTAGTCCAGTGCCTACTGCGACGTCGAGTTTGTTATCCACCCCTTCCCCTCTTGACACCCGACCTTCACCAGGCCCGCCAAAGCTCGAGCTGACCAGTGGATTTTCGCCGCTTTCTGCACCATTCTCCTCTACTTCCTCTATCACCCAACGCTTATCACCTAGCGGCGTTAGTGCCTTACCGAGTCCACAACCAAGCATATTCGCCACGACGTCTGCCCGAGATACTCTCGACTTTGGCGAAGAGGCCTATGCCATTGCAAGACTCGAGGATCACAGTCTCTTGGGCCGCGAAGGAGACCTTGGAACACCCTCCAGTCAACATGACCGCGGTTCGGTTGTGAGCAGATCGTCAACTGTGAGTGGTGGCTCTTTTGCGAGCTCAGAGGCTCTCAGTGATAATCGAAACCGTATGATTCGAGACTCTGTCTCAAGCTACGGTGCTCTTGATGAGGAGGATGCCGAGCCAGTAATTGTAACCCGAGCGACCGCCATCAAACTTGCACGAGCCCCTTCAAAGTCCCTTCAGCGAACATTAGATACTATGGGGTATCGTCAAAATCCTTCGAGCTCAGGTAGCCCACCACCTGCCCAAGGATCATCTCGCGGTGTTGTGGGTCAAGCGAGTGCGCAAATGGTCACGATGCACGGACGAGGTGCTAGCGCTTCCAGTCTTCTCAACATTCAAACTCCCAACTCGTTTGGATCTCACAGCCCGGCCTCCTCTACTGTTACCTCGTCCACAGACACCGGTGTTCCTTATGGCTTCAGTATGTACCAGTACAATGAAGAGGATGAGCATGAAGATGAGAGTGATGAGGAAGAAGGAGGTGATAGCAGTGAAGAGGATGAGGATCCAGGCTCGAGGAATACGATTCGTTTGGACGACGTCAAGGCCAATCGACTCATGGCCGCAGTGATGCAAGCAGGCGGTGTCGTAGACACGGAGGATGCTCAAGTCTTCCAAAACTCAACGCGCGTGAGCCCTACTGCATCACGGCCAGCGGCAGCTGTGTCGGCACCGGCTCAAGACGTTCAGAACGCGGATGGCAAGTCGAGGCCCCTCAGTACTGCGACCATCCAGACAATCAGAGCAGAATCCCCGCAGCACCAACAACCCCGGCAATTGGGTGAGCTACGCCACCAAGCTCGCCCCCCAACTGAATATGAGGACACACTGGCGGACGATGAGGACACTTCTGCTCTGGATGACTGGCTCGAAGCCAATGAAGAGATTGACGACGAGCAAACTCGAGACGACTCTGACGTGGAAGACGATGCTTCGCCTGTCCCTACAACCTCTCGAGATCCAGAGAGCTCCGACTACGACGATGCAGATCACCCGCTACAGACTCCGTCGACCAGCTACTCAAAGGGAAGCGACGCAGCCTCCCAGAGTACACAATCCTCTCGCTTTACTGAACAACAGTCACTCAATTCCACTCATTCTCCGGTCCAATCACCTCTCACCAACCAGAACATCGTTGACTTGCCGTCAAAGACGGCCTTTTTGGAAGCAACATCTCCCGGACAGAAGAGCGTTTCTTCAGCCCCTTCAACCGGACACTCCGGGTTTCCACAGTCTCCATCCAACGTTTCCTCCCCGCCCCAATCCTCCTCACGAGCGTCGTTTCGACAATCGAGACGGTTTAGCAAGTATAGTGGACTCTCATCCTACTCACCTTTACCAGGGAGCGCCTCCAAATCCGAGTTCAGCTCTCCTACGTCTCAGTATCGTCAAAATCGTTCCTCGATTATCTACGCCCCTTCACTACCGTCCGTTCACCGCGAAACATCCCTTTCCACTGGCTCTAATTATCGAGAGCTATCACCGCTTTCACAACCTTCCGCTTCACCGGACCCGCCCTACTCTGCAATGTCCCTAGTGGATGAAGCAACGAGTAAATTGCTCGAGCCCGTCGCCGAATTTGTACTTCCTGGAGATCCACGACATATTTTTGGTGAGATGCACCTGGTGGCAGAGGGTGAATCTGGTGGAATCTTTGCTGCAAAAGTGCTGGGTGACGCGGGTACACCGGTCACGTCCACATCTAACTGGTCGAGAACGACATCTTCGTCGATATCATCCCTCATTGGCAGCGTAGTGGCCATCAAGCGGATGCGTGTCTGTGACGAAACTGGGCCTCGGATAAAAACGCTTCAGCACGAGCTATCGGTGCTTTCTGCCTGTGGTCAACATGCCAACATATTAACATATGGAGGAATGTGGCTTGGAAATGATCCATATGTCGAGCTCTGGCTCCAGATGGAACTCATGGAGCGTAGCTTGGCGGATTTGATTGCTCTGTTCCAAGAAGGACTGTCCATTGAAGAACGACATGTCGCTCGGTTTGCCTACGATGCAGCTTGTGGACTCGCGTTCCTCGAAGAGGCATGGATTGCTCACAGAGATATTCGGAGTGACAACCTTCTCGTTTGTGCGGACGATGGGAGTGTCAAAATTGGTTAACTTGTTTTTCTGTGTACTGTCGACCCTGCTGATTTGTTGACAGCCGATTTTGCGAGCGCTGTTCAACTCTCCGTGGGTGACACTATTCGAAGTGACCCTGCAGGCATCATCTACTGGCAAGCACCAGAGATGCGAAAGTGAGTTTATGGTGCTCTGATAAATAAAGTATCTCACAGACTCTACAGGGGTGTGTACGATGCATCCAAAGTGGATGTGTGGTCGCTCGGTGCGACGGTGTGGGAGCTGGTCGAGGGGGAGACACCGTTTGAGCGAGAAGAGATGAGCCCGACAGAGCGCTTGCCGGAGCTCTCGAATGTTCAAAACGTCTCCCAAGGTCTACTCGGTTTCCTGGCGCTCTGTGAGCGTCCTGCAAAGAGGCGGGTAGCAGCCAAGGCGCTGCTCGAGGTAAGTACTTGAATCCGTCAGGATGCTTGCTTCTAAACTTTGCCCGGGAGACTCCATTTGTGCTCGCGCGGTGCTCGCAAGAGGAAATGATGCAGCTATTGGGCCGTGCTCGCGCTCTAGAGCAGGCCGGTGACCTGGAATAGTACATATACAAGACAACTTAATCACTGTATTTCGCTGGTTTTTATTGGATCAGATCAGATTGATGGTGGGACCGGAGACCGGGAACAAGTTTGTTCCGTAATTGTAGGTGGTCGTGCGAGAGATGTGACCCTGCTTCGCTTATCTCTTTATCGTTGCTTTGCCTTGTAAATCTCGCTCTTGTTCTCCCTCTCTTCCGTTCTCGATTGCTTTTCAGCTGAGAGACGACTGAGCACCGACCAACGCAATGGCCGACGACTCCAAGACTGGTTCCAAGATTATCGAACCCGTCCTTGATAATGCAAGTGTAATAGACGACGACGATGCTGCTCTTCGTGCGTTGGGCTATGTTCCTAGCTTTAAGCGCGAGTTTTCCAACCTGTCTACGGTCCGTACCCGCAATACAGGACGCTAATGAGGTTTTCCTGACCGCACTAAAGATCTCCTTTGCGTTCAGTATCATGGTACGATTGTTCCCTCAGCTCAGGAGAGCCACCTTGAAATGCCCCCTCTAGGGTCTGTGCTCATCGATAGCGAGTACTCTGGACGTGCCTTACACACTCAGTGGTCCTTCAGCTGTGATATATTGCTGGTATGTGTCTCCTGACTGCCTCTTTGTCGAGCCGCCTACGTCGAAACAGGATTCTGGGTGCGACCATGTGCTTCACCCTCGGGTGCAGTATCGCCGAGATTATCAGCGCTTATCCGACATCTGGCGGGCTTTACATGGCTAGCGCATCCCTGTGTTAGTGCCAAGGGCTGATCTCCAGCGCATGCTCATTGAAGGCCAGGTCCCAAACGTTTTCGTGCACCTGTCGGGTGGGTGGTCGCCTGGTTAAATCTTCTTGGGTAAGATAACCTTTTAGGCGTGAACGAAAGCATACTCACAATGCATAGACAAGGTTGGTTCGACTGCTCGCTTTGACGCCTCTTAATCGTATAATCCAGTGGCCGGTGTCAGTTCTACGGAGTATGGTTTGAGTAACATGATTTGGGCCGCTGTTTCGGCCACCCGGGTACGCTAGCCACTTTCTGAATCTTCCACGACTCATGATTACGTAGGACGAAGGCTATACACCCAGCCAGGGACAAGTGGTCGGCCTTATGATAGGGCTTCTTCTGGTGCATGGCTTGCTCAACTCTCTCCCTACTCGTCATCTCGCCTTCATGACCCGATATTTTGTATTTGTCAATTTGGGCACGACCTTCTTGATCATTATCGTGCTCCTGGCGACGACGCCTCGTAGTCAAATGAACCCCCCCAGTGTATTGTTCGGATCAGCAGGTATCTCAAACGGGACGAGTGGTAATGGCGTCGTGTCATGGCCTACTGGGATCGCGTTTCTGTGCGTACTCTCAGGTGAACCTCTCTTCTATCTGACATGACTGTAGGTTCGGCTTGCTGAGGTCAGCTCTTTTCCATTCAGTTGGTTTTCTGCTGACGGTTCTCGTTGGATATCAGCGTTCAATGGACTGTAAGTTGTTGCAAACGCGTAGTTTTTCTTTCTCATTTCTTTATATAGATGACCGGTACGTCAATGCTCGTGCAATTGAATCCTTCGACTCAAAATTTGTATAGATTATGACGCCACGGCTCATATTTCAGAGGAAATCAAAAGGGCTGCGTACGCTGCACCAGCTGCAATTGTCATTGGTATCGTCATCCAAAAAGGGATGAGGACGATTCCTCACCGTTTATTTAGCTGTCGTTGGAACTGGCCTGATCGGATGGCTGTTCAATATCATAATCATGCTTTGCAGCGGACCAGTCTCAGACGAACTCTTGCTGGGTGGTGTCGTTATAAAGGTCATGGTAATGAGGATGGGTCGGGCAGGCGCAATGGTGCTGTGGGCTGGAGTCTGTGCCACGGCCTTCTTCGTCGTTCAGTGAGTTACAGAACAAGCACTTGTAGTTATAGGCTGATTGATCTAGGACTGCCCAGCAGGCTACAAGCAGAACAATCTTCGCTATATCGCGGGATCATGGTCTCCCGGACCGCGGGTTCTTTGGACACATGACAGAGGCAACGAAAACCCCCCTACGTGCCGTAGCTTTGGCCACATTCCTAGGTCTTTCCCTTTATTTCACTCATACGAAATCTTATATGTTGTTTAGCCATTATTCCTGGTTTCCTTGCTCTCGCAAGTACTACTGCCGCTGGAGCCATTTTCGCAATGTGTGCCGTCTGTGAGTCGGCTTCTTCGTCCTCTTCGACGTCTCCTGAACGATTTAAAGCGCTCGATCTATCGTATATTATTCCTATTGCGTGCCGTCGTATCTTCGCCAAGCATCCAGAAGTCATGTTTAAGCCAGGACCGTTTTATATGGGCGATGGATGGCTTGGAGTGTGCGTATGCCACCAAAGATATGGAAATTATTGACATCTTTCAGCGCCGCCAACGTGATTTGTATCTCATGGACATGTTTTATCTGTGTGATCCTCTCACTGCCAAATGTCCTCCCAACCTCGGCGAAGACATTCAACTACGTGCGTATATCATAAAAGAGTGCCCTTTGACTAATTTTGTTACAGGCTGCTCCAATCACGGGACTTGTGCTTCTGCTCTCAACCCTGTGGTATCTGGTCAGTGCCCACAAGCACTATAAAGGGCCGCGTACTCGGGCAGAGATCGAAGCTGTGCAAGAGCATGAAGCCGACAGGAAGGTCAAGGAAGACCTGGAAACTCCGCCGGTGGCGGCATAGGATCCCCTGATGTGGGAGAATATCGGAAATGACCAGAACAGCGCGACAATCAAAGGATGTATATAACAGCGCTATAATGTTCTTTAGTATAATTGGTCCTTTCCTTGAGTTCCCTCCCGATTTCAAGGGTGCGGGCGTAAGCGCAGGCTGACGCCGACCATAATGGAGCAAATTTACTTGTAGGTTGGAGAGCGCAAGCCCGAAACTGCCTGCTTTGTGTTCTCATCTCTATCTAGTCCCACATTGGATGCTACCCCGTTCTACCCAGCGTCTCCGGTTTCAATCACAGACGAACTTGCGCCAGCTGCAGTTCTCTATGATGCAGGAAACAAACGGATACCAAACAACCGGCCACCGCAGGGGAATGAACTGGATGTCATACAACATATCCTCACTGGGAGAAAGGCTCTCGCCTCGCAGCTGGAGACTATGATAGAAGACGCCGAGGTTGCGGCCAAGAAGCTAGAAGTACCGTATCAGGACATCAAGGCGCTCTACGAATCGGCAGAGTGTGCCTACTCGGCCGCTCAACAATATCGTGCGTTCACATGCGCCTCAGTCCTATTTTGCGTGCTGATTAGTATTCAGTCGACGCACTGGTCGCTGCGAGAGGAACAATGCAGCCAGGTATCAAGAGATTACGGGCAAAAATGGACCCCATCTGGAGATACCCTACAGACATCCTCACTTTGGTCTTCATAGCTGTCGCTCGTGAAGAAAGACAGCGGGAAAGCGTCCTCGAGTATGAAAATGTCCCTCTAATGCCAAAATATAGACGTAGGCATCCCGCGTTGGATCTGGCACACGTATGTAGAGCGTGGAGAGCTCTTGCACTCTCAATCCCCGAGCTATGGAGCACCGTCCGAGTTTCATTGGCTCGGAGATCGAAGATTAGTGCAAAGATGGAGTTTTTTGCGACACATGCCAAAGCAGTACCCATGAAAGTTATCATCACCAATCTTCAACCGTCCTACTTTACTCACCGTTTGTCACCAGACAACGATGAGGAAGATAACCAGCCACCTATGCTCGACAGTATCAACAATCTATCATCACTAGAAGTGCACTTCTCGCACTTTAGAGCCCTATCATATCTTCCAAGGTTGGGGGTTCACAGATTGGAGGACTTGCAGGAACTTGCCCTCCATAATGATCCGACGATGCTCTCAACACCTCACGAATTCAGCTTGTCCGGGTATCTCTCTTTAACGCCAAACTTGCGCAAGTTGACGATATGCCGAGTTCCTCTTGTGCTCTCGATGCACGATGGAACCACTATACTCTCAAATCTCGTACAGCTAATTGTTCACAGTCCCCTGAATACACACGTTGCAAACGGTGTGTGCCAGTGACTGTCATTGGCTTCGACGCTCATCTTTTCTAGTAACGCTTTCGCAGTATTTATTCATGTGTCCAAATGTGATCAAGCTCACATACTTTGAGAACTCAGAAGCCGCGATTGAACTCGGAGAAGTGTCCGAGCTGCACAATCTCGCCAATCTCAACGTAAACCTGCTAGCCCTCATCACCCTGACCGGTCGATTATTCTGTCCGAGTTTGCGGAAGCTCCATGTAGTTTCCGACGCCCAAGATACGTCCTCACCACTCAGTGCTTTCTTGAGTGCACACCAATCCATCCAAACGCTTAACATTACGGGTGACTTTGACCCGATCACGGGCTCGGTGGACTCGACAATCTTCCACCAGGCGCCCCCATTGCAAACGCTGCTCATCAGCAGAACGCACGTAGGATTTATCCGCCTGCTGGGTGCCACGGATTCCCATGGCAGCGTATTGGTGTTGCCGTTCCTAACCCGACTCAAGATGAACCTCGCGAGGCACACTACTGCAACGATGACGAGCGCGGATTTTGAAAGACTGTTCAATACCAGATGCATTCCTGCCCCTGACCAGGAGGGGATTACAAGCTCGGGAGCAAAGCAACTCTCCAAACTGTCATTGTCTACCCACGACGGGCTACTGGAGGCGACGCGTACATCCATTGAGCGTTGGATGAAGTGCACTCGCACTGGTTCTCGATACTTATCCTATCGCTGGACGGGAATGTAATATGGTACCACTGCAATTCCACTGAAAACTTTTTACATTGTGCGAGTATTAAGAACTAGTGAGATGTCAAGCAAAAGCCTCGGATACGGAGAAATGGTTATGGATGATACACAGAAATGCAACGCCCTTTGTAGAAGCCGCAGGTGTAGGATGACCATGACATAAATGACCAATAAGTGAAGCGGACGGCTGGCAGACACTAGATGATGGTGGTGCGTAGTGCGAGGTGGTGAAACTCCGCAAAGGAAGAATCGACCGATGTCACTACGAAGGTACCATCACATTCGTGCGCCGGCTCATGCGTAGAGGGAGATAGTTCTCCTTTTCTTCCGCATGGACGTCTCGAAGCACATTGAGATCAAAGTTTGAAGATAGCTTGAGAGTAGTTCTGATGGGCGCATTGGGCTCCCCATCCGTGGTCGAGGATACCGTGGAAGGAGGTGGTCGAGCCAGCATGGCCGCAGTCGGACTTCCTACCGATTGACGGGGCCGGATGATTGTCGGTGGCCCCGTCTTGTCGTCCTTGTGGCCTGCTTTCGAGCCCATAGTTAAGGAGGGTGGTAGGAGCATGCTTGCACGGGGTGTTGCCCCAAGTAACGTCGAAGGTGTCTCACCCAATGGGCGAGTAAGCGAAGGACGTGGAGTAATACCAAATATAGACGTCTCCCGACCACCGTTTCGAGTTGGCGCAGGAGTCGCGCCGCCTGTTCCCTTGACCCCGAGTTTTCGCTTGATCTATTACCAGGTTTAGAGATTTTATCGATGATGCATCTGAGCGACTTACCAACTCCAATTCCTGTTGCTTAGAATCGAGAGCAATGTTAAGGTTGGCATTGTCGTCCCGGATACGGTCGTTGTCGCGTCGGAGTTCGACCAGCCTCATTTCCTTTGCGGCACTCTCCTGCTCCAGCTCGTGAACCCGACGGCGCATACGCTCATTCTCTTCCAAACGTCCGTTAGCACGCTCTTCGAGAGCGCCAAGGTAGACATCGCGATCAGCCGTCTCATTCATGATTTGCGTCGAGCGTTCCATCTGATTCCGGAGTTCGGTTTCAAGGTCATGGATACGTCGCGCACGTTCTGCAAGCTGGCGAGCATGCTCTTTGTCTGCAGAAGTCACTCGTCCGCGAAGCGAGTCCATTTCGGTAAAGTGTTGCTGACGAGCTTTCTCTATATCTTCAATCTCGCGATCACGTTCCTTGAGGAGATGCTGCAAACGTTCGACGTTTTCCGTGGTAAAGGCTTGCTCTTGCTTAATCTGTTCCAATTGGCGCTGAAGATCCGAGTTGGATTGCACGAGGTCCTCGATCTGTTGCTGCGATACACGAAGTTCTTCTAGTACCTGAGGACTCGTCAGTCTTGTCCAACTTGGTCAGAGATAACCATACCTGATCTTTGTCCTCTTCAAGCATCTGCTGAACTGCACGAGATTCATTGATTTGCTCGATGAGTTCCTGTTTAGTGTATTCGATGGTTTCCAAAAAGTCATGGCCAACACTTTTCTCCTGCAGTTTCTCCACTGTCGCCCGTAGTTCCGAATTTTCTTTCTCTAGCTGCTTGATCTTGTCCGTGGCCTTTTCCGTGCGTGTCCATTGAGACTCTAGCTCCTCTTGAAGCATCCTAATTTGATCCCTTTGCGCTCCACTCGTTCCGTCGACGGATGTATCGCCTTTGGTTTCGAGCTCGTGAATCTCCTCCTTCATCCTCGCGACATCAGCCGCATGTGCATCCTTTTGCTCTTTGTTTACGCGTTGTAATCGAGCAACCTCTTCCTGCAGCTGACGAATCTCGGCACGCTGAAGGTCGTCGACATGCTCCAAGGCTGTCACCTTTTCCTGCAGCTCGGCGTGCTCTTCATTTGCTTCGGGAGACCGCGCACTATTATTACTCCGCACAAACTCGAGCTCTTCTCGGGTAGCGATTAGCTCGTTGCGGCCCGCATGTAGATCGTCTTCGAGCTGACGGTTGGCTTCTTCGAGTACGTGTATGCGAGAGCGTAACGTCTTGAGTACGCGACTACCTGCCTCGTCGGTGATACTGCCTTGCTCAGAGAAGTGACTTCGCTCCAGCTCGGCGAGCTCGAGTCGAGAGCACATTTGCGAAAGGCTATCCAGTTGCTTCTTCAGGCGCTGGATCGTTGCATGCTGCTCTGCCTCATCAGCATGCCACGACTCTAGTTCCGTTTCCGCAATCTCGACGCGCATGGAGAGGATCTCGACCATCTCATCACGATTATCGATATCGACTTGGTACTTTGCGTTCAACTCCTGGTATACCGAGATCTGTTCTCGGAGAGACGTAATGAGTTCCTGTTGTGCCTCGAATGTGCTCGAGGGAGTAGAGCGAGACGCAAAGAAGTCAGGGATAAGTGACCTTGGCGTCCAGTATGATGTCGAATCGTGTCGTGTAACTGGAGAAGATTCCAGAGGGGACGAAACCTCTGCTACTACAGGGGATGGCGGAGACGATGAGCGAATGGGGGCGACCACGGACAGCTGTGAGTAGTCTGGCTGGATAGCATTGGTTTTGCTCGGTGGTGATAAAGCTGCGGATAGCTGCTCCAAAAGCGAGTGTGCAGAGGCCTTTCGGGCTGAAACGACCTCCTCATCATAGGGGAGCTCGTCCGGGACCTCAATTGCGTCGTCTGAGAGCATTCCGGACGCGTTTTCCGGTAAAGGGATAGCAGGCATGTCGAGCGACACGTCGAAGATGTTAACGCGCTGTGACGAGCCGGGGAGAAGCAAGGAATTTGACCGCGATGCTGCGTTGGATGAACACGAATGAGAACCCGTCGAATTGACAGCCGTGAGCTGTTCAATCTGCTCTACAAAATCTGGCGAAATGTCTTGTGCCTGACCGTCGAGACTGAGGTCGAGATCGAGGCTGGCAGACATATTTGGACTGATGAGTTTGAACGCATCTTTTGAAAAGAAGCGAACACTTTGTCCCGTCCCTGGTGTATTGGGTTCCCGAAGAATTGAGCGGATGGAGCCCTTTGCCTCCTTACGTGAGGAGGGTGTACCAGGTAGGACGCGTTGTTGTGCTTGTTGCGACCCTGCGAGACGTGCTTTCAAGGACGCATCTCCAAGCACAGGACGAGTAGAATGAGATATTGCTTTTGTAGGAGAGTGCTGAGAGCTCGCGAGGCTCGAGTGCTGTGTCGCATCTTGATCCTCGGCGACCTGGCCAAACTGCATCGTTCGACGCGTCATTGTGGATGAGCCTAAATGGAAAAGAATGATCAGCAACCATAGTCTCTGTAAATGGTGGTTTGACGCGCCTGTTGAATGTGTCGACTGATGGTGTGTCTCGTTGTTGGAGGGGCTGTTTGCCCGAGGGCTTTTAACAAAGCTGAGGGGGTTTATGCTGGATGACCAGGGCATTCTTTCTCGATTTCCAAGGAGAGAGACGCGTCAAGTCGTCGGCGCGATGAAAGACGGAAGTCGCCAGCTCCAAGTTTGGTCAGACCCCGTGACCGCCAATCACGCTGCGCAAAGCCCACAACCAGGACCCCGGACACCCGTGGTGCTTATAACAAAAAAAATAATAGCAAAATAAAGGACGGGATTAGACAATATCAGTGATCAGCATCCAGTTCACAAATAGAACGGGATCCCATACACAACCGGCGCAGATCCCGTGAGATACTTCAGTTTGCACACATCTCGCGACTGCGCTACTGCATCAACAACGGACACGTTCTCAGTCTCCCTCGCCGATCCACCGCTCACCATCTCCGCATCTAGCCGGAGCATCGAGAAGACAGAATGGGCAAACTTGTCAATGTCTCGGTCGGTCACGTCCCACAAGTTGGCCACCAGTAACGGACTACAAGCAACGTCAACAGCCTAGTCAACACTCTCATGGCCCTTCCACACATACCAACCAGCAAGAAGATAGTTGTAGGGTGTACCACTTCTGTCAAAGTCTCCGGCATATGCCATGTGGCCAGAAGAACAGCCCCATAGCATGGTAGATGCACACCGGTTCAGCGCCCGAATCTTGCTGCCTCGGATGTATTGCTCCGCTCCTCCGTGACCAAAGTAGCTATTATCTAAAGTGTGAGCACTAGAATAAGATGGAGCAGGACTATATCTCACATGAAGAGATCAGCAGTCTCCAGAGCTTGTTGTACCTCGAACACATTCGGTCGGCGTCCTATGATCCCCTTCCAGCCGACCTTTGACATTTGGCGTAACCAGGGCGCAAAAGTTTCTTCCGTGCGTTTGAGATCTCCCTCTGGATTCAGGAGATAGAAAACGTTGGCAGGATCCAATGGCAAGCCATCCGCGGCTGCTATTGTCGCTGCATCTCCTCGTCCGCGTCGTATCATTCTTGCAAGGTCCAGTCTATCCAGGAGGAAAGATAGGGATGGGATACGACTAACTGGCCGACCGCGTAGAATTGGCATGCTTTCGAAAGGAAGGCCTTGAAGCTCCTTGTCAAGAACAAGAAACATATGCTCGTCCAAGCATCCTAGCTCGGTATCCTTGACTTGATCCTTGAGAATGTTTCTTAGCTTCTTGAGAATCTTCCCACAGTTAGCTCGATCTAACGCTACCAACTTGCGCCTTACTGTCATCATGTCCTGCCTTTCCGTAAGTCGATGGCCTACGAGCTGATGAGAGTCGAGAATATAGTATGCAAGATCCTCGAGCTCCTCATCCTTACAATCATGAGTAAGCGAGGCCATGCATTCGACCAGCGACGGATCAATATTCTTCGGCTGCGACCGGCTTCGCCCATGGGTACCAATGACCTCATCAAAGACTGAATTTATCCCGTTCTGGAGAACCATTAGAGATTCCCGGGTCATATTCAAACGCTTGGAGAATATGGTCTGGGATCAGATGAGCGTTGCAATAATATTCTGTGGGGAACCCACTTTGAAACCACCGAACCAGCAATACTCCATATTCTCCAGGAGAGTTTTCAACCGATCATCCAATTCGCTTCGTTCGGCCCACCAGCGAGCTTTGGCGTTACGTCCTTTGCCTGCAACCTCGGCCGCCTTTCTGCCATTCCGCACACTGGATGCAATAATATCATCGAGCTCCTTGACCACACTCCCTAAGGGCAACACCTCTGGCTCTTCATCATGTTCTCTGCGGGCGCCACGTTTGAGAGGCAATTTGAAGAGATCGCACTTGTCTTGACGATTACGAGCCACTATTAGAGTGTTCCTCGCTTCGTCGTAGCTTATTGTGATGACTGTCCAAGTTGCTGGAAGTGGTCGCCCCGAGCTCACAATTTCGATCGATGATGATCGAAGTCGTTGTTCTACACTATTCCAGAATTGGTCATAGATATCTTGCTGCTCCGGCTTGATATCGAGTTGGAATGAGAGCGAAGAGGAGCGTGAGGTCGGAGGAATATCGTGCCGCTGCTGTACAAGGTCGGGCCATTGCAAGTCTTGAGCAGTGCCTCGTTTTTCGCGCCGACTTATGATGCAGTCTAGCATCTCCCTTTCCAGAGAAGGCGCGGCGGACGTATCTATGCCTTGTGAGAAATGCTCATGGAGGATGACAAGCATACCAAGCAAATGTGCCACAAGCCAATGTTTTTCATCATCTTCAATCTTGAGAGTGAGCTGAGAAACAAGCGCAAAGACTAGTGTCATGCAGGCCTCGCGGAGCTGGTGGACAGCTCCTCGAAGGAAGATAGACTGGGTCGCCTCCTTGCTATGTTCTTCAAGTTCTGCGAGAACCTCAACCAATTGAGATTCTGCACCGTTCCAGCTCTTCTTGGACCGTCTCTTAGGGACTAATGGAAGCTTCAAACCTATGGTAATGAGTCCGGAGACGTAGGCATGTTGACTACAATCTCACTGGAACTGCCAATACTTTGTAGATCCGGGTGCGAGTTGAAGATCTTAGTCGTCTGATCCGACGCGACCTTGCACACTAGCAAGCTTCTCATGATCTACAAATACATTGTCAAGGCCCTGTTCTTACAATCAGGATGAGAACTCACAAGAATAGCGTCCATGTTGTCCAACTGATTGAGATCATCTAGCAATTCGTCTTGGCTCTCGTCCATACTCAGGAATGCTACAATTTCGTCAGCAAACTTTCGCAAGGTCTCAGCTTCGCAATATGCCACTCACCACGTCGGTGTAAAAGTGCTATTGCGAGCGACTCTTGTGCTTTATTCGTTGCATTTCTACTCGTCCCACACATCTCAATAATGTTCCGAAGCTTCTGAGGTGCTTACTTGTTTGTGTCCAATCCAGCCTGCAGTAGCCTAGCATTTGTTGCCGCAAGTGAGGCAAATGCGCTGTCAAGGTAGCTCTTTGCCTCTTCCGTGTCTCCATTCCTCTCACGATTGAACGCTAAAAGCAAAAGCATGTACGCGTGGCCGATGAATGGCTCCTTTACAACCATGAGGCAAGAAGGTACTCTAGAACGAGACTTGCTCACATCTTTGGAGTGAAGGTCCAATTTGGGGAGATAGGACGAAGATTTGGACGCGGATCGAAGATGAAGGGCAATCTCTAGTTGCAAGCTATTGACCATCAACAATCGAATCGGAGCAAGTATGGCTCCCGCAATACATGAAGCTTCCTGGGCGAAATATTCTGCTTCCCTGTAGGTCCCTTTGAGGATGTGGTGACGCGCGATAGCCAGCTGTACGTTCAAGAGATGATTTGCCAGTTCCCAGTTTAATCCATCGATCTGCGCCGTGTTGTAAAAGCGTGTTCGTGTTTCTTGAGCACCGTCGGGAGGATCGCCCGTTTCGGGAAGGGTTCCAGCCATGTCGGTCATATCGAATGGATTTCGTTCTTTGGGAGTGGATTCGACCTCCAAGATCCCTTGTGCTGCCTCGATTACTGAGTTGAAAATCCGAAGGGCTTGTAGATAGCTCTGAAGGGCATCTGATAATAGCGCCTGGGCGAATAAGCCTAAACCCAAAATCAGGAGCGGGTCACATACGTCTGCCAACTTGATTCTAGCATGCGTCGAACAAGCCAGCGCTGCTAGTTGCGATCGCTTGATTCTACAACGCAGCTTATATATAGGGTCCGTATTGTTGGCCAACCCCCAATCAGCGCCAGAAATGATAGCCTGGGCCTCGGTATAAAGTTCTTTCCTGCTTGATATTAGTGTGCGAATGTCGTCCAAATGATTTTCCTATACCCCTTGTTTAGGTCCCCGACCGTGACCAAGAAGTATGCATATCGTAAAAGAAAGGCAGAGTGTTCCGTTGCTGCTATGGGTTGATCGCGTATTATGATCTCGCATTCCTCAAAAATTTTCTTCGACTGTTCATAGAGTTCGAAGTTGAGGCATTGGTCTGCTAATGCAGCGTAGGTATTGAAATAGTCTTGAAGAGATGAGCTCGTCTTCTCACTAATGTTGCTACACTTACATTGTTTCTCTTTGTCATACCCGCGTGATCGCAATAGACGGCAGGTTGCATCGAGGATGTAGAGTTTCATTTCGACCAGCCCTATCACGCCAAAAAGCTTCCAAGTTCTTTCTGGGACAAATAAGACATTTTTGTCAGCTACTTTTCTGCTAGGACAAACCTAGTGTGCCCCAGAACCAGTCAGCATCGTCGAGCTCCGCTGGAAATGAGTCTGAATGATCTGAGGCAAATCAAGCTATATCATGGGGGGTGATGACGGTACGGACCATAATCTGGAGTTGGTCCATCTGGTGAACGCAGAGCATCACGCCCAGTGCAATTGATAATGATTTCAAGCAAACTTGCGGCATTCTGTTCCAGGAGGCGTTTATCACAACCCTTATGGGCATATATGCATTGCCAACAGTGCCAGAGGAGACGATACTGAGTGCGCAAATGAATCAAGTTCAGATCCATCTTCGGGTCCTACGGCGAGTCAATGAGCGTCCCATCAGACTTATCTACTTACACTGTCAAGAGAATCTCTAATCAACGCGAAGCGCCTCTGAGTCTCGTCGGACCCGTAGCCTCTGCAGTATGCGTATTCTAGCCACACAAGTAGAAGTCTGAACATGAGCATTCATAGTGACGTTGGATTGCAGATCTAACCTCGCCAATCGAATGGGATGTTCATCCGAGTAAAAATGCGTAGCTGTGTCAAAGAGGTGGGAGATCACCGCGTCGAGTCTGCCTTTTCGGCTACCGCGAGCCAATGTTTGAATTTGAGACTCGATCATAGAGCCTCTTAGAGGCATGGAAAGAGAATGTTGCTCTCCCACCCCTGCCAACGACAGCTCTGGTCCGAGTCGAAGATTAAACGCACCAATGGTGGTAATCTTCCCTATGATTCCACAAGAAAGTTGACTGAAAAGGGTCGCATTGATTTGGGCACTGGAAAGGACAGGACACTTCTGGTCCAGATCCCGTTTACTCAGGATCAGCCAACATTCGAGTGCCTTGATATACGTTTCATAGGATGTCTACAGCGAAAATTAGTTGCTCCTCTAGGATGGCTCAAAATACACTACCTTGTTTTCGCCAAGCCTCATGTAGCATCCGCCTAGTAGCGAGATTCTCCGTGGCATTTGCGAGAAGAATTGGGACCATGCGTCCTTTTGGCTGTCTATACGACCGTCCTTGAGACAAGAAATGAGAATTTGGTCGATAGAGACACCATGTGCGATGAATGGGATCGAATGATCCCAGTGATTTGCTTGGTACAGAATAGAGCCTTGGTTCCACGATGCTCCTGAGATACATCGAAGAAGGTCGTTGGTGCGTTGGCGATCCTTGTCTATATCTGAAGCACCAGATATAAGACTGCTTGCGGCCTCAAGATGCTGATACGACTCCTCGTAGGTACCCGGATTAGCTTTGTCTAATGTCACTTTAGATAGGTATATCTGGATCTCGACAATTCCGGAGAGCACGTGAGGCGCTAAAGAGGACGGCAAAGCTGCAATCTTCGAACATTAGTATAAATGGCATCATGGTGAAAATCTCACCGAGTGGATGGTCGTATATGTGGTTAAGAGGATTCGATTCGCCATGGCGACAACTGTATCTCCCTGTCTGTTTATAAATCTCCTTCGAAATCTCTCCAGTACGCGGAATATGTGATCTAGCTGTACGTCCTCGTTTGTCCTGTTCAAAGCTGTTTTCCAACCTTGACATGCAGACTGCAACTCCTGGCGAACTATTAAGAGTTTAATATGGTTGCACATGTTCCATCGGAAATGCATACTGTCGCCATCTGGCATAGATTCCAACATGCGATCAATTGACATGATCACGGCTTGGACCGACGAGCTCTCTTGTTTTTGACCACGCGCGGTTTTGTGGGCCTGTACATCGCCAAGGGATGGACATAGCTCTTTCAGCTGTACAAAGCCTGGTTCATTTTCAAACTCATGAACAGGCATTCTTGTCTCAGCGATGTCAACACATGCTCGAACTGAGGAATACACCGATTCGATTTCTGGCCCATTCAGTTTGCGTGCCGACTTCTTAAATGAGGACGTCACATTGCGCAGATGTCTCCATATCCAGCGTGCTTCGTCGATTGTCGCAACGCTAAGCACGCATTGAACCGCATAAATACGAAGTTCAGTAGCTCGTAGCGGGGAAAATTTGCTGACACCGATATCCACTGACTTGAGCATCGCAGTGCAAATCGGCAAGAGCTGTTCGCTGATGTTGCTACTATTTGAAGACTGCAGCCAGCATAGTAGGTCGCCTCTTTTAGTGGCTTCTTTGTTCGTATGGAACAGTTCCACCAACGTCTGAGAATGTCCGTTGGGTACCGAGTGGAGCGAGAGCTGCAGGATGTAGGATAGGCATTTGACGACCAATATGACCAAGTCTGGGACCACATTGGCCTGATGTCGGATTTCCATGTATGATGAACAAGTATCCGCCGGCTCGGCTGCGGGCGAGCTTTCGAGAAGGAGTGTTTCTAAATTGACTTTCACCTCTTTCGCCATTGAGAATGCTGGTTCAAACTAGAAGTTATATGAGATCATTTGGACCAAGAGTGAGTTTAGTTACCATTCTTAGTGCCAATAGACGGCCGACCAGGCTGAGGGCAGCCTTTTCGGAATTTATATCCACTTTGAAAGACCGGAGAGCGGATAGGGCTGCATTTCCGATTTCACAGATGGCCTGAACACGTTCCTCTGTATAAGTAGATGTGTCGACACCACGCGTCCAGCCGGTCTTGTATATCTGATTAATGGTTGTCGATATCGCGTTCAGTACTTGCATAACAAAGCTGCGCCGCGCATCCAAATCCAGCTCTTGAATTAACTTTTTTGTGTCTTTTAGGGAACTTGCAGATATTTTGGTTGGGTCGGACAAAATTTCAAGTAACGTGGATGGCGTCGTGTTGGGAGCCTCCGACTTGACAGCACCGTGCTTTCTAATTGGAATTCCAGATGCATTCTGCACGGGCCTTCTGGCAGGCGGCCGTTTCCGAGATGGTCCGCTAGACATGGGAGAGTCCAAGCTTGTACAATCTGAATCCGACGGCCGAGGTAAGCACCCGCCGGACGGTGCTAGAATTTTTTTTTTTGGCTTAGATAAGAAATGTCAACGTGCCTTTGAATCTTTCCCGCCCTTTGGAGAGGACGAGTGGGCAGTCAGCTTATTCCATGTGCGACACGGATTGCTTCATGTCTAAACATCTGAACAGCAGATGTACAATGGACTCAAGAGCCCCAAACCAGTAAACAATGGATATCATATTCAGAGTCGCGATCATCCTCAACGCTCGCTGCAAAGGCGGTAGAGCGTCTAGATACTGTCTAGAAACGCATTGAAATCCCTGGCTTTGGCCATCACCTCGTCGTTCTCGTCGTCGGCACATTCGTGAAGAAACGGTATCGTCTCGTGCTTCCAGCCTATCAGACGAGGCCCATTGACGACCCAGAGCTTGTGAGCGCATTCTAGAGCACCTAGGCGAATAGCAGTCTCTTCTGATCGTGTATGCATGAGCAGCTCGATGTTGAATGCCTTCAGATGCGCTGCATCGACCATTACGGATCCCACAGCACTAATGCAGTCACCGAGGTTGACAATCATCCACTTTCTCCGCGAGCCTGTGGAATAGCCAAGCTGCCTGACAAGTGCTGAAGCGATGGCTCCAGTGACATCGTCTCGCCAGAGTGCTGGTAAACATCAGCAAAGCGAAAGACGAATGTATAGAAGGACTGACTTCCGTCATCCACATGAGCAGCTTGCTCTATCAAGCCGATTATTCGCTTCCATAGCTCTGGATTCAACGCGAACTCGGTTTTCTGGGACCAGAGATTAAGGAGATCAGTCGACCGTGCCAAGAAGGGGGAAAGGTAGGGTGTCATGAGTCCCTGCAAAATCTGTGAGTCTTACGAACAACGAGAACATTCTCTCACCTTTAGAATCACGATCACACCGGACATTGCTTGGCAATAGTGAATTGCTCGACACTCCCGAGAATATAATGTCGCTTCTTCACCAGCAGTCCAAGCCCAGTCGAACAGAATCCGGTGCAAAGGTTTGAATGAGTTCTCGTTGAGCTTGGTTGTGAGCTGCGTAAAGGCTTTAAAGGAGGCTGCGTTGTCCGGCAGGGTCTAAGTGGCGTGAGTATCGACCGCAAGTACCAGCTCAAACACGAACTTCATGTTCATCCCAACTGTCCATCAATAATCCAAGCACGGCCCTGGATTCCAAATCAATTCGTGATTTGCCCGAGCCCCTCAAGCACTGAACCAGAAGGGAAAAGATCAAGGCGTCTTTCTCGGCCGAAATCGTTCCGGTTTGCGCTTTGAGACGGCCTCGAGAGCTAGCCAATGCCCCAATAAATTCCTGTCTCGAGATTCGGCGAGCCATTTGTCGAGCCAAAGATGCTAGAGCATCCTTGGATTCTCCGTTTAGTATTTTTATTGATTCCATATACGACGATATGAAGGATTCCAAATCTGCTCGTGTCCAAAATGCGGACGATGTTTCCAGCAGTTGGCGCAATGTGGATATACTGGTAATAGATATTCTGGGTGCTGGAGAAGGCATATGGCAGTTATTATGCAGACATCATGCCACACTTACGTCTATCCACGACGATAAGCATGCAGCATGCCTCGACTATCATTGTGATATGCGTGAGCAATCGGGGTCCGAGACAAGTGCTAAGCATGCTCAGAATAGTTTCCATAGATGATGGTAGATCACATACCACAATGAAGAGAGGGCATCAATAGCTGTAGAGCCGAGTTCGAGATTTGTGGCCCCGCTCACGACTAGAGGAACAAGCTCTGTCAGTCCAGAAAATTCTTGTGGACGGCTAGTAATTGCGACAGATTTCAGTGCTCGGTATGCTGCGGAGACTAGCTGAGCATCCGATGAGTTCGCCACGATATCTTTGATAGAGCTGAGAAGCAGTTTGATACTATCGCTTATCAGCTCTCTGGCCTCCTTCGAGACTGATGGTAAGTGTTTCGCTAGCAGGGCAAACAATTCGACCTGTAACATCTCGTCGTTGGTTCGCAGGAGCTGTACGCATGTGAACATCATCGTAGACGATGGCACGAGTTTCAACATGGTAAAGACAGCCCCTTGAACATGACGGGGTAGGTTCAAGTCACCTCGAGCGAGGGTCGTCCCATCTACCACAGATTGCAGGCGCACAAGTGCCGAAAGAAGACGTTGGGATTGTTCTTCATTCAGTGAGACGTTCGATATTTTGCAGCTTTCTAAGCAGTTCCTGGTAAAGTCAAGGATCTTGATTAGGCGTAAGGCGTGGAGGGGTGAGGAGATCGCCTCCTTTCTGTCCAACAGTCAGCCACGTAGTAGGTGTAATGATCAACAAACCTTAAGGAAGATATAAAGGAACCCATTTCTCCCCGACTGCTATTGATGTCTGCAAGTATATCTTCTATCATATCCGACAAAATCTACTATATGTCAGCTAAGGCATACACAACTTGTAAAAGTGCCATACCGCAATACGATTGTTGAGTTCTAGAGAATGGATCAGGGAAACGGCCAAATCGAATTTTTCGGATTGATTCTTGCTATCCCAGGACTCGACTCGCTCCATCAGGAGAAGGCAGATGGGAACAGTGAAATCGACCGTGCCCAGCACAGAAAGCAAATGTACGAAGAAGCTGGGTGTAATGTTTAGAAGGAGGTTTATTCTAATAGACTGACAAACACACCTTGTTCGTCGATGGGAAGGGATTCCATCAACTGCATCGATGAATATGTCTAAATAAGGCCTGGAGGCTGATCGGGGTCAACAATTGCCAGAGCAATCTCTCATCGACCCACCGACTTGTAGCGCACTGCGCTTCGGATGCTGATTTCGCAGATACGTCGTCATGACCGGAATAACGCTGTCGATGGTCTTTTGAAACGATGAGTGGTATTCGTGAGAGCTAACTAACACACCTTTTCGGCAACCCGTGCACTATACACATCATCCCGTGGCGAGATGTAGCTCCCAGTTGATACAAGAATGGGTAATATGTGGTGAAGCAGAGAGTCAGAGGACCAGGGGACAAGTGCTGCAATCAGAAGTAATGCTTGATGAACGAGATGTGGTTGAGCCGAGTCTGACGGATCATTAGTGCCATCTGAGAGAAATTTATCAACGTAAGGCTACCTTTGATGAGGTTAACCAGTACGTCTATTCTCAACTGCGGCGTGATAACGGCCGTTGGCTAGCGCTAATCAGGAGGCGCATTGCGACCAAAGCAAACTCACAGGAACAAACTGCGAAACATGTATCAAAGCTGTTACCAGAACTCCTTGTAGGTGTATAGATTCCGTTCGTGTCAAACCTCTGGCGCTGGTGGTTTGTTCGAGGCATTGCAGGAGATGCTTGAGGAGGAGTGGGCTTCGCACAACCGAGCTTGACATCAAAGCTTGGCATAATTTGCTTATTTTCGGCACAGGCCCGTCCCTGAGGAAGAGATAAGTCGACCTTGAAGCAGAAAGATGTTGCGATTACGATTCTGTTCTTTGTCGTTTAGGCGAGTGATGACTGGGCATGTCCATACAGATTTCCTGAATTAAAGCATTTGCAACAGACTCGAGATCCATGGTCGTTGACAGGACTTGAATCAGCTCGACCTGTTGAAGGTATTAGCCGGCTCCTCGCACAGTGATAGGAGGACAGTGACCGGAGGGGTAGGGTTCGGCGTCGATAACAGTTCTCGAGCCAAATTTAGTCTCTGAGTAGGGTTCAGAGAGCTGGTGAGAGCGTTGACGGCGGATAAAACAGGAAGGGCGATCGAGTGTTGCTGCGGATTCGAAAAGTAGTAGTTAAGGAGGTTAATAAAGGCCGAAAGCAGCGAATCTTGCTCAATATGGGCTGAGTCGGCGACGCCAAATATTTCCACCAGCTGTTTGACATATATGTGGCCACCTTCGCGCGAATTTAATCCATCTAATCCTTGGGGAGTGGCAAGTTCTTTCAGCAGCGAGTCCAGCAAGGTCAGCTTAGAAGGATCTTGGACACCACTGATGGCAGTGAGAAGCGACGTGCGAACGCTAAGTTTCGGCCAAGAGCAAGCATGGGAGGCCAAGTACGATAGAAGTCGTTTTTTATACCTGCTCCATAGTCACGGCTAGTGCCAGTGATTCAGGCGTACTCACCTCAGTTCCCGGCTACTGTCTTCCGAGCTTGGTGTGAGAAGCTCGACGTGCATCTTTGTGAATGATTCTGGGTCCAAATCTATGGAACCCAAACGATCCATCAAATCCTTTGTATAGGTGGCAAAGTCTTGAGCCGTCAAAATTTTGAGGCTCGCTACTGTCTGTGAGAAGGATAATGAATCATAGAGGAGAATCTCACCGGATATTGTGGTAGGCAAACATTCTAGCCCGTATATCTCCGCAACCTCAGTATTGCCCGGCAAACTTGCGACAGCGAGACATTTGATACAGTCAATTGCCCCATTGCGTATCGAGCGTGACGGATCTAATAGTGCAGGGAATAGAAGTGGGAGAAGGACCTGCAGGTCAATCCACGTCGATCCAGACCTTTGGTCCACTAAGGCCCGAAGCATCGCCCGTCCATGTTTCAGTGAAGATAACCTTGCATCATGATTCGCTTTGGAAGACGACCAAATGGATGCCAAAAAGAAGAAGGTCTCTTTTTGGGAGGTAGTGAAAATCTCCCGGAGGACGAGCGGTGCGAAGGTGTCGAGGTCTTGATTGATGTTGAGGAATATGTATAACCGCCGGCGAAAATCGGAAAACTGAGACTCTGGAGTGGTTCCCTGTATATTGATACTCAGTGAGGATAATGATGACACCCATTCACATACCAACTCTGCCATCCAATTCGTCTGGCCGATTGGAGGGTTTGGAATTGACGGTAATAGTAACAAGAGCGCGGCGTATATGCGTGCCCTTGTCGATTCGTGATCCGTCTTTGACACAACCCGAAGTGAATCAGGTTTCTTCGAACTCTCCTGAGGCACATTAATATCTGGATGGTACAGAGATGCAAACGTACCGTTGTTGTCATTTTAAACCCAGAGCTTCTGAAGAAGCTCATGTCCTTATAGTCAAGCGCATCTAGGATTTGCACACCCAGCTCCCACCCCCTGTCATCACTGCCTTGGCGGATAATCTGGTGTATAATGAGTACGGCGTGAACTTCTGACATCCCAGACGTGGGCGCGCCAAGTTCTTTGGTTAGCACGCTGAGTGCCAAGCCACAGTGCGTAGAACGTAAAATGTTTCCTCAAAAAAACTTCAGGAGTCGACTATGACGCACTGTTTGATAACATACCTGCGAGAAGTGAAATAAGCTGTTCGTTGAATGCTGCCATTTCGGCGGCTTCACCCTTGAGCCCTTCCAGCCCACTAATGTACAGCGCTTCTACTCCAGAGAAGAGACCTTCGCGCCAGATGGGTGATATCGAATTGCTAATTGATCTCCAGAGAGAGACTGAGTGCCTGAATTTGCTTTTCGTTAATAATAGGTGAACCGAGATGGCTAGCCCAAGCTTGAGGGAATGCTCCGGATTGTCAGGCATCCAGCGACCGATGAAGTCGGTGTGAATTGATAGAGTATCGACAGCTCTGTCCTCGGAGGCGCCCTTGATGACTCGGACGAGCGTTTCTGTGATCAAATCGCTAGCGATCAAATGCGAAAGTGCCTGTGGATCCGCATAAAGGATTTGGAGAATGCCGTGGTCATACCCCTGGACCATCTGTACTAATGCTTCGCTGATAAGGTCGTTGGCATCCGTCATGCTGGGGACAGCCTTCAGAATCGACTGCAAGCCTCGAATTCGTTGATTTCTGTCTCCATTGGTCAAAAGAACGACCGCGTCGTCGTCAACTGAGTCATTGACCGGCGGCGACTATTACAATTTCAGAGCATGAAACAGTCAACTTGATACCACTGACCTCCAAGCGACTAGAATCGATGCCTGTAAGCCAGCTCGCATGAGCTGAATCCTGGTCCGCAAGTGACTGAGATACGAGATCCACTTGATCTGGATAACGCTGATAAAGCTTGGAGAGAACGATTGATAGTTTTTGTTTCCGTGCATCCTCGCTACAATCGGCGAGAACGCGCAAAATCGCAGAAGTAATGGCAACTACTCCGTCTCGGTTTAGATTCGTAGCCATAGAGAGGCGGGACAGCATGTCATATGCTAGGGGCATTGTGATCTGTAAAGCCAAAGAATGGGAAAATGGCTGAAGGAAGCTTGGGTTGGATATCGTCTCCCAGCAATCTTGAATTACTTGCTGGACATTTGGTAGGATCAATATGGCCCGCAAAAGAGGCTCTGGTAGAGCCATTGAATCATTTTGGCTTTGGAGTATTAATGTGATCCCTTTAATAAATCGTCGGGGGTCTGGTTGGGCTTTGATACATGATAAAGAGGCCATGATGGCTTCCATTAGCTCAGAGTCGAGTCTCACTCTAGACGCTAAGTAGCCCACGAGAAGGAGGCAGCTCTCCTGGTAAGGTTGAGAAGATATCACCAATCTGAGCCGAGTCGACTTACCGAAACTTCTGCCGACTCTGCATTTTCCAAAGCCGTCAATAGCGAAGGGATCAGAAACGAGAGATGGACCCCCTCTATCGACAAATTTGACAGGTACTCCATGGTGACCGCAACGACGAAAGTGACGACAGCGCGGTGCACACATCGCAGGGAGACGTGAATGGACAGTATATCGACGACGCTTGCAGCAAGAAATTGATTCTTGAGCATTTCGCTGACAAGTGTGTCACGATGCAAAGGCTTGATAGCCTTTTTGTGCGCGTTGAGGAATGCCCAGGGCGAGGATGGTCTAAAGGGATTGAGGATTATGTGTAAACGACGTGAAGGAGCTCACTTGATGTGCAGGATGGAAACGAGCTTGACAAAGTGAGGAGTATTATGATAGGGCAAGAAGACGGTCAAGAGCGTATCGACATTAAACTCGTTGGCCCTACTCTTCCATCAATTTATAATTCGCGTGACGGGTGGCACATACCGATAACGCCTCACAAGCCATTCTATAATGGTGGAAGCGCCTTGTTCTGTCAAGAATGGCGAGATTGCAAAGAGCAAGTCTTTGATTTGGTCATCGAGGATATGATTTTCCTCTGGGGAAAGACGCGTTCGGTCAGAAAATTTTGCAGGGGATGATAAGAGGGGACTTTTGAGAGTTTTGAGTGAAGATGAGGATGTCGCCAGTAGTTGGAGTCCATTTTGTGCGAGCTGGAAGACGGTGTCGAGGTCATGCTGGCGTGCTTGTTGAGATGAAAACAGATATGATTCTATACTCTTGTGATCCTTGAGTGATCTCGCGTTGAGCGACACGCTCTGGGCGAGTTGAGCAGAGAGCATCGGTGGTGGCTCTGTCCAACCTATTTTAGACCGATGCCACGACGACTGCCAGGCGCAATCTTGCCTCAAAAACGACAGAGACAGCTCGTATATGCGTACGGAAAAGCCCACGTACTCGCCAATAAGCCGCGAAGACTGCCCCCGCCCGTGGTACCAACATATGCGCAAAAGGTGACACTTTCCGATGGAAGCACATTCACCCACTGGACGACATCTCCACGCTCCAGCATTCGAATGACCCGCGACATCTCCAACTCGCCCCTGTGGACACTGAGCTCTGCCAGAGGAGCCGAAGAGGAGGATGCGAGCGGTCGTTTGAGTCGTTTCAGATCCAAATTCGGTCGCAGCGGAGGATTCGACGACTATACGCTCCTCAGCGAGCTCACAGACAAGCCGTGCGTTTTCGACAGTGTTCAGCCAGTGCGCCTGCTGATCCCAAACCAGCCCAGGCAAGGAGTAACCTCTGTTCTAGACTAATCCCTTGTTCATTCTCTCGCTCGTCATTCAGAAGCATGTTGATACTCCTTTTGAACCATGCCACTGCTCCCTCTGGAGCTCGCTTTCATCTCTACTCCTACAAAATGCATAATTCATCCACTAAATCGTCTTTTACATACTGCCTCTCGCTCAGCGACACCCGCGTGCGTATCTTTGGGTCTAGTCGCGCTAAAAAAACCCAATGAAACCGTGTTAGATATCCTTTGCGTCTCTCTTTGAACGCTAAAGAACAATCACTTGTACCGTCTCCCACAGATGAGGCGTCACTGACGCAGCCATTCTTGCCGGTAGTGTCCATTTGCAGTTGTGCGTCCGCTGGCTCACAACGAAGCAGCCTATATCCACATTCTCGGAAAAGGACCTCAAGGCGCTCTATCGAGATGTTTTACGGATAGACGTTGCTTCCACCGTGTCACCTTCGTACAGAGACAAGATTGTCGACCCATCCCTTGTCCTCCCTCGACTCTCGAAAAGAATCGTATTAGGCTCTCGCCAAACCCTAGATAAAAACATAAACTCGCTCTCTTCGCGGCTTCAATCACGGCACGGCCCAAGTGAACCCGTGGCGGCACCCACAAATCTCTCTAGAGGAAAGCCTTATTCAGAGCTACTCAACGCTCTTCAGTGCCAACAGTCTGTCTTGGCTCTCCCGCTCATCAGCAACTCGTCCACTTCCGCACCCATCGTAAATGCCACTGAATGGGCCTCTTTGGTTGATGCATGCGTAGGCCATCATTAGGCTCACTAGCTGGACACTCACGACCTCTAGATTCGAGAACTGGATTTTGAGGGTGTTTTTCTGGTGTTGCGTGCCATGAAGGTATTTCCAAACAACTCTCTCGCTGCAATGATTGACGCATGAAAGACCCACGGACAAGTGATCGAAGACGAGCTGCACCATCATATCATGAGTGCAATGGCGGATGAAGGGCTCTTCCACCAGCTTCAGACCTATGCCTCCGAATTTTTACAAGGCACGTCCAACACTGTGATACACGCATAATGCTCACTCTTTCTGTTTTAGAACGCGATGATATGCCCCATTTTCAGCACATCGTGACGGCGCTGTGTAAATGCCGACTGTTTTCATCGGCTATTCAGCTACTCCATCAGCAGGAGGCAAAAGGACACCTCCCGCCCATGGCTGTCTATCACTCCCTGATACTTGGACTCCTTCACACCTCGAGTCCTGGCGCCGCTGCAAGGCAAGCAATCGCCTGGAACATCTTCTACCATATGCGCTATGTCGCGCATCCCATCCCATCAGTACAACTCTACACCGACATGATACGAGCGTGCGCCCACCATACAGAGCCGGATACGTTGCGTGGCTTTGATTTGTGGACGGAAATGACAGTGGATAAGCGGTTGACACCTACTGTTGACGCCTATAACGCGATCATCCTCCTCGCAGCTCGTGATAATAGGACCGCCCACGAGGCAATTAGACTTGCTCGAGAGATGCTTGACGTTGGGCGAGATGCTGATGGTAAACCGGCGCTTCCGTTGAATACGGGCACGTATGCAGCACTACTGGAGTCCTGCAAACATACAGGAGACCTTTTGCGTGCTCGATGGGCCCTTACCAAGCTGGCCGGGGATGTGTTCACCTCAACCTCTTCCATTGACCACTGGACACTATCGAACCTCTTTCACGCCTACGCTTCCTACAAAGTACCGTTCGTTCGTGACATGGCGGCACCAACACGCTCAGAACAGCCATCACTGGAAGCTCATAAACAGGCCCAGTCCATCGAACAGCGTCTGGATGACATTGTCGCTACGACAGCGACTCAATCTTCCATCACATCTGGGTTACAGCTTCCTCAAACATCCAAAGCTGTCCTCAACGAGCTGGACACCATGATGGACCATCTCATCGCGGAAAAGACGTCGACGGGAAACATCAAAACCCAACTCCCTCGGCTATTCGACCAAGTCACAAACTTGAATATAGTGATAAGAAGCTTTCTCCGTGCTTACTTCATTCACGCGCACCGTGTGTCAGATGTATTTGCCAGGGCCCAATCCATCCATAGGCTCTTGAAACTCGACTGGTCTCACGAGGTGATACGTTTAGTATTGTCTCAGTGTGCGCGAACAGGAAGTGGTTCACCCTCTCAAGAGACAATGAAATTTGCCGAGGAACTCTGGTCAGCATGGCTCGGTATTCTGGAAAAAGAGCGGCATTTACCCAACAGGTGGACGCCTATGGGGTTAAATACGCCAGCAGACAGGCGTGAGGTCCCAATTAGTACCGTGCGAGCGTCCCATATCTCCATGATCTGGTCCTCATTCATTCGGTTGAAGACTCGGTCAGTGATTTGTCTGACAGTCGAGGTCTGTATATTGAACAACATCTAGGTATGGCGATGTCGATGGCGCAGTGCAGCTGCTTAAGCAATTCGAAAGACTCTATCCTCCATCCACCACGAAGACCAATCTCGATCCTCATATGCCACTGGAGACAAAGATCTCGTTGGAGGGCCCAAGGACGCTCATCAAGGTCGTAGAGCGAGGCAAAATCGATGATGATACGATCCCTCCTGTTCTTGTTTTCACAGACATCGTCGCTCTGCACAAGCGTTTGGCGCGAGATCAGCGAACCAAGGACATCAATTATCTTACCTATCTGCTTCATGCATACGCCGGTAATGTTCGGGATCGACGAAGTTTCAACCTGGCTGTCAACGATTTGGAGGATGGATGGAGGGGCAAGAAGTCTGTTGGAAGCGACGGGGAAGCAAAGGTTAAGGCCCGAATTAAATGGGAAAAGCGGAGGGCGCGGGTTGCATCTCGTGTCCGCACTTCCAGGAGATAGATATTTTTTGTCAGTAGAACAAACTTAATCCTGACTATATCATTGGCCACCTCTTGCGTGTATACCGGAAGGCCCAGCGTCATAGCATCATGGACTATCGTTTAGAGCGTCAACGACAACATGAAAGGCGGCTGGAGGCACGTGGGGCGACCTTTAAGCCGTCTGGGAATGCAACTACGCTCATATTTGTGTTTGATGAAAAGAAGGAGCAAACCTCTACAAAGAAATCAAGTCCTCTAAATCGCGAAATCCAAGCTATCAGCGGGTCAAACAAGCTGGCTACTGACCCAATAATTAAACCACGCACTACATCCCAGCAAGGCCAACATAGCACAAATATCTGCGTTCCAGATGCTACAGAAAATACCTCTACCGCGGCTACTGATCTCAGCCAACAATCGCATCCGCAAGACGAGTCCATGGATGACAGTGAAAAGTAATTCGCGTGATTTGAACCAGACAAAGAGTTATTTAATCGTTCTCTTACAGTCGGTTTCGAAGGCCGGGAGCCTCGAAGCAGCATTTTCTGTCAGTTCGATCCAAGAAAGACAGCTCTGTGATTGCGGGGAGTCAGGATCTCATACAGTAAGTGAATAGGTGTATAATGGGCAATCTGAATATCATGATTCCAGAACTTCCTGCAAGTCTACTCAGCAAAGGCGCCAACTTTCAGGACTAGGAAACATCGAGGGAGAGTGGTCTCTGCCAGTGACCACGCAGAGTAGACGCGCTGTTATACAATTTGGGCTTCCTTTAGGCACCCTAAAGGACCGGAAACTTGCACATGAGTACTCGTACGGGAAGCAAGACAAGGAATAAAGGCACATGTATGACACCATCCATTAAAGACTAGAGATAATTAACGCCAACTAAGGCCCATCTACCTCCATCTCTGTTTCTCGGTAATCCATTCCTTGCAACAGCTCGTGCGTTTCAGCTTCCATAGGAGAATCCAGTGAACCTTGATTGGACCCGTAAGCAGAAGCAGAACTGTCAGCAAGGATTGGTTTAGCAGTCCGATCGTTGAGAGGCTTCCTGGGATCCTTTGAGTGTAAAGAGGATTGAAGACCGAGCTTCCCAACATAGCTTTTGACGTAGTGCTTGATTTTTGCACGTTTCTCCTCCGACAAAGATTCGAGTCTGGCGTTTGATTGGTAGGTTCTCCCTTTTTTCTCTAATTCCGCAATCTTTTCCGTAATCTGCTGAAGGTTTAGTCGAGTTCGAGAGAAGATTAAGCGAATAGCACCTCTTTCGCATGCCGCTTGAAATCGTCGGGTGAAGCGAACTGGGACTTCCATTGGGAAAGGTAGCCAACAACGGCTGCACCGACAAGCTTGAGAAGCTGCTTTTCTTTGTTGGAAATCTCGGGTACGTGGGAGACGGAGGCGGGAGTACTGGAGTCCTCTCTTAGATTGTTTGTGGACCCAATAGGTTTGTCATCCTTCGGACGCTTTTGTCGGTTACCTTTGTCTCTGATTCGTTGCTGCTTCCGCAATAACTTGACCTCCTTCAGCCGTTGCTCTTCTTCCGCAACAGCAGCTTTCTGTGCTTCTTGGTCCGCCTGCGCTTTTTTTGCATTCTCCATAGCCTGTTGTATGATCTGGGACAAGCTGTCTTTAGGAGGTTGGGAGGGTGTAATCGACGTCTGCGGCGGCGTTGCTGTACTAGAAAGGGGCTCTTCCCGCCCGGAGTTGTGGCTGGATGACGGCCATCGGGAGCTGGATACAATCCCTAGAGGCTTGATGGAGAGGGTAGGTCCAGCTAATCGTGCACGTTTCGTTGGCCGTTCGTTGTCATAATCCGTCTCCACTTGATACACTTTGGGTGCGATATCTTCTTCCACCACATCCTAATCCAGGATTATCACGGTCCTAGTTCGGGATAAATATCACTAACCGCTTTCAGTCTTCTGGGAATCCGATAAACAATCTCAAGAGTTGACCATTGATCGAGAACCTATACACATGTTAATACGAATAAGATTGGATGGCGCTTATTTACCTGTTGAGCCAATCCTTTCAAACGAGGATTTGCGGAATTCGTAATATTGGTAATACGAGGCTCGATTTTGGCGTCTTCAATCTTCGTTCGATTAATTAGCGGCAAGGGTTTGACTGTTTCTAATATCTAGATCATTACTTAGCGAGGCGTTTGTCCAGGAGGTAAAGTCCTCACCATGAGTTGCACGTCATCGTCGTCGCTGTACTCGTCCATCGTGGAGGATATAACCGTTAATCCCCTTAGTCGAAGAACTTGACGTAGAACGGTGATTTCTTCTGTCATCTGACAAAGGTCAGATCCTTGAATACCAGCCTAGACCCTTGGACACACCTTGATGCGCTCGAGGAGTTTGATAAGAATCTCGCGCGTATTTGTTTGAGATATCGCGTTCAAAACCTTTGGTACATCCCCTTCTTGCATGGGCTTGAGGACCGGCTAGCCATCATCGTCAGTTGAAACCAATCACTAACCAAAATTCAATAAACAAACCATGAAATCTTCTCCGATCTTCATCCCTTTTTTCGACTTGGCTCCTTTCATAATAAGGTTATCCACTTCGTCCTCGATGCCCAAGGCTGAAATAATGAGCCATGTACCATTGTACAAACACCTGCATACCTTCAATTGTCGTCCAGTCCATTCCAGCGACATCTGTCTGAGTCTTTCCTCCTATGAAGCCTACACAGTTTGGCTCGCCGCAGTAACAAGGTTGTGCCGCATGGCTGCAACAAGTTAGGGATGGATTATCAGGTCAACAGTCAGCATGCCTACCCATAACGGTCGGCATTGTAGTTGAACGTGAGCTCTTCATCTTTGAGGATATCCCTCTTCGCAAATATGCCCATTCTGAGCCCTCCATCTACGACCCATCGTGCGACATAGCAATTAGGATTGCAACTGTGATTGGCAAACCGCCCAAAACCACCCTTTTTTGTAGCGTCTATAAACTTTGATGTTCTTAGGGCATGTATACCATAGAGTTCTCTAAAACTCACCTCCCCTTTCTGCAACATCATGAAGTAGAAATGTTCGATCCCTTCATCTCCGTAGTTATCCATCCTTCTCTCGAGGGTCCTTTCATTGATGATCTCGCCAATGTATTCATAAATAAATTCGTCACTTGAAACCATATGAGGGGTTGATGCGTCAGCAGAAGAGAATATCAAGTACCGTTTGATGGGCGAGGCTGCTCGAAGACCGTAGCCTTTTTTCTCTGTCTTCACTACATGTATATTCGCGTATTGTCTCTTCTGGAACCTACGAGGCGGATTCAGATTCAGAACCAATCTGAACATGTCCTTACCGTTGATTCTGACAAAATACACCACAGCGGCATTCTTCTTCAACGCATTCGACTAGAGTTAGCCTATTGATACAATCCGAGTTTGGACCGCAGGCGCGGTCAAGCGGGTCGCCTGAACATCGTCAGGTCAGGACCATATAGAGAGCGGGTGACCAAAAAGCACCTGGTTTATAGTAACACTCGCAGCCCATCGCATCTTCTTGTATCTTTGGCTTGGCCATTTGTCTATTCTGAAGCCAGTTGGTATCTAGACGATGAAATGTCCGGAGTGCCTCTTCTTCGGCTCTTGGATAGTCAGTTATAAGCTGCACTGTCAACTTCTGCTGCTTTTTGGAGGTTGGTGGTCGCCTCGAGGAGGTCGGAGGCTTTGTCTGCGCAGGAGGCGTCCGAGACGGTGTTGGTCTGCGCTCTCCCGTTGGCATGGGGCTGTCTCGACTAGAGAGCGCCTCGGAATTGGTGCGTGATACATCGACATGGTTCCCAAGTTCCATTGGTAAACGCCAACCGGCCTGGGGAACAGATTGGTTCACCTTGCAAACGCTTTGGGATGTTCTCTAGCCCCTAAATTTGGCGATACGATACCTCTTTTCCTGGCAAACGCGCAAAGACGCGAGGTCCCAAACAAATCCGGAGACGGTCACGTCCAGGTGTAAGATTCCACCTCACTGCGAACCGTCACTCAAGGTATTGTCAATGACTGGATTTAAACTATGTTATTTAATGATTAAATACCTTGACCAACATGACTACAGGTTTGATCTCGACGACGATGGCAACTCAAGCACGTCCAACATCCCTCAGTAAAAAAAGGAAACGAGACGCTCTGGAGGAAGATACAAACGACCTGCAGACGCGGATAACCTGCATGCAGACCTCCCCAGGCGTCAGCGGCCCAGCTTTCGGTTCGTATGATATCGTATGAAAACCAGATTGGCCTCCTAACGAGGCATTCAGCCCTTTTCCCGGCCGTTTTTCCCGCAGAAGATACACTCTTCTCTGCGTTCACGGACGATCTGGCCACGACGGTGGATGCTCCAAAATGCAAGAGCCTCATCGGTGGCGAGACTGCCAACATACTATACACGAGCTTCAACAAGGACAAAGTGGAGCCGGCTAATGAATGCCAGTTAGTCCTATGCTATTGGTGAATACATTGGCACATGAGTCTGATATAATCTCAGATATTTGGTTGCCATTCGCAATAGGCGTACGAACGAACTTGTACTGAGTCCAGGACCTCTGTACATCGTGAGTCACCAAGTCAAGGTACTACAATCGCTCGATGGTGGATCGCAAGGGTTGCAGGAGCATATGGTAGCCCGAAACCAGCTTGGGGAGGCATTTGGGACCAAGAAAGCAAAGGCAGCGCTTCGCACAGCGGAGAGAAATAAAGTAGATGTTACTGCTATGGCTGGCGTTTCCAATTTGCTTCAGACATCTATCGAGGCGAAGACGGATTCACTCCCACAATTAGCAGACGGCTCTTCGGAGCATAGTCACAACCGTCATATTCCTCGTTATAATCAAGATGCACAAAGTCCAGCAGAGGTAAGTGACCATTACAGGGTCGACAGATACTCATCAAAATACAAGATTTACCCACTTGACTCTGTGATATCCGAGCCAGAGTTCGCTGCTATCTCCTGGAATTTGATACGGCCAGAGTCTCTTCCATATAGGAAAAGTACTTGGGTCAATGAACGTCTCAGACGGAAGGAGGGCAAACCATCCAAATATGAAAAGTCAATACAGTGCGTTGAATGGGAATAATGTTTCCTTTGGTCTCACCACCCGTCTAGAAAAGTAGTTTTCTATGTTTCGGCGATGTTTTACTTTCGGAGAGTAGCCACACGAGCGATGAAACGGGAAGACCTTCGCGAAAAATTGGCGATCCTGCCAGATGTGATCGTCGAATCCCTCGTCTCGCGTTTCACAGAGGCGGTTAGGGGAAATGACACGTATGCAAATTGATCACAGTAGTGCGTCTCGCCTAATGATTTGACAGCGTTATTTCAACCCCTCAGAAGGAGGCGGAGTTGCTGACCCATCTTCTCGTCTTGTGCCTCCGAGTGGACAACTTCTTATGTGATCCCAAGATTCTTGCTGCAGATTTGAGCATGTCATTGAGCAGGTTTGTCGGTCCCCATGGCTCATCCTTTGCTTATACACAGTTAGTGTCCAAGGATTGTTCAAAAGCCTTGGTGAGTTTATCCCAGCCCCGTACAGCAGCGACTCAAGTTGCACAGGTTGCATTATTGCTGTACCCTCAAAGGCCGAACAGAGCATGGGACAGACGAGTGACCAAAAGATGGCCATCTTACGTACTCCATTCAAGTTGCCGACCCCCTCTAGGCGCAAACGAGTATAATGTGAAGTAAAGTGGATTGATCTTCATATCTACAATCTCCCTCTGAGAGTGGTCTGTGATCTGTCGACTCGACGCGCAACAATACAGTGGAAACAGTGCGAATGATGAATATTATCTACGGAGAGGGTATGCATGCCAGTCGAGATATCATCCGTTAGATGACAAAGGCTTGTGAGTGAGGGATGGGTTGCTTTAGTGATCCGATCGGCCCACTACTGAGTAGCGCGCTTGATCATCTATCATCAATATGTGAGCATATACTTTCAGCCACTGAGTACTATCAACTTGCCTCTCTCGCCCATCGGAGCGTCTTTTTAAGGTCAGGATTTCGGGTTTTTGTCTTGACTAACGATGCGACCCAGTCTTGTAGCAGAAGATCCTTAAGCTGGCCGCTGGGAAATGTTTCCGCAAGGTCTCCAATCAACCCGGCACATTGTTTTAGAACTCCTTCCGAATGGTCGTCGTCGTAGACCAACTGAATAAACCCGAAAATAGACAGAGTGTGCTCTAGTAAGAGAGTTTCTAGTCACAGTAGTCAGCATCAGTCACTTTGAGAGTTAAATAATAGCTACTCTTGTCCGTGGTTTTCAGGCCAGTCACAATTCCTGTGTACGCCTCCAGAATGGCCTCGCGGAGTTGACTGTAATAGTCAAACGTCTCGTAGTCCTTCTATAGATAGAGTTCAGCAAGATGAAGCGATAAAGATACTCAGGTACGCACAGGGTCTACCTTCTGCTCTCCGGCCTGCCTCAATACCACGGTCGTCCCGTTGAGATACGGTTCAAATGCTGGGCCAATTGCCATAGCGATGTCGCCAAAGCAAGCCACGACGGAGACTTTCACACTCTTATCGAGGACAGGACTGGTCAGGTTCTCATAGAGGGCGGTCATGAACATGGAGCAATAAGCGGCGCTGAGCTCCCCGAGGGCACGACAGACATCCCCGATGAGGCCGACAGCAACAGAGCACAGCTGCGGGTCTTCATGGGCCTTCAGTGCTGGTGCCAGGAACGGCAAAAACGCTTGAAGGTATGGGTGGAAACCTTGCTCAAGAGCTGTTCTTTCTCGTCAGTTCTGTCTAATAGAATAAATTTCCAATTCTTACCTGACGCCATATTGCCCACCACCAGGAAAGCGTCTTCAAGAACAGTAGATTGTTTCCCAGCAACTTGGATGAGCTGCAAAACAAGGGTCATAATCTTGTCTGCTAGGGGCTGGATCTCCCGGCCGAGTTTGCGAGTCACACACTAGGGGGTTTTAGGGCAAAACGACGGATCCGGGAGAGACACGCACACTAATGATGCTGCAAAAGTTGCCTTGAAGCTCGTTCCAATTGTTGCGATCGTCCACACCAAGCAGTTGGTTCTAGAACAAATGTCAGAACAGCAAGAGAGATCAGTGCAATCATATTCTACCGTCATGCCTAAGAGTGCCTCCATGCGAGCCAGGATGCTCATGACCACTTGTCGGACAACATTGAGGACATCTTTGGGTGCATGGGTTACGTATGATGCCAGTGCCTCGTACGCAGCGGTGCGCGAATGGGCCTCGTTCGAGTTACTGAGAAAGTTCAGTGACGGAGCAGTAACATAGCAAATGGTGCACCTTTCCGTGACTCTCATCAACGCAGCCACAATGCCCTCGTAATAGGGAGATAGATGTCCGGTCGGGACATCCTCCATGCCATCGTTGATCTGATCCGAAAGCGTCATGAGTGCCCATGAGGCATTCGTAATTATACGAGGGCTATCCTCCAGTCCAGCAACCAGGGCTTGAACAAGAGGGCCAAGATGTGTCTCTGGATTGATGGTGGTGACGAGGATATCGCATATGCGTCCAAGGGTCCAGGCTGTCGTGTCCTTGACATGGGTGTTTTCGTCTCGCATCATTTCAATCAGCAGACCAATGGCCTGAGTAACCAAAGGTGCAAGCAACTGAGGGTCAGGCCCATCGAGAATGGAGCCAAATGTCATGACAGCGGCCTCTCGATGGTGCCAATCAGGAGACTTGATGTTGCTCTCGATGAACGGAATGACGAAACTGACAATTGAATCGCCAACGGCCTGGGAGAGAAGAGTTAGGCATGTACCCGCCGCCATGGAGATATTCCATTCGTCCTCTTCCGCATCCTCTTCCTGTCTCATGAGCAATCGTAGGATGACAGGGATGATCTCGGGAAGCGCAACCTTGGCGAAGTATTTGCTCTCGCGCTCAGGTTGATCTCCAAATTCTTGAGCCTACAGTGATGATAATCAGAACTCGCGCACAAGAAAGGCCGACACACTAACATCTGCAGCTTCGATAGCGAGGTCAATTTCTTCTTCGCAAACAGTCGACCAGAATTCGACGGCTTGAAGTGCAACACGCTCGTCTGGGTGATTCATTCCAAGAACCGTGAGGCCGAACAATGCTCTTTCCATGTAGTAGCTCATTTTGTCGTAATAGAGCGACATGATTCGCACAAGTGTTTCGAATGCTGCTACTTGAACGAGGACTGCTGGGTTTTGTGTTGCTTCACAAACAACTTGCATAATATAGTTGCGCTCTCCCTATTTACGTCTTGGTATCTCAGACTGTATGTTGATCATGCCTGAACTCACCTCACGATCAAAATTTTCTTTGATAAATTCCAGACAGTTGTACAGCGCCTTCATTGCAGCCAATTGGACCTCGGGAGATGGTTCGTCTCTCCGTGCGCCTTGGACAACTGCTGTCAAGATCTCGTTGGATCTGACCTTGAGAATTTCTGGTGACTACACCGAGTTAGCGATTCTGCTTGCTCAGCGAATCCCTGGGAACGGGTACGCACGATTGTTTCGCAAATAAACCCGATGCATTGAAGCGCGGCCACTCGGGTGTTTAGATCGCCTGAACTGACGCCAGCAAGCAGATTGGTGATAAGATCTGGCCACTGATCATTTGGAAGTTCAATGGCTGCAATCGCGGCGACAACTTGGGCAGCGACGGCACCGACCCGGGCGGCCGACGAGCTGAGGGCTCTGAGTGAATCGGTTTTGACCTTTATCTTGTATTCATCTGGGACGTTCAGCCAACGTGCTGTAACTTCGGCTTGACGCGTCTCATCCTGACGGCTCGTCAGAGAGTATTTGGGACAAATATCGAAGCACCGACTTTGGATGTAAACGCGTTTTTGAGAGCGAGGCCTGCGGCATTTCGGATATGAGGCTGCGAATGGTCGTTGACCAGCTCGGCGGAAAGTAAGGTCGCATACGCGGCCTAGAGGAACGTTGTAAGACGGATCTAGTTGATCAATTAAACAAACTGACAAAATTCTGGATAGAGGCGGTTTCGAGTTGCTGTGTAGCAGCTTGACGTGTGTTCGCGTCTATAACATGGCCATGTGTGGTCAGCTACGAGCCGAGTCTAGGAAGAAAACGCGCAACATACCCGCAGCGAGCGTTGCGGCGAGGACGGCGGCGATGTCCATGATGCTAGACGAGCTCCTTGAGTGGCGATCCAAGAATTATGGCGCGATTCTGTCTGATGTCTACTCGCAGTGGAGATCCTGCTATTCCCTAATGTCAATAACGCGTCCAGCTGGCCACAGAGAGCTGGCGACGCGCGGGTTTGAAAGGATCGAGGAGATTGGAGGGTCTAAAAGGCTTTTGGAGGTGCCCACATTTGTCCGCATACATCAGCTGAGCATGGAACGAGTACGTTGTCATATTTGAAACCAAACCATCGATCTTTCTCATCTCCTTTGCATCGTCTCAGGGCAGAGGCACTCCAAGAGGGAGTTCAGCTCGCGGCGGCAAGCGAGGAGCTGGCGCTGGCGCATCTCAGGACAAGCCAAAACGCGAAGCAATTCTAGATCTGTCAAAGTACGTGGGATCTAAAGTACGAGTGACCTTTACGGGCGGACGCCAAGGTCAGATACCCAAACTGGGCTTCAAATCCATGTCTGAGCGCTCACACGATAGTGACCGGGATCCTCAAAGGATTTGACCAACTACTGAACCTTGTTCTTGATCAAGTGGAGGAGCAAGTCTCTGGTAAGTCATTTGTGTGGATCCCTTGTTGCATTAAATTTGATGTCAATTTCCAGAGCTTCAACAGAATCCGCGGCAATTGGGTTTAGCAGTCGTACGAGGCCCTACTGTCACCCTTATCGCCCCCGATGACGGTTACGAGGAAATCGACGACCCCTTTGGCACATCTTAGCCGTATCTTCCTTTGGGTCATGAAATATCATGACTGTATACGATTTGTGTCAAATGTACTAATACACTCCAGAGACCAACTCTCTAGGAAGACGGTCAGCCAGTCAGCCAAAGCGTCCATACAAGCCATCCCACCTAAAAGCAGACTCAACGCAGCGCTTGATCTCCTTGTACGATACGACCAGACAACTCTGCTCGTCTCGAGACACCAGCATAAGCTTCTCCTCTGATCCGCAATCGAGCTATACAATATGGTGAACCATAACGAATAGGAGTCCGCAGAAACAGTTACCTTGTTCAGGTGCATTAGCACATGTGAGAGACTAACAACCGGCCGCCCGTGCTCGTCCACTGCGTGAAAGACGAGATCTCGAAACAATTTCACAATATATTTGTCGCCCGTCTCTGACCACCTAAAATCCCGCGCAAATCTGATGATAACTTAGATGCACAGCGTTGTTCACAGGCGTCGGACACTCACTCGGGTCGTTCATTGATGAAACCAAACTTGCTCAAAAGCCTGACCAGACGACCGTTCTCGAGTTCGCAAGCCAGCTGAGCTTCCAAAGAGTCTGAACGTCTATGCACCGAAGTGAGTCCCATTTACAGGCGAGTAGGTTTGTCTCACAGTTGCATTGCGTCCATTTCTTGTAAGAGCCGACCTCCTATGAAGTCGAAGACTTGTCCGATGATCTGGGTAATAAAAAGTAAATTAAAGTCTGCCTGAGCTGCCTCGCAGACCTTTGGTGTGCCATGTGTTGCGAGAGGGGGCGGCTGCAGGAGAAAGTGAATAGCATTCTTAAGCTCCTGGGAATAGACTCTCGAAATAAATTCAAGCGTCTTTGCGTAATTGATACCGATGTTTGCGTTTCGACAGCAAAGTGCGAGCATCAATCTTCCAAACGCTATCATATCCTCTTGCTTTTCAAAACGTCAGTCACCATGAGCTCTAACTGGTACACTAGCTGGCACCTGTTGTGTTGCCCTATCCTGTGTGTCCAATCCGACGAGGTCCGCAAGGCCGCAACAGTTGATGTGTAGCCTAGATAAACTAAGTAAAAGTAATTGTCCTCTACAAGTGACAAACCTCGATTTTCCCGTCAACAGGATTTTGGTGGCATCCAACACTCGAAAGGCCAATGCTCGGTCATGAATAGCTTTCATGGCATTCGCTATTTGGATAAGGAAGGACCAAAGAGTAGTCTCCGGGATCGGATCGAGTTGGTCAGTTCTCAACTGGCGGTTCGTGAAGGCGCTTGTTCGGGGCTTTAAGAAAGTGTCGAAAAGAGTTGTGGCCAAAGGATAGTAGTCGTAGACAAGTACCAGAGCTAGTGAAAGGAGTAAATGCTGGGTGCATACTTGGTGAATCACGGACAACTATCATTAAAGGCTCTCGTCGTGAAGGCTTCCCGAAAACTCGCAATGTTCGGATGGATTATCCGCTTCCAGAGTTCAGCGTTGGCTAGAATGGATTCATGTGCAAGGTGAAAATCTATGTTTACAATCGTGAACACGGGTAGTACAACGGGTGGACACTATACTCACTTTCCAAGCGCCTTAGGGCGTAGACGCTTCCATTAGATGTGCTGGTCGCTCGATAGCAAATCGAGTTCCAGTGCCCGAAATACTTGCGACGATCCCCGGCTACTGGCTCCAGAGGTGATAGCGAATGATAATGGTGGACTTCAGGAAGTGCTACTGTCGAAACTGGTGGCGCCCAGATGTCATCCATGCGCCGTTGGAGCTCCAATCTAATGTCTTCCGCTACGAAGAACCCTCCTTTCGACGCAGACTGATCCGAAACTGGTACGGCGGACTTGGTGTAAAGGTGATAATCAAGCTGGTGCGGGTGAGTCATGTAGCCTCCGGAAACCCACCAAAGCCTCACCGGGTACAGTGCCCCACCTGAAGGTTTGGCATAAAACTCTTCGGCGCTCTGCTCACGACGGTTAGAATTTGCTGAAGGCAGAGGCGGCACATCATACAGAATCTTGCAACTCGGCTCTAGATGCGGGGCCCTGAGACACGGGTTCCGGAAAGGATACACTGTCGCCATGTCAGTAGAGACACCTGAAGGGTGGAGACTCGGCAGACGTTGGGCCATGAGTCAAGGCTCCTGGAACAAATTCGGGCGCATTCACGTGTTGTGCTAACACGGGAGACGCGATACGAGCCCTAGGGCACTCTCTTGTCAGCGGGATCTTTGCATCTGGGCGTGCTTACAAGTTATTAGGATCGGGTAGGCTTTCAGCCTGCGGAGATTTCTCCTCGTAGTTGAGCACATCTAGCATTCGGACTATTGGAAGCGCACCGGAGGATGGTAGAAAGCACATCCCTTGCCTTCATACTTGCAATTTCTGTTCATCGCGTCAGGAAACGGATTCATGTATGCGTCAGGCCACGTGTACCCATATATCAGGACATTCCGACACTGGCGTTGTTGGGAGGGTTCTATTTTTGAGTATCAATTGTTACACAAGATCAAATGGCAGAAAATGCCGCACCGCTTGGCTTGCGAACCGTTGTAGATGCACTTGCAGTCGAGGACCCAGGATTTACAATCTGGATTGCACTCGAGGCGGGCTGTGGAGGCATCGGCGCAGGGTCCAAGGTTTCGCCACTCCCTTCTTGGACAACGCGCAACCTGTCGATGGAGACTGGAGCAGCGGTTCGCTCTGCGATACCAAAACGTTCCACGGCGCAGACGACTGCAAGTCTAAAGCAAGAGCAAACTGCTCAAGACTCACCCGCATACGATGCTTCCGACGAAGATGCGTCGGATAGAACAGAAGGGGATCCTCTAGCTGGCCACAATCAAAACCTGAGACCTCTAGGACGCTCGAAACAGCCAAAGTCGGGATCGCATGCGTCGCATCTTAGCCATCTTGTCGACTCAGATACAGGTACAGATTCCCCCACGTACGATGGTGACATAGAATCCTCGACAAACACGGCAAAACAACCAATACATCATCGCTCACTGCTCTCGATAAGTAGCTCCACCGACGCGGACGGGTCGCCAACGTCGACCCCAATGCTGACCCCGTCCGCCTCCTCTGCCACTTTGCATCAAACCGAAGACCACAATCATCTTCAGGTACCTCATCCTGGGATGGTTTCAGAACCCGCTCCCGTTCCCAGCGCGTCCTCACATTTCGATCCGGCCTCTCTCACTCCAGAAGACATTCAAGCCTTTGTCAAGCGTGCAGTTGAGGGAGAACCAGGTCGCAAATACACGATCAATAAGCCACCTACGGATCGACCTGTACGCATCTATGCAGATGGTCTGTTACATCATCACTCTGATATTCATCCATTACTTACCATACTTGAAAGGTGTCTATGACCTTTTTCACTTTGGGTCCGTTATTGGTTTGCTACCTACTTTCCTCTCGCTGACCTTGCTTCAGCCACGCACTCCAATTACGCCAAGCCAAGTTGTCATTCCCATCTGTCCATCTGATCGTTGGTGTTTGCTCCGATGAGCTCGTATTGGAGCACAAATCGCGCACCGTCATGACACACTCTGAACGTTGCGAATCGGTTCGCCATTGCCGATGGGTCGATGAAGTGGCGGAAGATGCTCCATGGGTGATTGATGAAGACTTCATCAAAAAATACCATATTGACTATGTGGCACACGACGAAGATCCATACAAGGGTGTGGGGACCGACGACGTGTACGGCTATCCAAAGTCTCAAGGTAAGCTACTCAAACCACATAGATGACAATTGACATTCAGTTAATAGGCAAATTCATCCCAACACGTAGGACTCCCGGTGTCTCTACCTCGGAACTCATCGAACGCATGGTTTCTGGTTATCGCAAAGGTGAATTCGACCGGAAGCTAGAGAGCATGGGCCACCCAGAGCTCAAGTCGAGGCCTTCTACACCGCAGCCTTTTTAAGTTCTCTCTATATGAGTGCATAATCTATATTGCCCTATTCCCCAAGTAGATATCTTCCAACGCTGGGTATCGCTCTACTGTCATTTCTGCGGTTCTGCATCTCGAATAGAGGTGAACACCAGCCATCAGTACAACTGTATTCATAATAAGAAGAGCGAAAGGGGAAGCTTTGCAGTTACAATCGCTTAGTAAGAGTCGTTGCAGATTCGCAGTGAACCGTCCAAGTTCCGCAAATTAGGCAACTTACTCTGTATGGGAACAGATCGGCAAACCGCAAGGCGTAAGACGAGCTGTGGATTGCTGCTCTTGCACATATGTACTTTGTTAATGCTCCTCACAGCTTGTCCTAACTGTGCTTGTCCTTGCTACTGCCTGTATCTTGCTATTGCATCAAGCCATGACTAGTAGTGTTGCAGCAAGGCTGACAAAAGTATTATTAATATAGACATCGCGGATTCGGATCTCTGCTGGCAATCTCCTATCATTGGGCATCAAGCAATAATAATATTTGTAGCAGAATGCATGTAGATAAGTATTTAGTCGAGCCTTTCTCTACAAATGAAATGTGGAATGCATAGAAAATAATATCAGCGATCCAATGAACATCCAATCTTTTAGCAACGGATATCCTCGTTGCTCTGTAGCAGTCTGCCTGTAGAGCAGTCAGAGCGTTCTTATGACTTACAGAGCGGCCTAGGCAATAGCACAGTACAGAACTGACCGTCAGGGTTCAATGTACATGGCAAGGGAGACATTGGGAGCCACAGTGAATCCCAATGCGGGGGATAAATGTGATGAAAGATGGCCCTACTGCCTCAAGTAGCTAATGTACATAATGTTGGAATTGTTACTTCAGCGCTCTAACTAGGTCAATACATTTGTACATACTTGTTTTTTTGAGCCATGATCTAACCCACTACTTCAAACCCCTGTCAGCATCACTGTGAATAGCCTAAGAGACTGCAATCGTCAAAATCAAGACAATTAAAGAGACTTTCGAAGCTATTGGCTTGTGTGAAGAATATCTGTGGAATTGAATATGAACTACACCAATATTCAACTGCCAATAGAGATGGTGACATTGCTACGATGCCAGGAAAGTATCCCACTCAGTTGCCCTTGATGTTGCAGTAATACTGACAAAGACTCGAAGTAGTTGTGTACAAAGCATCTCTATACTGTATTGCTATTGTATAACTACCATTCTTTTGGCTACTGACAACTGCATTCTCAGTATCAACGTCTTTGTATCGTATTATATTGAGGACTAGGGAAAGTTAGCCTGCTGATACGCAATAGAATTATCAGAAAGGCTATTTAAAGTGTAGCTTTCAGTTACTGGGGACAGAAAAGAGTGAGCAAACCAGCGAGCATAGTTAGTTGTGATTCTACATCCCTGGAAGCAGAAAGGAGTGAGCAAACCAAGGGCCTACATGGCCAATCTCTCGCTCAAACCAAACATCACCAACACCTTTTAGAAAACAGTATTAAACAATCACCTAAGCAAATTGGTACATGATAGGGTCTCATATTCATTTTTGTGTGGTGTCATATGCGAGGGTTGACACCGTTTTCCACCGGTTTGAATAACCAAAGCACGTGAAAAGATGCAGAAAATTTGATGAATGGTCTCGGAATATCATAGAGTATTTTGGGGAAATTTAGAAAAGAAATGACCATAGAAAAGTCAGCAAAATACTTCAACAAGGCTATTGTGTGTGAAGAGCGGTCGCTAATCTGCCAGCTATTGAAGGGCCCGCTGCACTAGTGAAGCAATTATTTCTCACACGCTGTATGCTGTCAATAAATCTCTTGCGCACTAATACAACGTATCCGATGCAACTCTCTCATTACTTCAATCACAACCAAAAGTGTTAATACTGACGATTTCAATGTAGTTACCAGTAATCAAGGCTCTCCAGGCTGATGAGTGACTTTTGGGTATACTGTAACTAGAGGCGAGCACCTGGCTCTACTAATAGAATGCTGAGCCAAGTCTGTTGCAGTTGTACGAAATATAGACGGATCAGATGCAAATTCATGTTGTCTACTTTCGATAATATTCTTCACTTTGTTGCAGGAATGCTGACAGAGATTCGAAGTAGTGCGGGAGATCATGACTCGATGAAACAAACATGTAGCACTGAAGCAATAATTTCAACACACTTCTCGTCCTTAATATTTCTACTGTGTATTGTTTACTGTACATAGAAGAGATTTCTTGAGTCATCACCGCTTCCAGTCTATGTCAGCATCACTGTAACATTTTCTCACGCGCCGTTGTACGGAAATTAGACGGCCAGGTGCGGTCCTCTGTACCAAATATTTCTACATTGTCCTGTTTATTGTCCAAATATCATTCTTTTGGCTTCTGACCATTGCGATCCTTTGTCAGTATCAATACCCTTGTATCGTATTATATTGTGTGACAACTAGGGAAGAGTTGGCTCGCTGGTACGCAATAGAACTGTCTGAAGGCTACTGTGTGTAAAGAGCGATCGCTAAACCACGGGCTATTGAAGGACTACTGTGCACTTTCGTAGTTCGTGGTGCGTTCTAGAATACTCCACTTGACAGCATAGCTCTGCCGGATCTCTGTTGGTAGTCAGGCATTCGCCCTGCTCATCCTTTGTCATAGTGTATCCCCATTTGCATAGAGTTTGACACTTGCAGCTCCCCTCCGCTGTTCATCGGAATCTACACAGAACATTTTGTTCAAATTATTGCTTCAGTGCTCCAGCTAGATCGATACATTTGTACATATATATATATATATATATATGAGTCATGATCCCCCCAACTACGAACCTCCGTCAGCGTCACTGCAATAAACAGTACATGATGGAGACATCGGATCTGCAAGTTACTTTCAGTCCTACAGAAAGTAGACGTTGCGGATCCGTATCTTGCCGAGTTGTTCCTGCTCTTTGTTGTAATAGTGCCAAGGTTATGGTTATAGGTGGCAGGTGGTGAAGCTTGTAAATTTAATGTACATCTGTAGCAATTGGCAAGAAACTATATACATTTTCACCAGCGCTGATACCCGTAGTAGCTATCATTCTGTTGCGGACCTTGACCATTGGGATTTTGGAAACCAGGGGCTTGCACAGATGATTGAAATCTGTTTCCATAAAACTGTGGTTGGTTCTGTCCTAGACCAGGCGGAATGCGGCTTGGTGCCATTCCTTTGTCAGGTGTCGCAAGACCTCCTTGCATCCCTCCAGAGCTATACCCCTTGAAAGGTTGATCCGACGGTGTTGATGATGGACCACCTGCGGTCGGTCCGCTAGTAGGGCCGCGAACGCCTTGTCCTGACGAGGATATGGAGCTCAGGAAACCTTGACTGGGTTGGTAGGACTTGGAAAAGTCTGTCGATAGCGAGTTCCCCTGGTGATACGTTGAGGAACCATTTGATGGCTGTTCTCCGTCATATCCGTTGCTCCCGTGATGCAGATGACCGGGGCCACCACTGTATTGCCCAACGGTGGGGGCTCCGGCTGCCGAGGACGTTGGTGCAGATGGTTTCGAACCATGAGGGGGTGTCGAATTGCCAGACGGTTGGTAGACAGGGTTGACGAATGATGTGAAGGCTGGGGAGAAGAATTGATTACCATAGCCGTATGGGTTCATGTTCATGTTGTAATAGTAAGGATTTGCTAGGTGTGCCATACCCGGATACTGCGTCTGCCCTTGGCCTCCTCCTTGGTTCGGCCCAGGTTGTCCTTGTGCAGCAGGTCCAGGGTGCATCCCGAGGTGTTGATTTGATGGACCAGTGAGACCTTTCTCGTCGTGGCGTAGAAGCCCTCGACCTGCAAAAGTGTTCTGTAGACCGTATAAGTTATTATTAACACTGTACCCCGACGTTGCTTGGCCGATAAACAGTTGACTCACACGTTGATTGTCGAACCCAAACTCGGGGTTGAGATTCTGACTCGTTGAATATGCAGTCTGGGGGAACGCACCGGGGGCGGCGTTACTGCCTCCGAAACCTGTGTCTTGTGTATGAGTGTGAGATTGGTTGTAGAAAGGACTATCAGTTTGTCTAAAATACGCCTGACTCTGTGAGTGTGACAGTTGGCTCAGATGAGAAAGCGTATTGATCCCAAGGCCGGTCTCGTATGGACCCTGAGAGGGAAGGCCGGACGCCTGGCCATAGGGTTGACTTTGTTGGATGATAGGAGCATTCTGGCCCGATTGCTGAGGGGTATGAGTTAAACCAGCCAAAGAATGTTGGGAGGGTATTTGATGTTGTGGTTGGGGTGGCTGCTGTGCGATGGGGTGGTTAAGGGTCGGTGCCATTGCCAACGTAGGATCCACTGGAGGGGCTTGGGTGTGTACAGGACCATTGCTCTCGTTAGTTAGCACTGGCGCGATCGTTTCGGGGTGTCCTTGCAATGATCCAGACGCGTATGAATCAATTGAAGTCTTCACATTGTCCATAATTTGCAGGTCTGTTGGAGGTGGGACATCGGGGTGCGCGACAGGTCGCTCCTCCACAGGTCGCGTCTCGGTAGGTGCCTCGGTCCTGTGGAAATAATTAGTGAAGGCGCGAAGAGGGCGAAATTGACAAACGAAGGCTGCTCGCTCTCCTCGCTGATGTTAAGACTTCCAAACTGGAGAGGGAGAGTTCCAAAATTTGCATTTGATACTTGATTGGGCATAATGACAGCCTGATCCGATTTGAATCGAGAACTCGTTCGATGGATACCGACTGCAGGTCGTGCATTCGTCGGTGTAGACGTCTTGCTTCGAGACGGCGATGCAGCAAGTGGGGGACTCGCAAGACCAGGAGGGGGAGCGAGTGCAGCTTCCATTCTCGGGGGTTCAACTTCTTCCACTTTCTCTGGCTCTACTGGCTTTGGAGGTGAAGGTTGTCTCGCCGGAATGTCAACAACAGGAGATGTTTCGGCAACTTGTGCCAATGGTGGCGATGATAGCTCTTGCCCTTCATGATTCGAAGGAGCACTCTCATTATGGAACGGCTCTTGGGCTGATGTTGGTAGGACGACAGGATTGACGACCGGTTCGTCGTCCCAGGACGGCGTCTCCACTGTGGTTGGTTCCTCTCGTGCGAACTGTTGCTTGGGCTGCATTTCTATCAAGTGATCCTCCTTTGGCTTCAATGCTGAAGTATCTGATACTGGCGGCTTGGCATGCGGTCTATGATGTGTTGTTACTCATTGTCGCTGTATGGTCTGATCCACTGAACCTACTTTGCTACTTGTGCCCAGGACAGGCCACCAGTCGGTTTGTTAGGTTTTCGTGAAGGCCCTGCGGGAGAGGCAGCCACCTCTTGGATGGGGGTTGTGTATGTTGGCTCGGGTGTGGAAGCATCGTGGGTAGAGGTTAAGGGATCAGATGTAGATTGTTGATATGTGTCTTGTTCGTTGCTGTATGGGGACTTGGAATAGTCCCCGTGCGCCGTTTCTGTTTGTGGATCAGTGTCGGTCGCGTATGTCGCATCTTGGGCGCGAGTAGAAGGCGTATGATTGCTTGCTCGGTCTCTTTGCTGTCGGGACACTCCAGCCCCCCTTCCCCCTCTGGCTCGGCCGCGAGGGCTCGCAGCACCCCGCAGGCTCGCGTGACTCTGGCCGTCTCGCTCTCGTTCGCGATGCGTGGGCAATTTCTTTTCTTTCTTGTGCTTCACCGAGCCCCATTGTTCAACATGCCCTGCAGAACGGAACACGTCGTGCATGAGCAACGTATTTTACGAGTCGAGGGACCAACCTTCAGAAATCCGCGCAACAGCGGTTTCGATGTCTCCTCGAACTTCCTCTAGTACAGACAAGAGATCCTCCTCTTTCCAATCGGGAAATATGGCCTGCAGTTGTGCAAGAGGCTCATTGAACTGTGCTCGCGCTTTGTTCAAGGCGGATGTAGGAGCAGCTTCGACGTCGTTGGAACGATGCTGTTCCCTGTGATTTGTGTACGACGATTGCTTAGCAGAGGGACGAGTCGGTCGCGACATGGTTCGTGATGGATGAGTCCAAAAAGTGTATTCAAGCCTCCACCAGTAACCGATACATTCACGATGTGATGAAAATGTAAAGCCCATACTGTCAAAGAGCTATATACATTGAACAGTATCTAATCTAGTCGCTTGTTCGATGATCCCGCCAACTTTTGATATTCACCCGTCAGTCTGTCTGGATGAGGCTCAGGGATAGCGCTTTCTTTGTTTGTTGACAAGACGTACCAATGTCCTGATCTCTCTGGCGCAGCTTCGACTTGAGCTCTTCGATTACTGCTATCTCTTTGCTAGATCCCGAGGCCGTCTATGCAAGAATAAAGCAATAATTTCAGTAGAAACGGGGGATACCCACCTTGGTCTTGAGCGTACCAAGTTCCTCCTCGGTGCGGATTAAGTGAACAAGAATTTGGATCGTACGCGTCATGCAAAGCGAAAGGAATAAACAAAACCCGGTAAGGTACGTATTGCGCTGTGCACTACAAGGCTGTCAGAGTGTGGAACAACATGACACCTATACTCACTAGAATTTACGGGCAGCGATATTGACCTCTGCAGAAGCGTGATTTACACCAGCATTTGCAGTCTTGGCAGCCTCTGCTTCGGCCGTGATACGGATCATACGCTGGACGGCGTCGACGAAGAGAATGGCAACGAAAATGAAGCTAATCTTCAGCGCATATGCAATTTTGCCAACAATATAGGACTGTATAGTAGCAAATTCAGCTTGTAATACGGTTTCTTCAAGATAAAAGGCTTGCCTCGGTCAAAAATTTGAAGAGCCGTTTCCTGTGAGGGATGAGGTGTGTCGCAACTATGGGCGTAAGCAACTCACCGTGCTGCTAGAGGCATTGGAAGCAGTACGAATACAAAGCCGACCATCTGCATCAGACGAGTATCAGCACCTTGTTGAAACACGACATCCTGACGTGGAGCCAACGAACCTCTGCGGCCAGCAAGAAGAATGTGAGTGAATAACTGGTGATTAAACATGAGTGATCTATCGCATTTCGATGTCGTAGACGAACTAGATGGCCATTGTTGTGCACAAGTCACGGTGACGTTTGGTTCCAAGTTATATACAAGCGCCCGCCACCACTTGAACAGCGACCAAACCTTCGATGAGTATCTCCGTGTCCATCAAACACGCCGGAAAGGCGCAAAATGTCGAATTGGATACCTCTCAGCCTCTAGCAGCGTTTAAACAGACCATCTACGAAGCAACAGGGGTCCCAGTTGACCGAATGAAAGTCATGAGTAAAGGCCTCGTCCTCAAAGTACGTCCATCGGAGATGAGAAATCTTAGAGTATGCTCAAGCTTTGGGTCAGGACGATACACCTTGGTCCAAGCTCGCTATCAAGCCTGTAAGAACGACACGCGTCTCCCTTGATGCTACTGATGAGTGACATACTCAGGGACACCAATTCATGATAATCGGAGGTACTATATCCCGCTTTTTCATTTTAGCTAGACGAGCTGATCATACTCAGTCGCCGGCGAGTTGCCCAAACCACCCGAGAAGCCAGTGGTTTTCCTCGAAGGTGAAGCCCGCTCGGTGTTTGTTTTTTTAGGCTCATCTTCCCCGAGATATGGGAGACTCTGAGCTTGCTTCTACGGTATCTACGCAGTTTGCTTGGCACAATCCTCCATTGACCACACCCCAGCTACGGCTCCCCGTTGGCCTGACAAAGTATGACCTACCAACTAGATGCACACAAGATCTGATTCCCGTCAGTCTTGGAAATACCTGTTATATGAATTCGACTCTCCAAGTGCTCAGAACGATCCCCGAGCTCAATCCTGCACTAGAACAATTTACGCAAACCTCTCAGGGTGGATTAGGTGCAACACTGACTGCAGAAATGCGTCGACTCTACCAGTCCATGAATCAAACTACGGACAAGATGATACCCGCAGTCTTTCTGCAACGTCTCAGGATGGTCGCTCCTCAATTCGCCGAGCAGCGACCTGGACAAGGGTTTGCACAACAAGGTTAAATTCTTGAACCCGCGCCCATCTGTCGCTAATCAACTTCGTAGATGCGGAGGAATGCCTTACCTCAATTCTCAACGCTCTTCGTGAATCGTCTCTCGTCGTTCCTCCCAACGGTAACGGAGAGGGTAGTCCAAAGAATCTGGTAGAGAACTATATAATGGGCGAGATGACTACAGAGTACGGGTACTATTGAAATTCACATCCATCCCTGACACGTTGCAGACTCAAGTGTGACGAAGCCCCGGATGAGGAAACTTCGACATCGAAATCGACATTCTCAAAGCTAGAATGCAATATTAGTATCACAACGAACTATCTACAGACGGGTATCAAAGAGGTCTGCCAAACGATACCGTTTTCAAACTGTCTCATCTATTACACAGTCTCTTGATCAAAAAATCGAGAAACAAAGTCCGTCTCTTGGCCGCTCTGCAATTTACAGCCAAAAGTCTCGCATCTCCCGCCTACCATCCAACTTGATCGTTCATATGGTCCGTTTCTACTGGCGCCGGGATATTAATAAAAAGGCCAAGATCATGGTGAGATTGAAGGTATGATACAGGAACACAGTCTCACATAGGGTATAGCGCAAAGTGAAGTTTCCTTTCGAGTATGACGTACTTGACCTCGTCACCGAAGAACTCAAACAAAAGCTCCTGCCAGTCAACACTCGGTTGAAAGAGATAGAAAAGGATAGACAAGAGCGTCGCAAAGTTCGCAAACGAACTCGTAAGGTGCAACCCGGAGCGTCTGTTGAAATGCCCATCGAACCGGCTCCTCCAGTGTCCCCCACTGTCATGGTCGGTGGTCCTGACGAGGGTACGGGCTCGCAGATGGATGTCGATCAATCCGGCTCTACAATACCAGTAATTGAACCAGGAACAGCGGATGAAGCAGAGATCCGGCGGAGAGAGGCAGAGGAACTAACTTCACTTGTTCATGATGATCTCAAATCCGATGCGGGTGCCAATGTGACTGGTATGTACGAACTTGTTGGTGAGTGATCACGTTACTATCACCTTCGTCGCCGATCCCAATTACCCTCCAGGGATCATCACTCACAAGGGCGCAAGCGCGGACTCTGGTCATTATATCGTACGTGTACAAAGACCAAAGTAATCCTGTCTTATTCAGTTGCCTAGGGCTTTGCGAGAGCAGATGTGTTCACTCCCCGAAGACCAGAAGAGATCGATGAGACAACAGACCAGTGGATCAAATTCGACGACGACAAGGTCATTACATCTATGACTAGAAACACCCATTCCGTACTAACACACAAACTCCTAGGTGTCTGTCATGACAGAGGTCGCGGTTGGGGCTTTGGACGGTGGCGGCGAAGATTCTGCCGCGTACATTTTGCTATATCGTAGCAAGCTTCCGCTTTGAATTGACTTGATTATTCTGCTTGTGTATGCCCGTATCCTGATTTGATGCCAACTGAATAAGATCTTGGACCTTTACCAACACCGACGGACGAAGGCCGACCCCCCTGATTCTGTTGGTGAACCTGATACAAGCCTCTTTGAAAATCAGGATTACGCAGGAGAGATCCTCACCACGCTCTTGACCTGCGTCTCCGAACGCCGTGCGCAATCCACGGGATGAGTGCCTCGGATGACGAGCTGGATACGGAGGTTCGACGCATGAGAGCATCTCTGGATGACCAAAGATATAGTAGAGCTCCTAAAATGACTCCGATGTCTTCACCCACCGCGCCAGCCGTGACTCCCCGTACCTATCATCTACCCATCCTGCGTCCTGGGAGCTCTGTGACCAACCCGAATACGGAGACACATACCCTCTCGGCTGATCAACTCCTTGGACGAAGTTCAGAGATCACGTCCGATAGAAAAGGTTCCACGCCCGATGCTATTGCTAACGCGAGCTTTGCCATCGCAGGTGTGTGCTCACCTGGGTCAATATCGCGTACTAGACAACCAAATAGCTGACAGGAGCTTTATTGAAACCTCCTCTGGTCTTGCCGCGAAACTCCTCAAAACATACTACGAGCGGATGGGAGTGGAAGGCGGCAGGACCCGTGTTTCTTACGAGATTACCGCCCTCCCGGTTCATGGCGAACAAAAATACCGAATCAGGTACGAGCTTAGCCTAAAGCAAAGCCGATGTATCCCTCAAGCCTTTCCCAGTCAGCGGCAGGCCAACCATCCATCTCAGGGGGCCACTAATGGTTCGCACCGCTCTTCTAGTATACTTCCTAGCATCAGCGATATTATCAGTACCGTGATAGCGAGCGGTGCACGAAACTCTCATCCTTCCGGCGGTCCAAGACAAGTTCTACGTCGTCCACGATCTATATCAGAACCGCGAGACTCGTCATCCTACGAGCAGGCCATGTCGACTGCCCTTGGAGGCTCGTTTATTAATCCGTTTACGTCCGGTAGCCGGCGTAGCCTTGACCATCAGAAAAGGGAGTCTTTTGAAGACTCTCACGAAATTTCTCCTCATCCGTCAGAGAGCCGGCATGACGAGTTTCCATTTGGCCCTAACGTTGTGTTTGCCGAACCTGCTCCAACGTCACCCGAATTGACGGCGCGACCCACACCCGAGCTCAAGGAAGTCCAGTCATACGAATCGGGTCTTACTGCAAGGGCAGAACCAGGCCAAAAACATGCTGCTCCCGAACCTCACAAGCTTCAGGTACTCAACGACGCGTCCGTCGCCACTACTCCTTACAGCACTCTTGTTTTTGATGTGCTACAAACGTACCGCGGCATCCCTCTCCCGCATCGACTATCCGAATCCTCAAACGAACCGACCGTCAAGCTCAGGAGTGGCGACACGGCACAACCCAGTGACGACCCTCGTTTCGTTATCTGGGGAGATATATATCCCCAGCGCAATGAAGAGTCAGCACCTTCCCTTAGCAGTCATACTGATTTGTCATCGACTTCGCATGGGATACCCGTATCACGGCGCAAGTCATCTCAGGTCAGGAGCGTGGACATCCCGGGACAGTTGCGCAAACAACCGGAGAGATTAATCGTTGCCGCGACAATTGAGAGATGGATAGCACAGCTTACTAGCGAGGGCGAAAGTCCTGAGCTCGTCTACTTTTTCCTCACTTATCGCGTGTATATCTCTGGTGAAGATCTTTGTCATCTGCTCATTTGTCGATTTCATTGGGCTTTGGAGACACCCACCTCGGAGCAAGACGGGATAGCTCGAAAGACCATTCGAGTGCGCACTTTCAAAATGATTCGAAGCTGGCTCGTCATGTGGTTCAAAGTCGATTTTGCCACAAACCCGACACTCTGTCAGGTCCTTGTTAACTGGACAAATACGCTGCGGAAGGATCCATTGCTTCGACAAAAGTCTTATAGCGATGCTTTGGTAAGCCAGACCATGATTGACCGACGGCTCCTTATGTATACTATTAGGACATCGTTCGTCGCATCAAGAAGACCATCTGGCAATGCAAACAGGCAAATGATCGGAGGAAACTCTTAGAAAAGCAAGAAATTTTACCTGGAGAGAATCGCAAGCACCTGACACCTGGCTCCGACAACGTTATTAGCAACGACATCATCTTCGACGATATGACTCGAATCCAACCTGCCAAACTGCTTGCTGAGCCTTCAACGTCGCCAGCTCTTAACCCGGCATTGGAAGCTGCATTGATTGGCAGTGGGTCTCTGGAGTTTTCAAGCGCTGCAACACTAGCTTTGAGTTCAATACCTTCTGCAGGCTCCACACTTCCAGTGTCTGGCGTTTTACAGCAGCCACTTCATATGGCAATCCTTGCCAATAGCAAAGGGCCGAGAGCGTACCAAAGCCTATCGCCTCATTCTGCCCTTTCTTCGCAGAACAGTACATTCTCCCGGGCTCTGGTCAACACGATGGGGAAGCTGGGACGATGGAAACGCGTTTTAAATGCACGTTCAGCCCCGGTTCCATCCCAATTCGACTGCAGTGGTGTTTCCTCGTTCGACATTGAACGATTTGAAGACGAGAGTCACCGTATAGACCGGTTTTCTCGATCAACGCGCCCATCTAGCATTGCTACGCAACACCATGAACCGGGTCAAACATCAAAGTCGTCCTTGGGTGCCAATGAGAACTCTGGTGAGACCCAGATGAACGGAGATGAGAAGACACCCCAGCCATCTCTAATCTTGCATGATCCCGTTCGACCTGTGGAAAATGCGAAGAACCAGCCCATGGACGATCCATCTCCAACCGGTGTTGACGAGACTCCTATTGTGAGTGAAACAGATTCTGCATTAAATTTTCTCTAACAATAGTAGATACGTCCTGATGTGACCAACTTGGAGCCTACATCTGTGTCATCGCCAGATCTGACTCAGTCGCTGGGTCCAGCCTCAGACCAAATGACGAGAGATACATTCGTATCCCGTAATGAAGCTCGTTCTTCAGTCGCTTCTTCTGAGGGCAGCCACAACAGTTTCTTTGGTTCCTCAGAGGAGGATTATGGCCAGCCCATAGCTGGGGACCTAGGTTGGTTCCAGACCCGCTCTTCCTTTGTGGAGATTGACGAATACCAATCGTCGGACGAGGGTTTATCCAATGCCAATAACCATTTAAGGAAGCCGATGAAGAGATTGCCCCATCAGCGTGATCTCGCTTCAGTATACACCGTCGAAAGCTTGGCACCCACCGTTCAATCTCATAACATGTATACAGACGGAGGCTCTGATCATACGGATGACGATACAGAACTCCATGGACCTGAAAAGCAGCCAATCCAAGCGTGGCAGTTGGACTACATCGACAGTGAAGAAGACGAGCCTCGTGATGCGGAGGCGGCTCTGAGGCGCTTGGAAGGCCATATTGATTGTGACAGGCAGCGCAAGAAGGAGAATAAAGTGGATGGATGGCTCCGGCAGGTTGAGGCACGTCGTGCACTCGCGAGGAGGGGTCAAAGGGACGTCGGAGATCATGAAGATCATCTTGACATCCAAGGGGAGGAGGAAAGCGAAGGACTCACCGGTCGTGATCCTGGCTCAGTGTCTGACGAGGTCAGCCACCTGGACACAATAGACCCCCATGAGGTCATAGAAGAGCATCTCCAACCCCTTTCTCCTTTATCAGAGCAACCAACACCAAAGATGCAATTCGATAATACGATGACTCGCGCCATTCCTCGGCCTGAACAAACTCGTCAGCAGCACGCCGCGGGTGTGTCGCATCAACCCTCATTCGTGAAGATCAGCGGATCCCGTGGAGGCCCCTTTTCTCTTTCATCTGCTTATAATCACCAATCCTTCATCCTTACCGCTCGCTCCCTCAAGATTGCCCAACAACTCACAAGAATTGAGAGCGACCTTTGGAGGAGCGTTCAGATTGAAGATCTCATTATGTCTTCGCCTGCCGTTGACTACGAGTCCATCGAGTCTATGCCCCTTATCCTTGACTGGGCCGAATTTATGCAGAACCGAGATAAATATAGTAGCAAGTTTGGCCGCCCTTCAAGTGACCTATTGGCCATCCAAGCGCGATTTAAGCTCACCGCCATGTTCACCGCATCCGAGATCTTGATGACTGCACCTCCGTTGCGCCCTATGCTCGTGGAAAAGTTCATCAAGATTGCTATGGTAAGTGTAACCTCGGCTTTGAAACTCTCTCATTGTTTATACAGAAGTGCTATCGCCTCAACAACTTTTCGTCAATGATCGCGATCATTTTTGGCCTTAACCTACCTTCCGTCAGAAGAGTTCTTGACAAGATGCCAAGGGCCATAAGAAAGCAAGAAGCGAGGATGTTTGATGGCCTTCAGTCATTTTCATCTTCTGAAGGGAATTACCGCTCTGTACGAAAGGCTATTGCCAACCTGGTTACATCAAGCAACGGTGGTGAAACTACAGCTCCGGGCCCTCTCAATCCAACCACAACAATGGCAGATGCGTCATGTGCCTGTATTCCGTTCATCGGTATGTCCCGTCTTCAAGTTTCTCCGGTTCTACTAATGCGGCACATAGGCATCTATCTCAGTCAACTAGTCAGTTACGATCGACTACCGGACTATGTTGATCCAACTGCTCCGACGGAGTCCGTTGGAGTCGAGGATGGTAGTGGTACTTTGAGTCAGCCGCGCCATCCTGAAGTGTTTGCAAATCTAGCACCACTACCATTCTCGATGACGTTGGAGCCACTCATCAACGTTCACAAGCAACGAATGATTTCAAAAGTCGTCATCGACTTCATGAATAGTCGACAATTGACAAGCAAATACGATTTCGAACCTGAACGAAAGCTCTATCAGCAGTGTTTGCGATTGCAGGCGCTAGATATGGTGCATCTATCTCCATAATCGTGACGAAGTTACTGATAGTGCTGGTAGGTTACCTTGGAACAACTGAGTCAGGGAGGCTAAATCACCCTCGTAAATTCCATACGCAACCAATGTACGGCAGCGACGCGGCTGTGAGCAAGCGCAGTGACGATTTACTCGTATCCCTTTATTTATCAGTGATTCGCTTGTTCCTCCAGGGTAATTGGACGATATATACGCCAGTATAGCGCCATGGGGAGGCGCAAGTAGAACACAGTTTATGATGTAGCTAATTTCGACTGAATTCGGAGCTCGCGTCGAGCTTTTACAGCCTGAATATTCCCGAGCTCAGTTCTCAGTCACTCTCGGACCATCAAACATACCTCATTCAGTTCGTCGAGCATTGGAATCGTGGTTGTCCAATCAACGCAGGCGTCCGTTATGGACACACCATATTTTAGGGCCTGTGGTCCTTCTGCAGGAATATCTTGCCGACCCGCGTGAAGGTGCGATTCAATCATAACACCTACTATTGCAGCTTGACCTTCTCTGATTTGATTTGCGATATCCTTCAGTACAATAGGCTGATTGTTATGATTCTTTGACGAATTTCCGTCTGCATTATATCAGTTTTGGTCAGTGGGAAGACCCCGGATATGAGGGGAGGGCTTACGGCTACAATCTATCATGATGGCTGGATGCCTATCCGGCCTCGCTTTGAGACATGCAGTGACTGCTGGTTCCACAAACTCTTTGGAATAGTTCGGGCCCTTGTTTGCGCCTCGAAGAATGATATGGACATCCTTGTTACCGCTTGTGGTCACAATTGCAGCCAGACCTTGGTCAGTGACGCCCATGAAGGCGTGGGGGTTTGATGAGGAACGCATGGCGTCGACTGCAATTGTCACAGAGCCGTCGGTTCCATTTTTAAATCCTTTATTGGTTTTGAGTAATCTGGCAGCATTGAAGACTGCCTATTTCTTACCGACTGGGAAGGATACGCCGCTGGCCAATTCACGATGTAGCTGCGATTCGGTGGTCCTAGCCCCTGTGCAGGGTGGATCAGGACAGCCCTAGGTGGTGAGGTCGGATATACCTATTGCACCCCAACTGAGAAGATCCTGAGGCCAAATTAGATGAGTACACATTTCTCACGCTAGACACAGTCCGTACCGAAACATACTGGGGCGAAATGGTGTCCAAAAGTTCCACTGCGACGGGCACACCCATATGCGTGATGTCACAGAGCAGTTGGCGTGCCATTCGGAGACCCTTGTTGATTTTGAAGGATCCGTCGATATCTGTACACTCGTCAATTGCGCACGACAAGGTTGAAGCCAAAGTACCCGGATCATTGATAAGACCCTTCCACCCCACGGTTGTTCTGGATTATGGTTAGCATTGCGCCTGCCATTAACCGACGAGCCACGTACCTCGGTTTCTACAAATTCATTGATATTTGCAATGATAGTCGGAGGTAGCTTACCTCGCTAAAGATTGAGAGGATGAGACAGATTAGAGAAGTGTTACTGACACTCACAAGTACGTCCGCATGATAATATGCAAAGCGTCCCACTCGGGAATTTTTGCTTTGAGTAATGCCGCATATTCGAGTGCTTGTTTTGTGTCATGAATACCTGGAACGTGATAAATTTGGCGTTTACATATAAAAGCGCTAGAAACTCACTACAAGGACCGACTATCACGAGTACGCGGTCATCGAAACCAGATATAATCCCCGCAGCACCACGTCTGCCACGAGCCACAGTAGCCTGCGACTCGGGGGTGGAAACGATCTCGTGCTTGAGTAGAGCCGGCTGCAGGAGAGGCTGGTAGCTCGTTACACGGCGATCATCGATGTACTTTTGAAGCTCCTCTTCATCTAGGAGAGGAGTAGCTGGCACGGCGTACGTGGACATTTGTTCGTATGCAAAACGAGTGGGGTGGGCGAGTCCAAGTCGTGACTTGGTTGCCACTCCTAACCGAGCTTCGTCCGATTATGGCCAATGCACAGTTCGTTGATCCTCACAAACGTTGTAAATTCCGAAGAACGTGCTTAGTGATGCCGACGGCGACAGGAAACGCCTGGTCACGCCCTTGCCATGGTTTAGCATCAAGAGCAAAGCCGCAGGCAAAAAACTCTTTATCAACATATGCACGCAGGAATCAATTCCAGAACCACTTGTAATCCCCGATAATGAGCTCGAGAAACTCTGTATTGCCGCCTCGAGTGATCCTGGGCGACTTGGGGAATACACGCTGCCGATCATACTCTGCCATCCACGAGTGGACATCGACAAGGCAGAGAAGGAGTGTCTAGCTGGGTGATACACTCAAGCCAGCGTTCAGAAGCTAATCAACTTATCAAGGTTATCGATGCTCTGGTCCACCCTACCGTACGCCACAGCGCCGAAAGGATTGCCTCTTTTCGAAATGTCATGATAGGTGTGGTTAAAACTCTCTCGTAACGAGTCTAAGTACCGTATAGCAATTGTCTTGGACACAATCGAGTCTCAGCAAGATTGGCAGATCTCCAGAGGCAGGTGTAGCGGTTGAGAGCTTGCTCTCACTAAAGGAGACCTTTTCCAGAGATCACTTTACCCAAGCTACGCTACAAAGGGGTCTTGAATCCGCGGGAGATCGAGGTCAATTCTACGAGCTCCCCAACATTCAGACAGACGTACTCTCATGACGTCTACAGCGTCGAAATAGATGTCCCTCAACTTGTGAGTGATATCGCTGGTATCATATTACTATTGTGTCAAATAGTAGCGGCAGACAAAACAAGAATATGCAGAAGCGCATGTGGATGTAGACTTAGGGAACATCTACTTCCGGTGTGGCTCTCTCTATGACCTGTCTTTGGCTGTCTCCACCCCTGATGACAGGCGGATTGATATTGGGCAGACAAGGGCTCGATGGTTTGTGAAACAGCAAAAACTGGTCATACAAGCTCCACTTCTCTAGACTCGAGAGTGACATCCTATGTCGAAGCCGTAGGGCTGAGATTCGCCGATCTCAAGTCTAGAGGGGATCGTAAAGAAGTGTAGATATGCAGAGATTTCGAAAATTGCTCACCTTGCACGGAGAATTGTTTACGATAGCACGCTCGGCTGCGTAAAATGAGTTGCGTTTCGATATTGAAGCTGTCGCTCACCAGTATGGCTCCTCGTCATGCTCCTGAAGCGAATACGAGTCCAGGCGCTTGTTACAGGCGGAGCAGGTGAGGCATGCCTAATGGGACGGTCAGCCGCAAATACGCTCAGCCGTGTTATTGACCTTGTGCCATTTCTTACCAATGGCGTTGACCTTTTGACGTATATAAGTATTGTGCAGAAACACATTGTCTCATACAAACTTGCTCAGCAAAGTAAACAGCCTTGTTGCATCTCGGGCAGGAAGGCGATGAGCCAAACATAGTAGGGACCCTCGACGCAGCGTTTGAGCGAGAGAACATACCACCGGTATAACTAGGGGCTAATTCTCGCCGAGGGCTATGAGGAGACCCCGTTGTCTGTTGATGGGGAAGAGTTGAGTTCCTAGAAGACCACGATGTCGCCATAGACCGTCCACCAGGATGCCTCGGGGAGAAATCCGTTTCTTCAGACATTGCCAAGGGGGGCGAAATTTGCGGTGACGTAGATACACTAGGAGAGGCGTTATCCACCTGAGGCAGATTCACGCTCCTCGTCCGATTTGGTGAGAGGTTTGCGGACCGCAGGTCCTGCGTTCCAAACTTGTTTCTATGGCAAGGGCGACTCAAGACGAGTCAACTCAGGCAAGACGTAAGGGCAGGTCCTACCAAAATGGCTACGCCACGCAATTAGTACCATAGGAACCTTTGAAAGTGGCACGTTGTCTTACTTCTTCGTCGTGCTCTACAAAGTTGGAGTCCAGCCGCTTTGTGCACTCGGCACATTTGAAGCAGTACTTGAAGCGCTCAGCTGTGGCCAGAGATTCTGCCTAGGGAACCCACCTTGTGGTACATCTGTCCAGATTTTATCGTCAGTCGGTCATCTTCGTGGCATGTTATTCCCTGTACTTGCCTTTCTGCCTGGGCCAAGGACCTAGTTGGTGTATGAGCGCGCATGCAGACTGATGATCGATTGACAAACTTGTTCAGCCAGGTAGACTATCTTTGAGCACCGTGGACAGGTGGAGGGCTGGCCAAAGGACTCCATGAGGCAAGTCGCGCCAGGGATCAAGTCTACTTTGCAGCCGCTTGGGTGTCATTTGGAACTGACGTCCACCGAGGACTGTAAACGCAAATGACGGGACGCTCGTACGACAGTATTGCTAGTGAAAGGAGACTGCGGAGGAACAGAGTGACTGATGCGGATTTGTTCAAGTAAGTCTAGAAACAAGGATAGCGCACCAGCTAACCGGCCGCTGTCAGCTACTGCCTCAGAGTTGCGTCAGTGATCCAGAAACTCTCACAGACAGGATGAACTCAATATGCGCATAGCTATCTGTCCTTCTTGCTCGCACCTCGCGCTCCGCAAGCACCAGCAGCGTCGGCCCTCAATGGCGACGCACGAGACTCTCGCGACTATCAATCGCGACTATCAAGCATAACTAATTCATTTGCGGCGTTTGGAGAGCTGATCAAAGACATGAGTGGCCGCGAAGGCTCAAAACAAGTCAAGTTTCCAGAGAAACTGCTGAAAGTGCTCGACCAGAGGATGCAGGACATTGCTATGGGAAGAGATCAAACGTTTGCATCCTACTGCCTTGGGTTGTTATCGCTCATCGTCCATCACAGGTACCACGACCTCATCACACGTCGAACGATTGCCAAATTCTGGGGGACCTTCAAAGATCCAACGTTTCATCGACAAATGGAACGCAATAGAAAGGTCGAAGAGCTCATCCTCAATTTTGTCACAACAGCGAGTGCTTCGCTGCGTCAAGACCCTCAATTGGCCTCTAATGACAGCTGGAAATTGGAGCTAAACAACCAAATTGCGTACTTTACTCGTATCGTGCGAGACGCTCTAAAGAATGTGAGCCATGTCCCGCCAGAACTCACACAGCGAGTGGATATGTACGTATCGAAGCTCGTACCATCTTCTGGTGGTCTTCCACAAAGTTCAGATGCCGGCAAACAAGAAATGGCACCTCCTCCCGCCGCTACGTTGGCCGACATGGTCCTTGTCCGAGTAGTAGGCCGTTTATTTGATAAAACGGACGATGAACTTCAGAGGGAGATTAATGGCATTAAAAAATACTGCACAGAAAAGGCAAGTCTGCTTTATATACCCCTTCTTAGCTCACTAGTTTTCTAGGCTGCTCTTATTGACCTGAAAGTGGGTAGAGCGCTATGAATAATGGCATACTGCTCACCGTTCACCTAGATGTGTTTGCAAAACATCAATGCTGGTCTCCCATTCCCGGGTCGTCGTGAGGACTTCCCCGACGAGACATCGTTCCAACACTGGAAATCACTCGAACAGACACATCTCTCTCAACTGATGGTAGTCATGGTCCAGTTCAATCCTGAGCTTGCAAAGTCATCCTCCTCGGAAGCATATGCTGGATCTAGACCAGAGTCACTTTATTCGAATAGGCTATCCGTGGTCAGTAGTCGACAATCTGTTGTCCTACCAGACGGTGATCTCCCAGATTCCATGGGGGATGAAGGGGGCAACCAGGGGTTTACTTACATTCCGCCGAATCCAAAAAGATTCTATAAGAAGCTGATTGAAAGGTGCATCGAATACGATCTAAGGGCCATGCATACCCTCCCGGAGGACCAAGAGGTTCCCCTTGGGATTCTCTCAACCTCTCACTTGGATATAATCAACGAGTGCGCGCTTAGATGGCGAATAATGCAATCTTACCGAGTCACTTGCTTCTTGGACGTGATCAAGTACAAGTACGAGAGGGAGGAGGTACCACTGGAGTGTATACCCGAGGCACTTCAGCACGTGGAAAAGGAATTTGAACCAGAAAGATGGCCTGTTCCAGACGTGAGTTTAAATTTAGAAAACGGGGTTTGGAATTGCTGAAAATTTGCAGAGAGAGTACCTTGGAACCGTGGCAAGTTCCATATTCAACATATTCCTGGCTGCCTTATATCACACGTTCGAGCAACTTCCAAATCTCAAACGCAAAGCAATATCGCCTTTCCTTGGCATTCTCGAACGCGTCAAAGGCACTGGTGTCCTCGAAATGTATGAGATCGATGTCTCGGCAAGGATGCGAGAGCTCTCCGATAGGATCCGAATCCTAGCAATGCATCATTATACCGACAAAAGCTCGGGGATTCTTACGGACCCCGGAGTGAATCGAGCTCTGCCATTTATTCTGCTCAGCGAGGGTCTAGAAGAGGTGGCAAGTAAATTGGATCAAACTTTCAAGCAGCCACTACTTGGGTGAGTGATTTCCTTACGTTAGGTTGACCTCCAGAACTTAAACGTTGGCTCAGAGAGATCGATATCGTCGGCTTATTCGTAGAGACACAGGTGCCATTATATCTTACGGACCTCGAAGAATCCAGGAGACGCCTGCTTGAGAGCTCTGCAACCACACCAGCCCCAGAGACCCCGATCGAGGATATATTTACCCTTTACAAGGCTACCAAGTCTCTGATGGATCTTATGACTCTTTATGCCCCAAAGTAACCCACCGTTTGATGATCCCTAGCAACGGCTGACTCCCTTTCAGTGTGGAGAAACAGTTTGATTTGGGATCCTTCTTCGAGCCATATGTGCGACAATGGCTCCTCGATACGGACTCGAAAACAGCCCAATGGGTCCAATCGGTAAGATATATATAGTTTGAATCCGCGGACTTATATTGAACCGGCGGATAGGCTGTTACCGTTGACGACTTTGAACCCAAGGGGGCTGAACGTCACAGCTCTTCCGTTGTGGACCTCTTTTACTCTTTGGATACACCGATAAACTTTTTGATGGACCTTCAATGGCCAAACGCATACCAGGAAGCACGTTTCTGCACCACCTTGGCCAAAGTGAGTCACACGTCGAGCGCTGCTTGTACGTTACTAATCCACATAGACCGTTAGCAAACTTATGGAACAGTATTGTCGCAGCGTGGAGGAAACCTTCATGGAAGAAATGTTTCCGCGAACCGCGGATCCGTATCTCCAACCTCAGCGGCAATCTGCTTGGCTGGAGAAAGCAAAGCAAAGCATACAAGGGGATAAGAAGGTCGAACCGTTCAATTTCAAGCCCGAGGTGAGCCCAGCCAGGTTCATGAGTGAAGACTGTTCTGACTCCTTTGTAGTCTTGCGTGAAACTTAACAATATTGGTGCAGCAAGAGGGCTGTTAGACAAGATCTATACTCGCCTTCGTGCAGACGAGATGTCGAGGATCATGAAAGAGGAAGCACCAGCGGTTCCATCCAAAGAAACGATTCGCAATCTCTTCACAGTCAAGATTGTCATGGCTGAAGGACTTGGTAACTCGGATAATCGAGTCATGGATACATTTGCAACTTTGAGTGACGAACATGGGCATCGTCTCGCGAAAACGCGTACGATATACGAGACGACTGATCCGCGATGTGAGTGATTCGCTTCTCTGCCACCAGGCTCACATATTTTAGGGGAAGAAACTTTCGATATCTCGGTCGATAACCCCCTGTGGCTTATGATTAGCGTTCGAGATCGGTCGCTCATCGGAAAGCATGACATTGTCGCTCGCAATTACATCTGCCTTGATCCCCGACGATACGGGGACTTTCTCGCTCATGATCTCTGGCTCGACCTGGACCCACAAGGCAGGATCTTGTTAAGAATCAGTATGGAAGGAGAGCAGGATGATATCCTCTTCTTCTTTGGAAGAGCATTCCGGTCACTCAAGCGAACAGAGAGCGATATGGTCCGCATTTTCATCGACAAGGTCGGTGTCATTCTTTTGCTTGATGGTTGATGAGCTGATCACATCCAGATGTCACCATTGTTTAGAGAGGTCCTCTCGAGGACTACCCTCAAGCGTCTCAGTAAAGTGGGGGGATTGGACTACAACAAGGCAATCGGGAATGTCACAGCCTTATTTGGCTCGTTGACCGCAGGATCCTCGTCCGAAGTGCAGATTCCACTACCTCAGCACGAGAAGCCACGCATCAAGCCTGAGAGTGGGGTGTCCGACGAGGAAGTCGAGGCGGCTATGGGACCACTCTACGATTACCTGAACGATAATTTGCAAATCCTCAATACCAACCTAAGTGACGCGGCCAGGGAGACAGTGATGAACAAGATTTGGAAGGAGATTCTCCTCATCATTGAAGGATTACTTGTTCCGTCGCTGGGGGACACCCCGTCGACGATGAAACCACTTCACGACAAGGAGCTGGATATCGTATTCAAATGGCTCCGGGTACGCGCTACACTCTGTCGTTACCTCTTTCTGATTTCCTAGTCACTGTTGAACTTCTTCTACGCTGAAGGAGAAGGAATGAGCATGGAGTCACTACAGAATCCAAAGTACCGAGAAATAATGTCGTTGCGTCTGTACTACGACTGGCATACGTACGTTATTGACTGGCTTGCCGAGTTGTTCTCACCTTGCGTAGCGATCAGCTGATGGAGGAGGCGGTACGAATGATGCAAGCTCAGCTTCGAAGTGCACCCACTATGAAAAAGAGGGCGAAATCTGTGTATTCCCAACGGTCAGTTTCCGAAGATGGTATCGAATATCACTGAAGGACGTGCAGGAGCTTGGGGACGATCAAAGATCGCAAGCGAGAGAAGAGGCGAGATAAACAAGGTGATAATACGGCAGAGCCAATTTTAAAGATCCTGAGGATGAGGTTTGTGGCTGTGTGAACCAACCGGGCGCGTCTAACGAATCGGCAGGCCTAACACCACAGATTTTCTGCAGCAGCAAGTAGACATAATGCAGAAAATCCAGGCAGAAAAGCACCAGCAGCATCCGAGAGGTCACGCGGTTCCTCCTTTGCCTCAATGATAGCCACCCTCTTGGACAATCAATCGCATTACAAGCATGTATAAATACAATATTCTAGTACTTTCTCCCATACCATCTCATGGTTTGTTGGCCGTTACCCCGTCTATACGCGGCGACTGCGTCCTCGCTCGGTAACGCACTTTCGCCCACCCAATCCGCTATCCAACGCCTCAGCTTTCCATAGTCACCTCCGTACTCTTGACCCTTACGAAGCTCAAAGGACTCGAATAGTGGGGGCAATCGCGACACCTCGCCAAAATACATAAGTGCGGCACAGAGCGTCTTGTGGAGGGGTTTGATGCCCATCTCACGCATCCATGCCAACGCTAAGGGGATTTCAGCCTGAAGTTCGTTCCAGCCGAGGAGGAAGATGTAGGCATGGAAGGTCTTGTCAATGGGAATGATTGTCGGCCAGCGCAGCTCCGGGGCGGGATCCTTTGTCACCCAGAGGCGATCTGAGATGGTAGTAGGTGTATAGGTACCCACTGGACAGGGGATTGCCTGAAGATGGGGCCAGTTACCCAGTACCGCGTCCCGGAAGATAACCCTAGCGGTGATAAACGCCCAATCACCATGCCAGAAGCCTGATTCTGGAGGGGTTTCTAGCATTTGAGAGATAGCGACCGAAGGAGTCTCGGGTAGTCTCTTCTGGGCCCAAAACTGCTTGAGTGGATTGAATATACCCAACTGACCGAGAGCAAGCTCGATGGTTGGATCAATGAGAGACGCACGTCGAGCAGAATCCAACAAAATGGCCATGGTGATACCATCAGGCCAGACGCCGTAATATTTCTCCATTACATCCCAAAGCTTGAACACAACATCGGGTCGTCCACCACGATTCAATCGATCCATGAACCCATTGACGATCGCAGTGTCAAGCTTTACGCGGCCGCGGCTTTCGACCCACTGAGCCTTCGCCATTGGCCATGAAGGGTTATCTTCTGCGGGTAAATAATCTTTGAAGGCAAACGCGTCCATGGTCTCAAACGCCTCCTTGTACCGAGAAGTTGCACAGTACGACATGACAGCCGCAGTCAACGCTCGTCGGTCGATTGATCCCGTGGTCTTGAGGATACGATCCCAGACCTTGAGAGCATCATCGTACTGGTTTCGCTGCCGGAAAGCGTCCATCATCGCCGTTTGCGTCACAATATCCATTTTATTGCCTCGATAGGCTTGGATTTTGAGCCAGAAGGCGCGCATGGTATCGGCATCCACCGAGGTATCTCGCCCTATGGCGGTGATAAGAGTCGACCACTCATAAGGGTCAAGCCGAAGTCCTGCAGAGTTGCCCCGGGTGAGCATTTGGAGAGCTTGTGTAATGTTTAGACGGGCCATCCTTCCGGTCCGGCGACGACGCAACACCCCCATGGGATGTCGTGAGACGTGATAATGTGGTCGATAAGCACGCCCCCAATCCTGACTGATGCGCACTTTGGAAGGAAGATACTGAGCGAGCTCGGGATATGCAAGGCGGTGGATAGCGAGTCGAGAAGCAATGTGTGGATTGATTTGAATGGAAAGATGTGACATTCTATTTAGAATCTTTTCCAGGATGGCACGTGCAGTTTCGTCCTTGGGCAGGCGGCTACACACGGCCAACAGTTCGTTGAAGTGGAATTCTGGCGTGCTTGACTCAACCTTGAGAATCCCGTCCAGGTGCTCCAGTAGATATTTCCCCTGCGAGTAAACTTGCAGACGATGAATCGCGAGGAGGAGCATCGGGAACTGGTAAGCGGGCTTTGTGCGCTCTAGCTGATTGAGTGCGAGATCCAAGGCAAGAGTGGCATGCCTTGGGGTGCTGACACGATTTGTTATCAAGTGCAGCGTAAGCCAGGTCGGCAGTGACCTCGGACGCGAGTCGCTCTCGGCATAAAGTGATTCCGCGCCGGGAAGCAGAGGATGATCAACGAAAGTCAAATAACGGTCTGCGACTAGTCGTTGTAAAGCATCATAGATATTTGGAGAAGATGCAATAGAGCGCCAGTAGCTGTCACTCGGGTCCAGCAAACTATTGGCCAGCAAGCTCTGGTGGTGTGGGCCGTATTTGTTCAGCAAAATGAGTCGATTCCACATCGCTTGGTCTTCATGTCGACGACGTTGGGCCCGCAGGAAGCCGTTAATTGTACCGAGAGGTCCTTTTAGGAAAATTATATGGGGCCGGAAAGATGATTGAGCAGGTCTCTGCACAGTTTTGGTGGCTATAGTGGATGTTGGATGTGTCTCCTGCACCAACGATGAGATGTTGCACTTTTTGACGATGGGTTGGCCAATTCGGAGTCTGGGAGCAGCGAATCTCATTCGCAGTGCATCAGAGTGCTAGTTCAGATAGGTAGTAGATATGATAAGCATTGTGTATAGGGAAAACGCGACCGTCGACTTACCAGCTGCAACGGTTTGGTTCAAGTGTGCTTGAACAACTTTCGACCTAACCCACTGCGACGTTGGGGTTCAATGAAACTTGGAAATGAAGAGTAACTCACAAAATGCAGCTCACAGGAGACACTCGGGACTCTCTTATGCCTCATCTTCGTCGCGTATGCCAGGTGCCTCATTCGCCATCGTCAACGGCAGCAGATGGATCACCGAGGAAGAAAAGCAACAAAACAAAGCCACAAATGCCGCAGCTAGATTCATTTCTTGCCTTGTTCCCTACCTCGACATCAGCTCCCTTACCGAGTTCACTCCTGGCGTCTGGGGAAGCTTTGTACTAGCCAGATTCGTCTCTGTCAAGAGTTCTAAGGGGAATAAATTTGTAGAAGTCTTCTATGTCGCAGAAGACCCCGTAAGAAGACGAGTAAGGTCTTCTTTTGCACCGTTGCGTTAATACTGATAGGCCCTAGCACATTCAAGAGCTCGAACGTCAGCTCGACGACCCCAAACGATTAATGCGGATGAAAGAGGCTCGAATGTAAGTCAGAGAGAGCTCCTTTTCGCACGCTGAATTTGTTTTAGCCTATACGTTCACCAACCTGGCCCTATCCCTTCTTCACACCATGCGGACGACATTCCACTTGGGGTGAGACACGTGCTACAGAGGCTGTGAGTGTCGAGTGTGGTCATCAAATACAAGGATTGAATCGTAGTTCAAGGAGTTCGAAGTCGGAGTCTCAAGTTGGCCCCCGAGCTTTCAAAAACCCGGCAAAGGAAGATACAAAGAACAACCTGGAAGCGATTGAGATTGTCAGCGATGAATCGGTACTTGCTGCCTTTTCTCTCCCATATTGCCTGACACACTCCCAGGATGATGACCTAGAATCCGAATCATTCTCCTTTGCTTTGATCGCAGCCGCGGAAGATGTTCACGAGGATCAAGTAGCACACCATCGGCCTGGACATCGCTCTACGCTGCGCTTTTGGTCGCACATCCAGAACTTTACCCCTGCAGATCAGCAAAAATCGAAAATAGTGGTTATCAGCAAACTTGCAAAGATCTCTTGGAAATCTTACCGTGAGGTCTTTTGCATCAAGCCTTCTTCCGCAGCTGATGAAAAGGCTCAGGTAGGTTTGACCAGCTTGTCCAATGAGAGTGCTCACCGCTCATTCAGGCCGATGTATATGACTTGAAGAACCGGTTGCGCAAAGCGACCAGCGACCTTCTGGCCATGGGAATGTGAGATTATGATCCGCTCAGAACCGCTTCTGACGTCTCTTCGAGGATATTCGTGGAACGCCCAGCCAAAAAGGTTGGCCACAGCCCCCTCTATCAAGTCTCAGAACAAGAATTAAAAATGATACGACAACTGGCCCTTCCAAATATTCTCAAGACATCAACCACATCAAAAGCATTGACACAGCTCCAAAGATCTTCTCCCAAACGGAATCCAATTCAGACGATCCGGTCACGCATCCCACCATTGCGCGCGACACGCTTCAACGATTCTACCGAAGTCGAAGTTATAGATATTTCAGATGACGAGGAGGATGCAATTCCCGCTCCTGGATCCAAACATGCCCCCATCGACATCGACGACTCTGATGAGGACGCCTCCGCACCCTTCTGGGTGAGTAAGAGTAAGGGAAACAATCTTGCTCTTCCTGACATCTCCTCTGCCAAAACGTCACCAACAAAGTCCGCAGAAGCAGTGCGATCAAACCTCATACTATCGTTGTCTGAACCGCCTTTCGCGCCCGTCGACGCAGCAGCAGATGATCTTGCAGGCAGCCTTCTTGAAACAACAGTGTTGCCCATCGATTTGGCACTAAAATCAGATACTCTTCCCGGTTCGGCACTGAATTTGGACGAAATTTCCGATGAAGTTGTCTCTGCACAAGAAGGAACTCGACCCATTGTGGCGGCAGAAACTTCAATTGTGAAAAAAATATTACCTTTGACTGATCAAGGCTCAGATGTGGACATGTTGGATGTAAGTGGAACGGCTCGTTTGGCGGTTCATACTTACTCCCTCTAGTCCATGTCCGCATCGTCTCCATATAGCCAACGAGCCTCTAGCACAACACCTCCACGTAGCAGGGGTAGCGAGGACAATGACCCAACGGAGCACGAAGCGGATGAGAATCAAAATTTGCCTGACACAGCCCACAGCGTCAAGACTTCGTCTGACGACGAACTTTTGCTCAAGCCAATGCCCAATCTCCCCACTTCCGAACAATCAAGTGATACGGTCAGTAAGCCAATTGGAGCCCGTCGTATATGTCTGACATTTCAACGTAGGGAGAGGGGTTAGTTGAAGACACAGACTCATACTCCGAATGGGCTGGTAGAATGGCTGCGAGCATGCACCCAAAGGTTGCAAAGCGATATCTTGCAAAGGCCCGCAAATACCATCGTGACCCGCTGGATAGCTCGTTTTCGGACATGATGCGCAATCTCCCGACCGGGTATCAACGAGCAACGTTCAATCGAGCCATATTCGAGAGCTGGATTCTTCAAAACACACCTGAAGAGTCCGAGGCGCCACCTATCACCGTCAAGAATAATGTGGACGATGAACCGTGTCCAGCTTGGGATTTCACTTATACAAACGCGCTCATCCGGGGTGATGGTGTCCCGAAACCCTTAGCTCCTGAAGTGCAAACGGGGTGTCAATGTGTCGGAGGGTGTAGGTCAGACTCAAGCCTGTGCGCTTGCGCAAAGAGACAAGAACACTACGCATTAGAATACGGGAATTCCGGCTTCCTTTACGACTCTGAAGGTCGACTGGTGCACACAGAGTTACCTATCTTTGAGTGTAATGATGCATGCACCTGCGCGATCTATTGCCGCAACCGTGTGCGTCCAGCCATACTCGCCCGACCTCTACTGAACCACACACGTAGGTTGTCCAGCGCGGTCGAAGGCATGCTCTCGAGATCCGCAAGACGTCCAACAGAGGATGGGGTGAATACTCCTGCCCAACGTTTGATTCGTTAGGCACTTACGGTATGCTGAGCAGGTGTTTTTGCCAAGGAGCCTATTCCTGCTGGCAGTTTCATTGGAGTCTACTCCGGGGAGCTTTTATTGGACGCCGAAGCGGAAGTTCGGGGAAAGGAGTAAGAGGCAGTCATTCTCGAGGTGATAACTAACAATGGCCAGACTATATAATCTCTATAACCGCAATTATTTGTTTGACTTGGACTTCTGGGTCATCAAAAAAGTAATGGAAGATCGAGGAAAGCATTTCCGCTTACAGGCAAGCCGCTGACGAAGGCGTAGACTGAGGGGTCTTATCTTTGACCAGTACACGATCGACGCTATGCACGCAGGGTGCTTCACTCGATACTTAAATCATTCGTGCGACCCAAACAGTGTTATCGTACCTTGCATCTTCGGAGGCGCGGACGCAGAAATCCCATATCTTTGCTTTTTCACTAGGAGGGATGTCGGAATAGACGAAGAAATCACTTTCTCGTATAAAGGAGACATAGATGAGGATGAGGAAATGGGTACGCTCGATTGCTGGCACTGCCCGTGAGCTCTGACTCGTTTGCAGAATTGGTAGCAGCCCGTAGGCGCACAGAAGCAAAGAAACTAAAGAAAGGCAAGAAGAAAGTTACACAAAACAAAGGGGCACAGCTGAGGATCAACGTCGAGTGCAAGTGTGGAGCTGCCAATTGCAACGGCTCCATTTGGAACTGGAGAAGCTCATCAAGTGAAGAGGATGGGTAAGGTGGCATAAATTCTTGGGCGCTGTTCATATTTTGTTTCCCTCGTTAACCTGCTGCGACATAAATTCCATACAGTTTCGTAGCAAAATGACATTACGCGTCGCACCGAATCGCGAGACAATAAACATGAGTTCCGTACGGAAACGGCGCGGTAGTGGGCAAATAATGGTATCTGCGGGAGGAGACTAAGATGCCTTGACTTGCTTTCGCAATAGAGCGGCCAAGCCTGAGGGTGAACAAGCCTTCTTCAAGAATTCGTGCTGGAAAAGATGTCAAGGCTCGATAAAGAACATAGAAGAATAGTGCTTACATCCAGCAATTCTGCCGCACTTGCTCGGCTCTTCACATCGACGCAGAGACAAACACTCAGGAAGTGCTTGAGCTCTCGACTCAGAGCCTCCGGTTTCTTAAGCGTTGGCGTTCCATTGGTTGCAATGAGATAGAGTGCCTTTAGGGGTTCTTCGTCGAGGTATGGTGGCTCGTTTTCGATCATCTCGATAGCCATGATGCCCAATGACCAGATGTCAACCTTGGCGCCATACTCTTTCTGCTTCACGACCTCTGGTGCCATCCAGTATGGTGTCCCGACCATAGTGGCTCTCTTCGACTTTTGATCCGTGAGTTTGGCACAGAAGCCGAAGTCAGCTAGGATTGGGTGAGTGATCAGATTATGTGACCGACGGGAGGAAGACATACTGATCTTGACGCGGCCTTGCGCGTCGAGTAGGACGTTATCAGACTTGATATCTCTGTGAATGATACTTTGATCGTGAAGGTGTCCTAGGCCCTTGCAAGTCTGATAGAAGGTCGGTCAGATATCCTACGGCAATGGAAGAACGAACCTCCAGACAGATGCTTGAGATCTGGTCTTCCTCCAGATTGTTATTTTCAATCACATCGGTGAGGGCGCCTCCCTCCATAAATTCCATAACTACCCAGAGCTCGTTCCCTTTGACAAGGTAGGCGTCGAGGAAGTTGACAATATTTGGATGTTGTGACTCTTTCATGACGAGAATCTCGTTGACGATAAGCTCCTTCCTGGGCTGGTGGGCCAAATCCATCTGTTTGATTGCAACCTTCTTGCCCGTCGTGAGCGCCTTTGCGACATAGACATGTCCCGATGCACTGCCACAGATGAACAAATCACCCGAGGTCGAAGATATGAGACGTACCCTTGACCAATCTTCTTGATCGTCGAGTAGAGCGTCTTTGGGTCATCTTGGTTGACAACGCTTCGGAGCTTATCCATAATCTGTGCCTCTGTCATTGTGCTGAATCGCTTTTCTACTTGCTTGGGCATTGGCTTCTCGAGGGCGGCTTGAGCGGCACTAATAGCAGCGTTTTCGACAGGAGGAAGCTTTTTGGCAGGTTGAAGAGGTTTGACTGGTGGAGGACCGACAAGTGCGCCTGCCGGGCCTGGTGCTGGATCTGTCGCCGGATTGGCGTTTGCGGTCATCGACTTTGAAGGAACAAGCTGTGGACGCTGGGCTTCTTGCTGAGACTGTTCTGCACGTTCCCTTTCTCTCTCTCGTTGGCGTTCTCGCTCCTTTTCCAATTCGCGTTCTCTTTGGCGCTGCTGCTGCTGAATTTGCTGAGGAGTGGGCTGAGGTAGCGGTCTATCGTTGATAGATTCCTTTCGGGCTGGCACAGGCTGCGGTTCCCTCTCTCGTTGTGGAGCGGGCGCATCCTCTCTGGATTTAGTCGGCACAAGATCTCTGGGTCCTTGGGCACGGGGTGGCGTCGTACTACTTGCTTTGGGCGACCCGCGGGATGGCTGTTGCTGGACTTGTGGGCGCGGAGGAGCTGGACGGGTAGCCTGAAGTTGTGGAGTAGGACCCCGCGCAGAGCTGGAAGTGCCATTGGCGTAATCCGTCCGGCTTGAATATCCCTTGGGGTCCAAACCTGGCGGAGCGCTCTCCTGTCGTGTTAACGAAGGGCGCTCATGTTGCTCTCTGGAAACGAGGCTCGTCGTAGAGGCTGAGGGAGATGCCGTGGATTTGGCGCCAGCATAGCCAGTGCCCTCATTGAATCGTGGCGCAGAGGAGCCATATGGGGGACGATTACTCGATAGAGACCCGACGCCGCCCATACCACCACCCATACCACCCGTCATACCGTGTTCTTCAAACTCGCGCTTCTGATGCTCCGTATAGAACCCTAAGGCATCCAAAACGGCTTGCGGGTTTCGCGCGTAATCTTCCCGAGTAATCGCAGACGAGGTCAGTAGCCGTGTCCATTGTTCTGGTAAGCCCTATACAAAGGATTTGGTGGTCAGCCTTGTGACAGTGGCGATATCGGGTAGTCGAGGCTTAGTCCACGAGACAAGCTCCGGCGGGGGATGCAACAGGTAGATTTATGGGATGTACGCACAGTAAAGTTGCCGGTCGTTGGATCGAATCCGACGTGGATTTTATGAACAAAATTGACGGGGTTGCTGAATCCCATGAGAGGGCTACGCGCGTAAATGTCATCCTTCCAACCGTAGACTTCGTCGTCGCTCTTGAGATTGAAATAGATTTTGCGATCCTTTGTCTCGATGAGCAGACAGTACGGCCGCAGGTCTGTCCGGTCAACATTGGTAATGTCCGCGAGGAGTAACATAGAGGTTTGAGGGGCCGTCTAGATGCATGTAAGCCGTCTTACATGTATGAAAGAGGATAGAGTGATTAGCTAAGTGGGCATTTGTCGCTCACCTCGTTTTTGTGAAAGGAGATAAGGTGCTCCTTGAGGATGAGCCACTTTCTGCTCCACAAAAAGCTTGCAAAGCCATCTTCCTTGACAGAGACATAACCTTGCCTGACGACGCCGCCGTCGGACGGACCGCTGGCGCTCAGAGCAGTCGACGAGCCGGAGCGAAAGGACGCGTTGGATGATGGCGAAAAGCCGATAGAGGACGACCCAGAGCCGTAGGGCGCATAGTTTGCAGAGTACGACGAGCCTGCGTACAGACTGTTATTGACGGGCCCGCCTCTGCCATTGGGAGCAGACGGCGCGGGGCGTGAGGGCGTCAGTGAGCCGTAATAGGCCATCGTATCTGCGAATTATCGAGAATATTGCCAAGGAGAGCCTGCTAGTGAGTAGCCCTTTGGCCACCGTCGGAGGCAATCGATGGTCAAGCGGGTCTCACCACCGGCAGCCCGCACGGTCAGATGTATATATTCATCCTTGCTACACCTTATACACTAGCCTCCCATACCGCTTCCACCTCGCTGTCCCAGTTGCGCAGTCACCCGGTAAAGCTCGCTGGCACCTTCCAACATGGAATACCTCAGTGCAAAGCGCTGGATAATAGTCACGATTCCAAACCACTCCTCCTCGTCCATCCCCGCGGCCCAAATCCCGTGCGCCGGGTCGGGCCTCGACCTCAGCAACAGTAGACAAAATTTCGAGAACTAGAGTCAACACAGTCACTCCCTCAGCAAAATAGAAAAGTCTGTACTTACATTCTGAATAGCCTTTCCGCATGCATCCTCTGGATTGATGCCAATTTGGCGCCCATCCGGCCCTCCCTCATCTTGCATGCGGTCCACACAATCGTCACAATGTGAAACAAACGCAATCAGTGCGGCTTGTCGTGCACAGACAGCCACCGTCATCTTCTCATCGCTGTCCGGAAATGCAAGAGGGCGGTTGTCCCTCAGCAGCCTCGTCCACAGGTCAAATGTCGCGAGTGTCGGTGGCAGACTAGTGAGGACGGGCCAACAGTATCCTCGAACATCACCCGAAGACTGGGAGATGATCTGTGAGAGCAAGAGATAGGCCAAATTCCCGGGATTGTTTGAAACAATGGCGTGAAGATCATTCAGCGGGAATAGTGCGTCGTCGGCTTCGGTCCTCTTAGGGAGTGGAATTGGAACTGTCGGAAGCATCTTCTGCAGCATCTGTATGGAAGTGAGTGGTTGTCTGAGACCAGCCGCATCACGTACACGACCCTCTGTGATGCCAAGAACTGTTTCGCTGGCGCATTGGAGAAGTCGTCTTGCCACGGACACGTCGTCAAACTCTGGGTCCAGAGGACCAGAACTTCCGGACACCGTCGATGCAATTGATCTACGGCCATTCAATAACCCATACAAAACCTTTGAATTCATAGATACCGTGGTGATATGCTTTCTTTGCCAAATGGCCATCGTGTCACCAAACTATCTGGGGAGTGAGTCGCTAGCTGCTGACGGTTCAGTTGTACGGCAGCAAGGCGGGGACGGGTTTCACCTCGAATCCCTGTCCAGTAAGAATCATTTGGAGCATAGATGCGAAGGGAGGGAATGCTGGTGCACTACTGGACAGCATCGAACCGGGTCGCGCCTTCTCAGACTCCAGCGTTTCTCTGAAAGCGACTTGAAATGGGTTGAAGCTGAGTGAGTGGTTTCTGTATAGGTACCAAAGTATGTATGCTGCTTGGATTCGAGCTTGCTGAGTGGCGGTCAGTCGGACTCAAGGCTACGACGGAAAACCGACATCGGATACTGTGATATCACCCATTATAGGCAGCAGGATACTGAGAGCGACCTGAAACTGGGCCGAGTCCGGGATACTATGGAGAAATGCTTCTGCCATGACGGAGCAAGGCGAGGAGGTCGTCCCCTGAAGAAACTCTTTGACAGGTTCAAGAAATAGATTCGAATCCGAGTCCATGATGATTTTCGGACAATGCCAGCCAGGTGTTTGAGTAATAGGCTGGCGTTTGGCAAGGTGAAACCTTGAGACCCACAAACGAGCTTCACTCCTGCACCGAGAGTGGCAAAATGCACGAGATTGTCTATCTTCAGCTAGGGAATCTTCCAAACTATATCGGAACGCACTTTTGGAACGCACAGGACGCATATGGCGAGGACGAAGTGAATCCAGAGGTCTCATGGTCTATTCGAGAGCGAATAGAAGGGATGCGGGCCAGTAGTCTCAATATAATAGCATATTATGACTAATTTGCTTCCAGAAAGTTGTCGTTTACCGCCCAAGATTGCTCATTTTCGACTTTCGCAGTCAGTCTCGCTCATTGCCTTGCCGTCCCTCTTTGACAATCATCCTCCCGTAAATGAAGAGAACTTGGGAGGGCTACAAAACTACTCTGTTGATTGGGAGCCTGGAACGATTGACGGCTCTTCAACACCAAACACAGAGGAAACTTGGTGCGTTTGCGAGGTTTCCCTTTTACGTGTACATAAGTCAATACATTATCCTAGGGGAGAGCGCGTGCAGACTCTAGAAGCGCCGCTTATTCCTCCATCTCGATACTTGGAGCAACTACACAACCAGGACGAAAGCCAAGCCAAAGTGGGGGATGAGAATCAACTAAGTGAGACCCCCCGTCCGAATCCAAGAGAGGTCCGCTATTGGTCCGACTTTAGCCACGTCCATTTTGCGCCAGAGTCGATACAAGCGCTCTCTTCCTCTGTAGAATACAACGCAAACGGCCTAGTTGCCTGGCATGAAGGGCGCTCAGATTTTGAACGCTACGATGCTGTAAGTAGTCTTCCCTCGGCAGCCACTTCTCACTTTGTGTGGTAGGAAATGGACGTGATGGATGGTCCTGTCCGCCAATTGGTCGAGGAATGTGACTCTCTGCAAGTATGTACTCGAAACTATATGGACGGCTTCTTACGACTCAGGGATTCCAAGGCATTGATCATTCACCCACAATGGCAGGATTTTCTTCCTGTCTTTCCGAGCGGATCGTCGACGAGTTTCCAAAGGTACCTAAGATACAGTTTACGCTTCTAGATGGCTATAAGGCAATTCTAGGGGCAACCTCCGTTGCGGTGAGTTATACACTATCGAGAAGCCACCCGGAATCATAATAAACGATAGCACTCACCACAGAGAATTCTCTCGAACATACTCTGTCTTCATTCTCTCTCACGATTGCACGATACTGCGGTTCCGCTGAACCCATACGAAATGTGGCCGGATTGCCCCTTGAGAGACCGACTTTCGTTGTTCGAGACGGTATGTCTGTCGGAACACAAAGAAGAATCGTTGATCACGTTTAGTATTCTGAATATAATATCTCAGCAGTCTATGCAGCTCACATTGAGACCATCACTTGGGGTACTCGGTAGGAAGTCTTGGTGGGTGATCACGCTCTATTGATGAAAAAAAAACCAGACGACGGGGAGCGGAACGACATGCCGAATACATGGTGAATCGAATGAACGTGGACGGAAGGATGCCGTTTGCATGTCTCGGTGGAATAGTGCCGATGATCGATCAAGACGACCCCTTTAAACCTTCCTCAGTTCTGGATTTGACGCTTCCCGAGGTAATTTTCAATCTATAAATTGCTCGTCTTGACTCTGAATCAATTCCTCAGCATCAAGGAAGAGCCAACGATACTCTGACGCGATACAACGTACTCAGAGGAGCCGTCGGTGATCTACGGAGCAGCAATCGTCCGTCAATTGAGCTGTGAGAGCGCTCGGCCACACTTCGTTTGACATACTGACGGTACAATCACGCAGGATTGATTCAAACCCCTATCCACTGCCCCTTTCTCACCCCCAAATCTTTACGGGCGACAAGGACCCGGCACAACTTAATTCGGTGCCTATATACAGTACTCTCGAGGTGCGAAAGTCATTTGGACGAGTGCTAGCGGCCCATACGACGTGGTGTGATGAGTATATACGACGCAAAGGGGATATTGGTAGCACAGGATTGGAGCTGGATGAGATGAAAGTCGTCCTAGAGGAGCTGCGGGCGGTAGAGGAGGTGTATGGAGACTAGGCCGTGGACCAGACGGGCCCTTTTCGGAGGCCCATTCAGGTCAATATTCCTGTTCTGATTCGAAAAGAAAAACACCCTGGCGATGCGAGCTCGCTGGCGTCGACGGCGCCGTGGCCGGGTTTGGTGATTACGCCCAAAACGTTCGATGACCCTGAGAACGAAAGCGCGAGCTCAGCTCACAGAAGCGGCAGACGGGCAACGTCTTATAGTCGCCGTCGGTCGACAAACCAGCTCCCCAAGCTTGGACCCCACCCCATCCTCGAGTACCATCGTCCAGCTGTAGAATGAGCAAGCTTTTCGATACGCAGGCACTGGGAAAGCCCAGACGTCACGTTAGAAGCGCTACTGGTATGTAAAAATCATCTTTCCTCGCCATCTCTCGTGACGTCGAGGCCCTCGTCTACATCCGTTATGTGCCTACTGCGGTGTTCTGTGGTCGTGGGCCAGCCCTGATTACTCCAACGGATTGAGAGGCATTTCCAAATGGTCCACAATGCGCAAAATCTGGCCCCGGCGGTTATCGCTTTCACGCGTCGATTTGGGGACGTCGAAAGTCTTTGTACCTCTCAGAGGCCGCTTGTCGCCGTGTCCTACACCCATCCACCCACATCAGAAGTCTAATCTCTTTCCACAGGATACTTTCCCGAAACAGATGCTACCGGAAAGGAAAAATGGCCCAGAGGAGACGAAGAGACCTGGAAGGCTGGCCTTAGGAGCGTAGATGCCGGTATGTAGCCCCCTTCGTATCTCAAGGCTCCGTTCTGGTGGGGCTTTCCAGGCCCAGCACATGGCCCCTCGCTTAGAGGGCATCCGAACGCCGTAATTGCAACCGTTTACTGATATCCCCTTCGTAGATGTCAACGATATTACCAAGAGCATCGTGTAAGTCCACTAGGATGCAAGGAAGTCTAACTTGTTTCTCATACGATTGTGCTAGTCACCATATTCAGACCTCCTTGGCCCGTCAGGCATACAATATCGACAACGTGCGTTGCCCTTGTATTTCAGTGATTTGAAGTGGCTTATTTTGCCCGTCTAGCTGGGTGCCTACCAAGCCACCGCTTTGGCAGCACGCGAAGATCTCATTATCAACGTAAGTCTCGTCGTTTCAGGACCGACTTTTTCTGACACTGCAACAGTGGAATCAAACCCAGATGACGTATACCAGAAAGCAGCCTAAACGTGCTTACTATCTCTCTCTGGAATTCCTCAGTGAGCATCCTCCAATGCATGATGCTCGAACTAACTAGCTACCAGTGGGACGTACCTTGGACAATGCACTCCTCAACCTGGGTCTGAAAGAAAAGTTCGAGACTGGTCTCGATAAGTTGGGATTCACTCTCGAGGACGTACTCGACTCGGAACGTGATGCTGCTCTGGGCAATGGTGGCCTTGGTCGCCTTGCCGCCTGCTACGTTGACTCGGGTGCCACATGCGAGATTCCATTGTGGGGTTATGGCCTGAGGTACCACTATGGCATGTTCCAGCAGCTCATCGCTCCAGATGGTAGCCAACTCGAGGCGTGCGTATACTTCCTACCGACTACTCCGTTGTTTATCTTCTCACATAGGCCTGATCCGTGGTTGGATAACTCGAACCCCTGGGAGATTCCCCGCTTGGACGTGACCGCCGATGTTCGCTTTGGAGGACACGCGGAAAAACTTGACAAGGGACGTGGAATCTGGTCTGGTGGACAGGAAGTTCTCGCCGTCGCCTATGATTGCCCAATTCCTGGCAGCGATACCAAATCGACCAACAATATTCGGTTCTGGAGCGCACGACCGAGGCGTGGATTTGACCTTCAAAGTTTCAACGGTATGGAGTATAAATGAGCGTTGCCTGATTCTCATCCTCTCAAAGCTGGAGACTATGACCGTGCAGTCGAAACGAGCAATAGTGCAGCAAATATTACAAACGTCCTCTACCCGAATGATAGTGCGTATGATCTCAGGATATGCTTGCGGTGACTCACCATTCCGTAGACCATTATGGTGAGTATCAATCCACGTAAATCAAATGTCTAAGTAGGCAATATTCCACAGCTGGCAAGAGCCTTCGCCTGCAACAGCAGTACTTTTGGTGTGCCGCCAGCCTGAGTGATATCATGCGACGCTTCAAGAACACTGGACAACCTATATCCGAGTTCCCAAATCGTACGTCGCTTTGCGTTGTCTCATCCTTATTGACAATTATCCTTGCCATCGCTGGCGCAATAACGCCGTTGCCAACTCATCTCGCCAATTGCGCCTATACTCCAATTGTATACACTCTCCGTCGGTTGCCTCTTTCGGGCGTCGGGTGGATTTTACGACGCATCCTTTATTCGGCATGCCATCTATGGTTATGTTTTTCCGATCCCAACTACCACAGACGTCGTTATTCAATTGAACGACACCCACCCAACTCTTGCGATTCCCGAGCTCATGAGAATCCTCGTGGACGGTATGATACATTTCTATATCAGGATGTATGGCCACTCAACGGTTATGCAGAGGAGGAGGTCCCATGGGACGATGCTTGGCAGATTGTGACCCGCACGTTCGCATTTACCAACCACACCGTGCTTCCCGAAGCATTGGAAAAATGGCCAGTATCGCTCTTCCAGCAACTCCTACCCCGGCACTTGCAGATCATCTATGATCTCAACTGGACGTTCCTTCAATCCGTTGAGCGCAAGTTCCCCGGTGATGTCGACAAGATGGCGAGAATGTCCCTAATTGAAGAGGGACACGGTCAGCAAATCAGAATGGCCAACCTCGCAGTGAGCACGGGAATTGTGCCCTGAATAGACTGGTTCTGACTTGAAGAAAGGTTCTGGGCTCTTTCAAGGTCAATGGTGTCGCCGAGCTGCATTCGGAGCTTGTCCGCACTACGATTCTCAAGGGTAAGGCAAACAGTGAAGTCCGAAAATAGCCTAACACCGCTGTAGACTTTGTCGACTTTTTTGGTGTTGACAAATTCCGTAATGTGACCAATGGTATTACTCCTCGGTGGGTAGCGGTGTCAAATTTCTTTCCTTCTGACGTTTACTCTTAGCCGCTGGCTCGATCAATGCAATCCCGCGCTGAGCAACCTTATCACGGAAACGCTCGGCTCTCGCGCATGGCTCAAGGACTTGTACCTTCTCAAAGGTCTTCTCGAACACGAATCCGACCCAACATTCCAGAAAAAGTGGGCTGCGGCCAAAGCTAACAACAAGGAACGACTTGCGAAATACATTAAGAATACTCTCGGCGTAACTGTGGATTCTAAGGCAATGTTTGATATCCAAGTATGTCTCGACTCTTGGGTTTGTGTAAGCGCTGATAATTTTCTATCCAGGTCAAGCGAATTCATGTATGTTTGGGACCTAGATGTCAACTCGTGAAGCTAAATCTCATAATTACAGGAATATAAGCGACAGTCACTCAATATCCTGGGTGTTATCCACCGGTACCTCACGATCAAGGCTATGTCACCGGAAGAACGTACCAAAGTCACACCTCGCGTCGTTCTCTTTGCGGGAAAGGCAGCACCCGGATACTGGATGGCCAAACTCATCATTCGTTTGATCGTCAATGTCGGCAAGGTCATCAATGCGGATCCAGACGCGAAGGGAATTTTGACCGTGCTCTTCCTTCCTGATTACTCTGTCTCATGTGAGATATTTGGCCCAAGAGGCATTCTTCAAGTGTCTTAACTTTCTTCTAGTGGCCGAACTTCTCATCCCAGCTTCAGACATCAGCGAGCATATTTCAACAGCGGGTACCGAGGCCTCTGGAACGTCCAATATGAAGTTCTGCCTGAACGGTGGACTTCTTCTAGGAACCGTTGACGGTGCGAACATCGAGATTGCTGAGGAGGTTGGCGAGGAGAACGTCTTCTTCTTTGGTCATCTCACACCTGCCGTGGAGGAACTCCGTTACCAGCACCGTTATCACCCTATGCCGGTCGAGAAGAAGAGTCCCGCACTTGCTGCAGTTCTCGAAGACATCATGAGCGGACGATACGGTGATGCTAGCATCTGGGAACCGTAAGTACTCACATTAGTCCCGTTGACTGCTACTCAAACCGCTTGTAGATTTGTCAACACCATTCGTCAAGGGGACTACTACCTGATCAGTGACGACTTTGATTCATATCTCCAGGCTCAAAAGATGGTCGACGAGGCTTACACAAAGGATCCACAGCAATGGATCAAAAAGTCAATTCAGACCACAGCAAAGATGGGCAAATTCAGCTCAGACCGTGCAATCATGACTTATGCCGAGGAAATCTGGAATATCGAGACGTTGAAGATCAATTAGAGCTCGGTCGACAAAATAGAGGGTAGCATCGCTGGATATGTAAACTCGTACTCGGTGTTTATCCCGCATTTCAATACAAGGATGTTTCCCCTAACCTTCTGCACACTACTTGTCTTCGCTCGCCTTCTTCTCTCGCCGCCTTCGCACGTCGTAGTTGTAAACACGTGCAGTATTGACTTCCATGATTGTGATCTGCTCGCGAAGAAACTCGAGGTCATCAACTATGCCTTTGTGATTTCTCTGAGCAGCTTGGAGTTTGGCTGTGAGAAGGGTTATTGCCTCTTGGATCGGATACGCAAGCATCACGTTTGCCTACAGGCATTTAATCGAATGATACACGCTGTAGATTGTGAAGACATACTCCCAGCCACAGGTACACCTCATCTATTTGCTCGATGGATGCTTCTGCCCACAATGTATCGTTGAGTTCAAATGTGGTTGTCATTGGATCGTCTATGCCGTCACCCTGTTATCGTTTAGTATTCAACATAGATTGAACGGAGGAAGGGCCGCGCCTTTCGTTGTTGAAGAAGCTGAACCATCGCAAGTGTTTTCTTGATATCTGGAATCTTTTCCTCTAGCCCCTTTCGTCGTTGAGAGAGGTTTGATTCCATGTACTTGTACTTGCTGAGCAAATCAGAGTCTCGACAAAAAGATGGAGATGAAAGACGCAAACTCACGCAATGGCCTCTTGAAATTGTTTAATGCTTGATTCCACTTCCGCTTCTGGACCTCCGATGTGTTTTTCGACGTCTTGCTAATTGGAAATGGGGCAGCCACAGGCTCGTTAGTGGTGCAAGCCATGAATGACAGCGAAGAGACGAACTACAAAAGGCGCTCTAGGAATCCCTCTCGGATTCTCCTCGATCTTGACGCTTGCTTCATCGACGGTGGCCATTTATGGATATGGGGAGGGAAAGAGCGTTGATGAACCACTGAATACCGCGGCTCATTAGGCATGGAGGGCAAAGAGAGGACAAATGGTGTGCATTAAAGACCAACGTTCGAAGCCGGCGGGAGGAGAAGGCGGCTCAGACTTGATGTCATCTGATTTCCCTGCTTGGACCTCTCCTCAAACTCGCTCGACATTGCTGAAGCTGGGTCAGCAGCGGGAGTAGACAACTAATCGAAATAGTACAAGTAGAGCAGGATGGCTTCATTCAGCGACCATAGAATCCTCATCGCCTCTCTCTTTCTGCCGACTTCGACCGCTGTTCAGTTTCATCCACATCTAGATTCATTGACACCTAAAGAGCCTCGTCCTTCGTCATCATTGGATTCCTCGATATCTCCCACCGCACCGACTGTCGCCATCAGCGTCGATGGAATGAGCAAACCGCCGATGGCGGCGTCAACGAATGGGACAACTCAGAAGTCTCCAACCATACCCAAGTTTTCCGTGAATCGTCCGACGCACACGAGACAGAATACATCCATGTCCCTCAAGGGCGCACCTCCCCAATCCGGAAGTATCATCGAAAACTTGATAGCTGCTGAAGGGAAGGCGACGGGGAAACAAGGGGAGAATAGTCCAGTGACCGAAAAGCGCAATCCATTTGCCAGCTTTGCATCTGGATCACATTCTGGAAAATTGGACGAAGAGAGAGCGATGGGTCCCCGAAAGTCTGTTGAGGAGGAAGTAATAGAAGACTCGGAGTCAGAGGCACCTCGTGGTCGCTTGCCTATCTCCCTCAATACAAAGGGACACCTTCTACAAGTGGAAAGGTCGAAGAGTCGAGGAGATCTAGAACTTACACCCACAACACCGTTATATCGCCGCCTATCACGGAAACAATCCAAGGTTTGTCTCGCGGTTTCTTGTTTCGTCCATTACGCCCGACTTCCTCACCTCGACCCGTAGACAGATTTCCCACCTCTAACTCGCGATCAATCGATTGGCCCGTGGGAGATTGAAACAAATCCTAATGCCAATGGAGGACTTCACAATGCCGTCAAGAGTATAGAAAACGATCTCTTGCGGGCAGGCAAGCTCTGGGTTGGTGTGCTTGGGCCAGAAACGGACGACATACCCACAGAAATGAGGTCAGATATTGAAGAAAGGATGAAAGAGAAAGACAGCGTTCCAGTTTGGGTCAGCGACGGGGATTTCAAAGGTTGTTACGACGACTTCTGTCATCAGGTTAGGTCGGACCTCTCATGCTCTGGTCATTATTTTGATCATCGAAACTAGGTACTATGGCCATCGCTTCATTACATCATTCCAGATGCGCCAAGGACAAAGGTCATGTATGAATCTAGCTCCTTTATCCAGTACAAGGCAGTCAATCAAGCGTTTGCGGACAAGATCGCTAGCGTCTATAAAGACGGTGACATTAGTGAGTATATTGATTTTGTCTAATTTTGTTTCCATCACCTAACACTCTTCGATAGTCTGGATAAATGACTATCATCTTATGCTTCTCCCACAACTGCTACGCGCACGATTACCCAAAGCTGCTATTGGATTCTTCCTACACGTTGCATTTCCTAGCTCGGAGATTTTTCGATGCCTCGCTGGTAAATCGTCTTTGGTTTGCTTTCTCCGCCACTAATCCTCTCCCCAGCCCGTGAATCCCTCTTACACGGCATCCTCGGCGCCGATCTCGTTGGGTTTCAGACGCATTCTTATGCACGGCATTTTAGGCAGACTGTCTCTCGCATTCTTTCTGTCGAAGCGACGCCAAAAGGCATACAACTCCGGAGCGGGCCAAATCTTAAAGGTGGAGAATCGCTTAACGGAAGCTCGCAGACAGCACTTGTCAAGGACCATCAAGACACGCACAACCGAGAGCAAACGGCCAGGTTGCATGGTCACGAGATCACCGCACTCGAAAAAGCGGAGCAAGAGGTAGATGTCGCAAGTTTGAAGACACTGAACGAACACGGCTTCGTCGATGTTGCGGTATTTCCCATGGGCATTGATGTGCAGAGTTTGACTCAGAAACGGATGGAAAGGGAAGTTGAGGAATGGGTCCATGTGCTTAGGGAGCGATATAAGGGCATGCAAATGATTGTCGCGAGAGACAAGCTGGATGAGGTCCAGGTCGGTGGATTTCTGATTTGACAGGCACTCATCTCACGGTTCTACAGGGTGTTCGGCAAAAGTTTCTAGCATTCGAGCGATTCTTGGAACAGAATGAACGATTCCAGGGAAAGGTCATAACTTTGCTTGCTGTAGTGTCTACATGACCCTCATTCTTGCCTAGGTTATGTTGATTCAAGTCGCCCTCTCAACATCATCAATCAACGAGCTGCAGGGAAATGTTATGGACGTCGTGTCCAGAATTAACATGAAGTTCGCGAATCTCACCTACCAACCCATCATATTCTTCCATACGCAAGATGTCACCTTTTCCCAATATCTTGCTCTCTTGACAGTAGCCGATTGGTCCGTCATAATCTCCTTGATCACTGGTATATGCACTAATAATATCCTAGCTTCATCGTCACCTCTATGCGGGAAGGCATGGCGCTTCGGACACACGAATACGTCGAATGCCAGACCGAGCGTAAACGGCCACTCATACTCTCCGAGTTCACCGGAAGCTATAGCTTCAGTGGCTTCCGAACCTGTCTCCCTATCAATCCATGGGACATTCAAATGACAGCAGATGCCATCCTCAGTAGCCTGACCATGAGCGACGACGAAGCGGCAACACGTTGGGCCGATTTGCATTCACACGTTAATACGCAGACTGCTCAAGCTTTTGCCACCTCTTTCTTAACGCGGGTTTTGCGCGTTAATTACAAGCACCATTTCAAGGATTCCATTCTCATCCCATCATTGGATGTGTCAAAGATCCGCGAAAGATACCATCAGGGAGAAAAGAAGCGGCTTATTCTCATCGACTTGGAGAGAACGTTGTGGACGTTCGACATCTCGTCACCACCACAGGACGTCGAAGTTCCAGGGGAAGCGATGAATCTGCTGGAAAGGCTGGTCAATGACGAACGTAATGAAGTCTGGGCGCTCAGTGGGTTACCTATCCATGGTAAGCTTGCGACGATTGCGAAGAGGCTACCACAGCTTGGAATTTGGTACGTAATTCGATCAAGCGATATTGAACTCATAATTAGAACCAAAGTGCGGAGCACGGGTGCTTTATCAAGCCTCGTGACGACGAAGAATGGGTCACAATGATCAACGACAACACAAGCGCCTGGATGGTGCGTCCACTCGCTTATAAACATCAATTGCTGACACTAAATTTCTTCAGCCTGCTTGTATGGAAATTCTACAATACGTGAGCAAGCTTGATCCTTGGTTGACGCAACTGATGAGCATTGAAAGTTCTCAGAACGGACTCCAAACTCTTTCATTGATAAACGACAGGCGACAATCGTGTGGCGTTTCGCATCTACAGACGACGAAGGCACACGAGCCTGGGCTCGTCGACAAGCAGGTAGGGGATTTCAATTCCAGCCTTACTCGCGTCTTAATTCCTTATAGCTGAAGCGCAGAATCATATTTACGACTCTCTGGGTGAACGATTTAGACTGCGAATCATTCCCTCACCTTCGTCCTTCATTGTCCTCCCAAAGATTATCGGTCGAACGCCTGCAGTGGCCGCCATACTCAACGTCAACGGTATTCGAGGGGCCGACATTGAGAAACCTATCAATATGCCCTGGCCTACACCGGACATGGGTGACATTTTAAGATACGAGTACATCTTGGCTGTCGGAGGGGACGAGAGCTTGATGAATCGACTGAAGAGGGTAAAAAACGCAGAGACGATCTACACAGGTGTGAGGCAGACGGGTGGGAGTAACTGGCGTTGTGAGCCGGATAGAATTTATGGTGCATTAGAAGAGATCTTGAGAGCGGAGTGATGTCTCAATTTCGTGCCACTACCATGTTGATCAATGATAGTCTCTCACACCTTCGCTAAAGTGCCAATGAAAAGTTTAGGGATAGAACCTGTACTCTTCCATGTCCCATCCAGATCCTCGCGGCAGTTCATCTGCGCGCTCACGGGCTTCTGTATCAAGAAGCGGAAGGAGCAGAGGCAAATCACAACGTGCAAGAGGGTCTAAGCGTGGGCTGCGAATCCCTCCAGAATATCTTGCTCAAGTGATCGCACAGCGCGAAGGGAGGGACACAAATGATATTGAAAATGCGCTAGAGGATGATGTGGACGAGGAGGAGGTCAAGGCTTTTTATGCCAAATTTGCAGCGAGACCTCTTGAGTCGAACGAAGCCAAGTACGACGAACCAATCGACGGAAGTAGCGGCGTAGAAGACGAAGGTTGGTTTGTAACACCGACCCGTTGTGTACAGATCTTTAACTGATTCGCTGTAGAAGACGACACGAACGAGATCCTCGCACGACATCTACAAAAGCAGCGAGACGAGTTGATAGCAAGTCCTGATTATATACAAGAGAAGAAAATTCAGAAAAATTCCACACTTGATGACGACGTTGATCATGAATTGGGAGAAACACTACGCGAAATATCTATCAGAGGGAGCAAATATAATATTGGGAGCAAGGGAGACACATATAATGACACGAAGAAGAAGAAGCTGGAGATACAATGGACACCAGAGTTAGAAGAGATGAGCCGCGAGAAGGCAGAAGCAGAGGCAAGAACAGGTGTGGCGCGCTTACGACCATGTAATTGGCACTAACGGCCCTCAGCATTGAAGGAGAGGCTAAAATCATCTGCTGTACGGGGTTCAGGTATCAAGCCACGTCCGGCAGGTCCAGGTGTGTATGCCTCTCCATGGACAGGCTCATAACTCAGAGAGTTCAAGCTCCACACTCGAAAGCCCTAGGCAATAAACCAGAAATGGAAGATTTGGAGGACTATTTGGACGATCTTTTGAGATGATAGTCACGAATATTGTCTCCTGCTCCAATGTCATTTATCTTCCAAATAGCCCCATGTACAAGTGTAACATCAAAACTACCGCTCAAGAAAGAAGACAGGTTGTCTGCGATCGGTTGGCAGTTTGCAAGTTCGATCTTGATACACAGAACAAAGGCTCGACGATGTGAAATGCTCGACGATTTAATAGAGAAAGTAATTACACAGATACCTATGGATAGATGGTGTTGTCCACTTTATGTTGCTCCTCACGCATACCAGCGAGCGTTCAGCACCTTTGACCTCACAAGGGGTCGGGTGATAAGAATAGCAGCGCCAAGACCAGACACCGTAAGAACAAGCTGGATCTTGTTGAACCCCGCAGAGAGCACGTCAAATGTGCCAGACGGCGAAACTCTGGTCAGGAATAGATCCGTGCCATAGGCGAGGACGAGTGATGTTGATTCGAGTGACGTTGACGTTGTCAGTAACTTGTCTGCATAGACTCCTCTGTTGTGGGACACAACTCGTCGAGAATCGTCTGGCAGCAATACATCAAACTGTATGAGCCCTTCCTCTGCCTCGGCCGCTGTTGGCTTCGATTTCGGTCTTCGTGGGTCTAGGAAACGGCGCGAGAACGTTTGCACCTGACCCTTGCCATTGATCACTGTTAAACCGTGAGCCAGAGGGCTACGGTTTGAGGATATGAGACGCACCAATGATATCCTTTGATGAGATACCAAACTTCGTCGAGGTAGTTGCGATTGTTCTAATGTCTGAAGGGAAGACATAGACTTGTTCCAACGTTTCAATTGAACCTCGCTTGGGAGATTCGGGCCCAAGTTCGCCGCTATGGGTGGATGAGTTTACGCGCAAAGGTGATGGCAAAGACTTTACCTCTTCAGACGGACGTTTGGCCCACCTTCATAGAGTTCCACCGAGACCATACGCCATCCCTTTGTACCCGCCTCCCCGTACTCTGACGAGTCTTCGTAGTAGTGGTAGACGAGCCAATTTTCCACCAGCGTCATTTTGACGTCGCAGGCCAAAGACGTTCGTTTGCTAGAAGGAACATTGGTCGAATACAACACAGTTCCTTTTGATGCATCAATAAGGTAGATTGTGCATCGTGCGCGAGGTGTTCCCGCGGGGTTTGCTCCGTGTCTTGCACGAGTTTCCGTTACCACAGCAGCCAAGTGCGGATTCAAATACTTGTAAAGAGTCGTTCGATCTGCAAGTACTCGGCCGTGACTTGCTGCAGATCCGGGTGTACGATAGACGGTAGAGACTATCTTTTCGCCGGGGCCAAAGTTAGATCGCCAAGTCGGATAGGTATCCCAAACAGGCTCCAGAGTAGTTGAAGTACCGTTGTCGAGCTCTTCGACGGGCAATATCCTATGTGAGATGCCGTATCCTTGAACGAATTGAGAAGTCGGGGGGCCAGTTACAAGCATAAAGGTGGATCGGTCTGTGATGTTGTTGAAAGCCTCGAGCGCTTCCCTATGATAAGGATACAGATGGACCTTTGAAACGTTTATTGAAAGAAATCATACTCCGTCGACACGCACCTTGTAGTCATAGTCCACGACAGCGATCATCTTCTTCCCCAATCCAGCAGAAGGATTTGGAAGATCGATCTCTTTGACCTCTAGGGTCGGCCCGTGGAATAACACGATACTGTGGCTAGAACCGGTGGTAGCGTCCACACGAACAAGTCCAGTTGTCAGCGTTCGCCCTCCTTGATTATTGGCACGGTCGACCTCTACGACGATCCCAACTTCAGGATGGAACCCTTCAGACACCGTTTTGAGAACCGTCATACGAACGGGTTTGATCTATTCCAACGTTTAGTAAATGCGAGATGATCCTATCGGCATCCCACCTTCATGCTGAGATCGGGGCTGTTTGCGCCCAGCTTTTCGCTCCAGACAATGGTTCCCTTGTTGGTTTCGATTCCGAATACTTTTCCTCTTGCAGTCGCAATGACTAGAACCTTCTTAAAGCCATATAGGTCACGCCATAAAGAGCCGGCAGTATTGGAACCAGAGGTTGGCACCGTCGAATATTTGCCCGTCATAAACCGCTGAATAAAGCGGAACAGATAGAACGGGAGGTCCTGACAACCTGTCAGAAGCATGCTGGATCAATACGACTGGGTCTACCTTCATATCTCGTACTTGGCGCGTGATCCGTTGGATTGGTGTCTCCTCCATGGCCGTATACATCAGCCGTGAATCAACAGTAGCTTCTGGGAGGTCCAGCGCCGCAACAGCTTCTATCTCTGTGAGAGATTCTTCTCTACTCCAATGGTTGGTCTCTTGCTGCCATTGTTGAATGGCGCCAGTTGAGGTTGACAATATGATACGAGACACGTAGATATACTCGCTCGGGTTGGCGACATCGAGAGCAGCCTAGGGATGCGGTGATGAGAGACACCATTTTGATAGATTGTGCAAACTTACAAAGGTTATTTCACCATGGGCGCTCGAGTCGTATTCAAAGGTGAACCCAGTTGTCATTCCACGTCCGTTCACAGCATCCGGCGCAAATACTTCGTAGGAAGCGGACTAGATGACGGCTACTGTCAGAACTGGTATAGAATTGAGAGTGCAACTTACTCGCAAGGTACTCGAATGAGCCAACTTTGACACGTAGGCTCTACCTTCGCGATCGATACCACCAGCATAAGTGGTATACGGAGTCGTTGACGGCTATCATCAAAAGGGTGAGCATGTCTTCTAGCCTTTTGATTTCATGCCTTACTGATGGTTCAAAATCACCGACTTTCGTCAAGCCCAGACCTCCAAGATCCATTTTATAGATGTGGACAGCGTCCTTTTGACCATCCTTTTCCTCTAAAATGGCAGAGACATATCCCCGCTCCGTCACTTGGAGACCTTTTAAAGCGACGTAGGGACCATATTTATTGCCAGACGGTTTGTTCAAATACTTGGCTTCGAGTCCAGGAGTAAGCAGGACCTGCTTGAGACTGCCACTTTCCAACCAAACGACACCTGCAGTCTTGCATACACCTATCGCAGGTCCGAGCTTGAGAACTTGAAACGCATCTGCCGAATCGATGTTGGCTGTAATCTCTGCCGAATGTAACAGGGTCCCTGTTGCTGCGTCGAGACTGGTGATATGAATGGAGAAAGCACGGATTCCTTTGGAAATGCCGAGTACGTATAATGCATTCTCCGTGCGCACTAAAGAGGTGAGAAAGGTTGAAGAGCTATACTCGGGTCACTCAGGATGCGGATGCTTAAAACCACCGACACATACGCCATATCGGGACTTGTCCACCCCCAGAGAGTGTCTCCTGTCGCTCCAGATAGACGGCGGACTGTGTGGCCGTTGCTTAGGATGAAGACGTCTATCGAGTCGAATTCGATTGCGGTGCCGGTTGGTTCCCCAGGAGCTGCCCCCGCGAGATGTCCTGTTTAATGGGTGAGACGAGGTCGAGATACCATAAAATGAAGACGCACCTGTGGCAGGGTCGTGCAAGTGGTTCTCCCAGATGAGATTGCCGTTTATGGCCTCGTAAATGCGTGCCGTCGCGCCTCCATTACCCGAAAGTGACACGAGTCCTGGTAAAAGACATGAGAACTCGGTGGAAAACCCAATGAAACCGCACGGACCGTCCATATTGGCCTTGAAACCGACGAGGGCATCGTCCTCGTCAAACTGGCGTCTCCAAACTAGCATAAAAGAAGTCAAGCAAGTGTAAGCAACCCTGTGTAACGCGCAGAACGGCTGGTGTGGATGAAACATTTAGGCCAGCGCACGTACCAACGTTACCCTCTGCAGGATTCAGCGCTGCGAGTACATTCTTCTTTGTAGCAGCGAGATAGATAGCTTGAGCGGGTGTTCCATGTCGTACGCTGCCCACTCGATGAATCCGCGGAGCCAATGCTGGAGAGTGGATCCAGGGGACTCCGATATACTGAGAATGCCAGTCTATCTGGCCTACTTGAGACTCGTAGATGCCATTTACGGAACTGGCGAGGGCTGTTAGGAGCCCCGCCAGAAGTACAGACTTCATGGTCGAAGATGAGAGATTGTTACACGGCCACTTGCAACCTTGACCGCCACCAAAGCCTTGTATGGACATTGACCAATGGATCGAACAGCTATGGGACTGCAAACACCTGTCTGAATTCCAAATGACGGCATTATGCAAGACACTCATCGACATTCTTATCGAGGAATCCAACGTTCAGGTCAATCCAGCGCCTTTGTGTCCTTGAATGGATACTAATGTACTCGCATTTTAGCCAGTTTCTACACCCGTCACGCTCTGTGGCGACATTCACGGCCAGTTTTGGGATCTCAAGGAGCTCTTTCGGAGAGGCGGTCTAATCAAGGATGGTACACGCTACATTTTCATGGTAAAGTGGGGACAGAGACGGACAAGGGTCTCATCTCATCTTTGTCAGGGTGACTTTGTAGACCGGGGCCACTATTCGCTCGAAACAGTGTCCCTGCTCTTTGTCCTCAAAGCAAGGTGCGCCGCGCTATTGTGAGATTCGGTAAACGTGTATTTAACCTTCCTCCAAAGATACCCAGACAAGATTACGCTCCTCAGAGGAAACCACGAGACACGACCTGTCAGCAATACCTACGGTTTCTATGGTGCGCCGTTCACGTTGTATCATTGCACTATTAAACCATCGGGTAGACGAGTGTAAATCCAAATATGGCAACTCTAATGTCTGGTTGCAATGTTGCAATGTCTTTGACTACCTAAACATCGCAGCAGTGAGTCTATATTCAGAGACGACCTCATCGAGTGACAGATCGTCAGATTGTCGACGGTAAAACATTATGTATACATGGCGGTCTCTCCCCAGATGTACGAACAATCGATCAAATTCGCGTACTTTCGCGAGCCCAGGATCCACCCAATGAAGGTGCCTATTGTGGTACGTATCCTGTGCAGAGTTCTGTATCAAGTGCGTTGAATGCCGTTTCAGACCTGCTTTGGTCAGACCCAGACGACTCTGTCCAGACCTGGGCACTTTCGCCGCGCGGCTGCGGATTCTTATTCGGATCCACAGTCACATCGCAATTCACACACCTCAATAGCTTGGAACTCATAGCACGAGCACACCAGCTCGTGGAAGAAGGCTATCAATACAAATTCAATGATCGGTACGGCGTCTACGATTTTTCAAACCACAAAAGTGCTGACGATGACCCCTACAGTCTCATCACTGTATGGTCGGCCCCAAATTACTGCTATCGATGTGGAAACGAAGCTGCCATTCTACGACTTGGCGAAAATGGAAAACGAGACGTGACAGTCTATGGTCCTGCCCCCGAGAACGATACAGACAGCAAAATGAAAGAGAGACGTCAGGTGTGTTCACGTACATGTGCCATTCCGATCTATATTGACACCGGCAAATCTGTCATAGGGAAAGGGTGGCGTCCTTCCATATTTTGTCTGACGAGCAATGGAGCTGTTTATTTCAATCAAGGTTTCATAACATTGAACTTTGCTTCTGTTCTTGCTTTACCTCGACGACCAAACGCGGGTGGTTCCCGTGGTCGAGTTGGTGTTCAAGGATGGATTCGTTGGCTGAGTTGGATGCAAAACGTTTGTGCGGGTGAATATGGATTGTTATCAAGCGGGATACGGGGATATGTACAGTAAGCTAGGCTTGGGTAACGGGGTGTTGTGGGTAGACAGCCTTTGACAACGACAACGAGTAGTCTCCAATCCTCGATTGTGGGGGGGGCGACTGCTGACCATGCGTTGACGCGGCCGCGTACCTCCGTCGGGGAGGAGACGACGTAAACTCGTAGAGCGCGAGCGCAATGTTTCAAAGAGCCACGTCGACCGGGGGAGCATGCGAGTAGATAGAGTTAAGAGATCAAATATAAAGGTGTATGCTTTCTGGAAGAATGAACGTGGGGGGCAAATAACGTCGCACGCGCACAGTGGGCTCGCTGGCGTGGACAATAGCAATAGTAGAGACCGTGTAATTGATGATTATATGAGGCCGATCATAAGGTTGGAGTGAGATGCGAATTGACCTGGAGCGACGTCTTGAGAACTTTTCCACAGTCAATCGAAGTGTCGACTTTTGAGGAGACGACGACGGATCAAGAAAGGGGGCATGATCCTCTCTGACCATGAGTGTCGCTGCCTGCAGCCAAGTCTAGCGTGACCATGGCGTGATGTATAGAGGGGCATCTGACAATGCAAGGTATCGCTCTCTTCAGACTACGATCTGGGAGATGGCCCACGATCTTCGCATCTCGGAAATTGTCAAGGAGTGTGTGCTCGAAACCGAGTAGTCGTGTGTCGCGGAAAGGGGTAATGGTGTTAACACAGAGGTTGGATGCACCAAGCTTGCGCGAGGCGGGGGAATATAAGATGGGAGAGCTTGATGGAGGATGGAGCGCTGGAGGACGCGCGAGATAACAATCCTGAACGTGATGTCAGCTTTACACAATATCGATGCATAAAACACACACACACACACAGGAAACGAACCAGACAAGCAAGATGAGACGCGAGACAAACAGCAGTCCATCCAAGCGCAAAGGCACCAAGCTCATTCGAGGACATTCGGCATACAGTAAATGGTGAGAGGGTAATGCTTGATGAAGAGGAATAATGAAATGCGATGATAGATAAGATAGTCGCGATGGAAAGGTCGTAACGTCGGAAGCAGAGCGGCAGCCACGGCAGCAGCAACGAGAAAAAGAGTCCAGAGGGAGAGTCATCAACGAGAATGGGCACTCGGGTGATGCGTAATGCTATAGCGATACGGGTTGCTCCATAGTAGTCGGGTACCCGTACGGGACAGGCTGCTGGGTACGGTGCATTGCCCGATCATGGAGTGAGGCCCCCGGATGAGACTGGTAGTGCTAATCCAAGACTCAGCACGGATTCATGATCAACGATGTAGGCAAACGCACGTATTGGTAGAGCTCTTCGTGCGACTCTGCTTCCGGATGACCGGCATACGCTGCAACATCTGGTCGGCGATCATCTTGATACTGCTGTTGGTGCTGCTGCGATGCATGATGCGAGTATGAAGCCGGAGCTCCAGTCGTCATATTGGTCGATTCACTCTCGCCGGCCAATCCATCCAAGTCGACGTATTGCTGCATCTGTTGTGTAGCAATCTCCGACGATAGAGAGTGAGCGTGACCTCTCATCTGAAAGGCCGGATGATCATGCATCGGGTGGACCATTGCGACGGGGGCCATCATGGGTACATTGGCAACTTGTCCGCCGACGCTGCCTGGCGAGCCTCCATTTGATCCATCATACGGCGAGTTGGAGTCTCCGTACTCTGCTCCAAGCGTTCCATTCCCATAGGACATGGGGCTCGAGTGCTCCGAACCAGGCTCACCGCCCACGCCAGACATTGCTGCGGAGTCTGGTGGGACGTAGCTCATGGTCGCGCCCTGGCCATCACCGCTGTCAATGCTGTATGCAAAGGTGTTACCTTGTCCCTGACCGAGCATCGAGCTGTTCACAATGACGGTGCCATAGTCGTAATTCGACTCGCCAGCGGAGCTTGCCGGTCGACTGTCGATCATCGGATGGGTCGACAATGGACGTCCATCATTGCCCATGCGTAGTCCGCCGGCGCCGGAGGTGCCAGTCATAGCAGGAGCGGCTGAGCGGTAGCGCCGCAGCGATACGCCGACCATTCCGCCTGTCTGACGATGGTGCGAGTGAATTGGCGGGTAAAGCGAACTTTGATCAAAGGTTGCCTTGTGCGATGGCGCAGAAGACGGCTGTCCTGCATAGTCTAAAAATGAGGAGATATTATGTTAGGCACCCGAACGTTTCCAGAATAAGATGTTGCGACTTACTGTAGAGACCAAATTCTGGGCTTTGGAAGCGCGCAGGATGAAGATTGCCTTGCGCTTGTTGCTGCATGAACACACTTCGGCCACCGACGCTCGAATGCGAATGAGCGCTTCCGGGCGGAGAGGCAATGGAGCCGATATTGGGATGAGAGGGGTAATGGTTCAGATGATGGTGGTGATGCTGGTAATGATACCCGTTCACGAGCGAATGCGACAAGAGGGCAGATGACGCGTCGGGCGTCTCCACATAGGGGCTCGTCTCTGCGCTGGTAGGCACGACTGCGAATTGCGGTGCGCCGCTGCCATTTTCTTGAGACGACGGCATGACATGATGGGAATGCTGCAGGTGACTCAAATTAAGGTCCGGAGGTATCCTCTGCGGATTCGCGCCATGCGGCGGCGGCGAAACCGAGCTGTATCCACCCGCGGACATGGGTGGCTCGTCCTCAAACTTTGAATCCACTGGCACTTCAATCTCTTGGATATGACCAATGTCCATGTCGCCACTCTCCTCTTCGAGTTGATCAACCTGTTCCGATGCGGTGGACGGCCGTGTGTCCCAGCCAGCGCAGGACTGCTTGTGCAAGTTTAATGTATCGGCCCTGGTAAAGACCTTTTGGCATCCCGGACGATTGCATGGGAAGCGTAAACCTCCGGAGCCTGCACGGACAAGCGCGCTCGTCGAATGTACAGACATATGCTTTTTGAGCTGTTCAGCACTGCGGAAGAGCCGTCGACACATGAGCAGAGGGCACACAAATGCCTTGGTGGTCGCCGTGCCATTGATGGCGGCCGCATCTGGAGGCTGGATGGAAGCATGCCCCGATGGCTGTAAAGAAGGATGCATGTGAGCGTATTCGTCGCCGTGAGAAGGCTGCGGGTCGTCGGTGATGGAGCGCTCTACGGTCGGGTTCATGCTGAGTCCGTAGCTCGGCAACTGCTGAATGATGTGTTGCTGCGACGATTGTGGGCGACTCGCTGGGTGCTCTGAACCGTAGTGGGACAGGTGCGAGGATCCGGCAGGGTCGGCGCCGCCGCTGAGCGTCAACGTCGAGTTGCGTCTAGAAATGACCGCTTCCGACATGAGCGTGCTTCGTCGTTTGGCGAGTTCGGGACCACTGGAAGAGCTGGTTCCGAGTACCTGGGCCTTTGCACCTGCGTTGCTGCCAGCTTTTTTCCTTCGTTGCTTGTAGGTCGGGCTCCCCTCAAAGATGGAAAACATGTTGAGGAAAATGTGCTTGTTGCGGGCTGCTTGCGAACCGTGGTGGGAAGTCGATGTGACTGGACCATCCTGGTCTTCTTCCTTGAAGCCCGACAGAGCCGCAGTGGCCTGGAGCTTACGAGACATGATATCCGCGGGGGATACGACACTTATCGGCTTGCTTCCAAGGCCGCTGAGACCCCGGTTGCCGAATGAAGCTACGGTCGGGCTAGCCATGGCGCTCTTCAATTCGTCTTCTTCGTCGGCGCCCTCGCCGTCTCCACTCGAAGGCGGCTTGAGAAATTGCTCATAGAGAGTGCGCTTGGGATCATAGGTAAAAGAAAGGCTGGGCTCGCCGCGTGGAACGGTGGTGACTTCGAGACCCATTTTTTCCCTCTTGAGATCACGCTCGAGAGCGTCCAAGAAGAGTCGATCATGTGGCACAGAGAACCTGGTTACTCGCGTCAGCCGGATATGGATACAGGTCTTGCGCGGATCAGTCCCCACCAATAGAAGACCTTTTGCTTTTTCTGAGTGCGGATGCATTGATATTTGAAGAGTAGATCAAGGAACGGCGACTAGGGGATCATGTCAGTACACTTGGCAAAGGGGCCGAGAGTCCGTTTGTGAAGGGGAGGACGGTCGGGGCGGCAAAAGAGGCTATGACAAAATATAGAGTAAATTGATGGAAGAAAGTATGATCAAGAATTTGGGCTCCATGGTGGCCGTCGCCTTGTCGATTGCGCGCCCGAAGATGGGTGCAGCCAGGCACAGAACAAACGGGGGGACTGGCCGCCCAAATGAAAAGGACCGATTCCGGGGATCGAGAGCGGGAGAGAAAAGAAGAGAAAAGAAGAGAAAAAAAATGGATGGGCGCAGCAGAGGAGAGGGATGCCGACCTTTGGTTCCTCGAGGCAGGCGTCTGTGCCGGGCTTGAGATTGCGGAGGTCGCTAAAGACGCCTTCTTCGAATTTTTTCATGTTGACGACGGGACGACCGAATGCTTCAAAGCGGAATACGAGGGCGCGGACAATGTCGGTGCCGGTGATGTGGTAGAGACCCGACCAGAGGACGCACGAGACGTATTCGCCCGACGGGAGGAGAAAGCGGTTGAGAGCAGGATGTGTAGAACCCGCATGAGAGAGCTGGGCGTGCTGTGGCTGGCGGGCGGACGAGGCCGTCGACGACGACGACCAGTGGGAAGGAGCAGTGGCGAGAAACTGCCTGAGACGGTCGAGCTGAACGAGTCTTTCTGTTTCGGCTGGTGTCAGCGGTCTAGAGAGGGCGCTCGAGAGCACCGAGAGCGACGAGGGGAGCTGCTGGGGATGGGCAGCGTCGTGGAGTGGGACGAGGGCGTCCATTTGGGATAATAAGCTGAAAGAATAATAGGAAATGGGAATTATACGATATATGCCGATGCGTCGAACGAGCGGATGGGTGTAGCAGACACCGCGGAGTTTGTGGTAGTAGTCCAACCTGGCTCGGCCACGGTTGCCTTTGACAGATGCTGGCAACTAGACTTCCGATGCTTATATCCATTTGGCTGGACCGACCTTTTGGGTAATCCGAGCTGGCCAACGAAACACTCTACAACGCAGACTGCAATACACGACGACAACTATGGGCTCCTCGCTCTCTCTCTCCAGCGGCGCCATCACTGATCGAACCTGAGAACCCATCCCGCCCGGCCACCGATTTCCCTCTGTGTCTCAAATACATCAAGATTACTGTTTTAGGACTATTTTCATTCAAAGGAGAACGCCTCTATGATTGTCGTATAGTTTCCAGCATATACTGCTTCCAATGTTAAAAGCAAAAACAGTCTTTTTTCTCCGTGACAGCTGAGTCTCGTTGACAGAGGGACAACTGTCTCCGGTCAATGGCTCCCCCGTCCGTATCCTTCGATCCCCTTGCGGGGCCTGGCCAATCCAATCCAAATAAAATAGTATGTGTCTCTGATCCTCGCGGTCCGGATGATAGACGACGACTGAACACTCATAGACATCTTCCACGACTCTGCTTTATGTATCCTCCGCCGGAGACTTTCTATCTCTGCGGGAGTAAGGATGCCAGGGAGTGACCATTCAACGTATCAGCGTATCAATTATTGGTCTGTGAACACGCACAGCACCACCATTTTTCTAATTGACCGAAAGTTCCGCGCTCGCGTGAGGTTGACCGCCCGCCCGCCCGCTCGTCAGTCCGCTCGTCAGTCCGTCCGTCGTTCTGCCAAAGTTGCTGGTCCCGCCCCCAAGCCACCATCAGCGGCGTACGACCCACAGAAGCGCACGTACAATTTCCACAGCCTGTCTCATCTCCGTCGATCACTGCCGGAGGCGTTCCCCCTCTCTGGCTGGCCAGCGCTGCTGTCGTAGACGTCCACCAGACAATGACCCTTCTCCACAGACACTTCAAGCCTCTATACATTTCCAAGTGCACATCGCGACTTCTAATGCAGGTACTTGTGCAGTCACGGCCGCCCCTTGGCCAGCAGGTTCTCACGACCGAACAGGATCGGGCTTACTCACGTTCATGAACAAACAACTCTGGCGCGATCAATTTCCACTCGAGCTTTCACAAGCCCTCCTTCGAAAACCTTATCCGCAATCCTCCACCCTTGTAAAACCCCCGAAGTTCTACTTTCTCTGCGGCGCGCTCTTCTTCAAGGCCCCGCCCCGCCCGAGATCAATAGTAAATCCATTAATATCAGGGGACTAAGCGCGCTGATGCCCAATTTGATGGATCCTGCTGGGATGTTCACCTCTTGCTGATTGCCGACATCATCGAGGGCGAGGGGGGAAACCCAGGATCACCTCGGAGCGGCTTACGAATTTGGCATGTGCTTTAGACTTTGGGTGATCACTCTTTGTAGCTGATGCAGGGCCATGAATTGTGGGTGGGTCAAGGTTGATACAGTACAGTACAGTAGCCTACAAATACAGATCGAAACGCTATCATACCTCCTCGCCGTCCCAAACATATCCTTCGAACAGGTTTCGCCACCACGTTGTCTCTCTCATCTCATCGCCAACCACATGCAGGGCCTCATCACGAACGACGGCACCATCTTGTTCTGCACTAAAGATCATCTCCTGTACTAGTCCAACAGAGAGGTTCTCCTGTCGAGCAATTTCACCCGTCTTCCTGGGTCCCGTAGCGTCCAAATATGTCAAGAGCCGAGACGTAAACGACTTTTGAGAGTACCACGGCGTATGCACAACCTTGAGGTTTGAATGAAAGGCTCTCGTGAGCACTCGTCGCTGCGTTTGAGTCGCCAGGATTGGTAACACTTGCATAAAGGTTGCGGGGGGGATCAGAGCTATAGAGTGTAAAAGAACAAGACATGCTAACGAGACCAAGGCTCACCAACGCCTCTTGCGCGATTCCAGGCACCCCAGACCTCGTCCAAGGCGATCATCCCTCGGTGCTTCATCAGTCCGCCGTCACCATTCACCCCGAGCAAAACAGTCGTCAATTCTCTAGCCAAGTCGTCCAACCACTCGGCTTCCGACTTTCCCTTGTCCTCAAACGAAGAAGGGACAGTTGACACAAGACCAAGCCGTGCCATTGACGAGCCAATGATAAACTGTGCGTCCTCGGGGAGCTGCTCACGCTGCGCCTCGTGCTCCTTGAGCGAACGATTAAAGGATTCAGCGAGTGCAACCATTTCTTTTGCTTGTTTCATCAGCGCCTCGAGGTCTTGCAGTGCGCTCTGCATACTCGTCGCCGTAGACTCGACTTCATTCCGGCGGAGCTCAACCAGACCATCTATACGTCGTAAGCGCATCTTGTTACTCTCCCCAAATGACGAGACTAGCTTACGGATTCCGGTCCTATTCTTCCTAACTGGCGCAGCAGGTTCCACGGCTTGCCAGACTTTTGCCTCTAGCGCTGTCTTGAGCGCTGCATAGAGCTGCTTGTCCCCACCCTTACGAAACGAAATCTTGAGGATGTCACCTCCACCCGTCGACTCCCGCGCTGGACTGACAGGACGGGAGGAAGGTGCCGACCTTCCTTTCAGAGGAGTATCTATCCGCGAGTGGTGCGATGATGATGGTGGTGGTTTGGGGAGTACAGTGCCACACATTTCACAATTGCGAAGCGAGGGATAGTTGAGGAACGTGCATGCTGGACAAGCAATCTGCGCATCTTCCTCGCTAGCCGTTCCCGGACTCGTACTCGATAGTGTCGAGGGTAGCGGCGGCGGCGACAGTCTTCTTCCGGGAGTGGAAATCACCGACGAGGGGAGCGATTTGGATAACGAAGACACACTGCCGCTGGTTACAGCCCTGGAGGACGTGGACATCAGGACAGGGTCACTTCCCAAAGTAGTAGTGGATGCAGACGCAGGTAGGGCGCTCGTCCTAGGTACACCACAGAGTTGACAGATTGTTGAAGGGGTGAGGCCTGTCGAGACGTTTTTGAAGCCGCAAATCTCACACTCCCATCTGATGGCTGTTGTGGTTGTGGTCGTTGTCGGCAGCTCGGGAGCAGAACGAGGAGCTACAGGGTTCGAAGCATGCGGAACCGGTTGATCAACGGACGAGGATGTCCGCGCAGAGGGCTGGAAGATGATGGTGATTTTGGCCGACGAAGTTAGGAAGCCACCATAGTATTCTGTCTGGGCAATATGGAAGAGCATAAACTCGAGCGAGTTTCTGCGCGGATGAATGGCATCGATGTACAGCAGGCGATGAGAGGTGACATGGACGCTGCCCAATTGATGGTCTGGCGCTTTGGCCTGGCTAGGATGAATGTCAGTGGCGATAATTTTGGGGAGGAGAACGTTACCCATCGTATAATCCTACGCCATCTTGGTCTGCAAGGAGCGTCTCGTCCGGGTACAAGAGGGCTGGAACGGGGATCGAGCCATCTAGCTTGGAGGCGCGGTCCATCTGGCGTCCAAGAGTATTATTCAGAGAATTCTGTAAGCAATTAGAGTCGCGGACAGCGGCAGCAAGTCGTGGTCGTGGACAACGACGGTCCGAACCGAGCTCAAGCCGAGGAGCTTGCGCCTGTCCCCAATCGCTTCAAAATAACGCGAGTAGCATCTTACCTCCAAACTACGACTTCCTTTCCATGTCGTGCGTACCACCAAACGCGAACAGCGTCCAACCAACTCACACAACGCCTTTTAGAACGCTTTCATTGCAGAACAACTGGCTAAAACTCGTTTTCCTCCTCATCTCGATTGATGCCACAAGCGGACATCCCTCCCCGCCGCTCGAGCTTACTCGACGCAACCACGACCTTTCAAAGAGGTAAATTGGTCACCCCTTCAAGTCTACAAGTCCACAGACGCTCACGTTTGCATTTGCAGAGCATTACCCAAGCGAACGGCGACTTATATTGGCGTTGTGGTAGGGATCGTTGGAACGGCCTTTGTCGTGACTGCCTACATCTGTTGGGACCTCAACCGTCGACGGAGACACAGCAGACAGCGACAGATGGAGGAAGAGCGCTATCCACGACCGCCCATGTCCTATGACCACTTCCCAGTAGAGCCAGGAGACGAGGTACCGGTCATTTCGAGGCCTGCGCCTGTCATGGCCACTTCAAGCCGTCCGATCACCATCCCACCACCACCAGAGGGGCTTGTATACGAATACGGACAAGATGTCGTCCTAGGTCCGCCCACAACCACAAAGCACCGGGGGAGCATGTCTCCCCCGCCAGGGCTGGAGACTGCGGTTCAAAGACCCTCAGCGAACGTTCCCAGCCCGTCATCCTCTCGACCTCCCACCGCCTCTGCTCCTCCGGCATACACACCTCCAGGTAGCGAAGACCATTTAACGGCCGGATCAATACCCGTGCCGTTACCATCGCATCAACCATGAGCCGTCCGAGTGAAATCACCTGTACCACTATCCACCAAGCAAGTATAGACGCCAAGGCCCTGGGAATCCTCGAAGCTGAGCGAAGCTCCAGACATCGGCACCTCGGACAGACATACCTTAGACATCTGTACTGATCCCTACTCTCTGTTTTCCTCATTCTGGAAGGACCTGTATGTATGTGACTAAATCAATTTTCCTTGGAACACATAGAAGTGGTGTTTTGCTGCAGAATTGCGCCAAGTGAGCACCCGCATCTTCTAGTTCGGGCAACTTCTTCACACAGAGCGTCATCAGTCACAAGCTCACGACTGAGGTACGATGCCGTGCGGGGGTGAAGGTCGGAGACATGTCGCCGGTCACGTTGGCCATGGTAAGAAACCGATAGGTCGAATGCTAAATTGCAACCGCAAGATGCGCACAACCGTCTCATGGCGATTGGGGTTTGCCAATCGAAGCACGGATAAGAAAATTCTTGGCCAGTGACATTATTGCGTATCATACACGAATCTGCAATCCATCTGTGCCGAAATTGAGTATGTAAACGCTGGTTCGGCAGATGCAGACGATATCATACCGCTCACGAGGAACTTCCAAACAGACTGCTGAGAAAGCCTTTACTTTCCGAGCCTTGGCTCCCTTGTGCTCCTTCCGAAGGTCCCTTTGCGCGTGCATCGAGTAAACGCTTGACCTCGTCCACGTCGCCCACGGCAATCTTGCCCGCGTCCCAGTCGACGACAATTGGATACTTGAGTGCCATGGGATTCTTCTGCGCCGCATCTCTAACACGCTCCACTTCATCTTCTCCTTTGCCATCTCCCGAGGCCGGGTGTGCACTGAGAAATGACGACACGGGCCGGCCATAGTAGCGCTGCATGGTCCTGAACTGGTCCGACGTGGGCAACCGTTCTACAACGCTAAGTTCGACGGAAAGAGGTGACTTTGACGGCGGATATGGCTCCGAAACGGCCTTGCGTAAGAGTGACAATGCCGACTTGCTCGGTGGCGAAGACGCGTTGTGGCTTTAATGTTGAGAGACAATTTCGGAAAAGTGATTGACATGACGTACAAGATTGAGATGACTGGCAGGTTTCGGGGAGGACGGAATGACATGGTAGAAACAAAGTTGGCATCACCACCTCGGTTATGATAATCACACTATTTGGATGGAATGTAACCATTTTACTCGCTTGGTGCTATCCTCTGTGAATTCCCACCCGCCTCCATAACTATTATGGGCAACGTAAACTCGACCATATCCAAGATCTGGCGAAGAATGTCCAAAAGACGGTCAGATTCAGACTCATCAGACTCGGAAGAACAAGAAATGCCAAGAGCAATCACCCTCGCTTCCATTCCGACGCTGCGTTATCTGTATAAGAACAAGACGCTCGTCCAATGTAGGCCACGCTTCCCGCATCGTGAATCGTTGTTGGACCGTGTTTCACTCTTGTGAATCCCTTCTTTCTCTGATCATGTCCGGGGATTGACGCCCGTTAGCCAGGGAGATATAACGAGATTGGAGGTGGATGCGATTGTAAACGCTGCAAATAGATCACTTCTAGGTATTTGACTCTCTTCAAACCTTCTATTGTATCCACTTACAGCTTTACAGGCGGAGGCGGAGGTGCTGGATGCAAGCCATTCTCCGTGACTTTCTGACTTTCTGACGCAGTTGATGGCGCCATTCATCAAGCCGCAGGCTCAGGTCTTCTCAAAGAATGTTTGTATTCCCCAATTTGCCCTTTGTTATCTGACAGACATGATCAGGTCGTACGTTGGGAGGAGCCGACACAGGGTATGCCTTTTGACTCCCAAGACTCTGGGACTCACCCAATTCTAGAGATGCCAAAATTACAGGAGGATACAAGTTACCTTCGTCAGTGCTCTTTCCGAGTGATACCACAGCGCTGACTGCTTGTATAGAAAGCATGTTATCCATGCTGTTGGCCCAATCTATTCGAGTTCTGAACGTGATATCAAAGCCGCTCAACTCGAGGCGTGCTACGAAAACTCGATAGACCTGGCTATCGCCAACAAGCTCTCTAGTATCGTACGTCTCTTGTCTTGCGCACCTCGAGTCTCTCATCAAATCCAGGCATTCTGCTCCATCTCGACGGGCATTTATGGCTATCCCATCGTGGATGCAACGCACATCGCATTACAAACGACACGAGAGATACTCGAGAAAGAATCTTCCTCTGGTATAGAGCGCGTCATCTTTGTCGTCTGGAGTGACAAGGACAAGCATGTATACCAGTACGTTTGTCGCTCCTCGTCTGACGAGACTCTGACGCAGATTAGAACCTTGCTCCCCGAGTACTTCCCAGAGTCGGATGTGGAAGAGACGCAAAGGCCAGAAGCCCAGAGAATAAAGCACCCGAGCCGACTGAGTCAACATCTGCTGCAACCGAGGCTCCAAAGAGCTCGAATACCGTTGCTCCCGAGTCGGAGACTCCAAAGGAAAATGTAGCCGTTGATGAAGCAGAAAAGAAAGGCGAACCCACAAAAGAGCCAGAGGCAGGCGATAACAAGGAAACCGTAGAGGTACCCAAGCCGGAAGATGCCAAAGAAACGGTTGACCCGAAGAAGGATGATGTCAAGGAAACCGTAGAAGAGTCGAAGAAGGCCGAATAAACTCGCCACGTACAGTACAATCATTGCAAATGTAACCTGGATCTCTGCCTCCAATGCACACGAGCAAATTGAAGGTTGACAACGTCCGGCGGATCCCAAGGTCTCTTCTCATGTGTAAACATGATTTACATTATGAGCAAGGCAACGCTCTCGGCGTGCAAATCTATTATGAGATATGGAATTTGACCGACGTATAACCGAATCGCTATCTCTACAGACTGACAGATTGACACTGTAAAGAGAAGTCCATTATGCGAGGGGTTACAGTGACTAAGAATACCAGCTGTTCGGGTTTCGCATCATCTACAAAGCCCTTCAGTATTGAACGCGCATTAGAAACAATACACACCCTGAGATTCGCCGTGAGCTTGCGAAACGCTTCAGTGAGTGCAATGTCTGGCGAATTCCTGCACGGCAGCTGCTTCAACGGTATCAGCAGCAGAGCCAACAAGAGGGACTAAATGATACCTTTTCCAACGGTCCGTCGAGTAGGGACGGGAAGATGCGAAGGTAACAGACGACACCCTCCCGTAGCCGTGCAAACGCCTTGGCTGAACCTGAACCGTCATTGGCCAATACGCCTAGAATGACGAGAGAATCTCGCCATGTGTCGACGCTTGGTGAGGTTAGGAAAAAGTGGTCGGATGGATCGATGCCGCCCAAGAGTAGGAGCTCGTCAAAGGAAAAGTTGAATGGGATGATACGCGAGTAAACCGTCGTGACTTGGCTAAACTTCAACCGATGAGGGTTACTCATGTACATGTACGTGAGCAAGTAGAAGACTTGGAATCCATCGCATAGTCGAAGACGCACGCCGCTTGGTGAGGGAGAGGTGAGAATCCGTGGCTGGTCATCTTGAATCGTGGTTGCGGCGTTGACGGTATTAGAGTGGTGAGCACCATCACTTCGTCCAAAGTAGCGACGAATCGATTGAGAAAACGTGATTTCAGGAATGTCGTCCGAGACCTTTGCCCTCTGGGCTCTTGCCATGTTCTGCTCCGAATTATGCCCACAAGTACACTGCTGAAGATCCGCCAAGTCTATAGAGTGCCGCGTAGAACAAGTCGGAGTCGGAGACGCATCGCACAAGGCATCCTTGAGAACCTTGAGGACGATAGCCTTTGTAGAAAAACGCAGCTTTTGGTCGCGTTTGATCCAAGATTCGAGACTGTCGACAAAAGATTGAAGACTCTATCGCATACCGTCAGCTTTTGGTGGTGGGTCGGAGACAAAGTACGCACCGTAGTCTCAATGAAACCAGTCCCGACAAACACCTGCTCGAGAATCAGTATCTCGGTCGATAGAAAAGCAGCTACGTACAGGTGAAGGACAGGAGTACGGAGCAAAGACACGGCACTGGCTCGTATCGTCACTAGACGGCCTCCTCGAACCACGTGAATGCATATAGAACACTAGGGTATGCAAAAATAAAGAGATGTAGAATAGTTTCGTGTAAAGAGCGTGAGCACGGGCGACAAGTGCTTGGTCGTTGGCGAAAGAAAGAAGGGCGTAAACACCGACAAGACTCAGTTCACGTCGAGCTTCACATCACAAAATATAATCATCAAAGTGCGTGTCATTTCGGTCGTAAAAACAGAGCGCGCATCTACGCGCGGTAAATCGGACAAGGGGACAGGGTTGGTCGTAATCTCTTGAAGAGTATGGGGCGTGTTACGCACGTAACACTCGTGGAACACTGTTCGAAAGCATGTGCGTCAAACAATGAATCTTTTTTTGCAGGTGGAGAGTTGATGGGGTTGACCGAGATGAGCGAGTTTGAACAAATCGGACGTCCAAGGAACATGCATTGTCGTGGAGAGGGGGGGGGATTGTGAAAGAACACGAAGAGGCGTCGTGAACGGCGATTGCGCAGTCTGCTTGTAGAGAGACCAGTCTATACGAAGAGGGTGCACGCAATCCGTGGGCGGCGTTTCGTGTGAGGCATGTTATTCGTTGGTCGTCGGAAGAGGAGGATGGAGAGCGGACGATGGCCTTGCATACGCCCTAGGGAAGCGTCGGAGTCGGGGAAAAAGAGGTGGAGGGGAGGAAAACAATGTGTGGGAGCACAATGATGATGATATGTAACAGAGGGGGGATGGTATTTTCGTACGGGGGGTTCGGCGGAGGGGATACTATGACAGGGACACGACGGCAGTCGGAGAAGAAGAGAACAGAAGAAGAGAAATGCATAGATGATTGTGATTAATTAGTGCTGATGAGATGGATGCAGATGATGAATGCAGATGATAGCACAATGCAGGGAGAACGATGCCGAGCCGAAAAATGCAGATGAGAACCGAATCAAATGCCGAGTGTGTCAAAGTTTGGGGGGGAGCGGGTAAAGGGGTGGGTGGTCGTATGTGCAGAGCAGATTCCAGTGCGTGAGATAAGGTGATACTTTTGGTTCCGACTGAGAAACAGTTTTGTGTTTCATCATCGGAGACGCCGAAAAGAGAGCCCCGTGGTCGTCGCAGAGAAACTGAGAGGGGAAGGCGAGGAAAGGAAAACAGAATGGGATTTTGCTAGAGAACGCGTCAGTTTCAGGTACATAGAACATTCCATCAAACGCATCGCTCGTCTCCCGGCAGCAATTGAACGGTGCCGTGCGACGCGTACATGGAAGATTTCGAAAAGACTCACCATGGATCATAGGTGGATGCATAGGTGTTTGGAGGGACGGAAACTGGCCAACGGGCGTCGAAAGAAGAAGAAAAACTACGTCCAAAATGCAAAGGACTTTGCGGTTTTTGGGTGACGTGTCGAACAAAGCGCGGAGGGGGTTCGTGGTATACGTGAGAGTTTGGGAGGCTCCGGAAACAAAGATCAAAAGCAAAGTTGGGGGTCCAGACGAGCATGCAGAGGGCGGGTACCGAGACGAGGTGACGCAGAGGCGGGAGTCGGGGAATCGCGATTAGAAGATGGTAAAAAAACGATTATCGCACAAGTGTGCAGACAATCGCAGTTGGGTTGGGTTGGTTTGGTTTGGATTAACGACAGACGAGAAGAGTAGGGTTGACGTGGGTTTTTTTTGTTCTTCGATGAAGGCCGAGAGTTTCCGAGACAGGGATGGGAGAGAGAGAACCAAATGGAGAAACAAGAGGAGAAAAAACGAAAAAGGTGAAGCCGAAATTGTTGATGTTGAAGAGTTGTACAGACGCCTGCAACCCAATCCCAGAGCGCGGAACCGGACCAGAACAGACTGGCAGGCGGTGAACCCAGTCAGATGGCAATGAAGCTGACCATCTGAGAGCGGGGCGGCAGAGACTGGCGCAGAGGTGGACAGAGGCTGCGAAGTTTTTTTGGGCGTTTGGGAAAGGGGGATTTGCGGGCGTTTGGGAGATGCGTTGTGACCTGATTGTAGACTGTAAACGATGCAAGACTACGAGTGAGCAACGTATGTCGTGTGGCAACGGATCCAATGGGTGCTACGTACCCGAACTAGAGGCCGCGTAGGGCAGTCTCGGGGGACCGCTCAAGCAACGACACAGTAGATGTTCTGAATGTTTCCATTGCCAGACACTTCGTCGCAGTCGGTAGGTGACTGGGGCTGGTCAGCGACGGAAGTGACAATGGTGTTGAGGAGCGAGCTAAAGAAGCGATCCATTGGAGAGACGGAGGAGGAAGAGGGGAGGAAAATAGTGAAAGAAAACGAAGAAATGAAGCGCCAAACGGCGAACGGAGGGGAGGAGACGGGGATGGAGGGGAGGTCAGAAAGGATGGATAAACACGGGAAGAGAAAAAAAAACTGATATATAAAAGGCCGACGGCTGGTGAGCGTGGTAAGTCTGACAAGGGCCGCGCAATTGAAAATCGCTGCCTTGCTGCACACCAGGACCCAGCGTGAATTCGCCGACAAGAGAATGGCAACCACCGCTTCCCGTTGGCCCGTTAGCGACTAAGCCGGGTCAGCGCAGCCATCCGTTGATTAACGCCGCCAGCGGAAGCGGCAGATTTATACAGTTTTGCAGAATTGGCAGATATTTGCAGATTTGCAGACTCGCAGACTTGCAACAACTGTAGAAAAGACAGCATGCAGCAATTTGTTCGGTCCGAAGATGGCGAGAGGGCAGGTCCCCGAACCTGGCAATGCGGCCCACCGAGCGGTGCGCTCCACGGGCCCATTGTGCTGCCAAACTCGCTTGGTCTCCTTGGAGTTTTCTTGTAAACGTCAGGCGAGGATGGATAGTCGAAACCTCGCGATGGAACGGCGCGGCAAATGATGGGAGCTCCCCCTGTATCATCCATGCGACCGAGCCCTTAGATCCGACGTCGGCATCGACAGTGACGTCCCTAGTCATCATCATCATCAAAAACAGAATAAATGTCAGCAAACAGCGCTGCGAGAAAGGGTGGCCCCAAGAGCCTCGAGGCCCATCGTATCATTTCCCAGGCAGCAACTCTAAGCAGGTCTAATCTCCAAGCAAATGGCTGGTTACATCTAAATCTCCATCGTATAATCATGATTGTCTAGCGCTTGAAAATGTACATTTGGCCGTTGCAACGGGTGGCATGCCATGGGAGGAGCTTGCTCTGGGGGGGTCTGTACCTGCTCGTCGCCCGAGAATACACGGCCTAGGATAGTTTGTATACACGTAGATACGTTGAATATAAAACGCTGGAGTGGAAAAACGACGCCCGCCGGTCACAGCGTGCGCCAGGCTCAGCCGTGGTCGGGAGCAAGCTGTGGCTCCACTAAACGCAGCGCGGCCTAGGTGGCCCTATGCAACAAATCGACTAGACTCGTGAATAGATGAGGATGTCTAATGAGAGGATAGCACCGCTAACATAGGACATAGGGGAAAACTCCCAGGCCAGTTTTTACGACTACTAGGCTGTTAGGTAGCAAGCTCACAAGCTCACGCCATGTCTAATAGACTGTAAGCATCCATGAACAACACAGTTAGTCCTCCCCGTTTGCACCGCATTTTCCCTGAGCCTCATTGTCCCCGCGCGGACTCGACAGCGTCGTCCCCTCACTATCGCGCTTTCGACCGGAACACGGAACGAGATAAGCGGGACCGGCATGGAATCCCGCAACTTGTGAATATGTCGAAATCCAAGAGACCGAGCGAGTGAGCGGCGACGAGTATTAGTGCGCTGCCACTCCCGGTTTGGCTACATCAAAACGAGGTGTTCATGCGTCGGCTCCATGGATACAAATCATGCATTATGGCGCTGTAAACGGTGCGGTTGACGGGCGGAATTGAACCCTGAATGTGCTAGACGAGGTAATAGCGCCAAAAACGAGTGTGAATTGCATTTTTCTATTTTCTACTGGATTGAATCTCTCTCTTTTTGTGAATTGTATGTGGCGCAGGGGTCGTGAAAACATGCATCGTATAATCGTAAAGAATGTGGCAGAGTGGTGGTGAGGACTCCTAACGAAGATGATGGTGGTAGTGGTGGTGGTACAGATGCAGGTGTACAACAAATACGAGAGTGCGCGACGATGGGAAATGGATAGGCACTATAGATTGTCAGCTATTCCGTTAAAGGGTAGAATATGTCGACTCACAAAAGGCGAGGAATGTCAAAGGGACCACGTCGAAAGGTGATTGATGCCAATAAGAGAAATGACGAGGCGAGTAAAGAAACGTGAATGTAGTCCACATAGGACTTTTTGGCCGTGAACGAATGGCGAGTGCGGCTGAGAAAGATGAGCCTGGAGCGAACGCGGAATGATAAAAAGCATACGGATAGTGCTTGTTTATCGAAATTTATGCGACGACACACCAGAGAAAGGTGGTCTGGCTTGCCTCGTGCGACATTACTGGCTGCTCTTCTTCCTGGGCGGGCGTCGAGGGCACAGTGACAAAGAGCGAGGTGATAAACTCCATCGTCCACGGGGGGGATTAAAAGAAAAGTAAAAGGGAAAATCGAAAAGAAAAGGATGGCGGAGGAGAGGGGGGAGGAGGAAAAAAAGACGACGGTGAGTATTACTGAATAGGGTTTACAGCAGCGAATGGGCAACCACCGAACTCGGCCTCGTTGCAGCTGCTTCGCTAATAGTGGCCACGCTGTTTTTCCACGGGTCGATCCCCTTTGCCCCCGACGACCTCTTGGAATTTTACGACGACTTTGGGATACAACAACTCTGGAACATTACCACCAAATGGCCCAGCGCGCTTTCATCGCCGCAAGTGCCCTCTCGCTCCTCTTGCTCGCTCTCCCAGCACCTTGGCATCTCCGCGCCAACAACTCGGGCACCGTCCTCTACATTCTCTGGTCATTCTTGGGTAATCTCGTCTATCTCGTCAATACCATCATTTGGTCGGGCAATACCCGCAATATCGCCCCCATTTGGTGCGACATTTGTACGTTTTTTACATGTTGTCCGCTCTCCACACTGCTCACCACGCTTTTTCAGCGAGTAAACTCATCATCGGCTTCAATGTTGCACTCTCGGCAGTCTCCCTCTGCATCCAGCGCAGGCTCTACAGGATCACCAGAGTCTCCCAGGTCTCCCTGACTGCGACTCAGGCAAGCCGTTCCTTGCCTTTGTGGGTTGTATGCTAATATTCTTTAGAAACAACGCGACATTTTCATCGATTTTGCCATCGGGTTGGGTCTCCCAGTGCTCGTAATGATCCTTCGTCAGTGAAAATGCCCACAAGTCGGCCCACCCGCGCTCATACCTCCCCCAGATGTCGTCGTCCAGGGCCATCGATATGACATTGTCGAGGATTTTGGTTGCATGCCGACAACATATCCATCCTATTATGCTTATATCGTCATCTTGCCTTGGCCATGGGTCCTCTCTTCCATCTCCATGGTCTATGCCGGTATGTTGCTATCCAATACACTTTTGCATGTATTAACACTTCATAGGCCTCACTATTCGTGCATTCCTTCAACGCCGTTCGACTTTCAACGACCTGCTCAAAACCCAAGGCACTGGACTCAACGTTCAACGCTATATTCGCCTCATGGCCCTCGCCCTGACAGAAGTCCTCCTAGTCTTCCCGATCAGCATGATCATCTTTGTCCACAACGTCACCACCTCGCCACCAAAACCCTATCGCTCCTGGGCCTGGGTCCATTCTAATTTTGGTCGCATCTCGTACATTAGCCGGTTCCTCCTCTCGCGTGACAAAAAGACAGAAATCCTCTTTGACGTTTCACGCTGGTGCATGCCCGTCTCTGCCTTGCTCTTTTTCATCTTCTTTGGCATGGCGAGCGAGGCGCGGAAACAGTATCGCAGGACCTGGTACAACTTCCTTCGACGATTCGGATTCGCACCACCAGAGCCCATCACATCTTCATCCCATGACAACAAGGACACACCCCTCAGCCCAACCTCGAATCGCATGCGACCGAGCTTTTTGTCCAAGCACAAGCGTACCACGACCAGCTCCTCTACCGCACCCCTCCGCAGTCCACCGATTGACAAGAAACGTCCAGATTCGTTTGCATGGCTCGATGAATCGCTCGACAAGCTCGACGAGGAAGAAGGCGGATTACCCCGGCAGCCATCGTTGGCCTATTTGCCGGACACGCACCGAGCACGCGATATCGGCACGGGGTACGGACACACTCCCTGCACGCCCTCGACCTCGTCGTCGTCTGCTTTCCATGGATACGGTGGACATTATGGGTCAGATGAAGGTGACGAGGGTACTGTTGGTCGTCACGCGAGCATCTCGACTGCACACACGGGCAAGATGCGTGCTGGAAAGAGCCTGTCATATGATTATGATGCGGATGATGCCACGATTTGCGGGGTTCCGACCTCGCTCAAACGGTCCGACTCGATGAGCAGTGACACCAACAAGATGCTCCCTGGGATTCCATTCGAAGAGTTTACCGAGTTTAGACGCGAGAGGCGAAGCGGTGGTGCTGTTGTTTCGACGGACCAAGACGGAGGAGAACGCGAGTCCCGGATCATCGTCCCCGCCGAACAGCATCACGACGCGAGGAGTAGCTTCCATATCGACTGGTTCCAGTTCCCTGAAGATCAACGACGCAGCGCGGCGATGGAAGATCAAGTGCAAATCGTCGCCTCGCCGCGCAACAGTGTAGCGTCGTCGAATCTGGAACACGAAGACGATGGTCTGCCGAGGATTGAGGATCACGAGTTGGGAGGCGCCCAAGTGCAAATCTTTGTCTCTTCGCCGACCAACACGAGCTTTGACCGCAGTGCGCGTGCGAGTCGGGATGGCCTGTCGAGTGTGCATTCGAGTATGCACGATCTCGTGTCGTCCTCTTCGGCCTCTGCATCGGTTTCAGACGAAGATTATCGGGATATTCATCGCCAATCGTTCCCGCGCTCGATCATGACCTTTGATGAGCGGTTGACGCCTCAGATGGAATCGGTCCCGCTTCCGTCTACGGCGACGAATAGCCCGTCCCCATTGTCGGTCGAGGTTGTGCCGAGCCCTGTCGAGACGATTCCGAGTATGATGGTCCCCTCGCCAGTCGTAGAGAGTCCAGTGACGATTCCGAGCCCTGTTACGAGTATCGCCACCAGCACGCCTACGCCTACGACAACGACGATGAATAGTCCCGTCACGGCACCGCAGACGCCACTCTCGACGCAAATGCCGCCACCACGACCTTTGCAGATTCAACGTCTGTTGCCTGTGCGTGCGGATTCGCCTCGCCCACACGGTGGAGGGATGCTTGCCCCCCAGAGGCGGGTCGCCCAAGCCCCGTGGTGTTGGTGGTGGTGATATAAGGCCCTCGTCGATTATGTCGACGGCGACGGATGGTGGCGAGACGGTGTTTTATACTCCGCCTGCTGGACGATTGTCGCTAGGGCCCTCGGATTTTGACGAGCTTGAACATACGCCGACTGCGGCTAGTATGACGAAAGAGACGACGGATTGAGCAGATTTTATTACTTCTACGATCTATTCGTGAGTTCCTTTATAGAATGTGAAGGGATGGTAGCTCACCTTTACCAGACGACGTTGACGTTGCGATTTCCTTCTTTATCGGTTTATATCGCCACTGTATTACATACGACCCCTTTTTGTGCATCTCTCGCCCTTTTTGCACCTCTGCAACTCGTGTTCGCGTTATCACCTGGACGACATGGATGTAGACAACTCAACGGACTACAAACGTTGGTGGAACGGCATCAGTGTATCTTTTTACTTTCGCCCCCCCCTCAGCCAGACCTCTGTGGATCGAACAGAGGTGCTCGGTTGGGGGGTCTGTTTTTAACCGGTTTATTTACGAGAGGGACGACGATACGACGAATTTGGACGCTCATCTACCTCCTCCCTCTACGGCATACTGCCACGAGACGTCTTGTCCGTGCTGTCTGCCCAGTGTATCATTCCTCACATCCTCGAGTGCACGCGGACGGTACGGAGAGGATGGTAATCATCAGTAGAGCGACATACGTAATGCGTAGAGGGGGAGGTAGGTAGAGCCGTCCCTGAGCTTTGGATTTCAGGACCTGGTTGGCTAGAATTGATTTGTGATGTACGGTACTAACACGAAATACGACGAATTGACACGCAATCCCTCGTCCTGATTTCCCTGAAAACTAAACCGGTTGGAACATGCACCCGTGTGCATGTGAATTGGTGATAGGAGAGGTGTTCCGTCTACCGTTATATAAGCAGAGGTGACGAGGTCCAAGTAATGGGTACGACGAGCGGATTGACGCTGGATGAGACTTGGAGTCGGCGTCATCCGTCCATTTGGACAAACTGTGCCCGTTCGCATCCAACGCGCATCTCGACACTTGACGGGAATACGAACTATCATGGCACAGAAAGCAGTCGTAAATAGTGCGACGGATCTCCCGCTTGACAAGGCACGGTGCGTTGCGGGGTCGTCTTTGTTAGACCGATGGAATGTTTTACTTGTTCCCAGATGGATCACTCTCAAGAAGATTGATTGGACGGATCAAGAAGGTCAAAGTGTATGTTTAGTGTCTAAGAACAATCCTAGCGTGCTCATATCGGGGTTAGAGGACATGGGAGATGGCAGAGCGCAAGACGCGTGGGTCTGCCGGCGTCGATGGTATGTTGAGCCCCGACAAGGTGCTCTAGACTAATAAAGTTAGCGGTGGCCATTTTGGCGATTCTGAATGCGCCCAATCGACCACCTTCGACTATCATCATCGAGCAGTTTCGACCACCCGTCAATGCCTATGTCATCGAGTTGCCCGCTGGGTTGATTGACGCCAACGAATCGGTCGAGAGTACGGCGTTTCGTGAGCTCGAAGAGGAGACGGGGTACAAGGCCGATAAAGTTCTCGAGATATCGCCTCTGATGGTGTGTGACCCAGGTAGGTTTCCGCCGTTTGAAAGGACGAGAAATTGACGTTGGATGGTCAGGGATGTCATCTGCGAATATGAAGCTCGTTGCGCTCAACGTGCCCCTTTCCGAGTCGGAGACAGGCCCAGATGGAAGGCCAAAGTCGCCCAAGCAGAAACTCGAGCAAGGAGAGCATATCGTGCGTAGGGTCGTCGAAATTCCGAATCTCAAAGCCGAACTAGAAGGTATGATGTAACCCTCTAGAAGGTGCCGACTCCTGACGAAATGGCTAGAGTACGAAAAGCGCGGATTCGTCGTCGATGCGAGGCTGTCGCATTTCGCAATTGCGTGGGATATGGCGACCAAGTTTGGGGCTGGAAAGTTGTAGATACCGTGAATACATCCTATTCACACACCCTACACACCCTCGGGTGGTGCGCCTTGAGCTCTGACCGCCACTAGACTAGCCGACGATGCAGCGCGCAAGTGTTCAATCGACGAGTCCCCTGTCGACGGAGGATTCGAGGTTCGTCGTTTGATGGAATGGAGGAAGCTGATCGATGTGTAGATGGCTCACGCTCAACTTGGTGGCGTGGACAGACGAAGAGGGCAAGAGTGTACGTACCCTAGATATGAAAGAACCGTGATTGATCGAGTAGCGTACCTGGGAGATGATTGCACGCAAGACGAAATCCAAAACGGGAGTGGACGGTATTTGCCTTTTGATTTTTTCGCGTAATGGGCCACTGAGGAATTGCAGCTGTGTTCATGCTTGCTCTTTTACGGTTACCTGAAACGAGTGATGGCAAAGTGGTCCCATGGACAATCCTCGTCGAGCAGTTTCGTCCACCCATTGGCACTTATGTCGTCGAGTTTCCCGCGGGACTCGTCGATGAAGAAGACAAGAGTGCCGAGGATGCAGCTATCCGCGAGTTATACGAGGAAACGGGCTTCAAGGCTTCAAAGGTGCTCAAGACCTCGTCCGCCTTGGCCTCTTCACCGGGTAAGTAGATACTTGGGCCTAGAGCAGAGATTGAGATAAAATAGCCATGTCCTCGTCGAGAACAAAGCTTGTCTCACTGCAGGTCGACTTGACGGCAGAGGACGTTGATGAACGCGGAAACGTGCGCCTTCCAAAGCAGAACCTTGACGAAGGTGAACACATTACTCGCCGTATTGTTCGACTGGACACACTCAAGGACGTGTTGGACGGTACGTGGCCCTAGCACCAGGATTCATGCCTGACTGACGCGAAATAGAGTACGAACAGAGTGGATTTATCATTGAGACGCGTCTGTACGCATTTGCAGTTGGGTATTCTCTGTTGTCGGAGTTGTGAAATAGGGGGGAATGGTTGGTGTTCACAACACCAAAGTGCCATTGATACCTGGGCAAGGGTATCTCTCCGAAAATAAGTTGAATCCAGAGAATTGGACCGTCGGTGATTGGCCCTTGCAATGCCTGTCAAAGTCGATCAGATCCCATGAGGCTTCGCAGGCCGCCGCTTCTTCGTCCAGAGTGCACCTCTTTTCGTCGAAAACTTGTCAAATATTCCAAACAGACTAGGATTTATAGTGCGGAGATGGCTGTATGGTTTGTTTGAGAGCAGTATCCGCGGGGGACGCGCGGGAGCATAATCACAACAAGTTCAGGTGGCCCCAATCGACTTGTCGGGTGATGTCCTGTGGATCGATGCGCGGCAAAGGCGGCCGCGGTTGTTTGGATCTGGCTGCCATCGACTTTGCTCCCTCCCACACTTTCAGCCCGCCACTCGCATCATAAAACGCGTCTATATCCTCGAAAACGGCCCAAATCACCTCTTAAATTTGCTGTCAACTCGCTCTCGATTTTTCCCGATTTTGTGCGCGTCATCAGCCGTCACCGCCCGCCAGCGACTGCTCAAACGCGGGTGTACTGCCAGGAAAACAGAATCCTAGGAGTACATAGAGCTTTCAGAACGCACTCATGGCCGAAACTCCGTTTATCGTCGCGTGTTTTTTCGCGATCATCATGCTCATTTTGCCAGCGGCCTGGCATTCGCGCTCGCAACGCGAGTACGCTACTCTACATCTTTTGGTCCCTCGTCGGCAACGTGATTTATTTCGTCAATTCGCTCGTCTGGAGGGCAACATCCGAAACCCGGCGCCGGTCTGGTGCGACATCAGTACGTCTAGCCATCTGCTCGAGATAAAGTCCTGTGCTAACTGCGTCTGTAGGTACCAAGTTGGTGGTTGGACTAAGTGTCGGCCTCCCATCTGCTTCGCTTTGCATCCAGCGCAGACTGTACAATGCTTCCCGGCTTTCGACGGCTTCCGGTAGTGCTTCTGATGTAAGTCCTTTTAGGCTGGCGACTAACGTTTAGCTTGACTGATCGTCGCCCAATCAGCGCTCACGCCAAACGGCCATTGATTTGGCGATCGGACTCGGGATTCCGGCTTTGGTCATGATTGTCCGTACGTCTCGCTCTTCTTTTTCGCATGCGTCGGGGGTACTGACGAACCGTAGACTATGTCGTCCAAGGACATCGATACGATATATTTGAAGACTTTGGATGTTGGCCTACTCTCTACCCGACCGCCATTGCCATCCCGCTGGTCCTTATGTGGCCGCTTCTCATGAGCACCATCTCCATTCCATATTGTGTCGCGTCTTACATCTCCTTTACTCGTCGGCGAGTCGAGTTTCAACGCTACCTTGCTGCCTCGTCGAGCACAGGACTCAACACGGACCGATATATGCGGCTCATGGCGCTCGCATCAACTGAGCTCGTAATTGTCCTCCCGCTCAATATCCTTTCTATCAGCTCCAATCTCTCGCACGGACTTCAACCTTGGGTCAGCTGGGCGCATGTCCATGCCGATTGGATGCGCGTCAGCTATTTCACGCGTTGGATGTATACTCGCAACAAAAAGTGGTATATCGAGTTCAGCGTCGCACGCTGGGCCATTCCCATCTCTGGTATCCTCTTCTTCCTTTTCTTTGGACTCGCGAGTGAGGCCAGAAAGGACTATGCTTGCGCTTTCGATCTCTTACTCCGCCTGTTCGGTGTCAGATCTACTCGTTACGATGGCTCCTCGAGCTCAAAGTCTCGGTCGCTGTATGTCTGTCCCCTTACCTGTGAAACTCGATACTGATACTTGGAACAGGTTCGATCGCTTTTGGAAGAGTGACCGTGGCTCATCTATCAACGCAAGCACTCTCACAAATCTGCCGTCTCCTCGCTCTCCCAACAGCAAGCGGGCTCAGCGGGATACAATCCCGTCGTTTGGAAACGATTTCGACGTAGAACATGGAACAATCTCCTCGAGACTCGGCATGATTGCCGGGTCAACTGAACTTTATGAGCGTGGAATAACGCCATCCGAGGAATCGCATGCACGGACGATGAGCGGAGAGGAGGACGTCTACGATGTTCTCTCTCGTCCGGCTCTTCAAATTCCCGACGCTGTCTATTCTCCTCCAAACCTCGTCCGACGCGACTCATACGGCTTCAGTACTACCCAACGTGGGTATGGACATCGTACTCGCCCTTCAATTGCCCGTTCTGAGATGAGCGATGATACAATCTGTGTCAGTCCGACCTCACTCAAAGGCAAAGGAAAGCACTCGCGAGGTGATAGCTTGTCCGGTCTCCTTAGTGGGATGGCATCACCAACGACACCTTCGTCTGGACACCCTAAATCTCCGACCACACCTCTCACAGCAACGAGTGTACGTTCATGGGACACGATGAAGCCTCTGCCGCCCACACCCGGTGGTAGTCGCCCGGCATCCCAATTTACTCTCCTTTCAGCAGCACCACTAGCTGTGGATGAGCAGGACGAATATCTCCAGGCAGCTATGGCCTCTTCCCTTGATCTACAAGAGCCAGCCGCTGTATACAATCAAAACACTCCACCGACTATAACCACGAGCTCTTCCACTATTCAGAGGCCCACACAGGACAATCAGCCAGCTCGCGCCCTTCCTGCTGCATTCATACGGCATCCCCTCTTCGAATCTGCTGAAGATGGAGAGGCGAGCGTGTATCATACACCTGCTGCTGAACCTCGCCGGTTGTCAGTCTTGTCCACGTCCACAATCGTCGATCCGCAGGCAGTTCCTATCGAACGTATTCATTCTCCAACCAGATTGGGCAGCTCACATACGACTCTGACGCGTTCAGAGTCAACTACTCGCTCGCCCTCGTCTCCCAAATCGAAGAGCACGAAGAGTACGACAGTGACACGATTATAAAGTCGATTCAGCTCGATCTTTATTGGTTATCTGATCGGTGCGTGGTTCTTTCTACCAAGTTTTGCATGTTTACTGACGGTCTCTGTCAATAGAATGTATTGCTAGAGTGTGCGACCTCTGCATCATCATCACTACCCTTTCCATTCACCCCGACCCTTGGCGCTAGGCGCCAATGGATGTCCTTATTTGGTTTCAAGTTCAATCGTGGTCTCAAGGACAAATTTCTTCCAAGTACAAATCTTACCATTACGACCACGAAACAAGCCCAACGGTCAAATGCAAATCTGCGGCTCGCGGCCGTGTTATCAATGCTCCGCGCTCAAGTCTCAACTACCAAATCCAAGTCTCGCTCATTGTTCCTTCACCTCGTCGGCGCTTATGTCCGACGTGTACTTTACCATTCGACTCAATTCTGGAGCCGGGTTGTATCTTTCCACTTACGTGCACAGTTATGCACGCAATCATCCGATTGGTCCCCTCTAGAAAGAGATGGAGCACGAACTCACCACGCACAATGTTTTGTCAACGAATTTGTTGTACTTGCGATGTATCACTGTATTCTCTTTGCGGTGTGGTCAGTCGTCTCTTTGGAGATCTCGGGTCTTTTACATTGTTGCTTGTCTGTATCCTCATGAAATGTCACAAATTTGTCTTATCATTCAACGCTGTAAGCCTTTGTTCAAGAAGATAGACTTAACGAGTATGATACCTAACTCCAACATTCTTCATATAACCGCCCTTCCCATTCCATTCGCGTAATGTACTTTTCCGCGTCGGGTTCGGACAGCCCTCCAACGCTCACGGCAGCTGCTTGGATGGCAGCTTTGACCGCAGCGGGCATCTTGTTGGATGACCTGCACGTGTAAGATCAGGTCGGGTCGATGAGCCGGCAAAGATAACACACCCGGAGATGTACACCCACGCCCTGTGTTTATCCACCAAATCCCATATCCTCGTCGAATGTCCTGAAATCAAATCTTGGACGTACACCTTGTTCTCCTACCACCCACCAACACGTTTTTATGTTAGCTTACACGCACACCACTGACATAAAAAGGAAGGAAGCACACCTGGTCTCGAGAAAATGCGACCGAGAAGACTAATTGTCCCTTCTGTGCGAGTGACTCCCACTCGGTGGCGTAATAGTAATCCTGCATCGAGGACCGGCATCCAAAGTAGAGCGTATTTTCTGCCCATTCATCAGGTGAAATGGGTCATGTGGCATGGAATGAACGCACGATGTTGACCACATGCAACACGCTCCTGAATGATTGCACGCATTGGTGCGATACCTGTCCCTGGTCCTACACAAATCACAGGAGTCTCATCCCTTTGCTCTCCAGCGTCAGTCGTAGTCGTGGATGTTGGTAATGGTGGTGATGGTGGAAGACGCAGAGCGCCCTTGCGTATCCCGACGCGGATCTGCGTAGTTACCCCTCTTCTACCCCTCTGTCTTTCTCTATGTCGTCACCTCCATTGACTCCTTTCGTTTGCGCACGCCTCGGTGTTGGCTTGAGAGCACTCAGCCACGTCGTGCAGAGCCCACGCCGCGGCGCCTTGAGCTTTGTACGGTACTGTACAATAGCGACGCACAGTTCCATCCGTGTTGCAGAAGCACCTGCATCTGCGTTTGGCGACCCGTCTAGTGCGCCGCGACCTCTGTCCTGCGCCACACGGGACGAACTAGCGATGGAAAACTGCCGGGCTCTGATTGGCGGGAAAACGTCAAAGATATAGTCGAGTGGTATGCTGACGTATCGAAAGTCGCAGAGAACCTCGAGGATTGTGCGACGCACGCGGTGTGTGTATTGGTACAAGTCATCCTGACCTTCCTCGGATAACGACGTGAATTCTTCAAACTTTTCCTTTTCAAGAGGATCCGATGTAAAATGAATGAGCCACTCGAAAAATGACTTGCGGGGGACACACGAAATGTCAAGTGTGGTCGTGAAGAGCTCGCGGAGCGTTGTGACTGTGGATGGCGTGATGTGAGAAGGTAGAAGCGACGGCGTGGAATGATCTTCAGCCGAGTTGGAACTGGGTTCGGATGTCAAAAGTGTCTCGGTTGGTGTGCAGGTGAGAGGAGTGTCTGCTATTTCTGTCCACCCAAAGCGGTCGAGTAGTGTTTTAACGTCATCTGGGTGCGTATGAGGATGAAGAACGGCAATGTCTCCCGGTGACCATCTATATTCGTGGTAAGCATTGATGTCCGCTTGCGAGGAGTGGCGCACGCACGTACTGGACTCGTTCATCAAATTCCAAAACGATGTCTCTTACATCCTGCGTCCATCCAGTGGCCGTGATGCGCCTGTTCTGTGTGAGGACGGCGTCGTAATACGTCGTAGCCAGTTCGGTCGGTATTAGGGGCGTAGTGGGCACCCCAGTGTCCTTGAGAAAAGATACTCTGGCTCTTGGCGGCATAAGAGTGGATGAAGGAATAATGTCAAGACCGTCGGGCATAGGTGGAAGAACCGTCTGGAGGGCAGCAAAGAGTGTGTCCATCCAGGGCATCAACACGGTCTCATATCTAGCTTGAGTCAAAACCATATGAATAGATCTAAGAGAACATACCCGAATCTCTCCTGTTCATCTGCATGCGCGCTCTCGCAAAACTCGTGTGCACCAAGTCCTTTCAACCTCCTAACGAGTTTCTTGCTCGCCCAGCAAAAACGTTCATAGGCCGAATCCCCTAACCCAAACACGGTAAACATCATTTCGTCGAACAAATCGGCCGGTAGGTCACTCCTCAACAAATGCGACCGCCACAACGTCTTCATGCTGCGTGGTTCTTCACCGCTTCCGGTCGTGGATAAGACAAAGACGACAATGGGCTCGTCAATGAGTGACTGGGGTGTATAACTGTCGACACTGTGGATGGACGTGCGGATGTGCCGACGTAAGGCTTCACGTGCAATGCGCTCTGCAGCATCAAGCGCATTTCCTGTTTCTGTGGCATATAAGATGAGAAATTGACGAGAGAGAGGAGAGTCCGAGGGGTCGTCGTCGGCCATGAATATCGATGTCGGGTTCAAGCTTTGTTATCAGATATCATCGCCAATCAGGACAATAGAATACCATTGTCAGCATTCGGCATCACAAAACATATATTCTTATATTAGACAAAATGCTGGATATGTCGCAAGAGTACCTTAGGCCTCAAATTGGCGTGAGAGGGCACCGCCGTCAGGCGAGGCAGTGGCCATCGCTAGCTTATATACGGCCGTGTGTTGCCTCTCATGCTCGATTTTCTTCTTTTCCACGTCTTTCTCTTTCTCCCCAGCGCCTGGTGCCTGGTATGTTGACGATTATTATCCTTGTAATATCCTTCAAGCTCACTTTGTCCATTGCAGCCTTTTCTTTTTATTTACTATTTTTTCAACATGCGTATTCTCTCCACAAAGCTCTTGGCATTCGTCGCCATTTCCCCGCTCGTTGCGCTGTCTGCTCCCATCCAGACACCGCCCACCGTCGACTCACTCTTAGCGCTCGCAAAGGTATGTTCTTTATTTGAAATGTTCATTATTAACAATGTAAAGGGAAACCCTGTCATTCTTCTCAAAGACCTCGGACCTGTCGCCACCAGACTCGATGAACATATTAAGGCAATGGAAGCACACGCGAAAGTCTCTGGAGAATCCAAGTCCGGTTCACATCCGCACTCCGGTACAACTCCTCAGGGTTCTTCGACGCCTGAAAGCTCCGCCACGACGGGAGCACCAGAGTCCAAGGCTCCTGGAGCAACTGCACCAGAAGCAACCGGTAGCGCTGCTGGAAGCTCGGGTGGCCCTACTACTCCTGAGGCAACACCAGCTGGAGGTGACCCAGCGCCAGCAGCGCCAGTTCAACGACGGTCCGAGACATCTGGAAACTCTGATCCATCACACTCGCATCACAAGGCGCACAAGAATGGACATAGTGCAAAGTATGACCCGCATGTCGACCTCCTCAAGCCAGCAGAGTCAGTCGATTATACCAAATAAAACTTGAAGAAACTTACCTTGCCCATAGCTTGCTCAAGCTACACAACCTCATCACTGAGACCCAGATTTATTACGATGCTATTGCTAAAATCGTCCTTGATGCTGGCAAGAACATTGAACCTATTCCTTCTGTACGTGTCCCTATGAGTCCCTTAAGCAGCCTCTCATTGCGTATAGGATAAAACTGCCGAGGGATCTGGTTGGGGTATCATCAATGGCCTCACCTTTGGACTCGAAAAGGTACGTACTTTCTCGAGACACAGTATTTGCGCAACTAACGGGTAAACCAGATCGCAACGTTTGCAAGGGAAAAGGATGATTAGACTACCGAGTGTACCCACCCGAGATGTAGTACAGGCATGCTTCAGAATCTTAACCCAAAGGCTATCAACACCATGACCAGTAACGTCGCTGCTGACAGATCTCTTCGGCGAAAGAGCTTTCAGAACTAAGGTTCTTAGTGCATGGTACAGGCATTTGGAATAGGATTTGTACCTGTGAATAATATTGGAGATCGTTTCTTGATGGCTCGTAAACTGGAAATTGGCTGACCGACATGGGTTTAAAACAATTCTGTTGCAAGACTGGGAACTCTGACGGAGTTACCAAAACGATATAACGCGACTTTGAGCAGCATCTGTCTTGAGGACGTGGGTTCGAGTCGCCCAGATACACGTTAATTTCAAAACCCAAAAAATTTTGGAGCGTCTTCTTTATTCCTGAATACCATTCTCTACGTGTTTCTCTATAGTTTTGTTCCTGTCAAGAGAAGCAGTAGGCGGTCAAAGTTGGTTCAGAAGATTGGGCGTGAGGTTCCGTCTTTTACAACTTTGCAGCGCGAGTGTTCATCCTATTCTTGAAAAAAAGGATCATCAATTGATCCTTTGTAGAGCGTAAGTTGTCAGTAGCTCGTTGATTCTAGAAACCAGGGCAGGATACCAAATCGCAACATTGGCAAGGGAAAGAACGATTAGACTACCGAGTGTTCTCATCCAAGATGTAACACAAGCGTGCTTCGTAAATCTTGACTCAAAGACCATTGACAATAGGACGACTCGCTTGAGGTGTCGCCGCCGCTGACAGATCTCTTCAACGGGAGCGCTACCAGAGCTGATTCTCCCAATTTATGATGCACGCATTTAGAATGGGTTTGTACCTGTGAATAAAATTGGAGATCGTCTCTTAATAGCTCGTAAAACTGGAAATTGGCCGGCCGACATGGGTTCAAAACAATTCTGTTGCAAGACTGGGAACTCTGACGGAGTTACCAAAACGATATAACGCGACTTTGAGCAGCATCTGTCTTGAGGACGTGGGTTCGAATCGCCCAGATACACGTTAATTTCAAAACCCAAAAAAAATTTTTGGGGCGCCTTTTTTATTCCTGAATACCGTTCTCTATGTGCTTCTCTATAGTTTCCTGCCTCTCAACAGGAGCGATAGATGGTCAAAGTTGGGTCAGAGGATTGGGTATTGACGTCCCGTCCGTTTACAACTTTGCAGTGCGACCATTCATCCTATTGTTTGAAACAAAGCCTCTTAGTTGATCCTGTGTAGAGCATGAGTGGCCAAGAGCTCGTTGATTCTAGAGACCGGTAACGGAAAAGGATCCCAACGGGAAGGGATGGTTAGACTGTCAAATGTACTCACCTGAGATGAAATGCACGCATACTTCAGAAATCTTGACCTAATGGCCAGTGATGAACCAGCCACTCGTGTGGAGGTCACCGCAGCTGACGGATGTCTTCAACGGTCCGGAGCGTTCCCAGAACTAATGCTCTCAATGTACGGCACGCGAAATTGGAATTGGAGTTTGAACCTGTGAATAAGATTGAAGATCGTCTCTTAATAGCTCGTAAAACTGGAAATTGGCCGGCCGACATGGGTTCAAAAGATTCTTGTTGCAAGAATAGGAACTCTGACGGAGTTACCAAAACGAAGCAACGCGACTCTGAGCAACAGCTGTCTTGAGGACGTGGGTTCGAGTCGCCCAGATACCGTTAATTTCAAAACCCAAAAAAAATTTTTTGGTTCGTCTTTTTATTGTTGAATATCAACCTCTATGTATTTCTCTATAGTTTCCTCCCTGTCAAGGGGAGCGATAGATGGCCAAAGTTGGGCCAGAGGATAGGGTAGCAGCGTTTCCGTCCTTTTACAGATTTGCAGCGCAACCATTCATTCTATTCGTGAAAAAAGTGTCTTTACTTGACTCTGTAAGGAACGCGAGCGGTCAATGGCTCGCTGATTCTGGAGACAAGGTAAGGGTCGAGTTCAACAAGGTGACCAACCGCCTCCACTCGGTGCTTTTGCAGTGCATTCTTGCATTACATACAAGATCAAGAGCTTTATCTTACCTGCGTGTTGTAGTCAATGAGAACGTTCGCGAATTGCATCGCCACTCGTATGCGTGCATGGTCGAGGAGATGCCATCACGAATGTACGATTCACCCACGTATACCGTGATGCTGTATGTACTCGCCTATCAAGCCATGCCGCTTAGCGAAGCAACAATCAACGCAAGACTCCCATCGAGGAATGCCTTATCTCCATTGCGTCTCAGAGGAAGCACCGAGTAGTAGTCGATTATGGGAGTCGTCGCATTGCCACTTCACAAGGCTCTAGGTTCAACCGCACCAACAGCTACCGATAATGGGAACAAGTCGTCTCAGTCGGAAACGAGCGGTTCATCCGGGCATACATGTGTCCTACAGGTATCAAGGCAACTCCCGAGATATTGGACGATATCTGCAGGACCAAGCTTACATTGAGGTAATCGTGCAAAACCCATGGATCTGCCGAACAAAGTCAGACACTACGTGCCTTCTGGTGTATCCCACCAGGAAGTAAACCTGCATCAGCGTCATTAATCTATCATACTTGCGTACAGACGATATTTCCGCTGAGGGAATGCGAGGCTTTGGGCCCACATGGTGACAAGGGCATTGCCTCTTAGGCACTCTTGCGGCATACGCCGATTCCGTGGAAGATGCGGCCTGTATCCAATTCACTGGATTTTGGATTTTTGGCCCCTGGCCTACCTGTGATGCTGATACCGTCGTCCGTTTCGCTGCCACAGGCGCACAGCACTGCAGACTTGATGCCATGCGGGCGGCTTCGCTGTCCCAATTCATTCGGAATACAATTTGACAGCTGTATTACTGTCTCGGGAACGGCGATAGGAGAATGAATGGCAGGGAATACGGAGAAGCTGGAGTCAGTCGGCATCTCCACGAGCCAGTAGCACGATGGCCTGGCCCGTGCAGGAATCCCTGTTGGTTGATAACTCTCCTCTTCTCGAATGGTTACCACCGCATCTAGCTGTGCGGCATGAAGATGGCCTGCCATCGGCAGCCAGCCGGAAACGAGCTTGGATGGGTATAAGTAGAGTAGCAAATCGTTCGTCGAAGAGCCCTCACTCCACTTTCTTGGATTCGCCTTCTCCCGGCCTGGTGCCCCATGTGCGTCGACATACCTCTGAAGCCTGCAATCGCTGACTTTGCTCCTGCTGTTTATAGTCTTTCTTCTTTTCATTATCAGCTTAACAACCTTTTCTTCTTACTCACTATGCTCTTGTCTCGCGTTCTTGTCGCTGGTCTCTTCTTCAGCTCGACCTCTCTTGCAGCACCCATCCCAATGAGTATTGGAGCGGTGGCAAAAGCCGCAAAAGCCGTTACGGGCTTTGTGACCCACAAGAGCGGTGGAGGCAGTTCACCTGTTTCGCACATTGCCAGCTCTATCAGTCACCATTCAGGCTCTCCCAGTCACCACGCGAGCGGCAGCAGCACTGGCGGTCATAGTCCGCACCTGCAAAACAAGGGACCAGCGACACCAGGTCTCCACCATTCGAGCAGCACGCCGAATCTCCATCACTCGGGCGGTGCGCCACCAGCTCTTCACCACTCGAACAGTGCACCACCAGCTCTCCATCACTCGAACAGCGTCTCGTCGCACCACTCGGACACTTCGTCGCACCACTCAGATACTTCGTCACACCACTCGGGCACTTCTTCACACCACTCCGACAATTCGTCACATCACTCGAGCACTTCGTCACACCACTCCGACACCCATTCGTCGCATCCCGAGCAGAAGCAACTACACAAGTCGGAGAAGGCGTCCAATTGGTCAAAGGTCGGCGAACCGTTTACGAATGGTGCGTTCAATCTGGCATCGACCGCGATGTCGGCGCATGCTCAGCAACAGGCGGCAAAGACAACGGCGGATGGTGCACGGGACGCCGCTCGTATCAACGCACAAGGAGCCGTCGACGCGGCCAATGTCAGAGCACACCAGTAATTGGACGGGTTGATCTTGTACAGTACTCTCTAGTTTCTTCGGTTAATCCAAGCTTGCTTCGGGAGCAGAGCACGTACCAATTACTTTAAGTGGTTGTGACAGAATGGTCTATAATCAATTTGTGTCGCTTTATAGTAGTTAGAGGCACATTAGGGCGAGAGCACGAGGCGATCAAAAGTTCAATGCAGTCGAGAAAAGTCGATCCGATAAATGTTGGATAGCATGCTCATTTGAGTCAACTTTTTACGGTCTAATGATCATGCGCACCATGTGTATAATCTAGAGTTCATAATCAAGGACAGCAAGATAGCCACTGCATCCGTGTTGACGGATAGTTATTGCCTATTGCACGGGGACGGTTTATAAGACACTCTTAGAAAAGCTTCTGCTTGATATTCGATATTTAAACGAGTTGCTGGTGTTCCAAAGGACTTGAGTGGTCAAGCCCGGCCGTGGTGTCGAGGAACAAGCTGGCAACTGCGCCGAAATGGACCTCAACCGACTAATGGGCCGAATGTTGGATTCATTTCTGAGGGGACATGAGCAAAAGGCGGAAAGGACTGGACGGGACATCGAATATAGAAAGCAGAGGAGAATATCATGTATTTATTCGTGATTCGGTTCGACGGAGATCATACCTAGGCGTTAACAGTATTACTAACTTGGTCCTCGACCCAATCCAAGTCGAACCATCCCTCCCCAAAAGGCGGCCGCTACACCTTTTCAAGGACCAGAATGAGGTCCTTTTTCAACTATTCGTTACTTCCGCTCGTCTTGTTCCCACCGTCAACTTGCTTGGGAAGTGTGGATGGCATAAACGAGTCCCAGCATGACCTGTACGCGAATCCAGCATTTCACCACCCTGTAAAACGCCTTTCAGTTCCCTCTGCCGAGAGATTTGAGGCCAACTATGGACGCTACGCGGCCAAATTGGAGAATCGAGACAGCTTGGTCCGTCCCGACTGGGAGGCAGCGACAAAGCGAGCAAAGGAATATCTACAAGGATGGTCTGTGGAGGATCTGGTGACGTTAACATCCGGGATTGGATGGGCAAAAGGTATATAATCCCTGTTGTGAACGAGATCTGACACAAGGCCAGGACGTTGTGTCGGAAATATTGCCGCCATCAAGACCAAAGACTTTCCTGGTCTCTGCCTTGAGGATTCGCCCCTCGGGGTCCGGTTCGCGGACCGGGTCAGCGTGTTTCCAGCTGGAGTCAACACTGCCGCAACGTGAGGCCGACAGTCATTTAGATGTCGAGTCCGCTGACTATTACTAGCTTCAACCGGGATCTCATGAGATGGCGGGGTATCGGGCTAGGCAAAGAGTTTCGCGGAAAAGGCGTTCACATTGCGCTGGGACCTATGATGAATATGGCTCGAGTGCCAGAAGGAGGTGAGACTTTCCAGCAGAGAAATGAATGTCGGCTAATCCCTGGAAAGGTCGAAACTTTGAAGGTTTTGGCGCAGATCCTTGGCTTGCTGGCGAAGCCGCATACGAGACCATTGTCGGAATGCAGAGTCAAGGTGTACAAGCATGCGCAAAGCACTACCTCAACAACGAACAAGAACACGGAAGGAGAACGACAACGTCAGAGGTCGATGAGCGAACGCAGCACGAACTGTATCTACACCCCTTCCTCCGATCAGTTCAAGCCGGCGTGGCCTCGGTAATGTGCTCCTACAACCTCATCAATGACACATATGCATGCGAAAACGACGTTTCCCTCAACAAGTGGCTCAAAAAGGAGCTCAACTTTGAGGGGTATGTGATGAGCGACTGGGACGCAAACCACTCGACGGAATCGGCGAATCACGGTCTGGACATGACGATGCCCGGCGATATACAAAGCGATGGTACAGACAAGTACTTTGGTAATCGTCTCGTCCAGGCAGTGAAAGACGGCAAGGTCAAACGCGAGCGGCTAGAGGATATGGCTACGCGAATCGTGGCCGCTTGGTTTGCCCTTGGACAAGATAAAGACTATCCAGAGGTCAACTTTGATGCCTTTACTTCGTGGGGGAAGCACATTGATGTGCGTGACGACCACGACAAACTCATTCGCACCGTCGGAGCGGCGTCGACAGTGCTGTTGAAGAATGAACGTAGCGCGCTTCCTCTTATCCAGCCCGTCTCGATGGTGCTCATCGGCTCAGACGCCGGCCCGCCTCTCAAAGGACCAAACTTTTATCAGGACCGCGCAGGACTGGATGGCGTTCTTATTCAAGGGTGGGGATCCGGGACCTGTGATGCTCCTTATGTCATCTCGCCTCTGGAAGCGATCCAGAGCAGGGCCAAGGACGACCACACATCGCTTTCCTGGTTCCTCGACGACTTTGATCTGGAGAATGCTGCAAAGGCCGCCAAGGGAAAGGATGTCGCAATGGTTTTTATCGCAGCTACAGCAGGAGAAGAGTATCTCGTCGTCGACGGCAATGTAGGCGATCGCAATAACCTGACCGCCTGGCACGGAGGAGACGATCTCGTCAGGACTGTTGCCGCCCACAACTCTAACACTATTGTGGTCGTTCATTCTGTAGGGCCAATCGACATGCCCTGGGTGGACCACGAGAACATTACCGCCATTGTATGGGCGGGTGTACCTGGTCAAGAAGCAGGAAATGCTCTCGCTGACGTTCTTTACGGTGACTGGAACCCGAGTGGTCGGTTACCGTATACCATCGCGCGCAAGGAGAGCGACTACCGCGTGCGAATTCAATGGAATCGGCAACAAGTGCACTATAATGAAGAGTATGTAAATCGCTCTGGTGCAAGAGTTCATACTAACCCTTTGCAGTCGGAGCATCGACTATCGTTATTTCGACGCACACCTCATCGAACCACTCTTTGAATTTGGCTTTGGACTTTCATATACAAAGTTTGAATACTTTGGACTTCAGTCTAGCTTTTCAGATGATTTTGCACCAGAAGACGCGCAATGGCGTGCGGGAAAGCCAACGTCCAAGGCACATGAAGTGGGTAGTGCACTCCAAGACTGGTCAGTATGTAATTTATCTTTATTCGCGGTCTGATCTGTGATATAGGCTACACCGCAAAGTCTTCACCGTCTCTTTCCGTATCCAAAACGTCGGAACACGCTATGGTGCCGACATTCCACAGCTCTACGTTGGGTTCCCACAAGAGAATACAGGCGACCCACCAAGGGTGCTCAGAGGATTCGATAATGTTCCTCTGAATCCAGGTGAGACACAGACGGTCGAATTCAAACTGTCTCGCTACGACTTGTCGATATGGAGCGTCCAACACCAAGCGTGGGTCGCACCTCCTGGCAAACCCCTCAAATACAAACTCTTCCTCGGCACGAGCAGCCGCGACTTCAAGCTCAAGGGAACGTTGCAGCTCTAAGCGCAACACGGTCTTGCATACGAACAATTTGCTCGGACAATTTATTGTAGCATAAACGACTCGAGATAATAAAAATGGTCTTTCATTGTTATACAAGAAAAGCGCGGAACGAAGCCTACAGCCAAACCAAGAATACGAGCGCATAAATAACCGTGGTATGCAATGAAAGCAGAGCCGAGATGGGGTCATGTATAGCGCTAATCGTGAATTCACCCACGCAACCGCCATCCATCCCTTTACGCTTCCTGGCGAGCCCGCCGTACCCTTCACGCACGACGAGCCACAGACCCGTGCAGCTGACGACATCTTTAATTTCCTCGGCACTGAGCACGAGTCCCGTAATCGTCCCAGCACGATTCACGTCCAATTCCGACTTGCTACCATCGGCATCACGCGGACGGAGCAAGGCAGCTGGCGCCATCGACGGCAGCTCATGCACACTCGACGTCTCTACACCCGACCCAGCCGGATCAAACACGACGTCTGGGAGCGGATACGGTGTCTTGATCTGGGCAATAACTTTGGGATGATGGGGCGCGGGCGCCATGCACGCGACGCGGAGCTTGATATCCAGCATCTTCTCCCTAGGGTGTCCATCTTCATCTGGATGTCCCAATTCATCCCTCGAGCCTCGTCTACTCGCCGTCCTCGACCCCGACGTCGAATGCGCATGCGCAAAGCGCGCTGATCCACGAATGTGGAGATAACAATTCCACGGGCGTTCGCTATCTTCGATATCGCTATCGCTGTCTTCGTCTTCGGGGACCGCACCACCATTTCGTGGGCCGTTTTCATCCGTCGTACTCGTCTGAATGCTCGCTGGAGGATTCGGGGACCCGGCACGTATTTGTAGGGAGTCCCCATTGACTTCAGCAGTCATAGTCCCCCGCTTATTCGCCCCAGTCGCGACCTGCAACGACAGCCTCTTGGACGCAGCACCACCACCCGGGAGAGGAACCCCAACTCCATTCGAAGCATGCGTCCCCGACTCGGAGGGAACGCGAGAATTCCCACTCGAAGAAGGTACGTCAAATGCAATCGAATGCCGCCTGCTCCCCTTGTCCTCGGCACCAATAGTGCTCCCCGTCGCATTCCGTTTCCGCCGCTCACCGCCTTCTGCAGAACCAGACGACTTGGATTTGGAACCCCGTCGCCATTCAAAGCGCACTTCGACGTCTGCCCCACCCATTCCTCCGGATCCAGCGGGTTGGTTCCCCCATCCAGAGCCCGTAAGAGCGGTACCAAGCGAATCGACCATGGCCCCGATCAAACCTTCGTCGCTGCCCTTGATCCATTTACGTACGACCCAGGCATACGTGCTCGGTCGTCCCTTTGTTGGGACTGTCCCGGTCGGTGAGCAGAGAACGGCTTGGAGTCCCAGGACTTGAGGTTGGAGAATAACGCCTTCTCCTGGACCTGAGGCGCTGTTTGGTCCACCACTTGACGAGCTTGGGATGAGCAAGTTGCCCGTCGGAGAGGTGAGAATGCTTGCTGTAGTCGGCGTCGAGGCGGATCCAAATTTCGGTGAAGAGATCATGAAAGAAGGGGTGGCGGATTTGCGCTTGGCAGACGTGGGTGTCGACTCTGGAGTTGGGTTAAGTGCGAGAGGTGCCGGTGGATCCTTTTTCTTCTTGAAAATGTTGGCAAACAGCTTTTTGGAGCTGCTTTCCTTTTCCACGGGCTTGGGCGTCGTCGGAGACGATGGGACTTCTACGACCGTCGGGAGATCATGATACGTTTCTGTCGTCGCGTGTCCGTCGACACCACGCGGCATAGAAATGGAAGAGATCTGCGAAATGGTTCTCGAGACTTGGTTACCGAATCCAGAACCACTCGTCGAATGCACGCCATGGGGTTCAAGTGTATCGAAACTGTCGTTCCAATTGTATTTGCCATAGACTTCTACGGGCTCGAGCATGGCGAGGCCCATAATCTCCAACCCGCGCTTGAAAAATTTGGCAATCTTTGCATCGGTCCCGGCATCGGTGATGACGTTTGTCATGACATTGTGAGCGTGGAGATTGTAGAGTGGGATCATACGTCTCCCACTAGACGAACCACTGCCACTCGCGCCAGAGGCCAAGGACGAGGCCGAGTAGGTTGATTCCGTATCGCTGCGATTGGAACGTAACGAGGATGTTCTCTTTAATCCGTCGCCCTGAGAGGCAGGCTGTTCCCCGACGTCGTTAAACGTTTCTCTAGAGCTGTTCGCCGAGCGGGTCAGGATGCGTTCTCGACCGGAACTGGCGACGAGTTGGACTTGTAGGTTGAGCGGATGGTTTGACATGGATGGAGGAGGTCGTACAATGATAAACGTCTGGGCCAATGGTTAGCATGGCAAGCGGTGGTGATGGATCGCCAAAGATAGACTTCGGAGGTGGCCGGTGCGCTAAACAATGACTGGCATCAACACACAGCTGATTCGTCCACAAGACGAATCCAAAGAGGGGAGAATAGGCGCCGAAAGAAGACGGGGAAGATGCGCGCGTCATCATGTAATTACACGATAAATTGTGGACAGAAAAGTGGAATGGTGCTAGTAAAACTGAAAAGACGGGGAATGACACGATGTTTGTCTGTGGCACGACGGCAGAGGTCGGCCTATGGTGTCGTCCGGTATCAAGGGAGGACTGGGAGAGAAAGGAAAGGATATTGATGAGCAATCGGAATCTGTTCTTACCTCTGTTGCTGTCGCAGTGTCTCGCCGCTTCTTGATTTTGGACGGACGGTCCTTATTCTTGCTTGGAGAGACCTCGAGCTCTGCAGCGCCGTCCGTAGTGGTGCTCGTCTGTGAATCTGCTTCGCGTTTCATTGGCTGCGAGTGAGCAGACTGCTGGGCTTCATGTCTGCTCGGCGTTGGCGCATTGAGCTTGAGAAAGTCTGGGGTCGTGATGGATACGTTTGTTGGTAAAAGTTTTGAGAATGTAGACAGCATTCTAGTGTGCTGTCGGTGGTGTGGAGAATAGGAGGCAAATGGCGTCGAGGTTCAAGTGTGGCTTTCGTAGCTGACCTCTGTGGGGGCTCGTCGACACGGTCCCGGTCACTCGTCTGGATATTTCTTTAGAATTATGAACGAGGCTGGTTATGACCTGTGTACGACTGTGGACGCAGCCGGCCAGCGCAGCAACAACCAAAGGTAATTATGACAGAAGGGATTCGTCCACCTAGGCGCCGTCAACTTGTTCGATATTGCCAGCCCACTTTATACAAGAGCCTAATGCCCGCTGCTCTCGGAGGAATTCGTGATATCAACCGTCAATGGCAGTCACATGTTTCCCTGGACACCAAACTTGCCTACTAAACGAATCTTTCCGGTGGAAGCGGCAGATTAACGAATTTCGACGATACAGACGACCTCGAGATCGGTCCTTTTTTATGCCTCGTAATCGATGGCCGCCGTTGCTTCACATTCGGCGGCAGTTACGTGGCTATTGCGGCGCCAGTCTTTTGCAGTGGTTCCGGTCTCTCGGACTTGCTGTTCAGATGCATTGTTTCACATCGACCTTCCTATAGAACACCTCGTTTCAATTCCCGACCTGTGATTCGGGACCGGAAAGCTCGCCTACTATTCGTCCTCTCTTGTGAGCAATTAATTTAACAAGTTAACGCTGCTTACAGCGCTTACCATTATACCCGCGCCCGGCAGTTTAGTCAAGACGCCCCACCTCTGCCCGAGCCATCATCGCACTGACGGGCTGACAGGTCGAATCAGAACCTTAGTGCACTTTTGGATCTCTCCTATCATATGGGCCATCCTCAAGGGGTCCCGTCGGTGGCGCATCAACAACCTATCGCAGCTTACCGAACTCGCTGGACCGCTATTGGACCGATTGTCCTCTATGCAAACTCAAAGAGCCAGACCCCAAACTTTGCCTTTCGACTGGGAATTTCACCTGCACAGTCAACAGTCCATTTTCACGGGTGCTTCTCCCGATCGCTGAGGCTCGACCGTATGTGTCTGGGTGGGTAAATAATCGCTCTTTACCGCTGGTTCAACTTACAGGAACAGCCCTTCTGAATTCATGCGAGACCCTACTCCTGTTCTAACCATTTGCAAGGTTCTATACGCGGCTCATGACTACTAACTTGTTTATACGGGAATTTTGACTGTTTGAATCCCAAAACTATCTCAAATGACCTAAGACTTTGTCTCACCGAGAAAATCTATTCGTCCACTTCCCATTCTCCCTCTTTTCCGCCCTCTATCGTCGAATGCGCCTTGCGAGATGCAAACCGTCTCATTAAGCGACACATAGTATTCCAGATAGAGTGATATCGGGATCTAATGTCGCGGAGAGTTGACCGCGGCATGACCTCTGTCAGGTATCAGTTACTCATCGCATATACGGAACCCCTTTCAAAATGATCGACCTCATCCTCAAGGAGCCAGACCCTGAGCGATGGTTCTCGACCTTTGTTTCGACCAGCAAAACGGCTCTATGCAAAGGGGCCTGTTTAGTGGGCGAACAAGCGCGGAGTTCGTTCTTGGATTCTACCACCTTGATCTCAACTGAAGAAAGATTCATTATGGGTAAATTATCCTTCTTTTCACACTGGTTCAACCCCCGCCAATCTCGCAAGGAATCTGCGCCATCGACACCGCCCACTCGTCAGCCTTTTCGCGTCTGATTCGTTCCATGCTAACTTTGTTCGTAGCGGGAAACCTATCTGTATGGCTCCTTCCCTCTGTTCAATCTCAAGAATACACCGACTTGGCCAATATCATTACCGGTCTTGCAGAGAAGCACTCTAACCACCCATATGCACCCCATGTCACTCTCGCCATGCTTCCCGCGTCGTTTCCCCCGTCCATTGTGGAACGCGTCTTGCGCGAGATGCAGTCGCGTCTCTATCAGCAAAGCGTCGTATTTGACAATATCAACACCAATTGGGTTGGCATAGCGGTCCACGGTCGAAAATACGCCAGACCTCTGGCGGGTCAACCAGTTCATGAGAAGAGTACCCTCCTTTGGCTTCAAGAAGAGTTTCATCACCGTCTCAACGAAGAGCTCACTGCTGCAATTCAGAGAGGGGATCCAGAGGTGATGGACCTTGGGTATACGCGTGTGAACAATATCGTTGGTTCTTTTCCTCACTTTTCGCTTGCGTATACCGAGGTGGGCCAAAAGGAGGGTGTACAGGAGCTTGAAGAGACGGGTGTTTTGGTTCGATATGGAGAAGATTTACACGACTTGCAAAAGGGGAGTGACGACCTCATTGGACAAGGATTGACACTTGCTGGACATCGTGGATTCAAGGTTGGGGCAATGTATGCCGCATACTGTGGTGGATTCAAGCCAGAGAAGTGGAGAGTGTTCCTCCGCATTAATTAAAGTAGATGGTGGCGGCATACACAGGAATAGCCGTAACGCACCTTCACCGCCATGGCTCGTGCTGACGGCCTGTGTCTCCGGTGGGTGTTCTCCACGTCCCACCCAACTTTTCAACGTCTTTTACGAGTTTTTCCCTTGTGAATATTGTAATAGATCGTAACATTTCGTGATATAGGCTGGAAAAAGTGGTGCCTCGTGGACGTGGTGCGGTCCAGCTACTGTAACCTTCGCGCCGCCCATAGCCAAAGGGCGTCACCGCGTCGCCGATGCCGTCGTTACTTGAACGTGTCGGACGTTCTCTTACTCGGAAGAAACCAGAACTGGTGATTGATGGCCGTGTGATGACTCCGACGACGCTCACCAGCTTTGCCTAGGTCTCTCCAACCGACGCCGCGCCCAATGCCGCTCCAGGACCGCGTTCACCGACGACTGAGAAGTCGCAGGGCGTATTTCAGTCGTTTCTACGCGCCAAATCACCCACAAGAACGGACCAGCCCCGCGTCGTAAGAGCGCCGCACCTGTCTCTCCATCTCCCCGACTACTCAGAAGGTGGGACAACCTACAAGGAAAAGCTCGGTATCGTTTTTGAGCAGCTCCCCGATCCAACGTACACGGACGAGGTCATCGCCGCCAAACGCCTAAACACGGCAGAGACGCTCCAATTGGTCCAAAAGACGTCGACACAGATCATCCAACGAGGTTCGATAAGCCGTCTGACGCGTCCCAGGTCGACTGCTGACCCCTTGTATCTCCTTCAGGACTTGAAACACCAGGCATCTTCAAATCGTTTTGGTATACGCAATCAGCCGAGAAACAACGTCGGCTTATCGTGCTCTATCTCCAGACCTTGGCCGGAGAATCGGCTACCACGAGCACGACAGAAGAAGCAAAGCCAAATCCGGCCGTCGAAACCCTCGACGATTACTTGTCAAGCGCATCGCCGCATGATGTCGCAGAGGTGCTCAAATGGGCAATTCGTCATTTCCAGCTCGACGGTGCCTCGTTTGGAACATCCTCGGACGAGTATGGGTGGTACAAGTCCTTTGCCGAAGCGGAGAAAGAGGCGTCATACCCCACCGACGCATACACGACCCTCCTCGTCCCGCTCGTTCCACAAGGGCATAGAGATCTTCTCGAGGCTATTTTCAAATTTGCAACCTCGCTCGCGTCGTACGCAGAGCTCAACGGCATCTCGGGTTTGTCGCCCATTCGTTTTCATCATATGGCTCTTGACGTTTCATTAGGCAGCAAGTTTACTCGTTCAATCGGATGGTGGCTGCTCAGTGAGCGCCGCGTTCCCACGAATGGCCTGGTCGGATTCATCCACGACTGGGAAACGGCCGCAAGGATTCTAGAGCATCTGTTCCTTGCGTACATTCGGTGAGACTCGTCTCACTATTCTATCGTTGCTCAATGCCCGAATAGCGATCAGCAACGGCTAGGATTGATGCCCAAACGTCTCACACAGCTCGTCAAGTCGTACCCCTATTCTAAACAGGCTATCCCAGAGGATCAGCATTATCTACCTCGCCCTAAATTCAGTACACAGAACCGACCGGTTCTTTTCGTCCGCGTCGCAGTTCCTCCAAACGCCAAGAACCAGTACAGTGGTCGCCCTATTCAACTCTTACGTGATGCGATATCCGCTCACGTCGAAGAGGGGTCTACAGACAGCCAGTACCATGGTCTCTGGCTAGAATTGCGGCGTTTGGCTGCGGGTGATGGAGGCCAAACCCTTGCGCCGGACACTACACAGACACCAACTGTCTTTGTCACGGGACTGTTGACCGAAGCCACCCTGTCAATGCTCTCCAGCACAAGCGGAGAATCGACTGCACCAACCTCCTCCCGTCCGACCGACTCTGAGCCAGTCACCCCGCTCTATCGCTCGCTTTCCCCAGGCCGCAAGACGACTGGCACCGTGTCCACGAACCCGACCGCCCCAACGTCACCAATGGAATGGGAAGAGTTCTCCGGAACCGGGTTCGGCTCCATTTCCGAGGGTACTGCGCTCACCTTTTCCGATTTTGGACCACCCATGTCTCCTCGACAAACGTCTGCGACTGTTGGTGTGAATTCGCGTTCGACAAAAGCGTCTCGCTCGACGCGTCGTCGGTCCATCGAATACAAGCAGCCACTCTCAGCCACGCCGTTGTCCCCCATCAATGGTCACACGACAGACGCTCCCAAAGAGTTTCCTGCAAAGGATGCGTCGGCAGTTGTGCGCGAGTCTGTCGAGGGTTCGCTTTCATTGGATGAAACATTGATTGACGGGTGGGCTGAAGTCATTCTTGATCGCACCGTGGCCAGTGCGTGGCCCTCGTTTGTCTTGTATGAGCTCCGCAGTCCGCTCACCGTGCCCCCTTCTACCGAAGGCGGCGAGGATACGGTGATCCGCTGGTTGGCGATCGAGACGTACGTCTTGACGCCACCTGAACAGTCTGTGCCTTCTAGTCCCGTCAAGGCTACTTCTGGCACAAAGGTCAAACGCTCGTCGTCTGTCAAGTCTGACAAGCGAGCTCGGTTTGGATTCTTCTCCAGTCAGACGTCGTTGCATGCCAAAGATGGCAAAGAGGAGAAGAAGGAGAAGCGCAAGGAACATGTCAGGAGGGGCTCGGAGATGAGCGTGGAGAGTGCTGCGAAGGCCAAAGGTGAGCTGATCCCATCAAGAGGTTCGAGTGCTTACGCCTATGCAGAAGCCTCCAAGTCTCAAGTAGACCTCACCGCACCTGCTGCTGCGATTGCAGAGGAACCGGAACCGTCGACTCCCATCCCGGCGTTGTCGCAAGATGTTGCACCCGTCGCCAAGGCTGAAGAGCCAGAAGCCAAAGAAGTTGTTGAAAGTCCTGTTCCTACAGCCACAAAGGTTCAGGAGGGACTGAGTGAGTTAGCCTTTGCCTAATCCGTGCTTCATGGTATTGATGGTTAGCCGTTGATACCCTCGCCGTTCCCACCACCGTTAATTCAAAGTTTATCGAGGGTTCGACCCCAGGAACTAGTACGTGATCGGCCATCATTATCTCATTTTCTCTGAAACGCGCGGCAAGTTCCCGAATCGAATGCAGATCCTACGGACACCGCACATGCTACCGAACAGGGTAATTCTAAATCTATTTGTATAGTTGTATAGGCTCGGCCGTTTATCTGACTTTTTATTCCTCGTCCTAAGTGACCAAAACGGATGGTGTGGAGACAGGCCCTGCGCTGAAACATCCCGAGCGCTCCGATGGTCTGTTGTCAATTCTCTCCTTGCTTTATGATGATTGTTGACGAACCCTGTTAGGTGATGCAACGGTGCCTGTGCATGATGTGCCTGTGACGGAGGTGCCCCAAGAAGCCGCAACGCATCATGATAATGAGACAAAGGGACTAGACGCCAGTACGCCGCCGGTTCCAACCTCGGACACTGTGCTTCTTCATAATGCAGTTCCCGTATCTACGCCACCGGCCATTGGTGGCCCAACGACGGTGGAACAGGGTACCCCAGCCGTAAAGGCTGATGGAAGCGATACTCAGCCGGAAATTGGCATTGCGCCTGTGTCGTCGTCTGGCAATGGCGATGATGCGGTGATCGCTGCGGACGCTTCTAGGGAGGTGCCGGCTGCAAAGGTTTCTGATGTTCCCGAAATTGCCGAGAAGGGTCCATCTGAGGATGAGGAAAATGCGCAGGCGATTCGTGAGGCCGAAGCTGCGGCGACAGTCGAGGCGGAACGCGTCGAGAGTGAGCGTTTGGAACAGGAGCGCATCGAAAACGTATGTGTTGACGCAATTGGTGTGAAGCTGAACCTAATGATGTTGATAGGAACGTCTCGAAGCGGAGCGTCTTGAACAGGAGCGGTTGGCTGAGGCAACTAGAATCGAGGCGGAGCGGGTCGAGGCAGACCGCTTGGAGCAAGAACGCCTCGAGGCGGAAAGAGTTGAGCAGGTACGTGTTTGGTCAAGTGCAAGGATGGAGTTCGGTTGAGAATGCCGCAGGAGCGCCTGGAGGCCGAGCGTATAGAAAAGGAGCGTATTGAACAGGAAACGGAGCGCATCGAAAAGGTGGTTATAATTAGTGGATAATACGATTTCGACGAGCTAACGCTAGTTTGCAGGAGCGCTTGGAAGCTGAGCGCGTAGAGCAAGAGCGTTTGGCTGAGGAAGCAAGACTCGAGGCTGAGCGTCTCGAGCAAGAACGACTCGATGCAGAGCGCATTGAGGCGGAACGTATCAAGAAAGAACGCCTGGCCGAAGAGGCCAGCCTCGAGGCGGAACGTGTCGAACAAGAAAGGCTGGCCGAGGCAGCAAGACTCGAGGCGGAGCGCATCGAACAGGAGCGCATCGAACAAGAGCGACTCGCCGAGGAAGCTAGGCTCGAGGCCGAGCGTGTTGAAAAGGAACGACTGGCGGAGGAAGCAAGACTCGAGACTGAGCGCCTGGAGCAGGAACGCATCGAAAGCGTATGTGTCTATGTGTTCACTCTGATAAATGCTGACCTGCCCATAGGAGCGTCTCGAAGCCGAACGTATCGAAGCAGAGCGCATTGAGGCGGAGCGGCTTGAAAAAGAACGCCTTGCTGAGGCGGCAAGAATCGAAGCCGAACGCATTGAACAGGAGCGTCTGGCTGAGGAGGCAAGATTTGAAGCAGAACGCATTGAGCAAGAACGACTGGCAGAAGAGGCTCGACTTGAGGCAGAGCGCATTGAAAAGGAAAGGCTTGCAGAGGAAGCAAGGCTCGAGGCTGAGCGTATCGAACAGGAGCGTCTGGCGGAAGAGGCGAGGCTCGAAGCCGAGCGTGTGGAACAGGAGCGCATCGAAAAGGTATCCATGAATGCAATTGCTGCCATAGAAGCTAATGTTTTGAAGGAACGCCTTGAAGCTGAACGTCTTGAAGCAGAGCGTCTGGAGAAAGAAAGATTGGAGGCTGAACAGGCTGAAAAGGCAAGTGTGACCTTGTGGTATGTTGAAATCATGTTGATTTGCTCTTTAGGAGCGGTTGGAAGCCGAAAGAATTGAAGCAGAGCGGCTCGAGCAGGAGCGTCTTGAACAAGAACGCATTGAACAGGTAGGTTCTACTTCAATGCAATTGGTCGATACTGATTATTGTGATAGGAGCGCATTGAGGCTGAACGCCTTGAGAACGAACGGATCGAGCGCGAGCGTTTGGAGGCCGAGCGTCTTGAACAAGAAAGACTAGAAGCAGAGCGCATCGAGGCCGAACGTATTGAGCAAGAACGCCTAGCTGAGGCAGCAAGGCTCGAGGCGGAGCGCATCGAGCAAGAACGCTTGGCCGAGGAAGCGAGGCTCGAGGCGGAGCGCATTGAAAAGGAGCGGTTGGAAGCGGAGCGTCTCGAGCAAGAACGGCTAGAGGCAGAGCGCATCGAGGCCGAACGTATCGAGCAAGAACGCCTCGCCGAGGCAGCGAGACTCGAGGCAGAGCGCATCGAGCAGGAGCGCCTGGCTGAGGAAGCAAGAATCGAAGCTGCACGCATCGAACAAGAACGACTGGCAGAAGAGGCAAGGCTCGAGGCAGAACGCATCGAACAAGAAAGACTGGCCGAAGAAGCAAGGCTCGAAGCTGAACGTCTCGAGCAAGAGCGACTCGAGGCTGAGCGCATCGAGGCTGAACGTAAAGAGCAGGAGCGCCTAGCTGAGGAGGCAAGGATTGAAGCCGAACGCATTGAACAGGAGCGATTAGCTGAAGAAGCAAGACTCGAGGCAGAACGCATCGAACAAGAAAGGCTTGCCGAGGAAGCGAGGCTCGAGGCCGAGCGCATTGAAAAGGAGCGGTTGGAAGCCGAACGACTCGAGCAAGAGCGACTTGAGGCGGAGCGCATCGAGGCTGAACGCAAGGAACAGGAGCGCCTGGCTGAAGAGGCCAGGCTGGAGGCAGAACGTATCGAACAGGAAAGACTTGCTGAGGAAGCAAGGCTCGAGGCTGAGCGCATCGAAAAGGAGCGGTTGGAAGCTGAACGTCTTGAGCAAGAACGACTCGAAGCAGAGCGTGTCGAAGCTGAACGCAAGGAGCAAGAACGTTTAGCTGAGGAGGCAAGACTCGAAGCCGAACGCATCGAACAGGAGCGATTGGCTGAAGAAGCAAGACTCGAGGCAGAACGCGTTGAACAAGAAAGACTTGCTGAGGAAGCAAGGCTCGAAGCTGAACGCATCGAGCAGGAGCGTTTGGCTGAAGAGGCAAGAGTCGAGGCCGAACGACTCGAGCAAGAGAGACTTGAAGCGGAGCGCGTCGAGGCAGAACGCATCGAACAAGAAAGGCTTGCCGAGGAAGCGAGGCTCGAGGCCGAGCGCATTGAAGAGGAGCGGTTGGAAGCCGAACGTCTTGAGCAAGAACGACTCGAAGCAGAGCGTGTCGAAGCTGAACGCAAGGAGCAAGAACGTTTAGCTGAGGAGGCAAGACTCGAAGCCGAACGCATCGAGCAGGAGCGGTTGGCTGAAGAAGCAAGACTCGAGGCAGAACGCGTTGAACAAGAAAGACTTGCTGAGGAAGCAAGGCTCGAAGCTGAGCGCATCGAGCAGGAGCGTTTGGCTGAAGAGCAAGACTTGAAGCCGAACGACTCGAGCAAGAGAGACTCGAAGCGGAGCGCGTCGAGGCAGAACGCATCGAACAAGAAAGATTGGCCGAGGAAGCACGACTCGAAGCTGAACGCCTCGAGCAAGAGCGACTCGAGGCTGAGCGCAAGGAGCAGGAACGCCTAGCTGAAGAGGCAAGGATCGAAGCCGAACGTGTCGAACAGGAGCGATTGGCTGAAGAGGCAAGACTCGAGGCAGAACGCATCGAACAGGAACGACTGGCTGAAGAGGCAAGGCTCGAGGCTGAGCGCATTGAAAATGAGCGCTTGGAGCAAGAACGCCTTGCAGCTGAACGAGCTGAGAAGGTGTGTACTTACATCAACGCAAGTATGCAATTGGGCTAAAACTGCCATAGGAACGCTTGGAAGCCGAACGCCTTGAACAGGAGCGCCTTGAGCAAGAGCGGTTAGAAAACGAGCGCGTCGAGCAGGTAAGTAGCATTTGAAATAGCGATGGAGCTGATCTCCTGCAATAGGAGCGAAAGGAGGCGGAGCGTTTGGAAGCGGAGCGGGTTGAAAAGGTATGCACGGAAGGCGTGTGTCTGGCGCGACTACGTTGGACTGATGCTATTTCGAAGGAGCGCTTGGAATCTGAGCGAATCGAACAAGAAAGGTTGGCCGAGGAGAAGAGGCTCGAATCTGAGCGAATCGAGCAAGAAAGGCTGGCAAAGGAGGCAGTCGAGCCTATTCAAACGACCGAATTCAACGGTCCTACTGTTGAAGACTCGGTTCCCGCAAAAGAAGAAACCAAACCCCTCGGAGAGGAGAATGGGGTTGCCGAAGATGCCCAGGCTGGGTATCCCGAGTCCATTACCAAAGTATCGGAATCAACTCCAGTGCCAAAGAATGAAGAAGGCGAGCTGGTTTCGGAGTCTGCTCACGATGAACAGAAGCCCAAGGCCGTTGAAGGGGCCTCGGTTTGAAGGAGTGAGTGCATCTCCAAAACGCATCCTTTGTACTAAGGATGTGCAGAACGAATCACGAATCAAATGATTTCTTTGTGTCATATGGTTTCTCCCTGTCACTAATCTCTTGTCATCTTATGTAGATATCTTTCCACGCTTACATGAATCTGTGTAACGCAGCCGAGTCGTGAAGCGTGATAAGACTAGACGTTTGTACGCCGCGTGCACTAGCGCCGACGGGGGACCATTTCTGTGGGATATCGGCTGCTTGCTGGCTTGCTTGTGGAATGTAAATGGAGACAAGTTCCAAACCGGCTCCTTGTTGTTCTTCGGGCTGTTGTTGCAATCCCGTAGCTGCGTCCCTGACAGATATCCCAACTTGGACTCCGCCTGGAGGACATATGGCGTCTCCAGCCCATCGTCCCGCTCACTTCCAGGCCAATTCCAGTGGATATAACCGCAGAGGAGGTCGTGTACTTCCTCACCTCGTCGAGCTCTCACAGTGCTTGCTCGATTTCGTCGTCCAACTTCTGCCCACCAAGGAAGAGGTCTCTGTAAAGGAAGATGTCCGGTTTGTACACTCTAAGTACTCGCTGGAATCCACTGCTCACGTCTATCTATCAAAATATAGCAAACTGCTAGAGCGGCTGATCAGAACGATCGAGCCCTCCTCACAGTTGCTCAGCTTTGGATCTACCGCGAATGGATTTGAGCTCAAGAACTCTGGTATGTCCTGTTTAGCCTTTCTGTGGACATTCTGAGCTGAAAATGGTGCGACTAGACATGGATTTGTGTTGTGTGCTCGACGTGCGACCTGAAACCCCGCCCAATGCCTCACAATTCGTTCTGCGTGCTGCTCAGCTGCTAGAAAGGGAGACTAAATTTGCAGTCAAACCCCTTCCCAATGCCCGTCAGTCGCCCGTATGCCTTCGTCTCTGCGGGGACCCGCTGATGCCGCCCTGCCATAGGTATTCCCATTATTAAACTATCGCTTCAACCTTCACCTAGTATCCCTTTCGGAATCGCTTGCGACATTGGATTCGAGAACCGCCTCGCCCTGGAAAACACGCGGCTTTTATTTACCTATGCGGCCATTGATCCTACACGAGTGCGGACTCTGGTCTTGTTTTGTGAGTCTATTTGTCTTTTTTCGCCTGCCAGTCTAATTGGCTTTCAGTAAAACTATGGGCCAAACGACGGTAATGGATGATCTGGCCTCTCGACCATCCAGCGCTCACACTGCGTCAGGAAAATTAACAGTCCCTATCATGGAACTCTCTCTAGTTATGGATACGCCCTCCTAGTCATCTTCTTCTTGGTCCATGTAAAAGATCCGCCTGTGTTGCCCAACCTCCAACAGATGCCTCCTATGAGGCCTATTTCTCCCGTACGTCACTTTCCACTTACAATCCTGGTACTGATAAATCTATCACGATAGTCGGAAACCCACATTGACGGCCGAAATGTTTGGTATGTCTGAGAACGAGACCCGGTCGCGACACTCATTCATCCCGGCAGGTTCTTCGATGACATTGAATTACTCAGAAGAAAGTGGCAATCACCAAATACGGAGACCATTGGCGAGTTGTAAGGCTGTTCCATTGAGCTTGTTTCTCCGAACGTTTGCCTGACGAATGGGACCAGACTGCTGGATTTCTTCAGGTACTTTTCCCGAGACTTCAGCTACGGAACCTCCGTAGCCTCCATCCGTGCCGGCCATCTATCAAAAGAAACCGTATGTCGAACCCACCGGCTGCTCCAATTTTCTCACCCCCATCCAGAAGGTTGATGCGAATAAGCCGCCTGACCCACGAGAAGGAACGAGTCTTTGGATAGAGGTATGTCAACCCAAATTGACATGCGATAACCCATGCTCACGCGATGCAGGACCCTTTCGCAACCGACTTCAATGTTGGTCGCTGTGTTACTAGAGACGGATTGTATACTGTACGTGGCAATGCTTTTACAGGTTCAAGCTGACCGTTTGTCAGATACGAGGCGAGTTTATGCGCGCACTTCGAATATTAAACACAAAGCACGAACCCGCAGGGGTATCGCTTGCTACGCTTTGCGAGGAACGGGAGTCTGAAGTCCCACAAAGTGCCCAACGAAACTCGTTCCGACATAACGTAGACTCGCCACGTTCCCGATCGGCCGGTGTCTCCCCCGTTATTCCTCGATTGAATCTGGCCCCTGCTGCGCCACAAGAGTTTAAACCCCAGTTCGCTCCATCTACACCTATTACAATATCGAGTCCCGACAGCCTTCAAGCACCTACATTCGTTCCAGCTGTATTACCCCCGACTATGGTTCCGCCGCCGCACATGGCACCTCAACGAGCCAAATGGACAAGCCCCCCACCTGATCATGCGCCCCCACAACGGCATAATTCGTTTAATGAAAAGCTCGAGTCGGGCATCAAGCTCGCGGTCTCGCATCCGCCAATGTTGCGAACAGCGACACGCTCATCAACAGGTAGCAGTGCTACCGATGACGACGTAGACGACGTTTTGGACGTCAACACTCGATCATCGTCTCCGGCGAGTTCGACTGGTCCTCTCATTGCCGAGTTCAAACCAAGGACTCGTGCTCCGCCTCGAATACAAGAAGCGGTCGAAGAAGAGCACTCCTCCACGCCAAAACCTTTCCTACCTCAGCAGTCTCAACATGGACGATTTGCGACGGCTCCTGCGACAGTCATGGACGCCAAAAACCGAGACTATACTCAAATACACTCTACCCTACCCACGATATCGATACCTTCTCAGCTTCCGTTCTTCCCTCCACCTCCATATAGCGCAAATGCGCTCCAATGGTCGATGGATTACGGATACGGCTTTGCTGTCAACCCCCCACCCAGGGCTAATCCTGGATATCAGCCGCCACGGCACGGCCGATATAACAGCCACAAGTCTTATACTCCCACTACTTCCTTCGGTGCTAACCATTCGAGAATTTCCCCCATGGTCCAGCATGTGGCGCCTTTCTCGCTCCCATCGCCTCAGCAATTACCGACCCCGCCTGTCTCATCCCCATGTTCGAACCAACAGCATTCACCTACGTCGCCACAGGCACCTTTATTGCGTTTGGATGAGCCGTCTGCGAGATGATACATCTGCAACAGGGCGGTGCGGTATGTCTCCCTGCCCTGAGTAGTGCTCCCCGGCGACTGCGATTCGCTTATCACTGTCACTGTCACTTGTCTCACAAGGTTCATGTCTGAGCTTTTGTAAACCCCTTCACATCACACTCGTCCAGTGCCAGTTCGGTCTTCTAAGCTTTGCCCGCACGACATTATCCGGATCCGTAGTAGCTCAATCGTTTCTGCTCCCTTGGATCTTGAGACTCAACATCATGTGCATCTTTTTGCGTGGCTAGATGTGAATGCACTTGTAGTCTACCCCACTTGCTTGAGCGTTGAATACTGGCCGAGGTGGCGTAGGCCGTCACTTGTCCTTCCACCATATTCTTCATGTACGCTGAAGCCCCTCGGACCCCACTCCGGCGCGGATCTCAACGTTACTTGGCCGAATCTAAACCTTTTCGCGCGTCGACATCGTCTGCTGGGGAACATGACGGCGAGCCGACTCCGTGGTCCTCGCTCGAGGGCACATTTCACGAGATCGCAGACGAATTGGAAGGATTTATGAAAAACCTACAACAGATTAAGCTTATAACGCAAAAGTTAGAGGAGAGAGCCGAGTCTGTCGCCATGTTTCTGCAGGCACAGAGGATGAATACGTATTGTGTCGAATTTCCGCAGGTGTGTCCAATAAATATCTTGATTTTAAGTAGGATTCATGGTCACGATAGGCACCTACAGACGCATCGTTTGAGCAGTATGCGATCCGCGAGGCGCAACGCGTCCGTGCACGTACACCAACCAAAATTGAAGCGCCGTCAGATCCGAAGACTCCAAGAGATGCAAACAGAGGTATTTGTGCTCCTATAGTGTCGATTATGTATGGACTAAGCATTCAGAACACGACCGAACGTTTGCCACTAACAGCGCAGCGTATACCCCAGTGGCACCGACGAAGGAGCCTCCGAAGAAGACCACTGGGATTGCGAAACCGGGTGCCATGACGAATAAGATGCGCAAGGAAAGATTGGTATGCGCTGCCCCGGACCTTCTACCTACACACCGCTAATGCCGGGAACCAGTCTACGGTAGATACCGTGATCAACTTGTTACCTCTGGAGTTTCGGGGAAATGACCCGGTAAAGTGGATACGTTCGTCTGCAGCCACTCTGACCTTGTCGCAGCAATTGCGCAAAACGGCCGAAGCCGTCATTAATGCTCTTATGGATGCCAAGAGACCGCTCAAGAGTAAGTATCCTTCCAAGTGAGATCCCTGCCTGATCCATCTGCAGTCACCGAAATAGCCAAAGGACCACTTCTGCCACAAGCCAAAGTTAACAAGTGCCTCATCGGGTTGGTTAACGCCAAAGCTGCCATCAAAAGCACGGAGCAAGTACGTTTATAAAGAATGATTCATCTTTGTGTTCATGTCTTCTCACAGGGCGTTTCGCACTATGCTTTTGCAAAAAGCTGTTTACCGTGAAGAATGACTGACATATATCATGGGTGTAATGTACTAATGATACCCTTTGCAACAAATAGTTGTTTGTGAATAAATGTGGCAAGCAGAGATGTACATTGGATTCAACATCCACGCAGCCACAAAGTGTCCATCACGTCTTGGCCACGATCTCCATCTTGACGAGGTGCAGAAACTGCGGTAATCGAAAGAAGAAGAATGTGACCTCAGCGGTGACGAATAGGATTGCGATCTGCGACTACGATGCCCCAGGTGTTCCAACAACCTCCAGCTCATAGTAGGGTCCTGGGCCGAGGTCCAGCACGAACGGTCTCTCCACGTGGGCCAGAGAACAGCTTCTGGGTACGTGCTCGCAGATATTCATCCATGGTCCTAGACGGACTCAGCCCCGCGTCGGGTTCGATTGCTGTACGCACCTTCCTCAGGGAACCCAGACGGGCAATTGGCAATCCACGAATGCTCGAGAGCTTGCTGTAGAGTCATTCTCTTCTTTGGGTTCTTTTGGAGGCACTGGTACGTAGTTAGAACAACTCTCCAGGAATTTCTTTACGTACTTTCTGCACGAAATCGCGTGCATTGGGTTGCTGTGGAAAGGCCTTTGCGATCACCTTGTTTAATTTCTTCTGGCTAGCCTTCCTTGGATCGTTCTGATTCTCCAAAACCTGCTTTCTGTGAGCTATCGTGTTGCCGAGCTTCACTGTACGCACCGTGCCAGCCATCCAGAGCAGGGTAGCCCCAAGGGCCCAGACGTCGTGAGCCAGGTTTGTGTACTGTTCTGGCTGTTTATTTGCGATCTCGGGTGGAATGAAACCCTCCGTCCCGTAATATCCTCCATAGACGGCCGAGACGGGGCCAGCAATGCCCATATCAGAGAGGAGTAGTCGACCGGACTTCGTCACCAGTATATTGTCTGGCTTAATGTCTCTGTGGGTCCACCCGATTCTGTGGAGTTGATCCAGTAGGAGTGTCAACTCATGCGCGAGGTCTTGTATCAGGTTTGCTGGAATCCCCTTGGAGCCTCGCTCAGACTTGTATTGCTCGAGCACATCCCACAACGTTGTCACGTGTCTCTCCTGTAATCGTTAGCCTGCGACCTGTTACTGACAAGGGAAAGCTCACCATGACGATTGCGAAGCAGTTGCGTGCCTCAATCGTCGTGATGTGTCGACTAGTTACGCCTAATGGGCTGAACTTCTCCAAGGCCAGGATTTCGCGCCGAACCTTCGCGTCGAGTCCTTGTCCCGGCTCGCGATTGACTGACTTGATCACAATAAGTTCAGGTGGCGTATCTCGTTCCGACCTCTTCAACGTTGCCGCGATAACGCTGCTCGTTCCACCAGTACCAAGGACGTCCCCACAGGTGATCACGCCAGCGTTGACTTCGAACTGCTCGCCCTCGACGAGAAAGCGTGGAGAATCTGCCATAAGACCTACTCCACGAGTAATTTGATTATCCTTTAGAGGAGGTAGCTCGACGGTCTCGCCAAGTGGGGAACGTTCGTCGATCGACACTCCGAGCTTGGCTGCGAGCAGCGACTTAGAGGCCTGCAGATTGCCCACCTGTGCTTGAAGTCTTTTGACATCTCGCTTCAACTCGGCGATGCGAGTGTCGGCTTGTGACGCATAGGCTCGAAGTTCTGCGATGGTCGCGTCCTTTGCATCCTCGCTTTGGATGACCTCGTTGTCGACCGTGGTAGATTCTGTTGCTATTTCATCCTCTTCAATTTATTAGACAACTGGAACTTCTACTCGAGAGTATGCTCACGTTGGCTTGCCATGAAGCTCTGAGTCCGGTTTAGCGCTCTGCGCTTGCGAGGGCTCACCACCACGCTATCATCATTCTCCTCTGTGGCTTAGGTGAGATGGTCTACAGATATCGCCACTGTTTCTCTCACCAGAATCGTCACGAGGCCGCTTTCGTCCAGAGTTGCTGCTGCGCACTGAGGGCAAAAACTGAGGACTATTGTCCGCTTCAGGAGATACATTGACAGGTTTGACTTGAATAGGTGTCTTTAAGACCCTTGCGATGGACGTCGAAGGCTTTGACGGTGGACGGCTGGCAGGCGTTACTCGTCCAGCGGGCGCAGCTTTCTGCAAGAAAATACGAGTATTTTAGCCTCTAAAACTCAACAATCAACGGATTTAATCACCTTGGCTTTGATCTGAGGGCCCGTTTGGATCTCTATGAGCTGCACTCCTTTGGGTACGGGGGCACTCCTAAGTCGAGTGCAGACCTTGGGCGTGGCTTTTTCTGATCCCCCCTGTATAATAGTCTATTACAGATGTCACGAGTCTTCTCATCACTTCGTATAATGCTCCATACCGAAGTGGACTGTTGGCGAGTCTCACGAATGCGCTGGGAAGCCCTCAACGCTGACATATTTCGGGGAGAGATGTATGTGTGGTAGATGCCTGGTATAGTCTTCGGGTTACCCTTATAGTGGACGATGGACAAAGCGTTCTTGGCTGCTGGCGCAAGGGGAGGTTTAAGCAAGGATGGTCCAGCCAGCTTGTGGCTCAAAGAAAGCTCGCCTACCACAATGTCCTGTCAACTGCGCAAAGTGATTTGTCGTCGTTCAAAGGGCATACCTCTCTATTTCTATTGTGACCTCCTGTCCTTTCAATGTGGCGCGACCGGGTAGGTATTCCTCTCATTTTGACGTAATTTTTGTATAATAATGTCGATAAATAGATGATATTTTGGCATTTGTGCTTCTAGACAGCACTGGAATGCAAGCCCACGGCCGCCGGGGAGGGTGAACTTGCCCTCTGACCCAGCACGGTTGATTGGCCAGCGTCTCTTGAACCTCTACCTCGACGACCTCTGCTGCTCCCAAAGCCTTGTCCACCCAGTTTCCACTTTGTCGACGAGTCCGATGTCTACCAGCGCAACGTCCAACTCGTCCCTCTTGCTTCGACGCCAGCTACTCGAGCTGACCAAGAAACCTGTCGAGGGATTCTCAGCTGGTGAGTCATTTCTGCGCCTGCTTGCTGCCCAGCGAGATATACACCACGCTCTGGGTCGATTCTATCCGTTGGTCGCGGTGGCGGCGCGCGATCTTGTCTTAGGCGCCAAATGCTCATATGCGCGTTAGGTCTCGTGGATGATACAAACATCCTGGAATGGGAGGTGATCATCATGGGGTGCGTATGGCTTCACACTCGCAGAGCCGCTGACTGACCGTCCTCGTTAGCCCACCCGATACTCTCTAGTATGTCACTATGGCTATACGAATGCGTGATTGAAGACGCTGACGACGCTTTTATTTCTCTCTGATGCGCTGCTTGCTCTCCTAATCCGACTCGTGTGCAGCGAGGGCGGAATTCTCAAGACAAGGTTGACATTCCCGCCCGAGTTTCCTTTGATGCCACCAAAGATGAAGTTTATCACCCCGATGTGGCACCCAAATAGTGCGTATTGACTAAAATTTCGGGGCCGCTCGCTCATCACTCTATCTCCGTGCGCTATAGTCTATCCCGATGGAACCCTCTGCATCTCAATCCTTCATGATCCTGGAGAGGATCAATATGGCTACGAAGACGCAGGCGAGCGATGGCTCCCAGTCCACACGGTCGAGTCGATCGTCAGTCTCCTTTTATTTCACACCAACTGTATACTGAAATCCTTGTAGCTTGTCAGCGTCATCTCCCTCTTGAGCTCTGAAAGGCCGAACCTCGACAGTCCGGCCAATGTCGATGCTGCCAAAGAGGTCCGCGAGAACTGGGAGGGTGCGTTTATTCAAGTTCCGTCTTGACATGGCTGACTTTACCTAATTTATGCAGGCTACAAGAAAAAGGTTCGCCGTCTAGTACGCAGGAGCGCCGAGGAAGCATGGGATTAAGCCACACGATTTCGGCATATCCTGTTCTGTGTCTCAATCTGGCTTTCCTCACCACTCGGCACAAGACTTCTATCGTGATATCGGCTCTTTTGTCCTTTCCTTGTGAAGTATATTCTAGCGTTCAATACAGACCCGTTTCCCTTCTCTTGCCTATTTCGTCGCCGATAGTGTATTCTATTTACTTCGATGGGCTTGTCTTACGTCTTTCTCCACTACGCTTGGATTGGAGTCGATCCCTATGGGCCATTCACTCTGGGCCCCTGCGTGCATGACATCACTTAGCCCGCTCCGCCATAAATCCACCCTCTCGGAGTCGCGGTTTCAAGTCTCGGCCGTATTTTATACCACCTATTCGACGACCTTACGACCATATACGCAACTTCCGAGCGCACACGCCAACTACGTCTACAACATACAATCATAATCGATACCAGATAACCATTATCGACACGGCAATGATACAACTACAACTCATACTCGCTCTTTGGCTCATTTTTAATCCATATCACGTTCATGCGGCGCCCGCGTGGTTGGAGTCGCGGGCGTTGCACAATGTTACGAGTCAGAACAAGGCTGGACTCGGGTGGAATAACCCACAGACGACGAATATGTCGCAGTTCTTCCGTACCGGAAAGATTGGATGGTACGTCCGGGAGGGAACTTTCACCTGCGATGAAGAGTTCGACTGATGATGACGTTAGGTACTATACGTGGTCTTCATGGTCCAATGACCAAGGCAGGAATCTCGACTTTGTACCGCTCCTTTGGGGAAAGGACAAGTTGAACGACTGGACAACAGCTGTCAATGGACGGCTGAAGCCTATGTTCATGAGCAAGGATATCACCCACGTCCTTGGGTTCAACGAGTGAGCGTGACTTCGTATTGAATGACGCTGCTTGGAACTAACGCGGATATGAAGACCACAGGAAAAGGGCCAGTCGAATATGACACCACAAGAGGCAAAGGACCTATGGATGACCCATTTGCATCCGCTAAAGACGGAGTATGGTGTCCGTCTGGGTTCTCCAGCAACGAGCAGTGCTCCATCTGGCAAGAACTGGACCCAAGAGTTCTTGACGGTGTGCGGTACAGATTGCGAGGTGGACTTTATCGCCTTGCGTACGTCATGCCTATGTCTCTTTGATTATCCAAACTGACAAGAGGTCGCAGACTATTACGGCACTAACGCCACGGACATGATCGCGTATATTACCGACTTTTGGACCACGTTCCAGAAACCGATTTGGGTGACCGAATGGGCCTGTCAAGATTTTACTCCCAAGAACAAGCAGTGCACCCAGGATGAGGTCTGGGCGTACATGAATAAGACCCAGACGTTTATGGATAGCGCACCTTGGCTGGAACGGTACGCATGGTTCGGTGCACTCGTGGATAATCCCATCACATCCACAAATGATCTCTTGACGGATCGTGGACGCATCACGACGCTGGGACAGCAGTATATCATGATGAACCCGAACGACATTGTTCAAGGTAATTCGTCCACGTCCATGTCCACCACATCCTCTTCTGCTTCGTCTTCGTCTTCCAGCGGTCTGTATTACCCAACAGCGACGTCGGGGAATGAGACGCTGTCGTACTTTTCGAGCGAAGCCACCGCTCTCGCTGCTGGTAATGCACCCCTTCCTTTTATTTATGTGAACTCGGTGTCGTTTTGACATGCTGACGCCTCTCACAGAATCAAATGGTCAATCGCCATCTTGGCTAGGCAGCCCTGCCGAGAGACTTCGGTCGTTGATGGAGAGAATAGTGCTTTGCATTACGCTTGCAACAGTGCTCTTGCTCTTCTAATCTTGTACTTAAATGGTGATGTAGCATACAATACCCAATGGAAGAGGACAATCCTGAATTCCCAATCTACCGAATATATGCCCTGTCGAGTTGAGTGCACATTATACAGGAAACAGGAGAATTCCCTGCGTTGAGCATTCCTTGTACCTCTAGGGGAAGTTCATTGCCGATCCGTTGGGTATACCCATTTCTCCTATTTCGCCATCACCTCGTGTCTCATTTTCAAGGCGAATACGTGACTACGCGATATATTGATCATGTATGCGTCATTACCAAATGAACGGTCGGGGAAGCGTAGTCCCGAAGCCCGGACACAACCCTTCCCCTTGTAAGGGAAGCGATATTTGTGTATAAGATCCTGTTGTGTCTGAAGTCACGTCGACGCCGGCTCCCTCAGCTCCAGCTTCTGGAGCGGCGCCGAGCTCATCTTGTCTCTTTATGCATCACCTGAGAGGCTTGAATGTGCTAATATCGGGGTCTAGTGACATTCTGCGCTGATGGCAATTTGTCGTGGAGGCTGGTAGACGTCAAATCACCCACATCTTGGACTCATCCACCTTCATAAGGTCAATCCAAAAGTCGATCAGACCCATGGATCAGCATACAATTGCGAATACATCGGGATCTTTGCCCCTCACACGGCGCCAAACAAATAAGAAAAATAAATTGTACAACACGGCCAATGTCGGTCTCGAAGTGGCAGCCAATATCGCCGAAGGATCAGATATACTGGCCCCACTAAAAGCGGCTTGTCGAACAACCAAATCGATCCTCGAAGTCTCACAGGTAAGTTGACGAAATAGACACGACTTCGTCTAATGAATGCGAACAGGCGATAGACAACAATCAAGAAGACTGGAGCGACCTAATCCAACGTTTGAAGGGTTACATATCTGCGCTTGAGGAGCGAATTGCCTTGTTTGAATCATATCCTATCGAGGACCGGGCTATCAACGAGGCGTTCAGCCAGCCGCTCCTCCGCTATGCCAAGTACGTGAACAGACCAAGCGTTCTTCAAAGAGCTAATCAGTGCAGATTTCTCGAAACTATGCACGACACGGTCCTCGATCTCAAGACGAAGAGTAACCGCAGCAAACTTGCTTTTGGCAATATCAAAATTGATGCTGCTGAAATTCTCAAGATCAATCGAGACATCGAAGATCAGCATAGGCAGTTCATGGTGCGACTTTCATCAGGTCCTACTCACATGTTCACCGTAGACAGGAGGCATTGGGCCTGTTTGTCGCATTGCGTGTTCAAGTCATCGACCGGAATACCAAATCCACCAAAGAAGATGTGAAAGCTACTAAATCCAATATAGAAACGATCCTCTCGGACGGTACGCTGAAATTTCGTACGAGACGCCTACTTAGCATTTCCAGTCGACGCCTCTGCTATACTTCAGCTCCCAGCGGTAGCATTCGTCCCGTCTTCCGTGCACAGAACCTGTCTTAAAGGAACGCGCGAGGCTGTTCTTGAGACGATCCGGCGCTGGGCTGATGACGACTCCTCGGAGAAGCCAATATTCTGGCTCTGCGACATAGCCGGCTCCGGCAAGTCCACAGTCGCAATGTCCGCAGTGGAGGCATGGCGAAGAGAGGGAGTACTTGGCGGCCGATTCTTCTTCTCCATAGCAAGTAGCGAAGCATCGACCACCGACAAGTTCTGCTCTACCATAGCAAGAGACCTTGTTCACCACATCCCCGAACTTGCGCCACACGTCGCCGAGGCTGTCAAGCGGAACCCCTCTTTCATGCGGAGCTCTCTTGAAGAGCAGTTCCAGACTCTCGTCTCCGATCCTGTCCATCACCGGCAGGGGCGCGTAATTATTGTCATCGACGCTCTTGACGAATGCAAATCCGGATCGCAGCGAAGAGAACTCGTCGAAGTCCTGACTACAGCTCTGGAAGGATGCAATAATCTCAAGATATTCGTTACAAGTCGACCAGATCCTGTCATTCAACCAGTCTTGGGGACACTCTCGATCAAAATCAAGTTAGAAGATCGCCTCCACGATGTCAGTCATCATGATAACATTGATGATATCGGGATCTACGTTCATCAATCATTAGATGGAATACTATCGAACGAAAAAAGGCAGAGGCTAGTCGACAAGGCTAACGGGCTGTTCATATGGGCAAGTACTGCATGTCGATTACTCAGTGATGAGACCAGCTTGAGCCCTCCGGAGATCATATACGATCATCTGATCTCTATGGACCAGGCCGGAGACATAGACGATATATACCGCCTTATCTTCGAGCGCACGAACCCCAAACACTACCCGGTCATGCATAAGATGCTTGCCCTGCTACTTGCCGCATTCGAGCCACTCACTGCGGCCGATTTGGACGACATTCTCAAGCATGCTGAAATACATGGGAGCGCCAAAGCGCTGGTGCGGAATCTAGGAAGCGTGCTAACCGAGGATGACACTACGAGCCAGATCCGATTTCGGCATCCCACGTTCGTCGAATACCTTCAACGTTGCTCTGTTACCCCAGCTGTCGGTAACGGCAATAAGATGCACATCAATATAGGCGACGCACATGGCCAAGCCGCATCTTGGTGCTTCAAATGCTTTAAGTCGCCGGCTGAAGGCCTCAAGTTCAACATTTGTCAGGTCGAGTCATCGTTCTATCTAAATAGGGAGATCCCGAACATTGATACCAAAGTATCAACCTTCATTTCGAGAAATCTTCAATATGCCAGCTCTCATTGGTTATACCACGTGGCGGAAACTGATGACCAGTGGCGGTCCACGCTAAAGGACGAACTTCTCCACGCTGTTCAGTTTCCATACATACTATACTGGATGGAGATCCTGAGCTTCTCTGGAGGAGTGCCACGAGCAATAGCTGGCCTTCGAGCTGTTATTAGTCATATAGGAGTGAGCGGTCTATGCCAATAGATTCCGATGACTTACGCAATCGAATAGCTAGAAGCCGGGACTAGAAGTCGAATGAGTGAAATCTGGCGATTCCTATTAACCTTTTTTGTGCCGATCCAGGATAGCGCTCCACATATCTACATTTCCGCGCTTCCTTTTACTCCCACGAAATCGAAAATACACACGGAGAGCGCAGAGATGCGTACAAGGACCCTCACCGTGACTCGGGGGCTTGAAGAAATGTACCTCGAGCTCCCACAAACTCTTGAAGGTCACGAAGCCTTGGTCAATGCCATTGCGTTCTCACCAGATGGCTTGCAAATTGTCTCTGGTTCAGATGATAAGACGATTCGGCTGTGGGATGTGAGTACTGGGCAACAGTTAGGAGAGCCTCTTCGAGGTCATGGAGAATGGATCTATGCCATAGCGTTCTCCCCAGATGGCTCGAGTATCGTCTCTGGATCAAGGGACAAGACTATTCGACTATGGGATGCAGTCACCAGAAAGCCATTGGGAGAGCCTCTCCGAGGTCACGGATCCTCGATCAAGGCGGTCGCGTTCTCCCCCGATGGCTCACGAATCGTCTCTGGCTCGGATGATACAACTATTCGAATGTGGGATTCAGTCACTGGTCAAGCATTGGGAGGGTCTCTTCGGGGCCACGAAGATGGGGTGTATGCCGTCGCGTTCTCCCCAGACGGCTCGAGTATTGTCTCTGGATCAAGGGACAAGACTCTTCGAATATGGGATACAGTCACCAGAAAGCCGCTAGGAGAGCCACTCCGAGGTCACAAATCCTCGATCAATGCCGTCGCATTCTCGCCGGACGGCTCACGAATCGTCTCTGCCTCCAAAGATGCGACGCTTCGACTGTGGGATGCAGTCACTGGCCAGTCATTGGGAAGTCCCCTTCGGGGTCATAAATTCTCGATCCAAGCAGTCGCGTTCTCGCCTGACGGGTCACGAATCGTCTCTGGCTCAAAGGACTCTACGCTTCTACTATGGGATGCAATCACTGGTCATTCGATTGGGGAACCTCTTCGAGGTCACAGGCTTGGAGTCCAAACCGTCGCATTCTCGCCTGACGGCTCACGAGTCGCCTCTGGCGCTGGAGACTGGACGATTCGACTATGGGACGCAGTCACCGGAGATTCGCTTGGGAGGCCCTCCCGAGGTCATGAAGGGCCATCTGGGACGCCGCATTTTCGCCATACGGCCTAAGAATCATCTCTGGCTCGGAGGATGCGACGATTCAGCTGTGGGATGCAGTCACTGGTCAGCCCTTAGGAGAGCCACTCCGAGGTCACGAATCCTCGATCAACGCTGTCGCGTTCTCGCCGGACGGCTCACGGATCGTCTCTGGCTCGGAAGATGCCACACTTCGACTGTGGGATTCGGTCACTGGTCAAGCGTTGGGAGAGCCTCTTCGAGGTCACAAAGGTGATGTCTATACCGTCGCGTTCTCCCCGGATGGCTCGAGAATCGTCTCTGGATCAGGGGACACGACTATTCGACTATGGAGTGCGGTCACCAGACAGCCATTGGGGGAACCATTCCGAGGCCACGAACTGATGGTCGAGGCAGTGGTATTCTCGCCAGACGGAGCGCGAATTGTTTCTGTCTCGGGTGACAAGACAATTCGACTGTGGAATGCAAACACAGGACACGCGTTAGGAGAACCACTCCGAGGCCACGAAGGATGGATCCACGCAGTCGCGTTCTCGCCAGATGGCTCAAAAATCGTCTCCGCTTCTAATGATACCACGATTAGACTGTGGGATGCATTCACTAGACAGCAGCTGGGAGAGCCCTTCCGAGGTCACGAATCTTTGATCAATGCCGTCGCATTCTCACCAGATGGCTCACGGATCGTCTCTGCCTCGCAGGATACCACTATTAGACTGTGGGATGCAACTACTGGACAGCAGGTGGGACAGCCACTTCGAGGTCATGGAGGCTATGTAAATACTGTGGCATTCTCGCCAGACGGTTCACGAATCATGTCTGGTTCGTCAGACCGTACACTTCGAATCTGGGATGCAAATATTGGTAAGTGTAATTTGGTTTGTTCTCGATTTGCAACAGAAGCTGACAAATGCCGTCAGACGAACAAGATATCAACTCCAACCAAGATCAAACAGAGACTAAAGGCTCAGATCTTGATGAAATTATAGAAGGGACTACTTTAAGAGTCCTATACCTGGATTCAAGCACTGTACCCTTTTGCAGGATGGCTGGATACAATCTTCTGGTAAACGTCTCTTCTGGGTGCCACCAGACAATCGGCATGGACTACAAAATCCGCGTCTTCTCAAGATTATACCAACGACGACTCCTTCCCGTGCAACCAAGCTTGACTTTACGCATTTCCAGTGTGGCACCTCCTGGACAAACGTTCGAAGTGACGCTTGGGCCTCCTAGTGAATAAATACAATTGATAATAATATCAACGTACACTATATTTATCACTCCCAAGCTTTCCGTAAACCCATCGCGACTCTGAGCAGGAGTAATGAATTTCTTAGCAAAAGGTGCTCCCAGTAAGTTCAGTGCAAGCGAGACATCCAGTCGCCTTGCGATCCTGTCCTTATAGGGTTGCTCTTCTTGAACAGACTCTCGTCTCAAAGGAAATTTCATCATGTCTGGACGTATCCTAAACAGGTCTCCATGAGGCCCCTATTGCACCAACGATTCAATGGGCTGGATGAGCCGGGAGCCCATGCACATGGCCACGACTGAGAAGCGAAGTGGCTCGACACAAAGATGGAAACCAAGTCCGTTCAACTTGAATTCAGAACATACTACCTGGCTGACAGAGAGGACGGTCGGTCGTGTTAAAGAAAGGTAGCTTCCAATGGCATAAAGGACATGCTTAGCGGGAAGAAGAAGGTTAGGGGGAATAATACAAGTGAATGTAGCACAAATGTGACCAACAGGATAGATATTGATATTTCTGGACGGTGTATGACTGAGGGGCGCCAAGGGAAGACGGGGGATCAGCCACGTCGATAAACAACGTATACGCATAAGCGTAGAGGATCAGTAGTAGTAGCCTTTTAGTACGCCACCCTTGCCAGTTGTCGAGGCAGTTGGTGGAGAATTGGGTGAAGCAGGTTCCACACCACCGTCAGCAATATTGGTCTGCTGAGTTGGAGCTGTTGTGTCGGTCTTTGTGAAATCCCCTTGCCCAGCTACTGTCTTTGTAGGTTCACTTCCGCCCGTCTCGGCTGGTGCACCACTCCCGGTAGTCACCAACGGGGAGCTGCTGTCGTTATTTCGTCGCTTGGCACCGACACCAACGCCGACACCGACACCGATACCAATGATCAAGATGATAATGACCACGGCACCGATGATCCACTTTGTTTTATTGGGTTTTCGCCCTTTGGCCGATCTGCCTGCTTCTCTGTCGATCGGGAGCGCGGCCGCTTTGGGAGATTCATCGCTGCCGGCATACTTGTTCTGTATCGGAGACGCTGGGTTTGCGGGAGTCTTTCTTCCGGGTGCTGGCGACGCCGGTTTGGCCTCGAGCAGCGTTGGATCGTAGCCCTCCTATAAGCCAGCATTCCAATAGCCATCAAGTCCACCAATAATCCAGTGAATTTTCGTATAGCAGGATAGAAGGAAGGATTGTAAGCGCACACTGCCGCATAAAAGGACGAGAGGGACGGACCTGTTTGTCGAGCTTTGAGACGGCTGGCGCGGCCTTCAATAGCGATTTATCGTATCCTACACCGTTTACTGGTGTTTTCGAAGTCATTGTCGTCGTCCGTGCGCAGTTTTGCGGAGGCGTATGGACGTGGAAGGCAGCAAGATGGTTACACAGCCGCCAGCTCGGCCAAAGAGCGGCCTCTGGGCGCTATCGAATATTCTTAAACCCGGTCAACCCGAGAGTTGCAACGCATGTTCTATTTACATTATGGACCAGGCTTGCCAGTTGTTGTCGTTGCAATCAAAGGTGGCACGTCGATGGCTGCTGTGACTGTGGGTTGAGCAGTATCCGTCTTTGTGAGGTCTCCTCCGAACCCGGGCAGGGTTTTGGTGGGTTCATTCCCTGTCAACGACATCGTTGCACTCGTTCCTGGGTAGTCTGTCGTTGCAGATGAGCTGCTGGTTCGCTGGTTCGCATTGAGTCCAAGCCCTACACCCAGCCCGACTCCAGCTATCACCAGCAACATGACCAAGACCAAGATGATCCATTTTGTTCTCCCTCGATTCTGGGCCGGTTGACGGGCCGCGTCGGGACCATTCATGGGCTGTTCCGAAGCCTATCAAATTGTCCATCAAGTGTAGCCCGCCAGATGCATGAAGAGTGCAGAAGCGTCACAGAGTAGAATAAAGGGTAAGAATACGAGTATGTACCGTTCAGAGGGACATGGACGAACCTCGTTCCGCTTCTTGGCATCGCCTGGTGTGCCCGCCAGGAGCGACACATCATAATTATACGTTCCACGATTTCCTGACATTCTAAGAGTCCGTCCTTTGTCGTCGTTATCCGTAAACTCTGTGCTGGCTTGCAGACGTGCAAGGAGTCGAGGTGTAAATGCTGTCGCTAAAGATCAATCTGGGCCCTCAAAAGTCTAATGCAGGTTCCATATCAACGAGAAGACAGACAGAAACTCTATTCCTATCGATGAAGCGGGTCTGGACACGACGCCACTCGGCCTTTGCTGAGCGTCAAAGCCCTTGTCATCTCCCCATAGTCTCGAATAGAAGGCACATGGGGATATTCTTCACGAGGTATAAGCGGACGAAGCTATCCTGTCTTAGTATTGTTGTCCGGATGAAGTAAAATACGTACTGAGGCCAGACTATAGTGAGAGAACACTAGTTGTGACATGTATACAGAGACATGAATACCAGGCCCTAGCACTCGTTGAATAGTGCCACGAAGCCGTTCTGCCCGGGAGGGGTCCTGAAAGCGTGTGTTGTGCAAATGGAGATACGTAACGTGCTTGATAGTAGCAGGGAGTATTGGAGCCAATGATTTCCAGCAGTCTTCTTTAATCTCCTTTCCGTCATCGTGGAACCCAACATGAGCAATGCCACATTTACTCCTATCTAGCACTTCCGCAATGTCAGCCATCCGCCTCTGAGGAAGGACAAACCACAGAATCTCTCTAGCATTCGGCATCTTTATGTCACAGTGTAGACCCGACATACTTGCAAACCATTTGAGTTGTGGCATCCAACGGTGCACTACTGGCGTATAATACTTGAGCCCGATCCCTTCAATAGAGTCACTCGAGTTTTTGAGGACCCACTTGAGTAATTGAGATGTCGTTGCGTATATAGCGTTTGGTGAGTGGGGCAGGTGAAGGATCACCTCCTTGAATCTGTGCCTTGGCGGTCGCAAGCTCTGTGGTGGTATGCAGTAGTCAAAATTGCCTTCCATGACGAAGTATTCGAGTTGCCAATGCGCGACCTTTAATAGCTGGAGATGGACGTTGGTGAATCCGAAATGCATATAGCTCTTTGTCGACCACATGGGTCGATAGAGTCGTAGAGCATGGATTGCAGGCGTCTTCTGCAATGATCGTAGAGTAATGTCGTCCAAATTGCGCACCTCGACCAACTCGATGCGCAGCTCGTACAAGAGCGGGAAGAGGCGCATACATCTTGCGAGTTGGCCAGGGTCCACGTTGCTTGGAGATGCGATATCTGTGATACGGACCCAGAGTACGCGAACGGTGTGTGCGAGACGACGAGCGTGCTCCGTCCGTCTTGTCAGGCCTTCCTCGAGGGATAAGAGGTGCCACATTTGGCTGATTCCAACCTCACGGAAGAGTAGTGTTTGAACGGGTACCCGCCATGCGCGAGAAATGAGTGCGCAATGCGCGAAACGATGGCAAGGTTTGCGCGTAGGGGAGGGGAATTCGTAAAGATACGAGAGAATAATCTCAATCACATCTCGTACAAGAGGTGGACTGGTTCTCTGCACGGGGTGTAGGTTCTTCATCGTGGTTGGAACCAAACTTGAAACCTATCAAGGTAGGCGCCTATTGGAGCCCGAGCTTGCCGATGTAGCTTGCTGATAGTGTCGGTACTGTTTCAAGTATGAAGGGGAGTACCACGAATACGAATCCCTCAGGCTTTTGACCAGACTGTTCCTAAATCGCTGCTCCAGCCGTTAGGTGTTGAAGTATTTTGTGCTTACCGGTTAATGGTCTATCGTAAAAGCGTAGATGAGTGACTTGAATCTACTTCAGCCCAAGGAGACTTTCTAACAGCGTGTTCTTGAGCAAGTAGGTTCTCTTTGCATCTCGATAATAGACACCGCAAAGGCCCAAGATAGAGACCGTATTTATAACCGACCCAGAGTATATTTTGAGTGGTTGTTGCATGACGTAGCTAGCCTGAAACTGGGGTTGGATGAGGAGAGGTCCAAGTTGTGAGAGTGATTGGCATGCATCACACTTCTTCAGCTGCAAACGAAACGTCTATATAGAGTCGATTGCTCTGGTGAACATGCCGCGTCTTGACTCCTAGTGCGCGAACTGACATCTGGGTTTCGAAGTTGGGAGAACGGAGAAGAATGAATGAAATCTAATCTCTATTAGACCAATGCACTGTCTTGTGATCGTGGTCACCATTCATTAGTGGCAACTCTTACTTTGTTCTCGACCACGACTTTAGATTATTTCAGGCGATTGCGCCTCCTCGTTTCGTTCGTCTACGGTATCAAATTATCACCAGAATATACATAACATCCTTAATTTCCATCCACCATTCACCTTGCGCCTCGTTTCTTCGCGCACCATTATACCCTTTGTCTTCGAACCGGTCATGGTTTCGGCTTCTCTCTTGACGGGGATGATTTCTATCTTCGTCTTCTCTGTAATGTTCTACCGGTATAGACGGGCTGTCGCAGTACGCCTTTCGCTCGTTCCACGATTACCAAGCTAACACCAGCCAGATGGTCTCCGATTTCCCAGGTCTCCGTTTAATTGTATCGCCAATGTGTACCCTCGGTCTTGTTCTTCCACGGCTTCCAATGCCGTTGTACACTTACCCCGGTTTCTCCTTTCCTTGGAACCTCAAGCACGCCGGGCTCTTCAAGCTCTTTGGCTGCGACACCGTATCTCTCTGTGGGTGGGATGGTCGTGCGATCCTCTACACCTGTGACGTACCCTTCCTCACTCGGATGGCATCGTACTCTGGGAGCACCGTGTTTCCAAAACCTATCGAAGAGTACGGTGTGTTGAGCTACTTTGGAGACAACGTGGTTATTGCAGAGCATGCAAACTGGCGTCGACAGCGCAAGGTTTCCGCTCCCGCCTTTTCCTCCAAAATGTTCGAGCGCCTCTGGATCGACATGGCCAGCATCGTTCGCGAGATGCTCCATGAGGAACGTTGGGAAGAGCGCACGCGCGACTTTGTTGGACCCCTTCCTATGGTGCCACAGCAAGCCGAATATGTCGCCGCGACGGGCGAGATTTACTATCCCCACGTCGTAGACCTCACGCTGCGCATGGCACTGGCGGCAATCGCTCGTACTGGCTTCGGCATCGAGTTTGAATGGCGCTCCGACGAGTCATTTACCAAGTCCTGCTCATCCTTCGGACAGCCGTTCTGGAAGTCTATTCTGGCCACCTTCTTACGAATTGTATATCAACTCGCCAACAGTGTAATACCAACAATTGTTCTCGACGACGTTGTGCGAGCCGTCACAACCTTCGCAGCCACGAACCAACATCGTCGTGGTGACTCGCCACTCCACCTTGCCCTGCAGACGACCTGCAAGGCGATCATCACACTCTTTGAAATCACTACAGTACCGCATCAACACACAATGAGGCTGCAAGAAGCGCTTCATTTAGTCGCAAAGGAAAGCACGCTCAAACTAGCCATTTCGTCCCTTCCTTCCGTAAGTACTCGAATACGCTTAGATTTGCGATGTCCTTAACGATGCCATAGTGGCTCAAGTGTCTCCCTTTCAGGCGCGTCAGCCGCATGAATATGGCATTTGATTGTCTGCATCGTGAACTCAAGAACATGATCGCTTCACGCAGACAGGAGATTGCCATGTTTATGGAGGGGAGTTTGGAATCTATGAGCATGTCATCTATGTGTGACTCTGACGAATCAGGCAGCTCAGGACTTCCCTCAGCGTCGACATTTGGATCCCAATTGCAGGAGAAAGAGGAGCCGTTCGACCTATTGTCCAACTTGGTTCGCTCTGCAATACAAACGGAGCGCGTCGGAGGTCAAAGCCTCTCCGAAGACGAAATCATTGGAAATGCGTACATCTACCTCCTCGCCGGTCACGAGACCACGGCTCATTCGATGGCTTGGACACTGGCTCTCCTCGCTGCCTATCCAGAGGAGCAAGAAAAGGCGTACCATGAGATTATGGAGCATGATTCGCAAGAGGATACGATCATCCGTGATTACCCCAAGTTCAAGTTCCTGCTCGCCTGCTACTACGAAACCCTTCGTCTATTTCCTCCTGTCCAGCAAATCCCCAAAGTTGCAGCGGAGGACACCCAGATCCTCATTGACAAGAGCAACAAGGTTGGGCCCGATTCCCCTGTTCCTGCTCAGCAATCCGAGCAACGACTGATGCCGCCATCCGAGTCGTTCAGTGACAGAAAACTGGGAACCTTTCCATCCCTCGACTCAGAGGCCTCATTGACTCCGAGTCCATCTCGCGTCTTCGGCAATCATAGGCGACACAAACTCCCACCTCTCATCATTCCTGCTCGCAATCAGACTCATCATCAGCTCGACTTTTCGTCCAGCCTACCATCACTGCCGAGTACCCCAGTTGCGTCCCCGATGCGCGAAACTATGGCATATGTTGGTACTCCCGTTTCCGGAAACACCCCGAGTTCTCTTCGCTCTGAGTTTATCGGACCCACTCCCTTTGTCCAACTCTCAAAGGACGGGAGTGAGGTGAAACGAAGCGAGCTCTCCTCAAATGAGGAGCAAGTCAGCTTGATTATCAAAAAGGGAACCATTATCTTTATCTCCCCCCCAGCAGTTCGTGAGTGAACCGGTCAATCAAGCGATTCGATATTGACCTTCTGTAGATTATAATCCCAAGTATTGGGAAGAACCAGAAAAGTTTACGCCGGAACGATTCCTCAAACCGTATTGTAGATCGGCATTTATTCCGTGAGTTCAATCCTATCCTTTGTTCGTCACTCAACTCACAACTGGTAGGTTTGGCGTCGGTACCCGAGCATGCTTGGGCCGTAAGTTTTCGGAAGTCGAATCGGTTTGCATGCTGGTGCATCTTCTCAGAAGCTACTCGGTCCATCTACCCTTACTGCCTGGACAAACAGTCGAGGAGGCAAGAGCCAAGTTTTCCAGAGCGAGCGTCCGCATTACGCTTACGCCAGATAAAGTGCCACTCGTATTTCGTAGACGCAAATGATCGTCTATTCGTTTGTCTTAGATTATCTGCTATGTATCAGGGTCGGCTCATCGCTCGTCTTGATGGATCCATACGGATTACCCATACACTCGATTGTGGATTGCAAAGAAAGACAAGGTTCGACTGAAACATTCATCGTCTCGCGATCGGCTCAACGGCATTGGCTGTACCAGGTGTTGGCGTAAGTGCACATATAGGGAGAGGCGCACTTGGTAGGCCCAGTATATCCTACAGTGTTAAGTTTAGTACCAAACAAGGTATTCAAGGATTATACTTGCCGATACCTCCACACTGAGCATACTGAACATCATAAAAATTAGCGGGACATCATTTTAAAACGGAGAAAACATACGCGGGTAACAATACCAGGATTCACGGTTGTTGAGGTTGCCTTGACCGAAGTTGACGTCTTTGTTGGTGAAGTAGACGTCTTGGCCGTCGACGTCGCCTGTGCAGTTACCGCTTGAACCATTGTCGAGGACGTTTGGAGGGACATGAGTTTACTCTTCGCTGCAATAACAGGGAAGAATGAAGTGGGTATGGTGGTCCTATCGAGCCACGGAGATGAGGATAGAGACTAAAGCAATCTGTGGCTTGTACTCACGGTACAGGAATCGAGGCTGTCGCGGGGAATCCAACTGTCAAATCACCTGGCATTGTCGTTGGTGTAGAGTATCCGGACGGTCTCGTTGGCGTGACCGTCACGACAGCATACGAGCTCGGTGTGGCCGACTTGATACATCCAACGCCAGTCCCAAACGCCGACTCGCATTTGTAGATTGCCTTATTTGTCTGTGACCACATGTTGACGTCTGTGAGTGCGATGTTCGGGCAGGGTGCGCCGTCCGCGCAAATGAGCGCAATGGGAGGACGGTTGTCGCCATTCACCACGTCGCCGTTCCAGTTGGTGAATGCGATGTTGGAAATTTTGACACCTGGACCTTCTAGAGGCTTCATAGATGCCCAGTATTGGTTGATGTATAGCCCGTATGCCGTCCCACGCGAGATAAAGTTTTGCAAGAGAACATTGGAGACGGTACCGTTTCCTCCATTGCTTTTGATCATCATAGCTTAGTTACCACCATTGGTATATATGCGACTAGGCCAACCCATCAGAGACCTCGCTATGCGCGGACATGACTCACTTGTACTCGATATTGGAGATGTTGGTGTTGATTCCCAGGCTTCCAAAGGCAGACCCTCCAGATTGATTGCACCAAATGTTCTCGACGAGGATATTGTGAGCAGGTGATTTGACCGTGACGCATTCGTCCCGGTTGGTCACCATCACATCGTGGACATAGTGATTCGTTCCGGTAATATCAATGCCATCCGAGCCACCAATGTCGGCACCCCGGATGACCATGTTGTAGACTTCGCCATTGGAACCTTCTTGGACAATGAGGTGAAATGCGGGGGCTGTTTGACTTAAGCCAAAGTGCATCCACAAACCGGAAAATCGTACGATCAACCAGGACTAGATCATGTACGGACCAGTTGCTACACTTCACTATACGAAGGAAGCGAGGTCTACCCAAATTTCAGCGGGAGCCTCGACGACTGGAACGCATACCCAGTATTCCTGCAAAGATACCCGTTTCCCTGGAATCCTCCCTTACTATTGGCTGAGTACATTTCAAAATCGTCGGCGTTTTGAATGATGATCATGTGCCCTCCAGTCGTAGCAAGAGCGTCGGTCAGAAATGACAAAGTCGACCAGCTATGCCTGCACCGGTTCTAGTGATGAAACCATCCATTCGGAACGCCCAATGGCTAAATATATTGTCAGAGGTCCTCCTTTCGTAGCCGTTTGATTACCTTCCACGGTTCAATGTTACCCATGTCTGCATATCGTAGTTGCCTGGAAAATCTCAATGAAGATCCGACTTTTAGTGTAATAATCACCTGCAGGAAGATACAAGGTCGATCCGGAACTCTTAGTGACACAGTTCTAAAGCCCATATCAGGCAATCTTCCCAGTCCAAAGGAAACTCACGTTATATGCGCTCAAAATTGCTGGACCTATATCTTTAGATCCGATAGTTCCTCCGTAATCGAGTACATTGCAGATATTTGACTTGGAGGCGCGAGAGGTGGTAGGTCCGACGGGCCCAATGAGCAGGGCACCCACACCAAGGATGAAGTCATAAAGTGTAAAGAACAACGTCAGGTATAAGAACATGGTATAAGAACGAAAGGCAGTGGCGAAAGAGAGGAAGGATTTTTGACCACTTTCGCTGTTCAGCCTGGCTTCTTATTGCATCCTGCGGCCATTTTCGTGGGAGAAGTAACGGAAATTATTCGTATCTTCCTTGACGTATGCCAACTCGACGGCAGTCGCCTTCCATGGTTGTCATCGGTAGTAATATTGGGAACAGGCGATAGCCTTTGACGACAGATTAAGCGAAAACGAGACTCTCCGATTATTGATAAGATCGGAGGTTAGGAGATGAGCAGATTCAGTCGGGCGTGGAGAGGCCGTCCAGCTTCTTACGGTTTCTACACCAACACCCAGGCTAACGTATCCGAAATTGAAGCGTTGTGTGCCTTTAACATGCGTTCGTCGTGCGTCTCTGATTTCTGGAGATATTCGTTTGCAAAACCACGGTTCCCATCGCATCCAAGGAAATAAATGGAATACGTTATCCCATGAATGCAATCGAAAGAAAGTTTTGTCGTCAATGCCACACTCAGGTTCCTCGTAGCTTCATGGGGGAGAGAGCGGATGTCGGCACCACTTGGCCCTAGATCGAGATTAGGTCCTTGGTTTGTATAAAAATGATTGGGTACAACTACTCAGACCACGTTTACGCTGTAATTCGCGAGGATTCATAGGCAAGGATGTCGGAACCGTTGGTATTTGCAAAGGAGGCGAACAGGGTGCAAGACGGACGGAGAAGAGTCTCCCTAATGGCCAAACTTAACCGGAGATTGCATAAATGCTTAAATATACCAGGATATGAAACATCGGGGTTTAAAAGCCTACTATGAGTATTCTTTGACGCATATCTAATCCCTCAAGTTGTTCGGATGCCAATTTTGGGCATAATACCGTCAAAAAAGCCATATCAGCACGAAAAATGAATACTTTTCTCCACCAAGGAGACCCCGACTTTAGCTGCGAGTCCATGGAGAGACTCCCATCCCGAGCCCTCCTTCGGTATTCCACCAATCGACATGGTCTTGAGAGCCGGAAATTGTGAACGATCTGCTCGCATTGATGTAAGAATACCTCGATAGCATTCGACGACGTCTGTCCACTCCCACAAGTCGTCGAATGCTTCAAGCTCGAGACCCTCCAGGCTATTTGGCAGGAGCCCAGATATCTCCGAAGAGCGAGTCGTATCATCTCCAAGGAGAAGAGATGCCGGAACACACAGTAACCGGAGTCGTGCAAACCCCTTGAGTGAACCAATCGTTTCCTGACCGTCTAGTTCCCCATCATATTCAGTCAGAGAGATAATGAGTGTCTCCAGACTCGTAGATACGTAGGAGAGCGCCTTGCCAACGTTGGAAAACGGGGAATCGACCCAACCAACTGTCGCGGATGCAAGTTCATACTTCAGGCATTTCAACGCCTTCGGTAGGCGCAGAAATACCTCGATACTGTCTCCAGATAGTGCGCATTGGTAAAGACAGAGACTCTCCACGGACGATTGACCGTAGAAGTCTCGCAAGTCACGCAAGTAGGGTGTGACTGACCCAACCCCGGGCGGTTCGTCGTTGTCATCGTATGTAATGCATGCGCGTGCTTCTATACGTGTAATAGAGGGTTGGAAGAAGAACGCGTGGAGGTTCCTACAGTCAAAGCCACCCTCGGTATCCCAATGCGCATAGGAGACGGTGGACAATGAGCTAGAGAGAAGTCCACATTTGATTATAGTGAATAAATCTGTCTCCAAAAAGTGTGTATCTCCCGACGGACTGAGCTCGAGCCGACCCAGCTGAGGAAGAAGCGTAAGCAAGAGGAGAACCTCTGCGCTTTCTGATACTGCTGAAATTCCTTCCACGACCGATTCCGGCAGTCGAGTTGTCGCTACCTCCGCGAACCGTGTGAGCACTTGCTCGACCTCCGGATCGTCGACGCGTTCGGTGTCGTCATCGTAGTTTGCGTCCCAGGATATATTGAGAGACTTGATCAAGTGACCCAGGGGGGGATTATTGACGATGGAGCGAAGGAGAAAGTAGTGGCCCTTGTTTCTGAGCCAAATTTGTCTGTAGAGGAGCGGATAGACGATCCGACGAAGCCTCTTCGACGTAAAACAAAGCACCAGATGATCTCGTTTGCCGAATATGGAATCTTCGGCAATCAAAACCAAGACTTCGTCGGACAGTGCGGTGGACATTGTGAGCAAGTCGTCGATGAGAGACAGGTCATGACACGAGAGGGTAATTATAAGTTTCCTTAAGATCAATTGGTCATTTTCTCAAACAACATTGAATATTAGTCGGCGCTTAAAGGTGTGGCAAACACTTAATATACGATCCAATCCAAGGTGATGGGTTCACACGCGGCGCAATACTGGTCAGTAGCGCCTGTGAACGCAGTATTTCTATGCCATGTACATAGAGAACAAGGCACTGATGACCATCGCTCTCAGATTGCTAGGAGCTTGACCATATGTTGATTTCTATGTCACATATAACCAAGGTCCCTGGATACGAAAATATTGTTGGGCGAGACTATCTCCGCAATTGGCCCGTAAGAGAGGTAAGTGGTCCAGGAGTCATGTAACTCACCCAGGGGACCGGCGGCACCGTTCAAAGCAGAAATTACTGATTCCCTTTCCCTCATGAGATCAGCAATGTGTGCCTGAATTGATCCTAAACGCTGGGTATAGGTATATCGTGGTTCACCCGTGCGGCTTCTCCAAATTGTTGTAACCATTATAATCTAAGAGAAAAATAAAATGTAGATTTTCGCTCAGTTGGTCGTACCACGATCCACCACCATTTCCAGGGACAAGTTCAGCTTGTCTCACCATTCGGGCTAAAGACAGCGAATGCCCAACTTCATATCAACAAGTAATGAAATGAAAGAGGACAGACCCTGGTGTCTAGTTATTAATAAGACATTGTATTTCTCGTAGCTTTGTCGGTGCCGGGGGACCACAGCAAAGGCTCAAGCAATGTCAATTAAATAGTATGACAGCTCAATGGAGCCGGGGATCTCACCATTGCCGTATATTAAACCGCTTTCTTCAGTCACCCTTCGCTTGTGGCAGTGTGAGAATCCCCAAGTAGCATGAGCTGGATGCGCACGGTCTACCATCTCAGTGTATTGCCAAACAGCAGCCCTGACCGGTGTTTACCCTGCCAGATTTCAGTGTCGTCTGTTATGGCATTTATTGCCATGGCCGGTGGGCTCAACCTGACGATTAATAACCTTGATGCTAGGATATGTAGAATGTAGGGATTCTGTCTTATGTATCTCCTGGTGGAGACAAGTGACCAGTTTACCGTATCGAGTACGAGAAACCGCATCACGATCCATTCTCGTCACCTGTAGGCTATGCAGACACAATCGGCAGACTCGAGTACAGCCAGTGCTTTCCTTCGTACCAACGGGCAGGGGCGCCGACCGCAAGTGCGTTTGGGTCGGTCGGGGAAAGGCGACCTGCATTCCAGGATAGTCTATAAAGGAGACGCTTACACGCCATAATCGAGCTCCAGTTTCTTCTCCTTTCCTCTTCTCGTTTTCATTCGACTGGCCTGGTGCCCCTTTGTACGCATTGAGGATTACCGACCACGCATTGTAGAACTGACCCTCCTCAATAGTGTTGAATAACTCTGCGAACATGAAGTTCTTTGCCGCGGCATATCTCCTTGCCATCTTTCTCATCGCTCTTCCTGCCATGAGCGCTCCTGTACCCGAAGTTGCGGACTCAAGCGCCGTATTACTTAAGAGGGTGTGCATACAGTGAAACTTCGAGTTAGCGACTGAACATATGCATAGGGGGGTCATCATGGCCACCACCGCAAGCATCGTCACGCAGCTCCAGCAGAACCAGCCCCTGCAGAAAGTTAGTGCTCTCAATCGTTGAGTATGCTAGATACTAATGGTCTTTACAGAGCGATCCATTGTCGAAGGCTCAAGCTCTGAGTTGGTGAAGAGGGTGAGTGTTTAGAGTTGAATTTAGTCTGTGACTAAATTCCTTTACGCAGGGAGGTCACCATGGCCACCACCGCAAGCATCGTCACGCAGCTCCAGCAGAACCAGCCCCTGCAGAAAGTTAGTACTCTCAATCGTTGAGTATGCTGGATACTGATGGGCTTTACAGAGCGATCCATTGTCGAAGGCTCAAGCTCCGAGTTGGTGAAGAGAGTGAGTGTTTAGAGTTAAATTTTGGTCCGTGACTAAATTCCTTTACGCAGGGAGGTCATCATGGCCACCACCGCAAGCATCGTCAGGCAGCTACAGCGGATCACGCCGCTGGAGCAAGTTAGTGCGCTTAACGTTGAGTCATTCCAGATTCTTATGGTATGTCTCGTAGAGCGATCTATTCTCTTCTCTCGAGAGGAGCATGTCATGCTCAACCGACGCAACTTTTTTCGCAGACTATGGAAGGGAATAAAGGGTCTGGTTGGTCTCTAGACGATTTGCATGTTAGCTTCAACACTGATATTGCGATGATTCATTCTGTACGTCGTGATACATGAGATCTCTGAGGTGCCCCTATTAGTCCAACGTATCGCTAAGCGGAACTGCCGAGCTATCAAAGGGATAGCGCAAATGAGGCCAGTTGCGCCTCACCTCCACCAAGCCACCTTTCTCATACTTGTTATTATCTCTTGATGCGCGGTTTTTGTGAAGTTGAAATCGCTAGCGCCAAATATCGGCAAACCGAATGTGGGTCCGCCACATTCGCGAATAACGAGGCCTGTAGCCCAGACGACATGTTCCCTTCAATTCATTCTCGCCACTAGGCTGGACGTCAATCCAGGCGCTATCGCCAGTTAATGCTGTCCATCTAATCATGTGCATCGACTAGGCGACAGTCGATTATGAGCCCTGTGCGCTGTTTTTTGGTGCTAATTCCATGCCAGCCCAGCGCGCTTTGTCGAAGGGGCCGGCTTCTGCATGAGAGCATGCCAAAAGACCTTCTGGTAAATTTGCATACTGTGCCCCCGTGCACCGGACATCTATAGTTGTCATATTTGGCACATGAATCAGTGGGAGCGCAGCGCTAGATGTAGTGGTGAAGGCATCTATAAAGGTGCCATAGTCTGTCGTTCCGTTTGCCTCACTTCACTTTCTTTTCTTCTTTATTCTCGTTTCCTTCTCTTCTAACGACCTGGTGCCTCTTGCGAGTCGCCTTCCTCGTGCATACAGCTGTCTCCAACCTTGCTTCCAGTGTTCAACTATCAGAATCATTATCGCCACCACGAAATCATTCGCAGCTGCATATATCTTTGCCATTCTTCTCGTCGCTTTGCCCGTCCTGAGTGCCCCGGTTCCTATCGATTTGGAGGGTGCGCTATTCGTAAAAAGGGTACGTTTGAAATCAAATTAGGTTTTGATACCGATGATGGCTACAGTCTCTGATACCTGGTAAGTATAAACGAGGCAAGAACAATGGGATGGTCTACGACACACCTTCAACGTTGGCGTTCAATTGCCCACGGGAAATCAAGAAGAGCAGCATCATACGAGTGAGTATCTTTCATTGACCGCTGTCTTACTCATACCGAGCTCAGGGCGCTCCTTATCCGAGAATGGATACCTACTTGAGAAGAGGGTGAGTTCTGTCGCTTCTCGGGTCAGAATCGAAGGATGATAATGGCAGTAGGGCAAGAGCAAGAACGGAAATTCCAAGCCGAAGCAGGGAGGAGGAGGATATACCTTCAACATTGGAGTCCAATTACCCACGGGACAACAAGAAGAGCAACATCACTCGAGTGCGCATCCACCATCTTTCTCTATCCGTACTTACTCTGGACTCAGAATGCTCGTTCTCCAACGAAGACGTATATCGGCTTGAAAAGAGGGTATGTAGCGACCTCGTCTTACTAACGACGAATGAAGGGTAATAAGAAGGGCGGAAAGTCCAAGCAACGTAGCGGTGGAGGAGGACATACCCTCAACCTCGGAGTCCATGCTCCAGGACAAGAGGAACAACACACTTGTAGTACGTATCTTTGCGGCGAACGTCCAGCCTTGATCATTGACGGCGGTTTGCACTATAGAACGTTCTCTCGCGGGTTTTGATGGTGAGATCATGCTCGAAAAGCGAATCATTGGCAAGCTATTCAGGGCTGCCAAGGGGTATGCTTGGATTCTAGGGCGCAGCTGTTGTGGGCAACGTTGTGCTGATTTCTTTCGACAAGAAATACAGATTTTAAACCTCTTGTCCGAGATGGTGTGCATGAGCGACCTGCGGTGGTCGTCGTCGACTCCAAGGTCCACCAACTTGGGCCGAACTACACCCACGACTTCCTGAATTCGCGGAAAATCGCCTTGAGTTGCACAGTCAGGAACACGGATTTAGTCCGTGGGTCAAGGCAACGCCTTGTATGCACGGCTTCTCCGCGTTGTGCGACGTGATGTGGGTATAAGAACATGTCGAACACCCTTCGGATCACAGTAGTGACGTCGCTGTCTTTTCTTGCGCAAGTATCTCACGGACTTTATGCACGATGCGAGCGAGGAGAGTCAACTCAAGGATTTGCACAGCTCGTCGTTACCAATATCGTGCTGCCGCTTCGGGACACCGCATGTCCTGCCGCGATTTTGAGCCACCTGTTCGTTCTCTGGGTCGTGAGATGCACCTGCACTTTATACGCGGGCTGTGAGGGTGCGCGCTATCTTATAATATACTGCTCGCCTTTAAGAGCGGCTTTGCCCAAACTGCGCTCTTCCTGCTTCCCCCCTTCCTTCATCTGGCCTGGTGCCCCTTGTGAGTACATCATACACTCCTTGGGCCATGAAACGCTTACCACCCTTCCGGTGTTTCTTGCTGCATCTTTAGCTTTTCTTTGTCAACATGAAGACCATCATCTTTTATTTCTTTGCTCTCTTCTTCTTCTCTTGGTCTACTTTTGCCGCACCTATCATCCCGGAGAACTATGATTTGGTCAAGCGTGAACACAGCGTAAGTCTCTGCTCTTTCTGTGATACGGCTTTACTGACAGCGTAAAGCATATCCAGAAGCATGACCAGCACCATGCAGTATTGGACTCTCATCACCAACACCCCAATGCGGCAACGAGCACGCCCATCGAATCACAAGTAAACACTCCTCCGAGCACGCAGCCATCGAGTATGTCATTTGTTCACTATGGAAGGCATTGACTGATTACTGAGCAGAGCGTTCGATGATTCCGTCTATGAACCACTTTGAACGGCGGAACTTTTGGCAAAAGCTCAAAGATTTCGGCAAAAAGGCGCTCAGCTGGATTATCTAAGAGGAAGAGAACATATCACGTACATCAGCTAAATATGAATACTTGTTCATTGCTATTATTTTCCCTCTGAGATGTCAAATTGTGTGGTGGTCCTTGCGATTTGGACTCAACTACGCCGGGGCCGTCCATCAATTTGGGATACTATCTAATTCAGGTACCAAAGGATGTAAAGGAACTGATGGATAATGTAGGAACGGACTCAAACCCTCCAATGACGGTTTCCCTAGGACAAAAGCTCGTCGATCGTCATTCTCATCAACACAAACCGAAGTACATTCTTCAATGGTGCGTGGGAGCGCAGTTAAGGGTGAATATCCGCAATGTCAACCGCCGTGAGCGCTGCGTTCCCAGCCGCACAGCGCATACACCGGGCGTATAGCAAGTGCGCACATCTCGGCTTTGTATGCCATTCTAATGATAGCAGCTCCGTGTGTAAAGAATGATCATTTGGTGGGCGATGGGGGCGCTGCCGACCGGGCTGTGGTCGCATATTTCCAACACAAATCGGAGAGTCTTCAAGAGGCCCGTTTGCTTCCAGCCGATTGCACGTCACTCTTTCCTTGCCTTTTCTTCCTTTGGCCCGGTGCCCCATGTAAGTCCCAACCGCGTTCGAAGTGAATAGTTGCTGACTGACGATCGCTAGTCTTCTTTCTTTTCTTTTCTTTTCTTTTTTTTCTTTTTTTCCTTCTTTTCTCAAGATGCGTTTCACCAGCGTTCTTGTCGGCCTCGTCTTCACCACTGTGCTCTCCGTTGCCAATGCATCGCAATCAGCGCACCCTGAACATTCCAATCACAATGAACACGGCGGAACGCACGGTGGTGCGAGTGTCGTCGTACACGGCGTGTCATCTAAATCTGCATCGCCCGCTGCCGTTCCCAACACCACGCCAGGAGCTCATCATCAGAATTCTGTCGCCGCCGTCCTAGACGGACACCAACAGCCATTGGCAGTTCAAGCCGGACATGACGCTGAGGGTGTCGTACCCAAGACTGCTGCAAACGAGTTGAAGGCAAACTCCGAGGTGGTATCCGAGTCGACTAAAGCCCCAGAGGGTGTCGAATCAAAACAATCCGCCGACAATACATCCTCTGATTCTGCCCCAGCGCAGCCGAAGATGAGAATGGTACGGCGAGTTCGACGAGCGCCCATTGTAGAGGCTTCTGTTACAGGAGAAAGTGCTTTCCTCAAGAGAGAGATCCAGCTTGAGCGCATTCAAGCCCGAAGCGGAGGGATGTACGAGTCGACAGTTGTCAAAGCCAACCGCCTCGCCCGCCGATTCCTTGGGTTCTTGCTCAACATTGGTCGAAGGATCATAACAGGCATCGCCAAGCACTTTATCAAGAATAAAGTCGCCAACAATAACAACCACCACCGCCGCCGTAGCCCTATCTTTGATGAGGTCGGCGTCGTGGGAGTCCACGCTCGTTCCTTAGAAGAAGTTCTTCTATAGATCTAGACCAGATCTATTGCGGTGTAATGTCTATGTGATATTCTATTTGCGTTGCAATCGTGAACAATGCTTTCTTGTGTTGTAAACCCGAGTTTTTCGATGCAAAGTGAAATTGAAGACTCGAAATTAATCACAGTAGCGAGTGTCGCCTCAATAGCTAGTGAGCCAGCAGCATCAGGCAGCGAAGGGCGTGCTGGGGGTTGGTGGCTCAAAGTGTCAGAGCCCAAGTATTCGTTTTATAATGCATAATACTACTGCATATTCCCACAGGAATGCACTAAGAGTATCGCACTCCCTGCGCGCGCCAACGACTGGGCGCGAAGTGGCGCGCGCAACGCTCGAGGCAGGCGAATGTGGCGCTTTTGTAGAATGGAACCATTGTTTGACATTTTGTTACTATCTTTCTATTTCATTATGTACTGTGTTTGCTCTAAAATTCGTCCACTCGTTCCTACCAGTAACTATCAGAATCATCGATGAGGGGAAGTGGATTGGCGAATGAGATGCTAAATAGCTAGCCAGAGGATTGCTATATCTAGACTATACTTGTGGGTCACTTGTCTCTGGACCACTGATCTGCATGCTGGATCTCTCCTCGACTAGTTGCTCAGACCAGATTCATGGAACTCTGGGCCGTTCGCACCACCATACCAACTTCTACTCGAATGTAATTCAGCTGCACTCTTCAACTCGGCCACAACGCTGAACATTAGGCGCATTTCTGACTGGAATCAGTAAAGCCCTGTGCAATATCATACTATGCGGCGCTATTACCGTCGATTCAGCTCTACTTTCACACGTATATCTGGAAATGACAAATAGTTCCGTGCGTTGTTGGGTTGGCGGACGACGGGCGGTGTGAGAACTGCGCACACCCTCGGGTTCGCATGTAATGTTACGCAAGATAGATCACCAATATCAGCGCCCATATTATTTAGGAGAGACCCACACGCGGGCTCACCGCTTTGGCCCGCTACAAACGGTTATTAAGTGATGCACGCGCAAGTAATATATAACCCTCGCTATGAGATCTGTGGTCAAACCACGAGCCATTTTCTTTCGCTCTTTCTTTTACATTTCAGGGTTCTCTTTGGCCTGGTGCCGTTGTGCGTGTACAATTGCTCGACTTTCTTTTGGCGACGGCAAACTAATTCCTTTTGTAGTCACTTTAATCTCTCTTGTCGCACCCCAGGACACTATGACTTTCCAGAAATCCCTCGTTCCGCGTGCGGTCGTCTTCGGATTTGTTGCATCTGCAGTCTTAGCAGCCCCTCAACACCACCCAAATGAACAAGGGCATGCCGCCATGATACTCGTACCACATAGAAACTTTCTTCCTTCAGACTTCAAGTCGTATGGAGATTGGGCGGTGGCGGAAATGAGTGCACCATATCGCACCCTCGATGCAGACAACGAACAGAGGAGGAGTTGGATGGCCACAAAAGGCCTGCTTCCTGGAATAGTACGTTTTTCATTCATACTCCCCGAGGCAGTGGAATGCTCACAAACTCTCAGTGGCGTAGTCTCATGCGCAATGGCAAGGTACTGACCCAACCACAACTATCACCATTTGGAGCCCCAGGTGCCCCCATTCAGCCTTTGAACACAGCAGGACCAGATCCCAACGAGCACGACTGTCAGGAGGAAGACGAGGGCATCGACGAAGTTATTGAAGTCAAGTTTGGATTGGAGATGGAGGCCCCAGAGGGTGTCGACGAAGCGGAAATTCGATTTGACGTCAAGCTGCCGCACGACAAGAATCGTTTGTCGTTGCACATTCCCCAACCGCAGCAGCATGGCGGCTCGATCCCCCCGGAGCTCGAAGAGGCGATAAAATCGATTGAAAGAGCATCGAATCGGCACTCTGCATGGTACAAGGCTGGGTACACGAGGGAGCCCGAGTTAGCTTACTTCTGAGCCTCGTAAAGTCAGAGTTTCTACTCAACGAGAGAATACCGTTTAATGAATTACGTTGTAATTTCCTTGACAGCGTATACCTGCAGTGCCATAGCCGAGTTGTATCAGCCGTCTAGTATAGACAATTGAATCCATCCAGTTCATGTAAAGGTGTACTGTGATGAGATCCGGTGCTATTGGGTTGACAACATTTCATGCTAAATGGAGCGAACCACATCCAACTAATACTGCTTCTAACACAGACATGAGAAAAAGCTTATTCTTCTACGCCTATACGGAGGACTTTGAACTATTTACGCGCGTCACGCTGAGGTGGGCGCGCGCAATCATGAAGTAGGGCGAGAACCCCGGCAGGCGCCTACTCAATTCTGCACTGGATATCCTATTGTGCTAGTGGGAACCATCTCCCTACTCCCAGCGCCCACTGGCGCATCCAAGACAGTCCCGCGCGGTGCGCCGACGAGCTTCATGTCGAGTACTGCTCCACAGAGTCGGATATGTACGCCCGTGAAAGGATACTCCCTACAAAAGACGAGGACTAGGCAAGGTTCCGTCCACCGGATCACCTTTCCTCCCCTCCGCGAGCCTTTCTTCATTGTCCACTTGGACCCCCTTTTTTTCTATTTCCTTTCTTATTGAGTTCCTTCTTTTTGGCCTGGTGCCCTTTTCGCCCTTGTTTCTTACTCACCCAAGTGAGTGAAGACCTTTGGGCACGATTGACTCTAATATGATGCAGTATCCAACAATATGCAACTTCCAACGTCTCTGACTACATCACTCGTAGTGGCACTCGTCACCTCTCAAGCTCTACTCGCAAACGCGGCACCCTTACCCGCCGAAACGACAACGGGAGCTCTAGCCACTTCTTCGTCATCCCACCCACAGGTGAACATCAAGATTCATGGAACCGGTCTCGTGCCTGCCAAGCGGTCGATATTGACAGAGCGTTCTCCGGTGCCGGAACCATCATTTGAACAAGGTCCAATACAGAATGTGGAGAAGAGGTTCTTTTTATTCGACATAGCCAAAGGGATTGTCCACGGGATTTCCAGCCTGATCCACCGTCACCAGCATCATTAAGGTCCCCTTTTCCCGTCCAAGACGGCTTCAAAGAACGGGAGGGAGCAAGAGTGCGGGAATACCTTAGACGCTCATTCGATTGTACACGGGGTGTAATCTCATGCTAATGACACTGGAAATTGGATCTATGTATACAAAGGCGGTACTTCGGCAGGCAACGTCGCCGCTTGGGCGGGGCCTCCCGCTCACGGGATGCAATGGCTTCATAAAGAACTGAGCTTTATAGTGTCAAGAGTGTGTATGTTGTTCATGACAAAAAAGACTGGACTTGGCAAGATAATCGAGTAGGATGCGCTGAAAGAAGTGTTAAGAAAGCGACCTGAATCTTTTACCTCTAGCCATTCGAGCAGAGCCATCTCCGTCAACTTCGGATCTGACAGAGCACGCCAAAGTCCACGGATCCACGGTCGTCGGTGTCAAGCGCTCGGTATTGAGAGTGCGTTCTCCAGAGTTGGAGCCATTGTTGAAGGATTTGAATGGCGCTTGAGGATTTTGAACGCGCTTGGACGGGGTATTAAGGGTATGAAGGCTGTTGCGGGTACGTTCGGCGGAAACAAGAACTTTTACCTATCGCATTGGACCTACGTGTGGTGCATCGACAGCTGAATATCATCCAACCCACGCAGGACCGAGTTCACGCCTCGTAACTCGACTCTAGAAGCGAATCCTCTGCAAATGAAGAGCGCACTGTGTGCTGGTATACAGGGAATAGAGACCATTTGGCTATCTTGACCCCTCGGGACGACGTGAATATGGGCCGAGTGGCGGTACTCACGACGCACTGGAATGCGCGGCGTTGTTCTGATGAAAGCATTGAGTCCCATGGATGTTGGACAGCGCGCGTTAGACATCTTCCGTTCTCAGGCGACCGTACAAAAAGGCGTGGGCCCGACTGATTGCCAGACGCGCGAGTTTGTCTTGACTCCCTCTTTCGCTGACCGTGTTGGTCCGTTTCTCCATTCTTTCTGGACATTTTATCGGCCTGGTGCCTTTATTTTCATCTTGTTGTGAGTGCAGACGCTGTGTACCTGGAGGCGTACGTGCTGACTCGCTGTAGGTACCCCTCTTTCTTCTACATTATGCAACTCCCACCATCTTGGATTGCCCTCAGTGTCCTTCTCCTGGCTGTCTCACCAGCAGTACAGGCAGCTCCCTTGCCTGCCAGTGTCGACTTGGTGGACAGGGATGTCCACGTCTATTCGTTTATCCCGGTGAATGAACATACACGACCGGATATCACGGAGAAACATCTTGATGTCCATGTAGGTTTTGTTAGACGGTGTTTGGCGTATGCTGACTTTGGTATAGAAAGCGTCTGAAATGCGGCAGATGGCGGGCAAAGTAGAAATGATCGAGAAGCGTTCTGAAGGCGTGATGGAAGATTTGGAGCGCCGCTTTGGTATAGGCCTGGCGGTCAAGACGGCGTGGCGAGTTGGAAGTTTTATCGCGTCTCACCACCACCACGATAATCAGAATTAGATTCATTCACTTGTGACTCGCCGCTGATCGTTTGCTGGTTTCTATCCCAACATGCATGTGCAGTTGCTGGCCGCTACAATGGCCGGAGGCTCCTGACAATTCGAGTTGGCTGCATTACACCGTTCAGTTGGCCGTCAGCTCGGCACTTGCAGAATAATTCTGGAAATAATGCAAACAGGTGTTTTACAAAATATACATAATTTTGTACATGGTCGCTGTGGGTCAAGGGTTGGCCCGCCGAGGAGAATTGACAGGCCTCGTGCCACCTTGGCTCGTCTGCTGGCAATAAAAGGCCGGCTTGCGCGGGCCAAACAAGCCTCCTTACAACTTGATCCCCTCCACTCCCCGACGAGCTCTCCCGGCGTCTCCTCTCTCCTCTTTTTCTTTTTCTTTCACGCCCCTTTCTTACGACCAAGAGTCGTCGCGCACGCACGCCTCCAACGCACATTAAAAAAAGGACCTAGTCGTCTTTTTTTCACGCCTTTTATTCTTGCCCCCGCCGTAGCGCGTGTGTGCCATCAAGACTAAACGACTCACTTTTCGTTGCTGTAGAATCAGCTTACGCTTTTTCTCTCCTACACCCGCGGTGTTCACTTGCCCCCCTTTGCCCAATCGAGTGCCAGTCACCGCCTGAATACGACGCATCTACGAATCTCTTTCTATCGGATTTACAACAGTACAACTCAGCATGTTCGCCACTACAGCTGTCCGCTTTGCCCTCGTGGCCGCCGCTCTCTCCAGCCTCACTAATGCTGCCCCGCTCTTCAACTTTGGCCGCAAGGAAGCAGTGGCCATGGTCCGTCGCGCCCAAAACGGCGGCCAACTCGCCCAGGGTACAAACTTTTACTTTACGACGCTTCATCTCGAAGACGCGTGCTCTCGTATGTCCCTCCCTTTTTCTGGTTATGGCCTTATTGACTCACCGCTTCGAACAGCCGGCCAAGTCGCTTGTGTCTCTGGAAACTATGCCACCTGCTCGGGTGAAGGCAATTGGGAAATCACGCCCTGCACTTCTGGCACCACTTGCCTCGCCACCCCGGCCTCGTCTCCCTCTGGCATCTCCATCCAGTGCACCTCGCAGGAAACCGCCCAGTCGTCGATCCAAAACGCTGGTGGTAATCCCAACACGCTCGTCGCAGACTTCCACGTGACCGACGCACCGTTCAGCGCCGACACGGTTGCCTCTTCCTCTTCGAGCGCTCCTGCTTCGACTGCCACCGAGTCGTCCAGTGCACCAGCAGACACTGCTTCATCTACTGCTTCGCCCACGGATGCCCCAACCGAAAGTGCCTCTGCCACCGAGTCTTCCGCTTCGTCAACCTGCACTCCCGACGATGAGGAAGATGATGGCACGATCGCAGATTCTTCGACTTCGACTGCTTCTCCAACTGCCACTGAAACCGTCGACCCCTCGAGCACTTGCACCGAGGAACCAGTCGAGACGGAGACGATTACGGTCATTGTCGTCCCTGTCCCATCTTCGACTGGTGTCTACTCGACTACGACGCTCTTCCCAGAACAGCCAGAGCCCACCGTTGTCGGAACTGATGTTCCTGTTCCGACCGAGTCGAGCACAGACGTTTCTTCCTCTACTGAGTCCTCGAGCGAGTCTGTCCCCACCGAGTCTTCATCCTCTTCTGAAGAGCCTTCCTACACCGAGCCTGCCCCTACCGAATCCAGCTCCAGCTCCTCGAGCGTCCCAACTGAATCGAGCTCTAGCTCCGAAGCGCCTGCTCCCACTGAGAGCTCTTCGTCGAGCGAGAGCGTCATGACCGTCACGACCATCTTCGTCGACCCTGGTCTCTCGATTCCTGCTCTCCCAACTGGTACTGGTGGTGCCTCGACCCCTGTTGCCATTCCCGTCGTCAGCGTCGTTGGCACCCATACCGTCCCAGCCAAGCGCATGGTCCGTGTCATCCGTAGGGCATAAACAACCTTTCGGCTCGTGATCTCTTTATCAAGACTCGGAACGGACTATGAAGATACCAGCTTGCAAAACCTGTTGTACTACCTCCGATACCCACCATTTCTTTCTCTTTTGACGACTCGACTTGCGATAGCCGCAGTCTTATCAAGCACACGCCAAACCCCGCAAACTCTCGCCGGAGCTCTGTCACTATCCCACTCTACCCACCATTGCGGATCCTCGACGCTTTGCTTTTGTCGACGGCCCAACCCGCCTTGGTTCGACGCCTTTTTGTTACGTCCAAATGATGATCGCTAGACGCACTCAACCACGCCAACTCGCACACGATCGCTCAGATTACACTCTTGTTCATTCTTGTAGACGCTTTTGACTACATACACCTTTTTGGTTTTGTCTCCTTTTCAAAGGGCTGTACCAATTTCTTTTTGGAAATATACTCGTTACAGACGACACAGACTTATTTTCGTGAATGGGTATCTCTCTACATTGTGTTAAACTAGTCTTCTGACGCTGCGAGGTATCCCTGTAGCAGCTCGTGAGCGTCGTTGAGAAAGAAACGAAGACAGGACTTACATCTCGTTCTCGCAGGAAATCCAGGTAGGCCAATGATACTGCGACCCAAAACGCCATTTCGACACCCAAATGTTTAATCGTCTCGACGTCGATGGACAATGTCCCGCTGGGCGTCGCACGAAGCAGAGGCGTCGTGTCTGTAAACGAAATCAACGGTGGTTTTGGTACATCTTCAGCAACTATTATCGATTGCGCAGATGGTGCGGTTGAGAGGATGGGTTTGTCTGTGGTGAAGTCGACGGATCTGGTGAGCGGTTCGTCGGGTCTGCGAGTGCAGCAGCCACTCCCTCGCCTCTATCACTCTTCCTATCCACATCCAAACTCGTTCCACGCTTATCCTTGTTTGCTGGAATCGTAGACGGGTTGGGAGACGCTCCCGACGCGTGGGGCGTTGTTGTCTGTGGAGGAGGAGGAGAGGGCTGGACGATAAAATGGTGCGCCGTACTTCCTGTTGCTGCGTGTGAGAGATTTGCGAGTGGTGCGAGTGCGCGGTGGAGGAAGGAAGTTTGCGGTGCGTGCGAGGGTGGGTGGACGAGGTGTGGATGGTGATGCGTCCCGGCTAGTACGCCCGTTGTGGGTTGTCCTGGACGTAGTGTGTAATGTGTAACGTGCCATCTGAGTTGTGGAGATGCCCTTTGGATGGGGTTGGAGCTCGGTGGTCTTGGTTGTGATGATGGAAGAGCAGTCGTACTATAAGACGTCTCTCGTTCGCCAATATCTTGTCCAGGTGCACTTTCGTCGTCTAGTGATATCGATACGGTGCGCTCTTGGATCTCTGTGAGCGTCGCTTCGCTATCTCCGTCCCGTGGGTAAGGAGGACGGGAGAGCGGGCTTTTCGGCGTCGCATTCGCGGGCGGTAGTGAAGTTTGTGATGAAGTAGATGTTCGGGAGGGCGGATAAGAGTGGTCCGACGAGAATCGGTTGGCGACGGGGGGTGGAACGGACGCTGGATCAATAGTTTGGCATCCAAACATCAAAATAGGCTCTCCAGTGGATGAAGGAGGTGGAAGGAGAGAGATACATGCGCCTGGTGGAAAGGCAGGAGATCGTAATCGAAGATACCATCCACGCCGTCTCGGTTGATGAATCGTCCACTTGATTGCATTGGTCTTCGAGTCCTGAAAACAATATGAGAAGAGAATATAGATCTACTCGTACGCACTATAACGCTATCGACAATCTCGTGGTCGGTCACATCTCGAGCCTGATATCGTTCGTTACTATGATCCTAAATAGACGAAGGCGACCACCTTGTACCATACGCTGCCATTCTCATCTTCAACTGTGATCTGAAGCGATTGGTTCAGAATGTCAGAGCTAACGGAGATAAGTACGAGACGATTTTCCTCTGTGGGAATCTACCTCTTGATGAAATAGTGCCTAACTGACGTTGATTGCTCCGTTTGCGCTGGCTTGCTGTGGGTGGGTAACATGGTCGGGTTCAAGATGCTCCCCGTCTTATTCGCAGGGGAAAGCGATTAAAAACGACTATGGCAGATGTATAAGCTTCCCAGGCAATTCTCTTGACAGTCTCGCCATACCATCACGTCAATTTCGAGCCTCTACTCGTTGGTACGACCCAAAGACGCCGCATTTTGCATTTTCGACACACATATTTTTGAGGATTTGAACACGAGTTCAGTGCATCAAATGCACTGGTATAATTGAGCGGTTACGCGCTGCTCTCAGAGAGTATACACAATACACACTGAGCCGTCTAGGAAGAGCAGAGAGAATTAGCTGTCCCAATATCCTTTGATTCGAAAGTGGCACTACAAGATCCGGTTCGGTCGATGCTCCGGTTATATCATGCTTACAGGCCGGAGCCGTTCATGTGCAACTTGGAAGCCTCCACGTCGGCGTCGTACGCTATAAATGAAAGTAGAAGAAGGATTTCAGCAGGTCGAGACCAGAAGACTTATGTATCACCGCTATTGACGCCCTCTTCAGCCACTTCCGGCTACAACAAATGGGTTCACCGACGATATTCTACTGCCCAGTCTGCTGAAGCGTCTCATACCAAATGAGTACGTCCCGTAGCACACAACATTGTCTGTAACTTATCACTTCTTCCAGGGTATTGGAGCCGATAACTCGGGATCTCCAGCGACTTGGGGACGATCTCAATGGGCGTGAGTATGCTATATAAAGACAATACGCGAGTATTGATGTCGAACTATGCAAGCAATTCGAGCCTATGGGCAGCTAGCCGACGCTCCTCCAACGCTCACACAATACTCGGAATGGGGAAGACGAGTGGATACACTTTACACCTCTGAAGGATGGCGCAAGCTCAAAGGAGTTGCAGCAAAGGAAGGGTTGGTCGGCATCAGCTACGAACGTCTCTACGGCCAGTGGAGTCGCATCTACGCGTTTGCCAAGACGCTACTCTTTGTAGCAGAAGGAAGAGTAGTAGGATGTCCTATTAGCATGACAGACGGATGCGCTCGCGTACTCGAGCTGCACGGGACCCCCGAAATGAAAGAAGACATCCTCTCTCGACTGGTCACCCGACATACCAAATGGGCGTTCACTGCTGGTCAATTCATGACCGAACGGCCTGGTGGTTCAGATATCTCGCAAACGGAGACGACTGCCACACCCGTAAATGCCAATGGTCCGGCCAAGACAGGAGATGCGTACCTACTCAACGGCTTCAAGTGGTTCTCCAGCGCAACTGACTCAGAGGTAGCACTCGCTCTTGCACGAACAGGCGATCCATCTCTTGGTTCTCGGTCCCTCTCCCTTTTCCTTTTACCCCTTCGCCTGCCCTTGCCTTCGCCAGCAACACCATCCCTTACCGGAATCAATCCTCGTACAGACTCCACCGTTGATGAGAATCAGCGAGAGAACAACGGGATCCTCATTCATCGTCTGAAAAACAAGATTGGCACCCATTCACTTCCCACCGCTGAACTCTCTCTCGACAATTCTGTCGCCTATCTGATTGGGCCACTCAATGGAGGTGTCAAGGCAATCTCTACTGTCCTACAACTCACCCGCGTTCACTCTGCTTTCCACTCGATTGGCTCCCTTGCCAAATGCTTCAGCATAGCTCGCAGCTTTGCGCACGTGAGAAAGATTGATGGTGGAATGCGAACACTAGATAACACACCGCTCCACGTTGACAATCTCGCCAGAGTAGCGGTGACCTATCGGGCACTCCTCTCGTTCGCCATGGGCGTGGTCCATTTACTTGGTCAGACAGAAACCTTATACGAGAGATCCCCCAATTACACATCTGTTCAGGCGCGCTTTCGCCTATTAAATCCGGTGCTCAAGGCATTTGCCGCTTTTCATTGCGTGCCTGCGATGGAAGAATGTATGGCAGCACTAGGCGGACAGGGATATATGGAGGAAACAGGGATTGGGCGCTTCATACGAGATGCGCTTGTCGAGAAGATCTGGGAAGGAACCGAGAACGTTCTGGCTCTCGATCTTATCCGCGCTTCCGGCCGGGGAAGGAAGGATGATTCCACACTCCAATACTGGGTCCAATGGTCGGAGCGACTCCTCCAGGCGTCTCAAAAGCATAGCTGGTCAGACGACACTCGACGAGCTCTCGAGATGCTCGTGACTGTGGTCCAGCAAATACCGAGCATATTCATAGAGACCTCGACAAATGAGCTTCTTCCACGTCGTACGCTGCTCTTGTTTGGCCATGTGACAGCCGGATTCTACCTACTCGAGCATGCGATGTGGGCAGAGGAGAGCAACGAAGTTGAGGCAGGAATGCATGCTGATGCATTTACGCGGTGGATTCTCGAAGGAGGTGTCGCTGGGACGAACCTACAAGGTTATCTCCAGAGTCTTGGGGCGTGTAGTGCTCCAGTGGAGAAAAGGGTCCGACAGGATTCACGACTCGTCTTTGGAACATCTTTCACGAAGACGAAACTGTAATTTCTTGCATCTTATCTATTGTGGAACAGGATGTGTGCATACGGATGTGCCATGAATTTTGAGTATACTCCAACGTTGAACTCGACCACGACCAGCATGAAGTCACAGCCCCTCTCGCTCGAGTCTCTTGTAGACTTTCATCAGCCATCCTTTTATTATTCTCTTGGGATGATCTTTTTCAACCCACTTTTCTGGAATATCGTCGCCCAGAACGGTTCGTATCGACCACGTTGAACGCATCCGACGCGTCGGCTCTTGCTGACGTTTTTCTTTCCTTATCAATCATAGAATATCACCACAAGCTCATCTCAAAGCGCGTCAAAAACCCGCGTATCGGATGTTATCTACTGGCCGCGACAATTTTTTCGTTGGGCATTATTCGTGATGCCTTGTATGTCATCATAATCAAAGGCTTCTCTTTTGCACGACTCATTTATTATCTAGGTATACCAAGGCGCTGAAGGATCAGCCTGCGATGGATCTCCTTCCTGCTCCTTTTGACATTGTGGTTCCGGCCTTCCTTGCTGTATTTGGCCAAATTTTGGTTATTTCTAGCACGTGGCAACTGGGTATCACTGGGACATTCCTCGGAGATTACTTTGGTATCCTGATGGACGAGGTAATTTATTTCGCTCATTGTTTTGGCGGTAACTCAACTTTCCTTTTAGAAAGTCGAGTCTTTCCCATTCAATTATTTCAACGACCCCATGTACGTTGGATCCACGCTCACCTTTGCTGCTGGGGCACTCTGGCACAAGCGACCGGCAGGACTCTTCTTGACGACCATTGTCTGGATCGTATATACTATTGCTCTCCGATACGAGAGGTGTGTTTCTACTTCTGCTCTTGCTGTCTCTAACTCTATCGACAGTCCTTTCACGACCGAAATCTATGCCAAGCGTGAACGTGAGCGTGCTCTCAAGGCCCAAAAGGCGAAATAGATGAAGCGCTTGCGCTCACTCTATCGCGGAATAGTTCAGCCTGCGACAAACACGTCGCGAATGCAGCTTCAACGTAGCGGAAGCCCGAAACCCATAGACAATTCAACTTGCATACTATCCTCATTTGTGTTTGCTCATCCTTATGCATATTCTCACATTGTGGAATCCATATTCATCTAAAGCTAGTGTTGCCCTTGAACTCTGGCATGATGTCCATGTGACTAGATAGAGCACTTGTTCACAATCTTGGCGTTCTGATGAACATGACCGTTTGAGAATAGATGGTAACCCAGGTGGTGAGTCACCGAGTTCATATTTGTCCTCGATGTCGATCGCGCTTCCCGACGAGATACTGCTTTTGATCTTCAAAGATCCGAAAATTGGAATATCAGAGTATTTAAGTCTCTGTTCTTCATCAAAGAGGCTTCGCCGGATCGTGTATCCACTCCTCTACCAACGAGTTGAGCTCGTAGACAATGAATGTCACCTCTTTCTTCGCTCTATCGTCAATAATCCTTCCTTGGGGCTCATGGTCACATATATCTTCTTGGCGTGGGATACCTATCATCAGGGAAAGCCAGTCGACTCTGAAGCTCTGCCACGGTTCATCGAGGTTGCTTCAAATCGATTGCCAGCGGCGATCAGAGAAATAGCTATAGCAGAGCTATCTACAGGCTCAGAAAGTGCCGAAGCTCTACTCTTGCTCACCCTTCTTCCTCGACTTGACGAACTTAACCTCTTTCCTTCGGCGCGCGAGAGACCACCATTCATAGATACGCACCTATTCACCATTATTAAAGAGGGAGTCATGCCAACCTCGTTGTCCACCGTCTACTACTCGCAGGATGTCACCAAACCCCCCTTCGATTTGGCCAATCTCTGTGCATTCTTCTTCCAGCCTTCCGTCAAGTCTATAAGGGCCAACCTTGAGACAGGAAAAGCCGTTGAAGGGGACTCAGAGCCTCAGATATCTTCAATTACAGACCCTCGCTTTCATGAAGTGCAAAAGTTTTACGGAAAGTCTTCCGTGGAAACTATTGACTTGTTGGAATGCTCATTACTGGGAGCTGAAATCGAGGTCTTGCTACGCTTACCAAAGGCGTTAAAATCTCTCAGATACGACATGGCGTTCCCCATGGTCTCAGCGACCAGATTCGGCAGCGCCATCGCCCACTTATCTACAAGTCTTGAGGAACTATATATTTCAAACTTTTCATTTGAGGACGACATCGAACTCCAGGGAACAATTGGTTCACTAAAGGCATTTGCGCGGCTACGAGTACTTAGAATTCCCGTAGATTTTCTTGTCGGAAGTGGTGTGAACGACTCTTTTGAGATGCACACTCTACTTCCTAATCGCTTAGAGCATTTCATGCTCGACGCGCATGCAAGCTCGGGCGAATGGATGGGTAATGTCTATTCCTTGCTCATAGCAGTGTGGGCAGACCCCTCCAGTCTCCCATTACTCAAGAAAATAACAATCTGTGTCGCGTGGATACCAGATGACAAAAAATGGGAAGCTCTACTGGAATTAGCAGTGAAGGTAAGGGTTTCCTTAGTCAAGTAAATTTCAATCCGAAATATTTGTATTCTACGTCCCCCAAAATACCATTTCTCTTGATCCCTCCTATATAGCCAGACTTTGTTGGCCTGGGCTTATTCGCCGAGTCAGAAATGCGACGAGTATGGCAAAATAAATCTGGAGTCATTTTGATTCTACAAACGAGGTGTTGAAGCTAACCAAATCCGAATCAATTTGAGCAAGTCTTGAATTCCACTACGCCAAGGGGTCTGAAGAGGTGGCAATTCTAAGGGTTTGTTTCACCGTGACGAGCTCTTCGCAGGTATCCTCTCCCGAACATTCATGATTCTTTGAATGAGAAAAGTCGATAATTGTCAAAGATTCACCTCGTTTGACGACATTTCGAGGCTCCAAGTCTTCATGAACGATCCCAGCTCGATGAATAACGCAAAGAACCCGGTAGAGATACTCCTTGAATGCGTCTCAGTCAATGGTTATAGATGACGAAAGAGGCGCACCTTTGATCAGAAGTGAGCCCATCAAAGTCAGGTAGCTGTTCTCCCTCGTCGTCTAATACGAGTACTAAATCATCTGCGGAGCGAAACATTCCACGACAGGTCGCCACACCTACGATACCGGCTAATTCAAGGATACGATATTGATGAAATTCGCTGTCGATCATTTCTCTTGAAATTTCGGTCCGTTAGGCCAGTTTGAATACATGGAGGCCATTGAAGCGATAAAATTGACCGCTTCCACCACACAGAGGTCTTCCAGTGACCTGCAGGAGAAAAGGAAGTCTTGTATCGGGAGCCTTCGAGGCCAAATCAACTACACGAGACATCGGGACCATGTAGGACCCTTCGGTGTACACTAGAATGCCATCAGACTGTCCGAGTTAGAAGGTACCCCAAACAATGACGAGTGAACACGCACGCTCTCGAGTGACGATGAGATTGGTCGAAGGTTCCCCCCGGGTGGCGCTTCGCATGACAATTCACCATCCATAGGCGCTGTCAGCATCTTTGCGAGCGAGTTACCTGCGCTGGATTCGACGGGTACCACCATATAAAGTACAGTACTCCAAATGGGCAGGGTGCGGTCGTATAATGGAATCATTGGGGAATAGTGTAGGAATGGTCGTAAATGCTTCTTGCAATCGATACGGTACGAAATGTGAACGATCATGTAAACGCCTCCGGCAAAGATAACGGCCCAGGATGGCTTGACATCACAATCCATGGCATGCCACGCTAGCTAGCTCGAGTTAGCACAACTATACGTCACGAGTGGCTAACGTACCTTAGCAAGAACAGCATGCTCATTCAACCATTTCACTTGATCTTTGGAGAAAGTGATAGACTGAGAAGATATCATTGTTTGCATGTGCTTTTCGCCGGCGCTCGGGCTCTTGGTCTCCCACAGGATGAGGGGCTCGCCGTGCCCAGTCGAAAACCTGATAGGAACCGAGTCCCCAAATAGACCTTGACAGAGGGCGTCAACCGCTAGACGGATGTACACAATCATTCCATTCAGATCGCTCTCTTTCATGAAAGGATCGTCTTGCTGTAAAACTGAATGGACTGATTCTTCAGCTCGTTCAGAAATTTTCGATTGTTGACGGCCGGATTGGCTAACGATTTGTTCGAGTTCCATTCTCATCATTCTGGGTAACTCAGTGCAAAGCTCGGCGCTCGCGGGCAGTGAATCTGGTTTGTGTAACATCGGTTGAAAAATCACCGTTTGGTTTCTTTGATCGAGTCCAACCATAACATCCGGTGGCTGCGCAATAGAGAGGACCTTGGAGAGATCTGGAAAGAGATAGTCCTGCCAGGTAGGGGTCAAGACTTAAAACAAGTCAGCTATCATCACTTGCAAGGCTTACCCTTACCTTCGATTGCCAGCCAAGCATATGCATTGTGTTGGTCTACGGTTTGGAGTAAAGGAACAATGTGAAAATAGGATACCGCTCGCTGATAGCCTTCTTCAGTCCTCATATCTCGGGGCCAGTAGGCGTTCCCTGGGTTTGCTTCTCGTAGCGTTGCCAGAAATTTTCCGACCGTCTCATCTGTGACTACAACTACAGTAGATCCCCAGTCATATTTCATGTCCGCTTTCATGCGCCTTGATATTCTACTGTCTTCCTCGAGGGGGAACCGCGTCGGGCGTCGGGAACGTCATGGGGTCCAAGGTGAAAACGCTTGTTGGATTGACCACAGAGACAGGTCATCCTGTTTTAGTGGCAGGCTGCCACTATTCCTTCCATTAAACAATGTCTCCAGGTATACTAAGGAAATATTCGGTCCACTTACTCCACACAAGAATTGGGTTTCCTCATCGGACAAAGTGTGGCAAATGTTTTTGAGTTATTCAAACTACGTGAAAAAAGTATTTGAACTGCCAAGAGGCACCACGCCTTCGGTGAACGTGGGGGTATCTTTTGGATCCCAGGGCAAGGGATCAGGAGTCTTCTCGACTCCAAGTTCATAACGTGCCTGCACTAACTCAGCGCAAGCATCTTCTCCCTGACAGTGGTGTCCCCAAGAATGAGAAAAGTCAATGATCGTCAAGGATTCACCTCGTTTGACCACATTCCGGGGCTCAAAATCTCCGTGAGTAATCCCAACACGATGAATACCACAAAGTGACCGGTAAAGATGTTTCCTGAACGTGTCTCAGCAAGGGCCATAAGATACGGCAAGAACATACTTTTGATCAGAGTTGAGCTTATCAAAATCAAGCAACTCTTCTCCTTCATAATCCAATACGAGCGCTAGATTATCGGCGGAACGAAATAGTCCATGACAATGCGATATGCCTTGGACACCAGCGGAAGCAAGTAGGCGATACCAGTTGAACTCCTCAAAAAGCATATTCTTCGATGTCTGCGTTCGATAAGCGAGCTTGAGAACATATGAACTGGTGCTGCGATACACCTGTCCACTTCCACCTTGCCGAGGTTTGCCAGTAAGCAGAAGTTCAAAAGGAAGCATCGGCTCCGAAACAGTCGACGACAAATCGGATGCACGGGACATATAAATGGTAAAAGAGTCCTCAGTGCGCACTGAGAGGCCATCAGACTGTCTGAGTGTGAGTATAGGAGAGCACATTATGGGAATACCACGCACGGCTTCAATCGAGGTGGATGTCGGGCCAGATCTTCTGGACTTGGATGGGCCATGGCAAGGTAAATCGCCATTCGCTGGGACTTTCAAAATATCCTCGAGCGAGCGTGCCCCATTGGATTGGTCTGGTCTCACCATGTAGAGTAGCGCACTCCAGATGGGTAACTTGCTGTCGTATACTGGAATCATCGGGGAATATCGAAGAATTGGACGTAAATGATTATTGTTGTCGACGCGATACGAAATGTGAACAATCATGTAAACTCGTCCAGCGAAGATAACGGCCCACGGAGGCTTCATATCAGCATCCATAGCGTGCCAAGCCAGCTAGATTGAGTTAGCGCAACTACAAGTCACAAGTGGCGAGCGTACCTTAGCAAGAATAGCATGTTCATTCTCCCATTGCATTTGATCTCTCGAGAAAGTGATAGACTGAGAAGATACCATTGTGTTCATGTGTTTTTCGCCGGCGCTTGGGCTTTTGGTCTCCCACAGGATGAGGGGCTCGCCGGTTCGGTGCCAAAACACACCGTCGGTGCGCACATTGCCGTCATCGGTTCTTTGCTCAGTCGAGAAAGTGAGAGGAACTGCGTCCTCAAATAGAGCCCGACTGAGGGCTCCAATTGCTCGACGGATATACCCAATGGTTACACTCAGATCGCTTTCTTTCACGAAAAGATCGTCTTGCTGTAAAACTGAATGAACTGATTCTGCAGCTGATGAAGAAATTTTCGCTTGTTGACGGGCGGATTGGCCAACGATTTGTTCGAGTTCCACCCTGATCGCCATAGGTAAGTCGTTGCAAAGCTCAGCGCTCGCGGGCAGTGAATCTGGTTTGTATAAGGTCGGACGAAAAGGCGCCGTGTGCTTGCTCTGATCGGATCCAACCCTAACTTCCGGTGGCCGTGTGATAGAGAGGACGTTGGAAAGATCTGGAAAGAGATAGTCTTGCCAGGTAGGGGTCAAGACTTAAAAGAAATTAGCTATCATCATTTGCAAGGCTGACGCTTACCCTCGATTGCTAGCCAGGCATATGCATTGCGTTGATGCACGGTTTGGAGTAAAGGAACAAGGTCAAAATAAGATACCGTTTGCTGATAGTCTTCTTCGGTCATCATATTTCGGGGCCAGTAGATGTTCCCTGGGCTTGCTTCTCGTAGCGCTGCCAGAAACCTTCCGGCCGTCTGTTCTGTGACTACAGTAGATCCCCAGTCATTTTCCATGTTTGCCTTCATGCGTCTTGACATCCTACTGTCTTCCTCGAGAGGGACCGCGTCGGGTGTCGGGAACGTCATCGGGTCCAAGTTTGTTTGGCCACCCAATTTGCCACAAGGCTCATCTCTGTGAAAATACAAAGCTTATTTCTTATGTATTCCCGTTTGAATGATCTCTCTGGGCTGTACTTTCAGCTACAAGCGATGTTGGATCCCTCGTTCCAGCTACCACTCTGCATCCTCATCTAATTTACCTGATCTACAACAACAAACTTAATTTAATGAGTCACATATCCAGACACCTGGCCCCTCGGCTCAAGTGCACGAAAGGCGAACGAGTGTTGATGACATTCCCGGAAGCGACAGAGAAATGCTGCAGGGCATCAAGCTTTATCACCTTATCCAGAAAATCCTGTCTTCATTGCTGTTAGCGTGCACTATCGATAAATAAGCGGCCGCCTTTGGTCTCAAAATCCGTCTTAGTCTCAGCTTTCTCCACTATCGAGCTGACCTTCCACACTCTCGCGTCAGGCGACAACCAGCGACGACGATGTCTGCTAGGCGCATGCCTCTTCCAATTGACCCTGAAGCGTACCTCCGACAACCGGAGAACAGAATTTCAATCAAACCTCCTTTCGTTGTCTCCCCCGAGCTTTCACGACTACTCAAGAGACCAGGACTGCTAAAAGGCAAAGACGGAGAGCGGGTGCGAGAGATTTACCAAGGTAAACTAAGCCTAATTGCTTGTCTATCTCTGAAAATCTACAGAGGGAGCGTTCTTCTTCTCACCCGTGAGGGATCTCTCCATCTTTGGTACATACTGCGCCTTTGGACTTTTTGATGCCGCTGTCAAGGTGGGTCTCGCGCTAGCGAATTACTATTATCTCACGCAAGTCAGGAATATCATGCTACCAAACCCGACCTGACCGCGACGGAGACGGCATATCAATGGGGATACGTTTCCATCACCGCTTCTCGATCTTGGTACATGACCAACGCACAACCTTTATCTGTCCTTTCTGCGCACGCAAAAGTTCTCGAATTTCTTGTTTCCCAGGGAGCACCCATCGATCTTCCAGACATCGCCGGCCTTACAGCACTTCATCATGTCGCGATGAACAACTACAGAGGCGAGGTGCTAAAGTTCCTCTTGGAGAATGGCGCCAATCCCAACGCACGGGACCGGTACGGATGCAGCCCAATCTTCGACGCCATGAAACACGGTCAAGCAGAGGCATTCGACATGTGTCTTCAGTATGGAGCAGATCTCGATCTCAGAGAAAATGATGGCTACACGGCTCGCCGCCTTGCCAAGATGGCCGGTCCAACTATCGATGCGGTGGTTCAGCGTCACTTGAGGAAGAAGGAAGGGAAACCGGCACACTTGGAGGACAAGAATCGTTGCACGCATTGCGGTAGTGATGGTTGCAGGAACCAGTGCTCCCGGTGCAAGACGGCTCGCTATTGCAACTCTGACTGTCAAGGTATAGTTTCCGATCAATGCACTACACAGGGACTAATAATCGCAGCCAAGCATTGGAAGGCAGGTCACAAGCATACATGCATTCCATTCGACGACTCTGCGACTTCGCTCGTCTTCACACCCACATACGATACAATTGAAGAACTGAAGAATGCAGTCAGCTATGCAAACCATAATGCACTCCTCCGCAACTATCTCGGTCACGACCAAGACGGCGAGAGCAAGAGAAAGGCCAAAATTACGACAAAGGAGAAGGCCCTCGGGCCAAAGTACAAGACCAAAGATGGCATCTACAACTATCCACCACCTTCACTCTTAGGGAGGCCAATCATTATCAAGGTTCAGGTACCAGCGAGGGTATCATTAGGACACAACTGGCCACAGGAAATGCTGGTATACAACAAGACTCGAGATCTCTTTTGTCGCATCATCGACGTCGACCAACCACAGGCGTATGCTAAACTCGATGCAGTGATTCGTCAAAAAGGTGCGGCTGGTGGTCTCAAGGGATATTTTATAGCCGAAATGGAGTCCAATACCGCACTGAAAATCAAAGTGGGTGATATTCTTGGAGAGCAACCTTGGTAGTTACGCAGCCTCTTTCTTTAAAACATGTATTTTGTAGACCACGACCAAATTCGCGCTTCACATTCACAACTTACCATATGAGGCCACTGAAATAAGGCCTCATGCAATGTGTGAACCTGAAGGTATCAGTTAATATACTCAATTTAATTACCGGGACAGGAAGAGTGGTAATCTTTGACTACGTTGGCTGAAAAGTTCAAGTGTCCTTAGTGAATCACAGTATCCACACTCCCTTTGGCGAATCTCGAAATATTTCACTGAAAGAAAACTGGTGCAAAGTGCAATTTTCTGTGCTTATGGAAAGTAAATTCAAACGCCGATACACTAATGGCGTGTTGACAAGATAGCAGACAATATATTGCCCGTCTTATAGATGTATAGACCCGAGACGTGTTAGTCGGTCCCAACTTTCAGTCCATTACGCAGTTCACTTTCGATGAGCAGCTCGAGCACAGTTGCGACTTGCGATTGAACAGGATAGATAAGATACCTACAATCTGTGTGGAAACACTATGATCAAACCACTGCCAGTCTAAAGTCCTATCAATCCCTTTGCAAAATGGAATGCCTTGCTCAAGAAATTCCGTCTCTCGAGCATATTGTCATCTCTAGAAAATAGATTTGAACGCTCTAAATATCATGTCTCAGCATCGTGTCTCCATTCTGACAAAGAACGAGGATAACTCACTTGCAGGCGCCTTGGCCTCTGGCTTGGGGTCTGTCTCTGCCTGAGGGTGCTCTACATTCTTGGTCGAGGGTTCGACTTTCACTTTTTCACCTGCAGTAACTTGGATTGTGTGCTGGCCGTGGGCATGGACAGCAGAGGGTTCCTGCATTGACGTCTCATTAGCAATCTTGGGAAATGATGGGCATGTTAAAAGGCTTACCCTCTTCAGCAGCACGGCGTTCGAGTCTGCAATCTCGGGGAGAGGCGCGCTCAGGACGGGGAGAGCAACAAGAAAGATAGCGAGAAGGTAGGCGGCAGCGAATGCTTTCATTTCTTATTGAAATAATGTAAACACTGTAAAGAAAGATGAGCATTTTGCCACCGTGTCAGATAGTCCTTACAGAGGGCACCAGGCCGGTCGAAGTAAAGGGGAAGAAAAAAAGGAGATAGGAGATCATCCCCCCAAAACCCAGTTCTCAAATACGCGACAGGCAGGCCGTGCTCTGACGCGCTTGTTTGGAGACAGATGTTAGCAACCATAGCATTGGCGCCTCGCTTTTTTGCTCATCAATTATAGAATCATGTTCTGTTCTCCTCATCACGGTGATATCCAAAATGACTGCGTACAGAAGCGTTCCAGCGGCTGTACGCGCTTGCCGGACATACATTTGAACACCCGGCACCACGCATGCCGTGCGGCACATCCCTACTCCTTGCGGTGCTCTGGCTATCTCACACCCTGAAAATTTCAATGGTCGTTATGGGTCTATATCATTTCACATATCGCGCCGAGCCAGCGATATGGAGAGCCAAGATATTTGCGATGAGGCAATTAGTCCTTAGGTCCGGAACCCTCAATCTTAAAGCCACCAGGTATCCCGAAGTCCCTTTACTTCATTCAACGCTCTAAAACTCGTTTACATCTCGCCTAATCTAGCTCACGGACAGTGAATACGACAGGATTGCGCTTCTCCTGATTCGATTGGTCAGCAAGACCAATTTTTGCACCCTTAGACTATCACTCACCAGGCCGGAAATCTTCGCGACAAACGATCGGCGTTCGAGCGGTGGCAGTGGCCCCCCACCGTCACGTCGGAAGAGCAAGGTCGTGCCCACCTTGAACTATAAGGATCATTAGCACCCGATATACTCTCAAAGTCCAGATGAGATGCTCACAGCAGTTGATGCCTAGGCGGATATTGGCATTAGTAACGATTTCGGCAAATGTACGATAAGAACATACAGCTTTACCCAGGAAGTGTTTGAAATTCCGACGTTCAAGGTTCTCCGTCGACATTTCTGAGCGTTTCGACGTTCCTTGGACATCCGTGGTTGGCGGGGTTTGCAAGTTTGCACTCGGGGCGTTCGCATTATCCGGGTGGTGGCGGTGACGATGATGCTGCATTCAACGAATAAATGATATCAGCAATGCATTTGACGATGTGGTAGCAGCTACTCACATGTGGGCGTGGGTGCGGGTGCTCATCTCGCGCCTCGAGCTGGCTCCCAACTGAGCGTGCTGCTATTTCGCTTGTTCCTGCTTGAATAGGGGCCGCAAGGGCAGGAGCGACGAGGGTGTAAAGGGCGAGAGTGGCGAATGCTGCAACGCGCATGGTATTTCAAAGGACGAAGGTGAGAGTTGAATAAGCACTGAAATTGCTGTTCGTCAGGAGAAGGAGCAGGTAAATCCGATGGAGAGCATACAAATGGGTGCCTGCACCGAAAAAGAAAAAGCAAAGGGCAAGTGCCTCGGGAATGAAAAAGGGAGCAAAGAAGGAAGAAAGTTTGCTGGAGTTGCAGTAGACCGTGTTGCGCGGAGACTTTATACCATCCGTTGGCTCTATGGGCGTGGGCTTGCCGAGGCCGATGCTTCTCAAGCATGGGTTAGACCTCTTCCTATGCAGAGTGACCAAGTTGGGGTCGCATGTGCCCGTCTTCACAGAGTCTAGCACTGCTGCCAGCGAGGCGGTGAGATCAGTCACCATGATGCAGTACCCCCGCTGTGCACGTTCTGTGGCAACCGGCAGACTATCTTCCAATTACTGGCAGCTTTGTATTCATTTGACGTCAAATAGTTGGCACAGTGTCGATGTGGGTTTACTCTAGCACACCACTCGGGCCATGGTTGCGCGCAAGCGTCTTACAAATAGATCATATTCGGCTCTGGTACTATTTGTGGAAGCTTATCGTGGCGGTCGTAAAGACGCCATGGTAGATGGCGTCAAAGAACTTGAGGCGATGAACAGCGACAGGGCAGTTCTGGAGACCCTCAAGGGATCTATACGGAAGTCAAATTTAGAGGTACCCGGTAAGAACTCGGAGGTCTCCGGCAACAGAACGGCAGAGGGAGCGTTCAAGCATGCGTTGGATCAGTCCTTTTTCTCGCTTCGAACCAAATCGCAATGCACTGTATACGATTCAAGATCATACCTTTGGGATACATGACTTAGGACTCTATATCTAATGCAAACCGAAAAGTAGAAGAAACGTCTATCCAAGCCTGGGGTCATCTTCCAGTTCACCATAGAGCTCCCGAATAGCGCTATCTATCAGCTAAATAGAAGTCAAAATCACGATATAATCACTCTAATCGATACATACCTTGAGCTGCGTGGGCAAACCTGAGACCGAAATGATCCAGAACCAGTACCGCGTAAAGGAATCTAGTGATCGTCAGAATAGTTTCGGAAACGAAAGAGACAAGACCTACCACTTTGAATCGCCCGAGAACCCTGTTCAGTGCGCGACAACTGTGAACTGAGGGCCAATGCATCGTGGACGAACTGATTCAAGAGTGGTTGCACCAGCACAGAGTCGTGTGGGAGTGGACTTTTGCTGATTAGACTCATCGCACACAAGTACAACCACGTCTTGTTGATTCGGCTCGCACGTCTTCGGTATGGTGAGAGCACGGCGATCATGTGCTCTACGATGTATGGGTCAAAAGGCTCAGTACTGATCGCCGTTCGACCTTCGCGTAGACGGTCGAGGATCACTTGGTTCGCTTGCACAATCTGTTGCGCTAAATCGCCCCTAAACGGTTTCGAGAAGGAGGGTTCAGCCGCAGCAAACCTGGAAAACAAGATTAATTAGTATCGTATAACACTCCCAACGTAAGTAATGAGGGGTAGGGAAGTAAACGCACGCCATGAGTGGAGAGACTTCAATAATCTGCGCCTGCATCTTTGCCTCTCTATGCTTCAACTCCCTCTCGATCCGCTTCAGGACGACGGGCTTCGCCCGCTGCTTTGGGTCCGCAGGGAGGACAGCACGGACGTATGCCTGTAGGATGGTATTATATGCCAGGTTAGAGTAGACCAAGTTTCCGAGGGCTTTTCGTAGCGTCCGCCTTGCAGGATTCCGTAGGATGAAGAGTTGGAATGCAATGACAATACCGAGTGCCGCAGCCAGCGCCGTCATCATTTTCCCCGCACGCAAGGCCGGCGTATCGAATGGCCGACGGTAGAGGTTTGCGTAGACATGTTCGGTCACCATGATCACAGCGGCAGAGTTGAGCGCTAGAAGTGAGAGGACGAACAGCTGGGGTCGTTCGTAGATGCAGTATTGCAGTGGAATAGCGAACACTGCAATGATAGCGCACATCCCGTATCTTTCATCTTGTGGATCAGTCATCTCCTTAGGGAAATTCATTGTACTCACGGATTGTATGCATAGCCTCCAACTCCTTTGAACATTTCCAATATGGCCCATCCTACCAGCGTCCCGAGTCCTGATCCGCTTACTTGCAAGACAAAGGTCAACAAACTTTGGCCTAGCGTAGGAGCTAGTGCGACGACGCATGTCAAAAGGCCGCTTGTTAAGCCGTAGCTTATAAACCATTGTCGCGTAGTCGACGCAAAGACTGCCAAAGTGTCAGAATATACAGTAACCAAGGGAATGAGACCTACTTAGAGTCGCAAAGACACTCGCAGCAGCAGCGGACTTTGCAGCGAAGATGCTCGTATCGCTTTTCAACCACTTGTTGAACTCCTCAATCCTCTGAATCGGCGACTTCTTGACAGGCGTAAATGGTTTGTTCTCCAGCAATGCCAGGGCCTCTTTAATAGAGAGTTCCCTCGATTCCTCCTCAATTTCTTCCTTGTCCTCTGGTGAGAGGCCAATGTCCGGCATAGGCTTTTTGCCCGGTCGAATCAGCGATTCATAGACATGAAAGTGGAGGTGCGCGCTACGTTTCTTAGTCGTTTCATGGTGCATTGAGCCAAGTGTCTCCACGAACGAACTGGCGGGCGTCAGCGTGAGAGATCAGAGAACGGGGCTATAACTTACTCCCAAGCAAACAGCAACGAGTATACGCGCACAAGCGTCTGGTTTCTCAAAAACTGGGACGAGGGTCCAATAGAGCTATCTCCGTCTGTATTGATTTCCTCATCATCATTCACCGGCTCTTCCGATTTCTGTTCGATTTGGTGTATAGAGGATGGTCGAGTATTGGGTCGAGTTTCGGCCTTGGAGGTCTTGGCAGATACCTTTTTGGAGGGTGTAAGGAACGGTAGATCTCCTTCTTCAACGTCCCCACGCAGAAAGTCTCCACCGTAAAGGTCCCCAATCGAGGGCCCAGGTTCATGGAGTTTGAGCGATGGATTTTCTCCCAAATCGGTTGAGGTCAGCAGTTCGACGAGTACTTCTTTTTGCGCGGCTTCGAATTCGTCGAAATGCTGTTTAATCATATGAGGGCCGTACTTTGGTTTCACTGGCATATTCGGTCCTATTTTTTCCGTGTTTGGTAGTTGAGTCGCTTCCTGTTTTGGTAAAGATGACTTTGGGGAAACTGGTGATCCCTTGTGTCCTTGGGCCGTCCCCGCCGTTCCAATTGCAGTCGAGCCAATTGCAGTCGGAGTCGCGGTCGACTGCATATGAGATGGTGTCCCTGGCCGTGTTTCTTCGGTCCTAAAGGGCGTTTCCGCCCCCATCTCGGCTTGCAAACGTCTCGTGACGTTCATCAAGTTTTCTGCAATATCGTCCCCATCAAGTTCGCTTCCCTCACTCTCTTGGTCTTGGTTCTCCGGGTCACCTCGCTTCTCTGTGGTCGGTTTGGCTGATATGGTTCGTTGGAGGGGCTGCATACCTCCTGCAGCAGCAGCGGCGGCGGCTCGTTGCTGGTCCAGACACTCTAGATAACCGGTTTGAGTAGCCTCAATATACATTGGACCACAGCCGAGTGCAGAGCCAATTTCACGAATCGTCAAGTCGATGTCCCGTCGGAGACGTGTGAAGGCTAGCTTCGTGGGAGGAGAATGTCGTCGCGGAAAACTTCAACGTCTTGATCATCGAAGCGGAGAAGGGAAATGTGAGCCGTTATTAACGTCCGTTGTAGTTGTCGAATTCGATCCGTCAGCAACTGGTAGTCTAGACACATATTAGATATGCAAATATGACTCGGAGTAGTCTAACCTTGCATCGAGTAGCGCGACCAATTGACTTCGACTGACGTTTCATCGATCTTTTGAGAAAGAAAGGTAAAGTCGGCTTTAATGGTCTGAGAGAGCAAATCCCTAGCGGCTTTATCCTCTGGTGTACCAGTGAGAGTGTATGCCTTCCCGATGAGTGCAGCAAACGTTGCAATGTGTTCCAGAGAGGTGACCATTGTCTTGCGGAGCTCGCGCTCCGAGCTCATTGGGAAGATGAGAACATTTACTGCAAGCACAATTGCAGCACCCCAGCAATAGGCCTTCAAGTATTCGAGCAGGTATGTCGGACTGAATGCACCATTCATGAGCAGGGACGTATAAATCTATATTTAATTAGCCTGATGCGCACGGGCAATGGCGGCCGGATGGTGCTCACTCCGTTGAAAGTCATCAAGATTGCGAGGAGAGAAAACGCAAACCATTTCTGCCCTTTGGTTTTGATGATGGAAAGTACTGCCGGGTGGTTAGATCCGTGGACGTCGATAGAAATAGCACGAACTATACACCATCACGGCAAATACAACTCCTTGCGCGACCGGATAGCGTCCAAGTTTTGCAAGGATGGCAAAGAAGCCTGAGCCGAGGAGTACACCAGCAAGGGCGAGCGCTGCACCCTGAAGACATGCACCAAACGTCTTGCCGGGCCCACCTGCGATGGTGACAATGATCATGGCGGTCAGAGTGATTGGAAACGCAGACAGGTCGTCATATTTCCTTGTAAAGATGAGTGCAAGAGCGAGAACATATGCAATAGTCCCTATGGATTATAAGTATGGTTGTAGATATGCCCTCGTTGGATGTGGGTGGTATACACGGGTGGCGTAGATGCTTACCCTTGACGACTGGAATAACCTGTCTGGACGTGATATACTTTATCCAGCTACGAAGAGCCCGTGAGACTCGTGACTTTTTATTCTTTGGCATCGCCGTCGATGCGGGCGGGTCCAACCTTTGGTTATGCATGACGACTTTAATTTTTCATTGCCGGCGGCATAGCCGGTGAGCCGGCTTACATAGCAATTCCTATTTCAATTTATCCAATTCTAGTGTAGTTTGTCGGCGGCAAGTGTACAACTGGGAATTTTCACTTTGACACTGTCCATGCTAAGAGGCGTTGGCAAATCTTTAAAGCCCCGATTAAGTCGACGAAATGAACAGCTCGTAGCGCTCTTTACACGCTCTTTCACAACCGACGACAAGCCCAGCTTCCGAACAAGACCAGCTTTTCGAGCAAACGCTGGTCCAGCATACACCTTTGGTCTACGGCCTCCAGAAAAGAAGCCATGGAGTGCGGCAGACGAACGGTTTGATAAATCTCCTACTCCACGGTTTGGCGATACAGTCGAGGTCAAGGAGGTCCGACTTGAGGACAAGGATGTCGCTCCGCATCTGCAACAGCAGGAAAGTGACGAGGAAAAGGTTCCAGCTGGTGCAAAACCAGCCATTCTTGTCTCAAATCTTCGTCCCCACACCCAAAGAGTACACCTATTGGAACTCTGTCGGAGTGCGGGGCTCCTGCTTCTCGAAATTGCATCCCGTAAGCACCTTGCGTTCACATTATCTCCTACTTACACGCCTGTAGCAACAGGACAGCCGACAGCCTGCCAATTCAGGTTTGACACCGCTCGTGATGCAGTTAAACTTATCCAATACCTTGAAGAGGGTGGCTTTTGTGAAGGACCCGTAGACTATGTGTTCACAAATCCCGTTGTTCACGAATCTTCGCGGTTCCTTATCGTTCGAAACTATCAAGACACCACAGAAACGCTGAAAGGAATTATAAAAGGTCAAGGAAATGTCGCTTTGCATCTAAGTATGCCTATAATCCCTATTTTATCCGGAGTCGTCCTAACCACAACATTAGTTCAAGCAGAAACCAGGGCGGGGAAGCGGCGCGTCGATGCTTATCTCGGCTTCAAAGATATCTCACGTGCTGTTGCGGCCAAGGTCGCGCTTGAAAAGGCAGAATTCACCGGCAAGGATGCGGCTTCCATTCGATTTGTACTACAGGAGATCTACTATAGTGCCACCGAGCAGCCGAGGCCAAACTATACAGAAGAACAGCTAAAAAAGCCTCCTGTACTTGACAGATCAGATACCCCTGGTCTTCCAGCTATCCCTCGAGGGCCCTATCCCACCATTTTCCTCGGCAATGTACCCGTGGAGCTCCTCCAAGATAAAGAGGCAGTCATAAAGCGATTCAGTGTCTATGGTCCTCTAAATGAAGTTCGTATTCGTGAGTCTTCTTTCGTTTCACGAGAAATCAAAGGTTGAAAATCCTCCTATAGCGATGGAAGATGGGAAAGCGCGCGGCATGGTCTACCTTGAGTTTAGTCGACAGGAAGATGCAGATGTATTACATCATGATCTCGTCACCGCACCACTGTTTCTCTACGGTCGAAAGATCCGTGTCGACTACGCAGAGAACAAGTCACGTTCAAAGGCAGCGTTTTCGGTTCCGCAACAATCGTTGAACAGTCGGTCGGTCTATATCGATGGTATCTTACCAGAGGTGGGCGCCCGTCGACTTGATCTATATCGCACGCTACGGTCATTTGGCGAGGTGGTTGATATGCGAGCCAGTGAGCAATTTTTCTTCACGCCTTCTGTCGTGCCGTCTTCTTTGGCTGACGAGTCTGGTATAGTGCGCATTAATGGAGAGATCACTCAAGTGTTCATCGACTATCTCGACCCGGAAGGCGCGTCTGCGCTCATTGCTGCGGCAAACAGCGGAGAACTGCAATCTCTCGGGCCAGATATAATCACTGCACCAGCAAGTCATATGAAGAGCCCTCTGTGGCTGAATATGGACTATGAACCCACGGATGTTCTGCGTGTGTGGAATGTTCCCGTTAGAGCGCTTTGGTCGGACGATATGCTCCGTGAAGCGTTCGATTTCAACGGCGGGCTCATTCACGTTCGAAGACGTGAGTCCATTTCCGTTCACGTCTTACTTCCCCAATTATCTCCCTTCAACCTCACCTTTGGTTGATATATGGACTGATTTACTGGTTGATGCAGTTCGCCATGAGGGTTGGCCTCTTGGTGTGGCGTACCTGCACTACAAGAACGTAGAAGCAGCAAAGGAGGTATTAGAATGGGTCAGAAGTGATCCAGAGAAACCGGTGACATTCTTTGGGCGGGAAGTTCGCATGCATTTCTCAAACGAACGCCCTCCAAAGGAAATGAGGGACAGCGAAGTTCAAGGAAGAGGCAGAGTGCGCGACGCAGGCTGGGGATCAAAGCGTGGGACCCCTAGCAGTAGTGAGGGTTTGAAGCCTTCTGGAACGGGCAGCGAGAGGGATAGTCGGAGGAATGGGTTGGATTCCTGGGGCCAAACGGGGGGTAGGTTGCCCACGATATCGAATATGATAGAGTAAGGGTTATATAATTCTTGGTCGTGTTTTCGTGTATCTCCTCATCACTCTACTTGGTCGGAATCTTACTGAGCTTTTGCCTGTTGGAGCCATCTAGACATGGAGGTGTGTGTGGAGACATATCTCTCTTCCGAACTCTCCACTTTCATTTTCCGCGTGCAAAAATGAACCCTGTATCAGAGTCAGAGATACTCGAGGAGGATACGAAACTCTTGGAGAACGAAGCATATGTCCCAACCTTCGACTTTAGCAGCCCGCCAAAACAACTCGCGCAGATCGAGCTAGAGGCATGTTGCCGCGGTGCAAAGTGGTGAGTGAAAAATTCGTCCTTATAGTGTGAATATGCGATTATCCATTCTAATCGCAGTCCTATAGGTCTCCCGACAGCCAAGCCATTCTGACATCGAACGAGGACCGTTATTTGGATGTGTATAACATCTTTGCGTCGTATGTATCATATCATCTTCGTCATTTGCTTCCCTCTGACAATCCTCATCTCACAGATCGGAACGAGGATACGAATTCGGGCAGCGATCACGCTCTCGTCAGGCTGCTCCCATTTACGAAACGGCATGGTACCCATATGCCAGTGTGAACGATATGAGCACGTTTTGTTTCCTCGCGTCAGTGAGGGATGCACCCGTGAAGCTCCTAGATGCAAGTGATGGACGGGTGAGTGTTTGAATCTGAATGGCATTGTGGTTTGAACGGCTACAGATGCCTGTACCTCAAATCCTTCAATACGTTCGCTACGTGGATCACACTTTCTGGTCGAAAGGTGCGGGCTTCGTATAAAATCATCGACCACCGCGAACGCTTTGTGGCACCGCATTCAATGACATTCAATCCTACTGCTCAAAGGCATGTAATTGCTCTCCTTCACTGGATGATTTCTCAATTCGATGTGATCTAGCTTTTACTGTGGCTTCCTGGACGCCATAGAGGTATTTGACCTACAATATCCTGGAGAGGGGACACGACTCCTGACTACTCCGACCAAAAGGAGTAAAGATGGTCTAAGAGGTGGGCACGATTCTCATTTGGGAGAATTTTGCTGACACAGCGTAGGAATTATATCTTCAATCGCGTTCTCCCCGGATTACTCGGGTCTTTACGCAGCTGGAACGTTCAATGCATCTATTGGCCTCCTTTCAGAGGATACCGGCGCACAAATTCTGCTATACTTGGACGACGTACCAAGCGCGATAACACAGGTACCGTGACAATAATGTTCTCTCAGGCGTATCTAAAACTTTCTTAGCTCAAGTTTAGTCCAACGCGACCAAGCCTCTTATTTGCATCGTTCCGACAACGGGGGGAAATCGGCGTCTGGGATGTACGCAATACAACGACGCGCTACGGTACTCTACAACCACCAGAAGTTGGGCGCGGACCTACAGATGCCTCTACATTGAATCAGCGACGATGGTTCGATATTGATATAGGGGGACGATGGGTCGCCGCAGGTGATGAGGCAAGTGACCTGGGCGCTCACAGTATATGAAGCTGACGTATCAGATGGGAAACGCGAGAGTGTATGACATATCAACATTGTCGTTCTTTGACTCGTTCACGGTGCATTCAGGTGGGTTTCCCATCCCATGCATGTTAGGAACTAAACCACATACAGACTCGGTATCAACGGTAACGTTCAATGGGCGCGATAATACACTGTTGACAACCTCGGGCGCGCACCATTTCGCGACATGGCCCGAGCAAGCGGAAAGTGAGACGGAAGAGGAGGAAGAGACTGCAGTCGTTTTGACTGCAGGAGGTCGATCTATAGTCGAATCGAGTATGAAATTATGGCGGGTATCGTGAACATGACCGAGAAGTCTAGGTCTGCTTGGGCGGTGTGAAACGCGTGAGCAAGTGGACATCGCCTCGCTTCCCGGCGGCTGGGTATTTTTAAACCCCCAAGCCTTGGATCCCACCATCTCTAGACTGGATCTCCCTTTCTTCTCCACATCATATTAAATTTCTTTATTTCCTTTCTTTATTGAGGACGAATTGAGATGGAGTCGAATCAACGCTCGGCGAGCAATCAGACGCCAAATCCTTCGAACAACGAACAACGAGCGAGTTTTACACCGCCGTCATATCCTCCTACCCAAATCCATTCATCTTCGCCCAGCGCAGACCAGTCTCCGCACCTCCGACAACAAAGCGCAACACAAGCAGAATTCGTCAATATCCCGTTTTCAGACTCACCTAATCCATCTCAAACGACCTTTCCTCGTCCTTTGACACTCGATCCTAATGCACCTTCAACGCGCCCTGGGCCGAGCCACTCGCGCTCACATTCTCGACAAAGTAGTTATGGCGGTCAAGCGGGCGGATATCCACTCGTGGACATGTCAAATAATGCATCGACAAGCCAGACCCAGCTCAATCAGCCACCGTACAGATTTCCTCAACCGCAAGATCCACAGACGTACTCGAACCCAAACCTCGTCGGGAGCACAGATAAATTCTCAACCTTTTCGAGTACTGGGACGGCCGTAGGAGAACAGGGGACAGGTAGCGGGATGCATACGCCCAAGGGAGTATCAGCATGAAGCCCACGACACCCTCAGGTTCACATTCTAGGACCCATTCGACTCATTTCTTACTCGCACACGGACGCGGTCATGTGGAGCCTCCGACACTCGATGAAACGGGTAATGAGGTCCACGAGGGGCCTGGACGGCATCCAGCCCGCCATGCGTCTGAATACGAGTCGACAGAACATCAAATGAGGGGCCGTATGTTTCTTGGTGGTCTCTTCAAACCTTTCGTCGTTCGTCAATTCCTGCATAATGGCTTTCTTTATCGAGAAGAAGAAGAAAGAGGGATCTCTCATTTCGAACTGTTCGCTGACCTAGTCTTCGTCGCCATTGTTCACGTACGTGCAGTCTCTCGAGGTTCCAGTCATATCTCCCATGTAATTGTTTATTGAATGAAAGCTGACAAGCGTAGATTTTGGGCGAGGTCGCCGCGGAAAAGGCTTCGATCGGAAACGCGGTCAAGGTGGGGATCTTTGCTTTCCCCTCTATTTAGCTCACAGTGCACAGTTCTTTCTTATGTTTTGGCCTCCATGGAGTATCTGGGCTGACATGCGCTCCTACCTCAACGTCGTAAGTAATCGCTCGTCTACATTGAAGGCAGCATAGCTAATGAATCTAGTCGGGCACTGACGATTTTGTCCAACGCGCTTATATTCTCATCTCTTCGCTGCTTCTGATGGGCTACACTGCTCAAGGCGCCTCAATCGAACTGCATACTGGGAGGCCGGCTCCTTCCAGGAAGAGTCAACCCCATCGCACAAGCATAGTGTAAAGAAAGTACTTTTCAAGCTTGTTGGACGAAGCGCACTCGAAGATATGACAATCAGCAATGACGGCTATGCTGCTCTTCGCGCCGCGACAGCTTTCTTCCTCGTCGCCAAAGCAATTCGCATTCTACTCCTCCTTGCCTACGCCATCACCCTCCCGAGGTTCAGAACGGCACACCTAGTACAGGTTATTTTCACGCTCATCCCGTGCTTGATCTTCTTGCGCATGTTTTGGGTAAACGACGTAGTGGGTGCGATGGAAGTGTTTGTCATGTGAGCCTTTCGTTTCTGGCAGAATGTTTGGGTATACTATACTGACCGTGGTCGTTCTTTATTGCTATAGAGGGTTCGGCCTGGACCTGATCGGAAAATATGTTGCGGGTATTGTGGTGCACTCTGGCAGCTCGCGCAAGAATCGCCACAAATTCTTTATCCCAGCACTGGAAATTGGACACGTTATCGAAAAGACGACAGCATTCTTCGTCCTTGTGGCTGGGGAGATTCTGATCGCAGTTAGCTTTGTAACGAAGGACAGCAAAGAGATTGGCCCACATGGTGAATATGCAAGGAGCTGCCTTGGTGTTACACTTGCGTTCCTACTATGCTGGATCTACTTTGATGCAGACTCATGCAAGGTGTTCGTCCATGCGATTCGGTGCGTCCTCTCATGAGTTTTCATTGATGAGCTCACTGACACCTATTCATACAGTCGGCACTGGTTCTCTTCGATTACATGGACACAACTGCACCTTCCACTCTGTGCAGGGCTGGTGATTGTCGCAGCCGCTGCGCATGAGATGATTATCGAGGAGCATATCAGTCAAGGTCTTCGGTACTACTTTGGCATCGGAATGGCCATTATTCTCCTCTCGCTCGGTGCAATGGGCTTCCTCCATCGTTCCCTTGACAAGCCATTTGGACGGCAAGGTGTGTTAAAAGGGTCAATTACCGCCCCTTATTTCTTCAACGCGTTGCAAGTATACTCATGTTCTACTACTCATACAGGGGGAGGCCTCATTCCGCGCTGGATCAGACTTAGCTTGCGATTGGGCTTGGGCGCTGTGTTCGCGGTTTTACCAGCCGTTATCCACAATGAAAGCAGCGTTTTTGAACTCGGTATCGCCTGTGTCGCGCTAGCCGGGCTTGTTATCGTTGAGACGGTTGGCAAGATTGGTCTCGAAGGAAACGTTGCGCCTGAACTCGACTTGTCTGGTGGACCTGCTGTTCTCGATGCCTCTGAGATCCGCCAACCAACTCAGCCAGACCCTCGAGATGAAGAAGATGAACCAGAAGGCCACTCGACAGGCGTAGAGTACATTTCTGGACACAAAAGATTCAGACGAGATGACCTCACTGCGTATGAAAAGGGAGAAGAAGATGTCGGCGGCGAGAACAGTGTCGGGCTCATGAAGGCGGTCGCCATTCGCAGAGGTCAACGTACGTAAATTAAAACTCTCTAGAGATCCTACTGACGAGTCACTCCACAGGTACGGGTCTTGCCGCATTCTGATCTACTTGCTCTCAACCCTTTCATGCTTAATCGAGCTATAGTATGCAGAGTGAAGCTTTTCGGCCAAACGACTCTAGAGTGCTGCAGATGATGGACTGTTTCCATTGTGCATATGTTCGCTATACATTGACTTTAATCTTATCAAATGCATTGGAAATAAGCAAGGAAAGCAGTGGGCCAAGAGATGTTCGAGAAGATTGTAGAAGGGTCTCAATGTTTGCGCACACGTTGGTGTGGCTCTTGCCAAGGTACACCGAGGTACTCGAAGATGGCTCGTTCCGTGGGTAGATTGAGGAGAGTGCCTAGATCAATCAGCTCTTTGAGTTAGTTCCACCACAAGGAACATACCAGCAGCGGTTTTCTGCCTCGTCCTATGATCTCTGACAACTCCCGTCCATAGACCGCGCTGATTGAGGGACATGCCTTTCTTGTTCGCCAACAGGCGCATGCTGCGATTAAACTAGGTCCATTTAGTAAGTTATCTCGCAGGGACAACCCACTTACAATATCATCTCCGGTAAAGTAAATCAATGCCCCTGGCCACTGACTGTATGGAATAGTTAAGATATCTACCCAGAATTACTTGTGCAATCATAGATTATATATAGGGGCTCACCAATGCGGCGAACTTTGTCTCGAGGGGAACGACGGCAGAGACCCATGTACTTGGCCTCCAAGTCATCCACATCGCCGCCCCCAAGGTCTGCGACAAGAATCTTGGCCTCATGGAGCTTCTTCAATAGTCTGGGAAGAACCTCGAGCGCTGATATCGTTGAGCAGAGATCAAATAAGAAAAGGAGGTGGACTTGCTCTGATGGTCGACACCATCTTCAGGATTGCGAGTGATGAGAATATCTATATCACCACAGGTTTCCTCGCCGCTAGGCCAAGTATGAGCAACGGTAGAGTGACTGCATAAAATGAAGGCTCACCGACGATAGCTGCCCATGATCTCAACAGAGAGCTTCGAGTCGATAGAATGAGCTGTGAAACTTGAGATACCGGTGTGGCGAATCTAGTCTCCGTACCATGTGTGACAATTTGATCGAAGATATCCTTCGCTTCCTCTCGCGGCATGCGGCTAGCGAGATCTAACGCGAAATTAGTAAAGTGATAGCCATTATTTTTATACCAACCTTCATAGTACTTCACCCCAATCTAGGAGGACTATGTCAACAATGGCTAGTTGAGACAAAGTGGAACCTACGTCTTGTGCAGCCGTGAGCTTAATGCCGAATCTCCGCTGTTTGACATCCTCCAGTGTCCTCAAGCCACGGGAATACCAGTCATACGCGACAGTAGTCCCAACGCCGTAAATGCCTCTAAATATCCCCACGATCACGGTTCTTTCGTCTTGCTCGTACCGAATGCGTTTGAGGTTGCCAGTTCGAATGACCTCCATTATCTACAAAAGTAATTTGCATATGAGGAAAGAGCGTGTAAATTATATACCTTTTCTGCCGTTTTTACACCAACACCATGAATTCCTAGGGCTTCCTCGAGACTTTCGATCCGGTGTTTGCAGTTTCTTATGGAAGCAATAGCTACGCTCCTTGTTAGATTACAGGTGAGCGTCTTGAGATAGTCACCTTTGGAATACGCGTAGACACGCCAATGATAATCATCTCCAGGACGGTTCCGATAGGTGTTTGCAAGCTCACGAAGCTAGAGCGCGTTAGAGGAATAGTAATTCTGGGACATAGTGCACCTACTTTATCCACGACGTCTTGATTTGGACATTCCGTTCGTACTTTATCCCTCTTCTGCAAACACTGAAAGTTCCGGTACTTGAAGTCCTATAGGCAATCAGATGATTCATCATTTGAAGAGGGTACCTACGATGCGCTCATTATCACTCTCCTGGCCTATTGTCAGCAAGTTATGAATGAGGGAGTGTTTACTCACGTCTTCGTCACTCTGCATCGCCGCCGAGATGTAGCATTTGCGCCATTCGCTCTCCTTGCCCTTGTCCTCCGTCGATGTATCAGCTTCATTCGACAAGGAAATGCGTTTCTTCTTTCGGCTACACCGATGAGTTAAACTCTCTGTGCCACAATCAAGCAGGCATTTACCTCTGCTTGTCCTCATCTTCAGAGTCGTCGAAGAACTCCACTTCTTCCCGCTTTCTTTTGGTATTGGTAACAAGCGTAATACCATAGTCGGCGTTTCCCCTCGCAGGATGAACATAATGATCGATTTGTGGCCTCTGAATGCTACCTTCTTGTTTGCACTTTACGACCCAGCTCCATTTCACAATTTTGATGCGCTGTGGAACGTCATTTGCATTAGTTATGGTGTTGACATCGTTTTGGTAGGCATCCTTCTTGCTGGGTACTACGATGTGGGTAATGTGCAGTTGGTAATCGCCAACAAGTTCAGCACCGGCTAGATATAGCTTTTGGCGATGAGTATGTACTCTTGCGAAAACCCTGAACACAGCGCACCATTCGAAGGTATTTTTTGACATGAGAGTCACACTCGTTCTTTGGCCTGGCAAGCAGAATGATCGCTCCTTTCAGATATTGCGGATTCTTTGCCCTCTCAGCCGGGGTATATCTCGTCGGAAGGTAGTCGATGAATTCAGCAGTATTCATCTGCCTTTCTTGCTCTTCCAATCTCTTTCCTTCAGCCTCTATTTCCTTTTTAGTGGGCCTCTTCGGTTTCGCCACTTTGTGTTCATGGTTCGCAGTACACGATACTCTACTTCGAGTACTGGAATATACCGATCCAGGAGGGAGAAGCGAAGAGGTGGGGAAGTGAGCTGAGCCGATGTCAAAGATTGGTGAATTGGCGCTCTGAGAGATAGACGCAGAAGCAGGCCCCTGTGGTGGCGGGACCGGTGAATCTGGGAGTGCATCGACGTCTATAATTTCGACATTGACAGGAGGAGGTCGACCTTTCCCACCGGAGATGCGTCGAGTGCCTCCAGAATTATTCGCGTCTCGGGAAGAAGGAACAACTGGGATAGATTTCGGAGACCCTTGGCGTGAGGAAGTCACAGTGGATATACTCTTCCTAGAGTGGGCTGGAATAATACTCCGAGACAGCGCAGCAGTTGGAGGGAGACGCTTTGCCACAGCGCTATCAGTGGGATAGTTGGAAGATAGAAGCGGAGGTCGCAATATAGTGGGACCATCTACTATAAAAGGCGATGATTTAGCGTCTGAGCCAGATGGTGACGTTGCCACAATCCGTTTCTGGCTACTCGACGCATCCGAGCTTGCCTGAGAGGATACAGAGCGTCTTGAGAGATATTCTGACAAGTCTTCTTCGCCTTCAGTCAAATCGTCATCAGCGTCGTCGCCGGCGACGCGGGCGACCATGGGAAATCGACGTGTGATGTGCATTTTCAGACGATGCAAAGTCTTCGTTTGTAGATGTAGACTGTTTTGACCTTTGGCTAACAGAAATTCCGAGCAGCCAAGCAATTCCAAAGTCACAGTTAAACTCCAAGTTGCGCAACCAGCCACCCTTCGGCTAAAAGACGAGACGAATGGGGACGACTCGATTACGGAAATATGCATACAGTGATGACAAGAAATCGAAAGATGAAAGGCATGCAAGAAACTAAGGAGGGCAGTTATGGGACGTTGCCGAGCGCAAAGACTGGGCAGAGAAATGTCATATATAGATCCGTTCGTATTGATGATTCATGCATAAATTTTCTTCGTAGCCACTCATTCTTCAACTCGTCCATTCTTCTCACGGTGCTACGTCGTTTGTTGCGTTAATCCTCGTCGAGCGGTCGACCCCAAGTCTCACTATGCCCTCTTTCGGCATAGTGTTCAGGATAGCCTTGTGGTTGCGCGTGTCCATGCTGGTACTGACCATAGGGGTCAAGCGCTGGGAGTGCATGCGGATGCGTCGAGATAGGCGTTCCATGGCCGACGGGCATAGATCCAGCAATCGAGCCGGACGATGGATGAGGTCGTGTGGGTGATACGGGTGTAAGCGACATGATTCCTGGGCTCGTCTCCGCATACTCGGCGCCATTGTTCGTCGTCGCGCTCGCCGTGGGAGGATATGATTCATATTGGGAGTGCGAGCGCTGGGCAGGGTGGGCATGGGGATCAGAGAGGTGATGTGCGTGATGTGGATATGACTGCGTTCGACCCATCGAGTGTGTGTGACCATGGCCATGAATGTGAGAGGACGACGCATACGCTGACGGAGGCTGCGGATGCATCATCATTGTAGGATGCATGGCATAGCTCGATTGTTGCTGAGGCAGTTGTGCATTGTCAGGTGGAAGGGAATAAGGATGGCCATGCATGGGAGCCATCATCAGCTGATGATGCCCAGAAGTATTTGGTGGGCCTCCAGCGCTCGAGGATCCAATGGAATGAGCGTGAAGAGGGATCGCAGAGGGTGGATGATGCATCGAAGAAGCTGACCCTAGTTGCGGGGAAGCAAGTGAGCCGCTCGTACTTGCCGGACCGCTAGCCCCATATTGGGCAGCAGATTGTGGCGCATATACTCCTGGCGGTGGCTGGTGAGCCAGCACAGGAGTCATGGTCATCGAACGCTGCGACTGCGCAGGCGGAATCTGCAAAGGAGGAAGCGCCATCGGTCCTCCGGAGGTCCGATATGGAGCCATTCCTTGACTACTGTTTGGAGGCTGCCATGCAGGAGTGGAATACATCGGACCACTTCCACTTGCTGTGTGCTGATGAGAGGTCGAGGCCTGAGAAGTCGAAGCAGCGTGATAAGACGTCGATTGGTGAAGCTGACTGGTGCTCGACGATCTTGCATGGCGTGTGACAGTCGGACTTCGCTGTGGGAGCGGTGGCTGCTGATGAACCGTGCTTGGACTGGCACCCGAGGGACCAGCAGAAACGGCTGTGACGTTACCCACGATCGGCGATGCGCCTGCTTCTCCACCACTCGAAACAGATCCCGCAGCCGGCGTCGACGTGTTTGCTGGGAGTGCATGCTTCAGGCGTGGATCAAGCTTGGTTGCGGGATGTTCTAGAACATCAATTGGCTCGCCTCCGGGAAACGTCGGAGGGGGAAGATGGCTAAAATCGGCAGGTGCACCGGTGCGCGTCGGAGTTGCTACGTGTGTGGATGATGTCGGCGTGAGCGGTGCACCAGAAACCGAAGCTGCAATAGCAGCCGGGAACTGCGCGCTGTTCTGATTGAGATTGATGATCGTTCCACCCTGTGTTCGCTGACGCTTGGCAGGACCGCCCCCTGAAGGGTTACTGGCCTTGTTCTTACCCCTTCCACGAGCGGGCCTGCCGTCGATGGCCCTTCTCCCCCAGCAGCAGCCTTGGACGAAGCAGCCGACTTCCGCTTGCTCATGCCTCGCGCAGCCCTACCACTGGCAGATATTTCTTTCCCAGTTTCAGACACGTGGGCCATCGTATTATGGGTTTCATCAGCGAACCCGTCGTCACCACCTTCGTCGTCGTCTTCATCGTTTTCCTCCTCGTCTTCTCGAGAGACGTCGCCGATCGTTCTCTTGCGATTCCTGACATCCTTTCGAATTCTAATCTTGATTCCTTGATCGGACAGGGACATGGAGAGTGGCGTGGACTCTATTTGCCAGCATCAGAATAACCTCCAGCGACGATGATTGGACGGGGACATACCCTCCATTCCAGGAAACTTTTTGGCAGTGTACACATAGAATGCGCGGGAATAAACCGATTTGCAAAATTGAACGTGGGATCTGGAGGGTGAGTTAGAACCGAAGAGGACTGGCGGCGGCAAAGGCGTGGATCCGGCGTGTGGCTTGAGCGACCAACACTCACCCGACAACCTCGAAAAGCGCCAACTTGAGTCGGTAGCTTCCTTCTGTTCGGACACTGAGATCGGGAAAGACAAAAAAGCCTGCATCCTCGCCGCCGTTTTCCGTATCTTTGAGATGGTATAGGCTGCTCACGACCGAGCCCGTTGTATACCGCGTCTTGCCGTCATTCAGCAAATGCAGTTCGTCGTCGGACTCGACACGCGCAAGCGAGGCAAACATAAAGTAGTAGGGATTCTGGAGAAAATTGAGGGACTGGTGAGGCTGTGGAGCTGAACCAGAATTTGGGTCGTTAGGGTCCACTGGATATCGGTCGTACACCCGTAATTGTACGATGGGTGGTGGATCTATGGGGCGACGGTCGGCTTTACGGGGGTTAATAATGCGTCATTTTACGGGCCACGGTGACCATTGAGAGAGCGTACCCTTTCCACCGATGCCACACCTAGAGAACAGAGCGTTAGCAAGGCGACAAGCTGGAGAACGCAGACATACATCCTAGCCTGCTTTGGTTCTGGAGTAAAGAGTGCATTAGAAGGATAATCCACAGAATTGGAGAGCTATGGACTGCACCTTGACGGACTGTGGTGAGTGTCAGCAGAGAGTGAGCGGCAGGGCAACGAGGCAGACTGACCAATGATTTCATATTCTCGACTAGAAACGAAAGGAATAGTCAGCAATATTGTCCTGTAACCAGGCCAGGAATGACGGGGCCGCGAGATGTTGCCTCGCAGATCATTGTACAAACGAGCGTAACAAGCTCATAGATGATCGCAAATGTCTCGAAATGATACATAAAGAGCATAAAACTCACACTGGCGTTGGTATTGCGACCTGTGGCTGCTGGGGAGCGTATTGCGCCTGATAAGCGGTCTCGGCCATACTGAAAGAGGACGGGCTGGGTCGAATAGAGGAGTATAGAGGGCGTAGAGGGCGTCCTGCGCAGCAACGGCGCGATTCCCGCTCCCGGAGACGAATGCAGGTGTGGGGGACAGAGTCAAAGGTGGAACTGGGCGGGCCGAGCAAAGGTAAGGCACCGCTGAGCTTGCGAACTCAGACAAGGTTTGGCCACTTACTCGCCACGTTTCAGCAAATTTGGCAGAAATTCAGAGGACGACAGCTGCTGGCCCTTTGGTGTATCTGGGCTGGGCTGGGCGGCGAATGCGGGGAAGGACCCTCAACCGACTCATATATTGCTCGGAAACGAGTAATCATAATGCTGTCATATGCCCACCCGGTTCCCGGTCCAGACTTTCCCTCGATAGCTCACTCGACCCGCAGCACAGCGCTGCTCGAAACACGTAGCGTACATTCGATCTGTTTGAGATCTCTGTTTACGGGATTTGACCTGTCGGCGCTGCTTCTGGTCGCGTGGGGACGTCAACTTCGACAAATCCCCGCAGGTGAGAAACGAGGCATTCAATCCGGTCACGACAACTCTCCTCGTCTCCTTGCTGATCGGCGGTACTCGCTCTCATTTGTTCCTTGTCCGAGCCTACTACGAGCGGCGATTCCCATCAGTTCCCCCTCGCCTCAGCTGACGCCCGCCAGAGGCCATGTGAACCCTCAATATCTCGTCTTCGCTAGCTTCTCAGATGCTCTGCACTCATTCAGAGTTCATGAGACGTTTCACCCCCCACAACCGGCACTGTCCTGAGCAACTCCGCCGTGACTGCCACAGTACAAAGCAGCAACGATAAAGTACATGGAAGCGCATTGCTATGGCATGCATTATGTCGTCTCCGCTGGTATCTCCGATAAGACCTCCGATACAATAGTCATCGCCCCTCAGGATCCTAGTGACCACGTTGCGTGACCATAATTGGCAATTACACAAATCCCTCTATCAGACTCGCCTTCTAACCGGCGTGCTTCTGAATAGCAACCATATAATGAACCGGAGAAGGGCATGCTTGCGGCTTGGCCTCGCTTGGGCTCTCTAAATTGACTCCTGACGTTGGGCATAGGGAAATATCACTCCTAGCACAACCTCTTTTCCTCGTAAAACTTGACTCATAGGACACGAGTTGGTCTGAAAACACCGCCACCGTGATTCTGGACTCCGCCTTACCGCGGCGAGCCCGGCTGGTCTTTATACGACCTGAAAACCTCCTATCTTGCAAGCTAGACAAACAAATCGCAAGGCTCTAAGCTTATCTAAGGTCGCCGTCCTCAGCTCGCGATAAGAAACCCTGTTATATTTAGCCACCCGTTCGGCGCGATAGCCCAGGCTGCAAACAAGTTTTTCATCTACATCCTCATCTACTATAAGAAACGCTGGGCTCGTTTCTTCATGTCCTCGAGTGCGTCTTCAAGCAGTTCGGAACTTCCCGGAACACTCTTCAGCTCCGAGTCCTCGAGCTCGACGACGCGGTGCAGTTCCAGTGTATCCACCTGTCTACCGATTAGAGGAAATGGCAATGAAAGGCCCGATTTTGCAAGTACGGCCCTCTGGGCTGTCATCCTCGCCACTGTCCTCGCCACCATTCTCCTGAGTGTCATCTTGTGGTTGACAAAGCGGCGAGTCCGCCGAAGAAGTCGGTATGTGTGCACATCAGAAATCACGCTATAATTCACACTGAAACCATTCCAGGGAGCAAATCCGGGCCTTCCTCTGGGACATGGTCCGAGGCGTGCAAAACGGAACAGTCGAAGAAGACGTGTTGCGGCGTATCATATATGGTGCAGATCCAGAAGTCTTGGAACCGAAAACACCGGCAATTCTCGAGACATGGATGTTCTCGAACCCAATCTATTCCACCAATCTCACAAAGTTTCCCTCTGCGACGTCGTTTCGGACCACGTCATCTGATCGCGAATGGAAATGGAACGAGCTACAACCAGTTTCACTTACAAAGCCCTTTTCGCCATCGGACCCGTTTGGTTTGCATACACCAGACTATGGGCCAAAGCCGGCTCTGCTGCAACTCCCATGGAAGACTCACTCGAGAACAGAGCCCGAAACATTGCGGGAGGAGGCAGATGTCCCTCTGAGTCGTGTGGGTACGACTGCCAAACCCGCTGTCGCCGAGCGACAAGTGGATGCGATATTTCTCATCGCAATGCCCCAACTCCGAACGCCAGGATCCGGTTCACAAGCCATTGTTTCCCTTCCTGTCACTCTTGCCTCTGCATCCCCTACCTTTGAGGAAGACTTTTTGGACCCGATCGTCCCCCCAAAACCCAAGCGTGCTCTCGCGATTCAGCGTCAACCACGTCTTGATCCGTTAAGTTCTAGCGGACGACATATCGAGGGACCTGGTATCAGTTGGTTTGGAGAGACGACAAGGCCCGTGAGGTCTGTACCACTCCCTGGTGCAGCGGGTGCTACATCGACCTAAACTGGTACCCGATCTAGCTTACTATCGCGTATTTTCCTTGCACAATTTCCTGGCTGACAATGCACGATCTGATACTGTTGTACTCTAGCCAATCGTACATTTGTTTGTAGATTCTTTGGTTTAGAAATGTTAGTGCACACCTCTTAAACATCATCTGAACTGGCTGAGATGGGTTCCATTTTCGGAGTTTCACCACTTGGACCTGACCGCCATCTACGCGACAACGAAAGCGTATCGTTGACCGCGTATATCGAACAAGCAGCACTGTTTATAGCCCCCCTGTTTTATGCAAACTAGCCCAAATCGATTATCTCCAAAGAAATCGTCTACAAAATCAGCGCTTGCAAAGTCTCGTCACCTATCTGCCCAACATGTTCCCGCTTGCTCAAACACCACTCATCAACGGAGCATCCTCCATCGATTTCCATACGAAAGTCTCTTTCATATCACGTCGTATCTCGACCCTCGCTCGCTCAGTGCACTGGGAGCCGTCGATCGCTTCCTACGAGAATATGCGAGCGAGGACGTAGTCTGGAAGTTGGCACTCTATGCCAACGTCCTCGGCATTCAACCTGAGCGTGAACAAGATTCACCCCGTGCATTTTTGCTCAGGCGTCTCGAGACGACATGGAAGGGAGAGTATATCACACGCTACTCGGCGCTCATGTAAGCACTCTGCTTGACTCGAAAAATTTCGGTCTGTTGATGGCTTTTTGGATAGCAAATGGTCTAAATCAACGACGACGTTTACGGCCCACAATCCGCTGATGATCCCCGTACCAAACATTCATCTGCTTTCGGATGGAGAGTCACTCTTTTCGGCTCCAGATGATTTCAGATGGGTACTGAGAACGCTCCCGGCTACCGGTATGTGGAGTACACGCCCTGACTCATGACGAAAGATCTGACTCGTCCAATAGGCAAACTCGTCAAAGGCCACTTTCAACCTACGCTTTCCCATCAGGCCCATCCTCCGCCAGATTGGAGTCCTCCAGCGACGGGTGCATTCGCCTCGGATGGCGGAATGATCAAAGTCGCTTGGGCTTCGCAGACGGGTGGAGTCCTCGTCAAGACTGCACCAAAGGCTATGGCACCAAAGGCACATCGTACCGCTACTTCTGTCGCGTCCACTCTCGAGGATAACCATCTGGGATTCATTCACCATCTCGCATGGGGATCCTCCAAGACTGGGTGTGAGGCGCTCATCAGTGCTGGAGGAGATGGACGTGTGAAAATTTGGAATGCAGAAACATGTCAGGCGCTATGGACGTCAGAATTTGCCCCGGATGGCGCACCCTTCGTATTGGCAGCGCTGGATGTTCCCTCGCGCGCTGCAGTTGCTCTCACAGAGAAGGGAGCAGTGGTCGCTTGGACGGGCCTTCCTGTTTTTTCCACTATGACAGATAGTGAAGTCAAGACGATCACGGCATCCTTGCCTAGTGAGGAGGTTCCTCGACGCTATTACAAGGCTTCCAGTACACTGTTGTTCGACTCTTCCTCTCCCACTCCGAGAGCGATTGTCCACGCCTACGAGGATCGATATGCGTCTCTATTTTCGTTCGATTTCCCCAACGAAACAGTGGACATATATACCACCGAAGGTCCCTTGGGAGCCATCACTGCGCTCCATCTCGATATTGGAAACCCAAGCGATAAATCCGTTCTCTTTGTTGGAGATGCCTCTCTCACACGTTTACCTGTACAATCTGGATCAGCAACCATATCAGGCTGTGCTCAAACCCAATCTCGATTTCGCCGCCGCACAAGTAGGATCTATCACTTCCATCACTTCGAATCACACTGTACTCGTTACGGGAACCAATCTCGGCGTCATTACCGTCTGGGATGCCATCACGCTTGATCAAATCCGGTTGATTATGGCGACGGATCTCGTCAAGGCAGGAGCTGGAGTGCTCACGATTGTGCTCCAGGCCGAAAAGCTCGTTGCGAGCGTCGGACGGTCTGTTGTGCACTGGAAGACGGGTATGAATACAACGCGAGCTGGCAAGCATTACAAGACAAACAAGGTTATGGCGCCCAAGGAAAAGGGTCGACTCGGTGAGCTTATATCGATAACCCATACTTATCGGAGGCTGACAGGGATACAGTCGATAAATACTACCGTTCAATTCAAGAGTCGCAGGCGGAACTCGAGTGGGAGAGCCGCCTCCCTCCCAAGTCCACACCGGCGTACTCGGAACACGAGCAGAAGCTGGCGTTGGCAGCCTTGGGGATCGATGAATATGGGGCGGTCGAATACGCGTTGATGATTAGCCACGAGGAAGCGTTGAGGGCCGACGCAGGTCGACAGGCTGTAGATGAAACGCCGGAAGAATTGAATACCGACGCATACGTACACAGGACAACAATGGATACCTTACACATGGATGCGACTGGGACGGAACCGACGAATTCGATCGATGGGACGGGGACGCCGAGACGTCGCGACGCCACGTTAGTGGGTCCTGATGCTCATGAATATGTCACTCTAAATGAAACCGTCGACCGGTATTCATCTCCCCCTCTCGCACTATTTTCATCCACTCCCTCTGTAGAGTCTGGGAGGACAGAGAATATGCCGTATGAAAGAGCGGATTATATGCCATCTTCTCCGTGGAAAACAACCTCGCTCTCCAAGGCATCGCCGCCGTCGTCAATCGGCAAAGTTCAGGTCTCGCCCCCATATCGACCAGAGGCGATGCAGGTCGGGGAACTAGGCTCTTCGCCTATTCATCTCGAATTGGATTCGTGGTCGAAGAGTGGCAACACTAGTTGCGGGGGTGCAAGTGCCAGCACAAGCAGTGTGCAAAGCGATCGGGGTGAAGAAGAGTTTCCGAGTATTGCAGCCTCTACCACCTCGTCCACATCAACCCTCTCTCGTAAATCGTCCCCTTCTTTTACCCCTCCGCCAGGCGCCACGTTGCGTCACCCGAGTGGGAAGAAGACGATCAAGCCCGGTGGTGAAATCGAAGTCGCGAAGGGGGGCGCGGGGGACGCAAAAGACTTGAAGGTTTTTCCAAAGGAAAACGTCAACCTCGTGGCTGTGGCTCAACCCCAGACGAAATGGAGTGCGATTGTGAAATCTGGATCAAGCTCAACTGCTTCCCCTTCCGCCGCCGTCAACGCTTGGACCACGCGTGACCACCGTACCATGGCGAATGGTTCGAATTTGAACCAATCCAATAATGACCTTGGTCGGACCATCAATCGGCCTCGGCAAGGTTACATGAGCGATGAAGACGCACAGCTTCAGTTTGTACTCGAGCTGAGCCTAGCAGAGGCGATTAGCCGACAAACGTAAAGATTACCCAATCTTGGCCTAACGTGATGAATTCGCTTGGTCAAGATATTTGGAAATTGGTGGACGATGGAATCTTAGATATGTTGAAAAAGACTGTCTTTACTCTCCGGTACCGGACATTTGCGGTGTTTGGCGTTTTGGCGTTTTGGCCCACCCGTCTTGCGTGGCATTGTGCCTTCTTGCAAGTGTCCGCCGACAGATGCGAAAATGGGCATGTTACATAGCGATAACTAGTGATATCTATAACTCTTTTTTTTCGGTCTCGACCGTGAGGTTGGTTATGTTATCCAAAGTGGCATTGGCAGAGGACACGATTGTTCTATAGGTCGCGTGATGGTTCTATGCGACTGACAGTCTACTACAATAGAAGAGCCTTTTCAATGTCCTTCCGCCATTGTCCATTGGTGGGACGATGGGTACGGCCGTCGCCGCAGATCCCCTGAAGCGCCGGTGTATCGGGAATAGAGTCATGTGAATCCAAGGGAGTCCTCTGACCGACTGCTCATAACGCTTTCTGTATGTGGCTACTACGCACGGTAAAGAATATAGGCTTGCTGAAACGGGTTCGTGTAAAAGAATGCCAACGCGTTTGTCGGGGTTCCAAGGGCACGGCGCTCCCCGCCATCAATCGACCAACCTTCAAAAACATGCGACATGAAAAAAAAAAGAAAAAAGTCGGGTCTAGAGTGCACATGCGATCGACGATCAAAGGTCTTGAAGACGGCAATAGGCGCGCGACGCGACAGTGTACGTGCGACGGGCAGCGGCTGCAGATGGCGCCTTCAGGGATATCACCGACGAAACCCAGAAACCAAATCAATCAATCAGGTTTATCAACCAAAAGAGAAAGGAATCTAATGTGCACTCGGCAAAAAAAAGTATCGTCCATGCAATTGTGAGAATTGGGTGACTAGTTGCTGATACATGTGGAGAGATGGAACTTTTTTCTGAGAGGGACCGGGGGGGTAGTAAAGGGCTACGTCTAAGGTAGCTTCTATGTCCAAGACGAGTAAAGAGGTTTTGAGAGCGGATAATGGCGGATCAACAAAGGTCCCGGCGGCTGCTGACCGTGCACGGCCGCTGCCAGCCGTAGGGCCATTGGGCCCATTCCATGTCAGAAGATCCAAGGTTACGAGGATTCCTTTGTGAAAAGCGTCTAGGCCACGGAGTGGGCGGGTATATACCCGTAGCCAAAGAGAGCAAGGGGGACTCGGGGTTGAGCAGCAGAGACGGTGCAAAGACTTGTCATCCCCATAGAGAATGGGAAGACGAATCACCCAGGGATACACCTTGTCCTTCTCCATGTCCAAGTTGAATGGCGGAATACGACGTCGGTACGACTCGAAGAAAACGAACGTGGTCGCCCAGTTTGGGCAACGAATGGCAAAACAACCCGCCGAGTAAACGTCGACAGGTTGACCATTCGATTCTAGGTCTATTGGGATTGAGATAATGTTAATAATGCCGAGAGTGAGAGAGCGAGCGATGTGTGAGAGAGAGAGAGAGTTGAGAGATGACGCGAAAAGACGAGGACGGAGAAGCATGTTTGCAATCATTGGGGCCAAGAACAAGAAACTAGATAGAGAGCACTTCTACGGAGGAACCAAGGGATTTGTGGAACTGGAAGGATGGGGAGATAGGGAGAATATCATAATCGAAATAAGTAAGAGGGATTGATTTTTGCGAGGGTCGTGGGATCCGAGGGACCGTCCTGCTGGCTGCCGCGGAGGTTTGATAGGCGAAATATTGGCGCATCGTTGGAGGTAGCATAACCAAATTATCTTGGTCAGGAGGGGAAAAGCTTTGCATGGGTCGGGAGTTTTCGCATTCCTATCCGGTTGAGTAAAAGCATCATAGACAGTTGTCGCAGAGAGTTTTCGAGCACGGTTCGAAAAGAAAGAAAAAAAGGTTGCAGTGATCGCATTTGCCGGGGGAGCGGACGGGCCCGTTGGATAAAAGGTGCCACGGGTCGGAGACGGCGCATTCACGCATAGAAGCTGGAATCAGATGCACCTTTGTGTTGTTTGAACAGTCTTGGGTCGATTGCTGGGCCTCGTTCGCCAAAGATGTGCCTACGAACGTTTTCGTTCCTGAACATTCCCATCGGGTCCACGCGCTCCAAGACGGCGACAAAGTCGTCAAAGTGTGGATACAGCCGGCGTAACTGGTGAGGCCCCAGATGATGCGGCTTTGCCCAATGTGGCCGTCCGTCGTACGAGGACATGATGGCTTCAAACCGTCGAAATAGCTCTTGATAGCGTACTGGTAAACCATATGGCCTATTGGGACGCTTAGGTCAGTTTCTAGATCAAACTCCGGGTGCCTGCCCAACCACTTTACCGCCGCCGGTAAGGGAGATTGGGACGGGTCGCAAGTGCCGTGGGTTCTTTGATGTGATTTACTTACTTGAATTGTATTATGCCGATCCAGCATGTTCGCCGGCCGTAGGCTGGACTTAGCCAGATGTCGTCTGGTGCAGAAAACCGGAGCTCTATAGGAAAGTTTGGATAGGTGCCATTCTCGCTATAAGGCTCGGTCTCGAGCCAGTCTCGTAGCTGTATTAGGCAGGTTTGGGCGTGTTCATATGGTATTGCCCACTCGGTGGTGTGTTGCGCAAACTGCCGTCGTGAATGTGTTATTACAAGCGATTGGAATGAGTTTCAACTCACCCTGCAATCTGCACGTAGAATGGAGCCACTTTCGCCAACGACGACCTTTGGTGCAGACTCCATCCAGGCGACATAGCGCGCAATGTAGTATGCGAGTACTGGCCAGATCCTAGCGAGAAAGAGGAAAAACTCGACCAGGTGGTGGGTCAAGAAGGCGGGTTGGAAGCTCTTGAAAGATGGCTCGGAGTGTTCCGGCTGTTGAGAAAAGGGATCGATCGAAAACCCACGCGCGAACGCACCCGCAAAAACGGCAAAGTCAGGGACGGGTTTGCCCAAAAAACCAAATGGGATGATTACTCACCTCGATTGCCGTCGTCCTGTTGGCAGAGCACACACGCACGCTCTTGTTTTGCGGGTACCACCATAGCCGGACATGTTGAGCCTGGTGAACAATGTCGTCGAGATTGGCGAGGATTTCATCAAACGGACGCGTCACTTGAGCTTCGCGCAGCTGAAACGCAGGCTCGACGCGGATCTGAACCGAGATGACAAGTCCCGTCGATCCCAGACCGCATAATGTAGCCTTGAACAAGTCTTGGTTCTCATGTCGCGAACAGTAGACCAAAGTACCGTCGGCAAGTAGGAGCGACAGTGACAAAACGTCATCTCCCAGGACCTTGAATTCGATGCCAGTCCCATGGGTCGCAGTCGTGATCACTCCTCCCATGGCCTGCATTGAGATGGAGCCAAGGTTACGGAGTGCGAGGTTATGGGTGGCCAATTCTCGCTCCAAGTCTTCGAGTTTGATCCCGCCGTCACAAACGACAAAGTGCTTCTCCGGATCTACCTAAGGCATGAGATTAGTTATTCGTATCTCGTGGGAAAGGCCACCACGATGTCGTCGTCGTCGTCGTCGGTGCAGCATATATCTACTCACCACGCGTAGTTTGTTCAGTTTACTCGTGCGAAGCATAAAGTCGGACGTGCAAGCGAGGTCACTGGGCGAGAGACCGGCTCCAACGATGCGAACGGTGCGTTGCTCGCGTTGTGCGAGTTCAAAGATGAGACGACATTGCTCTACGTCACACGGTTCAAACACGACCAGCGGTGTGCAGTGAAACGTCCGAGACCAGTTTGCAAATCTTGCACTGGGCGAGCCACTTGGGACGACACAAGGTGCGACAAGGTCGTAAAGAGCTGATACTGATAGTGTCTTCAAGTCGACAGAGGCGTTTTGGACGAGACTGTGTCTAGCGTCCTGCATGGCCATCAAAGGGGAAAAGGGGAAGGGGGGGGATGGAGAGAAAAGAGGACAAGTCGGACCGAGAGGGGGGGGGGGGAAGAAATCAGAGGAGATGGGATGGACAGACCGTACCAAGTTGCGGTGGGTTTTTATAATAAAACAAGAATTTAGAAGGAAAACAAACTAGGTGCTAGCGCGGCGACACCCTGGAAAAGGGAGGATAAATCCACCCTGGGGACGAGGAAATCCGGAAGAAATGGTCGTCGGTACGGTGCCTATGAGAAAGAATTCCCCCTGGGTCCTATAACTTGTTCCCGCTTCGGCCACCCTGACGACTTGCCAGGCGTGTGCGCTGTTCACTCACAACACCGATCCATGCCGCTTTGCCGCCATTCTCGCTCAGTTTGGGTGCGTCTTCATTGCCCATTCTGTGGCTGCGTCCGGCGACTGCAATGTGGACTGCACAAGTCAAAGTCGGCGGACATAATCGCACCCGTCAACTAAAATTCAATTTTTAATATATAAAAAAGAAAAGAAATTCAATTATCCAAAAAAAAAGGGAAATGTCCATAATAAAGTTGTATCCCATCTAAACACTCTAATCAGCTTCCGGCCCTTATCCCAAATCCCGTCCACCGAAGGGCGTCGTCTCCCTCTCCCTCCCCACCATCCGAGCCTGAGCCACTCCTCTTCACGATAGAAAGTCGAATACGACGCGTCCGACTTCCATTCCGTTGTACAGAACAACCCCACGGACCTCTGCATCATTTCCCGTCGTCAGCTTCCCTTTGTCACGCACAAAATAGACAACGCGTAGCCAAGTTTTGTCGAGCCGCGTCTCTCGCCATCCTCACAGCTTCCATCCCTCTTTCTCTGTTTAGACCCGCCGTCGGCGTCTCTAGCGACCCAGTGTTCGCCAACTCCCTCTTCACCTCTACAAGTCTGTCCTCTCACTCACCTGCACTGTCTAATTCCAGCCCGAGCTCAAACTCTGCGCGATGCAATCCCATTTTTAGCAACTCTCCCCGAAACCTTGCCTATCCATGACGTACCCGTGTAGAATCCTTGGTTTGGCGGTGCGTTCTGGAACGTCGGCAGCGTGCCCAGATCCACCGTCCACTTGCAAAGCTCGGTCGTTTCGCCTTTTGCGTCGTACGTCAGTCCCAAAAAATCAGTCGAGCCACGGCTACTTGCGTACCTTCATCTGTATACCGCATCTCCCTGTCGACTTCGGATGTATAGAGGACTGCCACAAACATCCGATCTAACTCGCCGAGGATGATCAGTCCAAACTCGATCAAAAAAGAAATATCGAAACAACCCGACAAAAGCCACAAAACGCACCTGCTGCATTCGCAGAATATTTGCAAAAAGGCGCGCGAATCATCTGGCCCTTGCGGATAATAGCTCCCTTGTGAACGAGATATTTTAGCCTAACACAGCGTAAGTATCGGTCGCCACGTTTTTTCTCGGCAGCGCCATTTGTGGCGTTATTCTCAGTCAATCGTACGCCCAGCACGGCGTGAGGCGGGAGCGGGTATGGAAAACGGGAAATCCGGATTATACCACGAACCTGTTTTCGCAAATAGGAACCCCCGACGGGTTGTTATGGATATAGGCGGGTCTTTTCATATAGTCTTCGTGTTCGGCTGGCAGCTTGACACGCATGATGTACGCCCGAGGCGCGACGACACTTGAGACAAGAGGTCGGCGAGCCAGACCATACTGAGCTGCCCCTCGTAGGGTCGCCGTGTCTGCATCCGACGGCCTGGCAATCACTTTGATTCGTGTTCCAAACCGCTCCTAATTGATGTCGCGCAGCGTTCGCGTCGGCAGAAGGTCGTCACACCATTGTCAGGACATTTGGTGCACATAGATGAACAGTCAGGGTTGCGGCATCGATCATCGAAGTCGAGAAGTCGTGGCCCAATGGACGGATATCAGGGTCAGACTCTAAACCACAGATTGGGGCTAATAGGGGTGCTCACGTACGTCTACTCGTTTAAAGAGGTATTCCGAGCCCGAAAACCCACCGACCAACATGAGTGCGTCCACGACTTGTTCCGTGCGTTTGAGTTGGTCTTCGATAAGTTGCAACACCTGGGAATCATTAATCACAGGCAATTCTCAGAGACTGCCTCTCCGGATAAAAGGGACAACAACGGCGGAGAGTCGGAAAGGGAAGGGAGGTTGGCCTGAATGCGTGGCTGAAAACGCTCGTCGCCCACTTGTCAGGACCAGGGACGGGACGAGGGTGGCGGATGAGCAGGTTGGCAAAACTTGCGCACCTCGTTGATTACTGGGTCGAAAACCTCTCGTCTCAAAAGATTGCCCGGGATCGAGAGTTCGCCATTGAAGAGTCCCACAGAAGGATCATCTGGATCCTCAACGTTGAAGCATGTAAAGTGGAACATCATTTCTGGAAAGGCGCCCTAGTTCAGCCACACACATACACCCGAGACGGCGATCAAGGCCCTCTTACCATCTTGGGATTCCCCTTCGTACGTGATCTTGTCCGTCTCGCTGAAAGAATGCATGAAATATGCCAAACTGGCATTATCAAGGTGCGCAGGGTGATCTGCCAGCAGGGTTTTGACTAGCTCCCGGAAGCGAAGATCCCTACAGAATTGAATGAGTTTCCATGTGGCCGGAAGGGGCGCTTCGTGAGAACGACTGACAGGAAGATACTTCCACAATTCGCACCACTCCGCGCGCAAACCTCCGCAATCTCCAAGTTCTGGAGCTGGCCAATCGTGCGGTAAACTGCGAGATCCTAGGGAGCGGCTCAGGAGAAAATCGTGAGAAAGGTAAAAAAAGAGAGACGTACGACTGTGCCACCTCCCGCGTCGCAAATCATAAAGTTTTGTCCAGGCTTGAGATGGTGCAAATTGGTGAGATGGGCACAATGAACGGCGGCAGCCTCGGGTTCGCTACCATTCGATTAGCATACAGGGCCATATGAATCAGTCCATATGGCAACGCACGTAATGATCCTAAGACGGTCGCGCCAGTTCCTGTCTCCAGCCCGTGCGCTCTGGACGAGGCCGGCCGTAATTGCGGCTTCTCGCATAATGCTGCAGCCCTTTGCATCCCATGCGGCTGGAACCGTGAACCAGACGTCGGCACTGTCTGTAATACACACACTGGTAAGAACTCTGGATTCTGGAAGGGTGCCCTACTCACTCAAGTCTGCGACACTCCCAATCTCTCGGGTGATCTGTTCCTTTGCATAGTCCCACAGGGCCGACAAGAAGTCGATAATGGCATCGATTGGTTTTTTTCCAGGCTATTTGCGTTTGTAATGGAACATTTATTTTTACGGACAGAATCACGCGTGGGTAAACGAAGGTACTTGAGCAAGGCGGTCGTCGGAGAGGACAAGGAGATACGCACGGGCAATCGAGGAAGTCTAGGATCAACTTCGGCATCGTCACGAAGAGCCTTGGGCTCTAGGAATAGCTTGAACCTGTTGTGGCACGTTTAGAATATTTCTGGTGCCAAGAGTTGGACTCGCCATTCGCATTTGTAGCAGCCAGGAGCGACATTGGCGTTTTTGGCTTGAAGACCCCATGCTAGTACTCTTCCGTGCTCATCGTACAAGAGACACGTTGGTATCTTGCGGAATGTTTCGAATGACCCTGGCCAATGGAGAATTTGCTGGACAGTGCCGGCTGCGATCCGAGAGGAGCCGTAGGCGACACCGGAGAACGTTGTGCCTAATGAATGTAAGCACGTGTATTCCCAAAAGAACGTGAGAGGATGAATACCAAAGTCAATCGCGATGGAGAGCTTGCCCTCGTCTTGGTTCATTGGCGGAGCTAGAATTCCAGTGTTACAACCATTATGTTGTTAGTATATAAACTAACCTCCAGGAACCGCCATCGGACCGTTGAATGCGCTATTTTGTGCAGATTGCCATCCACTAGTCCCGCTGGCGGTCAATGGCGGGCTAGTACTATTCGTACGTGCATCTTGTATATGTACTGGTGATGGTCTGACGATATTTGGATCCAAAAGTGGAGTGTATGTGCCTACGGGAAGCAGCGAGGGTTGCATTTAGCGACTAGCTGTCAGCAAATGGACCGAGTACAAACCTGAGCCATGGGTTGCAGCTTTCGGTGGAGGTGTTGGTCCTGGCGCAGGAGACGCTCCCCACTGGCCAGAGGGCTGCTGTTGATGGCCAGCCATGGGCACTTGCTGTGGGTATCCACTCATGCTCATATGCGGATTCCAGGCTTGACCAGGCATATTTGCAGCTCCGAACTGGTTTGGAAATGCGCCCGGTGTCTGCTGGTTGGGATATTGATTCATGGTCGGTTGCGGGTGCATCCCAGGCTGCTGCGTGATTGGAGGAGCATTTGGATTGTACTGAAATTGTCCCTGTTGCAGTCCCGCTTGATTCTGTTGAGCTTTTTGCGCGTCACTGCGCGATTCTCCACAGCAAGACATTGTCAATGTTTCCAAACGGGTTCAATACGGCTACTTCGGTGTTCCCCGAGTCGAAAGAGGGACACAAGGTCTATACAGTGCAGTCTCTTTGGACGGTCGTCGACGGAGTCAGCGTCAAGCAGGACAGCGCTGGAAAAGACGGCGACTCGGAACTCTGACCTGGCCACGGCGATACAGCCCCTCCAAACACCGAGCGCGCAAGAGAAAACAGTGTTAATTTTGTACAGCATCATGCCAAAGTCCGGTTTAGCGCAGGAACTGCTCAAAGTCGGGCAGCGCTGGCCAACTGACATTTTACGACCGCGTTTGCAGTATGGAAACTTTCTTGTTGCACTCTCAAACTCGAAAGAACACCAAAAAGGCCTCACACCAGAGCTCCTTCGAAGTCAACACCGACTTATCGAAAACAGACTCAAGGACAAGGTATGGTCGATTGCCGATAATCTACATTTACTAAAAGCCTATCAGTATGCTCTTTCCGAAAAGATGATGGTCCCGGCGTCGTATCCGGACAAATATGCAAAACTTGTGACTTTACTCGAAGAAGCTGCAGAATCTTCTGAACTCGGAGCAGAAGAACCCAAGGGACTTTGGAGTAGGATTACCGGTCGATGATTTATGAGGTGGCCCAAGCGCGTCTTACTGCAAGAGCGACATTGGACTCGCAGAGACTGTATTCATTATGTATAATATCCACATCTCTAGAGCTTTGCTCCAGTCTCCTCACGTGCTTGCTTGACAAAGGCATCGCGCACGAACCGTCTCTGAATCTTGCCGGTAGCCGTTTTGGGAATGGCTTTTGCAAAGATGATACTACACGTTTGTTAGAATCGCTCAACGATACAATGCCGATCCTCTCACCGTTCTGGAACTTTGAACTGTAGGATCTGTGAGCCCGAGTCGACCATCGGGATGAAATGGCGCACCTTTGCAATTTTATTTCCAACTTCCTTTTTGATGCGTTGCTCTTCTTGTTTGCTCCCTTGATGCGACGCGTCCAAAACAATGCCAGCCCACACTACCTCGCCATATTTGGCGTCCTCCACGCCAAAGCACACTGCCTCTTTGACACCATCTATACTTAACAGAGCAGAATCGACCTCGAGTGGGCTTATTTTCTCTCCACCGCGATTAATCAGCTCCTTGATTCTTCCGGTGAGCTTAAGGTTGCCCTTGCCTTCGCCCTTGGCGATGATAAATCCTTGGTCACCCGTGCGAAACCATTTACGACCTCTGAATTCATCAGATGAACGCTTCTCTTCGTCCGATGTCGGCGCCCAAAACGACTCGGCATTCGCTTTCTCGTTGGCCCAGTATCCGCTAAACACGTTTTCCCCACGAACGCAAACTTCCCCAATCGAACCAGGTGAAAGAAGCTTTCCGTCCTCAATGGCGCGTATCGAGATCTGAGTGCCAACGGGGATGCCGACGGTACCTATAATTTGTCAATTGCGGCCGATGGTGCGAACTGAAACAACGACGCACCAGCACATCGTTTCCCAGCAACGTTGCTTGTCATTTGATGCGCTGCTTCCGTCATTGCATATGCCTCGAGGACTGGAGCCTTGAATGTCGCTTCCAGAGCATGTAGAGTCGAAGGGGCAAGTGAGGACGAACAGGACCGGATAAAGCGTATTTGGGGAACTTTTAATCATTGTCAGAACCTGCATATACAACTACTCTCAAAGGCTTGTTTTTCCCACCTTGACCCTTGTAACCAGTTCGGAAGGGACCAGCTTCATCGCCTTTGCCGCTCTTGGCTAGGTTGAGGAGAATTGAATGAATGGTCGGCACAGCTGTGTACCAAGTACACCTTGTCGACACAAAGTCATGCCAAAAGGTTGAAGCACTGAATTTGCCGCTCCTGGGAAGGGTAATGGAAGAACCCGCAGCCAGTGGCGACAAGAAGGCACAGAGCATACCCTGAATGCGTCTGTCAACCCTGCTCTCTATAGGAGACTTTTGGGGCACTCACATGAACATGAAATAGTGGCATAACGAGGTATGTGCGGTCGGCTGTGGAGAGGTTATAGGTCTGAATGATGTTATTCGTCGTGCGCATCAGGTTACGATGCGTCAAAGGGACACTTTTTGGCCTACGTCGCAGGGTTAATCTCCGTTCATTTCGCCAACGGATAACCCTCTTACCTTCCGGTCGTTCCGGACGTATGTAGCACCAACGCTACATCATCCGGGCTCGGATCGCCGACAGACGCCACCGTCTGCCGCTGCGAGGGCCCTTGTCCAAACACCAGGTTCGTCCTGAGGGAGCCATCGTCGAACCACATTTCATAGACAGGGACATTCTCTTTCTTGGCCGCCTTGAGGGCAGTGGCCGCGGCCTTGTCGAGAACACCAGCCTGTTTGAGAGGAGGAATGAGTAGAAGGGCTGGTTTGGTATCCTGCAGATAGAACTGAAATTCTCCGACAGTATAGGCTGGATTCAGCGGTGCCGAGGTAGCCCTGTGATGATGGTCAATTGCGCGAGAGTCGAGGACGAGTAAACCGGCAATGAATGACCGACCTGGCAACAAGTAAGCCCGGGAGCTGTACATAACAAGGACAAAGATAGCACTCGCCTCGAGATCGTCGTACCGATGAACGCGACCATGAATTCGAGCGTGTTGTTCATGGCCTGCCCGACAATGTCGCCTTTCTTGACGCCGAGCTGTTCGATGAGAGTTTTGCGGAATGCCATTATCATAGCCCTGAGGTCTCCATAGCTAAATTCTTCTTGCTCTAAGGGGTGACCCTGGCCTGCTGCTTGATTCCGCGGTGACGACGGCAAGACCACGGCAGTTGGAGATGTGAGCGAAGGTGACTTTGGAATCAAAGACAGAAGTGTAGACATAATTTGCGTATTTTTGAGCTTCAAGTCTTTATCGTGGGTCGTGGTTGGGATTGAGTGGCGTTTCGACCTATCCGTCACCCACCGGACCGCGGATACCTCCTCCAAGATCTATTTTTATTCTAAATATCATTCGAAAAAAATGAACTATCGACCAGGAGACATTGATTCTCGCCGACTTATCAAGCTCCACAAGGAGTATATCTCAGACGTCTGTTTCAACTGGGCTCGGTAGAAGCAGTGTTCTCATTGTCCATCAGATCTCGAGTACAAACTATCCTGGTGTCTACCCGGATGAAGACAACAGCTGGGACTTGGTTGATTTCAAAAAGGTTCGCGCACCGAAAAAGTTATCTACGGTCGTTTGACGTTGGGTTTAGCATGTGAAACTCGAATTCCAATACGTTGAGGAGGAGAGAATGAGTTTGACTTGGTCGGCATTGATACCTCTATCGCAAATGCCTTTCGTAGGATCATAATCTCAGAGGTGCGTTTCCGCCGCATACGGGGCCTTTCTGACAGTGTACCAGGTACCCACGGTGGCTATAGAACGTGTCTATGTCTACGACAACACGTCTGTGATCCAAGACGAAGTACTCTCTCATCGTCTGGGGCTCATCCCTCTTCGGATCGACCCGCGCATGCTAGAAGACGCGCCACAAAACTATCAAGACGATTCAACAGACAGAAACACCATGGTCTTCTCTTTGGACGTCACATGTGCTGACCGGGACGGCGTACGGCCAGGCACGACAGATCCAGAAAAATTGTACATCAATTCCAGCGGTAGGTGCAAATGATTTTGAATCCCCTCATCATATATTAAACTCTATCGTTTCTCAGTATACGCCAAGGACCTTCAATGGGTCCCTCAAGGCGAACAGGAGACGATATTCGCATCAGATCCACCACGTGCGGCAAATCCTAACATTCTCATCGCGAAGCTTCGACCAGAGCAATCGATTCATCTTGAGATGCACGCTGTCAAATCTATTGGTCGTGACCACACAAAGTTTAGCCCAGTGGGCACTGCTTTCTACCGCCTGATGCCACATATTCAATTGCTCAAGCCTGGTGACAGGTATGTAGATCTATCGATTTGCTATACAGGTGTACCAACCCCAGCTAGGTACGATGAAGAGAGCAGAAAAGTGGATAAACTGGAAATGGCGGATCAGGAACAAGCAAAGAGGTTCCAAGATGCATTTTCAGAGGGGGTGATCGAAGTCAAGAAGGAGCGCGGTACGTGACTTACAACCTAGCAGTCATGTACATGCTGATTGTCGCAGGCAAGTATTACGTACGCGTCAAAGCTCCACGAAGAGACAATGTTACACGACGGATACTCGAACTCCGAGAATTCGATGGCATGGTCCGCTTAGGACGCGTGCGCGATTGGTTCATCTGTACGTTTCTACTGCTTGTTTGTGAAGGTAGAACATTGACGAAATGCCCAGATACAATCGAGTCCACGGGACAGTATCCCGCAGTCGATATCTTCCCCGTAGCGTTGGGAGTATTCAAGAGCAAGATACGCACACTGAAAGCGGAGGCGGAGAAGTTGCGGCGAGAATGGGAGGGTTCTAGAGAAGAGAGATCACCAGATCCTGACAAGGATGTCGAGATGGAGTAGTTTGTATCTGTGATTATAACCGAAGTAAATACCATGCCGATGTATCCTATTCCAAGCAAAACCAAGAATCAAGACGTCGTTGGGTTGACCGTTGAGGCCGCCTTAGCGTATCGTTTTTTATACTCTGCTGGCGTTTCTCCTGTGACACCCTTCTCCCACATTCCCCTTTTCGCTTTCCTGGACAGGGGTTGATGCAAAGTTCGGGTCACAAAGTAAAGATACGCACTGAGCGGCCGTTTGCACAGATAGAAAATGTTCCTTTCCCCACTTGCCGTAAACCGCGTTGGATTGCTCGTAGACGCAGGCCCATCCGGCTTTGAGCATCTCGAGCGAGACGCATTTCTTGCGGAAAGGAATCCAGGAGCGTATCATTGGTATGGCCACCTATACTGGCTATCAGTGACAGAGGAATTGGGAAGAGATAGAAGCATACAGTGCGCCCATATTGATCCCGGAGAATGAGTTGGCACCAGACGCGTTTGCCCTCGACGGTACTCTTGAGCCATTGGAGTGCTTCGGCGGAGTATGGTTGCGCGTCTTTCCCGAAATGTGCCGCCTACATCGATGTCAATTGCCGACGCTTGCGAGATTGAAATACGAGTATACTTCTGGTGCATCCACTCCAGCCATCCGAATATGCAGCGTTTGGTCCTTTAGGTCTACAGGAAAGATTAAAAACATACAAACCAAGCCATGGGCTTACCTTTTCCCGATGGAATCGAACGAAACTTGAGGGGCCATCGCCATCCAATACTAGGAGTATGGAACAGCCTAAAGTTGTCCGCATCACCAACGCTACACGTTGTCAGTGTTTGTCCTTTATCGTGGTAAGAGACAAAACTGACCTCGTCACGATACCCGTGATCCATCTCCGCCTATTAAAGTCCTCCGCTGTGACAAACTGCGAGTTTGGGATTCGCTTCATGTGACGTTTATATACCCACACTCCAGCGACCGTCAACAAAGAGGACCCGACGATTGCGATGCCGAGTTTTGCGTTATCCGGCAAGCTAGACCAGGAAGATTTCAATGGTTGAAGTTCCTTTTGAGTGGTTTCATATCGGGAATGTAGAAATTGCTTCCATCGAGAACGCTCGGAGCTTGGAGGAGTCGAGGTGAAAGGCAACATTTGTGCCAAACAAGAGGAACACGTTGATTGACCGCCACTCCGACCACATTCCAGACTCTGAGGAGCAATGGCTACAAAGGATTTTAGAAAGATTAACATTGACCAATACGATGAGGATGTGCTGCTCGAAGAGGACCTCTATGACCACGATCCTCGAGATCCTGCCACCGTCCTTGCAGAAACGAAACAAAAAGCTGCAGCCGTCAGAGGATTGATAGCAAAGTATGTCTACTTCCGCGTAATCATGGCTCGCGCCGAGATTCATGGGGGTCTAGGGGAGATATTGCAGGCGCTCTAAGCAGCGTGCTCGAGAATGCACCATATGGGCCTAAAGTAGACGATGCAAAGGTGTGTCTCCTCTTCGATGTCGATATCGCTCTTCTAACTCGCTTGCCTGCTCGATTAGATTCTAAACCTGCAGACAATCTTACTGCTTCTCAACTCGACAAAGACAGCTGATATCCCCTCGACAATCAAAGCCCTCTCTTCAGACGCGCAAGACACGCTCATGAAGTACCTTTACAAGGCAATGGCCATGCCTGGGTACGCAGATGTCAACAGCAGCGCATTGCTTACTTGGCACGAGAAGGTTGGTTACATTTCCCTATTCCTTCTTCACTTAGCTTCATCCCATTCGCTTCGAGATGACAAGCCTCGCCTTCTGTCCCAATTCTGTGCATGTGAACGATACTGAGCAAGTTCCACAGTTGACAGATGCCGCGGGTATTGGGTGCATTACCCGCGTTATGACCGATCGGAGAACGGTGTAGACATCGCAAGTACATGAATGGACTGTATTTCGCGCATATAATGTGTGATAACACATGCAACAACACGCAGCCAACAGATCCCTTATACAAGCTGGGAATGCTCGCCGTCAATTCACTGCAGTTGTTAAAATTTCACTGCCTTGGTCAGACTTGGCACCCTAGTCCCAGCTGGATGGACCTGTACGCCATATCCATCGAGCTTTGCAGCTCCAGGTCTGTGAAGCTGAGCAGAACGACCGCCTTGGGTTTGCATACGCTGGAAGGCCGCGTCGGTGTCTACAGTAGCCGTGGCTCCTTTAGGGCGGTAGGTACCTGGGTGAGAAACTTTGGCTGCAACAGAGACCACCTTGATAAGCCCATTTTGCCTTCCACCAGCGGTTGGGGTCACTGAACCGGAAATCGTATTGGCCACCTGGATAGCGTGCGGAATATGCGTCATATTGGCTCGTGGAGTCGGGATGTTCGATGCCCGCGTCGGGCTTTTGCGGGTCTTCTGGGGGATTGACGATGTAAACGAGGGAGAGGGAGCTGCTGTATGAGTCGACGAGACCGGACAAGAACTTTGACGAGAAACAGAACACGAGCTAGGAAGGGAGGGGAGCTTCCACTAGACATGAATCAGTCAAATTCCGACCAGCTGTCCACTCAGGCGAAACTCACATTGAGACTCAAGATGGCACCGAATCTGCGCCGCGTTTTCTCAGTCGAAAAAGCAACATTTGGACGCCTTCGAGCTCCAGATGCGGACATGTTATTTTGGATCATGGCCGCAAGCGTTGGATGGACATTGAGGCGTTTCTCGCGAAGAGTTGGCCGGCGGCGAATTTGCATGCTCCTATTCCCCGTCTCCACGTCCTTTCCAATGCGCTCGATAACTTCTTGCCAGTCCATCGACCAGCGCCCGGATACCGTCGGGACCGGTAGCGTGTGCTTTGGAACAGGAATTGGGATAGCCTGACGCTTGGAAGACGCGCTCTTGGATTTCCATTTGAATCCGAAGAGGCGCTTTTTCAGCATCGGTATCTTTGACTAGGGGGGAGGTAAGCTTTAATGAGATAGAGGCCACACAGAACGCACGAACGAAGAGAGGCCAGTCTTGGATTGTGGCTTTGTCTCCTGAGCGAGAGCAGTCTCAAGCGGGAGCTGGGGATTTGGGGAACAGGAAAACCTTGATTTGAGATTCCCCTGGGATGGTGACCAGAAGACCTACGTTATGTGAGATGATACCCGGTGGGAACATGTAGCTTACATTTGGTATTCCAAGTAGGTTGGACTGTAGGACGCGAGGTGAGAACTCAGGAGATTGCCTCGGAGTCATCGTGAATTTATATTTCAATTTAGAGTGCTGAACTAAACGGGGAATCCTACTGCCAGTCGAAGAAGGGAGTGCACGATACTGATAGGGAGTTTCGATAGTTTCCTTGGCTGTCTGCCAATGTTGGGTCTTGAAGCGGGGTATCCGGGAGATGCGCTCAGATATTGGTATGGACTGGACTTTTTGCCGCTTCGGAGTGTCGCATCTGAGTTGAACAAGGCCAAGGGCGTTGAGGAGCTCGTACGATGCTGACGCCGATGGTGCGTTCGGAACAGGAGTTTCGATCCTCTGTAGAAGGTACCTTGAGTAGGTAGACGGAGACACAGTAGGCACTCCTACAGGGAGACCGCCATCTCCGTCTCCGGTGACGTCTATAGACGATGAACTGGGAGTGAAGTTCTGTATATGATCATAGAATGATAACGGATGTTCCTCTACATGCATTCGTGGCGTGTGTAGAACTCGAGTAGATTTAGGCCGGCGATGCAAGTATGGCTTATGAAACTCGACAGGCGAGAAGTAGTCGGGGCCAGTCGACATGCTTGATGATGCACTGAGAGAGACAGTAAATGTCTCTGGAGACGAATACGTAAAGGAAGATCTAGAGGCTGAGAGGCCAAGATGTTCCATTGTGCCGGATTCGTCTTCTACCTCGAGCCTAGAAAGAAGAGCACATGAGCGCACAAAGCCAGCGAAATAGTGTGCATAGACCAAGACACACCCAAGGTTTGGTCGGAGCGGGTCAGTGTCCACGGGGTCGTACAAACTGACACTGTCGGGACTGGGGATCGCAGTGGCGTTGGGCGTAGAGGACGAGTTGCGCTTGGAAGGTGACGAAGAGAGCGTCCTGCGAAGCGCTGTAAGCTTGGAGTACTGGCTGCTGAGGGACACTGTCGACATGATGGTAATGGCCGAGGACAAAGTTCACAAAGTCGACATTCATCCATTGTTCATACCTTGAAACACGGCCTGATTGTGCTAGAAAGTACAATAACACAAGAGAGATTGCAAGAAGTTGACGTATGCGCTGCCATTACGCTCACAGTTGCCATCTGTAATGGCCGACGATGAGCAGAAGAGACCATCTAATTGAGATATTCATGGTTATTGCACGATTACATTGCCGAATAGCTTAGTTGAGATTCTCGTCGTCGATCCAAACCGACTGGAAACGGCGTTGCTGGCGAGCTTAGGGCTACCATTTACGCTTCATCTGCAAGAACGGGCTATAATTCGTAACAAAAAGAGTTTAAGTGTACTTACAGCAGACTGCACGCATTGCTTAAACGCCAGAAACTCCTTTTCACACATGTTCTTTCGAACATCCTGATAAGACGCAAGGACGCATTGACCATAATTTTTTGCAGCAGATGCACAAGTCACAGTCGTCGCTGTTGCTAGTCGCTTCAAAGCGGGTGTTGGTTTGGTCGGGGCCATCTTGTCTTCCACCGTCACCAGCCTTTCCGGCCATGAATCAAAGAAATATAAACTCTTGGCAGACTTCGCCGTCCTCTTGGAGTCCATGTCACATCTACGGGGGAATTTCGACCAAGTGACCACGCTTGCATCAGAGTTTCCGAGCCATTTCCAGTGAATGGCCGCAACAAACTAGCATCTCGCTCTGCGATTCGACCAACGCGCACCAATCGGCAGAGTCCCCGGCCCGTCGTGAAATCTACCACTCAACCGGGCAATTCTAGAGAGCCATGGCTTCATTTTGGACGATGAGTGAGAGGCGAGACTCGTCAATTGTACTCAGGAGGGTTTCAAGATGTCAAACCGAGGGCTCTCTGGCACCAAGCGGGATGAAAAGGCCAAGGGAGGATTGACAACGCTTCCTTGAGAATCGGTACGTAGTCGGATTCAGCCAATGGTTCTTCCTAATCCACCTTGGCAGCGGTATAAATCACTAGCTCCTCCCCAGCTTTGCGCCTCAGGGATCCCTCCCCTACCCTGGAACAGGACAATGTTCGCCTCACTCCTTTCGCTCCTCACACTCCTTGCGACTACCAACCTGGCCTATGGGGCCGTATATGAAGCAGAGGATGGTACCCTTTCGGGAACAACAGTAGACACCGCGACGAGTGGCTATAGTGGCACTGGCTATGTGACCGGCTTCACCGACTCTACTACTTCGCTCAGTATCACTGTCTCTGCCGGCTCCACTGGACTCTACGACTTTTCTGTCACGTACGCAGCTCCTTATGGAGAGAAGTATACTGCCGTCTCGTTGAACGGCTCTCCAAATGGAGAAATACACTTTACGGAAACGACAACATTCACGACCGTTTCTGGTGGTCAGCTCTTGCTCAACGAAGGCCAAAACATCATCACGTTCAATACCAACTGGGGATGGTACTTTATTGACAAGATTGAACTCAACCCTGCCGCTCCTCCAGCGCCTCACCAAGTTACCGGTGAGCTCACCAATCCTAATGCCAGTGCAGCAGCGAAGAACCTCATGGCCTACCTCGTTTCTCAATACGGCAAACATCTACTCAGTGGACAGCAGGACCCAGCTTCATATGCGTAAGCACTTCTTATTCGCACTGTACTTCAATCTCATATGTGTAGCTGGGTTGAGACCAACATTGGAAAATCACCTGCCATTATCGGTCTGGATATGATGGACTACAGCCCCAGCCGTGTCGAGCATGGTACAACGTCTACCGCTGTCCAAGATGCGGTCACCTACGACGGAAGAGACGCCATCGTAGCCTTTTGCTGGCATTGGAATGCCCCAACAGATCTCATTGATTCTACTGAATACCGTGCGTACCTCTTGTTCTTTGGTTCGTAATCGGTAGGGAATGCTAACCGCACATTTAGCATGGTGGAGAGGCTTTTATACACAAGGTACAACGTTTGATCTCGCGGCAGCACTCGCGGACCCTCAAGGCGATAAATATGCACTTCTCATCAGAGACATGGACGCTATTGCCGAGAAACTCAAGACGTTGCAAAATGCTGGAATCCCGGTCCTATGGCGCCCACTTCACGAAGCAGAAGGCGGCTGGTTCTGGTGGGGACGAGACAAGAACCCAGAGCCCGCAAAGGCAAGTCTGGTGTCCACTTGTACTTTGCATATTCCTGACGCCTCATGCTATAGGCTCTCTGGCGCATCATGTACGATCGTTTTACCAACCATCATCAGCTCAATAATCTCATCTGGAACTGGAACTCGGTTGCTACTGATTGGTAGGTTGAAGTTCGTTTACAATGCGGTATGTCTTATGACATACAGGTATCCAGGAGATGATGTCGTTGACATTCTCTCTTACGATTCATACCCACCGACGACGGGTGACCATGGTGCCGTCAGTGGAGTTTACAGCAAACTCGTTGCGTTGGGTCAGGATAAAAAACTTGTTACGCTTTCCGAAGTCGGTGAAATCCCAGATCCGGATCTTCTGCAAGCCTATCACGCCGACTGGAGCTACTTCGTGACCTGGTATGCACTGTGATTTCACCATTTGCTCAACCACTAATCAATCATAAGGAACGGTGACTACATTTCTGGTGGATCTCACAACTCGGTCGAATTTTTGAATAAGCTGTACAACTCCGACTACGTTTACAATCTGGACGATATTGCGGGATGGAAGAACTTCTCTGGAATACCCACGACTTCTGCGAGTACCAGCATATCGTCCCCCACCAGCACCTCAAGCTCCTCGTCCACGCCACCGTCAACGACGACGCCGACGTCAAGCAGCACTCTCCCATCATCCTCTACCACAAGTACCGCACCCGTGGCCACGCAATCTCAGTGGGGACAATGGTACGTTCACATGCTACCTCAAAACGACCACTCACACGGAAATATAGCGGAGGAACCTACTATACAGGGCCTACGCAGTGTGCGACGGGCCTGACTTGTGTACCGGTGGCTGCTCCGTAAGCATTGCATCTAGATCTACTCCTATGCTCATCTGAATTTATAGGTGGTACTATCAGTGCCTCAAGCAGTGAACACTAGTGCGATATTCATCTCTGTGTCCAACTTTTCGAGACAATTAACTCACATTCCTTTCACCCTATGTCAATAAGAAAGCTATTTATTAAGAAAGTATGAGCATAGTGTACTGCTAAGTTCCAGCCCCGGATTCAGAATGTAATTAAGGCGCATAGCGCATAGAGAGGTACACAGCTGATCGTAAGCGAGCGATTAGAGATCCCAGGGTCCAATGATGGGTCGACTGGCTGGATTTTCCTTTTTCACAATATTCCTCGTCTCCGCGAACCCTAGTGAATCATTCCCAAGTCTGTTCCTGGTGCCAATAAAGGATGGCTCCCAGAATTTGCACGGTCTCGATTCCTTCCTGACTACCGGATGGACGACATTAAATGGTTTCCGAACCATGTTATTATCGCACTCCACTGGACGACACACAGCTGGCGGTTGGTTATCGTCACCTTCGACATTCATGTCCTGGATAAGCCAAATAGCAACATCTGGCAAACCTCGGGCGTAATCCACCCAATCATCATCCTCGCGCTGAGGATAAAGAGACCGTAGCGCGACAGGCGAAGCGTCTTCAAGGACTAGTCGATGGATCAACACTTCCTCGAGCGATGGGAACTGCCAAGCAAGGTGCGTCACGCCAATTTGTTCCGCTGCTTCTATACGAGACAGCCAGAGTGTGCACGGTTGGCAATGTTGATTATACTCGGGCGACGTATGGTGGTGCGGAGTGTACGAAAAGCCCTGGGTCGTGAAACTCAGGTTCATTCTCTTGATGGATGGTCGATACAATGTCTTGAGGTGAGGTAGCGGCGGGAAAAGAAGAAGGGTCTCTGCATTCATCTGCCAAAATTGAGCCAGGAAAAGGACAAGAACAGCGGACATACACCTTGTAAAGTTCTGGATCGCTGACAAGTGCCAAGGACGTGATTTTGGAGAAGAGTCTGAGTAGAACCGCGAGTCCGCTCTCGTTCTGAGGGGTCACCTCAATCGACAGGTGAGTGACGGATTGCATTATAACAGAATGATTTGAATGAATTGCGCTTTCCAGCTTTTGAGAGATCCGAATCCGAGTAAGAATCAAATGAGTGACCGAAGGAAACTGGGCATCAAGAGCTTTGAGGGAGAATAATATCGGGACAGAATCAACGTGAAGCTGCCTGTTCTTCTTGTCAGTATAATCAAAGATACAGGAAGGGGTTAACCTACCGGGTATAGGTTTTCCTCAGCAAGCGCAGCTCGCAAGAGTTCCCATCAGCGACCTCTCTTTCGCCGGAGACCCTATACCGAAAGTAGAGGTAAATCCCACCAATACTTGCTAACCGACGATTAACGAGGCGAATATTGCTCAACGTCGAGGACCAGCCATTTTGGTTGGGTGTCACGAGACTAACGACCGCATTTCCAATGATGTGCCGTATTATTTGATCTAGAGTTTCATTAGGAAGAGCTAAAGGCTCATAGAAGATGAAAGTGCTGGATGGAATGGGGTTCAGGCGAAAGCGGAGGAAGGCAAGCCTCTCTCGCTGCCTCCTCGTGGGCCAATGCAAAGTCTCAGAGGCGAGGTCATAACTGTGAAATTTTATACACATCATGACGAGTTACAAAAGTAGTGCCCAATCAAGCTTCTTCGTCAACCTCCAAAATGTGACTCTCTCTTCCTCAACCGTCATTTCGCCCACCCTGTGTGGGCCAAGAGACAGGGTCTGAGAATGAGTCCTGTCGACAATTTCATTGTCCTCTAGATGGCGCAAGGCGGCGACAATGTCTAGTCGATCGTATACATGAACAAAATTTTCGACTATGCGGGGCTGCAAAGTCTTAGCAGCGTTATCAAACAGGGCAATATAACTCACTTGATCCACCAATGGTCGGAGAAGGATCAGGCCAACCACTGCCCTGACACAAGACTTCCATGTGGAAATGACCATCCTGCCTCGCAAGTCGATCCACCGCCTGGGCATGACGAGTCGCTTGGTATTGAATTGTACAGCTTCTGTTGTTTCTTCAGAAAGCCAGATTGCGTAGCTAGAGAGATAATGTGACGAAATAAATCGCGACTCCGAGTACCCAGACCAGAAAGCCAAGGGAGGTAGCGAACTCATCATGGCAGGTACTGTGACTTCCGATGATGGCAAAGACTGCGTTGAATGAGAAATAGAATTCCTTCAGAGTATAAACGTACCCAAACATCTGCTGCTGGCAAGCCATTCTCACCTGCTTTCTTGAGAGCTTGCACAAGGGCCACCAGATGTTCGGCTTGAGTCTGTGGCAAATTCACGCAAGCCATCCTCTGTGACATCGAGAGACACCCGGCACAGTTCACGAGGGCTCCAGATGGCTGAGTGAGCATGCAAGCCGCAGTCTCTCCCGCATCCGACACGCCATGGTGTGCAACATCTACATTTGACTGTTTATGGTGTGGTTTATCGCTCGTTTGACCTTCAGGAGGATCCACATCTGCGCTTGCATCGCGCGACTTGGCCTCCGGGGCCTCATTGAAGTCAAAACAGACCGCGATCTCGGTCTCAAAGTTCTCCTCCACTGAATGGATGTCAGGTTGACATGAGAAACGTAGACCAACTTACAAAGTTTCCTATTCGCGGCCTGGGCTACGTTGTCGAGTAACTCGAGGTCGGGCAGCTCCCATTTGAAGTCAACCTGGTGTCTTGATACACGTTGCAGCAATGCGGCCATCTCTCCTTCGCTTGGAGCCATGGGCCAGATTCTCCAGTCATCGGGCTCCTCTTCATAGACTGTTTCAACCGCGGCAGCATCTTCACATCGTTGTTGGGAGAACTTTCCAGTGAGCTCTTCCGTGTTACTGCAGTAAATTCAGTGGGTGGCGATGCGAATAGTATGACTCACGCCTCCGACATGCGATACGACTTGCTAGCCTTGTTCTTGGCCACCTTTGAGATGGAGCCTCGTTTAGACAGGGTTTCAGTAGCGGCCTTTATCCTGGCGTCACCGAATGGTATGAGAAGCGCGGTGGCGACTTCTTCGGTGTAGTCTTCTGGCTCAGTCGCCACGATCATCTGGCGAACCATTAGTGACCATTGGACCAAATTAATCAATTTACCTGTATGACGTTCTGAGCCACTGCCTGGGATAGAGGAATGCCCGAGTTCCGGGGTGGCTGCTGTTCGCTGAAGCACACAGAGGCGATAGAGTTGTTACGTTCCGAGTAATAATTTGACGCGTCACCCCAATAATTGGAGATGCATTGATCGAAATCAGAATCCTCCTTCTCGATAGTGCGATAATGGCGGCGCAGCTGGTCGACAGTTAACGGAATGACTTCAGATACTGGGGCTACGGTGCCTTCTGTAACCGGCACAGACTCTTGACTATCAAATTTATGAGCACCTGTAGTCACTCAGCGACACACTCACAGATTTCGTTTATCCAGATAGTGGCGTAAGAACTGGATGTGGACTAGGATATCACATCCTTCTGGCTTCGAAGGATCCTCGTCAGGCAGTTCAGGTCGGCCTTTGTGAGTTTGCCAGAGAGTAAACCAGGCCTGCTCCAGCCGATCGAGATACGCAGCAGCGCCAGGTTGGGAGAGATACTTGGCAAAGCGTAGCCTCGTCCCGTTTTCGCTCATGGTAGGAAATGCTGGAGTTACTGTTTTCCATGTCATTGCTCTACTTCGTCCGCGGGATCGTGCCCTGATAATTGCTGCAGCGTCCTTCAGCAAGTCGTCATATTCTTCGTTCCATACGAATCTTCTCCGCCGATAGGTTTCTATAATGCAAATCAGTGTAGTCACAACAAAATGTTGATGGCATACTCTTTGGACCTTGAGCTTCGACGTCATTTCCCGCTTTGCGCAATCGTTTTTTGGGTGATGATTCGAGTGGGGTCCCCATACTTGCAATGATCTGTGCAACAGTTCTATCTCCAGGGCGCGACACTAATGGAGGTAGTGGAGGGTATGTTTTGGTCGAAATGGGGGCATCCGGCAAACGATTATTGACTACATTCGGTTCCGTAGTAGAGCTCTGTTGGGCGATTGCGCTTGGCATCGCATCTTCCAGATGTTCCATAGGTACGGCCCCAAGAACAACCTGCGCTCGCGGGACCATGCGCTTGTTCCTCTTCCGGGCGACATCAACGGGATCGCGGACGATGTTTGCGATCAGTCCCTTGACTTTTTCCTCATCCACAAGGCCTCCGACAGTGATGAACCGACTTCGCAATAGCCTCAACTGTTCTTCGGCTTCTTGAGATATTTCGTAGTCAAATACCGAGTCTAGTAGCTCCTCCCATCGTTCTTCGACACTGATTAGGTGTCTTTCTGCCTTTTCGACGGCTCGCCTGCGTAATTCAGCTTCCGTTTCGGCAGCTGACTTGCCCTTGCGACTCTCCATTCTCTTGACCACAGAGGCAAGTTTCTCTGCATGGCTCGTGAAAAACTCGTAGACCACTTGTTGCGGAGCGCAAGTAATATAAGCAGCTTGCATCAAACGCTCGGAGGTTGGATCGTCGAGAGGCGTGGTCAGAGTGGTGATGTCAATCATGTCTTTGAGATAATCTACTTGAAGTTTGGATAGGCAATAAGTGGATATCCAACTTCTTGGGTTGAAGAGCGAAGTCATGACACTGGGACCTATGGCGCATATTGCGGACTGCGTGGTCGATATCATTTGCTGAAGGCTTGCAATATCACCGCGACGATGACAGAAGCGATTCAGGAGTGACCAGTAGGAAACTGCCGAGGGGACATCTGGGATTGGAAAGTATTTGTGCAATGGAGGTGGCTCCTCAACCTCCGCAGAGTTGAAGCAGCCTAGGGAGATGATCCAGAGAGGAACAATGGTATTGAATTTCCAGTAGCGAGGTAGATCAGAGTTTGGCGCCGTAGGCATGTTCATCGGCACAAATTGATGAGGCCTTTCCTCCTTGGAGCCGGAACCATCTTCCACTGCCTCTAATGGAGTCACAAGTCCAAGCTCCGTAAGAGTGTTGAGCAGTTCGAACAACCGACTCCTTGTGGTCGCATGCTTGACTTTCAGAGCACGTTGGAGTCGGAGTTCGAGGCTCTTCAGCGGCTGGTTCAGTGCCTCAGGATCTCCTTGCGCATATTCCAGATAGGAAATATAACTGTGCGCGGGAATGATGGCGCAGAATGATCCCAAAGGAAAATCCTCCGTCCAGTAATTGGCGCAGACTATCCGTTCTTCCACAGATAGCACAGAAGGGGACGGGTTTGCTGAGAGGATGTCGTTGAGAGTGAAGAGATATAGCTCCTGGGCACGACGACTTTTCCCGAGGAGAAAGCCAAACAGCTGGGCGACAGTTTGACGGTCCGCCAGAAACTTGTGCCGGGGACCAACGACCTTGGCGAGATCCATGGGGCCAGTCTTTGCTTGCGGCTTTTTGGGAAGATCCCGCTTGGGCCCTCGGGAAAACTCGATTTCTTCCTCGATGACTCTGGTCTCCTTGTACAGGTGAATCGGTTTATATTGCTTTTGAATACCAGCCAGATACTGCTTGATAGTATCGGCGTCCAGATCAGGGAAGTGGATAACAATCGTGGGTTGCTGGAGGGAGCTCTTGCGGCCAGGGTCCACGATGGCCGTTCGGATAACTTTGATTTCTCCGGTTTCTTCCAGCATCTCCACCGAGCGGGAGATGGTCTTCTTGTCGGACATGTAGTTTGCATCCTGCCCACCCTGGAATCCTTGCTCGGCGAGCTTCTTGCTATGCTCCTGTAGGAGAACGGAGAGCTCATGGTTGACCTGTAAGATCCCCCCATTTTCACGCAAGACCTCCAAAAGCTGCTGATTACGGCGGAGCGCGCTGACATTTGTGGCCTTTGGTTTTGGGAGTTTTTGTCGTCGCTTCGCCGATACACGCGCGGTTGTTGGTGATGATGGCATAACCGGGGAAAGTCGACCTCCTTCATTTGGCTCAGCCGCTTCTTGAGGAAGCGTCACTTGGAAGACGATTTCTTGTGGGGCATCCTGAACTACCACAGTAGATTCCGGCGGAACACCTAGTTGACGATGAATAGGGGAGACTTTGGCGCATAACCACTAACCTTGGACCACAGGGGCAATAGGTTGACCATCTTTCGTTTTCGTAGTCTTTCGCTTCTTCTTGGCCGGCTCGGTGCCCGGTGCTTCTTCTGCAGAACGTTTCTTGCTCTTCTTGGTAGGGGACTTCGGGTCGCTAGGTTTGCTGGAGGACACACTGCGCTTTTTCTTTGGAGACGTGTTGTCCGGAGTGTTAACATCGACAGCAGATGGTTGTAGTCCTGACCCAGTCGGTATAGAAAGATCAGAGGTGGCTAAATGAGCTGGGGTATTTAGCGTGAGCGAGGTTGACTGGGACGAAATCCTAGTGTCTGTGGGTCCACCAGGCGGTAGAGCCACCGCTTCCTGGCCGTTTATAGCATCACCTTTCCCCTTGGAAGGCAACCCTTCAGCTGGAAGAGGATTCCCAGCACTCGCATCTTGTGGTGGAGGATTGTCCTTGTTCAATGTCCACTCTTTCCGCGGCCTCCCCCTCTTTACCACCCCGTTGACGATAGGATTCTTCAACTTCTTGAGTCTACTAGCCGAATATGTGCCCGGAACAGTGGGGGGCCGCCTTCCTCGAGAGATTTGGAATTCGTCGATGAACTTGTAAAGATCGCTTTTTGAAGTCCAAAACTCCTTTTCGTCAACAGGGGCAAAATCCCCGACGTCCTTCATATCCACCCAGTCGTATCGTTCGTCTGTCAAGCCCTGGTTTTGCAGAGACTTTTGGTAATGAAGAAGGGTGAAATATCTCTGCCTCCGTATCTTCCCAAGTGTCTCCATGGTGGTCACGGGATGAAGGTCGACGAGATGGCGAGGAGGAATACGGCTGCAAAGGCGCGTAAGGACTTGTTCGATAGTTCGCGTATCGAATTGGCTAAGTCTTGATGACAGTTCCTGACATTCATTTAGCGTTGGTGATACTTTGAAACTCTGATACGGACCTTGATAGTCAAGCCTTCTGGTTCCTTCTCGAGACAGGCGATGAGCTGACGCTGCAATCCCATACCACGTTCAAAGCGATTCTCATCTATACTACGTCAGGATACGCCCATACAACAACGGAGCATCAAGCAGCACTTACCTTTCCACTCAATGTCCTCGTCATGAAACTCGAGTTCTTCCATCTCGTTGTCCTCCTCGGCCACTTTCGCTACACTACGAGTACCTTCTAATTCAGCGAGTGTAGTCCCTCCTTTCTCCGTCAATTGCAAACAAATGACGTTTCCATTTGCACTCGGAACCGCTACTTTGTCCAGGAGACCCTCCTCGATCATATCATTGACGCGAGCTGTGAAGAATCGTCGCTGAGATCTTTCAGGTTTGGAATAGCCCTGAGAAATGGTGAACAGACACAGAGGGTAATCAGGGAATGCGTACAGCGGCCACAATCAGATTGTTCTTCTGATGAATCTGATTTTTAGACTTCGCGACGACAGACAAAACTTGGCGCCGGAGAAGAGAAATGTTTGGCAGCAATTCGTTGGATATTTCGGCGTCCGCGTCTTTGGTAGATGCTGTTGATTTTGCTGCCTTTCCAACTCCCGATCGTAATTTCTGCCAGAATTCACTCCGATCATAGAAGTGCTTGAAGACGGCCCAGTTGAGGTTGGGACCTTTGGATACCTTGACACTGAAAACGAATGAGCGGGATGGCTAAAAGAGACATGCACACTGACATCAGATCCATGGCTTCGAGAGCCTGTATTTGATAGTATATCGATTTTGGATCATACTTTGTGATTGATCCGAGGTCTTTGATCGCTATGCCTGCTTCACGGCTTCTAACGATAATCTGGAGCACCGTGTACACCACGTCGCTGAGTTTCGAAGGCTCAAGAGGTATCAGAACTAGGAATAAGACACATGACAAAGCTTACCCTCGTATGAGAGCCTGTGAGTGCGACGAAACAAACAGTTGTTGTGGCGGCAATTCTAAGCCCTGGGCCGTGTTGACGTATCATTTCGGTCATTGAATGCATTTTAGCATCCTCAATGGGTGTTAGAGAAAGTGGAGGAGGCCTCTCTCCTCGTGCACGCTTATTGACGGGCGGCGCAATCCAAACCGGTGGAGTGCCTGGCGGAACGGTACCAACGATGATATCCGCACGTGAAACGATGCGCGAATAAACATATTCACAATACGCATTGTCGATATTCGGCTTCTTTGCCGGTTCGCCTTCCCCATAAGCCGTTGAATGCGTTGCGCGAGTGTTGGCGGTCTGCTGTTGCGCATAACCAGCAATCAACTCTTTCAGACGTTCAAAGGTGCATCCTGAACCGGCATAATTGTCAGAATCGGCTCTGCGACGGTAATGGCGATGTAGGTGAAGGAGGGAAAAGTCGTCTGGACTTTGTGCCGTCTGCAGGATTCGAACAATCGACGTGCGGTGGTGGCTGTTTGTCTGGGACGCCGTGACGGATGGAAATACGAGTGAGTACGCACCTAGTTCGCCCTCGTACGCAATTTCGGTCAGGCAATACCTCAACAGGGCGTCAATCATTGCTCCCAACCGCCTCGGTGAATGCAGAGAGGCTACAGTGAACAAATCAGACGAAAGTACTTGACCGAACCCGAAATCTACTGTTTGTGTAAAATCAGGCTTGGATGATGTTGCAGTAGTGGTCAAGTGCCGAGCGTCGGGCGTAAACAACGTCCTCTTCCTCGCTAATCTCAATGCCTTGCCGTCCACGAAATCTTGCGATATCATTCAGGATTTCCTTTATGAGACGTGCATGTTAGATGCAGTCCTCACTAACCCACGAACGAGTCGTCCTCAGCGTCAGCAGTGCTATATTCAAGTCTTGGATTTCATCGTGCGCAATAGTGCATAACATGGCGCATATACTGACTGTACCCACCTTTCCGTTCACTCTGGTTCGGTCAGTCTAATAGGGCCATCAGATTCGCGCAAATATAAATAATTCCAACGGTGGACTCGAAATAGAGGCTATACTTTGTATAGCAACTTGCAGAGAATGTTGAGGTGATATCGCTGCCACTGAGGCGTACTAACACTTTCATAAATGTTAGGGGTTATCTCGGCCATGACTTTACATCCAGAGTCTGATATCTACCATTCTCACGAGTGAAATCAGTAAAGACTGTCTTTCCTGTCACTGTACAAGGATCAGCATTTAACTCCACAAGGTCGAGTCAACAGTATGCATTGACAGATGGAGGAAAGAGTAATGAGACAAAGCAACTGTTGAGATGTACGACTCCGACAGAGTCATGGTTGGTTGTAACAACTGCGAGAGGACAGGTGAAGGAGACGACACCAATGGGGTCGTGATACAGGACAAGAATAGTGCCGGAAAGCAATAAGTGAGTGCTTTACACTGGTCCGCAAGCGAGCGAGAGCCCCAAAGGGCCAGTAAGAAGCGTGCCACGATGCGTTAGAGCCGCTTGAGACCCTTCTTCCTCTTCTCCGATCCCGATCCATTCTCCTTGATACCCCCAGCGACGGCACTCGCAGGACGCTTGAGGCTCTTGCCGACACCCGTACCAGGCAACTTGGTCGACGAATCTTTGCTACCGCTCGACATCTTCTTAGAATCTATGGAAGTAGCTGTTGGTCCTGTTGTCGAATCCTTTTCATTTGGTGCGGGACTCAGACGGGGTGCGCCGTTTGATTGGGCAGAGGAACGGAGGGGTGGAACAGAAGGCAATACTAGGGTGGAGAAAGTCGGAGATGCCGAGCCTTGTCGTAGCCGTGTCGTAGCGGCGATGGATGGCGCAAGGTCCCGCGACGTTGACGCGACAGCCGCGTTAGAGGTGCTAGGACCGTCCAAGAAGGAAATGGAGAGGGGGTCTTCTGCGAGTGCAGCTTGTTTCGCAGGGTCCTCGAATTCGATAGGACGCCCTCCCTAAAATGCGATCAGTCTACTGAATGCTGGCGTGAGCAGAGGACACACTCTCGTGGCGTGGATGCTCGTCATGAGTTTGGCACGTTTGCAGTATCCGTCGTAATCCTCTAGTAGCATCTTGCCAGCCTCTTCATCCAAGGCCGACTCTGGGTTGGGATAGATGAGCAGGCACTTGATCACTGTCAATATATGGGCTATGCCGTAAGTCGGCTTCCAGTCTTTCTTGAGCGTGTTAACGCAGATATCTCCCGTCGCAGAGACGTTTGGATGGAATATCTTTGTCGTGAAAAAGCCTATATTGACCCCAGACGTCGCGTTAGCCCTTTGCTGATGCGGTCATCCATGGTGAGAGTTGGGCGTACATTTGGGTGGACTAGCCGGGAAATCATCACCAAAAGTAAAGCGGATTCGGAAATAACCGCCATGATACGGTGTCCCCTCTACACAGACCGAGGTGAGCTATGGCGCGCCCTTGTTCTGCGACGACTGTACCTGGGCCAGCGATGATTCCAATAAACTGAAGAATGTCCTCTTCATCTAGTTGTACTCTAATGTCCTCTGGTGGATCGCTACGAAGCTGACCGAGCTCCTTCATGATCTTGCGGACAGTGGCTGGCGGCGGCATCTTGGAGAGATGTAGATCAAAATATAAGGTCAATAAAGCGCTTATAGATCGCTAGGCGTGCTTTGTGAGGTGGAGAGCGCAGTGAGGGCGTTGTGAGTGGATGAGATAACGCGTTGGTGGATGTTGAAGGTCGCCTGCATCGTGAAATTGCGCATAATCATAGAATATAGGGCAATGTAAGACTAGTTATCTATCTATTTCAGGGATATTTGGCTGACCTAGTGTGGAGACGGCGAGTGAGTAGGAGCAAGTGAGCAGCACGCAAACAACCGAGCCAACCTTGTCCCTGTCCACTGTAACGTCCGCACTTATTCTGTCCATTTATCTCGAGAATTCTACGCTCATGACACTTTTTTCAACTCATAATGCACTGAAATATGCTCTGGAGCGCGTCGGAAGATATTGAAATTGTCCTGATAATCATGAATGTGATTTATGGCAATTTATTCTGAGCGCAGAAGGGTGATTTCTATACTTTTCCCCATTGTCCAAACGCAGAGTGGCAAACTCTAGACTTGGACTCGACCTTTCCACCTCCACTCCCCCCAAAAAACCGCCATGGCAAACCTCACAAAGCTCGAACAACACCTTGCAACTCGCTCTTACATTGAAGGGTGCGTATTCTCACTTGTCCACTGTCCTTTGGCTCTCGATAAGTTTTTGCGAGTCCATCCGATCACGGATCCTCGCCGATCGAGCTTTGTTTCCCCCGAACTTGTTTTTTATGATGAACACGACGCTATGGTCCGTGTTGCTTAGCCAGCGATTAGACCCGCTACATTCTTGTGCCGACATCTATCATTCTATGGCTCTCTGACTCATCTTTTCACTGATTATCATTTCTCCTTCTCATTTGCTGACATCTGTGCTCGTTTGTCAGATATACGCCTTCGCAGGCAGACGTCGAGGTCTTCCAGGCCATCCAGACGCCCCCCACCACCCAGCACGCGCTGAGATGGTACAACCACATCAAATCGTACGAATCCGAGTTTGCCAGCCTTCCCGGTTCCAGCGAAGGTGGCAAAGCGTTCCTCGGTGCTGACGAGGCCCCTGCTGCCGCTGCTGGTGGTGGAGATGACGAGGATATCGATTTGTTCGGTTCGGATGAGGAAGAAGACGCAGAAGCTGAGGCGATCAAGGCTCAACGTGTCAAAGAGTACGAAGAGAGAAAGGCCAATAAGAAAAAGGTGGTTGCCAAGTCGGTCGTAACGATGGATGTCAAGCCTTGGGATGATGAGACCGACATGGTTGAGCTCGAAAAGTCGGTCAGGAGTATCGAGCAAGAGGGTTTGGTTTGGGGAGCCAGTACGCTCGTCGCCATTGGTTATGGTATCAAGAAGCTCCAGATCAACCTTGTCATCGGTACGTAGCTTGTAGGGAGATTGAACCTGCCACTAACGATTCATACAGAGGACGAGCTCGTCTCGCTCGATGAGCTCCAGGAAAAGATTGCCGAGTTTGAAGACTATGTCCAGAGTACTGATATTGCTGCCATGCAAAGTATATATTCCGCCTTTTCCCATCCATTTATACTGACCTCTTGCAGAGCTCTAAAAGGTGCCGATGTCTGTAGTAGCATTAAATGTTGTGAAAATTCATTGTTGATGCATAGATGACTCTCTCTTGAGCGGTGTGAGCGAGTGCCACAGAGGGCCGTCGAACGTTGTCCCTCGCCAGTTGCAGCGAACTGTCTGAGCCACTAAAGACAGCGGACAACGCGCCATTCTTTCGACGTCAAACATTTTATAACTCTATCTCCTTACTCTCTTTGGTCCCATTACCATCGTTTTATTAGTGGACGATGCAACCCCGCGTGCCGCTCGCGCTCGCACTCGCCGTCCAGCTCCTCGTCCTCGGCCAAATCTTGTCCTGGACAACGCTCATGACATTTGCTACACCAGTCGCTACAGCAGACATCGACGAGCGAGCGCCTGTCCCAACCGCAGAGGCCCTAAGCTTGCACCGGCAATTCCGACGCACAGAGTTTCCCGACACGCCCGTATCGTGCAAATTCTGCGAACTCCATTTCAACGAGATTGATTCCTGCGCAAATGCCTCTGTCGTCTTTTCCAATGTCGCAGCGGTGAGTCCCATCATGAGTACCAAAGTGGCGAAAGGGCGCTAATACGCTATGAATAGATACTTTGGAATCCCAAAGATTTTATCTCGGTGATCAACTGCGCATGTACCGACACATTCAAGTCGACGTACCCACAATGCGTCGACTGCTTTGAACAGACAAACCAGACCGTCTTTCTCGAACCATCTGGGGGCAACCTTTCGTCCATCGTCGTCGGGATGCGTCAGATTTGTGCGCTTGGGAGTGCCATTTTCGGAGGCGTAGCGAGTGCCAATTCGCAGCTCCCTGGCCAGACGCCCGTTCCTGCTCCAACATCAGGTGCTCTACGTAGAGCATTTATCATCGCACGGTCGGGAGACGGAGGCATTTTGCTGCTCACGGCCTTGAGCACGGTCCTACTTGGGTTGACAACCGGCGTATGGACTGCGCTGTAGAGCGTCGCATTGGAGTCGAGTATCACGCGTTTTTATCTCACGCATCACATCATTTCACTGCTCACGACGGATTTGTGGACCTTTTTTTTTCTCTTGATCTCTTTGCAGGAGAGCTCTCTCTCCTGTCACGACAATCAACTCTTTACGACGTTTCTTTCTTTCTACTCGACGGATTGGATTGATCTGTGCATCTCCTTACGACCCCCCGTGACGAAATCCAACAGTGTTTTTTGAACTCGGCCATGATCTCACCTCGTCTCCGAGGGAGGATGAATTCCCCATTCTTGAACGTGTGACGGCCCGAACGTCCTAACCATGACGTTTGGACATCGGGCCTTCTCCCCGGTGCGGAGACGCCATTTTCGTCTTGTGTCCGACGATCCAGACGCGAGTGGTTTGAATGCATGGCGGAGACAGTGGTTGAGAAGCATGTGGAGGAGTGAACATGCCGTTATAGACTAGGAACTCGATACGGACTGATCGAACGGTCGAAACGCGGAGCTGAGTCGTCTCGTCCCATCCTCGGTTCGTGCATTATTCCGTTAGTGCGCTTGAAAGGAAACTCGGCGGTGTTAGAGAAATTCTGGAAACTGTTTCAGCATTCGATTCGCCGTGCCCGTGAATCTCATGCTTGGTGTGAGTTGATCGAAACGTGAGTGGCACACCTTCGCCACAGATCTAGGGCGACGTGAGCATGTGACACTTCCGAGTCTAATTCCCGTTTTCTACACGGCGACTTATTGCGGCTTTTGAAACATCACTAGAATACCATTACCTTGCTCGCTAAAAATGTTATTCCCGAATATTGAGAATTCGAATCTCGATGTATCTCTGAGCTACGCGTAGGGTGGTGAACTAGACGTTCGCGCTTGCTGCTGACCACAAAGCAATGCCGCGAATAGTGGCTCTACCAGTCGAATGCTGGGATCAAATCCTTCAACATGCCATCTACGTCCCACTCTTTTTCGACACAAATCCATTAGAGAACTACCCGGCCAGTGTGTACTATCGATACCACGACCAGGGTCCGTATTGGGAGTCGGAACGGACGCGAAACGCGCTACGACGCGTCTGTTCGTGCTGGAATCAAATTCTAAAGCGTTTTGATCATCGATACGTCGAAATTGCTCATGTAGCTTCTGGAGGAGCTCCTCCTGACGCATTGCGGAGGGCGATACGTATCAATGCGACTACTTGCGAATGCAAAATCTGCATAGAGGCCCTGCCATCGCATTTGAGCCTCTCTGTGTGGCAGCATGAGCTGGTCCTAGCGGCGGACAACGCAGGCGAAGGTGCTTGGAAGATGCAAATCCTCGATTATGAGCGTATGCCTTATCATGGCGCCGCTATTCTCGGGCGACCACTTCGCTTCCACAATCTCAAGGTCATCATGGGGTACGACGTTCCATTGGCCAGTCTCAACTTTGCTCGTATCAAATATAGCATTAAGCCTCCGATGCTTACTTCAATCGACGCGACAACTTTCGAGTGGGATGGACCAGCAGACTACCTGCAGAATACCTCTTTTCCGTACATCCGGCACCTGAGCATACACACAGTCACAAACACTCGCTCCTTCCTCGAGTGGCTCAAGACGACAGATGGCCGCCTCGTCAGTCTCTTCTTGGGAGGTGAAGTGATTAGTGATAACTTTCTCGCAGAGCTCTGGGAACTGTGTCCTCGCGTGCGGCATTTGCGACTTCCGTGCGGTGTCAAATGGTTGCCGTTGCCGCAAGGTCGGACGCTCGACCTAGTTCAGCTATCTGCTCGGCCTCCACACTTGCGGGAGCTTCCCCGGCATCAATGTGCCCTATTTGTGGTGACATTCACACGGCTGAAGCTTTCCAATTTCGTGACTGCCTCTCGCGATTTGGATTGGCGCAAGTCAGGACCATTGTTATTTTGGACGATTGGGTGACCGGCCCTTCCCGGGGGAGGCGGACGGAAGCCGCACTCTGCATTAAACTCCAGGCTGCGTCTTTGGGGATAACCGTCGTTGATAAAATGGGATATACCTTTGAAGAATTTGTAGTATCAGCGCTTGAGCAGGGTCGAAGGCACCTTTGCAGTGCCGTTTAGGCAATATATAGCAGATGGGTCGGGTTCAACCCCTGGTCACGAGAGGGTAATCGTTAGCCTCGCTTGTATAATAAAGATTCTGTTTTCAATTAAACCTCGTTGGGGTGTCCTGCGGAAGACGGTGGAACAACCAAAGATTGGAGCTGAATGCCACACTCAGATGCCGAGGACTTCGCACCTACCGGTTGAATGCTGGCACCAAATCTTGGAAGATGCCATCTTCGTCCCACTATTCTTCGATACAAATCCATTGGAGAACTATTCAATCACCATAATCCGGCGCTATCGTGACGAGACACCATACTGGGAGTCGGAACGCGTGCGAAACATTCTGAGACGCGTTTGCTCGTCATGGAACATATTTCTAAAGCAATATGATCAGCGATATGTTCAGCTCGGACACGTCCTGCTTGGAAACGCCCCTCCAGAAGCCCTTTCAAAGGCTCTTCGGATCACGGCGAGAGCGTGCATGTGCAAACTATGCATTAAAGCAGGCGGTTCATATTCATACGTTCAGAATGAACCACTCTGGTGGAGGAAAATCGCCGCTGCCGACCTCGCAGTTCAAATGAACGGACAGACGTCGTGGAGAGTACAGATACTGGATATAATGAATCGTTCGTTTGTCGAGCCAATTGTTCGGAAACCATTCCGGCTCGCAAACGTCGAGGTTGTCCTCAACTATGAGGCCCATCTTCTAAATGGCGATCACTTTGGCGTTATGAGACCTCTCTTTGTCGAGTCTGTCTGGAACGGCATCTCCGAGAGTGTGGCAAATGCCAGTTTGAGACATATGACGAGTCTGCACTTGTCCACGCCAGACATGTCTCTATTCAAAACGGTCTCTTTCCCCAATTTGCGGCATGCGAGCTTCTGGACCGGTCCTCTGCTGACAGGACCCGAGTGTGACTCCATGGTCGAATGGATCAAGCTCACAGGCCACAAGCTTGTTACCTTTTTTTGGATGGGTGAAGTAGCGGAGAATGATAGACTCATGCGGACGATTCTACGGCTATGTCCACGGCTCGAGCACGTTCAATTCCCACGCGGGACCATATGGGAACACCCTTCTCAACCCCATCAACTGAAATATCTCCGACTCGACTGCGAGTATGCCGAAGTGGAGAATTGTCCACCATGCTCGATGTGTACATACCCACACTCGCCGGATATCATTCAGTTTCAATATATCGTTTCACGACTTGCAAAGGCACAAATACCAACCCTCAGCTTACCCGAGGAATGGAGAACCTTGCTCGATCAAAAGCCACCATTTGGTATGGGTATAGAGGCGGCTGTATGCTTCAAGTCATGTGCAGAGTCTCATGGTCTAACCGTGTTGGACACATTGGGGTTTACTCTTGAACAGGCTGTCGTTTCTCAACTTGAGAGATACCTACGAGGCGATGGCTCGGGGTCTCACTTCCCGTGGATTGAATTTTGAGCAGTTTTGTATCAGAGCTTGGACATGAATTCTGAGATGTGGTCGGCTACTCAATACTCATCAACCAACACCGTATTAAACCCGAGCCTCTACTCCCATGTCACATAGTCGGCGCCCTGATTTGAGACGAATCGCCCATACTGATACAGCGCGCGAGCATCTCGGTTCCGATCTTGCTAGCACGAGAAATGGGTACTGTAAATGAATTATTAGGGATGGTTGGACCTCCTCCATCTCGTGATCGACCGAGGAACACGCTGTCCATGGTCATGCCTGTACACGTTGAATAAAGAGTCTGACGCGAGTGGGAATGGGCGCCCGCACCCAGTCTTTTCGCTTATGTGAACCGATTTACTTGACGATTGGTCGTGTGAAGCTCATCTGTACGAGTACGCGTCGACCGCGTGATACACGTAGAGGTTGGAGATTACGTGCAAGACTAATCTCTATTACGCCACGTATGAATGCTGGCCATCAGCCGGGGTGAAGAAATCGATCTTGTTTCCCTTTCAGATCAAGGGATCACGCGGGGGCGTCTCAGAAGTCTGCACTATTCAACTTGCCGCGATTAGACGGGCGCATGGACATCTCGTACTGACGTCAGGTGTCACGCCTTTTGGTCGAATTCTGACAGATTCCGAGATTGTCCATACTGGCGATCCTCATTCGCGCGGGAATCTGCGACGCGCACATGGAAGCCACTACCACTTTTGGGAAAATGTCCAAGCTAATGCCCATGAAGAGTTTGTTAGTTTCACATATTCTTGTTTAGTTGACATTTTCGTCGTGTCCTCTTGGGGATGCCAGGCTGCAACGAGGAAGATGCGAGGCTGCAAGGATCGCGTTCCAACTACAAAGACTCGGGGTAGAGCCATATTACGATCACACAAGGTAGAATCGAGTACCTTGCGATGCTCGCAGGGATGCCAGAGACGGACTTGTTCTGGCCGCTCGACTGGCCCGGCGGGGAAAAGGCCAGGCGGTTCAAGACTTTACATAGATGGCAGTTTGACATTACGGCGCCGGCAATAGTTCAGTAAAAATCTGAAATGGTAAGCATTCGGGATAAGAGGCCTCTCTTTTCCGATAAGACTATGTTTCGTCTGGTTGACCGTGCATCCCGGGATGTAATGATCCGCGACCCTGCGTCGGCTATCTAGATTCAACGGGCAGGGCTGATAGTTGTATAGTCTTTGTGCTATAGAATCTTTCTACTTGTTCGCCGTGCCTCCTGGTCCTCATGGACCTGTTTCGCCCGGGGGGCTGTCTGGAAAGCTGTTCGAGGGTGGACAGAAAGGGAAGGCCCAAGGGTATCCCTGTTGATACGCCTGAAATGGTTCGCAAGGTGGGATGTCACACCAATAAATCTCTCGGATCTTCACGCCACGCTTAATGAGGAGAAGGATGGGCAATTGAAACGCGATGATTTGTGGGAACGCTCATAAAGTCTCACGCTGGTGCGCAAAGTGATACCTCTTGATAAGCGGTGGGTTTGTCGATCACATCGGTGGCATAACATGTTAGAGAGCTGCCCAAGGGAATGGGTCTCGTTAGTGCGACGCTCCGGCGTGGATGGAGCAGCCGGTTCAACGGACCCTGCTCAGTGCAACTATTTGAGTGAAACTGATTAGAAAATGTTCTTCGGATGAGACTGCCAAATGGACAAGGCAACGATTACTGGGTGGGAACTTCTCCGATCAGTGGCTTGAGCATAGATGTTGGACGGGTGTGATCGTCGATCAGATGGCGGGGGCGAAGTTATGTGACCAGACACGATGTGTGATATTATCAAGGTTACAAATGATCGCAGGCCGGGCATTCCACAAGTGAAACGATCGAGGGTCATTCTCAGAAGTTTATCGATTTAAATGCAAACACCAAACACACCCCCAAAAGCGTGGATTGCAGCGTGTGTGGGGCACCTCGTTCGATCGCACTCCGATCATCCAGTAGATATTTAACCAGCACTCGTCGATGGATAGCTGCATTACTCTTTCTCTTCCCTCTCTCTCTCGTTCCGGGGCGTGCAATCGCCTTGTTGCCCCGTCCGTCTGGCATCTGACCGGCTCCGTTGTCTCTTGTCTTCCCCTTTAGGCAGAAACAGCGGCGGCGCACGGAGACTGTTTCTTTCCACACTAACGCGTCTGGTGCGAATTGTTGCTATCATATAGCTCCTGCGTTGTTCTTGTACGTGCGTCTCATCATCCTCCTTCAAATGACAAGTCCTGTTTGGGCGTCGCCCCTTTCTTTTTCTTTTTTCCGTGTTCATCTAAGGATATAAAACATCGCTGGTCGTTTCCCTTCCTTTTTTTTTACCTCCTCGACTGCCTCCCCTTCCTCGGGCCGTGTCCGTGTCCTGACGTCTTGCCTCTGCTCAGCCTTGGGGTCGTGGATCTCCCTTGGATCGTCCGTCACCTGAGCCCCCGTCGGCATCGCAGTTTATAGGCAGTCCCACTCGTCACTTAGCCGTTTGCCCCGCCTTCAACGCCGCCTACGTCTCGCCTCTGAGAGAGATAGGCCAGTCCGCTAACCCCCAAAGTTCGATCGATTCGACTGTCTTTGCCGACTGAAGCGATTGGCCTTGAAATTTTGACGTGTCGTAACGGCACTTCATTACCCGTTTCAAGCTCCGCTTGTTCGGCCCCCGAGATCCATTTTGCAAGGCCCCTGCGCGTGACTGGTGTTATTCTGGCAAGCTCCGCGAGAGGAAACTTCCGTTGTCGTTGTCATTTCCGAGGCCCTTTCCAGTGATCGCGAATTAGGCAGCCTGCCCGCGTCGCTAGAAACGTCTACCGAGATCGAAAAGGCTTCTAGATAAAACCCTTGTCAATCAGCCGCAACTTGTACCGTTTGCACCCCTCGCTCGTCCTGACAGACTCTTCCCCAGTCGTCTGCCTGTCCTGTGCGTTGCTGCCACTCGCACCTGGTCATGTTCTGATGCGCGCTTTCTCCCCTTTTAAAGGTACTAGGTCTGCAAAGTTTGAAACATCAATGGCGCTCCCACCTCCAACAAACCCGGCTAGTCGTCCAGTCGACCCCAAGCAGCTCCTCGATCGTTCCGCCCGCGAGTTTCTATCCAGGCGTGACCTTGATCCCCGACGACGGAGTACAACCCCGGCCCCTATTAGTAGTAGTAACGGATATTATACGTCCAACGGCTATGCTTCCCCCGCGCCTGGAAACGCTTCGTCCGCCGTCGCCGCCCACCGAGCCATGAACAATACTCTGCCACCCATTACCAGCAGGACAACCGAGTACTCGGCTCAGCAAAAAGCTGGTTCGTTATTCTCGCCAATTCGTTCCAGATTACAACTTACAATTCCCCTAGCCGCAGATATCAAAAGATCTCCGACAGCGGTACCAATCAGCTCTTCAAATCGATCCATCTATCCAGGACATATGCTCCCCCATGCCCCCTCTAGGTCCAACTCTTCCTATGTTCCGTATGGCAACTATGCAAATTCAGATTCTCGCACAAATGGCGAATATCACCAGCCAACACCTATGTATCCATCATCTACATCTCCGCCTTCTTCCCCGCCATATTCCAACTCGCGATCCCCACTCTCCTCCAGTTCCATTGCGAGTCCACCACCTCAATCGCCCGCTTCGTCTCTATCCTCGCATCGCTCGCACTCTCAATCGTATGGCTACAACTCTTCTTCTCCACCACCTCACCCTCACCTTCCGTCATCCTCGGGCGCGCTCACCGACTATGCCTCTTCAGGGCGGCTAGTACCTAGCCGTCACTCGCGCCGGACGAGTCACGACGTCCGACCCTCTTCTACTTCGTCAGGATTACATCACCACTACTCTTCCTCCTCTCCCTCTTCTGGCTATCCAAGGGTTGGACCAGCACTGGCAAACAATCTTCCGCCCGTCTTACCCCGACCGCCGAATACCTCTGGAGCCACAAGCGGATATCCTCCTCCTCCTAGACGTTCTAGTACCCTCGGTCCCGGTATCAGCTCTGCCAATGGAAGGAGTGGGAGGAGCATTGGTAAATTGACTGGTATCGACGACGAAGATGCCACCACTGCCGTCAATACCTATTATCAGCGTGCCTAGCACCCGTTGATGCGGAAAAAATGTCTCTTATGATTGCGTCCATTAGGACATTCAATGGCCGACGCTGCCCCCGAGCTATCCACAAGCCCAGTATGCAGATGCATCTGGAGTATCGTCGGCATAGCACAGATATTACACTACGTACCATTCACTCGACGCTGACGTTGGGGATGAACGGCGGGTTCTACGCGGTTTGGAATGATTTGACTCTCTCTCTCACATTGCTGCCGCCCAGAGCCCCCTTTTTTTAAAAAAAGGTAATCAGCATCGTTATTCTTCATGACTTGTTCGATTCGTGCTCTTTCTGGCATCCAGATTCTTTTCATGTCGCCACTTATTCTGTACATCAGTGCGACGCTCATACTTCTCCTACACTCACTCGCATACCATTTGATCTATATTGCATATCATCCACTAGTACTTTTTTTACTCTCGATACACACCGACATGGCCATGGCCATGTATCCATCGTGTTTCCGACTGTTTGATCGTCCTGTGCTCTGTGTCTCTTTACTCCGAATCAGTTTGGGTTTTGGTGCCGCCGTGCTCAGATCTCCGTTTTGCTCTCCTGTGTCCCCAGCTGAACAATACTGACCACGCGTGAATACTCGATGACTGTACAAGAAAAAGGTACGTCTCTACATACTGATAACCAGACAGATCAGAATAAGAAATGCCAAGCGTACATAAAGGAGGACATTTGAAAACAGGTAGAGTATTGCTGTTCAGCGAATGAAATGCCTCGTCGGCGCCTTTTCAAGCATTGCTGGGACCGCATCGCCGAAGTGAACGTATGACTCCCCATACAATGGTAAGCGCCATACAGCTGACTAGGGGAATTGAAGCGGGATAAGTCAATATCCCCGCCTCTTACGAGACTAGCTAGGAAAGGCATCCCAAGCTTGAGATGCCGCTTAACCCATGCTCTGTAACCGAGTCGGATGCGATAGTCATGTAACACAAATGTCGCAGTATTCGCTCAGTTCGTCGTAGCGGCGAATCGCAATTCCCCTGCGCAGCAACCTCTCGACATCGGAGGGTCAACTATATGCGAGTGCGAGGCGACGCTACACATCTCGGATATCTCCTATGTTCGGGCGGCACGATTGTTGTATCGCCCCTGGTTCTGAAGGAGGCATATGCGTCGTGGTGTGCTCCCGGAGATCCTGTTTGTTGATGCTGGGCAATATATTCCTCATCCAAGTGCTACATAATCTAGGTGTCACGTAAACTCTGCCTATTATTCTCAGGCGCACTCCATGGCGGCGGCGGTTCCTCTTCGCCTTCACTCAGCACGCTTTCCCTCGCTCCGACATGTCCATATCTCCCATTTTCTGCCAACGTTGGATCGCGACCGTGTATCCTTGCGACGATACTTTCCGCCAACCGATCGATATCCCTCTCGCTCAAATTGGGGGCAACAGTCTGGGCAAGTGTACGGGCGGAAATAGAACCAGATCCAAGCGAATCGTCGTCTCTTCCTCTTCGATGAGAACGATGACGACGTGTGCTTGGATATCGCCGGGAGGACTCTGAGCCAGACGTGGATGGGGTGACGAGGGAGATGCCTGATTCGGTCGCTACTGTCCCACTGGCAAATGCCCCTCGCCAATGGAGATGCCTGCCCGATGACGAGCCCGACGAAGGTGACCGTCTAGCCTCTCTGTCTCGACGCTGATGATGGCTACGTGAACGATAGGGTGGTGTTGCTGAATCCGCAGGCGAGAGGACAGTATCTCCAGTAATCGACGATGCATTTTCTAGCGACGGGTTGTGAGTGTGTCCACTTGCATTCCTGCGCTCCAAGGACGCTAGTCTCGCTTCCTCCGCCGCCATTCGGATTTTGGCCAAGCCCGCGGCGCCAGTAATAGATTCATGTGACTCTCCCCCAAGATAGTGACCTGGTTGCACATTGAGGTTGGAACCAATGTTATACGGTACCTGCATCCGGTCAGCAACCCACCCTGACAAATAGGAGATCGACAGACCTCTTCCGTAGGTTCATTGTGTACCTCAATCATAATATTTTGCTCCTGTTGTGCTACCTTTTCGAGCTTTGCTTGTTTTCTGCGCCTCCACAAACAGAAGAGCAAGAGGAAAAGGATGGAGAGTGTGCCCAAGATTGACCCAACAATGGCAGGGATCAAGTACGGGGTATTTGATTTTCCTTGTCCACTCGCATTCTCGTTCGCCGAGTTATTGGTAGAAGAGCCACCAATGTCTGGAAGAGAAAGACTGCTAAGTGTAATGGTGGCAGCCACTATGGATCCCCCCGGAAGGGTCGTACTTCCAGACACTGTGACGCTCGTAAAGAGAACAGCACCACTTGTACTTCCTCCCGTCCGTGTATCTCCAGAGGATGACCCATTGGCAACAGAGCCTGATGATGGGTTGGGATTTGCGCCGCCGTTTGTCTGCGTTGAACCGGCGTTGTTACTCGAGCTCCCTCCAGAGTTGTTATTGTTATTATTATTATTATTCGCACCCCCGTTATTCGAGCTTCCGTTGTTGTTGTTGTTGTTGGTGCTGCTCGGGCTCGACGCAGGCGGGTTGGCAGACTGCTGAGGTGTACTTGGTGCTGGGGCTTGATATGTTGGGTTGTATCCAACTCTAAGAATGGAATGTTAGAATGAAATGACGCGACGAATGGCAGACGCACATTGCAGAGAACCGTGAGCCTGGGCAAACCCACCATTATTACTCGAGAAGCAACTATTGATCACGCCTAGACTATGTCAATCAGACTACCTTGTGGTCTGCGGAACCTACTCGAGGATCGGGACGCCTACATAAATGAGATAAGTTCGCAATTCAGGCAGAATTCGTGTAGCAAAAGACTCACCCAGGCCGTGTCACAGTAGATGAAAGGTGAGCTAACGAGATTTTGAAGCGAGAATCTGCATGTTCCAGAGTCTACAGTGACCGTCTGAAGATCTTGGACGGTAAACTGGCTCGCTTTGAACAGCATCAACGTTTCGTTCACGCTTTCAACTATAGAGTTCAATAACGTACCGCGACCATTAAGAAAGCTGAGCAACTGGCTACAATCGCTTGCGGACGGACGCTGAGGCGAGTCGTTGGTACACCTCGGAGGCGCATCTGCAGGACAAATGTACTCTTGTCGTTTATGTACTAGTTTCCTCCGTCTATTTATTAGATTATCTGAACAGTCGGTCGAGTAGATGGCCGGGTGGAATGGATCTGAACGAGCGGGTGCGAGTTGGACGGTGATTCCTGGATGTCCATTGGGACATAGAATCTCTATAAACCAATTAAAGGGATAAGATAGCAAATGTGTATTATACATACCAGGTAACGAAGAAGCAAACGAGTGGATGACAAGGGAGAGAATAAATAGCACACGAGTTATAAGCTGCCTTTGGATTCGGTATCCCATTTAGACGGCGACTCCAGACGCAAGCTATTACGCCTGTAGCCCAGCTTTCTCGCAGAGGATAGAGAGGGGATGGTCCCAGAGAGGGAGAGGTGGGAGTTGTCGACGGCGGCGGGAACAAGAAGAGAAAACGATGAATTCGAGGAGAAGAAAGGAAGATCGGACACTGCTCTGGCCGCCTGCGTCTGCAATACTCACGTTCCCAGGCTACCAAGCATCCGGTGCGATGACCACGCTCGGAAGCGCTTAGCGAGTGCGCTGACATTATAAATGGTCAGGGGTCCAACGTAAGGGATGTAATGCATCTAACTCGTGTATACTATTTATTCATTACACCGACAGCTTGCTCCGTGCTACACGGAACCAAGAGGCAACAGGTAAGAAGGTAGAATAAAACAGTCCATATGTTTAATTATTGTCCAAATCAACTTGCACCAGGCCTTCGTCCATTCCACGATGCACGCCATGGCGGCGGTGGGTCTTCCCCGTAGACAGTGCCCTCGCCACCGTACGCCAATGGAGCGAATCCATCCGAAGCGTGCGGAACGCCAGCACCCGTACCAGAAATACTAGCTCCTGGTCCTCCGCCATGGAACTGCGCATACCCTACCGAACCAAGCGTTTGTCCATTTCCTCCAGCAGACGCCAAGGCAGCCGCCGTATCGCGCGCTTGCATCCGCGCAACGATACTATCTGCCAATCGATGAATATCATCCTCCGAGAGGTTTGGCGCCATGGCCTGTGCAAGGGTGCGCGCGGACATGGAACGCCGACGTTGATTCGTCGCGTGCGAGGCAAGTACAGCATCAATCTCAGCGTGTGTTGGTAGATCGGGGTTGCCGAGTTCTAGTTCGTATTGATCTCCGTGTTGGCGATACGGTTGTGGGTGCTCATCGGAAGTAGGCTGAAGTCCACTATTCGTCGTGATTGGCGAATCTAAAGGGCTTGCCGTTCCTGTATTCGCACCACCCAGGAGATGGTTCACAGACGAGGTTGAATATTCTGACATGGGGGCGGCAGGTCGAACGACCCGCCCACCATTGTAGAACATGTTGGCTTTATTCGAGCCAAACCCAAATCCATGGTTGTGATGATCGCTGTTGGTGTTCGTAGGCGGGATAGTGAAGGTCTGCGACTGAGATTCGGTCATAATAGATCCACGAGCGGACTAGAAGAAACAAGGGTTATTTGAGAGAAACTGAAAGAGGATTCCCACTAACCGTCCTTGGCTGTCCATTAGCATCATGAACGGACTCATCGTATATCTTCACTGTCGAGTTGCGGCGCTGCTGCATCTTCCTACACCAATACAGCAAGGCACCTACCAATCCCAACAAGGCTATACCACCCATCACGCCGCCAACAATCACAGCTGGACCTGGGCCTTTACGTTGTACCCCTCCGTTGGTATTTTCATCATTATTGTTGTTGGGAGTCTCAGCATTTGCTGAGGCAATCGAGGCACCACCACTGAGCCCCTGTGGGACCTCATGGGACGACGACTGGCTACTGGTTGGAGTCGGTGAGTGGCCAGTACTACTAGATAATAAGGTGGAAGAGCTCTGCGTGGAGCTCGAACCACTGCTTGATGATGAGGCACCAGCAGCAGAGGACTGTTGCGTCGAAGCGACGTTATTGTTTGCAGTGCTACTCTGCTCTGGTGGCGAAGAAGCAGGGTAGGTTGGTGGCGGCGTATAAGCGGGAGCGGCTGGGTTCAGACACACGCTGATAACACGTCAACTTTTCGTAGAAGATGGAGGGGGAGGACACACTCGAGCTTAAACTGCGTAATATCGCAGTATCCTCCAGGTGTTTGCGGTAGACATGTTGAGATCAAAGCTGCAAGGGTGGTTAAATATGGTCATCCGGTGAGTTGCAATCTCACCATTGGATTGAGAGGCCTAACGTTTGATTAGTCGCCATTGAAATGGGTAGAAGAAGTACATACCCAGCTCGAGTCACACCAGGTCACCGACGACGCGGCATTGTTGGTAAAGCGGAACAGACAAGTATTCGAGGTGACGGAGACAGATTGTTTCCCATTGACGGCTGTCTGGATATCTACAAGAGCACGTTCAAACTTGGATTGAGTAGTGGAAGCTGAGTACGTACTTCGACCTTGTAGGTAACTCGACAAGGCTTGACAGTCGCTCGTCAACGGAGTCCCCGTCCCGCCATAACACCTCGCGGCGCGTGTGCAATCAGTCGAGCATACACTGGTCTGTCTTTTCTCGAGCGAGGTGCTCGTGTTGGGCTCTATCAACGTCGCATTTGCGTGTATCCACGGGCAGTCGATGGTAAAGATGGCGGGCTGAAAGGGCTGCTCTACAAAGTGTTGGAGATAATTTATGATCCCCTGCTTGCCATCAGGACACAGGAATTCTACAATGGTACCATCAACACGCGGTTACGACCACGTTACATGAAAAGAGTATGGTCGTACCTTCACCAGGCTGTATAAAGCCGGCATATGTAGTCAAAAAGAGGGTAAAAAACCAAAAGAGTGTGTGATTCCGCATGATAGGCGGGTTATACGGTGTAGGGGGCGTCTGAACGGGACAACCGAGTCCAAGAGTTCAGCAGTGGGCAAACCATATGAAATGCTGTGTGAATCCGACGCTTGGAGATGCCATGAAACCACAATTTCTCACAATTCAACACCGGGGTTAACGCGGTGGGAAAAAGGGTTTTGTCCACCACGGATGGCCCTTATACCCGAGCTCGTAGACGCTCTTCGGCTCAGCTGTCTGCAGCTGGATCAAGAGTGTCCAGAAAATATTAAAAATATAAGAAGGCGGCTACTGGGCTACTTTGACTCGCGCGATGAACAGCAACTCGAGGAGCTGAGAGTGGCCGTGTATAGAAGCCTCCCAACGAACGATGCCGTTGCTTGTCGAGCTCTCTATGCAGATATTTGCATCGCCCAATGCCTGTTGGATATACAAGACGACGCTTCGGACACGCAGAAGATGTTCATCTGTATCCAGCGATTAGATGGTGCTCTCGTCTTCTCGGGGGCACCAGGACGACAAGATTCTGTCCACGCATTGATCAAATCCGCCCAATCTCAGCTTCCAAAACAGTCCCCATCGCTTGTTTCTTCCCAGACATTCCTCTCGCGCGCAGACCACGAGCCAGAAGTACCAGAATGTGGTGGACGGATACAGGAGATGCAAGAAGAGCCAGATATGATGCAATTTCTCAACAAGTACAGCAAAGTACCGTTTATCGTCAGAGGAGGAATTAGGCATTGGCCAGCTGTCGAAAAGTGGACCTTCCCTGCATACCTTCTGTCTATCACCGGACGAGGTCGTGTAGTACCAGTTGAAGTCGGCAAAGACTACCGTGTGGATGGCTGGAACCAAACGATGATGTCGTGGGAGGCATTCCTTCAACATCTTGAGAAGAAAGATGCTGGTGATGAACCGCTCTATCTCGCCCAACATTCGCTCCTGTCACAGTTTCCAGCGCTTAGGGAGGACGTAGTGGTCCCAGACCTTGTATACTACGCGCCAACGCCTTCACCAGACACGCCGGGGTATTCTCCACCAAACAACGACGAAGGCCTCATCATCAACGCATGGTTAGGGCCCTTTGGTACGATTTCACCTGCTCACCAAGTGCGTACTCATCTGAATAAGAGTGCGAACACGACTTACAGACCTTTGTGGCAATAGGATCCATATTTCAATTGCTATGGTATGCATTTTCCAATCCCTTCATTGGGTGATATTGATGGACGAAGCCCAAGTCGTCGGTCGCAAAACTGTCTGGCTCGCTTCACCGGCTCTACAAGAGGAATTGCGACCCCTACCTCAAGATTCAGGGTTGGGGAATACGAGTACACTTGATGTCTTCTTACTCACACGTGAATCCAATCCTACTGTTCTAGAGCGGTCCATGGTAATCACGCTCCAGCCAGGTGATCTTGTACGTCCACCAGCCTCTTTCCTCCTCGTCTACCGTTGACATTTCCCTCATAAACTTGTGATACAACAATATTCCCTTAGCTCTTTTTTCCACCACAGTGGTGGCACGCTATGCGAAGCGAAGATACAAGCTTCTCCGTCTCCTTCTGGTTCTAATTTCGCGCTCGACATATTGAATAATAATGAGGGCCAGGTTGAACCCTTTTAGCACGAATATTGGTTGCATTACAATATCGGCTATGCACAGCCGACCGTAGCTATTTCTCACCAGTTGTCGGGGTGACTATTTTCGACGCACGATACATATAGGGGACCCTCCAGTATGCCCCTTCGCTCGTACTTGATCAACCCGTTCCTTTCAAAGTCACTCACTCAGCTAAACTATGAAACGTGCCGTCGCTCCCTTCCTCCTGTTCTCTGCAGTACGAGTAGCTCTCGCTGCTAACTGCGCGTGCGGATACATCGATTCAAACAATCGTGTCTGGGTGCGTTTTTGTTTTTGTCAAGCATCGCAAAGCTGATCATCCGTCTATCTTCACCACCTAATGCACACCGTACATCCAGCGCGAGGCAATCGTGTCCAACTTCACTCAACCACAAGGCGCTCTCGCGGCTGTCAACGATAATTGGATCATTTCGTCCGAAACGATCGTACAGTCGGGACAGAATCAAAAGAATATCGAATATGTCACGGGAAATGTGTTCCAGTACAACGACGCATTGGGTATTCGGGCATCAGCTGTAAGTCACCCTCCATTAGATGCACCTTTCCGCCTTTGGAAACTCCGTATGGGATATGATACCGACGCAAATCTTTATAGTATACAGGCGGTGCAGGTGTCAAATCTGGAGAAATATTTACAGAAGTGAGTCCATCGTACATGTCAAGGACCGAGCTGAAGAGAGACAGCGCTCGAATATCCTGTACGGCACCTTCCGCATGCGCGCTGTCGTCCCCACCGTTCCAGGTGTCGTCTTTGGTACGCCTGTGTGGCTCTCTCCTAATGTCATTGACCTCGAATCGCATGATGAACAGGGTTCTTTACGTACATCAATGAAGTCCAGGAACAAGACATCGAATTTCTCTCATCGGATGAGGATTACTACCAGCATGTGTACTATACCAACCAGCCGGGTCAACTGAATGGCGACGTTGATTGGGATGCACACAAGGTAAGCTCATGCCATCTTATTTGCAGTGTTGACATTGGTTCCCAGGATGTCGTCGTACCCGGAGCGGACTTTACGTGCGTCCACATATCCTGTGCTCTATATCGAAAGTAGCTGACGGCAATGCCTTGCAGCGCATTTGGCGAACACCGGATCGATTGGTTGCCGAGTGCGTCCGAGTATTACTACCAAGGTTCAAAGACCGCAGTCAGTGCCAAATGACCCTTCAAATGAGAAATTGAACTCACATCGCGTAGACCATCACGAAAAATGTACCGAATACACCATCCGAATTGGTCCTCAACGTTTGGAGCAATGGTGATCCGTGAGTATCTACTCATTCAATGTCTCCCCGCTCCTCCAGGGCAATAGCTGATGTTTCTATCAGCAATTTTTCGCGCGGTCCCCCGACTGCAGATGCCATTGCGACCGTTCAGTGGGTGCAACTCTACTTCAATTCGACAGCCGTGTCGGAGAGTGCATTCAATTCGGCGTGTGCAGCTGCTGGACATGTTCCGCAGTGTCGTGTATAGGCGATTTGATCCGCTGTAAAGCAGTCGCGGCGAATAGAGATTATGATTCGTGGGTCATAGTCGTAAGATGAACACGAAAAGTACAATGTCAGCCCCCACGAGGATGAGGGAGACAAAGATGACAATCCATCCGGCAGTGACGAATGGTGCGCCGAATATTCGCTTTGTCGTGGAGTTTGTTGGTGCCGGAAGTGGGCGCAACTGATCTGAAAAGTCCCTATTCGAATGTCTGCGTCGTAGGTACGCTGCAGTAATCAAGAAACCGGCGATAATGATGTAGAGAACCCCGACTAAACGGCGAGAGTCAAACAAATGAACGTGGGAGCGCTGAAGACCTACTGTTGTAGAATCGCTCATCGAATACGCGGAGAAAGAGTACTGCGGTTCCAAGTGTGAGGACAATGGATCGTGTATAGCCTGCATCGTATGTTCGCTGGCGAGCGCGCAGCTCCACAAGTTCCGCATTGTCGACAACTGTAAAACTCTTTCTCCTGTGTCCACGATAAGTGAAATGTCTCTTCCCGTCTGGCGTGTTCATATTCCACACTTTTGTCAAATGTGGTCACCACCAACTTGGAAGCTTTCTATGCGGGTCCGCCCTCCACGTCTCAGGCTAAAGCCACAAACACGGCAGTATTCAAACAGCGCAGCACGCAATAATGCAAAGACAAAATCCAGTTCGACGCCAAAGTTTGATATTTCGCCTGCGACCGGACAACTTTTGCTTATTGGCGGAGTTGTGGGTTGGGGAATAGTAGCTGGACTTTCTATACGGTCACAACTAGAAGAGGAGACCTGGTATGAAGGCCTCAAACACTCTTGGTTCACGGCCAAGCCTACACCAAATGTCACCAAGGCCATTTCAATGTTGAAATCCGTTTTCCCGGAGCAAGGAAGGCTTCTCACTGATGCAAAGGTCCTTACCTCAGATGCGGCTACACAATTCTTAGCGTATATCGGAAGTGAGGCCGCTCTTCCTCATAAAGCCATTGTCTTCCCTCAAAGTACCGAGGATGTCGTCAAAATTGTCAAGATTTGTAAATCTTGCAATGTATCAATTGTTCCTCGAGGAAGTGGGACTGGATTGGAGGGGCACGCAAGCGGCGTATGTCCTTCTCGTTTCTTTACTCTCTCCTAATCGTTATAGACAACAGGAGACTCTATATGCATCGACCTTTCACAAATGGATAGGATAATACATATAAACGGTTGGTACTTTAGGTTTCAGCTGCGAGGCCCAACCTAACTGCAGTAGTTGCTGACAGCGACCTCACATGTCAAGCTGGAGCGACATGGGATGGTGTCAACGAAATACTCCGGAAAAAGGGGATTCCTCTATTCTTTCCAGTACGTTGACCAGGGGTTCTTCAACACAAACTAATATTGATAGTTGGATCCTGCATCAGGATCTAGCCTTGGAGGTAATCTGTCTACGAGCTGTTCAGGACGTGAGTGGCCCTCTTTCTCTTTGCTCATACTGACTACGTCGTAGCCAACGCCGTACGGTACGGTACTGCAAGAGGAGAATGGTTTCTCTCCGCTGTGGGCATATTTACCTCGTCAGAGTGTTTGTTCACATTTAAGAACAGACTGTGGTTCTAGCTTCCGGAGAAGTGATCAAGACCCGTCGCCGAGCGCACAAGTCCTCAGCCGGGTTTGACCTTACCCAACTGTTCATTGGGGCAGAAGGTACATTAGGGATAGTCACCGAGGTGACCATCAAGCTCGCCCCGGCTCTGCCGACCACGGTAGCACTCGCTCACTTTCCAAACGTCGATTTCGCCTGCCGTGCAGTGGATGCGTTGTTGAAGAGTCACTCAGGAATGCACATTCGTACGTTCATCCTGATAGAGGCTACCCTGTGTACTAAAATTGGTAGAATGTGTGGAGCTGACAGACTCGACCTTTATGAAAGCCCTCAATCATTCCTTGTCTCAGTCCGTGACAGACAGAGCCACCCGTTATCCAGTATCAGATACGTTGTTCATCAAGATTCAAGGTAGCTCTATCATGCAGAACGATACTTTGGCCGATATACAACGAACCCTGGCGCAGTATGGATGTGAGGACATCCGAGTTGCTCGTGGAGAGGAGGAAGCGGATGCGATGTGGGGTCATAGACGAGGAGCGCTTCCAGCTATATTGGGATATATCGAGGGTAGCCAAGTATGGTCCACAGATGTCTGGTATGACTCCCTCCCACCGTTGCTTGGATGCTGATTTGTTTAGCGTACCAGTTTCAAATCTCGCCAGCCTTGTACGACAGGTGCAAGAGGACGCTGCTAAAGCTGGTATAATATGCCCGATAGTTGGCCATGTCGGAGATGGAAACTTTCATGCAGCACTGATATATCGCAATCCAGCCGAGTTTTCAAAAGTCAAGGAGCTCAGCCGGCGGATTGTTGAACGTGCGTTAGAACTGGATGGAACTTGTGTGTTCTTCTTCACCGTAGATGCCATCATTGACGCTTATTAGGCACGGGAGAGCACGGCGTCGGAGTTGGCAAAAGGCAATATCTAATTCCTGAACTTGGAACTGGTACCGTGGAACTCATGAAGGTGATCAAAAAAAGGCTGGATCCAACTAACATGATGAATCCCGGAAAGGTACGTAACACAAGCTTGCCTAACATTCACTGAATCCCTAGTAGCTTTACCCATCTGATTGATTACGATATCTAATACAGTAATCGCCCCTAACTAGTTCATCAATGACGATATTTGTATCTTTGAGTTCGCGAACTGAAAATTTGAATTTTGGAGCCGGCCTTGACCATGGCCACTACCACTGAACTCATGAGCTCCGCTTATTCTGCTCTCGAGGCGCATGCGCAGCTTATGAAAACTGTCGAAGCTGGGCACCATCGTCGACGCGCGTTGATTTCCAACCTTTCGCCCAGTGCCACTGCTGGGATCTCGTTTCCTGACCTTCCATCCCGCCCCATTTCTCCCGAGTCTCCAAATGCAGAGAGCAAGGAACAGGACGTACATTACGAACGGCGTCAGAGGCAGCTACGACGAACAGATTTACCACCAGAGAAGATGGAAAAGGTGAAAAGGTATCATAATTATATACCAGAAGAGGAGACAATTCGAAACGATTACTCGCAACAGTATGTCGATGGAGGTGACTGGCCGCAAAATTGGGTGCTTGGAGCAGAGTTGGAGCACCGTTTCGAGGAGTAGGGTCTCTATATCTCAGCTATAAAGTCTTCTCATATGTCACATCAGATACCCAAAGCAGCGTCGTCTGTTGGAATTGAAACAACTCGCAGTCAAGTCTCAGGCGCATCCTCCTGCACACCTCCCACTCTCATCCTTGCAGTCGTTACACCCTTGCAAGTTCGACGTGATCCTCATTGACCCACCGTACTCGGACACATCGATCAATCCGCCTTATGGAGGTATTGACTGGGGACAAATTGCTGAACTCCCTGTACCGGCACTCTCAGCGGATCCAAGCTTCGTATTTCTCTGGGTTGGACACGGCAACTCGGATGGTCTAGAAAGAGGAAGGGAGGTGCTTGCCAAATGGGGGTTTCGACGGTGCGAGGACATCGTGTGGGTTAAGACGAACAAGACATCAAATCGTGGACCAGGTGTACGTCATCAATCTACTATTGGCAAGAGGCTGAGTCGAGTCCTAGACAGACCCACCTCCCATTGGAGGTATCATGACTCGCACAACCGAGCACTGCCTGATGGGTATTCGAGGAACCGTCAGACGTTCAACCGATGGGTGGTTCGTCCATTGTAATATTGATACGGACGTTATCATCTGGGAAGGGGACCCGACTGGTATGTCCCTTCAGGAATGCCGCCGTCGCTGCTGATTTTTGTAGATGGTTTGAGAAAGCCACCGGAGATGTATTCCTTGATTGAAAACTTTTGTCTTGGGACTCGACGCCTGGAGATTTTTGGGCGGGCATCTTCACTTCGTCCTGGATGGGTCACGGTCGGTGACATAGATGATGCCGCCTATGAATTAGAAAAGGTTGACGGAAGGCCGTGGGATAGAGAGTGGTACGATCAGGACGTCCGTCGGCAGGTCGAACTGGGAAATGGCAAGCCAGTGGTCGTAACAACTCCAGGTACACCCTCACTTTGACATATTCCCGTATACTGAAGCCTTGAGAAGAGATTGAGCAATTGCGACCAAAGTCACCCAACCGACCAGACAGGACAAATCAAGCATCTGGTTCCTCGACTCCGTCTCAAGGCCGCATGAATAACTCTGCACCACAGATGCAGAACATGGTACCGAATCAGCAAATGCAGATGATGCACGGTGGGATGCACCATATGCAGGCAGGGCCAGGACCGGTGGGCATCCCCGGCTTCAGCTCACCGGGCATGGTGCCCATGATGGGAGCCAACTTCAACCCAGGATTTCCGCAGGGAGAAGGGATGATGATGCAACCCAACATGCAACCGATGATGGGAATGGGCAACTCGCCAATGGGGGGAATGCGACCGTCTCTACCAGCGAATCCTATGCAGGCCCAGCCTATGATGGGTGCACCTATGAATCCTATGGGGATGACAGCGCCTATTATTCTTCCTCAAAACGCACCCATACGCTTTGGGGGTGGCCCTATGCAGAATCTCCAGATACCAAATGCGATGGGAGGAGGGATGATGATGCCAAACATGATGGGTCCTATGCAGGGTATGCAGCCTGGGGGTATGGGGATGAATATGCAAGGCGGGGCCATGCTTCTTCCTTCTGGTCCAATGAGTGGGATGCAAATGGGCATGCAGCCACCTCAAATGAACCCAATGGTTCCTGGGATGAATGGTATGCAGTTTATGAACAATAATCGGAACTGGCAGCCCAACAACCCACAAGGCGGGAACTGGAATCCAAACCAGAACTATTAGATAGATGTACACTGTAGCTTTAGCTCTCTCGGATATACGCTCTTTGATGCAATTTATAAAACCCGTTGAACTTTTCTTGGATTCTACTCCATCGAATGAGAACCGGTGTCACTCCAAGAATGGCATCCATAGACCTCTCACTCGATCGTATAAGAACTCTAATTTCCCTACTCTCTCGATATACACGGCCGACGATTCACATCGCCGGTACAAACGGCAAAGGCAGTGTCGCGAGCATCGTTTCCTCCATTTTGCATCAGTCCGGCCTCAAAGTAGGGAGATTTACGAGCCCTCATCTCGTCACTGTTCGAGATTCGATTACTATCGGACAAGTAGCCGTCACGCAAGAGCGATATCAGCGCACGAGGAGCATCGTCGACCGACTTAACAGACAGGGCGATTCGTCCACGCCTCCTCCCAACACGACCATATTCGAAGCCTTGACTGCAACTGCCTTGCAAATCTTTGAGGAAGAAAAGGTCGACGTCGCGGTTGTAGAAGTTGGAATGGGTGGACGACTCGACGCGACAAATGTAATTCCTGACGAGGTTGTCAAAGTCTCAGCTATCACTGCTGTAGATATTGATCATGTGCGATGGCTGGGCTCGAGCGTGTCCTCTATAGCTCGAGAGAAAGCTGGAATCGCCCGGCATGGCGTGCCGCTGGTATTGGGACCTCAACCAAGAGTTGAAGTCCAGCAAGTAGTCGCAGAATGCGCTAGAAATGTTGGGACCACCCTCGTTGCTCCAGCAAAAGTCTCGACGATGCCTCCAACAGCCTCTGCCCTTCCTCCCCCTCCACAAACTGTATTATATCACCCAAGAAATGGGGAGCAGCTATCAACCTAGAGTTTCCGCTATTCGGAAGCCACCAGATTGACAACTTGTCCACTGCTCTATCCATCATCGAGTGCTTGCAGGAGCAAAATGCTTTTACTCGTTCCATCACATCAAATTCAATAACGCAAGGTGTCAAGCTCGTTCGCTGGGCGGGAAGACTCGAGTTTCTGGAGTTTGCCTCGTCAAGCGGCAAGCGGCTCCTACTTCTCGTAGATGGAGCCCACAACAGTGCATCAATGCAATCACTGAGGAGATATATTGACGATAATCACCTCAATGCGCACTCTCCCGTCTTCATCGTCGCACTTTCCGAATCTCCCCCCAAAACACCAACGGAGACTTTGGGTCCTCTACTGCGTGCGGGGGACCGGGTGTATGTAACACGATTTTCGCCAGTGGAAGACATGCCGTGGGTACGGCCGACCTCACCTGATGAGGTTGCAGAATCCGCCAAGACGCTGGTGGGTCCGACAGGGATGGTATGGACATCAGAGGGAGAGAGCAGTATTGGAAACCTCGAGGCTCTTACAGAGATACTCGAGAGAGTTGCGACCGAGTCGAGCTTTGCGATCGTAGTTGGTAGCCTATACCTCGTCGCAGATATATATAGGCTAAAGGATAGCCTCGTATTCGGCGTTGAACCATGAAATTCAATGACAATTTCGAGCTTGGCGCGGCGCCCGCGAGATAAACCCTGCTCTCTTCTACGAACATGTCCTTGTCACGCATCCGCGACCTATCTCTCATACCCAGTACTTCATATACATACCGTGGTCGTCGAAGAGATAGCTATGCACCTCTTGACCGGGCGGAGCTCCAAGAACTTCGAGCGCGGATGCGAACCTACGATCAGGCGTATATTCGAACAGCAATCATGAACCTAGGCTATTCTGTTGTCGTTCTTAAACTCTTTGATACAAGATTTCATCGCAGTAAGTTGTATCCTCCTTGCTGGTGATAACCCTCTCACACTGTACAAGTCGGTCTACTCTTCTCTGCGCTAGGAGGTAACGTTCTACCGCGATATTTTCTGCAGAAGAAAGTGTTGACAATCTGCTTGCTTTAGCCGTGTTGTACATGTGCGCCCTCGCCCGTCGAAGACATTCGAATCTCGACTTTGCAGATCAAGAGGTTCCACAAGAAGCGCGTTCTCCCGTCTCTTCTCTCCATGGTTCACGAATCTTTGGAAGACCATTTCGAACAGCAGGAAATGTTGTCCTTCTCGTCTCGCTCCTGGTCACTTCGACACACATCACTCTTTTCGTCCTTTTGTTCCATCTCTAAACCATTTTACACCGTGTACAACATTCTCAACCTACCATCGACTCGCGTGACACTGATAGCAGATTCATGTCCTCATCTTGAATTCGAATGGCGCAATAAATCGTTCCTGGCCCGCTCGCCTTCTTCGTGCCGATCATGCCCCTTATCTCCTTCGGTAAATAGTCAATTCGGCTCGGTTACTAATGCACGAGCATAGCGCTCGCCTGTCTTCATTTACGTACGTCACTAAATATCCACTACGTAAAGCGCAATCTATTCAAGGGTGACACGTGTGTACTGATCCAACTTTGGAATCCTCCACGACCTCTACGGCATGTCAATTCCCCGGTTCCATGTATCGCTCGCACCACATGCACCTCACACGTACCACGGTCATCGGAGACAAAGTTATGCTCCGATGGACCGCGCCGAGATGGTTGAACTTCGAGCACGGATGCGGACTTTTGACCAGGCATACATCCGAACGGCCGTAATGAACCTCGGATATTCGATTGTAATCTTGAAACTCTTTGATCGACGATTCTATCGCAGTAAGTTGCGCGTCTGGGATGAACATCTAGCCTAGTTACTCACGTCATCCAAAGTCGGGCTTCTTTACGCTGTACTAGGAGGTGATGTCATCACTCATATTTTGGAAATAACCTAATCTACCATAGCTCTCCTATACTTTAGTGCGCTCGCGCGCAGACGGCATTCGAATCACGACTTTGCGGATCCCCCAACGCAAGATGAAGTTCATTCTATAGGAGTCGCCCAAGGATCGCATCGAGTGTTCGGTCGACCTTTTCGAACAGCAGGGAATATTGTTCTCGTTGTCTCGGTACTGGTCGCCTCGATGCAGATCACACTCTGCGTTCTCCTCTCCATGTCTAAGAGTACCGATTCCTCGTTTTTACTCGGGACTTGGAGATATGGATGCAACGAATCTGCATTGCACGAATAGCGAGACGACGAGACGGACCTAAAGTAGATACACCAAAAATATCATGCAAGCGAAGCGGAGATCTCAACATACAGCAAGAAATAAGAGGCCGTAATACATATCAGCCATACTTACGTCTTGTAGAGGCGCACACAAGAGGGGCACTATACGTCGCCAAAGGACTGCGCCGCACCCCAGCTAGCGCGCTTGGCTCTTCGAGTCGTGATCGTCTTATCCCATCCCTTTTGCTTCATATTCTCCTGTGCAGCACTCGACCTGTGATGCTGAAGATGCGCCTGGGGCACCGCCAGTGACCCAGATCCGGCACCAGCACTCCCCGCCGATTGCACACGGTTAAGCGAGAGCATCATTCCAGAGTTTACGCTCTGGTTCGCTGCTGTAGTTCCATACGAGAACGATTCCCGACGTGTCGTTCCGCCTTGGGGAAGATGGCTTTGAGCTGGCTGGCTGATGATCATCGAATCGTCCATGGACATGGATCCAGGCAATAAAGAGGCAGAAGGCGAGGTGAATTGCTGTTGCTGCTGTTGCTGTTGTATATACGTATTTGGATTCAGCGATCTCGATGCTGGAAGGTTTGGCGTCTTGAAGACTGGTTTTGATCCCGAAGGATTTGGCGAATGCTTCTGGCTATGAATAGAGACGGGGCTCTGGAGATGATTGCTGACAGTCGAGGGTGTAATCGGATATTGCGACGGTGGTGAGCTGACGCTTTGATTGGAGGAATTTGGAGAAAGGAGGTTGATAGTACCCGAGTGAGGGCCCGTAACAGTCGTGGCAAGATCGAGGGCATTGGTCTCAAAGTCGGCAAACTGTTCCATGAAATGGTTTCCATAAGAACCGTGCATCTGCATCCCCAGACTTGACTGCGATGCAGACGCTGGCGCATGTCCAGCACCATACGGATGAGATGCACCATGGAGATCCAGCGCCATTGCGACTGATGAGAGCTGGCCCCAAGACGCGCCTGGCGCGGTGAACAGAGACGCAGAGTTTGCAGGTGGGAAGAGTGTGTCAAAGTTTCGCAAAGGAGCATGCTTTTGAACGGGTGTACGTTGTTGCTGCTGCTCCTGGTGTTGAGCGTCGCTGTCTTGCGAGTACTGGTGCGAATGGCGTACTTGATGCGACTGATATTGACCGTTCATCGCAGATTGTCCACCGGCCACATCTTGGCCAAAAGAGTTGGGATGTCGGGCAGGACTTCCACCTCTCGAGTTGACCAGACCATCAAACGACACTTCGTAGCCACGTGCATCGAGGTTCTGGAAAGGACTCTTGACAGGACTCGAAACGGTCGTATTTGCGGACCGATTCTGACCAGGCTGGATGCGATGCTCGGATGGGGGTTGAGAGTAGCTGCGAGAGTGCGACGAAGTTGACTGGGTCTGCTGTTGAAAGGCATGTCTCGACGAGGGTGGTTGGGGATTGTGGCCTTGCAAGAGCAAGTCGGTCCCCATGCTCGAATGACGAACGAGCCCTACTCCTGGACCCGCATGGACATGGTTCGGATTTCCATACATGTCCACATTTGTAAAGCTTCGTGTCGCAGGTGAAGTAGGCGCAGGGGTTCCTGGAGGCGGGGTTGCGATATCGTGTAATAATGTCTTCGAGGGGTCGACCGAATGCGGACTACTGAGAATAGAGCCACCTAGAGCAGCGCCTAGGTCCTCAATCGATTGGTCCTGTCGTAACATTTGTGGAAATTCTGGTGACTGGGCGCCACTGCTGAGGTCTAGAACAGGGTCGTCAGACTAGGAAGGCCTTTGTAATTATAAAACGCGACGTACGACTGCTGGCATCTGGCAATGGACCGCCCAAATCAATTCCAGCGCGTGCAAAACTGGGCATATTCCCTTGGTTGCTGCCACTAAACATGAAACCAAAACCATGGTTCCCCCATCCATTCCAGCCTCCACCTCCGAAACCCGCACCTCTAGCCAGGAACAAGTCGCCAGCATACCTAGAAATAGAATGAACAAGAAGCACCAAAAACGAACAAACTCGTCAGACATACCGATGATGTGAGCTCATTGACATTTGAGAATTTGCATTATACTCGTCGAGACCAGACAACGAGCTCCCGGTATCGCCGATCCCGGCTTCGGATTGGAACTCTCCGCCATGGAGAAGATGCGCCGCAGATGAGGGTAAATCGTACCGGTCAATGATAGTCTGTTGGTTTTCCCATCCACCGGTGACCAATCCAAATCCTAAGCCAAGTCCCGAGTTGGACGGGAATCCGACGCCGTTTAAACCTAAGCCGGAAACTCCATCAAAGTTGTCCATCAAGCCTTGAACATGCGACGACTGTCCACGACCGCTTGTACCGTTCGGGTCTTCCATATACCCTCCTTGGGCGCCAGAGAGCCATCGCGCGGGGTACCACGAGGCGTTGGAGATTTTGTGGTCGTGCCCTCCTTGCGAAAATGCTGGCGACGGCTGTACGTTCTGAGGATGTCCTTGTTGAGGAGAGGGAGCGACTTCTCCAGAAATACTGCGTTGCGCATTCGACGAACTCCGCTGTCGAGACGCATACCCTCCATGTTCGTTCGTGTTGGTTGACCTGACGGCATCTGAATCACCATACGTAGCTGCTGTCGACGTTGATCGAGTATCCGTCTTGATAGGCTTTTCATCGAGCGCAATATCCATGTCCGTCTCCATTTGAGGCGTGTGAGGGAGTTCGCTGGCGCTTTCGTTGCCATTGGTACCATTCATTTCAAATGAATCTTCTGCCTCTGGCGTCGTCGACAAAGTCTGCTCGGGCTCCATGGACATTTCCCGGACAGTCGTCAGCTCTCGCGTCGGATACGAGGTCGAACGACGTCGTTCAATGGGACCGGAGGTTTGTCGCGTCGATTCTACAATATCCGCACCTCGTTGCTTCTTCCCAGGCTTGGTCGGACGGGGCTTGTAGCCAGCCTTTTCGTAGAGATCCGGAAATGCATTGCGAAAGCGGTCCCTAAGGTCTGTACTCCGTCTCGTGGATAGAACGGGGTTTTTTGCAATAATGGCCCATACGGTCCCGTGCTGTGGCTCGTCAGGATCCAGGCACCCCACACCAGGAGCGCTCAGACTGACCTTTTCAAAACCTTCTCGCAACGCGTCGTCTTCTTCCTTTGTAAATGGCCTACGCTTCTTGCTTCGACTCTTCTCGAAGAAAGTGGGGCAGTCCGGAAGCTCTGTCCGCTTAGCTCGCGCACTCGAGCTGGGGATATGCGTTTTTGCGTTTGGATATAGCCGTCGATAGGTATCGGGAAAGTAAGTACGAAACCTAGACAACGAGTTAGCCAACTCTCTGAGATTACCATCCTCACGTGCCTATCTTTGAGATCAACGGGCGTTCGATCAGGATCAAATTGGAGGTCCGGGTCATCCAACATGGACTTCCAGTTCCCTACTCCATGCTGCAATCGTAGATATTGATCAGCACATGTTCCTTGTAAGCACATGATAGCTAGGCCTGGGCTCACCTTTCGACAGCCGTCGACCAGCATTTTGGTCTCGTCGATGGACCACTTCTTGCGGACTTTTTTCTTGGTGACAGCGTTCTCTCCACCGCTAGAGTTGCCATTCACGTCACGATTAGCCGACGCAAGACTCGTCCCCACATCCGACGACTCTGCTTTGATAGACCGTTGCTCGGTGCGGCTTGTTGCTGTATCGACTGCACTCGAGGTTGACGGAGAGTACCTCTTGTTGCTGGCAGCTGCGGTTGAGGATGGTTTGCTCATGCCAGCGTCGAATGTCATTACATAGTGGGCATTGGCCGCGACTGGTGTCGAATGGGGATGCCCATGGATGCCCATTTCGTCTCGAAATCGGATGAGCTCTGCATGCGCCGCGTTTGTTGCGCTGCCATCGTCTTGTGCGGTCGGATGGGAGAGGTGATGCTGCGTAGGCAGCGACTGTCGGCGTGCTTTGGCCTTTGGAGTGCGTTCCATGAGGATAGTAGAGTCGTAACCGGTGCTTTGATTGCGTCAAGCTGTAAATATTACGTCTAGCATCGATTGTCAGCAAAGCGCTGTCCATGCTAGGCAAACATAACGCGCTAACCTGGCTGGCTTGGGGAGCACGGCTACCCAGAAATTCCAGCAGAAATAGAGATTGGTGATCGAGGGATGAACGGACTGGGCGTTGAAACGCGCGAGGGAGCGTTGGCAGCTCGGAGAGCGAGGCAGACGAGAGCGCAGATGACGGCGTCTACGACAGCAAAAGGTCTGCTGGCTTTAAATGGATCCTAGAAATCCTGCCAGGAGTGCGTTATTCTTGCACACTACGCCCCGTCGAAATGTGGTCAGGTACAGGCCATCATTTCGACTCTACCACCACGCTCCCTGCATACACTCGTCACAGAATATTCACCGGAAATCACAAACGCAAAATAATCTACGCGATATCAACGACTCATGACGCACATGACAAGAAACGGCAAGCATACCACGTTGAAGCCGGCCCCTCTAGTCGCAGACGAGGTCCTATCACGGCTCAGCGTACAGGCCCAAAGAACCCCGGGGAACAATGACGTCGTACAATCATGTCAACGGGTCTCTGTTGCGGCCATCGGTGCAGCGCCTCTCTCGAACGGGAGCGCCCTCCGCGAGAGGGCCCGCTGGATCAGATCCCAACTCATGTCCAGCATGCTGCAAGGGGGAACATGCACGACACACATCGAATTTGACCAGGAATCCATGTCGAGTCGGCCAATGACCACGAGGGGAGGGTGGACGAGCACAAGAGTGGAGGGCCCCAGGCAGTCTACCAGAGCAATCACGTCCCAGAATACCAAGGAGGAGGTCTCCTCGATCAAAACGGGCAACCTTATCGACGAAAGCCGTCAGTCCCGCACATACGACACCAATCGGAGAAAGAAGCCAGACCTCATCCTATATTTAGTATCAACCCAATCAAATTTTGGGACTCTGATACGCTGAAGGTTGGAAACTTACCGTGCCCGAGAGTTCGATTCGCCGTCACGGTACCCCTTCTGGATACTTGTGACCAAGGGTAACAATCAAATACTTACCTCGCTTGACCATGTCAAAGTTTCCATGGGTCGCAATGAACCTGATAGCTAAATGCGAATCAGTGATACTCACGGGGGCCACACCGATCCGCACCTTCGGTCAGGGCTGAGCCCATCAAAACTAGCCATCTCGTCCCTTTGTCGCCCAGTACCAGTGCTCAAGGTGAAGCAATCGATGACAAATCGTCCCTTGGCTGAATATAGAACTGACAGTGAGTCGATTCGTTGCAGAGTGTCCCTTCGAGTGATTGATTTAGTATGTCAGCTTGAGAACTTGTTTAATGAGCACCATTAATGCAGAGGCTTTCCAGCGGCTTCTAGGTGAAGTGAGGTATCGGTTTGGGAACATTCACCAGAAGATACAAATAACTCGCGCACGAGCCCCTGGGTGGCCACTGAGATGCCGCTATCATGTCCTAATGAGCAAATAAGTTACATCTTTGGAATATAACATATATTTTCAATTGATGAAGGCCGCTTGGACGGCTCTCAACAGGGTAAAATTCGATTGCCAAAACTATCAACGTCCCCACGACTAATTAACCTCCATCTGACTTGTTTGAGAAGATTAAGGCGCAAGATATGCTTTAGGCTCAGTTGGAAGAAGAATATGCTCAGCAGACATTATCGTCGCCAGTCGTGCCCTGTTTCCGGCGCTGGGAAGTGACAGCTCGACAATAGATAAATTATATTCCAAGAAATATCCGGGGCCAAAATGGTGTCTACCTACAATGAATGCATACGAGTTTCTCCATCAAGTGACAAGTCTTCGCACCACGCACCATTTGTCTGTCCTTTATGAGAATTTTTCAGTTCGCTTGGTACTAAAAATGAGATGAAAGGCCCAGCGTGGCTAAGGTCGAATAAGTGGAAGCGGTCCTGACTGGCCAGCGCAGACTCGTGCTTCATTCGGTCTGCATTCTGATGTCTAGTACAATTTTGATATGAATTAGATACCGATACAGGGTGGACCGGTGCCCGTTATATGGGTGAATCAAGCTCCCTTGACTGCCACTAATGGTGAGACTAACGGAAACCGAAAACCCATAGATATCAATCCAAATTAAAGGTATGAGATGCATCAATGCATTGTACTATCACCGAAATCGGGCATGTAGCAAACTGGGTGGCCAAACAAGCATTCCAACTTGGGCCGATGACGTTCCCGATACCCGATACCGTACCCACCGAGGGAGGCAAAGAACCTCTTTACACGGCATTTGTCAATTCGTACATGGAGCGTGAATGGGGAGGCACTACGGTCAACGAGCAGACGGCTGGAAGATTTCTGGCAACGCTACGAGAAGCAAGCCCAGGGAACACCTACTGGCCCCTAGATATGAGGACTGAAGAGGGATTTCGGCGAACAGTATCCCATTTTCACCTTGTTCCTTTACTCCAAACAGTACACCAACACAATGCATATGCTTGGCTAGCAATCGAAGGTAAAGCGTCAGTCTTGCAAGTGATGGTAGTTGACTTCTTTTAAGTCTTGACCCCTACCTGGCAGGACTATCTCTTTCCAGATCTCTCCAAGGTCCTCTCTCTTGCGCAGCCACCGGATGTTAGGGTTGGACTCGATCAAAGCAATCAAACGGTGATTTTTCAACCGATGTTACACAAAACAGATTCACTACCCGCGAGCGCAGAGCTTTGCACTGAGTTACCCAGGATGATGAGAGTGGAACTAGAACAAACCGTTAGCCAATCATGCCGTCAACAATCGAAAATTTCTGAACGAGCTGCAGAATTAGTCCATTCAGTTTTACAGCAAGACGATCCTTTCGTGAAAGAGAGAGATCTGAATGGAATGATTGTGTATATCCGTCTAGCGGTTGAAGCCCTCCGTCAAGGTTTATTTGGGGACTCGGTTCCTATCAGGTTTTCGACCAGGCACGGCGAGCCCCTCATCCTGTGGGAGACCAAAAGCCCGAGCGCCGGCGAAAAGCACATGCAAGCAATGTTATCTTCTCAGTCTACGAAGGAGAGCAGCTCCCTGACTTTGATGGGCTCACTTTTGATCAAAGGTGCCCTCTTTCGTCATCTATAACCATTGACTGAGACACATTCAGGGAGCATCTCTACCGGGTTCTTTGCGCTATTCATCGAGCTGGCATCGTTCATGAAGATTTTGAGCCTCGAAATGTCGTCAAACGAGGTGAGCCTTTGACAATTATCCACTTCTCTCATCAAAGTATCATGAATATTCGGGAGAGGATACCTGCGAAGAGCTTGTCGCAGTGAAACAAACCCTCAGGGTCGGCACCTCTTCAGACCTCAGCGTAGTGGAATTCAAGACTTGTTCAAATTGATTCGGATTTGGTTAGCTTCAACACCTTGTTTGTAGAATCAAACTGACTCAGGATTTATTTTGCCATACTCGTCACATTTCTGACTCGGTGAACAAGACTAAGTCAGTGAAGGTTTACACACTTAACCATTTCCGACTATTATTATGCGAATGCGATCAAGATAGTTCCATAGAGAGATTCAATTCGACTTTATTCGAAATGACTCGGAATAAGAAGGCAGTAAGCAATGTTTCTCAGACCATCACTAGGCCTCCTTCCTCTTTCACGAACCCTTCAAGGCCATCCATCTTTTCCAGCCAGTTGGTCAACGATCCAGCGAGCGCCTCAATCTGTGTTCGTGATAGAACGCGTGGCTGGACCCATGTAATATGCGCTTTGGCGGCAGGTTCGTCCAAGGTCCCAGCGATCAGTTTCAAACTATCCAACTCAGCTTCATATAAAAGTCACCTGAACCACAGAAACGCACCTAAGTGCCTTCATCACCAAGTGCTCGACTTCTCCCAGTGGCGTCTGCGTCTCCTCTGCGATTGTCTGAAAGGTAAGTGTTCGCTCCGAGGCCTTGCGCCTGAAGACCGTCTCTATAAGAGCCATCAGACAGATCTTTTGTCGCAAAAACGCAAAGTTATGTTGAAGTATGGGCTGTAATACTCGTCATTCGGGCCCGTGCATCAAATGTATTCCATACCTCTTTTGGGAACAGTGGCGTCAGCGAGTCAAACTTTTGAATGTTCCCTTCGTTGAACGTGAACAAGAGGTTTCCAAGCCATTCCTCTGGAGTATGCTTAAGCGAATCGAGGATTGGATGCATAATCTATCTCGATTAGAGCGGCGATATGGCTCCAGATGACGAGAACGTACCAACTCTCCAAAGTTGTAGATGCTATCCGCCAACAACGCACTCAGACTGAGATCTTTGGCTCGGTCAAACCGCTGCTTGCCGTTGAGATCTTTGTCGATGTCGACACAAGCGAGGTAGAGTAGGGAGTGTTTGTAATATGGTGCATACTCCCCTTTCATCTATACAGGTGCTTCAGTGGTTTTCAATGACAGACAAATCAGCAAACCTTGTGATAGTCAGCCTTGACTTCGTAATATGCCGCGTGAACGCTCTTATCTACGCCATCAACATTCTCTAACAAAGACCCCGCTTCTTCAAGATCTGTTCGCGCGCCGATTGCATCTGCAAACAAGAGTTTGGCATGCGCTAGCGAGGTCAGAACAAGCGCGTGCGCCTGAGGATGATCGGTGACGGAAATTTTCTCCTTGAGAGCGACAAGGAATTCGACATGTTGCGGTGAGTCGGCTACATCACAAAAGATGAGTCTTGTGAATAGACGCCTATGATCCAACGCTCACCGGAGATTTCGCGAGAGACCTTTACGCCAATTTGAGCCAGACGTAGGCGATCGAGTTTTGCTTGAAAGTCGGAGACAAATTTATTGTATACTTCTAGTTGGAATGGCTTCGAGTCTGGATGTTCAAGGAATTCGAATACTGCTAGGGTGAGTTGATGCCAGAGTCTGTATTCCAGTGGATTGGTTAGAAGATTTGAGGCCCTGTTTCCTGCAGAATATGCGAGAGGTTACGCACTTGCGGTCATAAAACCTCTGGAACTTGTCGACAATCGGATGGAGCGATTCTGGCACGCCATGTAGTAGCTTTGCAAGGTAGTCTTCAACTTCTCGAGCTGGCATTGTCTATTTATCGTCAAGCTCAACGACGGTGGCAGTCCAAGAGAGTGGGCGACGCGTGTCGCGTAAAGAATGCCAAACAATAGCGTTACTCTCCAAGCGCTCGTGTTAAGAAATGCCTTAGGAGTATAATTTGGGGACACAAAAGAGTAATTGCACTGTACAACAAGGCTCTGGCGCGGTGGCCACAAGAAATACGCCGATAAATTAGTCACTCAGTACCATCTCAGCTCTTCCTGCAGGAAGATCTTGACTATGGGCCACGGTCATCTTTCTCAATCGCATTGGTGCAGTCCACTCGATGGAAGGCGTCGAGGTCTGAGCTTTCTTGTCGGCAGATGATTTCCGACCGCGTTTGCGGCTTTGAAGCTAAAACGCGTGAGGAATACTCCAGATATTGATCTAATTACTCACAATCGACCACTTCTCAGAATCCATGGCAACCTCTTGGCCGGAAACCATGCTCGCAACTCCGTGTTTTCTAAGCTGCTTCTCTATTTTCTTCATATGGTTTTCTGCTTTCTTCACCGCTCCCTCTTCGGAGCGTGTCATCGTTCATATTCACAGTGAGTAAACCCATGCTTACCAGTAAAGTCATCAATTAGACTTTTCTTCAAATCAATTCCCTTGGACTTGAGATATATCAGCGGATGTTCCATTCTCGGCTCGAAAACCCACTCCATGTAGCCTCTTCTCCAAGGCCGCCATGTTCAGCCAGACCTCGTCTCGATAGCGTGCTTCCTCTATCTGGGCGTCATGAGGGAAAGAGCTAAAAGGCAAGATGACGCCTTACTCTCATCTCGGTGTTTCCTTCTGTCAGAGTAAACAAATTTCGGACACCAAAGAGCTCTCCCTCTTTTTCCTTGTCGCCTTGAACGCCTTCAAAGTATCTGATAAAGGTCAACTGGGAGTCTGGACAACTCAATCTGCACAAACCGCGTTTGAGGTTTTGCATCGTATATAGTCATCATCATTTGCATTTTGTAGATTTGCCGCTGATAAATAAGCTCTTCGAGGGAGCCAGAGCTGATGAGTCGCACAACCTCAACGTCACGCGTTTGACCCAAACGGTAGGCCCGGTCCATCGCTTGCATATCAACCGTTGGATCTACAAGGCGTCACATTCCAAGAAGCAGCCAGGTTTCCGTAGAACGTACTCCAGTCGGGGTCTGAGGACAGTTAGTTATGCCCTTTTCCGTATTCTGAGGACACACCAAAAATAATCACTTTATTGGCCGCCGTTAGATTGAGTCCCACGCTCCCGGTACTCGTGGTGATAACCATGACAAATACGTTGGGATCGGTTTGGAACGAGTCAATGGCTCTCTGGCCTACGCTGATATCAGACCACGAAGCGCGAGCCTTGTAGGTACTGACGGTCTTCCTGAACTACCTCTCCGGAGATCACTTCAGTTGTGTAAGCTGTTCCGATTAGTCTTCAATTCTTTCGACATGGCTTACGTACCGAGACTGGCCAAACTGCTGACGATGAAGTCAAGGAGTTTCCGAGATTTGGTGAAGACGAGGACCTTGTGCCGCTTCTGGGAAGTGACAACAGACTTTTGCCCTTCTTGAATCTGAAAAGCCTCGTTCTCTGTGTGCCAATCGTTGAGAAGGCCGACAAGAACCTTCCATTTCCCGCAATAATTCTCTGGTTCGCACCACATCGCGTGCTGAAGTTGTGCAGGGGCCACGCCAGGAATCAAAGTTTCTGTAAGCTTCCGATTGACTACCAAGGCATCGGGAGAATCTCCAAGGACTGGTATGTGTGCTTAGAGGAGTCCGAGATGTTTCTGAAGTACAAACCTGGGACAATGAGAAAGAGGCTGTTCGATATTTTAATGAAGGTGCTGATATAACTGAGAATCATCCCCTTGTCCACCGGGCAGCAACACGCCCCGCACCTAGAGACGTAAGTGCTGTTTCATCAAATCATTCAAATAACACTTACGTTTTCCCACTTCCGCATTCACATGAATCCTCTGCTCTGAGAATCCTTTGCATATCCTCCGATTCAAGCAGTCTTCGGTACACCGCCTTTTGCATCTGGGTGAGCGGACAGAACGCGATAGTTTCTGTCTTTCGTGGCAGCTGATCCGCAATTTCTTGTTTATCTCTTCTGAGGAAATACATTGGAAGTAACTTTTCCTTGACGCCTTTCGCGACGGCCTGTGGAAACTGTCAGTTATACTCCAAGGGATACCTGTAAGACTCACATCACGACGAGCAGTTTGTTCCGGTGTCGCGTTGCTTGATTGTCCATCTACGGTGGAGGGTTATGATTTATTCTTGGATCGGTGGACAAACCTTTGAGAACCGAGCTAATGCTATGATTCCACTGTTGCTTGGTTCCAAGTTTACCAGGATTTGCCCAATTAAGAAGGGTCCAAAGTTCTTCGTAGTTGTTCTGCAACGCTGTTCCCTGCGGCTAAGATGAGCATTGTACGTCAAAGTTGGCATCGTACATACCGTCAAACCAATGCGGACATCGCATTCAATCTGACTTGCGGCTTTTAGACTCTCCCTATTGCAATTTTTGAGTCTGTGGACTTCATCACAGATGGTGAGGGACCATCCAAGATCGAAGAGTGCGTCGCCCGCCGGTGATCGAAGTATCTCAAGGGATACCAAAACTATGGATATCAGATATATAGATACCATATACTAAATGCTTACCGATATCTAAGCGACCCATACGAAATTGACGAACAACTTCAGACCGTCGGTCACCTTGATAGACGGCAAACTCAAAGTATCCCCACTGAGTAGCGTCGTGAGGAAGATTGAAGAGAAATGAAGCTACATACCGTCTCTAATTCATTCTTCCAATTGCTAATGAGTGAGCTGGGTACCACCAGGAGACATGTAGGCCAGCGATCATTGGGAGGTGGAAGATGCTCATCTACGCTTTGATCTTCGCCGAGTCTCCGAAGTCTTTTCCCTTCGTCGAATAACCTGTTGATATGCTGACATCGCCTGTCGAGGTCGGTCCGTTTACCAGTCTTCTTCATAATCGCGCTGAGAAATGATATGACCTGCACCGTCTTTCCTGTAAGGAGATTAGAGATATTTACCTCGTCTTATATTACCAACCTAGACCCTGCGAACGACATGAGTACTGCGACGAGTGGGCCGAGGGGACAAACCATATCGTCTCCCAAAATACCACCCATACGCTGTCGATAGCGCTGGTACATAAACCGAATACCGTCTCTTTGATAGCTGCGGAGGCAATAATTTATCGAATCAGGTACTCGAATGTCCTTCTCATGATCAAGAATGAGTGGTGGTGGAGGAATCGTAGGTCGCTTTGAGAAGCTAGGCTTGAAGCCCATACCATCCTGGGCCTCTATTGCAGCTACTGTGGCATTAAATTCCACTCTCAATCGATCTGGGATGATAATGCTTACAAGTAATTTCTCGCCGACTTTCTCGTTTTTCGTCGTTGGATTTCAGCTGAAGCCCATTCATTAGTTGAGATACTCAGAGGACTCGAGATAATAAAAACTTGCCACGCGCTTGTGCATCTGCGGTCGCTCTTCTTCGTCGGCCGTGGCGTCGTCGTCCTCATTATTTGGTTGCTTCTAATAACCGCTAGTTCAATGAAGAATCTAAGGTACTCGATCGAGGAAAACTTGCCCTAAACTGCGGTCGCTCTTCCTCATCTTCCGTGATATTGTCCATATCGCTCTCTACTTTGATCTAAGTTTCAAATTTGAGTTTCTAATCGAGACAGATTAAATCTTTAGATGCTTACCCTGAGCCGCGGTCGTTCCTCCTCGTCGGCTGTGGTGTCGTCGTCACCGTCCTCAGCCACCAGAGTATAAGTCTCCTTCTTGACACCAAGAGAATCGACTGTCGGGCTCTTCATCAACTCGTCAGCTAACGTCGCATGTTTGTCGCCATATGGCGGGCCCCTCGACGTACAGCAGACAGGTCGATGTCCGAGGCTCTTGAATAGTCCATCTCAACATCCCGAAACTCTTCTAGCTTCTCAAAATATTCGTCTCCAGACACTCCGAGGAGAGCGATGAGTGGATTGGTAAGGGTAGGCCCTTCTTCGCGAATTGGTGAACTTAGAAGGAACACTATGCAGTCTGATTACCTGCAATTCTTCGGCGCTTTGCTCTAGCCAACGCCTTTGGCTGTTCATTCTTCCGTTTCGAGTTGCCACTCTTGACCTTGGGTGTCTCATGCTCGGAGCTGGAACCTTTGACCGAGTTTTCAAAATCTGGATCGTATTCCACCTGGTCTTTTGAACAAATTGGCACATCAGCCGCCCCAGAGAGGACCTGGCTTACTAGGAACGGGATTCCCGATCGGAGGACCTATTCCACGGCACTTAGTAAATCTGTTATCATTTTTGTGCCTTTAACTACCCTTTGCGCTGCCTGTACGCCGAGCCGGCATAATGGGTCGAATTGTGGCTAGGACCAAGTTGCATTAGATTGGCCAATAAGTGTCTCCAAGTTCTCAATAAATGTAAGTTGAGGTGTACAATTAGTCATGAATTTTGGAGAACATCGATCTCGGTGACGCCGTTGGTCAACTTGCAACTCTAGATCTGACCACAACAAGTCAAGTCGCTCAATCGAGCTCGCCACCACGAGATGGCGTCTAAGCAGGTTCTTGTTATCACATAGCTGGCAATATAGCTCTCATTATCCCTACAGCTTGGGAAATTACGACAAGTACATGCTTTGGAGCTAGCCTTCGTTGTCCGGTCGTCCTAATTCGTCTTGCACTAGTGGGCTGGAGAGAAGATTGCGTCGGAGAAGAAGACCATCGCAACAGAAGAGTTCAAAGAAGTTGAAATCGAGGTTGAACGACGGCGTATTGGCCTGGATGTGTTGGTCGACAACCAATGGATCGCTCGAGGCGGCTAATAAATCACTAGAATCTATGAAAACTCCAGATCCTACTACAATTACCTCACGAAGAAGCGAGAGGTCAATGATCCCGATCAGAAACTCTCGGCAATGGAGGCTATGGGACGGGTAATGGTCTCGCATGGCGAAGAATTTGGCCCCGACAGTGCATATGGTCGTTATCGCTCTCTTATTCTGGTATCGGCTGATCATTCTAAGGACATGGCCTATCCGCATTGGGAAATGCCCATATCAAGGTTGCTGCGCAGCAAGACGAGTTTGCAGATGCGTTTAATAGCCTATACCTCACGCGCCTGGAATCATCTATCGAAGAGATTGCCCTTTTCTATGCTCTACGAAAGAAACTCAAGTCTCGAAGGTTCTCCTAGAATCTCTCCGAAGCCACCGTCTGACGTCTTCTAGGCTAGCATATGATGCTGCAGTTTCACAGTCTCAGAAGCAGTTCAAACGTGAGAAGGAAAAAGCAGATGCCGAGGAGGAGGTCGCCAAGGCTCGAGCACGATTGTGAGCTCTATCCGGTGTCAATGCCATTATTTAACATAATTCGTAGCGAAGAAATGTCTGAAGAAGTTCGAGCGCAAGTAGAGCGTATACAGGATGGAGAGATGGATCAGTTCCGTGATCTCGGTCGCCTGCTCAATTTGGAATACAAGTTTGTGGAGGGCTGGCTGAACCAACTGAAAGAGATCAAAGCAGATTGGCCAAACGAGTGCGCGGAATTGCCTGCTCGTATCACACCGTACTGATATCAGTTGTAGCTCAGATGTGTACCGGATTGCTGCTCCTCAATCGCAAGGTCCGACACACATTCTTCAGCCCGCCTCGTCGTCCAAATCTGCCCGCGAGGAAGAAACTGTCTCCGACTCCTCTGGTCCTCCTCAGCGGCCTGCACAACACCAAAGGACCACTAGCGTTGCGACAACGAACAGTCAAGGGAGGAAATCCTCCATGTCGACTTGGGCCTCCGCTGCTGTCGGGTCGCTTCTCCGTAAAGAGAAGAGCAGCAATTTTGAAGAATTGAACGATGATGACAAGAAACAAGAGGATACGGCGCATGGAAAGAATGATCAATCCGCGCCGACGCTCAAGAGGACAAAGTCTGGACGCGTAGTACCACCACCACCACGTTCGAGGGCCCAGAGCACAATGTCAGAGGCGCTCTCCTCAAAGCATAACTCTCCTCGACTTCCCTTGCGAAGCCTACCACCTGAGAAACCAACAGCACTCAAGACTCGGCGTGCTTTATACGCTTTCTCTGGGGCAAATGATGAACTTAATCTAGAAGTCGGCGACGAGATCACGGTCATTTCGGAGCCTTCAGGAGACCTGGTGGATGGGGGAATGCAAGGGAAAACGCGGTTTGTTCCCTGTCAACTACACTGAGGATGCACCCAAGAGGCCACCGTTACCTGCAAGGCCTTCTAATCTCAGTAAACCGGGGCCTCCAGATCCCCCAGCTCCCAGATCTCGACCCAACTCGATCAGCGTGGCAAGGAATTTGTCCCCGGACTGGACGGATGAGCCCTTTGGTGACCATCATTCGGCCCAAACTCCGGCCCATAGCCCAGACTACCGACAAACGACGTTCAATCGCGATGAGTCGGACGACGAAGGGGAACGACTCCTGTCGAATCGGGAGACCAGTGACCAACAAACTCGTGAGGACGCCGGGACGAGAAATGCATCCAAGTCGTCTCCAGGAACAGCTGTGAGGCAGCTACGCCGAAGTCTGAGCGGCAAAAAGGCCGCCCCACCTCCTCCACCTTCGCGTCGCTCCAATTCTGCCTCTGTTGCGAGGCTTCCCTCGAGTGATAGTCCTGGTGGATCACCCTTCCTCTTGCCCACAAATCCTACCTCTCAATGGGAGCCTTCGACGTCCAATGCAGCTCACGGAAGGGAATACTCGGATTCAAAGTCTCCATTCGAAGAAGGAGATAGCACGTCGTTCAATAACTTCTCCCTCACGACAAAGTGCCGCACCTGTAGCTGTGAGGACTTTCAGCAGAACAGGTTCAAGAAGGACGGATACTGCAATACCTGTTTCCATTCTCATATCTAGTCTGTATCTATGCTGATATTCACAATCGACTTTGTTCCGATCACACTCTAGACTTGCTTCCAGCCGCAAGCAGGCCTTTCTCATCGATAGGGTGTCGGCTCGACACCGTTCGGTAGAGACAGGGTTTTACCACCCACTCTATCAGCCTGATTCGGGACTGTATTGCAGCCAGCAAAGAAATGACTTTTGAGGGGTAGAAGCTTCGTAATAGGGTTCCTTACACGTCAGGAGTACTTGTACTCAGATTGCAATCATTCGAAGGGGTTTCAACCGGTAAATCGTACCCCTCCATCGACCCGGCCGCCACGTCTACCGAAACCCTACCACGAATATATAACAATGTATCCATTGGGGAACGAGGACCCGAAGACAACGGGATCAACGAGGATATCACATGCGCTCTGAACAAGAGGCAACGCACCACCAGTTACGATAAAATACTCAGAAAATAGATCATGGCCCATCCGACGACCACAAACAACCGAACATTTGAACAATCTCCCTTTTGGCATATAAGCGCAAACGTGGAACGGCTACCAACTTTCCGGTTGTATTTGCACCATCCTTGCCTCGCGGAGGAATCCACCGATGGAAGAATCCACCGATCGGCGGAGGTTCTGGAATGCATCAGCCTAGTAGCCACGTAGTTACTTACCCCGCAAGCATAAAAGCCCTAGCTGAAGCCTTCGTGGCGTCTCCAATACTTTGCCTTTGACTACACCAGCAACCTTGATCATGTTCTTTGTCGACCTTGTTTCTCACTTGATTTATGGACAGCGTATGCGCTTCACGTATGGCTGCCTCAGGTCCTCACGTCTCGAGTATAGCTATCAGCGGTGAAACCGGCCTGTCTCGTGGAAATTACACGCCTATTCCACAACCACCCACCATTCCTCTTCTTCGCAACGCTCTTCAAATCGACAAGAAGCTCCCTTACGAGAGCTTCCGCTTGCTACATCGACAATATGGCGAAATTTATCTCCTTGAATTGCCAGGTTCTCCTTCCATCATCCAAATGTCATTCCTAACCATGCAATAGGCAGTCGTGTTGTCTTCCTCAACAGCCATCGGCTGACACTTGAAGCACTCGATGAGAATACGTTTCACAAGGCGATAACAGGTGGCTTACTCGAGCTGAGAGGTCTCGTTGGAGACGCTCTCTTCACGGCTCATCACGGCGAACACAATTGGGAAATCGCTCGTAGGTAACTTTTACGACCACGCCGAATTCGATGCTCACTTGCGCCAGACCGCATTCTTACGCCTGCATTCTCTCCAGCGAACATAAAGGGAATGTTTGGAGACATGTTCGATATTGCCAGTCAACTCGTCCTCAAATGGGAACGGTTCGAATTTCATCCCTTGCTCTACGATATGACTAAACCCTGGTAGCTACGGTCCGGAACACATTATCCTTCCAGCCGAAGACTTTACGCGCTTAGCCTTCGACACGGTGGCTTTATGTACAATGGGTTACCGAGTGAACAGTTTCTATAATGTAGGCGCACCGTAATCAAAGACCACAAGCACCTTGTCTGACAGATCGTCAAGGATGCAGTCCAACCATTCATTGTTTCCATGGCAGACTACTTACTCGAAGCACAACGTCGAGCTACCATACCCTCCGTCGTAAAAGCGCTTTCGAGCACTGCGAAGTGGGATGCGGACAGGGCGCTGATGAATGAGATTGTTAGCAAAGGTACGCTGTTGGGTGCTCGTTTACACATACTGATTCACTCTACAGTTATCACTGACAGGCGGCGAAGCGGTACTCAGCGTGGCGACCTTCTCGATCTGATGCTCCACGGAAAGGATCCAAAGACTGGAGAGTTGCTCTCAGAAGAGAACATTCGCTATCAGGCAGGCCAAACTTGCTATCTTTCTCTCGCCCAAACTGACCCGTTTGACATAGCTTATCACATTCATGATTGCCGGACACGAGACAACCTCGTAAGTAAAGCATAGGAATGACCATCTCACGTCTCATATTGAACCAGAGGAATGCTCACATTCATCACATACGAACTTCTGAAGAGTCCTGCATCGTATGCCAAAGTCCGCGAAGAAGTAGATCGTGTTCTTCAAGGGAAGCCTATACAGCCAGAGCATCTCAGCAAACTACCTTATATTGTTGCTGTCATGCGTGAGGCCCTACGACTTCATCCTCCGGCTCCAGTAATCGCCGTCACACCCTATGAAGACACCATCCTTTGTGGAGAGTACCTGGTTCCCAAAGGAACTATTGTAGTGCCTCAAATAGCCCGGATACAGAGAGACCCAGCTGTCTGGGGAGAAGATGTGAGTCTTCGTCATACTTTCAGTAGCGTACTCAATCCGCACAGGCCGAGAAGTTCAAACCCGAAAGGATGCTAGACGGAAAATTTGAAGATCTACCCGTAAGTCAAATGGGATTTTATGTCACTGCTCATTTTTGTAGCCGAAAGCATGGATTCCTTTTGGAAATGGAGCAAGGGCGTGCATCGTGAGCGCCGTTCAAACCATCTAAAAGCAATCTCATCCGTCATCTAGGGTCGACCATTTGCTTGGCAAGAGGCCATCATCGCGTTAGCTACCTTGTTCCAGCGGTTCGACTTTGTCATGGCAGACGAAAGATACAACTTAACCCTCAAACAAACCCTGACCATCAAGCCCGACAACTTTCACATCCGTGCAATCCCTCGAGACAATGCACCTCCTCTTGTCATTGGAGCAACGTCAGCACCAAAGCCTTCCATCAATGTTGGTGAAGCGGCCCCTGCTGCTCTCTCCAACGAAGAGATGGAGAAAAAGGTTCCCATGGCTGTCCTCTACGGCAGTAACACTGGCTCTTCAGAAGCCTTTGCACAACGGATCGCGTCGGCTGCAGCTAGCAACGGATTCAATGCCAGGATCGCCACCCTCGATGCAGCCACGGGACACTTGCCGACAATTGGACCCACTGTGATCATCACGGCATCATTCGAAGGCGAACCCGCAGACAATGCCGGTCGTTTCGTACAAGATCTCACAACTATGAACGATACACCATTGGAAGGGGTATCTTACGCCGTCTTCGGATGCGGAAACCGAGATTGGGCACTTACTTATCAGCGTATCCCCAAGCTTATTGATGAGAAGATGGAGGCTGCAGGCGCGAAAAGACTCCTGGAACGTGGAGAAGGCGATGCAGCTGGTGCGGAATTCTTCGACTCATTTGACGCCTGGGAGGTCAAACTCTGGGAGACTCTTTCCACGGTATGTCTACCAGTTTTCATTCCTTGCCATTCTCAATTGGCGTAGATTTACCACACGACAAGCACGAATCGTCCAACGGAAGAAGAACTGGTTGTCAAGCTTTATGGAACAGGCATGGAGCGTGCCATCTCCTTGCGACAGCCTGATGCCGCACTCGGCAAAGTGGTCGAGAATCGTATTCTCACTTCAAATGCGGAGCAAGAGAAGAGACATATTGGTATGTTTCATCCAAAACCAAAGGATATCCTGACATCTCTCGCAGAATTCGAGCTACCGGAGAATATGACCTACAACGCTGGGGACTACCTGGCCATTCTGCCCACCAATCCTCCCGCATCTGTTAGGCGTGTGTTTGCAAGGTACAAACTATCGGAAGAGGTATTATTCACTCTTTATTTCCCTTATACATTGTCGTTCTAATCCGGGTTTCAGGCTATGATTACGATTAACGCTAGTGGCGCCACCACCCTCCCTACGGGCCGACCGGTCGAGCTCAAGCAAGTACTGAGTGGATACGTCGAGCTGTCCCAACCGGCATCGAAGCGGAACCTCGAGACCCTCATTGAAGCTGCTGATGAGGCCGTAAAGCCGGAGTTGAGGGCTATGGCCTCGGCATACAAAGACACCGTGGTCGACAAGAGGATCAGTGTTTTGGACATTCTATGCAAGTATCCGACATTGCCTATCTCATTGGGAGTTTCTGGCTATGCTCCCGGCAATGCGAGTGAGGCAATATTCAATTTCCTCTTCACCACTCTGGAATCCGCGCCATGTCACCCTCACTGTCAGTGTAGTCAACTCACCTGCAATCAGCGGTACCGGCGAGATCTTCCAAGGCGTGGCATCCAACTTTTTGGCCAACCTGCGACCAGGGGATCTCGTCCAGCTCATGATCCGCCAATCCGCTACGACGTTCTCTCTACCTGTCGACCCGGGTGTTCCCATCGTACTCTTTTGCGCAGGCACCGGACTCGCACCTATGCGCGGTTTCATCCAGGAGCGTGCGATGCAGATTCAAAGTGGTCGAAAAGACATTGGCAAGATTCTCCTCTTCTTTGGATGTCGAGATCCAGGCAAGGATTATCTCTATTTCGAGACCGATCTTGGGAAGTGGATCGAGCTGGGTGTGGTCGACGTTCGACCTGCGTTCTCGCGGGCACCAGAGAAAAGCGAAGGGTGTCGGTACGTTCAAGATCGCATTATGAAGGATGGTGATGAGGTTCGAAAATACTTTCAGGAGAAGGCCAAGGTACGGTGTTTGCTGTGTTACATGTCCGGTGCATAGGCTCATATTTGCCTAGTTCTTCACATGTGGTGGGACGGCTGTTGCTGCTGGGGTTCGTGAAGCTTGTATCAAGTTGATAGAAGAGGGCTGCGGCTCGCGGGATGGTGCAGTCGAGAAGTTTAAAGCACTTCAGAAGGAGCGCTACGCCACTGACATCTTTGGATAAAAGCAACGATTCTACGAACCAGAGTAGCGTATACGACCGAAGATCAAGATCAACTATCAGTTACGTTCAGTTGTAGTGTTGAAGCTGTCACAATATAATCATGCCTGAAAGACTGGATCGATTTCATTTGTAAAGATGTACACAGATATCTCTGCAGTTTAAGAACTAGCATGCAAAGGGAGCCTGCGTCCAGCAGTCATGACCGGTCCATTTGTCACAAGGAGTAATGTTGAACAGAGTATACTTAGGCAAGTGAGCGTTGTAGTCAAACCAGTGGATATATAGTGAGCTACCTTAGGCAAGTGAGCGTTGTAGTCAAACCAGTAAGGTTTGACTACGGCTGCTCACTCGCCACTATGTACATAGACGAGACAACAAGGCAATAAACTAACACGACCCCCTGACTTGGTGACTCGTCAATGTGCGACCCCCTGACATGAGGGAATTATCATGAGAGACCAAGTTTACCTCGAAGGTATTCAAACTTGATGCGACCAAGGGGTTTGGTGAAGATGTCAGCGACATTTTCAGAGGTCGGAACATGCTGTACACGGAGTTCCTTGTTCTCAACGTGCTCGCGAATCCAGTTGTATGCACGGTGAACATGCTTCATGGTTGTCTGGTGTTCGGGATTTTTGACCACTTGGATGGCTGATGCACTGTCGAGGTAGAGAGGGATGGTATAGAGATGTCATAGCCGATCTCTTCAAAAACTGGCGCATCCACATTATCTCGCATCCCGCAGCAGATGCTGTTGTGTATTCAGACTCTGTGGATGAGAGTGAGACATGTTTTGTAGTCGACTACCCATGACAGCTCCTGAGCCAACTGAGAGGACATATCCACCAGTGGATCGTGAGTTATCTGGGTTCCCACTCAGGTCGGCATCGCTGTGGGCAGTGAAGAGGTCGGTGGAAGAGGTGGGAGAATAGATGAGTTTGAGATCTTGCGAGCCTTTGAGGTATCTGAGGACATGCTTGGCAGCATTCCAATGCTGTTCTCCTGGGTTGGAATTGTATCGACACAGAACACCAACAGCATATGAGATGTCGGGGCGAGTTGCAATTGAGAGGTATAAGAGACGGCCTACGGCCTCTCTGTATGGGATGCTTTTCATTCGCTCCTTTTGTTCAGCTGTTTTTGGACTCATTTCTGCTGAGAGTCGAAGCCCATCAGGCATTGGCGTTGGAGATGGGGTACAGTCGGTCATATTGTAGTCTTCAAGTAGCTTTTGTATGTATGCTGGCTGTGAGAGAGCAATTGTGCGACTTGTGCGATCACGCTCAAGTCGAATTCCAAGTATCTGGGTTGTCTGGCCTTGGTCATGGATTTTGAAGCGTTGCTTGAGTTCCTCCTTGACTTTGTGGATTGCGGAGTGAGACTTGGAAGCAAGGATGAGGTCGTCGACATGGACAGGTATGATAATCCGCACACCGTCGCGTTGGTAGACGAAGACACTGTGGTCGCATTCGAGTCGTTTGAAGCCTATCTCAGAGAGTACTCTGTGCAGCTTCACTGACCAAAGTCGCGGCCCCTGTTTGATACCATATAGACCTTTTAGCAGTCGGAGTACCCATTGATGTGACCCGTCGGAGTCTCCATGTATTGTTAGTCCCTCTGGCGGCTGCATGTACACTTCTGCATCTATTTCGCCATTGAGGAAGGCTGTAGAGATGTCGACACTCTCCAGTTCCATGTCCTCAACTGCTGCTAGCGCAATGACTGTCCGCAGTGCTCCAAAGCGTGCTGTAGGCGCAAAGGTTTCGGTGTAATCTACACCTTCGCGCTGAGCATAGCCCTTTGCAACAATACGACCTTTGTACTTGTCAATTGACCCATCAGGGTTACGTTTGATCTTGAAGACCCAACGACATCCTATCGCCTTCTTTCCATGTGGCAGCCGCACAACCTCCCAGGTTCCATTTTCCAGGTGAGCGTCAATCTCTTTGACTGCCGCTTCGAGCCATTTCTCACTATCGGGACGTTCTAACGCCTCAGCTAGGGTGTTGGGCTCGAGCTTTGCAGACGTTTGGAGGGCATACTCGACGCCATCAGCCAGTGAGACCAACACATATGCTGTGTCTTGTTCTATTGACTGTGCAGCATCTGCAGTCTCATTATATGCTGGGTGAGCTGATCGAGTCTGCCGCTTGCCTGGCAGGCTCCTGGAAATTTCTCGAAGTGCTCAAGGCCTCTTGGTCTCCTGGGTAACTCCGTACTGTTGCTTGGCGCAAGATGTCTGTACTGAGCAGGGAGATCTAGTGTGACTCTCGGTGGCTCTTGGGTATCGTTGCCATTTCCATCGTTGTCATCGTCAGAGTTGCTGAGATCAAGGAGGTTTAGGTCTGGGAGTGAGTCTTGATCATCACCTTGGCCTTGCTCCAGACGGATTCGCTCGTCAGGAGGTGGACCAGATGGCTGGACTGGAGGGTTTGGTGTGTGTGGCACAAATGGGACGAGAGAGAATGATGGTGATATGTCATCTACAGGCTGTGGAACATGGCTCTTCGTTTTAGAACCCCCTGGGAACTCATCTTCGACAAATATTGCACTGTCAGAGACGAAGTCCTTCTGTGTTTGTGGGTCCCAGAATATCCAACCTTTGTAGTCATTTGGATATCCAATGAAGACACATTTTCGCGTATGGGGTGCGAGCTGTACACGCTGATCCTTTTGAAGGTGTACATGGGCTCGGCAGCCCCAAGCACGTAGGTGTCCAACAGAGGGTTTTGAGCCATTCCAGATCTCTATGGGGGTTATACCATCGAGAACAGAGGATGGAAGTCGGTTATGGGTGTGGACAAAGGCTCTGGCAGCATCGGCCCAGAACGACGGTGGTAGCTTTGCTTCTGAAAGCATTGCAGTTACCCCTTCAGCAAGGTGACGGTTGAATCTCTCAGCGACTCCATTCTGCTGGGGACTGTCGCGGATGGTGTGTTCGCGTTGGATGCCATTCTCTGCACAGTAGTTTTGGAACTCGGTGGACATGTATTCACCACCTTTGTCATCTCGTAGACATTTAATTTTACCCCCAGTTCCGTCTCAGCGTGCATTTTGAAGTCTTTAAATGCCTCGAGAACTCTGTCCTTGCTGGGAGTGTGTACAGGGTAACACGACGTGACTTATCGTCAATGAATGTAACCCAATACCGATGTCCCTTCCGGCTCTGAGTTGGCACTGGCCCATGGACGTCTGAGAGATGCGTCCAGGACAGATTCTGATCGTTTTGCAGGCACTGTATGTGGTGCACGAGTCTGCTTGCCCTCTACACAGGGTACGCAAAGAGCTGGGGTTATTGTCTTGCCAGTGGTGGCAAAATCTTTGACAACACTAGTTGAGAGCATCTTGTCGATTGTGGCATAGCTCCGATGGCAGAAACGCCGGTGCCATGTCTCAATTGACACTGGCGTGGTTGTTATGGCATGGGAAACCGACTCAGGTACTGTCCCTGGTTCGTCTGTGCGGCCTTCGAGTAGTGGGACATTGTGAGCACGCTTAGTAGCAATGAGAATCGCATTCTTTTCTTTGTAGAAGCAGAGCGTGTTGGAATTGATAGTCGCAGTGATTGATGGGGAGAGAGTCATCATGAATATGGAAAAGAGGTTGTTTTTCAGATTGGGAACGAAGAGGACATCTTTGAGAATTATGGAACTGTCGAGTTTTCCATCTAGCAGTGGCCTAAACGTGACCATTCCCCTACCCGTACCAAAAGTGATTGATCCATCAGCTAGCTTCACAGGAGTCCTGCACTCCGAGAAGCTAGTGAGCCACTCGCGACGATGTGTCATATGGCAGGAGGCTCCTGAATCAGCAATCCAGCTGTCAGCTGCTGTAGGTACGGGTAATTGGGACAAACTTGCATTTCCGGCATATTCGACCTCTGTAGGCTTATCGATTGCTTGTGCAGCATGTGCCTGGTGTGACCGTCCTGGAGCAGAGCTCCGATCACTGCGTCCACGTGCTCGGTGTGGCTGGGTTCCGGAGGTACCGGCTCGTCGCTCGGCGCGCTCGTTCAGGTACATCTGCTGGAAGCGGACCATTGTGCGGCAATCTTTGACAAAATGGCCGATGTTTAGGCAAAAGAGGCATTTTGTTGGTGTGGTAACGGCGGCAGCAACCTCGGGTGCTATGTCCTGCGATTCTGGTGTCGTTGTGTTGAATAGGAGCATTGCTGTTTTGATTTTGTCGTAATTGATTGTGTTGGAAACGACAATGCTGGTGCGCAGCTGATGCTCAGTGGGGATGGCATTGAGTAGTGTAAATGCCTTGAGTTCCTCTGTCTCCTTCTGTATGTTCCAATCGGCTGGGCGGAGACGGTCAAGTGCATGGGTGGCATCATCCACACGTTTGACCAGGTCTGCCCATGACTCTGTTGATTGCTTGCGGATTGAAAGCAGTTCATTCCACGCTCTGAAGCGCATGCTTCCATCCTTTTTGGCATAGAGCTCGAAAAGCGCATCGTAAATTGCCACACCATCAGAAGGTGTCTTTTCGAGGATATGTCGGTGTTCCTTGCCGGCTGCAGTGCGTAACCATGTGGCCACCTGACGATTTGCATTATCATAGGTTTTCTGTGCAGAGATTTCTTCTGGCGTTGGCTTTGTTGGATCTGCATAGCCAGGTCGTGGGATGCGTGCTTTGGTGCTTGGATCCTTGGCAAAGAGGATTGTATCGTACTCAGCACGGGTAAGAAGGCCGTCAAAATTCCAAATCCATTCTTCCCAATTTGCTGGATTCGGTGTGCCGGCCCGTATGAGCTGTTTGAGAATTGTTTCCATCAGGGGTATTTGCGTTTACCGAAGGTGATCCGGTTTTAAGCGAGGAGAAAAATTTTCTGTTGGCTTCCCACGCCGTGGATGTCAAGTGCGACGCAGGGGATTGGGTACTGAGCAGTGTCTGTGGAGGTTGGCGTAGTGTGTGTGCTCGCTGAATGTATGCACTAGAAGTAGAATCGTGCAGTAGTTGATATTGATGGATACTGAGTGGTATTACTTGTGGGCACTGGCGGCAACGGCTGTAGCAAGCACTTTTAGAGCGCAGGGCTCATAACCTGTTGAACAGAGTATACTTAGGCAAGTGAGCGTTGTAGTCAAACCAGTGGATATATAGTGAGCTACCTTAGGCAAGTGAGCGTTGTAGTCAAACCAGTAAGGTTTGACTACGGCTGCTCACTCGCCACTATGTACATAGACGAGACAACAAGGCAATAAACTAACAAGTAACCCATTGTCTCTTGGTCTATTGGTCGTTCTGATTCATAAATTACGTACTAGCCAATGACCGGTTGAGATTTAGACAATAGCGTACGTCGGATGAGCTCACAGAAGAGAGTAGCTCTTCATTCAAATGAAGTAGACATTTTCGTCTCACGATAAAAAAAGTGCCGACGTGCCTGTAGCTGTGAGGACGTTCAACAGAACAGGTTCAAGAAGGACGGATACTGCAACACATGTTTCCATTATCGCATCTAGTCTGTATCTGTGTTGATGTTCTCAATCAACTTTGTTCTGGTCACACATTAGACTTGCTCCCTGCCACAACCGGGTATTTTTCATTGTGAGGACGAGGAATGACTCTCTTTCCAAGTAGCTTCGTCAGTTCAGATTGATCATTATCCTGTCATTTGCAAATGGAATCCCGAAGTCAACGGGAACAACTAGGGCTATCACATGCTATGTGGGTTGCGTTCTGGAAGAGAGGTAACGCACCGCCTGTTGGGATGAACACCCAACAACTTGATCATGGCTCATCCGGCGGCTACCAACAAACGATTGATCTCTCCTTTGACAAATAAGCGCATACGTCGATGGGTGCCGGGCGGCTATCAACTTCCCGGTTCCGTTGCTCATCACACTTGCGTCGCGGCAGAATCCACCAGTCGGCGGAAGTTCCAGAATAGATTCGCCTAGTAGCCGCGTCCCCACTTCGCAAGCATAAAAGCCCCGTCTGCGGCCTTCGTGGGTCTCCAAATATACCTTGCCTTCGACTATACCAGCAACAGATTCCTTGATCATGTCTTTTATCGACCTTGTATCTCGCTTAATTTATGGACAGCGTTCGTATTTCACATATAGCTTCCTCCGATGCTCACATCCCCTGTGTAGCTATCAGCCCTGAGACCAGCTTGTCGCCTGGAAATTACACGCCCATTCCACAACCACCCACTGTTCCTCTTCTTCTCAACACTCCGCAGATTGACAAGAAGCTCCCCCACGAGAGCTTTCGTTTACTACACCAAAAGTATGGAGAGATCTATGTCCTTGCGTTCCCGGGTACACCTTCCTGGATCATCCCAGTACCTTTCTAATCATCCAATAGGCCGTCGTGTTGTCTTCCTGAACAGCCATCGGCTGACACTTGAAGCACTTGATGAGAAGAAGTTTCACAAGGCGCTCACAGGTGGCTTACTCGAGCTAAGAGGTCTCGTTGGAGACGCTCTCTTCACGGCTCACCATGGCGAACACAATTGGGAAATCGCTCGTAGGCATCTTTCATAACCACGCCGAACTCGATGCTCACTCTCGCCAGACCGCATTCTTACCCCTGCCTTTTCTCCAGCGAACATAAAGGGAATGTTTGGAGACATGTTCGATATTGCCAGTCAACTCGTCCTCAAATGGGAACGGTTCGGACTTCATCCTTTGGTCTACAATATGACTAAATCCTAGTAGCTACGGGCCGGAACACATTATCATTCCAGCCGAAGACTTTACGCGCTTAGCCTTCGACACGGTGGCTTTATGTACAATGGGTTACCGAGTGAACAGTTTCTACAACGTAGGCACACCGTTGTCAAAGCTCACAATTACCTTGCCTGACGATCGCTTAGGATGCAGTCCAACCATTCATTGTTTCCATGGCAGACTACTTACTCGAAGCGCAACGTCGAGCTACGATGCCCTCCGTTGTAAAGGCGCTTTCGAGCACTGCGAAGTGGGATTCGGATAGGGAGCTGATGAACGAGATTGTTAACAAAGGTAAGTTGTCAAGTCTTTCATATGTACTTACTGATTCATTTTGCAAAGTCATCAGTGACAGGCGGCGAAGCGGTATCCAGCGAGGCGACCTTCTCGACCTGATGCTCCACGGAAAGGATCCAAGGACCGGAGAGTCGCTATCGGAAGAGAACATTCGCTATCAGGCAAGCCAAATTTTCTTTCTTTCTCTTGCCCAAACCGACCAGTTTGACATAGCTTATCACATTCTTGATCGCCGGACATGAAACAACCTCGTAAGTGATGCATAGAAACGTTTCTCGCACGTCTCATATTTAACCAGAGGAATGCTCACATTCATCACATACGAACTTCTGAAGAGTCCTGTATCGTATGCCAAAGTCCGCGAAGAGGTAGATCGGGTTCTTCAAGGGAAACCCATACAGCCAGAGCATCTCAGCAAACTACCTTATATTGTTGCTGTCATGCGCGAGGCCCTACGACTTCATCCTCCGGCAACAGCAATCGCCGTTACACCCTATGAAGACACGGTCCTTGGTGGAGAGTACATGATCCCAAAAGGAACCGTCGTAGTGCCTCAAATAGCCAGGATACAGAGAGATTCGACTGTCTGGGGAGAAGATGTGAGTCTTCGTCATACTTTCAGTAGCGTACTCAATCCGCACAGGCCGAGAAGTTCAAACCCGAAAGGATGCTAGATGGAAATTTTGAAGCACTACCCGTAAGTTGACTGTGATTTTATGTCAATCTGCTCATTTTTGTAGCCAAAAGCATGGATTCCTTTGGAAATGGAGCAAGGGCGTGCATCGTGAGCGGTGTTTGAACTATTCGACAGCTGTCTTACCAGCTATCTAGGGTCGACCATTTGCTTGGCAAGAGGCCATCATCGCGTTAGCTACCTTATTCCAGCGGTTCGACTTTGTCATGGCAGACGAAAGCTACAACTTAACCCTCAAACAAACCCTGACCATCAAGCCCGACAACTTTCACATCCGAGCAATCCCTCGAGATAACGCACCTCCTCTTGTCATTGGAGCAACGTCGGCACCAAAGCCCGCGACTAATGTTGGTGAAGCGACCCCTGCTACTCTCTCCAACGAAGAGATGGAGAAAAAGGTTCCCATGGCCGTTCTTTACGGCAGTAACACTGGCTCTTCAGAAGCCTTTGCACAAAGGATCGCGTCGGCTGCAGCTAGCAACGGCTTCAATGCCAGGATCGCCACCCTCGATGCAGCCACGGGACACTTGCCGACGATTGGACCCACTGTGATCATCACAGCATCATTCGAAGGCGAACCCGCAGACAATGCCGGTCGCTTCGTTCAAGATCTCACAACTATGAACGGTACACCATTGGAAGGGGTATCTTACGCCGTCTTCGGATGTGGGAACCGAGATTGGGCACTTACTTATCAGCGTATCCCCAAGCTTATTGATGAGAAGATGGAGGCTGCAGGCGCGAAAAGACTCCTGGAACGTGGAGAAGGCGATGCATCTGGTGCGGAATTCTTCGACTCATTTGACGCCTGGGAGGTCAAACTCTGGGAGACTCTTTCCACGGTATGTCTACCAGTTTTCATTCCTTGCCATTCTCAGTTAGCATAGATTTATAACACAACGGCCACCAACCGCCCGACGGAAGAGGAACTGGATGTCAAGCTTTGTGGCACAGGCATGGAGCGTGCTATTTCCCTGCGACAGCCAGATGCGGCGCTTGGTAAAGTGGTCGAGAACCGCATTCTCACTTCAAATGCGGAGCAAGAGAAGAGACATATTGGTATGTTTCATCCAAAACCAAAGGATATCCTGACATCTCTCGCAGAATTCGAGCTACCGGAGAATATGACCTACAACGCTGGGGACTACCTGGCCATTCTGCCCACCAATCCTCCCGCATCTGTTAGGCGTGTGTTTGCAAGATACAAACTATCGGAGGAGGTATTATTCACTCTTTATTTCCCTTACACATTGTCGTTCTAATCCAGGTTTCAGGCTATGATTACGATTAACGCTAGTGGCGCCACCACCCTCCCTACGGGCCGACCGGTCGAGCTCAAGCAAGTACTGAGTGGATACGTCGAGCTGTCCCAACCGGCATCGAAGCGGAACCTCGAGACCCTCATTGAAGCTGCTGATGAGGCCGTAAAGCCGGAGTTGAGGGCTATGGCCTCGGCATACAAAGACACCGTGGTCGACAAGAGGATCAGTGTTTTGGACATTCTATGCAAGTATCCGACATTGCCTATCTCATTGGGGAGTTTCCTGGCTATGCTCCCGGCAATGCGAGTGAGGCAATATTCAATTTCCTCTTCACCACTCTGGAATCCGCGCCATGTCACCCTCACTGTCAGTGTAGTCAACTCACCTGCAATCAGCGGTACCGGCGAGATCTTCCAAGGCGTGGCATCCAACTTTTTGGCCAACCTGCGACCAGGGGATCTCGTCCAGCTCATGATCCGCCAATCCGCTACGACGTTCTCTCTACCTGTCGACCCGAGTGTTCCCATCGTACTCTTTTGCGCAGGCACCGGACTCGCACCTATGCGCGGTTTCATCCAGGAGCGTGCGATGCAGATTCAAAGTGGTCGAAAAGACATCGGGAAGATTCTCCTCTTCTTTGGATGTCGAGATCCAGGCAAGGATTATCTCTATTTCGAGACCGACCTTGGAAAGTGGATCGAGCTAGGTGTGGTCGACGTTCGACCTGCGTTCTCGCGGGCACCAGAGAAAAGCGAAGGGTGTCGGTACGTTCAAGACCGAATTGTGAGAGACGGAGATGAGGTTCGAAAATACTTCCGGGAGAAGGCCAAGGTATAGTGTTCCCTATCTTATATGTCTGGTGCAGAAGCTCATATTTGCCTAGTTCTTCACATGTGGTGGGACGGCTGTTGCCGCTGGGATTCGCGAAGCCTGTATCAAGTTGATTGAAGAGGACTGTGGCTCGCGGGACGGTGCAGTCGAGAAGTTTAAAGCACTTCAGAAGGAGCGCTATGCCACTGACATCTTTGGATAAAAACAACGATTCTACGAACCAGAGTAGCGTATACGACCGAAGATCAAGATCAGCTATCAGTTACGTTGAGTTGTAGTGTTGAAGCTGTCACAATATAATCGTGCCTGAAAGACGGACCGGATGACTTACATATCTAAGGATCCTCACACCGATGAAGGAGTCTGATCCTTTATGTCAATGTTCGTTCGAGGTCGAGACATGAGTTATACCTAACGTAGGACTCTTCTACGCCGTAGATAGGGCTTTAATATTTCGACGTGAGATCACGGAGCTAAACTCTGGCTCTGCATGGATGTGATATAATCCTATGCGTCGCGTGAACAGTTTCCACTGAGGAGGTATGAGCTACTCAGAAGACAAGCACGCTAGCCTTGATCACTATCAGCGACCAGAGGTGGGTATGCATCCACCCGTGGGTCAGTCACTCTGACCAAAATGACCAAAAAGTTTGAAGAGGACGTGATGAGTGTCAACCAGAGAAAGAGTCGTGGAGGTCGTCAAAACTGTACTGTACCGAGTGTTTTGCACAACGCAATAAGTATGAGCGGCCACGGTGGACAAAAATCATTCAAGATTCGTAAGAACAAAGTAAGAGGCAGGATGGGGCGGGCTGTGGTGCGCTTGAGCGGGCTCTGGCCGGCTGGGGCGTGACGGGACGGGCTGAGGCAGACTCACAAATACTCATCCTGGCCCCCGCCTGTGCCAGCCCGTCAAGCCACAAGTTCGTCAGCCTGCGTCGGTTAATTCTGAATGATTGTGATTGTAAAATTTAGCCGTCAATGATTAAATCCCCTGACCGTAACGAAGTGGAGGGAAGGGTCTTACAGGCCCTCACCAGGCACAGTAATTGAAATGTCTGCACGTAAACCAGTACGTTCTCCCTATCACTATGGATTGTACTGACACTCCCCAGACGACACCCTCCCGCTCGAACACGTTCAGTTTGGCTTCGAAGTCTACTCACCGCCGACCTTTTTCTTGTAAAGCTATCTAATTTGCCACCTCAAGGTGCGTCGGGCCTCTTGATACCCATGGAATCACTCTGATTGCCTGTGGGTATTGCCGGCGCAGCCTGTATACCATGCGAGGATTCCAATGTCGTTTCATACGAGCCTCTGCGCCCCGTTTCACCCGACAGAGACGTTGATGTCACTCTTTATCCGTTGAATTTGCATGCATCTGTTGCTACCAGGAGAGACGTTACTCCCTTGAGTATTGTGAGCGTATCACCAGCTGAAACTTTACGTTCTTTTGTCGAACAGCTTACTACTATGCACCTGAGCGCGAGCTCCAGCAGATCAAGGGAAAGAGGACTGAAGGCTCGGGCCCATAGTCTTAGTGCCCCCTCACAATCTCTGCCTGCGTGCTCTGTCTCCTCCTGGATCCAGATGGCACGATTGCTTTTGTTTGTCATTTAGTTCTCTGATGAAATCTCCTATTTCGTTCACACCCCTTCTCCCTGTTCATTGCGAGCGTCTAAGGGGTCCCACGCGAGTTGTGTGTATAACATATATTTCGCAATAAATCGTCGAGCCCAAAAGGAGATAAAGGTAAGGGGTCCACCCGGAGGGCCCTTCAGTGTCATTATGGGACATTTGTTCGAACATCTGTCCAAGAGAGACCACATTGAAAATTGGTGAAATCAAATTTGGTCTTGCGGAATGGAGCCTCGTTTGGAATTGTCAGGAGATATGGATATTTTAGTCCGCGTCGATTGTCTGGTGGTACCCAGAAGAGACGTTTGCCGGAAGAATGTACCCAGCCGTCCTGCGAGAGTAAGCAAATTTGGAATCCAGGTACATGGATTCTTAGAGGGGTGGCCTGTAGACCCTCGCTGAGGCTTGAATATACAGACTCTTTACCAGAAGAATTTGCGTTTGCACTTAAGGCTATTTGTCGAGTCGCATCAAAATCTCGAAGGCGAGCTGAGTTGAACTCACCGGTTTCTGCATCCCATGATCGGATCGTCTTGTCCCACGAGCCGGAGACTATCTGTGACCCGCCTGGCGAGAATCCGACGGCGCTGACTCCGCTTTCATGACCTCGGAGTGGCTCTCCCACAGCCTGACCAGTTGCCGCGTCCCACAATCGAATTGTGTTGTCGGACGAGCCAGACACAATCTGTGAGCCGTCTGGCGAGAGTCCGATGGCGTTGACCCAACCTTCATGACCTCGGAGTGGCTCTCCCACAGCCTGACCAGTTGCCGCGTCCCACAATCGAATTGTGTTGTCGTACGAGCCAGACACAATCTGTGAGCCGTCTGGCGAGAATCCGACGGCGCTGACCACACCTTCATGACCTCGGAGTGGCTCTCCCACAGCCTGACCAGTTGCCGCGTCCCACAATCGAATGGTGTTGTCGGACGAGCCAGACACAATCTGTGAGCCGTCTGGCGAGAATCCGACGGCGTTGACCCAACCATCATGACCTCGGAGTGGTTCTCCCACAGCCTGACCAGTTGCCGCGTCCCACAATCGAATGGTGTTATCGGACGAGCCAGACACAATCTGTGAGCCGTCTGGCGAGAATCCGACGGCGTTGACCCAATCTTCATGACCTCGGAGTGGCTCTCCCACAGCCTGACCAGTTGCCGCGTCCCACAATCGAATTGTCTTGTCCCACGAGCCAGACACAATCTGTGAGCCGTCTGGCGAGAATCCGACGGCGTTGACCCAACCTTCATGACCTCGGAGTGGCTCTCCCACAGCCTGACCAGTTGCCGCGTCCCACAATCGAATTGTGTTGTCCCACGAGCCAGACACAATCTGTGAGCCGTCTGGCGAGAATCCGACGGCGCTGACCACACCTTCATGACCTCGGAGTGGCTCTCCCACAGCCTGACCAGTTGCCGCGTCCCACAACCGAATTGTCTTGTCGGACGAGCCAGACACAATCTGTGAGCCGTCTGGCGAGAATTCGATGGCGGTGACCACACCTTCATGACCTCGGAGTGGCTCTCCCACAGCCTGACCAGTTGCCGCGTCCCACAATCGAATTGTGTTGTCCCACGAGCCAGACACAATCTGTGACCCGCCTGGTGAGAATCCGACGGCGTTGACCCAACCTTCATGACCTCGGAGTGGCTCTCCTACAGCCTGACCAGTTGCCGCGTCCCACAATCGAATTGTCTTGTCCCACGAGCCAGACACAATCTGTGAGCCGTCTGGCGAGAATCCTACGGCGCTGACTCCGCCTTCATGACCTCGGAGTGGCTCTCCCACAGCCTGACCAGTTGCCGCGTCCCACAATCGAATTGTCTTGTCGTACGAGCCAGACACAATCTGTGAGCCGTCTGGCGAGAATCCGACGGCGTTGACCCAATCGTCATGACCTCGGAGTGGCCCTCCCACAGCCTGACCAGTTGCCGCGTCCCACAATCGAATTGTCTTGTCGGACGAGCCAGACACAATCTGTGAGCCGTCTGGCGAGAATCCGACGGCGTTGACCCAACCTTCATGACCTCGGAGTGGCTCTCCCACAGCCCGACCAGTTACCGCGTCCCACAATCGAATTGTGTTGTCGGACGAGCCAGACGCAATCTGTGAGCCGTCTGGCGAGAATCCGACGGCGTTGACCACAGCTTCATGACCTCGGAGCGGCTCTCCCACAGCCTGACCAGTTGCCGCGTCCCACAATCGAATTGTGTTGTCGGACGAGCCAGACACAATCTTTGAGCCGTCTGGCGAGAATACGACGGCTCTGACCTCGCCTTCATGACCTCGAAGCCTACTTGGGAGCCCAGGATACATTTCCTCGAGGCCTTCGGTTACACAAAGGGTATTACTATACATCTTCGCACCTTCAATATGCAATATTGAATTTGTAGGGGTGAATGGGAGTGCGGAAATGTATATGTGTGGGGCGCTCTCTTGAATCGGTACTGAAAATACGATTATAAACCGTCGAATCTGGTCCATGTTGACTTCTTCCCATGTTTCAAGCTATCTGTGGCGTCAGAGTCGAATTGGCTCGGATCGGCAACTTACTCCTGCGTGGCGTGTAATAGCTCGAAGACCGGTTATTGCTCGTGGCACTCCTCCGGTCAAGCTCAGAACCTCCATCCAGTATAACACGTATGGAACTTGAATAATCTGTTGGATTTCCTTCTTGACGATGGACCGCCAGCTGTCGCCAGCTTCAGCCACATGGAACAGCCAATGAGAGCTGGCATATCGCAGGCGTCTTGAAATGAATCTCGATACTCTCGTATCGAGGTTTGGAATCTCTCTATTAAGATAGAAAGATGACTCCAGTTGACATATATTGAACTTGAGACCATCTCTTCGCGATGTGAGATGTTTGAGACACCAAACTGCGGCTTGGCCGTGTGCGTCAGGAATCCTGATATACACGTTGTTACGCGTATCGATGGGTGGGGCTACAGAGCAACGCCGAAGGTACTCGACGAAAGTGGGGTGCCGAAATTGGATTAGACTCGTGGTACCATCCTCAACAAGTACGCTGCCGAGATTCCGTACCAGCGCCTTTGCACTTCCGTATACCCCGGAATGCCTGAGAATGTCGTCCACGTCGTCGGCAGTCAGCGGTTCAAACGCTGCAAGCAGTACAGCGAGCATCTTGTACATGATCGTGTGGAACTCGGGATCCATGCGCACAAAGATGAGGTTATATAGATCGTCTATGGCCCCAGCCTTGTCCATGGACATGAGGTGATCATACGTGATCTCCGGAGGGCTTAAGCTTGTCTGGCTGGTGAGCATTCGACATGCAGTGCTCGCCCAGATGAACAATCCGTTGGCCTTTTCGATCAGTCTCTGCCTTTTGCCCTCCGGCAGCACGTTGTCTAGTGCTTTGTGTATGTACACTGCGATATCACCAATGTTATCATGATGCTTGACATCGTGCAGTCGGTCCTCCAACTTGGATTTGATTGAGAGTGACCCCAAGACGGCTTGGATTACGGGATCTGGCCGACTCGTCATGAAGATCTTGAGGTTTTTTGTTCCTTGAACAGCTGTAGAAAGCGTTTCGACGAGCTCTCTTCGCTGCAATCCAGATTTACATTCATCAAGAGCGTCGATGACGAGAATGACACGTTCTTGACTATGATGGATGGGATCAATGACTAACTTCTGGAACTGTTCTTCTAGAGAGCTTCGCATGAACGACGGGTGCCACTTCACAGCTCCAGCGACGTGCGGCGCAAGCCTGGGTATGTAGTCGACCAGGTCTCTTGCTATTGTAGAGCAGAACTTGTCTGTGGTAGATCCTTCACTGCTTGCAATGGAGAAGAAGAACCGGCCTCCTAGTACTCCTTCCTTCCTCCAAGTCTCTGCTGCAGACATTGCGACTGTGGACTTGCCAGAGCCGGCGATATCACACAGCCAAAATATCGGCTTGTCCGACGTATCATCGTCGGCCCAGCGGTAGATAGTCTGAAGAACAGCCTCGCGTGTTCCTTTCAGACACGGCCTGTGGACTGAGGATGCGACGAAAGCTACCACCGGTAGCTGTAGTATAGCATTGGTGTCGACTTCGAATGTTTAGTAAGCATCTCATCCCAAATTTCAGCTTACCGTCTTTAAGAATGGTCTCCACGTTCGCTTTGGTGGCTTTGGTATCCCTCTCGACATTTTGAATACGCAAGGCTGTAAAAAGACTCAAGGCCTCCTTTGTCGATAGTGAGTACTGTGAACAAGGTCGATAAGGCTCGCACCATGAATTGCCTATGCCGGTCCTCGATGTCTCGATTGAGTTTGAGAATCTCTTCTGCGTCAATTTTCATTTTTCCGAACGCTTTAAAGATGCTGAGTTTGCTGCGGTTGCGTTTCTCCTTTAGGTCGACAATTGTATCGTGCATATTTTCGAGAAATCTACATCACTCAGCCTACTGAAGCAAATTTGAAGTGCTACGTACTCGACATAATGGATTAGCGGCTGCCTAAACGCCTCGTCAACGGCCATGTCTTCCTCAGGATATGCCTCCAATAGGGTGATTTGTTTCTCGAGCGCAGACATGTATTCCTTCAAACGTCCAGCTAGATCAATCCATTCCTCTTGATTGATCTCTGTTGCCTATTGAATCCGTTAGACGCAGTCGTGGCAGGTTCGCCAACTTGCCTGTACGACTTCGAGAATTGACTTGGTGGTTCGACAAGCTGCCTTGAGAGGAGCGAGTACATCTGATCCCTCGGATATGTTGGCCACTACATCCAGGCCGACATTGAGCGTGTCGTATACTTGACGTTTTTTGCCTGTTGGGCGCTGTGCTGACGAAGATCCCGATGAATCTGTGGGCAGATGTCGTTTCTTGTGCTTTGTTGATTTTTGGGTCGACATCGTGAAGGTGGATGGCTCCAAGATATGGTCAGCGCCAATGCCACTCTCCGTATTGTCGGCGCTCAAAGGATAAGGCCAAATACAGAGTTTAATCATTGAAGGTACAGAACAATTCGAAACCAATAGATGCCATTGTCCATATTGCAGAACCCATGGAACCTCGCAGACAATTTCGGGCCAACCCAGAGACAAAGAATTGGAAGTTACGGTAAAGAACTGGAAGCCGGACGATCGACACACCCGAAGCCAGCGTGCAGCGGACCACTTCCATGGCGTCGGTCACCTGGTTTGACCGTTTCGCAGTCCTACTAGACCTCTTTTACATCCTAAAAGCAGCTATTCCGCCTACAATATCAGCAACATTCAGGCAGCCGTCGCTTCTTGTCCACCCACGAAGATTGCAAGACGTGTTCTTTCAAAACGTCTGGGCCTTCATGGGCGACGGTGTGGATGCTGCGGGTGCAGAAACTAAGCACGCACTTTTACCTGCTGCTTGTGGTGTCGTTCTTGAAATAGGGGCAGGTGTGTCGTCTTCGAAAACTCCATACACAGAACGAGATAGACTAATGCCCGCAAAGGACACGGCCACTCGTGCAAGTACCTGGACACCACTCGTGTCACAAGGTACATTGCCCTCGAGCCGAGTATAGAGATGCATAAGCACATCCCTGCCAACGCGGTCAAGGCCGGGTTCGAGCCCGCACAGATCCAGATGATCTCGTGCAGTGCTGAAGAGACGGAGAAAATCTTAGAAGCGCTTGGGGGAGAGCAAGTCGACACACTCGTCTCCATCCTCGGTCTCTGTGGCATCCCCGACGTCAAGAAATCAGTGGCTGTACTCACGGACAAGGTTCTTAAACTTGGTGGAGTGTTCCTCTTTTATGAGCACGTTCGCTGCGACTCCTCGCCTACGCTTGCTTGGTGGCAAGCCGTTTGGACACCGATATGTGAACCAATACTAGGCTGTCGGTTAGATAAACCAACGCATCATATTATCGACGCACTGGATATATGGGAAGATCGCAAATTGGAGGGCAAAGTACCCGAGGAGCCACCAAATCTTTTTTGGCACCGTTATCGCAAGAAATTGTAGAGCCACTAGCTGAGGGTCATGGTTCTATAACACGTTGGATCTGTACAGTGCACAACTTGATATGCATAGGAGTTGTATCTATAAGATGGATGGAAATTCAATAGCGAGGCCTCCGAAGAGGCGTCTGTTTCTTCTGCGGCCTTACATGGAATAAGGCGACGGTTTGATAGAAGAGGAACCAAATTAGTGAGTGAATCCCCTGACCGTAACGAAGTGGAGGGAAGGGTCTTACAGGCCCTCACCAGGCACAGTAATTGAAATGTCTGCACGTAAACCAGTACGTTCTCTCTATCACTATGGATTGTACTGACATTCCCCAGACAACACCCTCCCGCTCGAACATGTTTAGTTTGGCTTCGAAGTCTACTCACCGCCGACCTATGTTTGACAAGTACATCAACTAGTGGGACCCTTGCGTCTGGCTGGTCGGTTGCATTGCTGATCATCCGATGAAGGAGCTCAAGTAGCTTGTTGAGAGTGTCAAATAGGTAGCGGTACTCCTCATGTCTTCAAAGTAGTCCATGAGTTGGCGCAAAATGAACTCTGAGATGCTGTGTATCCTGACTATGCACTTGTATGGATTGTCCTATGTCCCTTGTCAAAGCCACTAAGGCTCCCATACGTGCTTCAGAACGAGCTTGGGCGCTGGACTCCATCAATTCATGAAGAGCTTGGGATTGAGGTGCAATGACATTCCCATGTAAATTGCTGAGTACATCTAGATAGTAACAGAACAGGCTAGGATGGGACGGGCTGGGACAGCCTGGGGAGTGATGGGGTAGGATAAGCGAATGCAGCTTACTTTGTCCTGGTAATACGCAAGCCCGCCTTGTCCTGTCCCAGCCCGTCCTGGCCCTCCTGTGAACTTACAGTGACGGGCTAGGACGGGCCAGGCTCTAGCAGGTTAAGCAAATAAGATGTATACCTTGATTAGATATCTTGGCCCGTCCCGTCAGCCGTCAGCCCATCCTAGCCTGCCCTAGCCCATCACCGCCCGCTAGATTATTCGCTTATGCCGTCCCATCACTCCCCAGCCCGCCTTATCCTGTCCCAGCCCGCTCCATCCTGCCTCTTGCTTTGTTCTGGGTGCGCAAATCCATAAGTCGAATCAATTTTGTCCACCGTGGCCGCTCATAGATAAGCCTATGGATAAGTTAGAATGGCATTTGACAGGGTTTCAACGGCCGTATAAGATATTCCGAGAATCTGGACGCGGTCAAGGTTCGACCGAGCTCGCTTAGTTCCCGTTTGCCGACAAACTTCGACTCTGCCACCGCGGACGAAAGAAAAGCGTCTGCAGTTTTCCTGCAAATCAGGTCTCGCTCGTCGACTATTAGTTACTATTGTGGATAAGAGAGTGCAATGGCGACGCCAACCAAGCCAGTTCTCGCTCCGACGGATAGAAAACGTGGGTAGACCTTATCCGAGAAGATTTACAAGATTTATTAACTCTCTTGATCCGTCTTCAACTTTATCTCAACAACATTGCGTATTCAACGCCCCCACACGACCAACAGCGCTGCCGTTTTGGGCAAACTTTGCGGCTGGAGCAATAGCAGGAGTAACGGAAATTCTGCTCATGTATCCACTGGACGTTGTCAAGACGCGAATGCAGCTCGACACGGGCTCAAAGTCGCTCGGGTTGGTCGGTAGCTTCAAGACGATCATCGCACAAGAAGGGTATGTTGTCTGATACGATTCTATTCTTCTGATCATGAGATTTGCCTCTAGTGCTGGACGTTTATACCGCGGTGAGTTAGATCCGACCGACCACTTGACCCGTCGAAACATCTCTTACCTATCTGACAGGTCTCGGCCCACCGCTCCTTTTGGAAGCGCCAAAGCGTGCTGTGAAATTGTATGATTCTCTCTCTAGGAAACCCGTCTGATTGGTAGACTTACAATGGCGCAGTGCGGCAAACGACTTTTGGACCAAGACATATAAAGATCTCTTTGGCAGGAAAGAGATGAATCAGAGTCTTTCTATCCTCACTGGATGCTCGGCTGGTGCGACCGAGAGCTTTGTCGTAGTCCCTTTTGAGTTGGTCAAGATCAGGTATGTATATGGGCTAGAAATAACCATATGCTGACTCCAAACAGACTACAAGACAAGAAGAGCACGTATGCTGGCCCTATGGACGTCGTGCGAACGATCATTCGCACGGACGGTATGTTGGGTCTCTACGCGGGAATGGAGTCAACCTTTTGGCGGTAGGTCATCATCTCCAAGCTGATTTTTGCTTACATCTCGACTAGACACGTCTGGTGGAGTACGCACTCGTCAAATTGACTGAACGTCTCGCTCACCGCTTTTAGACGGTGGATTCTTCGGCTCTATCTACCAAGTCCGATCATTGCTCCCCAAAGCTGAGGTGTGTCCCCAGCTCAAACGGTCTCCAATCTCTGACATTGTCGTAGACACCACAAGCCCAACTCATGAACAATTTCATCTCCGGCACCATTGGCGGCTTCGTCGGTACAGCCATTAACACTCCATTCGATGTATGAGCTCCCTATGATCAGTGGGTTTCAGATGAACTGAGTACATTGTAGGTCGTCAAGTCGCGTATTCAAGGCGCATCCAAGCCACCACCGGGGCAACTGCCAAAGTACAACTGGACATACCCAGCGTTTGTACCACTTCTCCATATTGCTACTGTTTCTCATCTTTTCTGGATAGGCTCGTAACGATTGCTCGCGAAGAAGGCGTCGCGGCCCTCTGGAAAGGATTCGTTCCAAAGGTTCTCCGTCTAGCACCAGGAGGTGGTGTCTTGCTCCTGGTCGTCGAGTTTACGCTTGGCACCTTTAGGAAGAGTAAGTCGATTGGCGCTATCACTGTACTCTTGCTCATGGTCATTGCAGTGTTGGGCCCTCCATATATCTAATTCATATATCACCGAGATACTTGCTTATATAATGGATACATAGACTGAAAAAGTTGGGACGTATGAGTGATGGATCATGCAAGAAGCCGCAAGAGCCGCCTTTCGCGCGTCTTTGGCATATATCTGTGCATTTTCCCGGCAAAGCTCATAGCGCCTACGAGCTCTACGTCCTCTAATCTAGCCGCAATGTGCGGCATCGCAAGAACCTCGTCGAACAGCCTCCACTGGTCTTCGCCGTAAGGCGAGTAAGAGAGTGTAGAAGTAAACAAGATGTGCAACTTTCGGATCGTGCTGTAGGGAAACTTGCTAAGGCCCTTGATAAGCGCATAGAGAATCCCGACAGCGGAGGCGCCGTATCCAGAGTGTGCACGGATGCCAACTACGTGTAGTTCTGTGAGCCGGATTAGGGGTGAAAGGTCCATTTCGAATGAGTCTACAGTTGAAAAGTCAGGCATTGTTCGTGGTAGAGGTGGAGAAAGAACAAACAGGTTCGTGATGTATCGTTGAATGGGACTCCCGTAAAGGAGTCGCAGTGAATTATGAGGGTCTTAATAGTTGATTTTGCGGCAGTGAAGAGTTGTTTTGCCTTTGGCAATAGGCCGGGTGCAAGTTCGACGACTGTGAGCTTTTGGAGACTTGCTGAAGGCGTCTCAAGAATCTCTTTGAGTAGCTGTTCGCCGAAAACATGACCGGGTATCTCTCCCTCGATGGCCAATCTCTCCAAGCACCCGAATTTGATCGCTTCATCTTCCTTGACAATCTGCGTGGATCGCTTTAGGCTAGATGGGAGGTTCTCGAGTACCTGAAGGTTGTCCTGTGCTTGCTCGACTTTTGCCTTTGTCTCGCTGAACCGCAACGAGTTGATGCGCAACGAGCGAAGGGTATCCGAACATGCGGCGATTCGCTGACTTACAGAAGACCAGTCCCCTGTTCGAACGTGACGAAGTGTGAGGCCTTCAAGCGGGACTCTGGGGGTTGGACTTGGTCTGTCAAGTCATCTGTATCCGAGGGCGACTCTTCTCCGTCCAAAATGCCTTCATCTCCTACAGGTCTTGAAAAGACATGAACAGGCCACCGTCCCAAAACACCATCGAGATATCGCTCGAGGGCCCATTCGGTTACGCCAACGAGTTGGACTTCGCGTACATTTGGCATGGCAGCGATGAGAAGACGGATAGTCTCCCATTGCTCTCGCGATGTCATGAGATGTGCAGGCGAGGTTTCGGTGATGACTAGACTTTGGATGAACCGCCCAGCGGGGAGTAGCCCGGGCTTTACTGTATCCCCGGATCCACGACGGGCGTTTCTCTTTCTCCATCTCCGAGTTTTCTTGTCATAGTCTACATCTGTTAGGTGCGGCAATACGTCGTTTGCGTCGCCGGCAGCAAACGAGAAGCGTTGGAAGAGGTAAAACCGACATCTGTAGAGCCATTCGCGGCAGACGAGACTGCATGCGAGGAATGTCGGGCCATCGGGCGCATTGTCAATGATGCCTTCGACAATTTCCATCGGTAATCCGCGTCCTGGGATGGTTTGTGACATGAAGGACGAGCTCTGGAGATCAAAGTCGGTGCTATATGATAAGCGGTCAGAGATTTGGTAAGAAATAAAGGATGAGGGAGAGTTCGAGTTGGGAAGCGACGGGTCCTGTAATTAGCGCCGAGGTACTCGATTTCCGACAGCACACCGAGCATATAATAATATTCCTCAAACAATATTCCCAAATGTTCTAATCATCGATATTTGTAGGGGCTGCCCCTAGCGGGAGTTGCTGGGCGAGGCTCAAAGATTTGAATGCAACAACGCCAGGACGCTCGGCCACATCAAAGACCAAAATGTTTTGTAAATAATTGAGGCTGGGAGAATGTGGGGCGTTTAGCCTGTGCGAGACGGCCTGAATCTGGTGTTTGACACCACGAGCGTTTGAATTGGACTGGACTGAACAGCCTCCTCTCCCCCCCCGTAATTTCTGCATCCTGAAAAAGATTTGGAAAATATTGAGGCTGGGAAAGTGTCCTCGTTTTTGGGTGAGGGCGGACGAAATGCCAGCCCAACCTGGCGCTTCCCATTGACTCGGCTCGGCTCGGCATCACTCGGCTTGCCGAGAACCCACGAGGTCTCTTGGATGTCACCCTACGACTGAACTAAAGTTTTGTAAAATATTGAGGCTGGGAGATTCTCCTCGTTTTCAGGTGAGGTCGAACGAATCTGTCTGTGCTGGCACGCTCAGTTTTGACATTTCTATTGGCCGTCTCCAGCTCGTAGCTCAGATAGGAAAACCCAGAGTTCGAGGAATGATTTGGAAAATATTGAGGCTGGGAAATCCTCATCTTTCCCACGCTTGAACGAAACTGCTGGCTGCTACCAGGCATGATAGCCTATTCAAGTATTGAATTGGCTGACACGCTGACAGGTACCGTTACAATGCCCGGAATGGCCGGTCGGCGCGTCTGACAGATTTGCTGACCCGTCCGCCCTCACCTCCTGTCAGAAAGAAAAGGACAAACTTTGAGGCTGGAATACTCTACGTCTCCCAACTGAGTCCCACGCAGGTTCAGGTCACTCGCTTCTCGCTTGTCGGTCGTACTCTAGGCAATTGTCTCAATTTTCAGTCCTGAACAAGTAAATTGCCTTTTGTATATTATGAATAATCACAGATATCCACTCTCCGCCCCATGGAAAGCGAGTCAAATACGACGCCTCGGTGCCATCTTTCTGTCTACTGACCAATCATCGAACATAATTATCAATATATACTCTTCTCGTAATCAATCCCATCACTCTCTAACGCTTGGTCAACGTCTCCCGTCTAAACGATCAGGCGTGAGTGCGACTACTCCAAATCCGTCCAAACGTCCTCACGGCAGCAAAAGGATTTGCACAAGATTGAGGCTGGGATATCATTTTTGTCGATTAGGTGAGGTAGGACACGTCCATCCCTTTTTGGTGAGGCAGCTCGCAGGCCTACTGCCCCCCAGTTCAATTCATAGGCTGTGTCCTCGAATCAAATCGGCTCAATTGGACGATTGAAATGGCCAGGTATTTGCCGAGCTCACGGTATACACGGGTGGTCGAGCAAGCAGCCGTGGGCACATATTAGCCCCTTTACCTGAGAGACGATTGTCGTTGGAGATCGTGTACCGGCCTATGAGAGTAGGATTTCTCTCCTCTTATAGACCATCAACATACCCCCGTAACGGAGGTAGATGCCGAAACGACAGAAATCAGTCGGGGGTTTAATTATGAGGAGTCTAGAGCCTCCGAGTATTTCACCTCGATTGCGGTGGCAATCGATATTCAACGGTATGTATTGCATACAAGACAACAAGGGGAAGACAGCTAGAGGCATGGATCGCTACGCCATGACAGAGGAAGTAACGAGCGTACTGGCCGCACTCGGTCTATGCTCATGCGCACGGTGTTCAAGAATGTCATAATGACCAGGTCTACGCATCCGCCATCAGCACCTCGGCAGACGGGAGCAAGGAGGGTTGGGATCTTACCGGTACAAGAGAACAACATCATCTATCCCATTAGCATCACTGCCTCCACCATTATCAAACTTGACAAAGTCTACCGCTGCGTCGTCGTTATTACTGCCAATGTTGCCATCGAGGTAGGCTACTGAGAGGTTGACACCAAGTGCCTTTGCAAGAGCCTGCATCTGAACATGATCTGTGTGGGAGATGAGCTTGGCGAGTAAAGGATTTGAGAGCCATACCGGCTTCCTTGCCCATTGCATCGACAAACTGATTACAGAACTCGTCCACTGGCATTGCTTCTTGTGTCTCCGGGTGCACAATAAACGCCGCGTAATCTTCCCGATTACGACGTATTTCGGCAGAGGTGAGCATTCTGACATATGAGACGATGGAGTTCGATGCTGGAGTGAATGAGTATCAAAAAGGCCAAAAGTACACTATATATATCATACCTTCCGGACTGGTAAATGCTTCGAGAAGTAGAGAGGCATTCAATGCTTGACCGCCCGCTTCCGGTGTAATGATTTGCTCGACCAGAGATCGCAAAACATCGTAAAAGTCCTCAAGCTACCACGATTAGCAGACATTCACAAGCACAGATAGCCAACTTACTATAACCGTTTCAAATCCCACATCTTTAAGTCCTAACCACGTAGAGTTGAGAGTCGAGATGGCCGACGCCACAGCAAATTCTTGGTCCTTGGCGCGCAGAATGCGTTCTACCCATGCAAATGCAAAAGCTATCAACACCTTGAGTCATTGGTTTACACTTTTGAGCAGCTGTTGCCTTACATCGATAGAAGCAATCACCATCACCCTTTGTTCTTCGAACCCCAAGCCAACCTTGCTTCTTGAGCCACTCCATTTTTCGCAAAAAGTTGGGATTCGACGAATACTCGTTCTGGAGATGGTCAGCCTCCCACGTGGCACGCTATCATTGATCTACCATGAGTGTTTCCATGGGTTGCACAGTCGAAACTAGAGGACGTGCATCCGCATCTTGAAGATCTTCTAGCATGTTCGCTTGGAGCTGAGCGATTTGCTCCTGAGTCAATGATCCGAGGTCTATTCCACCCGTAAGAGTCTAATACCTGAGCGAAAGTAGCTATCACGAACCGCGAGGACTTAGCTCATCTAGTTGCGGTCGCTTTGCTTGTGCTAGAGTATTACTTTGTGTAGGTGTTGTAGACCTATCGAGCCCAGATTCGCCACCGCCGCTCGAGCTCTTGTGATGCTTCGCCTGAGCTGAACCTTGGGTGTTTCCACTTGTTGATCGCTGGTGATGGTGGCTTCCGGCTGCACGAGGTTGACGGTGGGGTTCGTTTGCGTAATGTACACGAGGACGGGACGACGAATGCGGGGTAGGTTGCGGTTGAACGGATATCCCCGTCGTCGATACACGATAGATTGTCGATGTCGCAGTGTTCAGACCATTGGATGTGCCGTTTGTGTAAATGTTTGTCGTCGGAATCGTTTGCATCGTCGTGGACATGCCATGAGAGGGTGCAGATGCAGAGGATAGAGCGGCAGGAGACGTTTGGTCGGGTGGTGGAAGCGCATCCAATTCCGGTGGGACATGATGGTTTGTTGGAAACCGTGGATTGTATAGAATGATCCGCATTCGTATACAAGGTGGAAGTAGACAAGATTTTAGAGTACAAAGTCAGTTCTGGAGATATCTTTAAAAGCGTATGGGCCAAAAACGCACGGCGCAGTACGCGTCAAGCTGACATCCCCACCCGCGCCATCCAGCAAACAGTCGGTAATGAAACAGGACTTACAATTTCCTTGATATTCGTCCTCTAGAGGGAGCTGGGTCATCTTGCGCCGCTGACGTGGTGCTTGCTCGCTAGAATCTTCGTCTTCTGCTGGCCGCTTTCTGCGCTCTCCGGAGCTTATGGACTCGGATCCTTCTTGAATAGACGTATCGATCGCCGAGTCTGAAGAAAGGTTGTCGTCGTCGGGACTAAGAGCCACCGATGGTCGCTTACGAGCTGCGGCCACGGACGCAGCACGCGCGTGCGCAAATGGATACCGTAAAACGTATGGAAAATCTTTCTGAAATAACGAGGAGAGCCACGTAGATGGGTTGAGCAGGCTGATAAAAGTCGGAACCAATTGAGAGAGTTCAAGAGGCATTTGTGATCCACCTTGGGGATACATACAAGCTCTGAGTCTAGAATATAAAACATTTACCTCACCGATTGTTTGCACGCCACAGGTATGAACGCCCCAGGCACCTCGCTCCCGTGACATCGATGCGCCCTGTCCGTCCTCACTTCCCAGAAATTCCACGAAAAGATTGAGGCTGGAGTTTCCTTGAGCTTCTCTACGGTGAGGACGGACGTGAGTGATGATCGGGCTGAACATCTAACTGCCGTCCTCAGCGGTCACCGCATGGCTGGGATTTCAGCGTCTATGCGGGACCCGCATATGTGTAGGTTGCCTACAGTAGATCGAATTCCTCAGATGAGGTATGTAATCCTCGTTCGGCGTTGTAACCGGAGGCCACAAGGGCGATAAAGGCCCACCTGAAGTTGCCGAGGCATCGAATCGGCGTATTGTCGAAACGCATGAAGAAACCTTTGGTGAATCTCTGTAAAGTTTGTCTCCAGGCCCTCGACCTAGCCCTCTTCTGAAACTTGAATCAGCCCAGTACATGAGCGAAGCAATCCAAAGAGAGTTGGATGTTCATGGACAACCAAGGGTGATGGGACAGAATTACTCACCTAGATGTTGCCTGACTCGATCGACTTCAAAGCGACCAACTTCACCGAGCCGGTTGACAGAGGGAGGTACCCTGATTGTAGTATGGTTACAATTGCGTCGCGGGTTATCTGTGCAAATGCGTCATTTATTGCGCATGGCGGAGAATCTTACACTCCGTACCCGCTGATGGTATTCATACTGCGTCCATAGAAAGGACCGACGCCTTTGTGTAAGCCTTTGAACCGGCAAGCAGGATATAGGCAAGGTCTTCATTTATCCTGAGAGATTGGTCAATTGCGGATGAGTATAGGGCCCAAGTAACTCATCTAGATCATAGCAAGAATCAGTACTTGGTTTGTGCGCTGCCAATTGGTTTATTTCGTGCATATGGCCTCATTCCACCAGGCAAATGGCGTGTTCGCCACGAATCCGGCCTGGAACTGACGGTGTGACAAGAATTGATTCATGTTATGCATGTCGCATAGGCGGAGGCGGGTATGTTCCGATAAGTTGCCTCGTCGGCACGCCGTTCGTCATCTGGCGGCGTTATGGAGAGAATTGATCCATTAATCCACGTGGTTTTAGACTTTGAACGCAGCATGCACGCACTCGCTGCCTGATTTGCTTGGCCTCCACTAGTTCGTCCACCATCAGCAACCTTTTACTCGACTTTTGGTCATGGTTTGCATGTCAGATTCCTAGCAAGTAGAAATGCATGGCGAATGGCCAGTTATCGTGGAGACCAAGTTTCGGCTATACTTTGTCTCTCGACCACGACCGGGCGATATACTCAATCACCTCTCTTACCGTCTTATCTATAAAAAGCAACTCTGAAAATCGGTTTTAAGTGTCTTACACTTGAGTGACACGAGTAGTGAACGTACAGAAATCCCAAATCTCCCATTTCTAGCGCCGATTGGACGACCCTTCGACTTGATGCATGCTAGTCGACTCGAAGGACGACTAGCATGCATATATTCATATGGACTCAAGGACGGATGATCCCTACATCGCCATCTGCATTGAACTTAACAGCAATCTGATGCTCAAGCTGCGCCAGACTAGAACACTGCAGTTTGCCTCCGCGTCTTTTCTCCTCTACGCCCAAATGTTTGCTGGACGACGACTCTATAGGAGCTTGACCTGTGCAAGGCGAGGCAGCAACGGGCGAACAATGTGAGATACGAGCATCAAGAGAATCAATCGCTGTGGGTTTATAGAAGTAGTTGTTACACATAGAAATCTAGCGATTCATCTGCCCTCTGGAATTGGATGGGCGTAGGTCGAGTTGAGTACGCGGGCTCAAGACCTTCGCTACAATTCAGAAGTACACGCTGCAGATTTAAGACGCTTTATCTGCACCCAAGCTCTACCTAACCTCTCTCAACTGGCTACGACTCTGCGGTCAAAATGTCGCTCCCCATGTTTTGCGCCGCCGAATTATTCCACCTATTGTTTTTACCAAAACTGGTACAGTTAATCTCGGGAAGTCTGTTTAGAATCGACTGATCCGTTGCAGCCTCTGGCATTGTCGTCTGCGATCCAACTATTCTCACCAGTCCTCTCAACGGTCAAGGCGAGTGATTCCTCTTTTCTGTATCGACCGCTCACAATCTCTTAGGCAGCTCATGCCATGCACCGGTACTGGCCATCGGAGCATCCTCAAGTCCCCGCTTCTTCGCTTGGCGAAAGCACTGTAGCTCAAGCTCTGAGGTTTGAGAATGCTCTAGATCATCTGGAACACCTTGAAGGGGATATTGATCAGCTTAACACGTCTCATATGTATCAGCGATTGCTTGTTTTGGAAGATGAGATGGCGCGGCTGCAGGAATATGTTCAACGGTTGGAACGTCTTACACGCGGGGCCAGGAGGGCAGACTCAGATGGTACGTATGCTTGCCCAACCTAGGGAAACATGCTCATCCTTCTTAGATACGGTGGTCAATATTCGACCGAGGATAGCCTTTCCTCCACGGAACCCCGTTGACATTCCTCAGGTGCCCTTGTCTCCGAGTACAATCGAAACCCCATTCGAATTTGACGCGCTTTGGACTGGCAGTGCAGATGAGGGTCGATTGGACAGCCCTGTTGCATCTTCCGTCGGCAACCTCGAAGTCGTATGGAACCTCGATCCCTCTAGGACAAAGTTGGCTCATTGGGACATTGGTAGTAGCAGATTGAATGCTAGCAAAGCTCGCATACCAGCGTGATGGCGATTCACATGACTGGCAAGGTGGATCACATTAACGCACTCTCGATATACATCTCGGTTAATCTATACTCCACTGTACGTATTCTCTTGGATAATTTATTCCTATTCGTAGCCACTCTCGGTTGAGCTCCGGAGGAAGATTTGCATCCTCTCTTCATCTCAGAGCCTCGGAGGAGTAGGACCAACGGGTACACCATTACCATATATGGGCTCCCTCTTACGTGGTAGAGACTCCACGGCCTCCACCAATCGCTACGTCCGGGAAGGGAGGAGACGGCCGTTGGGAGAAGTTGAGGTGGCGAGTCTGTTCAACGGGGTCTGCTCTCTATAATCACGACTGGTGTTCTCGAAGGGCTGAGAGGTGGCAATGATTTGCTCTCGGCCGCTGGCTACTACCAGAGGGACACGCGTGAGCCATGCGGCTCAACTTTGTGCTCGACGTAGCGTGTCTCGACAACAACAACAATCACTAAGAAGTTTGCGGACAAGTGGTAACGGTTCAAGGAGGCACGAAGAGTCGGAGATTGAACTTGGGATCTTGGACCTGACGGTATCGGCGAACATTATGGCTTGCGTTGCCAGGATGCTAAAGGCAACTTGACGATAACATCAAATGAACAGCATAGTGACCAATGAGCGATTGGGCGCGCCTAATGGGTCCCTGGACACAGTTGTCACTGTTGACGCTCGAAAGCTTGTAAAACCGTTCCGGACGGATAGATGGATCCACCAGGGCCGAGAAGTTCGTTAAAGATGGAATGTTACGCTGTATGAGCACATCAGTTGGAGGCAAACCTTTGCCTCGTGTGCAAGGCCTGGCTCGCTCGCTTGCATCAGACACAGACGCGGTCCTGGCTGCCTGGCTGGGCTGAAGATATTGAAATGTCATTGCGTTGGGATGGGATTCTGCCGAGGATGGATGGGGCCAAACATATATCAGCCCGTCTGCACACCGCAACCTAATCGACGGGTCCCCTTCTTTCCCCTTCCTGTATTCCCCTTTCTTTCCTCGGCTCTCAGCTCGGGCTTTTTGGGGCTTATATCCACCCCCCTCCCACCAAACGACGCTTCCTTCACTCGCCGCTTGGCACTTTGTTCAAGACGTTTCCCTTATTCACCATGTACTTCATTCAGCCGCGTTCCAACACTTCGTCACGGACAGCATCGCGCTCCAACTCGCGATCAGACTCTTACAAGTCGAGCCCAAGCTCGCGGTCGAATTCGTACAACGCAAACGTCAGCCCGCACTCGGACGCCTACTACTCCAACGCGTATCATCACGCTAACGAGTATACACCACGCTCCAATACGTTTCCATCGAGGTCGCGTCGGAGGACGCTGTCGCGTGACAGCAGCCACTCGCTCGACTCTTCATTCTCCGTCCCTTCCATCTGCCATGACCGATACAGAGAGTACGTGCTTCTCACTGTTTACCGAGGGATGTACTTATTTGAGTTTTAGCTCGTATCTGCCTCCTCGCCCACCCTCGCCACCCTTATACGAACATCACCATCAGCCGATTCCGACTGGTTTGATGGTGCGCTATAAGATTGCAAAGGCCCTGCGTCTGATTCCCGAGCGGCGGCGCGGAGGGAAACAGACGACGGTGCTCCGTCCGCAGGCACCATACGAGCAACCATATGCAAGACGAGAGGCGTGGAGGTCGCGTGGTTGGTAGATGGCCCGGGTTAGCTTATTCGCTGTGGCGGTGGAAGTGAAGAGAAAAGGTAGTCAGCGGACCTTCGGTCGCCTACCTGTATGCATCTATGCATATCTGACTATGCGTGGTGCCAGGTACGTGCCCTCGTGTTGCGCACTGGACAGGGTCGCTGACGTGCCGATGGCTAAAACTAGGAAACTCGCACTTTATGGTGTCAAAAGAACAACCACTTTTATTATGACCTTGCGAGCAGACGCTCGCGATTTATGCCTACGACTTGCTTATGCCGTCACGATCACGATTGCAATCCTTGCCAGATCCAAGGTGCATTTCACTCCACGGAGAGTACTCCATTCTGTCACGCCCTCTTCAACGTCTCATTCCTCATCTTCATCACGTCTTACGTCTGGTTTGCATGCAAGCGATGTCGACTCCGAGCAATCGTCGAGTCCGTCCTCGCCACCGTCTCATCGTCTCTTAGCGCTGGTTTCGTTCCCGCATTACCACTGTATTTCTATTTAGACGTGCAATCTCCTCGAAGGGTTTGCTTCCTTTTCTACGCTACGCTGTTAAAGCGCGTTGGTTGTCAATGTTCTTCTCTCATCAGAACGTTTCCCAATATGCGGTGAGCGGAAGGAGCGGAAGACGGATGACCGCCGGTCGCAGATGACATAAGTTGTAGGAGTCGTGCAAGCCGAAACTCGGCCCGTGGATGACAAAGGCAGATGACTGTGGACACAGCGAAGGGCCAGGGGATTGGCTGCCGACGACCACTCTAAGATTTATAAGCCTTGTCTCTTCTCCACCTTGGACTTTGGGATTTCACTAACTTTTTCGACTACACTCGCACTACTTCGTTGGGTTTTGGAGATAGCTACAGCTGCCTCGGTTTTTTCGACGACAAAGAAATAACCCGCCGCCGGAGCTTGTATTCCTCTAGAACCCTTTGACCCATAGCTTTATAAGAGAAAGGTAGCAAAGGGAGATTCATTCCGATGTCAAGCGCGACGACACCGACTATCAGCGTCACCGACCATCACCAGTCGAAAATGGAGCCTGTGACTGTGGCGAGCAAAGAGACCGAGGAAAAACGAGAGCAATCAAGACAGGATGTACAACCTGCTCGTGATGTAGAAAAGGGAGGATCATCCCAACATTTGGCCAACGAGGAGTATGAGATTGTCAAGTGGGACGATGGCGAGGCTGCAAAGTACGTCTGTCGTAAGAGAAAGATCGTTACTGATGCGTGTAGTCCACATAATTTCTCAAAAGCCCGTAAATGGATGATCGTACTAATTGTTTGTATGGGCGCGGTCTGCGCGTACGTCTTCCTGCTCCTTATTCATCCAGTTCTGACTGAGCTCTAATCAGAACTACTTGCTCGTCTGTAGTGGTACGTCACTTGCGCATTACTTTGGATAAAACGGTGCGGCTTATCAATTTACGTAGGCTTCGACATACCAAGCCGTTGAGGACGAATTCGGTATCTCGGGAGAGGTTGCAACTTTGGGTGTGACGCTCTTTATTGCGGGGCTGGGCATTGGACCACGTACGTGCTTTGCCAATACTGATTCACAGGGGCTTGACAACCATAGTCTTTCTCGGACCTTTGAGCGAGTTTTTTGGACGGGCACCAGTAAGTGCATTCTCAAGTCTATCCTGCGGTGTCTGAGGGATATAGATATATCGCTGGAGCTACCTCTTCTTCGTCCTCTTCAACATTCCCGTCGCACTGGCGCGTAACCCTGGTAAGTTGCTGCTTTCTTCGTACTCATCTATCACGTGAATCTGACCTGTTTGTATAAAGAAACATGGTTGGTCGGCCGTTTCCTCTCTGGCGTCTCCGGTGCTGCGTTCCTGAGTGTCGCAGGCGGGAGTGTATCCGATCTCTTTTATGGACCAGAGTTGAGTCTGCCAATGTCGGTCTACTCTGGCTCGCCCTTCCTCGGTCCAGTCATGTGCGTTCCGACTTTCTTGCATGAAGAAGCCTAACGGTTCGGCCCTAGAGGACCTATCATTGGAGGGTTTATCAACGAACACACTAATTGGCGCTGGACATGGTATGTTCAGATCATCTGGGCCGCGATTGAACTAGTCCTCTTGGTGTTCGTTGTACCCGAAACGTACTCTCCGGTCGGTCACCCTTGCCCTTATTCGTGAACAGAATGTTTATCTCGAGTGATTAGGTGCTCCTCAAAAGGAAAGCCCAACGACTGCGCAAAGAAACCGGAGATGACCGGATCCGCGCAAAGCTCGAGCTAGAAGGAAAGAGCATTGTCAAAACGGTGATGCTCAGTGTCACTATTCCATTCAGTCAGTTTCCTCTCTGCGTTTTGTACCCTATGCTGACATTGTGCACAGAATTGGTGGCCAGCGAGCCCATGGCGCTCGCACTGAATACGTGGACAAGCATTCTCCTTGGGATTCTTTACATGTTAGTACGCTACACAGTTGGCGATACGTGACTGACACCTGCCAGGTTCTTCTCGGCATTTCCAATCGTGTTCTCTCAGCATGGATTGTGAGTTACCTATTAGATCACGGATATCAACTCACATGGATTACAGCAACCTACAAGAAAAGGGTCTCACCTTCCTTGGCATTGGCCTGTATGCTGTTTCTCTCCTCTGCTCCTGCTCAGCTAACTATTTGATAATGTTACAGAGGCATCATTGTCGCAACCTCGATGAATCCACTGTTCACGGCCCAAGTTGCTCGACGAAACGAGCGTCGATATGCGCATCTCCCTCCTGGCGAGCATAGACCGCCTCCACCCCAGAGGAACACCTCATCAAGGGCCTATACGGCGCAGTACTATGTCCACTTGCACTCTTCTGGTTTGCATTCACGACCTACCCGAGTGTACATTGGATCGTGCCTATCATTGCGAGTGTGCCCTTTGGGTTTGGGATGTGAGGATCCAATTAGTGCCCTTAGATGAGTTATTGACTAGCTTCTGTAGGGTTCTTGCATACTCTTCGACCTTTACGTTCCTTGTTGACGTATACAGGCCATTCGCTGCCTCGGCAATGGCCTCAAACTCGTTCATGCGTTCGGCTCTTGCCGCCGCCTTTCCATTATTTACTACCCAAAGTACGTCGGAACTCACTTTTTGCTCAATTTTGCAAGGACTGACAGACGCCTCTCAGTGTATCATAAACTTGGGACTGTATGGGCAAGTGCGCTCTGTGCATTCCTCCTCGTTGCATGCGCACCTTTCCCGTATGTGGCTCATTACTTTGTATCTTTATCCGACTTACTTTACACAGTTTCCTATTTTACTTTTACGGCCATCGGCTGCGCAAGAGCTGCAAGTATGGGGTCAAGGAAGAATAAACACAGATTATATTAGTTTTACGTATCCATATTCCAGGAGGAATAAATAATTACGCATCGCCTTTGTATGCATCATCTCAAACTCGCAATCCTCGACTCTGGAGTCAATGTAATTCCGCCTGGCATAGTGACTAGACTCGGTTTCCCAAGCGATATTCAGCCTGATTTGACGTTTGCAGTTTGCACTTACTTGCAGTGCTCGAAGGAGTTGGACGCAAAAGTGGTCATGATTTCCGAGATTAGCACGGTTTATTCAGCCACATAGGATGAGGGCGGACGGCAGACATGCCCTATGAAGGTTTTGCCCTCCTCATCTGGTTCCCCTTACCACCGGCGCGTCCAGTCGACCTAAAGGGTATCAAGAGCAATCACATATTCAACAGAGTCGGTCCATTCAACGACACAGCCGTAAATTGAGTTGGTTTTAGCCTGCGAGCAGTCGCACCAAAAAGGGGTGGGTGTGTCCTACCTCAGCTAAAATACGAAAATTATATCCCAGCCTCAATCTTTCGCAAATTTTTGCTGGGGTGAGGGTGTTCGCACATATTTGGCGTAGTCGCACCCACGCCGCATGGCCGGTGGGTATCGTTGATCAAGTCATGGTAAATGATGGGAATGACGCCAATAAGGAAATTTTTACTCTTGTTAAGTTTTCTGCTTTGGACAAGCGCAACAAATGGTTCAGGAGTGGGCGGATTCCCCGAGGCATAATTTTGTAGTAATTAGGGATATTTATGTGTATCAAAGCCCCCATATCTTGATCCTATTCCCTTGGTATTGAAAGTTGCGATTCCTGTTGGTCACGAAGACGCGACGGTATGCAACTGCCAAAGAAGGGAAACGGCTGAACAGACTGCTTCGCAATGTTGGACGAGCCTCCGAAGATATCATCGGTCGTTCTCCGGGTATGGTGTTCCACCAGACAGAACTATTGAGAACTTCGTAATTGGGCTTCCCAACCGAACAATCCCCTCCATTCACCAACCGACTCGTTTGTTCGTTCCAGGAGTTATGTTTACACAGTAACCAGTACGAGTGATAAATGACTAAGCCAAGGCAATGACCCCCAACTTGGAAGCAGTCCAGCCAGGAATCCCATTGCAAATCCAGAGAAATCCCATCGAATTATTCTACCTCGCAATTTGATTCCCGAACGGGGCTCCACGACCATATCACCCGCTGACCTCCATCGGCGGACGGACAGACAGACGCGGGGAAAGATTGAGGCAGATCACGGCACCATTCGGCCCGAACCTACACCTTGTCGCAAACCTCTCCCTTCTGGACGTACAATCACCCAATGCGACCAGAAAGCTCTCCCACGAACAACATCAATTCTATCCACCCGTTTTGGCGTCGATCAACGCGAGGGGCTTTGGGGCTTTCATCACCTTCGCGTCTTCGACCGTCCATCCTCGTCATACCATACACGATATCCACCAAATTCGGAAGGAAATCCGTATGAATTTAATTTCAGGACGCGTCACAAGGTAGAGCAAAGTGAAAAGCGTGAATTGGTACAACAAGGCAAAACTGTGCGCAAATAACGAGTAACACAACTCATTATCAATCTATACGAGACAAGTGGTCGAGGGCGGTCGTGGGCCATTATGGGAATCCCTCGAATGAGACAGGTCAGAGTGGGATGCAACTAGGACGAAGGGAAACTCGAGTGATAGCTGGATTGTTCGCCATGGCGAAAGAGAAGAACAGGATGGTCCGTGGCGAACGAGAGAAGAATTGGTAGTAGGGGGAACATGAAACGTGATTGGATAGGATAGCTTGAATAGATAGACATTTTCTCTCATTGATGGTCGAGATATCGGATAGCTCGCCGTGGTGACTGTACTGCTCGTCGATAATCGAGGGGGATGGGTGGGTCGCATGACGGATCGCGTGACCATGCGACTATGAATATCCAAGCAGTGACAGAATCACCACAAGGTGTGCGATCGTGGCGCTTGAATGGAGGTTTGGTGTAGCTCTTGTGTGCGAAAAAGAAGAAAAACGGGGTCGTTGTATTGAAGGTGAACTCATCCAGGGGAAAGAGAAAAGCGAATAAACGCGTCGGGATTGGTGTGGCACATGCGTCTCATCTCGTCTGATGTGCGCGCGAGAGGCGGCGGTCGAGGCGCGAACGCACCCTTCAACCCATGGCCACCCACATCCAACCGTACCTTCCACCGATTGCTTTCTTCGTTACGTCCCATATCCATATTTTGCACTCCATCTTTGAAAATGTGGCGACGTCACACCTGACTAGGGAAATTATACGGCAACCAAAGTACTAGCTGCAGGCTGCTCGGATGCTAGAGGTCGAGATTGGGGTTGGGTGCGTCGCTGATGTCTGCGTGGGGTGTATTCGTATTCCTTCCATGCCGAGACCATGGCATTGGCCTCGTCGAGCGCAGCATTGAGCGCCGCACGTCGTCTTTCTTCTGCAAATTTTCTCCCTCCAGCCCTCGCATCGTCCGAATTCGAGCTTGAAGTGGCTTCGTTGGAAGAGTTTCCGTCGTTGGACGACGTGTCGTCGTACACGACGCAGATTCGAGTCATTTGCATCGGTACGGGTGGCGGGAGTGAACGTTTGGGTACGTAAGAGAAATAGTCGCCTTCGTCTTGGTTCTTCTTCTTGTGTGAAGGAGTAAACTTGTCCGACTTTGGTGCCGAAGCGACCATGGTCGCATCTGAGACGAGCCCAGATTCACTCTCTTCCTCTTCTCCATGGTGAGTAGACTGGACCGGCAAGTCGAGGTCGAGGTAGACACCTGGTCTTCGTCGATGATTCCGCCCATTGCTAAACGATTCTCTTCTCTTGGGGTAATGTACGATACCCTGAGCGTACGGATACTTTTCCTTGCCACCTTTGGCATCTCCATGATGAGGCAAATGATGTGAATGATGTTGCGGGGCGTGATGAGGGAAATACGGATGCGAAAATGTGGCCGTGGAGGATGTATCACTCTCGTCGCCACTATCATCTTCCGAAGTCACAATCTCCTCTGGTGAGAGCGTAAACTGGCAACGGTGGGGACCAAGCCAATGCGAGCGAGCGGATTGCTGGCCAAAGCTCACAGTCGATTCGAGCTGGGGCCTTCGTGGTGTCTCTGGTCTCCCTTCTGCACCACTGGAGCCACTACTCGATTCGGTATTGGTAGTAGTGGGCTGAGGGGACAATAAGCGACGTCTGGAGGCACGTCGCGGGATTGGAGGAGGAAGTCTTGGGCCGCCCTTGCCCGTCGTGAGACCTGCATTCATTCTCTGCATATCCTCTTCGGTGTATCCGTTTCGTTCGTCTGCAGGGTTGAGCAGGAATGCACCATACTTTGTGTACAGTGGGAGAGTGGATAGCCTTTCCTGCATCTCTCTAAAGAAATTATCAGAACAGGGAAGTGATCTAAGAAGCAGGACGTACCGTGATCGGAGGGCCTCCTTGAGCGCCTGGAGCGCTTGGAGAAGGACAAAGAGGGTGAGGCCTGCAACGACACCAATGCTGACGACGAGCACAAAGCCATCGTCGAGCTGGACGGGTGTTGGGCGCATTACCACGGGCGAATCGCGCACTGCAGAATCCATAGTGGTTGGATCCAAAGAGTCCGAGCGTTTATTTGTGAGTTTATAATAGCCGTGCGGGTATTTATAATGATTGTGCAGTCATTTGTGACATTGCGGTTGTAGAGGACGGCCGGGACGGAAAAGTGCAGGAGAAGCCCGATTGGGAAAAGCATGAGCGCCGTCGTGGAGAATAATCAGAGAGAAATACATACGTGGAGGGACGAGCAGAGCATCTACACCTGTTAAGAACTATCAGCCATCCATCTCGTCGCTGGCAGACACCGAGTGCGGGCCATTTCACGTACCGCGTGTGACGGGAGCCATCTTGTGCACGAAATAACGAGCACGCAGAGGTCAACGACACTAATTCGTCGTATTTTGGTGCTCGCTGACTGACGTAGAGCGGAGATGGGCGTCGGGGGACGTGTCGTGGCGGGAGTAGAGCTCTGGGCGGACTTTGGGCAGCAGGCCGTGCGTTTTGTTCGAGGATGGCTATCAGACTGAATGTCGGGAGAATATCCCATCGCGGGTCGTCAACTGCGACAGGGCCGCACACCGGGCTCTATGGGTTATCACTCAATGGGCAGCTATCGATGACATACTGCCGATCACATCAGTAAGTATTATTCCTATTCCAGCTCACCATTACTATCAGTATCATTATTCCTATCCCAGTACCCAGCTTTCTCCCGCAACTATCACATTGTCTATCAGTCGCGTCTTGCCCACCCACAGCGCTCCGCTCAGAATCACCCCCCGCCTCTCGACATCGATATCCTCCACCCGTTCATCCGGCCCAACAACCTCAAACGTATCCGCCCAATTCACACTCACATAGTCCATCCGCATCCCAACCCCTCCCTCGCTGCGAGCCGAATTCACCGCTCCCTGAAGCACTGCTTCTACGCTCTCCTTGGCCTCGAGCGCTCGCACGCCCACACTCCTCTGCTCCTGCGCTTGCTGCTGCTTCTGCTTGCCCTCGTGCCCACCATTCCATACCCGTCGTCCTCTTGTGAGCGCATTGATCAGTACCGGTGCCCACTTTGTCCTCTCCACCTCGCTCAAATACGCATTCCGACTCGATAAAGCTAATCGCGACTTTTCATCCCGCGTCGTCGGCACAATATGTAACCGTTCAGGCGACGGATGCGATAGCAATAAATCACGACAGAGCCGTTTGAGTAGGAGCGCCTGTTGAATGTCCTTTTGACCAAAATATGCATCCGTCGGCTACAATGCAATCCCATCAGCAACCAACCCTGTATAGATAAAAAAAAACGACATACCTCGACAGCATTGAACAATTTCAACACGACCGTCGCCACCCCTCGGAAGAACCCAGGCCTAGATCGGCCCTCCATCTCGTGCTCGTAACCCTTGACGTACACAAACGTTCCCTTTTGCGCCTCGACGTCTTGCGTGATTCCTGAAGGGTACATATCCGACACACGTGGTACGAAAATGGCAGACGCCATTCGAGTAGTCGGTGGCGCATTACTCGAGGGCGAACGAACGGCCATTTTGACGGCTTGAAGCGCACGCACGTCTTGTTCCATTGTCCGTGGATATGTCCCCAGATCCTCATGCGGCGCAAATTGTGCTGGGTTGACAAAAATTGACACGACCGTTTGGTCATTACTGGCAAGCGAGTGGCGTACTAGCAACATTCTTGTCAGCACACACTTAATCGGCAAGAGGATAAGAAAAAGAAATAGATAATTGCAAGATACGCTCGGCGAAACTCGTACCGGCGACCAACAAGATAATCCGTCCCTGTGCTCGAGGCCCCCGTGAAACTATGGGAAAAGCGAAAAGTGGCCTATCGCGACTTGCCATTCCGAGCACAAACGCATGGGAATGACGCACAAGGGTCGCAGCTCGAGTTGCCATTCCGAGTCGTTCTGCAATCCCAATCACGACACAATCCCGAGGCGAGCACGTCTACCCTGGATATCCGAGACTGTACGACGGGCTTCCATCTGGTCCGTCGCGCTTCCCTGAGACACTGTAGAAACACGAAGAGATATATGACGTCGTCACGTCGAGTCACTTTCGTACGGCTCGCAAGCGTACGTAGGAAACGCGCTTTGGATGGATGGGCGCGGTACCGCTCGATATGGTACGTCCAGATGACCACGATGACTTGAGCGCGCCATCAGCAGCGCCTTGCGTAGGAGTCCCAAGGTTTCCGCATCGGGAACTGCCGCCTACTCTAGACACCAGAATGCCGGAGAGTCATGATTCCTCGATCACATGAAAGAACGAGGTGGATCGACTGGGTCAGATATAATCTGCGCAACCACGTCATGACATTCCACATAGCGGATTGTATCATGACCATGTATGTAGAGGTCATGTAAAATCCGAATGCGGTTGCACCAAAAAGGAAAGGGCGCCGACATTAAGACTCACCGAGGTCGAGATGTCCTTGATGAAGTGCTCCCATGGTTGGTACAAAACCTACACTTTCTCCGCGTGATCGAACGCGCTCTCGCCAACTACGCAGCGCAGCGAGCGAGTCCAAAATCTCCATAGACGGGCCAGCGAGACCTTGCAGACGTTCTAGCGTTGGTCGTTTTTCTTCTTCGCGCCCACTTTTTACATTTTTGGAGTCCTGTGCGGTCGACGCTTGTGACATTCGCTTGTGCGCGAGGTGAGATGTAGAGAATAGTTTGCTGAAATGTAAAGGCCGAATAATAGGTTGAATAAAGACGCGCATTCACTTTGTCGGAAAAGGTGGGGACACGGACGAGGCCAAGCAGACTGTATCGCCCGTCATTGCGGCGCAGTAGTCTTCATCTTGGACAACACCCTCCCTGCGGTTATTCCCATTAATCCACAATAATTCTGAAATGGTGATTATAGACGACAAGGATCAGAAATGGCAGCCTGCGGGTGCACCTCCGCCATACCTCGCCAATGCTCCTAGTCCAGCTGTGAATGTTACCCCGCCGAGCCCCGCACGATCTGCCTATTCCCAATTATCATCATCTACGACGCCGAATCTTCCTCTAGCGTCCTCGTCAGGGTCAGTAAGAGGACCTTCGTTTGTACAGCAAGGACACACGGATGATCCTCCACCTTTTACGTCTCATCCACTCCCTACGGAGAATAGACGGTGGAGATATGGTCCTGCGCCTAGTCTGCTCGACCTTCCACAGCACATCTTGCTCTACATTGTCCAAATCTCGTGTCTGCCGACGCGATCTGGCTATCAGGAGGACGACACGAGTCGTGCTCGGACGTATGGATATAATGCGGATGCCAAGGGAGAGTATCGTGGGACTGTCATGAGCGGGAGGCGGGGAAGACGGCAGGAGGAAGAGTATATCGACGAGTGGCGAGATGCTGGAACCAGTAGGCAGGAATTTGGAGTCGGGTTGTCTGAGGAAGAAGAGTGGGCGGAGCATGCAATGGGTCTCTACCATCTCGCGATGAACGTGCGGCTTGTCTGTCGGGGACTCTACGTCGGTACGTCTGTTCACTCTCAACTAGGTCTCAGTGCGCTCATGAATCACAGCATGCATGCACGTCCTTCGTTCTACCTACCTCCCACTCTACTCGCTGAATATCAAAGCACCGTACACGTCCGACCCGTTCCCAGCATCCACAGACGCACCTACATACACACCAACACCCTACTCATACTCACCGACAACGCCAACGACCTCCAATAACGGATACATGCCAGCCAACTCTTCTCCCCTCCTCACGACACAACGCGAAACGCGCGTGCTCGATCAGTTCCTCCTACTCAAACTCCACCAAGACGTTCTCTCCTCCGAATCAATGCTCCACCTCTCGTCGTCGGTGCATACACCCTCGAGTACCTTTTCCGACCTCTTCAACTTGCACCAACCCACTGCACGTCTCGAGGATCTCGTACGGCATTACGGATTGCAGAATGGGAGCATTACGCTCGCGCCGAGTAGCAGTCGCCTCGTCAGCTTTGACTATGTGAGCATCAAGTTGAGCGAGGGTGGCAGGCGAGTCGGGCTGGTGATTTCTGATACCAAGGGACGCAAGAGAGTAGTCGCAGAGTACTTGAGGGAAGACAGAAACGAAAAGCTCGAGATTGCAGCCAAGAAATTGGCAAAGGAGCTATTAGCCATCTTGAAGCGGTCACGTAGTAGATAGTCTCTCATGTACACGGTTCCCTTTATCTCTGTGGAAGACATTCTATTCGAACGGGTACCTACAGTCGTAAGCCAAACGAGAGAAACCGAGAAAACGAGACAAGTCCACGAAACAAAATCTGAACAAAATCATTCGTCGGGATATACCACTTCCCAATCCTCTTCGATCGCATCCGCATTGACGGGCTGGCTATGCAAGGCTGGCCGAGGGGCGCTAGAATATCGAAGAACCGCTCGAGCTCGTACGGCTCTTGCTGCCAGAGGAAGACGAGATGGAAGAGGACGGTCGCGCGGGGAGGCTCACGCCGGAATCTCGCAGAGCACCGCTCCGGTCAGACGAAGGATGCTTTGCGAGGATACCGGTGTTGTTTCCAGACGTAATTTTGACCCAATGTCGTTCTTCATTGGGATTCGGTGTCGAGGGTGCTGTTGACGATGGCGACGACGACGGCTTTGTCTTAGCGACGGGGAGGGCGAACGGGGGCACAGTCAGGAGGTGAGGGAAGACTGCGCCCCTCGTAGATGGGATGGAGTGTGGTTGTATGTTTGTGGACATAATAGGTTTGAGACGGTTGAGGAAAGTGTTGTTGATCGAGGTAGTTGCGCACGAGGCGAATGGCGAACCATTGTCGAGATACTGTCTTGTCGTTAGTGCCTCAATACAGGACATTGAAAGAGTGCGTACATATTAGGGGTGTATTCTCAGCATTTGTCGGTATATCGACATGGAGGTCTGGGGGGAGAGAAAGTCAGAAAGAGGAAGGGAGAGTGGCTCTCTTATAACTGGAGCAGTCCGGAAGAGAACGTCACAAGCCAACTCACTGAATGGGCACTGGTCAGGAGAGAGGCGGGAATGAATGGCGAGGGACGGCGGAATCACAAGTCCGTAGTCTCATGGTCGATTCTCAGACAGTTTTGGGCAATTTGGGTATGGCGAACATCACGTTGCGCGAATATGACGCGAGCTTCAAGGCTTTTGGTGGAGAACTCCTACTGAGCGCACGAGATCAAAAGTCTAAATCGCACCAACGACGAACATCATCAGCAACGTCAGCAGGAGCTCAGACAAGACGTACGAGTAGGGGATCATGTTCTGGGGGTTCGGTGTCGAGCAATGCTAGACGGCTGGTGTTCTGCAGAGGATGAGCATTTCACTAGCTTGAACAATTTGGAGTGTCGTACATTTTGTGTTGATTTATTCTGACATGATTGCTGTAACGGAGGAGTTCAAGTTGCGAGCAAATGGGCGGAATGGCGGAATTCCCAGGACGGCCGACGGCCAACGCCGAGCATTTGCGCCACTTCTTAGACGCCACCTTGTCGGCCGTATAGTTTATTGTGACGAATATTATGACAAAAATGCTGGCACAACTCCCCATTGAGTGCTGGCAAGACATTCTCCGCGAGGCCATCTTTGTTCCCGTCTTTTTTGACGACGACCCCGCTGAAACGTACGGAATACAGAGTCTGGCAGCATACACGGATGCTACACCATACTGGGAGTCGGAAAGGACCAGGAACGCTTTGCGAAGAGTCTGTTCTTCATGGAATACGTTTCTCAAGCGGTTTGACCATCGATTTATTCACACACCAGACATTCAACATAACCTAGTTCCTATTGATGCGCGATACAAAGCCATCCGAATCAATATAGGATGCTGCTTTGGGTGCCGCTGCATAAGTTGTACTGCCTACCAGACCTCGCCCAACACAAAATGAGGGTAGGCGAGTCATGTCCGAGCCATTTCAATCAGCAGAAAATCTTCTCTCCACCCCTTCTCCAAAATTGGAACACTCGATTCCCAAGGACTTACAGCCGAAGATCACTTCCTAATGGACTTGGAGGGATATCGAACAGGCATTCGGAGTACTTTATTGAAGGATACCTTACAATTCTAACTCGCCTGACGGAGACGTGCTGGCGGTCTTAGTTTCGCGGTCGTGGTAAGTCGGGAGTACACACAGAGATTTACGGTGACCAAGTACGACGAGGCCCGTGTACTCTACTTTATGCTACCGTTTTATCACCACTCTACTTGAGCGAAGCAAACCTTGTAACAAGACAGGACTGACATACCTAGCGGTACTGGTGGATTTCAGCGAAACGACTCTTTCCAAACCGCATTAAGATCTCCGGTCTTGATATGTCCTTCACGTGGATAAGTGACCACGGTCCCGAATGGCATGCCGGTCAGTCAACCCACATCATATTCTCTTCTTTTTACTGACGAAACCTCATCCTGTTCAGGCGAGTGCCCATGGGCGCTCATCACACAAGCTGACATTGCGCTCTCATGTGCAACCTAAAACGAAGTGTCCGAGGAAGAAGCCTACGCCCTCCTCAAAGCCGGCGTCCGTCTCGTCGCAAAGGGACTCGAACATGGGCTGCATACAAGAGGTCGTTGACGTCTCTAAGGCCTCTCACCGCCCAGGTACATAACGCTTCCACCCCGTCCAATCCGTTCAACAATGTTCATGCGATTCCTAGGTGGCGAAGGTGCCATCTGGTACGCACTCGCATGTATGAGAGCACCAATCAAACAATTTTATTGAATTTAGTCGCTTGTACGCAAAGGCTCGAAACGGCACCGAAAGTCAGAAGGACGTCTATAGGCCGATCAGGATCACCAACAGATAGCGTGAGAACACCATCTCACCGAATCACCGAGTCCTGAAATATCGCGCCCACTGGAAATTTCTCTCCACTGGGTGGCAAGACTTTGTATGCAGAAAGTATTGCCGCAGAGAGTTGGAGTGCTACTCGTTCCGCCAGGAACCTACCTGGACAGATTCTAAATGAGGCAGAATGAGGTCCATTATTATGCGGGAGAGTGAGGATCGTACCGTCTTCCGAAGCCAAACGGAATGCTCCATATGTCTGGAAAGGAAGGAGACTTCTCAGTAAGGAAGCGGTTCGGGTTGAATTGGTGGCCGTCGTTTCCCCATAGGCGAGGGTCTCGAAGAATGAATCTATCAAGATCGTTTAGCAGTGTTCACGATATTCAGTCGTGCGAACCCTGGTGAAAGTCAGACGGATAGACCTAACTGGGAAAAGAAACGGACCAATATTGCAGTGAATAATTGTACCGTTTGGAATATAATACCCGTTCCATGTATCTTCACTGTTGCTGACATGCGGGATTCCTGGATGTCGTTGGACAACGCTGACAATGAGTGGCCTGCTCACCTAATGGTACTGGTGGATTCCAACGGAAAGACTCTTTCCAAACTGCGTTAAATATCTCCAGTCTAGATATATCCTCCAGGGTGGGCAAGTGACCGGGACCCAGGACTGTCTCCATCTCCTTTTGGGCCTTCTCTTGCCATTCCGGGTGAAGTACCATTGCGTAGAGGAAGTTTGTGATCGCTACAGCAGTCTATGCGTACCTATGAGCGGTGTGACTTCACGTTCATAGAGACGTACTGTGTCGACTCCAGCACCATACATGACCGCGACGGCATCTCGAAGATTAGCATTCGAGATGCCGGTTTCGTTGAGTTGCTTAGAGACGATCGACTCGTCCGCTGTGCCCTCAACCTTTGAAAGAGGTTGAGACGGTAATAAAATGGCTTCCAGTCATCAACACACCACAGCGGCTTCGACCATTCCATAGGCCCAGTACCGAATTTTGTTAGCAAGAGATGCTCCTCTATCTGCAATACGCTTAAAGGTCGCTCCAGGCATCCAGGAAGGTATATAACGCACTGTAAAAGGTCACCAGGCGAACATCCTCAAGACATAAACGCACATGCAGAGATCACGTCCACCATCCAGACCTTGGTGAAGACCCACGCAACCAAATTGGTGGTCTCGGTATTGATTTCGATGAGTGTCTCGCCATATTCCTTGTTTATCTTTTCTCCATATGCAATTGTGGTCAGTATACTGCCCACAGTTCTATGCAGAGTAAGTCATAATCACGAGGAATTGAAGCCGAACCTCATGAGTGGATCATAGGGATCTCCAACGAATCCATCGTTATCCCGAATCAACGTCTTTGCATGGCCATGAATAAGTTCATCATAGTCTGTGATGACTTGTTTTCCTAAGAACTTTTGGAACACTTTTCGCTGCTCGGTAAAGTCGGGTCCGGTGCGTGAGAGGAGCATGGTATATCCTTGGGCCATTCTGGAGAATGTGAGTGACAGAGAACAAGTAGCAATGTAACCCACAGATCATTTGTCATCGTTGTATATGGTCGTTCAGAGTGGATGCTCATTCGCTTATCTACAATCTCCTGAATAGCCTCGAGGGAGTTGAGGACTACCATGTGTACTCCAGCAAGATTTACATAGACGATATCGCCGTATTCCTTGCTCCAGCTCGTAAAAGCCTCATACCACCTATCTTTCGGGAAAGCTTCATACCACCTATCTTTCGGGAATTTA